TTTTAGAATGGGGCCCCATTTGCCGAAGCCTAGGAAGAAGATATAGAAGAAGATATAGAAGAAGATATAGAAGAAGATACAGAAGAAGATATAGAAGAAGATATAGAAGAAGATATAGAAGAAGATACGGAAGAAGATATAGAAGAAGATATGGAAGAAGATATAGAAGAAGTTATAGAAGAAGATATAGAAGAGATGGTGGAAGAGATGGTGGAAGAGATAGTGGAAGAGATAGTGGAAGAAATAGAGTAATAGCCTAGTTAAAAGGTAGTAACTTGATTTATAACTAGTCCTTAACTAGTCCCTGATTCTAAAGTATATTCTAAAGTAATGCTGTTACCTGACTTAGCTGCTAGGACATATTCGCGAATTAGGCCTTATAAGCGAGATGCCCCTAGTTTATAGTCGCTATATAAAGAAGAGATCTAGAGCTTAGAGATAGACTAATAGGACTAGTTAATAACTAGTTATAATATAATAAGGAATAACTTACCTTACTTTAGCTCTCCTTTACGTCGCCCGCGCTAGTATGGCTTGCTTACGAGCTTTCCTTTACTTTAGCGCTAGAATAGAATGTCTAGAAGAACTAAACTCATAAAGAATTTGATCTTCGACGTTCTATTCTTAATCAGCTATCTTGAGTTACTGTCTTTTTTATCGCTTATGCTCTATTAACTAGTTACTAACTAGTTCTAGATAGGTTTCTTATCTTTACTAAACTCACTAAGTCATCTATCTAAATTCTATATTCGTATTTAGATATTAGTTAATTAATAGGAATGATATGATCTATGTATCTTATAAGTATTATATTAGTTAATATCTAGTTAATCACGACCTTAGGACCTAGCACTAGTTAATAAATAGGTCTTAAGTAGTTAAGACTTAGATAGAAGATACTTCTTAATAGCACTAACTAATAAGTTATAAGTTCTAAGGAAATATAACTTATAGTAGCTTTACTTAATAGTATTTATATAGAGCCTAATCTAATTAAAGAATTTAGGCCTTATAAGAGAATTTACTCTATAAAGACTAGCTATAATTATAATATACCACTTATATTATACCTAATACCATAGATAGGGATACTAATCTAATAAATTCTATTAGTAAGATAGGGAACTAGTTAGGAAGTAGTTATAGACTACCTATTCACTAGCTTACTTACTAACTAGTAAATCTAATAACTTATAATAGTCTAATTCTAATTAATACTCTATTAAAGCATAGAACTATACATATTCTAGTTAATAGGTCCTATCTAATTACTCTAGAAATAACTTATTAATCATATATATAAAATAAACTCTATAGAATATTATAATATTCTATAGTTACTAACACTAATTACGCTTTTTAGAGTTAAGCGTCTATAAGAAAAGTCTAAGACCTAAACTAGTTAGTAACTAGTTATAAGCTAGCTCTAGACTCTTATCTATTATTTATTTAGGATATATATTAAGTATAATACCCTTAAAACCCCTACTATAGAGATAATAAAAGAGCTATATCCTCTTTAAGATATAACTAATCTAGTATAGTATATAGCTAAATATAAATTAGTAACTAATAGTTATTTCTTAGTCTATAAAAACACAAAAAAGAGTAAAAACTATAGAAGACTAGTTAGTAACTAGTTAGGAGCTACCTAGTAATTCTTACTTTTCCTATATATAGGAATAAAGATTATAAATATAACCTTATTCATCACTCCTCTTAGACGCTTATAGGATATATCAACCTTAAATGACTTAAGGGCTACCATACATTCAATTTATGCGTTAAAAGCATAAAAGATAAAGGTACCACTATTATATAACTTAATCTCTTAAATATAGTCCTAGACTTAGTTAATAGCTAGGTACTAACTAGTCTATAACTAGTTAGGGACCTTATCTTTAACTTTCTATTTAACTATAGCTCATAGCGAAGACTACTAAGATCCCTACCTATAGGGTACTAAAAGATATATTACTTAGCTATTATTATAGCGATTTAATCCTACTTAATAAAGCTTAAATAAATCTAACTAAGTATTATATAGTTATATCTTATATATAGCTCTTATAGCCTAGGACTAATAAGAAATATACCTAGAACTAGTTAATAAGAATTAGATAACTAGTTCTTAAAGACTTACTTAGAGTTAGGTCTAGTTTTTATATCCTAATAATTAGGCTTAGAACTTTATTAAGGATCTCTTATAGTAGCTTCTTAGATAGTAGAGATAGATATATATAATATCCACGGGAGTAGAATAAAGCATATAGATATGCTTTAATATCTAATAGAATAAAAGAATAGTACTATATATTATAATATATATACTATATTCATCCCTTACCCCATAGATAATTAAATCCTAGGAAGACTAGTTAATAACTAGTAATAAACTAGCTAGAAAGTAATTAGCTAGAACTTACTATAGTCTAGTAATTAACTTATTAGTCTTACTACTCTTCTATATATCTCTATATATAATAGCTAATTTATATTAATTAAATAATATAAGAGATCAATATCATAGCTCTTAATAAACATCTCTAGAGGAAGCTAATAGTATATATAAGGGTTAGACTACCTTATATTTATATAAGTTAGGTATTTCCCATAGATACCTAAGATAGCCTTATAAACTAGTTAATAACTAGTTACTAATCATACCTAATAGTTACTTACTAATAGAAAGGTCCTATAACTTAAGCGATATATATTATAATTATCCTAATAAGTAGTTCCTATAATAAAGTATCTTACTATCTTATAATATCGCCTATTAAATCATAGTATTAGATAACTAGTTCTAAACTAGCTATTAGTTATCTAGACTTATAAATACATAAGTTAGTATTTCTTAGTAATTATTGACTCTTAGCGTAATTATATATATATATTAGAGATTTAAGTCTAAAGCTTACTACTTATAAAATAATAATACTCCTTTTTAATCTTATTATTAAGATACTCATAGACCTTAACGCTAGTATACTAGTAATAGCGCTTTTTAATAGAATAACTAAAAAAAGAGTAAAATATCTCTTTAGTTTATCCTATTTACTATTTTAAATATTATACCTATAACTAGTTAATATATAGTTTAAAGCTAGTTATCCCTTACTTACCCTACTTAAGGCATCTAGTGCCTACTTTCGTTCTTAAAGCCCTTTAAGACTAATAACGTATATATAGCCCCTAATATATATTTATAGATATTTAAGAAGGTAGGTAGTATATTTAATTAGAACCATACTAATTAGAGTAGTAATACCTAGTATTAATAGCCTTAGGGGATCTAGAACCTATAAACGCGAAGAACTAGTTAGTAACTAGTTAAGGATCATCTTTTATAGATACTTACTTAGTCTAGATCGTTAGTTACTTAGTTTCTTTTATATAATAGATCACTTCCTAGGCTCTTACTTACTATAGCTTCCTCTACTAAAGAAGGTATTAAGTCTACTAGATCATTAATCGTAGTATCCCTATAACCATCCTAAAGAGATAGATAAGCCATCTTAAGTTACCTTATAGGAATAATAAAGGAAAGTAAGAACTAGTTACTAACTCTTTATTAAGTAGTCTTAGTTGCCCTACTTCTTTACGCGAGAAACTCGATCTTGACTAGTGCTGAACTAGTTCCAAAATCGTTGTGCGTTATATCAATACAAATTTACGGTATTATATTAGCGACCAGGCAACGGCGGATACAATACGTAACATGTGGGGCGTAAGGAACTCCCATCACCTCGCCCCACCCCCTTTTTTCCATTTCCCCCAAAAGTCACGTGGCGAGGTGATCGGAGGTAAAATACAAGGTGACCCGACCTATAGTCACCAGAAGGGGGGCCTACCGTCATATCCAATCATACATCGTCTCGGATGAAATCTAAATTAAGGCACGAAATCTGATCGGGATGAACCTGACCAAATGCGTTAGCACTGACCGGGAAGGTTTGAAGGTTCAAGTTTTAATGTTTACGGGAGAATATGGGCGAGGTGTCTTATTTTTTCCCAGTAAGTTTCGTCGGGCATCCCGTGTGGTCGCTGACTGAAGGTGGCAGCCTGAGGATCTATGAATTCGGACTCCGATATCACCACGTTGCAATAATCAGACATACGGCACCCTACAGGGTTCTACGCCCTGCCAGATGCCAGTACCCATCTATGAGGGGAAGTTTGACGAATACGTAAATTGACCCGATGTCAACTGGTCAAGTGGTACTGACCAGGTGATCGTCCATGAGCCGCCTGAATAAATAGCCTGTAATTGTGGTCACCTACAGGCATAGCACCAAGAGACAGACTTGACTTGAAATGGGCAATGACTATTCAAGAATTAAAACAAGCCCTAGGTCTGCCTTGGGTCTAATCATACATAACTGATTCAATACATATACAGTATAAAATGTACTTACTACCTAAGGTGGAATGTGGTCCGCAGGTAGTGGCTGCCCGGGTGTGCCTGGATATATATGTGACTAGGTGCCTGCCCATCGGAGTATACTCACTGCCAGCCTTGAAAAAACTCGGCAAAACCCGCCTCTTTGAGTTGTATCCAAGGATACCTATGTATACATCTTGAAAGTATGAACTATGAGAACAGATTCAACGAGGTGTACTTATGGATTTCTCAAATCTTCAAGGTTCGGGTCGGGAGAACGGGGCCGATGGGAAAAGGTGTTAATCCGTCGTCCACCTGGGCACGCAGAAACAAAAGGCCGTCCTCCGTGTGATCATCCCGAAGAACTATATAGATGTTAAAATAAAAACACTAGACCTTCAAACGTGATTTATCTCCAATGTCCCTGCTAACCACGTCGGTGTTCCGCAATGCGGTGGCACTAGCCCCTGCCAAAAATGCCTCCCGCAAAAATTAGTGTAGAAAAAAACTTCGCCGCTGGCACTCCGCGTCTTCCATTCTTCCACCACCTCCCCCGGAAGCCCGCTTTCCATCAAAACCATCACTACCCGTAAATTTTCGGGAGTATTTCCGCGCAATGAACCCTCGCGAACAATCTGATATGGCTCCGGCCAACTCTTATCCCTCGCCGAATGGTGCGCAGATGGCCCAGGGGGCCATGCCGTACTACAGCAACCGCCAGCTGACCACCGACGAACTCCTCTCTGCCGAACTTTCGCGTGAAGCCTCGGGTCCTGGAATGGGCGATGGATCGAACAATGGTGTGCATCATAACCAGGGTATGGTTTTGGGTTCTTCCAATGCAGGTGATCTGGGTCGTCCTTCATCCGAAGATCAGCACCAACATCAACACATGCTACAGTTCACCCCTGGCCAGCAAGTTGGCGTTGATCCGAACCATGACTTGAGCTATGGTGAACAGAGTGCGCGTAAACGATCGAAGATCTCACGAGCTTGCGACGAGTGCCGGCGCAAAAAGGTACGCCATGTCGAGACCTGAATCCCCAGGCAGAACGCGTCGAGTATAGTAGCTAACGTCACATTTCTCCAAAATAGGTGCGATGCGATGCGAGCTCGGAAACTGGTCTTGAGACATGTTCAAATTGTCGCCGATTGGGTGTTGTCTGTCAATTCAGTCGCGTGCCGATGAAACGCGGGCCCAGCAAAGGGTAGGTCAAATCAACGCGTCGTGGCGCCTCAAATAGGGACTAATGGAGGATAATAGTTATATCAAGGAACTTGCCGAGCGACTTCACACCCTTGAGAACCAGATGCAGCCCGGAATCGTTCAGCCTGATGTGCCATATCAGTCCATGAATGAGGTGTCCCTCCCACGGGCATACCAGGATTTCGCCTCACCGGTGGATTCGGGCTCTGCCAACCGCAAGAGAACATATTCTGTATTTGAGGGTCTCCCCAGCTCATCATTTGCGCAGCCATCGTTTAATGCGCGCGGATCGCAGAGTGCGTTTGATGCAACTGATTCCACAGCAGACCCTTACAACACGACCGTGGCCAGTGGTTCCGCACCGAAACCAGGCAACCTTTTCTGGAACCCAACTGGCCACGAGCAGGATTTGCCAAGCGGTCTTGAAATGGCGGACTTGCACAAACACGAAGGTGACGACGATATGTCCCCAGTCATTCTTGATGAGGGGGCTCTTGATGCGTACGTCTCACGCAGGAAAATGTCTATTGTTTTTAGATCTGGATCTAACTCTATGCAGATACTACCAAAAGGTGCACACAATTCTGCCAATTCTTCCCCACACCAGGGAGCGAACCTTGGAGCTTCTTCACCAGTGCAATCGGGAGGCGCAGGAAATCTTTTGCTATGCGCTTTACACTGTTACTCGCACTGATCTGTCTCGTGTCGCTGGTAACTTTGAGAGAGTTACCTCATTTGACAACGCCCAGGATCTTGTTCTGTACCACACCCGACAGCCATTAATCGTCCACTCCACCGCAGTCAACCTCGTATGGTTGCAAACCCTTCTTTTGATGATCGTCGACTGTGACCAGCGCGGCCCCGATAACTTTGTCCTCAAAGACGGTATTCCTAAGCATACTTTAGTGCAAGCTGCCAGCAAGCTCGGCTATGATTTGGCGAAGAATCAGGGTCAACTGAAGAACAAGCGACCATCTGATCCTGATGTTGACTCCGATGCCAACTTGACTCGGCGTAACTGGGTGTCATTGATTATCCTGACCCGCTGGTATGCTATTAGTGTGGCCGATGCGACTGTTATCGGAGGACAAGAGATCGGTGGCCGTGAGGATGAGAGAGTTGTTGGCCAGATCACGACTGGTATTGCTTGTAAGTTTCGAGAACTTGCTTCACTTCATTCAACTATTCTGACCAAAAAAATTTAGCGTTTTCAACGTTCCTGTCGGAAATGGTCACTCTGGCCACAGTCGAGCACAATGTTTGTCAGACTAATACTGGACTCGGCCGAATGGTGGGGGCCAACTTGGTTGCTTCCCTCGAGCGCCTATCAGAGATGGAAGATGTATTCAAGGTCCACGAACTTCCCGAGAATACTACGACTCGCACCCTCTTCGAGAGCCTCCAGGCTCAGCTATATTGGACCGTCCGTCTTCTCATTAAGCGCCATGTGTTCGTCTACAGCCCTTATGAGATTATTTACTGCGCCCAGGAGGTGATCAATGAGCTCTACAAAGCCACCCTTCAGGCCCGGCTCCCAACTCCATTTGACTTGCACAGCTTAGCTCTCGCATCTATGACCTTGCTCGAGGCTACAGTTCTTCCCGAACATGCTCATGACTGCTGGACCTCGCTCGATCGGGTGGAAGAAATTCTGGACTACCGTGACAGCCGCACGAATGAGATAGGCGAGTTTAGCAATATCCTGGGCACTCCAGGTTGGGATGCGAAGATTCGTGTTTTCCTTGAATGGCGCAAGGCCAAGTCACAAGAAAGCCAGCTTCACGAGTCCGTGGGTAAGGTTGGCTCTGGAATTGCACCACCCGTCATGGGCCCGAATGAGCAGCGTTCTCTACAGCACCTGGCCGACTTGGCTGTCGGTGCCGAAGACTCTGTTGGCCAAACCTCCGCCACCCCTCCCCCCGGCCTTGGTGATCAGGGTGACACATCCCCCAATCTTGCGCCACAGCTCGCGCAGTCACATGGTGGTGCTGGCCGTACCGTAGTCGATTTCACCATGCTTACGAAGGAGGGGTACTTGAACGTGTTCTCGGGATTGATTTACAACAAACGCTCCCGTTAAGCTACTTCGACCGCTCTGGGCTGTTTACATTTTCTGTTTTCTTAGGGATTTGGAGTTTGATTTCGTCTCATAGGAAAATACGTCCCCCCTCTGCTACGGTGTAGTCTAATATAGCTTTGCAATGATTTCAACCTTCTTTTCTGATTTTCTGTCTGATAGTTGATTCTCGCACAAAACAATTTAAATCCAAGTGATACCGATTCCGCAAAATAATATGACCAATTTAATCATACCGATCCTCACAATAACAATATGGTAACTCAATCCACGATACCGATCTCCGTGTATACCCCATATCCCTAGACCATCACCGAGACCCAACAATTAAGCTTCAATCCCGCACATGGCAAGAACAATCGTCCTCCAACACTCTGCGCTGACAGCCACACCACCCACGTACCCAAGCCGCCCCGCACCTGCAATAACAGCAACTGCAACCGGCGACTCCTCCGGTTCAATGCTTTCATTGGGGTGTTGTTGTTCAACAGTGTACCATGTTTCGTCCAAGCCAGCATTCTCAATAGTAAGACAGACTTTAGAGCTAATATATGGTGTAATCTTGCTCGCCACGGCTTGCCCAGCACCTTGCTCATTGATGCTTAAGCCCTGCTGATATCGTCGACCTGCATTCCAGGGCACTTCTGCGCCGGCAAAGAATGGCCTGACCCGGGTGTACTCGACTTTGCTGGCGAAGTCGCCCATAATGATGCATGTACCACCCCGGATCATGAATGACTGGACCCTCTTCCAGACGCGCAGCATAGAGTATTCTGGGAGAGTCAATGCCTCGTCTGCGATGAGGATGGTGGTTGGAGCTTGCGTCTGTCTGATTGTAGTGTAAGCTTCCTCTGAGTCGTAGATAATTTTAACTAGTGCTTTTGATCGGATTTGACGTAGGAGGACGATAAATCGTGTTTCAAATGTTCCTTGGGTATGAGCCAGGGCGATTATGAGGAAAGACCGCTGTGGGCTGGCCTGTGTGTCGGTAGACATGTTTGTTGACATGGTTTTTGAGGTGGAAGGATGTCTTGAGGTGGAAGATGCTTGTTGAGCTTGAGGAATCTTCTTGAGACAGAGAGTGTCTCCTTGAGGTGGATGAGGCGATTGAGCTTGATGACTCTTCTTGAGGCGGAAGAGTGTGATGTTGAGGTGGGAGAGTGTTGTTTAGGTGAAAGCGTGTTTAGGTGGAAGACGGCATCTAGAGGTAGACTTTAGGAGAAAACAGGCTACGCCGGGAATCCATTGTATCAATTTAAAATGCAGATGTGTGTAGCAAAGCGAAATTGAATGGAGCACGATGAGATCCACGCTAACTTGGCAGGGTAGCGGAAGATGAACGCGAGAGTGAAATTTCAACTGCAAGGTTGCGAATGCTTTAAACTGATTGTCCAATATTTATTACGCAGTAAGGTCATTGCTGATATTAAAAAGTATAGTTGTCCATACGAATAATTGTATAATCCTAGCTCCACACGCTTCATATACCGCATAAAACTCGATAATCCAGCAATAAGATAGATCGCGATAAATCGACAAAAACGATCTGAAACGAAGATAGAAATGCTATCAGTCTAACCGATACTGCGCTCCAACTTCATGGACTGGCTAGGTCAATCGTCATCCATGCCTGGCTAAGCACGCCTCTTCTACTTCCTAATTCCAAATGCAAACCGCCGCCATGTCACCTCAACATCCTGACATAGAGCCATGAACCCATCGTCTTCAATTAGCTCGCACATCCAATTTTCTAGGAAAGCAGTCCTCTCAGGTGTCGGTGAGCCAAGGTAAGCAGACAACTGATCCTCCGAGATAGTCGTCGACTGTGTCAATTTACGCTGCGCAATGCTGTTGCTATTGCCCACACCCCCAAGGCCACATTCCGCAGATGCAACACTCTCATGCTCGGGTCCAATTCTTGCTTGCTTACTGACAGGATCCAGGTTGAAATATGAGTCCGGTTGAGAAGCTTGAGGCTGTGAAGGGAGAGGCTCCATCTGAACAATGTCGAGGAGGGGCTGTGTTGGGACTAGAGACCGGGACTGGGACTGAGACTGAGACCGCGAGTCGGAGGTTTGAGAATCACGAGGCATCGAAATAGTTTCATGAGCCGCCAATGGGAGCAGTTGCTCGCCATTGAAGGTTTCAATTAGCGGCTGGTTTGTTGATGCAGACTGTGAGGGCAATGACGTTGCAGTTTCTCCCCCTAGAGACCTTTTCTGACTTGGCTTAAGGAAAGGAAGGTCCCTTTTTGGAGGTAGCATTTGTTCGAGTTGGTCACCATGATAGGCCGGCGCAGTTGTAGGGCGGTTCTTGGGAAACTCACAGCCTTTTTGCTTGGAGTATAACGAGGGAGCCTGCTGGTTTGGTCGAAGGGTTGTCGTGGACTCGAATGGATTTTGGATAATAGGCGCGGTTTGTCCAACTAAATTATAGATGGCGCTCGATGACGAGGATGGGGGGTTAGGCGCTACAGAATCACTGTGTATTAAATTCAGATTTCTTAGCAGATGGGAGGAACATACTTGTCTTTTCACTGGGTAAACATCCTGGCATAGGGAAAAACGGAATTGTGGTATCAATGTCTGAGGTCACCGTAGTACTTGCCTCCTTCGACGCAGAGGTTGGCGCTTGGAATGATGACCATGATGCGGATGAAGGCGGCCTCCGTGGTTGCAGCATTGATGTACTTCCTTCTACCAACGGGCAGTTGATGCCGCTTAGAAGAGCAAGGGCAGCGAAGTAATCGGTGTTTCGTGAGAATTTGATCTGAAATCGCCGAATCTACTATGTATTAGCATCAAATATGCAGATTACATGAAGCCTGATGGTAAATTGTTGGATGTAGACATACATGCATACTGCTTTGAGGGTACTTCACTGCAAGACATGGTGACTTGACCACGACGGCGAACAGGGGCTTTTTCTGCAAAGCATTCTGGTCATTTTGGCTCTGAGCTGCTGACATGCGAACAAAATGCGCTAAGTCTATTTGCTCCTGATTGGGACCAAAGTTTAATGAATGTCAGTCATCTGAGGTTTTCATTAGGGATGAATGGTGGAAGCTCATACCAATATGCCATCATTCCGAGCCACTCTCAGGATGAGTCTTGGCGGAACAGAGTGCTCCCCAGGAATCTGTTCCAGGATACAGACGAGATCACCTTCTCCATTAACATGAGTCCACGATAAAGGAACGCTATGGTTGATGGTGGTGGTTGTATGAGAGAACTTGGTGAGTGGGAGACGGGTTACCTGAGAAGCAATATTGGATGGCATTGAATGAATCATTTTGAATATAATAAAAACCCTTGTAATAGACTATGAAGCCCATTCCACTGGATGAGAGGAGGGAGTTTTGCGATGAAAAGAAGAAGTTGCTGAAATTGCCAAAGGCTCGATCACTCACCTGACGAATAACCTACCATGCACAACAGCCCTCTCTATTAACGAGCCTTCCAACAGCTCGGGAGAGCATACATTTGTCTAATCTAGTGTAGATATTCTCTGTGTTTCTGATGATTGAGAATTCCCAATTCTACTTGCCAGGTAAGTTCTCAGCCAAAAGCGGATTAGTCCTGAGTTTCGTTACAATATTTATACCACATCTTGAAACCTGAGGCACTGAGAACTTCCTAAAGAGGGCTAGCCTGTTTTGAGGAGAAACTTATATAATCTCGGAACAACAATGCTCCGACAACGCGCTCCACCAGAGGGCGCGGACTTTTGGCTGATCAACCCGGTTGATCGCAAGTCCAGCTGTTCTTCGTTGCCCTCCCCGCAACATTCAAGGCATTGATCCTCCTCAACTCATTGACACTGGTCGCTCAATATCCTGAAGTCTGCGCCAATTTCCCGCGCATCTGGATTTAGTCTGGTTATTACCAGACGTGTTCGATCTGGCATTCTCGTTGCGCATCCTTCTTTACCTTCGAACGCGCGCCTGTGACTACGCTTTGTCACAAGCCACCACCTGTGCGATACTCGACGGATAGTGAGACTGAAGAAGTTCTTTGACTCCTTTTCCACCCGACAGTTTGGTCCGCGGAAACCACCAAGACGCCTCTCTGCGATCTGCGTTATAAATACTACATTCACGCTGTTGTGCTGCTTCTAAGGCCTGGATTCTTTTTAATCCACGAATTCTAGAGACCTGGTATCAAAGAAACAGAGGAACAACAACACAAGGGTTGGTTGGAAAGCACCATACCTGGACCTGATTTGCAAGGGAGGGATCACAGCATCGCAGAAGCAAAATCCTGCGCCTGCTCAAAGAGCTATTCATTACCCTAGCCGATAGTCTAGGCCGCCAAAATGTCGGCATCTACGCCTCAGAGGACGTCCTTGCGACGTAAGTGCCCCTCCATCCCCCGCTTATTTCGTGCCATTTTAACAATGACCCAGAGGGCCTGCGCCAGGCGCCTAAGATCAACCAACCTTTCATCCCAGACACCACCCCAGCGCGTCAAAAACACCACAGCCAGGGCTTCACATCCCCACAGCCCCAAATGACCCCTCATGTGAACTTGAACCCCGCGGCCAACCCAAACAGCGCCCAATTCGCGGTTGATAGCTGGGAAGGGAAAAACCAAACACAACTCCCGATGTCAACTCGGGAAGTCCTTACGCCGGGGAATCGTCCTGCACTTTTTGCCAGTCTTACTGATCGAACGAAGGTGGCGAGACAACCGGATTTCTATGACCCATATTTTGCATTGAGGTTCCTTGAAGTCCCGCGAAGTAAGTTTTCCCCCCGGATCCAGGGAAATGAGTAACAGGCTAATGGTAATAATAGCGGATCACATTTATAAGCGCGCTCACTATGGCCTCCAGTCCGATATCCCAGATGAGGTTGATTTCGCTTTATATCATCTAGTCCAAATTTCGAACCAAAGGTGTGATAAGTTCAAGTTTGAGGGGTTCCCATTGCTTGCCGAAACTCTCATGCAAAAGGCCTTGGATGTGACCTATCTATGCACTGGGGTTCGGTGGGAGTTGGAGTATGACCCTCGTTTCCCATCGGAGCGGGTAAATGTTCTGAACTCCCTGCACGGAACACGAGATATCCTCGATAAAATCCGAAAAATCCCTGTTAATCTCCCAAACGACACCCTGGAAACCACCGAGTTCACCCACATGCTTCGGAATATTGAAGAAGCCACCTTGGTTCTGAGAAACATGGTCTTGTTGAGAGAAAATGCCTTCTATGTTTCTCGCTATGCTAGTGGCCTTCTGAGAGACTTCTTGGTAATTCTACTCAACCTACCAAACCAGTCTCGCTTGAATGAAATCAAGAACGATGCGCTGGATATTGCCGAGGAGGTGACCAAATTCATGAGGACTGATCCTCAAGACCCCCTTTGGACTTCTTTAGTCGAGTGCCTACACTCCCCGGATCGTGCCCACATTATGAGAGGCCTTTGGGCATTAACTCATTTCTCTACTGAGCTGGAGGATGCTGATAGCAATCGTGCTATGGAAAGCCTTCCCAAGCCAACCCTTCAGCAGTTATACTACCATACACTTTTGGACCTCGACAAGGGTATCTTGAGCGGTGCTCTTGATTTCTGGTATCAGTATACCCTCAGCCACGACAATATCGAGACTCTGATGGAGGTCATCAACTTCCCCAGCGTCTTTGTACCCCGCATGATCGCATTGCTTACATACGAGGCGCGACCAACCAAGAAAGAAACGGTCTTGCAAGATGAAAAAGTTGCACCACCGCCATCTGAGATCCCGCGTGTACCACCCGAGCTCTTAGAGAAGCTGATGGAGTCGTCAGAGCCGGAGCGCAGCTCTCAGTGGCTTCGCTGTTGCTTCGTTGAGGATGCGGAATGCGAAATCACCCAGATCGCTCTGTGGCAAGCTTACCAGAGCAGATTTGCAGACTCTCGGGTGCCGGGTGGAGGTGTCCTTCCCGCCGCAGAGTTCATTAAAAATGTCAGCAATACTTTCACAAATGCACAGGCACAAGTGATCAACGGCCCCGGAGGCACAACCAAGTTTATCATCAAGGGCATCCGGCCCTTGGAAACTGCTTACACCGTCGAAGGATTCCCCTATGTGTACTGCAAGTGGGCCGACAACTCCAAGCCTTCCAAGATGTGCCAGCGCGCATTCAGCTCTCCTACAGACCTCCGCAGCCATGTTTTTGGAGACCACATGAACCTTGAAGCTGAAGAGAAACCCGGTCAGTTTAAGTTGGAGACAGCAGAAAATCCCATTCACACCTGTCAGTGGGATAAATGCACCCGTTTCCGGGCATCGGGACCCAGTGCCAACACTGCCATGGTGGCTGGCCATGTTTCTTCTCACCTGCCGGAGGACCGACCTGCTGACGCGCCACCTCCGAGCACAAAGCGTCTTGTTCTCCAGGAGCGAATTGTCCGCAAATGGTACTACATGGACACCCCCATCAACGAAAAGGGCGAGCCTATCGGTGTGGCATACAAGGCCGCGCTGGTTCTGCGTAATATTGCCAAGGGCCTCCCAAACAGGGTTGCTACGAGATACGGTGGTGTGTCTTGGAAAAAGGCATGCTTCGTCAGCCAGCGACCAAAAATTGTCGAAGTGTGGGATCGCAACCGTGCTCTGCGAAAGGAGCTGACCGAGTTGATCATGGTCATGGAAAAGGAGGATGATTATTGATCCCTACGTCTTGCCTCTAACCTTTTCAGGGTTGCTACTTATGTACCCGTGAGCATCGATTTCTTTGTATCAGTAATACCCTGTCCGTCTTGCACCCTATTAATGGACGAAAGAATAATGCTGCAACTTTTTTATCTCATATCGGGCTTGGTGTTTTGTCTTGGTTTGTTTATGTTTTCCACGACGGTGTATGTATATCATGGGGATGGAGTAAGGAGATGAATGGCTCTAAAGGCCTGACAATTTTAGTTTATTTTTATTGATCCAAAGCCCGTAGAAAAGTCTTGATGCTAATATAAACGTTCAGATTCCATACCGATTTATAATGGCTATCCACCTATTCAAATCGCTTGCGCTTCGCATCCTCAGCCAACTCCCCCAGAACCTTCATCGCATCCTCCGCTCGTCCAGCAGGAACATAAATATGATCATGGAAAAATCCACTCACAACATTGGTGCTGATTTGATGATCCTTAAGCCGATCAGTAATGGCCGCAATCAGTCCGACCGCCTCAAGGCTGGAATGGATCGTCAGTGAGATTTTGCGACACGGAAAGACAATCTCCTTGAAGCCATGAGACGTGGCTAGAGCTTCCGTCGTGACGATTGTCGTGCCCTCGGCTTCCTGGGCGATCAGTTGTGGATCCAGAGTGGCAAGTGGGAGTGATGCGATGGGTTGTGTTGTGGTGATGAAGACGTAGGTCTGTGGGTCCAGGACTGGTTGCATTGTTGAGAGGAGCGTTGTGAGGTCAGCTTCACCGGACATTTTGGGTGATTGAGTTGGAGAAGAGTGTGTACTTTGGTTGGGGCTTATTTGGAGGGAATTGAAGTGCTGGGAAGAATAGAAAATGTATATGAGATCGAACTGAGGTTAAGTAGTTTTAGGATAAGAATTGGTGGATGTCACCGGCAGGGCGTATCTGGATGACCCACACAAAGTTTATAAAGCCTCGAATCAATGTATACATGAGAAAGTCATATTCAGCAATAATGAGCTAGGACTAAATACCAGTACGGACATTAGGAATTATTAAAAGCTAGATATCAACGATAGAGAAAAATACTCAATAATCTCCAGTAGGCATGCCAACTGTCGAAACGTGCTGTCCATGGAATCCAAATCCAACCGCCCCTTTCATATTAGCCCGACCAAGCTCAGTCAGGTTGCGTGCATCAAGACAAAGCAGATAACTGTGCTCCCGGAAGCCATCCAAGACTACACTGAGAAGGACGCCATCATCTTCATTCACACCATCCGGGTTGGCGACAAAGATCGGCTCACCGGGTGAGTGGCCGTGATGGGCCCACAGACAAGTCTCTTGAGTCTCACTGTCGAATTTAATAATTCCATCCGTCAAAGTCGATGCTCCCCGGAAAGACGCCGCATACGTATACCGATGCTTCTTCGTGATAAGCTTAGGGTTCATAGTAGGCAATTCGGGTGAGAAAGCTTTGCCGGAAGACCACTCCAGTGTAGCCTGGAGAATCTCGTTGCTAGGTTCCGCCGGCAAAGCAGGAAGACGAAATCGAGAGAAAGCAGTACGCATTTCATCCGTTCTAGTCGCGGCGAATTCCTTTGCAGTAGGGAGCGAGGATTTCATATTCTTGTACAGAACGAGATCCAAGAACTCCGAGGTATCCATGCGCACAAGATCAGCAACTATATCGATCTTGGTTGGATCATTCTTCGATTTTTCCTGGAACGCGTTGATTGTGTGGAAACAGAAAAATGCCGGACTTTCGTATGTCGCAACCAGGCCCTTTCCGTGCTTGCGGTCAACCACGTACCATGTCGCTGGCTGAGCGGGATCGGTAGGCATGATCGTGTCCTTGAAAGATCCCTTTCCTACCTCATTGATGTTGACATGCGAGTTCCAGACACACAGAAGGACGAAGTCCTCAGTGATGTTAAGAGAATGGATATAGGCGGGCGTGCCCGGGAATGTAGCCAAGATGGAAGTTTTGCCCGTCGCAGCAGAGACGTGGAACACGCGATAGATGGAGACTGGACCCGGGGTGAGATTGAAGTTGAATACATCGCCCGTCAAAGGATCAGAACGGGGATGCGAAGCAGACATAGGACCGGCCAGATCAGGATGAAGGTTCTCTTGCGAAGCTAGACCAATAGGCTCAAGTGTTTCAGGATCCAATTTCTTAAAGGCATTGGAGTCGGTCTTCGCATACAAAGTCCGAATACCCTTTGAGTCAGACCAGCGCTCAGTTGACTCTTCCTCAGATGGGTTGTCGAGGCCTGGCATGTTGATAGAAAGTGTGACACCGATGTTCCTCTCGGACGGTATGCTGGGTGGAACATATTCGGTTTGCACTTTGTTGAAGACTTCCTTGCAGGGGTCGCGTTTATCTCCAAAGCCTATCATGTAGCCTTCCTTCCGCACCTTTTCGATCAAGGCGTCAGTGGAGAAGCGGGAGTTGTACAAGACTCGGACTGAACGGTCGTCATTTGTAACAATGATTTGGAACCGGTGGGTTTGGCTGAAGCCGTCAAACCAGTGGGCCAGTTTGAAGAGTTGCCCATCTTCAGTCTCGACTTGGCTTTTGCCTGGACCTGTGCGGTAGAGTGTTCCTGCGGCATAGGCGGGAATATCTCCAGTCACTGAGAGCTCGACTGGAGTGCGCTCTTCGTACTCAGGGTCAAACTGCGAGTTGTTAGCCTGATGCCAGCATAGGTGCTCAAATGTAAGGAACAATGAATTTATTACATACTCCTTTCTCATTTGGCCAGTTGTTCCAGTGGGCTTCAGTGGGCTTTGAGCCACTAGCAGTAGCTGGAGGAGATTCTGAGAGGAAAGAAGGCATGGTGATTTATAGTGGGCTTATCGGAAATGTAGATATGAAGAAGAGATGAATTTTCCACGGATCGAGAGATAGACATCCTTGAATTTATATGTGAAATGGATCAAACAACTGCACCCATTGTAACGCCTAGGCAGAAACGGTTGGAACAGTCATGAGCCCATTCCAAAGAGGTTCAAATCTTAGTATGATGATCAGCCTGGCACGAGTGGGGGAATCGCGACGGGAGCAGTGGGGAACCACGAACTTCGCGAATCACGTCTCTCTCCATTGTCACCATTTCGCCTGCACAACTGGATCAACTCGGACACGGAGAAGTATATCTACAATCGGGAACGGACTGAACAGTGAATCCGTCATCCGTGTCCTCGGAGAAAACACTAAGTCCCCACGGGCGACGGATCCACCAGATCCGTGACGTCGCACATTGCTTGTCAAAGCTGGGGATTCCTTGCTAGACCCGGGATTCACCCGCTTTCTGGGGTCATCGCTTAGTGATTTCTAATTTCGATACACCTAACATTCATCCGGAACGAATCAAAAATTCCGGATTTGCAAATATAGTGGGCAACCCCTTTGTGTCTCCATTGCTCGTGCTCGAAGTGGTTTAGGAGGGCACGGATGGAAGACTCACCGCCACAAGCCGAGGCTGTTGGGACTAAGGATTGGAGATGTGATCAATGCCCTGCTACATTTGGGCGACTAGATCACTTGAAGAGACATACGGTGACTCGTATGCTTAGAACTTGTTCTATTAAATTGAATTGTTGCTAAATTTGAGCTAGATAATACGAAGAAGAGCCATGTCTGCCCTTTTTGTGGTGCCGTGTTTGGTCGAGGGTAGGTAATTCTTTACTGCCAATCGTGCAATACTTTATATGATCTGCACGAAGTATAGACACTAACCAAGGCTTTAAGAGATGTTCTGCGAAGACATTGGAAATCATGCAAGACTCGTATAGAGACCGGCCAAGAGATTCCTGAGACTCAACGAGGCGGCAAACACAAGCGGGCTTGTGATAGCTGTGCTAATCTCAGGAAGGCCTGCAATGGAGAAACTCCTTGCGCAGAATGTCGACACCGTGCGCGACCGTGTACCTATCAACGACTATATGAAGACAAAGACACCAAAACGTCTACACATGTGAACACGGAGCAAGGAAATATACCCAATGATCAAATCCTAGAGATGATTGAAACGCCCGATTCTCAATCACCCTGGGGATTGGGGGTTCAGAGTTTCTACCCAAATACGGAAACGGGAAAGAAGGTTTATGCTCATAGGAGGAGGTTCGGAATATAGATCCCAGCCTCCCAAGGTCGCCATGAATCAATTAGGAGGGACGCAATAATGACCTTATACACTGAGCTGGCCGTCGCATGCAGGAGGCACATTTGTACCGTGTCAGTGAGCCATACAATACCCAGAAAGAATCGATTTTTTTTTAATGATATATACGACAAGTAACACAGGAGGTTGCACACCATCTTTTCAAGCCTTGGGCTGTGATAGATAGGACACAAAAGATCTTAGCCAGGTGCGTTGTTTACCAAATACCTTCGTAGGGTGCGCGGCAACAATCCATGATAACAAGTGTTGTGCATAAGTTCTTCAGTTGACTTTTGAGCTCTTTAAAGCCTCCAAGTATCGATAAAGATCAATAAAAGACACCAACCATCGCTCCTCCTCTTTATCACAAGGCTCCAATCCTGCATTGCGTCTGTACATCGCGGTTCTTCCCAGCTTATGTGGCGCGAAAGATGGCATATCCACCTCCTGAAGCCAGCTGGTAGGTTTTTGAGACCAAGGTGTCTTCACTGTGCGAAGGAATTCGCCTTTTTCGTTGGTGGTGACTCGTCTACCCGAATCGGCACGACCCACAGGAAACGAGTTATAGAAAACCGGCATTCCATCCACCACGATCCGAGCGGCCTTCAAAATAGATGGAGAATGTCGGGATTCAGAATTATACAGTTGATCACCAGTCCCAATCTCAAACTCTTCAATCCAGTCGAGAAGCTTCACCAGCGCCTCATCGAATGGGATTAGAGGAAAGAACTCATAACGGAAGAACTCCATGTTGGCGAATGGGTGGCTTTTGTGTGCCCGAAAAAATCGAGTCGCATCATACCTCAGTCGAGATACTATGTGCTCAGTATTCGGACGACGCTTCTGCTCTGGATCTAAAGTTCTCTTCAAGATATCCGGATTGTCTTCCAAAAGAGTCGCGGCTCGCTGAAGCTGAGAGGTGCATTGATCCTCCAAATTTGTTTTTGCTAGCTGGAGAGCCTGCCCACGCTCCGTAAACTGCTCAAGCGATGAGAAGACATCAATTGCTGGAATTGGTATCACCGCGTATCGATTTAGATCCAGCTTTGGCCAATTGTGAAGTGTCTCATAGATATAGACGTGCATAGTGGATGTCAGGTCGGGCCAGTCTTTCCATCGGCACCAATGATTTATATAGCGAATTGACGTTGTATACATCCAACCCATGTGGTCGGGGCGGTAATGAAGCATTGGAATGTTTGTTTCGAGATCCAGGTAAATTTTGATCTGCTCTCGAGTTTTGGCTTGTGTTTCTGCATCGTTGCCCAGGAATTTGCATTCTTTATGGGCCAAAAGCAAAGCATTGACTCGCGGGCCATTTGCAACCAGCAGCTTCATGACATCCCAGACACTGAGGTCATTGATGATCTCGAATGCCAACTCGTCTGGTATTTTGGCTAGATTCTGGATGATTTTGTCGAAGCGAGTCATTATGTTGAGTCGCTTCGGCCAAGCTTTAATGGAGAAATTGAATTGAGAAACCAATACTTGAGAGAATGATTGCGATGTCAGATGTATAAATAACAAGTGGCCTTTCGATAGCGGTGATCGACACTTTCTGACTCATAATCATCGTGGTTCGTAGAAGGTTCTACGAAGAGGACGAGGCTGCAGCCTTGGCCCTTTAGTATTTAGCAAGGATCTACTTCCCTCATAAAAACCATTTCAGAATAATCAACCTCGGAACTGCAAATCAACTGCAAAATGCAAGATCCTGAAGCCATTGCATTGCAATTAAAAAAAGACCAACAGCTATGTCAAGAGCAGAGACTACCAAGCACGCTTGCCCTTCGCCTACCCAAGCCACCATCCCCGCTGCTTGACAGAATAGCCTACCATCTCACTCCCGAGAGCGAGGTTCCTGCTGCACTTAGATCTTTCAGATGCGAAAGTATCATCAAGGGGATAAAATCTTACCTAAACAATCTGAACGCCATCGCAGACGACACCAACGACGCTCTACTCAGCGGGGAGACCCATGCCCCTAAGACCAAAGAGCTAGAGACTACACTCAAAGTTCTAGAATACCTTCAGAATAACGAGTCAGTCTCGAAAATCACAGACTCCAGTCCATTGACCGATATCATGACTGCACTCCGCACTCAAGTCTCAGTGGACAGCGAAGTCCGCATAAAATACTACAAAACATCCCAGAAGGGCCAAAAATTCAAGAAAAACACCCAGTTTAGAACATGCTACATGTGTCGTCAGCTCTGCTCGGTTCTTGACGTTCATGATTTATATCCATCTTTATGTCGTCCCTGCGGCTCTTTCAATCTCAGCTCGTCAGAGCTATCATTACCCGGAAAGCTCAATCTCAACGGGAAAACCGCTCTTGTTACAGGCGGACGAATAAATCTGGGATACCATACCGCTTTGAGACTATTACGCTGTGGTGCTAAGGTCATTGTTTCCTCTCGTTATCCGAGGGATGCAGCGATGCGATATTTACAAGAGCCGGATTGTGAGCAATGGGAACATAAACTCAAGGTTATTGGTGCGGACTTTCGGACTGCGAAAGATGCATTTAGGCTTGTTCATATTGTGAAAGCCCTTCTTCGTGATTGGAATGAATGTGATAGAAATGGTGCTGATGCCGACTCCCTCGATATCCTGATCAATAACGCCGCTCAGACGTTAACAGACCCGGTCAAGGCAGAGATGAAAGCCATTACCCGGGAAGAAGGTTTGGTCCATTTGTCACAGACCAATAAGCTTCTCATTAGTGGAAGTGGGGATTCTTATATACCACGAATTCGAGGCGGGAACCAAGCGGCTTGGATCCCAAGTATTGAAAGCGAAAAGCGGGCGCAGATCGATGGAACTATTAATGACGACCAGAGCAAGATCATCCACAAAGGTCTCCGGACTAATGGTGAAGAAGATACAGGAAAGTCATCTTGGGTCCAATCCCTCAATGAGATCCCTTATGAGGATCTGATTAGCGCACATTCGGTCAATGCTTTTGTGCCATTGATTTTATGTCGAGAACTCCTTCCGTGTATGGGTCAGTATCGTCCCGGTAAAAGTGCCCCGCTCGGTTATATCGTGAATGTTTCTTCGCGGGAGGGAATTTTGGAGAATACGAGGAAGTCGAGCAGCAAAGCTGGTCACCATGTTCACACGAATATGTCCAAGGCTGCTATTAATATGATTACGGAGACTGAAGCTGGGAGGGCGTGGGAGACGCGTCGTGTGGCTATGAATTCTGTGGATCCTGGCTACATGAGTGCGGCACCTGAGTGCCAACGGGAAGATGGCTGTCCTATTGATTTTGAAGATGGGGCTGCTCGTGTGTTGTGGCCAATTGTAGTTGGTGAAAGTGAGGGTCGTGTAATCTCGGGGAGGTTCTTGAAACATTTTGAGGAGGGTGCTGCTGTTATTCGACGAGGAAATTGATGATGTCAAGTACAGGAGATATAGGTGCCATGGCTACTTTTGAAAGGGATTTCTGAAAATTACTTGTTAGTCTTAACATTAAGGTTTACTGTGGTTTTAACACCTGGGCACTAAAGGACCGCAGTAGATATTCGAGAAGGTAGTAGGTACTTTTGTCTATTATACAGTAAGGCTGGAATGGAGATCTCTCTAGTTAAGGGGAGATGTGCCGCATACAATCATTGATCTTGATCATCGTGGCAGGAAGATGGAGTCCGCACTATCATACACATCGCCAATGAAGCTCGTATAGTTGGCCCAGGCAACGTCACAGTCCTGAGCCCCGCTAGCAGTCAAATCCATTGCATCCCAAACATTGGGCCATGCTCCAAAGTCAGACTCGAGTCCTATACTCGTCGGCATGGCTATGGGAGGATTAATTTGCTCAGTGGGGGCCATGGTCGGCCCCATATCTGCCATTGAAAATTCCGTCAATGGGTGAGTATTTAACGGTCGAGCAGAATCAACAGTTATGCCTTCACTTAACGACACCTGGCTGATAGCCTGATTTAAGTTCTGGCTCCCAAGCAGCTCTTGTTTTCGGTTTAATGCCTGATTCATGAGTTTTTCTAATGGTCGCCACAGCATTCCATGTTGTGAATCTGCAATCACAGAGCTAGTTCGCTGATACATTTGCTCAACCACGGGCCAATATTTAGACATGATCACCGGGTCTTTGCAGACACAAAGTTCTGCAAGGGCTACTGCGAGACCATGCCAGGGCACCCACAGTGAACCGAACCATGACCACTGTGTCATGGCTGGATTGGAATAGACTTCCGAAGCCGCTTGGAGATTCTCAGCAGCAAGTCTGAGAAGAACATCACCATGGACGAAGGGGGGAGTGAAGTTTGTGCTTCGTTGTAGCGGGCGGAGACAGCCAAGCTGTAGCCAGCCGTATATTGCGTTAGTTGTGCGTTTTGCATATTGATGAAAGGTGTAGATGTCAGGACGGCATCCTCTCAGGAGAGTTGTGAAAGTGTTCTGGAAGTCTAATAGTATCTGCTGGCGTACGCTCATGGACTTGACCGATGCCTCCATGAAATCGGCAAAGGCAATGGAACGACAGACAGACTGGGCTGCTGCGACGATTAATGGGAGAGTGAGATCGGTGAAAGTACCCTCGGGCGATTCTTGAGCCGGTGCTTCCATTTCAAACCAAATCTCTTCATCGTTTATGTTTGAAGGGAGAAGCGAGTCTAGCCAGGCGGCTTGCATCATTGGTTCAGATGCTCTATCCAATGATGCAGCAACATCAAGCATACCAATTCCTAGCCAGCAGCGCCGGCGCATTTCTTGCTCGAATGGGCTAACCCGAAATGGTGGGTCGGCCATATGAAGACACTGTGCTTGACCTACTCGCAGGGCCATGCTCAGCATGGTCCACACTCGCCGGCTTTGATCTTGGCATCGAGCCGCCAGCTAGATACGGTCAGCTTCAAATTCGGCCTCTTTAAGGCATTTAGAAAATATTCTGGTGAAAAACTCACCAGTGAGAGTACAAAGGCTTGCAAGACAGTCAGATCGTTTGTCGTTATGAAGTCTGCCTTGACCAACGCAGCTTCTGTCTCCTTCTGAAGGTCCGCAAATGCACTTTTCTTGTCAAGGCCAAATAACAGCTGACATTGAGAATCATCAATCGTACACACGGCGACAGAAAAAACTGCAAACGCCAATGTAGTCGGGGCCTGGTGATCATGCTCATAATCAAGATAAGGCTGATCGTCATGAAGAAATGCTCGTAATGAAGGCCGATGTAGGAGCTTGAATAGCGGGTCCACGTTGCGAAGATAGATCTCGCACAGAGTGCGACGGGTTTGGGGTGAGATATAGATCGCTTTCAAGGATTGAGGTGAGTTAGAGACACTCTCTGAGCATTCGGAACCAACAAAAGCAGAGCCAAAGCCAGTAGGACTCTTAAATTCCAGTTGATCATTTTCAACACGGCTATCAAGTACCGTCCGCAGCTCTTGTGTCTGTCGGAAGAATTATCAAATTAGAGTTCACTACGTTTTGGGGGCGGAAAGACACCTAGGGAAGAATGCGCATACCTGATGCATGATATCCTCCCAGAATGAGCTGCCTAAATAAGACATAGCTGGACGAGCTCTGTGTGGTAGGCTCGGCGATATGACCTGTTGAGCATCAGCCAGCTGGGCTGCGGCTGTCTGCGCACTCTGGTCGCTCCAGGACTCGGCACCGGCCACCTTCATCTCAAAATTATGATCTGGGGTAGGATCCTTGGATGAAGGCGCTTCATCAACCTGAGGCTTAGATGAGGCATCCCGTCCCGTAGCAACCCGTCGCAAAAGATCTTCAAGCTTGGCGACCCGATCCGCGAGTTCCTTGTCCGAGCCGCCAGCTCGCTCGGGAGCCTTGCGCGTACGACCTCGCGGCAGACGGGCTCGCTCGACAGGAACACATTTGAAACCAAGTCGCTGACAGCTAGTACATGGACTTAGCTTGTCGCATTTTACCTTTCGCTGGCGACATGCTTCACAGCTTAGGCGTACCCTCGGCGCTGAAGACCGGGATTGAGCTGTTTTTTCGACGTTGGCCGCAACCCCGCGGCCTTCCATGACGCATCCACGCCTATCCGGGACGATGTGGGAAAGGCGTGTAGCGTGAAAATGAATATTGGTATTGTTTGATACGCAATGACGACGTGCAAATCTGCGGGGACTTGAACGTGTAAAATCCCGGGGTTGAACAAGTCAAGGAGTCCAGGGTTTTTGCGTTGCAGGTTGACGCCTATTGGCGTAATCAATTCCACGGGAGCTTTTGAGGCTCGTAAACCAACCAACTCCACCTTTATAGAGTTGGAATCGAGTGACAATACGGATGCAATACTACTTTGGTAAAAATAAAGCCTCACCACCCATCATTTATGAAAGAGACATGTATTTCCTCATACACCTAATAACTTGAGCTTATCGTGATTCATGACTAAGCGGCTATAAGCATGAGTAACTTAAATGAATACATGTATTGAAGTGATTCTGCTGCGTATTACAAATCTCCTCCGAAGTGCGTCAATGAGATCCCATTCTCCGTAGGGTTCAGCTGGGATTAGGGTCTAAAGCTCCTGCCTAGATGGTCTCTGTGCATCTGCGAAAATATCCCCTATTGGCGAATATGCAAAGATAGAAAAAGAAACCATCGAAGGGGTCGAACGTATCTAATAGGCGAAATGAAAGCAACCGCTATTCGATGAATCCTCTCTTGTATTACGCGGTATCCTTGTTGAATCCTGCAGTCGATAGGTCGACGGCGAACTAGGTCATGCCCAGACTCGTCCTTGCAGATCATACATCACACAAGCTATACCCTTAGGCTTCAGGCACCCTTACTTGAATACTTATTTCCCTCACAACTTCAAATTGAAGTCTTTACATTTTGAAAAATAAGCCAACTCTGTTGAGCCGTGAAGGACACAAAACTACAGAGAACATAGCATCACTGGGGTCCAATGGTTCGCAAGGGTATCCGCAGGACCCATACCGGGTGCACCACCTGCAAGTGAGCGACCCCGCAACCTTACCGAGTTGTCGGGACTCAATGATAAAGGTTATTCAATCTAATCTTGACCCAGAATCCGCAGAATCAAATGTGACGAAACACATCCGAATTGCACAAAATGCACCTCAACGGGCCGAAGATGCGATGGTTACACCACCTGGGTCTCTAAAGCAATGCAACGACAAACTCAACCCATCCAACCATCTACCATCCCAGGAGCTGGGGCCGCTGATTTCCAATTTCTGGACTTCTTCCGTCTGTTCCTAGCCCCTGTGCTTGAGGGCCCGTTGCCGCATTCTTTCTGGACATACACCGTTCCTCAGATGGTACACCAGGAACCGGCCTTGAGAAATGCGGCTGTGGCACTTGGTTCTCTATACCAGAGATTCAGAGAGGATACACAAAGTGAGGCAGAGAAAAGGTTCTCTATCGGTCGTTATAACTCGGCTATACGCCAGATTGCTTTGCTACGGCATGGACACCTTGATACGGTGGTCATTGCCTGTGTTATTTTTATGGCTGTTGATATTCTTCGCGGCAATCATGAGCAGGCACTCCTTCACTATAAACATGGGAAGCGTATCCTGGAGTCTTACACTCCTAATGCTCAGATCAAAGGAATCTTTCGCCAGATGTACATGTTTGTACTGTTCACCAGTCCCTCGGGCCGCTTGTTACCCGAAAAAGATGGATGTCCCCATATCACCCAGCCTTTTTGGTCGCTTCTTCAAGCGCAAGAGGAACTTGACTGGCTTGTTTACCGGTCCATGGAAGTGGTGTTTTTTGTGAACAAGCACCACGAAGAGTCTATCATTCTACCCATGCAGCATGAATTGAACCAGGAATTGGATAACTGGTACCTCGCCGTGTCTGGCTTGGTGTCTCAAGATCTACCCGTTCATCACAGGTCGGCATATCATATGCTTGAGGCTCGATGGCTCATTTGCAAAATATGGTGTCATGGATCCTTGCATGGTGATCAGGGATATAATGACTGTACTGAGATGTTCCGGCGGGAATTGGAGCTTCTACAGGAGTTGATGGCTATGGGTGCGCCTAAAAGCACTTTCGAGATCGGAGTCCCGCCGCTCCTACATTTTCTCTTCACGAAATGCAAGGACCTGGATCTTCGGCTATCCGCACTGGCTTTGTTCAGGGAGAAGTGCTTTACGCCTGACACGTTATGGGACTTCATGGTGATCTATGAAACGGCCCAGCGACGCATTGAGAAGGAGCATGATCTGGTTCTTGGATCTGAATGGGCTCAGTCGATTGATCTAGAAATGATCCCCGCGAAGAAGAAGACTGCGCTCACACGTACTGCCTGGGTCAGCGAGACTCAATATCTCTGTCCGTGGGTTCTTGTGGTGTTAGATGTCTCTGAAGATGTCCGAGGTGCGATTCCCTTATAGCTTCTCCTTCAAATGTTGATACGCTACTTGACTTAACTTGCTTTCCATGGTTGTACCTAGCAAAGTCCATGAGACTTTTCATTGCTTTTTTGCGGGATCAATGATGGTATTAAATGTGAATAAGTATATATTTCTTAGGAGAGATCGTACCTAGCCAAGAATCTTCAGTCCTCCCTTAGTCTTGCCAGACTTTTTCACTCCATCATGCTTCACCTTGGCTCCCGAATGCGCCCCTCGACCACCGCCTCCACCCTTCTTGTTATTTTTGATATTTGAAACTGGCTTCACCTCGGTGACAGCTCGGCGCAGGAGAACAGGATGAGAGCCAATGTACTTGCCCTGCATCTCACGTGCAGCCTTGAAGTAGTCGTCGCCGTCACTGAAACTGACGAACCCGTATCCTTTGCTCTTCTGTGTGCGCTTCTCACGGATCACACGTGCCTTTTGTACGGATGTGTATCGTGCGAAAGCCTTCAATAAAGATTCATCGGTGACTTCACCGGCCAAGTTACCCACAAATAGTCGGAAATGGGCCGGGTCCCACTCCAGTAGCGTCGGATCGGTCCACTCTTGTCCACCACCGGCTCGAACAACTGTCTTTTGAGATTCGGGTTGTGGAATTGGGGTGCCAGCACCGGCTACTCCAGTAGTCGGGGTTCCAGTACCTCTGCTAGGGGCAGCCGACGAGGTACCCTGCGTGTAGGTGGAGTCGTCTTGCTTAGCATATGCGCTTTGCCACTGGGCGATCTGGGCCTCGGTCTCTGCATCTACGCCGTCGCGGCCGGGGCGTCCTCCCCCATAGGCCTGGCCAGGTGTCGAGCCGAAGGGATTCTGGATATGCGGGACACTGGGGCCGTATGTGCTTTCATTGTACGAGGCACCGTAGTAAGAGGGACCGCTCTGGTAAGATTGGGGCTGTGGTTGTTGATAGTAGTTTGAGTAATTGGTCGCCGGCGCGGCATACCCAGCGGATGAAACAGGTGGGGCTGAGATCGTCGGGTTGCTTGCGCGATATGGCTGTGGCTGACTTGAGGCTACGGAACGCGGTTGGAAACCTGCGAAGGCCGGGCGTGCGTTCCCACCATAGGCCGGGGCTGGTGGCTGTGCGGCATTGCTGGATGGGGGTGGTCGAGGAGGAAGAGACGAAGGCGCCTTATTGAGACCTGGAGGAGGTGGAAAGGACATGATGAATGGGAAGTCCGACACGAGAAAATGGTTGAGCTGTCTGTAGAGTAGCAGCCACAACGTACCTTCAGGGCAGTCTAATTCCACCAGACGTCACACCTGAGGACCCGAACCTTGTTCAAGTAGAAAGGATGTGGAGTTGAGAAGTGACAATTGAATGGCACTTCAAGAAAGAAAGAAAAATTATGGAAAAAAGTGAAGGATGTGATAAGTGGATAGTGACCTTTGATACAGAAAGATAAAGATTGCGATTGGGACCGCAAAATGGATGATAGTTGCACATTTGGTCTCTATGGCCACCTTGAGCCAAGCTTATATAAGGACCGTTGGGATTGACCAGTTGAAGCTAGCTACATAAGCATGTGATGGTCTCTGACATAATCACTTAGATAATCAAGTATGAGGTCACCCCCACTCTAGACCGGAATAGGACTAGATTACACCATTGACCGGATTCGAGTGGATTTTCACGGCGAGTGAAATGCAGTTTCTCCGTCAATTTATCCTGAACAGTTCACCGATGTATGGGGGATACCATGGGAAGGCATGTACCTGGTATTATTCTACAAATGCGTCCAAGGAGAAAGTTCCCCTGAAGCTATAGGAGCACAGTAGTATCACCTAGCTTTATAGTGATGGCATCTATGTGAAGAATACCCCTCCATCTGCCCTAAACTGCCCCGCGCCGTTTTTGATATTCCAAGAAGCACCATTTATGCAGGTTCCTAAATCCTACGCATCTCGACGGCAACGGGTGGATAGCCTGAATGTGAATAATCGGGTCGGATATTGCTCAACATTACCCCCCTCATAATAATAGGTCCGAGTCGAAACAGAACCCGAGTGGGATGACCGGGCGACTGTGCTCCTGTACCGAATACTTGGCGCGACACCGGCGGCAGTAACCAGAAATAACTCAAAAGACCCAGTATATGGTACATTTAATACAGTATTCTTAGTATTCGTAGTACATATCCCCGCCGGCGAATGTATCCCACCACTATGACGGAAGAGTTGCTCCGTCAGCCGGGTTACTTCTTTTCGCTCCTCCCCCCTCCCCATCCATTCTTCCCTTCTTCAACTCTCTTCAGTTGTAGATACCCTCACTCCCAACTATACCCTCATTCTTCAATTCGCATTCATCATGGCTGCAGCTGCGTAAGTTTCTCTCTGCTTGCTTCCCCTCCTTGCCCCTCAAGCTGTCCTCAAGAAGCCCCCCTCCGGATCCGGGAGACCCCAACGGGTCCCCGCCATTCTCTGGTCCGGTCAATTCTGCTATAACTGGCAGTGCTTTTAAAGCTCCCAGGGCAATGGAGACTGGCGAGGTTCCTTCTCGAGATCCGATACGATATCGGTGATCAAGCTTCGTGCATGTTAGCGCATTGCAGGAACCTCGCGGATCTGCATCCTTCGGGATCGCATGGACTATCCTTCCCTTGACACATTTCATCTGCTTTTACCCAGCTATTGACGAGAGAATTCGGTCGCTGACTATAGCGCCCGTCTCGCCGGCATCAATGTCGGCGCTCCGGCGCATCGTGTTCTTAGTCCCACTGCTGATTTCGGTCTCATCGGTCTGGCCGTCATGGGCCAGAACCTGATCCTCAACGCCGCTGACCACGGTTTCACCGTCTGCGCCTTCAACCGCACAACCTCCAAGGTCGACCGCTTCCTTGAGAACGAGGCCAAGGGTATGCTTCCTTCCTCGATACACAGACGCAAAAAATTGCCAGCGCGCGCAGAACTGACTGATGGCTCACAGGCAAGTCCATCATTGGTGCTCACTCCATCCAGGAGTTCATTGCTCAGCTCAAGCGCCCCCGCCGTGTGATGCTCCTCGTCATGGCTGGCAAGCCCGTCGATGACTTCATTGAGTCTCTCCTGCCCTTCCTCGAGGAGGGTGACATCGTCATTGACGGTGGTAACTCCCACTACCCCGACAGCAACCGTCGCACTAAGTACCTCGCCTCCAAGGGTATCAGCTTCGTCGGCAGCGGTGTTTCCGGTGGTGAGGAGGGTGCCCGCTACGGTCCCTCTCTCATGCCCGGTGGTAACGAGGCCGCCTGGCCCCACATTAAGGATATCTTCCAGAGCATTGCCGCTAAGAGCGATGGTGAGGCCTGCTGCGACTGGGTCGGTGACGAGGGTGCTGGTCACTACGTCAAGATGGTTCACAACGGTATCGAGTACGGTGACATGCAGTTGATTTGCGAGGTTCGTCCTTTCTTTTTCTGTGATTGCTATAATTAAGCAAAGTACTGACATCCTTGTCCTGAAAGGCATACGATATCCTGAAGCGCGGTCTCGGTCTTTCTTGCAAGGAGATCGGTGACGTCTTCACCCAGTGGAACAAGGGTGTCCTGGACTCCTTCCTTATTGAGATCACCCGCGATATTCTCTACTACAACGACAACGACGGCACTCCCCTTCTTGAGAAGATCCTGGACAAGGCCGGCCAGAAGGGTACCGGCAAGTGGACTGCCGTTAACGCTCTTGACCTTGGTATGCCCGTCACCCTGATCGGCGAGGCTGTCTTCTCCCGTTGCCTCAGTGCCCTCAAGGATGAGCGCACCCGTGCCTCTACTATCCTCAGCGGCCCCACCCCCAAGTTCGAGGGTGACAAGGCTGCCTTCATCGATGACCTCGAGCAGGCTCTGTACGCCTCCAAGATCATTTCCTACGCCCAGGGCTTCATGCTCATTCAGGACGTAAGTTTTGTAATTCTTCAATTTCTCACGAACCCTGACTAATCGGTTTCATACAGGCCGCTAAGGAGTACAACTGGAAGCTGAACAAGCCTTCCATCGCCCTCATGTGGCGTGGTGGCTGCATTATCCGCTCCGTCTTCCTCAAGGACATCACCAACGCTTACCGCAACAACCCCGACCTCGAGAACTTGCTGTTCGACGAGTTCTTCACCAAGGCCATTAACACCGCCCAGAGCGGCTGGCGTAACGTTGTCAGCAAGGCTGCTCTCTGGGGTATTCCTCTGCCTGCCTTCTCCACTGCCCTCAGCTTCTACGACGGCTACCGCACCAAGGACCTTCCCGCCAACCTGCTGCAGGCCCAGCGTGATTACTTCGGTGCCCACACTTTCCGCATCAAGCCCGAGCACGCCAACGAGAACTTCCCCGAGGGCAAGGACATCCACGTTAACTGGACCGGCCGTGGCGGTGACGTGTCTGCCTCCACCTACGTCGCGTAAAGTCGATGACAGAAGGATAAAAAATTGGGTTTTATGTATTTAGATGCCACCACGAATGGAACGTAACGAACTTGTTTCAATGAATTCGGTTTAATATACCAAGGAAATAATTGGAAATAGTCCGAAGTGTTGTTGATAGTCGCACTAAAGTGTAGATCAAAGTGGTGCCTTAATGCCTTGAAGTGACCCATTCACGCTAAACCAGATCGGGTATCGAGCAACGTCGACCTTGTCTCCATCTTATCGCGTCTCCCCTCCTTCCTCCACCAATTCCCCGGGGCGTGAGGCTATTTTCCCTTTATTCCTTCCTTTCCCCCTCTTCTCCCCCTCTTTGAGTCTCCGCGGTTCAGGAAATCGGGGAAGCTTCTTTCTCCGATATTCTTTGAAGGCCTATCTAAAGGGCTCGGTAAAACCCCCACACCTATACAGGAAACAAAGGGTTCGGCAGCTCCCAAGCTCCCAAAGGCCAGCAGACAGGCATCAATTGAGATATTTGCCTGAGTCCGATGTCCCAAGTTTGACGCCACTCGATACGTATTGCCTTCAGACGAATCTGTTCAACAAACCACTGTGCGCAAGTGGACAAGTGAATCACACCGCCCGCTCACGTCACACGCTGCATGGCGGAGAATAAGCGCCAGAACTCGAGTGCGAAGGCCTCTGGTCCTGGTATGGCGACCAACATGGTGCCCCACGAAGTCGCTTTGAGTGGCGCGATCGGTGCTCGGTGAGTGGAAACGAAGCCTTGGTTCCTCCCCATCCCTCGAATTGGATTCAGCGTACAATAGTCGGGGCGCAATCAAGGAATCTGTCATCATCGACCCAGTGTGCGCTAATGCAGTGACTTTTATCAAACAGTGTCCGCATCACTACTGCTGCGCCAACAACCTCCACCCTCGAGGGAACTCTCTTCACAGTGTGCCCTATTACCAACCTCGTCGCCATCAACACATCCGCCGTCACTTCCTCCACAGACCCCAAGCAGGCGCAGAGCGGTGATTATCACGTCATTCCCGTCTCTCGCATCCAGTCCTTCCAGCTCCTCACTCTCCCGTCCAACTCCTCGGACTCGCCTTCCTTCACAGATGCACAGCCAACTATCCAAGCACTCGATACCCGTGCGCTGAAGACGCGCGAGATCAAGGCTGTCAGCGAAATTCTGGAACGAGAAGCGCGCCGCGGAAAGGGTGTCACTCGTGAAGCGCAAGATATATTTGATGCATTTAGTCGGACCATGCCTGCACGGTGGGATGGACCGAATATCATCGTTGCGGACGCAGTTACTATTGCGCCCCCATACCGGGTTGACGAGTGTCGCCCACTTGTTGAGGGCGACACTGCTGCCCTTGCTCGTGTGCGCAAAGTGGTGAGTTGTTCCTCTTGTCTCTTGCCTCGTTTATCACATTTTCTGGTCTTTTCGTACACGTCCGAGTTTACTAATGGCTCTGTTTTCTTCGTCTAGCTCGAGATGGAACGCAAAAAGATTGAGCTCCGCAACGCCAGTGCTACCATTGGTTCGACTAGTACCTTCTCCCGGAATTCGGGCGACCAGCGCAAAGGTGGTTAAGCTTCTTATTTCATTTATAAAGAAGCCAGACATTCGGAATGATCAGTTGTCCTTACCGGGTGTCAGTGTCTCGGATATATGGTGAAATGTGTTTAATCTGGATAACCATTGAGCTTGTCCAAGTAACATGGCCAGGGTATGACATGTTATTCCAAGTTTGATGTACCCTTCATGGAAAATACCCTTTAAGTGAAATGAGTGCGGGTCAATGATGGACCCGACTTTCGCGGCAAATGAATGCATCCACGAATGGATCGTTCATGCTGCATTCTCAATTGCTTCCTGTATACCTAAATAATGGTAGATGGGTCTGGTTGTGTGGTGGATTATCTCACAACTCGAATCATAGATCTTGTTGCCCCAGGTCTATGGTAAGTCCGATAGTAAACAAGTCAATTGCTTTTAGCCTTCCACAGCATTGCATGTAGTTCTGTGCTTGAATTGTGCCATGCATTCGTCTCCTAGGTATACCCAATCGTAATGGCAATGCTCATAACGATATATTCTAGATGGATCAAAATTAAACAAGAACAATATGTAAAACCATATAAATAAATAAAGAAACACCGAAGATCAACATAACGCTTTAATGAGATAGATGTACTGAAATGAATACCACAACTCTCATAAAAAGCCCACTTCGAACCACACGTCTTTATTCATTCCCCACACTTCTACCTGGAACCACTTCACAAACCGTTCCTACAAATCCTTCTAATCCGGAAACCATTACGCATCCAGAAGAATTGGCACTCGAGCCAGGTCCCGAGCCCACGGCGGCATTGGAAGACGCTCCCATCGATACGCCGGGCATGACAAGAACCTGCGAGCCAAGTTCAATCCACTCGACAGATGTGACTAGCGCAAATGTAATTTGCACATCTTCTTTGAAGGCTTCAGCTATTCCTCCTGTGGATGTATTCGAGGTTCCGGAGATGACTTTGCTGATATCAGTAGCGGATGCACGACGCCGGGCGGGATCAGGGAGAATGGCATTATTTCCGGGACTACCCTTTTCTCCACGGCCAGGGGACTGGGCATCACCATCGAAAGAGAAGAATTCCGGTTCATCGGGTGACTGTGGCTCAGAAGGAAGCTCGTCGTCTGTCCCTGCAAGTTCCATGCAGATAACACGGACGGTTGTTCGGATATTGGCTATGTAAACTATTGAATTGCCACCCAGAAGTAGGGGAGGCGAGTTCAGAGCCGAAAATTCGGAAGCGGGGAATGTGGCTACGAAGCCTGTGTAGAAAGGTAGTGACAAGGTCGATCGTAGTGGAGTCGTGGTAGTGGAAGAGGAAGAAGAGGGCGAAAGAGGTGTGGTCTGGTGCATGTTTGTTAAAACCATGCCCTTGCGGATGCGGCTGAGACGTGGGAGTCTGTCTTCATCTGGGAAAGTGAGCAGCTCGATGCCGATGGTGCCGACTTGATCTTTCATGAGGCGACGGACAGAGAGGCGAAGGTTTCGAACGCTGACGACGCGCACGCGATGCCATTTTGCTTGCGTCAATGAGGCGTCTTTACCTGGAAAGAAGCTCTGAGGCAATGACGCAGGAAAATCGCTTGAGGAGCCTGGTCCGCTGCTTCGGGAAAGCATGCCCAAAGGCGCGCTGTCGTTGCTGCTGTCTGTTGAGCTATCGACAAGAAGGGGTCCGATGGTCATTTCGTCACCAACAGATATGCTGCCGTGGCGAACTAGGCCGCATAAAACCATTCCACGGCTTTCTTGGTTGGGTTTCTCGCTAGTCATAGAATACACTTTTGATGGTGGGATGGCGAAGACTTCGTCGACGTCGAAAACATTATTGGAGGACTGATAAGACACTGGTTGCTTGTGCAGACGCAGTGCTCTTTGACTTGGAATTGATGGAATGGGCAAATATCGAAGGAATGCGTGCAGTTTGCCTATTCCTGAGCCATCAACAGCGCTAGAAAGAAGTATGGGCACGGTATGAGACCAGTTCCCGTTGGTTACTTTGATAAGGTCTTTTACAGACTTGCTGTCCGAAGCGCTTATTTGCTGGAGATCAGGTATTTTGTCGCCCATAGGCGATGCAGGAAGCATCGCGGGCTTCCGGTTTGCTGTTTTCAGGGCAGACAAGACTTTAGCAAGATTTTCTCGTAACCCGCTTCGAGAAGCAATGTCTAACTTCGTGATGACGATTAAAAATTGAACATCTAGTTTCAGACAAAGCTCCAAGTATGCCAGGCAAAGATCAATCTCAGTGGCTTGCTCATTGCTGGTTTCGGTCTCTGCCGTCTCATCGCCGCAGTTGGCTGGGATACACAACATCACATAATGTGGGGCCCAGCTTACTAGGCCCCTTAATGTAGACTTCACATATCGTACTGAGCCTGGAAGGTCCGATACAAATGCCAGGCGACCTCCACGCGAAGTGGCATGGATATCATCCCACGCAGCGATATTTCCAGAAGCATAATTGACCACGCTTGTAGGCACATCATCTGCATAACCAATCAGCTCTTGGGCGACGGAGCTAGTGATACCGGAGGATATCTCGTGTCGGTGTTTGAGTAGACTAAGTCGGCTCTTGCCTCGCCCATTGTCAAGCTGAGATGAGGTCAACGTTCCCAATAAAGAAGATTTCCCTGCAGTGCTCGGGCCCGCGATGGATATTCGAATCTGCTCGGTATGAGAGTAATCCTCTTCTGAAACAGAGTTCATCCCGTTGCCTTGATCAGAAATGTCATCGACATTCCGTGTCGACCGAGGAGACATTTTGTAGTAATCCAAATCTGGAGTAACTAAAGCTTCTGCAACCCAAAGCTTGTCAGAATGGCTTTTGGTCGATTCCAATGGTTCCGATGGCAAGTCCTCCATCCACTCGCATTTCCCGACGATTACTCGACGCAGAATTTCAACGCTACATCCGAGACTGGCTGCCATGGCCTGTAGATTGGTCACACTTTCATCAAGCTCATCTCTGGTTAAGCCTACGAAGGTGCCATCGTCGGCAACTCCAATCTCGTAAAGTGCACCCTGACTTTCTTCCAGGCCAGCAAGTAGGCGAGCCGGCTTTGGGGGCACGCCTAATTGTGGAGTCGCATCTGGAAGCACGGGAACTACCAAGTTTGCCGTGGTGGATGAATGGAAGGGCGAAGATTGCTGTAAACGCCACAACAGTTGTGTTGTCAACCCCTGCAGCCGTTGTTGCCGGCTTTGGGTCGACCTGGCTTGCATGGGCTTTGGGGTCGTTACTATCCCATCCTGAGATGGTGATGCAGAAGTTGAGGCCACTGATAGGCTATTACGAGAATGATATGAGCCTGCGACGACATGACCAGTAGACATGGAAAGATAGGGCCTCCGTGGACGGAGTAGTAAATGCAACTTGTACTCGGTGGGGCCCTCCTGAGGTTCCGGCTCCAACTTGGTGATGCCATAGTCGGACAGAAAATCAGGGTCCGTCGAGTTCAAAGCTGAGCTTGAACGGGTTCGAATAGCTAGACCCCGGCTGCCAGACACATTGACTTGGGGGGTTGACGATCCTGAGGTCGACCATGGGGACGAAACCCGGGGTGGGTCAGGATCGTAGGTGAAGATGGATGCCATGGCTGTAGCCAGCGGAAGTTAAACAGGTTTACAGTTCACCTAGGTAACAAAGGTATTAGGGAAAAGGAATAGATGCGACACGGTATCAAGAGAGATACAGTAACAGAGGGCATTCTTGCGCAGATTATGGAAGAGGAACAAATGATGAATGACCAGTGTTGATGATCGGGCTTGAGTCACCCGTTGTAGTGCCTGAGGCATCACATGACTCCACACGGATGAATTAGAACTATGAAAATGCGTTTCTCACAGAGAAATCTTTTGTTCAAGAAGTGAAGAAGAAAACCACAAAGAAAAACGACAATAAAATGAAGCGAATGGAAAAGGGATATCCAAATATCAAAACACCCAAGTATCGGGGTAAATCGCGTTAAATCACCCTACTCCGCTGACGGTTCCCCGCCCGCGCCTTTGCATTTGCCTTGTGCCACGTGAATATTCCGCGCTGTTGTTCGAGTAAACACTGCTCCACATACAGGGCATTCGGCTTTGGCAACTACTCCAGACTTCTCTCGTTGGTGTCGTAAAAGGTTGCTGAAAGTGGAGAATTCACGGCCATTACACCCGTGGTCCCAGCATTGCGGTCGAGGCCTTGAACTAACGACACGGACTTGCCGTTCGTTATCTGATCCAGGTATAGATTCTGGTGGAGAGAAGACGGTATCGGCAACCATAGAAGATGCTTGTGAAGCCATAGATGAGGGGTGAGAGGAACTAGATCGTGGGGTTAGCAAGTCCCTTGATAAGAAGAGATTAGGGGGTGCAACTTACGGGATTGGTGGTGCTTCGGGGAGGTAATAAGCGGGTTGAGTCATCATATAAGGAGGAGAGCTAGAGCGATACATTAACGACTGATGCTTCTCGTTTGCAAGATGTCGATTTCCAGAATTTGAAAAGGAAAACTTACGAAGTCATGAGAGGCTGTTCGGAAACAGCAGCGGCTGTGTGAGGTGGAAAAGAACGAGCCATTGAAGGGCTACAGACAACGGTCAGCTCCTTGCTTTCTAAGAGGGCTCAAGTATCCCGAAGTTCTAAATAGTTCGTTCATACCTTCGGGAATGACTCTGGCGCGCGCTACCAGGCGCCCCAGGAAGGTATGAGGGTGGTGCATGCGGCTCAGGGTGGTAGCCGGGCATCGGGCCATTAGGATGGCTACCGTAGGCAGCAGAGAAACTAGAAGAAGGATATGACTGTGGCGGAGGGAACTGCTGGTACATATTCCCTGATGAAGGCTGCAATGGTTGAAATGGGCGGTTGGGCCAGGCATAGTCTAGATTTATTAGTAGTTTGCCATCACATAGAGATCTGAAATGCTTCTTACGATGAGAGTTTGGCTGCATTGGGCCAGCAAAGTATGTGTCTGATGCTACTGACATAGGGTAAGGTGTAATTCCAAGACCGCTAGCATAGGTTATTTATCAGTATACTCTTTCTTCCCACTGTCTGTTCTTCTTCGATTGCGTTGTTGATTTCCTTGAATTTTCGGGGATCAAGACTTACCGTGGATGCTCCGTAGGTAATTCCTCTTTGTAATTATTTTGTTCAATAGATTGATGTATAGTCTGTTCAGGATACTGTTCAGAGTATGAGGGTTTGGAGTAAGATGATTCCGAATAAGAGTGTTCAGAATAAGAAGGATCAGGATCATAAAATGATTCTGGAAGGGAATTAGAGTGTAGGGGAGTAGTGGAGCCTTGCGGAAGAGATGAAAAGTGGAAAGCCGATGAAGGTAAAGAAGAGGCTTCTAGGGCCGGCACTGGGCTAGTAATAAATGGCCACGAGGAAGCCGAGTTGGACAAAGCGCTTTGCTGGAACGCCGGCGGCTGCACAGACTCAATAGGAGTGGATAGATGACCAAATTGCTGCAAGGCTGGGTCCTCAGATAGATCAGGGTTTCTGCGGTGACTGGAGTAATCCTGTGAGTTTGACTGTGAATGCTCGGAAGACATTGGGGCTTTCCGGCCTAGGTCATGGACCTAGCGCAAAACTACAACTGGACAAGGAGGGGGCCAGAAAAGGGCCAGCAAAACATAGGGTAAAATTTGGAAAAGAGGGGGCGACAATCTCTGAATAAAAAAAAGAAATCAAATGAAATAATCACGTACAATATAGTCTTGTAAAATTGGGTGGTTGTTGGCAAAGTCGAGGGTTTTTGTTTCTGACTTGGTGATCTAGTAACTCGGAGTGAGCGACGGGCGCAACAGCAAAATCTGCAAATTTTGCAAAAAAGTCTGATGGCGAGAAACGAGATTCCAAGAAATTCCAAGAAATTTCAAAAAGAAAACCTTTAGACCGTATGGCAGGGAAGCTGTTACAAGAGAAAACGAGGTCCCCGCAATAATGAATCGCCTAGTTGGGTACAGACTGGCCCACTAAGAGAAAGGCAAACCCTTAGGCTTCTAGAACTTTTTTACCAATGGGTGTTCGTAGCCACGAGTTGGGTGGGAATCCTGTCCCTGAAACGAATTTGGGGCAATTTCGCACTGGGTCGCGGTTTTTCGGGGAAAAAAGGGCCTGTAATCATTGCCTATCTGATATAGTGTGAGCCAGGAGACGTAAGATCCTATGATCTTCAAGCAGTGGATCCAAGCATCCTCCTATCCTATCACACGATTGAGAGAAAAAGACCTGGTTTTTTGACCCCCACAGGTGACACCGGAACTTCCGTTGTTAGGCCAAAGCCTATATTAGGAAAATAGCTCGGGACGGATTGGCCCATGGAGCCAGGGCGTGTAATGATCCTTGAGCGGCATGAGGGAGCTTTTCCTCGCAAATAAAAGTGGATTTTTTTTTTAGCCCCAATTAGCCCATTTGGCAAAATGGGGCGTCCTGGGTCGATTTGGGGGCCATGACGCTGGCCTGTTATGTGGCTGACGAGAAGATCCAGAAAAGTTAGTCGGTTTCGACGCAGGCCGCCATTCGTGGTGGCTGCAAAAATAAAAAATAAATAAAATAAAATAAAAAAAGCAATATGTAACCCCAAGTGCAAAAAAAACCCCCGATGGGTTACGGTGAAGTTGATTCCGTCCTTTAGACTTGGCCCCCACGAACCGCGCCGTTAGAGAAGTAGGATCTGATCCTCAGGGATACACCCTGGACTCACCGAAGACTTAGGCCTGGAGTCTGAAGTATAATTGTTTCTAGTATATATGCAGGTTTGCGGAAATCGGTTGAAGACCCGGAACCATTAACCTCTATAAATTGTAGATGGTATGAATGACTGGACGGTCACGTCCACTACCCGTATAATGGGTACGCGGCCTGGAGCCAGAATAGCACAAACGGGGGTCTAATGACTGGACTCGCAGCTGTTTCCTTTTAGGAGATGGCGTCAAAGTTGAGCCACAGATGCAGGATCCCAGCAATCTGAGCATCCCGGAGGCCATGTGGTTTGCTGCGTCCACCCGTGTAACGCCAGAGTGGATCCCATGCACAACCAACCAACAGTGTGGTAGCGAGGCTAGGGCCGAAAAAAGCCATTGTGAGAAGGGGGTCAAAAGGGCCGGGGGTAGGGGCGCACGATTACGCTTAGCGCCTGCGGAATTTGTCATGGCACGACCCGGGGCTGTGGCGCTTCCCGGGAGTGCTCCCGGACCAACTCGAGATCGACCGGCTCTCTCCACATTCAGGGCTTGGGATCCGCAAGTGTAGTCAGATCCTGGCAAGTACTCCGTAGCAATGGGTCAATTTTTGTTTCTCCCGCTTCTTCTGCATTGCAAATCCCAAGTTCCCTATACATATCCCAATATACTATAACTCTGCTTTTAGTATTTCTGGCACATGGAAATGCAGAAGTATTAATTCGGCACGCCGCTGCACGGTCTTTGCGCTGACTCGGTATCGCCGAGCCTTGTTGGACAGGTCTCGTCTTCAAACCAGATTATTTGAGCGAGCTAGCTTGCAAGCCGCATTTGGGGCAAATTTCAATCGTAAAATGAACAGCTTCGTATTTCGATCTGACCGACTGGGTTTCCGAGAATGGTTAGACCGAGGCTCCACCAAAATACCAGAAGTGGAGATGAGATTTGACATCAACAAGTTGACCCGCTACTTCATACACGTACATTCTCCGAAAGAAAAAAACATGCAACTTACTGAACTTGAAAACTGACATTCATTTCGGTCATTCATTTCGGTCATTCAACTTAAGGGCCTGGGCAAAGAGATGGCAATTGGGGCGCGTATCGCCAAAATGGAGGCGTGGAGGGCCCAAGGCATCCAATTGCTGACTCTTGAAACATTGATTTAAAAAGCCTATACGAAGTACGCATGGACGACTTTTGCAGGCTTTGGTAAGATGTATTACGGCATATTGACGTCTTTCATGCTCCGCATTGCCGAAAGAGCCCCATTGCGAGGTCGCCCGAAGCGGTGATTGAGAGATCTAGATAGGTCTTGGCTCCTTTCTCCCGCCCGAGGTACATGATGGCTTCTGTAGCATCATTCAGAAATGCTTCGTAACATTTCAAAGGAAGGGGGTGCAATGCAAGCACAAAGTAATTGGAGCCTGGAGGTATTGAGCAAAGAGACAAGCGAAGCATGTATCACGTGATTTAGTAGCTCATGGTCACGTGGTCACGGCCGAGACTGCACTGTAATCCGACCGCATCGACAGCCCGCGCTGGTGTGCTCACAGATCTTTCCCCACCAAGATCCTGCAAAGCTACTGTACCTACCTCATATATCTTGATCCCACAACTGTGTGCCTGACATACCCACAATGAAGCTCGTCCGGTACGTCAATCCCGTGGCCTTCGCGGTCAGCCAAGCTGCCACGCGCATTCCACGCGAAATATCTTTCAGGAGCTGAGAGCTGACACGTCTTCTAGGTTTTTGATGAAATGCGCCAATGAGACGGTGACTGTTGAGCTCAAGAATGGTGAGTGCCAGCTTTATCCATCCACGACAGCATTGCGCGTCTGAATGACCACCCATGCCCTCCTACCCCAGACCGCCATAGCTTCTAACACACATTCAACCCCGCCAGGCACAATTCTCCATGGCACAATTACTGCGGTCTCCCCGCAAATGAACACCTCTCTCCGAACCGTGAAGATGACTCCCAAGGGCCGTGATCCCCTCTCGCTCGACACCATCAACATCCGTGGCTCCACAATCCGTTACTACATCCTCCCCGATAGCTTGCCGCTCGACACTCTGCTTGTTGATGACGCTCCCAAGCCCAAGAACAAGGCCCGCAAAGAGGCAGACCGTGGTCGTGGTGGCCGTGGAGGTCCCCGCGGCGGTGGCGGCAGAGGCCGTGGTGGTCCTCGTGGTGGTGGCCGTGGACGGGGTCGTGGTTTCTAAATGTTTTTATTCTTTCTGAGAATTCAAACTGGCGTTTGTATCTGTCTTCCAAATGGCTCTTTTTTTCTACCTTGCATGAACATGGGATATCATCTTGTTAACTACCCCCGAGGCTTTTTCTAAAATTTGGAGGGTGAAAGGAAAAGCAAATATCATTTTATTTTCCAAATTTGGCTTTACTGGCTTAAGCTCTTTGATCTAATAGATCTGGTCCGGGCAGGATTATCTATCCTAGTGAGGGTATTCTTCACAGTCCGATTGTGACTGACCTGCGAATTATAAAGGCAAGGATGCCAGGATCGAAGGATCATCCTTAAACTTAGCTTTGGCGGATTTAAGCTACGGGCCGCAAATCCAGATTTTATTTAAGCATCGGTAAAGGTGATACAACATGGAACCTGCGCAAATATCCTTGTCTCCGAACCCAGCCTGACATCAGAAAAGACACATGTCAAGTCTTGTAGTAATTAAAAATTGAATATGTATCTGGTTCCTTTCAACAATCATCACCTGACCATGATCCCTGTCCCATCACACGTGACGCTACATGCAGTAGTTCAAGGTCAGGCATGCAAGCGTGCCCTAATTTCACTTCATCTAATTCCTAATTATTGACGATTACCACGAGGGGTCTTGCTTACTTTCTCGCGCAGATCTTCATTTCTACAACAATGGACCCACTGGTGACGATCTTACTTCTTCATGGCAGTAACCCTAGTCTGACAGCCAGCATGTCTTTTTTCTGTATATTACCTGCATAAGACTGAATACAGGCTCTTACAATCTTCAATCCGCATCACGGTACATAATATAGCCACTAGTCTTCAAAGCTCAACGAGTGGCCCGAATGACGTTGCCACGCGACCTTGTAGACCAAACACGGGGCCTCCGGGGCTCCAATGCTGGCGCTACTGTAGGAACGCTTCTCTTGAAACATGCAGTCAACATGTCTCTACCACTGACAGAGGCTCATTCTCCCGACATCCAACCAATACTCTGTACCTTGCATAATCTGGCTCCTTCTTATCCAGTACGTCGGGTCCAAGGTTGCCACTGGGGTCGTAACGTCAGTAAGCCATGATTCAATCACGCACCGTAACATCGGGCGCCCCGATGATTGACGACCGTATTTTACCGAACCCGAGAGCGAGGTCCAAGATAGATACCTGCAGACCGCTGGTCTACCCGGGGGATGGGGGGACACTAGTATTTTACTTGAGACCTAACTAGGTCTACCGTACTGGTGGTGATCGTCCACCAAAATTCCATCAACCCTCGCTAGCCCCTGCTATTTCATTGGGCTATTCGGTTAATCCCTGAGTCCATGTGTCCACTCGTGGGGTTGATATGAATACATTGCTCATACGGTGACGGTGTACCCGAACCCGAGCTCGCCAAGCGTATTTAAGTTAACGGGATATGGAGTGTCAGATTAGAGTGGATATCGGTGTTTGCAGATTCTCTAAGTCCTTAGCTCTCTTGAATGTGGCTGAGCGTAAATACACATCACTGTTTTCCAATTTAGTTACAAGTGTTCATTTAACAATCTCTCACCCCCACATAGACCCGATCTAGTATTTGTGAGCGAGATGATCTCCATCATCGTACCGTCAGGGGGGTTGCGTGTCAACTACGCGGCATAGGGACCCCGGGGCCAAAAAGCAAAACTTGGGGGCCTCCCGTTGGATTGGCCCGAATATGCCGAATGCGGTAGGAGCGTATCATTTAATTGATTCTCCATGATTTGAGATAAATACTGGAACTGATGATCATTTCCAACCTATCGGTAGACTGGACTGTTGGCCCCCTGTACCTTCCGAAAAGGGAGGTTTTCAATTCTCTATGGTTCAGATTTGGACCAAGCTCTGAGTCAACGCAGCCACGGAGAACGGTGATCTTTGATCTATTTGACTTTCTGATTTCGAGTTAAACGTTGGCGAGAACACTCTTATCCCCGAGGCCCGCACTTCTGACCTATCATAGGGGTCTGAACCCGATTGATGGGGCTAGAAGTAGGTTTAGCCCCTGCTACGGTAGTTCGGCGTGTCTCCGACGGGATCGCTCACTAAAGTAAACCCTGTGCCAATCGTATGTATTATTTTGGTGGGCATAGCAGGTGTCAAAAATTATGCCAGCCGTGTCAGATCCGCAAACCCCTCTCCCCCCATTTTTTCTGTCTCAATCTGGTAAACGAACAATAGAAATCCGATTCGTCACTCTGTGCATGTGGTTTAATGTAAGCTTTTGGATCAATAAGGCTTTCGGGCCTAAACCTTCGAAACGTGCGCGAATCTACACATCTGTGGAGATTATCGGCCGATGGTTTGTTTTATCCGACATAACCCCTTGGTATGGCCGAAATGTTGCTCCGAAATACTAAGTAGCGTACCGTGATTCCGGGATTCCCTCATTCTCTAGCGTGGAATATTAACCTTGTCATAATTTCTGTCCAGATTGCTGGGTTGAAGTCTGTTTTCGGAGATTTTCCTGGTTCAAACGGCATACAGTATCCAGTACTTTCTCATTCTGATCATAATCTTTTCGTCATAAAATGTTCGAGCGTTTACCAAGATGAGATTCTCAGCATGCTTGGCGCTTTGCTTACACCAATCAACTAACTCAAGGGATCATATCCGTGCTTGTAGAATCTGAGTTGGAACTCTATTCGGAGATGATTTTGAAACTCTGTTGCAATCGCCCCTTCCAGCCAAGACTCCACTGGGTCGACTATAAACTTTGCTACATTCCTCAGTGTCACTATAGATCTACGTAAATCTCTGTCGCAGCCTGGTCAGTGGCTCATAAAGCCTTTTCGGCTCAGACTTGGATGCATGCGGGGACAAGAGCAATAGGATCCAGGCCCCTCAGCCACCATATTAGTGGGAAAGTCAATGCAGTCTGGTACCATTTTCGAACTATGGGGTTAATCTGGAATTGATATTTTTAAAATAAAAGAAAGAAAAGAATCGTCTCTACACCGCAAGTCTGGTCGTAATGATACAATGATACAGTGATACAAACTTTCCTTGTTATCATCGGTGAAGATACTACTTGCATAGTGCTTACAGTTCCAAGCCGATCCCGGCATAAGTTTCATCATATGTCGGGGATGTTCATTTCCCCGCCGATGTCGCTTTATTGTAGGACATTTTTATCCTCGGATCTTCATGCTTGTCGTTCCCACTATCCTGATTGGGACATAATGACAATGGTGGGATTCCGATACGAACGATTATGATGCCACGCGTGGAAATCCACTCCATAGGACCGAACACTATTATAGATCATCCTTAAATCTCCACCATATCCACGTGGCCCCCCAATAGCCCCAAAGCCGCAGGAGTGCCACGTTGTTGTCCCTGTTCAATCTACCGGCACTCTGACAGACTAGATATGCAACTAATCATGCAATGGGTTGGTTTCAGGCTTCTTGGGGCGGCCCTCCATCGGTGTTGCGACTGCGCTAGCTTGGGGGCCGGCGGCACGGTCTACGAGATGGTGAAGATGCATTGGATACATGCGTCGTGTGATACCTTGCAGGCTGCAGCTGCACTTTGACGCTGTCTTCCGGATAGACCCGTGGGTAAGCAACATCACTGGCGTGGGTGGCTTGGTACTTTTCTCGAAGTTTTGGAGAGTTCTAGAAACGTAGAATCTGACATGGTTCGCCATAATTTGAGTTTATCCGATTTCATTCACGTAAAGTTTTGGGCCAAAATATCACAATACTTATTGAACGCAATCATGAAGGCGTGAGAATATGGTCTAGTTCGTAGATTTCTCTCATGTAATGCTCAAATATGCAAATATTAAGGTATCACCGTCGTTCTTGACATTAAATACACACAGAACTCAGTTGCCCTCTCTCCATATCCGAACAATCACTAACTTCTCCCAACCAGCTTGCATGCCACTCGATCCCGCGGTTTCGGCACACCAACCACCCCATTCACGGATGCGCGTCATCACCTCGTCCGGTCGGTTCTGCTTGCACAGCAACACATAGGCCACTCCCCGCGCCGAAAGAATGCCGGGGATAGCGTCTAGTAACCGGTTGGTCGTCTCCATGCCATCCACACCACCCGCATAGGTCAGTGAAAGGAAGTACGAGTCACTCTCGAACCTAGCCGAGCGAGACATTGCCTGGGCCACAGCTGGATCATTCTCAGCTGCGGTCGGTAACCGCGGGAGATCCTCGCTGGGTACATAAGGTGGGTTGAATAGAAGGACATCCACGCTGCCCGGGCGTAATGATGTGCACAAATCGGCGGTTATAGAGGAGATGTGAACAGACTGTAGGTTCGGGTGGTTTTCTGTGTTTTCTTGCTTATGTTGAATAGACTGTATGGCGGTGCACACAGTCTTACCGGTGGCGATACAGGCATTCCGATTCACGTCAGTTCCCAGTGTGAGGATGTCCTGGCGCCCGAAGATCTGTTGGGAGTGTGCTGCTACAAAGCCTAGCACGACACCGGATCCTGTACCGGTTTCCACAACCAAGGGCACGGCATTCATGCTATTATCTGAGAGGCCGCTGCTTTTTTTAAACCTCTCAGATAGCCATTTGGATTCTGATGCTGATGATAGGGTGTCCAAGAAGAGATAGGAATCTTCAGATGGCTCGTAGATGGTGTCAAATGAGACGTGTGAGGTGTCAGGTGTAGGGAGCATCTTGTATGTCTTTTGAGAAAAGCTCTATGCAATTTGAATGTGATGTGCTAAAGCTCAAGATTCTTTCGAAGTCCCAGTTCTTCTGTGACCGGAATTGATGTCCTGGTATATAATTGCAGAGACTTCCAACAACCCCACCAAGGCAAGCACTTTTGTCGTTGAAAAGGACCAGAACGCACGGTAAAACCAAATTAGATAGGTCTTACCCGTCCAAATCGCAAAGTGATTGCTGTAGAGTAAAAAAAAAATGAAAGTCAAAATTCCGATGGTTCTAACATCTCCCTCGCCGCCTTCCGCTCCGACAAAAAAAACGCCTTCCCCAGGAAATTATGTCATTCGAACCTCCATAACTCAAAACCCCAACATCCACCATGCGTATCGCCCACCGTCTCCTTATGGCCACGCCGGCCTCGATCGGCTCCAAATCCAGTCTCAGCGAAGCGCTCGCTCTCCTGCCGCCGCTCCAGCTTTACCGTCGCATCTTGCGCGTCCACCGCAGGCTGGACCCGGAGATGCGCGTGCTCGGCGACTCATACGTGAAGAAGGAATTCCGGGCGCATAAAACAGCGGAGAACCCATTGCACATTGTATGTCTTTGATAACCGGAATTCGGAATTCTGCCCTGGGGAAACAAGGGATTCGCAGTTGCTTGAACAGGAAACCGGGACTGACCGCGCAATTGCTCTACAGATTGGATTCTTGACTGAGTGGCAGCTCTACGCGCAGAAGATGGAGGGCGATAATTGGGCTGGGGAGAAGCTGGACAAGTCCAAGCTGGACAAAATGAGTGGTATGATTGTCCTTGAATGAGTTCCCGGGGTACGGCTACTAGTCTGGGGTTCACAATTGCTGACTTGTGTCGCTACAGATCAACAAATTGGTCAGCTTTTTGAGCTTTTCCAGGCTATTCGCAACGAAGGTGAACAGGGTGAGGGCGAGGGTGAGAGCCAGAAATAATGAAGGAAGCTTTGTCGAAGCCTTCGGTTGTTCGGGTGGGATTCGCCGGGAGATGCTGGCATCTCTCGATGCTTGCATGGTCCTGTGTATATATATTTGGATTTAAGCGCATTGTACTAGAGAAAAGCTTACTTGCTTGATCGAATCTTCGAATCTTTCATCATTTCTTCCATCAATTTGAAGGAGCTACGCAGGTATGCACGGTCTGCCATTTGGACCTCGGGATGTGACTTGATTGGAGAGCTAGATGTACACATACGTATCACAACTGGGGCTGCAAGCACCCATAGACGGAACGTACTGATCTTATATATTGACGCCCAATGGACCTAATCATGACCTCGGGAGCCATAGAACAATCTACTTCATTCCAATACTGGATTTACCCCTCAAACCCCAATAAAATGTGGGGTTCAGCGCCCTTGGAACGACAAGATGACTCAGCTATAGAGGCCCCGATAACGCTCAAATTTAAACTTCAGCAGATGTATATATCTCCTTTGGATCTTTGAACCTCATCTCAAGAACACTTCACCCCCATTGCCCCTCAATTTCCCCCCATCCACTAGGTACTTCTATGCCAAAATGCCTGCCCTACTAGAAGACCCCGCATCCCACAACCCCCCACCCCAAGCACACACCCAAGCAGCAAGCACACTAACCCCCCGCCACACAACCCTCCCCAAATCCGGCTCTGCACCTGTAACCCTGTACCCAATTACCAATGGCCCCTCCAGCATCCCCCAGGGCTTGGTCAAGTACCTGCATGAGGAGTTCAGCGCAGAAATTGAGCGTGGTACCACCTACCCCATGGAAAAGGCGCTAGGGCTCGAGCAATTCGCGGAGTACTGGTTCGGCACGTTTGCAGTTGTGGCTATTCTCGATGACGAGGGTGACGCTGCTGGTGTTGATGGGTTGAGGGAAGGACGGGATTGGGCGAAGGTCTGTTTGGGAACTTTCTATATCAAGCCTAATTATCCTGGTATGTCCAATATGATCATGAATGAAACCCACGGATATGCAATTCATAGAAGTCTACCTGTCAGTGGGCATATTTGTGTACTGGTTATTTGCTGACTGGTTTCTTAGGGCGCTGCTCCCACATCTGTAATGCTGGCTTCATCACAACTAATGTGGCACGCGGCAAGGGTGTGGGCTTTGCGATGGGCGAGACATACCTAGAATTTGCGCCAAAATTGGTACGTATAGCAAGAACAAAAACACACTCTGAGATCCCTTAATCGCATATCTACATATGTGTACAACATGTAGTACGCAATTGCAGACAATGCTAACACGTTCATGCAGGGATACAAGTATTCAGTCTTCAACCTGGTCTTTGCAAACAACCCGGCTTCTATTCGCATCTGGGAGAAGCTGGGCTTTAGCGTTATTGGGCGGGTTCCCAAGGCGGCGCGGTTGGACAACAGCGAGGAATTGGTCGATGCGTTGATATTTGGACGGGAGTTGGGCAATTAGATGTAGATATTTGAGAATATCTTTCGATTATTGATTTGATAGATCTCAATTTTTGTTCTCGACTTAGATCGCTCAGCGGAAAATTCATTCCATATGCGCAAGCTTCTAAGATATCAGCATGTGTTTGAAGGTTTGGACTGGCTTGCATTTGTCACATAATCCATCAAACGGAAGGTGCGACTTCATACATTTCGTTTTAGGAAGATACGATATTCTATGAATTCCCCACATCCTTTTCGTATTCCAAGCCTTCTCTTTTATTCCTTTCTTTCCTCATGTTTCTTCCCTCAGATTGATACAATCTTTTGAAAAGAGGAAAGGATGATATATTGGTGGGATCTAGGACTGATGAATTGCATGTGCTAGTGCCCATACCTAAAATAATCTAATAGTAACTCCCATTTTCCGTATAGAAACCAAGATAAAACTACAAGGAATATATTCACATTGGTGGAAGAGAAACAAAACCGGAAATGGAAACCCAACGCTCAAACCATACCATGCAACAGGGGGATATCACGCAAAACCTAACCTTCAATATCATGTCCAGCTCTTGGTGCTCAATTGAACAGTGATTCGGAGTCCAATGAGCAATAAGCGCAATGCAGAAGTAGAGAAAACAAGCCATAAGACAGGTTGGTAGAAATGGAGGAGGGGGAAGAGAAGATTTAGTATAAGGAAGTAACCGGAGGAAAGGATGATATGGGAAGCATGAGGATGATCATGCTCCTCTCCATCGAGGCCGAGAATCTCCTTTCTGCTGTGCAGCCGTCTTCTCGGTTCGCTTTGGCAATGGAAGCAGACTGACTCTTCGGTTGGTAGAATGTCCCAGTGAGGTTCCAGGACGTGAAGGCTTAGTAGGGCTCTCATTATTATCTTGATTATGCGAGACGCTGCGACTGAATGAAGAGCCCATTCCAGCAAAGCTTTGACGGCTTCGAGGGGTATTCACCATGCCTGCAGTTCCGGAACTGGACATATTCGACGGCCGGCGAAGACGGCTATATGGTGGAGGATCTAGCAAAGATGACCGGGGAGGCGTAGGGGAGGACATGTTGCGGACGGGGCTGCGAGACGAGGATGCGAATCGGGTTGACAGACGGCTCATTGACCGGCCACTACTGGGTGCCGGTGATGCAGACATGTCCCTTCGGAACGGGAGTGTCGATGCCGGTCTAGGTGTTCGTACCGGGGCGGACACGTTGCGATGTCCACCGGGTGTGGTGGCGCCAAGAGGCTGGTAGGTGCTTAGGTCATTTGTGTTGGTATTGAGGGTCCATCTGGGTCGATTGGGTATTGGAGAAGGTTGGGGAACACGAGACATTCGTCTTGCAGAGGGTGTGGGCGTCACGGCGAAACTTGTCTTCCCTGGCGTCGGAGACGTGAGTCCCGACGGCTTGGGAATGGACGATTTGCGGCCAGTCACTGGCTGTGGTACGCCCGAGAACCGTCTGACGTTAGGCATGGCTGAACGAGCTGTGGAGCTACCGACGGAGCTTTCGCGGCGACTGGAGCCCAGAGGGGTCGAACTACCCTTATACCCGCTGCCACCACTAAGAACCACTGACGACGCAGGGGAGCTCCCCGGCGTATCAATCGCACTACCGGTGGCTGGGCTATCCATCGTAACGATGCTGGAGATGGAATCCCGCAATTGATGACCCTTGAAGATCTGTACATCTTCAAGAGACGCATCCATCACTTTCAAGCTAGCCTTCAGAGCATTTGTGCGCGACGTCATGTCCGACAGAAGTCGCAAAACCTCGCCATTCACTGTCAAACGGTCATTCACTCCCTTCTGAATGATTGAAATCACACGCTCGATAGCAGGCACATAGTGCATCTTCTTCGCCTCATAGTTCTCGATTCGTTTCGTCAATGTACCCGGATTGTTCACTTGTGCGTTTGTCTCCAAGCCTTCCTGCAGCTTGGAAATGCTACGCTCGACCGAATCAAACATCTTTTGAGCTTGGCTTCCGGCGTTGCGGAATACAATAATCCACTTATCTTCACCCAACTCCTTTCGTAGGGCCTCCGCATCTTGCTCAAGCACCTTGTAGCTCTTTTCCAGCCGATCTCGTCGATCATCCAGTTCCTCGCACGCACTGGGGAGAACTGCATTAGCGCGAGACTGGAACATTGAAAGTCTCATAGGCAGGAAATCCAAAGATGCTCGAAGAGGCTGCATCCGCGCAAACAAAGCCATGAGGTTGGAATGGCTTGAATCATCCTGAGGTGTTTTGATAACAGGCGTGCCCGAGGCCGCCGCCAGAAGCGGTCCAATGCTTAACCGATTATTTGCAGGTGAGCGACCCTTAGAGGGAGATTCTTCCACGATAGTCTCAAGCTCGTTAATATCGAGCCCTCCAGTGGTCTCGCCGGTATCCAACAGAGCTTGATGCCTCTTCTCTTCCATCTCGAAGATCATGCCGCTGAGATTATCAATTTCCATGCCCACGTCACCCAGGACATTGGACCAAAGCTCTTCCCATTCCATAGCCAGCTCGACTTGCTCCTTTACGCCTTTAAGCTTGCGCTTAATTTGCGCCCAGTTCTGTAGGATGCTCTCCATCTGACTGACAATCGTCCTCAGATTCGCAGAATCGACGTTGCCGATGTCGGCTCGAAGCTGGACTTTCTCAATAGCCGTTACATATACATTTACCAAAGACTCGAATCGAGTTATGGCCTTGTCCACTCCCTCCAGTCCCTCGCGGCCTCCCGCCGCTGCCCACTCAACATCATCCTCCGCATCCAAGCCACTGAGCACGTCGGACGCTTTCCGGATCCATATTTGAATCTGCTCTGCAGCACCATTCAAAGCACGAACGGCGGCCAGTGCCGTTGAAATATTCTCGATACTCGTCTCAAGGGCTCCTGGTTGCGGGAGAGGAATAGATGTAAGTTGGGACAACTGGTTGCTGAAGGAGGCGCGGGAGAAGGAGTAAATGGATTCAGCACGATTTAGCTCTCTCGGGTCAAAGGACTGTGTATTCGAGGACGAGGAAAGGGCGTATGTGGGGGAGGAAGGAGATTCGTCTTTCGGCGGAGGTTGGGGTGGGGAGTCGGCTTGCTCCTCGTTTCGTTTGGTGTCGTCGACATATTTCTCAAAGTCGGTCCGATTATCCTGGTCCTTATCTTGCGGCAGGGATTCCGATTCAGGGTCAGCGCGCAGCGGCGCAGGAGACAGCTCCGCCACAGACATGGATGTCGGCGGGGTACTGGTCTCTGCGTCTAGGACAGTCACCGGAGGATGAGCAACGACCCGAGCAGGTGATTGCAGGCCGTCAACAACCGCGTCGGTATGATCTAACCCTTGCTCTCGCGCGTGGGAAAGCTCCTGCAGAAAGTCCTGGCTGGGTATTTCAAGCTTGTTCGACGCGCTCCGTTTTGTTGATTGCGAGGTTGCTGATCTCGGGGATGTCAAAGTCACACCATTCCACGTCTGTCCTTTCCTCTCAACCTTGATTGAGAGGTCTTTATGAGAACTATCAAGCTGATTCAGATGTTCTTCAGGGATCCGACCGATGGCGCTGGCGCTTCGGGGTGCGATGGTGACCTTGCTGCTACCGTCGAGCAGCTTCACCCGGGCCGCGAGAGCAGGAGATAGGCGACGGAAGATAGATTGCTTGCCAGTACTTTTCTCCGCACTGGATGGTTCGGAGATCGGTTCGTCCTCGTGATTGCTGCTTCCTATACTCCACAGAGACGACTTGGATTTCAAGCGGCGGAGAGGGGAGGGCCCGTGTTCATTGGGGGAGCCTTCCGCGGGGGGAGGAGATGCGCACTGAACGGACACGGGGTACGTTGCGATGTCAGTCGCGGAGGAAGGTGGATCATCGACTGTGGCATGCATGGGTGCAAGCCCGGGGCGAAATTGAAAGGACAGAAAAGGGAAAGAGGCGGCTCAAAGGCAGGGATAGTGGAATGTTTCGTCTCGGTAATCGGATCAGAAGGCAGTTTGGGAGAGAAAACCCCCTTCTCACGGTCGCGGTTGGGTAAGGTAAGTTGGGACAGAGGCTACATGACCAGAGTCATATTATAAGAGCTGTAAGTGGTTTTTTGGTAAAAGAACAAATCAAAGTAATAAATTGGGCAGCAATCACTTTGAGACAGGCGAGGGATGAAGTGGCCAGTATCGCCGTTGTACTCTGCAGGAAAAGGATACTTGGCTCGGCACCCACTTTACTATGGGGCACCAGGTACCTTTCCCCCTCGGTATGTAATTCAAGGGATCGGCACTCCCCGGCGATCAGATGAAATCATTCTAGAGGCGTCCAGGTTGCATGCTAGCTGAATTTCATATGTGAATTAACTATGAGACTGTCAAATGCCCAGCCATTGGCTATATTATCTTTGCGACGCACTTCTATTTACTGATCTATGGAAGCATAATCACGGACGTAGAGATACTAGGGCTAATTTCCAGAGCATATAATTTCAAGGGGTAAGCTCCACGACCATATGCTCCTAGCGTCCCTAATTCCATGGTCGTTGCGCATTGTTCACTTGCTCTTCCAAGATTCGATGATCCCACTCCGCTACACTGAAACAGCTAACTAACAAAGCAATTATGTTTCACCCTTAGTTTAAACCAAAAAGGTGTTTCATTCACGTAGTCTTTATGAAGTATAAAGCCCAGTCTCGGCTGAGATAACATTGGCTTAGGTCTTTGAACCCAGCTACCAATTGCAGTTACCAATTGCGGTAGTATGTTCCTCATCCAGGCCTGGCTAGAACACATAAAGACAAAGACAACCCGGAAGACGACAGCCAAATTATAAGTTTGCCTTTCAATGCAAGATATCCATAAATTCTCCTTTCAGAACAAACAAATGCACCGCGTTCCAAAACGAACCAGAAAATCGGACAGAACCAAATATAAAACCAACACCGGAGACAGAGGCAATTCAGGGGTATCTAGCCAAGTGCCCTTAAGGAGTCAAACAAACACGAAATAGTAAAATGCCGAAATGCCGAAATGCACATCCACGTCAACTCTTCAAACAATCAGAACTCAAACAATCAAAGCCCAAAACATAATTAAATCAGACCAGCACTTGGGGGCCGCCCAGGATTGGCGGCTTGCCAATCTCGGACCAGCTCCTGTCGGACGGTCCTGCACCAGGCCAATAGTGCAGCGTCAAATTGCCTCCAAGCTGCATCGCTACTGCTCTGCACCACACCCATCACATCCACTCGGAAACGGAGCTCCCACCGCAATTCTGCAGCCTTGATCCAGTACCGCAGATTATCGGCCTGTCGGTATGGCTTCGCGATGTCCTCATGGAAAGTCTTTATCTCACCAAAGGGGCGCTTAGACTTTTTGACCGCGATGTTGTGTAACTGTACTAGGATGCGACCGTCCCTGAAACGTTCAAGAAAGGGAGTGGGGAGGTCTTCAACGCTGGCATCATCCTCAATCGGAGTCCACTCCGGCAGGGTATGACCCCCAGGCATTAGACTTCGGAGGAAAGATTCCTCGCGGGCTCGCTCTCGTCCGGTCCAGTCGCCTTGAGCCCAGTCCCAGTTTTCTCGCTCTTGGGCTTCGAGATCTTCTAGAGCTTTCTCCCTGACCAGCATGGTTCGGACCCCGGAAATCCATCCTTGGATAATTTCGCGTTCCTCAGGCCGCAATCCACAGGCAAAGTGCCTGGCTGCCCATCGCTTGAGGACATCCAAGACGTGGAAAAGGTCCTTTCGGATCTCGCGCTCACTTTTGAGAGATGCAAGGCGTTCTGGGTGTGGGTGAGCGGTGTAGTAGATCTTGGCGGCACGGATTGCCAGTGTCACATTATCCAGGATACACATGCCCTGTGCTTCTTCTTTCGTTTGCGGGGTCGGGATTCCCCGCGCTGGATCTTCCTCCGGTGTTTCTGGGACATCGTCAGGCGAAAGGCTAGACCGAAATGGTTCGCGGGGGTCGATCCCCTCTTCAACCGCCTCGATATTACTGTCTGCTTTTTCTAGCGCGACTTGTAGATCCCGGCGTAGCGATATCAGGTCTGGTGGGGGCGGGATATGATGTGTTTTAATACTGTAGGTGCTGACGGTAGGAGGCAACATGACTTCACCCTCCTCGTCGTCATTGGGATCAAACTCTGGCGATTCGGCCATATCAGATGGACTTGCGACGAAATCATCGATATGTCCCTCATTTGGAGTGATCAACAGTCGGGGCACATTCTCGCCATTCTTTTTCTTGAACTCCTTGCCTCGGCCCGTCTTCCCGTCCAAAAGACCCGTGCGAGCGAAATAGTATTGTAAATGGGCGATGCTGCCCAGGCTCATGACACTATCACGGTGCCGGGCCGACTCGGCGAACTCAGCACCGAGCGCACGAGTGTATCCATGGCGGCGGGAAGATGTTGAGACAGTAGACCGGGCATCGGCAGAGGTCGCAGAGGAGGCAGAGTGGGAGGAGACAGAGGAAAATGTCCGGTCTGGCGAGGAGTATGAAGAAATGGCCGGGGTGGCAGGGATAGAGGGTGAAGGCGATGAGGACCGAATAGTCGGGGATGTCACTTCAGGTTCCCTGGGATGTGGCTCCTCCATTCTTGTGGCGGAATTGGGTTTCTGAAACTCTTGTCGCACCAGTTGTCCACAATGTGATCGGGGGATCGGCGGGGGGACGTGTTTGATCGGGATTGAGGAATGTCGGAGTATGTTTGGACGAAGAATCACAACCAAGGATTATAACCATAAGTACACATTGAACGTCAATAGACACGTCTCCAAACTGAAATGAGGGACCGCAATGGAGATTTAATGAAACATGAACGATCGCCGGCCGAGAATCTTCTTTGGGCTTAAAAGGGGTGTGGTTCCCGCTCTTAACTAATAAAACTAAACGGGCACTAAGGGGCAATATTATTGGAAAAAGAATTGATTAATCCGTGACAAAGAATAAGATCTGGCAAAAAGAAAAGAAAAAATTGCTGATTGCCTTCAACTCATATTCATTATCTATAAATATTTTGTCTGTTGATTCTACTTCGCACATGTCCAAATTACCACGTTAGGTTTAGGTTTACCTTAATTATTAAGCCCCGCGTCCCAAGGAAATCCGTTTAACGGTCCCGGTTCGCGTCCTTGATTCTAATTGGAACACTATAAAGTACTGTACAATGAGAGGAGAGATTCGCCACGCCATGCAAATTTATCAGAAATGCCCAGATCGCTTTTTCATGCCTTCGAACCTCAGAAGATATCCTTGCGTTCCCACCCTGTCCCCCTCAAGTTCTCAATCCCCTTACTCGGATGCTCCCGGGTCGGATCTCGGTACTTAGTTTGGTAGGGATTGGGATCAATCGCTTGTTGCAAATTTCCGAGCGTGTGGTTGACCTCGCGATGCTTGGCCTCATCAGCCCGAATGTACATCAACAGATCCTTCATGGTACGGTTTCCTTCCGGCATCTTCCAGTATTGCACCGCAATTTGCGGCGCTTCCAGAGCCTCCCACTCCGGCAACTTGCCCGCTTCGAGCTCCTCGATGGCACGGGTGTAGGTGATCACCGCCTCTTCTTCCAAGTATCCAACAAATCGGTGGCAGATACGAGGAGAAATGAGGTAAGATAAGAAGAAGCCATTGAAGAATACGCCTTGTGCGCCGAGAACCATCAGGCGCATGAACCACCCGGGCTCGGCGATTTTGAGGAATGTAAGGAGGTGCATGCGTTCGTTAAATGCCTCTTCCAGAAGAGTCTCGATCCTATGTCCATTCTGGGGTAAGTATTTTATCTTTAATATCATGGCCTAGGATGTGATGCACATACCATCCATTATCTCTCTTCATGCGTCGGAGACTGCGCAGGTGGCGGAGCATACCACCAACCATACCGGGAACACCAGCGACGGTCTCAAGGAAGATGAACCGATGCATCCATTTCTTCTCCGTCATCTTGTATCTGGCAGCTAGTTCCTCGCCGGGTTCCGCGTGCTTGTACACTGTCACAAGGTCCATGCCCCATCGAAACATGCGGACCGTGCCCAGGGCAATCCAATCAGCCCAATCTGTGGCTTCTCTGTGCGCAATTGCGACATTTCTCATTTGGGATTCAGTATACCTGAAGACGCATTAGACTCCTACCAAGAAGTTGTAAGCATGCAGGGTCGGGTTGCTTACACAGGATGTGCCCATGCTGATTCCACTTCCTTCACGCCTGATGTTTGTGGAGGCGGGAAGAACTCTTTGATTTGATTCTGTGGTGTAGAGGAAATAAGACGCTTGGGTGTATAGGTAAATGGCGACTTGTGCGCGTGGATAAATTGTGAGCTACCGAGTTTGGCGACTGTCAGTCCCGAATAACTTCGCGCCACGAGATGGATATAGGTGGATGGTCGTGCAGCTGTCCGAAAAGACGATGTTGATAATACCGAAACTGAACTCATTGTAAGATGGTATGAGGTGTGTAGTTCTGGTTTCTGATTTGATTGATATGAAGTATAGTATGATGGTGAGAATGATCAATGATGCATGAGCTCCAGTGAGGGACTGACTGAAACACCTTTATATACAAATAACGTCCCGAATTTCAACGACGCCCGAGCAGATCCCGACCCAAAGGATGGAACAAAGGCGCGAAATTAACGTCAGGAGCGCGGCTGTGCCTGGTTCCCAAGGTTGGAGATAGGTATCTATTGCTGACAATACTCGATGCTGATTGGTTCCACGTAAGATCTTGTCGATCGTCACATTAACGATACTGTGCAGTACCGCCCCACCTACTTCCGTGCGCTTGTTCTACTCCATCAACAGGGTTCAGGGCCTGAAATAGTACAGCAGCAGAATTTATATGATGCTCTCGAACAAGAAGTAAATTCATTACCCTTCCCATTATCTCTGCAGCACGGCTACTAGTTCACTCGTGGCCCGCGCTCGTCATGCCAATACGTTTCTGCCCCAGGCAGCTGACCTCGGGAGGAGTCGGGATTTACCCCGAATTCAATTCGGATTCTATACATCGCGCCTTTGAGTCACTGATCCCGAGAAAATATCGGTCACTGAACGGGGACCGGGATCTGAGTTTTCACCGGTGGCAGTTTGGGGCTGATTTTTTCTATTTGTTTGTAGGGTCACGAGCCTAGGCAATCAAATAATTTCCCGGTCTTTGCCGACCTGAATGCGGGAGTTTGAGAGAATAGAAAATATAGATCTGGTGGGTCTACAAAATTGTGTACTGTACTCAAGTTCATCCTCTAGCATTTACGAAGATATGAATAAAGAGAAATCATGTTGCCATTCAGCTTTGAAGGCCTGTACTGGTTGATTGTTCACCTTGAGAAAGCGACAAATTCAGAAATCAGGCGTCCGAGTGGAAGTTAGACTCTGAAGTCCTCATCACCGAGAAATGTGCTTCCCCATCCAGGGGTTCCATCTCACGCTTCTCCACCTTGACAACATGGGCCATACGGGGGCCTTTGTCAATCTGCTGCATAAAGTTCTTGATCGACTCTTCATCACCCTGGACTTCACCTTCGACCTGTGCTCAAGAAGTCAGAGCTTATACTACTTATTGTCAAGCGCAAGGATACATACTCGCCCGCAGGTGGTGTTGCGGGTCCAACCCATTAACCCGTAGCCTGTAGCGCACTTCTGCGTAAAGTCACTGAAACATGTCAGATTTGGTCTCAGTTGTTGGTGTTATGATGTCATCAACTCTTGCCGATGAGAGATCGGAGCCTTACCGGAAACCAACACCTGGTGATGAGTGTTAGTAAGTGAGCTAATCTTAGTGATACTGGGGTATCCTAGTTGCAAGGGGAGTATTTATAGCGATAGACCGGGGTCACAGGAGCGGGGCGTTGTTACCTTGTACGGAGCCATGAACTTTGAACGCAACCTGGGGTAGATGGTCAGCAAGTCACCATTCGAGTTGTCAGTGGAGCAGTCGGTGATCATTCAAAATCGCATATTTAGGGGTCACGTACCCTTTTAGAAGACATGTTGAGTGTGATGTCGTTTCCAAGATTGTTTGAAGAAGCGGAGACCGATGTCATTGAGGGTGGGCTTGCTGATCTAATCTCGATCTATAACTGAACTAATGCAGAGCCGCTTCTAGTAATGCTCTCCATGTTTATGTATCCATGAGAAATATTGATGTCTTTCTCATACTCTACAGTGATTTCACCCCCTTAGAAGCTAGTTTTTTTGACATACATCCAGAGATTGCTTTCTATTAATTACTCCAATATGCGGTTTTGGTCCCTCATTGACGACAAATTATCGCGACCCTCCGAAATATTATCATGGATAGGGATAGTGGGTACAGAGGGTGTGACAGAGGATGTCATAGGCGATATGAGAGACGTGACAGAGGCTACCTAGGTATAGCAAAGGTTGTGACAGAGGATATGACAGAGATTGTGCCCTCTGAGAGAGAAGCCGTGCCTCCTGAAAGAGTACTTGGGGCGTATCTCTTCCAACAGCATGGAGACCGCACCGTCAAATTTGGAGCCCCTGTCACATTGACTGGACAGGGCGAGGGTTAGCAATAAATGACTAGCCTGTATCTCGAGATCGTTATCTATCGTCCGAATCGAAATATTGTATCGAGAGCTTAAACAAGGATGTCAGCCTGAAGCAAGTCGTCACTAATTCACCGAAGCATGATATGATGATCGATTCAGGGAATACGTTTCTTCGTGGCCTATATCCGCCGACAACTCACCCGAGAGACATGAGTAGCGAATCCATGGGATGCCTAGGAAATCCCTGATGTCACAATGCAAAGGCAAGAAAGCGACAGTATGCCCAGTCGCAAACTTGGATGGATTTGATATTGCAAGATAACGATTTTTATCAACCACTCTATCCTCTGTCCAAATTAATTTGGATCTCAGCCAACTGACCTACGCAAATGCATATCCTATCTGGGATCTTTTCAAATGCAGACGCGGAAAGAAGATGATGGCGGGCGTGGTGAGCTCGGAATCGTCTTTTACTGGAACGGAAATTAAGCTGCAAGGGAAACATGACTCAGAAGTCTAATTCGTCTCAAACTGGGCTTAGGATGTTGCTATTTCAGACCGTCAAATTGCCTGTTGTGTGAAGGTAAGTCTCAGGTAACCAAGACCTGTACCTACAAGGCACGTGCAGCTCTATTATTACTACTTGCCATGATTATGCTGAAGTGTTCAAGTCACTTGCACTCATATCACTGCAGTATTAGGTACCTAGGGAGGTACTTAGGTATTTTCTAAACGTATGTTACTGTTATTTTTGATGAGAAAAATAGATGTAAGCAACGTATCGTAAGTTTGCATAATCGTACGAGCGTCTATACGATTCATGGGGGCTATACATCAAGATGATAATTGACGGGCGCTGATTGGGCACGTGTGGGGGCGATCGCCAAACTGTTCGGGGTGGAACATCGGCCTCGGCCCCTGAGTAAACACTGGACACTTCAGCGCTGCACCTGCGCCATGCCACTGCGATAAAAATGACTTCCCTCTTCTCCTGGCTGCGGCGGATTTACTCGCTCGACACCCTTGACACTCGCTTCACCTCCACTGCCACGACCAACCCGACTGACACGCGACCTGCCTCTGCTAAAGATGCCCGCGCTCATGCCATTGCCCAAAATGCTCGCGCTCCGCTCTGGCGTACACCGGAATTCTTCATTTACTACCTGTTCTTCATTTTTCTCGTTCCTTTGATGTTCAAAACCGTGGTGGATGCTTCCAAGGGTGAGTGGCCCCTAGCAAATATCGGTGGACCGACGTCGAGATGCTGACTTGGGATCGTCATCATAGAAAGCCACCCAATTTACCCTACCTACTCAGATCTTCTGTCTCCAGGATGGATCCCTGGCCGCTTAGTTGTGAGTGTGCTACCTCGAAGACTTGACTCTGCCGACCTTGTAATAGTGGCAAGACTGACCATGCCTGAATGACACAGGATAACTCCGATGCACAATACGCCAGTTTCCGCGACAACGTTCCCTACCTCGTTTTGCTTCTAATTGCCCACCCATTGGTCCGTCGAATCTACAATTCGTGTGTGAGCCGTGCGAGTACCACCACCAAACCCTCCAACTCGTCCACAGCGACTGCAGGAGATGCCCAACTCGAACAGCGGATGCGCTTTGACTTCGTGTTTGGCCTTATCTTTGTTACGGCCCTTCATGGGGTTTCTGCGCTCAAGGTACTTTCCATTCTGCTCATCAATTACCGCATTAGCAAGCACCTCCCTCGGTCTTACATCCCGGCTGCAACATGGACGTTCAACATTTGCATTCTCTTCGCCAATGAACTTTGTGGAGGATACCCGTTGGAGAAGGTCGCCATGCTCTTTGCCCCCGGATCTGGCACGACAGGAGACAAAGGATCCTTACTGGTCCAGTGGGCCCAGACCCTGGATAACTTCGGGGGCATTATGCCCCGATGGGAGGTCCTCTTCAAAATCACCGTGTTGCGGCTGATCAGCTTCAACATGGACTACTACTGGAGCGTGGACTATGTCTCAGCGAGCCCGATTGAAGTATGTTTCCCTATGTTGTCCAATGCCGGATTGCCCATCTATCGCCTGGACGTAGAACTAACCCAATTTCACAAGAAGAAGCAACTTGACCCCGCAGCTCTTTCTGATAGAGACCGCGTCAAAATCCCCGCTGAACCGGCCGCCTTCAGCGGGCGCAACTATATCGCCTATGTGCTTTACTCACCATTGTATTTGGCTGGTCCCATCTTGACCTTCAATGACTATGTCTCCCAGCAGCGATACACCCCTCTCTCGCGGACACGAACACGCACCACCCTATACGGACTTCGCTTCTTTTTCACTGTGCTCTGCATGGAGCTGATTCTCCACTACATTTACGCAGTGGCCATTTCCAAGGCCTCACCGGATTGGTCCCTCTTCACTCCAGGGCAGCTCAGCATGCTTGCTTTCTTCAACCTCCATATCATTTGGTTAAAGCTGCTCATTCCATGGCGATTCTTTCGCCTCTGGGCTCTGATCGATGGAATTGATCCTCCAGAGAACATGGTCCGCTGCATGTCAAATAACTACTCAGCCTTCGCGTTCTGGCGTGGCTGGCACCGTTCCTACAACCGCTGGATTGTGCGGTATATCTACATCCCAATGGGTGGAGGCGGCAGTGGCCGAGGCCCAGCAGGTGCAAAGCAGGGATCGTCTACACAATCTGGCATTTGGTCTAAATTCTTGCAAATTCGCAATTTTCTGATGGTGTTTACATTCGTGGCCTTGTGGCACGACATTAACCTTCGTCTGCTGATGTGGGGTTGGCTAATCACGCTCTTCGTTCTTCCTGAAGTCCTGGGTGGTATGCTTTTCCCCGCTCGGCGTTGGCGCTCGCATCCCACCGCGTACCGGTGGCTCACTGGCCTTGGGTCTGTGGGTAATGTCCTTATGATGATGATTGCGAACCTTGTTGGCTTTGCGCTCGGCCTGGATGGGCTGAAGGACTTACTGGCTAGTCTAACGGGGTCCTATTCCGGTGTGGCATACATGATTTCCTGCTGCGCGGTGTTATTCGTCGGAATCCAGGTCATGTTTGAGATTCGCGAAGATGAATTGCGGATGGGCATCAACCTGAAGTGTTGATTATGTTTCAAGTATACGGCTACGACAATTCCAACATATTTTTCCATTAGAAGAAAATTAATTTCAATGGTTAAGAATTAGCTATTGTACAGGTTGTCATTAGTTTCATGTAGTCGTAAGAAGAGAAAGAAGATAACAGATCCCCTCCCCAATAGTATACAGCTCAGCACATTCATTGGCAGTTCTAGAAGAACGCACCACACCTCGAATCCTCATGCACCTTGTAACAATCCAGCCCACAAGTTCGCAAATGACAGCTCTTGCACCGAATCTTGCCCCAATATCCGCACATACAACAGAAATGCCGCGGCGAGTGAGACGACATCGGCGCGCCTGCCCTCGACGCATTATAAGACAAAGGCGGCTCAGCGAGTAACCGCTGAATAATGCGATCAGAAGGCATAGTCGGTGCATATGAGCGCAAAAGAGGATCGTTGTCATACTCCGTCTTCAAAACCTTGTGCTTTCCCTCTGAATCATCCTCCCCCTCCACATCTGTAGCGGTCGTAGCAGGAGTCTCAGGGACAGAAGGCGCAGGCGTAGGCGTAGACGCAGCCGTCCCAACAGCCGAAGCACGTTTTCTCTTCGCAGCCGCAGATCCAGCTGCAGCAGACCCCACCACAACAGGCGTCGAGCTCCGCCTCGCTGCCGCTGCCGCAACGGCAGCTTTACTCCCCCTTGGCCATCGCGGCCGCCGCACCCAAATTCTGCCCGGCTCCGGCCCCCGCTCCACCAGCAGTACTGCTATTATGAATCGCAGCCTCCTCATCATCAAGGTGATTACGAAAAGTCTTTTGCGATTGTAGGATTCGGCGCACGTTTGATGTTGTCTTTGCGCGTGTACCGCGCGCTCCGGCTTCTTTTGCTTGTTTCACTGGTACGGGGATCGATACGTCGCGTTGGTTTTCGCGGTCTAGCTCCGCGAGGTGGCGGATGATTGCGTTCGCTCGTCGTGAGGACATGTCGCCTCCTTTGCCGGCGTCGCGGATTCCGCGTTTGCGGCTTAGTGTTGGGGCCATGGCTGCTTGGGCTGGGTTGAAGGCTCGGTCGGCGACGTAGCTCCAGCCTGGGGCTGGGGCTGCGCCTTTGTGTTGCAGAAGTTCGACGCGGAACATGGCTTATGCTCTTGTCTTTCTTCTATTTTCTTTTGGGGGAGGGTGTTGCGAGAATGTTGAAGATGATGGGAGTTGGAGACATGAAAGTTGATGGCCATCGATAGTGTTTGACTTGTTTGCAACCGTCTATCAGAATATGACCTTGGGGATTTACAAACGGTCAATGGTCAGCCTCTTCTTGGGGTTTCAGTTTTTTTTTCTTGGATTTGGAATCTCATAATGCATTTGGAAATAAAGGATCAAATCATCGGTAGACATGTCTGATCAAATTGATATTTTGCAAGTCAAATGCAGAAAAGACACCTTAACACCAGCAGGAGATCAAAAGTACATAAGCCAAGTTTCTGGACACTACTTAAAAGTCCAGCGTTTACTTCTTCTGAAGCTTGTTCATCTTGGACTCCAACTCGTTAATGTATGACTGGAGCTTCATAGTAGCCGACTGGAGTGCCTGTGTTATAGAAAGAGCTATCCCCGGATACGGGGAGAGCACAACGCAGTTAGTCTCAAAGAAAAGCAAGCATGTGAAATCTTGCCTAAAGCGGCTTTAAACATACGGAAATGTCATCAGTCAGCATTTCATTCGCGACTCGGTAATCCCCTAGGATGTAATAGTATACCGACGCGCCGGCAACAACAGCGCCAGACAGGAACCCGAAGACTCTGCACAAAGTTAGACAAGTCAGGAATGGCAAAAGATCTGGAGGTGTGGATTTGAATCTGATCGTATGATTATCTGAACACTTACCCTCCACGGAAAGCACCAACGGGCTTGCTTGTGGGCAATGGCGCAGCCTCCCAGCGGGGACGGGACACGGAGAAAGATCGGGCAACGACGCGTCCGCGTAGCGGCATGAACATTTTCGAGCTTACATTCATCGTGGCGCAAGATCTGCTTGATCAGTAATCAATCGAAAGCGAAAGTTATTGATTGCTCTTACAAGTAATGATAGTGGCGAGGGGAGTGAAAGAGACCAGGTGACGTTGACAAATAGTGGCCCGGGCGGCGTCGGAACTCGACGGTTAACACTCTATACAAGTACGAAGCAAAGCCGGAATAAATAAATTCAGGGGAATACCATAAAGCAGGACTGGGATGAGGTTATTGCGAAGGATGTGACGTAGCTTGAAATACAGAAAAAGTTCGATTGGAAATATCGCTATGGGCTAACTCCAGCTATACAAAATGGAGGAGACAAACAAACCATGCAGCTTAATTTGCCATAGTGCTCTCGTTGAACAAATCCGCCAAGAGATCATCCCGACATACACTTAGGTCTGCACCTTCCATGCTATACGTACTCTCGAATACGTAGATACTCAGCCGGTCAAAGAACGGTCGCAGGACCCGCTCGACGATCTCGTCCTTTGCCGTCTCTCGAATATGGTCTGAGATAAGCCACGGCCGCTTCAGACCACCGCGAGTTGCGGACTCCGTGTGCTCATGCGAAATAGATGGTGTCAGAGCATTGCGTGCTCCGAAGCTTTGAGATACCTCATCAGCGAGGGCAACCGGCTCCCAGCGATTAGGCGGGTAGACTGCATCGATGGTGTCAGTCACAAAGAGCCATTCCAGAAGCTGGAAGTCGTCTGGGGCGACGACCAGGAGATTATCTAGTAGCTTGCAGGCCTGTAGTAGGGAGTAAGGGTTATAGAGATCAGATTGCAAGCCCTGTGGAACAGCAGAAACAGCTTCCTGCAGCTCTGCGTTGATCAACGGCCAAAAAGGCGCCATGGCAGGAGCAGATGTTTTGAGTACGAGGGCACGGAGCACCATGAAGATCTCTGCCCGTGTTGCAGATGATGGAGAAGAAGAGCTGGTGGCTGCTAGAAGATCCTCAAGTTTCTGGAGAAGGCCTGGCAATTCGCCCACGAAATAATCGGTACTGGCAGACAGCAGGAGCACTGCAATACGACGCAGATTGAGTTGTGCCCTACGGTCAGCTTCTAGTCGTGCCGCAGATGCCCCCACGCCGAACATGATCCCAGCAGCGCTGGGCGGTGGGAGGCGACTCAACAGCTCCCCCAGCCGGTCTTTGTCTGCAATCGCCCACTGTCGCAATAGGTCCATCCAGTTGTCTTTGATTAGATCCACCTGCAACCCGAAGAAGCGTGGATCATTGAATGCATCGGCAATATCCTTCTTCCATACCTTTGCGGCTGCGGGCACTTTGGCCATTTGCTGCAATAGGACCATCACATTGCGGTTGAGGTTGTTGGGGAATAACCGAGAGCGGATGAGTGGACCAACCACATTGGTTGACACACCGTTGATGGCGGTATTGATGCGGTCCGAGTCACCCAGGGTTGTGATGAAAGATGGCATGGAGACAGCAAGAATGCTTAGCATGTCATCTGGTCCAGTATGCGAAACTGCTGTCCGGTCATAATCGAGAGAAGATCTTGCTAAAAGACCAGCGTCCTGGTTGAGGCCTAATGGTTTGCTAGCGAAGACAGCTGTAAGAAGACGGAGAAGAACATCCTGTAGAGCACATAGTCAGTACGCGCAAAGCGATATCGGGATTAAAGATTGATGACGAACTCCAAGCTCCTTGCACATGCGACGGTCTTCACCGAATGTTGTGTTCTCCAACTTTGAGCCCAGGATAGCCGCGAATTCAATGAGACGTGGAAGGATCTGACGATGAGGGAAAGGATTGCTGAGCACATCACGAAGGAAAATCGTACAGTCGGCCCAAATTTCGTCAAGGACATCATCATCCAAGGAGCGAGCATAGGCAACCAAGAAACTGGCTAGTTCAGACTCGGACAGGCTAGTGGTCAAAGATGACTTGCGATGGTTGTCTAATGCGCTAGGATTTGTTCGTGTGTAGATCGCATTGAATACGGCAGGAATAGCGATCTTCGGGCTCGAGCCATCAAGGGTATGCAGGAGGTTAAAAATAAGCGCTGCGGTATCTGTGTCAGATTTTGTCCACAATTCAACTAATGTCTCAAGACATTCAAGCGCCTCTGCAGTGAACAGGTGTTCAAGAATTCGTCTGGATCTATTTCTCATTCGCAACGAAGTGTACTGGAAGGATGCAATTGATTCGAAATCTGGAGAGCCAGTCCGATCTCCTGCGCCCCAGGCCCAGATAGAGAAACAAAGACGAGCGGCATCCTGGAAGCAGAGAAGGACTGTCAACCGATCATTAGCGGTATTAGACCGGCCTTGGTTGCCTTCCGAGTTGAACACGCCGGACACCATATTTCCGAAAAAGCCTTGGGGCTGATCTGGGCTCTTGGCGGCCGGAATGTTCGATTCCTCCACGAGAAGACGTTCATGGGCGTTGGCAATGCATGTTTCAAGACCGGTGAGTAAAGCAATAGTAACCTGTTCAGATCGGTCTTGCGGCCAGTTCTCTGTTTGTTGGAACGCGAGCTGAAGTCTTCCAAAGGAGGCTTTGATCTCTCTGCAGAAGCATTCCACCAACATAAGCAGAATTTGGAAAAGCGAGCCTGAATAGAGTGGGAGCACCTCGCAAAGGAGTCCAATCCACTTGTCCACAATCTCATGGGATTTTGTTGAGCTGATGCCCTTGAGCAGGCAATCTAAAAGTCGCTCTGGAGGGCGAGGAAATTGAGGCAATGGCTGGCCTCTATCTGCCTTGTCACTTGTGAAAGATAATATTGAAGGACTGGTCAAACGTTCACGAGAGGCGGCTCGTTGATGCTTTGGCCTAGGCGGTGGTACGGGTGCATATGCCTGGGCAAACCGAACTTTAAGAGCCGCAAGGAGTGCATCAATGATTGCACCCTGCACTGCAATACTACCCCCCCTCATCCGAGGCAATCAGAAGGCGATCGACCAAGAAATCATCAATTCCAGATTCCGCCAGGTCCTCTGCACCTGGTCCCAAAAGGAGTTGTCGCATGAGATGAAGGGCATCTCTTTGCAATCGCTCTCCATCCAAGTTGCCCTGTGTTGATGTCAACGCCTTGTCGCTGATAATTCCGTGGCAGGCCTGGAATATTGTCGCATGGAAACTCTTCACATTGCCACCATCTGTTTAAAATAATCAATTGATGGATCTTCTTGGCAGGTTGCATATGTGACTTACCTTCAGACTTGGATGCGTCCGGATGCTTGTCAGCCTGGCCCAGTGTATGGGTGAGAAGCGTGACCCATCCGCTATGAGAAAGTGACGCGATGATGTTTGAGGCTGTTCGCAGCAGATAGTTGCACTCTTTGTAATCGTCCGGGGAAATTGAATTGTCTTGTTCAGTGATTGCACCAGAGATATCATGCTCAAATAACTCTTCGAGCTTCAAGATAACGACATGGAAAATTCTAAAATCTGGTTAGTAGTGGCAAGCTTGTATCATTTATGAAGTTATCGCACCTATGAATAGAGTGGAGGTCTTGGAGCCATTGCTGGACACTCTGAGACACATCTCCAGGTCCTTGAGATAGAAGATCAAGTACAATGAACAGGGGACGTTCGAGCATCGAACACTGATAAGAGAATAATGTTCCCCCAACCTCAAGAACCTGTTTAGGAGGTTGCTCGTGCGTGCCATGATGGCTGTGGTTCCAAAGTACATAGAACTTCTCGGCTTGTTCCTCCGATGAGAGATGGTAGGATCTTGTGAATGATGAATTGACCATTAGAGAGGTAATCGATGCCTCAACAAGGTGATCAACCCAAGAAATTGAGTGAAGCGACCATAGACACCTAACCGCTTCAACATGAAATTTAGGACTCAATGGCGAAAGGTATTGCCAGAGCTGTTCGACTAGGTCAGGAATCAGACCGCAGGCATCCTCATAGCTGATGTAGAAGCCGAGGCTATGGATGAAGAACAAGTTGGTCAACGCGGAGGCAATGGTAGAAATGACTGCGAAGGAGGCAGTGCTTGGAGTGTTGTCTTTCTTGTCTAATTTTCGAGATAGTGCTCCGTAGAGCCGCCTATCACGGAGCACACGGGACCTCGGCAGCTTCATTAGCAATTTTACAAGGATGTCGACTTTTTCGTGGAGACATAAGGTGTTATCATCACTCTCAAGTGCTTCGACAGATAGATCGTGAGCTTCACGAATGATCATCTCGCTGATCTGCTTCGGGCCAAATGGAAGAGGAGGAAGATCGAGGCTATTTTTGCTGCTTTCATAGAAACTATGAATCTTTTTCAGAATGTCATGATTTCGAGTCTTGGTGTCAGCAGTGGATTTCTCGTGGCCTGTCTTTCTTGAGAATACCCTCTCCGTAAGCAGTGGAATCAGTGATTTCAGCACGCTATTCAACGCAATGGATACGGCTTGTTTGTCAATACTGGCTCCCGGTGAGGGTGTATGCAAAGATATTTCACGCATTCTGACGAGTACCGATAGCGTTAACAAAGGAACATGAATCTGAAGCATGTCTTCTTCTCGCACATTGAAATTATCAATGATGAACCGGGCAAGATCAAGGCTTCGCAAAACTTGGTCAGGATCACGCTCCACATCATTAGAGCGGAAATCAACTAGGCCTAAGAGTTCGGAGAAGATGACACTGCTTTCCACACCGTCAAAAAAGGCGCTAGCACTGCGGAAGACTTCCTCGAAATGATTCCTGGGAGCTTCTTTCTCGAAGGCTTGGACACTGCGAATTGTGGGAAGGAAAACTGCTGGAACGATATAACCACCGATTTCCCAGCGATCCATCAAGGAGAGAGCAATGCGAAAGGGCTTTGTCCTCTCAGAAGGAATCTTAGAACCTTGTTTGATCATCTTGAGAAGACCATTTACTAAGGGCTGCAAACCCACGCGGCTGAAATATTGAGACTGTGAAAGCTCCTTCGCATCGGCAGAAACGTGGCCAGTTTCTGACGGAACCTTTTGGCCATCAACAGATGAACGCTCACGTTCAATTGCAGGCTCGGGGCCAAGGAACCATGCCCAGAGTCGGCGGTTCAGGCCCATGTCGCGTCGAGTGACCACACCCACCGCAGCAACGATTAAAGTTTCGAGATCACGGTCCGTGATTCGCGTCTGTAGAATTGGAGAGTTCAGTGACAAATGGGTCACCAGAAGATCGAGAAAGTTTCGCTGAACCAGGAGTTGGTCGTCGGAAAGACCTGATGCGAAACATCGGATCAACAAGCCCGGTTCTGGGAGTATCACGGAATCTGCTGCTGCAAGCATCTCAGGTGGAAAGTCTTTAACATCACTGGTATCAGCCGCACTCTGACGACGGTTGGCAATGCCCAATTTAGGTAGGTAGCGGTTCAAGTAGGCTAGGACACCAAGTCGTCGGCTGGGGTTTGTGATCGATGCGAGGAACAGACATTGCCAGAAATACTGCCCAGAAGCCCCAGATTCAGATGTTTTTTGGGTCTCAAGCCGCCCGCCTACCTCGCGAAGCTTGTTGACGATCCGTAGTGTCGGCTCAAAGTCGTCGCTTGTCTCCTCCTCCAGGCCAGGGAGCAGGGCTAAGAGAATTGCTTTCAGGGCTGGCCGAATGGCCCATGGTTCTAGGTCGACAATATAACCCTCCACCAATGATAGAAAAAGCGGGCGAACAGTGAGCGAGGCGAATGTCAGGGTTGGCGCAAGGCCAGGCAGATATAAAGGCAGGTCGTGCGACAGTCCGTCGAGCTACAGTAAATAGACACAGTCAATCAACAATGTCCTCCGGGTCCAAGTTTTGTGGTGCATACCTTGATCAGCCCAAATATGTACGTATAGACTTCGAGCGCCTTTTGGTGGACTCCGGATGGTAATGACGGATTCAAGCATTGTGCCAGTCGCTTCGAGACTAGCACCTTATGGGGTACAATTGGTTGGTCTGGCGGGTGGGTTTGAAGTGCCTAGCCCCTGGTCAATAGTTGAGTATAACAAAGTGTTGAATATATTTGGATCTCACCTTCAAAAGCCGACTCAGGAAGGAGATGTAGTCGGCCCATTCTTGGAGGGCGTTGTCAAACAGTGACAGCGCTCGTTCGACACTTGACGCATAACGACGGTAGCTTTTGTCCTTCTTGAGGGATCCTAGGGCTGTATAAAATCGTCAGGAAAATCCCGCGCAATATGTCAGGTTTGTGGGAAGAAGTGCACACCATCTTTTCCCTGCAAGCGCGTGCGCGTTAAGGAGCTCTCGGAGCTTGCGGGGGAGTTCGACCTCGGAAAGGCACTCGGATCAAGGCTCATGGTGCCAATGTCGGACGTCAAATTGATACAAAAGCTGCAGAATGCACCTCATCATATTCAGGACATCGAGAATGACCCAAAGGGGGAGGGGAAGTTGGACGTTGAAGATGGTTAGAAAGGGCCACGCAGGCGGACACATAATGTTTTGTCCGCCTTGGGAGCTCCGACTCCCCGACCGACGTCAGCATCAACCTTTTACAACCCTACGCAGAACAAGCAAATTCAGTAATGAAAGCGAAACTTGAAGTCATTGCAATGATGTACGTCTCAGTAATCAGTGTTGTCTCCCAGCAAGTAGCATAGATACACCCACCGCAAACATACCGGCCCAGCAGCACCAACCTACGAAGAGCCCCATGCCGGTCTTATCTGCTATAGTAAGGATTATACATTTTTTGAGATGGATAACAAAGTCTGTTCAATGCACTCGGTAGGTATTAACTGTGCTGATTATCATTGATGGTTGACTTCAAAGTATGTTTTGCGCGGTTCAGAAATGGATACCCAATTGGCCAGAATATATACTACAGGCAATATATTTCTGCATGTGGATTGATCATGCAACCAAACTTCAATATTTCTAATACTTTTGTCATATATCTATCACCGACGGCGACCAGCTCCCCCAACATTCTCAGCCCGATCAGCCATACTAACCACCTCTCCGATACCGGCTGCTTCTTGTTCATCCTCGAGAGCCATGATCTCTTCTCGGCTATCCCACCATTTCTCCTCTGCCATATTGAATGCATCCTTGCGCAACTCCTTGATGCTCTTCTCGTCATTCCGACCTTTCAGTGCCATGGCTTCGATGAGCAGTCTTTGCCATTCTTCAGAAGTACGACTAAAGAATTCACGGAGACTCTCGAAAGGTCGAGGTAATGGCCGGCTGTCGTCCGGCTGGGCGTCGGTTTCCTGTTCCTCGACTTCCAGCTGCTGCATATCCTGGGTGACCGACGGCACAGTCACATCGGCCGGGGCAGGGGATGAGGCATCAAGAGACATAGATTCGCCTTCTTCGTCATCCATCTCCTCATCCTCATCCTCATCGTCCATATCTTCATCACTATCCTCGTCTTCGTCCATGAGGTTCCAGTTCACAGGCTCCCTGTAGAAGCACTCCTTGACGCCATCCAGCTTGACGAGGTCAATAGAATACATGTCATCGAAGGTGAACTCCCGATCGCCCTTCTCAAAGGTACCGCCGTAGATAAATAGCGTGTCATCTTGCACCGCAAGTTGTGCGTTGAAGCGCCTATGGGGCATCTCGAAGCGGACCACAGCGGGCTTAGAAGGCTCAGCAGGTTCTTCTTTAGGCGTGCTCAACTGCATCAGCTCATCATCGTCATCGTCATCATCACGGAAACCACCCTTGGCTTCTAGTGCTTTAAGATTCCTCAGAAGCTCTTCCTCGTCAGCCTTGCCTCTGTCCCGAGATTTGACCTGGTTCGCTTGCTGTTTCTTGCCAGGTGCGCGTGGTCGTCGCAGACTTAATGGGAAGAATCGATTGCGGTCTGTGTTCCATGCAAACAGCAAATCGAAGAACTCGCTGTCAATACCCTCTTCACTCAGTTCGACATCATGGACTCCGCCAAACATGATACCACGACCTTTATGGTACGCCATAGTTGTTCCTGCGCGAGCCGGATTTGGCGTATTAGCGGGCTTCTTTCTCCGCTCCCAACGAATTGTGGGGACAGCAGCTGCCGGGGCATCGGATGCTGGTGGTGTAATTCTGAGGAACCAGGTATCTTGATGAACCATGGGACGCAGCACCATTTTTTGAGCACCACCCTTAACTTGCTTGCCGCCACCACCGCCGGCGGTTGCCTTCACTCTAGAGTAACCACCGTAGATTACGGCACCAGTTTCATGCGGAAGCAGGGAGAATGAAGACCGGGGATCAGGCTTCTGCGATGCCGTTGACAACGTTGGGCTGAACCAGGTGTATTTTTGGCAATCATAGATCCACAGATCCTGCAGGTACTTTGTCTGCTGGGAAGTGTCTTGGAATCCGCCAAACAGGATGATATAGTTCTGAATTTTTTTTTTTTGCTTAGCCTTGAATTCCCTGAATAACAATATTGGCTTTCATCGTACCTTGTAGTAAGTCATTCGATGACCACTTCGAGCAGGAGGACCCTTGCCCTTGGTCTCCAGACGGGTCCATTCCCTAGTGGCGGTGTCCAAATGCCAGAAGTCATTGTAATGGTAGAAAGTACCCTGCTTGGGCGATGAGAATTCGCCTGTATGAAACGGATTAGTCAAAGCACAGACAATCGCCCTGTATGTAATATGTATCATCTTACCTCCAAACAGATATACACCTCCGCTGTTACCTCCACGACACCATGCATGTCCACTTCGGGGCAAAGGGCTGTTGGGGCTAGTCACCTCCCTCCATTCACCCCGATCGATCAAGTAGACGAAGAGGTTATTGAAGAATGTTGCATGTGTTCCATCAAAGTACTCGCCGCCAAAGAGCAATAACTCATTACGATTAGACGGCGACGCAAGAACAGTGGCCGATGAGCGTGGAGCAGGAGGTTCGGACACAATTTCTGTCACCTTCAAGAACCTGGCTTGCTCCTCAGCATACTGAGCCAGGATCGCATCCAGATCGGCATCCTCGGCGTCGCTGTCTGCATCCTTGCCTTTGACTTTGGACTTCTTTTCCTTTTGAGCAGTTTTCTTGGACTGCTTAGCCGCCACTCGAGCTTTATGCTCAGCGGACTTTTTGTCCTTCTTACCCATGCTTGAGTTGAGGTTTTTGCGCCGGTTTCTGGCAGGCTTGCAAGTCCTGGCGGGGCATGTAGAAAAAAAAGGTTTTCCCCACATACAGATCCGCTCGGCCTCTTAATAGGTGCGCTGATCTCTATACATCTTTACAGCGTACGGAACTAGGATTAGATTTAGGAAGAGTCAGTGTGATAGTTTATATGAGCCATAATAATCTGTTAAAACTATCAAAACCCAAATTGACTGATCTCAATGTGTTGTATTGCCTTTTGATCGTGACTTTAAGTGCTTCGCTCACGGGCCTGACCGCTCACGTGCAAGACGCGTCCCTCGAATGGTTTCGCGACGATCAACTGTCCAGTCGAAAACATGATAACCCGCCATAACGCCATGAGATTACCACGCCCCCATGACGGAAAATAATCTTGCTGTACATCTCAAATGGCTGCTGAACCAAGGCTCCTCCTTGCACCCGTCCTTGTTTACTGGATCTCCTCCCATACAACGCGAGCGCGTCTCCCAACAACCCCCTCTACCCTCCGACGAAAGCGAGCTCTTGGGTGCGATTATTGACGACACCCAGAACACCGAAAATGTGCTAAACGAGGACATGGCGAAACTGCAAAATTCATTGTCCGCACGAAAACCTCGATTATTTAGCCGCCCAGAAACATGGAAAGAGGAGCCGCCCTCAACATCGAAGAAGGCGTCCACCTTGGTTCCAGGTACGCGTGGATATAACAATATAGACAACTTGTGGATCTTCTGACAGGGATTGATCTAAATAGACTCCAATCTTGAACCACCGCGATCCTCTTTCGTGTCTCGACTGAAAGCGACCCCACTTCGATCGGAGCGAAAGCTTGAAACGCCGTCTTTTGACGATGTTGAAGCCATTGACCTCACGGGAGACCCGGAACGATTCATCCCATCCTCGGCAACCGACTTGGGAGAGCCTCGACGACTATGGTCCGGGGATGTTGCAGCAAACGAACAGCCCGGTGAAAAGCGTGGGAAGAAGCGAAAGAGCGACGAATACACATCGGACCTTCTATCACCCTCGAAATATGCGTCGAAGGTGCGAAGCGCCACGGAAGCCTCTATTTCTGAACTTCCTTCAAGCTCAAATAGGGTGAAGCCATCAAATGGCGCAAAACAGCTCAGAACCGCCTCCCCGTCCCCTAAAAAAAGCCATCGGAAGCAAGTCATTGCCGACTCCGACGAGGAAGATCCATTTGACGATTGGACAGGAGATGCAGACGACATGATTTTGGATATTGATCCAGTGCTATACCCAAAACTACCTAAAATCAACACCGCAAAGAAGGAGAAGAACCGCCGCGCCGAAGACACTTGTTATGAGCGCTCGCCAACTCGGACTTTGTCAGAAAAGATACGGATAGAGACTCAGATGGAACAAAAGAAACCACCCAAAGCCTCAGCAGCTTCACAGCCATATCCTGGGCTCAAGTTTCCCAGCTCTCAGCCCAAAGACGAGTCTGTTCTCAAATTTGTAGCTCTCCCAGCAACATCTATGGGGCATTCTATCCGCCAGCTGAGGCAGACACTGCAGAAGAATTCAGAGGTTGTTTACCAACAGGCAATGGAAGGCCAGCCAGCCCCGGATCTGATCGCAGAGAACAAAAGCCTTGTGTCACGAATCCAAGCAATTGAGGCTTTACAATCCCAGCAAGCATCTTACAACAGCTGCCTCTCTAGAAAAGAGAAATTGAAGCAGAATCTTATGAAAGTGATATCCCAGGGCCTTGACCCAACAACTATGCCAGATGAACTTTCAAAAAGCCGAGCTGTGGAGTTGGAGTTGGAGCAAATTCAGGCAAAGATCCGCGAGCTTCTTCCTCAAGCCAGGATATTTGATTTGACCAAATGTTCAGAAATGGATCGAGCAACTTCAGTGTCAAGTGACTTCCATTCAGACCGCCATACCTCCAACAACCAGTTTGAAGTCTTTGGGTTTACCAGGGAGTCACCACCAAGAAAACAGCACACTTCTTTCCCCAGCCCTAAATTGAGCAATAAAAACCTCACGTCCCGGACTGGGCAAAGCATTCCCACCCGCAGTGCCGAGGAAGGTCGTGTCTCTCGAAACATGGGCTCACCAGCGATAGACTTGGATGATTTTGATTGGGATGAGAGCGATGAGGAGATGCTAGATGTTGCTGGAAGCCTTAGCAAGGACCCGCCAATGTCTCTCAGTGACAAAAACATTCAGAATCGACCAGTCTTTGCCGAGACCTCTGGAAACACCTCTCGAATGCCACCGCCAAAGAAGTCACCCGGCCGTAGCAACTTTTGGGCCAATAATGCTTGGTCCCATGAGGTGAGAACTGTTCTGAAGGATAAGTTCCACCTTCGTGGCTTCCGCCCGAACCAGCTCGAGGCTATTGACGCAACCCTCGCTGGTAAGGATACCTTTATACTGATGCCAACCGGTGGAGGAAAGTCACTGTGTTATCAGCTTCCCGCGGTTGTGATGAGTGGCCGTACCAGTGGCGTGACAATTGTGGTTTCTCCCCTATTAAGTTTGATGCAAGACCAGGTCTTTCATCTGCAGAAACTGAACATCAACGCCCTCTTGGTGAATGGCGACACTGACAAGGCTGAGCGATCACACATCCTCGATCAATTATCAAACGGTGGCGGAGAGGGGATGGAATTGTTATACATCACACCAGAAATGCTCAGCAAGAACCAGACCCTTGTAAAAGCCCTTGAGAAACTTCATCGGCGAAACAGACTTGCACGCTTGGTCATTGATGAAGCGCACTGCGTTAGTCAGTGGGGACACGATTTTCGTCCAGACTACAAGGAACTAGGTGAAATTCGAGCTAAATTCCCGGGTGTACCAGTCATGGCCTTGACTGCTACTGCCACGGAAAACGTGAAAGTTGATGTCATGCATAATTTAAAGATGAACGGATGTGAGGTGTTCCTACAAAGCTTCAATCGTCCTAACTTGACCTACGAGGTGCGGCCCAAGAAGAAGAATGATGAACTTTTGGCTAGCATTGCTGAGACAATTACTGGCTCATATCGAAACCAGTGCGGAATCATTTATTGCCTCTCACGCAGGACATGCGAAAGTGTGGCAGATGATCTTGTGAAGAAGTACAAAATCAAAGCCCACCACTACCATGCCCACTTGCAACCCAAGCAAAAAGCTGATGTGCAGAGCGCATGGCAAAATGGTAGATATCATGTCATCGTCGCCACAATCGCCTTTGGAATGGGAATCGATAAACCCGATGTGCGTTTTGTGATCCACCACAGTATCCCCAAAAGCCTTGAAGGCTACTACCAGGAGACCGGCCGTGCTGGCCGAGATGGGAAACGCTCTGGATGCTATCTTTATTATGGATACAAAGACACCACTTTACTCAAGCGAATGATTGATCAAGGCGAAGGGAGTTATGAACAAAAGGCTCGACAAAAGCATATGCTTCGGAATGTTGTTCAATTCTGTGAAAATCGCAGTGACTGCAGACGTGTACAAGTGCTCGCTTATTTCAACGAACAATTTCGTCGAGAGGACTGTGGGAACACGTGTGATAATTGCAAGTCTGATCTTGTCTTCGAAGAGCATGACTTTTCTGAGTACGCATCGTGGGCCATCAAGATTGTGCGGAGTTTAACTCACCAAAATAATGACAAAGTCACTGTGCTGTATTGTGTTGATATTCTTCGAGGCGATTTGAAAAGACCCAAGTCACCTTCACATCGACAAAATCCCGGATATGGAAAGGGTTCTATCCTTGACAGAGCCGAAGCAGAGCGACTTTTTTATCGCTTGTTGGGCGAAGATGCCCTGGCGGAAGAAAATGTCATCAATGGCAAAGATTTCGCGGTTCAATATCTCAAACTTGGCCGCCGTGCTACTGAATTCGAAAGCGGCCAGCGCAAAATGAAGCTACAAGTGCGCGTATCTCCGGAGAAGGCTCGAGTGTCACGACCTGTCACGTCACGACCAGCCACGAAAGCAAAACCTGGGAGTCAAGCTTATCCTCAGTCTACAATGGTTTCATCGCCTATTCAGTCGGCCAATGACCGTCGACAGGCCCGCCATCAGCAACGTGGGGCGCGTGTTGACTTTTCAGAAGGCGAAGAGAGTGATGGGTTCGAGCCAATCCGAGTATCTGGAAAACAGCAACGCCATAACGTGCGTGAGTTAGGCCCACCCATCACTATTGACCAGAAGATGGATCGACTTGATCATCTTCATCGTGCTGTCGTGGAAGATTTCGAGGTTACCGCCAAAAGGTACCTCCAAGATGTAAGTTCTCTGCTCCCTTCTTTTGAAGATTAATTGCTCACTACTTTAGAAGGTCGTTGTTGAGAAGGGTCTTCGTGCTCAGCCATTTCCTGACCACATCTTGCGTGATATGGCCATTTCATTCCCCAAAGGTAAGATTTGATCCAAGGCAAAACCCCGAGGTAATACTAATTTGAATGGTACTAGATCCCTCGGAGCTTGCTGCCCTCCCAGGCATCGACCAAGACAAGGTCAAACGATATGGCCGTCAGATTTTAAGACTGGTAGACAATGCGAAACGGCGCTACCAGGAATTGACGCAAGATGCCGAGTCCAATGGCGTCGTCCCCGACCCTAACCACCACAATGTCATCAATCTCAGCAGTAGTGATGAATACAGTGACGGTGACGATCTTTTTGCAGACCAAGCGTCTACTTTTGATGCTGACCAACTCCACGAAGACGAAGATCTCACTAGCAGATATTTCCCTCCTCCCCCGTCTCCGGGGTTTGACCCTGGCGAGGACTTTGGTGGACCAGCAGATTCTAGCTCCAAAGGCCGCAAACGTCCGTACACTAAAAAGCCCCGCCGGAAGAATGGTGGCTCTACAAGCGGTTGGAAAACCAAGGGCGCCAGGTCCAAGACCACCACGGGCGGTAGCAGTCGCGCTCCAAGACGATCCTCCGCTGCCCCTCGAAAAACCTCTACGAAAGCCAAGACCCCGAAATCTACGATTGGAATGATGCCCATTTGAACCTGTTTTTTCTACGGAGTTGATCATGATTTGGCGTTAGAAGCTTGGAGCATCTATAGGCGTTTCCTTTCCCCCAAAGGTGTTATTTTGTCTAGGGGAGGGTACTTCATGGCCCCTGAGTCCATCACAAGCCGAACGAGGCACTAGGCGTGCTCCATTAAATTTACACCCCTGCACTAAAGTAGGATATAAGTAAACATAATAAGACTTCTGGCTGTATCCTGAGAACTTCCATATTTCCATTTCCCGAACTATTGAGCTAGCGAGCGACCGAAATCTATCAACCGCAGGCGCCGGGCATCGCGAGGATGATATTGCGCCACTTTAGCTCTCACAAGGAATCGCGGGATAGCAGAGTCCCGTTCTAAAATCACATAAGATGTCCCAGCCTCTAGTAGAGAAGCTAGCAAATCGTGAACTTCGGTTGCTGCCGCTTCTCGCTTATTCGTCGGATTCGAACCATCCTTTTTGCGCCGAACGAATTTGTCGATTCGCTGCTGACCGTCATCAATTTCCGTTGTTTCATTCTCTTTTTGCTTCTTTGGTTTTCCATGAGCTGTATATCCTGCGTTCAGTGTTGCGTCGGATACCTCCAGGGCATCTCCCACCGTAGGGCCGCCAAGATTCTCTGCAGCAAGCATCGGCGCCAAGGTTTCGTCAATAAATGTGTTCAAAGAGCCCCTAAGATTCTCAAATTCGCGTTCGAGCACTTTGTTCCTCTGTTTTTGTTGGCTAAGTACTTCCTGGGCAACCTGTGAGGGTGTTTGTTCTTGCTTCCGGGCGTTGGCATTGCGAATCCGTTGGAGTCGTTCTCGAAGTCCACTTGCAATCGCCTGAGAATCTCGTAAATTGGCCTCTTCAACACGAAGCTGTTCACGATCTGCAGATAATCTCTCCGCCGTCACTGAGACAAAGCCCTTGCTTTCTTTAATGAGTCGGGAGGTCTCGTCAATTGCTATCAACGAAGGCAGGACCGAGTCTGTGACTGGAAGCTCTTCTTCAGACTGAAGCAATGAATCATATGCTTTTTTGGCTCGTCGTGCTTCGGAAACACGTGCCCTTTGGTCAATTTCGCCGTCCAAGAGCCCATGAGAACGAATCTCCCGAAGCTAGAAAGAGATATTAGCTATGAACGACCGAGATCTAGAAAGTGCAGAATGATACCTTTTTTAGCTCATCCTCCTGGCGCCGGACCTGCTCCTGGAGCTCTCGCAGGGTTCCATCTAACCGTCGCGCATAGGCATGCAGGGCCGTTGCACTAAGAGGTTGGCTGGTGGACTCTTTCTCCGCTGCTGCACGATTCGCAACGAATTTCTGGATATTCTGCACATTTCCTTCGGGGATCTCCATTCTTGCGTTTCTTGTAGACTGAAGAAATAAAGCAATGGAAGGTCATCCAGAGTATCAGAGTAAAAGAAGTACAAAACCGCGTCGCGTTGATACCACGTGACGTAGCTGGTTTGGGTTTAGCCTGAGTAACAAGTAACGAGTAAGCTCAATCGCTCCGCTTCATCTCTCCATCACTCCCCCTTCTCGTCCCACTCCCCGAGCTTCTCTGGTTTCCTTTTTATTTCGTGTCTTCTTATTCTCTGCGAGGCGACACTGATTTGGAGTGGCATAGCTCTTTCTTGCCTGGTTTTTCCTATTTTCGCCCTATCCTTGCACACCCCCCGTCGCATCCACGACCTTCTACACCTCCCTTGACCTTTTTCCGCTTTCCATCCCCTCGACTCTTACCCCAACCCCCGACAGTTCTCCTAGTCACTGAAAGGGAATTCAAAGCAAAGAAGAACAAGAAGCTTCCCTTGCATTTTGGAAGACCCCACCATCACCATTGATCTGCGCTTTGTCGTCGACTCTCCACACCACATCTCTTCCTCCACTTCAGCCTCACACCCGATCCCCTTCCCCGATCGCCAGCACCAGCACCAGCACGTTTTCCGTGGGAACCTCTGGTGTAAATAGACGATCCATAAAAGAAGAAAACAAATTTCATTCTTGACACTCGACTTTCACGTAAGTGAAGACAAATACAGTACAGCACATTGTACCCAGCATCATGTCGGCCTCTCCTTCCAACCTTCAGTCGACCAAGCGTCCTCTCGAGGACCCTTCTTCTCCTTCGGCCCCCAACGATCAGCCCGAGGCCAAGCGACCCGCCCTGGACAAAGTAGTGCGCAGCGACGCCGAGGCCGAGACGGACGTGTCGAGCAACCAGATCCCCGCTGTTGAGGGCTCAAAGGATACCCAAGGTGACACAGTCGTCCCCGATGCACCCAATGGCAAGGATCATCCCGAGACTCAGCCTATCCAGTCGACCGCATCTCACGGTGAACGAGCTGGCTCCCAGTCTGACCAGCACACCCCCCAGGACGAGTCAAACTGGATTCACATTCGCGCGGTTATCTCCAGCCCGGAGGCCGCCACAGTGATCGGAAAGGCAGGTGAGAATGTTTCCCAGATTCGCCGTCTGTCCGGCGCCAAGTGCACCGTCAGCGATTATTCTCGGGGTGCCGTAGAGCGGATCTTGACCGTCAGCGGCCTCCAGGACGCGGTGGCTAAGGTAGGTTTTGGTTCTATATTTGCTTAGAGACCTGACGCTAATCATTTTAGGCATTCGGACTAATCATTCGTACCCTGAACAATGAACCCCTCGAGGCCCCTTCCACTGCCCAGTCCAAGACGTACCCGCTGCGTTTGCTAATCCCACACATTCTCATCGGCTCAATTATCGGCAAAGGTGGTAGCCGTATTCGTGAGATCCAGGAGGCATCTGGTGCACGACTCAACGCTTCGGACGGCTGCTTGCCGCTGTCGACCGAGCGCTCTCTCGTCATCCTGGGTGTTGCGGATGCCGTACACATTGCGACCTACTACGTTGCCGTTACGCTCGTGGAGCAACTGAAGGAACGGTTCAACGGCCCTGCTGCTTCGGCCTACGCTACCCGTAGCGGCGGTCCCGCCGGTGCCGTTCCTGGTGGCATGCAGGTTGCTCCCTATGTTCCACAGCCCGCTGGCGGCCAGTACGGCCACCCCGACACCTTCAAGCGCCACAACCCCCACCCCAACCGTGCTCAAGCAGGTAACTACGGTGTCCCGTATCTGCACGGTCAACCTGCCCCGGCTCCTGTTGGCCAGCCTGCCATGCCTTACGGCGGTGCACCTGCTCCCTACGCTGGTGGTGCTCCTCACCAGCCAGCTCCTTACGTGGGTGGCCCGCAGCCGACACCTGGTCGTGCAGGTCCACCTGCACCGGCTCCGGTGGGAGGTGCCATGCCTGGTCAGCCAATGACACAGCAAATTTTCATCCCCAACGATATGGTTGGAGCCATCATTGGAAAGGGCGGAGCCAAGATTAACGAAATACGCCATCTTAGTGGCAGTGTGATTAAGATCAACGAGCCGCAAGAGAGCAGCAACGAGCGTCTGGTGACAATTACTGGTACTCAAGAGTGCAACCAGATGGCTCTGTACATGCTCTATTCCAGACTTGGTTCGTCCCCCCGTCTCTTTGCTCCATCTACGATACACTTTTATCTAACAGCCAATCTAGAAAGCGAGAAGCACCGTGTCTAAGTCTGAACATTTTTCTCTTCTACCATGGGAGCTTGGCAAATGCCGAGCCCAAAAAGTCCACGGTGGTTTACGACAATTCTGCTTTTCTCTTTGTGTTATTTCCTTTCATCTTCAAACTCACACGGGTGTTGACGTTTTTCTAACCCCTTTCTTTCTCGCTGTATCTTATTCGAGGCGTGTGATTGAAACGTTGCCTCCTAATAACCAATCCCACGAATTTGTCCCCGTCACCCTACCCTCTATTCCCGTAGCCCTGAACATGCTTTCATCACTCCCAACCCTCTCCCAGTTGACCACCAAACACATTGAACTGTCAAGAAAGCCAAAGAAAACACCATTTTCATTCCTAAGACCAACACCTTGATTTATTAATTCACATGCCGTTCTCCACCAAGCATCCAGCAAATCAGCCCATCACCTTTTACTAAATCTTCTGAAAACTGACATGCTTCACCTCCAACCCAGGAATAGCCCCCAACGACTTCTCACGAATGGGCGAGATACTGGAAACAAACTGCTCTGTCTCCCTTGACTTCTTATGCGCGTCAATAGACTCCCATCCAACAACCAGGAGGTGAAGCGTCGCTTGCCCGCTCGGACTCTTCGCATGTTGCACCAAACTCGGCCGATCCACTTCCCCCATCGACCATGATTTTAGACCCGACCCTTCCGGCAGCTGTTGAACCATTACTGCCCGAAAGTTGATTAAATCACCATTGAGCTGTCTTTTTTCTGGGACAGAGAGTGAGTTTGCAAATGATAAAGTGCATAGCTCCGTTATTGGATTCTCGGTTAGTGCGTCGGCGCTGCAGAGAGGTGGGCTTAGAGTTGCGTAGATTGAAGTTGGAGGCTGGGCATTCAGGTCAAGGTATGGAGTAAGATGTTCTGTGCTTGCGGAGCCTCGAGCATCGGTCCAGTCTGTTATTCCAGTTAGCTATCTCCTAGGGTATTCGCACATAAGAGTCGTAGATGCTTGGTAATATCATAATTATTAACTTCATGATCATGATTCTGGCTTACTCACTAATTGCCCATACTATCGTATTGTCATCCTCCACTGAACGACCCCATGCGGAGCTCTGGTGCCCGCTTTCGTGTTGGATGTTGCGGAAAATAGTCAGAAGGTGTTCGCCTTCCTCGTTGTTCGGATCTTCAGGCCGGACGGAGGGCTTCACCCTGAAGAAGATGAACTCGCTGGTTGTTTGAGACATGGAGACCCTGCAGCGAGCAATGGAGTAGAGGTGGAGTGCTTTTTATTATCTTGAGTGACAATGTAGATGTAATTGGTTCGAAGTTAACGTTGAACTACATGTGATGTGACCGTAATATGATGTAAGGGTTCCGGTCTTCATTAAGCATCATGCCGGTAAACATATCAAAGACTGAAAAGGAGAGAAAATAGCTAAACATACTATGTACACTCCATCAGGGTTCGAGAAACATTTTCGTTTCGCTCCCGTACCCATTAAACCACAAAACCACGCTAGCACATAAAAAAGGAGCAGAAGATGCACAAATACCAATTCTTCCCCTCATTCGAATAAACCAAGAAAATCCCCTCTAAAACTCGTCCACGCCTCGAACCTTGATCTCTTTCTTTTCAATGGCCGCCTTCAGGTTGCCAACAAGATGTTGCCGCCGTTGTGTCTTGACCTTCCAGCGAGCACTCTCTTCTTGGGCAACCACAGGCGCAAAGCTTTCAACACTGCGAAGGCGGCTGTGTCTGGCAGAGCCATTGATACTGGCCCGGAAGCTAACGCCGTGAGAAGCAGACTCAGGGGTGTGGTAGGCACTGTTGTCGATCGAGCCACGCGAGCCAGGTGTGGTGGGGAAACGACTGACGTTCTTGCGGGGGGTAGTGAAGGGTGATCCCTCGCGGCTGCTAGGAATCGTGTTCGTCATGTCGATACCGAGCTTTCGCATCTGTGCTTCCAGGACATCGATGTCACTGCTCTTGTTCTCGGCCATACTCATCATCGTAGCGATTGTCTTAGTGACAGCTTCCACTGTTGGTCGCTTCGATTGCCGCGAGTCGCTCTCGGCGCGAGGAACGTCAGCAATCTTAGCTCTCAACAAGGAGACGCCCTGCTCCAGATCCGCCATCTTGCTCTGGATATCTGTAAACGTTGTCCGAAGATCGTGCTGCAGAGCGGCGTGTTCGGCAGACAGAGGCGCAGCGAGGATGGCACCAGTGTCTGTGTGCGCATCCAGCGTCTTGCGAATGCTGGCGCATTGACCACGAAGAGTCACAATGTCCTTGGTCAGCAGCTCGCGACATTGGTTGAGCTTCTCCTCTACCCCTTGCACACGCTGCTCACTGAGAGAACGGACAAGAGCGGCAACCACCTCATCAAGCTTGCTGATGTCTTGCAACAACAGCTTTTCATCAAGGACATTGGCAGGTTGCTCACTTTGTAGAACATCCACTAACTTCTCAACGCCGGAGGTCTGAGACCTTTGCTGATACAGGAGATATGATTCCATTGAACGAGAGTTGATACCCAATGTATCAACCATGGAGTTGATGTCGCGGTACAGTCGTTCGATCATGCCTGGAATGCCTGGCTTGGCCGTCTCACCCATGTAGTTCTGGTGAGGTAGGAATGGGTCAAGTGTAGCTACAGGTTCAATTGGCCGAGAAAGATCTGCACGCAGTCTCTCATCCTCGTCATCTTCAGAGAGAGACAGAGCTTCTTCCTGTTCCTGGCGTTGTTTCACGGCCTGTTGAGCGCGAAGCTGTTCCTCTTGAGCAGTATCGCTGGCCTTCCTCAACTGTTCGCCACGCTGTTGGGCAAATTGGGTCAAAGAAGCCTTACGGGCATGTAAGGCGCTTCCAACTGGCTTCTCAGAACGGTTTTTGAACAGGGTGCTCTTCTGCGGCTTGGAACGAGTAGGACTTGGTGACCTAAAAGGCTCGCGGGCACTTTGAGCTGCGCGCCCAGGGGGCGGAAGATGAGGTTGCTTGGTAATTTCACCAAATAGGGTGCTTGGGGCTTGTCCTTGCTTCGGCTTTGAAAATCCTCCGAAAAGGCCACCAGATGAGCTCTTGTCAGAAAATCCGGCGAAAGAACCCTGTGCCGAGGGTTTGGGGCTTGGAAGTTCTGTCTCGTCATGCGTAATCTCCTCGCCACTGTCAGAAAAGTCGGATTCGTCTGCATCTTCCTCTGCATCTTCCTCCGCATCTTCCTCCGACTCAACATCCGACTCAGCATCCGACTCATCGGGAACAGGCACAGCCTCCTCCGAGGGGGCAGATTTAGGCCTTGATGTAACGAAATCCGGGGGCAAGGGAGAGTCTTCGGGAACAGCTGGCTTATCCTCGGCTTTTTTAGGCTTGCTCAAGAAATCTGGAGGAAGAGGGGCATCCTCAGCTTTGATAAGAGACTTATTCTGCGACAGGAAATCTGGTGGAAGAGGGGCATCCTCAGTCTTTTTAGGCTTGGATAAGAAATCCGGAGGAAGAGGAGCTTCCTCAGCCTTGACAGAAGGCTTCTTTTGTGATAAGAAGTCTGGTGGAAGCGGTGCGTCATCGTCTTTCGGGGCAGATTTGTTTAGACCAGTAAAGTCAGGCGGAAGGGGAGCATCCTCAATAGAGCTTTTAGACACATTAGAGGATGCCGATGTGTCACCAGGTGCGTAGCTGTCCCTGCTGGTAGCATCGGGGGGCAATGGTGTATCAAAGGTAGGCGTTGAGACGGACTGCTCTCTCTTCGGTGTCGCCGTCTTGTCCGAAGGCGCCGACAGAGGGCTTGTAAGTTGATTTTGAGCCGGGGACTGGTTGGTGTTCTGAGTAGCCGTATTATTCCCAAACATGGAAAACCCAGATTTTGTCGTCTCGATGGGGCTGGGGACCTTGGGTGTGGGCTCAGTCGCAGGCTTTCCAAATATGGATGTGGTGGTGGTTGTCGGCTTTCCAAATGGCGATGTTGTAGCAGCCGGCTTTCCAAACGGGTTGTTAGTGGCAGGTGTCGGCTTTCCAAATGGTGATGTTTGGGCAGGCGTCGGCTTTCCAAATGGCGATTCTGCAGCAGGCTTTGGCTTTCCAAATGGCGATTCTGTAGGAGGCGTTGGCTTTCCAAATGACGATTCTGCAGCAGGCTTCGGCTGTCCAAATGGCGATGTGGTGGCAGTCGGCTTCCCAAACATAGAGGTACTTTGGGAAGTCGGCTTACCGAACATAGGAGTCGGTTCGGTCTTTACTGGTGGTGCTGCGGCATCAGCAGTAGCATCCTCCACATCATCCATTGACTCTGGCTGGGGACTTGTCTTGCCGGATGAGACCATATCATCGAATGATCCACCAAGAGAAAAGGCACCGGAAGACTTGTTGTCAGATTTCGGTAGATCGGTAGCAGCCGTGCCATCGGGTTTGAAGGAAGATCCCAGTGTGAAGCCAGAGGTGCCGCCGCCAAAGGGATTCTTCACCTCATTAGATGGAGGGAAGGCTGTGTCAGTTTGTGGCTTAGCTCCAAACGGTGAGGGAGTTGGCGCTGCGGCAAAAGCGCTCTGTCCCGCAGGCTTCCCAAAGGCCGGTTCAGTGGGCTTGGATGCCGCAAGGCTACCAAATCCACCTCCTCCCCCACCAGAGAAAGCACCAAAACCACCCCCAGTAGAGCCAGTTCCGGTCCCAAGGAGTGACTTAGCAGGGGTACTGGGCTGCCCAAAGGGAGACGGCGCGGCAGCAGTTGAGGCACCGAATCCAGGCTTGCCAAACTGTGCCTGGCCCAGTGTACTCGTGGAGCCAAACCCAACACCAGGCTGAGACGGCGTTCCGAAGGAAGGTTTGCCAAAAGCTGGAGTTGAGCCCCCATTCATTTGAGAAGGGCTACCAAAGGATGGCTTCCCAAATGCTGTTGCTCCCATGGTAGACGATCCCATGGTAGACGGGCTTCCGAAGGAGGCACCGCCAGATGGCTTACCAAAAGTAGATGAGCCAATAGCCGATGGGGTGCCGAAGGAAGACTGTCCAAAAGCAGGCTGCTGGGGCGCTGGGGCGGGAGTTGGGGGTTGGATTTGGGAGGCTGTCATCGATGTCTGAGGAGCTGAGACCAGACCAGGATACGGCACTTTCTGGCGAATAGCATCAGAGTAAATGAACCACCAGTATGAGAGAATACCGTCATTGTTGAGAAGCATAAGACCAGGCAGAGGAGTTGAGCTCTCTGAGATGTCTTCACCCGCAATGGGTGCAATGACAGTCTCATGACAAGAAAGGTCCGCAGCCAGACCGATGACCGAAGTTTCGTCGACGGAATCCTTCAACGGAACTGAAGCTCTCTTAGCATCGTCATTAACTTCCGTGGTCATGAATTGGCCAACAAGGGCTTTAGAAGTTTCGTCACTGGCAAGTGGCTGATCACTTCTGGTGATAAGACCGACATCGGTGGATGCAGTTGATGATACAATCAAGACGTCCTTCAAAGAAGGCTTGTAGTCTCGCAGTCGTACAGTGAAATTGTATGCCGGTGAGCGGTTCATTGCAAAGCCCACTGTGGAGCAAATCTCTGGCAGTTTCTGAATGAGAAAAGGAGCCTGCTTTCGTCTCGTGATTATGTAGTAAGAAGAAGGCGGGTTCTGTCCAGTCCCATCGTCAGTGGCATTCGGGGTGTAGACCATGAAAAAAACATCATTCTCGAGCCATGACACAGAAGAAACTATGCCATTGTTAGCGGTTTTTAATCCATAATGGACTGAAAATATCAGAACTTACCATGGCAATCGCCCTCCAAATCAGATGGACGAGGAATACCATCCTTCTTTGTCCCATCGGGGGTCATCTGGTCCGCTGTTCCATCTACCAATCCAGCCACCAGCTGCTTTCCTTTGTTGCTCCATGCCACGCTGCTAACTCCATTCCTGAGGATTGGGCCGTTGGCGCCTGAAACCAGGTTTCCAGCTTTCAAGTCGGCGACCAGCAGCTCGCCATTGGCAGTGACGAGAGCAACGAAAGTAGAGTTGGGGTCCGGGTTAGGCGCAAGTGCCCGAATTGATGCGCCGTTGGTAGGAATAGAGACAGCCGGCTGCGCATTCCCTTGCACGATATCGGTGGTCTTGAAAACAGATAATTGGGAGCCATTTTCCGTGGCTAGGATCAAAGCATCATCGTTCGCGGTAAATGCCACATGCGTAGGCCGCGCGGGGAGAGGGATAGTAGCTTGTGGCTGGAACGGTTTTGTTTTGAGTTTATCCTCTCCTGCTGGTGCCTCGATGGCCTTTCTGATAGATTCGGCGCTTGCGATCACAAGCGTGTCTGGGCCGGCACCAACAACCACTCCTTTGCTTTGAGCGACAGCTAGGAGAGAAGAGGTCGGAGAAGGAAGGGAATTTTCGGGCCAAGGGGTAGGTAGTAAGCGGATATTCGCATCTCCGGAGAGACCTTTAAAACCGACTTCCTATAAATGATGTTAGCTCGCGACCTGCCACGGGTCATCCAAGCTTATACGGAGCACATACATCTGTGAAGACATCGGATAGCTCTGGTCCCAGCTCGGCCCCGGAGTGCGATTGCACTAGGTTGAAAGCCATTTTGAGTTTATGGTGGTCTGCGGAGACCGTACGAGGAGAGTCGCCTAAAGGTGAGTTTGTCCTCGAAGCATTGAGCGATGGTGAGCTCGGCGGCGTAGAAGAGAAAGAGCGTCGGGGGAGTGCTTGCGGACTCCGGTTAAAAAGCTGCAGAGTACGCGCAAAAATCGTGACGCGATCTCTTCCCAATAGAAGAGAGGGATGTAAGGATCCTGGTAGGTCCGCGATGGGAGGAGTAAAACGGCCAGGTCTCGACGGGGAAGGTGTTTGAACGCCCGAAAATGTTGAAGGCGAAAACACGCGGTGGTTATCTGATGCCTTGCGGGTCAGGCACCAACACAGGAGCTTCAACAGCTAGGACGATGAGATCTTCAAAATATCTCGATATCTTGTTTATCCTTTTTGAGAGTAGGGACTAAGTTCATATTGAGAGCTTTCATTCTTTCCAGATACAATAGTTGTTTGCCGTCTTTTATATCTGTCTTTATACCTGACGCATGCTTGTCTACTATGTATGTAGTTTAAGCCTACTCACCGCCTTCCATCCACTTAGGTAAACTAGGCTGCGGGAGCTTCGTCACTTCAAACAGCTCCCAACTTCATCAGCTTGCTCGCATCTATCTTCTCCCCGTCCATCCCTCCTCTACGCCTCCCATCCGCTTGCTTTGGCCCCAGAAGTCTCGCCGCCCGCCAACTAGCCATATCTTTGCCAGTCGGTCCACCCCTGCATTGTCACGATGCCAGGCTTCGACTTCTCCAACTACAACCGCAACGCGGCTCTTCACGCCAGGGGCGTTCCCCTTCCCAAAGCTACCAGCACCGGTACAACAATTGTGGGATGTATCTACGATAATGGTGTTGTGGTAGGGTCACCCCAAAATCTACAAAGACAGCGACGATGGGCCAGAAGCTGACATGATATCCGGGGAAACTACAGATTGCAGCAGATACCAGAGCCACTAGCGGGCCCATAGTAGCAGACAAGGTACGAATAGAATTGTCAAATAAAATGACGAAGCGTGATGGGTCCCAGACCGCTAATAAACGATCCCTCTCTGAAATATAGAACTGCGAGAAGCTCCACTACATCGCCCCGAAGATCTGGTGTGCCGGTGCCGGTACCGCCGCTGACACTGAATTCACCACCGCGCTGATCAGCTCAAACGTCGAACTGCACTCCCTATCGACAGGTCGCGACCCTCGTGTGATCACATGCATGACCATGCTGAAGCAACACCTCTTCCGATACCAAGGTCACATCGGCGCGTACCTGGTCGTTGCGGGTGTTGATCCAACCGGAGTTGGTCTGTACACTGTGCACGCGCACGGTTCCACAGATAAGCTGCCGTACGTGACCATGGGTTCCGGATCCTTGGCCGCTATGTCAGTGTTTGAATCGATGTGGAAGCCGGATCTTGACAAGGCCGGTGCTGTGGAATTGTGTGCAGAGGCTATCAAGGCTGGTATCTTCAACGATCTGGGATCTGGTAGCAATGTTGATGTCTGCGTCATTGAGAATGACAAGCCGACTCAGTTGATGCGCAACTATGAGAGGCCCAATGAGCGTGGACAGAAGGAGCGCAACTACCGCTTCCCTCGTGGTACTACTGCTGTGTTGAACCAGAAGATTATCACAAAGGAGGATATGAAGAAATATGTCACTATTGAGACCCTATCTGGGGACTCCAACCTCGCGGGAGATATGGACGTTGACAGTTAGATGGAGGTTTAAGGTCCAGGCGATGTGCAGGCTAGTGGTCTTATTTTCCTGAGGCGATTAATATACACTGGACTTGTGTCTCATTACCATCGTTGTATTCATGAAAGACGATTGGCTCGATCTTCGTTGTGTAGCTCTACAGCTGAAGTCTCCGAGTCTCTCAATGAAATCAATCAATTTCTCTTAAGTTCATGCACATAACTTGTTATCAAAATACGTATACATAGCACTTTGGAAAGGTAGGATAGGGTATTGTGTATTCAGTCATCCCCAAAAACGACATTTTGGTATCTTCAATTTGCAAAACTAATATACTTGCAAAGGGCAGTCGCTGGTACCCATTGTCTAGTCATGGTACGAACCTTCACTCGACCGGCCAATCTGCGGTGCCTCATGGAGCTCTCTAACAACATCCTGCCCTTCGAACTTCTCAATAATCCACATAATATACTCATACTGAGTACGCGAAATGCGGCGTCCTTCACGACGATACCGCACAACACCAGCATGGTACATTGCCCGCACCAAAGATGGGTAGACAGGTCCACCGTGTTTGCGAAGATAGTCGTATAGCCAGTGAATAAGGTGAAAAGAGCGGGAGGGAGTCAACTGCTGACAGCAGGATAACGCAACAGCCAGTTGGTGGATGAATTCGACTGCGGCGTATGGATCAGGGCACCTGCTATCTCGTGGTCCGGGGTGGTAGCGCACGAGAACTTTCTCATCTGGGTGTGGAATGGGTACCCAAGCCTTGTGAAGACACAACTTAAATGGCGTGTGGTTGCCCAGGAGTCTAGTGATAGACCAAATGCTTTTCGAGTCGCCTACTCTGGCAAGACGTAAACATTCGTTCATAGTCTCCGGACTCAGGAGGTCTAGCCTATTAAACATTTGTTCGAATGAACCATAGAAGAGGCCTCGGACTCCGTTATAGGTAGCTGGGTCTGCCCAGAGATTGGCCAAAGATATTTGAGAGGTTTCAAGTCGTTCGAGGGTCTGGCGGGTAGTTTTTGTGACCAGTTTCCCCTGTTTGAGGTCAACTGCGAGTAAAAGAAGGCCGCTGTATGGTAGATTTAGGCCGTGAATGCCATGCAACAAGTCTGCAAAGAAAGTTCCTTTCGTTTGTGAGACGGTGATTTCGTACAGACTGAGCAACATATAGATGGATCGATCAGTGGCTTTGGCATACGAGTGATACATGGGTCCCATGGATCGACTCAACGAGCGCAAGACCCATAAGCGAAGCACAATCTGATGTTGGACAGGCAGTGAGGATTTTTTAGGGAAGGCAGCCAATGCCTCGTTTTGGTTTTGAGTGTAGGCCAGCATTAGATCTGACCATATCTGGGAACGTGCAATGGCCGAAGCATCGGGTATGTTCAGTAGGCAATCTCGCCATTGCTCAAGCCGTTGGTTCCGATCCTGCTTCTGCTCAATAAAGGCCAGGCGTTCGGTGACATCGATCAAACAATTAGCCGCACAATCAGGGTCCAGTCGACTTAACAAAGACGAAGGGAATTGAACAGATTTCGTCGAAATCTTTTGACCGAATTCATGCAGCCATCTAAAGATAAAGGTCGAAGGCCAATGGGTATCGTGACTTGCATTGTGAGTTGCGACAATAACTTCGCCCGCGAAACGAAAGTCGCCGAGTCTCATAAGCTCTCCAAGCCAGGTATCGACGATCTCTGTATCCAATTCACCATAGCCTAAGATGTTGCAACGTCCGATGGCCTGCCACATAGCACGGTAGTGTTTCAGCAATGCTTTCTGGTCCCATGCGGCCAAGGTCTTGTTTCGCTCAACAATAATACCTGGCAGAGCTTTTATGATCAAGCAGATTTCGTCCGAGGCAACTAGTCCCAGCTCGAGGGCACGAGAGACTGCATTCAGCACAGCGGTTCGGTTGGATCGCTTTGTTTTTGTCCGCACAAATAGGTCCACCGCAGCAAGGTAGTTGCCAGCTCCCCAGACATTCAAATATGGGTCATCCAGAAATTGGATCGCTTGCGTTAAGTCTGTTGTTGAGCGCACGAGCAATCTGTCGAATATCTGACGGCTGTATTCAGGCTCTCGGTGCAGGTCGATTCTCAACCGACGGGCAAGATCTCGAGCATCCTCAATCCCCCAGTCCTTCCCTTCCAGGAACTTCTGAAGTACTTGCGCCTTTGTTGGTTCCTTTCCTTCCCGCGAGGTCGAGACTTTTGATTCCAGGATCCGCGGGTTGATGGGTTCAGGATTGTGGTCGTAAAACGGAAGCGAGGTCTCGGCAGTCGCGTAAGCGTAGCTACTCAAGTCTTTCAGATTGTCAGTTGGTTAAGTCCAGTCTTGTTCAGCTTATTCGCTCAGATCCCACGCACCTTGAGTATCGGCATGCGATCTCTGCCACGGGTGATCCGTCCATTTCATATGTTCTCGTCCATTGCGCCCAAAAAGACACGCGATATCTTCCGCTGGAGATAATCCGAAGCCAGCAAGTGCTGTATTTCGGCGCCGGGCAAGTCGTCTTCGCGCCTCCAATGGTCCGGGGACGCAGCTGCCATGTCGTCGTTGACCGCTGGCGAAGCGACGAAAGGTTGCTGCAAGCAAATCGTCGCTGACCCAGGGATGATCGAGGGTTGAAGCCGAGGGAGGTTTTAGAGCATGCCTGTAGGCATGCCTACTAAGAGACATGGATTATTGTTGGCATATGCGAGCCAATTGAGGTGTTCCGGGGGGTCATGTATCGCCGAGCGTTAACATTTGGATGCAGCTTCAACTGATTTCTTGGCATTCTATGACTAAGTAATAGGGCCAATGAGAGGCCACCAATTTATTAGCATCGGAAGTACGTAGTATATCGCGATAACTTTTGAAAGATTGTTATGAAGTGTTCATTTTTATAATTTATATTTTTATCATGAGTAAGGGATGTATTACCCCCTATTGTTCGCCCATCAGATGTTCTGCGATCGTCTCTAAAGAATGCAATGCAATTCGATCAATGCAACATAGGTAAGCGTAAGAATGATTCGTGAATGGGAATTAAGAAAAGCAAAATGTAAAACAGGTAAGATAGAAGAAGATAGACGAAAATAAAAACAAAATCGTCAAAAGCAAAGCCTGGCGCCAATGCAATGCATGCAACATGCTGTTCGCCCACCAAGGGTATACTATGCCAACCATCTCAGCGAAGACATTAACGAACGGTGTATAGGACATATCGTCATCATAAGAAAGAAGATAGAATTCTTCTCCCAATTTTTTCATCAAGGGGTCGTGGAGAGGGGCTTTCGGCCCGTAACCACATAGTGATCCATGTAGGCATGCACACTCCGATCCTGTATACTCTTTCTGACATCGACAAGAAAGACCTCAATCTCAGGCTTCGACCAGCCCAGAGCAAGAAATGGCTTGTATGACCAGCCCGACAAAGCTTCAAGCCAATTGTTCTCATTCCATTGCCCGATGACCTTCAAGCGCTCATCGGTAGGCCAGTTGTTTGTCGGGACTTTGAATTTCCGTTGCTCAACATCCACAAAGCCTACTTCCTTCATCCATTTCTCAAGACGATGAGCGATTCGAAACTGTCGACATGGCTCGACCTCCTGGCTAGAGCGCATGTTCAAATCAAACCAGTCGTGTAGAGCATACGTGCTGAACCCGTCTGGGTTCTCTGGTGGCATGGTGCCGTCGTCACATCTTGGCTTCGGGTCTGTCTCCTGGCATTCGATATAACCACCTGGTTTGAGGTGTTTGAAGGATTGCCGTAGTACTTGCTTGAAGGAAGCAATGGCGCCTGACATGTGAGCGACGTGAATAAAGTCGAAATGATCTGCATCCCAAAGCCATTCTTCTTCTGTAGCGTCATCTACCAGGAAGTGAACGTTCTCTGGGACCTCTGTGGGCTGGACAGGGGAAAGATCTGTTCCCGTAATTGTGGTATTCGGAAAGATGGTTGCTGATGTGAAGAAAGATTAGATCTTTTAAATGGAACAAATGTCAAATTCACGCGAAAAACGGAACCGCCTACCCATATCTATTGGCCATATGCCAGAGCCGGTGCCAACATCGAGAATTTGTTCGGGCTTTTCAAGAGGAACATGATATAGATTATTTTTCGTCACCAACTTGTACATATGATGCGCCATGTCCAGACGATCCAGTTCCTGCTCATCATTTGGATATAAATATGCTAAAATGATTGTCAGAAGTGCTCCAGAATATGTGTGTAAATTTAATTGAAGGACAAACCTCCTTCATGGTATTTGTGATACCGTCTTCCATTCTCGACGGGATAGTCTGTTACACTGTCTGTCAAGGACTGCGTGTCACTGTCATCGTCTTATTAGTCAATCTTCAAGAATAGGCAGTAAAAAGATCCCAGCGAGACAAGATGATCATACCATTCACTTTTTGGTTCCTGCATATCTTATGTTAGCATTAAGCATTCCTCAGCAAGGATGTTGGGCATGGTATTGGCAACTAATGAGCAAGTTCTGAGCAGCACCTTTCATGAACTACCATGGAGCCATTGGATAAAAGCTTACAGAAGACTTTGGGCTCGTCATAGCTGCCCCAGGTCCGTACCCAGTGGGATAAACCGAGGCAGATAAGAGCTTGCAAGCCAACCCTAAAGAGGGTTCAATAGGGAGGACACAGAGTGGATCCAAACCGGCAGCAATGCTTAGGTCAAATGCAAGAAAATAAGTAGCAAAGAATATAGACAAAAAGAATCACCACCCCACGAGGGAAAAGTGAAAAATGAGCGCTTATTCCTCGGCCCAACCAACGAGAACAGCGTGAGTCCTATTTTCAACGATGGTGGGGGAGCTAGCACTGGGGAAATTGAGCGAGAGCGGAAGGGTGTTTAGCGATACTCCATTTGCGATCCCACCCTAGTTCGACATTGTCGGTAACTATGCAGAGGGCGTGAGAGAGGCGTTCGGAGTAAAAAATAAAAAAAAGAATTAAAAAAGGTCAAAAAAAATTGAAGCAGGGTGGAATGTATTTGGGGGAAAGGTTGTCAGTTCGTCGAGCCCGACAGCTCGGGTTAAGTTATAATTTGGCAGGACGGGAAGACGATCCGGACAACTATAAATCAAATGCTGGCAAGCTACCGGGGTGGGATCGACATTAGAAATGTCGCAACAACCAAGGCCCGCAAGGGTGGGGAGTGGAGTACAAGGGCGTGCATGGATGGGGTACAAAGTTGAGCCAGACTATACCAGGTGGGCATGGACGTCAGAGTGTCGGGCTGAGAGTTTTTTTAGCGGGGAAGCGCTTCGGGCGGACAACCATGTAAAAATTTTAAATTTTCCAGGACACGAGGGGGTTAGGGTTAGAGTCGAGGCATGGTTTCTGTATGGGGAGTTTCCCCGTTCGGTGTGGAAGGAAAGAAGAGAGAAGAGTAGATGTAGATACTCGTTTTAAGTGATGAATTGGATCTTGAATTGAATTCCCATGGACGAAACAGAAAACAGAGAGTGAGGTCAAATGAGAAAAAGAGAAATCATATTGAGGAGCGGAGACTGGAAATACGCGATACGTATATAAAACGCCCAGTCCCTTTCCCTGTTTTGGTGGTTCGAGCGCAGCCGATCCCAGCGACGTTCGGATTGGAATCGGCCCCTGCTCTTCTATACATGCATAATTTTCTGTGGTAAAACCCCCGGAACACTAGGTTATTACAGCATACTAGTAAAATTCAAGGATGCCCTTATTTGCAAGTTATACGTGGATTTCTTTTCCGCTCAATGACTCGTGGACCCTTGGGCTCACTGGTTTTTTACAGGTGAGAACACTAGTAAGATTTTTATTTCATTCACTTCCGTGCAAAAAACCAAGTTCCCAAGGAGTCTTTACCTCGCAGAGCCAGATTAGCCAATAATCAGTGGTTCCAGTGGGCTGGGAATTGGCAACCGAACTAACCCAGGGCCGCTTTTACCCTTTGTCCTGGGAATCTCCGCCGGGAATCTGGGAGGGAAAAAGAAAAATACGCTTCTCCTCAAACAGGTGTGCATGAACGCTGCATGGTTGATCCTGGACGCCATTCTTTTCCGACAGTTTGGTTCCTCCGTGAAAGAAAATAAAAAAAATAAAATAAAGAATTCGATTTTCTCGTTCTCGCGGACTAGATCGAGCAGGTATGACCCAAGGTGATAGCAAATTTCTCTGATCGACCACTGGCAACTCCCCAGCCCCGCAGTAGCGATGGTGGACAGGAAGGCCCAGTGGAGCTGTCAAGAATTCCGATTCCCATACTCCGTCCAAGGGGAGACTATTTAGCGAATACCATAATAATGGAAATTGATAGCCTCGCTATTATGTCTACGCCCGACAACTGCTTTTACTTGCTTTGTTCCTCTTGCTAGGGTCTTAGAAGGGGCTACCCATGTTCCCATGTGGCGGTATGGGAAAAAAAGGCAACAGGACTAACATAGAACTAGCTTAGTTGGCATGGTTGCAGGTGGTTTCGAGTTGCCCCTCCGGGATAGCAAGTGCTCCGCCTGCTTTAGTGCCTTTCGTTCTAGCGGTGGACGAGTTGATCTGTCAGAATTAGCGTCTCGTGCGGACTCGAATCTAGACACTTGACCCCTCGGTCGCTCGATTTGGCAACTAATGCCTCGGTCAACATATGAAATCGCTTCTTTTTTCCTATTGATTATTCATCGTAGTCTGGGTGTATCCTAGCATACTGGAAAAAGCAAGGGAAAAAAACGCAGGTAACTTTATAGGTAACAAAGACAGAGGGAAAACTCACGGACCACACGTAGGGCGGGGGGTCCTCATCGGGATCTGGAACCTGCACTGGCGGAACAGCGAAATGCTCCGACGATCCGGGATTTGGGAATGTACCCCTGTCTTTTGGGCCCGCAGCCTCGTCACTGAAACTGGGTATCAACGGTCGTAAATGTAGGGTCTCTTACTGTGGTAGGGCTAGACTCAAACGTGATCTATTTCGGTGAGCGTAGTTTCTTGAATGTGCTACGGTACGTCACAAGGTCAGGCCAAGATTCAAGACCAGTTCAAACTGATTAGCATGGGCATGCGAGCATAATGTCACCTTGAGTGACAATTTGGATGGCTGCCGCCTAATACTGCCTACGTACATGGAGAATCGTGTACTCGGATTACTCCGAACTCATGAAAACAAATGATGTGTGCATGGGGAAACAAGACTAAAATCTAGAATGATTATAATATGAAAAAGAAAAAAAAATAGGGCAAGTAATTGTCAATATCAGATCCCTGTAATAGTTCCAGAAATAACCCAGGGTTATTCCCATGGCGCTGGAATTCCATTCAAAGGGCACCCCGGGGGCTTTGTTAGCAATCCGACGAGTCAAAACCATTCTTGCCGACCCGACTGCTGGGAAAGTGTTCGGGTCCCAATGTGTCGGTACCGCATGCGCAGGAGCCAATCCGCCAAGGGGTCCTAAGAAATCAGGTACTTCTGAAGAAATACATTTATTTCTTAAACATGATTTTTGGGCCTAATTGACCGTTGTGCTTTCCTGGCCAATGGCTAAAATTCTCTAAAAATTGAGTCAGGGTCTCTCCCGCAAGACATCCTGTTAGGCAGTGATTGTCTCTGAGATTCAACCGGGTGCGCATATTAACCCCGAGTTGAAAACCAGATTTTGCCTTTCATGTTCTGATGGAACCAGTGGTTCGGTTCATCTTCGGCTGTATGGATGATGGAAACGAAGGCGGCCCTGAGACCGATCTGTTCCCTGTCTAGCTCCCAAGTTACTCCACAAATAAGAATCTCTACCAGCCGGGATTACAACATTATGTTACACCAATGGCTTCTGGCTCCGGGCCCCTACGACCACTCAGAGTCCCCTGCAGATTAAGGAGGCTGAAAAAAGCGGATGCGATCATGTACAGAAATGATATCGAAATACTACCTTGCCATGCAGGCAGGAGTTTTTGGAGCATCTATCCCTGCGAGTACCTAAGGATTAACGTAATTAATAAACGGGTGCCATCCCCAGAATACTATAACGAATGCAATAAGATATAACACTAATGTCAAATACATTTTAAACTGGCCATTTGAGCTCTAGACACATATCTTCGACTTATTCTGGTAGCCTGTGGGAATTGACTAAAATCCATCTGTATACTATATCTAACATGAAGATCATCTAAGTATTAAATTACAACGAAAACTATGGTTATGGAGATATCAGGCCGAATCTGTTGCATTTAGGATGGCGCCCGCTTACCGGAAATGCGGGTTATGTCCGTGTGCTGAGGCTTGCAGTTGGACCGAGATCATCAACTTGTTTGTTTACCTTTTTGAGCTTACTGAAACACTGATTAATCTCGGGACTTCACTCCTTCGGCCGAGCGATGCAAGCCTCCAGCCTTTCTTACTACAAAACCCTAATCTCAAAGGTTACGTGGCTCTCAAAATTAAAAATGCCCAATTCTGGTAGGAAGTCGACCGCCTTGCAGTGACAAATACCACACTGTTCTCCACAACTCAGTCCACCATTGGACCAAAGAGACTGCATTTTTCATAGTCGCTTGACGACATGTCTACCCAAGCGAAGAAACTAGTCTATAATGGCAGGTCGTAACCGTGGTTCTGGCTGTTTTTGGGGACGCGAACACCATTTTGCTGTGGGGGGATTGTTGTCGATCAGCTGGAGAGGCCCACACACGCGGAACATGTTTAGTTAGCCATGTCGGCTAGGAGCACGTTCCAGCTAGGCCTATGGGGGCAGGGGGCGCACTAACTAACCTGAACTTCGGAAGTAGAGGGGTTCTCATCATCTCGCTAGATGTAAGCCTGAAATTTGAAAGACGAGAGAATGAGCGATGTGAAATTTAGTACAGTGAGAAAAAAAACTCATTGATTTGGAATTTGGAATTCAGTGCCGTAACTCTATCATCAGTATACGATTACTCTAAGTGGAGCCGAGGGCCAATCGGCAGGCTGGAACAGCGAGGTCATGCATGAATGACACGGGTCACTTGCTGTCAAGTGCGAAAAGAAAAAATCGATTGTAGATCAGGCGCATCTAGGACGGATATAAAAATCTACTTCTAACCAATGAAGTTGATGATTTGCGACTTGCAGATCTGCGAGGAAGTCCGGGAACGAGACCCGCCGAATGAGAGGGGCTTTAGGCGGCTCTATAATCAGGAAGAGCCAATGACACGTGAAAAGAGGTGAAAATAATTTGTCATTGTTTGGGTGGATATAACTTCAAATCGCTCGGACCATTCCCGCTGACGACGAGGATGAGACCTCGGAAACACGAGCAGGGTTAAGCCATGGTGGCCACCTCAGCAAAAATAAAAATGAACTGAAGTGAAAACCCAGGACAACGACCAAAGAAGAAGGTACCCCAACAATATTCCCCTTGCGCATGTTTATTTGACTAAAGTGGCGATCTTGTGAGGTACCGACGCAGATGTCGATCTCCTGTTGACTTTTAACTTGCAACGTACTTTATCCCGTTCATAACAACTAGAACTTGCGAGAATCGGGATCCGGTTCCGAATTACATTCCCTGTATACTTGGTCTAAATGTAAATTTCTGTTTGGGCCTTGCATCCCTTGCTGATGTATGAGTGCGGCCCAAATTCACCAGCTAAGCCACATAAAAAATTCACTATGAAAATGTATACAGTTGACCTCGGCATCAGCCAAGAGATGGCCCACTACGACTCCTAGTTGAATGCGCTTGTGATTCATAACCATATTGATGGGAAATGACTCAATACCTTATCGTTGTTACAACTCACCAGATTTTCCAATCTTCCTACTGGTGGTTCCAAGGCTGAGAAGGCAAATGGTACCTTTGAAGCCTGGTGAACGTATCGCAAATCCGACATGGATGCGAATCATGTACTACATACGTAAAAATCTACAAGGTGTGCTCTGAGTTAGCTTAGCAGAGCATTCGAAACTACTTCAATAGCATGCCAATAGCTAATGGAAATATATTGTTTTATGGTCATGTATATCGGAATACAAGAAGTCGAACATTGACAAGGACGACTTGGGGAAAGGTCTCGTATTACTGTCCTTTTCAGTATCTACTGCTCATTCGACGCATAAATGTGTGTGAAGTTTGAGGCCCACCTCCACTTTAACGGAATAGAGGTCATGGTTGTCAACATTTGCGCTAAGTAGGGGCGGGTTCAAGAGATCGTTTTAATACTTTAACCGAGGTATCCCCAAAGACTTAACTTGAACAGCATTCTACATGGGCCGCCTAGGCATAGCTTATTAGATATTACAAGACTTCGGCAGGTCAATCAGCGCCCGCTGTTCAAAACCTTGGAAGATATTAACAGTAGAGCACCGCCGCCGAAAAAGAAGTAGGTACCTAGTAGGTATATAATTCTCATATACAGGCCTTTTTTCTTTTTTCTTTTTCCTTGTTCTTTTCTTGTTCGACTCCACTCCCGCATATTTGTATTTGAATTTCAATTACAAAAGGCGGATATCCGGTGCTATGCGGGCATCATTCGCTCACTTTCAATCACTTAATACAACATAATGGTATCATGAATATACCGGCACTTCTATCTATTGAGCTCTCTAGCTTATACAACAATCATCATTCCAAAAAATTAGTGACAGTGGTTTGTGGTTGACACTAGAATATCAATGAGTTCCTTCAGTGGGTCATTTAGATCTGAGCGGTCGGATAAACCCGGTTGCCGCAATGACGCATCACGGCCCCACCAATCAACAGAGCAATTAAACCCTTTTGATCTGACAAAAGCTTCGTGACTACCCATTTTGATGTACGCGCTTTCCTGCTCGATGCTCCTACGGCTCGTCTAAAAGACGCGTCATACTTGATACAGGGACGCGCAGAGCTTCATCTCCAATTTAGACCCGAGCCTGGCTTCTTTATGCGCGTTCACACATCGTCTAGGCATGGCGCGCCAAATCCCAGCCCGCTCCACTCGGGGCAGGGCAACTCGTAGCCGCCAGCCGAAGGATAACACATCGCGTCAAGATCAGGTTCCAGAGGTCTACCAAGAAATGCTAGATGAGGCTGAAGCACGAGACCCCGAGCAGTTCAATATGGATAGGCCAACCAAGAGACGCAGAGTTGGAGATACAAAGGCCATTCCTGTCAACACACCAACTTTGATACAGCCCAGTAATGTGGACTATGCAACTCCAGACAAAAAGGACATCACACAAGTGCAAACCGTTTACGACTCAACTACAGAGGATGAATCGGATGTTGAATGGGAGGATGTGGATATCCCGCAACCGGCTCAGGAGCCTCTCAGTGCAAGTGCTGCACTACAGGGAGGCGACGAGACCCTTCAAATCATCTTCAACAAAGAGCCTGAGCCCCAAAAGAGGACTGCACCCAGAAGAAAGCCCGTCACTGCAACGGAGAAAAAGTTACGCCTCGAAATCCACAAGACGCATCTGCTTTGCCTTTTGGCTCATGTGAACCTGCGGAACCGGTGGTGCAATGATCATGAGACACAGGTGCGTGCCGAGGAAACAAACTACAATAAAGCTTTCTAACAGTTGTCCAGAACTTCTTGAAGAGAATGCTCCCTAAGAGAATGGTCGCGTTGTTGCACCCGGACGAGAAAAAACAGCAATACAACCGGTCGACAACCTTTGTGGATGGCCTCAATCAAGTAGCTGATATCTTTAATCGGAAGTTTCGAGTCACAAAACCTGGCTTGAAGCGGGCACACTGGGCTGAAGATCAAATCCGACTCAAACAGAGAGTGGTATTGACCCGCAACGCTACATCGGTGGTATTTAATATGCTCTAACATGCCCATAGGAATCAATCATGTCGGATGCCGAGGTTTTCTTATCTCAGGCAGATTTTCGGTCTCAGGCGAAAATGATGCAAGGCTCACGAGACTTTGGCGCCCAGCTATTCTGTGCTTTACTACGTTCCGTATCTGTGGAAGCGAGGCTAGTATGCTCCCTTCAGCCACTACCATTCTCAGGCTCGGTGAAAGATATGACGCCATCTAAAGCAGCACCGAAGTACATTGTGATATCTTCCGATGACCATGACTCGTCCATGGACGAGCGGCAGCAATCTGGAAGTTCTTCAACTCCGACGAGGCCACGGCGGATTGGACGTCCAGAGTTCATATCACGACCGACGACATCGTCTACACGTACAGGTTGGTGGTCTTAAGCATCCATATTGAAAACATTCTGAACTGACGTATTTAAAGAGCCTCGTCCTATTTCTCAAGAGTCTGCGCACCCTGTTTTCTGGGTTGAGGTATTCAATGAGGCAGTCCAAAAATGGTTTGCAGTTGATCCTATCGTGACCAAGTCTCTGGCAAAGCCTTCAAAGTTCGAACCCCCGGCAAGCGACCCATACAATAACATGAGCTATGTGATTGCTTTTGAGGACGATGCTTCTGTGAGAGATGTGACAAGGCGATACGCAAAAGCATTCAACGCAAAGACGCGGAAAATTCGAGTCGAGTCTACCCGGAATGGAGAACAATGGTGGAACAAGGCAATGATGGCGTATGAGAAGCCATTCCTCGAGGATCGGGACGAGGCGGAGATTAGTGAACTGACCTCCAAGTCTGCCGCTGAGCCTATGCCCCGAAATATCCAGGACTTCAAAGATCACCCCATTTACGCAATTAAGAGGCATTTGCGCCGCAATGAGGTTGTTTTTCCTGAACGTGTCATTGGCCATGTTGGCCTAAGCAAAACGACATCCAAAAGCGACAACCTGGAACCTGTTTATCGTCGGTCTGACGTGTATGTGGTGCGTAGCGCCGACAAGTGGTATCGGTTAGGAAGGGATGTCAAAGTTGGGGAGCAACCTCTCAAACGTGTTCCTGCCACGCGCCCGAAAAGTGGATTCGCGAGTGATGAAGAGGGAGAGGAATCCGAGCATACCCCTCTCTATGCAGAATTCCAGACCGAGGTTTACAAGCCGCCACCAGTAGTTGGAGGTCGAATTCCCAAGAACGCATACGGAAACCTGGATGTTTACGTCCCAAGTATGGTGCCCCCTGGGGCAATTCATATCAAACGCACAGAGGCTTCTCGAGCCGCACGAATCCTGGGGGTAGACTTTGCAGATGCTGTTACTGGGTTTGATTTCAAAGGGCGCCGTGGAACCGCTGTCTTTGGAGGCATAATAATTGCCGTCGAATACCAGGAGGCTTTGGAGGAGGTCATGAGGAGTATGGAGGATGAAAGACTACACGCTGCATTTGAAGCCAGGAGTGCAGAAGCTTTGGCAATGTGGCGACTTTTCTTACTCAAGCTCAGAATTGCAGAAAGAGTTCAAGGCTACGCGTCTGACGATGAGAGAACAGGCGATTCAACCCCGAAAGAGACAAGTGTGGATCCGGCTGAAGGAGGTGGGGGTTTCTTTCCAGAGCCAGATCAATTGACGAGAAGCCCGCCCCAAGGATTTTGGAATGAAGAGCAGGCAATGGGCCTGATCCCTGGAGGAGACAACACCTTCATTCCCAACCTTTTGGATGCCTCTGAACAGCAAGAAGACGAGTATGGTGGCGGATTCATCCCAGAGGAACCCGAGAAAGGGAACTTGTCTCCTGAACCAAGCATATCTCAGCATCAGCCAACCTCACAAAGAAAAAGCAGGACTAATTTCTCCAATTCATCTCGCTATGAGCTGGTCGTGGTTCCTCACAAACCAGATCCTACATCCGAGGAGCCGCAGTTCGTTTCTGGCAGTCCAGCTCCCAAAGAGCCAGAGGGATCTTCTGGAAAAATTCCTTTAAGTGTGGACTCTCCAGCGAATGTCGATTCGAAATCCGTTAGCCTAGAAATTGTCTCGAGATCAACATCGCCTCCCCAGGCTCCTCTTCGCTCGCCGCCTCCGCCAGACCCCGACAGTGAGATCGAGAAAGGATCGTTATTATCCGAAGATCCTGAAGATGAGGATGCGATTCCTGACTGGTTGGTTTGATCCAAACTCTTGTAACCAAAAAAGAAACATACTGCAACGACAATTGAAAAACTTATCAATCAACGAGGGAAATGAATGTAGATTAGGTTTAAATCAATATAAACCACGTGATCGCGTATATGCGTGAGACGCCCTGCGCGTTCAACGACGCGGTATCTCCACTTTCCAGAACGTCATGGGTTTACCATCTACCTTACCCCCTTCTCACGCCATTTATGAAATCTTTATGTCTTCTCCGTCAGAGCTGCGATGAAACGTCATCAGGGACCTGAGAGACTACCGGAAACGCCCCAAGCCCAATACAAAACTCCGAGTCGATCAACGACAAGGGTCTCGAAAAGCACGACATCGAAAAGGGCTGCGTCCCCCCAAACATCGGGATCAATACACCCTCGAAAAAGGGACTCGCTACCTCGTTCACGGGCCCAGGCCACTCTCACACAGATCGACTTTGTGACCCAAACCACACAACCGGACAATGAGGAACTCGATTATCTTGAAGACTCTGGGCGGCCTGCAAATACAAACGATCAGCCTGTGCTCATAAACGAAGAATCCGATGATGATCCGGACTACAGATCAACACTTCGAGCCCGACCTACTCAAACAAAATTTGAACCGGGCAATGACCATCCCAAGAGGCGACGAAAAAGTGCGGGGGTGAATGTTGGGGGATCCGAACGAGGCCAGAGCTTACGCAAGAGCCAAACACCTAGAGCCAGCGTTGGACCCAAGGGCAAACAAAAAGCTACCGAGAAGCCGGCTACGAAGCGCGATAAGACCCTTACCCAAATGGATTTCGTGCGACGCTATATTCCGATTGATGACGAGGATGACGATATGAATCTGGGATACATACAACCAACATTTCAAAGAAAGACACCTAAGCCCATTAAAAAGGAACTGAAAGTTGAGAATATGGTCGCAACCAATCGACCAACTCCAACATCTGCTAAGCGCAATCGCCGAATCCTAGAAGCAGAGCTGGATCTTTCAACAGGGGAGCCCATATCCGATCCAGGAACCAGCCAAGCAGCAGAGAATGGCATCAACATCCAAGATGGTCCAATCACGCCTCACAAGCGAAAGCTCGAGATCCCCTCTTCCCAATCACCGGAAAGCCCAGGGCTTGCCATTATTACATCATCTCAATTCCTGAATGCAACCCGTTCGCCCTTAAGACAAAAACCTCAGAACTTGACACACGATTCAGAAAATCCCATTAAGGAAGAGTCGCCCAAGTCTCAACAACTAGTCGAGGACTCGCAAGGCCAGGGACATCCCTCTTCCGAGAGAACGCCCAGAGCCTGCTCGCCCAAAGTGCTAATAGCTTCCAGCCGACGCCCTACATTTGCAGAGAGGCTAGCTTCATGTGCGCCGTCCACTGAGTCGATTACTACTCCCAGAAAGATATCAAATGATCACGAACCGAAACGTACCCAAGGAGAGAGAACAGTGGTGTATGAAACCGATGCCGAAAGTGACCAAAGTGATGCGGAGAATAACGTGAACGATGATCCTCCAACTCCATCTCGTTTGCATGAATCTCAGGTCCAGAGTGCAGATATTAGCCACGTCCCATGGTCGCCTCTCCTCGATGACTCGCAAGAACTTCCTTTGCCTGATGTTCAATCCTCTGACAATCAGGATTATGACCCATCGTCTGAAGCGCCAATGTCGGATGGTTCAATGTATTACCAAAGAATGCAAAAAGCCACTCAATTCCCACATGAATCCATCCCGGCACTCAACACCCAAAGGCTATTGGAGCTATTTCCCAACGAGGGCTCAACACAGTATGCCAAACCTGGTCATTTACCTGCACCTACTCCGTCTGCTCAAAATTTTGGCGGTCCTTTCTTGCAAACTCAGACTCAAGCTCAGACTCAAGATCTAGATGGCGGAGAGCTTGAGATTGTACCCGAATCCTCCCCTATCCGAGAGCAGGAGGACAACTCGGAGGAAAGCCAGACAGTATTTCATCGACCTCGTGTTCCAGAGTCAGTTCAGGTTGAATCTTCCCAACCCGTTGATCAGGCCAAAATCGGACTGGGCAAGGCTCTGTCACGTAGTCAGCTTCTGACTTCGAGCGTCATGGAGAGTGTTCCCCTGCCCAAGTTTTGGATGAGTAGTCAGGAAAGTGTGGGAGAACCGTATACCTTACCTGATCAGTGACTTGTGAATTTTTAATGAATGATGATACCCTTTAGAAACAACGTCTGTCTAATTTGGTTATTTTTCTTCTACTTTATAATTCATGTATATCAAGCACTGCCGTACATGATTTCTTAGCCCCAGGCTTGGACACTGCTGCAGAATGATGACAGCGAATTGCTGACCGACTAGTGTCAGACTTATCGCTGCTTCTGGATGTCTGTTCAGCCGAATAATTGCGAGAGAAAAGAATAAACCTGGTTAAAGATACGAGAAAAATAGAATTTCAGGGGCTGGAAGGCTGCAAGGGACATGTCGAATTGATCTATGAGTGGCTGTTGATCAGTAGTTTTTGATCTGCAGAAGCGGGGCGGTCGGCCCATGGACGAACGCGGAGGTGCAACCTCAAATGTGTTTGTTTCGGAAATACTTCCTCTTGACTTTCTCAACCCCTCACCATGGATATCGCTTACGACCACATCCAGGAGGAGATTCTCACCTCCAATAAGGAGGAGGGAGGCGCTTCCAACACCGAAAACCCTAACACCAACCTGAACACCGAGTTCCAAGAGACCTTCCGTGCCTTCTCCGCCAGTCCGTGGGGTACTAAAATCGGAGGCCTTTGGGACAATGTTCGCAAGCAGGGCGAGAGCTACTATGAAGGTGCCCGACAAGAATACGCAGCAGCTAGTGAGGAGGCCGTGAAAGGCTTTTCTGGCCTGAGGGACACTATCGCCGATCGGACAAAGGGGCTGTCTCTCAGCACTGCAACATTGACCAGTGGCAACGAAGGCTCAAAGGACGAGGCTGCCACACCGACAGCCCCGTCGGAAGGAGAATCCAAGGAACAAAAGGAGACCGGCGAATCCAGTGGCGAGGGATTTATCTCTCGTTTCAAGGCCGAAGCAGCTCGACGACTAAAGGAAATTGAAAAGGCCGAGGAAGCTGCTGACGAAGCGATCTTGCGGTTCGGACTCAACATCAGCCAGAAGTTGCGCGAGGCCGTCAGCATTGTGCCTCCCGAGACGGATGAGTCGGGCAAACTACTCTTTGAGAGCAAGGATGCAGATGGCAAACGGGTCATTCATGCGACTCGGTTCGATGCTCAGCTACACGTTATTCACTCGAACCTGGATAGCTTTACCAAGGATCCTGCCAGCGACAAATTCCCGGAATTCAAGAAGGACTTCAGTGTTGACGCCAAGACAGACGAGATCGCTTCTCACTTGGAGAAGTATCCTGAGCTGCGATCTGCCATGGAGAAAGTTGTTCCCGAGACAGTGGAATATGTGGAGTTCTGGACTCGGTACTACTTCCTGCGCCTTGTTATTGAGACAGAGGAACAGAAGCGCAAAGAACTCTTGAAGGGTATGTTTTCTGCCCACCATACTTTCGATACACTTAATTAACAGTTATAACTTATAGGTGCCACCGCAGACGATGAAGAGGTCGGCTGGGATGATGATTCCGACTCTGAATCCGGGTCTCCTGCTACTCCTCAAGTGAAGGCCGGAGCTCAAAGTCTTGCCCCGGAGGCCCCGAAGGCTGAGCCTCGCCGATCGAACGACCAGCAATCACAGGCTGACAGCGAATCAAGCTACGATGTCGTCAGCGGAGCTGCAAGCCGGACCCCTGGTTCACCAAAGGAGAAGAGCTCAACTACGGACTCGAAAGCAGAGGACAGTGACGATGACTGGGAGTAGTCCAATCATCTTCATTCAAAGTCATGGGCAAACTGATTCAGTCTCGCTCATTTTTAGCGACCAGCGGGAGTTCAGCTTGTCTCTGAAGTTCGCGTCTCTTGATTTCCTGGAGTCTGGTTGTAATTGTTGCTTTATAGGCGTTTTGGGGACTTTCATATCCTTCTTATTCCCGGTTTCGTTCTTGTAACTTGGCTTCAGCGATTGATGTCTAGTGGTATTTTTCTGTTCATTTTTGAACCTGCACATTGCTTGCTCTCCTTGCATATCCTCTGGAATTGAGTGCATCTATCGTGTACCATCCTTTACCAGGCCCGGAGGTCTTACATATAAGCCCCATTTCGCGTAGATTTCCCAGGCTTTCTGACAAGCGGGTCGGCAGTTCATCAATCTCAATCATTTGAACAGTGAAGGCTTTTTCAACTCGTAATTTTGAATTTTTGCCACTATAAAATCGATATTCTATCTGGCATATCTCAAAACCATACTGATCTTAGTGATATTCGTACACTCCTCTACCCGAATAAACATCGCTACTCTGCCGCCCTATCTCTCTCATGTTCAGACACCCCACTAGTCTTCCTAGCCAGCGGGGAGTTCTGTGCAGAGTCACCCTCACTTGTATATGCTGGCGTCATTCCTCGCAGCCCACTAGGCCGTGTTCTATCATAGCGAGTAGAAGGTGAACCTCGCCGCTGCGAAGGCGTCTCCGGCGTATTCTCTCTAGAACGAAGCTGGAAGCTCTGTGAAGTTCCACCAGGGGAGTAAATCTCGTCTCCTTCGCGGTGATACGCAGAGGGACTACCATATTGGTAATCTTCACCACGGTGCTTAACAGGGCTCTCGTCGTAGGGGTCCCAGCCAACACGGCGACGAGCTTCATAGCGAAGACGCTGGCGGTGCTGCTCGTCGCCACCGGCACCAGTGGTTGATGATTCTTCAAGAAAGAAGTTGAGGAGTTCATCGCTGATGGAAAGATGTGATTGTTGCTGGAATTGTTGAAGGGAGGTTAGGCGGAGGAGAGTCTCGAGGAGAGAAAGGGATGTGCGAATGTTCTCAAAGTGGGGATTCGAGACTGTCATTGTAGGTTGAGTACGAGTATTGTACCGGGTTGGAGAAGGAGATGGCGAAGAGGATTTCACGTCACTGATGGATAACTTTGCCAACATGCTTGGGTCGATTGAAGGCTGAGCTGTCGGGGTATGAGGAGTGTTATCTGTTTCGGACTCTGTATCCGAACCTTCGTCTTCATTGTAGACTTCGAAAGCGATCCATTCCGGATCAAGGCCGGAAGGTAGACGCCACTCTTCAGGAATGGAGTCTTCGTGGAGGGAGTCAAAACTCTGATGGGTGGAGCCGCCTGTTCCGTATAATTGGGAGTCAAGCTGTGCTTGAGCTTCATCTACCGAATCCTCGGATCTGTCGGAGGCGTATTCGTCGTCAACATCTTCATTTTCCATCATCCGGCGTGGGGGTAGAGCATTCAGGTCTCTTTTCAACAAAAGGACTGGATTGTTTGTCTCTCCTTCGGTATTGATGTTGAGAATTCGACCTGTATCTGCGTAGAAAATCTTGGAAATTTGATGGATGGGAAGAATCTCTCGGATACCAGCGCTAGCAACGCCTTCATAACTGTGCGGTTGAGGTTCATCATCTTCAAATGTATGGACTCGGCCATCATCCAAATCCTCAATAATCATCACTTGATAAGCGTATTCATCGGCCACTGCAGGCCCTGGAAGTTGCGGTGCTTTCGTTCGATTATCCGAATAATACAAGCTCATTGGCACGCGCCGCAGTTTCAAGCGGGCCTTATGCATAACTTCTTTCCAGGTTGCTGCACGAACTGATTCTTCATCATGTGGGCGTACATGACTGGAAAAAAGCATGTACATTGAAAGCGTAAACGTGGGTCCAGTTTGAACTGCTTGGGACTGAGACAAGGAATATTGTGTATCTCCAGCGGTCAGGAATGTGCTGGCCTGGAGAAGGCGAGACGGCGACACCGTTGAGGGAAGATTGGTCGATAATTTAGCGCCTGAGGTGGTGATAGCCAGGTTCATAAGAGGTACCGCATCTTCAATCCGAGTCAAAAGATTCTTGATGTCTTTAATGATGAACTTGATTTCGGCATCGATGTTGACCCGACTGTTTGGGGATCGCGAGCTCTTCCGCGAAGACTCTTCAGATGAAGCGGCCTTTGCCAGTCGCTGTCCAAGTGCCTGGATGTCCCATCTCAGAGATTTCGTCAGCGCTACAGCAGACTCAAGGGAAGTGTTTCCTCGAGCGGCACTGAACAGTTGGTTAGAATCCGGCGGAATTTTTTTTAAACTCCATTCTGGTCAACTCACATCAGTTCAATCATGTCAATTGACGGAGAGATAACTTGTATTTTGCTTTCCAGTCTCTGCTGCAGTGAAAGCAGTTCTGCACGATCTTCGCCATCTACATTCTGGCGCCACGAATGTATCAGCACTGTTCATGACTCCAATGATTGGTCAAGCATACCTTGAGCAGTCGCGACGATTGGCGCATCGCGTAGGTAGCTGTTATAGCTATCCCAGAGCTATAAAGATCTATCAATGTTCTGTGTTTTGGCTCTTTTGGAGTCGCCTCAGCTTACCGAATCGCATAGTTCATCGCCTGCTGCGTGAGCTGTCAAATTGTCTGATTAGCTTGCTACTCCCATGACGTCACCGGAATACACCAAAAGAACATACTCGAGTTAAAAAGACGTCCATCTTGAGGGAACAGCCAGTTGGGCTATGTCAGGCACGCTGTATGGACTGTGGCGGCTACAGAGCCCGTGAGCAATCAAGCATGGAGGGGTGCTCCTTATCGATAGTCTCGGATGCCCAACAGGCAAAAACGACGTAAAGATGTAAACAGAACTTGCCCAACCACAATCGCATTGACCACCAGGAGTTCTGGAAAATTCTTTACACTTCAGGCACCAATGAGACCAATCCAAACATATTTAAATTCAAGTAATATCAAAATAGCGCAATTGTTTTCCTCTTTTCTTCTGCATATCGCCCCACGTGATAACTCTAATCAATTGCTGAGTCATCGTCAGCGTGCAAAATCAAAAACGGCAAGCCCCTCATTGTCGTTCCTCCACCCTTGATTTTCGTGTCGTTTCTACCGTGTCCTTGACTGCGACCCGGATCCGCTATCACGATGTCGAACCAGACTCCTGACTCTTGGGAGGATGACCTCGCCCGCCAAGCTGAGGGTGTTAACCTGAATGGACAGGGCCGCCCTCAACCTCGTGCGCCCACCTTCCAGCCCGGAGCTGCTTCGTTCACCCCGGGAGCCGCCTCTTTCACCCCGGGTCAACAATTCCAGCAATACGGCGCTGGTAACCCTTACGCTCAGTACGGTCAGCAAGCCTACGGATACCCCCAGCAGCAACAACAGCAGGCCTACAACCAGTACGGCGCATATGGCCAGCAGCCTGGTGGTTACAACCAATACTACAACCAGCAGCCTGGTGGCTTTGCCCAGCAGCCTCGTCAGAATGCCTCTGCTGCCTACCAGCAGGCTCCCGCCGCCGCTCCCGCCCAATCCGCCCCCAAGCCCGCCGCGCCTGCCGCCGCCGCACCACCCAAGGCTAAGGTTCTCTCAATTGGCGCTACCTCCTCGGCCGCTGCTCCCAAGACCAAGGTTCTCTCGATCGGTACCCCTACCCCTCCTCCCGCTGCCGCCAAATCGGAAACCGCAAAGGGTGATTCGAAGGGCACTGCGGCCGCCGAGGCTGGCGCCAAGGTGACCGCCAGCAAGGCCATTGATAAGACGGAGAAGAAGACGGAGAGAGCCAGCGGCACTACCTCTCCCACACCCTCTTCTGGCCGCTCTAGTCCTGCTCGTGGTGCCGAGGCTGCTAAGCAGGCTCGTGCCGCGGATGCTGTTGCTAAGGCACAGCAAGCCGATGTTGATGACGCTACTCTGAAGGAGATTTATGGTGAGCGTCGTGAGCACGTCAACGTCGTCTTCATTGGTCACGTTGATGCTGGAAAGTCCACCCTGGGTGGTTCTCTTCTGTACTGCACTGGCATGGTGGACGACCGAACAATGGAGAAATACAAGCGCGAGGCCAAGGAAGCTGGCCGAGAGACCTGGTACCTATCATGGGCCTTGGATCTGACTGCCGAGGAGCGTTCCAAGGGTAAGACCGTCGAGGTTGGCCGAGCATTCTTCAAGGTCGAAGTGCCTACGCCAGAAGGTCCCATTGAGCGCCAGTTCTCCATCCTGGATGCCCCCGGCCACAAGTCTTACGTTCCCCACATGATTGGTGGAGCCTCTCAGGCCGACTTGGGTTGTCTTGTCATTTCCGCCCGTAAGGGTGAGTACGAAACCGGTTTCGAAAAGGGTGGTCAGACCCGTGAGCACGCGCTACTTGCCCGTAACACTGGTGTGCAGCAGCTCGTCCTAGTTGTGAATAAGATGGACGACCCTACTGTCGAATGGAGCAAGGCCCGTTACGATGAGTGTACCATCAAGGTTATTAAGTTCCTTGAAGCCCTTGGTTACAAGAAGAGCGACATCTTCTGCATGCCCATCTCCGCCCAGCGTACTCTCAATATTAAGGATCGCCTCACTAAGGACGTTTGCCCTTGGTATGACGGACCATCACTGCTTGAGTACCTGACAGACTTCAAGCTCCCAGAGCGTAAGGTCAATGCTCCTTTCATGATGCCTATCACCGCCAAGTACCGTGACATGGGTACCATGGCTGAGGGACGTATTGAATCCGGAATCATCAAGAAGAACGGCACTTATCTCATGATGCCCAACAGAACTGAGGTCTCGGTTGCTGCCCTTTACGGTGAAACTGAAGATGAACTTTCCACCGCCAAGGTCGGTGACCAGGTCCGCCTTCGTCTGCGTGGTGTGGAAGAAGATGAATTCTTCCCAGGCTTTGTTCTCTGCTCTCCCAAGCGACCCGTTCACTGCGTGTCTGCGTTCGAAGCCAAGATTCGTATTTTGGACCTGAAGAACATTCTCACTGCTGGTTTCAATTGTGTGCTTCACGTGCACTCTGCTGTTGAGGAGGTCACTTTCGCCGCTCTTCTCCACAAGCTTGAGCCCGGTACCGGCCGTAAGAGCAAGCGCCCTCCTGCTTTCGTCAACAAGGGTCAGACTATCATTGCTCGCCTGGAGGTTACCTCAACTGCTGGTGCCGTGTGTGTCGAGAAATACGATGATTACCAGCAACTAGGACGATTCACCCTTCGTGACCAGGTATGCCTTTCCTTCCATTTCTATTCTAGACTACTTTTGCTAATCTTTCAATCTTTTAGGGTCAAACCATCGCTATCGGTATGGTCACTAAGCTCATTCACTCCGAGAACGAGGAGTAAATGATTCTTGGAATATCTATTGGTATTTCTGCTTTCCCGCGATGGGAAGATCTCAAAAAGGATCGGCATCGTGCTCCGGTTATTTCCTTCCCTCTCAGAGAGACTTCGCTGGGACTGAATCGAAAGTCTAAACCAGCAGGCATGAGGGTGTAGAGTTCGAGCCAAGATACATATACTACACAGCCAGTCCACTTCAAGTGACGATGATGAAAATTTACCCCCTTACGTTATAGATTCCACCTTAGCTGTCTTTGAATTATGAAAAGACCATGTCTTTGCATCCAACCCTATTTTATACCTGTAACACCGCTTTGTAAGAGAACTGTGTTACTCCAGGACAGTACTTTGAAATTGCGGTTGATTGATTGTGGGTAGTAGTTTCATGGTATATTCGTCCCCACGACATTTTCAAAAAAAACACCAGACGTAAAGCAGCCATAGATATTTACCGCTTCTTTCCAACAACCTTGGTGAACCCATCCTCATCAATCTCAGGCTCAGCTTTCTCTCTCGGCGCCCTCACCAATGCCGGCGCATCACCCATGTCCACATCATCATCACTAGCTTCATCATCGGTCTCCTGGTCTTCATCCCTAGACTCAACCTGCTTAAACATGCTCGATGCAGCAGACTTCTGCTCACTCTTCCGCTGCCAAGTCTCCCACATCTCCCGAATAGCACTGAATTGCCCAGCATCTGTCTGCTCCTTGAATTCCATGATCTGAACAGCCACATTGCCAGCGCTCTCATCATCAATCACAACGTCAAACTCATCATTCATCACCTGAATCAGCACGTCCTCCACATCCTCGGCGTCGGTTTCCGGTCGATCGGTCAGCATCTCAGAGATAGCTCCGCAGAGCCAGGCGCGCTTGTCATCAGAGGTTGGGCCGCCCCAGTTTGATTGCACAGCGAGTGTGAGTGAGGGCCAGTTGTTCAGGGCGAGTGTGATGCCAAGGTCGAGGTAGGAGGCGGCATCTGTGGCCGGGGGAGCGGTTGCTTGGGCGTCCATTTTGGATTTTGGAGATGTCTTTCAAACTCGTTAATAATGCGATTTTGGTGAGTTTTTGATGTCGCTCACGATTGTGTCTTGTTGATACCCCGCAGATCGAGTGGGGGTCGAAACAAAGATTTGATATGGAAAACAGGCGACCGGAGCCTCGGGAATTTGGTATGAGGTCTGATGAAGGAATCCCGAGAATTTCTAGTAAGAGTCTCTTTACTCAATTGAGGAAGCTGGATAGAGAGATATGTGATTCTTCCAAGGTCCGCATCTTGATTTTTTTTTTTTTTTTTCGAGCTGCGATTAGATAGGCACGATAAGGTCAGGTGATGATTTCCTGCACGACCAAGATTTGGATTAGCTTATCTCAACTAATTCATTTCACCAATAAAAAATCCATAAAAAAAGGACAAAATAAGGAATTAGGTGAATGCCAAGTTGACAGACACTCTTGAAACGCAAAAAGAAACTCCGATAGGGGGAATCGAACCCCCGGCTGTCGTGTGAGAGACGACGATGTTAGCCACTACACCATATCGGATCTTTGGATGAAGGCTTTTACATCTATGGCTACATGACCCTACGACTAAGGCTAGGTGTAACTCGTGGTGCTATAAAGTACCACCTCCCCCCGGCCCAACATCTCACTTCAATATTCTTTTGCCCACCTCCTCCCTGCGAGGCTATCTTGCTATTGATTCGGATCACCAGACCAATGAGCTTCGCCACCATTTCGCCCCTCTGGCTCGTCATCACCTCTTCGTGACTTTTCTTTCCCCCTGCATTCATAGGCTCACCTCCTGCCTTCCGCTGTCTTTGAATAATCGCCCACGCGAAGCGTGATTATAAGCCGTGGGATACGAAAGACGATCTAAAAGTGCCTTACTGATTTTGAGTGAGAGCGCTTGTTTTGTTCACACTAAGTTCGAAATTTGAAATAGCTTATCTGACCAATAGACTGTCTTAGGCGCGAGTAAGATGATACTATGTGCGCAAACATCACAACATGAACGGCCAGGCCCTAACTCTGCGATGTCCTCCTAGGCTTAGATCACTAGAGTTTGTTTAATGCGTCATCGTCTATTACCCAGACACGATCTACACCTATTTCCCTCGTGGCTATTTAGGAGATTCTGAGAGGTTTGGCTCTAGTTATGAAATTCGATTTATCAACATCATTCTCATTCGCTATTATGATCGATCAGTATCGACGATAAGGTGATCGGACCTGAAAATAGGTGTCCTGCTATATCTAGGTACGTAGTGGTGATTTAGATATCATCTACAATTCCTGATTGACGCTAGACGCTATACTGTATATAATAAACAATCATACCTGTTTAGTCTACACTAATTACAATCTATGGAAATAAACTGCGCAAAAGTTAGACCACGCATGCAGTGTGAAGCATTAAGCGTAATGGCATGGCTAGTGTCAACTAGTGTTCTTCAGTATGACGTTGCCAGTGCGCCAAGCGGCTCCACCCGTGGACATCAAATCTCAGCATCTCTTCTTGCTGTCAGAATTATCACCAGACGGTCACTTAGAGTGAATTTTGGCCAAACCCTAACTGATAACAACTACTCTCTTCGAAGGTTCATCGCCTTGGGCCCTGTCCACTTTGATCTGTATACACCGCCAGCACACTGGCTCATTCATCACGACAACTTCGTAGCCTTTTGCGAAACAGATAGAGGCTGTTGCTAGGCGCGCTTGCCAGTTTTTCCACGCTCGCACAATACAAATGTTCTCATGCTCACAGAGCATTTCTACAAAGTTATCCACAGATGTGAATCTGGGGATACTACTCTCGCTCTTGACATCTGCGCAGGGATGTATACGAGATACAGATGTGCTCTCGAGGGCTTTCAAAACATCAATGTCTGCAATCCAATGACCGGAATCATAAACAGAGACTAATGTTTCCAGAAAGAATGCTTCGATGTCAACCCCTCCAGAATATCCAATATTGATCGGGAAAATGGCCTCTGTAAAGGATAATTGTAGTGATGTGGAGGAGAAATTGTTCTGGAGGCGTCCATCAAACTCAGCATATTCAAGGAACTGCCATTCATTGACCGCATCGTAATCCTTGATCATCGGTTCGACGGGTGGTATGAGAAATGCTAGACCGGCACGGCCAACATTCCCTATGAGCCGTTGGATGTAGAACCTAGGTGAAGATTCTGATGGATCCCGAAGCAGACAAGAAGCCACATACAGGGAATCAGCCACAGACAACGCCATAACACTGCCTAGTTCACTGGGATTCAAATTGAAGCTACCGGTTTCCAGCATGGCAATGCATGCAAAACTCGCCGCATAGTGTAGGTAAGTAGGTGCAAGCACCCGGCTCAAGTGGACCCTATATCGTTCTCCACGACTCACTGCCTGGCCAACCCATCCAGCTCGGCCCAAGTCGAACTTCACTGACCTCACGTCGATCGTGGCCCCATTTAGTCCTTCATAGAGGTTAGCCATAGCAGCGATTCCGCGAAGGACAAAAAGGTCCTTGCCGCCCAATGCAAGTTCATCAACGAAGATTTTGGCACAACCTCGGAATGAAACATTGTTGGGGTTGAACATTCGTTGCTTTAGTTTGGTTGTCAGTTTGAATTTTGATTCGAAGATTCCGGCCTCATAGTCGACCTCTTGCTTAAAAGTGTCATTATCTTGATGCCGAACGAGCTTTTCAAATCGCCGTAAAAGCTGACAAGTTTTATCACCGATCACCGAGACATAAACTGTGACATTGGAGGAATGCAAGCTTTCGGTAAGTACTTCTGCACTGAATTCATTCTCGGTGGCCACAAAAATTGACTTGGATTCTATACTCTCGCCCATAAGGAGGATCTGTCTCTTTCGGTCTTGGAGCGCCTCATGAAAGGTGTCTTTCATGGTATTCTTAGTTGAGGAGGATGTTTTCCTTTCCTCTTTCTTCTTGGTGTCCTTGGATGGAGTCGCGGCAAAATGTTCAGCCCAAGGATTCTCAACAGTCAGAAAGCTATCGTCAAAGTATGACGACATTTCTTCATCTTCGTTGTGCTCTTCCTCAACCTCGGCATCGGGAAAATGTATCCAACGCCCGTGGCCTTGCTTCTCTTCTCCAGTGAGCATTCGTTTAATTTGTGGATAGGCTGTTGCGTACTCGAACAGTTCAAATACTGTCGGCTGGTAACGATACTGATAACGAATCAGAAAATCAGAGCTTCGTGTGGCGCCAGAGGATCTTGCGATTTCTCGTAAGAATTCGATCTTCTTCTCCATGTCTCTTGCGGTGCGTAGGAAGCTAGACACGGTGAAAAGGTTGGAAAATGGCTCCGTGTTGCGAAACATAGGACTATGGGCTTGACCCATCTTCCATAGTTTCTGGAGAACATTTTTCTCCGGGCCCGTAGCGCTCACATATGCTCTCGCGCGTTCAGCGAGAACGTCAAGCCACATTTTATCTTTGCTGACAGCCTTACCGTTTGTTGGTTCAGGCAACATACTCTCGAATTCGACATTAATATGACGGGATATCTCTGCAAAGAAAGCGACAACTGAGTCTGTCGGCAGAGTTCTATCGTCCCATTCCCGAAGGTATGCCGCGGTGAGTACGGTACAAAGCTGATCGATGCTTATTCGTGTACCCTCGCCAGTGTTCAGCAATCGCTTCCTGGTTACTGGGAGCCCATAATGTCGCAAATGACGCAAAGGCAGTGACCAGTAAATACCCTCATGGCCAGGAGCGCTATCTCCAACAAGACCGACCGTCAGAATGCCTCGTCCCTGAAACAATGAGTCGTTCTGCTTGACTTCCTTTTCTTCCGAGCCTAGAACAATCATATCTGGATAAAGATGCCATGCACACAGGCCGAGAAGAATGGCCCCATCCCGAGCCTCTTGCGGATATCCGGTTAGAAGTCTCTCCATCTGCTGAAGCGAGAGTTTCCAAGCCTCAATGATGCTTTCGTAGGTATCCGCCTTATAATTGACTGGCAAGCTAATGTTATCCATAATGAGGTGAAGTTGCGTTTGCTTGCGTGCCATTGCCGAATCGGCAATACGTAGCCATGCACGAGCACTCGCATCCCAGTCTGCAAGATGCTGCCTCTGAAAGCTCTCCTGGGAGGCCACCATCAATGCTGGATCACCAATGTACTCGCTCTCAGAAGTGACCTTTTGTTTCCGTCTTGTGATCAGCTCCATCCAGTATGATGTGGCCTCAGGAGCATCCCACATCCTGGCAAGCAGACATGCAAGTAGATGACAGGCTATTGCGTGCTTTCCAGATGTGGCCGCAGCCCACATTGATTTTCCATCGGCCCCAACCGTGGTGGCAAATACGCCATACATTGGGCTTTCTTTCGTGTGAGCGGTGGTAGTGTCAAAAATGGCGGATGCCCGTGTGCCGTACGCCTTCACAAGCTCTGGTGTCGGGGGGATTATATCTCGAAATAAGGCGCCAAGTTTCCGAGCTAATACGTGCGAGGAACCCGTCTCGGCATCATTGCGTCTATTGGATGAAAGTTGTGAGCCCACACCGGCGAATTCATGGGGAGCATCGACCTTGATTAAGGTGAAATCAAAATTCAAGTTGGCCAGGGCGACAGTTTGCTCAAAGGAGCCCGTGAGGGCGGAAGCAGCGATTCGACCTATGGACGCCATAGTTGCTTGAGGTGGTATATTAAAATGGGTAAGCTGGGATTATTGCTGGAGGGGGACGAGGAAGGGAGTCCCAGTCATTAGAGATGGGGTTGCGACAATGGAAGAACAACTTCGAAATGAAAAGTACAAGCTGCGGATCTGACTAGCGTGGGGGCTAAAAGTGACATGTAAAAGTAACATGAAACATCAGCAGAAGTTACCTTAGATGAGGCTGTGCCGTAACTGCGCGATTTGCGTTGCGACACAACAGGCAAGGCGCCTACTGAAACCCTGAATACTGAAGTCCACCAGTCAATCCATTGCATGTGTCGCCGAGACGGTACTTTGAAGCCACTTAAAATAAAGAGTTATGTAACGCATCAGTCACCAGAACGATAAATCAAAAAGGGTTGAACGGCGATCGATACAAGGTGATCAGCTCTAGTTACGATGGTCATGTCTGCCTAAGCGGCAAGGCCACTATTTTCCGATCGAATTCCACACATGATCGTGGCCATCTAGCGTCACCTCGAGTTATACTATACACCACATTGCATTTTGAATATCAGTCATCGCAATCTGCAGTTGCATGGACCCACTAGGCCCAACAGCTAGCAATCCGTTATAGTATTTTGACCTGGTTCAATCCGATCTCCTTATCGCCTCTCCCACTTCTTTTCATGTTTGCGCGTGTACTTCCAGCATACTTATCGGATATTTCTATCATTTCTTCGGATTCTAACCCAACAATTTTTTTTTTTTTTGCCCAAGAGGATAGTTATCGTGAACGAAATAATCCTGCTGTATAGTGTCACGGCTGTAGCATTGTATGGCAATGTGAAAAGTGCAGGTAAACGTGATACCGAAATCGCACGAAGCAGTGAATACAAGGCGAAGGATCGATATCAGGTCGACGAAACAGAGCTTGACGAGTACGACTAATGCACTTCATAGACGCCGATTAAATGTCAGTCCTTTCTTAGGCACAGGATAATGATGAGGCAGAATTGAACCCACGCCAATGTGAGTGAAAAATTAGGCATAGGGACAAAAGTATCCCGTGCAAGTGAGGCTACCCCAACAGCCAAAGCCAGTCATTACACCCATTCTGCCACGGTACCATTCTTAACTCAAGCTCTCATCGCGTCAAAGTCTCATTCATAGTGAATATATCGGATTGAAGCCATAGTGTACTTTGTCGCCATTTTTCTGAGCGCCGTGGCTTCAGGAATAGCAATACTTGGAAGTAGAAGAACCTAAGATTTGTAAGACTTTATTGTTATAAATTAAATGAAGAAGTAAGGTTAGCATTACTATAGAGACCTATAAAAATATGATACATCCTCAAAAATAGTTGATCATGGCTCCTGAACGGCCGGCATATTCTGCGCATGGCGCCAGGCGAAGTACGCCTGGGCCTCGACTCTCTCGTTATAAAGCCGCTGCTCCTTATCCACATCAAAGCCATTGAACAGCTGACCTCGTTTCGAAACTAGGGTTCTCAAACCACCCAGCGCCAATGTGCCAACCCGCTCATGCTCCTCTGACTTATCACCGATCCATCCCGGAATCCCCTCAAGAGCCTTGACCTTGTCTTTCTCCCGACTAACGAGCAACGGTGCATCCTCAGTGAGGGAGACCCCGATTCTCATCATGGCCCAAGAGTCCATGTACCTCGTCCATCTAGGAGACCACCATGCATAAGTCGCGAGCGACAAAAGAATGAAAATGTCGAGGCCAAGAAGGGTGGAGATCAAAATTACCCCTGCCCTGGAGATTACTGGGATCTTGGTATCGGCTCCCATATCAAAATTGACCGTTAATGACATGGAACTTTGTTCGAGATTGTTATTCATCCAGGCTTGGTTGGCCAGGAACGCGGCGGCGTTGAACACAGGTTTCATAGTGTCCGGGTCATTGAAATTGTTGATCCATCTCGCGACCACTTGGTTGAGGTCGGATGCGTTGGCACCTCCGGCATCGGTGAAGATACAATCAAGCTCACTTATAAGGAGGTCGAGAGGTGCCAGGTCCTTGCAGGTATCTGTATATTGGGGATAAAGGCCCGATACAGTGGTATTTGTTTCCAAGGAGGCGAAGGCTTGTGGATATGCCTGCCGGGCTTGAATGAATGATCCATCGCCAAAGAGAGCCAAGGCTATGGTCAAAAGGGGTCCCTTATTCTGCACTGTCTCCAGTGGAAGGGATTCGTCCTCGGAATTGGTCAGATCCCGTCGTTTGCGTTTGGATATGTCATCATGATCACTAGTTTGGCGGATTAGCCCATATGGATATAAAGAACCGGATTCACCGAGGGAGAAATAAACATACTAGATGTTGTTTTCAAAGCCTTGTACCTCACAGTCATTCCCACAAAGACTGTTAGGGTCTTTGTCTAACAGGGATCCAGCAGAACCGCCATTCATGTAGTTTGGCAGCTCGAAATAGCCACCCGTTGTGTTCAGGGTGACTTTGAAGAACATATTGTTGGCCTGATCACCATCGCTAGCATATTGAAGATATTCATAGTTGACTAATGTGATATTCAAATAGAGTTCCTCAGTAAAGTCCTGGCGGTCTCGCGTAGATTTCCAAGGTGAGCTGGTGACATTGGTAGGCATACATGCCTGCACACCCCAAGTGTAGTATTCATCAGTTGTGTTGGTATAGTCGATAAAAAAAGCCCCATCTATTTGATCACAGTTCTTTGGAAAAGCTTCTGCCGAGATGTTCTCATAGTGTGCACTTGAATTAATGCGAGGAGCAAATTGCCGAATGAGACCAGTATTATAACCGCTGGCCAATTGCGCCAGAAAAGGGTCCGACAGATCTGCCAGATCTTCAAATTTGGCACCCCCATACTCACAGGATTCGGGTAGCTCTTCCACCCCCGCAGTAAAGGCGCATGATACTTTGCCGCCTTGCCAGAGCTGGGCCTGTTGTTGTGTATTGGTGGCGGAGGTTAGAGCGCTGCGAGTCATGACCACAACAAAGTTGTCATCATAATCATCGCCAGAGAGATGTTTGAACTGATCAGGAATATCAAGAATATAGAGCACCTCCGTGGGCCAGGTAGGGGTCTTGGTTATTGTTGAGGACAAGAACACTGCCTGAAGAGGAGATATCACTGCGCCTAGGATGTTCACAAACATTGCCAGAAGCAAAAAAGAGCTTCCATAGCGTTTCCAAGCATCCGTAGCAAAGTATGGGAAGGTTCTACCGTATGTCCTCAGATCATTCCAGCCCTTGTCGGCAAGTGTCATCATCTGCAGAAGGCTGAGCCCCTTTCGCCGTTGAATGTAAATCACGGCGGCACTGGAGCACACTGTGGAAGTCAATGGGATAGTGAAGACCGTGATAATAGACTGGATAATTTGAGCAGCACGATACCATCGCTCATTCCGGACAAATAAAGAGTGGAATTGACTTGGGACAGTCCATCCGTAGCCATTGTTTTGATCATTCCATATCCAGACTCCATAGTGCTTGGCAGTGATAGGACGGACTGATAAAATGCAAATGACAACCCACGAAAAGAGGGCCAAGCCAACGTACCCAAGTACAAGGTACAGTATATACCAGGAACTCTTCAGAAATCTTGCTTGTGGTGGCTGTAGTGTCTGGATGGGGTTAGCAGGATTTCGATTTTGTCCTGCCTGACTCGCGATATTTTCAGCGGGAAGACCAATAGTATGGGATGGGTCATCGAAAAGCGTGTCGCCATCTTGACTTGATGCTTCGGTATGATGTGTCTGCACGGGGTGAAGCAATATCGACTCCGGTGTTTCCTCCATGATCGACCTGCTGAAGCACGAAGAGCTTTGCATTTCCCCCTTTTTCCGTGCCTGCATTATGTACTATCTGCCCCGATAGCTCGGGGCTGACTCCGGAGGCTTAGAGTGGGTCTGTGCGGTCAGAGTGCCGGATGGTTTGATCTAATGAATCAGTCCCATCGATTGTAATAGGTTGACCACATTGTAGGGGTCGGCTTGCGGGACTAGCCGTCCTGTTTAAGTTAGCACAACTCTTCTTTTAGCAAAACATAAGCAACCTAAGACCTCGCTTAGAGTTAGCTTACCATTTCACGCCCGACTTTATTACCGTATATGGGAAATTCCGCCGATTTTCCCGGGCACGGGTTCATCGGGCGCCACGAGCCTCATTTCACCCTAGCCTGAGCGGAAGGTCCCTCACATTCAAATTTATGGCTTGGTGGAATGAGAAAAAAGGGGAAGCGAAGAAACAGAACAGATTGTAGATTGTGTTTGTAGTTTTTTGAGTAAGAGGCAAACAAGACCCGCCTTGCTACAGCTTAGCGAATTTTGCCCCAATTTGGTCAAGCATAGCCCCATGATCCTTGCTGTAAGTGTCACCATTCCTGGTGATGACCTCTCGCACCCAAGGACCACGAGGGTTGAAGGAAGTCTTAAAAGGCAGAGCCCGCATAACTAGGCCATAGGTGCATGCAATGGGATCAACCACTGTGGGCTCGCCTGTCTCAGACAAGCCAGCCTTGATATCGAATAACCACAGAAGTTGGGCGACCACGATCCAAATGATGTTGCAGGCAAAATGCCGCCCTGGGCAGGTCCGCCTTCCATATCCAAAGACGGCAGCAGGAGGCTAGCATCTTGCCATCCTCGTCAAGCCAGCGATCCGGAATGAAATTATCAGGCTTTGGGCCGACCACGGCCTCTTCCCGGGAGATTGTCCAAACATTAGGTATGATAACAGACCCTTTAGGGATGGTATATCCAATGTAGGTCACCTCCTCTCTGTTCAGGTGAGGAACAACTTCAGGCCCAGCAGGCCGCCAACGGAATACTTCTTCAACAATAGCCGTAATATATGGTAGGTTGGGCTTGTCATCTGGGACGGGAAGTCGGTTGCGCCCGACATGAGCATCTAGCTCTCCACATGCCTTAGCAATGAAGCCGTTATCTTGTGTTATACAAGCCACAATAAACCAGATCAGGCTGTCGGTAGTTACAGAAGAAGTCTGATGACTAAGTTAATACATGTCGGTAATACGTAAAGTCGATCTCCGATATATATACAAGGAGCATGGAACTTAGTGTTAGATATTCATCCAACTACAGTATAACAACACTTTCTACTCCTAACATATATATATAAAGCTACCCTGTCACTATTGCCTATATATTTCCTATCAGCAGTAGTACCATCTAGCGCGGCATCGATCATCGTACCAAGCTCAAATGCTAACTCAAGCACCGGCATACCAAGGCCTTCGGCCTCGACAGTCTTCTTGAGGTACTTGGAGATATTCCAAGAAGAAGAATTAATACCTCGGCGGAAGTTTTCACCACGGAGGTCATATTTAGTTGTGTAGTGATTCTCAGCCTTTGCTTGCCATGTGGCTAAGAAGCCAGGTAGTTTGTTAAGTATAGGGAAATGGTCCACAATATGCGCCCCAACCTGGACGAATTCCGAGAACTCATCGTTCAATTTAATTACGGCACGAAGTATGGGGTCGTTAGGGTCTTTAACACGAAATCCATACAGCAATGTGTGGATGATGCTAGCAGTTGTGCGTTGAAAAGTCCCCTGAATATTATCGGAACCACTACCGCCTGCAGTATCCAGAAGGTCGACTAGTAGTTGCTGTGATTCCAGAGTCTGAAAGGGAAGATATGCCGCTGCCGGAGTCGCATTCAATACGGAGACCTGTAACCCCTGATAGTGTTTGAATTGCTCTGTGTAATTCATCATGAGGATATTGAGTCCCTTCAAGGCTAGCTCGGCTGCTAACTGTAATTAAGATAAGCCTATATTATTACCATTTATCCAAGGTGAGGAGTAAAAGCATACGAAAAGACGAGGTCGGTCCGAAAAAATGGCTCCACACTTTGCTAGAAGCTCATGTGCTACTTCGGATGTCGACAGGATGATGACCGGTTGTCCAAGCATATTGACATGAACGATTGGGCCATATTTCTCGCTCCATTCACGATATGCTTGCCAACTATGCGATTAAGGAGCTTGGTGGACATTGCCAATAATAGGCAGCGGCTTGGGTCCGGGCGGCAGAGGTAAAGAGGAAGTTGAAGTTGACTTTCGTCGCTTGGCAAAGTACAAGCTCATCAACAGGCCAAAAATGACCACGTATGTTGCTAAATGCATTTCCGAAGGGCTGGAGAGCGTGGAAGAAGACTACAGCAGGGAATTTGAAGATTTGAGTGCCGACAGAATTAGGGCCACTACCTGAGATTTATGGTCGAGTTTTTTTAGGTGTTTAGGCCACCCAGGCTGACCTAGTAGGTGGATTCTCATGCCAAGATGGCGCAATCAGAAGTTAATTATCTAAAGTTGCGGTCCTAAGGGTGAAGTTTATACAGATATGATTGGGCTGAAGAATGGCCCCCACCTGCTACGTGGTTGCCCTATCATCTCTCAAAGCACCTTCTCCGTATTCAGCGTTAGCTTGACGCTGGGGAGGATGCATATAGCTTGTTCAAGCCTAGTTTATGCCTGACTAAGGAAAGACAGATTTGATCCAAGTGTTATAACTGATATGTATTGATTGATGCGTTGCAGTCTTGTCACTCCCATCACTATATTGAAATAAATTCCATCCAAAGTAATGCATAGATAGCGGCCTTATGTAAATACCTGTTTTGGTGGAATAGGCATGAGTTCTTCTTGTTCAGACCATGGGGACGCGCATCTGACCCAAAGCAGCTGCCAGTGTATATCGAGCCCGAGCATGCATCCCGGCATTAACGATGCTCTCGCCGCACTTTCACTTGGACAATATTCATGCCATCAGCTGTCTGTCCACTGAAGTTATCCTGCACCATTTCAACATTTTCCCTTGTTGTATTGTACAGAACAAGGTCAAATCGTCGTAAAATGTTTCCAATAACCAAGTATAACCATGCCCACGCCATACTAATGACAGTGAGTGATAAGCTCACCGATAAAGAAGATATTGAACTTACTTGGGACCTAAGCAACCCAGCCCACCCTTTGAAAATGGGACAAGGTATTTTTCCAATTTTCGGAGCTCTTCCTGTCCAACCAGCCAGCGCTCTGGATTGAATTTCGTCGGTTCTGGAAAAATCTGTGGGTCACGCAAAATATGATATATCGTCATGCTAACTGGTGTCTGAGCGAGATTAGTCCACTATCCAGTTCATCTCCAGAGAAATCATATAATTCCTGACATACTCCAGGCGGAATCGTCCAATTGTGGAATTGCAGAGTCTCATCTGGCGCCACTCGTGGCTGTCGAGGAACAACTATGTTCGATAGTCGCAGGCCTTCTTTTAGGACTGCGGTCTGTTCAATTTTGCTCAGCGCTTGCTTTCCGGCTCGGTAAATGGGCTTTTCTTACTAGATATGGAAGAGGTTCTAATTCGTCTAGACTTGATATGCTTGTGACTTCCGGAAATGCCGAGAATAGTTCTTCCCTTAATTTTCTAAGCACTTCAGGGTTGTCAAGGATATGAAAGGTCGTGATCGCAAGGGCCTGCGAAGGAGCATCTGAGGCTGCGAGCATAAAGAAAGTTGCTTCGTCTTGAAGGCGTTTTGTCTCCTTTTCACTCGGTGGTAGCTTGTCGTTAGCCAGCATTGCAGGGTAGATTGCCTTTTTTTTCTGCTTGTCATCCAATATGCCATCTCGATGGTCCTGAATGGCTTGCTTGACCATTTTTTTGACAGTCTGGTATATCGTCAGTGAACTTGCAATAACTGAGGTAGCTAGCCGGTATTTACTCACATGTTCCAAGTACTCAATTCGGCTAAATGTTGGGTACACTATGCGTGACACCGGTGGGATCAGGTTCCTCAAGAAATACAAAAACGGAAATTGTCTGACCAATCTTGCACCCCCAAACATTGCATTCACTCCATTCTTCCAAATCGGCATCAATTCCGGCTCATCGAGGAAATTGAAGCCCCGCTGCTCTCCAAATGCGTATTGTGACATAGCATCGCCTGCAAAGCTTATGAAAGCAGTGTGAAGCTCTAATGGTAGATCGTGATTTATTGACTTTGAGAAATGACGATACAGTAATTGGAGTTTATCTTGAAGAACAGGCTGAAATTCTCGAACCGCCTTCCGTGTGAAGAATGGGCTGATCAAACTTCTCCGTGCCCGGTGTGTTCTATGGTCTGGGGTGGAGAATAATGACAGGGGTAAGCCGGTATAGTAGAACCAGCGCTCCTTTTCGCGATTATGCGTCGGTCCGGAGTATAGTGTCGTATAGTTGTCAGGGTCATGGACATGCACTTCGTTGGGCTTGATGCGAACCACTGGGCCATACTTTTTATGAAGATGTTCGATTTGCCATGTAAATCTTCCTTGCTTTACCAGTTGGAAATATGCCTCATACCACCCTGATGCAGCGGCCAGAGCTGGCCCAGGAAAATTTGCCAGGGGACTGAGGAAGAGTCTGTAGAAAACCAGGCAAAGAAAATATGCAAATGTGATCGATATAGCACCATAGAGGTACAGCCATATTTTATGATCCATGCTCTTTAAAAAGACGAACTCTCAGGACGCTTGAGATGATGGTACTCGAAATTTGGGGTTTCAAAGAAGATAACAAGTTCAGCCCTGGTGGTCGCGAGCCTGATGTGATTGAACTGGGGAGATAGGTGATGTGACACATAAAAAGCAAAAAGCGGGGAGTGAGGCAATAATATGCAGATCTATGGCTAGGAAACCTGGTGATGCTGAATTGAAAGAAAAAGGAACAAAACGTCCATGCGACACGGTAAATTCTACTCATGATATTACTTAATTGAGGAAGAAGACCGCATCGGAAGTTTGATCCAAAAGCTTTGAAACGTCACCATGCCGTGCCTAGAGGTCTGACTAGATGAGCACTGATAGGAGGAAAAAGAAATTTTATCGATAGCATTTGTCACTGGTACAGTCTACAGGATCTGACCACATGACTCATGAACTTTTAATCACACGCTAAGTTATCACATTTGGTATACGTAGAGTAGAGGCTTTTCGATATTTCACAATTTGCTGACTAGCCATGCACAGATGACTGTCATCATGAATCCTATGGCCCGATAATTTAACAGCCAATCAGTGATCAGAATGATTATATCATCTGATAAGGACATAATCAGGTCTTTGTCGCAAGCGCCATGCTTATTTGTGCTAGGGAATTTCCAAGTTTGGGTACCTATGCTACGTGACGTACAAGGCGGTTTCGCAATAAGTCAGTCCCACGCTCAACATGAAGAAAGACGATAACTGGGCACACAACACAATACTCAGATCACTCAACATCAGGGCAGAAAATAGAGTTCGATCAAATAGGACCAACGTCCGGCCTCGAACATGAAGATAATCATCCGTGGGGGAAAACTTAGCAACGTTTTCTCCTCGAAAACGACTCTACATGCGCACGAATATTGCAGAAAATGTCGTCAATACGTCATCAATACCTAGCCTCGGCAGCTTGGAATATGAAATTGCCCACAGCGTCGTTATGCTTGCTTTTTTCGTGGATCGAGTCCCACGTGAACTCCCAACAAGACCTACAGGGTGGGGCATATCGCAGATAAATCAGCGATAATGGTGATTGAATTGTAGGATAACAAAGCTGTCCTCACTCAATGCAACTTCGGCAAAAAAGGATTCCACTGCATAGGGAAACGCAATCTACCGCACCGGAAGATGCGGATGGCAGGCTTTAAGTGTTCGATCGGTTAGGACCTCGGACAACATAGTAATATCTACCGTTGTAGGGGTGTTCGACATTGACATTCTCATAGCAGGGTTTCTTAATGACTTTTGAGGGACAAGACTTTCGTACATGCATTCTTTTGTGCACATATATATTCTATATTCTCTTTCTCGCCCTGGTGTGAGTTACTTGGGTAGAATGGCACGGCAGGTGGGCTAAGACCTCATGTATCCCTACTCGATATGGAAAATTGCAAGAATAAAAGTTTTCGATTAGTCCCTTTGCGTTCGGTCCTAGTGGAACTTGGTCTAATTTGGCCACGCAACCAGGTACGAAGGAGGCGAATACGCAATGAACATACCATATAATTCCTCGGCGAAGTTCACAAGTCGCAACATGCTAAGGTTTGACATCCCATTCTCGAGTCCAATACGTTGTCATAACTACGAACCTCTTAATTGGGTCAACCTCCACAGATTAGACCATACTTACCTCACATAGACTCTGTTATAGAAAGATACAATAGGTTTTTCTGTAACTCAAGGGGCTGTAATACAACTGAAGTAAAGAGCTAACGATATTCGATCTACGTATAGTGGTGGGAACATGATGTAGCTCAAAAATCAGGTAGCTAGTCCTAGTGATTATGGAATACATATATGAGTCTTTACGTCAGCTAGATCTAACTTCAGCGTGCCAGACCAAACTTCAAACACGAAGTATCAGTATATAATGGTCCACTTCTCTAGCAGGGACCGTTTTCCACTTCCTTCCCGACTCAGCGAGCGCCTTGTTCCTGCGTTCCCGTTAGCCTTGTAAGCACTTACCTCTTGCATGCCCCTAGCCACTACATTCGTATTGAAGCTAGGAGAATGCATCCAGATGTTTCAGATGAAATTTTGTACAGCAGGCTCTAAATCGTACAGACAGGTATTTCTCCCTTTTCGGAAGAATTTGCATACATTTTTGCCACTTGAGTAAATACATATAGGCTCAATGTATGTTGAATTTATAAAAGGCACAGGCATTTCAACATAAAAAATGATTCTAGCATTTCTTATTGATTTTAATGACTAGCAAAAGGTGTGACTAAGCTTGAACTCTGAAAGTCTAGTCAGCCAAGCCTACCGCGCCAAATTACATGGAAGGAGAAATACAAACGTGAATGAGGTATCAATTATTTGGGTCTGGGTGAGTGTAACATATCTCCGTCCTTGGTAGGCCCCGCAGTGCTCCATGAAACTCCTATGAAAAGCCTCCAGCTGCGCCGGATCGGATCCTACCGGATCTTTTGGGGGCATATCTACAAAGAACCTTGTAAGGTCGCTTTGTCTAAAATGTTTATCTAAAGGGCTAAATTGAGTCTATCATACAAGACAGTTCATGATACAATGCTCCTGCTCTTCCCTCAATAATGGTTCAAGATTAAAACTCCCTGAATCTCTTTCTCTGTTCACCGTTATCTCGATTGCTTTGTATGTCGTTCCTCAGGAAGCGCCAATTGACTGTCTTGCAAAATGGCCTGGTGCTACTGTACCATAATCATTAGTCTAGGTAAAGTGAAATCCAGATAGATAGTACCACGAAAACGAGAGATTAGCTTTTTTGTGCGACTGACGATATATAAATAGCTGAGGATCTGGCATTGCGTGGATTTTGTTTGGTTATCGTGCTTTCCTGGCATCCAGATACCTCCTCCATCTTTATTACGTCCAATGTGATAATACTAACTTGATCGACCAGATAGAAAGTTATGTTTTCATTCATTACCACCATGGGGCGTTTAGGCCAATCCATCATCCTGCTACAGGTGCTTAGCCTAACAGCTCAGGCCACAACCAAGGCAGTGTTCGCTCATTTCATGGTATAAAGCCCGTCTGTCTTGAGAATTCTCGAACTAACCACATGGAAAATGCTTGTTTAGATGGCAAACACCGTATCTTATGAAATCTCCGACTGGAAGCAAGATATCTCACAAGCTCAAAAAGCCCACATTGACGCCTTTGCTCTCAACATGGCCTACGGCACGCCAGAAATGGACAGATCGACCGCCGATGCCTTTGCAACAGCGGAAGATCTTGGGTTCCTCCTTTTCTTCTCCTTTGACTATGCCGGAAACGGGTCCTGGCCGCAGGATCAGATCATCAAGTACCTACAGAAATATGCCCCAAGCTCCGCTTATTATGCCTACAAAGGAAAGACCTTCGTGTCTACGTTTGAAGGACCGGAAAGCGCCGATGACTGGGTCACTATCAAAAATAAGACTGATTGTTTCTTTGTCCCTGACTGGTCATCTGTCGATCCCACGTCCGCCCTCCAGCTCGGTGGAGGTGTCGTTGATGGTTTATTTTCGTGGGCGGCTTGGCCAACGAACTCGGAACAAATGACCACATACGTGGATGCATCATATCTGGATTCTCTGAAAAAGGCCAAAAAGCCATACATGATGCCGGCATCTCCCTGGTTCTACACAAACATGCCGGGGTACAACAAGAATTGGGCAGTGCAGGGCGACGACTTGTGGTACAACCGATGGGTAGAGATAACCTATCTAGAACCCGAGTGGGTTGAAATCATCTCTTGGAATGACTATGGAGAGTCGCATTATATTGGGCCCCTCAATGACAAGGGTTACGGTGTTTTTACTTCGGGCAAGGCACCGTACAATTACGCGCGAGGCATGCCTCACGATGGCTGGAGGCTCCACCTCCCGTTTGTCATTGACCTGTACAGAACAGGGACAGCATCCATGACACAGGAAAGCTTGGTTGCTTGGTACCGCACGGAGACTGGAAATTCTTGCTCTGGTGGGAATACCACGGGCTTCTCATCTTCTGGACTTAAAATTGGCACTGATGCGGACGACAGGCTTGAAGATAAAATATTCTTCTCGGCGCTTTTGGCGTCGAATGCTTCAGTCTCTATCAGCATCGGTGGTCAAAAATACAACGCTCAGTGGGAATACGAGCCTTATGGCGGTATCGGCATCTATCACGGCAATCTTGGCATAGACGCTAGTCATCTTGGAGAAGTCAGCCTTAGCATTTCACGTGATGATCAGGAAATGGTCAGCCTTGATGGTCGCTCTATCACAGGGAACTGCACGAAAGGCTATGTTAATCTCAATGCGTGGGTTGGAAATGCTACTTCTGGAAGCACTATGCCTGCGGCTTCTCCAAAGATGGCTCTATCTGAGCAAGTCTGCATCAAGGGATCCGGCTCATCAAATTTCACGGAGCTCTGTGAATTCACCTGCCGATATGGGTACTGTCCCATGGATACTTGCTATTGCAATGCAATGGGTGCAGCTAGAGTGAAGCCAAAAGCCACCAAAGATCAGGGACATCCCAAAGATGGGATTCAGAGTTATACCGGGCTATGTTCCTTTGCCTGCTATTATGGATTTTGCCCTCAGAATACCTGCTCTTCAATCAAGGGCGGTTCATGTAATGGCTCGGGCTGTAAGCATGCCAATTCAGGGTCAAGAACTTCCGTCATTCTTTCCATTGTCTTCCCTTTTATCGCTTTTGTGTCATACACAAATTATTTCTTTGCTAAGTGATAACTCTTTTACAAAGTATAACAATTCTGGGTGGGTATAATGGGCTCTTAGGTAGTTTTTCTTACTGTCTTGCGACTTCTGCGGATGTGCCACGAGTGTAGAGATAGCCTATATGATGCATTCTAGAATTGCAGCTGGGATCTACAATACCAAAATGTGGGATAAACAATATTACCCGTAGAATAGTGTATCATACGGCTACCAGGTCAGGTTATGCCATCGGTAAAATTAATAAGTCTCGATTTTCACCAACGAATACCTTTTAGACAAAATGGTGTCTCGCTCAAACATTCCAGGATTTCGCCCAGCGGGTCTATGATGATCGAGAACGAATAACCAATCAAATGGATAGATGTTCATGCTCTTCGATTTTTGGTTTGAGTAATATGACGCATATTCAAGATACTGAGCCATGATGTCTGGGACACAAATTTACGTAGCCCCAAGCCAATACGATGACTCAAGAACTCATTTCCCATATCTGGTGTTGATTTAAGGGAAAGCCGAGCGCTACCCAGGTACGATAGAGGCGGCTAATGGGATTTCCAATTCTATGCCTAGAAGCTGAGCCATGATAACCCAGTTGACTCCGGCCCTCTTACTTTCTACGCCCAATTACCAGTGCGTGATAGCCCTATTGCATCACATATTCCCAGCACCCGGAACCCTTTAGGTAATCAACATGCCATGCACACCTCGCATACTGTCTTCCGGTATCATAAAAGTCTATATATTCATAGTTAGGCTGGAAAACAACGGAAGAAGGAAGATGCGGATATCAAAATAATTTCATTGAGATCTAAGAGGATCCAGGCGTTTATGCCAGAATCAAAAGAAGTGGGTATGTGCAACGTTGAAGAGACTAGCTCGAAGTCATGAACGGTATTAACAATCAATCCGGTCATAATATGCAGAAGAGCCAGCTGTTCTGCAGTTAGTCATAAAGAAGGTGGTGGAGTCTCTAAATGATAGTCCACTAGTAATAAACCATATCAGAATTGGTCGGTGTGTGCGCGGTTGAAAGAATATCCGACCGGGGGACCGTTCCGGTTCATTGTGGAAGGTGAGGCTGTGTTGGCTCGAGTGAATGGCTGGTAGCCTGTAGGCGGTGCGCGGGCCATGCGGGGCTGGGGTGTTGAAGAAGTGCCCGACGGATTGAATGCAGTATACCCGGTATTTTGCGAGGCGGACCTTTCAGGGCTCATAGGAGTATATGTTCGTGGAGGTGGCCGCATTGACTGATCCGCTTGCTGTGGAGCGGGCGTGGCTCGGCTTGCCGGCGTCATGGATCGTAACGGTGGAGCGGTTCCTTGTGGATGCGGCGTTGTTGCAGCACTTGCCGGGGTGAATGATCGAGGCTGGTACCCATCTTGAGGATGAGGTGTCACCGTGCTGGCTGGGGTGTAGGATCTATTCTGGTATCCTTCTTGAGGATACGCCGCGGCCGCTCCGTTAGTCGGACTGTATGATTGGTATCCGTCTTGGGGTCGAGCCGTGGCAGAGCTTGCTGATGTATAGGACTGATATCCATCTTGGGGTTGGCCAATGGCAGTGCTTGCTGGAGTGTAGGACCTGACTTGATATGGATCCTCGGGACGGTACGTTCCACCTGTGCTTGCGGGCGTGTATGATCTAGCCGAGTAAGGATCTTGAGAACGAGGATCTGTGCCGGCGGATGCTGGGGTATATGATCTTGCTTGATATCCCTCTTGGAAGGAGTGCCCATGCTGCGCAAGGTGGTGTACATGGTTCGGAGATGTCTCATAGCTATCAAAATCATCCTCCTCATAGACATCTCCAGAAGGTCCATATCGATCGTAGTGCCCGGCGGAATCAGAGGGGTCATAATAATCATGAGTGGTATCAAGGTGGGGGCCTGATGTGGCATAAGGATCGGCAGCAGGGGTGAACGTACGAGCCGGCTGCCCGGCAGAGTCCGTCAAGTTGCGATATTGAGACGGAGGGTAGTTATAATCGCTTTCGCTTGCGTATTGGGGTCCAGGAGTGGGATGGGCATGGCCTGAACCCATTCTTGAGGGCATATTGTCAGGCACAGGCGGAACCGGAGGCAATGGAGAGGCTTGGCGATCAAGAGGGCTGTATCCCATCGGCGCCGCATTGGCGGTCAACGGGGCCGAGTCTGCTGAGATAGCTGACGACTTAGTCGTGGTCCGACTCAAGGGTGGTTTGCTGTCGAGTTCAAGATTCGGTAGAGTCGGCATTCTCTCCGTCCGAGTTGAGTTCGAGCGGGTATAAGGAGGCAGCGTAGTTTCCGTGGTGCTGCGTGACAAAGCGGTCACAACAGGGGTCTTATCCATATCGATAGAAGGCAGTGTCGGTTTCGAGTCCACGGTTGCCAGACCCGGTCGGGTCGGTACGCGATCCTGTAACTGCAGACCTTTTGCGAGAGCTTTGTCAACCTTGCGACGAACAATTCGTTTAAGTCGGGTGCTAATTTTGCGTCGACAATATGCCTTGAGGGATCCATCTTCGGCTGGAATGTGGTGGAAAAGGAAGATCAAGTAAAGTATGACCGCTGAGGCGAGTTTCAAAACAGATAGAACCCAGATAATCAAGGTAAAGAGCATGCCAAACAAGACCACAGCTTGAAGGTTGTTTTCTTCAGCGAGAACTTTGATGTTGTTGAAGAACTGTATGATTCCCGAGGCGTTGCCATCGCTTGTCGTGTTCTCTCCTCCTGGAAGAAGGTCCAATTTCATGACGGAGTAAAGAGTGATGGCATTGATAACTTGACGCGGCCCGTCGGCAAAAATCGTGTTCATCCAGAATTGAAAGGCGAAATATGTATATAGTGCGACATACTCGGCTCCTTTTTTACTCTTTGTCAGTTCAGCAAAGACCAGAAACTTTTTCCACCCACGGCCGTTCTTTTCGACGACACGGAAACTTTGAATGCGCACGGCAAGGGGGTCAAGATAGCTCCGAGTAATACTGCCTGAGCGCATAGCGCGGATTGCGAATACCCATCGGTAAACCAGCAAAGTGAGCGACACGATAATACAGACGGCGAAGATCCAACGCGAGATTCTGAACGGGATGGCGGGTTCAACACGGCCGGACCAACGAGAGAATGCGAGCAGATTGACCGCAGTAAAGATATCGACACCATAGACTGATACCGATACGATAAGCATTATCCAAAAGAAGATGTACGAGAAGGGTGTCCAGCATGAATCGGATTTAAAGTCATCAAGGTTCTAATATCTCAGTCAGTACGGATAGTCCTCGTGGGGGACCTGTAAGGCGACCTACCACGTAGTCCCATTTTTCCTCCAGTTGTACCTCTCCCTTTTCGCGATCTCCAGAGCAACCCATTATGTTTAAGGACCTGGACCGGCCAGGGAGCAATCAAAGGGCGAGGGGTATAGAAACGAGTGTGCAGAATGTCTGATTGAGTGGATAGACTTCGTCGGACCAGCCGTGCGAAGTCACGATCAAAATATCGGATCAGTAGTAGAGTGAACGAGAGACAAAGATGCAGCAGGTGTAAAAAGGAGTGACCAGGAGTGTCTTAAACGCGTGAATGGCGCATGTCTGAAAGAGGCTAAGGGGGGCGGGCGAACGGCAGGCTGCAATTGCCACGAGCTGGGAGATGACAACACAACGGTGTTTCAGAACGGCATTCACTCCAGCCCTAGAAGCAATGGGCATGGGGCATTGATCGCCAAGTGAGGGTGTCGAATCGCTTTGTGATCGCGCCAAGAAAGGGGGGTGGATTAGGATCAGCAGTCGATCGGATTGCCGAGAAAGAATGCGCGCGTAAATTGCGGCTGGGATGAAAGAGCGAACAGACTCGAACAGAGTCAAAGGAATGAGCGACGTGAACAAAAGAGCAGGAAAGAAGTCAGAAATTGAAAGGGGGAGATTGGAAAGATGAAACAGATGCTAAAAGGGTTCGGCGGGTGGAGCAACGGGAACCTCTTCAGGGCTGATAAAGGAATCGCAAACACAACTTAGTCTTTCCTCTTCCCCCTTTGTTCTCTATAATTATCATGGACATTATTGTCTTTCATGAAACTCGACCTGCAGCTTCAGGCGGCTGTCACCGTTGCTGCAAGCATTGTCATTGGCTCTATACAGCTGTCCCTGGTTCTTTCTCCGCGGGCCCACTTTGCATGAGACAAATAATATGGGGCCGAACGCTCGGCGCACTCTGCTAACCTTTCAACTCGTCCCTGGCTCTAACCGCCGAAACTCGGCTGAACCTGCATTTGTAGCCGCCCAGGTTGATCACTGTCGCATCTAGAAGCCAGCTTGTTTTGCCTGACTCCACACACAGGCTTATGTGCAGAGTATGTACTTGACCAAGGGGCCAAGAGTGGGGGTTCAGCGGTTATACAATACTTCTGCCGCAGAGGGCTTCTAATAGGTCAATGGGTGGCTGATCTAGTGAGCAATATTAACCGACAATACTCATTGCTGAATAGCCCCTTTTCAAATGGAATGTAATTAACGTTGGGCATTCCCGAGTCCTGTTCTTAATGGCTCCACCGGTTTGATCAATCTAGTGAGCGATGGTATATCCATGAATGCGGGGACATCTGAAGATACGCCGACGCGACATAGATATGGACATAGTTCGAGTACATAGTGATAAAAGCTGTAGAAATTGATCATACTAGCATTAGAAGTCTCGACCTTGAATATCACACTTTTGACCGTGGACCTACAGCGCTTATGTACGCCTCCGTCTTCGGGTTGCGCGACCGGATCCAACTCCCCGTACTGAGAATGTAGAGAAACACAAGAACAAACCTCCCCCTCAAATCCCGATTTCCCGATATCCCGAAGAAACTACAGTACCAATGCTGACTTATTTAATGGATCCTCGAATGGTGACGTCGATTCCAAAGGTTATGCGGTATGCATGATGAGCTGTGAATTTATAAGCCGGTGGGGCATTGGCCTCTTTGCACAGAAAAAGGTTAACTACTTAGCCACTGTGTTGTCAACTCGTATTCAAAAGAGATTCTTTGGCAAAAAAAATATCCCTTTCTGCCCATCAACCTTGGAAACAATGGCGCAATCCACTCGTCCCGATATCGTGAACAAGCCCGCCGAGGGCATCTCTTACTTCACCCCCGCTCAAGTCCCGCCCGCGGGATCCGCAGCGATCCCCCAGTCTGATGGATCACAGCCACCAAAGCTGTTCCAGCCTTTCAAAGTGCGGGGTGTAACCTTTCACAATCGAATTGGGGTACGCCTATCTGCTACCATTCATTTTCCTGTTGATGATCGGCCTGAATTGATTCTAATAATAAATATACAATAGCTTTCACCTCTATGCCAATACAGCGCCGATGATGGCCACATGACAGATTGGCACATGGCCCACCTGGGAGGAATCGCCCAGCGTGGACCTGGTCTCCTCATGGTCGAAGCAACATCAGTACAGCCCGAGGGTCGAATCACTCCACAAGACCATGGCCTCTGGAAAGACTCCCAGATCGAGCCACTCCGTCGCGTGGTAGAATTTGTGCACAGCCAGAACCAAATCATCGGTCTTCAGATCGCTCACGCAGGACGCAAGGCGAGCACTGTGGCCCCGTGGTTGAGCGCAGGAGATACAGCCTCAGAGGCAGTAGGCGGATGGCCGAACAACGTGATCGGGCCAAGCGATGTTCCCTTCAAGGACGAATTTCCGACGCCCAAGGCAATGACGAAAGCCGACATTGAACAATTCAAGAAAGACTGGGTGGCTGCGGTCAAGCGAGCTGTGAAAGCGGGCGTGGATTTCGTCGAAATCCATAACGCCCACGGCTATCTTCTTATGAGCTTTGTGTCACCGGCCGTGAATCATCGTACCGATGAGTACGGTGGTAGCTTTGAGAACCGGACTCGGCTGACCATGGAAATTGCGAAGTTGACCCGAGAGAATGTTCCCGATGACATGCCTGTTTTCCTGCGTATCTCCGCCACTGATTGGTTGGAGGAGTCTATGCCCGATGAACCCAGCTGGCGCGTAGAAGACACCGTTCGTCTGGCTAAGGCCTTGGCAGACAGTGGCAATATTGATGTGATGGACATCAGCAGTGGAGGGAATCACAACAAGCAGCATATTCATGCTAGGCCAGCTTTCCAGGCGCCTTTTGCTATCAAGGTGAAGGAGGCTGTTGGGGATAAGCTGAAGGTCGGCTCGGTCGGCATGATCGACTCCGGCCACATGGCTAATGGTCTGTTGGAGAATGATGGCTTGGATTTCGTCCTTATTGGACGAGGATTCCAGAAGAACCCGGGTCTAGTCTGGACCTGGGCAGAAGAACTGAATGTTGAGATCGGCATGGCTAACCAGATCCGCTGGGGCTTCGCCAGTCGTGGCGGTGGACCTTATTTGAACAAGAAAGTGACTCAGGTGTAGACGATACATTTAAAACAAGACGGTTAATGATTTAGGATAATTGAGTACGCCATGATCTGGATTACATGATATTTTACTTCCATTTTATTTTTCCCCCAAATTTGGCTGCAGGTGCCTTGCCCAGTACAACATTCCAACTTTACCGCCCTGAGGCAAGCATCATCATATCCGCCAAATTGAAGGTCAATATTCAAGATTTGTACAGTGGCAAGTCTTCAACTGAAAGTCTGTTGCCCAAAAGGCAAGCTTATTGGTTACTCTACACCCAATCTTAAACGCTTATTAGTTTGAAAAGTGTGGGGTGGATCCACTAGCTGACTAAGTACATGCATGATGACATAATTTATCTGCGGGGAGATCGATCCAAGGTTGACGTTGTTTTGCTTTCAGTCGTTTAAGCTCAATTTCAACGTTTCGTCGATCTACCTAATATCATTTTGGGAGCCGAGATGTCAGATAGCCCAAGAGGAGACCATGCTTCGGGGGAGGCTGAAGCTACATCTTATGCACCATACGAGAATGAGATGATAGCAGATTCAGGCCGAGTCCAGGGTATGCCTAGTCCAGACCGATGGATATATTGAAATTGAGATATTGACTACCAACATAGCCGATGGTCGCGTTCACGTCAACCTTGAATCAACAGTCGCCAGAGCAATTGCTGAGAGTATCAATTATCAGCAAGAACTTCGTCGGGAATCCAGCGATTACAACGAGAGAGTTAGGCAATCATCCTCATTCAACTTAAAATTGAACATAGTCATCCAAATTGTGGGCAGCCGTGGAGATGTACAGCCATTCGTCGCATTGGGAAATGCCTTACAAAGGCATGGTCACCGTGTTAGGATCGCAACCCACGGCGTCTTTGCAGATTTCATTCACAGTTCTGGACTGGAGTTCTTTCCTATCGGCGGAAATCCAGCAGATTTGATGGCATATATGGTCAAAAATCCCGGTCTTCTTCCTCAAATGGAGACTTTGCGGGAAGGCGAAATCTGCAAGAAGAAAATTATGATTGGCGAGATGCTGGAAGGGTGTTGGAGGTCCTGTGTTGAACATGATCCATACACTCAGGAACCATTTGTGGCGGATGCTATCATTGCTAATCCACCCAGCTTTGCACATATTCATTGCGCCCAGGCGCTGAGTATCCCTATCCACTTGATGTTTACGATGCCGTGGAGCAGTACTAAGTCCTTCCCGCATCCTTTGTCTAGCTTGACTGCAGACCCGGAATACAAAGGGATTGATTGTTGGGCTTCATATGGCGTGGTGGAATGGCTTACATGGCAAGGGTGAGTTCCCACGTGTGGATCCTAGAGTGTTGGCGATATGTTGCTTATAATTCGGTTTCAAAGACTAGCGGATGTGGTCAATAAATGGCGAGCTTCGATAGACCTAAGTCCGATACCAACAACCGAGGGACCAAGTCTACATGAAGGACTGAAGATCCCTTTCACTTATTGTTGGTCACCTGCTCTAGTACCAAAGCCACGGGACTGGCCAGCTTATGTTGGTATGTATAAATCTGCTGCTTTCTCAATGAGGATATTAATCGCTTCACAGATGTTTGTGGGTTCTTCTTCAGGGACCCTCCGGAGTACGACCCGTCTCCTGAACTGCAAGAATTCCTGCTATTAGGCACGCCTCCAATATACATTGGCTTTGGAAGTATTGTCGTGGACGAGCCTGAAAAATTGATAGACACTGTTCTAAAAGCTGTGAAGGCAAGTGGTGCCCGGGCTGTGATCTCCAAGGGCTGGAGTAATATGAACGGAAGTGAAGACGAAAACATTTTCTACATTGGAGACTGTCCGCATGAATGGCTTTTCCAGCATGTGGCTGCTGTGGTTCACCACGGAGGAGCCGGAACCACAGCATGTGGTTTGATAAACGGAAAGCCAACGGCTATTGTCCCATTTTTTGGAGAGTATGACCACTTGATATTCCCCTATCCTATGTAATACCCTCATGCTGATTTATCATATTGCAGTCAGCCATTTTGGGGTGAAATGGTCGCCAGCGCCGGTGCAGGACCAAGGCCTATTCCTCATAAACTCCTCACTGTTCACAATCTTGCAAAGGCGATCAAGTTTTGTCTTACACCAGAAGCCACTGTCGCCGCCCAAGAGCTTGCCGGCAAGATGCACACCGAATCTGGGGTTGACGAGGCTGTAAAGTCATTTCATCGCAACCTGCCGTTTGAACGAATGCGCTGCATGATTATACCAGGTCAGGTTGCAGTGTGGAACTATAAGAAGAACAAGAGGAGTTTAAATCTATCGAAAATGGCAGTACAGACCTTGATCGAGTACTCGAGGATAGACACGGACAACCTCCAATGGTACGTATACCCGACTGTTCATCGCCACCATCTTTATCTAACAGTTTGAAGCCATGAAATTAATCCAATTACGATCGAAAACCGGCGATGGGATCCCTTGACCGGCGTCATATCTGCAGGAATATCCACAGGAACTCGAATGTTAAAAACAAGCACTGGAATGCTATACGAACCCTTCAAAGAGCTCAGGCGCGCTAAAACATCCCCAGCATCCGAGCGAAATCAACCCAATTCCGGATCAAGTGATAATCTATCCTCCTTACAATCCAGATCCACCACTAACCAGTCTGAAAATGATCGTCCCACAAGCCCCAGAAGCCCTTTTACAACAGCAGGAGACATGGCAGGGGCATCACTGAACAGCTTTGGGAAATTTACAACGGGATACTTCAAAGGCGTGCTCGTCGACATCCCAACCGCAGCAGCAGATGGCTTCCGACACGTATCACAAGTATACGGAGATAAACCCAAGGACTATGGCACAGTTACAGACTGGAAGTCTGGTGCCAAAGTTGGCAGCAAGAACTTCGTCGGTGGCATGACAGAAGGCATCACGGGTCTAATTAAGCATCCTTGGAAGGGATTTCAAGAGGGCGGTCGAGAGGGCGCCTTAAGGGGGGTTAGCTAAAGGTGCTATCGGTCTCGCCACAAAAGCGCCGTCTGGTAAGCCCTTCATTCTTTTAGATTTCCATGACAATGGACGGCATTGCTGATAAGGATACAGCTGGAATCGGGCTATGGGCTTATCCCTCACAGGGTGTTGCCAGGAGCATCGAAGCAAAGTTTCGGGGTAAGACTCGCAAGGCGGTTGTTGTTGCGCGGCTTATGGATGGCTATGCTCAGACTATTGAGATGCAACTGTCGGAGGAAATGAAACAGGAGATTGTTCAGGAGTTTGATCGGCTTATGGGATTTGACTAATGGAGGTGGCTTATGGAGTTTTGGTTCTGTGTGGCTGAGATAGTCTGGACTGAATGATGAAATATACAAATTTGATTTACTATAAAGCTCTAGTAGTCTGATCACAAGGCTCTGTTCTAGCAATGCCAAGAAGTGGCTGGCTTAATGACAGGTGTCCACCACGATCGGATGCGATCCGCGTGGAGTCGGTTACCAACGATATGCTTGCCGAATTAGTCGGTGGGGTGACCCATTGAATTACGCCGACTGTAGACAACTTGAAGGTCTCTTCTAGTCAGGATGACACAGTGCCGCAAATCATTAGGCTAAGTTGATACAACATCTGCACACTTGGGCACCTGGCAGTGTGACTTGTGTCAAGTTGTTTCTTTTATCTCCTATCCAGGTTCGGCTCCTTGCGTCTCATGTGAATTATCAATTATCATAAGTTTCCTTTCAGGGTTTTGATATCATTTCATTTCTCCTCAGCCAAGAGGAAGAAATCTGGATGAGTACAGTCGATAGGTGCGAGTGCAAACGAGTCGTGTTTTCTGTAATTTCCAATCACGAGAATGATGATTGGCGGGGGTAAGATCATTGCCTAAAAAGGCAGCAGATTCGGTGGTCGATCTCGAGTGGATACGCACCACTGGTAACCCAATTTGGTAGAGATTGCGAGTATTGCCGGCTTTCGTGCAAATCCGCTCCGACCGAACGCTAAAACGTCGGTGCCTTCGCAACTTCCAACTCGTTTTATAAACTCCCAGACATGTCCATCCATTTCTGCTGGACATTTACAGAACGAACAGCGAAAATCTCGCACAATCATTGATTTCGTCAGATCCGTTGAGAGGCTAAATCTCCCGTCGAATCAAATCACACACATTGCAGAAGTATAAGGTTTGGGGGCCAGATACTGGAAACCGTTTCGCTTTTGGCCTTAGTCCAGTTACAAGAAAGATAGCAGACCGCGCCTGCCTCTCCTGCAGCATCCTTTGTGCAAGCCCCACACGGATTTACGACTCCGCCTTTGCGCGACCTGAAGACTGCGATACAACAGTTGCCCGCCAACGACCAGAATGGGCCGCTTAAACGATGGTTTCAACATCCTTTATCTCGGCGTGGTAGCCGCAGTATACTTCAAGCCAGACTATGCCATCAAACACTCGAGGACAATCACTATTGCCCTCTTTTTCACCATCATCACCGTTTCCAAGCTTATTTACCAATTCTTTCTTTACCCTCGATACTTCACACCTCTGAGGCAAATACCCACGCCATCGGTAAGTTTTTAGAGGATTCGCGACATATGGGTATGTCTCTAACGTCTGCTAGGCCCGGCATTGGTTGAAAGGAAATACGGCCTCTGGCTTGGTTGACACTCCCCACGAGCTGATCAAAGAGTGGGCTACCACGATTCCTAATGATGGATTGCTGCGATACTATATTGTCGGTCAGATCGAGCGCCTTGTTTTGACGAATCCGAAAGCCCTGAGCGAGGTATTAAATTCAAAGGTCTATGACTTCGCCAAACCCACTATTGCGCAACAAAACCTGCGCCGTGTGGTCGGAGACGGGGTTTTGCTTGCTGAAGGTGACGAACACAAGGCAAGTCATATGATAGTGGCTCCGATATGACATAAACTAATTTCGACTTAGTTTCAACGAAAGAATCTCATGCCCGCGTTCTCTTACCGTCACATTAAGGATCTTTACCCCATCTTCTGGAATAAGAGCACCGAAATGGCCAAGTTGATCCGCCGTGAAGTCAAGTCCAGAGGACCAAATGAGGACAGCTGCATCACAGTGCGCACATACGCTAGCCGCGCCACTCTCGACATTATCGGATTAGCCGGAATGGGTCACGACTTCGACTCGCTGCAAAATCCAAACAACCGCCTTTATAAGTCGTACCAAAAGATCTTTACAAGCCCCGGCACTTTCACCCGGATTCTATTTACGATTGGCCTCATACTCGGAGATATGAGACTCATACATAAACTCCCCACCGCGCGCAACAAGAGTTTTGCTGAAGGTCGCTATGTCATCCGTGAGACAGCGCGCCAGATGCTGCGGGCAAAGCAAGCCGAGGAGGATGAGAAGAAAGATACAGGAATTGATATTATCTCGGTCGCGATGCGAAGTGGAAATTTTGAAGAAGAGAATCTTCTAGACCAGTTGATGACGTTCTTGGCTGCAGGACACGAAACTACAGCAGGCGCGCTTCAATGGGCTGTTTATGCTCTTTGCAAGAATCCCGATGTTCAAGAGCGTTTGCGCGAAGAAGTTCGCACCAACCTTCCTTCTATTAATGTCGAGAACCCCGAGCCTATTGACGCCGCCGCTATCGATAACCTCCACTACCTGAATGCTGTCTGCAATGAAGTTCTTAGATTCCACCCCTCGGTTCCTAACACTGTTCGTGTGGCGTTGAAGGATACCTCATTGGTCGGGCAGCCAATTCCCAAGGGAACGTGGTTGGTTATTTCAGCCGAGCTTCTCAACCATATGTCTGAGCTATGGGGACCCGATGCGGATAAGTTCAACCCTGATCGATGGATGGGTCCAGGCAAGGCAAATACGGGCGGTGCTACGAGCAACTATGCATTTTTGAGTTTCCTGCATGGCCCACGTGCTTGCATTGGCCAGGGGTTCTCTAAAGCTGAACTGGCTTGCCTGCTCGCTGCTCTCGTTGGCAGCTTCAAGTTTGAGCTGAAGTACCCCGACGCTAAACTAGAGCTCAAAGTAGGCGCGACATGTTCACCGAAGGATGGTGTCCAGGCTCTGTTTACTCCGTTGGATGGGTGGTAATCCGGCTTGGGCTTTATTGCTCTGCTACGTTTATTCGATGCATGTGTACATATTTCCACTATGTTTGAATCTTTCCGCATTTGAATATTCCCCTCTAGCTAGTCACGAGTTACGAATATATCTCTTTCAGTGTATGTTATCTACAATGTATAACTTGAATGATCCATATTTCACATGAATCATGTAAATGACTTTGAAAACAAGGTGGTCTCCACACTTGTTCCATTTTAGGAAATGCTTGAGAGGTCGGGCAAACATCTACGCCCTCTTATCCGGCTGCGGTTCAACAAACATCCGACGGTCTAACATACCAGTCCGTCGAATATTCTTAGTAGATGTATTTAAACCATCAGTTACTGCTCGAGTTGTAGTTCTACTCAGCCAACAGTGCCAGAATGCCAGATCTGAACTTCAATGCGGACAGCGATATCCCAGACCTCTCAGGGAAGACAGTCTTCATTACAGGAGGTAAGAGCTTGAATTCCCCACGAGCTCAGCAAATAATGATAGCTGCGGTAGACTCAGGCTATCTTTATCTAACATCCACGCCATCAGGAACAAACGGCCTAGGCGCCCAATCAGCAATCCACCTATCCAAACACAACGCATCCCACATCTACATCAGTGGACGAAATGCTCAAAGCGCCGAGAAAGTCATCACACAAATCCACAACAGCGGATCAAAAACACAAATCACCTTTGTCCAATGCGACCTCGCATCCCTAGACTCCGTAAAAGAAGCAGCGGAGAGATTCACATCCGACACAACCCGCCTCGATATCCTGATGTGCAACGCAGGAATCATGGCCCAAGGCCCCGGTCTAACGAAAGACGGGTATGAAGTCCAATTCGGCACAAACCATCTCGGTCACGCCCTTCTAATACGGAAATTACTTCCGTTACTCGAAAACACTTCTAGGGGAGGCGGTGATGCCCGTATTGTCATCCTCACATCTCAAGGCTTCCTCCTCCACCCAGGTAGAGGTATTGTTTTCGATGATTTAAAAACTACACAGGACTGTTTGTTCCCAGGTCCTTGGCGCCGTTATGGACAGAGTAAGCTTGCGAATCTGATCTATGCGCGTGAGCTTGCGAAGAGATATCCCGGTATTTTGACTGTAGCTGTGCATCCGGGTGTGGTCGCTACTGATCTCGTGGGGGGCCTAGGTTTCTTTGATAGAACTTTAATCTATACGACTAATTTTGGGAAGCTTTTGAAGCCCGAGGAGGGTGCTTATAATCAGTGTTGGGCTGCGACCGTTGCCCGTGAGAGGATTGAAAATGGAATGTATTATGAGCCTGTCGGGAAAAAAGAGGAAGGGAGACTTGATAAGACTGCGAAGGATGAAGTTTTGGCTGGAAGATTGTGGGATTGGACTGCGAAGGTACTTGATGAGTTTTGAAGTCCAAGTATGGATTTATTCAATGAAATTCTGGTAGAGAAGCGAATTCAACATGTAATTGAGACTAAATAAAATACCATTAAGTCCTTAGAAGACACAACTATCCAATCCACATCCACGCATTAGCCGCCGTTGTTCGAAACAAATACACCTAAGTGCGGGAAATCTATCGTCCATCCTTCCACAAGGCCTTCACGCTCTTCTTCACAGGCTTGAAAATGCCTTTGACCTCTGCCTTAAGAGCCTTTCGTTCTTCCTTGGTCCACTCGCCATTCTGCTTCAGCGCTCTGATGTCCCGGACATGAGTGGTGAGAAGAGTTGAGGCATTCTCCACCGCACACTTGGTGCACTTGTCCTGGTCATTGATATCATTCAACGCCTTTGTCAATGCACGAATCATCTCCTGTGCTTGTGGCCTTTGCAATTCGCGATCGAATCGTTCAGACTGGCTTGGGCCGTGCGTTGGGCATGGTGCCTTGGCACTGATGCTAAAAAAAAGTCAGGAACTGCTGTATACAATTTGACGGACATGGATATGAGGGGCTTCGTATGAGGAGGGTCAATATTTTATACTTACTTCTCGTGCTCGTTCTTCTCGGGCTTACCCAGCTCGGAAGACTCGATAGAAACAGAGTAGGTGGGAGTCTTAGAGTCGTAGTTCTTGAATTGAGTCATTGTGGCAATTTACACGATTGAGTCGTAGGTAGAATTCGTTGATGTTGCTTTCAGATACTTTGTAATATGATGTTTTTGATTGCTTGATGATCAATATCAATTTGGCGGGCTTGCTGGTTTTATATCTACCTCGCTTTATGATCACAGGTCATAGTTATCGAAAAGGGTAATTCCGGTATATCCGAGATATTACCATAATCGGTCGGTCGGCCGAACAACACGTCCGATCGGGCTCGGAGCTTACCTCAATCCACCATTTTCGACTTGTATAGACCTCAGTGGCGGTGAAATATGACGATGCCTTGAAGGCTGCTTCGTTTTAAATACGATGTTGCGGTCAACGGGCTTTTTGATTCACCGGGCACGAGACGCCGATTGGTATAGTAGGATACCAAGACACATTCCCATAGGGAATCTCACAGAATGTTTCTGGTACCCGACAAATTGTCCACCTTTTACTCTTGTTACTCTATAAAATCCTTGGAACCTTACTAAGACTTAAATCTATAATTTAATTCTGAGCATCTCGAATCAAGCATAAATGAACTAGGGTGATTTCGGGCACGTAGCCGCCATCAACTACTCATGAGAGGTGTCTTTCTGGCTGAGGGAAATCAGACTGAACATTGTCATCCACGGAATACTTTCTAGACCAGGATTATGTCCTTTGCGGGCAATCAACAAAACACTGGTTACGTCGAATCTCTGTCGAGAACAAGTACTTAACTGATCTATCTTTCTACTCTCTCCTCAAGGTTTCCTTCATGATAGTATATTGGGTGCCCATTTTTAACTGACTAGATTCGGGCGCGATTAATGGTCAGGGGGATTTCCACTTAGGTAGGAGTGACCGAACCCTTATATTAGTCACTTGAGCCGGTCGGGTATGCTCCAATTGGGATTCAGGGTTTACCTAGCTTCTCTTTGACACTTACCCCTCTTTGAGGGCATGAATCATATTTCCAGTGTCCCTTCCTTTGCTACCCATCACTTTCTGCTTTGTAGGTTACTATTGTTTAAAACGCTTGTTGGTCATGGATCCTCTTTCGGGTGCAGCAAGCGTTATTGCAGTCATCCAAGTGACCGGAAGTATCGTACAAATATGTCGGAAATATCTGAACAACGTCAATAACGCGACACGAGATATTCAACGCCTACAAGAGAAGATCGTTGTCCTTGCCCAAGTTCTTCAATCTCTCGATGAGCTGATCCACAGATCAAATGGCAATAGACTTACTACAACTACGCAAAACCTAATCCTCAATATCGCTAAATGCTCTTCGACACTTAAATGTTTGAAAGAGAAAATCGATCCCAAAACGACACAAAGAGGGATGAGGAAATGGGGACTTCGAGCGTTTAAATGGCCGCTGGGACGGTCGGAGGTAGATGATGCTATCATGGAGCTTGAGTGGTACAAAACAACATTCGCTTTGGCTTTGCAGGTTGATCAAACGTACGCTCCAGATCAGAATCCGATCTCTTAATTATTGATATCAAGGGCCAACGCTGATGCTGAACCAGGAGGTCTACCAATTCAATCAACCAGAAGATAGACCTTAGTCAACTACAACCTGCAAAAGGGGCTACGTTCGACTCCTACGACAATCAGCATAGCGAATGTCTTCCGGGGACGCGAATTGACCTACTTCGAGAAATCGAGGAGTGGGCAAAAGCGCCGCACGGAAAATGCATATTCTGGTTAAATGGCATGGCTGGGACAGGGAAATCAACAATATCCCGAACAGTTGCAAGCCATCTTCAAAAGCAGCAGCTTCTCGGGGCGAGCTTCTTCTTTAAGCGAGGTGAAGAAGATCGAGGAACGGCAAGAAAGCTTTTTCCGACCATAATCGAGCAACTGGTCATCGGCATACCTCATTTGATGCCTCAAGTTCAAAAAGCAATTGATGATGACCCTAATATCTCAGAAAAGGTGTTGAGAGAACAATTTGAACATCTTCTACTAGGTCCACTGTCAAGAATTAAGCAGAGCGAAGAGACCATGACTAAAGTGATCGTGATTGATGCTCTAGATGAATGTGATTTGGAAGATGATATAGGGGTTATTCTCCAGCTCTTGCCACAAGTCTACAAATCAACTTCCGTGCAACTACGATTTCTATTAACAAGCAGACCCGAGTTGCCGATCAGGCTAGGCTTCGAAAAAATCACCGATGCCTACCAGGATTTAGTCCTCCATGAGATCGAAAAACTAGTTATTGAGCACGATATATCTTTATATGTGGACGATCAGTTACTCCGTCTACAACAGAGCCGCTCATTTCCACTAGACTGGCCCGGAGACGTAGCTAGAAAGAAATTGGTTGATAGGGCCGTCCCTTTATTCATTGCAGCAGTTACATTATGTCGCTTCATAGGTGATGCGAATTGGAACCCTCAAAAGCGACTTGCAGCGATATTGGCAGACCAGTCGACCTACGTGTCCAAGATGAACAGGACCTATATTCCCGTGTTGAAGCAACTTCTCACCGGGCAGGATGAAGCGGAGTCGAAGCAGTTACTCGAAGAGTTCAAGGAGATAGTCGGCGTTATCATTATTCTTGCAACTCCGCTCTCGATTAGCTCCCTAAGCCAGCTGATTAACAGAGGACCAGAGGATGTCAAATGTCGATTAGATCGGCTCCACTCCGTGCTCAGTGTACCGAACGATTTCAACTCACCCGTCAGGCTTCTCCATCTGTCATTCCGAGACTTTCTCCTGGATCACCACGAACACAAAGACGAATTCTGGATCAACGAGAGATATGCAAACCAGCAACTTACAACAAAGTGCATTCAGACATTGCAGCAAAATCTAAGGAGGAATATCTGCAATTTACCAAACGAAGGCACACAATGTACTGAAATTAGCAAAGCTTCAATTCAGCATTATATAACCCCCGCACTGAAATACGCCTGTCGATACTGGGTCCATCATCTGGTACAATGCACGGACGTAACTGGGATGGTGCAAGATGCATTCTTATTTCTCCAGACGCATTTTTTGCACTGGGTGGAAGCAATGAGCCTACTGGGCCTTACGTCGGAGATACTTGGTATCCTTGATCGCCTCCAAGCGGCCACATCGGTAGGTCCCGAATATAGCCATGTATGATTTATACTAACCGCTTTAGGGCAACGCCTCTTCCATAATATCGGATTTCCTTCACGATGCAAAGCGCTTTATCCTGAAAAATGGCCAAATATTTGATCAGGCGCCCCTTCAGATATATTGCGCAGGACTTATATTTGCACCCCGAACGGCAATAATCCGTAGACAGTTCAAACAGAAGCTTCCTACTTGGATATGTCAGTTACCAAGAGTTGAGGAAAGATGGGGTTCAGAATTACAAACACTCGAGGGCCATTCAGGCATGGTTTGGTCGGTGGCCTTCTCGCCCAACGGCCGCCTGCTGGCGTCCGCCTCTAACGATGAGACAGTGCGCCTCTGGGACCCAGCCACAGGCGCGCTCACGCAGACACTTAAGGGCCATTCAGACGCGGTTGGGTCGGTGGCTTTTTCGTGCGATGGCCGCTTGCTAGCGTCCGCCTCTAACGATCGGACAGTGCGCCTCTGGGACCCAGCCACAGGCGCGCTCACGCAGACACTTAAGGGCCATTTAGACGCGGTTTGGTCGGTGGCCTTCTCTCCCGACGGCCGCCTGCTAGCGTCTGCTTCTGACGATCAGACAGTGCGCCTCTGGGACCTGGCCACGGGCGCGCTCACGCAGACACTCGAGGGCCATTCAAACTCAGTTCAGTCGGTGGCCTTCTCTCCCGACGGCCGCCTGCTAGCGTCTGCTTCTCGCGACTGGACAGTACGCCTCTGGAACCCGGCTACGGGCGCGCTCTCACAGACACTCAAGGGCCATCTAGCCTTAGTCTGGTCGGTGGCCTTCTCGCCTAACGGCCGCCTGCTGGCGTCCGCCTCTTACGATCTAACAGTACGCCTCTGGGACCCAGCCACAGGCGTGCTCACGCAGACACTCGAGGGTCATTCAAACGCGGTTCAGTCAGTAGCGTTCTCTTTAAACGGCCGCCTGCTAGCGTCCGCCGGTTGCGATTGGACAGTACGCGTCTGGGACCCGGTCACGGGCGCGCTCACGCAGACACTCGAGGGCCATTCAGATTGGGTTGGGTCGGTGGCCTTCTCGCCCAACGGCCGCCTGCTGGCGTCCGCCTCTAACGATCGGACAATGCGCCTCTGGGACCCAGCCACGGCCGTGCTCCCGCAGATACTCGAGGGCCATTCAAACTCGGTTCTATCGGTAGCGTTCTCGTCCGACGGCCGCCTACTAGCGTCTGCTTCTCGCGACTGCACAGTACGCCTCTGGAACCCGGCTACGGGCGCGCTCTCACAGACACTCAAGGGCCATCTAGACTCAGTTTGGTCGGTGGCCTTCTCGCCTAACGGCCGCCTACTAGCGTCCGGCTCTGACGATCAGACAGTGCGCCTCTGGGACCTGGCCACGGGCGCGCTCACGCAGACACTTGAGGGCCACTCAGATTGGGTTGGGTCGGTGGCCTTCTCTCCCGACGGCCGCCTGCTGGCGTCCGCCTCTGACGATGGGACAGTACGCCTTTGGGACCCGGCCACGGCCGTGCTCACGCAGACACTCGAGGGCCATTCATATTGGGTTGGGCCGGTGGTCTTCTCTCCCGACGGCCGCCTACTAGCGTCTGCCTCTGACGATAGGATAGTGCGCCTCTGGGACCTGGCCACGGGCGTACTCACGCAATCATGGAATTCGGAAAGATCAGTCACTCCACTCAAATTTTCCCAGGATGGTTTGTATCTCCACACCAAATCAGGCGCCTTTGACATCCGATCTAGATGTGGCATTCCAACGTCCCCTCCGCCTCATCCGCCTCATCCGAATCGGGGTATCTCTATTGAGCGTGGGCAATGGATAAAATTGAATGGTGAACGTGTTCTCTGGCTCCCTGTCGAGTCTCGGCCGAGCTGTTCCGAGATCAATGGTGATACACTTGCCCTCGCGCACGATTCAGGGCGGATTTCCTTCCTCAGGTTCTGTATATAGCTGTTAATGATTTTTTGTTCCCGCTTTTCCCCCTATTTTCTAAACTCCTTATGAAAGGAGAGCTTGGGAGATGAGTTTAATGTATAAGCTCTTAGTAATATTCCAACGAACTCAGTAATGACGAGCATGATTTTTAGCCATATTGTGAGGCGGCACTTTCTGCATTATTTGCAGAGACCCACTATCGGTTTTCATCAAATCTACTACATTCTCGTACGCGCTATGTAATGTTACCTAGCAAGACACGGTACCATGAAACAAGCCTTTTACTGTGTCCCCCAATTCGCTGCGGCTCGCGCAATGACTGATTTGCGCTAGGGACTTGGTATTGGGGTTAGAAAAGAGTGACTAAGAGTGTATTGGTCAAGGCGATTTCGGAAATCACTGTACAGTCCATTCATACAAAGTGCATTGTACAATGGCCCTCAACTAACCCTGGTCCAGGAAGAATCTGTACTAAGGGCTTTGGTGGTAGATCTCGCAAAATAAAACGCAATCTTCAAGAAGGAAACATATTCGCCTGTGGCTGTAATCCATAAAAGCAGGCTATACGCGTTGGGCCAGTTTGCTGTTTTAAAACGCAGATGCAAATCTCGAATTTTGCAATAACGACTCCCAGACTACTGCATAAGGTAGTGGTCTACGACTCGTTCTTCTATTTTAGCGCCGTTGAGGAATGTTCGTAGGCATTAATATTAGTCCTGTGTCAACATAATTATGTTACCCTCACAAAAACATCAAACCTTTCCATTGAAGTACTTCTAAATGTGATATCACCTGTATTTTGATGTCTCAACATCCTAAGGTATTGATATTCAACGACTTACAAAAATAAGTAGTTTCCTCTGAGTTGAGAAACCACAATGGTAGTAAAGTGAGCCTATCTGCGCTCCTACCTTCCATACTGAGATAGGCATTACTTCCGATCAATTAGGTTTCAGATTGTGGAATTGGGCGCGTTTTTCAACTTCACCTCCATCTCTTCCAGGCATGATGATAAATCTGACAAGATGGCTGTCCCTTCGATTTATCTAGCGAAAGACCATTCGAAGATTCTTCAAACCAGTTTGAATGACCGGATGTTGGACCCGATCCTTTTTAAATAGAATTCCCTACCCAATCAAGGCATACCCGAGGCCTGAGTGATACTCTGCATAAGTGAGGGGTGTTAAAGTTTCGAGAACCTTAAGAAGAGGAGTGGTGACAGTTAGGGCCATAAAAAAAAAGAAATATCTTACGGGGCACATAGCCACGTTTAGTCTAGTTAGAGACTAGATTAGGTGCTATATAAAGTGCTCAGATCAATTTCTAAGTGGGCGGTGAGCGGGTGATCAGACTTACGGGGTGATTGTTAAAATTTCAAGTGATAATCCTGAGTTGCTCACGAGGCCTGAGCATGGCCTGTAAAATGCTCAGTGTGCCTGACTCTGAACGGCCTCATAAAAGCGGCGGTAGCTAAGAAAGGCCAGCCCCACCTAATAGCAAAAATCTTGTACGTAGAGTGACTTAGGTACGAAAGCTTAAAAAATACTTCAATTGTCAATTGCTGTAGCCTGTTGAAAGCTGACGTAAATGAAATTCATAGCATTGAACTTGCCGATTTGCAAGTGTAAAACTCGTTAGATCTTCCACTTTCAAAACTGTGGATCTGCCGTGAATGTATGCATGTCCAATGGCAGAGTCTCCCAGGGTCCACAGGTCAGTCAAGCTTCATTTAATGCCGAAAGATTTAGCAGTCACCACCATGGATTGACAGACATCACTATTCATGATCCACTTTAAGAAATTTGGAAGTCATTATTTGGACATGTGCGCCATCTATAATGTGCATGGTCATGTGACATGCTCTTCCTGCCTGAGGTGTAAACAACGGCTGCAAGCTGCGATGCCAGATAATAAACTCCGTTATCTTTCAGCTCGCATGTCACCGGTCGCAAGCTGTGTCTCGACTCCAGCGCTTGTTTTTTTGGACGATGTGAACTGGGTGCATGTGACTATTTGGTCTACTATCCAAAAATAATCTATATTTTTCCTTCTAGCGTTTTGACCGCCATTTCATCCAGTTCCCCAGCCTTTAGTCCGATTGCGCCCTAGCCCGTACCAAACGCCAGTTTTCGAGAATGCATACCTAGCTCGTCCGGAATGAACCAAGACACGACCCGAAAGAATTCAAATCCTTGACGGTTATCACGGGCTTCCAGTACTAAACACGATGAGTCCGGCAGTGGAGAACGGTGGACCCGCTGCAAGCCAGGCTGAGGTGAATGGGAAACACAAGCCAACTGAGAACGGGTCGCCTTCAGGGGCAGAAAAAGGCACAGAGATACATGATGCGCACAGATTGGCATCGGGGTCACCGGAGCAGGGTCTGGGGATTCTAGTTGAGCACTCGCAGGATGACACGAATGGGAATGGCCGCATGTCTGTCGTGGATGTGTTTGAAGGTCCGAAAATTAAAGCCGTTCTCGCAGAGCTCGCCGAAGACGCGTCCCAGCGTCCGGCCGACGACAAAATATTGAAACTGTCGCCGGAGAAGATACAAGAGCTCACATCGTCACCGGAGTCGATCCCGTATCGTGCTGAGCTACCGGATGCAAGCAGCGGCAGGAGGATAATGTCGGATAATCTTCGTTCGTTGCAGGGTCTAGGTGACCGGTCATCGGTGACCCCAGATGTGGCTCTGCAACCTTTTAGCGAACCTCCTTCCTCTCCGAATGGCCTTCCAAAGATTCGAAGGCCTAGCAAAGATCCAAGTTCTGACGAGTTGCACGACTCAATTAATCTACGGCAATTGAACAATGGTACCATCCGGAGTCGACCACAACCGTCGCGAACCTTTTCTACTCCCGTGTCTCGGCGCCCAACGCTTTCTACACCCAATAATGACCGACTTTCACAGACATGGGCATCACGTTCGAAGCAAGATCGGGAGCTAAAAACCCAGCTCGCTGCGTCGCCTCACATTACTGAAACACCCTTGACCTCTCCAATTCCATCAGTTCCTCTGCCGCCCGCCTCTATACCAACTTATCTTCAACTTGAGCTGGCCTCTGGTCGTCCATCGCCGCTTTATATCCATGGAAATGAGAATGAATTCCCTTATGAATCGTCAAGCGCGAAAATAGAACGACTGATGAACTTCCTGTTCCTTCCACCGGTGCTAGAGCAAGCTATCGGCTTTGGAAGTTTAGCATGCCTGGACGCATGGCTTTACTCATTCACAATTTTACCTCTGCGTTTTATCAAAGCCTTGTATATTCTATGTGAATCCTGGGTGCTTAATCTAGCCGCGGAGGCTCGTTTTCTATGGAAATTTGTCATCAACGGGGCTGGCCGGGTATGGCGAAGGAGGAAATACCTTCCAGATAGACTCCGTGACAGACGGGAAAGCGAACCAGATGCCACTCGCTTGCCTAATGGCATGACCACACAAGAGCCACGACACCAAGATCCATCAAAGAAAAGACACCGGACCTCTGAATCTCGCAGGCATCACCGAAGAAAGAAGTCCATACCTTCGGCTCTACTTCCTGATGACAAAGCCGATATTCTCACTGGCCTGCTTATGATCACGACCTGCCTCGCATTGATGTACTTTGATGCTAGTCGGATGTATCACTGGATTCGTGGACAAGCAGCAATCAAATTATATGTCATCTACAATGTTCTAGAAGTGCTCGACAAACTTCTAGCTGCACTTGGACAAGATGTCCTCGAGTGCTTATTCTCAAGGGAAGCCCTTGAGCGCCGGCCCAATGGGCGAAGCAAAATCTTCCGTCCGTTCTGGCTCTTTCTATTAGCGTTGGTCTACACAGTTGCGCATTCGATATCCCTCTTCTACCAAGTGATGACCCTTAATGTCGCTGTGAACTCCTACTCAAACGCCCTCATTACGCTACTGTTGTCTAACCAATTTGTGGAGATAAAGTCGACTGTCTTTCGCAAATTCGAGAAAGAAAATCTGTTCCAATTGACTTGCTCTGATGTCGTCGAGCGATTCCAGCTTTGGTTGATGCTTACTATCATCGCATCGCGTAACATTGTGGAAACTGGCGCGTTCAATTTCATTGGCCTCGGTTTAGCTCCCAGCTTCTCCGGAAAATCCACGAGCACCAACAGCACGCCATTGTCCACGCCCCCTCGCACTTCATCATCGATTCTACCCCAGTCGTTCACGTTCTTCCCATCATCTATCCTATCCCTTAGCCATATGAACTCTTTCATTCCGACTTTGGCGCAGGTCCTGGGACCGTTCCTCATTGTCTTGGGATCAGAGATGTTTGTTGACTGGCTGAAACACGCCTACATCAGCAAGTTCAACAACTACCGCCCTGCACTGTACAATAAATTTCTCGATGTGCTCGCAAAGGACTACTACACGAACGCCTTTGCAGGCGGCGACCACAATATTACTCGCCGTCTGGGGCTGCCTGTCATCCCTCTATCTTGCATTTTCTTCCGCGTGTCCGTGCAGACATACCAGATGTTCTTGGCCTCCTTGCTTCCCCAATATCCATCATCCACCGCAGTGACTTCAAGTTTATCCACCATCCAGAATCGCCATATACCCCCGCCCCTCCCATCCGCCCCACCATTGAGCTTCGCAACGATCCTGCCAAATGTCAACATCCTGTTCCGCAAGGTCTTGGAGAACGCAATTCCTTCTCCCGCCCAATCTGTTCAGATATTCACAGTGGTCCTACTCCTGACAGCATTTATCGTGCTCTTGATTCTCAAGCTCATCTTGGGAATGGGCTTGCTCGCTTTCGCACGCTCTCGTTATAGGAAAATGAAGAGGGTAGAATCCGAGCAACGCAAAACATCTCGCGGCTCTGCACACCCGCAATCCCAGCAGGATAGTTCCAGCGATGCCATCACCGCACTCCGCAAAGATGAATTCACCGTCGAGGGAGGCCGCCGATCTGGGCTTTGGGGGATGGTCGAGGTTGGCGATGAGAAACGAAAACTGATTTATGGCGATGATCCTGAGGGACTTCGCCGGGTGAAGGAAAAAGAAGATCAGGATAAGAACAAGGATAAGGAGTTGAAGATCGACCATGTTCAGAGATATGAGATGGTTGCTAAGAAGATCTGGTGATTTTGATCTTATGTGGTGTGCATAGTTGCGTTCGAGATATGAACATTCGGGTACATGAGGACTGCAGTGTTGAAGTAGATGGCATCTGTGATGTCCTTGTAATACATGATCATTTCTATCGCATTTCGAAGTTTCTTCTAAATTTGCTATTGAAAGATATCTCGGAGGAATGTCAAGTGTCATCAACTTGACGATGTTTAGCTTTCCGCGCATATTAGGGAAAATCTAACCTCTTCTTGACTTTCTGGACACCTATTCAGCCAAAGACCTCAATGACGCTACGGGGCATGCTGTACTTCCCAATAGGGTTATACTCAACCTCATCAAACCCCATTGACCCAGGTCCCCCCAGTTCCATACCTCTCTTAGTGTCTGTCCAACGTGGTGAGGCAGCAATGGCAATTATAAATACCTTCAACCCATACTTATATTCGGGAGTCCCAAGGCCAGCACCAGTCTCAGCATCAATGACAGCAATCAGATCGGGCACTGATGCCAATATCTTCGACTGGCCATTCGAGACTGCTTCCACAAAAGCATTCTCATTTTTAAACGGAATTTTAATGGCAGCCTTGGTCCCATCGCTCAGTGTCCCATCAACATTTAAGACGCCATAGGTATGTCCAGTCTTGAGCACCCTCTCAACACCTATAACCTTGCCTTGGCCAAGGATGGCGGCACTCTCAGAGCCTCCAACCTCGTCGATGATGCGCTGTGCCTTATCATTGATGTTCTTCTCTAGAGCCACGGCACGCCCAATCCACCAAGCGAGAGAGACAGTTCCGGTAACTGCTTGCTCCCTTACGATTCGAGCAGGCTTCGGCGGTCCAGCTTTCCCAGCACGACATCCCATTTCTACACAAGCAGCCCGCAAAGCCTTATCAACCAACCTATCAGTACGAGACTTTGTCATCGTGATAAACGTCCCATCTCCACTGGCAATAGTGGCTGGGACCAAGGCATCACCACTTGGAGAGCCATATACATTAGGCGTGACCTGCCAGAATGTCGGATATGCACGTCCCATATTATCGGCATCTAGACAGGGAACTCCATAATGCGCCGATACGCCCAGGTTTAGGACTCCATTTCCGCCGCCAATCTCCAGTGCCAGAAATCCAGAGACTGGCGGGCTTCTGGTTACTCGCATGAGTTCGTCATGCGCTTGCAGGCATTCGTTGTTCTCCAGTCGCTCCATGCTCACCTCGGGGCTTCCCATGCACCCTGTCCAGCCAACTAGTGATTCATCGGGGAGATAATCAACTGAAACAACTTTGACTGTGCCAGGGTGGCGATGAATTGTTGCCCTTGCTTTGAGATATTCCTGATATGGATCACCACCGCCGCCACATCCAAGTATCTTGCACCCCTGGGCGATGAACTGTAGATCAGTCGAGGAAATTACCCATTGGCCATCCTTAATTTCGGGACGGTAGGATTGTAAGTCCACCTTTTCCTCTGGATATGATGGACCTGTTTCTTCGAGCTCCGCCGCTTGAGAGTCTTCGTCGAAGATTGTAATGTCAATCAGCGTTTCTGATGATTCTTGGGCCACAGAATCCAACTCCCCCACTGCTCGAACAACAATCCGAGCTTTAGCATCCACGTATTGAATAGGCAACATGGTAATTTCGGCGACTTGGATGGTCTCCGGCTTCGCTCCATTCTCAATGGCCTTCTGGATAGCGAGCTTGACCACTGCATCTTGAGCCTCCTTGATACTTTGATTCGATGTGTCCACAACCGTGTCAATGACACCCGAGACCCTTGAGATAGCTGCACCAACAGCATTGGCCACCTCTCCACCTTTGACAGTTCGAACCATGCTTACTCCTGTCAGTGGCTCATCTGTTCGGATGATAGGCGCGCCCCCGCCCACGATCAAAACATCAACGTCGCCCTTTTGAATCTTAGTTCTATCCACAAGCTCCTCGATCTTCTTTCTCATCGCAATTTGAGCTTTCCTCACTATCTCAGGCGTGACATCAGCAAGGCGCTCAGGCTGGCCCATGCCTTCGAAAGGATTATTGCCCGTGGGCGAATGGGCCTCAGAAGCAGCGACAATATCGGTTGAGGTAAGATATTCTCCACCAAATAACTTTGCCTTATCGAGCAGTTCCAGGGCCACGCTCTCAGGCCCAACAGAGAGATCTCCATTTTCCAAGCTCCGGATGATCGAACCACCCCCAAGTCCAATACTTTCCACAGCGGGGAGAGCAAAGTTCGTGCGGACACCACCGACTAGACTCATAACAGAGCTCATCTGAGGTAGACCGTTTGGGAGCAACAGTCCGCTATCGGATGTTGTTCCGCCGATATCGATGACGACAAGGGGCTCTTTTCGATCGCCCTTCTTGTACCCTTCAGCCTCTGATGCAGCCCTCCAAAGAAGCTCTCCACCGCGGATTGAATTGGTAGGACCAGAGTTGAAAGTTCGAATGGGCAGCTCCACTGCCTCCGATGCGCCCAAAACACTTCCATCGTTTTGAGTCAAGTAAAGCGTATACCTATTACCTTGGAAGATATCTTCCATGGCTTTTTGAAACCCATAGATGGTTTTCTCCGCCAAAGGTCGTAGAGTCGCATTCAAAATAGCGGCATTTTCTCGCGCAAGAAAGCCAAGACCAGACACTTTATGCGATAGTGTGATTCTTGGCTTCGATTTCGATGAACAATGTTTAGCCATAGCCGCTGACAGAACCTCGCTTGCATTTATTTCCTGCAAGTTGTTCAATGGAGCATACATGCCCGAAATAACAACATTCGAGATATTGTTTTTGACCAGTTCGAGGGCTATACGCTCAATCTCTGCTTCATCCAAAGGGCTGATCTCCGTTCCTGAAATCTGATATCCTCCATTGCAAAAGAATATTTGAGGTGACTCAATGCACGCTCGAAGGTCTGAAGGAAAGTCAATGAACGGAGGTATTCCGCGCCCAAATCCCTCTTCGGAACCGCCGCATAGTCTGATGACTGCCACGCGTCGCAATGAGGGTGCGCGTTGGACAACGGCGTTCACGAAGTGAGTTGTACCGATGATCACGCATCCGATGGCGGAGAGTGAGATATTCGATGCGTTGATGACTGTTCGAACGGCATTTGTGATGCCGGTTGTAACATCTGGTGTCGTTGGCGCTTTGTGGGAAGCGATAACGCAGATGGGGTCAAGGGATATGAGAACGGCATCGGTGTTCGTTCCTTGGGTGTCATGTGTTAATTTCGAAGTTCTACTGTTGTAGACTGAATGTAATCTTCAAGTGCATGGCATACCTCCTACGTCGACTCCAATACGGAATTTGTGGTCCATGGCGCTGTCTATTCTTGGCTGTTCAGTAATTGAGATTAAATTTAGAGTTAATGCTAAATACAAAAGTCAAGTCAGTTGAAATATGTTCCTATCTCAACCCCTCAAATGCATTTGGAGTAGGCGCTGCTGCGGGGTAGCTATCAGTGCACGGATTGTCATAGTCCGCTCTACCGCAAGATAAGAGCATGTGCGCAAGCTTAATTCCTTTCATCCATGGCATATGACCTCATTCAATCCCTGGCGAGCGAGACTTGTATCTGCCCGACGACGGAGGCTGTACCGGGCTCGCCTGCCGAAATTGTCAGTTGAACAATGCATTAACCGTATCAGGCAAGGCACATTATTGGAGATCGGAGTACACTATCATTGGGTGCACTCCCAGACGCCTACTCGTTCACATTACTTCGCTGACTACCCTGGAAGATGAAAGTGATTCTGGAGTGATACGCATTGAGCCGACGCCTTTTCCTTGTCTATATCCCGGTTCGACGAAGCACTATATTGCATGTTGACCTGCGTCAAGCGTTGTCGTCTGCTCTCTCATACTCAAAAGATAAGGTGCTGTGGCTTTTCATATGAGTTGTAATTCCCTAATCACTAGTCCCGCCATCAATTTGAAACAACCAAAGGTACACCAAACACAACACACAAAATCCGTTCCGAGGCGTAAAACAAACCACCCCTTGACTGTCAGCTTGATTCGAGAAAGATTGATACGCAACACAGTCCTTGGTTGATTAGAGATATTGCTCAACAAGAGCAGCATGACAATCCGGTTGCCCCGAACCTCGGCCTAAGCACTCCGTCGTCACGGATTTGTCTGACTCATGTTTATGTTTCGAGTACTAGCAATGACTGAGCTTGATGGACGGGCAGTCGAGGCCCCGGTATAGCATCATAGCTACATATTGTCCCCTGAATTCCATGATTCTGGGAGACTTCACGATGGATGGCGTATTCCAATCAGCCATATCGAAATCTACCACAGGCCATATTCATGGTTCCTGCAGAGCTCGAACCAGTAGTCATAATTCATGACTCCGGAAGTAACCACCACACCTCCGGCCCTGTAGAACTCTTGCGAGAGCTGAACATGTAACTATAGCTTTTCAATCTCCCTGGAGGATGCGTGGTTGTCTGAAACCCAGAATCTGTAGAACGCTCTAAATCCATCGCTTGTGATGTCTTGTATATTTATATTGTTATCAGTGGTAGATAAAGATTTTGAGGAATCTGAATCATGGTTGCAAGACCGATGATAATTCGGGGAGGTGCGTCGATGACCGTGTCGCGACTACTGAGACTTGGTGGCAGCAGTCATATCTTGGAGGGACTCCCATTATCAAAGTGGACGCTGGTTGTTGACATGGAAGGAAATGTTGACGAAGAGCTTAAATCTTAAAAAAGGGTGTGAGAGGGACGTAGCATGAAGCAACAGTGAGAGGAGTCTGAATTTATAGCCGTGAGTATAATTCAAAATGCATGGGCCACGCCTCGGTATTCTTTGTCTTCGTACCTATCTCCAAGCTGAGCAAGCCAGCATTTTTCGTGCGCCATGAGCTCCTTCGTATCTATGGCTCCAGCTTCGCGAACAAATCCGCTGTGCTCGGTATAGGTAGTGAATAAATATATAATGGAAACCTGATGACCAAGGCTTGGTATATATAGTTTGATGATGGCCATAAACAAAAAGGATGTCATAAGTCGATGGACTTACCCTCCCCGATTAGTTATGTAGGAGTATAAATTGATCGATCAAGTTGTGAGTTGGGAGGTACTGTCCGAGGTGAAAGACTCTAGCTATATTTTGCAACTTTAAGTAGACAAGATCGGTCAGCGGGATTAGCCAGTAGTATTCTTTACACGTAAATATGATTCATGCATGTCTTGTATATTCCGAAATTTATGTGCCAAATGCTATCATCAAACATATGCGAGCCAAGATTTCCTTGGGTATGCCGCCTACTGGAAGTAACCGGGGAACAGCCAGTTCAGCTTCTTCTGAGCCTCAGGACCCCAGTTGGACTGGGAAGTGCTGAAACCAAACTTCACGGAGCCAGCAAGGTGCTTAGCGTGAACCAAGTCAGAGTGCTCGTCGCTAGCCAGAGCGTCGAGGACAGCGGTAACGAAGCGGCGGGCGTTGTCGGCGTTAGCCTTCATGTGACCCATGACCATCTCAACGGTCACATCGGCGGTAGACTCGTGCCAGCAGTCGTAGTCGGTAGACATGCAGATCATCTGGTAGGCAATCTCAGCCTCGCGGGCGAGCTTAGCCTCCGGGAGGACGGACATGTTGATAACGCTGCCGCCCCATGAGCGGTACATCTTGCTCTCGGCGCGGGTGGAGAACTGGGGGCCCTCTGTAAAAGAACATGATTAGCAAATACCCATTGAGGGGACTTTGAGTATACATACCCATGCAAATAATGGTGCCGCGGTCGTGCAAGACGACACCGTCACCCTCCAGGCTGTGTCCGCATTCGCGGACAACCTTAGCGATACCCTCATCGAAGGGGTCGCCGAAGGGAACGTGGGCAACCACACCACCCTCGAAGTAGGTCCATGGCCGCACGCCCTTGGTACGGTCAATGATCTGGTCGGGAATGACGAAGTCGCGGGGCTTGATCTCCTCCTGCAGACTGCCGACAGCGGAGAAAGCAATGATGCTACGGACACCAATGGAGCGCAGAGCGGCGATGTTGGCACGGGCAGGAACCTCGTGGGGAGCGATCTGGTGGTGAGCACCGTGGCGGCTCAGGAAAGCAATAGCGACAACCTTGTCATTGTGCTTGCAGTGGTGGTGGAGGATGGTGATGGGAGAGGAGGGTTCGCCCCAGGGAGTAGAGATGGACAGCGAAGCAACCTGGGTGAATCCCGGGAGCTCACGCAGACCAGTGCCACCGATAACGGCAATTGGGACGGAGCCTAAAGTAATCTCGATCGTCAGCTATTGTGACGAAGTGGGGTGAGGGGCGGGCGCTTGAGGGGATTGCTAGCGAGGGGCTTAATAGGGGGATACACACCCTCGTAAGTGGTGGGAAGAGCAGCCATTCTTTTAGCGTATTGCTTCGGGGACTCAATGCGACGAAAAGGTTTTGAGATTGAAGAGAGTTGGCGAAGTCCCAAGAGGCAGCGCATACTGTATTAAATTTCGACGAGACTGCCCCGCTCTTATTGGACCCCCGCCCCACGTGCGTTCCTGAGGCCGCAACTTTACCGCCTTCAGACCCGATCTATAAACGTTTGAATCCATGGATTCACTGACAGTTGAACACAATTCAATATTTATAATCGATCGATTGCTCCAGTAGTGGAATCTTCAATTTATTTGGTCCAGTCAACCTTGGCAAGTACGACTTTTAAGAACACTAATCTGATACTTGGACAGGTTTTTCCAATCTATATATCCAACGTGACTCCACTGTCCCGCGTTTAAGCCACCTTCCACTCGTAGTGGTGAGGACCTTTCATAACAGGACCAGGATCCTCACCGGCAACACCCGGCTTGTTATAGCTGTGAGCACCGAAGTAATCCATCTGTGCCTCCATGAACTTGGTTGGCAACATGAGTCCACCTTCATATTTGAGATAATCCAGAGTGGCAGAGATCGCCGGCATATACTGATCCGTCTTGGTGCCCTCGATAACAATATCCTTCAAGGCACCGAAGCTATTATGCAGCTCTGTCGAAACCGCATCGATGAATTTCATATTGGACATGCTAGTGTTGCCCGATAGCGGAGGCTGCAACATATCGGCAATGTAGTCGGACTTGATAATGCAGCCAGCCCGCCAGATCTGAATACATTTACCAAGATCAATGTTCCAGCCTTCATCCTCGGAGGCTCTGGAGATCAGCTCCAGTCCCTGACAGAAGGACGATAAGAAGGAACAGTAAACAGCCTTGCGCAATTTCTCAAGCAAGTCGTCCTTAAAGTGCTGTAAGTCTCGGATCAGGCGAGGCGACGGCATCTGGAGCTTCTTAGAAGCTTGCACTCGCTCTTGGCGATTTCCACTTGCGATACGCAAGTAATGGGCTGCAGCTAAGGTGGGGCAGGAGACATGTCGTTGTGCAGACTCCATGATCGACCAATAAGGTGTTCCCTCGGTACCATCGTCGTCCTGGACCACCTTGTCAAGAACATCGTCGAGGACGAATCCACTGTTGCCAATTCCTTCTCCCTTTCCATCACCATGGGGTGTCCGCTTGGTTCTCAGAATATCGGCGCCGATGTTAATCAAAAAATTGCCCCGTAGTTCACCGGCGGAGTCCCATTTCGCGAATACATCTCCGATTTCCTCGTAGCCCATGCCCATGCCGTAATGCATGAACGACCATGCTTCAGCAAGCGAAGAGAGCATTCCACCTTCGATACCATTGTGAACCATCTTGACGTAGTGCCCAGATCCGCCAGGGCCAACACGCGTCACACAAGGGGTGCCACTCTTGGGGTCCTTAGCTGCATACCTCTGGAGCAGAGGCATGACCAGCTCCAGCGCCTTGGCATCTCCACTAGGAGAGAGACTAGGTCCACGACGAGCAGACTGGTAGCCACCGGAGACACCAACGCCAATCCAATACACGCCTATCTCGGCACATTCTTTCTGGCGGCGTTCCGTCCGGCGATAATTCTCATTTCCGCCATCTAGAACAATGTCGCCTTTCTTCAGATCAGGTTTGATCATGTTAAGAACCGAATCTGCAGGGTCACCGTGTGTAATGGAGAACATGAATAATTTGTGATCTGCACCCTCGAGACTCTGAGTGAATTCTTTGATGTTGTAGAATCCAGAAATCTTTCCTTTGACATCGTTGGCGCTCTTAGCCCAGTTCGTAACTTTGTCGACATTTGTTTTGTCCACGTCAAATACTGATACATCGAGACCCATCTCCGAGAAGGCAAAGGTCATCATTGATCCCATACTGCCCGCTCCGACCACGCCGATGCGCTTGAATTTCTTGATCGGATCCATATCCGCCATGATGATTGTCGAGTATATTAAACTAGGTAGGTCTACTCAGGGAGAGAAAACCTTAATGCATTGAAATATAATATAAATCGAGGGGGAGGATTAATTTGTAGTTGGAGAGAATAAAGTCTCAATTGCTGTTCTTGAACGACAATTTGTGGCAACCGGCATGGAGGCCCAGGCAAATCAAATAATGTCACTATGTGGTCAGCGGCGATTACGAAGGCAACTCTCCTACCTCTTTGACCTTTATGAAATAGGAGAAGTGAACTTAGCCATGTCTGGCGACATTTGGAAACCTGTCCAGCTTATGATGTATCAGTGACGAAACTTGGGGTTGCAACCTTACATCATAATCAACACGCATCAGTTCCGAGAACATCCAATATTATAGACCCTATCAACACAACAAAATTCCAATGATTAAAACAGCACTCAACGTGTATCAAAAAGTAGTCACCGGCAACATGAAACCAATAAGCCGTCAATCACTTCAAAAGATTCCCCTTGCCTATGCCTCCTGCTCAATTGGCTGCGGGCCAAACGACACACTCGCGCGCCGACTGAAAGCAATCAGCAAAGCAGGCTTCACCTCAATCGAGCTTTCTTTCCCTGATATTGTCGAATTTGGCTCGCAGGTACTCGGATACCCCGTCCAGCCGGATAATTACTCCGTACTCCAAGGCGTCGCCCGAGATATCCGCCGATTATGCGATGAGAATGCATTGACAGTGATGATGTTGCAGCCCTTCTCAAATTTTGAAGGATGGCCGCAGGGCTCAGCCGAGCGTGAGGAAGCGTTTGCGAGAGCGAAGGGCTGGATTGAGATCATGAAGGTTGTTGGCACGGATCTTTTGCAGGTATGTTCAACTAAACCCCCCAAGACAGAATAAAACAAGCTAAGTTTATATTAGGTTGGAGCTACAGATACACCCGAAGAGAAAATATTCACATCCCGGGACACCGTCGTCTCCGATCTTCGTGAGCTAGGAGGTATGCTAGCCAAGCAGAATTTCCGACTCGCCTATGAAAATTGGTGCTGGTCTACACACGCACCAGGCTGGAAAGAAGTATGGGAAATCGTGCGCGATGTCGATCTTCCAAATGTCGGTCTCTGTCTCGATACATTCCAATCCTGTGGAAGCGAATGGGGCGATCCAACTACCTCGTCAGGATTGATCGAAACCGAATCACATGACCAACTTCAAACCAACTGGCATGCGAGCATGGAGCAACTAGCAGCCACTGTCCCCGGCGACAAGATCTATCTCTTGCAGATCTCTGATGCGTATAAGGTCTCGCCTCCGCTTGAGGACAAGGTCATTGATGGGTTGCGCCCGCGCGGTCGCTGGAGCCATGACTTCAGGCCTATGCCCTATGATGGCGGGTACCTGCCGATTGAGGATTTCGCAAGGGCGGTGTTGCAAACTGGGTTCAGGGGGTGGTTCTCTGTGGAGATCTTTGATGGGGGTCCTGAGGGTAAGGGGAGGACGTATGATATTAATGAGTTTGCGAAGAAGGCTATGGTGAATACGCAGAAGCTTCTAGATAATTGTGCTACGGACGGTCAATAGGAGTGAAATGCAAAGAATCATTCGATTTTAAATGTATGGTGTACAGTAGACGAATTCGCCTTATAGAGTAATTTTAAGGATTCAGGATTGTCCTCCGTGGACTTGATAACATGGAAAACGCCGGGTGTGAAATGCAGGGTAGACGCCGTGATGTCATAAGGCATGCAGTGCTAGAAGTAGGAGTGCGCGAAATGCATATCCACTTCAGCTTAGTTGGCGTTGCTGGGGTAGGCAACGGTGTAGGTGGGGACAAACTCCTCCTTGACGGAACGCAAGCTCACGAAGCGAGACAGCAAGTTGGCGCTACCGGCCTTGTCGTTGGTACCACTGGCACGGGCACCACCGAACGGCTGCTGGCCAACAACAGCACCGGTACTCTTGCAGTTAATGTAGAAGTTACCGGCGGCGTTGCGGAGAGCATCGTCGGCCACGCGAACGGCCTCACGGTCCTGGGCAAAGACGGATCCAGTCAGGCCGTAAGTGCCAGTGGTGTCAATCTTCTCGCAGATCTTAACGAAGTCGGCCTCAGTAGCGTCGTTGTAAGAGTGGATGACAATGATAGGACCAAAGAGCTCCTTGGACAAGAGGGGGTGGTCGGGGTTAGAGGTACGGTACACGGTGGGGGAAATGTACCAGCCCTTGGAGGAGTCGTAAGTACCTCCAGCAAGCAACTCGAGCTCGGGATCGTTCTTCGCCTCATCGATAACACCAGCCAGCTTGTTGAAAGAACCCTCGTGGATGACCGGACCGCAGAAGTTGGTGAAGTCGGATGGCTCACCAATCTTCAGCTGCTGCACCTCAGCAGCGAGCTGCTTCGCAAATTCGTCGGCAATAGAAGATGCGACATAGGCACGAGAAGTGGCGCTGCACTTCTGGCCCTGGAACTCAAAGGCACCACGCACGGTCTGGACCACAGCGTTGCGCACATCGGCCGACTTGTGAATCAAGTGGAAGTTCTTGCCACCAGTCTCGCCCACAATGCGAGGGTAGCTGCGGTATTTGCCATCAGCCACTCCCTCCGAAATCTTGCCATAGAGCGAACGGAAAACGTCCGTGCTGCCGGTGAAGTGGAGAGCGGCGAACTCAGGGTGGTTGAGGACAGAGCTGGTGACCTCCTCGGCGTCACCAGGCACGAACTGAATGACATCCTTAGGCAGACCGGCCTCGAGAAGAATCTGGTGAACGAGCCAGTTGGAGGCGATGGCAGAGGGGGAAGGCTTCCAAATCACAACGTTACCCATCAGGGCGGGAGCGCCAGCCAAGTTACCACCAATGGCAGTGAAGTTGAAAGGGCTGATAGCGTAGACAAAACCTTCCAGGGGACGGTACTCAAGGCGGCTAGAAATGGTCAACATCAATGGTTTCAAAATAGCTAGATTCGCGTGGGTGACTTACTTCCAAACACCAGGAGCGTGGTGAACGGGCTGCTGTGCGTAAACCTCCTCGGCATACTTGACACCAAAGCGGAAGAAGTCGATCAGCTCAGCAGCTGAGTCAATCTCCGCCTGCCATGCATTCTTTCCTTGGCCCTGCATAGTCAAGGCCATAATGTCATAACGGTACTTGGTCGAAATCAAATCGGCGGCCTTGAGGAAAATGCTGGCGCGCTCGGCAAAGGGAGTCGCGGCCCAGGATTTGCGAGCAGCAAGAGCTGATGCGATAGCAGCGTCAACATCGGCTTTGGAAGCATTGGAGTAGGTTGCGAGAGGAGCATGAGTGGCTGGGTTGCTCTGGGTAAATGTGTGGGAGCTCTTGATCTGCTAAATATTAGTACAACTCGTCGCTTGAAGTCCGATTTCTCTTACCTCTTTTCCAGCAATGACGAGAGGGACATTGAAGGGAGATTTCTGGTTCACCGAAGCCAAAGCATCCTCCAGGCCCTTGCGGTCCGCGGAACCGGGAGTGTAATGTTTCTAAGTATTGTAATCAGTGATATTTCTTCGCGCAATATCCATAAAATCCGACTCACGTTTGGCTCGTTGTTAATCTGGGGAATCTTGAATGTCGCGTAAGTGCCCAGCGACCGCGAGCTTGAGCTAGGAGCGCGGCATGCAAGCGACTGCCAGCGAGACAATGGCTGCGCTCTGGCGCGCAAGAGGATCGACTGCATTGTGATATTCGAAAAGCTCAAGAATTAAATTCAAATCGCTAGAATCCGTAATGTGAAGAGTTGAGATCGAAGAAAAGAAAAGAACGCGGGGTACACATATGATGAAATGACCGGCTATCACCGGCGGTAGCTATCGCATTTTCGACCGCGAAGCTGCCAGTACTCTGTACCAGGTGCATGAGCCGGCAGCGAATAACAGGCGGCCGGCAACAGTCCCGGGTGGGGCAACCGGGCCGGAGCTCAGTATTGGAGCAGCATTGAAGGATCCACCATAATCTGCAAAGTGGAGAACACCAGTGTACCCGGTACGGACATCGATAAAACTATTTCTCTAGATAACACAAATCTATTCGAGCCTCGAAAATCACAGATTATCCTCGCATCAAAGATAAGCATTGAAAATCTACGTGTCCTGATAACGGTCCCTGAGGTGGATCAAGGTGGATCAATGTGGAAATCGTTCTAAATGCGAGCTTTTATCTGAACACAGCTAGTTGAACACCCTCACTACCGCTAACGTAGCGCAGCATACAAGGTTCATGGGGTAAAATTATTGAGTACATACCCAAGAGCCTACTTGGTCACGCTACTCTATAAACTACGCTGGAATGTGAAGGTGATGAAAGGATGATATCCACTGAGCCACCTTTTCTTACCTTAAGTACCAGTTTTTTTCTGACAATTCTTGGCTTCCTTTTCTGTATTGGTGCTCACCCTCTCGTCACTTTTACTCACGGAGTAGGTATGAGCACGACTGGCTCAGCGATCGGATCAGTGAGTCTTACATAAGCCTTAGCATGCCCAGTGAGCCGCTGAGCAGACTGATCAGGTGATGAGATCTTTCGAGTGGGCTGCGGCTGGTGCGCAAAGAAGACTATCTGACCTTAGATTATAAGGGTTATACGGTGGAATCGGAATATGAAGACCAAACTGATCGGTGATACTGCCGCGAACCAGAAGGAGATACAGTCACGATATAGCTCTCAGACCTCCAGCGCACGATGAGAATACCTCTTGGTGCAGTGGCGCTCTACCCTCTGATATCGTTCTGTAGTGCTGATCGTGCCTCATTGGAAGGAGGTGGCTTCTGCGTCGGAAAGCCACCTGTACTTTGTGCGAAATGTTCCAGGTGAAGCCAAAGCAAACTGTTTACACAGGAGGAAGATAGATGGATACTGGTCTCAAATATATTGAATGATAGCACAAAACAAACGGTTAAATCTTGGTTAATGCGATAGAGAGGATTGGTATGTGTCTCTGATAATCCCAGCAAGCTGAATAACGTCTTTCTTGTACCATGGCATGGCATGATGATAATCCATGTCCCATTGAATGAAAGAATCATGAGTGAACCAAGTGGCCAACTGCTTCCGTCCACCAGTGAGATGCATGTCCTTCAACCCATGAACATGTATCGTCGGAGATGATATCCGCTCATGATGGCTATCCGAATTGCCCAAGGCTAAACAGAAGATTAACATTATAATTATGTGGGGCGAAACATGAAAGAAGGAAAAACTAACCCGATCCGGCCTCCGGCTGCATGGGAGACCCACTGCCCATAAATAGGACCCCAAATATCAGGCTACCGACACCCGAGATTCCATTAGACATTGGCAGGTCTTGCTGAGATTGGCGCCGTTGCTGATCGAGTAGCAAACCGCTAACGACCCTTGTACCCTGGCTAAACCCCAATGCACCCACCCAATTCCATTCTTCGCCGCTCTTTTGTGTCTCGGCAATCATCATGTTCCATACTCTTTCGATTCCATCCTCGCCAGTTGAATTGTCAAATCCACTGGTGTCCTCGATGCCAGTAAACCAGGTCTTGTAAGGCCCACAATTTTTGAATGCGGGTAGAACACCCGGACCGGGCCCACGGGTAAATGGTGCTTCGAAGTAAACAAACTCGAATTCGTGCTGTAGCTCACGTTGTAAATTTTGGCATTGTACCATATGGATTTTAGCATTAGATCCACCGCCATGGAAACATGCTATGCGAGGGAGAGACATGGATGAATGGAGAATAGTAATTTCTCACTCTATAAGCGGCCCTGGAAGGTTTCAATATCCAAAATTATATTTCTTATATACATACCACTCATACATGAGTGGAGGCCTGATGGGCAAACCTGCTTCGGAATCCGAGCTGGAAGGGAACGTGCTCAAGATCCGCAAATTTCGGGCCTGTTTCGGACTATTAACCTTGATTATTTAGGGCCTTTTTGAAATTAGCCCCCGATTTCACCTCAATGGCCGCTTTGCCCCCCTTGATAGTAATTGGTCCTGGATCGGACATTATGCCGTTAAGTGGTCCGTGTCGGAGCTTCACCTCGTAACTCGGAAACAGTTTCAAGTGCAGCAGCATTAATGGTGGTTGAAACAGGAAAAAGAAGTTACAAATTCGTGAGTCGGTCCATAATCACTAGGATTGCGTTGACATTTAGCTTGGCGTGGCGGCTGGGTGTGAGTCTAGTAATGAAGTCCATCGATAATTCGCCCCAGGGTCGGGATGGTGTTCGTAGCGATTCGAGCTTGCCATACGGTTGGTGCCTTGGTGCTGCGGTTACTTGGCAAATATGGCATCTCTACACATAGTCAATGACATGGCCATGAATATTGACCCAATGAATTTGCGTTTTCGTCGCTCCTTTGTGCACCTACGCCCGAAGTGCCCGGCGAGAGGCTCAGTGGTTTCTAGCAAATATTCTCCGCGGTAGGTATGAAAGGACTATCTCCGACACTGGCAGCTTGTAAGAAGACGCACTAAGCATATATCACAGATAGCCATAAAGAGATAATCAAAAGTAATGGTAGGTATTCCAGACGGAATGTAAGATTGTCTAAGAAATTTCCGTATAGGCTACCGTAAAAATAGACGAGGGTCAACAAGGAAGAAAGCTAAAATAGGAGATATCGCGTTGAATAATAGAAAACTCAGTATATAAATAAAAACGCCGCGATGCATAACATTCTCTACCTTCTCATTTAATCCATAAGCGCATGCTTGATGATTTCGCTCAGATTTGCTGCCAGATCTCCCTTCATCATTGAGAAATGATTGGCACCACGAACCCGTGCAAAGCGCATCTTGGCCTCAGGTAATAACGTCTCCCAACCACAGGGTCCGTAATCTTGCCGAGCCACTGTCAAAAATTTGAGACCCTCTGGATCATCGTCGCGATGCTCGAACTTGTCATCTACATGTGCGTCGATCGAGTCACAGGCCCAAATGACATGTGTGGTGGGCGCCGAATGCTCTGGCTCGAATATAGAGGCATGATAATCGTGGAGACTGTTAACACATGCCTCGAAATGTGGAATCAACCATGGAGGTACAGCCTTGCGTTCACCAGTCCCGGAGTGGACGACTCCAAGGAGACCAATCTTATCGCAATAGTCGAAGTATCTCTTGGGGAGATGATCCAAGCCACGTGGAACTGGACAATCGAGTAACACGAGATCGGAGATGACCTCGCCCTCCTCAGCTAGCAGCTGGGCACAGTGATAAGCAAAAATGCCACCGACTGACCAGCCGCCCAGAGCATATGGACCGCATGGTTGACGACGCTTAATCTCCTTGACGTAAAGACTAGCGACATGTTCAATGCCGACTGGGTACGATGACGGCTCCTTCATGTATGGGCAGTTGAGAGCAACAACTGCAAGGGAAGGGTCAATGGTTGGGAGTGATCCATACGACGACGCTGAGCCCGAGCCATCAGGGAGAAGGAACAGTGTCTTGCTGGTGGTGGATGAAGCAGGATTCCCCTGCAACAGGAGAGAGCTGGCTTTGGCATTGGGCTTGCCAAGAAAGGCCAGTATTTCAGTCAAAGGAGTAGGAATGTTACCCTCCTCAACTGAAGAGCCTGAATCGTATGGTGTACTAGGCGAAGTTGAAGAATCATCCTGGATGTTGTCATGGTGGAACATGGAGTCAAGAATTGCATCGTTGCCGGTCACAATGGATCTATCGCCCGTAGAGGTTGTTCCCTGCTTCCAGAAATCGCGAAGCTCACCCACTGTGGCATAATCTTCGAAAATGGTGGATTCGTGAGCGAGACCCAGTTCCTCTCTGAATCGACTTGCGCACAGAAGAGAAAGAAGCGAATCCACCCCTAAATCAGCAAAAGCCTTGTCGTTTGTCAAGTCAGCCACTGGGACACCACTCTCCTCCGATATGATCTTTAGTGCAGCAGACCAAGACGAGAGACTAGGCTCTTCGACTAACCCATTCTGGGCCTGTACTGCTGCTTCAGCCGCCCCGTTTTGGGTGGTGCCATTAGCCGGTCGCACCGGTTGCAAACTGTTGGTAGGTCCGGGCAAGCCAACCTGAGTATCATCTCTCATGCGAACGATGTAATCCATCAGTCGGCGAGGGACACCCTGGGCCTTGATACCGCGGAAGCAGGCAACGACCTCATCGCCGTCGAAAACAGTCATGTCACCACTGTACATTCCGTCTTCCTTAGGACCAGTCATTTTAACGTAGGAGTGGTAGATCTTCTCGACCGACACCTCTTTGTAGAAGTGAAGGGACGTCCATCCATGGTTCACAAAAACTTCTTTGTCAAGGTCGGCATGATCATTTGCATTCATGATGAAAAGTGCAGGCTGACCGAAATTTTCAATCAAATAGGGATTGACTTTGTATCTTCCGGCAACTTTGGGGCCATGAGCAGTGACTGGGTTGCAATTGACTTTCGCAACCGCTTCAAGATTCTTGCTGTCCATTACTACCTCTATGACTCCCTTGTATTCAGCATCATAAGATGCCAGAGAGGAAACGAGTTGGTACCCAGTACTACCGGCCAACTTTTGCACCCTGTCGTTATCCTCAATACCCTGACGAAGCTCAGTCATGTGCTTTAGTATTTCCTTCGCAGAAGCCTGAGCTGCAGCTTCGGCGTCCGCAGCGGAGGGAAATGTGATTGAACATTCCGCATGTTTGACCAAAGTCTTACCCTCAGGGGTAACACTGTAGAATTGAACCAATGCCTTCTCGGTAATGAGGTCTAAAGTAACTCGGCAGCGGAGAAGCTGAGGGCCGTTCCCTTTGCTCTTGACCGCGAGTGGCTTTTGCACGTCCATGTGTTGAACGTCAACCAAGCATTCAGTCCATTTGGGGCTAGAACTGCGAATGTAGTCACCAAGGACCAGTGCCATCTCAGCATAGACCGAGGGTGTACACAGCGCGACACCGTTGACGCGATGTCCTCGTACAAAGGGATCGAGATCATCCCGCAGGAGATCGGATTCTCCAACGACAGTGATCTCAGCACTGTCATGCTTCTCCTCAATCAAGCGATGCACACATGTCGTAGACAATGGGGGTGCTTTCGCTCCTGATAAGAAAGCAGCATCGCCCTTGTACAGCGACCAGTCATTGACATACTGCATCCAGTAATTTGTGAGATCCCAGTTGTAGTTCGGCAGACGAAGCACTTCGAGAGACCTAGTAAATTCTCTATGGTACTCACCCCATTGAACTGTGTGGCCGGATGCATAGAGTGTACTCAGTGTGCTAGTCAAGACCTTCCATGTATCTCTCTTGCGTTGAAGGGTAGGTAGTACGGCGACGGGGCCCAGATTGGCCTTGACCAAACCGACGACGACAGGATGGGGACCAATCTCGATCCAAACTGATTTGTCGGTGGCTAGTCTGTCAAGTGTGGCACTTTGAAGGGCCTTCGAAAAGTCAACAGGCTCACGAGCGTGACGAGCAAGGTAGCGCGGGTTGATGATGCCTTCTGTCTCAATGGCGTGGCCAAGCAAGGGGCTTAGCAGAGGAATCTGGGGCTTATGGAATTGCACACCAGCGGCCACCGATTCAAATATATCCAAAATTGGGTCAACCTGCGTTGAATGGAATGCGTAAGGCACGCGAAGCCTGGTCATCTTCTTGACACCTGCTTGGTTGAGTACTTTCTCAGCTTGATCTATGGCGACGCTCGTCCCGCTCAAAACTACCTCCGTCGGAGCATTCTTGCAGGCTATCTCAACTTCCAGACCAGCCAGGAGGTTGCTGGCATCATCAACAGAAATACTCACTGCAAGCATGCTATGCGTATCACGGGAGCATTTCTCCTGAAGAAGTTGTGCCCGTCTGCCGGTCAAATATATGGTGTCCACATCTGACAAAACACCGGCGACGTTCAAGGCTGCGTACTCGCCCAGGCTGTGGCCAATAACTGCAGCTGGCTCAATACCCCAGGAGCGCCAGAGCTTAGCCATTGCCATCTGGGAGCAAGTCGTCGCCAGTTGCACGACTAGGGGCTCGAAGTCCGTTATCTCTCCGTTGGTAGCGGTAATGAGAGGAATGATTGGCGGGAAGCCTTGCTTCTGCGCGATGCGATCGAACTGTTCCATATCAATGCGGAAAGACGGGAAGCTAAGTAATTCTCGGGCCATGCCTGGATACTGAGCTCCTTGCCCTGTGAAGGCAAATATAACCGATGAGGCGACCCTTGGTCCCGATAGGGGTTCAGGCTCAACGAGGCATCTCTCCAGTTGAGCGGAAATCTCCTTCAGATTTGCCCCACTGACCATGACCCGATAGCGATGGTGTGCTCTTCTAGCGGTCGTGGTGTAGCCCAAACTTGGGAGAGATGGGCTCTCGCGCTCAATGTAGGAGATGAGATCCCGAATGCCAGCAAGAAGAGCTGTCCGGGACTTTGCCGAGACAGCCACGGGATGGAATGATCGGGGATCATCTTCAGCACATTTTGACTTAGTCCAGCTGGGAGCGTCCTCTACCAAGACAGAGCTGTTCCCTCCTGCAGCCGAAAAATTATTCACCATGGCGCGTCGAGGCTGATCTTTACTCCCTACCCAGGGAGTGAGTTTATCGGCAATGAAGACATTCCGCTCCGCCAAATCGGTAGGAAACCTGTGATTGATCTTGGTCTTAATGCCAATGTGAGGCGGTATCGCATTTTTTTCCATCATCATCAAAACCTTTGTCAAGGCGATGATTCCAGAGACAGATTCGCCATGGCCGACATTGGCCTTCGCCGATCCGAGATGTATCGGATTTTGACGAGGCTTATTAGCAAAGGTGGAAAGCACAGAGTCCATTTCACGGGCGTCTCCAGCCTGAGTGCCAGTTCCATGCATCTCGATGTAGCTGACCGTCGCTGGGTCGACTGAAGCGGTAGTCAATATGCGCTCGAAAATTGCTTTCTGGGCCCCGACATGTGGCCGGGTGATGCTCTCAGCCTCGGCAGAGTGGTTGGTGTATGCACCCAGTATGACGGCACGGATGGGATCGTTATCAGCGATTGCGTCTTCCAGGCGCTTGATGACCATACTGACCACGCCTTCGCCCCGGCAATACCCGTCAGCATCATCATCGAAGGTCTTGCAGTTGCCAGTTCGCGAAAGGAAATATCCGCGATCGAGACCAGCTGTGATATCTAGATTTCAAGAGAAGCTGTTCAATAAAAGAACCAAAAGCCAGAAGAGATACTCCCAATTGTGAGTAGAACTCTTAGATATAAGCTATGTACTCACCAGGATTGGTCATGACATTTGTCCCGCCGCTAATAGCTGTATCAATATCTCCACGCCACAGCGCATTGCACGCAAGATGCATTGCTGCCAAGCTCGACGAACACGCCGTATCGACACTATAGCTGGGGCCGCTGAACTTATAAAAGTAGTTTTGGCGACCTGGAATGAAAGCACGGCATGATCCAGGAATGTAGTAGGTATCGACATCTTGGGAACTGTTGGTCTCTCCCCAGTCGTTACTGGTAGTACCGATGAACACACCAACTCGGTCGCGCTGGGTTGAAGGTGTTGCATCAGATACCATGCCTGCGTTCTCCATCGCCTCATATGCAGTCATCAGACTTAAACGCTGGGCTGGATCCACCTGAGGTGCTTCGCGGGGACTCATCCCGAAAAACTTGGCATCGAAGAGGCCGGGGTTGGTCAACCAACATCCAAAGGGGGTACCACTGGTGTTTTTTTTCTTCAAAGTGGGATCAACGTGTGTATTGACGTCCCATCGTTGCTTGGGTGTAATACTGGCCATGTCGCGGGCTTCTTCCAGTAGTTGCCAGAAAGCTTCGTTGCTGTTGGCACCGGGGTATCGGCCTGAGTAGCCCACGATGGCGAGTTTGGAGCTCCCCAGGTGCCCACTTTCGGACACCATGGAGATCTCGGGGGTACTGGGTCCATTCATGGAGCTATCAACCACCACATCCTGGATGCCAGCAGTTTTAACGGCGGTCAAGAAGGTCTTGGTGGTTGGAGTAGCAACAGGAACGATCTTGCATGTTGCCGCTCCAGTGTTGAGTATCCCCTCCGTCACTCCTTCCAAGATAGTGTCAAGACGAAGGGGTTGCAGAAGAATCTCCTCTAATGCAACGCGCAGTAATGATGCCATACCAGTGCCAGGAGATATCCGACCGCGGCTAGCTTGAACAGCAATTTGACTGGACTGGAGCTCAGTGCGGTCCCTGGAGATAGTTCGTAGTATCTCCTCGACATTAGACTCATCATAAAGATGCGGTGCATGGAAGGGTGTGTAGATTCGTGTCTTAAGTCCAGACGAACGCGTCAAGTATCCAGATGATAGAATATCATCCAGCACACTAGATGGTCCGGAGAGTGTTATTCCATTGTGGGCGTAGGCACTGATATACGGGCTTGACGCTTGTGGAATACCCTAGAGATTAGTATGGTCAGCCACCACTTTTCAACCATCCTTCTTATTTCTTGGGAGATTGTCAAATAATACCTTGTCAACGATATACTTCTTCAAGGCTTCAATGGCAACATGTTCTTCCAGTCCAGGTATAACCACAGACCAACTGTCTCTTTTGCTGGCCGACTGTTCAATCCTCACCCGGACGTCCTCGACAAGCAGACCAGTTCGGAAAGCTAGTACTACAGAATCGACCGCAGAATGGACCAATTCAGACAGGGAGGAACAACAACTTATTGTGACTGCTGTCAGAAGACCGGTGCATAGCCCCGTCAAAAGAGTATCGGCATGGGTAGGGTATACGCGCCCTGGTTGGGTGAAATGGCTGGGGAGGACACATTCAGCATGTGAATAAACCATATAAGAGCAAACCTGGACGGGATACATACTTTATAAAGGAGCCAAACTGCAGCACCAATATGAGGGCCTGCTGGAGCGCTGGATGCACAGCATCGGTGCTTCGTAACTTGGCGAGGAGCTCACTCAAAGTAGTGAATTTAGGGAATGCAGCCCGCTTTGCTAGAGGGAGACTACTGATGTGAGTACGCAAGGCAAATGCAATGCGCTCAAAGAACGATGTGAGCTGTGCATCATCTTGCAATCCGCAGAGAGCTACCAAGCTGGGTTCGAAATCATAGTTAAGGTCTCCGAACACGAAAAGTTGGTAAGGGGACTCCATGATGAAACTAGCTGAGATGAAGGTGTTTCTAGCAATGTTTACAGGGCATATGTATTCAGAGCTGTTCTTTATAACAATTTGTGAAATGCACGAATGCTTGGAGAGATTCAGCTCTGATGTCTGATTCCTTTTTCTCCTATCTACAAATTCCCGGCTCGAAGATCGGATTCCGAACAAGAACCAGAGACAGCCATTCAGAAAGCATTCTCGGGATAAATGCATTTAAACATTTCTAATTTCCAAGGCTCCAGATACCATTTTCTTGCCCTGAACTCTCATTGTTTGCGCTCGGGCTTATGTTTACTCGTTGCTTACCCGCTTTATACCCAACGATGCTGTTGTACCAGCGACAATATTACGAGAATCTTATTGCTGACCCGAAGGATTGAGGCTGTGTCAAAATGCCGCTAAATCGGGCACCGAATAAATAGGGCGTCCATCAGGGCTCGGAAATTTATGCACTTAAGCGCCTTGCATTAGCGAGTTTTATATGTATTTACTAACTCTCAGCAATAATATTTTATATTTTTCGCTTTGTGACAATGGTTAGGCATATATCTGAGTCAACCTTGTGGACTTTCTCGATTACGCCCGCCGAGCTTCACTGGCTGACAAGATAGTGGCTCCTTAGGCCTATGTTATAGTAAGCTCATAAATGCTTTGTGATAATAGAAAGCAGTATCCACAATAGCCTAAGTAGAATGATTAGGAGAGCCAGTATTTAATACCTTACATTCCAAGGGTTTCACGACCAAATACCTCTTTTCATGAACTTTGCATTCTTTCTTGGCACGTCTTACTGTTTACTTTCTAGGAGAGACTCTAATTACCTCTTCAAATTATTCTAGATTCTGAACATAGGTCGAATTCATATGACATAACAAGCATGGAGCGGGCTGGGTTTGATCTTAACTTTTGCTAGGCTTGTTGGATTCTAGGTATAAATGGCAATGTTTCTTGATTTAGCTCCCATAGTTAATGCACACTGTTTCCTATACCCAGATCTGATCGGATACCTGATTCTATGGATCGACCTCTAACCACTTGCAAATGTGCCATTGGAGTCCAAGAGTTGGTTGTTGACCCGGCAATGCACCGCATTCACGTCATGCACGTAAACCACTTTGCCATCGCTAATGATTTCGTGTACGTATCCGAGGCTCATACTGTGAGATTAAATTATCAGACGAGTAAAATCATTTCTTGCATGTGGGCTTCATACCGGGTACGACGTGCGCGATCAGTGCGATCCGCGAATTTCAGGTGATCCATGGCAACACGCTCCTTGTAGATCGGATCATCTTTTAGCGCGAGGAAAGACTCAAGATTTGGGATGATGATTTGAACCACAAAGTCGTGATCCGAATATTCGACATAGTTGGGGTCGAACAGACGGGGGAGCAGGTCCATGGGCTTCGCGGCGTTATGGGTCTGAACTTGCTATTCAGCTATGCATTCTTTTCAAAGTCGATGAACAAAGGAAGACATCAATCATACAATGCTGTAACGCACAACTCCATGCTTCTCCATCAACCCAGAAACCAACTGAGAATGCTGACTGACTTGGAAATCGCAGAGTTCTTCCTCAGTGAGTCCTGGTTTCTTGTACCCCAGCATAGTGATGCAAAGGAGCTGACGAGTGGGGGTGGTGGAAGACATGTCGAATAGAGCTTTGACCCTATATCTACGAATAGATATTTCCAAGCCAAATCAACTGTATGAAACTCTGACAGATAATTTCCTGGAGGTGGGCGATTTATAGATGGCAAGCTTCGCGGGGAACTTGCGGATCCAACCAATACACCTGCCACCCCGAATTTATGCAACCCCGGTCGGATTCCGAGATAACTCACATGATGCCAGCCATTTCCACCAACATGAGATGCAGAGAAATGCCTAGTCAGCGAAGAGCTGAAGACTTTATCGCAATAGCATTTTTTTTCGTTTTTGAATTCCATTCAAGATTGAAAACCATGGCGTTATTGCAGTTAAAAACACGGTCTTTAAATTAGAAAAACACAGACATATAGATCCCAGCATCCGCATCGAATAAATACAATAGCAAGTAGAACTCTGATACTAGAAATCATTGAGAACATCCAAATCAGGCTTCCAGCTCGATCTCCAGAATGGACAGATCGCTACCCGGCGGCCTCGAAACCTTTCGCACTACCAATTGACCCATCTCACTCTCTACCTGACTGACCAAACTCTTCCAATGCATCATACTCCGTCCTCGACCATTGGCAAGTTCCAGTTGAATCATCTGTCTAGTTTGCAACATGGCTTCTTCGTAAGGATCTAGCTCACCGTACTCGGGAAGAACCATATCCATGATCAGGATCCGACCATGAGGCTTTTGAGCATGCAATGCGTATGAGAGATTCTTCAGAATAGATTGGCATACGTAATCAGGCAGATTGTGGAGAGCATGTCGAAGCAGAAAGATTTTAGGACCAGAATGGGTTCTTTCTGAGCCTGATTTTTCTTCTTCCATCGGTGTACCGCCTGCTCTCGGATCTGCTTGAGTTTGGATGATAGTGATTCGCGATCGGAGCTCGTCATCCAGGGATGTATAAATGGAATTGATCTGCGTCACTGCCTTCTCTTGTGGCTGTATTACAAATGATAGAGATGGAAATATTTTCGCTAGCGCAAGAATAGGAGCAAGGCTTGCACTCGCCACCTACTGACTATTAGCTGTTGTTTGATTTGATTGCACAAGCTTCTCCGGAAATCAAACATCAGGCTGTGCTTACATCAACAAGAATGGCCTCTTTCAAAGTTCCCCATTCATACCCTGTCACAAGGTGCCGGACATCATTAGAGTCCACCATTTCGGTGGCCTGAACAAACTGACCCATAACTTGTGCAATGGAGGGATTGCTGGCTAAAAACTTCCCGAACGGCAATGTCGAGTTAAACGCAAGATTGAATGGGCTGTGGGTGGGATCACAACTGTCGCCCCATAACTGCGTCGCTGCTGGAAGCTGAGCGCTTGCATTGAACACATATTGCGATACGCAATTATTCCATGCAGTAAATTGAGGGCTATTGGAGTGAAGCAAAGAAGCTGCCGAGTGCCCGATGGCATCTGAGGAATGGAATTCGAAAAGACCACCCGTGGCTGCCATCCGAAGAACGGTGTTGAGTTGAGGTAAGGGAACCTGGGCGGTCGCAGCTAGGTCAGAAATGGAGATTGATCCTTCCCGTGGAACTAGACTGAATATCTGAAACTGGCTGAGGTAGCGGAGACAGACGGTATATTGATGCTGTGGCATGTTAAGTCAAATGATCCCATCCTGATATTGTCACCCGGAGTAATGGGGTAACGAATTCCGTCGACTCACATTCATGGACACATGAGCAGTATATTCGCTTGGACCGCTAGCAAGGCGAAACAAGGCCAATGCATCCCGTTTCAGTTTGCGTCGGAGTTCATGGGCCTCTTGACTGGCAGTGGAAGGGAGCACCTGAATAGGAGTGTCGATATCGAAAGATGGCGGATGGTAGTCATGTTGTCGAATGTGATCGCTGAGTTGCACTGCTACAATTCCGATCTCTGTCCCTAACCGCTCCAGAATGGAAATTGGTTGACGCAGGTCTCTTTGTGAATCAGGTTCCATTTTGGCGCCTTCAGAATGACAGAAAAATTGGTTTGAAAAGGTGTTTTTACAGACAGAGAGATGATACACTATACAATTATATGCGGTCGGCTATTGCTCGGTAGTAATTACATTAATCGAAGTGGTCAACGACTCATATGTTCTAAGTCTGTCATTTGCAGGCGTTCGGTACGCGATTATCTTACCCCGATGACACGCAGATCGGACTCCGACAGCACCCTCCCGGGGTCGTCCAATGGGCCTATGGCACGATGCTTATCCCTGGAGTATATTTTGTTGTGTCAGCTTTATTATGCTTTTATATATTTAGGTACGCTGGAAAGGTTCATTGCTCTCTACACGAAGGAGGATATCAACTCTCAGCACACAGGCACATAGTTCATTCTTCAAAAGAGCAACAGACCCAAAATGTATTCCACTCTAGCATCTACTGCTTTCTTCCTTTTTATGCTGCGATCGCCATCGCTTTGGACAGCCGGAGTCGCAATATTGAGCTATGTGGCCTTCACTCTCTTCAACAACCGGTACAACAACGGCCTTCTGCAGTTCCCGGGTCCCGCGTTCGCTTCCATGACCAATATCTGGCGTGTTCGCGATGCCTACATCAATGGAAATAAGCGCCCGTCATACGTCGCCCTGCACAACCAGTATGGAGATGTAGTTCGTCTTGGACCCAAATCTCTGTCATTCGCCTCCCCTGCAGCCATTGCGGATATATACCCAGCAGAGAAGAATATGGCTAAGGTGAGCAGTATCCAGTACTTCACTAATTTTGGCAAGTCACAATGAATAATAGTCGGGAATGAGATAGTCCAACTGGTATGTAGCCTTCGAGGCCCACGGCAAAGGTCCCAAGAAAGAGAACATCTTCTCCACGCGCGACATCCACTGGCATGCCCGGTACCGAAATCTCGTGGGGCCTGGATTCAAGATAGCCAACCTCGCCCCAAAAGAGCAGGAGATTGATCAGTTGATTGCAAAATTGTTGAGAAATCTCGATGCCGCCGCGACCAAAAAATCCACAGCCGTGGACTTGCCTCTCAATTTGCAATATTTCACTTTTGATGCCGGTGGTGTCGTGGCTTTCAGTCAGCCCTATGGCTTCCTCGACAAGCAAAAGGATTTGGATGGAATTATTCAAAATGTCCGGGTGGGATCAACACACTTGAATCGGGTATGCATCCCATCTCATTCCAGCTTGACCCTTAACATTTCAGCTGATTACATTTTCGATACAGCTTGCACAGGCGCCCCTCGGCCAGCTCTTATTTGATAAAAATCCCCTGGCCGTGTACTTTGGCTTGATCGCGCCACCCATGGCATTCGCAAAGAAGTATCTGCCGGTTCACCGGATCGAGGAACAACTTGCCGAGCCGGCAAAGATGGACCAGCATCATGACCTGCTTGATCAGTTTCTTAAGGCCCATCAGCAAAACCCAGACGTCGTTTCCAAGGATGAAGTAGTCGACTTGGGTCTGATGGTGGTCGTTCCTGCATCTGAGGCTGTGTAAGCCAACCCCACTGACATCGTCCCTTCAATCCTGTCCTAATCAATAAAACAGCCGAACTGCAATCGCAGTCCTCATATATCAAGTCATAAAAGCCCCCATCTCAATTCTCACCACTCTCCGCGGCGAACTCGACTCCGTGATCCCACCTCCAATATCACCTACTTCCGCTGGTCGGTACAACATCCCTTCCTGGGAATTAGTCTCAACCAAGCTCCCCTACCTAGACGCCTGTATCAAAGAAACATTTCGATTGCATTCTTCCACCGGCTTCAATATGGAACGAGTAGTGCCCGCCGGCGGTGCCATCATCGACGGTAGTGTCGTTCCTGAGGGAACGATCGTAAGCTGCTCGACTTGGGTAATCCATCGCCACAAGCCCACCTACGGTGATGATGTTGAGGTTTACCGACCAGAGCGCTGGCTTGAGGCGAGTCCTGCGCAGCGGGCGGAGATGGAGCGTTTGCTTTGTCCGTTTGGGTTTGAGGAGAGACTGTGTCTTGGAAGGGAAATTGGGCTTTTTGAGGTTTATAAGGTCGCGGCCACACTTTTCAGGGATTATGAGGTGAGAAATACATCACCCGAGCTTTCGTATTCAGTTGGACCGGCTGACTAACTCCTGATAACAGTTCACTTTGGAGAGACCCGATGAAGACATGAAAATCACCTGGGGTAACATTGTCAGTGTTGATTTTGATGTTCGGCTTAAGCATCGTCAGGTGTGAGTCATGACTTAATAGAAGATCAGAAGACATTTTGGGGATGGTTTAATGGATTTACTGGTGGATGATACGAACTTGGCTGCCTGTCTGGCTGGTTGCTAAGGCCTCAATAGAAGTGATGGCCTAATCGGGACTGGCGTCGATTAACGATGCGCTTCCTTTCCTTGTTTACCTTTCACTTTGCTCTCCGCCGTTCTCTCGACTCTCCAACTTAGTTGTTCTCGTGAATGGACCTTTTTCTTCGTTGGATTGACTTGCTGCGTCACAATGGACGAGTCGCTTGAATATAGGAACTGTTGAATGCTTTGGCTAGCAACAAATGATTTATACGTATTCTGTTTTGCTCCGATCTCTATCGTCCAGCTCATCGTATACAACTGTATGGTAATACATCAATTGGGTTGCTTAAATGTTCTATTTCGTCGGGGCCTGCGTACATATCACTGTCAAGATACGTTGCAACTCGGCCACCTGCTCCAAAAGCTGTCCGTTGGACCCTTCCCACATTTTCTTCCCTCCCCGCATACCCTCAGCACCCTGGGCCCGTCTATCAAGGTCCTGGCATACCGGGAATAGAGATTGCAGTTGGCACAACAACAGCTGAGCCTTCATCTTTCTTTCTGTGGCGCGCGGGATACTAAAATTCCCAATGCTCAACGGGATAGTCAATGGAACGGCATACAATGAATCTGCCGTCCCTCCGACCTGTTGCGACAGCTTAACCTGATTTCCAGTCCGGCTACTGCTCGAAATGTGGGATTTGGCTGGCGGACGAGTGGGGTTAGTGCCCGGTTGTGTCCGGGGGACTGATGGGAGCTGCCTGCCAATCTCGGAATGATACAGGGCCTGATACCAAGTGAGGATTTTGGAAAGGACCGCGCTTAGAACTAGAAGCGTGGATGTATCCTGGGCGCAGGCACTTCCCGTACAATTCAGCAATCGAGACACATTATCCGTGGCTGATTGAGTCATGCGAAAAACAATGTCACTTGGAGGGGCTTCTTCTCCTAGAGTGGGTGATTTGCGACGAGAATCGGATGCACCGCCATCGTTGGTTATGTGTCCATTCCTACAGTCCCAATGCACGAATTGGGACAAAGAAGAAAGAAGCCGGCATGCCACTGTAATGCATGGTTCATGCTGATCTTCGTTCACGTCCTCAAGCTCCTCTAGCTCTTCATCTCTCTCGTCGTCCTCGTCCGCCAAGTCATCATAACTTGAATTACCGTGCTCCTCCGGAGAAATCTTCATCGGGAGGGAGCCGAAGTCGCCACTATCGGCTACCATGATATCTGCGCCCGAAAGATTATGCCATGACATATATCCTGAGTTTGATGGCAGCTGTGGGGCAGAGTTGTCATCTGGTAGCGATTGATGAGGTGTAAAGCTGTTTGGTGTCCTTCTGTCCCACTCTGTTGTCATAGTATTATTGAGTGCTTGATCCTGGTAGCTATCCGTTGGGAACATAGGCGACCGAGACCAGGTGCAGTTGTAGTTGTAGTTGGACTGGTTTTGACTGGGGTGTTGACCGGCAGCCCATGATGACGACGGAGTTGAAGCCACAGGACGGCCTTGCGGAGAAACGGAAGTCGGAGGAGACAATCGAGAGTCTCTAGAAGTTGATTGCGTGAAGCTGAATTTGTTGGAAGGTGGTTTACCCTTTCGTCGCGATCGGCCATACACACATTTCAGGCCGTTTTGAACACAGCGTGAACATCCATGCTGCTCTTTTGTACATCGTACCTTGGATGCTGCACAGGGGTCGCACGAGGCTCGGAACTCGAGCCGCGGCTGGGATCTATTGCTGGACATTTGATTGTGGTCCTGATTCTGATTTGCACTGTTTGTCTGCAGATGATCTTTCATGCGAGACATTGGCAAGGTGGAATGTTGAACGATACACCGTGCACCGTAATTCCGTCTTGTATCCTTGACAAACTGAAAGCGGAAGCGTGATTTCAAGTATCGGTGAGATAGGCAAATGCGGCGGGGAGGTGGCGGGGGTGGTTATTTAATTAATATTCTGGTCAAAGCGTCCGACTTTCTTTATCTTACGCGATTCTAACGTGGAAACAAAAAAGAAAACAACCCTCGGACAAGTCAGTGGCGTGTAATATTTTAAGGCCATTTAGTTTTTCCGGATCTAAACCGAATGAAGGCACTTTGACTTAGAAGATTCTATTGGACGAGGAGTCTAGCACTTCTTCACGTGTAGTTCCTGCAGTTTCCTGGCCCTAGCTTTGCAAACCTCGGCTACTTTCTCTTGGGGTTTTTGCTTTGCTTTCTCCTAGTTCGATACCCCTTTTTAATTTGGTTGAATAGTCGAGGAGCAGAAGCGCCGATATAACCAAGTGCTCATGTTGGTCCATTGCCATACCTATGTTGGCGGACTCTTAGCCCCCAACGGTCGCGACGCTCAGTCACAGAGCGCTAATGTAACACCACGATATCCCAAGAAGCCGGATCAAGATGAGCAAGGCTCCGTCTTGACAAGGCTCCGTCTAGAACTCCGGCCTAGAAAATTTAGTCTCCTCACAGGCTGCCACATATCGCCCTAGAAGATGCTTCTGCAGGCTTATCTCAAACGCATGAATTACGAATCCTGGGGCTTCGGGCGCACCTATCTGGGGAGCTTAGGTAACATCATGTATTCAATCGGAGCTGCCCATTCAGCCCTGCATACATAAGCTGTCAGCAGAAGAGACGTGTGATCAGTTAGTACATAACACTACTCAGACAACAAAAGGCTGGGCATGTGCGGCTGACACTGATCCGTTCGGGCTGGTACCACTTGGCAAAGGTAAAGCCTTGGCCAGTGGTAATAGAGTTCCCCGATCCGGGATTGGACAGCTTCATGAAACCTTCCCACTTACGAGCTTATTGTTTCGCATTGAAATAGATTGGTGGGGTAATGTGCAAAAAGGAAACGAGAACGGGTCTAGGACGCATGTCGGAATCCGAATCCTCGGGTTTGAGCTGCACGCCTAGAAACGAAGGATGGCGACTGCGGAGTTCGTTCCCACAAGATCTCGCCCTATGCCGATTGTATTGCTGATACATGAACATGGCTTGGTGGCTCGGGGGCATAGATGTCCGGGATTCGTTCGGAATATTACGTTAGGCCTCTTACCCGGGCATCTACAACCACTGAAGGAAGATACGGGGCTTACCTCCAGTATGACCCCCTCATCAAACATATTGATGAGCGCTAACAGACTCATCGGGAAGAAGGAAGCGGGGGATGTTAAATACCAACGACCATTCCGCAAAAGAAGGATAAGCTCCAGTGAAGATATCAAGCTGTCTTATTCACATACCAATCCGTCTACATACAAATATCAAAACAGAATGGAAACCCTCGGTGACTTTTCATCGCGAGTCCAGAGTCGGCTCCAAGCACTCGTGAGCAAAAGCCAATCTCTGGACGTGGACGTCGCCGATGAGCGACGCCAGCTGTTTGACCTTGCGCAGAGCTTGTGCTCAGAGCTGGAAACCCCTATGGAGTCAATCTACCGCCTAATCGTCATCCAGGTAAGGTTGCTAAGCCCTTGAACTGCACCTCTCGCGCTAAAATACAATTCAAGCCTATACTCTATATGTCAGTCCGGATTGCCGTCAACCTCAACCTTTTCGATGTGTTGGCACAAGAAGGCAACGCACCCAAGACGGTGAAGCAGCTCGCTGGCAAAGTTGGAGCCGATGAGACTCTTCTAGGTCGTATTCTTAAGAATATGGCGGCTAGCGATCTGATCCGCGAAACCATCCCCGGCACTTATGAGCATACATCGTTGTCGACTTCGTTGCTGAACCTCAGCCATCGCGATGGCTTCTTCTTCTGGTGAGACTGCCTTTAGTCTTTCTCGCTTGAAATGTATTAAAATCGGTATTAATCAAAACTTACAGTCACGATATTATGCTTCCGTCATTCACGGCTACTCCCCAGTTCCTGGCAGAGACCAAGTACGCCAACCCCTCCAACATCACCAGCACCCCCTTCCAACTTGGTCATCATACCAAGTTGACTTTTTTCGAGTACCTTGCCAAGCATCCCAAGCAGGCACAGGAGTTCAATAACTTCATGGGTTTGTATGCGACCGATCGGCCTCGCTGGCTGGATGAGGGGCATTTCCCCGTCCGTGACATTCTTGGTAAGGGCGCCAACACAGAAAAAGACGCCGTTTTGCTGGTCGATGTTGGCGGTGGTAAGGGTCACGACTTGATCTTGTTCCAGAAGCGGTACGGCGATCTCCCCGGGCGAATGATCCTGCAGGATCTGCCTTCTGTAGTTGAGCAGGCTGGTCAGCTTCCTGAGGGGCTCGAGGCAACGGGCCATGATTTCTTCAAGGAGAATCCAATCAAAGGTATAGTCTGATTTATGACTACGGTGCTCTGACAGGGAGAAAGAACGCTAATATGAAAGCCAGGCGCACGTGCATACTACTTCCATTCGGTCCTCCATGGCTGGCCCGACGCGGCATGCGTCGAAATTCTTCGCGCAGTTGCGGTGTCAATGAAGCGTGGTTACAGCAAACTACTGATTAATGAGATTGTGATTCCGGATGAAAAGGCCCATCGTCTGGGGACCTCAATGGATCTGCTCATGATGACTGTCGTGGCTGCTGAAGAACGCACTGAGCACAAATGGCGGCACTTGCTTCCCTTGGCTGGGCTGAAGCTGGTGAAGATTTGGAAGTTCGAGATTGGTACCGAAAGTCTTATTGAGGCCGAGGTGGCTGATGATGCTACTATAGTCGTTGACCAGTAGACTCTTGGTGGATTTTGGTCAATCTAGTTTTCGATTATGAAATGAGGGCACAATATGTCTATTTATACTAGGTAGAATACACAGACTTTGCTCCCGAACATGTTTTGAAGTTCTCGCATGCCAAATAGCAAGTATTGCTTTCAGTAAATTAGAGTTGTATCTATCTACCAGAATTTATTCTTGCATACCTGGCAGATAAGGTGGCCTGTGCCATAGGTGTGCCCAATAGGCAAACGAAAACCTACATATGGCAATATGTACCTGGTCGATATGTGCACCTTGGCTCTTGTAGGGATTTTCTACGAACCCATTGGGTTTGAACTGAGGCAATCGTCCGAATGAACGAAGAGGACAATATGGAACGGCAGGCGGCTGCCATTGATTTGTATGCCACATTCTATCCACAAACAAAATTCATATTGATATAAGATGAATGATATACAATTTTCCTCATACACGCACCTCCACAGCGGAATTATATGCCTGTGGGAAAGCCTTCATATTTTCCGCCAGCTCTCCTTTCCGCCGACAGAACTGGACATATGAACCATCATTCCGCAACAGGCCTGCTTCCTTCAACCGTATATACTCAGCTCGTGGTAAAGGAGTGAAGCCCCATAGTTTGCTAACGATAACCTTTTGCCGACCGGGGAACTTATACATCGAGCGACGTAGCGCCTCCACTGCAGTCGCTCGATGGCGATCGACAGTTCGCACGGAAAGTAGAATCTGGCCCACGTTTACTCGAGCCACTTTCCCCGCTGGCTTACCGAATGCGCCCCGCATTCCGGTTTGTAAACGATCCGCACCAGCAACACTCAGCATCTTGTTGATTCGGATTACATGGTGAGGGTGAACTCGGACGCGCATGTGGAATGTCTCTTTGCCCGCAATCTTGACGAGGTATCTTTTGAGAAGAAATGAGTTTAGCCATGGTATGAGAGTAAATTTAAAACCCAAGTTGACTCACTTGTTGGCACAGATACGTGCAGCTTCTAGAGCTTCCGAGCTCAGCTGTTCGTATTCATTGGACACCAAGTGCACGGCGCACGGGAAGTCGTCCACAGATGCTTTCTTTCGTCCTAGATCAAAGATACGGATTTTGCCATCTGGGACACCACGGTTGAAGCGTGATTTTGGGTACGGCTGAGAATTAACTGTTTTAATGCGATGCTTTATTGCCGAAGCGTCAGCCAGAGTGAGCACTAACCTTGTTCTTGCAATACCGGTAGCATCGAGCTGGTCTGCGAGCCATTTTTGTAGGATTTAAGGAGTAAACGGGGGATAACAAGGGATCGAGTGATGAAAGTAAACAAATTAACTTACGTGTTAAATAAGTCTATTCGGGAAATCTGAGTTCTCCCGACTCGGACATTAAAGCACAAGTAGCAGGGAGTCCGTGCATGGACCCCACATTGCTTCGGGTTCCGAAGGCGGCTTAAATATCTCCCCGGGAGATCTACCCGCGAGATCTACCCGCGAGATCGTCCCGTCCCCTGGGTGGTAGGGTCTTCGTCGGACTCCTTCACCGGCTGGATTTGTATAAGTTGCACCGTTAGTACCCGAAAACAAATTTGAGTAGGCCCGATAAGCGCGGGCTCGGGAATATAGCACACCTTTTTCGGTGACCGATTATGACGGGTTACGCCGACAATTGGTAATATTCCCTTTGCTTGGTAATGTTCAACCTGAAGGAAAGCCTGGTTCTCTGTGCGGAGACTCGCTTATGCCATTTAAAACTCTTGCTCGAAAAAGTCTTCGAGTTCTCATCCCAAAATTTGTTTTCTATCGGCCCTGGTTCCATCGCAACCACCACCAATGGAGAACCATAGTGACATATCCTCGAGCGACATCGAGAAAACACTCAACAGCGTCGATATCACAGCTGGTGAAAATCCAGCCGAGTCTCCTCCGCGCGACATTCAGGGATGGAAATGGATTGCTGTCGTGTTGGCGATCCTGAGCTCGACCTTCCTCTTCGCACTGGACAACACCATCACTGCAAACATCCAGGCTGATATCGTCCGAGACTTTGAAGCTGTCAATAAGCTATCATGGATCAGTGTTGGGCTAGTTATGAGTGCTTCCGCCACTGTGCTTCTTTGGGGGGAAAATCTTCTTCCAATTTAACACGAAATGGACCTACATCATCAGCGTCGCAATCTTCGAGATCGGATCTGCGGTTTGCGGCTCGGCACCTAATATGGATGCCCTCATTGTTGGTCGCGTGCTTTGTGGTATCGGTGGATCTGGACTATACTGTGGTGTCATCACACTTTTGGCAGCCACCACCACACTACAAGAGCGGCCAATGTATGTAGCCAGCACCGGTATGACTTGGGGTCTCGGCATGGTCCTCGGCCCAATTGTGGGAGGAGGTTTCAGCCAAAGCTCTGTTGGCTGGCGCTGGGCTTTTTACATCAACTTGTTGATTGGAGCGGCCTGTGCACCGGTCTACCTCTTTCTCATCCCCAATATCGATCCCCGGAAGGGAGCTCCTCTCGCTGCCCGAGTCCGAGAGATCGATTGGCTGGGAAGCATTCTCAACCTTGGTGCTTTCTTGTCTGGTGTCATGGCTATCTCATTTGGTGGCTTGACCTGGGCCTGGGGGAGCGGGAACATCATCGGCTTGTTCGTCTGCTCAGGTGTGCTGTTCATTTTGCTTGGGCTCCAGCAGGCCTTCACTATTGGTACCACCGTTACCCGACGGATTGTGCCTTTAGAGTTTTTCAAGTCGCGAACGATGCTTATCCTCTTTGCCTGCACATCCGCAGCCGGTACAGCTTGTTTCGTCCCCGTCTACTTTGTTCCACTCTTCTTCCAGTTCACCCGGGGCGATGGTGCGCTTGACGCCGGTGTTCGGCTACTGCCTTTCATCATTCCTTGCATCTTCATGATCTGTGTCAATGGCGGCGTTATGTCTGCATATGGTTTATATATGCCGTGGTACACCATTGGAGGCGCTCTCGTGCTTATCGGTGGCGCCCTTTTCTATACCGTTGGTGTTGATACAAGCGCTGCCCATATCTACGGATACGGCATCATTACCGGCTTTGGCACTGGAATGTATCTCCAAGCTTCGTTCTCGGTTGCTCAAGCTTCTGTCTCCCTTGATATGGTGGCTAGTGCATCGGGATTCATCACCTGTGCCCAGGTTGTTGGCACTACTATCGCTTTGGCTATCGCCAACAGCGTTTTCTTAAATGAGTCGCAGAGGAGCATTACCCACCTTCTGCCAAATATATCCATTGAGGAAGTCGAGGCTGTGATCTCGGGTACATCGACCCTTCTCTCATCTTTGTCCGCCGTGGAGAAAGTCAAGGTTGAATCGGCTATTGTGGACGCTATGAGCACGACATACATCCTCGTTATTGTTGCTGGTGCCTTGACTCTACTGCTTGGTCTGTCGATGAAGCGGGAACGTCTATTTTTACAGCCCGCTGCTGCTGCATAGACTTAATTTATCCGATAGTGGATAGGGCGGGAGAGGTTGAAGAAAATTTGAAAGGAGATGAAATCCTTATGACAAAAATAGGCGATAGTTTTTTCGAGGGTAATCAACTAATTCTGTGGGGTTTACTCAATGCGCTCCTGCTGGAAATGTTCAAGTCCTGTCCAAGAATGATACATAAAGACTGCCACGCATGTATATTGTATAAACTCTAGTAGGTATAGAAAAGAATTACCTATGCAATCCACCACCAGACACGCTCCAACCAATTGCGAGGTTGCTTCTCCACATCTAGCTCACACATCCGATCAATCTCCTCTTTACCAGAGAAGATATCAACATCGGCAGCCGGAACCATCCAGGGAGTCCGGTACCAGAGCTTATGCCCGAAGTACAAAGCGAAAAATATGACGAAAACAATGTAAGACACCAGGAAACCGGAAGCCGTAAAGGAACCTGGGAAGAAAATAGTGTACCCGTTGGTGATTGCCAACAAGGACACAACCACTAAGGCATAGTAAGTGCCATAGGGTTGGAATGGCGTCTTAAATGGCCGTGACTCGAGCATTCCATGGCAATCAAGAGCCCGGCGGAAGCGCTATACGAAAAGTGTTAGCAGTCAGGTTGGGAAGAGAGGGGAGACAAGATCACTAACCAGATAGGCTATGCCAACAAGAACCCAAGAAATGAAGCCTCCGACCGTAGTGATGTTGGTGAACCAATAAAACACATCAGATCCTGAGCTAGATAGGTTCAAAAAGGCGAGGAGTCCAATAGACCAGGTCACCAGCACCGCAGCGTAAGGCACACCATTCTTGCTGCAGCGAGTGAAAAACTGGGGCGCTTGGCCTTGGCAGGCAAGTGAGTAGAGAGTTCGTGAGCCTGCATAGACCCAGGAATTGCCGGAAGACCAAGCAGAAATCAGGATGGCCGCGTTGATGACATGATTGAGGCCACTGATTCCAGCATTCTGGATGCCAATCACAAATGGACTGGCGCCAGCACCCGATGAACCACTGGCGACTCCCTGAAGGAGGCTCTTATCGTTGTATGCAACTGTCACTCCAATCACCAGGCTTCCGAGGACGTAAAAGGCAAACAGACGGTAGATGAAGCGATTGGTGGCCTTAGGGATGTTGCGACGTGGTGCGACAGCCTCGCCCGCGGCAGTGGTGATCAATTCGGGGGAGAAGATAAAGGAAAATCCAGACTTGATAAGAGCGGTCCAGAATGCCAGAAAACGGCCAGTGCTCACATTCGATACCAAGTATGGCTCCTTGAATGCACCTGGATTCTGCCAGTATCTGAATCCAAGTCGGTCATGGTTAGGGCCACCACCGAAGAAAAGAACGACGCCAAGGATAATGAGGCCAATAATGGCGATGATTTTCAATGATGCAAACCAAAACTCAGCTTCACCGTACCAGGAAACGGCGACAATGTTTAGAAGGAGGATGACTGTGTGATAGGGATTATTGTTAGCTTATACCTTTGGATGAGAAACAGTGATTCCGGAATGAACAATTGACTCACCCAAGAGGATGATTGCGATCCATACACCAACACTAACATCGATTTGCCAATATTCTATGACAAGTCCCGCTGCTGTGACTTCCGACGCTATCAACATGGAGAATGAGTACCTGCCAGGACTTGTTAGCTTCATCCACACATTGTTTGGGAAATAATCAATCACCAATAGTTATATCCTAGAAAAATAAGTCAGTACTTGTCACGAAGTATAAATTGGAGATTAGAACATACCAACAGCAAATCCTAGACTTGGCTCAGTGAACCGGTTGATCAGGTACGGCACCGAGACACCGCGCACAGGCAGATAAGTTGTCATTTCACCCAGCATGTTCATGACGAAGTAGACAACACTTGACATGACAATGTATCCCATGAGTAGGGGTGCTAATATTTTCATGTTAGATCATGCCTTGGTTTGTAGATACTTATGTGCGCATTCGTCACTTACCTGGTCCAACCGTCGATAATGTCGATCCACTTCCAACGAACAAGCCTGTGCCAATACAACCACCTAAAGCAAGGAATTGAATATGACGCGAGCTCAGTCCGCGATGTGTTTCACCACTGTCAAATCCTTCCACCTCGCCTTGGAGAGCCTTTGGTTCCTCATAGAAGTCCAGCGGGACCTTGCCCTCTTCCATCCCCTTGGGTGATGGATCCATGATGATTCAACAGGTAGGAGAGACAGATTTTACAATGAGAAAGATGGAAAAAAGAAGAAAAAGGGGTTCAACCAGGATATCAGTGTTTTAATACACAAAGATACTCAAGGACAGATAATCCAGGCTTATATTTCAGAGGGATAGAGTTCAGAAAATAAGCCACGAGGCGTCTAATTTACATACACATGGGAAAAAAGATAAGACAACCGGGCAAAAAAAAGAAAGTTTCGACTTTTCTTGTTGACTCGCGGGGAAATTGGAAATCTCTACCGATTGAAAAAGCCTCCAAGAACTCAATTGGCTAGGTGCCATGGTAAGAATCACGCATTTGTGTTGAGGCTGACTCAAGGTTCCAGAAAGTCGGGCCGGTGTGGAGTCACACGGTTCTTATCGGCCCTCTAAATGCCTAATCTCGGTCCCGGAGGACCTCCTATCGGTCCAGTATGGAGGATTCGATGAGGTTATCTCATGTCAAATAGGAATGATTCCAGCGACTAACTCTAATTCGGTACCTGGGTACCTTATCTTGTGTAAGGCCGTGTGACAATATTTAAAGTGTTTAGGTGGCAGAAGTGCTTAGCCCCATTAGGGTCTTAGCGAAAGGAGGGGTGTCAATTGCCATCTGGGGATTCCTGTGGATCTATCTGGGGATACGGGGTAGCCTCAACGTGAAGACGGGGTTTATAATGCATGGGCAATTTCTATGAAGTAACAGAAACTCGATCAGGAACCCAATATTTGGACCTGAAAAACCAGGCTAGAAAGGTTAAAACAGAGGCGTGACCGTTAGTAGCCGGAGACACGTGACGCTTCTGCAGGCGATTGACCGGCCCGGTCAATCTATGCTCAGTGGCCCGTGCAGCCCCACCCCAGCATCAACCGGCCCGTATCGAGTTACTCCAACAATTGAACAGTATTGGTGGCCATCTCTACATGGATCTGAGGGCCACATGATGTGTTCATGCAGGTTAGAGTTCAAGCAATGCTGTATTACAGTGGCAATAATCAACCAAAACTTACCCCAATCAAAAGGCAGGCCGGATCTCAATAATATCGGGATTCCGGTGGGGTTATTTAGACCGGGATGGCCTGCAATGTTCACGATTCCATGAATCATGGAAACTATTCTTTGATCACGAGACTATAATTTCCACACCGAGAAACGAACGGCTGCAAAATGCCGGTTGGTCATGTTACTGGACACCGTACCGGTCGCAGGCGCTTGCCACCGGCTCTTGCCAATGTACATAATTTATTTCTATGTCTATCTAGTAATCTTTATCTCTAGAGCTGTCTGCTTTAAACCTTGGTTCCAATATTCACTTTCCCGAAACAAAGCAGGACCTCACTTCTAAAACCTAGCTCTGCCTCCCTCCTGTCTTCTTTTCCATCACCTATCCATCCGATAATCTTACAGTTCGCGACAATCGCCATATCAATGAAAGCTGCTCGGGCTGTGCGCGTGCCCCGCGGGCAGGCCACCATCAACCGCGCCAACACTCGTCTGGTGAGCGGTACTGGTAACGTCAAGTCGTCTGTTGCCGCAACTGCAAACAATGTCTGGCAGCCACTATCACCGCCAACTCCTCGCAAGGCGTTGAATGCGCCACTTGCCAAACTTCCCTTATCATCTGTCCTGCGCTCGCTGTTGGTGCTATCAGTGTCATCCTCTCCACTTTTGCTCAAGCCTTGCATCTACACTCTATCATTGTTGGCAAACCCTCGCTCTGCGCTGTGGGATGTTTCCAAGAACCCACTGCTGAACTTCTTGGTGAAGCACACTATTTACAAGCAATTCAACGCTGGAGAAAGCAAAGTCGAGGTTCAGAAATCTATTGAAAATATCAAGGGTCTCGGATGTCGAGGAGTGTTGCTTGGTTATGCTCGGGAAGTCTTGGTTGGAGAAAACGAAGACGCTGCGTATGACGAGAAGGCTGCTCTTGCTGAGATTCAAATGTGGTTTGATGGTACCATGCGCACAGTCGATATGGCTCAGCCGGGAGACTTTGTTGCTCTGAAGTAGGTTTCCGCTTGTCGATCTTCTTGTCGGCTTTATTTTAACATGATTTATTAGATTCACCGGTATGGGTACCGATGCCCTTCGCCTCCTCCAGAAGGAAGCCGCGCCATCTGAATTCATGGACGCTTCTATCCTGAAAGTGTGCGATTTGGCGATCTCCCGTGGTGTTCGTTTGCTCGTTGATGCCGAGGAGCAGGCTGTCCAGCCCGGTATTGAGGCGTGGATCATGAAGTACCAGAAGTACTGTAACTCGCAGACCCCTGGCCGCGCCATCTTCTATGGTACCTACCAAGGCTACCTCCGTTCAACACCTTCCACTCTGGCCCGTCACCTTGAGACCGCTCGCAGCGAGGGATACACTCTGGGTGTCAAGCTGGTCCGCGGTGCTTACATGAAGACTGAGCCTCGCCACCTGATCTGGGCTAAGAAGGAAGAGACTGATCAGTGCTACGATGAGATCGTTGAGGCTCTTCTGACCCGCAAGTACAACTCCATGCTGCAGTCTCCCTCCCAGGACCCATCTGTTCAGCTGCCACCTGTCAACGTGATCATTGCCACCCACAACCGTGAATCTGTTCGCAAGGCCCACGCCATTCGTGTGCAGCAGGCTGCCCATGGAGAAGACTACGGTGTTGATCTAAGCTACGCACAGCTTCAGGGTATGGCTGATGAGGTGAGCCTTGAGCTTCTTCAGGGCTTTGAGAGTGCCGAGGCCAGTGTCGGTGCCACGCCCATGGCGGCCCCCAACGTTTTCAAGCTTTTGACTTGGGGATCTGTCAAGGAGTGCATGGGTTTCCTTTTGCGCCGTGCCATCGAGAACACTGAGGCTGTCGGACGTACCAAAGACTCCCAGGTGGCAATGTTCGGTGAATTGAAGCGCCGGATGATTGGAGGCAGCAAATAGAGATACCCTTCGCTTCCTTTTTGCATGGTTCCATTCTCATTCTTTCTTGATTAGCGGGCCATCTGCTTAGCTTTTCCTTTTCCTTTCCTTTTTTATGCCCTTTGGCCCCAGGATTTTGTTCACTGCCTCTGCGCAGGCTGGGATGCATTTATGATGGGCGTTAGCGTTTAATGAGTCATGCTTCTTGTTCATAAAGGTGGTTGCTAAAATAGACAAGTCTTATCTTGATAATTTGGATTTGCAAATAAAAGTATCCGGAATGTCTTTCCAGTTGTGGAAAAGTAAATTAGGCCGTACGTATTCATCAGGGATCCTATCCACTTTTCGACCCCTCACCGTATCTTGTTGGCTTTCTTCCTTACTCCAACAACTACTCAAAATAATCATTAACGTCTACATCAAATACTTTCATCACAATTCATCAATTTCAAACAATGCATATCCTCTCAGAACCGGACGTTTCGCGCATTTTCCGCAGCTTGACACAGAAACAATGCCACGCCTTTATCGGTGTCCTAGGCTCCGCACTTATGGGGTACAGTGCTGAATCTAAGCCAACAGTTCCTGAATCCGAGAAACTGATCCACCAGCCATTGCGGACTGTCTTTACAACAAAAGCGAACAATTCATGTATTTTCATGCCGGTCTCGGATACCACCACGTCCGCCGTGAAAGTTGTCACGGTCGGCAACAGTGGTATCCAAGGGACAATCAACATATTCTCACCTGAAGGACGACTACAGGGTCTTCTTGCTGCCGCAGAGGTAACAGCATTCCGCACAGCCCTTGCATCCATGACACTCTTCGTGAGATGTAGTAAGCTCCACAAAGAGAACATTCTTGTGATGGGGTCTGGTCGTCAAGCTGAGTGGCATGCCCGACTTGCACTACTGCTTTACCCGGACTTGATCCGACGGGTGACTTTCATTAACCGGGGTCGTCAACGACTCGATGAGATGGAGCGCGATGTTCTGAGCGAATTGCGGGAGCGTTATCCTAATGTTTCTATTGGCACTTTTGCTAAGGAGGGTGCAGCGGACTATGATGGGAGGCTTTTGAGTGAGCTGCAGGCTGCTGATGCCATCTTCAGCTGTACACCGTCTTCAGAGCCGAACTTCAAGTTTGAGGCGCTGCAGTCTGCTCCTAAACAACGCTTCATTTCTCTCATTGGATCGTATAAGCCTCATATGCATGAAATTGATACTGAGACTTTGCTCTCTGGTGGGGGCAAGGTCTATGTTGATTCCAAATCAGCTTGTTTAGAGGAGTCGGGTGAACTGATTACGGCCCAGATGACGGAAAGCCAATTGGTGGAGATGGGGGATATGCTAGAGAAACAGGGCTTATCAGGCGATATTGAGATTCCAAATGGCTGCAATGTTATCTTTAAGTGTGTAGGAATGGGGCTGATGGATCTCGTGGTTGGGAGGAAGCTGCTTGAGATTGGAAGCGAGCAGGGTTTCGGAACAAGTGTCGATGGATTTTAAGTTTGTCTTGTCTACATGAGTTATCTGGGGTTGTTGGTTTGCGACAAGTTTAAAATAGGCCACTTTCGTGCTAGTCATGCATGCATTATCCGAACTTGGTTCGTCGTACATGTGGATCACACGCGATGCTAAGAAAGTTAGTCTGATTTTACATGAATTGTGGTGATCATTGTGATCGTTAGAGGAATCCCATAGAACTATAAGTTTATATGTGGTAGTCTTGATAGTGTAGATTGCTCGAAACCTCCAATAATTGATGTTAAGTAGACCGGCATTCAGCCGGGATCAGTGACCCTGGGCAAAGTCTGCCAGGATGCGGGGCCGCAAACCGTGGGAATCGTTATCAGACCGATAAGTGCCACCCATTCCCTTTCCCGACTTTCCTCTTTCTCTCTTCCCCATAACTTTATTTCTCGAATTGAGTCACTTCTCCATAACCACTCAGGTGGCTCTAGATCTCCGGCTTTGATCCGTGATCCATCTCCGTTTTCTCCGCCAGGTTCTCCGCAGACGATGCCCGGCCGACGTCGACCTAGTTGACACCGCCTGTCATGAACGACTCGACCTCGACTCCCGCGCCGCAGCAGAAGCGCCAACGGGTGGCTGAAGAGAATCGCAAACGAGCTGTCAGAGCGTATGCAGATCCAGAATGGCAATTCAGAATGGACCGAGAACCTAAAACCGCTGACTTATCCGGGCTTTTACAGGTGTGACGGCTGTCGCAGAGTGAAAGAGAAATGCGAAGGAGGCGTACCGTGTCGTCGATGCCTTCGCTACCGCCGACAATGCAATTTTACTCACATTGATCCGGTTGAAAAGAGCCGATCAACATCTGTTTCGTAAGTTCTGGCGGTGTGTCAATACGCTCCTGAAAGGGCCATGTACTAACATCAGACTCCGAGAATAGGCTACTTGACCGTGCCGCCTCAGGTAGCCACCATGAGCTCGTCGAGGCAGAACGTGTCCGCTACATGGAGCGGATTCTTTCATACTATGCGCCGGGTCTCACATTCGATATCCAATCGCTCCGTAAAGCTGCCGAGGACCTCAAGAGCAAACACCGGGAGTCGGAGTCGGATGTGCTTTCAACAAAGGTGGATGCCAATGAGCTGGAAGATTTGGCCATTGATGAAGAAGATTTCACAATCAAGGCACTTCCCAATAATACTGCTCGTAAGTTTCCTTTTTTAAAAAAAAAAAATTATGGCTTAGCACTTGCTTACCCCGGTGGCAGAATACTCTGGCGAATTTTCATATCTAAATTTCTCTATGAAGATTCGGAAGAAGATCGACGAATGGATGAAGACGGCGGCACCAGATGTAAGCTCAAATTTGATCGATCGCAATATAAACAGCAAGCCACTAACAATGTGGTACAGGCTTCATCTGAAGTTGAACCATTTGAAGATCGATGGCGGGCCACCCAGCTTCAATCAGGGTCATCTTTAGTATCATCTTCTATCACCTGTCTTCCTCCCCGCTATGTCGCTGAGTTCTTGGTGCAAATATTCTTCAAATATGCACAGACCAATAACTTCTATGTTGAGGAGGATTGGCTTTGCCAAAAGCTGAATATTTGCTATACCAATCCCTCCAGCTTGTCATCCGACGACGCCGGTGCTGTCTGCGCAATTTTGATGGTACTTGCTGTTGGCACGCAATTTGCCCATATGGAGTCGCCCACTCCAGTCAATTGCTTGCCTATAGATTCCGCAGCCAATCAAGACCACCACTTCTCAGAAGATGAGGTTGGCCTCACATTCTATCAGTTTGCGTCAAAATTGCTACCAGATATAATCGCTACGGCATCCGTGCGGAGTGTGCAAGCTTGCCTCTTAATTGGAACCTATCTGCTGCCACTGGATACTTCTGGGTTGTGTTACACATATTTTGGTCTAGCTCTAAAGTTGGCCATTCAAAATGGAATGCATCGAAGGTATCATGGAGAAGGGCTCTCATCCCGGATGATTGAAACCCGCAATCGAGTTTTCTGGACAGCTTACACCATTGAAAAGTCAGTCACAATCCCTTCTACCCTCCAGGCTCATATCCTAACGAGCATACAGACGCATTAGCATTCTACATGGCAGACCTGCATCCTTGGCAGATGCAGATGTTGATGCCCCATTCCCTGTCGATTTTCCCGGGTTGATGCCAGCAACACAACAGTCAAACCACACCAACATGGTGACATTGATTACTTTGACTTTGAAGCTTGGCCAAGTCTCAAATGAAATTACCTCTCTACGAACATGCCCAAAGGGTCAACAACAAGATTGCTTAGAGCGATTGCTCAACATTCGCAAACATCTCATCGAGTGGTGGTCCACATTACCTGAGGAAACCAGCTGTCGAGACCTTAATCCAGCGGGTCCACTATTCCGGTCAAATGTACACCTGAAGCTCGATTACTGTTTGACTCGGATCTTCATTGGACGTCCATTCCTGTTCAGTAATATCAAGGCTCTGCAAACACCTAACTTTCAAGCATTCAAGGGCCCTTCTGGAATTTCCAAGATTCGAACTACCCTTGTCACTGATTGTGTAGAAGCAGCCTTGGAGATCATCGATTTGTGCCGTCTCCTTCGCGATGAGACTGGTCTTGCTCGCGCGTCGTTCACTGAGTTCAGCTCATGCCGTGCAGCACTATTGGTCATCTTGGCTCAAGGGCTTACAAAACGCACCGAACGCCTTGGAGCAGCTTTGGAGCAAGGTGTATCCTTGATCAAGATTATGTCAATGGGAGTTGGCTCTGCCCGCTCAGCCGTCAGCGTTATCGAAGCACTCGAACGTGCAATCCGCCGCCTTGAGATGTGGAGCGAGTCCCAGCAAGCGCAAAGCAATGGCGGCAGCCTCGAATCTGCCTATGATCGTTTCAAAAATTGGGAGATGCTGTGGAAGACAGGGCCTGTCTCGCCTACTACGGCATCATCCTGGGAGCAAAAGAATCCTCATGTCGGTGATGGTATTGGTCTCCCGCAAGGCATGCCCTCTCACACACCAGCTCCCCTGGGCATTGATGCCGTCATCTCAGGCATGCCCATCACACCCTCCACTACTGCTTTACCAAACAGCAACAATGGGTCCGATCCGGTGATTGGCGGACAGGGCCATGAAATTTTGAATGCTGATATCCCTGATTCCGGTGTTTCTCCGGAGAACTTCTCCCTATCTCATCAACCGCTTTCACAGCTGGCCCATTTTGGTTTCGATCATTTTGTCTCGAATTTCCCACAGGAGCTTGGGGAGTTTACTGCGCTTCCCTGTTTTGAACCGGATGCTCAGGGCAATTCTTCTACTATGGTTGGCACGGAAATGAAAACTCCTACGGGTAGTGCGGATTCGCATTGGTTGCATTTTATGAATGAGTGATAGGCTATCTCAGTTCTTCTTTGGCCTTGCTGTTTCACCGGCGAATTTCTTTTACGTCAGGCTGATCTTTTCTTCAATATACCATGCGCTGCAAAGCAGTAATTTACGCCAAGGTTCTTCGCGTTTGGGCGGGTTTCAATCTATTTATCAGGCTATAGTCAATGCCCTCTGGGAGATATATAGTTACTATCTTACAAAGGTCACATCTTTCCATTTTTGTGTCATCCAATTTTCGTAAATTTTTCCATGAACTTGCTGTCGAAACAGCATTGAATGTTTTGATATCTTGATATAATGAGCCACGAAAACAATGCTAGTCGAATGTAACCTTCTTTCCTGAGAAGACAGCGGCAGCCTGTTCCTTTTGCTTCTTCTTTGCTTCCCAAGAAGGATGAAGAGGTCCCGTATCCTCAGGCGCCTTATTCTTGTGGGTAGAGAAATCGCCAGCGGCGCGACGTTCTGATCGGTTTTGCGGCCGCGCAGTTTCACTTCCGTATCCACCACGACCACCCCGGGCACCTCTAGCACCGCCCGCAGCACCAGTTGCTCCCCTCTTAGTATCCCACCCGCTATCTCTATTGCGTTTTTGATTTTGCTGCTCTGCCAGCACGTGATTCGCCTTTTCACCGAACTTCTTTTCCCATAATGCACGACGCGCTTGTTGACCCATGCGGTTTTTGCGCTTCGGGGGAGCAGCGGCCGCGGCAGCTTCGTCATCTGTTGCTTCTTCTTCTGAGCCAGACCAGTAGCCGCCATTCATGAGAGATGGAAGGAATGTCGTGGTCTGTACTGGGGCCTTGCTAGCCTTGGTCTTTTTAGGTGGTGGTGAAGAGACTGATTCTTCTGCAGAGAAGTCGGGAGATGGCGAACGAGAGAATACAGAGTCGGAGATGTCGTCTGCAACCCGGTCGTCGTTTGCGTCATCCTCATCCTCATCTGACTCCTCCCCTTCGGAGCCAGAGCCTGGGGCTAACCGTGTATCAAATTCAGAGAAATCTTCCACCCCGGATTCATCACCCGAAATATCCATTGCTTCAGCACGGGAAGCCCGCTTTCCGTCGTCTTCAGACTCAGACCCTGACACAGACTCCTGTTTTTGCTTGCGCGCGGGCTTCTCAGCCTTCTCTTTCGTGGTCGCATCCTTGGCCTTAGTCTTGTCCTGCTTTCCAGCAGGCAAGTCCTCAACGCCCAGCAATTTCCGAATCTCAGTCAAAATAGTCTTCACGACATTCGTGACCGGGTTGGATTTGAACAGTCGCGCAATGATATTGGATTCTGCGGCGCTCTGAGGTCCTTGCATGGAAACATTCTTTGCCCCTATGAATTCCTGGAAGATCGGGTTCTCTGCAATGCGCTTTTGCTTGGAAAGCTGCTTATACAGGTATCGCTCGGCAGTATTCTGGTAATTGAGTTTCTGTTGTGATAAATAGTCAGAATTTCAAGTTCGCAAATTCCAAGTCCATCGGTAGATTCGTACCTTTAGTGCCTCCACTTCCTCTGCCAATCGCGCGAGGGTCACTGAGTCGTATGGTTTCCTAGCAGCTTTCTCTCGGCGGCTAAGCTTTTGTCTCTCGAATCCTCGGGCGGTCTTCATCGCTTTGATTATAATTTCCACGCTTTGTTCAAATTTGTTCGTCATTCGCGCGGCTTTCATCGAAAGCTTACGAGTGTCCGACGATGCGGGACCGTTGAACTCGGAAAGCTTGCGCTTTGGCATGTTGGGCGACAGTGATACGATAGTTTCGGTTCAAAATTATGGAAGTCGAAAGAGTGTCGTTCAGACAGCGTTTTGAAATGTCGGAGGTGGTCCGGACTTTTTTTTTTCTGGCGCGGATCATTTGCCAAGTCTTTCCGCCTCGTCTGTCACGACCAACCATTTCCATGGGTCTTTGGCTAAACGTATTCGCATTGCGAAGAGGAACGGAGGAAGGATAAAAATGAAGGAGTAATCTTGAACTATGATCAAAAATGTCCACGGTCTTGAGAACCTGGTAACCCGTGCTTGCCCTGCTGACTTCAAATACAAAGTCGATGAGCACTGCCTATCTATCTAAAATAGTGGAGCTACGGAGCTATATATAATCCATGTACCCGTGAACAAGGTGCGAGGACCAAAGTACGCAATTGATTGACGAGGCAAAAAAATCCATCGATTATTGATATGTACATACAGACATGGCAAAGAAAACTAATAAGCATACAGACCCTTTCTATTTCTTTTCTTCCTCCTTTGGCGGCTCAGGCTTGGGGGTAGGGAGCTTGAACTATAGGCAGATAATTAGCAATTGCTCTAGATTTGCAGAGAATATGTTTCGCTTACGGATTCAGGTGTGCGGTTCTGACCAGCACCAACAGGCTCCCAGGCAGTAGATCCGCTCTCGAAGTTACGGAAAGCCTGGGTGAGCTCAAGAGGCTCAATGACAATACGTTTCTTTTCCTCGTCGTAGCGCAGCTCAGTGTAGCCAGTCAAGGGGAAGTCCTTGCGGAGAGGGTGGCCATCGAAACCGTAGTCAGTCATGATACGGCGCAGATCGGGGTGACCGCTGAAGAAAACACCAAACATGTCGTAAACCTCACGCTCGTACCACAGGGCGCCCTCGAAAAGACCAGTCACACTGGGGACTGGGGTAGCCTCATCGGCGTAGGTCTTGACACGAATGCGAGAGTTGAAGCGAACACTAAGCATGTTGTAAACGACCTCGAAACGCTGATCGCGGGTGGGGAAATCGACACCGGTGATATCGGAAATCTGGGTGAACTCGGCGGAGGTGTGGTTCTTGAGGAAGCTCATGACGGGGATGACACCGGCGGGAGCGGTGTAGACAGTCAACTCATCCTTCCAGACGGTGAACTGTTGAACGTATTTGGGAAGGCAGGACATGATGTACTGTCCGTAGGTGTGCAGGCTGTCGGCCTTGTCCTGCCACTTATCGGCCGGGTTGACAACCGGGGCACGGAGAGGACCCTGAGCTGCAATGATAAAACAAGTATGTTAGTTGAATTGAATCTGTCCCAATTGACCAGAGACAATCACGTACGAGGCCGTTGCGCCTGGCGCATGTTTTCGGGCTCCGGCGCCCCCGGTTGTGTCGAGGCCTTAGCAGCATATTGCAGCGAAGAGGAGGAAAAAGCGCGAGGAGCCATAGACCTCGAGGCCGAAGCCATCGATCGGCCAGTTCCCAGGCGCATCAAAGAGCGTGCGGATGCCATTGTGGTGAGGGAGCAATGGCTGCGGGCAGGAGGGGGGACGAAAGGCACGTAAGGCGGATTGTGAGGATCGAGGTTGGTCGAACCTGCCAGTCATGTGATCATGACATAAGCCGTGCTGGCGCTAGGCCCGATATGGTAATGCCAGCAAAATGAAGCCGCGCTTCAATTTCCTTCCCTTCCTTCACCCCGTCCATCTCCCCACGATCCACCCTCTACCTCCCTTCCCCTCCTATTTTTCTTTTTATTAATTCTCCGTTCATTTTCATTTGTTCTGGATCTGGAGTAGCGTCTTCTCGTCTCTTTTGTCTTTGTGTACCTGATTTGATTGGGTGCCGGCGTTGAGATTCCCGTGTCGCCTTTCCCCGTTCGCACAGTTTTCACCGCGGCCATGTCTAGTCGCCAACAGATTGACTCCGTCATCGACGATGATGATGAGTTTTGGTATGTCATGATCCCATCTTTTATAGAGTCCGCGACGGGTGACCCTAACCCACTTCGCAGCCCCCTTTGCATCGAAGAGTTCGACCTTTCCGACAAGAACTTCAAGCCATGTCCCTGTGGATATCAGGTACGCCGCCCCTCAGAGCCATCCTCAGCCGACGACCTTCATCGCCGTTCCTTCCTACGTACTTACCCTGACCTTTCATTTGCAGATCTGCCAATTCTGCTACAACAATATCAAAACGCACAGCGAAGAGGGTCGATGCCCGAACTGCCGCCGTCCTTATGATGATAGCACGATTCAATACAAGATTCCTGATGCGGAGGAGTGAGTTTCCCCACACTGTCAGTTTACTTACATATTCCAGGTGCACTGACACATCCTTTCGCAACTTAGGTTCAAAGCCGACCTGGCCTTGAAGTCCCGCAAGGCAGCGGCAGCCAAAAAGAAGGAAGCTGAGAGGCGTGAGATAGAGGCTTCCAGCAGGAAGAACTTGGCAGGTGTTCGTGTTGTGCAGAAGAACCTGGTTTACGTCATAGGCCTTAACCCGACAATCCGTGACGAGAACCAGTTGTTGCAAACGCTTCGAGGCAAGGAATATTTTGGACAATATGGCGAAATTGAGAAGATCGTGGTCAGCAAAGCTAAGCCCGGGGGTAATCCGCACCAGGGGATTGGCGTTTATGTCACATTTTCTCGCAAGTTCGATGCTGCGAGCTGCATCACGGCCGTGGATGGTTCTTCTAACGGCGATCGTGTTCTGAGGGCTCAGTATGGGACAACCAAGTACTGCTCCTCTTTCCTTCGGAATGAACCGTGTAACAACCGCAATTGCACGTTCTTGCATGAGACTGGCGAGGATAGCGAGAGTTACAGCCGCTCCGATCTTTCATCCATGAATACCTTGTCCAGCCAGCGCCAGCACCAGCCGAATATCCCTCAACCTCGCCCTATTCAGCCAATCACCCACACAATGCGCCGGCAACCGAGCAAGGACGACTCCCTCAGCGGGCGCTCAGTTGTCCCCGATGGGCCCGCGCTTCCCTCATCTGCCAGCTGGGCGAATAAGGATCCCGCCATGAGAGCCCGACGAGCCAGTTTAACCGGTAGCCAGGCGTCTCAGAGCCCCCGCCCTGCTAGCGTCTCCGTCGCGATCGCCGCCGAGGAACCCAAGCGAGTCGAGAAACCTTCGCCTATTGTCCAGCCAGCGCAGCGAGCATCATCCCAGTCTGATACACGGTCACCAATTGCCCAACCCGAGCCTCCCAAGAAGCCTCTTATCGAAACACCAAGCCCATTCGATACCTTGATCCAGGATATGATGTCTCCGGAGTTCCGATTCGTATTTTCGGCCTCTGACCTCCCAGTGGATGAACTGAAACATATCCAGAATTACCCCTCTTTTATCGATCCTTATGGCGGTGTGAAGCGCCGTGCTATGCGTGAAAAGGCAGATAAGGAGCGTGCTAGTCGCGAGAGTGAGCTTGCACAAACCGCCCAAACCGCAGCAGCAGAAGAGGAAAGTAGGGAGGCAAGTAGGGAGGCTGGCAGCCTACAGCTTGGTGGAGAGCCAGAAGATGCTAACCCTCCTCGTGGTCGTCAAACCCGTGAGTCCCATGGTGCTATTCAACCTCCATCCCAGCAAGGCACAGCCGATAACTCTACTGTTGGATCTCCCGTTTCAGCCACAAGCCATCAGTTCCATGGACTCAACCTGGCTGGACGTAGCTTGACTCCCCTCCAGCAGCAGCAGTTGATGCTCCTCAAGTCAGCAGGCAACCAGCAGGCTGGTTTGTCGGATCCTCTGAGCTCTGCCGCTCTGGACCAAGCTGCACAGGTCCGCCAAGGTGTTTTGCAGAACCAAATGGCAGCCCAATATGCACTTCAAGCCCAAGGCAGGCAATCCTCTCGCTTTGCCTTTACCAGTGATGTCAACACAAAGAATATCAGCAATGCCCGAATGTTGAGCCAGATGCAGCAGCCTGGCACCCCGAATCCACTCTCAGCACCGAGCCCTCAGCATGGTGGCTTTTACGCGAGCGGTGTTCAGGGTCCCCCTCCCGGTTTGAAGACAGCCGGAACTCCTCCCATTAGCGGTGGTGGAATGTTTGCCCAGGGCCACGGTTTTACTGCAAACACCAACGTCGGACTGGGATCCAATGTTGGAAAGCACGATGCGACGCCAGAATCGATGCGTGAATTATTACGGGGGCGAAGTGGTACGAATATTGGTGGTGTGCAAGCCCAGGAGGCCGCAAAGCGTGAGTTCATGTTCCCTTTCCTTCAACAGCACCAAACCCCACCTCCCCTGACTCCCGTCAATGGCCTTCTCAGCTCTTTCTATGGGTCCCGGACGGGTACACCACCTGACTCTGGTGGCTCACAGAAGCAGAAGAAGAAGGGAAAGAAGCACAGACACGCTAACACTTCCTCCGGCGGAGGTGGTGTAGTAGATCTTGCAGACCCGAGCATTTTACAGGCGAGAATGCACCAAGTCGGTGCCAATGCTACTGCTGGACAAGCGTTGTATGGGAGTCAGGGCCAAGGTGGGTACAACCCCTCGATGATGTACGGCGGTGGGCTGAGCCGCTGGTGATCCCCAATGTCCATTTTCTTTTTAAATTCCTACCCTCCACCTTCCATGACTTTCAAGTGCATTTTTGTATCCTCCCTTTCCATGATTTTCCTTTGCCTTGCGTTTAACGGGCCTGTATCCCCCTGATGACATGATTTGAATTTCCCTATACTTTTTCCCAGTCATGTGCCGGGACTGCATCATGCTTCTTTTTTATTCTTCGCAGCCAAACAGGTGGTGCTGGATCAATACGACTGGCGGGCGTGTCAGTGACGTATTGTGATTGCCTTGATTTCTCTTCCAATCTTTTCTTTATGCAAGCATGTTCTTTATCCCGGCTTTCCGTCTTATCCTGGTTCATGGTGTTTTGTTTCTCTTGCATTTTGTGGACATATCTCATGTCTGGAGGGCTTTTTTTTTTTTTCTGTTGGCGGCTGGTGTTTCCCTTCATGTTTTTCTTGCATCCGGATCTTCGCATGCAGCCATCTACGGGTTTCGTGAACACCGTAGATGTCTTGCGCATGGATTAGTGTACGTTAAGACCTCCCTGCCCTGATATCAACAGCTGGAACAGGGTCTTATTCGAAACCAGTTGTCTCACTGCTGCCGTCTACATTAGACCCTTTTGCCCTACACTGTATCTGACCCAAGTGTGTCAGTGCCCGTCGTGTAAATATCTGTTGGCACCCTTGGACCTTGCATAATTGCCCGGACAGTCGTGTCGCATAGTTGTTGCCCTTCGCTTGACCCTTCATGACCTGCCCTGCTCATTCATACTACCTGCACCTCTCACACGTTGCTTTGCTACGGGGCTGGATGCTAACTAGCAACCAATAGTGGATGATGAATTCCCTCCTCTCAGCAGCCAGTTGAAGGATAGCCAACCTATCGACACGTTTGGTTTCCTAAAATCCCAACTGCCCAGTGATTCTGCTGGCCGTGCAGGCACACCTACCCTTCCGCCAGGTCTTCCTTTGCCCCACTCTCACCCGGCATCTGCTATTTTCCAAGAACAAAGGGACTCATCTAAACCGTCGTCCCCGGCCCCTATCGTGCCTCCTGGACTGGGGGCCACTCCATCTCACTCTCGTCCAATAAGCCCTGAGCTTGGCATGCGCACAGGGAACTCATCGGTACGCACCAAAGATGCATCTCAGATCTCTCTGGGGTCACCCATCGCGAAACCGATTCGTAAGCCTCGAATCAATACCAAAATAGACGTTCCAGCCTCTAGCGATGATAAGGAGACTGGTGGATTGGATAGTCCGCATGTGGGCGCAAAGGCAAGCCCAGCCAGCGTGAGCGTGCCATTGTCATCGCAAGAGACCTCTTCTGTGCATTCTGAGCGTGCCCTATCTGGGACGTTTACATCTGCGTTTACAGCTCGACCTGGCTCAGTCTCTGCTGTCTCTGCTATCGGTTCACGCCCTAACACACCTTTGACAACAACCTCTCGGGTTTCTGATTCTTCTGCCCCTCGCCAAACACGCATCCTCCGTGTCGTTGATACCCCGAAATCTGAAGCATCTCGTCAAATTGGACCAGCATCAGTTGCCGGCACAGGCAAGTTGGGGTCTCCGAGACACAGTGTCTCTTCTATCAGTAGACCAGATACTCCTGGTGATTTCGGCTCCGAGGCAGATCTTTATCCCTCCGGCTCTGTATCTCGTTCAAACTCCCCTCCTGCCTCCAATCGCATTGGCTCTGCTCCGATCCGCGCGGTCACCAAGAGTCAGGCCAAGAAAGAACGGAGACAGAAAGCGAAGGAAGCGGAGGCCAAAAAAGTCGAAACTACTTCTGTGACTGAAGAGCCTGTTCAAGCCCCAATCATGGGCAGAAAGCGCAAGACCAAGAAGGCACCCGCCACTGCCCTTGAACCTGGTGATGTTGCACCGATCCTTGCTGAGACCGCAAGCCCTGTCAAAAGTCGTGCTGAATCGCCCAAAAAGGCGGAACCCAAAAAGGTGGAACCCAAAGCTGAACCTCTCAAGAAAGTAAAGGCCAAGGAGCCAGTGGTGGAAGAGATTAAGGCACCCTCTGAGGCGCCTTCTGTAGTAGAGGAGCCCCTTGAGCCCAAGACCCCTCCTGAGGCTTGGCGCTCTCACAACACCATCGGGCAGCTGCTCAAAGATGTTGAGGAGACTAACTGTTTGATCAAAGACTTGTTTATGGAACGCACCAAGCCTCTGCATGTCCTGCTTGCCGAGATGCACCGAGACGGGGAACTTGATCTTAACAAGAGCTCTCTGTTCAATCCTGCCAACCTCAGCCAACGCATTGACATGAAGTGCACTGCTGATGACTACGAGGACTTGAAGCAACCTACTGAACTTGGGGAAGAACATCGAAAGACCCTCCTTCGTGGCGAGCCCGTCCGAGTGGGTACTCAGGCCCTCAAGAACCGGTGTCTTATCACCCCTCGGGGTTGCGTGCTTCGACACCTCGAACCTGAAGAGGAAGAGCGATATCTTCAACTGGAGAAGAGTCGCAATGGAGTCATTGATCCGTTCGTGGTCGGCGACGACTCGAGCAACATTAATGGTGGCCTTGAGGCACTCTTCGTGAACCCAGAAAAGTACAACCTTTTCTGGGTAGACGACGCTATGGCCCAGATGGGATCCTCATCTCCCGTCCTAGAGCCCACCGATGCCATAATTCCGCCCAATGTTCTTTCTGCGATGGAGGCAGATAGTACCCGCAGTCACGACTGGGCCGTCGCCCACTCTGCCGAGCTTCTCCAGACTACCACGGCCGCCGTACGCTCCTTCGCGGCCGCTACCGCCAAACAGCTGCTCGGCTCCGCTACCATCCCTGGCAGCAATCCCACTCTCGACGACGTCGCGGCGATGACGGATGAGGAGCTGAAGAGTCTTTCCGGCAAGTCGCAAAAAGACCTGGAAACTACACGCAAGGAAATGGACTTGCTGGACAAGAAGTTCACTGGTCTTCTTCGCCGCAATAAGAAGCTCCAACAGCAGGCTTTGTCTCTCGCCGAGTCTGCGAACTAAAGCTTCTACCTGAACAGGCTAGGATAAGACATTATGTCTTACGGCCCCCGGCGTGGCGGCAGGATTGATCCATATTTCCAATGTATGATTAACAATGAATGTATTATCCCCCAAGGCGATTCTCTTCTCTCTGTGTGTGGTAAATCCGTTGATTTCCGTAATTTCCGGGTCTAGCCCCGAGGTCAATGTGTACAAGGGCTGGTGGGTCTTGGAAGATAAACCTTAGCCCTATGGGATACCTTGTACGGATTAGGTGTACACCCACCTAAGTGATCCGGGCCATCAGGATCAGGAATTGATACAGCGCAGGCAATTTCCATGGCAAAAAAGTAAATTATGGACTGTGGAATGTGAAATGTGAAACGGATTAGATTAAAGCGGGGGCTACTTTTACGTGGCGTCCTTTTTGTTTGTGATCCGCCCAAATCTCAACATGGTGGCGCTTAGGGCCTAAAATGCGGTCAGTCGATTTCCCTGACATGTCGAATGTTAAATAAATGTCCGAGAACCGTCTGAGATGAATGCTCTACTGCAGAGCCAAGGAATATCGGAAACGTCTCAGCACGCGCCGGTGCATTGACGCTGAGAGGGGCATCAGTGAGATTTATTAGGCGAATCTCCCTAGTCTCCCCTTAGCGTCGGGTCCACATCGTCCGCAATGGTTCGTTTGATCGATCGAATGATTAGCTCGATAATAACGGATATTCGGCCTTGTCAGTGCTCGGCCATTTCCGCCCTGATTTACCTCTAATCTGGAATGGATCCTGAAACGAGTGGCTGATCACTTCATTCGATCCCATGTGTTCCGGGAGATTAATTGGTGATTCCTTTTCCGCCATTCGCTCCTTGTGGCTTCTAACGCCGTTTCTCTTTGTGTGATGTGGATTTTGTGGATTTTGACTGTGGATTCTGCGGTGGACTGTTGAGGGTCTGGAATGGATTTGGATCTTCCCAGGGCTGGCTTTAAGTATAAACATGCTATCCGCTCCCGACCCTCGGATTGGCATCGATCTTTCCAACTCGCTCTCGTCGCTCCTTTTTTCAGATCATACAGCCCTGGTGGTTAGTTGATCATTACACTCCTTTTTTTACATTCTTTCCCTCCTTTTTGACAAAGATGCTTTTTTCTTCCGTCGTGGGCAGTGCCCTGACTATGGCGTCTGTTGCCATCTCCGCTGCTTGTGCGGCCTCGGTGCCGGTGTCGCCGGTGTCATCGGTAGATGACTCTTCTGACACTTTGCCGATTGTGCACTCTCATGGAAATACTCACGGACATGGCCACTCTCATAAGCCCTCTCCGGTGGCCTCTCCGGAGGTTTTCCTTGAGACGGCTCCCATTGCTTACGCCACGGTGTATGAGACTGATATCGCTACGGTATATGAGACTGACTACATTACGGTGTATCCGTCTACCGTCTCGCCAATGGCTGAATCGACTTCTGAATCATCTTCTACTTCCTCCACGTATGAGACTCACTACACTTCGGTGGTTCAGTCTACCGTCTCACCAGCGGCTGAATCGACCGTCTCACCAGCGGCTGAATCGACCGTCTCACCAGTGGCCGAATCCACCTTCTCATCTGTGGCTGAATCGACCGTCTCTACGGTGGCTTCCTCTACCTCTGAATCATCTTCTGTTTTCACCATGGCGCCTTCTTCTACTTTCTCCACGGTGTATCTCTCTACGACCTCAACCTCCACCTCATCTTCCACCTCATCTTCCACCTCCGAAGAGGCTACCTCTTCCTCCACGGCATCTTCTACAATTGCCTCTTCCTCTACCGCATCTTCTGCGGCATCTTCTGCGACCGCTTCATCTACGGCATCCCCATCCACATCTATCCTGCTGCCGCTTTATATCTGGCCCACCGATAACACTACCTGGGGCCCCGTCTACGAAGCTGCCGCTGGAAACCCCGATATCGAGTTCAAGGTCATCGTCAACCCCGACAGCGGCCCAGGAGATACCAGTAAGACACCACTGGAACTCACTACCGTACTATATTTGCTAATTTGAACCCCTCCAGCCTACCCAGAATCGGCATACATTACGGCCATTGCGCAATTGAACAGCTACGACAACGTCGTGGTCCTCGGATATATCCCCACTGAATATGGCACCCGCTCTGCTTCGGATGTCGAGAGCGACATCTCCACCTACAGCGGCTGGTCAGCATACACAGAGAAGAACATCGCCGTTACCGGCATTTTCTTCGATGAAGCACCAAGAACCGACGATACTTCCTTGATTTCGTACATGACCGAAGTCGCGGACAATGCCAGATCCCAAGATCTGGACTTCATTGTCTTCAACCCTGGTACCAAGCTGGAGGAGGGCGCAGTGAATGGATACTTTGATGCTGCTGATTTGATTGTCGAATTTGAGAACTCCTATGATGCTTGGATCGACGCTGTACCTGCTGACGAGTTTTCCTCTACGGAAGACTATTCCAAGGATGCCGTTCTCTTGTACAGTGCGCCTACTACTGCAAACTATGAGACTGTTATCAAGGAAGCGAAGGATATGGGTCTTGGCGCTGCGTACCTGACCAACACTGATGACTATAAGTCCGCTGATACCGTTCTTAAGGTCACGGCTGCTCTTGTTCAAGCATCCACTTAGGTTGAGATTGGACCTGAAGAAGCTCTTCGATGAGTGGATTAGCCGTGACCTCGTGTGTTCATTTTATGCTTTATGATTGATCTGACATTGCAAAGCATTTACAAATTGAAGGGATATATATTTCGGTCAATAAAAATTTATACTTCAGGGTAAACGATATTACTATTTACACATTTACATTGGTTGAATTCTAAAGCCCGATAAAAGCACTCTACCCCAGGTTCCCCCCACTCTTGTCCTCGTATCTTGAACCTACACCGTCATGCACCCCATCTCCGACGGTGTTGCCCATCAACTCCGCCGGAGAACAATTGAGGACATCTCAGCCACGAAGAGCACAGGATTATATAAATGACCTAGGTTCAGCTGAATGTCAGCTCCAGATATTTCTGCCATAGTTCATATTACATATAATGGGGATTTTAACGTTTTTCATTTCTCCATGGATAGCCTGCACAATCCCAGTATGGTTCATCCTATACTACACGATCCCATACTTCACGACCTACAAGACCCTCTCGCGTATCCCAGGGCCATTCCCTGCCAAATTTAGCAATCTTTGGGTTGCACTCAGTGCTCGTCGGGGACAAAAATTCGCAGCTGTTGACAGCGCTCACCGAAAATACGGCAAGGTTGTACGAATTGGATTCAACCATGTTTCCATTGCAGACGAGCGGGCCCTCAATGTGGTATATGGGCATGGAAATGGGTTCCTTAAGGAGTAAGAAATCAAGCCTCTGCTTCCTCCATTTGACCATGCCTATACTGACAAGATTCATCAAGTCATTACTATGAAGCTTTCATCGCACGTACTCCCGGGATGTTCAACGTCCGCGACCGGGCAGAACATACACGCAAACGTAAAATTATCTCGCATGCATTCTCACCCAAATCAGTCGCTGCCTTTGAGCCTCATATGGCCGCCAATCTACGGCGATGGGTTACCCAGTTAGACCGCATTTCAAGTACGGGACCGAAATCAAACTCTCTTGACGGTACCCCAGGTACCTTTGCCAGATTTAATGCCATGCCCTGGTTCAGTTACCTTGCCTTTGATATTATTGGAGACCTGGCGTTTGGATCTCCATTTGGAATGGTGAATAAAGGCAAGGACGAGACAGAGGTACAACTTGTACCCGGGGGCCCTATGTCCACCGCCCCGGCGGTTGACGTCCTGAACCGACGTGGAGAGGTCTCTTCTACTCTGGGCCTTCTCCCAGCTTTGCGCCCTTGGGCAAAGTATCTACCGGACCCCTTCTTCACCAAGGGTATTGCGGCCGTTGAGAACCTGACTGGGATTGCGGTTGCGGCTGTCGCTTCCCGGTTGGATGCAGCGGAGAAGGGGCTTATTGATACGCGAGGCGATATCCTCTCTCGATTGTTGCAGGCCAAGGATGCCAATGGTGACCCGATGGGACGGGCGGAGCTTACATCTGAAGCACTTACACAACTGATCGCTGGTTCCGATACCATTTCTAATACATCTTGTGCGGTGTTCTATTGGATCCTTCATGGCGAGCGTTATGCTCCTGGGACGATTGTTTCCCGGCTGCGAGAGGAGCTTGATCAGGCTATTGGTGATCAATCGGAGATTGCTTCCTACAGCCAGGTCAGAGATCTGCCGTTCTTGCGTCGTTGTATCGATGAGGGAATGCGATTGCATTCTACTTCTGCTCTCGGCCTTCCTCGTCTTGTTACTGATAATGGGTCCGGCGTGGAGTTTGATGGGCATTTCTTTCCACCTGGTACTGTGCTTTCTGTTCCTTCTTATACCATTCATCATATGGCGGAGATTTGGGGGGATGATGTGGAGGAGTTTAAGCCTGATCGTTGGTTGAATCTTACGCCGAGACAGAAGATTGGATTCAATCCTTTCTCTTATGGTCCTCGTGCGTGTGTTGGGCAAAATGTTGCGATTATGGAGTTGCAGTTGATTATTGGGACATTGTTCCACCGGTATGATTTCACCTTGTACCAGTCAACGATGGAGTCCCACGAAGGATTTTCGAAGAAGCCCAAGAATTGTTTCTCTGGTATTCGATTAAGAAGTAAGGCTTAGGCAGAGTGTTCAAAAGATAGCATTGTCCCAAACAGAAGACATGGTATTGACAAATTATACGATTGGATTATTTATCTCAAACCGCGTTCCCAAAGAACATATCTTCAAGAGATGGAAACTCCTGCTCAATGTTCACATTCCAGTCACTATCCACCCACGACTTAGTATTATCTACTGTGGGTGGAGGGAGAGTCTCGGTACCATCAGCTCCTTCTGTCAACGAGTCTAACTCAGTCCCACTGATATGCTGCTTAATAACATTCAATGACCACCGACTCACAGGCTCGGCCTTCCCGCCACGCTGGATATGAGATATAGCCCGCTCCATGAGCCTGATAACCTCGCCAATGTTGACCACATGGCTAACGAACTCCGCTAATGTGACCATCGCAAATGAACACAGCAGGTTCTCGTATGCCGGATGGATGCAAGTGGTAAGATCTGACATGGACAGAAAGAGAACCAAAATCTGGTTCGAGTGATGGATCGCAAATCTGATAAATGGAATAGCATTATCGGCTTCAGGTCTACTTCTTGTGTTGCTTGAGGGCCCAGGCTGAGATTCATGTATGTGCTGTAGGGTGCGGCGAGCAAGTATCAGATAAGCGCAGGAATAGGCAAATCGTAAAGGCTCGGAGGAGTCCAGGTCTAGTTCGCAGGGATTAAGATCAGTATGAGTGTTTTTAAAAAAGCTCTGAAAGACATACTGTAAATGTGTTCTTGCGACTTGCAGAGTTGATCAATCTCAAGCCAGGCTGGAACTTCCTTCTGGATCGCATTTGAGCTAACCAGCTCCCATAGTGTTCGGTAAAGGTACACTCCAGCTAGTACCAGCTCGTCTCGGGAATTGTAAGACGGGAACTCGAGAACCTTTGCGCATTGATCGAAGTATTGTCCCGCAATGACAGGTGGTCGACCAGAGCCAACTGAGAATCTGGGCGAAGTTAATTTCCAAAAGCGTGTAGCGCATATTGATGACATACTGTAGCTGACACAAGCAGATCAAGTTCCAGGTGCGTAAGATCTCACGCGCTCGTGCCTGTTCCTGAATGCTACTAGTCTGCAGTAGCTGTTCAAAAGAAGTCGTGATCATAACCTGCATTGCTGCTGTACCGCTCAAAAGCCACGAATTGCCATGATCATGATCTCTTGTTGGTCTCAAGTCCCACATGGAACAAATCAACATAGCTTGAATGGTTTCTGGGGAGACAGCAGATACAAATTGGGACCGGCCTAACAGTCCATGAACATGGCGGTATAATGCGTGATGTGTTGAAGAACCGTGCAATGATGGAGTTATGTGAAGACCAGCAAGAATACAAGTGCCGAATAGAAGGGGCGACTTGGCACGTACATCGGTCAAGTCCGTGCTCAGGAATAGCCAGCGACTCGATAGGTTTGAGAATCTGGATAGCGGATGAGCTTTGTTTGCATGATACTTCTAGTAGAGATAACCTACCCTTTTAGGAGCATAAAGGCTGTCTTCTCTGAGACGATTCCATTTATGATGACATCCTCCAAGAGATCTTGGATCTGCAGTGGCTGTCGATGTAATGTGATGTTCTCTCGGATTTCTTGGATAAGGCTCATGGGAGCATCGCGTGCAGTTCTGTCCGCACTAGACTGCGCTGTCTGGATCATAGATCAGCGACACTGGCTTTCACGATTAGTGTAAGTAAGTTGTCTGACTGGCTCACCTCTGGTTTACTAATGTTCAGGCTGACAGGCTGTGCAGATAGCGAAGCTTTAATATCCGCCAAAGAATTTTCAACGGCGCAAAGTCTTGTTTTTGTTTAGTAAGAAATAGCTGGTGAATTTGAAGGACCTGAACACTGTACATACCTATCGTGGTAATCATGCTGACGTCCGATTTCAACTTCACCCCCAGTTGCATTGCGCGATACGATATTCCGAACAACTCCATCAAACGAGCACTTTATCCTACTTTTACATCAGCACCTAAATATTGCTACATCCTACAAGGCTGATTACCCAAGTATTTCACAGCGGTGACATCCAGCTAAAGTACTAGAATTGACCTCACACCTCGTTTTTAGTCGTCGACAAGCCTCGCATGAGCGCGCTTTACTGGACTTTACCGGCTGAGATGATCGCGCTGGTCGTCTTCGCTTTGTAATACGCGGGTCAGTTGAAGTCATCTTGTCTTTATTGATGAGATGTGGTTTATGTTTCAGAGTTTGCGGGGATGATAAGCAATTTGAACTGTTTCCCCACTCTTGAGAGCAGTGATGATCATTTTGACAGGAATACAGCATTCCTGAGGAGCCGCTAGCATTTTTTAAAATCCGATGTAGTAAGCAGTATGCATCTGCCGATTGATATCTAGATCGGGAAGATCACAGAAGATGATTGGCGTGACAATTGTCTACCCCCACTTTTGAAAGGGGTGGATTATGCAGTTGTGATAGCGCAGATGTACTACGTTACCCAAATACGAAGCCAAGATACATTGCATACACATGTGAGAAACGAATCTTTGGTATGATAGCTCACATCCATGCAAGTGCCTCTTAGGCAAGTACTGATCCAATTCGATGATTGAAATGTCTTAACATGTCAAACGACCAACAATCTAGAAGCAAGTTTAGAATACTTTCCCATAATACTAATCGGTAGTTTTGAAGAAGCCGAAGTGGCTGACACAAGTATTCCACGGAAGAAAGGAGTAGAGTAAGCGTTTCAATACATACAAGCCCGAACGCCATTGGCTTTTAGTACGTATAGTTTTCGCTCGTCATTGCTGCGTCGTCTCCCCTGCTTACTTTGAGTGATTCTTTGACGGGAGTGGGGATAGGATAATAGTCTGCTGCGTCATAAATCCTAGCATGTCTGCGATGCTTCTATATTTCTGTCGCTGGTCGTTATAATTGGAAGTAAATCCTGACGGCCAATGGCTTGATTCCTAAGCAACAACCTTCCAAAGGTTACCCGAGTATATTGTTGACCTGAGCAGAGAGCTATATGTATTCAGAGAAAAATGCACCAGATTGTCGAAAGAGTAGGTATTGGTAGCAAAGACAATTGTCCATTGAATCCCACATAGTATAGCCAACTGAACACCACATTGATGGAATTAAGCCAGGCGCAGTATTCGGGGTCATATTTCCCCAATGATCTTTTCTTACCTGACATTGCAATGTTAGTGTACATTCTGTCCTGAAAGAAGCGCTTGTATAATTCTAGATCTGCACAATTTTTCTTATTGTATGACCCCAAGTGGCGTCAGGTGCCGAATGCCTGGACTTTTAACTAAAGAAGTAATTGCCACCCGTTCCTTCAGGAATTTCACTGTGGACCTCGGGTGCACCTGAACGTCATTAAATAAACTTGAGCGTCCACCAAATCGGTCTTCGCACATGTCTGATCCGGACCCACCCAGGAACCGATGACATAGCGTCCCGTTCCTGGCTACATCATTGGCCTTCTGCTCTATTTTCCACTTCCTGAGCCTTTCCCTGTTGGGATAAACTGTATGGAGACTATGACATAGCCTCCCAGTGCTTGATTACTATGCTGGGAACCCCATATGTCTCCCAAAGACACGTCTTCAAATCTTCGACATTGTTTAAAACTACAATCCATCCTCTTCTTCCTTCTCTTTCCGCAATAACCAATACCACAATACCACTCCGAGATGATCGACGCCGAAAATGTCATCGATGTATTAAGTACCGATATCCGAACTCCCATCCCAGCATCAATTGTCTCGAAGATTATCTCTTTGCCTCCTTTTGTGACCCTGCCCGGCGTGTCCAACTTCCGGGACTTAAGCCATGATAACGTACTGCGCCCCGGATATGCCTACCGCTCTGGAAATCTATCAGATCTCGAAGAGAAGGGGAAGTCAATCCTGGCTGGGGATCTAGGTATCACCACCATATTCGATCTTCGGAATCAAGGAGAGCGGGAGCGGGCTCCCAGCCCAGAGATTACTGGAATTGAGACAATATGGATGCCCTACGGCACCAGACCAGCTTCATTGAACCTTCGGGATTTCACACAGGACGACCACAGTGCGACAGGATTTGTGAAGATGTACATGGGAATTTTGAATGCAGCAACGCCCATATTTACCGAAGTCTTCAGTCATATTAGAGATGAACCTAACGACCCTTTCATTTTCCATTGTTCGGGTGAGTGCTCACCGCCAAGTGGCGAATCTATGATGAGCGGGGGGGATATCGAAACGAATTGATCAATGCTAACAATTTTGCGTCCTATTAGCTGGAAAAGACCGGACTGGAGTGCTCTCTGCCCTCATCCTACTACTTATCGGTCGGCCTCACGAAGAAATTATCATCGATTACCTCTATACACGCGTGGGACTGGAGAGTGTACGGGAAAACTTAACCAATGCACTTGCTCTTCATGCCGGCACCGATCATTTAAGCCCCGAGGCTAACGGCATGCTTGAGCTTAGTGGCGTTCGGGCGTCGGCTATGGAGGCGTTCCTCAAGACATTCGAGACCACCTACGACGGCGGCGTCGAAATATATCTGAACACCCAGCTTGGCTTCTCTTTCGAGGACATAGTGCTGATGCGCAAGAACCTGACGAATTATTAAAATTAGATAAACAAACAAGCTAGAATTAGATATTGTACAGTACTCCAGCCTTTCAGTACATGGGAATGGCTGGGAAAGATGGCCTGTGCGTTCAAATCTAGGGATTCATTCCACCTTACATATCTCGAATGACCATGATTTGAACTCCAAATGCTGTACTTGAAATTGAAAACTCGTCGAAATGTTTGGGGGTTTCCATCCTTATTCGGCAATTGATCAATTTCTCCCCAACGTACTCTTGCATTAAGTAGTACTTCACCTTTACCCCTCTCGAGCTCCACAACGCAGATCATCGCTTTTAACCGCCATTTCAACCCAGAGCCGGAGATTCCCTTGTATAATTTCCCCGGGATCAACCCCGTTCACTACGCAAGATTGCTACCGTTGCTTTTTCCCCGCCCGTGAGGGGCTTCCCTGGTGGGTTTGCGAGGTTATCCCCGTCATAACAATGGCCCGGCCCATGTCAAGTTTGGGGATTTATTAAAAGTTGCTACAACTTTGAGTCTCCACTTGGTCTCATACCGGTGTTTGCCCGAGGTGACCGAGTAAGTTTGCAGGATAAATCGGAGCATTCGCCCTGGTCATATCTTGGTGTTGTTGCTTAGCTTGGTCAACCTTCAACACCTCGTGTTTCAATCAGTGCTACCATGCATTTTTGGATGAAGCTGGCACTGGCTGCTCTCCCAGTGACGGTGCAATCTGTTGTGGGACAGCATGTAGTTGACCTCACTGGCGATGGCTGGACGGTCAGCAGCAAGGCTTTGAATCTTTCGGTTCCGGGCCATTTACCCTCGCAAGCACATCTGGATCTTTATGCTGCTAATGTTATTGGTGAGTACTGTATTGATTGGCAAAAAGAAGCCTGGACTGACTATTGTCATAGATGATCCGTTAGTATTACTCTCAACTCTGGAAATCACATACTAATTGCTTATGCACCTATAGATACTATGGTCTGAATGATTTCGACTTGCGTTGGATCCCAGATAACAATTGGACATACACAAGTCATCCTTTGGGTGGATTGTAAGTATATAGGACCCCGTGGGCTGAGCCGGGTGTTTGAATATGTGTCTGATCATACGATGCAGATCCACCAACTCCAAAGCATCGTGGCTTGTTTTTAACGGCCTGGATACCTTTACCACAATTGAGCTGTGCGGCCAATTTGTCGGTACTACTGACAACCAGTTTCGTCAGTATACCTTCGACGTCACTAAAATCCTCAACAACTGCAAGAGCAAACCCGCTTTGTCGCTCAACTTCGGCAGCGCACCGAAAATTGCCAATGAGATTGCTAAGAATCCCGACTCCGAAAGTATGTAATGATCAAATATCCGACATGACTATTTCTGACTGGTTTTGCAGAGTGGCCCTATGGTCCCCAACAGTTATACGAGTTCCCGAACCGTTGGTATATTCGCAAAGAACAATCAGACTTTGGCTGGGACTGGGGTCCAGCCTTTGCTCCAGCTGGCCCATGGAGAGATGCATATCTCGTACAATTTGACCGCGAAGAGAGTGTTTATGTCCTCAACACCGATCTCGATATTTTCCGTCAAGGACAGATTAACCATCTTGCTCCGGATCAGGGCAAACCTTGGGTTGTGAATGCCAGCATTGACTTCCTTGGGTCACTTCCAAGCCACCCTTCAATGCACATTGAGATCAAGGAGGTCGAATCAGGAAAGGTTATCAAGTCCGGGGCCCTCGAAAATGTCTATACCTCCGGTCAAAGCATCACAGGAAGTATCACTGTCAGTGCTGATGCGCCCAACCTCTGGTGGCCAACCGGCATGGGCAAGCAGAATCTCTACTATGCTACCATCACAATCAATGGCGAACAGGAAACCTTCGCCAGTGTCACCAAGCGTACCGGATTCCGCACAATCTTCCTCAACCGCCTTAACATCACAGATGAACAATTAGCTCAAGGGATCGCACCGGGCGCGAATTGGCACTTCGAAATAAATGGCCAAGAATTCTATGCCAAGGGCTCAAACTTTATCCCACCAGACGCTTTCTGGCCTAGAGTCACCGAAGAGAAAATGCAACGACTTTTTGATGCAGTTGTTGCCGGAAATCAAAACATGCTTCGAGTATGGGCATCCGGTGCCTACTCACCAGACTTTATCTACGACATTGCCGACGAGCGCGGTATCCTCCTCTGGAGCGAGTTCCAATTCAGTGACGCCATGTACCCCGTCAACGAAAGCTTCCTAGAAGATGTCGCAGCCGAGGTCTCTTACAACGTGAGACGAGTGAACCATCATCCTTCCCTCGCCCTGTGGGCCGGCGGGAATGAGATCGAAAGTCTCGAACTCCCTCTCATCCAGGAGGCAGATCCAAACCACTACTCCTACTGGGTCGGACAATATGAGCAGCTCTTCATCAGCTTAATTCTTCCACTCGTCTACGAGAACTCGCGTTCGATTTCTTACATGCCAAGCAGCACAAACAACGGCTACTTGTATGTCAATCTCTCGGCAACGGTGCCAATGGCCGAACGCTACGACAATACCACCGATGGAGCCTATTATTCAGATACAGACCATTACAACTATGACAGTAGTGTTGCGTTTGATCTTAGCAGCTACCCCATTGGCCGCTTTGCAAACGAATTCGGCTTCCACAGCATGCCAAGTCTGCAGACGTGGCGCCAGGCCGTCGATGAAAAGGATCTACACTTCAATAGTAGCACTGTTATGCTTCGAAACCATCACTACCCAGCTGGTGGTACCTTTACACAAAATTACAAGAATTCATCAATGGGAATGGCCGAAATGACCATGGCAGTGGAGCAATACTATCCCATCCCACATAAGGAGAATTCTGTCGCCAATTTCAGTGCCTGGTGCCACGCAACCCAGATCTTCCAGGCCGACATGTATAAGAGTGAAATCCAATTCTACCGTCGTGGTAGTGGAATGCCCGAGCGTCAGCTTGGGTCCTTGTACTGGCAACTCGAGGATATCTGGCAAGCTCCCACTTGGGCGGGTATCGAGTATGATGGCCGGTGGAAGGTCCTTCACTACGTTGCTCGAGATATCTACAAACCTGTCATCATTGCGCCGTACTGGAATTATACAACCGGGGGTCTTTCCATCTATGTCACCTCTGATCTATGGGAGACTGCGCGTGGAACTGTGAACTTGACCTGGGTCGACCTAGCTGGCAAGAGCATTCCGGGTAATGCGAACACTCCCATGTCGACGCAGTTCACTATTGGTGGTCTTAACACTACCAAGATCTTTGAGGCCAGTATCTCGGATCTGGATCTTCCAGACAATACCAATGCTGTCCTGGTGATGTCGGTGACGGCACATGGTCGTCTCCCGAACATGCAGGACGTGACTGCCTTCACACATCAAAATACATTTACCCCTGTGTTCTCGAATGAGCTTTCACTGGTTGATCCTAAGCTTGAGATCTCTCATGATGCAAAGACGGGCTTGTTTACTGTTGAGGCGAAGAATGGCGTGTCCCTTTACACTTGGTTAGATTATCCGGCTGGCGTTGTTGGGTACTTCGATGACAACTCGTTTACTCTTCTTCCTGGGGAGAAGAGACAAATCGGTTTCACTGTACAGAAAGATGAAACGGGTGGGAAGTGGGTTGAGGGAGTGACGGTCCAGAGTATTTGGGATCAGTCGACAAACTAAACTTGGCCGTTGCCGATTTGATGCTCCGCCTCAGAGTTGATAGTTCAAATCAGGCCATCAAAGTACACTATCTGGTATCTCTCGCAGATGCTTATGTGCAAGGGTATACATATGTACCGAAAACCATATCCTGCTTCTTTAATACCTCCTACTCTCCTCTAGAAGAGTCTTGTAATATGGGCGACCTAGAGATTGACAGAACAGTCAGAAAACCTTCCCATATCAACAAGCTGTAAATATACTCACCTTTACTAAGACGAAGCAACCGTTTCTCATACGGTCCTAGCGGCTCCTCCATCAGGACAGTCTGCAACGGTGCATCCTCCCTAGGCCCAGCATAAATCCATCCCCACCGATCATCCTCAAACTTCTCAATCACCTCTCCCATTTCACTGTCCGGATCTTGAATTTTCCGACAAACCACAGCCCTCACCCTCTCAAGCTCCCAAGGCCCCTTCTTCAAAAGCGCCTTACATTTATACAAACCAACATCATCAAACCCCAGCCCACCCAGATCAAGTCGGATCCGCACACTCCGATGAATCCTCTCATTTGTATTAATCAAGAATCTCGAAGTTGTCTTCCCAGTCTCAGGGTCAATACGCCGGTACTGCCCCGGCGTCCGAGTGGTCTTACCAGCGAGATGATAAAATCCCGTATCAGGCTGAACAATCTCACCTAAACCCCAGGGTCTAACGGGCTTGTGTTCATCATAAACAGAGATATCAGCCCACTGCCTCCATCTTTCAGAGTTAGATGATCCTTCCGCCTCGGAGCCGTGCGGGTGATCAAAGAAGTAGCGCACGCTCCGCTCGAAGATCTTATCGATTGTGTCGTCGTAAAATGCTACGCCGATCGATGTCAATTGGTCCATCATCCAGGCCATAGTGACGTTCGCGAGTTCTTGGTCTGGAAGACCGCCGCCGACGTTGGAGTGTGCGCCGCAGAACCATACTTGGCGGAGGTCGGTCTGGACGCCGTCGGGTCGTTCCCATACTGCTGGGGCGAAGGATGTGCGGTCTTCGTCTAGAGCCAGAGCTTGGAAGGCGTACTCAGTTGTATTTGAGAGGCATGTATCGTAGAATTGGCATGTATAGTTTGATAAGTATCCTGGATCGTAAATTTGGGGATAATGGGGTACTTATTCTTTTGTGGAGCGGGGAATGTGCAACTTCTTCCCGAGGTTTGTATTGGGGATACCTGGAAGTGTTAAAATGAGCTTAGACATGGAGCCATGATGATAGGGATACCTAAACTTCCCACAGTCTCCCAGACCGCAATACAGCGTATCCTAATCCGGTGTCCATCGGGATTATAGACTCTTGTCAATCCAGACTACAATTATAATCAGCATTCTCTTTTTCCAAATACTAGGTTTTATCAGCACAATACCTCTTCCAAGCGACGTTTGTATTCCTTCCCACTGTTGGGTCGACGAGGCTTGTTTGGAAATGGAATTGTAGGGAATTTATCCTTATAGTCCGGATCTTCCATATTCTCCGCATCTTTAAAAATAGGGTAGATCATTTCCATGCCATCGGAATTGAGTAGACCCACCGCATCAATCAGCGCCTGGAGACGAATGTTAGATGAAAACAGCGTCAAATTCAACAAAGCTCCCTCACATACAGCTACACCTCTCGCAGTAAACGCACCACGCGAAAATCCCAATAAAATGATCTCATCCCCAGGTTCATAGTTGGTAGCGACAAAACTGTACGCTTCCCTGATATTCTAGTGAGCCCGTCAGCCTGCAGTCAATTCGAGATGAGCGACTTCGGACGCACTTCGGCAACTCCGGTGCCAAATACCCCACCCGCTATCGAGTCCGAGACGCCGCCAGTACTTCCCACACCAGGATGGTAGTACATGACCTGGCTCTCCCCATCGAATCCTCTTTTCCGCAGCGAGCGGTACACGCGAGTCACGTTTGTTGGGATCGCTAGTGTGTCATTTGGGTCTTGTGCGGTCGGCCGGTTATATCCCTTATCGCTGTTGACCCAGGTGCCGTCTAGGCATAATATGATGCGCTTGCCCTCAAGAGGCATTCTGAACGCGTATCCGGGTAGTGACGGAAGAGAACAAGAGAAGGAAGTCAAGGTTTGTCCATGTGATTACTTTGTCTCTCTTTAAGCCACAGCTAGAGGTATACGAGCTCGTACCTCGCAACCCGTGGTGAGGGGAACCGAACGGTGGAGACACGCGTAAATGGACCAATCCAAAGTCTCCATCGCGTCAGGGTACCATTGGAAGAGAAGTACAAGTGAGCAGGAATTGAAGTAAGGTAAACAAATGAATATTAGGTACTAATACGCCTTCCTCTATCTGTTTCTAATATATAGGTCTCATTACCGCCAACAAATCTCTCTTTAACGTATCAACTCATCCACAAAGTCTTAAGCACGACTCATTTTCGCCCTGAGCTGCGCCCCGAAGAAATAGAAACTATACGGAATGAAGACCATTCCAACACCAATGAAAGCCAAGAGCCACGATGCCCATTGCAGTCCCAGGCGATCATACATCTGAGTGATGAACAACGGGAACGCAGCACCGCCACCAGATCGCAAGAAAACCTTCGCCGCCAACGCCGAAGCGGCATATTTCTGATACGAGTCGATGATGTAGGCGTTAACACCATAGTAGCATAGAACCATTCCAAAGCCGAAAGCCAGACCAGATGAAGCAGGTCCAACCCAGATGATATGCTTATATGAAGTAGCACCAAGGATGAAAAGTGCAATCGGAACAAAAGGAGCTCCAAACATAGCAGCCTTCAGCCGATCCTCGGGAGTTGGTGCGCGTTGCGCACAGATGCGCTTGAAATCCTTTTCGAGGATGGGAGTAATGCACAGGGCAAAACCGGCACCGATCAAGATCGGAATGAACATCAAACCAATCTGGCCATCGTTGTAGCCATAGAGCTTACCAAAGATGACCGGGTACGCGAAGAAGAACGCGTACAACATGGAGTAGATCAGCATGACATAAATGCACATGAGATCAAGGACCGGTTCGGTCATGATCATGGTGATAGGGCGAATCAAGTTTATCCGGATGATATCCTTGAGAGAGGGTTTGGCCTTTTCCTGCTCGGTGATGATGTTCGGGTTTCCAGTTTCCTTGCGAAGCTTCGCGGCGCGCTTTTTGAGGATCAAGGGAGCGTATGTCTCGGGGACGAGGCCGATAAGGATCATGAGAACACCTGCGAAGGCCATGTTTGTCCAGAAGAATAGGTCCAGTCGGCCGGTGCCGACATTGATCCAACCAGCTACAATTGGTCCGAGGACGGGACCACAATAGGGAGCAGCGGCGAAATAGGCGATGGCCATGCCGCGCTCTTCGAGATTCCAAATATCTGCAATGGTTCCACCGGCGAGAGATAGTCCGGAACTGGAAAAGACTCCAGACAAGAATCGGCATGCTAGTAGCCCGCCGATATTTGGCGATAGGGCACAAGGGATCTGGAAGATGGTGTAGAGTGCGAAGGAGATGATGTATACGGGTCGGCGACCAATAATCTCGGAGAGTGGAGACCAGAGTAGAGGTCCCACGGCAAATCCACAGACCATGATTGAGCAGGTTAAGATGGCAACCTCCAAGGAGACATTATATTTGACCTCGATGAGACCCAGGCCGCCAGTGACGACCGCTGAACCGTAGGCTACGCATACCACGACAGCCGAGGCGACAAGGGTGATATACCAGCGGTATACACGAGACCAGTTGTGTGGATTCTCGGGATCGTCGATTGTGAAGGTGACGTAGTCGACAGGCTCTTTTGGTCCCTTTTCAACATCCAGTGTTGCTGAAGAAGGGCGGGATCGTAATTGTTGCAAGGCTGTTTCTGGAACTAAACCGGTCCTCGTTTCGACGACATATTCCTCGGGAAATTCAGGATTATCTTGACTCTGGACATCGATATAGTTGTAGTCCACTGGTGGTGGAGTTTCTGAAAGGCCGGCATCGTGAAGGGTTTCTCGAGTCTCGACCCTTGACATGGATAGAGGCTCTGGCTCGGGGTTCTGATTGGGGTGAGAAGGTATTGAATTAGGCATGCTGTAGGCGTGTGATGATCTCAAGATTCGTATCTATTTGGATGGTGGTACAGATCGATGGGAGGGGAGTACCAATATACTTATAGCCCTCTAGATTTAGCTTCCCATCCTTGAAGGAGGGTACAGATATAAATACTTTCAGACCGACCGATCTCCGAAATATTTCCTGTGATATCAGGCTTTTTTTGATCAAGCGGGATCTGCTTTGGAAAGCTAGTATTTAGGAGCCTGCCCTATAGCGATCAATGTCCGTGATTTCGCGTATAGTTCGGCGAATCCAGACCCGTGGCACAGGGCGAAAATCGGCCAAGGCTCGGTGCCGAGGTATTGCCGAAGTGTCATTGGCCGTTCTCGGTATGCCGGCACTGATCATACAGCTCAAAACGGGTGGATTTGACGCGGAACTGACTTATTAGAATTGAGTTAAGGGATTTGAAGTTTCGAGAGGGTCCAATTATTTCTCGAGAGTGTCCGAGAGACTTTATCATGCGTGATTTATTGCGACCTGCTTCTGATTCGGTTCAATCATGACTCATTCAGGGAGCGAAAGGCAAATAAATAGAAAGCTTGGGCTTCTAGTAAGTCGGACAAATATGCATTTAAAATATTTCATGTTTTCTATAGACAAGAATAGTTGACCATGTTTAATGTATCACAGTTGAATCTGGAATACGAGGCGAATTGCGTGTGTCTGACGCTCTGAGTGCTCTGGCGGCACTCACGCATACTCCTCAAACTAATACGCGACGGGGAAGGCGAAAATTAAGATCACCGAGTGATAAAGTAATAGTGACGGAGAAACACAAGCAACAATGACGACACGACGATGTCGTAGCTGATATGTAGTATAAAGATGGACTTTGATGGACACAATGCTGATTGGTGGGCGAAAGTGGACAAGGGTGAAAAGTGGGGCAAGAGTATCAACGAGCCGCGTCGTGGCACAATGTGAAAGGGTGAGATCTTGGGACTTTCGAAAATTATTTCCACAGAAACAAAAGAATCTTTGGATCACAGCGATCTCATGCAACTACTTGCTACGAGGGGTACACGGATCAGAGTAAACTCTGTATTTCTAAGGGAGCAGAGGAAACCGGCTCTCACAAAGAGATCATCTACCTAGATCGCTGACAAGATGGGCCACATTTCCCACGGGTGTGTCACCCACCCAAAATTCCAGCGGCTCTTCTGCAGATCTCACTCCACATTCAATTCTCCATTGGTATCTCTTACTATTGAAAATTTTCTTGATCAGGGTGCCGCCACTTCGGGCCGCTATCGGCTTCCCTATGGATGAGGCTGAGCCGTAGTGGACTGACTCTACGGAGTCGAAGAATGACGGTTCCGTCTGACAAGTCATCGGACGAGCTTCCTTTTTGGGCATTCTGTTGATGTCGCCAAGGTTTCGTCTTTCATATCGATTGTTAGAATTTCTAAAAAACGTAACAAATATCGCGACACGCGTTCACGTATACATGGCAGTTCAAGATCTCGGCAAACATGGGAAACTGTAGTGGGTCATAATACAATGGATCGAATACCCACCGACTCCTCTGAGACCCACTAATTCGTTTTCGAGATCAATGGAGCTTCCAAGGCACCTTATTTTGATACGTGCGGTGCTTAATTGATAGGTCTCATAGGGGGCTGTCGCAAGCATGCGTGTTCAGTCATATGACAATGTAGTTGATTAGATTTGGCAAACACGACTTGGCAGGCTTCCATAGAGGTTGAAGATGAATTTCATACTGGAGAACGAAGTCATCGCTTCCGGCCCCACCCCTCGGGGCCGCCAGAGACTCAGGGGGGAGATGATATCCAGGAATTTGTAAATTTCCAGGTTTGTCTTACCAGATCTGATTATTTATTACATGAAATTTATGCATGCACCTCCTTGCTCGAGACGAGACTAGTAATATGTTGCCTTCGAGCGCAGCAAGGCATCTATAGCCTGCTCCACTGTAATAACATCAAGTGGCATCTTTGGAAGAATTTCCTGCAAAATTGCATCGTTGATTATTGCCGCGTCACTTCCCGTCTCAATTGTGTTGTTCGCAATGACATATCTAATCTCCATTCAGCGCTGTCTACTTAGATAGGCTGTCAACCAAGCCACCAAGACTCACACATTAAAATGAAGATCGAAGAGGCGTTGAGCCGTTATGAGCATCACACCTGAAGTTCGAACGCCCGACTATTTAGATTTTTGTTGTTACGTTTCATGGATATGATCACTGGTTGCTGCAGCTCTGGAATGGGTACAGGAATGCCTACCAGAATAACGGTGTCAATCTTTTGATTGCGCAGGATTTGAACCAACGTGTTACCCGTCCCCGCATAGTACCGTATTTTCTGCAAAACAACGTCGTAATCGGGCAGTGGCTTGAATGCAGGGTAGAGTTGTGTTTCCACATCAGACTCTGTTATGTTCCCGAGACCAGCAAGGGCGCTGTAAAAGGGTGAAGATGTAGAGATCTCGGGCATGAGGCTGTTAGAGGCATATACACGACTGAAGATGCTGATCGGAGGAGGAGACTGCTTGTGAACTCTATATATCTGTTACTTATGGGCAAATACTGACGAGCGAGACTTGTGACAGCAACTTACGCGTCAATCCATTTAGCAGTGTTCTTAATAAATGCTTGCCTCTTTGACGTTGTGTTTATACTTCCCACGACCGCATTAATCAGATCCAGATTCAGTACGGCATAGTGAGATCCAAAGCTTAGTGAAGAATTGGCAACGGTTGACGGTGTTGAATCTGAGTACCCGATGGCGGTGGAATCTACAAAGCAGGGCGCTAGGGCAAAAATTACCCACGAATAAGACCTCATTGTGACCTGTCACTTCTAATACCAAGGTTGCAAGGTTGCAAGGTGGACTCTAACGTGCTCGGAGGATGTATGGCTTTATATATATCCGCTCAGAACTTGTTCAATACACCGTTCATGCACGACCACGTAGGGATCAATGATGATTGGCACGCCGATGGTCAGCGACAGAACCGAGGCTAAGAATAGCTTGCTGGATTGGGTTAGTATCATTCCTCGGTGATTAAGGCCATAATTATCGCGAATAATTGAGTAGTCGAAGGGAAGCTTCGACGCGCTGTGAATGGCCAATAATAAGAGACAAACGGGAGTGAAAGGGGTGTGGGCTTTGGCATCATCGAGATAGGGGCGCCACGATCAATAATCAACGCAAATAGTTCCTTGAATATTCTAAAAGTAGCCTGAAAAAGGCTGAAAGGTACATGGAATGAAAGAAAGAAACTAGAGTTTAGGACAGAGAACAGAGATTGGAACAATCCGATCGGTCCATCGAACTATAGCTTATGATGCAACGTAGATACCAATGGACCCAGATACTTAAACGATTCCAAACAATCTACGATTCTTAATTTCGATCTAGGTACATTGAATGGTCAATGATGACCCGCTCCACGGGGCAATCGGCAAAACGCCTAATAGGTTTGTCTGGTCAAATCAGCGGAACAAGAAAATTCGGGTAAAATGGCTACGCACCTCGAATGTGGTTCCTCCCCGCGCTTCTCCAGAGTCGCGGTCGCGCCCTTGGCACCATCCCTGTTCCGACGCGCCACCACTCCATACTGGGGCTGGGACCCATAGGATTAGCTTTTGCATCGTGCTGCTTTTATTGGGCGCACTGACATCCCACAATTACGCGATGGGGTACACTACTGCGTGGAAGCGGCTTTCCCCGCGGCAGCTAAACCTAGCTATCCACACCTTCTCGCTTATCTCGATCTTCTTCGAGGGCTATGACCAGGGTGTCATGGGTGGGGTCAATGCTTCGCCAACGTATATCACCACAGTAGGGATTGGGAAGCTTGATGGGACGATCACAAACACCACTCATGAAGGTGGGATTGTGAGTGTCTACTACCTGGGCGCAATCTTTGGTTGCTTCGCAGGCGGATGGCTTGCAGATCGCATTGGTCGTATCAATGGCCTGTTAGCCGGGTCTCTGTTTGCTCTAGTTGGTGGCGCACTGCAAGCTGCAGCTCAGAACTCCAATTTTATGATCTGTGCCCGAGTGGTGACAGGGATTGGCACAGGTGGTACGGTATCCCTGCTAGTGTGCACTAGTGAGACCCGTTCGGAGGTCTAGTGCTAACTCTTCATAGCCTTGACCGGTATCACCCCTGTCTTAATTTCGGAGATTTCGTCTGCCAACCACCGAGGCGGTTTCCTCGGTTATGTGTTTATTGCAAATTGTATGTGCATTGTGGTTACGACTGAGGCATTCCCGTATGGTGGATGGCTAATCCGCCTCTCAGATCTTGGAATATCTCTCGCATACTGGATCTCGTTTGGACTTGCCTTTGTGAACAACGGGTATTCGGACGTGCGATGGCGGTTTCTGCTTGCCTTCCAATGCCTCCCGGCTCTTGTTCTAGCCTTGTTCATCAAAATGTTGCCTGATAGCCCCCGCTATTTAGCCTCGGTGGGTCGGTCGGAAGAAGCACGCGAGCTTTTGGTTCGTATTCGCCAGGGCACAGCCCCTGAACAAATTGAACGGGAATACCTGGAGATTGTTACCACGGCTCGGCATAAACAACCTAGTTCTCCCGTTCAGTTTGCAAAAATCCTTTTAGGGAAGGGTGGAAGGCCAGGTACAAATTTAAGCCGACGAGCATGGCTATGTGTCTGGCTTCAAATCATGGCCTCGTGGACCGGAATTACGGTAAGGAAGATGCACAAACAGTTTTTTCCGGTGCTAAGCTATTTAATCTCAGGCGGTCACTGCGTATTCTCCCGTTTTGCTGAAGCAGGCCGGTTACAGTGACATCAAGCAAGATGGTCTTGCCGGAGGCATCAACACAATCGGCATCATCGGTACTATCATCAGCGCTCAGATTATCGACCGGTTGGGCCGGCGAGCTTGTTTAATGGGTGGAGCTCTAATGCTGTTTGCCGTTAATTTAATTGTATGTATTCCCAATACGTATCACCAATATGGCAGGATCCCCAGAGACTAATTACTTAGGCTGGTGCTATTTTCGAGGGTTCGCGTCATCATCCTGAAAAAGCGACCCAGTATGCCCCAGGCGCAGTGACAATGCTTTTTCTATTCAATCTGGGGTAAGTCGCCAAGTCGCCATCACACCTTTTTGAGTACATGACTGACCAGTTTGTGTTAGTTATGCTGCTACCTGGGGTACTGTGGCCTTCCTGATTCCAACCGAGATTTTTCCTAGTGAGCTACGAGCTCAGGGCAATGGCTTTGGAATTACAGGTTGGGCCATTGGCGTGGGCATGACCACCCTTGTCAACCCAATCATGTTCGGCACTCTGACAGTAGGTTTACTCACACTCGTCCACTCCCTAATAATGCTAAGGCTTCCCTTTAGAGTCGGACGTACTTCCTTTTTGCGGGCCTAAATTTACTTTGGGTCCCTATTGTGTACCTTTGTAAGTCTTTTTCATGGCTACTCTCAATCAGTTAAACTGACGCGCTACAAAAGTCTACCCCGAAACCCGCAATCGCTCGCTAGAATCCATTGAAGCGCTTTTCTCAACTTCCAGCCCATTTCATTGGAAGATGGAACAGGCCTACAAAATCCACGGCGATATCCTTGCGGAGCATGGGGTCGCCGGGAGCGAAACCTACGATACAGACAGGACTGAAGTGACCTCCGATAAACCACTAGACCTTCCACCCGTCTAAGGCAGTTAGAAGATATTATTTCGTGCATATATGGCATTTATTAGATCGTCTGATCTCGGGATTCTTCACCTGAGTCCCACATGAGTATGTATTCCCTTTATTTTTCTTCGGCACTCATCTATGCAGAGCATGTTTCATTAGAGTCATTACATAATATTAGAATACCCCTTGATGTCTGGACATACATATTATGCGATCTGTCTAGCCTCCTTAAGACGCAAACTGTCGTTCAATTAGAGGATGTTTCTAGGTAAGGGCCTCCGTCATCGGAATCCAGAAAATGTAAACACGCCGACGGTGATTTGTCGGGGCCAGAAAGTCCATGACATGCTGATGAGTCAGCATACCCCAAGCAGAGTTGGAGGCTCGACTTCTTTTCCAATAATTGATGAATTCCAGGAAAATTGAAAGGGAACCGGTTAAACTCCTGATAATTAAGTGACCTTTTTCCCTTTCACCATCTCAGTCTTTTTTACAACCGACCACGCGACCCACAATCTTCAGCTTAGACTTTACCGAGATCCGTCCGGAGGCCCGATCTCGAATCCCCCGGCTTGATTGACAAGACACAGTACACACGGTTAAACGCCAAGGATCCCACATGAATGTCGCAGAAACCGCGAAAACTTCAGCGTGTCTCTAAGGCCTGTAAGTGACCCCCACGCTACCAAGCGCAAGTTCTCCACTTCGGTTGGCGGGACCCGGGTTTGAGGTATCGGAGAAAACTAACAGGGAATGTGCAGGCGACTTCTGCAATAGGCGCAGCATCAAATGCGGCAGTAGCGAAGATCCACTGGGTCGATGCCAGAATTGTGTGGATTTTGATGTCCCTTGCACGTTTGATCGCCCGGCTAAACGCCGTGGCGTTAAAGCTGGTACGAGGGTGAGTTCCCGCGATACTCCAATCGCAAGGCCGGTTGCCGACCAACCAGCTCCAATGGGTCGCGGGAACCTACTGGAGAGGACGTCTGGCTCGTCTGGCTCTAGGGGCTCGATGCATGCTGAATCTGTATCACGCCCATCATTGACAGGAGACCCATGGTCTTCTTTTAACACTGGATGGTCGACAGCTGAAGGTTACGATGATGATGGCGCACTGCGCAATTCTTGGAAGGCATTTGCCATTTCTTGTGACCAACAGATTCGCAATCTCGTGCAAGTGTACTTCGAGATTGTTTACCCAATGTAGGTCTAGACTTTTGACCCCTTCACCGTTGACTTTTGACTAATCACTTTGGCTTCAGATTTCCATTGTTTCATAAACAATCATTTATAGAAAGTATAAACAACCAGGAGCATCTTCTGAGTCAGAGTCTTTTTGCCTCAACAATGGCAGTCTGCTCATTGGTGTCGGGACGCGCTCGCGATGGAGCATTGTACACCAACCGATGGCATCGGGAAGAGCTGTCAGAACCGCCTTCAGAGGCATTCTATGCTGCAGCAAAAGACTCACTTCCTCGGGACCTTGCAGCCGCAAAGGGTTTCAATTATATGCGTGCTTGTGCAATACTTGCGATCGCTAGCATTCAAAACGGCCAAATTAAAAACATGCAGAAATACTCCGGAATGTATCATACATTAACGACAATGGAGGGATTTCATGATGAGAAGCTCTGGCCGAAAGACATCAGTACCATCGAGATTGAAGAACGACGAAGATTGGTACGTATTGAGGAACCTTGAAATCCCTAATAGCTCTTAACTAACAGGAACAGTTCTGGTCTATATATACCCTGGATATTTACTCCACGATTGTATGGGGAGGCGTGATTCGATACCGGGAAGCCCATTCTCTCGTTCGATACCCTAGTGAGGTAGACGACGAATTCATTACCCACCACGGCTACGGCATACACCCCGCATCCCAAGAAGCCTCCCTCAGGCAGGGCCAGGTCCCTATTGTCTCACGGCAACCCGTATCATGGATGCATGGATGGAATTTCACGACTGATCTCTATCGCATTCTTGAACACGTCGTTGACGGCACCCGACGCAAGATGTCCTCCGCTAATGGAACCCAAGAGGTGTGGTCTCTTTTCAGCCCGGCATCCATGTCGGAACCAACGGTCATGGAGCGGGTGCTTTCTATGTATGCTGCATTACCCGCACAATTTCGAGAAACGCCGCCTACCACCGGCGATGAGAGTCACGACCTCTTCGGTTTTCAATCTGCAAACATCCAGGCGACTTTGCAGCTTCTCCGAATGGTCCTTCTGTCGTCTGAGGAGGTTGGGGTAGATAGGAAGTGTGATGTTGCTGGTGAGCTGCTGAGTGTGTTTTCGAAGGTGCCAGTGGAGTATTTGAGGGCCATCAGCTCTCCTTTGGTATGCTCAGTCTCTTTAGTGCATCACGCTCCAATACTAATGAATTCTCAGCTCCATCACTTGGGAGGAATTGGATACATTCTCGGTTCAGTCATGGAAGGCAGTCTATCAGACGTCTCATACCAACGCGTCCGTACCTTACTGTGAGTCATCAGTCCCTTTAGCAGACACTGTGCAGCACTAATTCTCCTTGAAGCCTCGACATGGCCAGCCTGCTCCACCGCCTCGAAGTTGGTCTCCACCGAGCAGCCGGCGCCAGCGAACGTCTCCGGTCTCAGGTCGATAGGATAGATGGCTACATGCGCACTTCACGATTAGTCAATCCCTCGGCCATTCCCCCACTAATGAATGCGCCAAATGGTACTTCTATCCCGGTCGACGTAAAGCCCGTGCCTTCCCCAGTGCAGTATACAGCTGCAGCACAACCGATGGGTACGACAGGACCGGTGGAAAAACAGATGATGCAATTCCAATTGCCACCGGAACTGCTGGCAGGCTGGCCGTGGCCATTGGATAATTCTCATTCTGAGGGCTTTTTGCCATTGGCCTTTGAATGATGTCTGCAACTAATAGTCAAGTAAGGAAATTAATGTATCTAATATGTGATTTAAATCATCTTAAATAATGCCAATCATCCGTGAATGTACCTATTATCAGGCTGATCTCTTGCAAGACATACAATCAAACTTCCTCAATTAAGACTTAGACTCTCAATCTCAGTGCTCCTAAAGATAGTGATGAAACCAAGCAACAGCCTGATTAAAAGCTTGCTCTTTGGCAAATTTCTGACGAGGCTTACAAAGATCACAACGAACAGCGAATCCATGTTCCACCTCAGAAAACAGGTTGATCTGATGAGGGACCTCCAAGTTGTCCAAGATCTCCTCGCTCTCATGGCGCTTGGCTGTAACGAAGACAAAATCCCGAACTACAAGAAATTATCAGCACCAGTGTCTCTTGCAAGAAGATTCTGTTCTATCAGGAAATAAACACTCACCAGCAGCCGCAATACTCAACGGCCCTTGAATACCTCTCAACTCCTCCCCCTCCAACATAGTCGGGTGCGCAATATACCCAACATCTAACTGCCCAGGCCTAAGATACCGACAAACATATTTCCCACCAAAACAGTATCCCACACCTCCAATTCGCTGGCATCCCAGTTTCTCACGCATCTCTTTGAGCACCGTGTTGATAATAGGCTCTGTCTGGAGGGGTGAGTGGTTTTTTACCCAATCCATGATGTTGAACCCCTCTGGTCGGTTGAGGGGTACCGAGTCTTCGTTGAACATGTCTGGCATGACGACGAAGTAGCCCTTTGCGGCGAACTCGTCGGCGATGAGCTGGGCGTTGATGAACTTGTGGCCGATTACGTCTGTAATTATGAGAATGGCTTTTTTGGTGGATTTGTCTGGTGGATAGACGATGTAGGTTGAAACTGTTTCTTAGTTAGTTTGGTATCTTGATGTGGCATTTGTAGGGGCTTCTAGTGCTGAAGGTATGGCTTGGGGTTGGACGGACTATTGTGGATGTCTTTGAGTTCTCCTTTGGCTTCACCCTCATGTAGGGAGCCTGTAATGCAGCAGTGGGATAGCTGGTTTGGTGCCATTGCAATCTTTGAAGATGATGGTATAAAGGGTCGGCTTATACGTAGTGAGACGGAAGGTATGAAAGAAGTTCCCGATATTCGAGTGTATCCTTGTTGTGATTCAGATGAACTGTTGGAAATATACAATTAGAGGACCGACACCGATCTCATTTATATATCCATTATTTCGGCTGTAAAGCCCCTGGAGATAGGACTGTCTTGCCTCTAACTCCAGTATGCCCGTAAATCCCGCCAAAATAATCGAACCCCAAGATCATCACAAGTGTAATCGTAGGTGTACCCATGCTCTACTGGGCGGCTCGCAAAATACGCAATCTGATTGGGTGCGGGATTACGGTTAGGGGGAAACCGAGTGGGTCTCGATTTTCTCTTGCGGAAAAGTTGTCGGGACCATCTCCAGCTATCATCCCCATCCTCGCTATCCCATCCCCAAATCCTTCCAACAATGTCGACCATGTCGACCCGCTCCGCCTGGCGCGCTCTGCACTACAGCGCTAAGCGCCGTGCCTTCCAGCCCGCAACCCCCTACCGCTGCTTCTCCTGCACCCGCGCCGCCCAGGATCAAAGCAAGCAGGACCAAGAGCGCATGACACACTTCGGCTTCACCAATGTGCCCGAGTCATCCAAGGAGTCGCGAGGTAAGCCTTCCTTAAGCCCATTTGAACGAGAACAACACATTCTTTCGCCCATTGGGAGCCATAACAGAAGCTAACCAATCTCCCCGGAACAGTCGGCGCAGTCTTCAGCTCCGTCGCCTCCTCCTACGACACAATGAACGACCTGATGTCCCTGGGAATCCACCGCATCTGGAAGGACCATTTTGTCCGATCCCTAAACCCCGGATCTCCCCTCAGCGCCCGCATTAATAACCCCACCCAAAAGGGCTGGAACATCCTGGACATCGCCGGCGGGACCGGCGATATTGCTTTCCGCATGCTCGATCACGCCACGAACGTCAACCACGATATCGAGACCCGCGTGACGATCAGCGATATCAACGCCGATATGCTGGCCGAAGGTCGCAAGCGGTCTATCGATACACCCTACTACAACACACCCCGGTTGTCGTTCATCGAGGCAAACGCCCAGTCCATGCCGCATATCCCGTCCAATTCGATTGATCTGTACACTGTCGTCTTTGGAATCCGTAACTTCACGGATAAGCAAGCTGCACTGAACGAGGCGTACCGTGTGCTTAAGCCTGGTGGTGTGTTTGCTTGCATGGAGTTCAGCAAGGTTGATAACCCTGTCTTTGATGCGGTTTACAAGCGCTGGAACTTCAGTGCTATCCCACTCATTGGACAGCTTGTTGCTGGCGATCGGGATAGCTACCAGTACCTTGTTGAGAGTATCGAGCAGTTCCCTAGTCAGGAGGAGTTCAAGGGTATGATTCAAAAGGCTGGATTTATGATTCCTGGACGTGGCTATGAGAATTTGACTGGTGGTATTGCGGCTATCCACAAGGGCATCAAGCCTATCAAGGCTTGAGTGGGGCCATATCCGTGGATTGTGTGTATTATACATCTTGCATTGTTGTCTTTTGTATCTTTGTATTATCATAAATGGCTACAACTCTTTTAATTGTGAACCTTTGGGAAGAGTAGAAAAGCCCGCTGAGGTTTGGGGCGCGATTATGCATTTTCACCAGGTAACCTGCTATCTGGGTAACCTCTGAGTAGGTATATTCAGAAAGCGGAAGACAAACGCAACATGGTCAAAAGTTTGCAGACGATGAGATGGGAAATCCAGTAGACATGCTAGAAAAATATATGCAGCAAAAAAAGGTAAGTTGTATGATCCCATATTATTCACCCCAAAGATCCTCTGCTTCTACCACCCCTACACAGCTGCTAGGATTGGTGATATCTTTCATCACAGCAATAACAGCTATAGGGGTTGATCCACCTCGGGATGTGGAGACCAACCGCCGCAGCTCAGCTAGCGGGGTTGATTCTGGCACTAGACACCATTCGGCCCGGGCCACGGTGAGTGGCTGTTCGGGGTCTTTAGCGATAGCCTCAGACACGCACAGGTCCACGTCAGTCTGCCGGGACAGAAGAGACCGAATCATGCGAGGCGGAGCGATCTCAGTTGGCGAAAGGAATACCCATGATTTCGCATTAGGGTGCTGAATGGCCGCTAAAAGGATATCAAGTAATCGAATGTCGCCGGGGCCTTTTGCTGTGGCCGATGCCACGGTGGGGATTTGATTAAGAGGAACGAGTATATTTGAAGGGATTAGGCCATGCTCTGGTGGGGGTTGGAGTGTAAAGGGCGGAATGGATGCGCTGCTATTCAGGTCCTCCCATTGTAAAGATATAGATGAGGATGGGGAATCGAACGTTGTCGTTGACACAGCACTGGATGGAGTCGTCCATGGGGTCTCCGCCATAGCTGCGGCTGCAGTTGCGGCTCCAATTGCACCTCCAGGATGATGGCTTCGAAACACATCTGCAGGTCCCTTGCCTGGCGCAGTGTGTAGCTTTCGTGCCGTCGCAATGGCCAAAGCATCTCCCAGACACAAGGCCACGGTCGTAGATGATGTAGGAGCGCTAACGCCCAGAGATGCTTCTTCGCCCTCATGAATTGGAGCCGGTAGAAGAATTCCCGAGCCCAAAGGCCCATGCAAAGATAGAAGTGGACATGCCAATGGGTCTGTATGCGAGGTCAAAGCGATAATAGGGACCGAAGCGGGGATATGCGGGAGCATAGATAGTAGCTCAGGTGAGCGACCAGAGAACGATATGAGAAGCAATGTATCATTCTAAATCAAAGAGCAAACCAACCAATCAGTAAGAAAATCTAAATTTCCCCGATAATCAATCAGGCTGCATCTCGAGGAATACGATGCAGAACCACGCGGCAGGCAATATATGGCTTACCGGCCGGACCAATCCCAGATCACCATGCAAGGCTTCGGTCGGATGTAAGAATGCAGAGTATATACCAAGGCTGTTCATAGTTGCCTCGATCTTGCGCCCGATTTTGCCGCTTTTGCCCACCCCGCAAATCACCAATTTGCCGCCATCGCGTACACTGCGCGCAATTTGATCCACCGCACGCGCAAGTTCTTGCTGCGCTCGAGAATCTGTCTGATACAGTCGTTCAAGATGCTCAAGCGCAGCGCGCTCAGTGGACATGACATGAATTGCGGTTACAATGGAGGAAACATCTTTAGCGACTGTTGGTGGGGGCCCTGAGACGTCGGGAGGAGTGAGTGGCCAAGGCGGCGTGGGCATGGCGTGGTGAGGGGCCATGGAAGGCGAGGAGATTGGAATGGAGTCATAAAGCATGGGGAGGAGTGAAAGGAATATAAGCTAGTGCTCCTCCTAGGAGGCCTGGGACAAGGCCGGGAAAATGTGGAGGGCCAAGATCAAAAGCGTCGATAACGGAAGATAACAGGCGGGATGAAAGAGATCGGTCGATCGGACTTAGCTGATCCAAGGATCTCGCTCCTCTTTTACTTCATACACTCCAAGGTTCTAGGTAACACATTGCAATTTTCTAATTAAGTTCGTTAAGCATGCATGATGACCTGCATACCTTACTTCCGAGATGGTGTCATCTAATGTGATGATGGTGCATAAGCTGGTCGATCCATTTCCCGATGCAGTAATTCCGACAAACTCCGGGGTTATAATGTGCTATAATTCGTGCTGTGCTGTAATATTTGCGTAGAGAATCAGTTTTAATTCTTGCGAGATCCTCTTTGCTAAGTCTAGAGCTAGAGGTCTATGATAACTTTCATATATACAGACCGGATCAGAAAATGCAGCGCTATTATGTACAAACGCCTGATTCTGGTCCATCGAAGCCAATGAAGAACAAGGCTGCACTGGATTCAGACTGGACACAGATAAAGCATAGTCAAAAAAACAAAAAATCCAACCGGCTCGGTACAAGCCTTCTTAACGCCAAATAACCATTAAATCGTCTCACTCTCGTACAGCGCCGGAGGGTACTTGGACAGACCAAGCTGATACGGGCCCGGGTAGGATGGGCGAACCAAGACTACTGGGGAAAACCCATACCCTGCCAGGTGATTCAGATCGAATTTAAACTCCATATTCAAGGTAGAGACAGCACAAAAGGGGGTATCGTATCAGGGTCGTAGTAGTTTGTCGTCATGGCCTCGCGTCTTTAGGGGTTGCCTGAAGCCACATCAACCTGACTTGCCAGCTTCCTGTCTTTCCTTGCCCTTTTCGTTGGCGGTACCATCATCTTCATAGAGGTGATGTTGCTCAATATAATGGATGACAGGGACAGGGATAAGATATCGGACACTCATCTCACGTCGCAAGAAGAGACGGATCTTGGTGCTACTGACATCGTTTTGGATAAGCTGTTGAATGACGTAGATGTTGTCCTTCCAAGGCTGTAAGCTGGCCAGAGCCTCGTCAATATCGGTGCCACTGCGTTCCACAATGAAAGACTTTGAAGAATATTAGTAACCTTTCTGATGGCAGACTTTCGGATGTGACTTACGCCATATTTGCCAAGAATATGATCTAAATCCTTTTCACTCCAGACGCCCGGGGTGGACATTGTGTGAATCAGATCGGCACCTGCCAACAGGGCAATGCGAACGGGCTTGCGGGTTCCATCAGCAGCTTCAACACCGCCGCGAACAGTGTTGATCTCATGGTCAAAATGATCCAGGACGACGGCGGTCGGCTGGTACTCTTTCTGAGTTGGCTCCCACGTATCCACCATCAGCCAGTCGGAGGTTTGATCCACCGCTAGTTGACACATTGCTACTCTATTATCCCCCACATTAGCATTCTCCTGATCTGTGAGGCGAGGCAAGAAATAATTACCGATCTTCTGCGCTGGCGAGACCCGCCTTGCGATAAGAGTCTGACACGGGCGATAGATAGCCACCAAGGAGTTCGAATTCGGTACTGAATTTGACGTAGTCGGCAGCCATCTCAAACATTCGCAAGTGGAGGTAGGTGATCGGGGAGAATGAGCCACAAGCGACCAGCAAAAGCGGCGTCTTCTCCGGGTCGGTCATCTTGCGCTTGAGGCGCAGATCCGGAAACATGTAGTCGTCCATTGGGGCCGGAGGGATGTGGGCTGGAACCTGATGAACATCGTCACTCTGGCCTCCAACCATTTCGGTGGCCATCGCTGGATGAAAATGTGGTTGATATGGTTGATATATGGGGTAGTAGCGAGTCGTTGATCCGAGGTAGTTGGAGGGGAAAGAGGGGGGCGTTATGAGTTCGGGGAAAGTGGGGGAACGAAGTTTTTAACTACGTTTCCGTGAACTCTGGAAAGAAACGCGGGGGCGAACGGGAGGCGGAAAACACTGGGCCGCGGAATGTAAAGAAAGAAAATCATCCTGAACATCGTAGTCTGAATAGGTAACCACGTTTGATTATTAAGGTCTCGGTGAGTCAATCTATCGGTCTGTCTCCGGTCGCGATCCGCCGGCCCGCAATAGTACGAGCTAACGGGGAGAGGCTATTGTCATAGTCTTACGTGTAAGATATACTTTGTGTGGTCAACTCCACAATGTTGCCTTTCACAAGGTGATCCTGAGAATCGATCAAAGCAATATATGTATATATTACCTGAGTTCATAGTCAATGACATTACTACGTATGATTTGCCTTTTTTACGTACGCCTTCTCTAGCCAACTTACAGTGGCGTTCTATGAGTTTGAATTGTGCCCCACTCATTCGATAACATTCTGCCATATTGTCTGCTGTTCCAAACCTATAGCTAATTCAACTCAGTAGGTACTATGTCGTATTACACCATCCATCGATATCGGTAATGTTCTGAATTATACCATGGAAATCTCAGCAATGAATTTATATAAGCATATAAAGCCTGTGTTGTACAGTATGTTCTACTTATCGTGCTACTGAAATAAATTGCGTGCTGTGTATTGGCAATTATAAGCTAGATATATAAGGCGGTATATAGAGCGGTCTAGAGGTAGTTTCAAACTAATGAAACGTCACTGTATGCCTCTTGGAAAGAACAAGAGCCACAATTATAGAACATCCGGACTGATTAGAGATGGATAGATGAAATAGGTGCATGGAGATAATAGGTCTTAAGCCCGTGCTTCAGACGGAATACCAATGTTGCAAGGTTGTGGCTACCACAAGTTGTCTTATCTCATCACGAATGTTGCACTTCCGCCGCCTGACGCTCTCCGAATCCAATCGTCACAAACCACGAACTTGCCTCCTCTTTTCCTTCTTCCCCCCCAACCCCCTAAACTTCACCCCATCTTCTTTTTCATCAAAATTCGTCTTTCTATTGGGTATATTCCAACTTTCGTTTTAGTTATCTGCTGGTTCGTCCTTATAGCCCCAACGCATCTACCGCCGGTCCCCAAGTTCCCCCCCCATATCGCCCATTCACCCGCTTCTCAGCCAACTCGCAAAAGGTGTGCGGATGGCGGGTTGAAACGGTGTCAACGTCTATCTACACTAGCCCGACCCCTGACCCGGTAACTTATGGCCAGGCAAAGGCCCGCCAACCGTCAGGACCCTCTCGAGGATTATTCCGTCTCCCCCGCAGGAGCTGCCACCTCTTCTGCCCTGAGGTACTTCCCTCCCAATTTCCTTCGCCTTGACCTCTTCTTCCACCGCCCCCAATTGTGCTCGTCGTGATTCTGCCTATGCAATCCTCAGGCACCCTTCAAAGGGAAGAGAAACGGTTGCATCCTTCATCTTGATTACTTCGTCTTCAATCCGTACACCCCAGAATCACGTCCCCCAACGTCATTCGGGCTGCGGGGAATCTTCATATCTAAACACCAAGCCCTCACTCTTTCATCCTCTATTATCCCTCAGAATCCTGCTACACGTCCTTTTTTCCCCGCTATCACAGTGCTTTTTTCTCTCTTCCTCTCCTTTGCGTTCCTTCTTAATTCCATAGTCACGTCAAACAAACAAGTTTCTCATCATGTCTTCCAGAATCACTCGATCAGCTGCTAGGCTTGCTACAGACCCTCCTTCCACTGACTCCGGTCCGTCAAATCCCACTGCTGGCCCGGCTTCTCGGAAACGCAAAGCACCGACACGTCGAGATCCACAGCAAGACGCACCAAACCCATCTACGGCTCCTTCGCCCCCACGACGATCGAAGCGACAGCGAACTGCAGCACCTCAGCCACCTTCTGCTGCCCCTGCTGCCCCTGCTTCCCGTCGAGGCGCCCGTCGCTCAGTCATGTCACAACCCGGGTGAGTAGATTTAACAGATCACATACCCACAAAACTAATTCCCTTTGCCGTTATTAGACCATCCTCCCGTCCATCCGAGGATTCAAAATCCACCACTCCACCGCCTCCCTCGAGGCGGAAGTCTGGCCGAAATGGTACGTTAGGATGTCGAGTTATACATGTATTCCCTTTGTTGACATAATTCCTTCATCTAGATCGACTTGCTAGCACACAGTCTCCACCGCCACGGCGGCAAAAGAAGCGTTCCGCGAAATCGAACCCCGATGTCGTAATGCGAGATGCAGAGGAGGATGTGGAAGAGCCAGATAACCGAGAGGAGCAGGAAGGGTCTCCTGCAGGCGATAGCAATGATGGAACCAACCCTTCAGCGTTTGACGATGAGGATTTGGATTCTTTCCATAGCAGCCTTTTTGGTGGCCGAGGTGCTATGGGCCTGCAAAGTACACTCCGTGCTCTCACCGGCATGATGTCCGGCATGTCCTCGCGGCTTCGAGATATGCTCTGTAATCTGAGACAGAAAGACAACCCCTCTGTGCAATTGATCGCCCTCCAAGAGCTGTCAGACCTCTTACTCGTCTCCAACGAAGACAATCTTTCCGGCCAGTTTTCTCCTGACCCATACGTGAAGGAGCTGGTCACCTTGATGCAGCCCAACCAGTTCGGCGAAGAGAACGCGGAAATCATGCTGCTTGCCTGCCGCTGCCTTGCCAACCTAATGGAGGCTCTTCGAGGGTCTGTGGCCAACGTGGTTTATGGAGGTGCTGTTCCAATCCTGTGCCAAAAGCTTTTGGACATTCAGTTTATCGATCTCGCCGAACAAGCTCTCAGCGTATGTCGTATCTTTCCGTTCATATCTTGTGCATTTTTACACCTACATTACGTGTTTGATACTGACGAACGCTTGACTAGACACTGGCCAAAATCTCAGTAGATTTCCCGGCTTCGATCGTGCGAGAGGGAGGCCTGACGGCATGCTTAACATACTTGGACTTCTTTCCTACAAGCACTCAGCGCACTGCCGTTACGACTGCCGCAAACTGTTGCCGCAACCTTCCCCATGACTCTTTCCCCGTCGTTAGGGATGTAATGCCGACTTTGTTGAATGTCCTATCCAGCAATGACCCCAAAGTGGTTGAACAAGGATGTCTCTGTGTCTCGCGCATCGTGGAAAGTTTCAAATATCGCCCTCACAACTTGGAGGAATTGATCGAGCCTGCCATGCTCAAGGCAGTTCTTCGTCTTTTGCTACCAGGTACTACCAACCTGATCGGTTCTCACATTCACACTCAATTCCTACGTGTGCTGGCAATTGTCTGCAAGGCCAGCCCTCGCTTGTCCATTGAGCTCCTGAAGATGGACGTTGTCGATACCCTTTACCAGATCTTAACCGGTGTATCTCCGCCGGAGGACGTCGAAAGCACGGCTGTCAAGATGGACAGCGTTCTCGTCATGCAAGCACTGATTCACCGACCTCGCGAGCAAGTGTTTGAGGCACTAAATGTCATTTGCGAGCTGCTACCAGGTGCTCCCAATCGCGAGGCATCTCGGGCTGATAATCTTCTCAGCTCGTACTTTGATAGCAGTATGTCTATCGGCTTGAAACCTACGAAGGTGAAAGAGAACCCCGCCGAGAGACGGGCCTTATTGGAAGACTGCAAACCCGAACTCAAGCGATTTGCAACAATCTTGTTTCCCACCTTGACCGACGCATACTCGAGTACAGTCAACCTCCACGTTCGCCAGAAAGTTCTCATTGCGCACTTGAAAATGCTTCATATTCTTGAGCCAAGCTTAATTGAAGATGCTCTGCGTACAGTCCCATATGCCTCATACCTGGCCTCTATTCTCTCACAAAAGGATCATCCATCTCTAGTCTCTTTGGCTCTTCGATGCGCTGAGCTGTTATTCCAACGCCTAGAACACGTCTACCAGCATCAATTTCACCGCGAGGGTGTTATCTCTGAAATTGACAAGCTAGCTGAGGGAAAACCCTCTATTGACGAAGAGAATCACCGGACAAGCAGTGGAAACAAGGGCCCGGCCGAATCATCTGATGTCGACATGGACACCGAGGATGCACCGGGCAGTAATAACAAGAACGAGGATTCGGACGAGGACCTGGATAATGAGGATGAGGATGATGGCGATGAAGATAACGATGATCTCTCGGAATCAGAGACCTCATCCATTTCTGGTCATCAATCCTTGGCGAAGCTGGATAATGCTTTGAATGACCTTGTTATTCGCGATGCTCAAGCTTTCCTTCAACTCTACGAATCGGGGCATGGGGAATCTGTGCGAAATGAAGCCCAGAAGATCCTCAATGATCTTCAATCCTTGGCGATCAAGATTCGCAAGTGTTATTCTCCGCAAGGGGACAAGAATGGACTTCCTCTTTTCAAAACCCTGGCTTCGTACTTTGACGGAGATGCGCTGGAGAGCATAACCAGTTCTGAACTCTTGAACTCGGGAATTATTGATGTTCTTCTCGAAGTTCTGACTGACTTTAAGGCCCCGTGTATTAAGTATGCACGGTCTGCCTTCTTGCAGGCCTTCATGGGCGCAACAATCTCGGAGAAGGCACAGAGCCAGAGCACCGCAACTACACCGTTCAGTGTCTTGATTCGGAAGCTCCAAGATTTGCTCAGCCGGACTGAGCATTTCGAGGTCCTTACCGTGAGCCATAATTCTCTAGAAAATACTCGCACCAATGCCACATACATGCTTGGAAAACAGCTTAGGTTGAAGCTTGTTGCCGAGGATGGAACTGACGTTCCTCGCCCTTACAAAAACCTCATGGTGTCGATTCACGCTATTGCTACGTTCAAGGCCCTGGATGATTTCCTTCAGCCGCGAATCGCTGTGTCAGATCGACCGCGGCAGTCTCGTACCCGGGATTCGATCCTCTCCCAGATTGCGCAGGCAGCACGCATGCGGGACCAACTCACCTCAGAAACAAGGACCCCATCAGCTGGCAACCGACAAACTCGCAACGCAGGAGCTCGAGGAAATACGACTGAGGACCCCGAAAGCAATAATACTCAGGCGGCCCAAGAAACTCGACGTCACCAGCCATTCCAACAGGAGGATGATGAGCAAGATGACGAACCCCTAGAGTGTGCCGATGAGAGACAGATCACCGATGACGAAGACGAAGACGCCGAGGATGCGGAGGAGGATGAAGAGCTCAATGCAATTGTCGATGACCTCGATGATGATCTAGAAGATGACAACGTGCATGATCCGACCGCCGTAAATATGGAGGTCGCCTCCTCCGGCAAGGTCACGGCTCGAAAGGAGGACGGTACTCGAGTGGGTACGCCGTCGCACTCTACCCCGTCATCTAAGCCTTCTTCGTCGACCCCGGGTCCTGCCCCTACTCCGCAAAGCTCACTGGCCACTGCTGGGCGTCCATTCTCATCCTACGCGGCAGCTATGGCTTCAATCCCTCAGGATTGGCACATTGAGTTCTGTGTCGATGGCAAACCAATCCCCAGCGATACTACCGTTTACCGTGCTGTTCATCACAATCGGGAGCATATCAACGAGGCCAAGGTCAAGAACGTCTGGTCTGCCGTTCATACTGTTACCTACAGGCGTGTTCCTGGTCCACCGCCTCCGGAGCCCTCCAGCCTTGCTGCTTCTGGACAAGAAGCTTCCTCCAGCGCTGATGGCCTGGAAATGCCTTCTTCTCTGAGCAAAGATGCTACGACAGCATCAATCCTGCGTCTTCTTCGTGTTCTGCATGAGATGAATGCAACAATCGATGACATACTGATGGACGCTCGCGAACATGCCAACATCACCCCGGAGCCGTTGGCCCAGTTTATCAATACAAAGCTCACTGCCAAAGTGAACCGCCAATTAGAGGAGCCATTGATCGTGGCAAGTAGCTGCCTTCCAAGTTGGAGCGAAGACCTGGCCCGGCTATTCTCGTTCTTGTTCCCATTCGAGACGAGACACCTCTTCCTGCAGTCAACAGCATTCGGCTACTCTCGAGCTATGACTAGGTGGCAAAACTCACAAAGTGCTGAGGATAGTCGACGTGATATGCGCCGTGATGATCGGCCATTCCTTGGCCGACTGCAGCGCCAAAAGGTGCGAATTTCTCGAGCCCGCATCTTAGAGTCTGCTATGAAGGTCATGGAGCTTTACGGGTCCTCTCCAAGCGTTCTTGAAGTGGAGTATTTTGAAGAAGTTGGAACTGGACTGGGTCCCACTCTTGAGTTTTACTCCACTGTCTCAAAGGAGTTCTCCAAAAAGAAGCTCAAGATTTGGCGTGACACTGACGGCACTTCCTCTCCTGACTATGCTTTCGGAAAACGCGGTCTTTTCCCGGCTCCAATGAGCGAGGAACAAGCGTCATCGGACGCTGGCAAGAAACAGCTGAACATTTTCAAGGTTCTTGGAAAGTTTGTCGCTCGCTCTATGCTTGACTCGAGAATTATCGACGTTTCCTTTAATCCAGCATTTTTCCGCATTGCTGACACACTGTCCTCGGTCGCACCGTCTCTGGGAACAATCAAGGCTGTAGATGAAGGCTTAGCCAAATCCCTAGGCATGCTCAAGCAATTCGTCAAGGCAAAGATCGCAATTCAAGAGGACCGCACCCTCTCCCAGCAGGACAAGTTCAAGGCAATTCAAAACATTGTGGTAGATGGTGTCCGTGTTGAGGACTTGAGCCTGGATTTCACGTTACCCGGTTACCCGTCGATCGATCTAGTCCCAGGCGGTTCTGATGTGTCTTTGACTATTGACAACGTTGATCAATATGTCGAACGAGTGATTGATATGACCCTGGGCAGCGGTGTTCGCCATCAAGTCGAGGCTTTCCGTACTGGGTTCTCTCAGGTGTTCCCATTCACCGCTCTTCGTGCTTTCACGCCCAATGAACTCGTTATGCTTTTCGGACAGGCCGAGGAAGACTGGTCCATCGAGACTCTGATGGACTCTATCAAGGCGGACCACGGGTTCAATATGGACAGCAGGAGCGTTCGGAACCTTCTCCAGACCATGAGCGAAATGGATAATCAGCAGCGCCGCGATTTCCTTCAATTTGTTACTGGTAGCCCCAAACTCCCCATCGGTGGTAAGTGTTGTCTTCTCGACCATACGACTCTTAACAGATCCAAGCTAACATATTTTCCCAGGCTTCAAAAGTCTTACCCCCATCTTTACGGTCGTGTGCCGTCCGAGCGAGCCCCCATACACACCCGATGATTACCTGCCTAGTGTCATGACCTGTGTGAACTATCTCAAGCTCCCTGACTACAGCAGTCTCAAAGATCTGAAGAACCGACTTTCTGTTGCTATCAAGGAAGGCCAAGGCGCCTTCCACTTGTCCTAGATGGTCTCATCTTCACGCGCCCACCCTTTTCTCGTGATCCCCGTTCTCTCTGCATTCTATTGACCGGCAGCGCCGGGCAATGCCGGCGCAACAATCTTGCCCCGTCTTTCCCACCAGGAACGGGGCCCTTTTAATGATGCGATGACGTGCAACTTGCTGATTTGTCTTTGATCCCCCAATTCTCACCTTTTTTTTCGGCTGGGCTGATCCTGTTATTATCTTTTTTTCATGCCTTTTGAGTTGAGGGGCGTCAAAGGTGGATTCCCCTTTCTTACGACCCTGATATTAGATAACAATGGATACTGTTTTTTATAAAGTTTCCTTCTTATATGGTGCCAAACTCTTTCTATTGTTTTAAAAAAATGTAGATTCGTCTTCGCGGAATTAATTGTGTAGTTTATTCTAGTCTATGTCTATATATATGTCTATTATATCCACCATATGAAACGCATTATCATCATGAAGAGAAAAAGAGAAAACCCCAGGCAAAGGCAATCAGGTGCGGTAGACGGACACCATAGACTAGGAAACAGTTAGTATCCGATATCGACATATCGTCATAGCAGGAAACTCACGTCTGCAAACTTAGGCTCCACAAACAAAGCCTTCGACTCAGCAACCATAACTGCCCCCTCGCTATCTTCGCTCAACAAGCTCGTATCCGACACGAGAGCAGGCGCACCATGAGACAAAGGCAAAGCCAACGGAAGACAGAACATCCGTCCCTCAACCCAAGCCTTGCGCCCTTCAACCTTAGTAGTCTCAGCCCGCAACACATACATGCGATCCGGTATCGCAGGCTTCCTAAAATCAACATTCAAGTTCGCCGTCATTCCAAGCCCGCTAGGAAATGCAGCAGAAATACATCTAGCAAAGACCTCATCAAAAAGCACGGTGAGCAAACCGCCATGCACAAAGCCCGGATGTCCGCACAGATCCTGGCCAATATGGAACACCGAAACCGCCTTCGTCTGGATTTTCGATTCACCACTGCTGGCCGTCTGCGACGAAGTCCACATATACGGTGTAAATGCTAGCTTGCCCTGGCCCACCAGACTCCCACCGACGAGATGGTGTTGCCGAATTGCAGGGGGAATGGCGAGGTGCGGGCGTGACTCCTTGTAGGTTTGCGATTGGCGGAGGGATTGGACGACAGGCATTTTGGAGATTAGGGCGTCGAGGCTTGCGACCTCATTATGTTGCGGTGGGGTAGGTTGTGGGACCTGTGTTTGGCTTTGAGGAAGTGCCTGCTCGTGGACCACAGCTGATCGTGATGGGCCCTGTTGGTGCAGACGGGCAATCCGGCCAGCGGGTGTGAAGGTTGCTCTGGCGATTGAGATCGCTGATGGGCGCAGCACCCATCGTGGTGCTAGAGAAAGTGCAGACATTATGGCAGTATATATCGTCTATATGCTTGTGAAGAAAAGCCGTTAGGTTATGACATAGTGTGTAGTCTGGGTCTTGGACGTACCCCGAATAAAAGGATCGCAGATAAGCTAACGCGGATTATCTGCGGCTAAGTGGAAACCCGGGACTATCTTAATATAGCTTGTATTTTGAGAAGTTCGCGGTGATTAGAATCGTGGATATGCAAGGTTGTTGAACAGGGGTATGTATGGATAAGGTTTAGGGGACTGTTGTTCAAACAAGGGATTGAAAGAAAGCCTTTTCAAGTCCACCTTGATTGTTTCCTTTGAAATCTTGATTCTTCGCCTTCCTTCGCTCCGAAATTTTTTTTCTGTTGGACCCAAACGGTGGGGCAAAAAGTACCGATTTTCGGCGGGGCCCGAGGAATACGGCAGATATCGGCATGCCGATTTGTCTTGGTCGGTCCATTTGGAGGTCTATTGTAGATCTATCTTCCACTTGCAATCCTACCTGTCAATCTATACTGCCTACAAACTCGGAAAATATCCCATGAATATAAGAACACCCACCCAAGCAAGTTTGGTCCGAAGGTACGGTCTCGGGGGCAGGTCCTGGTCGATTGGCGATCGCCGCTATCGGTCTACTTTGAAGTAATTTATCAAGAAGCACTTTTTTACATGATAAAGTGTTCTAGAGACAGGCTCCGGTGCTAAATTTTCAATAGGCGTATGGATGACAACAGTAAGGAAATTTTGTATCGCTATGTAACGGGAGTACACTGTACAGATCGACATCCTCGTTGGTATCAAATAGGTCTCCCTGACATTTAACATAATGGAACCAATTAAAAAGTTTAGAAACCCAAAGGATCAAGGTGGCCGAGGAAGGCTTTGTTGCCCTCGCCACGGAGCAGGGCCTCGATATCAACGCGACCAGCCGTGAGATAACGCTCGCTAACACCGATATTGATGCGCTGCGAAAGCAGGCCCTTCAACTCGGCTCGGAGGGCAGCCAATTCACCCTTGGTGATACCACTAGCCTGCTTCTCACGTCGCTCTCGGCCACCACCACGACCGCGACCCCTACCCTTGGCTTCATCAAAGTCATCACTGTCATACTCAACACCAAGATCCTCAGCGGCAGAACGCATCCAGTTGTCCTCTGCAGAAACCTTCTCCTTAGCGAGGTTGGAGTCAGTAATCTTTTTGGCTAAAGTGACACGCGGTCGTACACGAGCGACGACGCGACGGTCGATCTCGAGGGACTCCAGAGGTAGTTTCTTGGCGGTAGCATTGGGGTTTCGAGCGTGGACCTTGGCAGCAAGGCGAGCCACGCTGACGACCTCATCTGGAGAACAGATGATAACACTCTTGCCCATTGCACCTGCACGTGCAGTACGACCAGATCGGTGAACGTATGAATCAGCTGCACGGGGTGCGTGGTAGTGGACGACACAATCAATGCCCTTAATATCGAGACCACGGGCAGCAACATCGGTGGCCACAAGAATAGAGCTTGGGTCTGCGGTAGGTGAGGAGAAGCGCTCAACAGAGCGAAGTCGAGCTTTCTGTGCCATGCTAGAATGGAGACCAAGAGCGGGAAGTCCCAATGCTTGCAACAGTTGAGTGACACGACGAACAGCGGAGATAGAGTTGGTAAAGACAAGTGTCCGGTGTTTGGGATGGTAGAGCAAAAGTGCGTAAAGGTAGAGATCCTTTTTTATATATTAGTACTGTCTTCGGAAATAGAAGAATTGCAAGTGGATTCCTTACCTTCTCCATTGCAGGGCATTCAACAATTCCCTCCTTGAGTCCTTCTGCCATCTGCTGAACGGGGTTCACATCAATAAACCTGGGCTTTTCTTCCCGGAAGTTGAGCTTCTTAAGCAGGTATTCCATTGACTCTTTGTTGTCCATCAAATCTCCTCCTGACCAACGACTCTTTCCGGCAAGCTTTTGTTGGAGATCACGGTGGAATGTGGCCGAGAAAACAAGAGTCTGACGGGCCTTGAGTTTCTCATCTGTTTCTTCGTCCTCTTCTTCATTTTCGGGGAAGTCATTGTGTTCCTGGCGGTCCAAGGCGCCAATGATTTCTTCCACTTCCTTGAAGTTTCCTTGACTGAGCAGTCGATCCGCTTCATCCACAACAAGGAACCGAATCTTTTGCATCTTGCTGATCAAGCCCGATCCAGTGCTCAGAATCTCCCACACACGACCTGGTGTACCAACGACAATATCAGCAGTGGCAAGCTGTCTTTGCTGCTTCTGAATGGACAGACCACCCGTCAAAAGGGCAACTCGTGCATTTGTATCCGGAGCATTCTCGATCAAGTTACCGATGTGCTTGCCTAACTGGACGGCCAGCTCTCGGGTTGGTGAAAGGATAAGAGCCATGGGAGATGACCTTGGTGTCTTTTCAGATTCGATCTTCTTTCCTCGCTTTTCCAAATAATGCTCGAGAATCGGAATGCCAAAGGCGAGCGTTTTTCCGGATCCGGTTGATGCCTTTCCAATAACATCGTGGCCATCTAGAATACCTGGAATGCAAGCTTTTTGGATGGCGCTCGGGGTGCCAAACTTCAACTTAGAGAGACTAGTAAGGATCTCTGGCGACAGGCCAAGATCGTCCCAGCCTGATACATCGACTTCATCCTCGCTTTCAACCTCATCGAGGGCTTCAAATGAAAGGTTGGCCTTGAAGCTGGAATCTTGGGTAGGTTTCGCTTGCTTGTTCTTGCCATCTTTTTGTTTGGTATCTTTCTTTTTGGGTTCTTTGGTCTCCTTGGCCTTGGCCTCTTTAGTTCCCTTGGTGTCCTTGGTATCCTTGACTTCCTTGGTTCCCTTAGTCTCCTTAGTTTTCTTGGACTTTTTATTATCTTCCTGTGGCTCTGCAGCACCGTTGGTTGTGGTGGTTGTCTTTTCGGCGGACTCCTCATCGCTGAAACCCGACCACTCGTCGAAAGCAGTCTCTTCGGCAGTCGGTGTCCTTAAGATAGATTTCGTGGTTTTGCCTGGTTTAGCCTGTCGCCGAATTTCATTAGTATACAAGTAACAAGCTTGTCGATACCTAGTAAATATTTCATACCTTGAATTGAACAACGCCATTGTCTGATGCACGAATAACATCCACACCATCGATCTCCTCCAGTCCGAAGAAGCCTTCCGCATCTGCCATTCGGTCGGGCATAGCTACCTCTTGCCAGTTCAGATCATCAACGCCAATCGCGCCATCCCGAGAATCATCTTCCGCGGCCGCTGCAACCTTCGCGCCCTTCTTGCGCTTCTTGGCCTCGACGGCCTGTGGCTTGGAATCGCGTCCTCGTTTCTGACCCATGATTATAGTGGAACCTGCTCCGAAATACACAGGTTTGTGAGTTTGAACAAAATTCGCAGAAAGGCCAATGTAAAGGCTTGCTCGGAGAAAAAAAAGCGGCAGAAAAAGTCCGCCTTGAAATCTTATCGCTTGGCTCCCCACGTTGGAATTTCCGCCGCGACAAAAACCTCACTTTCGATATAACAATCGCTCGCTGCCTTACTTGTTCAAGATGGGTAAGTCGTCCAAGGATAAGCGCGATGCGTACTACCGTCTTGCCAAGGAGCAGAATTGGCGCGCCCGGTCCGCCTTCAAATTGATCCAAATCGACGAACAGTTCGACCTTTTCGAGCACGAGAATCCCGATAAAGTGACAAGAGTGGTGGACCTTTGTGCTGCACCGGGAAGCTGGAGCCAAGTTCTCAGTCGAGTATTGATCAAAGGCGAGAGTTTTGGCCGGAGAGCATGGCTCGAAAAGAAGCGGAAGGAGCAGCAAGCCCTAGAGAGGGGCTCTGGTCAGCCCGCAATTGACGACAATGATACCGATGATCATTATGAAATTGGAGAGGCCGACCCCAGCGCAGAACTGAAGCCCCGAAAGAACGTCAAGATCGTGTCAATCGATCTGCAGCCCATGGCGCCGCTTGAGGGCATTACCACTCTCAAAGCCGACATTACACACCCCTCCACTATCCCTCTGCTTCTGCGCGCATTGGACCCCGAAGCCTATGAGTCCTCATCAACCACCTCCGACTCACCTTCAAATACCCCTGCGCCTATCCGGCAACCACACCCTGTCGATCTAGTCATCTCCGATGGAGCGCCAGATGTCACCGGTCTCCACGATCTCGACATATACATCCAATCCCAACTTCTATATGCCGCTCTCAACCTTGCCATGGGTGTCCTTCGCCCAGGCGGTAAATTTGTTGCTAAGATCTTCCGTGCTCGTGACGTTGACCTTCTCTACGCCCAGTTGCGCACCGTCTTCGAGCGTGTCAGCGTTGCCAAACCTCGGAGTAGTCGTGCTAGCAGTTTAGAAGCATTCGTTGTCTGCGAGGGATTCATCCCACCTGCCAATAATGACGGAGTAATTGGAATGGCGGCATTGAAGAATCCTTTGTTTGGCGGTGCTGCGGCACCGAGACCTGTCTCAGCGGACGGCAACCTTGCTGTTGAGGTGCCCGACGAAGACGAGAACGCTCAGTCCCAAGCAGTCCTGAGGGAGGCCCCATTGGGCGACGGGAAAGTGTCTGCTTCGAATCATACCACACAAACCAACTATCTCCACCCAACCTCCCCGCCGATGGACCCCCCATCAACACAGAAGCCGCCCTCCAAGTTTGCCGAGGAGAACCGATGGATACCTTCGTTCATTGCTTGTGGTGATCTCTCTGCTTGGGATTCCGATGCATCCTACGCTCTTCCCCCGGACTATGTCAGCCTGGACCCTGTTCAGCCTCCGACTGCGCCACCGTACCGGAAGGCTCTGGAATTGAGAAAGAAACTTGGTGGTGCTTACGGCAAAACTAAATATTTCAAGCCAAACAAGACAGCCCAAGCATGATCTGACTGTTAGATATGCTAAAAGATATGATCAATGGATTTAATGGATAGACGACCGATTATGATGTACAGGTAGAAGGTACGATGTTAAATAGATGGGGTCAAATGTGTGAAAGCTAGTGAGGCCTAGTTGTTAGAGTCGATACCCATATACAGGCGGTCTTTAAATGGCCGAAATACAAAAGAGCATACTACGATCAATCGACTCTTCAATCGTCATGGAAAAGATAAATGCATTTTTGGAATCTATATGCAAATAACGCTAGGCCGAATTAAGACGGTCTAAAGTGGGGGAATAGACAAAAAAAGAAATGCCAGTCGTGAGATCATGTCAAGCCACCGCTCAACCCTAGTACACCTCCAAAACATAGCGCTCCTCATCCTTCAGCTTCTCAATCTCCTTGCGGGTCTCAACCTTCTTGCCGTTGGCCTTAGCCTCGGCTCCAATCGCCTCCTCAAGGACAGCAGTCACGTCAGGCACGGGCCAAGTGGGACCACACAGGTAGAAGGCACCCTCCTCCTGAATGTAAGCCTTGCGAATCTCAGCCAAGCTCTCGCGCATGCGGTCCTGAATGTAGATCTTCTGGGGCTGATCACGGGAGAAGGCAGCGCCAAGAAGGGTGATGACACCGGCCTCCTGGTACGCCTCCCACTCCTCACCGTAGCAGTACTCCTCGCGCTGGTGACGCGATCCCATGTACAGGAGAACGGCACCGATCTCCTTGCCCTGGGCCTTCTCGAGAGCACGGTGCTGGACGAAAGCACGGAAAGGTGCGAGACCAGTACCCAGACCAGCCATGATGAGGGGCTGGGTAGACTTGGGGGGCAGCTTCATCACACTGGACTTGACGCTGACGGTGATGGGCGAGCCGACCTTCAGGCTGCTCAGGTAGCGCGTTGCAAGACCGAAGCGGTCCTTGCCGTTGGGGCCAACCCAGTTGACGGCGACAATCATGAGAGCAACGGTGTCGGGGGTCACCTTCTGGCACGAGGCGATGGAGTACTCGCGACGCTTGAGGGGACCAACAATACGGACGATCTCGTGGAAGTCGGGGTGAGCAGATGGGTACTCAAGGAGGACGTCGGCGAAAGTGACAGTGTCAACCTCAGCACGGCGCTTGAACTCAGTGGCGCCGTCGGGGCCACCCAGAGTCTTCAGGTCAAGCTTCTCCTTCTCGTCGGAGGCGAACTCAGCCAAAGCCTCGTAGAAGCGCTTGGGAGGGCGACCGAAGATATCAACGTTCTGAACCAGGGCCTGGTACACAGTGCGGTTCTCGAACACGTTGGGGTCCTCGCGGCTGGGAACCTCAACGATAGAATCGGGGTCCAGTCCGTAGAAGGTAATGAAGTCGGTGACATCCTTGGGGTCGTTCTCAGCGTGGACACCGAGGGCCTCACCAATGTCGTAAGTGAGACCAGTGTTACCAAGATCGAACTCAATGTGGAAGATGTTACGGTCATAAGTGACGGGAGTAAGACGACGGTTCTCCTTAACGTGAACAGTGAAAGTCTTGGTCGCCAAGTCAGGACGAAGGGCATTTCTGGTGCCAAAGGCCTCCTTGAATGCCAGACCCTTCGCAGCGGTCTGCCAGTCCCGAAGAAGAACGGGGGCCTCAGCCTCCTCCTTGTCGAAGGAGACGAAGCTGTTGGCAGAGATGTCCTTGGGAAGCTCAATCGCCTCGGTGACACCTTCGGGCTCCTTCCAGGCCTCAGGAATCTCAATCTGGCGAAGGGCCTTGTCAAGATCCTTGCTGACGGTATCCAGAGCTTCGGCGTTGCCGACAATGGAAGCCAGCTTCTTTGTGGCCAGGCCTTCCTGGGAAGGAAGAGCGACGCGGAGGAAGGCAGCCTGGAGGATAAGGGCATCAAGGGACTCACCCTCAAGGGCCGAGGAATCGACGACGAAGAGAGAGAGGCCGCGCTGAACGATAGTCTGCTTGAAGGCAGCAGGCAGCTTCTTTTCGAGCTCCTCATCCTTGATGCCAGGGGCGCTCACGATGACCTTAGCATTGTCCTTGACAGATGCAAGAACATCGACGTCGTTAAGCAGCGCAATGTTTCCGACGTAGGAAACATCAGCAGCGGCAACAGAGTAGGGAGCGTCAACGATCTTGGCACTCTTGCGGATATCAACGCGGATAGCACCTCCCTGGACCAAGTTATCGTGGATTTTGCTGGTGGTGACGTTGCTTGCAGAATCGGCAGCAAGGGCTTGGCTCAAAGTGGTAGTGGCCGACTCAGCAACAGAGTTGTCAACATCCCAGAAGGTGTATTCCTGGACGGTGGAGTCCAGCAACTGCAAAGGAGCGGCCTCGTCGGTCACGCTGTCAACAGAGAGGATGGGGGTATCGAAAATGCGCTGGAATGCAGCAGCAGTGGTGATCTGGTTCCAGGTCTGGGAGCGAGGGTACTTGAGCTCGACGCAAGCAGGAGCGTGCTCACGGCCAGTGGCAAAGGTCAAAGAGGCCAGAACATCCTCATAGAGGGCAGAGTGGACACTCTCCTCCTGAACAGCCTGCTCATCGGCAACCTGTCCGAGAACGCCAACAGTCTTGACAGACTGAGGCAGGACGCGCAGGAACTCCTCCTCGATGAAGGGACGGTAGACGCGGACGTTAACCACACCAATCTTGACACCAGTCTTGGAGAGGGAGCGAGCAACCTGTGCCGCGAGAGTAGCCTCGACAGTACCGAAGACGACCAGGACAGAGGTGGGCTCAGAGTGTCCGTGGTACTCAAAGGCACTGTAGTCGGTTCCAAGCTCGCCGTTCAGGGTCTTGAGCAGATCCAGAACCTTACCCTGGGCATCAAGATGACGGTTGCGAGAATCATCAAGAGTCTTGCGAACGGTCTCATAAGTGCGGGCCAGACCATCCTTGTCAAGGACATCAATAACACGAGTGGTCTCGCGGCCGACGCGGACACCGTCATAGATGTGGATGGATGGCAGGACAGAAGCCAACAGAGTGGTGAACAAAGCCATGTGCTGGGACTCGTGGGCAGAGGCACTAGACACGAGACCAAGGCCGAGTTCCTCAGCCAGAGAAAGGGCAGAGGAATAGTCAGAGACGAGTCCCTCCTCTCCAGCATAGTCGGCAGCAGCGACGTGGGCCGCCACCGGGCTCGCCACAGAGTACAGCAGAGAGAGCTGCTCAAGAGCAGAGCGCATGTAAGGAAGAGTGGCAGAAGAAGCCACAATTCCCTGGGGGACATGACGCTTCTTCAGATCAAAGTCCTGGGAGAAGAGGTAACCAAGGGCCATGTTTCCGGCACCCTGGCGAGTCTCCAAAGACTTGATCACAGGAGACTCTCCATTGGCATTGGTTTCTTGTGCCGAAGACCATTGCTGGAGGGCAGTATCGAGGTCGAAGGTCTCGGGGGAGTAGGAGAAGATCTTGTCACTGAGCAGGTATGCAACCTGCTGGATCAGGGTCTGAGCAGTGACATATGTCGGGCCCGAGAGGGCAGAAAGGGTAGGGTTTGTAGCACCCATTGTGATTTTGACTCTTGTCTGGATACCGGGATACGCACACCGATATCACAAATGAATGACAAGAAAGAAATCACCCCGAATAAGTGAAATGTGGAGAGAAGGAGGGGGAGACTCTCGACCGAATGCCCGCTGGTATAGAAAAGTCCAGGGCAACCTGCCTTATCGGGGATAGTGTCAATCACGCAATCACGCAATTTCCTTATCGATAAGCAACGCGGGCGGCCTCTGATGGCAAAAACTCAAAAAAGTCAGCAGAAAAGTTCCGCTTTAAGCGGCTGATTCAGCATTTTAGCCACTCCGGATGCCTAAGGCGGCAGTTCTATTACTAACCTAAGATGACAAACGTTCAAGTTTGTCAACTTGCTAAGAATTCAGATAGGTGCCTACTCAGTTTTTAATGTAGATTACGAGGCTTGGAGGTTTGAAAGGTTCAGTAAATATATTATGAGTAAGTCATAACTTATTGATTAGGTAGCACTTGAAGTGTCTCAAAAACACAGTCTTCCAAATGGTCATCAACGCTTGCAAGGGTGGCAATCTATGTAATCGAAATTAAACTTCACTTTTGACTTTTCAAAAACTCAATCTTTTCACTCAATCTCACTCAGTCCATCAATTTTCATAGCTCATTTCTATGTGGGTATGAGATTCCTTGATATAATTCAAACCTCACACGGCTCGTCGCGGAATATGTTCAAGGCGCAATATCATCCTCTGTGTGTTGATGCCCGGACATGAAGAAGTAATAAGTCAACAAGGCAACAACCAGGCAAAGCGTACCTAAAATAGAAATAAGGTCAGGGAATATTTTACAAACAACGTAGTCGATTGTCTTACCTAAAACCATACTCATAGCACCGAAGCCAATATTCTCTGTTATGACTCCTGCCAACAGCGGGCCTAGCATCAGCCCAAGGTTGAATGAGATCTCACTCATTGCAAAAACTCTCGAACGTCCACCATGAGCACCGAATATATTGGGCTGCTTTGCCTCAATTTCATCCAGGACCACTATTTCCCAATCAACATTAGTAATCGAGCATACGAAGGGGGGACGAGGGCATCATTTACTCAGTGCATGCAACATCCCTGAACCCTGAATTAAGGGCAGCATCATTCCAATCCCGATCATTGAGAAAACGAAAATTGGTTTACCATGGCTTTCACCACTAGCCCAAGACAGACCATCTCCAGGAACACCCATAACCACAAACAAAGGGCCTAGGAGAACCCAGCCGATCGTAGTAGGGTAGCGTAGACCGACAATATCTCGGAGCCAACCCGAAAAAGGGCCGAGGATGATGGCGGGGATACGAAGTAATAGGAACATTGTTCCCACATCTAAAGGACCCCATCCAAAGATCTCGCGAAGGTGAACCGGCAACGTAGTGTTCAGCGCAGCGATGGTCACAGAGCTGGTGAAGACGTTTGCGAAGCTAACTAAGACACGGGGATCGGAGGCCATTGTATAATAAAAGTTGGATGGTGGGCGTGTCTGCTGGGTATCATTATCCTTTGAGTGAATTTGCACAATTGGCGAAAGAAGTGGAGAGACCTCGGAGTCATTGGTGTCAGCATCTTCAGTCGTTCTGATTTGGCTAGGCGAATTGGCGGAATGTGCTGGCGACTCGATCAAAACCAACCATATCAAAATATTGAAGGCGAGAACTCCTATTGGCAGGTACCAAGCAGGCCAGTAGCCAGCTAGCTCTAGTAAAGTCCCTGAAAGCACTGGCCCTCCAACGGTACCAGTCATGACGACGGACATGCTTACTCCCATCATCTTCCCTACATTTCCCTCTCCGGCATTCTCGGTCAATATCGCTAGACACACAATCCATGCTGCCGCTCCCGCAATGCCTTGAATAACTCGGCCTAAGGTAAGAACCCAGTCTGTAGTTCAATTGTTAGAGACAATATGATAAACGAAAGAGGGAGGCCGCAAGGACGTACAAGTCGGTGTAGCAGCAACAAGAATAGTTCCACCAAAGGCGACCGCGAGAGAAATAAGAAGTGGAGTTCTTCGGTTAGATGTCTTGTCGATGAAGTGGGCAAGGATAGGAGCAAATAGCACTGTCGCGAAGCCATGAATTCCAAGTAACCAAGCTGTCAATTGCTGCGTCTGGGCAGGGTCTTGCCCCAAACGATTCTCAAGCATGTAAGGCAAGATCGGAACCACGAAGCCATAGAGCAACACCTCTACATCAGAATGTCAGGATCCACATATGCTACCCGCACTGGAAAGGGAAGTTGACATACCAGTCAGCAACGACAAACACGCCGTCCCTATGATCAAGGACCGGGACGAGCGCCATCGATAGCCAAGGATGGGGTTCTCAGGAGGCGCCATCTTGATACCCAAAGAAACGAGAGGTAAAAGGCTACGAGAAAAAAGGAAAATAAGCACAATGAGTCATTTAGGACGAAGAATCAAATTTGTTATCAAAGTAGCATCGCCCCTCACGAGGCTAATGCGGAGCACAGCCTTTGGGCTTGCACATTTTCAGTAATGGTACATGATTGGACCTCCGGATCCACCCACTTATTTACGGTGATAAAAGATGTGGAACATAGCTTATTGAGAAGAAAACATTGCACGTTGGAATCATTATCTACAAGAGCGAAAAAACAAATACAAACCAAGTAAAACTCCAGTGCTTTGATTTTACTATGCAGTGCAGTCCATGCTAGCGGCGAACCCTCAGCTTACATGAGCAAAGCACCATATCACACGCTTGAAGTGAGATCAAAGATATTCGAGATGCATTTCCCACCAGGTAGATATAGTCTAGAATTATAGGGAGCTAACTCCATCCGTATGCTTAGCCCTTCGTAGTTATGCATGACTCAGCACCCATGTGATGTCACTCGGTTGTGCAGCACCGAGCCTCGGTCGCAACCATATCACATTTGCGGAGAAGCGGAGTCTACCCCAGAGCTCCTATGTAAACAACCTTGTGTCGCATTGTTCCCCGGATTTTACCTTGAGCACATAATCAAATATCTAGAAATTATCTGTTAAAATCTTCAATTATGGCAACAAACTCTATCAATCCTATCCCTTTCTCGGAGCCGCCTTACTTGCGTGGCCTGCCCTCCCCATATATTACCGATGCTCACCGTCATTTTCAGCAAGCATGCCGCAAATTCGCGTGGGAGCACCTGCTTCAACATGCAATGGAGTGGGAGAGGGAGGGTACTGTGCCAGAGCATGTATTCCAAACATTTTGCAAGCATAACATGCTGTTGCCCAACATGCCCGCCCCCCTTCCCGTGGACTGGCTGAAACGCCTTGGCATCAATGATATCCTCGGTGTCAAGGTTGAGGATTGGGATTATATTTACACTGGAATATATGCCGATGAGGTAGATAGCGACATCACCACAGAAAAGCTCCAAGATACTAACATATTATCCATAGCTGGCTCGATCGGGTCTAAGTGGCCCTGGCGGCTCTCTGAACGCTGGCTTTGCCTTTGGAATCCCACCCATTGTCAAATTTGGCAGCAAAGAGTTGCAAGAACGATTTCTCCCTGACCTTCTCACCGGAAAGAAGCGCGCTTGTATCGCTATCACAGAGCCCGAGGCTGGTAGCGACGTTGCGAACATAGTTACCACTGCAGTCAAGAGTGATGACGGCAAACACTACATTGTGAATGGCACCAAGAAATGGTAGACACTACCCTTATCTCTTTCTCCAAAGTGATACCCAACTTACCGATCGCTAGGATCACCAACGGCATCTGGTCAGACTATGCGACTATGGCAGTTCGTACTGGCGGACCAGGTCCTACCGGACTTTCAGTCATGATCGTACCTCTCAAGAACCACCCAGGTGTCACAATGCGCCGCCTCAAGGTCTCTGGCCAGAAAGCCGGCGGAACAACGTACATCGAACTTGATGATGTCGAAGTTCCAGTGTCCAACCTAATCGGCAAGGAAGGCGAGGGCATGCGCATCATCATGACCAACTTCAACCACGAGCGCTTGATTATTTCTGTCGGTGTCACGCGCCAGGCTCGTGTGGCTTTGTCTGCCGCGTTCTCTTACTGCCTCAAGCGTGAAGCCTTTGGGAAAACTCTGATGGATCAGCCTGTGGTGCGGCATCGACTCGCCAAGGCTGGCGCTGAGCTCGAGACCATGTGGGCTTGGGTCGAGCAGATTCTTTACCAGCTGTGCCATCTTAGCAAAGAAGAGGGTGACCGCCAGCTGGGTGGATTGACGGCTTTGGCTAAGGCGAAATCCGCCATGGTACTTAATGAGTGTGCACAGGTTGCTGTTTTGCTGTTTGGTGGAAATGGTTTCACTCAAACCGGTCAGGGAGAGCTTGCAGAGGGTAAGATTGACTTTTCGCACGTGTTTTTTTCCCTTAGTGTAAGACTAACTTGTTTATCGTAACAGCCATCTACCGTGATGTTCCTGGTGCCCGCATTCCTGGTGGCTCGGAGGATGTTCTCCTCGACTTGTCTGTCCGTCAATTGGTCAAGATCTACCAAGCCCAGGAGAAGAAGCTTTCCCAAAGTTCAAAAATCTAGTTATACGTAGTGCAGCTAGTCGGCTCAACCAGGCAGCAGACACTTGCCTTTATATTTGGTCCCTACATCAATAATGATTTTTTATCTTTCGGAAGGCGCGATTTTCGAGTATAAACACCCCTCTTTTTCAAGATCCAAAATTCCCTTCTAGTTATTCTTGGTGCTTCCCCTCTATCCCATCCCCTGTAGTGGCATTATAATAGGTCCGTCAATATCACCAGAGAGAGACACAAAGTAGAGAGTGGAGATTTAGGAATTGGTCATTGGGGTATTGAACGATGACCCAATACCAATTGGCTTCGCTAGACCTATGCAAGATCAGTTTCCTGCATCAAGCTTTATTCAATAACACCTGAGGCCTTGACGATCAAATTTTCTAACAGTTGGTTATTACAGTACGTGTGGGTTGGTGTGCATAATTATGTACTCGGCTCCTCATAATATAGTGGCGCTACAATTGTTTACGCATCAAAGTTGCCGCCTTTTCTACCGCCTAATATTCTGCTCGCACAGTTTGTCACCCTCGTGCCAGTGATAAGGTAGTCGGACTCATGGCTGCTCACCTCTCCGTTCAATGCTTTTTTTTTCTTTTCTTTAGTTTAGATGTATCTCTAGAACTAAAGGGTATTTCAGCATCTGCGCAGATTACATACAAGTCAAGTACACCAAAATAGTCCTTGTTGTATTCTTCACAGGCTCCGTAGCGCGCACGGAGCTGTTTTTCGTCTCTTCTATGGTGCTGACGCCGATCGGTGCGATTCAACCTTATTTCAACAATGTCGACACTAAGTTCCTCGCTCAATTTCCAAGCGAATTTGATTCTGGCGTGTGCGCAATGTGCTAGGTCTAAAGCCAAGTGTGACAGGAAGGTACAGGTGACAATGCAAAGACATGGATGGGACCTCACTAAAGCGCATTGCGTCCTAGGTGCCATGCTCGCGATGCATACAGAAGAAAATCTTCTGCCAGGTGCGAGTCCCACAGCGAGAGCCAGGTCGATCTTCTCTGAACAATAGACCGAAAGAGCCGACATCCATAAGCTCTTACCCCAGCAAAGATTCCGATACCGCTAGGGCTGAGCCAGTAACCGACAGCGCCAACAATGGAGATCGCGGAACAACAGCACCGTGCTATCCGACAGGCAATGGCATCTATATGGACTGGAATCATTCAGCAGCAAGCATACCGCAACGAATCATGCCGCAAAAGGCTCTGGAAGAGGATCCTTTGGCATCACTCATCGCGACGGTATCTGGTGTAGACGAAACATATTCTTCTAATATTCCTCTTTCCTCTGGTTCTATACAACAGGGGCCGTACTGCTCAAATGATCCTTTTGACTTCGCATTCCCCATTAGAGAACCATTGCAGACGACTCAGAAGACAAGTCTCACAGATATGGCTGCATGGAACCTACCATTCACCATACCATCAGAGGCTTTGCCAAACACGGCGGATGAAGACGAGGTAATGGATAATTACGTTCCAACAATACCCTCATGCCCCCTATTAGAGGACGGAAACTCCGATCTGGACCAGCTAGAGGCACTAGAAGGCTGGCCACTTTTCCAGTGCAACCCCGTCATACCATCGTCTACATGCGTACCTACAGCCGCCAAACACGTGAATGAAATGCATTCCCTGCTCAGGCACGATAATATGACAGCTCAGCATAATCAGCCGGTGGCGTGCAACGTCGTCGTTGAACCTCTTCCAGCAAGCATCAGGGAGAGGCTCAGCACTGTCATGCAGGGGCTCTATAACGAGGCGCAAGAACTTTACGAGCTGCAAAACTTGGATGACAGAATGCCTGGCTACGCTGGAGGATCCATCCTGATCCTACCTCCGCCGTCTGTATTGGATATCTTGCTCCGGTACTATCTCTGCTGTTGCGAGCCTTACTATCCATTCATCCCCGTTGCGGCTTTGAACATCGACGAACGCATGAAAGGGAGAAACACTACCTTACCCAGCATGCTGTTACTCCTCATGTTCGCTGCCGGTGCCATGGCAGCTGGGGCAAACGAGATATACTCGAAGATTGCACATGGACTGGTTGAGATATGTCGCATTTCCCTGCGAAATCTCATTGAAAAGAACATCAAGCTAGCTTCAGACCATGAAGTCTCTCAGTGCGCACTGCTCAATCTCATTGTCTCTGCATGGAGCGGAGACAAGTGGCAGATGGACGTAAGTGTTACCTCTGATCCATTCTTGAGAGGAGTATTTTCATTGATCCTCTTTCTGTCTGTATAGATTGCACATTATCAGAAGTCGATGTTCCTAGAGGTAGTTGACCCCTTTTGCAATCCGATTTGACCCTTCTGACTTTTTAGATGCATTTGAAAGCTGAGCGAAATTGCCACAGGGACACCCAGGTAGCCCAGCTAGAATTTATCAATAATGTCGCCCATTCCTGGGAGATATGGAAGGCACAGGAGGGGGCTAACAGGTCAGTTGGCCCATACGGTCATTCAAACCGGTTGAGGATCTTTTCTGACTGATACCATGCAGACTCACGCATTTTTGGCTCATTGTGGACCACGAATTATCTCTGTTTCGAGATATGCTCTCAACGTCGTTTCTTTCCACCACCAGTTTAAACACACCCATTCCAAGTCCTAACAGCCTATGGAGCGCCAAGTCCGCAAAATCATGGATTGAGGTGATGCTATCCGCATATGGACGGGTCAGCATGCCTCCTTCTCTCAGTGATTGGTTGTATTGGTTCACAGAAACGAATGATTCCCGCTCAATGGCGCATATTTCACCAATCACGCTACGACTATTGCTCTGCCATCTTCAGAATCAGGTTATGCAACTGCGATTCAACATAGACAGGGCTCTGAGTAGAGGTCAAACTCATAATGGCTCTCAACACCTGTCCGTTGTTCTATTTGCGGTGCAAGTGCAAGAGGCTCAGGAACAACTGCGCAAGTGGCATGATCTTACCAAAACACAGATTTCAAATGAAACAGCCTTCCCGGAAACTGCATCCAACATGATGTTATATCATCTTATCATGCTCAATACGATGGTTAGTTTCCCGGAAATCGAGCTTTTGGCACGCAGCGATCACAAAGGTGAGGTGGGCAATAATCCACCGAGACGTTGCTCTCAGTACGCCCATCATTTAGAAAACACGACGGAAATATATTTTCATTGTGGTCAGGTCATGCGTCAAGTTCGGTCAATACCTGAGCCCATCCGGCCGCCGTGGTGGGCCGGTGCCATATATCGAGTGGCTCTGGTTGCCTGGACAAATGGCTTAGTGTCTGCCGACGTGGTCAACTCATCGCATCGGGGTGACACGGAGACGCAGGGCACGGTGCTCTTGGACGTCCTTCCGCCATCTCATCCGTCTATTATCTCCTACCTGAACCACCGAGGGGGCATCCCTGCATTCTCGGACTCGGATGATGCCGCAGTACACTTGACCGACTCCGTTGATGTGATACGTCATTGTGCTAGCTTCCTTGACACGGATGTCAGGACCAAATTTACCCTCGGCATCCGGCAAAAGTTGCTGACGATGGCAACCCGGTGGCAGAATGGCAATCCGTAGATATTGGGGCCCTCGGGCTGATTATATTCTCACCCATGTGGAACTTACTTGGATATGTGTCATTTACCATTATGAGAAGGAATTGGTCCCCGGTTTTATCATCAGAGCAGCCATGGATGGAAATTAGTCACATGGTAATTATGAATTCAATTTAGTTTCGCGTGCAGGCACTCTTTATTTGACTTTCTGATGAAGCTGTACAATTTCTCCAGTGTCACAATCTTGTTTATATCAATTCCCATGGCCTTGCAGTATTGGATATAGAGCACCACGTGACGAAATAGGGATCTTATCGCGGAGCTTGTTGAATAAAGCGGGTCGATTTCCATCCGACTCCGTTACCCACACGTGATGAAAGGGACATGCACCAATCACAGATCTGTCCTGGCAGCGGGCGGATTTCTATCCGACTCCGTAGCGTGTAAATCTGGCCCCACAATGTCGCCGATCCGGACACTAGTGGATCTTAGAGATCTGCTCTCATTCCTCCTAAGACAGGCCATGCTAGCAATCATTTGACAAAAGAGCGAATCGAGAAGCCAATTGCAATCGGCATCTACGGATATAAGGCCCCGGCTCGGACATAACTCTTTGATTGCTTTGATTCATACGGCGCCCCATACTTAAGGCAGAGCTTGGTACAGAAAGCTTTCACAGGATGTCCAACTCTCATTTCTCGATATATAACATATACGCGGCGTCATCATCATTTTGAGGCAGTCCCAACTCTTATCTCATGCAGTCTGTTTAAAACTATCATCATGGCAGGATTATACGGCTTACTCTTTACAAAATTGACTCTACCACATGCCTCGGTCATCGAGAGCAAGACTATCCTCATCACCGGCGCTAATACCGGCCTCGGTCGAGAAGCTGCTCGCCATGCACTTGCTCTGGGAGCTGGCACCGTCATCATGGGTGTGCGCACTCTGAGCAAAGGTGAGGAGGCCAAAGCGAGCATCGAAGCAAGCACCGGCTGCACCGACAAGCAGAAGGTTCTCGTGTGGCCCATCGATCTAGAATCATTCGATAGTGTTCAAGCGTTCGTAGCTAGAGCCCGTCAATACGTCTCAGACGGAGGTCAGCTTGATATGGCTATTATGAACGCTGGCATTGCCTCGGTCGAATATGCTACTACTAGTGATGGATGGGAAAGAGGGATACAAGTGAATGTGCTGTCGACTACACTGCTGAGTCTGTCGCTCTTGCCACTGCTCTTACGCACGAGAGACCGAGATTCCTCGGCCAGACCGCATCTGGCTGTCCTCACTAGCGATATCCATAAGTCAATTAAGTTCCCTGAAAGGTCTGTCGATTCCATTCTTTCTCTTCTGAACGGCGAGGAACAGTGGAGGAAATCCCAAGCCATGGGGGGAGCTACCGAGCGCTATGGTGTCACTAAGCTGATGGATATCTTCATCACCATGCAAATTGCGGATTTGGTACCTCGCGATGAACTTCGAGAGCCACTCGTCATTGTGAATGCCGTGACCCCTGGATTTTGCAAGTCGGATCTCCTAACTAGGGAGAAGGCGCCGTGGATCCTGAAGCTGGTGCAGGCTTTGATTGCCAGGACAGTCGAGAATGGTAGCAAAACCCTTCTACATGCCGTGACTCAAGGGGTGGAGACTCATGGGAAGTGGTTGGAGAACCAGGCTATTGCAGAGTAAGGCATTCAGCTTAAAAATTTGAAGCTTTAGGTACTGACATGCGCGTTAGTCCTGGTACCATTGTGACGAGCGATGAAGCAGCGGCCGTGAGGAAGAAGGTATGGGCGGAGATCATTTCTGTCTTGCGGGATGTTGATCCCGAGCTTCGAACTAAGTTTTGAGACCTCTGAGACGATGTGTTTCTATTCTTGTATGGCCTAAATCCGCCAGCTTTTCAAGGTCCTTTCCTGTCTGCCTTGTCAGCCTGTAATCGCGTGACTCTGTTCATGGTACTCAAATCCCAATACTAGATTGTGCTGGTATTAACTTATCGCATTTGCTATGGTGTTGAGGGTAGCCCTCTCAGACCGCTAGCGCGTGGGATACGTTAGCTTCCTTCTATTGATAGATCTGCTTGTTAGCTCAGACTGTCAACCTCTTCCTAGCTTCTATCGTTTCTCCTGCTCCTCTTGACTTATTGATTACGTAAGTGATTTTATCTTCTCGATTCAAGCGAGTGCGCGACAACAGTCTCATCCATGGGAGGTCGACTTGCAACTTCAAAATAGTTTAAATACATACGCGAGCTCTGATCGGCCTTGGCTAAGATTTGTTTTCCCCAACACTCACACTCAAGTGTGCACAAGACGGTACTAATATTTTTGAAACATTTTTAAGCTCGGAGCTTTTTGATTGAACAACACAGGATTAGTTGAACATCCTCACTAACCGCATTCAAAGCAGCGCAGTATCCAAGACTCAGAGAGTAATATTGTTGAGTACATACCCAGGTACCTGCTTGCTCACGTTACTCTGTAGACTACGCTGGAATGTGAAAGTGATAAAAGAGTGATATCATTAAGCTACCTTTTATTACTTATATTATGACTCTAATGAAGCGTCATCTCTTGTATTGACGTGAATTAAGCGAGGCGATGCAATGTACTTGAATACTTGAGATAGCGGCTTTTTCTGAATTCCAATTACTGCGCCATACCGGATGTAGAAATAGCGTGGTGTTCAACTAATCTTGTGGTGTTCAATTACCGCGCTCCTTAAGCTCTATGCATATTGCCCGATTAGGATTAGCTCCATAATGACGAAATCGCAAGGTGCAACCATCTGTGCCGTCAGCTTCACTTCAAACCCCAAACCTGAAGTTTCTGAAAATTAAACAAGTATGGCGAACGCAGCACTAATTGGATGTACGGGCATGGTGGTAAGTTCATTATCCCCTCGACTCCACAAAGACGCAACCCCCACTAACCATCCTGCGCAGGGATCCCACATCCTCACCAGCCTTATCTCCAGCTCCGCCGTCAGCCGCGTCGACACAATCTCCCGCCGCACTCCAGCAGCGGCATCTGACGCGCCCGCAAAGCTGACCACTTTCGTCTCCGACGATAGCTCGAAGTGGTCCGAACAACTCTCAGCCCTCACCCCAACACCCGACATCTTCCTCTCAGCCTTCGGCACCACCAAAGCGGCAGCTGGCGGCTTCGAGAACCAGTACAAGATCGAGCATGGTCTGAATGTCGAGTTGGCGCGCGCAGCCCACGATGCCGGCGTCAAGGTGTGTGTGCTGATTTCCAGCACTGGCGCGAGCAAGACCTCTTCGTTCCCGTATTCGCGGATGAAGGCCGATATTGAGGAAGATATCAAGGCGCTTGGATTTGAGCGGATGGTTATTCTGCGGCCTGGGTTGATTGCTGGGACGAGGCAGGAGAGTCGGCCAGCTGAGGCTGCCATTCGGTTTGTTGCTGGATGGGCTGGGAAACTTCACTCTAGTCTGAAGGATTCTTGGGCTCAGGAGGCGGATGTTATTGGTCAGGCTGCTGTTAAGGCTGGATTGAAGGCCTTGAAGGGGGAGGTTCCTGCTGGTTCTGAGAAGGTTTGGCTAATTGAGGGGAAGTCCATTATTGATATTGCTAAGGAGTGATTATCTGCTTTGTTTGTGATTTTTATGTCTTTTTTTCTTTTCTTTTTGAACGTACGATCGGCATGCCTGATGTTTTATTCCCCATAACAGTGTCAATTTAGTACCTATGCGCTATTCAAGATCATTAACTCCTCTCCAACAATTTGACATATCCAGAGTCGGGAGCTTCAATATGTAATCGATCACTATGCGCATTTCAACTATCCTTTCACAGCCCCACCATCTCCAAGGAGTCCTTCCAAAGTCTAGCCTCTTCCTCAGGATTGTATGTGCTGCTGGAAGTCATCCCAAGAGCAGGAATACCATCATCCTCACCACGTTCAGCAACCGCACAATCATTAAGGTACAGACCACCCTTGCCTTCCAGCTCCTTAGAAACGGCAGCCCACACAGTAGTAGCAGCTCCTTGTTCCACACTTTTCTGCATCTTGAGCATAAATTTGTTCTGTAGCATCGCACCAATCTCCTGCTCAGACAAATGCTGCGACAAGCCCGTGGCAATAAGACCAGGATGAAGACTAGTAGCATGCAAACCACTCGAACCATAGCGACGCTCAATCTCATTGGCCATGTAGGTATTCGCAAGCTTTGACTGGCCATAAGCGGCCCAGGGGCTATAGCCGCCCTTCTGGAAATGGTAGTTCTCCGAGTCATTGAGAGTGACGACTCGATGCGCAGCAGCAGATACCACAACGACTCTAGATTGGAAACCCGCCGATGACCCAGCTAGAAGGGAAGGCTTCAGTAGGTTGAAAAAGAGGAAATGGGACAGATGGTTGGTTGCAAATTGCAGCTCATAATTGTTCTCTGTCAGTTGACGGTCTTGGACGGCCATGATGGCGGCATTGGTCACGAGGATCGTGATTTGATCTGTCTTGGAGAGAATTGCAGCAGCGGCAGCCCGGACACTGTCGAGGGATGCCTGGTCCATATGGACGAGCTCCATCTTTGTGGCATCGAAGATGTCTCCAAGGGCTGTCTTTGCTTTGGACAGGTCCCTGGCTGTTAGGAATAGTCGTGCTCCAGTGGTGGCGAGGGCGCGCACGGTTTCGATCCCAATTCCAGAGGAGACACCAGTGATGACAATGACCTTGTTGACGAGGTTTCCCTCCAGTGCCTCGTCATTGATGATTTGCATTGCTGTGGGTCGGGCATCACCAAGGCCCTGGGGATTGGCATGAACTGCAGCGTAGCGAGACATTGTATGTAGAAGAAGATTCAGGACTTTGTTTGAATGTGCAAGTGTAATGGACTGCTCAGATGCAGAAGTGAGGGTGAAAAGGCATCTTTTTATATGTTCGTCTCGCTATACTTCTCTAGTATGGCTGACGCTTTTGTCTATATTGGGTTAGTCCAAGCCCGGCTGACCTTTTTTCCCTATTACGGACTAGCGCGATCCACCGGGTACTGCTTATGTTTCTGGTCCTCTAAGAAAGCATCTTCCTTTCTTCTAGTACTAAAGCATAAATATGGCAAATCTTATGGCTCTCGCCATGCAGAATACAGAGGATCGGAATTGTACCGAGGCAGAAGAAAGAAAGCTCCGAAAGAAAATTCAGAACAGATTAAACCAAAGAGCACGCCGTGAGTCTTATAAAGATCCCCATTGTAAATACAGAATTAACAATACTACAGGAAATCGCCTCCAAGAGGAAAATTACCAACATGATATTCTCGGGAAGGACGCCTACCAAGTCCGCCGCTGGAGGATTGACTCCAACGAGCCATGGCAGACCCACAGGAGAGAAGTAACCGATGAAGCCTATCACCACCATCTCATTCCATCATCAAACGAAAATGAGCCAAGGACGTCCACCTCAGATTCAGACTCAGACTTTGGTCCACAGTCTCCGTCAGCACCGGTATCGGCCCCAATAGTGATCCCGTCGGTATCGGTCCAATACTACGACCCCAACACCGATCCATCCACCGACCAACTCCTACATCTAATACAATATAATGCTTTCCGCGGCTTTTACAAAAACAAGATTCTCCTAGGTCGCACAGCTCTATCACTACGTCCAGGTCGAAAGCCTGAGCGTTTCGATGAAGCGTTCCCTACATTCTCGGTCGTGGTACCCAGAGCTCCAGATGTCGCTGTTCCAGGAAATCTTACGCCAACGCAGTCTCAGATGAGTCTTCCTCATTCTACATGGATCAACAGTCTTCCATTCCCAGCTATGCGGGATAATCTTATCAAGTGGGAAAGGTCATTTAATCATGCGGAGTTCGCCATTGATGTTATGGGTTATATTATGGATTCGATCTTGTTTCCACAGCCTGAGGGTTCGTCTGTGACTGGTTTAACAGTTGGAAACCAAGGTGCTTTTGAGGAACTGGAGGATGATGATGAGGTTACTGCTAACCGGACTGGCCTTATTGTTTGGGGAGAGCCGGAGCGGATGGATAGCTGGGAGGCTACGCCGGGGTTTTTGAGGAAGTATGCGTGGGCTATGCCGGGATGTGAGGGGTTGATAGAGTCGAGTAATAAGTGGAGGAGGGTCAGAGGGGGAGAAACCGTTGCGGTTTACTATACCGCTGGAGTCGTAGAGTGCAACTACAACCAGTTATATGGTATTTCTTCTGCGGCTTGTTGGTTCTCCATAACATCACACCTACTGCCAGTAGCCCACCATGCTCGATTTTCGGATTCTCTATCACTCAATTGTTACATTGAAGTCATTATTGACCTATATGGACTGTTTGCAAAAGGGATCACCAGACAGATTAATTTACAATCATGAATAGTGACCTAGGTAGCTGACAAATACATTTTCAGATGCTCTTGAGCTTCTAAATTAATAGACTGTAGACCGCTAGGACTGACCATTAAGGTACAGTAAACCTAGCAATACTTTAGTCTCGGTAAGAAACATGAGTTCCATCCTCCTTAACATCTATTCTCCGGTTCTTCTTCGGTGTTCCCTTCCCGCTCAGACTCTCTTTATCAACATTCCGATCAGGTCCCCCTTCCTTCGGTCCCCGCCACTTACTAACATCAGAGTTGGCAGCGCTCACGTCCAAGGGGTTATGTTCCTGACCCTCCTCATGTTTTTCCTTCCCCGCGGCCTCCATCTCGCTTTCTGGCGCGGTATTGTGCGGGTCGTAGGCCGCCGGATGGTGGGCAACCTCATTATCGGTTCCGGACTTGGTGCCCTCGTTTCGCTCGGGGTTCAGCGACTCGCGGTCTTGGAGAGTTGACTTGTTGTCGGCCTGAAGTTGCAATGATGTGCTAAATGGGTTCCGCGTTGCTGGGGTTCGGGACCGTGTCCAGAGGCCGGAGGTTTGGTGGCAAATGCGCCGGGGGGCCTGTTGGCCGCTGGTGATGAGGCTCTTCCACATTGTATAGATGGACTTTAAATATGTTGAGTTTTGGACTTGTGGTACAATTTGCGAGGCAAATATGAATATGCAGGAAGATGAATTGGAGGAAATTGAGTGAGAGAAGTTCTTTTACTCATGAACCAAGATTAAAATGCCTTGCCAATGTTGGTGCTGCCCTGTTCAGATCATTGCCAAAGAATCATGTTGACGTCACCACCAGCCGCTAACCGGATTTAGTAATGAGCTTTGCACTAAGTTATGTACTCTACCAGATATAAGTAATAATTCCAACGCGCAGATGCAATCAAAAATATGACCTGTTCAATTTGCATCTTATATTATGCTAATTTTTAATCCGGTTACTGGGTCAGAGCGAGTCACTGCCACGTCAACAAGCGGAACACGAGGATCGACATCTGATCTCAATAACGGGTTGCATAATCATTGTTTTGATTGTGTCCCGGCGTACGAGTAATAAATTTCAAACTATAGCATGCCAAGAGGGTCCATGGATGGCGAACTCAATTCCACGGAATACATGCCGGGAACTTAGATAACTATACCTGACCGGTCTCTCGCCGGTATCATATGGGTGCCTAATGAAAGCCTGGGCACATAGAAATGATCTAAAGATCGGCATGCTTTAGCCGGGATTGGCAGAAGTACGAAATATGCAGATCCTGTGCGAAGTTAGACATGTGCCAAAATGGTATGCGGGACCAAGTGCACCGGGGTGGAGAGGATGGCACCGGGGTGAATGCAGATGCGAGGGACCGCGGCGAGAAGGATCCTAGTCGACCAATGGGCCATCGGGGCTTAGCCAGACTCGGCGTAAGAGTCCATGATATGCACCATTCGCAATAGGTATATCGAGGTGGGGATTTATCTGTTAGCTGCAGATGGCCGGCATCCCAAACAGGGCCTGTCATTGGCCGCTAGGTTCGGCTGCAAGTGAGAAAGCCATGCCCGGTCGTCCAATCTGATTGCGTTGACCTGGTTTCGGGGCAGTCGCCTTTTCGCTCTGGAATCCCAAAGCTTCTACGGCCGGCCACCATTTGTCACCTGGCAGAAGAAGCATGCGCGTTGGTGGTGCGGGAGCCTCCGTTCACTTTAAGATCACGGGATCAGAGGAGCCCAGCAGTGTGGGAGCATGTATGCGGGTCCGAGAATCCAATTTCAACGTTGTAGTCCGGATAGCCGGAGACAATAGCACATGAAATCAGTCAACGATGGTACTATTATGATCTCTAATTCTCTGGAAATTCCTCCGGTAACTTCGCTTGTTGGGCAGAAATCATTTTTACGCTTTTTCCACTATTTTTGGCCCTGATCCTGGCCAGAGGCAGGTCCCGGACCGCGCAAGACAAACCCAAGGAAAGACCATTTCGGTAGTGATACGGGGCGTAGAGAAAAAGGCAGGGGGGCTTGAGAAGCTGATTCGAGTATTTTCGGGCTGATGCAACCAGTTCATTGCAGAAATTGGATCAGTGCTTCCCAAGGCTGTGCCCACTGAGGCTGTTCGCCGCATGTCAGGGATTGCCGGGTGCCAACTCAACATCTTGCCATGGATTGCCATCCTGAATGCAGGCATGGGACGTATTGTGAGCGGCCGCCTCCGATCATCGTGCGTCGTATCGCTGGGTATCCCCCTCGAGCGGATCTGTGCGTTGACAAGTAGAGGCAATGCAGCCACTTCAATCTTTGACCGAAGAAAGCAACACTCGTGCACCAACTCTTTGAATGACAGGGATGGAAGCCTGGCTCTCGTGTGGAGCCTCCAAGACCTCCAAAGATTTGCAGTCTTCGACCCACGGTCTTCCAGCCAGCCCTCATTCACAGAAATCAGCGCACCGAGCCAAAAGTGATGTGCCACGTCAGAGTCTCCGAGCTTTGGTGCAGCTGCATGTGGTTCAGCAATATGTGGGAGGTGTCACGGTTCGTGTCTGCGACGGGGAGGCCGCACGGCATCCAGGTCCTATCATTTTCGCCCAAAGAAGCAATTGTATGACGATGAACCATACACATGAGCGGGGCCAGATGCAGGATCCCTCCTCTGCAGGCTTGAAAGATCAGCTGAACGAAGATGGATCCGGTCCCGTCCAAACCCCGAGTGGACAATGCATCAAGCGAGAGAGAGAAAACCCAATTCTGTGGCCCGTGTCCCTGGGTGCAGGAGGTACCAATAATAGAGCCTCAGTGACGCGACTGTTGCCACCCGGGTGAAGGACCATTGGCTGACAGACACGGAGCGGAAATGTGCGGCAGGTGTGGAACGAAGACCAAGTCTCCGTTCTGATATCCTTGCAACGAAAAGCTCGGCCATAGAATAAAAGAGAGCGAGCAGTAGGTTGGGTCGCAATCCCAAGCTGAAACCATGGAATATTCATCATGCTTTTGGCCCAATGAATAAATGCAGGAAACATAACACTAGCCAGAGGCTAGGGGTGGATGGGGAGGGGGAGGCAATGATGTGAATGTGCATACGCATGCAATCATACACACGGCAACGCCGAATGGCATTTCCTGTGGACGATAGAAAGCTTTCGGACGGCCGGCCGAGTCAAAGCTCACGATAAATGATATATTGAACCAATCAAGGGTGGCAACATCGGGCATGAATGGTGGAAAGTAGGAAATCTCATCCCGGTGGAGTCACAGGGGACGTGCAGTCCTGTCACATTGGGAAATGACATTAGTTTTTTTTCTCTGTATAGAACAAGGTTATCCCTGAACGGTTGCGTCTGATCTTGTATCGAGGTGACAGCTGGTGGCGGCCGAGAGCACCTCAATTATGCAGGATCGTCTATGCGGAACGTAACAGCATCACAGGAGCCTGACTCCATGCGAACGATATCCACCTGAAGAGCGGGGAAAGGCAATCTGGCGACGGCATAGTTGCAGTAGTCGAGACTGGAAAATGGATGGCCGCAGCCATGAATTGAGGGATTTTCCATCCTCGTACATCATGATGGGAACAAAAGTCGCCACGGCCAGAAAAAGAAAAAGAGGTGCATGCATGCTTGAAGCAACGGTTCGTCTTTGGTGTGGCTCCATCCGAGAAGACTTGGGCATCTTACAGTCCCCACTATCCAAAGAACTGCTGACAGCCAACCGGATTCAGTAGAACCAGGTTGCAAGGTGGAATCTGATGAATGAGAGACACGGACGATAAGCCGTCCCGCACCGGTCAGCGTCGATCAGGTAGAGGGCCACGGTTTCTGGGAGACCCAGCTGGTGACATGCAAATATCGACCGAAACATAAATAGGGCATTCGGATCCCCTAGATGCTCATGGACTTTAAAATCATCCCCCTGGGTTTCAAAATCAAAGTCTCAGATCAGCAGGGCAGGTCCATAGATATTCCTCAGAAAAGCTTTTTTTCTTCTAAATCACTCTGTTTCAAACCCCTTTGGCCCTCTCCTGAGAGGCCTGTCAATCAACAAGGTCACAAGTTAGCCTATCAAGCCTGTCAAGCGAACTTGGGCAATCTTGCAAAGGCCAATCACACACCTGGATTCATCCTGAAACAAGAGCTTTGGTTCCGACAGGAAGTAAGTTTGATGGGACCTGATGATCGAACAGCACTAACGCGATATGGCAGACATGTGTTTTTACAACCAGAAACGATTCTCTTGTGGGGACTGGAGCTGGACTAGCTTCGCTCATCGATGCAATTATGAGTACCGCACCGGCGAAACATGCGGAATGAAACTCGTCAACCTGACCGAAAACGAGCCCACTAAGTGCCGTATTTGTGAGAAGATCGAGACCAAGTTTCGGCGGCGAAGCGCCGAGGTCGACCGGCTCGAAAGGTGGAAACGTGAGGGGGCGACTTTGATTGCCTCAATGGATCGGTCCAAAACTCTCATCAAGGAACTGGACAAGGAGATTTGCAGCTTGCAAATGGAACGGGATGACAAACGCAGAACCCTTTTGAGGTAGGGCTTGGCGGAGACCGAGGACCATCGGTGGTTCTCAAGAGCGAACAGCCAGTGTATTGATTGGACCTTTCGATTTCATGTTTCGTGCTTGATTGTCTTTTGGCTTTTTGCTTTTTTGGAGTCTTCTTTTCATCCCATCGGCTGGTGGTTCTTTTTCCTTGGGGCGTTTCATGTTTCACCACGTACAGCACATGTTCTGTGACATCAAGTCTGAATCGAGTTTCTGCACTGTGATGGGCAGTATGACACCAGAGGGTCTGAAGAATTTGAACAAAATTTTCTCATTGGTTCAACCATATTATTTCTCTGTATTCATAGGCTGCTGGTGTCCAATGAATATATCAATGGAGCCTAGTCATCCCATAAGCGCCGTGTTTTCTTTGGGTGAGCGGTTCGCTGAGACGGACCCGTGAGGAAAGAGGGGCTTTTGCTGCATATTCCCGAATAATAGGTGACTGCAGCCTGTATAAGAGATCAAGTAACTGGTTATTTCACCTTGAAGAAGAAAAAAACGCCAGAAACTAATCAATGCGGTCAAAGAGAAGGATAGCTGGCCCCGCGAGCTGTGAAACCCCCTCATTTGGGTTGGTCACGTGTGTAGTATAAATCTTAAGTAAGCCGTTTCAGGTGAAGGCATATGCACAACAATTGGGCAACAATCAGCAGCCATACTAGGCTAGGCCAGCGGGAAGCACATAGCTTGAATGGCATTGTTCCAAAATATCATCCAGGGACCCAGCCGATCCATCCTCGCATGTCCCCCAGAATTCATGTTTAGTATATGCATCAACTGATTAGCAATGCTGTATTGGATGAGGATATATGCAAGAGCTTGATCGCAATATGCCTACCTGATTATGCTTGGATATACATGGATCGTTGTCCTTACCGCGTGCCCTCAGGATGCGGCAGGGTTCCACTAAACAGTATAAACCCTTAGTCCTAATCCTGCTGAGTGAAATACAGGAAAAAGGGTGGCGGACTCGGGGACTTATATGTAGCACACGGCCCCGGTGCATGATCGGAGAGTTTACCTCGTTGACACTGACACTTCATTTAGACCCTGCCTATCCACCAGACCCTACCTACGTGTACCAGTGTTTGATCCAACAAACACCCTCCGGAAGATGCAACAGATTGGGTGTCAAGACCCGGCTGCTGTATGTATGCCACGTCACGAACTGCACCCACTGCAGGAATCAGCAGCAGCACCATATCAGGCTAGAATACGGTCCTGGAGTGTAGAAAGTATGAAAGATTAAGGGCTGAGAAAAGAAGTGCCGTTCTTGATTTCCAAGTTATCTGAAAACACAAGTCAAGGTATTATTCTATTTTATGTCACCAGCCTCAGGCTCATCGTCCACCTTGGCCAGCCCTTGGTCCCGTAGGAGCGCATCGATCTCATCGGCAGTCCATAGATGGTGGTAAATCTTTCCATCTTGGGTCTTGCCCACCGTTGCGAACTCGACTGACAAGGAGTAAATACGGGTTAGCCTCTTGTCACACCAACGAGATAAAATGGGAGCAAATAATCATGCAGGGTGTGAAACTCACTCTTCTCACTGCTCAGCTTTGTGGAATCCATCGTCTTGCTCAGAACCTTGACGGCCATGGCGCAGGCCTCCTGCAATGTCTGATCCTCCTTGTAGTCTTGCTTAAGCAGACTCTGTGCGCTAGCATTGTTGGCACCAACGCTTGTGGCCTTCCAACCACCGTAATTCCCACTGGGGTTGCTCTGGTACAGCTGGAATTGACGGAGGTGATCCCAACCAGCATAGATGAATGACACACCGAACGGACGGAGACCACCGTGCTGGGTATAACCTTGCTTCAAGTCACAGAGTCGACGCACAAGCTGTTCGCAAGGAATGTCTTCGTTGTAGGTGATGAGGTAGCGTTGGGCGTTTTGCCGGGCGTAGTTGATCAAGATGTTGGCGTCAGCGTTCATACCGGCGACGGCGCAGATCATGTTACTTGGAGTGGTTTTAGCTCATGCGACAGATGGAAAAGGAAAAAACTGCACATTTCCTATCAGATTGATGTTTACTTACTCGTTGATTGTGTAGAGCTTCTCAGCGGAGGTATCCTGTTCCAGCAGCTTGCTAGTCACCTTCCTTTCGGCGGCGAGGACAATTCCATCCTTGGCTAAGATACCAAGGGCAGTACCGGCGTGAGAAATGGCCTCGAGGGCGTATTCGACCTGGTAGAGTCGACCCTCTGGGGAGAAGATGGTGGTCTAATCCATCAGCGTCATAGGTTAGCGGGAGCTGTAGTGAAAGGCCCAACCGAACTCACCCGTGAATCATATCGCCGAGACATGGTGCATATAAGTAAGAACGCAAAGGGTCTGAAGGTGAGGGAATAGAGAAGATCGTGGAGGATTGGAGTGGGGATGAAGGTCGGTCGGAGGTGCAGATGGAGCTCTAGGAAGTTCCAGGCAACTCGCCCTGGCGCGTCCTCTGTCATCCATCCGCTAAGCTCGGACCACCTCACCACACCGAAGCTTCGTCGCAGCTTTTGCTTTAAGATTGACTCATCAAACAGGGCATTTTGCTCGTTCTCTCACAGCTCAAGATCAATTTTGACCGCTGAAAGATGCTTAAGTCCACATATACCCCTCCACCTCCCCTGCCTGCAGGATGGACGGAGCATCGAGCGCCTACTGGTACGTTCGCATCTAAAAACCTCTTGAATGATGTCTCTAACTGTGAGTCTGTAGGTCATTTGTACTTTTATAACACAGTTACGAAACAGTCGACATATACCAGACCTGTAGCGCAACCACCTCATACTGCGCCGGCCGGCCACCAAGCATCACCGGCAGCTCCGGCCTATTCGCCCGAAACACTCCCACCTTTCTCCTCAACGCCATATGGCCCTGCGGGCTACCAACCTGGGACAGCACAGTATGGCCAACATTACTCACAGCACGGTCAGGGACGAGGCGCGTTCCGTGGTGGGAAAGGATATCAAGACCGTGGTCGTCGGGAGCCTCAAGATCGTCCAAAGTCCAAGCATCCCATTCCTGATTGTGGGCCTTGGGTTCTCGTGAAGACCAAATTAGGTCGGCGTTTCGTTCATAACCCCGAGACCAACGAGAGCTTCTGGAAGTTTCCACAGGAAGTACTCAAGGCCGTCACTGAGTTTGACCGGCTAGAGCGCGAGAAGAAAGCGAGAATCGAGCGCGGCGAGGAACCGGAAGAACCGCGCAAGGCAGAAATCTCTAAGGCGAAACCAGGACCGGCTATCGATGATAAGGCCACTCCAGAAATCCGCGCAGCAGTGGAAGCTCCAGAACGCGTGGAAGATAGCGATGAATACGAGGAGGTTGAGGTGACGGATAGTGAAGACGATGAGGGCCAGCCGTCAAAGCGTCCGCGCACCGAGAGCGAAGGCGTACAAAATCAGCCCGTCGAATTCACCGAGGAAGACATGGAATATCAACTAGCCGCCATGGGCGAAGATTACGGTTTGGATCCTGGCGAATATGGCGAGCTTGGAGAGGATGAGTGGGAAACACAGGGCCTTCCACTGACCGAAGCTGACGCTGAAGCTCTATTTCGTGATTTGCTGGACGACTACAAGATCAACCCATTTACGACATGGGAAAAGATTATCGAGGAAGGTCGTATCATCGAGGACTCCAGATACACTGCGCCCTCGAATATGAAAACTAGACGAGAAATATTCTCAAACTGGAGCAAAGACCGTGCAAAGGATGTCCAAGAGCGCAAGAAAAACCAGGAGAAGCAAGATCCACGCATTAAGTACCTAGCTTTCCTCCAAGAGCACGCGACACCAAAGCTATACTGGCCCGAGTTCAAGCGCAAATTTCGAAAAGAGCCAGAAATGAAGGACTCGCAACTTCATGACAAGGATCGAGAAAAGTTCTACCGTGACTATATTTCACGGCTGAAGGCTTCTGAAAGCACCCGAAAATCAGATCTTTCTGCCCTACTCAAGTCTGCACCATTGCATGGTCTCAACCAGTCGTCAAGCCTTGAGGCTCTCCCAACAGTTATTATAACTGACGTTCGATACATCGCGCTGCCGCCTAGAGTTCGTGATCCCTTGATTGAGGCATACATATCTACATTGCCTCCGGCACCAGAAGTGCAGTTGACTCCGGAAGAACAAGAAGAATTTGATCGGAAACGAAGAGAACGCGAGAAGCGCGAAAAAGCGCTGGCAGAGCGTGAGAAACGGGTTGAAGAAGACAAGCGCAGACAACGTTTTGAGCAAGGGCGTGGCAAGCATCTTCTCAGAGAAGGTGAAGCCGAGATTGCCGAAGCAATGAGAATCAACAAGGATGGATTGCGCAGTCATATGGCTGTGGATGAATCGCCGGCGGGCGAGCAAGAGAAGACGAATCAATAAGTTATGGACTGAATACAGAAGAAATTCATATATATCGTTTCGTACATTCTTATCCGAACCGCTGTAATCACTGTACAAGCTTCAAGTTGCAGGATCGTAGAAAAGGTTGAAAGACAAAACTGACCTAGGCATAATCTAATGTTATATGTAGTCACAAACATGCTTCATTTTCGAGGGTATCATTGTAGATTAACAGAACACCAATCTCCCTTCGTAAAGGGTCGTCCTCATTCCACATAATTCATTTGAATCTCCAATCGTCCCAATCTTCGTCTTCGTCGTCGTCGTCACTGTCGCTTTCCTCTGCACGGGGTTCCTCAGAAACCATAGGACGGTCCTGGGCCTCATCGCGCGCACGTTTCTCTCTTAGTTCTTCACGCATATGTTTCAATCTGCGGACGCGTTCCTCAAGTTGATCCATCTCATCGAATTCTTCTTCCATAAACCGTGCCGCATCCTCGCGGTCACCCTCCAACTCTGCTTCGCGGGTTCGTGACGTAGTTGCGTTGTCTTTTTCTTGCTGCACTGCGAGTTCATCTGCGGAAACAGGTGCAGCGGATATTGTGGCCGCCGCGGAAAGGGCAGCTGGTGCCTCTGGCATTCGGCTTGGTTCGGCTACCTCTCGTTCGAATGCAGCCCACTCATCTTCGTCCACGGTCCCAGGGACCTCTTGTGTTGGCGCTGAGGTTGTTGCTGCTTGATCTGATGGTTGTTGGGAAAGTGCAGGATCCTCTTCGACTTCGTCAACGGGGAGATCCGGTCCAGCGACACCATCCTCTTCCACAGGCTCCAGTATCTCGCTAGTCGTAGGGTCCTCAACACTCCTCGGTGATGGGTCCGCTGGCGCGTCTGACGGGGTGACAGATTCTAAGCTTGTTGATCGTAATTTCTTTCGCATCACGCCATCATTATTATCGACCTTGCGTTTCTTGGTGACGCGATTTCCCGTGGTGTTTGGCGACGTGCCCTTGCGCGAGGCTAGTTCGTTTCGGAGAAGGGATCGTACATCCGCCATGATTCTGGAAGGGAAGAAGATCGGCTGAATCGTCGTTTGGATGATGAAGAGGCAGAGGAAGGGAAAAAGTCTAGAATTATGAGAAGTTTCAGGTTGGTTTGCAAAGTGGATTTTGCCTTTTGCGCAGAGTGGGGAACCTGGAGAAGCTTCGGGCTGAAGCAATCAGCAACTAGATTAATTATGCCCTGGTTCATGATCATGTGATCTGCTGACCTCAGCAACAAAAGCCACCGATTTCATTCTCTCCTTGGGTTCTCTTGTGTTCCGTTCACATTCCATCCTTCTTATTCACCCCACAACACCTTACCATCGCCTTTGTGTTGCGTGCTAGGGCGCATGTCGCTGATTCAACTGCCGCGTTCGTGCTCTTTTCTGAATCGCCACTGAAAGCGCTACTACTTCAATTACCGCACGCGACCCCGCTCAAGCTTAGGTGTCGCGACTGACGCGCAGCAAGGGATCGCAGACTACGTCAAAATACATCCCAACACATCCCAGCGTATTGCTTCTTGCCACCATACTGCGCAGTTGTCCCCAAACAGAGCGGGAGGATCGGCTTTGGTGACCAAGTAATACCGTTCACCACAGTGGGCTTTGTCTTTCCTCTTTTGTGTATTACCTTAGCCCCTTTGAAGCCCGTAGAGACTTTTCGTGATTGCTGGGGCAGGCGCGCATCTGTTGAAGAAACAGAATTATTCTTTCTTTCTTATTTTGATCGCGCCGTGTAGTACATTTGGGTGACCTAGCCCGCGTTTGTGTCATGGCTGGTAAGCAATCGTACACCAACCATCTCCCAGGTGCTGCCTTACACGCAACCCGCCATTGGGAGAGGACCGGCAGCAAAGACCGGCAGCATCTGAATAGCCCGCTAATAACTATGCCAGACGAACCACGACGATCGGGTCGAGCGACCAAAGGCCAGCACAAGAACCTCGAATTACCGGACGCCCCATCGAAGAAAGGCAAAGGCAAGAGCCCCAAAGAAAAGTCCGGCAGCAAAGCCTCCGCGGAACCTACCCCGGGACCTAGCGAAGATGGAGAAGAAGAGGAGATCATTCGATGCATTTGCGGCGAGTACGAAGAAGAGGAGGATGTGGAGCGAGACATGATCTGCTGTGACCAATGCTCAGCATGGCAACACAATGACTGCATGGGCCTTGTATTTGCCAAGGGCGCCGAGCCGGACCAATACTACTGCGAACAATGTCGACCCGAGAACCACAAAGAGCTGCTGGAGAAAATCGCCAGGGGTGAAAAGCCTTGGGAAGAGGTTGCCGAGCGGCGACGACAGGAGGCTGAGGATAAGAAATCTAAGCGCAAGAAGGGCAAGAAGGGGAGTAGCCGGAAGAGCCGACCCAGCGAGAGCAAGACGGAGGCTAGCACTCCTGCTCGCACTGGAACATCGGCAACACCTGGTCCTCCTCACTCCCCCACCCCAGCAGCAACAGCATCGGCCGAGCCAGAGAATAATGGACACGCTGGAGACTCGCGACGGTCTAGCACCAACAAGCGCAAGTTGGAGGAGAGTGTGGAGGCGGACGCGGCCTTGGTAAGAACACGTTTTTCTCTTGGGCGCACATTCAGTAGGCTAATATGTTTGATACAGGGCCCCCAAGTGAAGCAGCAACGGACCTCCCCGCCGTCTACTACTGTAGCAGCTACAAAGGTCAAGATTGAGTCTCCTCCCGTCGCCACTGTGGAAGAGCTTGTGCTGCCTGCCCGCAAGAGTGCTGCCAATGCTCTCATCAAGTTCTTTGTAGACCAGATTACTGCAGCTCAGAAGAAGGAATCCTTCTCCTTGCCCGATGGGCAGTCGGCAGAAGATACTGCACGGCAACTCGGTCTCTCTGTCGAAGGTGCCATGTATCAGAACATCTGCGAGGGGACAGGGGAGCCTACTGAACCATATAAGTCGCAATTGCGAGCGATCTTGTTCAACGTAAAGAAGAATCATTCTCTACGGGATCGTTTACTTGTAGGTAGTGTCTCATCTGACACACTCTCTATGATGAAATCCGAGGAGATGGCCAGCGAGGAGTTGCAGCGAAAGGATGCAGAGATTAAGCGAGAAGCAGAGCGACAGCACATTATTATCCAAGAGCAGGGTCCACGAATCCGTCGAACACATAAAGGAGAGGAGCTTATCGAGGATGAAACCCACAATGTGGCAGCAGAATCTGTATTCTCAGCCATTCCGCGCCGAGCAACTGATGCCGATGGCAGCCCTGGAAACCAGAGCCCAGTTACTCCGAAGGTAGCTCAATCGAAAGGTGACGGGCAATCTCGAGGTCATTCCCCGGACGGTGGGCATGGAGACCATGTCTTCCCAGAGGTTGCTCCCAATATCCGTGAGCCAGTCCCTCGCGGCACAATTCAGGCGGATGCCGAGATTGATCGGATGCTGCAAGAGGATGAAATCGAGTCTCCACCGTATTCACCGCAAGAATTTTCTGACGAGGGCGTTGTCTGGCGCGGTAAAGTTACTATGGAGCCTGTGGCTAAATTTTCGTCCACTGCGAAACATGTTTGCGGTGCAGAACTAAGCGGCCGGATTCCTTGGAGTCAGTTGGCACCTGAGGAATTGCTAGTAGATGGCCGAATTGACATTGCGCGAGCAAACAATTACCTTTGCGGTTTGCGGTGGAGCTCCTCAACGGACGTGTCCGTCATCGCAATCAGTAGCCCTAGTGGGGACGAAGATCGTGAAGGTTTCAATAGACTCTTCAATTACTTTTACAACCGTCAACGTTACGGTGTCATTGGCAAGCACCCCCTCCCCGCCGTCAAAGACACCTACATCGTTCCTCTTGAAAAAGACACAACCAAACTTCCTGATTTCATCAACCTCCTTGAAAACACGAATCTCGGCGACGGTCTCATTGAGGAACGTCTCCTCCTCATTGTCTTTGTCGTCAAGACCGGTGACTCTCAACCTCCCTCCGTTCAACCTTCCTCTCACCAGCCCAGCATGGAGCCCCAAGCTTCAGCAAGCCCCCTCACGGCAGCTGGTAACACGCCTCAAGCTGCTTACGGTCCAGCTTCCCGGCAGTTCCCTGGCTTTACTCCTTCATCGACCAATCCTACTGCTCCCAACCAATTCCCTTCTGGCCAGATGCCGCAGCAGCATCCTCTCCCGCCTTACCAACCAGGTCTCATCGGCATGCCCGCAGCCTTGCAGGTGCTGGGTGCACAGGCAGTGAATTCGCCTGCCATCCAGAAACTCCTCCAGACCGCGCCCAACGTGGACACGGCCCAGTTGAACGTCGTGCGCGACATTCTTGTCCGCCAGCCCGCCGCCGCCGCGAACTATGAAGCGCTGATGCAGGCGCTCTTCGACACTCAGGCAAACGGCCACGCCTGATCCACTTCTACGACGTCATGCCATTACCTTTGTACTGTACAGTTCTCTGATTTTCGATACTGATTGCGGTGGGCCAAGGGACTGTTAATTGATATCCGGTGTTCAGGACGTTAGGTCCTTGAGGGGGTTTATGGATATGGGATACCAACACAGGATAGCCATAACTCTGTGAGCTAGTCCTCAAAATGCAATTTTCTGGTCTGTGCCATTCAAGGTCCTCGTAATTCTACTGTAAACCTTCCTGGGCCATCAATTCTCTTCTTGAATAGTTGTTAACCATTGCCGTTCGATCTGACGGCCCTCACCGTCCGGTCCTCGTAAAATATATTTCCCACATTTCAAGATTGTCCCCCGGAGTCGGAATGGGCCTTTTACATGCTAACGCTCTCCTGTAGCTCAAATCCTACAAACAATCACTACTGATTACACAATACGTAACATTGGAGAACATATCTTTTCATAAACATGAAGACAATGTATGAGACAAGACAGGGATATATTGAGCACATGGCAAATAACTTCCCATTGCCGAGCATCTTCCACGGAACAACGCCAGCGCTATGCAAAAACACCAGAATAAAAGTACCACGAGACCCGTAATAAATTCCCACAACCCCTCACCACCGTCCACCACGACGTCTGTATCCTCCACCGCCTCCACCTCCACCATAACGCGAACCACGGCCAGCGTTTGCCCGACCACCTGCACTGTACGGATCTTCCTCCTCGTGGTGACGCACTGGGGGCGCACGACCCTTCAGCTCAGCGCTAAGCTTCTTCCAAGTCTTGCGCATATCCGAGTATCCCATATGCATCTTTCCGAAGAAGTGATCAGCCAGTCGACGGTCATTATCAAGTCGACTCAGGTAGGCGCCGCAGACGTCGCAAACTTGTAGCTTCTGGTGTCCGGAGGGACCAGATGTATCCTGCAGGTTCTTGAGATCGCGCTCGGCAGCCTCCTTTTGGTATTTAGTTGTTCGGACCTTATGCATTTCGTTCATGGCCATTGCGACGGAGCCGGTTTCGCCGAGGACGGAGACCTCCAGGAGGCCTGTGTTGATTGTGTTGTTGAGGTCGGCGATTTGCTTAAGCTGTAGCGGGTAGCGATAGATTAGAACCAGCACTGTCTATCATATGAAATGAAAGTCAATTGCAGAAATTGGAACATACCAGGTCGTTAGTTTGTCGGATCTCATCCGGCGTTTTCTCCAGACGGCGCTGGGCCGTGTCGATCCTCCGGTCACAATCATCAATGTACTTTTGCATATCGCGCATGTAGTCGAATTCGAAGCCCCATTTTGCCTTATCTGCCGACGAAGCTGTGTCGTACTCCGTCTTCAATCCCTCGCTATGTACTTTCGGGCATGGGCCAAGATCTTGCTTGGTGTTGGTGAAGAGGTCGTGAGGGCAGGTGCCTACAAGGTAGGAGCGGCAGACTTTCGCGTCTGTGATGGCAAGCTGAGCATTGCGACCCTGGGCACCAGTACCAATCAGTTGGTCAGCTGGAAGGTAGGTTGTTGTTAGCTTGGTTCGGAGAACTTGGTGGGTTCTTGGAGCTGGAATGATAGGTGTTAAGAGGGGGGAGTGACATACCGCCCATAAGCTGCTCGAGCAATTTTCTCTGTTCTGCAGCCATATTGAATGCGTCACACGGTAGGGCAATTCAAGGTAACAAGATCTCTTTGGCAAACTGGGTAAGTAGAGAGTTGGAGGTTTTTTGATGCTGGCGCCAAGGAAGGCGGTGAGGCGCGGTCGCCCCAATATGTTCCAGCTCACATATCACAATTCTCAGGGCTGTTCGAGCAAGTCATGGGACTCAGAAGCACTTCATTTGAGTAATACCAAGCTTTGAACCGGTCTAGATGGCTCGTCGCTAGTGATCCTATGCAAAAAGCAGTTGTGACTCAATTTAGTCACTGGTCGTTTATAGCGCGTGCAGCGGGCGCGAGCATGTCAATCTTATGGGCAGCGACAAGGAGCCAAGTAGACATTCACGTTATTTAACCAAAGTCATTTTTTTGGTTGCGAATTTCATTGCTATTAATAATACATTATCTCGTTGAAGACGTGATGGCCGCCACCATGATTTCGAACATCTCCCAGATACCCCGCAAAGAACTGGGGCAAACAGGACTGAACCAATATCTATCAAGGCAAGAAACCTAGCTCTAAAGAGCAAGCTCTTAGCCCCGAGCATCGAGTTTAGCTCGAAGGCCCAGGCTTACTACGCCAGTGTCAGCAATGCAATTAAGCAGATACCCGAGAAACACTTACGGTGCAAGGACATTTTTCATAGTCCCCCATCCCGGCCAAGTGTCCGAACCACCAGGCTTTTGGGTCATGAAACTATGATCCTCATTGGCACACGTTGGTTCACCACTGGCAGTCGTCGGCTTCACATTCCCATCAGCATCATCTATACGCTGCATGAAATTGTCTCTGGCATGGTTCTTCTGTTCCTTCAGACCAAGTGCTTCCCCCATTGTGCCACGCGGATTGGCGGCCTATAGATATGGACATCCGAAATTAGTATTGTTTGCTCCTTAATGGTATTGTATGCATACCTCAACGTGTCCAAATCCCTCACGAGGTTCATTGGGATCGTGGGATCCGCCTTTCTGAAAGCCAGTATCTCCCCAGCCGGTGCCTCCGCCTACGTTGTTGGCGGGGGTGGGTGTGGCGCCGGAGCCGCCAGAGACGGAGGTACGAGGGTGGTTGTGGGGGGGTGACTCAGGCATTTTCAATGTAGACTTCGATGAGTTTATTAAGAAGAAGAATCCAAGCTTGATCCCAACGTTTCAGTGGGATTATTCAGTGGTATATATCAAGATGGAAGGATGGAGAGTATGAACACAGTATTTTTGGAAGTCAATTCTCTATGGCGAATTCCCCCTCCTTTCGTATGACATACATTCCCTGAGACATTGATATCATGGGGTGGAATCAAGGTTGGATCGAGCCAAATGAAGTCATCATGAGCTTGACGTCCGGGCGCCTGGGTTGCTATTGGCCAACAGCCCGGCTCAGTCAGCAAGATGTACACCTAAGGCAACAGTCTTCATAATATAATCATTGGCCCCGATTCCAAGGTTATTTTAAAGTTTCAATATACCTGACACACATCGTCGTGGTTAGGTGTTTGGTATCCATTGACGGGAATTATGGGGCGAACTAGTATGGGCATGATACAGGATCCCAGCGGCCCGTTACAGTGGAGACTGCCCCGCCTGCATTAACAAGGCCTGGATATTCCTTGAAATGTATATCCTTCCAAGGTTGAAGGTATACCCAATCAAGGCGAAACGCTTCCTATTCCTAATCGAAGTACATAGTTAGTAGTTAAGAGCGGGTGGTGGTAACGTTATAAATCCATGTGGAAATTTACTACAGCCACGCATGCGAATATATATAAAGCTAGACTTGACGTAAGGATCTTTCAACGAGGATTATCTCGATCATATTTCATGACCTTCAAGGCCGGCCAACACTGTAACAACATAGCCCCGACCATCATACACCCCGCAAAGACCTGAGCTCGTAGAAAATAAGCCGTGTCAAGATTGATCAACGCTCCCGCAATCGGTGCCCCAGCCAGTGCACCTAACGAAGAAATCCCCCACATCATACCCAGCCGAGTGCCCATATACCTCGGATTAGGACAAAAGACCGGATGCGCAACAATAGAAGTTGGAGCTGTCACAAGCACACCACTCAAAATACCCCAGTAGCACGCCCACACAATAAACCCGGGAATGTTGGTGACAGCAATCCAAGTGAACATTGCAATAGCCGAGGCCGTAACACAGAACGTCAAAATGATGATCGGCTTCACATACGCAACGAGTAAGTAGGGGACAATGCGCCCGAAGACGGAGGACCCATTCACAATAGCGACCATGTAGAATGCCAGACTGGTCGTTGTTTGCACGGCTGTTTCGGCGTAGGAGGCGACATAGAAGATGGGGACGTAGTATGCCAGCATCACGCAAGTAAGCGATACTGAGAAAAGCATAAATGGCGGCTCGCGGAATGCGGTCCAGTCGATCAGGCTGCGTGCTCGAGATTGATGGACTGGGCGGCAACAGAGGATTGAACAGGCGATGATGGCCATCAACAGGCTTACGAAGCCGATGCAACGCACTGCCCATGGGAACCCGATTTTGGGCTGCAGTTGGCGGAACATCACGGGGAAGATGACCGCGCCAATACTAGATCCAATTGATGCACAGCCGATCGCGATGGGACGTTTGGTGGTGAAGCTTGTTGAAACCACTGCCAGAGCTGGGATGTAGGAGATGCCACCACCCAATCCGATACAAAATCCTTGTGCGAGAAGAATCTAAAGCATTGTCAGTTATACTTCGCTGAGTCGACCCAAGAAGCATGTTACCTGGTAATACTCTGTCGCAAGACTGGTCATCATCAATCCAAAGACAGTCAAGAAGCTCCCGATCACCATCAACGGGCGCAGATATCCTGAGTCAACCAATGGCCCGGAAACTATACCAACCATAGGGATCAGCGTTGCTTGAACACTTCCCACCCAGGAGATCGCCGAAGGCGACTGATCAGACAATAAGACAGTTGTATAGTACTCCTGGAAAGCGCCGTAGGTTGTAAGAATTCCCCTGTGAGCATATTAGCGCAGTACACATCAGTTCAATCTGGGAAAAACCGACCAGGAGTTTACAAAAACACAGAATAAAGCTATCACAGCCAACCAAGCCTGTAAACCTCCATTGATCTTCGGTTTGGCAATTTCATGGTGTTGAGTGCAAATCTTCGCCTCTGGGGCTGTATATTGTTGCTGGGTACTGTTCTCACCACCCGAGGATACCTTCTCTGCCATATCCGCGAGCATTCCCTCTGCGAACCAGCTTGACATGCATTTTGAACACCTGAACCCTTTTAAAGACGTGGTTTTACCCCGATCCTCCACAGTGGGGGCCCGTACTCCATGGGGTTTCCATTAGTCAAACGAATGAGGTGCCCGTTTTTCGGTTGGCACGGCAGTCATTAGCCGAGCTCTACCGATGGGATCGTGGGCCTGAACGGTGATCTCCGTCCATGTCAATCTCTCTGTTGAGCTTGGAAAAAGGTCCATAGGTAGACGAGCTTTTGTATAATATTGCGAGATGTTTTTTGTTCACACCGAAAGAGGCCATCGACCCTCTCGATGCACTAGGCCCAAAATGGATGGCGACTTTGATATGAGATCATGCAAATATTGAATCTAGCAGAGCCCGAAGCAATGTTTGATACCTTCAAGAATGAAGGTAAGAGCTCAAGGGTGGTCAATTGAACTTGGTTGGATGAGGAAACAATGCTGAAATGATAGCTACATAGCAGGCGTGGACATGGCTTGAAATGTATTCGGTAGAATATTAAATTAGTTCAATACTCTCATCTGACTTCACCCACTTACCTCTATTCACTGCAAAACAACGTGCAAATAAGCCCTCCAGTGAATTCACCAACTCACAATCTTTGCTATTATTCCACCTCTCTCCCTCCTTACAACACCTACCACTCTTCCCTTCGAACAGAATCCCACTCAAGCAACGCTTCTTTGAAACAATGTCTGATTCCGGTACTGAATTTCGAGGTCCACACCCGGGATACCCATCTTCTTGGAACCGAGAGTCTTCCTGGTTCCGAGAGGAGCATCTACCACACCCCCGACGTACGTTATAACCCCAACATCCAACAGAATAAACATTTACTGATACCATTACAGGCATGGTTCGAGATCCATGGGAGGGCACGCTGGAGTCCGGGCTTGCTGACATGCACGAATTCCATCTGAAACACCACCGCAAGGAACTGGAATGCATTGGCGAAAGGATGCGGGCCAATAAACCCAGGAACTCGATTCATCAGCTTGCTGAAGATGCCTCTCAAATCAGCTCATATGCATGTCATCTGATGGAAGAGGCTGGAAAGATCGAATTCAACGCGCTTCAGATGAGCAACAAGATTCATGCACATGCATCGATGAAGACTACAATGAAGACGAGGGCGGATGTGGCAGGTCTGGAGGCAAACGTGGCCAGTCTTAATGAAGCCGCCGCGAAAATCATCAAGTCTGCCGCCGAGGTCTGCGCTCAGGTTGCAGAGATGAACGTGAACATGATGCGAATCAGTGCGGAAGTCAATGATGCCAGTGCGAGCAAAGCGAAGGAGGATGTGAGTGGTGCTCGGGAGACCGAGCAGCAGGAGTGGCGACGCAGGAATAAGGCCAAACATTGTGAATCGGGTGATTGTGATTATTGGGGAGGTGTGGGCCCTTGGCACACGAACATACCAAAGAATACAGCAACCTTTTGGCTGGATCGACCGAATACTACACCCATTAATCACAGCCTATGGGGCCCGAGCATGGGAAGCCATCATAGATCAGTTGATAGCTACGAACAGCGACGAAGCCAGAATAAGGGTATGAATGCTGCATCCGCTAACCACGGCGAATGGGACACGAACACAGTAAGCTATCATGGATCAGCTGATAGCTACGAACACCGACGGATCCAGAACAAGGGAGAGGAGGTTGACAATGATTCCTGGGTTTAGGCCAAGACGGAGATCAACAAAAATTGATAATGTTTGAGGGCCTGCAAAAGTCTCACATGCACCACATGATCCGACGAACTTGATGATACCCAAATGATGCATGTGCTCTGATATTGTGCAATTTGATAGCAATGATATTTACACTAAAGTGTCTTTCCCTGTAAATTGTAATGAAAGGCGATTAGTAGTTTCGCCATAGTTACCGTAGTATAAACATGAAGTCAGTATCTGACCAGCGCGCAGCTTCGATCCAACAGTCGCACGCCGTTAGGGGCGTTTTCGCAGCAGACCTCGTTGCGTTGGACATGCCGATCTCCACCAGTTTTGGCAGGCGATAATCCATATTCAGATCATAAATGACTGCCAAGCATGTCTCGGAGGTCATATGCCCTCCTGCAATTGTTTCAGCACTAGGCAGATGCACATCGGGTGAGGTTTATGAAGGAAGTGGGTTGTTTTGGTTGGGTGCGGGCTAGCGTGTGCTAATAATACTTTTCGCCCCGTGCACATCAACCCCCTTCTTATTATAGTCCGTGAACTGGAGTTTGAATTCGGACTTTCACATTGGTGAATTTTTAGATTCGAGGTCCGAAAGGGCTTGCCGGCAAAGGCCGGGCAAAGAAAGCAATTGACTTCATTGTGGCCAAGGAGGGGGGCAGGACTGGAAAGGCAGGATAGAATTAGTACTTGCATAGCATAATGATAGGGGCTTTTTGAGCATCAGGGAAATACCTTATGTTTTGAAGAATTGAGCTCAGTGTATGAACCTTGGAAGCACTGGATTTTTGTTAGAGTCCTCTGACGCATGATACTGCCTGGCTCGGAGAGTCCATGGCTTGTCGTTACTGTATAAGATCGTACGATAATGATTGGTTTCAATGGACAGCAATCATAATTCCAAAACGAAAGAAATGTCTCATAAAATTTAGGATGGGCGTCAGTAGAAGGTGACCTAGAGTAAACAAGAGTAGACAAGAGTAGTAAAGGCATTTCCCTGGGGAATGAGACGAAGTAATGACAGCAATGAATGCCATCGAAGGATTGGATAATAACAGTCGTTTTTCATTGGCCCCTATCCGGGAAATCTAGGAAAATACATGTACGGAGTACCAGAGTGCTCTTGTTGTCACACATGACCCCTCCATTTCAGGGGGAACAACGTAATCCAGGGCATACGAGTACGTAGAACTGGTGGTCATGTCATCCCGTGCGCTCTACTTCCGTAGATTACCCCCAAATCTGAGTCCTATGAACTGATCCACCCATGACGGTATACGTGGCTATGGTAAAGACAGCGATGACCTGCCCCGGCCGAACCCATTGACCTTCATCGGCCTTCACCGTGCTTCTCCGTCAGGCATCAACCCGGGCACATTCACACGTCTATTATGCGTTGGCATTTATTTGGCATTTCTTCACCGACTGAAGCAAACCTTCGCATATTGCCCAAGGTAATGCCTCGTAATTAACTTTACCCGGTGGCATGGATGCAGTGGACCGTATCAACTGACTTCCCGCTCGTGACGTGGCCGGGACCATATACAGATCGATAGTTTGCAAGCGCAATAGACTATTACGACGGCAGCAGATAAGCTCAGCTCATCTATAGCCAAGTCTATGGCGACTTGTAAGCCAAAATGTCAAAGTCTTGGCATGAGATTCAGGGGAGATTATTCCCCCTTTCCATTAGTAATGGAGTTTGTATGACTCAATAGTATGGAAAATGAGGGGTTTTTCTTTTGATTTTTGATTTTTGATTTTTTCAAATTTTCATACATATTTTGTAGATGTAGCCCTAAACGACCAGAAACTGCATGAATCATTGGACAGGGCATCGATACAGTAATATAAGGGAATGAAAAAAAATGAAAATCCTCAGATCGATCCATGGTAGCCTGTGCATTCAGGAACGAATGTCACCTGATTGGATGGGGATGAGATTGACGATCCACTTACACGTTGCCACCGCACAATTCAACCATTGGATTCGTGTACCTGATTACCCTGTCCCATGGATACCGGGCGCGCAGAAGTACGGGTGTGCCTGACCCTTACAGAGTGCATGGCTTTGACACATGGCGAGTGATCCGAGGATCCGACACGTCTGGTTGACACATTGAACGATTTGAATTGTCGCATTCCTGGCTCGTATACTTCATCTATTCGTATCTGTTCACCCACGTAATAAGCGAGACGTTGGGAGTGAAACCTGTACAGAGACAATGGAGGGTGGCTTTGACATCCGATAAGCCGAAAAGCAAGTCCTCGCACAAGTCCGTTCCCCACATCACACTATGACGAGTCATCTCTTCTGATTTCAAGCCATGAGTGGCTCCACTCGAAAACAAACCGCGCTCTCACCGGGGTTCCTACTGGTTCCTGACTGACCCGACAGCCCCATCCCGGTGGAGGTCCGATCTCCATTATCTCCATTCAGTTGCGTTCCTGGCGCCCTTCCAGCGAATCATCGCAGAGAAACCGTTAGGTACACAGGCCCTCTCTGAAAGTCCGGGCCAACCATAATTCACTAGCGATCTCGGGAAGTCAGGAACCAGAAGGGGCGTAGAAAGGCTTATGGCGTCTAGATTGCGATGGACGGCCCCATTAGTGGAGAGTAGAGTTAGACTGGTGCCTTTTGGTATTTTTGGGTAATTTTTCTATTATTTTTCTGTGTGTTTCAGGTTTTCTTTCACTTTCAGGCTCGGGGGTCTCTTCTCCACCTAGAACATAAAGAGCTGACGACTTCCCTTTCCACTCTTCTCCTTCTTCCTTTCTTCACCTGCTGTCCTTTCGATCCAATCCGGTCCCACTCATTCATTTACCCATTGAAATCGAGGCTGAGCCTTCTTTCAATATCCAATCCTTATCAATCTCGTCTGTAGAACAGGCATAACCAGACCGGTCTTTTCGATCCAATCTTTCGATACCCAAGTTCGCAATCGAACCGTCCCTGTTGATCTGTTCTCCATAAGATCCAAATCAAAAACACCAATCTATCCACTATGCGCGTCATCGCTGCTCTCGGCCTCGCCGCCCTGACCGGTATGGTCTCGGCTCACCCCCACGGCCACGCTCACCACCACGACAAGCGTGCTGTTGTTGTCGACGTTGTCACCGAGGTCGAATGGGTCACCATCCACCCTGGCGACGTTGTCGCTGAGCCTACCTCCACTGAGGCTGCCGTTGTCCCCACCTCTACCAGCGAGCCCGTCGTCCAGGTCGCTGTTCAGGTCGCCTCTACCAGCTCGACCTCCAGCTCTTTCGTTCAGCCTACCCCCATCGTGACCCCCACCTGGACCACCTCGTCTTCCGTTGTCGCCAGCTCCACCTCCGACGTCATTGAGACCGCCACTGCCACCGGCGGCTCCGGTGTCAGCATCGTCAACAACCTCGGCACGACCGTCTACCTCTGGACCACCTCCGAAACCTCCGGAGACATGGTCACCATCGAAGAGGATGGCTCCTACACCGAGGACTGGCAGATCAACTCCGACGGTGGCGGTATCTCCATCAAGCTGTCCACCTCTACCTCCGAGTCCTCCGTTCTGCAGTTCGAGTACACCAAGGAGGACGAGACCATCTGGTGGGATATGTCCTCCATCAACCTGCTGAAGACCTCCATGTTCGTCGAGAAGGGTTTCTCCGTCACCTCCAACGATGCCTCTTGCTCCACTGTTACTTGTGATGCTGGTGATGAGGACTGCTCTGAGTCTTACCAGATGCCCGATGATGTTGACACCCGCAGCTGCTCTTCCAGCGCTGCCTTCACTCTTACCCTCGGTGCTTGAGTGAGTTGATATGGATGATGTTCCACCTTACATCTACATTGTTCCCTATTATTCTTTGTGATTTACATTTTTGAAGAACATGTCTTTTCTCATGAATACGGGTTCCAAAAGTAAAAGTGCTTTTATGGAGTTTATACGAATAGACATGACTTACGCATCAATGGAATGATCTCACTTCAATGAAATCATTACTGGTTTTACGAATTTCGTCTTGAGTAGTCGACGCCGTATTTGTAAATTGGTCAATGAGATCTTTCAAGTCTAAACTCAAGCCCGTTGCTTTTGCCGAAATCGTAACTTACGAACACCTGTTACCCAATTGAATGTTGACCATCCATTTCTGACGGCATTCACTTGAATGGACTTGGAGTACCCACGCCACCTGAATTTTTCTATTTCATTCACTCTTATAACTCGCTAAACATGACATCTACCAAAATGGAAGTTTTCCTTCTCTACTAGCACTAGTGTAACGGAGGCGAAATGTCTGAACACCGTTAACCAGTTATACTTTGCCAATACCTCCTTATTGTTAGGGTTTGTCTGCAGGCCAAGACGTTCTAGATTGGCATTAGGCCTGACAGGGCTGACATTCCACCGTATCCCTTGGGGATCCACTTTCCATGTGGAAGGGCTGGACCTCCACCAAGTTTCCACATATTGAAAAAGACGGGTGCCAGCTAGCATAATAATATTCAAAACCCGAGTCGCTATGGTCTAGACGGTCATTCAACACATGTTCGCTTCAATGTGACTTCCAAAACTGTAGACTGCTAAGAAAGACACTCCAAAAGAGAGAGAGCATCGAAATCATTATAGAAATCGGGATAGATGGATCTTGTAAATCCGTGCTATGCCCCCCGGGTATGATTCAATCAACAAAGAACGCCAATAATGGTAAAATACAGATAAAATTGTAGAAAATAATCCATCGTATGCTGATGATTTCGCGAGCATAGATCTCCCAGAAATCTTCTCGCTTGTCACCTGCTTCCTCAAGTTCGGTCCTTCTCCTCGGGAGGAATTCCAGGATGTCGAAGGAGTGAGCTCCCATCATTTTACATGTATGGTGCAGATGGATTGATGGCCGCGGCTTGTGACACGCATAGAAGCGTTTTGTGCATTCGTGCTCCGAGATCGGGGATATGTTATTAATTGGTTTTGGCAGATACACGTAATCGGTGTTCGCAAGGTCAGGGAATGCGTCCTTCTTGATGGGTGCAAATACGTGGTCATCAAACTTTTCGAACTGTTGTTTGAGTTAATTCGAATGCTCGGAGTGCAGGACAGGAGTGATCACTTTATAAAAGTCACAGTGGGAGTACCTCCACACACTAAACCGACCGCGTAGTATACCTCTCAGGCGAAAATATTCCTTCTTAAGTATACAAAAGAAGGCGCGCGAACTTAGATTATCCACGCAGATCTGTACTAGTCTATAATCTTCACCTTGTTTTGCGAGGAAAAGAACGCGGTTCTGTGTAGTGCTCATATTCAACGTTTCATCCTCCAGTCCCGTTGATTGAACATGATCTGAAGGATTGGAAGACGGGTTGCCTAGCTGCTGACTTCCATGGCGTTGGTATGAGACCTGGTCAGACACTTGACTATTGTTCGGGGCGCTGTTTGGGGTCAAGTTGGATCCAAGAGGAGGCAGTGTATTCTGCTTTGCCGCGGTATCCAGGGGAAGAGTTCTGATTATGGATCTAAGGCGTTTGACAAAAGCAATTAGTGCCTCTGCCATCTCTCTTCACCACATACCTATGACACCCATCAGTACCTACTTATATGCTAAGTAGAGCTGGATACAATCGATACCCACACACTTCTATCGTAAAAGTGTCTCTGATGCTTTCAGTGGTCTTACACATTGAGGTAATGGCCACCAATCCCAACGCTCTCCGGCCCAACGCTCGAGTATGTGTTGATAGTAGCTGACAAAGCTGAAAAATGGAGATACATCTTGATGCCAGTCAAATTGAAATTCGTGAGGATTCACATGCTGTAATTCTGTGATAAGATTTCGTACTTTATACCGCACAGCATCGTGCTGGTTCTGGGATTCCGAAGTTGACCACATTTTCGCCATATTCTGCATCTTAGAGTACAGCGAGGGCTGAACGAATTCTTCAAGCCGGTGTAGGAGGTTTTGGTAGGCGGTGCTTCCCAAAATATAGTGTTTAATTTGAGCCAGGTGTTGCAAAGATCCCTCATACGGCTCATTCTCCCCAAATTCCTCAGCCACGGACTCTTGGTCACTTTCTGCAGCAGGTTCTGCTATTTTGGGAGGACGACCCGGATATAAACTTTGGATATAATCTTCCACTCTCCTCTCCTGGATTGAACGATTTGCGACTGATGCAAGTCCGCGCTCTGTCTCTGGAACTGGAGGTTTGATGTTTAACTTTTCGTCAACGTCTGTCATGTTAAAGAGCTCACAGGTGATCCTGTCCGAATAAGAGCTGACGAAGCTCCTAAGGTCTCGGTGCAGGTCTTCCAAGATCTCTGCTTTGGGATAATTCGCGAAGTGTTGCAGCAGTCTGCGAAAGTTGTTTAGCATCCTTTCCTTTTCAAATTTGCTGTTTAGAAACGCCCACTGAAATCAGCGAGAGCAAGTTTTCATTCTCACGCAGCAGGGTTGCAAACTCCTGACCAAGAAATAAGTTTACCTCTCCGCTTCCAGGTCCCCATGAGCTGCTGCTGGGGCTGTAGTCTAGAGAAAAAACCGATTCATTATCAGTGGTTGGGTTGTGACGCCAAAAGCCTTTTCTATGTCTGGCCAGGAGCGGCTCGAGACGATCCATCTAGAATGTGGATATGCCGATTGTTGCCGGGCGATAAGTTCCAGAAGTTGATCTCGACCCGTAGTACATTCGTCGAGAGCATCAGTAATTAAATAGGTCGTACGTATCTGTTACCGCGGATCCTGAAGGATACTAATAAGGATTTGCGATAAAGTTTCCCAGGCATAAGCATCCTGAAAAAGCTGCTTCCCACGCTTGTCGTAGTATTGCCGAATATGGGAGATAAGCGAGGGTCGCTGATCAACGAGCATAAAGATTAGGCCACGAAGAACTGCATTAGCTGTGTTTGTCCGCGTGTCATTTGCCTGGCAGAAAATAAACGAGACGATCGGAGTCTTCGCAGCTGGTTTCATCGAAGTCTCGGAAGCAAAATTGATCAGCTCATCAATGATTCCACATACGAGCATTGTTTTGCCCTGCCCAGGGGCTCCACTGATCCTAAGCAGTTGATCCTGTCGCTCATAGCGCCATCGTTTGAAATAGACATTGTCAAGAATCCAGATATACACTTCTTTTAGTAGTCCTCCACTGAGCTCCTCAATACGCTGCTTGTCATCGCGAGGGTCAGTCATACGAATCCCGTAAGCAGTCTTCATTTGCCGATATGTCGATTTGTTCTGAGATGGGAAAACGGCGTCAGTGTGTGTTCCTCTAGCGAGACTTCATCTCAAGGTTCCACTTACCGGGAAGGAGATTAAAGGATTCAGACTCTGCATTGATAATGCCGTTGTTAATTCCTTTTTAAATCCAGAGTTTGTACCGTCTAAAGGATTCGTAGTCGCCATAATACAAGTAATAATATAGCTGGAATTGACTTGACGACTGTGGATGTGGATGCGGATCGTAAGCTAGCCATTTGGCCCCTTTTCTACTTATCAGGTGACCCTCATAGGCAATCAAGTATCAGAGAGTTTCACAAAACAATTGTGGTGTCTGTAGTGTTTTCGTGATAGTTTTCGATGAGTGAAATCGAGAATTACCATCGTATCAATATCATACCATGAGTAAGCTCGTGCTTTGAAAGACATATACATACCGCGTATTCCGTACCAAGGAGTTATGATTTTGAGGTGTGGCAATAAGGTGTAGTATAGGTATGGACCTCGAAAGTACCTGCATCAACATGATTCAGGAAAGACTTTCCGACTTGACGGATTACGTGCGAGATGAAACAGGAACAATGCTCAATGGGAAAATAAAATCGGTGGTGAATTCTAATTCTGTTTCAATTAAAATGTATAAGTTTATCCGTATAGAAGGGAATTCGACTCAATCGGAAACCTATACTACACGGCTAGGTACTCCCAGAGAAAAAGTGACCTGCACTTCAATATCCAGCGCTTAGTAAACGGGGACCTTGAAAGCGGGGAACTCATAAGTCCAGCTCTCATAAGAAGCCTTGTCAAAGACACAGTCGAAGGTAGAGTTATCCTTCCACAGGGGACGAGTTGGGAACTGGCACAGCATCTGGGTCTCACCAGCATAGTCGCCGGAAGAAACAGTTGAGTTAAGACGCATAGGCTTAACTCCGTTCTCGACCCAGTTGATCATGGTCTGCATGTTATCCTCGGGGTAAGGACCAGGCTGCAGGGAGTTAGTGCCACAGTGAGCAGCACCAGGGATAAGGTAAAGCTGGTACCAGTCCTTCAGCTTGGAGAGGCTCTTAGAGCTCGACATGCCGGGGTACATGATATCACGGACAGACTGCCAGTAGTGGACGGAGGAAGCGGTGGGGACAGAGTTGTCCTGCTCTCCGTGGTAGTGGATGAGCTTACCGCCGTTCTCGTGGAAGGTAGTAAGATCGGGCAGGGTAGTCTGGAGGGTATCCATGTAGCGGACCATAGCGGTGTTCATCCACTCGACGAGGGTGTCGTAGGTAACGCCTTCGAAGGAGGAGAGGTTATCGAGGTCAACGAGCTCGACGAACTTGGCGACGAATTCACCACCGAGGGAGGTGATGTCCAATTCCCAGGCATTGGTGTTGTTGTTCCACTCCGTCTCGGCGTCATCGAAGGAGGAACCGATTTGCCACGCAAGGTAGGCGCGCTCGCCCTTGCTGTTGTGGAGACCGTTGACGATGCCCTGGGCGACGGCGACGTCCTGGGCAGTTACGGTGCCGTTCTGAGCGGGTTCGTAGCTTGTTGTGCTACCTTCAGCACGCTTGCTGAAGCCGAAGCCCTGAGATGTGGCGGACTCAGCGGCGCAGTAGTACTTTGTGCCGATGATGGAGGACATGTTGAAGTTCAACATGCAGAGGTCACTACGGGCGATGACACCGTCGGTGCGGCCGTCGAGAGGGTCGCATGCCTTGATGGTCTCGTTGACGATCTTGGCCAGAGCGCAGGGGGAGGGTAGTAATCGAGGGTGTGCTCAACGGCGTTGGGGAGTAGGTGGTTAACCTGCTGCTGGCCGTAGCGGAAGGCGGGAGCACCAGTAATGGCACCGTCGTACTCATCTCCGTAGCGTTGAATCTGGCTCATACCCTCGCGACCGCCATCGGAGCAGCCCTCGTAGTAGGTGTAGAGCTTGGAGCTGGCGGACTGGCCGTAGAAGCCCTTTGTGAAATACTTGCCGAGCTTGGTCATCTCACCGAGTGCCTGGTAGCCGAACATGTGAGTGGCGTCCCAGTTGATAGAGCCGTTGCCGTAAAGGACGACCTCGTCGTAGGTAGTACCATCCAGGGCACCGTAACCAGCGGAGGTAGCACCTCCGACAGCACCGTACTCAAGACCACCGGTGGAAGTGGACGACAGAGAATAGCCACCACCTCCAGCAACATAGAAACGCTTCTTGTAGTCGGAAGGCTCAGGGAGAGCGTACTGAACGACAACAGTGTCGCCCTTGCCGGGGTGAGTGTAGGTCACAGTGACGTTGCAGTAGCTGTAGGACTCGCTAGTGGCGGTGTTGGCGGTAGCCAGCGAGGGAAGCACATTAACGCCCAGGATGGTACCGTTGGAAGGCAGAGCAGCCTTCACATTGGAAACGGTACACACATCACTGAGGGAGGTGGCACTAGCAGCCGCGGCGAAAGCCACAGCAGAGGCGCCTGTCTGAAGACGCATGATGAGTCAAGTGGAATGAGTGGAAGTGGTTTCCAAAAGAGTGAACTGGAGAAGAAGGATCACGAAGAGCAGATCAGACCCGACTTATAAGGCATTGGGTTGTCCATGAGATCCTCAATTCCAAACCACTAGACAAAAGCCAAGAAACGGCCAAAATTCCTGTTCAGGGGACGTGGCTTACGATTCAATGCTGATCTCCCGAATGGTAGACTGATCCCAAAGCATAAAAATGGGGCTAAGGGTCGCTATGGGACATCAAGGCCCTATAGAACTCCTGGCGTCGTCATCTCCTTCCAGGCACGGCCCGGATTTTCAACCATGAGTTTGGAATAGAACAGGGAAATTGAACGGCATTTGCGCGTTCAGGGTGCACAACGTCTTCGGCAGTGAGAGCATCATTTTCGTCAGGAGCAATAAAGTGCCTGATTATGAGGTAAGTGGTTGAATGAGTGGAAACTTGGAACCAATAATGGACTCTAGCAGGCAGTAGTGGAGTCAATGCCTGATAGAAATTAGACTATGGTTCGAGATTGGTGCAGAGGACGCGAATCGGTTAAAAACAAGGCCGACTTGGCCTGGGATCTGCAAAGGCTAAGTGCAGAAAAGGTTATCAAAACTGGGGAGTCCGCGTCACGACCCTAAATTTGTTACGGAATGTTGCGGAAAGTGGAGCTTGCGGCCCCTTGACGACCGCGGTTCCAGGCTCAGGCCACGTTCAGCAAGCAGTAAATCGGCTATTTTCCACGCATTCCGGCGCAGAACGATCGGAAATTTGAGGCTTTGTCACAGATCGTATCCACTTGAGTGTTCAAGGATGCCAAGTAAATGCTTGCTGGTTTCAAAAGTGTTATCGATCACTGAACTCTCTCAATTTGAACGGGTTGTTGGAATCTGACATGTTGACGAACTACAAGGTTTGGACGCGTCGCACACAGCCCTGGAGGCCCAGTGAACCAACAAGGCACCAGGCACGGGCTAATATCGTGGCTTTTGCGCCACACCCTGTCATGCTGTAGGTGGAGTGGAGAGATGTTCTTCGGCGGAGGACGGAGTAATTGTCCGCATGTGAGTAGAAATATATGACCTTGGTGAAACTTGATCTAAATTGAAGGTCCTTTGCACCGAAATTTGCTTTTGCATTAAGTCTCCGCTCGGGCGTGTCAGACATTTGTATCAGCCAGTGAATTCAGACTGATGAGCAAAATAAAGAAAAGTTCTATATTACTTGGCTTCTAACCTTGCGCTTGTGTAAATGGGATCGAGAAGTTGCCCTAACGACGTATCGTTGGAAGACTGTCGGGAGTATATGAAATTCCACAAAACTAAGACAGTATCTACAAGCTCGAAAAAGCAAAGGATATATCTCAGGCGGCTATATTTCAGATGCAGCGTTCATTAACAGCATGTGGGACCATGTGGACCATGCATGAGGGTATGTATCGAATTGCAACAATGTGTAGACAAGGATTTTTTTTTCGCGTCGTGAGCAATTGAAAACAAAAGAAAGTCATCAAAGGGCCAAGCAAGCCCAAAATAAAATACAACGCACTTGTCCAAAGTAAATCATCATTCATCAAATTGATCAGCCCAGCTTCCAGTCACAGGTGACATTGTGGACTCGAGTGTTTCCATTGACGGGGGTGGTTTAACGGGTGCCGGCGCTGGCGCATTGGCGTCCGTAGTTTTCTCCGACTTGACAGGTACCTTGCCTGCAGGGAGAGATGGGAAGTCGGCTTCATCATTAACGGCCGGCGTCTTAGAATCTTTGCGGTCGGATTGGTCCTTGGAAGATGAGCGATCCTGTGATCCACGCGAAGGGCCACGGCCACGGCCCCCACGCCCGCCTCGTCCTCGCCCCCGGCCAGGGGTGATGTGGCTAGGTTCCTCTGACGGCCCATCAAAATCTCGCCGCACCTGCCCAGACACACCACCATGCATGCCCCGGCGATATTGGCTTCCGCCACCACGAGGATTATAGTCATCCTCACGTTTCTCGGAGTCCCATTCGCGCCCAGTTTGGGCCTTGAGCTTACGTTGACGGTTCTGCTCACGCTCCTTATCCATAACTCGCCGGCTTGCCAGCTCTTCGCGCCGTTTTTTGGCTGCAATTTGCTCACGCTCCATGAAAGAAGCCTGATCGGCTTCAGCCCGTGCATGGGCAGCAGCTTTCTTGGCGGCGTTTTCTTTGGCAGCGGCCATGCGCTTGGATAATTCTGCCTCGGTGAGTTTCGCCTAGTAAAGTCAATAAAGATCCAGTACATACAGCCAGCGCAGCCCTGGAGGTTACTGGACTAACCTTTCTTAATCCTCCCGTTGCGCTGCGATCCCCTCGGACAGCCGGCACTCGCTGTGCATCCGGGCCATTGGCTGAGTCCTTTTTGCTCTCCTCATCCGGGGTGGACTGCGGCTTCTCTGTTTCTGGTCGCTTCTCTGCCGTCTCAGCCGGGGGAGCAGCAGGAGTAACCTTTGGCTCCGCCACATTCACAGGTGTCTTCTTCTTCCGCGGGGTATTATTCTCCGCAGTTTTCGGGTCCGCCCATCTAGAGTCTTGGAGACTGCGCCCCTGTTTCGCCTGACCACCGCGCCCACGGCCCCGCTGTGAATTGTCACCCCGCTGCGAAGGCTCGGCGCGCGGAGAAGGCTGCTTCTCGGGTGGCGTAATCTCCTGCGGCGGTGTAGGCTCTGACTCTGGAGCCACGACTACTTCTGTATGCACGTTCTGTTCCTCCGCCGACACCGGGATAATCTCGTCGTCGAAAAGGTCGTCTGCGCCACGGGTCTGGGCGAATTCGTCCATGTCTGCCATACCGAGTATATAAGAACGCGATTCACGTATAACAGGACGATTGAGTCTGTAAAAAAAAAGTCGGGCCTGCAGCAAGCACGATCCAAGGGTTCTCAGTCGACTTTGAGGGGTAGCTTTGTTTGGGGGCTGAGAGGAGTGATCCGTGCGGAGAACTAGCGTTGCTAGGCTGGGGACTGGTGGGTCATGGACAGTAAAGGTGGAATAACTGCGGAAAAAATAAAAAAGTCGAATTCTCGGGAGAAAAAAATAGCGATGAGTCTCTAAAGATACTGGAAGTGCGTTCAAGGGAAGAAAGAAGCTGCCCCGAGGCAATCGAAAACAAGAGCACTTTCCAATCGATCGATCTAATTAGGGCGGTGAGATCGAAGTGGAGCTCATTTTGCCGATCGATAATATCAGTATGTCAAGCAGTCTAGCTGTGTTCATGTCAATCGCTAATTCCATAAATAGATCGTTGAGGTATGAGCGTCAATCATGATAGAACCAAGCTACTTTCAAGGTTGAGTACTTTTCAGAAATGAGTGTGATGATCCAATTGGACCGATAATATATAAAGCCTAAACCAACACCCAAAACACTATAAGCTTTCAGTCTAAAACCCAAACTTTCCCCTTTTCTCTTCAAACACTGACGCAATGCCTTCTTTTATTGGAACGCCTACTCCCCAGCTCTAGAAGGCTCACGCTCTACACATGCAACCTGCTGATCCATATCAGCTGTAAATGCAAGACTAAAATCCAACGGAATTTCATTGAAAACCCATTGCACACAATTCCCCCGGAATCAGGGCCATGCACAATCATATCAGCTTTCATATCAGCCAATAGCCTAGTGATTTTCCTTACCTTACAAAGGATCTTGCCAACAATTCCCATAGCGAGTCAAATTTCAAGCTTTCCGCCCGGGCTAGAAACAAGTATTATAGCGGCAAACTGGTTGAGTTGATGATCGGCATAGATAAATGTTCATTTGAATGTATATTCACATATTCAAATTGTTAATGACACAACTCATACCTTGAGGGATCTAGACACACTCCCAAGAGTTCTCATCTGTGTAGTTTCCTGGGCCCTTGAACACATTGCGCCGGGGCCATCGACAATGCTTGCGCCAGTATTCTACAGGGGTACCAACTCCATCCTCGAACTTGGCTCCGCGAACCGTCTCGGGTGCAACACCTTCCTCAACCCACTTGACCATAGCCATAAGCACATTGCTACCCGGCTCACTACTGGCGTATGTATCAACACCTTGACCAATGCCATAAGCACCATTTCCATCACCACAGTGACCCATACCACTGATAGTGAAGAAGCGATAGAACTCATCCAGTTCAGAGGGGGGAGGTTCATTGTCTCAGAGACATGCGAGTAGTACCACTTAGAGTCCTCCGAGCTGATGAGCTGATCCATCATACCATGGTAATGCAAGACCTTGCCACCGTTCTTCTGGAAGGGAGAAAGATCGCCATCCCAGGTCTGAATATTATACGGGTTCTGGGCCAACGCAGCCTCGGCATCTTTCACGGTGAAATTGCCACTCCAGGACGGGTCGTTGTAAACAACGTACCGGAACCAGTCCAAGCTGTACTCAAAAGGTTCGCCGTTGTACATGATAGGTGCGGCAAGATTCTCGGATCCGGGTTGCATTCTTCGGTACAAGAGCTCGCCCTTGTCTCCGTACAAGGGGGAGAATACTTTCTGAGCTGCGTGGACCTGGGCACTGCTCAGGCACTTGGTGGTGTTCTTCGCATTTGAGGGGCAAATAAGAGTCTCGAGGATTGGCTGACAGAGATCCGGATCCTCGATAATGTCATCTTTAGCCCCATCAATTGTGTCACATTGGCGAAGGATCTCCTCATGAACAAGCTCCCAATCAGCAGTGGTAAGGAATGTATCTGAGGTCGAAGAGCCTAGGATGGAGTAGAAGTGGGCGCTCCAAGAGATCAGATTGACAAAATTGATAGCTGGGGCACCTGCGACGACACCATCGAAGTCATTGGGATACTTCTGGATCGATTTCCATCCCTCCCTACCACCAGTCGAGCAACCAAGATAATAACTTTTGTTGAATCCTTCATCGTAGAAGATGTCGGTCAATTCCTTTCCGATCACCACACCGGTGTGAAGAGATCGATAGGCAAAGTCCTTCAGCACTTCTGGATGGTGATAAAATGGCTTTCCTGAGGTGCCGTTGTGTCCGTTGTTCGCTCCGACCGTAGCGAAGCCCATCTGGGCAGTGTAAGCCAGATCATAATATTGAATGCCTGAAGATGTTAGTGAAAGCCCAGCTGAGTCCGCAATTCATGACATACAGCCCGAAAGACCACCGTTTCCAGTACTGAGGAAGCGACCCGTGTATTCACGAGGGAACCAGGCTTCTAGCGTGATTTGACTACTGCTGGACGTATTCACGGCCATTGCAACTCGACAGAGATCCGCAGAGACTGTTTGGTACGATGCACCACAGCTGGGAGCATTGTCTGGCAGGGATAGATTGGTTCCTCCCTGAACATACTCGGCGAAATTGACTTGGACATGGGGTAGGTTGATCTTATCAGAGAATTGAGCACACTTGGCCTGGAATTCGTCTTGGCTGGCAAAGGCCATTGAGCCCAAAGCCAGGAGGGAGAGTGCAGAAAAACGAGTCATGATGCCTAATCCTCACAATTAAGCATGTACAGAGATTATTTGCTGCGGGAGTGGCCGAGCTATATAGCTCCCATCCACCCCTCTGACCACATCGGCTCGGTGAATTAAAGAGGTGGACGGGCGATGATCGGCAAGTAACAGCTAAGAATTTCCCGGGTATTTACATCGAAAGAAACAGTAAATAGTGGATAGGGGTCATAGCGAAAACCCGAAGTAGTCCCGACGGTCGGTGGGGTTGTGGTGAACCCAAGAGATTGGATTGGATAGAAGATCAACGTGTGGATAGAAACGAGGCAATGGTTAAAGCCTAATGCACATGAAGAGTACAAAAGTGGGGAATGAGGTTAGGGGAAATTATCAGGACGTAACACTCGGGAAATCCTGTTTGATGCAAGGAATCCGGGGTCTCCACAAATGCGGGGTGCGGTCTGGGCAATGGCTGTTGATGTCGGCATTTCGACGCCGATCCAACGTTTTTGCCTAGGTAGATCGGAGGTACATTGATCAGAGGGATCCGTGATCATTTTCAATGTTCCTCAGGCTAGCAACCGCTCTGAAATCCCACGCTAACCTGGGAGAAGATGAAGGTAATCGGTAATTCGGTTTGATCGTTGCAGCTCCCAACCTTTTGGAACAACTTGGAGGGCCAATTTTCGGAATCTCGCTCTTGAATTCTTGATGGAGCAATTTGCGGCAGTTTATATCTCTCTCCTAGCGGTATAATAAGATGCTCTAGTTGCTTCAAGTAGATATGAAGCAGCCTCGAAGATCCAGCAAATGTCTTTTCCAAGGCACCCAAGGCCTCCAAGGCTCCCAAGCAACAAGTAAGAGACTACAAAGAGTCCACATCAATTTTGCTCTCGGCTTTTTCAGGCCCGTTTTTGGTGGAAATGCCTGAATAGCCCACCGGGCGAAGTATAGTAAATGTAAGAAGCACCACATTCAACAGGCTCGGAGCTCATAAGGCAGCCTTGTTCAAATAGATAAAGTCCGATTCTCGAGGCAAATCTTTGATAAAAGATGGATGGGAATGCCAAAGGAGATATATTGGTGATATTGAGGAAAACACAAATCATCACGTCCTTGATTCTTACCTTGAGCGTTGGTCGTTGTCTTGGATAGAAAAGTGAAAAAGTCCCGCATGTGTGTTTCTGACCTATCTCACAATTAAACCTCAACCACCCCTCACTTTCTCACATTGATGATGAATAGCAATCGCTGCCTTATGTTACCTTTGCAGTCATAGATGGAGTGGTATTCAATGGTCGAGATTACTAGGCTTCTTACTAGATCAGTTTTCGCGAAGTCTTGAATACCGCCCTTTTTCCACCTAAAGCTCGTGTATATTTGATGTTATCTGATTACCTACATAGGAAGATCGGGATGAGCTTCCGTGATTGACCCTCAGGGCATCATGTCCAGCCCGGGAAAATTGAAAGTATCTAGAGAGACCGATCAGTTCTGATATACTGCTTTTTCGGTAATGCTTGTACTTGCATATATACCTCGTAGATAAAAGGCGACAGAAAAACGATATATGCCAGATCATATGGATATGATGTAATGTAATGTAATGAAATTGGCCCCCAAGATGCTCCCCTATATGCCCCTCACCTGCATTTGTTCCCCTTTTGTCTCCCAAACTACCAAAGTATAACTCCTCTGCAATTGATTTGTCTTTCAAAAACAGTGCTCAAGAACCATCATGAACCCCCCATTACCATCATTGACCTCCGTCTGGCACAATGCGCCGTACGCAGCCATATCTCCGGAACGGCCCGAGCTGAGCGCCTTGGGCAAAACAGTAATTATTACTGGCGCGGTATGTAGCTGCTTAGATAACAACACATCGCTCGGCCCCTCTGCGAGCGACCATCTCAGCCAGTTGTTTAAATGTACCTAATGACTTTCTTGTCATAGGGAAGTGGTATTGGCCAGGCAACAGCGTTGGCCTTTGCTCGTGCGGGTGCTGCTAAGATCGTATTGATTGGGCGCAACGAGGAGAAACTTCAAAACACGCAAAAGCAACTTGATTGCATTAGCTCTGTTCATCCAGCTAGTGTCACAGATGAAGCAGCCATTACTGAGATCGCGACTGCCACAGGCCCGTGGGATATTATGATTCTGGCTGCGGGGCATATCTCTCCCAAAGCTCACTTGAGGGAAGCATCGGTGGACGAGTGGTGGCAGAACTTTGAGGTCTGTTTCCAAGCTTGAGCTGTCGCTGTTGATTTCAAGACTACATATGGTTCTGTCAACGCTAATGTCCGAATAGACAAATGTCAAGGGAACTATGATTGCTGCGAATGCCTTCCTCCCCACCGCCAACCAAACCCATTCGGCCATTGTTGCACTCAGTGCCGGTGTCTTCTTCCCAACTGAACTGCTGGCTGGTCTCTCGGGATATATTAGCTCCAAGTTCACTTTGATCAAAGTCATTGAGTTTTTGGCTGCTGAGAATCCCAATGTATTTGCCGCTGCATTGCATCCGGGTATGATAGAGACTGATAACTTCCGGGCTTCTGGAGCAGACCCTAGCAAGCTTCCTATGGATTCAGGTACGTTTGTCTCAAAAGTGGGTACTAAATGGTGTGTTGCTAATATTGATTTGTCATAGTTAATCTTCCGGCTGAATTCTCGGTGTGGCTCACAAGTCCGGAAGCTGCATTTCTGAATGGACGTTTTGCGATGGCGAATTGGGACGTGGATGAACTCAAGGCCAAAGCTGACCAGATCCTGTCTAGACAGCTACTGACCGCGAGCGTGAATGGCTGGCCCTTTTCCCCCAACTAGGTCTTCGATCTACAATCTCAAAAAGCCTTAAGGCAACTTGTCTGATTAACTATCAGCCAGAAGACAATGCTGAAAAAATTAGTGAGATATCATCATGCCTACAAGGCTTGAAGAAAGTCTCAAAGATGGCTGTATAGTATTAGCCAGTAATGCCTTAAACTTGATTTTCTGGTTCCCAATATTCAGACCTTAGAGGTATACTAGGAGCTGTTTGTATTGCCCCTAATTCCGGAGATAAAAGTTCGTTTAAGAATCAGAGTGTTTGTCCTGTCTGACCAGTAAAGGGCCATTTCCTCTGAATCTTACAGGCCTATATCTTCTTTGCTGTGAGCTAGGTTAGGCGCTAAATTTTGCTGAATATAGCCAAATAATGCGTGGAGTGGGATATATTTTAGGAGGAGATGATTAACGTAAATCCCTAGCGAGCGGGACACCCCAGCGAGCGGAACACCCCAAAACACATAGTAAATGCGATAAATTACAACGTAATATTTCAACAACCATAGCTTTTCTTCGAATATCCTTATGGAAATATATTCTTTATGCTATCTAAATCTACTCTCAGGATATAATCAATTTCTGTAAGTTGTTGTGTTAGGTATATATGTTTGAAGCTTTAGAGCCAAATCCTGGGGTATTTTATGGTAATGTTATGAAATACTATATTAAATTATACCAGACCCTATTTCCAAACTACAATTGTCCTATAGAAATAGTATGGAAAATTTGATATCATTTATATACGTTGTTGCTGAGATATAAAAAGGCATTTACTATGTGTTTTGGGGTGTTCCGCTCGCTGGGGTGTCCCGCTCGCTAGGGAATTACGTTAACTTTCTATGGCTGACGTCAGATTATCAGCCTCATATACCCCCACATTCCACTTCCTACAATCCTAAATTACTTTCCCAAAAATGAATCACTCCTAGATTGGAAGCACGAGGATCTATTTGAGGAACCTGGGAAAATATACGATCAAGATGGTGCGCTTTGTTACCGACTCACGCATCGCTCCCACAGGACAAGCCCCACTCAGAGTGATAGGGGCCGGCTTACCTCGAACCGCAACATCATCACTCCAAGCTGCTTTCGAAGAACTTGGTTTCAACCCCTGTCTACACATGGCGCAAATCATCCCTCACCCGAGTCGCATGCAGCTGTTACTTGACACAGCCCGAGAGGAAGATACCCAGCGGCGACAAAAGTCCATCCACCAGCTCGTTGACGGCTACTCTGCCGTGTGTGATATGCCCTCGATCTTCTTTCTCGAAGATCTAATGGATATGTACCCCGACGCCAAAGTTGTTTTGGGGTGTAGGCCATATTCCGAGACTTGGGCCAAGAGCTGCTATGAGAGCTTGGGCTTCTTCTTTACCCGCAAGTTTTACCTGATCGGATTCCTCTGGACGTCGGATCGATTATGGTATCGTCTCAACATGTACATCGTGGAATGGTGTAGGAAGAAGTTTGGACAGGACGATATCTTTCAGCCAGATATGTATGAGCTATATAATGAGTCTGTTAGAAAGGCGGCCAAGGAACGAGGACGTGAGATTTTGGAGTTTAAGGCTGAGGATGGTTGGAAACCACTATGTGAGTTTCTTGGAAAGGATGTTCCAGCCTCGGAATTTCCACGGGTGAATGAGAAGAAGACCTTTGCCCTGATCAAGGCTATCATGGTTACCAAAGGGTTGCTTACATGGGCGGCACTTGGTGGGGCAGCTTGGCTTGGGTGGAGTTATTTCCCCGCAAGTGTATCGATGGGCATTTTCAGGAAGTGAAATGGATATTGCGCATTATTCAAACTATGAACATCACTATTGTTTCGGTCATATTTGTCTATGACCAGTGGGGCCTTGCAGAATTACTCATAAAGCCATGTCGCGACACGTCGGGGATCTTGAGTCACCTTAGCAGCTCCTCGGACCAGTTTACTGGGACCGCGCTTCAAATATTGCCCATCCCTCGGCTTTCCTCGAATCTCACCTTCGGCCCATATGACTTTACCTCGTAGAATGGTATACCGAGGCCAATTAGCAAATTCCATTCCTTCGTAAGGTGTATCTTATAATAGGAAGAAATCATTAAAACGAACGAGTTCTCGTCAGGCATCATTTTCAACTTACAGTCAGCGTTATGGTGAAGCATAGAATTTGTCAAATCGAAGCCCTTGAAAGAATCTTCTGGATGCCACTGTATTGAATCTGATTAGTCTAAAACATCCTTCAGACAATGGAAAAACTTACAATGACCAAATCGGCATCAGAACCAGGCACAATCGCGCCCTTTCTAGGATAAAGTCCATACTTCGATAAATTAGCTTGAAATCTCCATGTGCGAGGAAGATTGCCAGCTTTACCAATTTCGCGGGGTTGGTAGATGTCAACTCCACAAATTTCTGTGGGGTGATTCGACCAGTAGATAAAGCTCCAGTATACAAAAGTGGCAATCGAGTCTCAACACCAGGAATTCCATTAGGAATCAGTCGGAAGGAGCCTTGTTTCCGCCTGAGAAGACTTTGTAGCTCATCACCCGTGCAGTGATGCTCGCCTTCCATGCTTGCAGCATCTTCAAGCACGCCGGTCGGTTTGCCTCTTGGATCGTCGTATCGGAAAGGGCAGTGATCCGATGAGTAAATGGTGAAAGTTCCATTTTCCAGGCCACTGTTCTATTTAGCAGGGCGAATTCTCAACAATGATTAGCAGAATGGAGCATACACAAATAGTTCTTCTTGGTCCGATGCATCTGGAGGTGGCGGAGGCGAGCAGATCATCTTACTATTTTCGAAGCAGGTGGGAGAATGAAAGCGTTTCTATAGATCATTAGTGATTGAATTTCACTATGGGTATTCGGGCTCTCACCAGATCCTCCCAGGTCAAATGGAAATATTGAGGGCATGTCTCTGCATAAACAGGGAGACCCATTGTTTGCGCCTTGCGAACATTTCTGGCACCAAGCTGTATACTTGTGTCAGTGTTGTTTCTCTTCATGCTTCTGTTATACATACTGCCGATCCAACATGGACAAAGAGAATCGGATTCTGAATCAGCTGTGCCAGCGCGATGGCTCTGTTTGTTGCCTCGCCTTCGACCAAGGGAGGGCGTGATAGAGCATGGTAGTACGGAGCTGAAGTTGTTAGGGATGCAACTCATCAATCTGAAATCGAAAAACTAACCAACCATCCCCTTTTTCTCAAGCTTGTCTGGCTTTGTATTAGTTTAGACTAATTTTCATGGCATACCAATTGTTTCTCACCAGTGAGCCATTGGATCATATCACCGTTCTCGGCGTGAATCATCTGTGATATGAGTTTAGATCCTAAACGCAGAGGACAGGAATACTTACCGTAGTCATCGAATTCTTCTTAGCTGCAAACATGACATCCAACAATTGAGAATCTGTCATGCGCTGTGTCTCATAAGTCAAAAATAGCTTGCAACTGCTGACACCCCACTCATTCATCAATATTGGCATCTCTTTTTCCAACACATCAGTATCATTGCGGACTATGATTATGTGAAATCCATAGTCAACATAGCTACCCGTAGCCTCAGCACGCGCATTATACGCCGTGATAACATTGATGAGACTTCTGTCTTCTTCTGCTCGAGTCTGAGTTGCGAAAGTAATGATTGTGGTAGTTCCTCCGGCTGCGGCGCTTTTGGAACCAGTCTCAAAGTTATCTGCACATTCACCACCTAGCCCATGAGGTCCTGTCTTCAAGTCTTGTGAGAGGTGCACATGGGCATCGATGCCACCTGGCATTACATAGGCGCCTCTGCCAGCGGTTAGATCAGTGCCGCGATGGTGTTGATAAGTACGCACTCGGCATCTATGACTCGGGATCCTTCTAGTTCATCTGTCGTAAAGCTTTCTGCCAGTGCTCGAATCTTGCCATCTTTGATTCCAATACAGCAGGTGCTATGAAATTATGTGAGCCATGTGGCATATGACTAGCCGGAACATATTAAGTTTACCTGATATCGGCGGCAGTGACCACCTTGCCATTAGTGACGATTAAGTCAAACTTCGACATAATGTTTGATCAACTGTAGTACACAGGAGGATTGCTATTGTGCAATTAATCTAAAAGTTGTAGCTCATGCCTTCATCTTATCTTATTGCTTATCTGTACGTCGTCGAGTCGAGATAAGGATGCGGCAATATCGCCGATCAAGCCGATAGAGCCTGATAACAACAGCCGACGTACTTGTCCTATCTTTGTATCTCGTAATAGGACTGTAGACCTTTGTCGGATCAATAAAATCTGTGGACCACTGTTCTTCGGTGTCGGATGCTCCAAAAGTCCCCATATCTCGTTCCTGATGGTAGCCGTGCGCGCCAAGGGCATTCTGATTGCCTTTTGAGGTTTGAGAGGCACCAATATGTTGTAAAAAACATTGAAGATTTGACTAAACATCGCTGAATTGGGGAATTTCAGCATCGGAGTCTGAGAATGTCTTGTTCCAGTGATTTTTCATATCCTCACAAAGCTCAGAGCTCTTTTTCCACGAATCAAAAGCATGCTCCAGATCGCACGCTACTGTCATGGCCTCCTCCCAGTATGACTTCTCAACGTCATATCCAAAGCGCCGGATCACATCCTCCGGTCGAGTATAAAGTCGTCCTCTCCGAGACTTCTTCGCAAGTTCAAGTCCAGCGTTAAACTTGGGACTTGAGGCGTGGAGGAAAAAGACTCGTGGAGCCTTTGCAGCGGTGGCATTTGTAACACGCCATATGTCTTGACTAGTAAGCTTATAGTCTTCTATGGGGTCCGCCTGCACCATTGCGGTGAAAGTCCATGCTCCGTTGTCATAATCGCGCTCCACGGCAGCCACAGGCTCACTGACGGTATAGAAAGTCGCGTCTAGGGCACTGGCCGCTTGTATAAAGGTGTCTTTGTCGCCTTGTCCATATGCACCTTGGCCCAATAAAGGCCAGTAAAACTCCGGGCCGTAGTAGTTGTAATAAACCGCTAGGAGAAGGGTCGGGAAATGCTTTCTTTTGGAGATGAGCATCACCCCGGACTCGGTGGCTGCCCGGGCGGTCATAGGAGGCTCTGATTGCCGTGATATGTTGAAATATAAGGGTGAGGCGGTGTTTGCCCAAAAGTCCGGCCATGTAACAAGTCCTGTCGAAGAAAAAGGGTCGGAATCTAGCAGGGCGGTGGGGTCGTGGAGGGGGACGCAATCGGCATCAATCCAGATGAAGTTTTCGAATGATGACAACAGCATCGCAAAAGGTTTGATCTGGAAGTGCTCTACCTTGATGTGCTTGGTGGGTTTGCCTTGCCCGTCACGAACCACGTCCATGATCTCTTCGAGTACCTTGCACTGGGCGTTGAGCTTTGGTAGCACAACTTCACAGATGTAGGGCTCATATTCAACCCAGTCCTTGAGGAAGACTTCCACAGGCAACTCGCATCCTGTCCGCCGAATCATGCGTAAAGACGCCACAAACGTAGGCAGGTATTCGCCGCCAGCAGAGGAAACGATGCCTTTGGCGCCTTTATTATAAGGATGGGTTTTCTGCTCTTTGATCGCTGCCACAAACTCATCATGTGCCTTTTGCATTGGCCCTTGTATTTCATCAGCATTGGCGACATGGTCCGGCCTTGGCTTCAAGTTTGCGGGATCAAATGTGACTCCATCAACGTGTCCATCCACCCTAGGCGGAGAACATTGAGGCTTCTGCTCTTTTAATTGCACAGAAAGGTCTCGCAAAAGTGTTTCCTGTCTGGCTGCCAGTGACAATGGAGCTGGAGGGTGAAACCCGGACTTGAGGCTTGTGACGAGATTTCTTAAACCGGAATTGGAATCTGAGATGTCGAGTTGCGTCTCTGTAGGCCCAAACCACAGGCTAGTATATAGACGGTCCCGCCCAAATAGGTACAAGTTGATCAGGAGGACAGCGACCAGAATGCCCACGATAGCTCGCCGGCTCGGGCGGTTATACATGAGCATCTCGATAGCTGTAACCTCGACCTCGATAGAAATGCAACGTCCCAAGGGAGTTGAATCATAAATGCAGTCACAAATTTGACGCGCTGGTCAGCTACTGTGCTGCCTGTTTAACGGTCGGCCCACTGGTACAGGCCCAGTTGGGGGAACAAAGCCACATCAAAGTGGATCTGGCCCCCATTTAGCCTTGTTTGTCAGGGGTGTACGTACGCACAACGTACGTACATGGTTTGTGTCATGCCAAGGCTTGTAAGGGCTTTGTTGGCACAGTGAGAGCAGATCACTACTCCTCTTTTCATGAAACGTCAGCCGCGGCATATAAATATTACCTACCAAGGTCTTCAGGCCTCCATTGTTGGAATGGCTTAACCCTTCCAATGTTCTTAGGATAGTTTAATGCAACTCAAGAAAGATTGAACGTAAATTCAGGCATGAATCTCTCTGACGAACTTGATTCCTTGTGTTTGCAATCGGCCGCTCAATACTGATCTCTACGCGAAGGGCGGATCCAGCCCTATGAATCTGCGATCTGTGATCGCCATGGAAGTAATTGGTTGACCCACATTGCTGCCCCGTAAATGCCGTAAAAAAAAGGAAAAAAATAAAAAGAAAGTGGAAAAAGAAGAAACGACAGAAAGAAAAGGGAGTATATATACATTTTAAGCAAAGCGTCTTTATGCATTGTTCCTGATGTTGATAAACCCTTGCGTGAGATGGGGTCAACGTATCGGAGCGGCCATTTCTCCGCACGTAATTCTCCGCATAAGCTCTGCGGGTTGGGCCTCCGCCCAGCTCTTTTCTCTCCGACCTCTTACCTAGCACGTCATCTCCTCTCAATCTCACCGGCAGGCGATCGGCCACAATTGTTCCCATCGCCATGGCTATCGACGAGAACGAGGTTGCGAGAGCTCCGACGGAGCAAACGCCTCTTCTGCGCGATGCCGACCCCGCCAATGCCGGCTCGTCTGATGGAGAGTCACCGGCGACCGAGGAGGTCAGCACCAAGGAATTGATCATTATTCTGGGCAGTATTTGGGTTGGAGTTTTCCTAGCGGCACTTGGTATGTGTTTTACGATCCCAAAGAAAACAAGACACGTTGATGTACATCCGAGGCTAACTGAGCTTTCCCTATTGCAGATACAACGATTGTCGCGACACTTTCTGCCCCGATTTCTTCCTCTTTCAACTCTTTTTCTTTGCTTTCGTGGCTGGCCACTTCATACCTGATTTCAAATGCTGCTTGTCAACCCCTTAGCGGCCGCCTGACGGACATTTATTCGCGTCGCTGGGGATTGGTTTTCTCGAATATCTTCTTCGCACTGGGCAACCTGATCTGCGGTCTGGCAAACACTGAGGGCACGATAATCCTTGGCCGTGTTGTCGCGGGTATTGGAGGAGGTGGTCTCACAGCTATCTCGACCTTTGTGACATCGGACCTGGTTCCCCTTCGGAAACGAGGCATCTGGCAAGGTATCGGCAACATCTGCTATGGAGCTGGAAGCGGACTTGGAGGTGTGTTCGGTGGCTGGATCAATGATACACTGGGATGGCGCTGGGCATTCTTACTTCAGATCCCCTTCCTGTTGATCTCATGCATTTTGGTCGCGTTCAAGGTCAACATTCCAGTGAAGGATTCGGACAAGGCCCGGATTAAGCGTGTTGACTTCCTTGGTGCCATCACCCTGGTGCTGACGCTTGTTACACTGCTGCTGGGCTTGAACACCGGTGGAAACCAGGTGCCATGGACTCACCCCATTGTTCTTACATCTTTACCACTTTCTGCGGTTTTTCTGGCCCTGTTTATCTACGTGGAAGCTCGGGTTGCCTCGGAGCCCATTATACCCGTGAAACTCCTTTTGGATCGCACGGTCGCAGCGGCTTGTCTGACGAACTGGTTCACCACGATGACAGTCTTTGGCCTGCTGTTCTATCTTCCCCTGTACTTCCAGGTGCAGGGAATGTCGGCCACTGCCGCCGGAGTTCGTTTAATTCCGCAAGCAATTGGCACGTCTATTGGCTCCCTGGGCTGTGGGTTCATCATGCGATCTACTGGTCGATATGGGCTACTGAACTGTGCTGTCATGGCCCTGCAGGTGGTGGCGGTTGGGTTGGTCTGTACCTTGAACTTCTCCACCCCTTCATGGCTCCCTTTCCTCTACTTCTTCCTACTCGGAGCCTCGTATGGCAGTATGCTCACCATCACGCTCGTTGCTCTTATCTCTGCCGTGGATCATGAGCATCATGCGGTGGTTACATCGGCATCGTATGCTTTCCGTAGCACAGGCAGTACGGTTGGAATCACGATTGCATCGGCCGTATTCCAGAACACTTTCAAAGTTGGGTTGTGGTCTCGCTTTGGTGACCGCAAACATGCGGCCGACCTTATTTCAAAGCTGCGAGATAGTATCGATGAGATCAGAAAACTTCCCCAAGACTGGATCCCAGGTGTGCTGGATGCGTATATGAATTCTCTGCGGGCGGTCTTCTTAACTTTGTTGGGGTTGACTGTGTTGGGAGCCTTGGCTAGTCTAGCCATGCGCGAGCACAAGTTGCACAACAATCTCTCTCGGCGCTGAGGGACTGGACTCATTGAAGAACATTACATATACTCTAGGTATTTGACGCATATTTATATGAGACTTGAAGTATAAGTTATATATCGAGTACCATGAAATAAGCGCAAGATATAGTTACTCCCTATAGATATCGAACTTAGTCTGCGGCAACTCTAATTCTCTTAGTCATAATCATAGAGTTGACCGCCTTCGCGTTGCAGTGTCCAATCATCGTCATACGATGCTGCACGGCTGCCCGCCTCTAACCGCCAATGACTCTAGTCTCTTCGAGTTCCTCTTTGTGCTTCTTGTGATTGGCGGGAGTCCTGGTTCTTCCTGCAGGAAAAAGGAGTCTTCGGCCTGATTTAATCGTGGTGCTACTCCACAGCTGAAGCCAGAACTGAAGCTACTAGCCAACACCTCCAAGTGGCAAGACGTGGCGGCTGGGGATTGAGTGGAAAGGTTCATCAGATCAAAAGAATATCCTCCACAGCTACACCGCTTCATTTAAAACAAGACGGATATAGAAGCCAAGATTGCAGGTTACACCAATATTCCCGTGCATCGCATATGAGGGTCCAGTCACCGCTTCGATTGCCTGATCTCCACCTTAAACCACAGAGTCTGCCGGATAAGCGTTTTTAGACCATTCGATCAGGCTTTTCGTCAGAACTGCCCTGGGCGATCCTACGTTTTAAATCCCTTTGATGCGCCACCTTGAAAACTGCTGCACCTATACCCGACCACCGAAACCTTTTTGCGCATTTCGAGTGTCGACCCTCGCTTCCTCCATTCTTATCGAACCACACTGCCGTATGGCTGTTGGCTTTTGACCGGATCAGTCAACCTACAACATCTACACGATCAGGGTTACAAAGGGACCGTGGACCAGTGAAATGGAGGTGGACGGAGAGGAGGCAGTATATGGCAACAAAGATGGCTATCGCCTTAGCTGCGATCCGCCCACATTCGACGTGACGGTAACTCCCTCGCCACGACGTCGCCGGCTACTCCTATCGACCGATAGCGCCTTCGCCGAGACCGTACTTCCGTCGTTGATTCAGAACCCATACATCGAGCTGCGCTTGATTACCGACGAACCCTCGGCTTTGCTGGCTGGCACGAACAAGATTCCTCATTACATGGATACGGTGGATGGACAAACGTTTGATAAAAAGACTGGGGCACGGAAATGGCTTAAAGCAAAGACTGCTGAGCTCTGCGAGTGGGCTGATATGCTGCTTGTTGCCCCCATTGACGCTGGGGCCTTTGGATCTATGCTGGCGGGGTTAACAAACACCTTGACTTTGGCGCTTTTACGTGGCTGGGTCTCAACCAAGCCCGTTATTCTCATCCCAGGGATGACCGTCTCAGAATGGGAGAATCCATTGACTCGCCGACAGCTAGACGAGCTCCGTCGGTACTGGACGTGGGTATACATCGTGAAGCCCGTACTTTGGAAGTCAAACGGGCCTGAGGATTTGACGACTTTGCCATGGGACGGGTTGAAAGACTTAAATACCACACTTCGACTAACGTTAAACATACCCTCGGTGGCTGCATCTATGGCTGCTGCATCTTCAGCAAAGGGCAAATCTGCCGCGACCCAATCAACTTCAAAAGGGACCCAATCATCAGATTCTGGCAGCAACACCATATCAGCCTTACAACATCTGCAGCCTCACTGGCCAACTTCCGAAAGTAAATCACAGTCCCTTCCGTTCGAAATTTGGCTTAATATCTTTGAGGAACAGTTGGGAGATTGGGAAACCGCCAAAGCCGTTGGAATCCCAACCCATCTTGCTGTTCCTCAAGAGTGGCAAAGCCACTTATTGAAAATGTCCACCCCTGCTTCCCTTGAATACACAATCCTCCGAGGCTCCTTTGCCGCCATAAAGAAGCGCATTGACGCACTTCCTCGTTGGAAACCTTTGTCAGACCTTGCCTGTCATCTCATCGTGAAATTCTCGCGAACGGATATCCTGTCCTACCTCACTGAAAACCACCTCGACCTTTTGTGGACGACCTCCCGTCTCACTAACATTCCTTATCGTGCATCTGCAATTTACGGCAATCCCACCGTTTTGACCTGGTGGCGCGATGCCCCTGCACTTCCCAATAAAGAGTACATGGCTGATGCCATGGATGGTGCGTCCAGAGCTGGGTTCATCCATGTTCTAGACTGGTGGCTTCATTCGGGACTACCACTTCGATACAGCGAACGAGCGCTCGAATCTGCTAGTGCCGAGGGCCGGGTTGCAGTTCTTGACTGGTGGAAAACAGCCTCTACCAACGCTCCACGCAACAGGCCCATTGTAATGAAAGTTGGAAAGTCAGTCCTTCTCGCTGCACAGTCTGGTCGCACGGCATCATTAGCATGGTGGGATGCATCAGGAATACCATATAGCCACGCCGAAAATGTTGCTCGGATTGCTAGTACGCATGGCCATGTGCACGTGCTTGATTTCTGGTACCGTTTGAAGGGCCCAAAAATGATCTTCGACAATCAAGTACTTGTCGGTCCAACCAAGAACGGCCATGACCATGTTCTACAATGGTGGAAAGACTGCGGTCTTCGTGTCGAGTTTAAAACCTGCGACATTGAAGAAGCCCTGGAGGACGCAGTCTCCGGTGCCGATGTCCGCGTACGCGCGTGGTGGGAACGTAACGGCCTCAACCTAGGCCTTGGAACAAGAGAATGGATGAAGCCAAAAGTGCTTTAACTTGCATTATGAGTATACGCTCCGGGGTTTGGGGTTCTGATCATGCATTGCAGGCGATGGAACGCATTTTGTTGTTCTTCGTCTTTCTGTTCTTTTCTTGTCTCTATTTTTAATCGGTTGACTGCTTTTTTTTTTGCTTTCTACTTATGACACAGACGATGAGATGACCCATAAATACCCATTTGAATATTTTCATTCATGTCATTTTATTCGCTCGGTCGTCCACAAGGATCCGAATATACATATTCACCTTTCTCCCTGTATCTATTCAGAATGAATCATGAATCACTCCCATTTCTCCACTCGCACATGTTTAATCTCAGCGCCTTTCAGCACCTTTCTGATCTCCCCAAACTCCTTGAACGCATCCGATTCGGCGAATCCAAAGTGATCCTCCACCTTATTCCACCCGCTGAACAGCACATATTCCTCATCTTCCCCTTCCTTGTCAATCCTCCACCCACCAGCGTATGAGAATGGCGCCGTATACGCTCCAAGGTGAGGTATCCCTTTTTTGAACATGGCCTCATATTCATTCTTGTTACTTGCCGCGACAAAATACCTGCTTATAGCAATGACAGGTGCGTCAAATGGGATAGAAGAGGTAGCAGGCTAGAAATAATAAGCCAAGTCCACACTACATATTATACCTTTCCTTCTTTACTCACATCCATATCCAAATGAAACATCCACTCAACATCAACATCATCCTTCAACCGTCCCAGATTCGCCAGATTCGTCTCAGACGTAATCCAGTCTCCAGTATGGACAGCAACAGATTCCCACCCTCCAGTGATATAAAAGCATTGGGGGTCCTCTATCTGGCGGAAGAAGCGCGCCGGGTACTTTGAGTACTCGCTTTGCGCATGCTGAGCTTGGATGAGATTCGTCTTTGTTATGGGGGAGGGTTCTTCGGCTCTAAGGCGCAGGAGGGCAATTTCGGTGACTGGCATTGTGGTATCTGATAGGGAAAATGAATATTTAGATCGATGATGCTCTGAGTTCTGTCCCGAGAGGATATTCCAGGGTCTTTTTGGTTGCTGTTTATATGCTTGGACTTATCTCGGGGATACGGGTGTTCGGGGGCCGAAGGATGCACCTGTGGAGCCCGAGGCAACCATTTCTCTTGCGCGTCTGGTTTTGTTTCACCTTCAATTTGGAGGCATTTACCTAAATGGGTTCCAGTTGGGGATCAATGTTATTGGTTTGAGGGATTTACATCATGGTTGACGTTGCCATCTTGGAGCCTGATGAATGTAGTCATTCTCAATTCATCGTAGAACGGAGAACGCCAGGTCGATTTAGCCTATAGACACTATGACCTATGCATTACCTATGCATTGATGCTTCTGCTAAAGTACAGCTAAGACAACTTCCCCGGAGGCTACCAAGCTACTTCGTGATGCTAATCATAATTCAACTGGATGCTGTACGCCTATACTTCTTTGCTGTGGGAGTTGTTAGTAGCGTTTTCAGGGACAGATATAGTAGGGCAACATACTAAGTATAGCCCATCTTCTCAACTGCAGGAGTCCCGATCGCATTACGATCTCCGAAAGGATTATCCTCATCATCTTCTTCTGATTCCTCACTTTCACTCTCAAGATCCTGTAATGCAGGCAAAGCACTCGGACGAGGCGGCTTAGGCGGACCAACGCTCAATCCACTGAAACCGTGATTCATCTCATCGTCTATTTCGGCTCTCGACCGCCAGTTTCCACCCAGAACTTCATCTTCACTGTCACTGTCATAGTCGACACTCTTGTCCAACACCTCGAACGCCATCAAGGCCGTAACTAGCTCTTCATTGGCATGAATCAAACCACCCAAGAACTCCTCACTCTCGATATGCTGAATATACCGCAAAATGCCGTGTCGAAGCTTCTTACACTTCTCAAATCGATTGATGCACTCCGCATCCTCGCTAACCCGTGTCGTCTCACGGTTCACAAGCTTCAGCGCATTCAACAGATTTGTACTCGCAACAGAAGCGGATGCAAGTGTCTGCACGATCTCCGGCCGCTCTCGTTCCAGATTGAAACTCCTGCCGGCACTAATCGAAAGTTTCTTCTCCTTCTTGTCCTTCTTCTGTTTGCTCTTGTGCTTCGGACTACTCAGCGTCGTAGAAGGTCCATTTCCTGCTGACACAGAAACTGTATGCCCCATGACGGGTTCATTCGGGTTCGATGACCCTTCCCGCAGGACCTTTGCCTTGGCCTGCGTGGCGGGCTGCTTCCGCTTCGGCAACTGTCTGTATAGAGCGGTGATCTTGTCCATACCAGGCGTGTCCTTGTATGTCGCAGCCCATTGTCCAAAGAGGACTTTGCATTTTTGCTTAACGAGTGGATCGGAGACAGGATCTGTTCCTGCGATGCGCAGTCGTTCAAGGAGGGGTTCGTCGGCGAATCCGCGCAGGAATCGTTCGCCTGCGTTTTGGATCAGGAAGTCAAGGATGACGAGGGCGCGAAGTTGTCGATGGAGGTTTCCATATTTTCTGTTTTATCAGATCAGCCCAGCGTCATGGTGTGGTGATATTTTTGCTGCCTCACAGCTTCTTGCGCAGTGCGCGACTCGCTTCCGTTGGTCCGCTGGCCTGGATGCGGATCACCTCGATCAAATCGACGATACCGCTAGAGTCTTCCACTTCATATGTTTCGCTTGTAAGGACCTCAATTTGTACGGTCACGGCCGAATATGGTTTCTATAGTATCATAGGACGATATGAGTTTGGTGATCACACGATACACTTATCGTGCGATTTCGCGACGTTAGGGTCTTACCGAAGACTGGAACATGATGGGCAGCAATCCGGATCTCTGCTAGTTTCACACTGTAAGTATATTGGTGCATTTTCAGAGGCGACTCGGTTTTAAGGATATTTACTGACTTGAAATTGGTCTTCTGCACAACCCCGCCGGTATCAACAGTTTGGTATAACCCCGCACGGGTAGAAATGCACACCAGGAGTCGTAGAGATCGGGGAGGTCAAGTCGGAGCGATACAATACCGCAAAAAGCAAGAGCTAAGCCGGCAGATGCCTAGGTGTAGTTCCCTTATCACAAAATGAAACAGAGACCTGGAGATTAGTGTGATAAGGAAGAGGATGGTGACGTCGGAGGCAGGGGAGCGTCTTGGCGCTAATCGGGAAGATCAACGTCTGAGTTGGTGGATGTGGTGGGTTTCAGGGGACCAATTAATAGGACATAGGAATTGGAAGATCGCTGCCCAAATTTGCAAAGCACACACTTGTCCTTTCCATATTTTGGCTTTTCATGTATTTCATTATTATTTTTTATTCTTTATGATCTTCACGTATGTTAATGTAAATCTCTGTGCCTCGATTAGGACTAGGGCGGGGTGGTATATGGGAAACACGTCGGGATAAGAGAATACGAGATTTTAACGATACGAAGTAATTCCGACTCTAAATTCAGCTTAATTTACCCAATTGTCACAACTTATGATTCCAACATCTTCCTCGTCTCGATCTTATTTGGCGCGCGTCCTGTCCCGCTTTCTGATCTGCTCCACCCTCATTCTGGCTCTCAGCGTGGCCCTCAAGACCCGCTCCCGTCTCTCCCTCCTCTTCCCCTCCTTTGCTCCTTCTTCCTCCCAACACACCGCAATCATGTCCTACACACAAGAACGCTACATCGCCGAGCTGGCCGTCCAGCGTGCCTCCCTCCTCACCCAGAAAGTCTTCTTCGAGAAGGCCAAGGGCACCGTCTCCAAGGATGACAAGTCCCCCGTCACCATCGGCGACTTCGGCGCCCAAGCCCTGATCATCCAGGCCATCCGCAAGAACTTCCCTAACGATGAGATCGTCGCCGAGGAGGAGTCCCGGGAGCTGTACGAGGATAAGGCTCTGAGTGCCGAGATCTGGCGTCTGGTCAAGGACATCAAGCTCGATGACGCTGAGAGTGACAGCATCCTCGGCGGTCCCCTTGCTAGCGAGGAGGAGATGCTCAAGATCATCGACCAGGGTAACAGCGCCGGTGGTGCTTCCGGTCGTATCTGGGCTCTTGACCCCATTGACGGCACCAAGGGTTTCCTCCGTGGTGGCCAGTACGCCGTCTGCCTCGGTCTGATCGTTGACGGCGACGTCAAGGTCGGTGCCATTGGTACCCCCAACCTGCCCGTTGATGATGCCGCCACCATTGATGCTAGCACTGGTGCCCAGCAGGCTGATTCGTCTGCTAACGGTGTCCTCTTCTCCGCTGTCCTGGGTGAGGGCGCTACCAGCCGTCCTCTCGGCAGCGGTGCTCTTGCTGCCAGCAAGTCCATCTCCATGCGCCCCGTCCCCGACATCGCCCAGGCCGTCTTCTGTGAGGGTGTCGAGGCTGCCCACTCCGCTCAGGGTGATAACGCCGCTGTCGCTGGCCTCCTGGGTATTACCGCCCCGAGCGTGCGTCTGGACTCGCAGGCCAAGTACTGCTCCATTGCTCGTGGTGCTGGTGACATCTACCTCCGTCTGCCCGTGAAGAAGGATTACCAGGAGAAGATCTGGGATCACGCTGCTGGTGACATCATTGTCCGTGAGGCTGGTGGTCAGGTCTCTGACATCTACGGCAACCGCTTGGACTTCAGCAAGGGCCGGACCCTGGCTGCCAACAAGGGTGTTGTCGCTGCCCCCAAGGCCGTCCACGGCCAGGTCATTGATGCCGTCAAGTCGGTGCTGAAGCTGTAATTTTGTTGGATTGAACGATTTGGTCGAGCTTCATTGCTAGGATCATTCATCTATGATACCACTTACGAATTGTGTGGAACGAATATCTTTGGTCCAAAAAAGTACATATTGAAAATATAAGAACAGAGGATAGAGTATAAGAATACAGGGGAACCAAAAATGCAATGTTCCAAAGAAACAAAACCACAATGCCGCGTGCGCCCACAGATTATTTGATCTTCTTAGCCTTAAGCTTAATCGTCTCGCCGTTGACAAAGATACCCTTGCCCTTGTACGGCTCCGGTCGTCTCCACTCCCGGATCTCTGCCGCGAACTGCGTCACCTTGCGCTTGTCGACACTCTCGAGCAGGATACGGGTCGGTTGCGGTGTGCTGGCCTGGACACCCTCGGGGATACCCAGCTCAATGGGATGAGAGAATCCAACCTTGAGAGAAACGAACTTCTGGCCGGGGTAGGTCGCGGAGACGGTGGTTGCGGTGTTTTCGATGGTGGCACGGTAACCGACACCGACCATAGACAGAATACAGATGTGGCCTTCTGAGACACCGGTGATGTGATTTTGGAGCAGAGCGCGAGCAGTACCTATAACAGAAAGCAAACCGTTAAATGGACGAACAGAGCGACATCAAGGTCAAGATGAGACCCGAGAGAGTAAACACATACCCCACATAGCACGCTGCTGAGGCACCTCCGGATCCATAACAGAAAGTGTGGCCTTCTGGGTAGTAGCATCATGGTTCACAGTCAAGAAAGAAGGAAGGTTAAGGGTCATCTCGCCTATTACCAAAACACTATTAGCAAAAAATGTCGTCCAACAGCCATTGAAGCGACAACATACCCTTGGGCCCCTTGATCTGCGCAGCAAACTTAGGAACATCCTTTCCGCGGCCCTGGGTCAGGGACTTGGGCAGGTCAATAAGGGTCAATGAGACCTCGGGAGGAACGGAGATGGCAGAACCTCCGATACGGGATTGCGTCGGGGAGGTGGTCGAGAATTGGGCGCGCGAGGGGGGAGAACGCGGGGGTGAGGAATAGAGGTAATGAGCCGCGCTGGAAGGGCTCACGGAGGAGCTGCCGGGCACAGCGTTGGGGTAGACACGACATGATGATTTGGTTGTTGATTTCGGAGTTGCGGCGGACGATGATTTTGTCAGTAAAATGGAGGTCTGGATTGGGTTAGCGTGCACGTGATTTATATGGCGGAGACGGAGTATACTTCATCGACCTTGAAGGATGAAGTCAACACTAGAGAAAGCGATTCTCAATAAATTGAATAGAGGTCTCTAACCTAGCAGGGGTATATTATTATATTTCTACTCTTACACTGACAAAGATACCCGTGAGTACAGCCCCGAGCAGAAGCCATGTGGCACCATTAGGCGCATTACCGGTCGATCTCCATGCGAAAGGTGCCACATCGGATACAGTCTTCCCAATTTATCCCATCACACATCATCTGACGACTCTGGGCATGCTATAAGGGCTGGATTGATTTGCATTGGATTTTTTTTGTTAATTCATGGCTTCAAACTCAACTTCATGAAGTATACAAGAACAAAAGAATAATGTTGTTTTGTGCCTTTCCATCACGCAGAGCATGATAAGATGATTGTATAAGCTATCTTCATGGCATGAATGTAATTTTAAAGAATTACTTGCCTTCAGGGTCAATGTCGGGAAAGTATTGCCAAGGCCTTGATATCCAAAAGACGTGACTGGAATTTATTCGATCCAAAGATTAACTCTCACTTTTCACCTCAAGCGCCAACCTACCAAAACTGGATAATCCAAAACTCAACAAGCACCTCTTTCTATTCCTTTCTCTCTACCCTCAGGTCGTGCGTCTTAGTCAATGTACCCCGGTAATACTCACGTCTATCTATACTACCCAGTCCCGACTCTCAGAGGTCTGCGAGATCAAGGAAAGGAAAGATGACACTCAGCATACTCCAACTGGTCTTCGTGCTTGTCACCCTAGGCATCGCCAGTGCCAGCTTGCTTGATATACCTGACGCGGGTAAGTTGCATTTGACACGTCTATTGATCCTCATTACTGACAGACAAAGGCTCGGCCGCTTTCGCCTCGATTCAGAACAGAAACCACGCAGACTCTCATCTAGAAGCTAATACCTCACAAAAAGATGGCATATTCACCCAGGCCGTTCAGATCTTAGATTCGATGAGGTCATCACCATCTTGTCACCGCATCGCAGCAACAAAGCTAGTCTCGTCATGTCAAGAGATGGGAGGGAAAGAGGCCATAACACGTGAACAGTATGATGTTTTAGACCAGACAAGGTCGGTATACGCTGCACGTCTTGCTATCTGCGAGATCGAAGAGGCAGGCTCTTCAACCCCCACGCAATGTCTTCCTTTGACTGTTGCTCCAGTTGAGGCAAAACTTCGATTCAACTTTATGGCTAAGGCTAAGCAATCAAAATCTGCTGCGACCGAATATCCCAAGGAAGTGCTCGAGATTTGTCTCAGGACCCTTGAGTCACGACCTCAGTGGTGGATCTCGTATAGTAACAACCGACAAAATGCTATGGTGATTTGCCAAGCTACGAGGATGGAGACTGACAAGGATGAGCTGCTCAATCTTCATCGTTCTATCGTGAACAGCAATGTCAAGCTTAACGAAGGACTTCAGCTTGCACTGCAAAAAGCCGCCTTGGATTCTGTGAGAAACGAAGAGTTCTTCCAAGTTGTGCAGGCCTTGCAGGACAAGTTTTTGGTCGATCTGGAACGAAATGAATCTGCTTTTCAACGCGTCTTCGGAAAGCTTATACATGAAGTTGAAGCCGGGATCGGTTCTGTGGTGAATACAGTCACTTCTTCTCTGAAGAGAGTACAGACTGAAACAACGAGCCTTGAAAAGGTTGGTAAATCTTATTTTGAATATGTGTGGTCTACAATACTAACTTTGATCCAGGACATCGGAAACGTGTCTGGTCAGGTGATAGCTCTCCAAAGGGCCCTTGAAACAGCGCATGAAGACTTTGGTTCAAGGAACGACGAATCACTTCGCGTTTTCGAGGAACATGCCGTATTATACCAAGGTCTTGCCTCGAGCCTGCACCTCTCCTTGGAATCTCTTGTAGGTGCAGACTTGCGAAGAGTTTCTCAAAAAATGACAGATCTCGACGCATCACTGGTAAGTCCAAGCTGATCCATTTCCAGACAAATCCATAACTAACTCTAACAGGAATGGCTTACGAGTCGACTAATCCGTGTTCTTGAACACGAAACGGAACTTGCCGAGGTGATTTCAGTTTCCAAGTATCTCATTTACGGCCCTGACACTCAATAGAGACTGAAGACAATGGGAGACCTGGTCGAAAAGTCAACAAACAAGGCAAACGAGCTACAGATAGCCCAAGTCCAACAAGCTGAAGCACTCGCTGCCCAGTCTCGAACACACCGGGAATTGCAATTCACCGCACAATTCTCTCAGGCTTTGCTAGACAAGGCCTTTATAACTGCAGCAAATCTGCAAGCAACTATTCAACAAGCATCTACCAAAGCCCAGCAAATCCCGCAGCTGGGTCGCTTTTCTATCTGGTCACTTGGGTTGACCTTGCTCCTTGCTATCGGAGCGCAATATTCAAAAGTTGCAACTAGTTTATTCTTTCTGGTTTTTGGTATGTTCCTGACCTGAGCATGAGGACGAGGGAGAGGGTCATCATGGGCTGACATTCAATTCCAGGGCACAAGATTGCCGTTTTCGTTCTTCAATATCTTTGAGTTTCCGGTCCTTATATTCGCTCTTTTTTCTCTCTTTTTCTTTTTAACGACCTGCAATGACCTTTACGCGGAGCCAATCTCGTGCCTTTAAACCCATGGATATTTCACTCTTTTTTCATCTATTCTAAATCAGAATCTTATTTTCGTGTTCTGATGTGCAACGGGTAAATGTAGTAAAACCATTAGCTCTAAGTTTCTTTGCTCGTTTGGGTCAATGGGTCGTATGGCTGACTCTATTATACCGCAAATGGCCTTTTCATCCGAGTGTCCGAGTCTTGTCGTTATTCTATTGGAGTTAAAAGCTGTCTGTAGAGTTGTCTTCCGCTTTTCCTGGACTAATCTGGCTGCTTTGACAGGTTTGTTATGCAAAGGTGCAAATTCATTTCAAATCACAGGCGAATCCATACATTCAAATACATCCACAGAGCCATGTTTTCACCACCTCAGATAGTGTCCAGAGGCATGTATATTCATTATACAATCAAGCCTTTTGGAGAAAAGTTTATTGAAGAAACAGTTGAATGAACTAGGGAACCGTAACTAACGCTGCTCCGTCCACTGTGGATATCTCACACCAGTCCTACCCCCGACTCCATCCGCGACATGGAAATGTTCAAGTGCAGTCATGCAGTCCGAGAAAAAGAAAACCACCATAAAAAATAAATACCGTAATGTCAACCTTGGAAACGCCCGCTGGCTCTGGTCCGATGAGTGAAGATGATGATAAAGAATGGGAAGGATGCAATGGGTTTGTGCAGATCCAGTCTCAGATTGAGACGGATTAAGAATGTCAGGGCAAAGAAACATCAACTAGACGTCGTCCATTGCTCCGGCTGGTTCTTCCTCCCCGTCGGATTCATAGCTCCCAGCGGAGCTGAGCTCATCTTCAGACTCGGTATCCTCTCCTGCCTCATCGACAGCTTCTTTACTGGCATACTTTGAGACATATTCTGTGAAGTGTTAGTTATGTGGCTGGATCTAACAGTCATGGTACGTACCTTTGACTTTGGCCTCGTAGGCCTTGGGCTCTCGCATCATCAAAGCTGCCGCTTCACCATTGAGCGGGTCGGATGGGTTGGGATATCGCAGGAGCTGAGGGAGGAAGACTTCGAAGATATTGAGCATGTCATACATAGGAGACCATGTTTGGTTGATGACATCCAGGCAAACCGATCCGGACCTATATTAGAAGATAATCAATACCAGACCATTGAGAAAGTCCAGGTGGCTCGGGCGACTTACAGCTCATCGATGTTGGGGTGGAAAATACGGTTAACAAATCCAATGCTGGGGCTCTTGTAGGGATACTGGTCCGGCAGTTCGACATGAATCTTCCAGTGACCCCCCGTGAACGGTGCTGGGCGATGTTAATAACGGAACACATAGACATTTCATATACAAGGACAGGCATACTCTCTTCTGGTCCCTTGAAGCGGACATAGAACTCTTGCCTATAATGAAATATAGGAGTCAGATCGTTGAAAGCGTTGGTTTGGGGTTGGTCGCGCTGGCTGGGTCACGTACACTAGACTTCTGTCAGTATCTATGGTTAGGGTTCGCTCAAAGCGTGGTATAACATACTGTTGTCATTCACCAGAGTTACTTCATAGTCACTCATCAACCTATTAAACTTGTCAGACTCAGTTTTGCGGCCCATTTTCTCAGATTGAGATTTGGAGTATCCTCTGCTAAGATCGGACGGGAAATAGTTTGGACGGGGAGCGGAATTCGGTTCGCATACATCCTAAGACTGGTCAGTATGTCTCCTAAGGCTTCAGAATTTCATCGCTTTCATACTTCATGACCTGTTACAATGAAAAATCACTCATTAGCAATTGCGGGGACCTCGGTAGCTTCTCCATAAGTCGTGAGGGGCACTTACATCGGTCTCAATTCTTCTTTTCGGGCTACTCATGGTGGCGAATTGTAAAAGTTCCGTGAATATGTCACTTGAGGCTTCAACACGTAAGTTGTATGCAGTTGGTCTTAAAGGACCTGTTTCAAAGCCGTTGATGAGGTCACCGAGTAATTACCCCCCGTTCGGAGCGGGGAAGTAAATGGCGGGGAAGGATCTGGGAGTAGAGGGTTCGCGTAGGCAGAAAAAGTCCTACGACCGATATCCAACAGTTCAAGCCTTTAATGAGGTATGGAATAACGAAACCAAGAACAGTCTGAAGCAGAGAGCAGGAGAAAGAGAGAATGGAAGAGGGGGACAATGATGGCCCGATGACTCAGCCGTTATCGCAATCCGGAGATCGGAACCATGGAACCCGGATGTCACGAGTGCATTTCTGCCCAAGTGGATAGATCGATCATGAATTCATTTATATTCACCAGTATCAGGCGCTTATTTACATGCAAGAGCAACTTTGCGTGAAACTGGTCTTTTATTACTATATTACTTTTACTTTATTGGATGTCGCGTGACCATGAGCAATGTCATCTTGTTGTCTCTCCTGGCAACTCATTCACAACCTTATTAGTTGGTGCCTCAGCAGAAAACACATTGCCCGGAAGCTCAGTAGTTTTGGGGGTTCTATCAAACTGGAAAGGCTCATCCTTACCAGCACTCAGAAGCTGTTTTGTTGATCGACGCCGTAGTCGGCGAATGATGAACCAAATCACGAGGATAAGGGCAATGCCTGCAACGCAGCCCACTACTATCCCGGCGATCGCGCCCGAGCTAAGATGATTGCTTGAAGAAGCACCCTTACTTTTCTGGATTGATGCGACATCTGATGATGTTGATGTTGGTATTGTTGTCGACGTTGTCGACGTTGTGGAAGTGGTGGCGGGTAGTGTAGTTGTCGCTGCCTATCAAACATTTAGTCGTCAATATATGGCACGATGAATAGAAGGATGGGTACAAACATACAGGAAGGGACGAAAAGACTTCCAACATAGTCTCATTGGTGATTTTTCCCGCAGAGGTGTTGATATCGATCGACCATTGCGCTCCTGTCGTGTCTGTATTCATCACTGGTATGGTGTGATTCAAAGCGCTCATGTCCAACCCGAGCATGTTGTCCGTTCCCAGCAACATGTTGTACATAAACCATCCATTATCTCCCTTTGTCAAGTTCCACTGCATCCCAATACCTGCTCCAGTGGCGAGTAGTTGTGGCGTGGTGCGCTCATCTGCCGTGAGGCCTAGTTGGTATGTCGCCCCATAATCCCAGTTGCGAATGAAGTAGATGCCCTTATCATAAAATATCTGCCAGTTTTCTGAAGTAAAACTGCGAATGGCATCTAGCGCTGGGGTATTAGGGGGATCGTTTGCTTCGCCGACTGCGAGTGTTTCGTTATCTCCAACCGCAGTATTGGAGAAGCGGTAGTAGTACGTCGAGTCAAAGGCACCACTAGACATTTTGATGGACTGAGCCCAGTCGAGGGTCTAGAAATCAAAATTCCTCGAAGGTAATCAGACGGGCTGCTGGTCCCATTTAATATGGTTTTTAGGGCGGGCTCTAAAATAACAGTTCTTGCGCCCGAACTTTGAAGTAGAAACAGGCCTCAGGTATTACACTTGTAATATATACCGTTCTAAACAACTTCAAATTCTGCACTGCGAAACACAATTGGTCAGGCAGAGTTTTTTGTTTTTATGAAACGAATTCTGGGCAAACGCTAGTGTTGCAGGTCGTGACAAGTGCTTATGGAGCTAGCATTGACTGTGTGTTGAAGGAAAGATTGCCTCGCTGGTCTCCACAACTCATTTCAACTAGCGTCCGCTTACTGTGGCCCCTGATACCATGAGAACGAACCGCCGGCAGCCACAATAAGCTGTATCCAATAGAAGGCCAACATATGGATACGCCGGGCCATCACTCCTACTTTTAGGGCGTTCAAAGTCTATAAGCGGCTGAAGAGTGGATCAAAGGGCTTGGAAAGAAGTATCTATCGTGGATCGTACAACACTTGCAAGTTTCAGGCTAATTCAAATAACCTGCTGCAGTAATAATTGAAGGTCACCTGAGAACATGGACGTATAAGGGTAGAGCTCCGGGCAGTGGATAGCTCTGTTTACCTCTTACGAAGACCTAGAAGAACCACTGGAAGTTTTCCGCTTGATTACAACGCACAGAGGCAGAATTTCTCAAGTGCCAGATTTGCATATGTGATAAAAGACATTTAAAAGTCAAGGCAACAAGTTCTTCTTGTACTATAAAGCGTGAAAAAGTCGCGCTAATTAGGGCGATTATATAAGGCTCAGTGATCATCTGGCATCTGACTGGGGGCCAAAATCCCCAAAATCCCCATAATCCTGAAAGTAAACATGAACCGTGGGACAACTTGAAAGACAACAACCTTCTTATCCCTCTATTAATAACCACCCGGTATCCCCAATGTCATTACCAACTTTTCCACCCGACGACGCAGGACCCCGTCAAATCCGCCAATACCTAAAAAACCACCTAATAACCAAACACGACACAACCACAGCATTCGCCGACCGCATCGCCAGTCTATGGCAACTAGGTCGCGGGGTCGACTTCCGCGAGACGGCCCTCAGGACCCACAGATTCAATAAGATCTTCGGAGAAACAGTAGGTCCTGCTCTCCAGCGGAGCGTGCAGGATGAGTGCTGGAACCAATGGCGTGCTTCGCAGCTTGGGACGCTGAGTTGGTGGTTGATGATTATATCCTTTGTGATGGCTATTTTGGTGTTTATCCGTACTGCTCGTCAACCTTCTGTGAAGGTGATTGATGTTATGATTTGGACCTGCTGGACGCTTGGACCGCCGATCTTCTTGAGTGGGGTGTTGGAATACGGGCATTCTCTTGCGTATCCTATTTATTGTTTGATTTTGGGCGTTACTGCGACTGCTGTGGGGTTTTTTTCGTGGATGATTAGATTTTATGATGAAAAAGAGGAACTGAAGGAGAAAAAGTTAGGGTGATTACCTGGATGTGTACATAGTAGGGCGTATGCAAGAGACTCTCGTTGTATACCAAGTACATCAGGGGCATGCATAGGCAGTGAGGCAAGCCCACGTTTATGCAAGGGATGATTGCGGAGCCCTTGCGGAATTAATGAAGTCTAAGTTTATTCCATGTTTGGTCAGAGTGGACCTTCCAGATTTGTAAAAATCTATAGTGGCAGACTGCCCGCAAGTGGTGCATAAGACTATCATTTCAAGGCTGAGCAGAGGACAATTAATGTAGACCAATGGTAATGTTTATTGCATTCAGTATTTCAATAGTACTGCAAAGCTAAAAATCAAGCGGCTATGCCACCCAAGTGGTGTATGAGCCACCGAAAGGGGCTTCTTCGAATGAAAGCAACACAGTTACAAACAGTAGATGAACGAACAATTAAACCCTTAGGCTTCTGCTGAGAGATGTGACCATGTAAAGACGATGCAAGATGCAAGATGCAAGATGCAATACCTCGCAATGCAATAAGTTGAGCCTCCCATGCTCGGCTGGTTATACCAGCTGTGTACAACCAAGAAACCACCACTCACTCGCCGTCCTCCAGAAAGTTAATGAGAAAAAGAAAAGAAAAAGCAGAATCATTCAAGGCATGAGGGGGCACGCTCCACTGGCTGTCGAACTCGAAAAGAAATGGGTCGTTGAGAAATTGCCCTTGCCTGGTGACACATGGCACGTAATTGGGGTTTTCGGTGAAAGAATTGCTGATACAGATGTGAGATACAAATACAGTGAAGCGAGAATGAGAAGTTATCGTAACGAGCGGACGACCTCGATCAATCAAGGTCAAGCAGGCGGCAAGCTCGGTTTAAGTGCCATAAATTTGCTGCACTGCCAATGCGACGGAAAGAAAAATAAAACTCCACATTATGCAAATGTGTCGATGCTGGGTATTGGTAGTGCTAACAGGCCAAGGTGCATCGATTCCAATGGCGAGAGGTGATTATCAACGAGGCGGGGAATGTAACAGGTTACCCTGAAGGCCGAAGATAGGAGTAAAAGAAAGGCAAAGTCAAGACAAAACAAGACCACGACTGCAGAAGTCATGATGGTCAATTGCTTCTCTGAATCACCTATCATATCCGTACTCTTCTTTGAGAGGTCGTTGGATCTCGAAAAGCAGGGCGTCTAGGTCTGCCCAATTAGCGGCATTTTGGGCGAATCGGCGGTGCTTTCGTGTCAAGGTATGCTCCTCGAAGTCGTCGAATTTGTCCCTGCAGTTTTCGCAGTACCCTGGCTTCGGATCCCTGCGCCGTTCCGGTTTCTTCGGTTCGCTTTCGCGGCTGTCAGCCCGACGGCGTTTCATGCCGGCACTTTCTCCTGGATTAGAGTCTTCCTCTGGAGTGTGACGAGCCTCTGGTGCCTTTGATTTGGTATTGGGGTTGTTTTGAGATTTGAGATGCATCGCCAATCCATTGGGACGCTCGGGGGCAGCCATAGATCCGTTTCCGTTTGCAATGCTGCCTGTGCCCCTCTCAAGGACCTTTCTCTTCAAGCCATGGACCTCTTTGCTCAGACCTGCTTTTGCGCCTGGGGCAGCAGCAGTGGACGAGATCATCTGAGATCGAATGGCGGATGTGACGTTAGATGGCTGTACACCGGACGCTGCAGGTTCGCGACCAGTATAGAAGGGGCCAGACCGGGGAAAGTGTGGTGGAATGAAGCTTTCTGAGCTTTTGCGTTCGTGGGTCTCGTCTAGCAAGGGCTTTGAAGGGATTTCCGCTTTCATTGAAGATTCTTTATCCTCTTCACGCTTAGTATTGGTGGGTTCTGCGTCGACTTTGGTATCGGGCTTCTGTTCCACAGCGGTCTGGGAAACCTTCGCACGAGGCTCAGCCTTGGCTGCTGACGCCTTCTTCTCTTTCTGTGCCTGACGCATGCGGTGTCTGTCGTATTCCTTTCTGCTTGGAGGTTCATCAACGAAGGGGCATTTGCCCAACGGGGCGCTTCTGAACTGTGGCCAAGCTCCGTCCTGACGCTTGGTAACTCGGGGATATTCTCGAACCATGACAGGCTTCGTCTTTTCATTCATGTCGTGGATGTAGAGGAAGGGGCCCTTGAAGACAATCATCTCCATCGATGAGAACAGGTCACGATCTGAAGGTCCGTTCAACCGCTCTTGCATGAGGGCGCGATCAAGGGGAGTTAGTCCAGCCCAACCTTTGGATTTAGTTGGATCTGCGTTCTTGCTTCTGACAGCATCATTATTCTGGCCACCGATATCGTCATCATTGATCGTGGTGATCATGCGTTGTAGCTTCTCCAAGGCCCAAATTTTCATGTTCATCTGCCGAGCTCGTTGTAGGACATCCATGCTTCCTTGGTCGTGACGGGGATCATGTTTCGAAAGGTGTGAATTAGTGTTCTTTTCAAGTAATGAAGGGTTGACGGTTTGCACATGAGCATCGCCGTTGGCGCCATTGGAGGCCTCCAATTCGGTCGGACTTGTGGCAGGAATTCCAGCAGGGATAGGACGCGATGTGACAACGTGAGTAACTAGACGGGAGAAGAATTTCTCCTCACGCTACAATGCAGAAGTTAGTATTATTCGGCAAATACACGACGATTATGACCATAAACACAAGTTTTCCAAGGTCGAAGCAAAACAACCGTCAATAGGTGAAACTTACAGCTCCAAGGGCAATGACCTGACGAGAAAACTTGCGGCGAACATCGTCAGGAATACTATCGAAGTAGAAAACAAACTGCGGGAAAGCCTTGCGGTAGTGGCGTTGCCATTGACGAATGGTATCCAAGGTATCAGCAGATGGCTTCTCGCCCTTCACGGTTTTTACTTGTGGCTGGCGTTCCTTGTCGCGAGCAGCAACAAGCTTCTTCTCAAAAGCACTTGGGTTGGCATTGTTAGGCCGTCTGGCGAAGAGCTTCGAGTCGGTTCCCTGAACTACCGACGATCGATTTTGTGTAGGTGAACGAGCACCGTTTTCCGCCGCTTCCATCACCTGCTTCTTCGGGGGTGGCTGGCCGTAAGACGTCTCGAGCTGATTGGACCGAACTCGTTTGGCCGGCACGAGTCCGGTCCTGTGAGGGGAATTGGTTGCATTCGGCACGTTGGCGAGTGGACGACGGGTCGACATGTTCATAGAGGTCTGGGGCGACGGCGGTACGAAGACAGCAGCCATGTGGTCACACGTTTGCTGGACTTGAACGCGTCAAGAGCTTGTGTTATGGTGGAATAACCGGTCGTCGAGGAGGGGTATTCGAGGTCGAGCACGCGACGTGCTACACGTCTTTGCAGGGCTCGAATGAGGTCAAAGCAAGAACATGTTCACACAAAGGGACAGTCAGGTCAAGTTGAAAAAGGAAAGCAATCCAAACTCCTGAGGATGATTGGGGGTGGTTGGTGGCAAGAAAGCTTGGGGTAAAAGGAAAGGGACAACAGGATTGAAGGGCAAAGTCGTGTGGTGTGGAGCCTCCGTTTGTTTTGAGCGTGCGCCGGACAACCAACAGCGTCGCGCGAAGCATGAACATCAACAACTACATTCCTTTAAACGCGACGTGCCAGATATGCTTATATTTTATATTTTCTTTCACCAATCATTTTCTTCTGGTTGGATCTTTAATCCAATCTTTCTTTTTCCCATTTCAGCTCGGAATCCTTTGATTGTAGTTCCCAGCTTTACGTCTTTGCCAGCCCCCAACCAGCCACCACAAACTTTAGGTCTAGCGGGTTAACGTAACATTTAGTAAATTATGGTGAAGATGTATTATACATGGATTTGGAGGGTATCTGTCAACTAGTATACATATGGTGATCGATTTAACTACGAAGTGCCTCGATATCATCAACCTATAGATTAAGTCAGAATCTCGTTAAAGTCAGAGTACAGCTATAGAACTCACCTCCTTGACGGCTTCAGGGGACAGAACAATCGGATGTTCATCACCCACGCAGACACTGTCTTCAATACGAATTCCAATGCCCCGGAAGTGAGCGGGCCATCGCTCATCGTCAGGAACATAGATGCCACTATTTGTAAGTTAGTCCGTGCCAAGGTATAGCGACAGAGTGGGGTGACGCACGGTTCAATAGTGATACATTGACCAGCCTTCAAGTTGTACCCTCTAGAGTACCCAGGACAATCGTGAACATCCAGGCCGATATAGTGACCAAGGTGGTGTGGGAATAACACGTTCATCGCCTGGTAGAGGTCAGCGAAACGTCTGCAATCGACACGCAAAATCTTTGTACATACACTTCCAGAAAGATCGAAGCCAAGCTGCTTAAGTTGGTCTTTCAATCCATTCTCGGCAATATTATGCAACTTATCGAGGGACAGGTTGGCATCCTCGCGACAAAGAGCCAAGCAAGTTCGGTGAACATTCAGCACGGCGTTGTACAGATCCCGCTGGGGATCGGAGAACTTGCCATTGACTGGCCAAGTTCTTGTAATATCAGAGATATACCCTCCGAGCTCCTATATTTTTATGAGCATCTGAAGATGAATATATGAAGATAGGGAAGAGACTTACACCGCCGCCATCTGTAAGAACCAAGTCTCCATCTCTGTCGAAGGCCGTAAGTTGCGATTCACGTTATGGATGGAAATTTGACATACCTTAGAACGTCGTCATTTCTTGTGTAATGAATGCTCAGTGCGTTCTATGCTGGTCAGCCCAGGTTCTGAATGCTGGTATGTATAGAATATCTTACCTGGCCACCCGCAACAACGGGAACAAAGGCACTGCCATCACAGCCATTGACTTTGAATTGATACTCCAAGAACGAGGCCAAGTCCTTCTCCTTGGTGAATGTTTGGCGCATGGCTTCGGTAAAAGCTCTCCCGGAGGCTTGTCCCAACCGGCGCAGGTGCATAACTTCCGCCTCAGTCTTGAATACTCTCATCTCGTTAAGTAAGGGCTTCAAGGATTTAACTTTGCGATGGTCGACGAATTTCTTCAGCTTCTCTGACGCAACGGTCGGGCCATATAGGTATCGGTGCAATGTTGATCTGGATCCATCGAAGGCGGGGATATCGGAGTAGACCTCTGTGGCTTTGGCAATGATTTTGGGAAGAATGTTTCCAATATCTTCAATGTTCCCTGTCTAAAAGCAATTGCGTCAGTCTGAGGTTCCATACATCATGCCAAAGCAGTGTAAACGTACTTCGTCGGCGTTGAAGACATCCATAGCGGCCTGGGTGCCAGAGCGCGCACCATCCCACAATTCCGCCTTGGGATCCTTTTCCCGGACATAGAGATGGAAGATATGATTGTCACCAGACCCATCGTTCCCGATGACTGCCAGCGCGTTCGGTTCGTTGAAACCTATCAAGGTTTAGAATCGTATGATCAGCGATGGGTTCCATGGCAAGCCAAATGTCCGTCAACCTACCAGTCAAATAGAAGAAGTTGGACTCTTGACGGTATTCGTGAAAGATACCAGGCGCACGGTACTTCACTTCGGAGGCCGCGAGAATAGCGACTGCTCCCTCGGGGAGCTTGTTGGCGAGTCGCGATCGGCGCAGGGCATATTCAAGGGCCGTGACTCCGGGGGTCACTATTGAATAAAGAACCAATCAATCAGTCTCCAGAATATTATGAATTTTTTGAAACAGCGACCGAAATATCACGTACGCTCTCCGGGTTCCAAAAGGTGAGGGTGAGTTTCGTGCAACGGCTGTCCGAATTTGAGCTCCGCGGCGCCGACGGAGGTAGCGTACGTTCTGCGGAGAGGGACCTGGATGCGACCAAGAGTCTGGTAGGATGAACGGCTAAGCCGAGGGCCGCGACACAGCTGACGGGCGCATTGTCGGACGAGTGACCTGCAGGCGGCCATGCTCAAAGTTATTGAATGTACAATTGTAAACTTGTTATCTCCAACCGTCGGTTGCTCCCTTGGCTGATGGAGAAGTTGCGGGCGGTGTGGACCAATCACCTGCAACGGGTTTGGCATCGCTTTCCAATCTACAGTATAGTTCAACGGAGAACACCTTTTGTCTATGCGAATATTAAATAAACTGACATGAAAAAGGGAAAAGAGAAGAAAGGGCGGCCTCTATAATGATTTCGGTTACAAAGAGCCTTGGAATCTTGTGAAGTTATATATTGAAGCTCACAAGTCGGGTCATTTGTCTGGACTTCCAAGGTTCTTTTCCGAGATATATATGTGGAGCCTTCCCAAACAATACCTAGAAGTAGGTATACATACGTCGCATTCCATGAACATAGTAACTCCGGGACCATAGTAGATGCCTAGGTAGGATACGCAATTATAGAGCAGAAACAATCAGCTTAGTTTCAAATTCATCGATTTTCCCGTGTTCTTGCGGCCGATGAAGAGTTATCCCGATCTTAGCCAACTTGGATTCCAGATCATGATACCCTCTATCAAGGTACTTGGTACCCTGAACCACCGATACTCCTTCCGCTACAATAGCCGCAATAACAAGGCTAGCAGCAGATCTTAGATCAGACCCAGAGACCAATGCAGCAGATAGCTTTTCTACTCCCGATATTATGGCCGTTTGCTCGTGAATCTGTATATCTGCGCCCATAGCAAGCAGACCAAATGCTTGATCAAAACGTCTTTCGTAAACAGTCTCAGCGATCCGGCTTATGCCATGAGCCAAGGAAAGAAGGACCATGAATTGCGGCTGCAGATCTGTTGGAAAAGCAGGATATGGCCCGGTCCGAATATCAACAGCCAAGAGTCTTTCAGCTTTGTGGACTGTTACCGAATCAACGGAGATATTGATGATGGCACCGACAGCCCGAAGTTTCTTGATTAACATAGCCTGGTGCTCAGGTTTGCAGCCAAGGACTGTAAGGGATTCACCAGCTATTGCACCGAGAATCATAAATGTGCCTGCCTCGATTCTATCTTGCATAACTTGATACCGGCATGGAGATAGCAGCTCGTGCCGGCCAATGATGGTAAGATGAGCAGTCCCCAGCCCGTTGATTCGCGCTCCCATGCTGATTAGAAAACTTGTCAGGTCGACCACTTCCGGCTCTCGAGCTGCGTTGTGTATCTGCGTCACACCGCGAGCCAAGCACGCTGCCATCATAAGGTTCATGGTTCCCGTTACAGATGGAGTCTCCATATGGATAATCGCCCCGTGCAATCGGGATGCGTGGGCTTCGATATACCGATCGTTCAATTTGACACGAGCACCAAGCTTTTCGAGTCCCCTAATATGCTCCTCGATTGGCCGTACGCCGATGGTGCACCCTCCCGGGAGACTTAGTTTGGCTCGCCCGAATCGTCCAAGAAGGGGTCCAAGAACCAGAATTGAAGCCCGAAGACTAGCCGATAATTCTTCGGGAATAGATTGAAATTTTATGTTGTTTGTTGCAACATGTAAAGCATCGTCTACGCGCGATACATCAGCTCCAAGGCATTGGAGGATACGGCTCATGTTCTTGATGTCTGAAACGGGTGGCATTCCGTCCAGCATAATTGTTCCACTTGCAAGCAATGCCGCGGCCATGAGTGCTAGACCCGAGTTCTTTGAGCCAGAGACACGGATGTCTCCAGTTACTTGACTGCCACCATTGATGATGATGCCGGTTGACATAATGACCTTGCATGCAAGTGAAAATCACGATCTTGAGTTTGCCGTTATGCTGCTTCACGGAAGATAGATCGGAAACTTCCAGATCGACAATGACCCGCAATGATTTCAGCTTTGCCAATAAATTATGGCGGTGTGTTTATTGTGGGATCTGACGTACCATCAGATCGTGTGGATCTGGCGATGCAGATCGGCACTCCTGCAGTTACACAAACCAATAGACCCTCCAATTAGCGGGGCAAATTTTTCCATTGGGCCAATTGAGGTTATCGTGAAGCACAGATTGACATTACTCGATATCTTTAATCCGGCGGGGAAGTATTATCCTCCCTGGTTGTGGCTGGTGGCCATCTCCAAACTCATTGCATCAAAATCATCGAATACAGTGCAAAGTTTGGACATAACTGAGCTAGAGTATGTCTTGCTTTCATTTGGAGGAGTATGTGGACCTCCAACCGCATAATACTTTCGGTGTCACAGTGACGGCCCGGTATTTTTTTCGTTTAAATAACACTGGCGATCTTGAGAAGCTTTTGAACTCACCCTTGTTTCACGAAAATCGATATTTCATTCTTGGGGGTGGGAGTAATACTCTTTTTGCCAAGGACAAATTCGACGGGATTATTCTAAAGAACGAGATCAAGGGCATCGAGCTTGTGTCTGAAGATGAAAACAACAAAGTCCTTCGAGTCGGCGCGGGGGTAGAATGGACTTCGCTGGTGGATTATTGCATTCATAATGACCTTGGGGGACTAGAGAACCTTTCATTGATACCTGGAACGGTTGGAGCAGCACCAATCCAAAATATTGGTGCATATGGAGCTGAGCTGAGCGATGTCCTGTTGAATGTCGAGGTTATTGACATGAACACCGGACAATTGACGAAAATGTCAAAGGAGGAGTGCAAGCTGCAATATCGAGACAGTGTTTTCAAACAAACTCTGACGAAAATGATGATATGCTTCGTCACGATTCGGACGACAAAGGCCCTTTTTCCTGAAGTAGATGCTGGAAACGCGGCAATTCAGCAAGTCTTGCGGGAGCTTGGAGTTTCAAAGCCGTCTATACGATCAGTCAGTAGGGCAGTCTGCATTCTACGTAGAAGAAAGCTCCCCGATCCAAAGATAACGGGCAATGCAGGGAGCTTCTTCAAGAATGTTGTTATCAATGATGCATTGCGCCAGTCAATAAAGAAGATTGACAAGGATGTCCCTCTGTTTCTCAGGTCCGAGGGGCTGCATATTATACCGGCGGCGTGGTTAATCGAAAAGTGTAGCTGGAAAGGCAAGCAAATTGGCCAGGCGGGAGTCTCTGCCAGTCATGCACTTGTACTTGTGAATCTTGGTGGGGCGACAGGACGTGATATTGTATGTTTGGCGGAGTTGATCGTGCGAGATGTAGAGATCAAGTTCGGTGTCTTGTTAACTCACGAAGTGAATATCGTCAAGTAGGCGATAGGTGTGCATCGTTTTCGGCAGACGTTTGAATTGATTTTTCAAAACTTTTGGTCTCGATTTGGTGACGGTTCGAAGTTACGGTTAAAAAGGCAGTCATTTCTGGTGTTGTCAATTCCACAGGCCTCAAATTCTATAAATGATTCTTAGTGGTAAGCAAGATGTAGCAGGATTGGTGGAGCAGCCAAAGCAATTCGACCGCTTCTGCAGGTGATGCTGATCGGACAAGTACGCCACCAACACAATATTCTGCCCCTCGGCAGATGACGACTTTGGGGTGTGTATGAGCTACTTAGGCTCGGAACCTTGGGCAGCGCCATCATCCCGTAGAGGATTTGGCCAGTATCCGTGGAAGAAATGAATCATTTTATGGTGATTGACAGATATTGGGGTCATTGGAATTAGAAATGGGCCAAGGAAGTAATAGAGCCCCATATCGTATGTATTGAGAGATGCTTGGATAGAAGTAAATACGGATTACACAACCAATAGACATTAAATGAACGATTGAATATCATTTGTCTTTACTCAGGATCGAAGTCGTGGGCCAATAGTATGCGCTGGAACGCCTTAAATACCTTTGAATGAGCGGTATGTTCCATCTCCACATCCCCGCCTCACTTACTCCAACTCGACCAACAAAGAACTCTTGCATTTGAAACCCCTTCCACACGCTTTGCATGACGCTCGTGTCATTTTTTGGTCTTGGAATTTTGCTACAGAAATGGCTTCAGCAGTGAAACAGGCAGCTCTGGCTAACATTTCTGCTGCGGATATTAAGTCGTTCACTGAACATCTGCAAAAAAGCAAGCGAATCGTAGCCTTGCTCGGGGCTGGGCTCTCCGCATCCTCGGGACTACCCACCTTCCGAGGTGCTGGTGGGCTCTGGCGATCATTTGATGCCACTTCGCTGGCCACTCCAGAAGCTTTCGAAAGCAATCCGGGACTAGTTTGGCAATTCTACAGCTATCGCCGACACATGGCTCTCGGCGTAGAACCAAACAAGGCACATTATGCACTTGCTGAACTATCTCGAAGGAAAGAGAACTTTATAACGCTATCGCAAAATGTCGATGGTGAGTATCCCTTTTTGACTCGGGTCCTTTAAATGCTGATGTCACCACAAACTAATGTTCTGTTTCCCAAGGGTTGTCGCCAAGAGCGCAGCACCCACCCGGGCAGCTGCATCTACTGCATGGATCTCTCTTCAATATTAAATGCAATGAGTTCTATTGCAACTACACATGTGAGAACGACTTTACAGACCCCATCGTTCCTGCTCTTGAGATCCCCAAGAAGGGGTTGAACCTGCCTGCTTCAAGGGCGAATGAGGTCGATATTACGGATGCAGCGAATCCAGTCCCCGAACTGGGGGTTTCTGACCTGCCCCAGTGCCCCAAGTGTGGCGGGCTCCTCCGACCAGGCGTGGTTTGGTTTGGAGAGCCTCTCCCTGGTGATACCATCAAGGCTGTTGATGACTGGTTTGACGAAGGTCAAATTGACCTCATGCTGGTCATTGGAACGAGCTCCAAGGTCTATCCTGCTGCAGAATATACGGACACTGCTCGCCAAGCCGGTGCCCGAGTGGCGGTTATCAACATGGATCCGAATGATAAGCCTCGTCAGGGTTTAAAACAGCGCGACTGGTTTTTCCAGGGTGATGCCGCGGTCATCGTGCCAGAGCTGCTGAAGGGCGTCATTGGGGAGATTTAATATAGAGGTCCTGGTACAGGGGGCTCGGGAGTATGTGGGCGTTGCAAGCTTGGAAAGGGGAACCTGTGTGCTTTGACTGGTTCTACATATTTATTGGTGTCTTCAATTCCCATATTGTACTGAAATACTTTTCGAAAAGGTTTTGGACCTTAAAAGACCGTCGAGGTCCTGCCCAGTACCTGGCTGTCCACACCTATATAAGTCTGTAGACAGACCTCGGAATGGCTACTTCTAAGATTACCTGGTAGGCAATCTTGAAAGTATGTATATATCTGGCCGTGGACATCATCACCATCTCAATCCAAAGATGTCTCCAATGTCGCGCTAAATTCCAGAGTTGGAAACTTTGAGGGAACGGATGAGAACAGTGATATTTGATGTCAACTCATCCGAATACTGCAATTCAGTGGAATCTTTAATATAGGTATTGACATGCACAGATAAGCTTCCAAAGTTGTTAATGTTTTGGACTTGACTGCCTAAGGCAGCACTCGTTGCTGGGGAATCCACCCAAAACAAATCCCATATCGATAACGTCGACGATCCCACTTGTATTTCTCAACTCCACCCCACATTCGCTTTTGAAAAGGGCTTGGATGTGCTAGTTGAGCCTTGCAGGTGAGTTATTACTAACAGCTCTTGGTAGTTTCCATACTAGGTGTGTTTCCCCATTCACTCATCCCTAAGAACAGTCTACCCCGCGCCCGCGAAGAGATCCGAAAGTTGAACTCAACAACAAAGACTGCCAAAGCTTACAATTGCGCGCTTCTTAGGCCCCGCCACGCCAGATTGATTATTCGCCCAGCGTGAGCGAAACAAGATCAAACCTAATACCCAAACCACAACCGTCTCAGATACGCCATATTTACACAACAGAGAACCCACGGTCTTTCGTTCGCGGACGACTTCACCCCACCATGGCCAGGGAAAGTGACGCTCCTAGGGAGCCCCAAACTCCCGGGCGCCCAAAGGAATCGATCCAACAATCCATTGCTCAAGAGCCAGAGTTTGGTAGACCTTCGCCTCTTGGTAAACCAGCACCAAGATCCAATTCCAACCACCTCTTCAATATCCCCAAGCAAAACCGCACGCGACCAGAGCATCATCGTCCTTATCAACAAAACGTGTCAAACCCCGAACAAAATCGAGTACCTCAACAAGGAGCACCTCAAAGCTCCCGGCCACCGGTGGCACCCGGCGGCATTTCGGCCACGCCCTCAGCAAACCGACGTGGGCCATTTGACCCCTTCCAGCCCGTCCGACCATCTGCGTACAATGACTATCGATCAGGGATTCCGCCGGGTGCGACTCCGATCAAACGCCCCGAGCAGGTGTCGTATGCTACCCCCGCGGGCCCCAAGGGCACTTTTCACATCAAAGCCATCCGCACCGAAGCAGTCCTTCGCATCGAAAAACCTTCAGGCTTTCATCGATCTTACAGCCGATGAGTCTGATTCGAGGACCGGAACAAATGCTCAGCAGTTTGGTCAGGCATCTACTTTTGGTTCCACGGATGTCTACGGTTACGTCGACTCAGCCAAAGCGAATGAAAACATAAAAGCTCTGCTTGAGGGTGCATTCGAAGACGAGGAAGAAAGCAAAGCAAAGTCTAAGGACAAGAAGAAGAAGAAAAAGAGCAAAACGAAGCTTTTGAAGAAAACTGAAACGAAGGAAGCCAGTCCGGCTGCGAATAACGACACCAGTGAACTCGATGACTTGGCTGCTCAACTTCAAGGTGTTACTGTCAATGACCCGAACGAAGGCGAAGCAGAGTCTGCCGATGAATTTGACGAGAAGAAGCCAACAAAGCTTAAGAAAGACACGGATCATGACAATAAAAAGGAGAAAGTCACGGACAACGAGGATGACGAGGCCGAAGTAGAGGATGGTGATGAGGAAGAAGAGGAGGAGGAGGAGGAGGAATCCGATGACGAAGAAGAGCTGATTATCGAGGGCTTGAAAGTCACCTTGCTGCCCCACCAAGTCGAAGGTGTAAGCTGGATGTGTGACAAAGAGTCTGGTCGACACTCGACAAAAGGAATTGTGCCCAAGGGTGGAATCCTTGCGGATGACATGGGCCTGGGAAAAACCGTTCAAACAATATCCCTGCTGCTCAAAAATCGCAAGCCCGAGCACGAACACAGCGACGACGACACCGCCAACAAGAAAACAGACGATGAAGATGCCCCACCTGCCTCTCAACTTAGCAAGACTACGCTTGTAGTGGCACCTCTAGCACTTATCAAGCAATGGGAAGCCGAGATCGCTGACAAAATTGAGAGGTCTCATAAGCTGAGCGTCTGTCTCTATCATGGGACGAACCGCGCAAAGACTGCCAAGTCATTGGGCGACTACGACATCGTCATTACCACCTACGGAACTCTTACCTCAGAGTCAAGTACAGCAGCCGCGGACAAGGCCAAAAAGTCTGGGATTTTCTCTGTTTACTGGTACCGAGTTGTCCTTGACGAGGCCCACACCATCAAGAATCGCAATGCCAAGGCGACACAAGCTGCATGCACCTTGGATGCTAGATATCGCTGGTGCTTGACAGGAACGCCAATGCAGAACAACCTTGACGAGCTGCAGAGTTTGATCAAATTCCTCCGTATTAAGCCTTACAATGACCTTGCTGCGTGGCGTGACCAGATCAGTAGACCGTTAGCAAATGGCCGTGGTGGCCTTGCTATCCAACGACTCCAAGTCATCCTGAAAGCTTTCATGAAACGACGCACCAAGGATGTTCTAAGAGACAATGAAAACGATAAATCCGAAGGAGCTGATGGAAAACCGAAAAAATCCAATGGGTTCAAAATCGTCAAGCGTGAGGTTATCAAGGTGGAAGCGCAGTTCATGGAGGGGGAGCTGAACTTTTACAAGCGATTGGAACAACGCACCGAGAACCGCCTTGAGGAGATGATGGGCGGAGCCAAAGTTGACTATGCTGGCGCGTTGGTCTTGCTCTTGCGTCTTCGTCAAGCGTGTAACCATCCTGAGCTTGTCAAGAGTGATCTAGCCTTGGACAAAGATGTTCTGTTGCAGAATGGAAACCCTGCAAGCCAGTCATCTGAAGCAAAGAAAGACGATCTAGATGACATGGCTGACCTCTTTGGAGGGTTGAGTGTCATGACGAAGAAATGCGATGTTTGTCAAGCGGAACTTAGCCAAGCCGAATCAAAGAGCGGGGCTAGTCACTGCACTGAGTGTGAAACCGACCTGAACACCAATTTCATGACCAAAGATAGCAAGCAAAAGGCAAAGAAAGCACACAAACACCACGAGGTCACAACAATTGAAAGTCCGGTCGCCAAGTCTCGCTCTCGCAAGAACCGTCGAGTCATTCTTGATAGCGACGATGAGGATGATGACGAGGCCGAATGGATTGTACCCGAGGGCCAACGTAAGATGCCCAACCTTGGCAAGGCCGGTGGATCAGAGGACGAAGACGCTGAAGGTGGAGGAGAATGGATTGGCTCCGGGGACTCCGACCTTGACTCGCCCTCGGGGAAGAAGAATCAACCTATTACCCTGAGCAGCTCTGAAGATGAATCCGACTCTGACGATGACATTCCTTACGAAGGCGAAAACGGGGAGCTACCATCTACCAAGATCCGTTACTTGATGAAACTCCTCAACAAAGAATCCGCGGACTACAAATTCATTGTCTTCTCTGTTTTCACCTCGATGCTGAATAAGATCGAGCCATTTTTGAACAGTGCAAACATTGGATTTGCACGTTACGATGGTGGCATGCGAAATGACCACCGTGAAGCCAGTCTCAACAAGTTGAGGAATAACAGTGGCACTCGCGTCCTGCTCTGCAGTTTGCGTGCCGGTGCACTGGGTCTCAACTTGACAGCTGCCAGCCGTGTTGTAATCCTGGAACCATTCTGGAATCCTGTAAGTCAACGATTCCACAAAAATTTGTATTTTGCATCATGCTAACACAATGAAAACTAGTTCGTGGAAGAACAAGCTATTGATCGTGTCCATCGTCTCAACCAAACCGTTGATGTCAAAATCTACAGAATGATCATCAAGGGCAGCGTTGAAGAGAGGATTGTCGCCCTGCAGGATCGCAAACGCGAACTGGCCAACATGACCATCGAGGGCAAGTCTGCCGCCGGAAAATTGACCATGAACGACATGATGGCGCTATTTGGTCGCGACGCCGAGTCCAAATATACCCCAACCGATACTCAGGGGAAGCTGGACTTCAAACAGCCCACTAGGCTACTGAATTCTACAGAGGAGATTGCTTCTCCTAGGCCCTCCCAGTCCTCTGCACGGAGTGACTCTCATAACCGAGATCGTCGGCAGCAATCTAGGAAGTCGACACCTGAAGATTCTGTGTATGGACGACGCTGGTAGATGACATATTATGATGATGAACTCGCATGCACAGGTGATTGGTGGTGGGATAGATTTCTCTACAGGCGTTCTTCTTTTTGCATACAACTGGACTGGGGTGGTTTCTGTGGGATGGTGGAATTGAAGGAGAGAATTTCTTGTCTTTTTTTTTTTTTTTGGTACTTATTCAAACAGTTTCTTGAACATTGTCAATTCATGATTTGTGTTATATTTCTCGTTGTTCAATGCTGTCTTCTGCGAGCGTAACATTCACCTGGGTCCAATGTCTTGAATCCAAGGTCCCGCACAAGGTGGCTAAATAACTCCCGGAAATCATGCCCACGAGTGATGTTCTAGGAGGCAAATCAAGGACCACAAGCCGGGACTGAGCTCCGAGTAAGCGGGTACTACTGCTGTTTACTGTCGACGGGAACTGACCAAAATTCTTCAAAACAGGGGAATTGTTGAAAGTAAATGAGTCGTGTGTGAATTCCCACTAATAATGAGCAACTGCAAGAATAAATGGCGTGCACTTCGCATACCACAAATGCGAAGCTCTAAGAGACGACATCAATTGTATAAGCTCTGACAGCTGGTCGATCACACGAGGACCATGGAAGAGATGACCTTGGAATGCGACAGTCGTCTAGACTATCCAAAGGCAGGGTCCATCCACTCTTGTGGATCTATAGTGAGGTTATTTTTACCACCAGCGGGGAATCCCCCCCCCACATTCCAGGTATTGTGCCTCGGACAATCCTTGAATGGAAGAACTCGGATTTCTCGGGAGATTGAGCATCTGTGTCGGTGCGAGCTCGTCAAAAACTCGGCAAACAGTGGGAACGCTTTGAACGAAAAAGAATGGATTCGTTAGATATGAGCTCTGTTGACGAGCGCTTCGATTGAGGGACCTGGCCAATATCTACGATTGCTAGCTATAAGATCTATAACGCAGCTTTATAGATCGTGCCCTCGATTCTCTGTTTCATTTGAGGCCTTCGGACCCTGCGGACTCTGCAGAATCGGAATGCTCTGTCCGATAGCACCCACGGTTCACCAGCTTTGGTTCAGGATCGCGAGAGTATCGCCCGGTGTGAGTCCTTGACGAACCGGACGAGGGAACCGAAGACACATGTCGTATGGAAAACTTAGTGATCAGCATTAGTTGCTTCTCATAGGTCCATCTGCCAGGAGAAAGAATGAGAGGGTTTGGGGGATCGTTTGGTACGCAGAGGCGAGATCACAGATCCAGCCTCTGCCAGACTCTGGGGAAAACCTTTCACACCCACTGGTTTTTATTTGTCTTCTCCCACCCCTATCGCTCGCTTTTCAACAGGATATTTGCCCTGAATCCTCTCAAGGGGCTTAGGTCTTGTGTTGACCACCCGTCTGCCAGATGAATGGAGCCTGGGACAACTGAATCTATCTACTTTTTCACATGCTATAGTCGATGCAGTCATTACCCTTGGTCCAAATGTGTTGGTCTTCACGAGACGAAATCAGTTCGTCTCTCTCACCTAACAACAAGAGCGAATGGAAGGTCACCTTCAATGGGGAAGAAGACGCCCGAGACCAAGTGTCAAACGGAAGGAGAGTACTAGCTCGGACTCTCTCGATACCGAAAACGATGTGCATCTTGTCCGACAAAAAGACAGAGATATCGACCGTCACCGAGGTTACATCTCCGAAGATGAAGCTCCCACAGCTCGGAAGCGATACTATGGAGAGGGTGTTTCCAATTCGGTCTGTCGTTTCCTTCGATCCCACTTCTTCTCCGGCTCTCCAAACACCATCCCTGGATAAAGTAGAGAGCCCGTTTCCTCAGTTTCCGTTTGGAGATACATTTCCAACCAATGAATCGGTCGATAGTCCATCTGAAGGATTTCAAAAAATATCCACGAGAGATAAAAGTGATGGAGACTTAGCGCCGAGAAGACCGAATTACCTTGCTCGGATGCACAACCAACTAAGCCTTTCCAGTATTTCACCATCTTTGTCAAAGCTACAGGCCGAGAATGGAGACTCATGTTCTTGCGATCAGTCAACTCCAAGCCTTTCCACCCAATTAGAAAGCATAATTCGCGAGGGTGGTGAGGTTTTGACTAGGAACGAGTTGAAGCCAGGACTCGAATACCTTGAGGACGAAGTCGAAGTGGCAGTTCAATCATTTGGGGCGCTGCTGGTTCTTTCGGAGTTGGATGGCAACATGATTGTTCAAGCGGCTAGCACGAACTCGAAGGAAATTGTGGGCTATTTCCCAGATGAACTATTTGGATATGAATCCATCCACACAATAATTCCTGATTTACAACACAAAGTTTTCTTTTCACACACCGAATACGTTCTGAGTGATGATTACGATATGGAAAAATGTGGCCCAGAGGTGTTTTCACTGTGGATCCCAGTTGATGGAGGTGTTCCCAAACATCTTTGGTGTACCATGCATACTAGCAAATTATCCCCTAACTACATCATTTGTGAGCTAGAGCCAGACGTTGCGGATATTCAAGACCAAAGGGATGTTACTGGTTCTGAGGAAGTACCTACTACTCTGCGAGCTGGATTCAATGCTGCTCAATCCGAACCTCATCCTTCAGAGCAACGTGAATGTAGGGAACCCGATCTACTTAATGCACTCACGCGTGTTATCCAGCAGACATCCAGTGCTCAAACACTCGAAGCACTTGTTAAGCAAGCCATGGCCAGTGTGAAACAGTTAATACGCTTCAATCGAATGACTATGTATCACTTTGATAGCGACCGAAATGGCATCGTTGTGGCAGATTCATTCGATTCATCATTGGGCGTGAGCTCCTTCGAAGGGTTGGAGTTCTCAGACTCAGTCTTCTCGGCTGATTTGAAAAAACAGTATCTCCGCAATAAAGTATCTTTCGCCTATCGAAAAAGCAAAGGCTGTGCAGGACTAGCCTATCGGGCGTCGGTAGTCAAGACTACGTTGGATCTATCTCATTGCTATCTTTTAACAGCTCCTGGTTTGCAGGCTCAGACGCATACTCCAGTGCAGGCTTGTGTATCGATTGGAATGCAAGGTTTTGGAAAAGTGTGGGGGCTAATATCCTGTCAGTCGTACGGCAAGAGCACTAGACTTCACCCGCTTGTTCAAAGGGTATGTTGGTTATTGAGTGAAACGTTCTCCAGCAATATTGAGCGTCTTTCATATACGTTACCCTTTCAGACCAAACAGCCAAATGTGCACATTGGTGGAACGGACAACAAGCAACGCATTCAAATACCAGCAGGTGATCTTCTTGACATCTTTGGCGCCGATTATGCTGCAGCATCTATACTGGGAGAGACTAAGGTTTTGGGAAAACCCTCTGATTCTCAGGAAACCTTGGCTTTACTGGAATATTTTCGAGCTAAGGAACTGGACACTGTCCTCTGGTCAATCGACATACTGTCTGACTTTGAGGATCTTGACTATTCACCCGGGTTCCGCCATCTCTCCAGCCTGATCTATATCCCACTCTCTGCCGATGGACGGGATTTCATCATTCTCTTCCGTGAGGAGACGAAGAGTGGCAAGGGTCAGGCAGAGTGGTCTGCAGGCGAGCTTGGAAAAGCATCGATTCTATCTTTACTATACCGAACCTTCACCGACATCTGGCAGGAGAAGGAGGCCTCGATGCAAGATAATCAACTCACGAGGCTCCTCCTCGCCAACTCGGCCCATGAGTTCCGCACACCTCTTAACGCCATAATAAATTATCTTGAAATTGCCCTGGACGGAAATATAAACCAGGAAACTCGAGACAATATCTCCAGATCACACTCGGCATCAAAGTCACTAGTATACATAATCAACGACTTACTGGACCTCACGAACGCAGAGAATGGTCAGAACCTGATCAAAGATGAGATCTTCAGCTTATCCGAGACTCTATGCGAGGCGACCAATATCTTCTGGGAAGAAGCACGACAGAAGCACGTCGACCTTCAAGTAGTGCAACATGCAGCATTACCTGCCGTCCTCGGTGATCAGCGACGAGTGCGACAAGTTATCACAAACCTAATCAGCAATGCTGTCCAATACACCTCGACCGGCGCGGTGACTATCGAGTCCTGCATCCTGACTGAGTCATGGGACGACGACCACATCGCCATCCAAGTGGCAATCCACGACACAGGCTCCGGCATGTCCCAAGCAGCTGTAGAAACATTATTCTGCGAACTGGAGCAAGTCTCCAACAAGGAATACCCTCGGAGTCCTAAAGCCTACGCCAAAAACACGAGAATGTCTAGTTCCGAATCAGAAAGTGTCTTAGGCCTGGGCCTTGCACTCGTCGCCAGAATAGTCCGCAACATGAACGGCCAGCTAAGCCTCAAATCCGAAGAAGGAAAAGGAAGCTGTTTCAAGATTCGCCTAAAATTCTCATTACCGTCCGAGGATAACGAGTCATCTTATCCCGCCACCCAATCTACTAAGAACTCAAATCATCAATCCGCCACTCAATATACCACAAAGGCAGATCCCCAATCCAACAGACAGGGATGTGACAAGCTACAAAGCAACGAAGTCTCGCGTGACAAAAGACAAGTAAGCGTGGAGCGGGAAAAAGAAAAAGATACAGAGAATCAGCCACAACAGGAATGCGGGGTTGTTCCCTGTCATTGTGGTTCAACCTTTATGTCAGATTCAGCCATCGGCAAAGAGGACAACCCACTCGTAGATGCTGATATCTCAGTCAATGGAGAATCCCGAGATCTGACCATTCTTGCTTCTGGCGCAAAGGTTGAGGACGTAAGCATGCATAGCACCCTTTTAAGAATGAATGCTGACAACTCTACTCGGATGTGTAGAAGGTACCTTTGCGCTCTGGTTCTGGCCAAGCGCCGCCCTTCGTCATGGATTCTTCCACTTCCCCGACCGGACCGGGTAAGACAGAAAGAGACATTAATTCCATGGCTGGAAATACATTACGGATCCTTATTGCTGAGGATGATCCGATCAATAGCTTGATCGTTAAGAAACGACTTGAGAAGCTCGGATACTCGATTTGTATGACGGGTAATGGCAAGGAATGTGCATCTGTACATCGGCAAAGTCCGATATCTTTTGATGTGATTCTTATGGATCTTCAGGTATGGGATTTCCAATAATAGATTGCTTTGAGATACGATAAGCTAATGCTTTATTTGATTATATGTCTCCAGATGCCTATCGTAGACGGGTTAAGTGCTACAAAGATGATCCGTGAATACGAGCAGCAAAGTACGAGTCATAGGACGCCTGTTTTTGCCGTTTCGGCTTCTTTGATCGAAAAAGATCGTCAGATTTATTTGGATGCTGGGTTTGATGGGTGGATTATGAAGCCGATTAATTTTCAACGGGTGCATTTACTTCTTAATGGTGTTTTTTCTGCTGAATGGCGAGATGATGCGCTCTATCAGCCTGGAATGTGGGAACAGGGGGGTTGGTTTGGACGATAATGTACTCATTTCTATGGACCCGTGGACGTTGCTAAAGAATGACAGGTAGAAATATAATCGCACTGAGAACAGCAGTTGCTAATTAACAGACCTTGTTGCATCTTCGGATAGCCAATCTCCACTGAGTCATCTATAAATTATGTCTATGGTGTGGTCCCCAGATATGCTAACTATATACATGGATAGATGTAGCCTGGAGGTATATGATTAATCTACTCATGCAAGGATACCAGATATTGCCAATTAATAGTTCATTTCATTTACATCCCATTTTGGGGAACACTTAATGCCAAAACAATTCATACACCTAATCCGCTGCCAATCCACAGAGGGCAGTAAGCTCCAGTCCGTTCTAGTGTATTGGAGAAAAGGAAAAGAGAACAAAAAAAAGAGAAGTCGTGTCCATAATGAAAACAGGGTATGAGAAACTCCAAGAAAACCAATGAACATGGAAACACAGCGGCGGAAGTAAAATACCTGTCGAGACAGCCTACCACGGGTGAATTGAATGCATCAGCTGTACAACTTCCGAAAGAAACATGAAAAATAGATTATCGCTGAGTCAGGGGAATCTAGAAAAATGAAACTGAAATGGTGCCACAGGCAACTCATCCCTTCTGCAATCCATTGCAGAGTAAAATGCAGAAAAATACCCAAGATAAGCTTGGGTTGAAGCTCATCTTCTCCCATGGCGGGCCATGGAAGCATACTCAACCAAGCTGGCGGGTATCCGGGTTGGGTGATTGAGACATAACGGAGGAGCCAGGAAGATTGATTTTCCTGCCAAGCGGTGCTGGATCGGTAGCTCCAGCTATTGATAAAGGCTCGGGAGTTGTACCCAAGTAGGCGAGAGATACAGTCAGACGCACAATTTTCAAGCGATACCAAAGGTTGCGTTTCCAAATAGCATGCAAAAGATACGGGTCTCGCCGAAATTTTTAGAGGTAAACTCTTCAACTGATGATTTGCCGGGCACCCTCTTTGCCCAGAACACCTGGCTCAGTGGGCTTAGGACTGCGGTCACGACCCTTCTTGCGACTGAGGAATGAGAGCATCCCGCTGTTGGAGCCCTTTCCTTTACCCCCGTCACCCTCCAGACCCTCCGCAGGGAGAGTAGAGCTGTGGTTGGCGAGCTCGCTCCAGCTACCAGCCTCTTCCAAAACCATTTGTACACCACCTCCTTTGCTCATCTTCCGTGTCGCCCCGCCCCGCCGAGGTTGTGGCGGCAAAGGGCGATGGAAAGAGGGCGGATTCGGTGGAGGAGAGGCGGATGCGCGAGTAGAGGGGGAGGGGGGCTGGCCGATTGAAGTAGTATCGTTCGGGTCGAGGTTTTCACTGCCGGTGGTAGTTACATCATTTTGAGATATCTGGTTGGCCTGCCCCTCATTCAGCGGTGAATTGCGAACGGCCGATTCAGGTTGGGAGGGTTGTCGGACATGAGAGGTGTTATTTGTAGTAATAGCGTTGGTAGTCGTTGCATTGGGGAGGCAATCTTCGGGGTTTCTAGAAGGGGTGAGCAGGAGTTGTGTCCATGGGTGCAACTGTACTTACATTGTTGAGGCAATGGCTTCGGCGGCACTGCCTTGATAGTCGACGGTGGTGTAGTCAAATGGTTCGAACATAGTCTCAATCAGGCGATGAAGTTCATCCTCACGAATTTCCTTGGCTGTGGCATCGTCACGTAGCTCTGCACGCGGCTTCTGGCGACGAGCCCGGGCTTCCAGGGGTGCTTCCTCCAACAACAGTTCTTCCAAATCGTACGTAGCATCGAAGTTTGTCTTGTCGCTGGACGGCCGGAAAACCGGGGGGATTTCTTTGCGCTCGAGAGCGTCGAAGTCGATGTCGGCGAAGAATTCATGCGAAGTGAAGCTCTCGAAACCAATGGCACCAATGCGGCGACTGCGATCGCGGTTCATCAAAGCCATCAAAGCTCGTAGACACGGGACAGACACAGCGGGGTTGGTGACATAATACTTCGGTTGTGCCTTTTTGATATTCTCGCTCAGGGTTTCCTGACTGCGACCTTCGAACGGACGCTGTATCTGTTGTCAGCCTCAGCCATCGCACCTGTAGAAGCATAACGTACCTTGTTGTAAATGCATTCGTAAAATGTGACACCCAAAGACCACCAGTCAACTTCAAAGTAATATCCACCACCCTCATACACTTCTGGGGCCAGGTAAGCCAACGTCCCCGACTTGCTTGTGAGAGGCTTTCCTGGTCGGAAGTCCGATGCCACATTCTAGATAATTGTTAGTTGCTACAAGTGTTATCGAAAGGTCATGTCACTCACAAAATCTGCCAAGTGGACATGGCCTTCAGAATCCAACAGCACATTATCGGGCTTGACATCACGATGAATGATGCCTTGAGAGTGAATGTATTTCAAGGCACAGCCAAGTTCCGCGGCCCAGAATCGCACTGCTTCCTCGGTGAAACATTTGCGGGAAATGTGAAATCGAAGATCGCCACCATTCATGAGATCGACAACGATGTAGCTGATGGACAGTTAGTATGTAAACACCATCCCGAGCGATCTGCTGAAACCCACATGTATTCGATATCCTGGAAGGAATACCGCAAATTGCACAGGAAGGGATGGTTTAAATGTTCAAGCATTCGTCGTTCACGAATGATGTTCCGTACACTTTCCGAACGGACAACTAAAATGCAAGGTTAGTCAAATCCCCGCGGCGCGGTATTGATACGATGCTTGTCATACCCTCTTCTTTCCGAATGTATTTCAGAGCGAACGTGAGGCCAGTATCCTTCCTCTCAACAATGCGAACTTTGCCAAAGGCACCCTTTCCAACAACCCGAAGGAGGCGAAAGTGGTTGAGGTTGACTAGACACAAATTAGTATCCACATCTTTAGTCTGCTGAAAAGCTTAATGCCCCCCAACACGGATCGTCTGAAATCAAGACTTCTAACATACCTGCATCGCTGCAAGACATGGGCTTTCCTTGTGTATTTCCCATTCTGGCGGAAGCAAAGGAAGACGTAGGTTTCAAGGTGACTAGGATCTGTCCGGCAACATCACTTGTCTAGAGGACCTCGAATGGTATGATAGATCACGTCGCGCAAGTTGGTGAAGCCAACGAACAGTGAACAAAATGTGTATTAAACTTCAGAGCACAAAGCCCATGGAAGATATTCAAACACGGCAGAATCGCGGAGCGGGGGTGTTGCAATGGAACGCGGCGGGCGAAGACCGAATGTCGCAACGACGAGGGAGGAGCGATGGGTACAACGGAGAAGTAATGGAAGCACTCGACCAAGATTTACCCAATTCACTATAAGAGAGGAATTGTATTCGTGTCACACCGGGTATGTATATTCACGATTGGAAAAAGAGGTGAGGTCGGGGTTTCGGGGGCCAAAAGGAGCTTGAACGAGCCTGGAGCGCGCACGCGCAGATGAATCGTATCACGGAGAGCGGCAGAGCACCGAAACAGATGTCTAGCAGATTGGAGATTGACCGAATTGGATCAAGACGTTCTGGAATGTCTTGAATCTGTGCAAGATTGAAAGAAAGGGGAGAGGAGAGTGAGCGGTCAAAAAGGAAGCGGCAGTAAAGTGGAGCCAATCACACTCGCGTGTAGACAACGGGGAAAGGGGGGCCTCGTACTTGACCCTGTAACTTGCGCCGGGGGACTTGGCTGTTATCATGGCTTTTCTAGTGGAAATGCTCTTTCTTACCTAGACTCATCCCGCAGTTTAAAGTACCTAAAGTCTATATTTGGCATACTTATCTCATCCTTCAGGAATGAACTACACAATACTTTGGCGATGTGATTCTCAAGAGACCTGGACCCATGGGGGCGGAAAAAAAGGGCGAGAAAAAAAGCACTACAGTCGGACTTGGACCTATCGTCAAGGAGCCCAATGGACCAAAGATTTCGGTAAAAAAAATTGGTTGCATCGGCTTTTTGGACGAGACCGCTTCACTCCTACGGGACGCATCTTTCTGCAGAACCCCTCTGGTCCACTCTGACCTGTCAGATATCAAATCAACCCTATTTCGCCCAGACGATAGTGGTGTGTTGTATACTCATTGGCGAAGATTGGGGTCCGCGAGAAGTCCATTTGCTCGCTGAAATTGATCTCAAACATCGAGCAAGGGATTCTCGATTGTTTTTCGCCCCCTAATCGAGCCAACCAGAGAGCAGATCTTGCACCTGCATTGCATCAGACTGGTCACCCTGTCGCCACGCGACATCCTCAACACCTCTCATCTCTCGTGGCAGCCACGTTATTGACCGCCCTTGTTGAGACGCAGGTCTCGGCTTTCCCGTCGCACAGGAACGGCCGTGGAACGCCTGCAGAACATTCGAACGTTCGAACATTCGGGGGAGCTGAAGTGACCTGTTCAACGCTTGCAGGTCTCGACTCCACTCGCGAACGGACGTAGAAATCCCGTCCTCACCGGGCGCGACCTGTCTTGACTGATCGGCGCCATTTAAATTTCGAATTGGCCGGGATCGAACTTCAATATGAATTCATTTCATTGTAGACGTGTTTCTTGCAGTCAAACGAAAGGTCTTCCTTTTTCTTGGCATAGCTAGCGCAAATGTAGTGGGTCTCACGACCGGGCTCTTTGGCCCATACCGGAGGATGCATAATCCTGGTCCGCGTTTCAGCTGCACAGCGACAAAGAAGATTGCCCGACACTGAAACAAGGAGTTCCAGATCCGTACTTTTGACTTTGGGGGAAACTTTGACGGAGTCAGGCGTTGGGAGCTGTAATCCTGAGTTGAGGCCCATTGATACCGATTGGTCGATTGGCCCGTGATTATCAGCGTGATGCCTCGGCGTTGCGTTTCCCTTTGAGTTGTTAAATGCGCCAACATATTGGACTTCCACATATTATTCCACATGTCTTATACCAATCGAAATAAAATCTCAAAAAAAAACAAATTGTCTCCGTATCCGCTGAGAGACACGACGGAAGCTAGGGACAAGGAAAGTGGTAGTCGATTGAGCCATCAAAGAGACAGCAAGGTCCAACCAACAATACTTGGGCTGAGACGAAGGCCCAGATCGTGAGACAAGCACGTCATGTCTGAATAGCCCAAAAACACACAGAAACCACCAGAGTCAATACTCACTGACATCAGGGTCGAAAACCTCTTCACCATACTTTTCAGTAAGAACACCGTTTTCAATACGAATATCCATCGAGATTCCCCACCTGGGCACTGGATGTCCCGCTTCCAAGGTGGAAGAATGTATATTCAAGGCATATTAACAATGGTCCTCCATAACTTATATGCAGCTGGTAGCTTTGAAGATGGTTATAACAAAGTCAATCAGAGCCGGACATGGCACGTAGGTGCTAAGATATATGCTCAATGATACCGGACGCTAGGTAGGAGAAAGTGGAGGTTGTAGATAGCTAAATATACCTGGGTATCTTCCAACAGATCCAAGACTGTAAAATTAAGTCTCCAGCTGTACATCAATGAAAGTGCCCAGGTGTGAGTGAACCCACCAGCCAAGCTTTACATAGGGTGGACGCATCTACATTTCTCACATTGTGGGCTAGCTTGTTGTATCTATCTTCCTACCCTGCTGCGATCAAGGATGAGATAAAACGATCAAAAAAGTTTTCTGGTTCAAATTGAGTGAGGGCGTTGAGATTTTGGTATAGTACTAGAGGTATAGTGGTAACGGGAGTGCAAGGTCACGAGTGTGCGCACTTTCCTTTTTGATTTTTTTAGTGTGAACTTCTCTCACTTTGCATCTGAATATCTTCTCTCGTTTATTCGGAATGCCACATACTGGATTTGACCTCTGATTGATACTTCTTCTTGTTCACGATGGGGGATAATAGCCTGATACCAATCAATGCGTCGTCCCCCAACTTGCTTCCCAGGGATCGAACAAGCGTGCCATCTCATGCCCAGACTAGAACTGAATCACCATGGTTCACGCCGCGTCCGAAGAGCTCCGGCATCGACACGAGTGGATTTTCCTTTGCCAAACCGACCAGTCATCGACAGGGCTTCGCTTTACGCAAACCGCCCAAGCAACCCCCAACCAGCTCTACACACCCCGCCAATTTGCTGTCTTTAGGGCTTCAGAGCCAGTCAATGGATGAATCCGATAACATGATATTGAAACAAACAAAGTTCGCATGAATGTGGTCTTACTATGACTTGTTTACTGATATTTTTCGTCCTTTGTAGCCGCCTCCCATCCCAGGTTGACCCTAAGTCTCATCACCTTCAGGCCAGAACTCCAGGCCTGAGATTGGCCGATTCAGAAGACACGGAATGCTCGCCAGTCGTGGGAACTGATAGGGAAGAATCCTCTTGTGTGAGGATTGAGGACGTGGGCATACAGCCAAAGCTTAGGCCGGATGTGGCCAGCCAGAGAATCACGGAGCTTATTGATTCAAGAGGTGGCAAATTTCACCAAGATTATCCTTGTGGTGATCTGGAAGCTACAGTATGTCAATATAAGCGACTCTCCTCGCGCTCGCTAACATTCGAAAAAGGAGGATAATCCGTATCAGACTTCATTCGAGTCAGTACGGAGTCAGGAAGAAAAGACAGATACAGTGGCCCCGGCCTGTCCTCCGTTTCACGACAAGGTTTTTCAAATGCACGACTACCCGAGCTCCAAAGCTCCAGATGAGGTTCAAAAAGGAAGGTACACCCGGAGGCAAAGGCCAATTGTAATCAACAAAGCCGAGCCACAGGAACTGAACGAAGATAGTCTGTTTAGGTTACTCATCGGAAAAATGAAACAGCGCGAAGAGAGTGAAGCTGCAGCAACTCTAATGCGTCACCAGATGGAAACTCAGAACACATTGTTGAAGGACGAAAATGAAGGCCTACGGCAGCAGATTGATGTCTCCCAGTTGCGTCTACAGAATAGTGTTGAAGAAGCCAAAATGAAGCGTTCTCTCCTTAGTGAATGGAAAAAAAAGATACGAAACTTCAAACAAGTTGTCAACGAGTTGGGACATGGGTACGATGCTCTTCGTGACCAAGCTGACCACCACCGGGAGACTGCCATGTGTTTGGACATCGAAAGGAGCGATCTTACCAAGGCTATTGATGAGACCAAAATACGCATTTCGCAGGCTGAAGGAACGATTGACACGCTGCAGAATAAATTAGCGGAGAATGGCAAAGTCATCGCCCTTCTGGAACAATCCTTGTCTAGCTCACGGGAAGGAGAAGAAAACGCAAAATCACAATTGTCGGAACAGAAGAAGAGGGTGGTGACTCTGGAGTCGTATATTCAAAACTTCGCTCTGTCTCATACGAAAAAGCTTGATGTGATGAAAGAAGGCCAAAAAAGCATGATCGAAAACATTACAACAAGCTTGAATGCAGTGACTCGTAACTCAACCAGTCATAAAGATGCCGTTCTCTTGGCTATCAGAGATGCATTTGAAGATTGCCGCTCCTCAATGTTTTCTCTGAATACAAAGCTCTCAAAGGAACATATAAATGTTGAAGAGTTCACGCGCAAAGGCCAGGAAGTCATTACTCGGTGATTACTCCGATCATGTGCATGCCTCCAGCTAGATACTAACCATGAGATTTAGAATTGGCGCCCTTTCATCTCAATTCACCGAAAATGTCGAAGGTGGAATCAAGATCAATAATGGAGTGGCGAAAACACTTCAAAAGAAATTCCAAGCGATTGAAAATCACCTTGGCCCTTCGTCTCCGGTGATGAGACGTCTTTCCGAGTGTGATGACTCATGCGTGGCTCTTAAGTCGAAGTTTGAAGTCATTGAGCCGGTATTGGACGCGCTTGGTGTGACTGCCAAAGCCCTGACAATGACGGAAGACACTCTTGTGCAAGGTCTCGCAAACTTTGGCCAGAAGCTCGCAGATGCTCAGCTACCAGCATGTAACCCAGGCCTTGAAGCGGAGCTGGCAAGCCAGCTTGCAGAAAATTCTCAGCTCCAGATCCAATCTCATGATCTACGCTCAAAACTTGATAACCTCCAGCAAACCTTGCATGAAAAAGAGACATTGATTCTGCATACAGAAGGGGCTTTGCTGGAAATCACTGCAAAGCAGCAGAAGTCTGAGTGTCGAAACAAACAGTTGGAAACCGAAAAGACCGCTTTAAGACAGCAATTCGAGGACACCGACAAAACAATTCGACAGGAACTGGGCAAAAAGAATGCGGAACTGATGGACAAGATGATAACTGATCATCAAGCTGAAACCCTTGAGTTTCAGAAGGAAAAGAAAGAGGTTGAAGAAGCGTCTGGGAGATTGATACTGCAACTTAACGGGATTCAAACCTCCTTGGTCAGTATTGGGTACCAGAAGTGATTGTACCTGCTAACAAACTGAAGGTCGACGCGAAAAAGCTTGTTGACGAGCAAGGAAGAGATCGTGAAGCTTTGGTAAGTGGTCCCCACTCTTCGCGAGCCTGGCTAAATTCAACAGCTCCAGGAGACTGCACAACAGATACAAGACCTTGAGAGATCCGAGGCAGAATCCAAAGCCCAGTTAGAAGCTCAGCGCACGGAAATAGAAAAATTTCAGCAGCTGGACGCCACTTCTCGCGTTCAAAACAGTGACCTGCGAGACCAACTGGAACAAGCTCAACAAAAGATCCATGATCTTGAACATCAGCTAGCTTTCTCAATTGAAGAGGAAGAAATCAAAGCACCACGACCGACTAGCATAGTGCCTTTTGCAGCAATTGAAAGCCAGCTTTTAGGGCGGCCAACAACTTCACAATATGGTGAATCCTGCGACTTTGCGATGCTCTTCATGTCGGATGACCAGTCCCATCCAACCCCAAACAAAGGAATCTTACCAGATCACCCGTTGGACAACCCCAAGAACCCTGAGGATGACAGCAAACCTCAACAACCCGACAAAGATAATCAGAAGCCTCCGGTTATCAGCCCCGAGATATTGAACCCCTCTCCAAACAAGAAGCGCAAAGGAGTTAATTTCGAGCCTCCAGAGGCTACGAAGAATGGAAAGGGGCCAATGAAGGTGCAGCCGGTTGCCAGTCAACCTGAAAATGGATTCGAGGAACACCCAAATAAAGCATCCAAGCACATTCATAAGTGGACTTACAGTCGTGTCCACAGCTCAGCTACAGAGATACAACAGGAGCAGATCAGGGTACCTGCTCATACCGCCAAGGCTGATCGACGAAGTAGTCCAAAAAGTCTTGTTTTCGCAAACAGTGCGCCGGCAATTTCAAGGCCCAGGACTCGGAATCGCGGCCGCCGCAGAGGTCGAGGTAAGTTGCCAACCTCTTCAGCCGTGTTTGCTAATGCTGATTGGGATTTACAGGTGAGCAATACGATGCGCGCTTCCTGGAAGGCTGAGTGTGCTCAGTCAAGTGCAAGCAAATATCATTACCCAATACTTTCTTGAGAACTTCTGACAGTATCCTTGTTATATTGTAACAGTTCATGCTTGAGGCGATTTTATATATGCACCTTTATTGGTTGGTATATTTAATGTTTTGACGCTGCAGTTTCTTTGACCAATGGGTTGCTGAGTTGACCACTCGCGGATCAGCTGTGTATTTCATACTGATCCAATCCATTGCTCTAATTCCAAGATTTTAAACCAGAGATGCGGTGAATGAGATTTTTATTTTCAGTTTAGTACCCAAAGCTGTAATGCTCTTGAACGCCAGACACAATGCTCCATCAAAAGGAAGTAAACGACGGAGCAGCTGACAGAAGAACAAAGCTCCATCGCTCTCAAATCAAACTTCCCAGGATATAATGTACACAAAAAAAGTTACAAGCCCACCATCCTCTCATCCCCTTTGGCACACTCGCATCCTCAAACGTTTCGAAGGTAGTCTGAAATCGAGCTAGATTCCGTATTATCCGAGTCGAGTCGAACCGATATTGCCGGCGAAAGGTGTAGACGTGGTAAGGAGAGGAGATGGGGATCGGAAAAAGTCGCAGCCACTTCGAATTGAATTGAGGCCGAAGGCAGGAGATGGAAATAGGGAGCAAAAGCCCCAAGCGAAGCGATCAAGTATCGCAATCGACTCAATAATTTATTTCTGCTTTCCACCCTTGGTCGCCTCAAGGAACAGAACCGTCTTCTTGACAACGGGATCGTACTTGAGCATGCTCAGAGGGCGGTGAGCACGAGGCCGGATCATAGTGCGGTAGTAACCCGTCATCGCCATCGAGATGAGGCGCACGGAAAGGGTGCGTGACTTCGCTGTAGGAGAAAGCATGTTAGCTGGCTATTGCGGTGCGGTGTTTTCTTCGGTCGTTCGGGGAGGGTGGGCTTGAGCCCTGCGCGTGGCGTGGAGTAGGCAATTGATGTATCTGGTGGATGTGCGAGGGATTCGTAGCTGTGTAGACTCACCTTTCTTGGCCATTTTTGTTTGACGTCCCGAGAGGTCTGGATCGGTGTTCGATGTGATTGAAATTCGAGGCGGAGTCGGGCAAAACCGCGGAGCTCACGTGATGTGATTAGTCATTATACCTCTCCGGTTGGTTGGAGCCGGTTGGTCAATGAGTACTCTGTTTGGGTCTGGAATACTGCTTGTTCGACTCTATTGCTAGAAGTTGGCTCTGGTTTTTTTTTTCCCGAACATACTCGTCCATGCTAGAAATGATACAAGCATACAAGCGTATTTGTCGGCTTCCCGATGCCGTACTGCCGTATCTGGCTGATCAAGGGATTCGGATGAATTCATCGGCCCCGGACCGAGATAATACGGTTAATAGCGAAAGCATATTCTTCGCTATGTCGCTTACCTTTTGCCTGCTTCTTGTCTCCCCCGAATTGCTTCCGAATGCTAGCGGCTTGTATATTGCGATAAATAGAGCTGGGGAACAAGCTTACCCACGATTCCCGAACTAATTGATAAACCAATGCCTGTGCCGAGTCAATTCCAGATTCAGACGTGATATGCTAAGGAGAGATGCAGGTGTATGCCTTATGGATCCTAAGTTATAGTTGTCAACATAACTTGATGTACTACATACGGGCCGCGAGATAAAAATGAATGGCTATTATTCCCTACACACTAGGTACTTGGTATCTTGAAGCATGTTTGCAAAGGCTATGCTTAGAACAAATAATCATGAAAACATGTAATCCTTGGGTCGTGAAAGGATTCACGAAAAAATGGGTTGTCCTTCCCAATGGCGTCTGTCCCTTACTCGTTTTCTTGAACATCGATGACAGTGGACTTGAACTTGCGGGCCGAAATCTTACGGTTGAACAGAATGTCGCTCTCACGGTAAGACCGGTGCTTGAGCTCAGGAAGGAAGAAGTAAGCCATAACCCAGCAGACGCAGGCAGTACCTCCCCAGACGTAACCACACTTTCCAGCAAGGTTCCATCCGGTGGTGTTGAGCATCTTTGAGGACAGGTAGATCATGGGGATCTCAGCAACGTAGTAAGCGGCACGACCGACGGCTGTGCTAAGAGCACGAAGACGAACGGAGGAAGTCTCAGAAATGATGGTGTATGAGATAGGACCCATGGTACCGGCAAAGACGAAGGAGATAATGACACCGAGGCAGGCCTGGGCGTAGTTGGTTCCGTGGGTCTGGGGGACGGAGGCACAAATTCCGAGAATGAAGAGAAGGCAGATGTTGACAGTGGTACCATAAAGGTAAATGGTTCTACGCCCGAACCAGGCAGTAAGAACCCAAGAGAGTCCGTTGGCGACGAACTGGAGACACGAGTTGATCAGGTTCAGCTTGAAAGCCATATCAGACGAGATTCCGGCCTCTACGTTGATATATTAGCGGATGGTTCTTGAAGCCTTGAAAAGCAGGGATCGCAATCACTTACGCTCGAAGAAATATGTAGCTTGGTTGGCAATCAGGTTACCAGCAAAGTTCTGAGAAGCATAAACCAAGCAAGTGATGATCGTTCGCCTCAAATCGGAGCCTTTGAGGAGGTCCAGCAAATTGGGGGAACCACCCAGTTGAGCTTCAATCTCAACGGTTCGCTCCATCATGGCAAGTTTCTTGGGTGCGTCCTCGGCAGTAGTACCAAGACGTACAATGGATTTTAGGGCCTGCTCCTTGCGTCCATGGCGAATGAGCCACCAGGGGGATTCGGGGGCAAGGAAGACCAGGACGAGGAGGGGGGTCTAGACGATTTAGTTCCAATAGGCAGAATCTTTCAACAAGAGGACTTACTGGGAAGATCCACTGCAATGCAAGAGGTGTGCGCCAAGCCCATTCATCCAACCGACTGTTGTAGCCATAAGTGGCGCCGGCCACAACGATTGAACCAATGGACCAACTCATCTGCAGAGTAGCCGTGCAGGCGCCACGAAGGCTGAGAGGAACCACCTCACTAGCATAGGCGGGAGAGTTGGCGATGAAGAGTCCCCAAGGAACTCCTTCAAATGCTTGACCGATAACCAAAACGGTGAGGGATTTAGCCTATGTTTCGATTAGCTGACAGCCAAGAGAGGGCTAAGGGTATACCTACAAAGAAGGAAATGAAAATGGTGGCATTCATCAGGATCAAGGCCAAGATAGTTGTCCAGCGGTATCCAATGCGGTTGGTAATGGGACCGGCCAGGAAAACACCGATGAAAGCACCACATTGACCAGATTGGAAGAGAGCACTCTGCCATCGGGTTGGAATGGTCCAGGAATCCGGTCCAGTCTGGACACCGAATTGTTTTTGAAACTCCGTGATCGCGACGAAGTTGGTGTTCAGAAACATGTCGAATGACTCCATAACCTAAACGGGGTATTAGCAATTGTCAATCAAGCACGAACAAAAATTCACTCACAATAGTGAAGCACATGATGAAAGCCCAGAAGCAAGCCCAGGGGTGAGCCTTGACACCCTCCCAGACTCCCTGTTCATGCTCCAGGTTTTCACCCTCAAAGGCCTCGGTCAGGAGATCAGGGTTCTTCAAGACCTCATCATGGAGGACATCGCCATGGTGCGCCTCCTCACCCTTTGTCTCCACCTCCGTCTTTGCGTCAAAGCTTCCAGTCGACATGTTGATTCAATGCCAGTAAGTGCGGAGGAAGTAAAGAAACGAAACCACGGGGAAGAAAAAGAAAGAGGGGAAGGTGGGGAAGGAGCGAGTGAGAGATCTTATAGAAGGCAAGGACGCGTTCTTTTCCATGCACTTAATCGCGTGTGACATCGCACTCAAAGAGCATCAACTGTGTGACCAGTAATCTTATCCCCAGACACTCGGCCCCGTACCCGGGGAAACCTGGGGTGGCGTACCCCACTCTGGAGTAATCCCACCAGTGGCAGAAGCGGGTTTGGCATTCGGGCCTGAATTGCAACTTCAACCGATAACCCTAGTGGACGGACAATGCCAAGGTCGTGTCACACGGGCCTTTTAGTATGCATATAACTTACCACGCTTAAGCTGTTTGGGAAATTATCCGTGGGATCATCTCAGTTCCTTGACCCGATCTGTATGGTACCGGCCTGAAGGCTGGCTGACCCAAGCTTTTTTAAGCCCTCGCCCGAGAAAGCAAGCTAGCGGAAGTTTACGGCCAGCTGTTGGTAAACTTTTTTTACTAAGTTAGGGGATTTCTTTGATGGTTTCGTGAAGTTCCACCCCCAGAATAACCTTGGTCAGTTGACCCAGTTTTGTTTTTCTGGGGCCCCGGACCAAACTAAAGTCAGGGGCTAAGGGGCCAAGTTTTGATTTATCGGTTAAGCCGGAGAATTGCTAGAACCGGCTTTAATGGGGTTTACTTTATCCAGGAAACTTTAGGATTTGCAAGGTTTCAAGGTTTGGGCCGTAGCTAAGAGTTACCACCAGCGCCACCAATGTAACTTCACAGCCGGTAACCGACTAGGTTCGGCTAAGACTTTTCGAACCGATGATCGCTTAAAATATTTCTACTGGATGCAGAGATCGTGCCATGTGGTCAATTAAGGAGATCCGTGTTAGGCACAAGTCCCATCACCTGTTATTGCGGTCAGATGGTCAGCGCTTGAGCTCTTTGGGACGTAGAAGCTGGAATGTCGCTCCTCAATCCCTGTCTACATCCAATCAAGGTATAGAGGCCGCGTAGCGAGTCATCTAGTGCTTCCTTGACATTACGAAAGCCATTTTGGTACACCGCTCCATTTCTCCGGTGGGGGACGACAAAGATGCCGACAAACCCGAGGGACCTATATTGGGGGCCATTGCATCAGTTCACCTGCTTGGTTGCATCGTTAGATTTGATGATCCTTTGAATCTCTGATAGGCTGCAGTGATTCATGCGGGATTGGAGAATAAGGTCCTCGTGGGCGCCTGCCAAGAGGGACAAAGCTTGTGAAACCCGTTCAAATTTCATCCTGGGGATGATAAAGTTTCTTTTTATGCCTTTATGCACATAACACGGGAAAGAGTGAGCCATGACACATGGCGAGCTGCACTGCATCTTGGCGATCCGGATTGCCTATGCTAGCCCCTCTTAGGCGACTTCAAGTCTTGAATCTCGCTAACTCCGTCCATTATTAGTTGACCTCGGAGGTTTTTTATTCTTGATCTACAAGAGCGAATTTCTTCTGGCCGTCACTCATGACGTTTGAGCATCAAACAATCAAACATCTGAAATCTTGTGATTTCGTTCGATTTTCTCCTAGACAGGCGCCACGAATCAAGTGCTGTAGGGCCGCTGTCAATTGGAACTTGAACCAGGATACCCACAACCTAAATAGTAAGACTAACGCCAATTTCCATCGTCGAAGAAAACTTACAACATCAGAAAAAATCACTTCCGACTACCATCAACCACAAATCACTGCTTAAACCTCGGTTCTTTAATCAGACCACCTCTCTCACCTAGGCAACATATAAATTCCCCAATCTCACGATTTATTGCAAGCATATTGACTAGAAAAGAACACTTTGTCAGTTAATAGGAAAACTCCATTGCAAATTTTCTTATCAAAGACTGGCATTAGAAGATCTAAGCTTACATTTTGCGCTTCGAGCTATCTGTTCGTCTGATCGAGTGCAGAAAGACCAAACACAGTCTAGTGGCAGAGGCAAGCTCCGAAACAAAACGTAGTGAAACTAAAGGAGCCCTGGAGGCTTGCGCTGTCTCTGCAAAAGGCGACAGGCTTCTAATAAGTTGACCTATGCCCTTCAAATATCATCCCTAAACCGGCAATAAATCAAAACATCTTTGACGACTCCCGCCTTTTCCACCGCTCTTCTCCTCCTTCCTTCTAACATGAACCCCGCCTTCTCCAGCACACGGCCACTCGCCTCATTGCCTTCAAAGACCTCCGCCTGAATTCTCAAGATATGCTCAAAGGTGTCGAACGTCCACTTAGAAAATGCGGCTAGAACCTTAGTCGCGATTCCCTGACCCCAGAATGGCTCCCCTAGCCAGTACCCAATCTCCACAGTCCGATACTCGACATCCGTCCGTGGTTTCAGCCCAATAGAACCGATGACTACATTGTCCTCAGCCCGACAGATCACATAGTCCGTTGAGGTTGGCGTTTGACTGGCAATCCAGCTCTTAGAAGCTTCAATGGTATACGGATGCGGGAAGGTATTTCTCATCCACATGGCGATTTTTAAGTTGTTGGCGTACTGGGCCATGGATTCTGCATCTTGTGCGCTGTGCGGTCGGATGACGAATCCATCCAGGCGTACTATGGGCTCAGAGACTCTTTGCTCAGAGCTTGATGGCGTGAATTCTGTCATGGTGCCGTTGAAGTAATCAAGCTCTCCGTCGTTTGAGATCTCCGTCTTTTCGGTCAGGTTCGTTCTCCAGACACGGTCAATTATGACGTCCAAGTGGTGATGAAAGTTGTGAATCTTTCTTCCCGGTAAGTGCTCATATAAGCCTTTGAGGTAGATATAAATAGTGAGTCACCGTCGCGCGAGTCAAATGATAAGAATGTAACGTCGTAAGCTTCGTGGACAAGGCAAGCGCTTATGCCGAATGGGAATAGTCTAATTAACTCTTATTCGTTGGGTTTTAGGTGGAGCCGCATGCTTGTCAGCCCGTAGTCGTTTTGTCCAACCAATAAGATCTGACTGGCGCTCCCATGCGCAGGGGTCAGCGAGGGATTAGATAGCTTTAAAAGACGAAAGATGTCTTGCTTGCGGATTCCAACCGAGGCAAATTCAGCCAGCTGCCTTTCAATTGGATCCCGTTATTCCCAACCGCCGGCATTTGCAGTTGTCACCTATACGATTGATGCTGCAACCCGCGATCGGTTGCAGCATCAACCGGTCAGTGGCTTGTCCCAAGGGTAAGCAGTCAACGACCTGCTTGACCTGTATGAGAGTGGGCAATTACCCGAATATGGAAAGGAAGACTAGATGGAGATGACATGATTTCAAATCAAAGACACAGTTGAATTCTGAGGCGTTGGGTGGCCTGAATGTATTTTTGTGACAAAAGAAAGTAGACTACGTAGGAGATATTTTTAAACTAGCTGACACGAGGGTACTTCTTCGAAGTACTTTATGTGCAGAAATGAACATGATAGAATATGATTCTAGAACACTACTTAAACAGTATTAGAGCTTTTACCTACACATTTATTTCCAACTTCATGTGAATATTTCAACAGCACGTATCTGCAGATGTGCGGACTAGAATAGCAAATATCCTGCGGGATTTTGTATACCCGAATATCATCGAAAGTAGCCAAACACCTTTCGTGTACGGGACTGGAGTGTACCATCTTCTGAACGAGGTTTATCAGAATGATCAGGTCCCACTGAAGAATAAGGTGTATCGAGACTATCTCTCGTCCAAGGTGAATTTGCTACCCTTTTCATTGAAGGAGGCTTTTCGGGACCATCTCTAGCCGAAGATGAATCTGTTCCTTTTGCCACCGAGACAGGAGGCTTTTCAGGACTAACTCTCGTCCAAGGTGAATTTGCTACCCTTTTCATTGAGGGAGGCTTTTCGGGACCATCTCTAGCCGAAGATGAATCTGTTCCTTTTGCCACCGAGACAGGAGGTTTTTCAGGACTAAATCTCGTCCAAGGTGAGATTGTTGCCTTTGCCATCGAGGGGTAAGGCCTGTCGGCACCACCTCCAGTAAAAGATGAATTGCTATCATCTCCAGTCAATGGTGAATTTCTTTCAACCCGAACAGCCCCAATGTGGGGCAGGCCGTAGGCCGAAGTATCGGATTGTAGAGGCGTGTTGATGCGTATACCGTTCATCTGTTCTTCGTGTGCCTTAGCCTTTCGAGTGTAGCCTGCTAAAGGTATAAGCTTTGGTCAGATCGTATGGGTCTTCATATGCGCGTACGTGCGGGGAAAATTCCCCTTTTCTTCGTGTGAACTTCTTCGCCCAGCCACCACTCATCTTTATAAATGTGATCTGTCTCAATGAGCATGACAATTTGACCCTTCTTTATCGTCAATTCATCGTCGCTGCGAGCGGTAAAGTTAACTGAATATCGTTAGTGAGCTTTTCATGAGCTAGCTGGATAAAATATCCATGTCATGAGTCTGAGACGAAGACTTACAGAGGACGAGGAGGTAGTCACCGGGCTCAATATCCTGCGACAGTGGGGCTGGCAGTTTCTCATCGGTCGCGCTGTGAGGTGACTTCGTAATCTGTATTGGCACGTTTTGAACTTTGGCTTCTCCTGACTTTGTTTCGTGGTTATCTTTAAGAGACAAAAAAGAGGGCCCTAAAATGGTGGCCCGGAGCGCTGCGTTTCCTGGCGCAAGAGGCTCTTTTTTCTCAGTCAATTTATCTGTAGAAGCAGCATCATGTCTGCGCGTATCGGAAGCCTGAGATGTCTCAGATTTGTCGCTGCTGATAGCTGTAGCTTTAAGTGGCTGAATAGTGTCCCAATCAGCGGTACCCTCCGACTGTGACTGTAAGTAAGCGGTAATCTCCTCAGTTATATCATCCATGGATGCAATTCCTCCAGATGGAGGAGTCGAACTTTTGACATCCCGAGAAAACGGTGCCTTTTTAAACTTGGTTATCCACGGGTGTCTTTGAGCCTCTTCGGCTGTGAACCGATTTTCGGGATTCATGTCCATTGCTTTCCGGATGAAGGAACGACAGTCTGATCCTAGGCCATTCTGATACAAGATATCATCTGGTAGAAATATACCATAGAGCTTGTAGTTAACAAGTTGCATCAGCTCAGGGAATGCCGCCGCTTTAGTGAGTAAGCGGACGCATATTTCGCCGAAGGACCACATATCAATGGCGAAGGTATAAGTAATTTCATCCTTTGTACCATTCGCGACAGTTCTTGAGACCCCAAGACCGCGGAGCTCAGGTGCTGCGTACTCTGGGGTGAATACTTTGGTGTGTAGGCTTGTGACCCCTTCAACAGCTCGCTTGGTGATTCCAAAGTCGCCTATCTTGACCCACCAATCTGGCCCTGGATACATGACCATAATGTTCTATTGAGACGCTAATCAGCTGAGCCCATCACTTTGGACTATCAAAGATAGAATCTCCAGTGACCCACCGCTGGCTTTAGATCCCTGTGGGCATACTTGTTGTCATGCATGAACTTAAGACCCTCCGCAATTTGTGATGCAATTAGACCAGATTCGCTTTCCGTGAATGACTTAGTAAGGTGTTTCTGAAGGTCCTGATGTCTAGCATATTCCATGGCGATGCAAACATTTTCCGCCTGTAGATACCAGCCATAGCATTCGATAAAGCAACGGCGATACTAGGTCACGAGTCAGGAAGGGTTGATCACTCAGAAACTGGGTATGACGTTACCAGTGGCTTTGAGAATTTGGCCATGGCCATTAGCTCTTTTTTGTACATATTTGCAGACTTCCCAGACTTGTCCAGCATTTTGACAGCTCGAAAAGACGGCTTTTTTGGCCCATTGTGAGAAATTCGCTCTTGTAACCACACTGTCCCAAACCCACCCTCTCCTAGGGTCTCTTTAGTGCGCCATATTTCCTCATCCTCTATCATACGCCTACCAACATCCGGATCCGAGTGGTAGGATATATGACGAATCTCGCCCGGAGCAGGGAATGTAGTGTCAAGCCGAGTGTCTTCGAGGTCGAGATCCAGATAGTCCATGGAGACAATCCAAGCAATCAGGTGGCAGCCCAAGGCAGCCTTGTTGTGGGCATCAATGTCGTTTGGGATTGTTGAAAGCGCGTGCTAATTGCAGTTGGAATTCAGATGCGGGGCAGGCGAGATGTAAGTCTGTTCGATATCGCTGAAGAATGGATGTATGCCGCCGGATAGGAGAAAGACGAGAAAGGCAGGAAGGGAACACGTATAGTAAATCTATTTGACCAACGTCTTAGCGAACATGATCAGCTTCAATAAGGCCAAAAAGTCGAAAACGGTGTTCAAATCCTCGTGAGCTGGACAAGTGTAGATGGGGGCTAAAATATGCGATTGGCCATAAGATAAGAGACCAAACTTACGTAATGTGAAGAGGAAACGTTTGGAGAAATTTGGCGAAATGGAACAGGTGGAGGGCAAATGAGATGGGCTTCGAATGTGAGGAAGGCTGATTTCTCGTCAGCCACGGGTTTGTCTGGGATAAATTAAAGACGGATCAGAGGACTCTGGAAATAGTACCCTGTAAGCTGCAGGTCGGCTGATTCTTGGACCTCACAGGGCTACTAACTACTATAGTATTAGCGTGGTAAGACACGAAGTGCAGAGACAATTTCCCAGTGCTGCGGCGTGCCAAGAGCGGGGCAATAGGGCTGCAGAGCCAACTTTCTGTCACTTATATTGTGTCCCCTTCGCAGTCTTCAGTCCTCAAGTCCCACTGCGCAGTAAGCTAATCTTCAGCAGTATGGCAGATCCGGGGACAATCATCTCAGCGGCCGAGACCTGCTACAAGTACGTCACTGAATACAGGTCCTTTATTGGTCGTTACATTTACGCTGACATATCTTCGTAGGTATGGGAAAATGCTTGTCAAGTTTTGTCAAGATTGGAAGCATGCAGATAATGAGCTTTCAGAGCGTGTCAGCATTGTTGAGATTTGCTGGGCTAAGACCAGTGCCCAGATCGAGCTTGTTCAGCGACTACAACCAATAATGGAAACCAGCCTCAGCCGCATTCTGGACGATAACTTCACTATCCTTCAAGGAAAGCTTTGGCGCGCCGCTACCAAGGTGGAAAGCGTTCAAGATACGTCCTCTCAGGCCAGACCAGGGATTTTCGGCTTCCATCGTCGTATGAAGGGATTCAAATACGCACTAGAGAAGGAAGCAATAGACGAAGTGATTCGCGATATGGAGGATTGGCAAAGGCGCAGCGAGCCCTCATGGTTCTTGATCATGCGCATTGCCGATCCTTTTATTGATGAGGAGCTTCATCGCGCCACGGCAAATAATCCTCCCATTCAACTTGCCTCCAAAGTTCGAGATGCAGTGAGACCATCCGGTGCGCCTCCATCTGTCGAACTACCCAAGGTGTCTTTCAAGGTCTCCAACATACCCTTCAGTCACATGAAAATAGGACTACATCTGAGTAAGAATACAAATTATATCATTGATACTTTGATTGTGGGGCCGAACAAGAGCGCCGAGGCCATGGAGCACGACGTACGGGATCTTGCTGTCAGGTTGACGAAAGCAGATTCGTCAGTATTTGGATTGCTCAGTTGTAAAGGCTTCATGCCAATTCATGAAAAGCTATCACCGGACAAACAGAAGCTCCCAGGAGTGAAGCCAGGCGTTCTAGCTTTCGATCTTGTTTTCCGGGTGCCAGAGAACCATGATCTGAGCCAAGTTCAAAGTCTGCGGCATCTCCTCTTGAGTAACACACAAGGTAGCATTGAGATGCTTCCCTCACTATCGTGGCGCATGCAGCTTGCGCAAGAACTAGCAAAATCAATCAGCTATGTCCATACATTCGGATTCGTTCACAAGAGCGTCTGTCCAGAGTCGATACTTCTCTTGAAAAACATTTCTTCGGGTCCCTCTCCATCACGAAATGGCCCATCGGCCTTTTTGGTTGGCTTCGATAGTTTCCGATCTGCAAACGCAGAGACAGCTCTACAAGGGAGTGGAACATGGGAGCTTGATATTTATAATCATCCCCAAAGACAAGGTGAGCATCCAAGTGATGCTTATAAGATGCAGCATGACATATATAGCTTGGGTGTGTGTCTCTTGGAGATCGGGCTTTGGCAGTCATTTGTCCAGTTCTCAATACCTGGAACGGAGAGCAAACCCCAACCGAGTCAAATTTTTGAAGCCTTCACTGCACGCCTGAACGGCAGTGATGATGTGTCACAAGCATTTCCAGTATTACTCTCAGCTGCACCCACAGATTTCAAAGAGTACTTATTGGAGCTTGCTAGAATAGAGCTACCACGAAGAGTAGGTGACAAGTACACCGAGGTTGTGGTGACTTGCCTTACATGTCTCGACCAAGACAATGATTTCGGGGAAGAAGCAGACGTTGCAGATGATGATGGAATTTTGGTCGGTGCCCGCTTCATAGAAACAGTCCACACGCGTCTCACGGAGATCCTGATCTGATTGATTACTGCGAGCGTTGTTCTTGGTACGCTGTATAGAGCTCACTGATTTCATCCTTGGATTGGCTCTGGTATATGTTGTCGTGGGAAGGCATTGTTGCTTATGGGATATATAGTCACCGACAGCCCCCGGGCCCGAGCTATTATCCCCGGTAGAATAGAATGTTCGACTGGTAGAGTGATGTACGAGATGTCGGCAACGGAGATGGAGAAGAAACATTGATTCAAAAACTTGTAAGCCTACAAGATCAGAGCAAACATCGGAGGACTGACCTCTTCAGTGTCATGCATCCATGCAACCAGAACGTCGTCAAAGAAACTAGACTTTTCAGACATCAGAATCATAAAATCGTAACATCAAATACATCATGTGCACATTGATCAGGCTAGCTCCGTTGATACAACATATGGTAGTATATAGGTCGAAAAACCCGAGGAGTGTGAAAGGTTTTGCCGTTCAGCGTTCGGAGTAGTGAAAGAGATCACCGTGACTGAAGGCTGCAGAACTTATCCCTTCTAAATCAAAACCATTTAGATTGATCTAGTCAACCAACCTCAAACATGCAGAAACTGAAGTCATGGACATCTAGAGTCCTAGTCCCAGTCCCACACGGGAATCTGATCTCGGGTCGCGGTAATTCATGTCCATAAACGGTAGTCGTTTGCCGGCCCGAGCGTGGTAGATCCCCTTGGAAAGACCCACAAAGGCCCACCAAATTTGGTCTGGATTTAAGAGGGTAAAATTCGTTTACTAACGATGCTTAGAAAAGAGGGGTTTTGAATCTTACAACAAACTATGGTGTATAGTCGCAAGCAGGCAAGTACGCCATTGCACAGTGCAAAATCGATGTCCTTGCCAATGCTGATGAGCCAAAACCTATCCATGAATGTATTATAGATTTTTAGTTTCGCGAAATTTAGAGAATTGTGATAATTGGGATCTCAATGAGGCCCTTAGAAAGTACGATTACCTAGCCGTATGGAGTGATATTTTGCAGCCTATTGCACCTTCCAATACTAACCATTCATGGTTGGCACAGGTCACAGCGCGATTAGCGCGAGCCAGGCCCTGGCGAATTTGCAGAGCTTGACATGCAGGACTGATGCGAAATGGTGAATTAAGTGGTCAAAAATTAGATACAGTAAGGCCAAACCATGACTTGATATGAGTCATTTAGAGTCATTACTAGTGGCCAGTAACGGCCGCATACGATTGGCTACACAAAATACCAGCAACGGAATATATCAAACAATACTTTATCTCGTTATCTTGTAAACAAAAACGCGATTGAACGATGTCTTATATATCTGTGTAAATAGAGTGGAAAGGAAGCATTTATCAAATCATGTTCTCGCAATCCTCTGGAGTTTCAGTAATTGATCTTACTATTGAAAAACTCGTGTTCTTGAGGGTGTACGATGAAAACGTCGGACCGAGGCGCAGGCAGTCGCCCACCCTCACCTGTGGCCTCTAGCCTGAATTTGGATGTACACGAGAAAGAGATTATCAAGCGTCAAATAGAAACTCCGGAATCGCAGTTGAGTCGCTTATGGCTTTTGTATACATGTACTACCACCTATGAACTTCTTATCTTGGCCATCAGCGCAATTGCAGCGATAATTGGAGGGGCCCTTCAACCAATATCTTTTGTGAGTTATCCTCCACTATGTTTTAATCATTCAGCCTAATTTTCCTTATACAGCTTCTTTTGGGTGGCTTGGCCGAAGCCTTTAAAGAATTCTTCCTTGGAAAGTCTTCAGGCTCTCACCTCTCATCCCTGGTCGCAAGATTCGCCCTTTATTATGTATACATTGCAATTGGACAGTTTGTTTCGGTGTACATCTCCACCGCCGGATTCATGATAGGAGGAGAAGAATTAACCCAACGACTCCGAGAGAAATATCTTGCCGCTATCCTCCGCCAAAATATAGCATTTTTTGATGTCCTGGGAGCCGGAGAGATAACAACCAGAATTACTGCCGACATGAATCTGATCCAAGATTCTTTGACAGGCAAACTTTCACTCACTCTTTACTCTTTCTCCAATTTTGGAACAGCTTTCATCATCAGCTTTGTGAAAAGCTGGCGCATGAGTCTTATTTTGATTTCTGCCATCGTGGCAGAAACTGGCTCTATGAGTATATGCTCTTCATTTATGGTCAAGTATACCCAAATGTCTTTAGAGGCATATGCAGACGGATCGACAGCTGCGGAAGAGGCCATCAGTTCAATCAGACACGTTACTGCGTTTGGGATCCAAGACAAGCTGGCCGATCGGTATCAGAAATTTCTCAGTAAGGCGGAAGGATATGGGCTAAAAGGTCGCATTGCTCTTGCGGCCATGATGGCTATCATGAATGGTGTCATATTTTGGACCTACGGATTGACATTTTGGCAAGGGTCCCGTTACCTTGTTGTTGGTGATATTGAATTAGGAGCTCTTATCACCATTCTCCTTGCTATTCTAACCGGCGCGTTTACGTTTGGTAACATAGCACCCAATTTCCAAGCATTTGCTACTGGCGTGGCAGCAACAGGGAAGGTCCTTGCAACTGTGTCCAGGAAATCACCACTAGATCCATCATCTTCCACAGGGAACAAACTACACAATGTCTGCGGGACGATAGAACTCAGGAATATTCGCCATGTCTACCCTTCTAGACCAGATGTCTTGACTTTAGATGGGATTAATCTTGTGTTTCCAGCTGGAAAGACAACCGCCATCGTTGGTGCTTCTGGCTGTGGAAAAAGTACTTTGGCAGGCCTGATCGAAAGGTTTTATGAGCCAATAAGTGGCGAAATATGTGAGTCTTCTCCTATGAAAGATGGATTGTGATCACGTTAATAAATAATCAATAGTGCTCGATGGTCATGACATCTCGTCTCTAAACATGCAATGGTTACGCCAACAAGTTGCCATCGTCACACAACAGCCCACGCTCTTCGCTACGACCGTATTCGAAAATATCAGATTTGGTCTGATAGGGACTGAACATGAGCAAGCTTCTCATAATGTTGTGGAAAGTCTTGTGTTTGAAGCCGCAAAAAAGGCGAATTGTTTCGGCTTCATTTCAGCCCTGCCGGAAGGATTCCAAACCAGTGTTGGGGAAAGGGGCTCGTTACTTTCTGGCGGACAAAAACAGCGAGTGGCCATCGCACGGGCTATTATCGGGAACCCGAAAGTCCTGCTGCTGGATGAGGCTACTTCAGCTCTAGATGCCCAGGCTGAGCGACTGGTACAGGCGGCACTTGATGTTGCTGCTAAAGGCCGGACAACGATCACAATTAGTCACAGGTACGTGATCAATATAACTTGAAGTTACAAGCTGATTCATATTCAGATTATCCACTATCACAGCAGCAGAGAATATTGTGGTTATGTCTCACGGGCGTGTTATTGAGCAAGGAGCCCACAATAACTTGCTCCAGAAACGATCCATATATTATGAGTTAGTGGAAAAACAGCGCATGTCGACCGAAAGGGGTGTTGTCCTCAGTGCATCAAACAAGCATTCTGAGCTTCTTGACTTGGAAGGCGACCGCAATGAGTTCGAAAAGCAAAATCTGGAGATGGGGCAGCACCAAGGAGCCGAAGACTGCGAAAGGAATTCAGAGGTGAAGGCTGACAGTCGTGAATACTCTTTGTGGCAGCTGGTCAAGTTCGTCGCCAATCTCAACAAGGAAGAAACCCTCACCATGGTATGGGGTCTCCTTTTTTCAATCATCACAGGCGCTGGAAATCCCACGTAAGAAACCATTCCCATACGCTGTGCAGAATATTTGATGCTGACGATGCCCCCAGCCAGGCCGTGTTCTATGGCAAGACAATCTCGGCTATGTCGTTGCCCCCTGATATGTATGGAAAGTTACGTCACGATGTCAACTTCTGGAGTTTGATGTATCTGATGCTGGGAGGAACTGCATTCCTGGGCTGGGGAGCGTCAGGTCTCTGTTTCGCCTACTGCTCCGAGCGCCTAATTCATCGTGCCAGAAATCACTCTTTCCGAGCTATTCTCTATCAGGACATATCCATTTTCGACAAAACAGGGTTCTCAGCCGGCTCACTCACATCCTCATTATCTACGGATGCCACGAACCTTGCAGGAATGAGCGGTGTCACGCTAGGGTCCATCTTTATTGTGTCAACGACTTTGGTCGCCGGCGTGACGGTGTCAATTGCGATAGGTTGGAAGCTGGGGCTCGTTTGTACCGCGACTATTCCAATTGTTCTTACTTGTGGTCTCGTTCGACTCAAAATCCTCGGTGAAATAGCCCGACAGTCAAAGGCAGTTTATGCAGCTTCAGCAACCTATGCGTGTGAGGCAAGTTCCGCCATCAAGACGGTTGCATCGTTGAATCTTGAAAGCCATGTACTCAAAGAGTATCATAACATTTTGGAAGCTCAACGACAGAAGTCGGTTATCTCAACGCTCAAGTCATCGACTTTCTATGCAGCCTCTCAGTCGGCAAACTTTCTCTGCATTGCGCTGGCTTTCTGGTATGGAGGCAGTCTGATCATCAACGAAGGTTACTCAATGGTACAGTTCTTCATCGCTTACGCAGCTGTGATTGTTGGATCCTTCAGCGCCGGAGCTATTTTCTCTTTCGCGCCAGATATGAGCAAATCCCGCCAGGCCGCCTGTGATATTAAAAAGCTTTTGGACCGACCTGTCAACATTGACGCCCGTCAAAAGTCTGGTGAGCTGGTAACAAGAATTGACGGTCGCTTGGAGATGCGAGATGTTTATTTCCGCTACCCCAACAGACCCGATAGAGTTGTTCTTCACGGCCTAAGCTTGAGTGTTCACCCAGGTCAATACATAGGTCTTGTGGGAGCGAGTGGATGTGGAAAAAGCACAATCATTGCTTTGTTGGAGCGATTCTTTGATCCTGAAGTGGGTCAGATATTTGTTGATGGGAAAGACATTTCCAAGTTGAATGTCAAGAGCTACAGGAGCCACCTTGCTCTGGTAAGTCAAGAGCCGACGCTGTATCAAGGAACCATCAGGGACAATATCACCCTGGGAACCAGTGACGAAGATGTATCTGAGGAGAAGATCATCAAAGCATGCAGGGATGCTAATATTTACGACTTCATATTATCTCTGCCGTGAGCCACCCCTGAGCCCTGCAATCTGTTGTCTTTGATTATTTCCAATATTTCTTGACTGCACTAAAGGGAATTATTAACACTCATTTCAGTGATGGCTTCTCGACGGTCATAGGAGCGAGAGGGGGCATGCTTTCTGGCGGGCAGCAACAACGCATAGCCATTGCAAGAGCCCTTCTCCGCGATCCACGTATCCTCCTTTTAGATGAAGCAACTTCTGCGCTTGATTCCGAGTCTGAGAAGGTCGTCCAGGATGCTCTGAACTCGGCGGCTCAAGGCCGCACGACCATTGCTGTTGCGCATCGAATAAGCACAGTGCAGAAGGCGGATTGCATTTATGGTAAAAAAACAAAGTTCATTGTGTGTCAATCTTGAGACTAATATATGCTTATAGTGCTGCATGAAGGTAATGTCGTGGAGCAGGGGACACATCAAGAGTTGATGGAGCTGGGAGGGAGATATTATGGGTTGGTGAAGTTGCAGAGCTTAGAATCATCGGAATAGACTGTCACTAAAATGCAGCGTTTGCTTTGTATCCTTGCAGACTTCCTACAAAAACAAGAAAGTGGAATTTGACAGTGTCGTGAACCATGTTCGAGGTATTTCGTTATTTACCTTGTCGCTTACTCGCAAGTCTTCATTCTGATAAAACTGATTCTTCCTATCACTGTTAACAAAGATGGAAATCACACTGTCGCCCTAAGGGTACCATATCATGGACGTTTCTCTCTTTCTCTGCTAGGCAGCTCAACCCATAATCTACCTTTTTTCCGTCGCTCTTCTACTTGCAAACAAACCCAGAGGCATCTCTTCTTTCCTTTCCTTTCAGAACTCCAAAAGATACCCACTGCACATCATGATTGATCATTCTCTGCCTGGAAGACAGCGAGCGTTTCCATGGCAGCCCCTAGTCCTGCCTGGTCTGAGACTGCGAGCCTCCCACTTCAGCCAGTTTTTCATAGTACAGCCTCTTTATTTCTTCACAAACCCCCCAGATACGTCTGCGGTTCACCAGTCCAGGAATGTAATCACAATTTCCTTCTGTGTACCGGCTGTCTTTTTCCATCAATGTAAGGGCCTTGGAAAACTCGCCCTCTGCAGCCTGTGATTTAACCAGATCCACACCTTCAAGATACATCTCCCAAAGCCAAGGCATATCAGCTTCAAGTCGTTTATCCAAGGATATATCTGGACAAACATGCATCGAAAAAGATGCAGCTTTGAGGGCAAGCACACATTGGACAGGGAGAAGATTGAGTATCTTCTGGCGTAACTCATTGGGAAGCTTGTGGAATATGTCTTGGCTGTGTTGAGATTCAACATCTGCTTTTTTCCCCCAGCTGAAGAAAGATTTGATTGTTCGGTAGGGAGGCTTCATCAGTTCGGGTATCTTAGTTGGATGCATCACTAGGGCCTATTTCATTTCTTTAGCAAGACCCAGCTAGTCAGAATTGAAGACGAGAGGTACCTCTTGTCCTCTTATGCATTCCCAGTGATTGCCACAAGGCGGCTGGGGGCTGCCGTAATCCAACTCCAGGCAGTTCCAAGCTCCTGCACCCTTTTCTTCAAAGACTGCATGAAGCACGTCTGTATTGATCACTTCATTTTTGAAACATCGGCGAAGGATTTTGTCGTAGCAGACCTCATGAAAGGGAAAGACGACTTGAGCCCCGGGGCAGCCAGGATTGACATATCTAAAAGAACTTAATACCAGACTAGGGTAGGGGTAATGGAACATACGCGAATAACATGGGCATCTCGCCTCCTTCATCAACGGGAAAATTCGGGTCTAATTCAGTGTTAGATAGAATACAAGCCCAGACTTGGGGGGGTAACAATTACCTTTTCCTGCATCCGCCTCAATCATTCCCTAAAGGTCCACGTTAGGTAATCTGATGCTCATGAGCGATGAGCAACTCACCTGGTCCTCGTATTGGCCCGGGCCGGTGATAAAAGATCTGTACCAAGAGAATGAGTAAGTGGAGGATTGAGGCAAATTTATTACTGACTTTCTCTCTGCGGTGCTTTTGGCATTGTAGCCAAGGGCACGAAGCTTTGATAGCCATTGAAGATCACTGTTCCCAATCACTTTTTTGCTGTACGACAATTTGCTATTTTCGTCGAAGCTTATCGGAAGAGTGAATGAGTACGCGAAGGTGGAGCCACATATCGCGCAAAAAGCATCCCAGTGCATGGTGGCGGCGAGCTTGTGATAAGTTGATGGAGCTTCGATAGTTGAGGTTATGCGGGGTGGAAGTCAGGGAGGTCTGGTAAGAAGGTGCAGAGAGGAAGGAAGAAAGTCTACGCGCTAAAGAAACACGAATATATAGGCGTTGTTAGTCAGGTGAGTCAGATGCCGAAACAGAGCTGTCCATACAAACAAACACTGAATGGAAACAATGGCCTGAAATGCATCTTCCCGTATGGCCTGCATGATCTCTATTTTGGTACTCAGTTGGTTCAGTATGTTTTACGTAGCCTTGGACCCGATTACATAATTCATGTTTTTGTTTGTTGGAGGGGAGAAGAGCTATTGCTACAGAAATAGGAGATTACTTGTGGTGCCAATATTATCTCGTTCAAAAATTTTGACGGCCTGACCGAAACGAGTACACGTGCCGCTTTTGATGCTTAACAAACCGGTATTACGTTTCACAAATGGGCCAATCGATCCAGTCCTGTGCTAGCATCATTCCAATCTCCACAGCGTACGTTCTCGTCGACTTCGAAGAACCAAGGTATGACTATCGTGTTCTGTGGCGCTTCAAAAGGCTCTAATTATATATAAGGCATGGTCGAATGGAATGACACCTAAACTTGACTATGAGAAGAAAGGTGGCTGGGGAGCTTGTCACTTTGGTTGTGGTCGATAGGGGTGAGAAAGCATAGAGAATCTTGATACGAAAGGGCGAAGGAGATCTATCGACAAGCATTTGGAGACCTGGGTGATGGTTCTTTATGTTTTGACAAGAACCATCCGTATCAAACAACATGTACTAGAGCAGAGAGCAAGAGAAGCTCCTGTCTATGGTGTAAAGTAACTAAAGCTTCGCCTCCCTCCCCTCATTCAATCTGGCAGGTAAGAGTCTTCTCAGAATCTTGCCAGTAGGAGTCTTAGGCAAGCTTTGCAAATGGAATACACCTCCTCTGAGCTTCTTGTATCCTGCAAGCTGGCCGTCGATCCAGGCTTTGATCGCATCAAGGATCTTCTGTTTCTCAGAGCCCGACAGCTCCGCCGTTGCCGGCGAGAGACTGACATAGGCAAGTGGGACCTCGGTCGCTTGAGCATCATCGTAAACTGCACAGACTGCAGCATCAACAACATCTGGATGGCGTAGAAGAATGTCCTCTAGCTCTGAAGGGGCTACCTGGAATCTAAATATAGCAAAGTGATTAGCTGGTGAGTATTGACTTGAAGGGCAAAGAAGTCACGACGCACCCCTTATACTTGATCATCTACACAGAACTAGTCAGCTGAAATGCCTCTATGTAAGTAAGTCGTATAGCTCAATCATACCTCTTTAAGACGATCGGTGACCCAGAAATTCTGGTTTTCGTCCACCTTCAAAATATCACCGGATTTGACCCATCCGTCCTCGGTGAAGGTTTTGGCGGTTGCCTCGCTGTCATTGATATAACCCCTGCAACAGTTGTTAGCATAATTTATACTGGGCGATTTTCACAGACTTGGTCTCCTCGTACATCATGCAGAGTGGGCCGCGCAGCCACAATTCACCTTCCTCGCCGACAGGGACATCCTTGTTGGACTTCGGATCGACTAAACGAGCCTCCCTATAACACCATTAGAAACCGGGATCAATATCTGGCAACGGTATGTGAAACATACACCCCTGCGAAGAGCTTGCCAACGCATCCGAAGGCTTGTTCATCCTCATCGATCTCGTGGATAACACCCCCCGAGCATTCGGTGAGTCCGTATCCTTTTTTCCGACATCAGTGAACTAGAATTGACAAAAAGATGACTGTACGAACCTTGGCAAACTCTGACATGTGGAAGACGCTTCTTGAGTAGAAGCTGAACAGATTTCTGTAATATGAATATAATTAGAATCATATCATGCTGCCACAGTACCAAAGAAGGTCTGTCGGCATACGTACCTTCAATGGCGCGGCAGAAATGACAATTCTTTGCAAAGACGTCAAGTCATATTTCTGTGCGACGGGCGAAGTCGCAAGAAGAAGTGCTACCGGCGGCACAAGGTGCAGATCGGTAACTTTCAGCTCACTCGACTTGCGACAAAATGTCTCCAAGTCAAAAGCAGGAAGACTGCAGTATTGGGCTCCAACCCACATGCCAGACAGAACCACCAGAGTTAGCCCATAGCAATGACAATCTAGAACGAAGTCTTGTTAATGGAGCTATGCAGACAGTTCAGGAATTGAGCAACTCACAAGGCGCAAAGAAAACCTCGCGGACATTTGAGTTGACCCTGACCGGCATAGAGGCACGCATGATTATGCTGTTCATGACAAGGTTATAATGAGAGAGCTGGACACCCTTCATCTTTCCAGTTGTTCCAGAAGAAAAGCAAATTGTGCTGGGCACATCCTTCGAGCTTCTACCTTGAAGGTCATACGGCGGAATGGTCTCCGTAGCGGTTTTGCCAATAATATCGTCGGGGAACTGGAAGATCATCAACGCTCAAATACAATCATGCCAGACATTCGTACTACAAACCTGGGGCAGGTTCCCCACTTTACAGCGAACGGTTAGAACCTTAATGTTAGTCATTGATAGACTAGCTACAGCTGCCTGCACAGTGCTGAGCTTCTCCTCAATGGTGACAATGTGCGTTGGCTTGACGATCTTGAGGACATGCAAAATATCATCCCGCGTCGCTGAGGTATTAAGAGGCCTAGTGATCTAGTTAGAGGGGTCTGGAATTCTCCCTTGTTGTGAACTCACGCGAAGACAGCACCCGTCCACCACGTGGCATGAGCGAGATGAACGAACGCATTCTATAGATTTCCAATTAGAACTCACGTTGAAGCAAGTTTTGTTTGGTTTCCTTACGGAGTTGTTGACCAACGCTAGCAGAGTATCACCTGACTGTAGTCCCGACTTGGTCTGCAAGCCCCAGGCAGCCCGTCCGGCCTGTTCGCGAAGAGAGCCATAGGTGATAGTTTCATCGGAGAAACTTTCAACGTGAACAACCTTTGATTCTGGCACATCATCAGGATTGTATCTCGTCATAAACTGTGAGATGGACAAGTCCGTCGCATCATGAATTGGGATTACGGGTGATCGGTAGAGGGCCATGGCGTACGGAGTAGAAATTTCAAACAGGTAGATGATTTGCAAGCCAGGTAAGGTACAACAATAAAACCAACAAGATTTTTGTTAGCTCAATTCCGATAAATGACTAAGAATCCCCTAAATGTGCCTAGATGAGCCTCAAGTACTACAAATCGCCGGGGACTCTCGGGGTTCGTCTATTTCGGCATAGACACCTGTTGTCCATGTAGCCTGACAAATCAGGAGCTAGTTATAAGCTAGTATTCGCGCGATCCCTTTTTGACCCACGTCGCTATAAATGGTCAGGGGGCTAAACGAGTCAATAGCATTGTTCAGAATAGTCGATTTGCGATGTACAAACACTTGATAATAAATTGACGAATAAGCTGGTGACCACAGTAAGTGATAACCTCGAAAGCTAAATGAGAAAAGAATATTCACTTTAGTCCATAAGGCGCGGAGATGAACGGGAAACGGAGCGGTTCACCATAACTTTACCACTAGTATGGTAGAGGAAAAGTGGATACGGGATCACTATGTTCCCGGATGGGGACGGGTATTATTGCCCGAGCTTCCGCCCCCTGGTTCCAGACTTGAACGCATACCCACCGCCTATCACGGCAAATTGAGATACTCCATACCAGCCAGCCGTTACTGTGGCGTTTGCACTTGCAAGCGAAGGTGTTGCACAAGTCACTCGACGATGTTTGCACGTAATTTTGTTTTTCTTACCGATCTACCATTGGTAACAGCACGTGCCCTCGTGATTTTGGGAGTTTCATCTCACACGGACCATCATTCATATTCACTATGCAGCGAATTGAGGGAAAGCGTTCTCGTTAGCATATTGAAGTAAACTTTACTGTCGATACTATCGGATATTTCTTTTTCGAGAGGGAGTTTAAATCGGAGCTCAGATTGGTGTTGGGCGATCTATTGATACATCGGCCTCTACCTTCTATATCTAGAGTTTATTCTTAAGAGTGGCGCAAGGGAAACGAAGATGAACGTTGAGTAACCTTATGTGTTGGAGCGTTGGGACGGGAAGAACGGCACGTAGTTTTGACACTGATCCACTTTTTGACTAAAGTTATCAGGTAGACAACAATAGTGTTCATCTCCCACCGAAGCAGTCTTCGGATTAGCACAAGGACTTTGTTCCTGGATCTTCAAACAAGCATGCATAAATTGGGTTCTCTAGTGCGAAACCATTGTTTCTCGAAAACGTCAACATCAACTCCCGATACTTATTAAACTTGGCACCTTGGCGACATGGTGGCGCGCTAGAGTCTTTGCATGAAGACCAATCAGAGCGACTCTTGTGGTGGAAAGGAAACAGACCCACGCGGCAGGATCCATTGAAAGTTAAATCGGAAACACATTCTAATTTTCTTGTGAATGTGTATGTTCGCCTCTTGAATGACATAAGGAGGGCACTGGCAGGGGTAACAGAGGAATCTGATATGTATAAATGCCATGATACAAATTCACGAAAAGGATCAGGAAGTCTAGAAATGTCCACCATATCAAATGAGATGTGTAAGAAACTATGACTATACACTTGTGGTCTCGACCCACTCATGCTTCAGGAGCGGTTGGGCTCATGAAAGTGAAAATTCCAGGGGTTGATGAGGTCTTCGGGATGCATCTTCCCTCGGGATACAAAAAGCACGAATTCCATTTCAAAGACCCACTTACGATTAGCGGTAATACTAGCTACAGCAGACTAGTGATTCGCCTTTGGTGAGGATTGACATCTCCGAAACGAACAAATCTGTGCGCATGCGCTAGCGTGCCAATTACGTGCCGTAATTTCCCCCCTTGCATTTGTGTTTTTTGCCCCCCAAGTTCGAATTACGGTGGGGAAGCGGTACCAATACCGCATGAGTGGGTCATCAAAATTATGTAAAATCTAAGCCATATAGTGCATTATCATTAAAGGAATCAGGACCCTTCTGAAGATGTTCCGTGCAGCATGTGGCTCTTGAATTTTTAATTTTAGCCCGGTTGGTCTAATCGGGCCTGGTTAATAAGTTGGATCTACCCCGTATTCTTGTTCCTTCCTCGATTTGAATCGCACGCCGGACTGAGCCTTCCACAGTCACGGCAAAATGCGATGGTTTCGACTTTGGGCTGCATTGTTGCCCTGCGCTGTCATTCTTCTGGGTGATCTAGCATCTGCTGAGACACAATCTCTACCTTCATGCGCTGTGAGTTTTGGAAGCTCATCCCCCGCCCTGGGATACTGACATCATTTACAGCGGGACTGCCTCACCAACCTCGTTCCCCAGTCAACTTGTGCTTCCAATAACCAGACATGCATCTGTACAAATACTCAACTTATCGATGAGGTGGATACGTGTGTCACGGCGAATTGCACCATCAAGGAGGCTCTCAGTACGTGGAACCTAGATGATATACGAGCTCCGCATTCTGACCGATCGCATAGCCGCTGTTAATGTCACGGATACAACATGTGGTACTTCAATTCGCGATCGGACTTCTATAAGTGTCATAGTCCCAGCAGTCGGCATGAGTGTTACATTGGTCCTCATCGCTTTGAGGTTATACGCCCGCCTTGTGGTCAATAAATTGAACATGGAAAAGGATGACTGGGCAACTGTTTTTCTCGGGGTAAGATCATGCACAACTACATTTCGAAGAATTCGAGCTAAGTGCCACAGTGTTGTGCGGTGCCAGTTAACGTCGGGTCGATCGTGCGTAAGTGAAATCGGTTACATCACACTCTTTCTCTCACAGGCACAAAATCATTGACAGTCGCCCCAGTTGGAAAAGCCGGCTTGGGTAGAGATATGTGGACCCTTGAGTTCACAAACATCACCCGAATTTTTTATGTAAGATTGTTCACGATACACGGACTTCCATGGCTTAATTAACCATGACAGTTCTTCTATATCCAAGAGCTTCTTTACATCACCTGCGTCGCCATCGTTAAGATCTGCTTCCTCCTATTCTACCTACGCATATTCCCCTCCGACCGGATGCGACTGGTAATCAAAATATCCATCCTCGTGACAATCTGCTTCGGTCTAACTTTCCTCTTCGGCTTTACATTTCAATGCTCACCGGTGAGCTATAACTGGAATGGTTGGAATGGGGAACACACAGGGTCTTGCGTTGAGACGAACTCTCTAGTCGTTGCTGCTGCCGCATTTAATATCGTCCTGGATATCTGGGTCATTGCTATGCCTATTCCCAGGGTTTTAACGCTTCAGGCATCACTACATACAAAACTGCAGGTGGTATTCATGTTCTCTGTTGGGTTTTTGTGAGTTCCCTCTCGGTTTTCTGCTCTGGAAAATCTTGAACGTCCAGTATGCAAGGGGCTAATGTTCTCATTCTAATTAGGATTACCGGCGTCGGCATCTACCGCGCCGTAATGCTCAAACTCTTTGCCGCAAGTACCAATCCCACATGTAATGCACCCTACCTTCCTTTTCCACGACCGCCGGAAAGCTAATAAATCTTCACTACAGGGGACAATGCTCCTGGTGGCTATTGGTCCGTGATCGAAATTGATGTTGGAATTTTCTGTCTATGCATGCCAGCCATGCGTTCTCTGCTTGGTCGCCTATTCCCAAGTTTGTTTGGGTCCACAAAAGAGGCCAGCAGTATGCGACATACGAGCAGCCAGAAAATAAGGACCGTTGATAGCGGACCAAATACGAGCTTTGTTCAGTTGATCGAGATGGATAACGCGGGGAACTTGAAAAGGCATTCCAATGCCTAGCACACAGGATTTACTGTTGGACCCCGCCATGACGCATCCGAAAAATAATTAAGAATGAATAATAAAGATCACATAATAGAGCTCTTTCTCCAACGAAAGTATCTATCTATTCCATTTGGGAACGCCCCATTAGGCTTTTAGTCGAACGTCACATCTTCCAGCCTCAGGTTACGACTCTGATTCGTGAGAGTACTCCGCATGTGTAGTTCTGGACCAAGAAGCACACGAGTCACAAAACTTGTGTTTTAGAGTCGATTGAAAGTGATATTTCTGATATTCACAAAATCGTCTGCGCTCACAACAAGCCCAGCCGGGCTAGCTCAATCGGTAGAGCGTGAGACTCTTAATCTCAAGGTTGCGGGTTCGACCCCCGCGTTCGGTTCGTCTTTTTTCTTTTTTTACATCCATATAAAATCAACCACATGGAATTCACTGATTCCTAATTTGTTTTTTCCTCATCTCCCTTGCCCAGGTGTTGGTGGCTAGTAAGCTTGTCACATTTGCGATTGGGTGCGAGCGCTGCTCTATCGTCGCGCGATCGCCATCGGGGGTACACCCACGGTCAAACCTTGATACAACCATGAATTAAACACCAAATTCAGCCATTGAGGGAGTTATGTAGCTTTTGGATACATTATGTTGCATTCTGTCATAATTATAACGCAGGTAACGACTGGCCGCACGTAAGTTCTTCAAGTTCCTTTTATCCAGTCGGTGTGATCCTTCCCCACCTGGCACTACTTATCTGACAACTCCTTCAATAAGGAATCTCTTTCTTCAGAAAAAGGGGCGGTGCTAATTTTCAAGGGCAAATTTAGGTTCCTTGGAACTTGCTTGGAATTCCAAATCATCAGCCTCAGGTGGGGTCCCGGGCTTGGGCGCCTAAGCCTCACCTAAGCCCCCAGGTGGGAGAGATGACGGAACACATAATTAACATTCTTCTGGGAATCCTCCGAAGCCTTCAACTAGTACGACATAATTTTCCTGACCTGATCGCATTTGATTTCGGAGTCAACTGTGCGGCCATCAACATGACTGGTGACGTGCCAGACTACAGACTTCGGAAAACGCATGCGAAATCTAGGCACGGTTGTCTTAGATGTAAGCATCAACGAAAGAAGGTAGACCTTCTAAAATATATACCTGGCGAATATATATTAATAATATAACCAGTGCGATGAGTTGAGACCAAGGTGCTCAAGATGTGCCAAGCGCATGTACAAATGTGAATATGAGGGTCCGCGGGGACGTTCTAGATTACATGTCCAGCCTGCATTCCCCGATGACCACCCGTCGTTCAGTGACTCCTCGCCACATGGCGCTTCTTCAAATTCACAGCTTCCTTGTGCTCCCAGGGTCAATGCGAGCTGTGCAACTCTATCGTCGGATTTAGACAACTACAGTACTCTTGATGCGACGGAACTTGACCTTCTCAGTCACTATCTCACGCATACTAGTCAAAATATCCCTTTCGACGATCTTGATCACTATGCACTGTCTGTCGGCATTCCAAATATCGCTTTCAAGAGCAGACCTGTTATGTCATCCCTGGTCGCCTTGGCAGCAGCATGCCAGTGTCATGATCTAGTCAAGTCCAATACGTCTCTGGAAGAGCAGACCGTCATTAAGATACAGGAGCTGCTCATGCTTGCCGAACGTCATCACACGAGCTCTCTGCAGCACATTCAAGTGGCCATGGCACAGTCAGATTGCTATGACAACATCCTCGCAAATGCGGCACTAATGGTTTTGTACGCTTCTGCTAGTCACTCTGTCAGAGTTCATTTGGCTACCAGCGCAAAGCGGAGTGGCCAGAAAATGCCGGATCAGTTGCTTCCACAACACTCACAGTGGATGTCATTTACTCGCGCAGCTCATATGGCATCCACCGCAATACTCGATGGAATAGTTGAGAGTATGACCAATATTCATGCAAAAATACATACTCCAAGTCCGACAATCAACACACCCGCATTGCCGAACCAGCATTTAACTGGCAATGTTGCCTTGTCGCCACAAGATGGTCCGACCGGAAAGACAAGGCGCCTGTTCCTTCCATTAGTCGTTTCTACATACACGCAAGCCCTCGAAATCCTACGGGGAAAAGCCAAATCTACAGCTGCGCTCTTTGAATTGCTTGAAGCTTCCACTTGCAATCATCTACCGCTTGACGCTTGCTTGAAAGCGTTATCTGTCCTTGAAACATGTGCATCGGATGCCCTGTCTACAAAGAAGACTTTTGAGAGGCATAATAGCCCCAGATTTGAGCCTTTGGAACTGAAACACATAAAAAAAGTCTCACCCTGGGTTGGAGAATACATGGCCAGTGTTACTTCAATAAAGTCGCCGAAAGCACTACGGCGAACCATTATGTCGTTCTTAAACAAAGCGCCGGCCGAATTCCTTAATATTGTCCAGTCAATGCTAGATTCTTCATTCGCAGAGGCTGGCATTGAAAATATGATGTCGCCAAACTCCCCCGAGCCCCAAACTCCTTTGTTAAATTCGACGCGCCTATTGATTATGGACATCTTTGCTCATTGGCTCGTTCTTGTCATGTTATTGGACGGCGTGTGGTGGATTGGTGGAATTGGACAATGGGAGCTGGGCCGAGTTATCGCTTTAATAAAGCCTCAGGTCTCGCTTCACCAGCCAATGGATACCAGGGAAACCTGGTGGCCAGAAAGCATGCACTGTGTAAAGCTGGAACTGAGTCCCTGTCTCTAGAAGCGCTAGACATATGACTTGAATACAGCCAGATCAATGGCTCATATTGACATAGACACTTACCACCGACTTTTATTTGCGACGAGGATATTGAATGCTACCCTTTCTGCTGTTCTTTGTTCTCCCGAATCCCCGATGACATAGGTCTATCTTCAATTATTGATTCCGATACATGGAATCAAATTGCTTTTCTTGGAGCCATATGCTCACTCCTCGAGCTACAATGACTTAAGTGTGACTTCGGTGATCTGTAATTCGTAGGCACTGATCGATACATGACCCTCGGATATGGCGGTCTTAATGAGGTTTGATGCCGTAGCATTGTAAAATAAAGAAGGGCAATTTTCAACAATTTGGCTCTTGTTCAAAAAATCAGATTGGCTTACACTGCCGCGTCATGACAAATAAGATATGCGGGGCAAATTTGGAATACGCCCAGATCAGATGGCGGATCGTATAGGCAAAACTGTAGCACCGGAGATCAGCCAAATGCGCGCTGACTGTTTGAAGTCGTATTAGTAATACGCTCAAGCCAGCCCACTTATGTAATACGACATTCTCCACTTTCGGACCCTGCATACATAGTAATCAGCCTCTATTCATACCTACGCATCGTCATTCGCTAATGGAGACTTGTTGAGGCTACTGTTCTTCCGGAAATTCCACTCAAATCTAAGCTGACTCCTCGTGCTGATGACCTTGGCAACTCAGCCTGATGATTTCTTGGCCCGCTGGGGCTAAGTTTGGTTGCTCTACTGCGGTCCATATGGGGGGTTGTAGTATTTACAAACCATGACGCGTGAATTGTACATCTTGGCATTGCTGCGGATTACGGTTCGACTTCGAAGGTAGAGCCCTCTCCGGCAATTGAATGAGGCGCAGTGCTTCAGCATTTGGAATTTGCGATGGTTTACTTCCTCCGAGGGAAAGTTAACTGTAGGAGCTTAGATATATAAAGGCTCAAGTCCACTTCCTTCTTCACAGCTCATCAGCAAACGTTTCTCGACAGCTAAGCAATACTACCCCTGGGGCCAATCTTGTTTTCCACTTGCAAACCATTCAAGATATTTCTTGATATCTCAATAGCCACCATGCTTTCAGGATCCACCATTAGCTCTATTGTTGCTGTTGCCCTTGTCTTTGCCCTTCCGGCGAAGGCAGCACCTCGGCAAATGGTGAGACGCTCAACGCCCGAGCTCAGCCTCACAGCTCAACTACAAATTGCGGATACGTGAGTTTTATCACATGGGCTCAATTTCGGCAGGAGACCAATCTAATTATTTAGTGCCATCGACCGTTACAAGCTTCTCTCGAAGGACGAAGATTTTGTATTCGACTTCACCAACAACTCTATGCCGATCGCCAACCGTGAGACTTTTCCCACTTTGGTTGGCTCAGGAATGTCCTTCAGTGTTGGCCAGCTGCCAGGTATGTCAACATAATTGCATCAAGCTTTCTTAGCACTAAATGTTCTCGACAGCATGCAGCATGGTCTACCTCCATCTCCACCCTCGTGCCACAGAGCTCTTCGTGCTGAATTCTGGGCGTGTCCTCACCCAGATGGTGCCTGAAGCGGGCGTGCTTGACTCTGACGGCAAACAACGAGTCATCAACACGGAACTGGGCCCCGGCAAGATGACCATCTTCCCAGCCGGTTCGTTTCACACGCAGGTGAACCCGGATTGTGAACCAGCCAACTTCACGGCAGCGTTCTCGGCAGAGGACTTCGGCTTTGGCTTGGTCGCTCAGCAGACATTCTCTCTGAGTGATGATGCCATTGCTGCCACGTTTGGGCAGAGCATTGCTGGAGAGGATATCGACAAAGTTAGGGATGCTATTCCGAAGGACGCAGTGATCAAGGTTGAGCAGTGCTTGACCAAGTGTGGTAAGCAGAAGCGTCACACTTGATCCAACCAAGCTTGTATAGCGTAAAGGGTCGGTGCCAATTCACGCTGCTTTGTGGGTATCTCCTGTCATTTTGTCTTTTTCTCCCAGGATCTTGTGAGTGGCTATGTGATCTTCAACCTTGGAAGAAACCGAAGAGTGATAGAGAAAGATTGATAGCTTAGTCCCTCAGGGGTCATTGACAATGCATGAAATATATATTTCGTTACATCCATGGATATTTCTGTAAGGGTCTTCTAGAAGATTTTTATTTTTAATGCAAGCGTGCACTTTCAAGGTTGAATAAAGTAACCTTTGACCCCGACCTTGGAAAGAACAAAGAACCCTGAATTTAGGTATGATGAATCTCTTTCATGACACTGTTACCGATTAATATGAAATAAAAGTAGACTGCGGCACGTGTCGGTCGCTGCTTTCCATGCTAGATCTGAAACCTGGTGGTACCTTTGCAAAAACAGAAAAAAAAAAAAAAAAGCTCTCTGTGACTTAGATTTTCGTCCTCAATCAACCTTTCCTTGACATTCATTAGCCCCTCGATGCCGATAACACGATCCTATCGCGTAAAGACCTGCAAATGATGGGAATCAACGACGCTTTCAATAATAGGCACGCCGGACTCAAGACCAAAAGGATGTCAAGAAGGCGCTGAGCCAAATAGTCTAGAACCAGCTTGCGATTCTCAACAAGAAACCAAATACAGACTCAAGATTTCCCATAACTACCTTAGCTTACAGCTGCCCAGGTGCGTACTTGATGAGCGCGGATAGTGACTATATTGTACGACCGCCAGGCCATCTAATAGAAAAACAAATTAGTACCTAATGAAGTGTTCAACAACCAGTCAACACTTTTGCCGGAAGAGGTTACTGGAGAAGTGGTCGAAAGACGATTGGATTATGACCGCCAAGGATATTGGCTGGAATTTTCGAAATGTTTATCGGGCCAAGTCTTTTCAATTTATGGAGATTCTACGACGAGTTTTCGCTAAAACGCTCATACGTCGCCGGATGTTGATGAAATAGACGTTGATCAGCCTGAAACAAGGCACCAGATTGGCGATCTACATCTCGGGCTTCCATCTTTGGTTATGTGGGCCGACCTCGGTTTTAATACGCGTAATCGTCTCCGAAGTGCGGGACCGGGGCTTCCAAACTGTAACTATCTTAGGAGCACTAACATGGTGATCATGACTTGAAATGACTAGACTGAAGAATATATACATCCGTGCATACCTTATGTGGAACCTAGTCACTTAATCTAAAGGCATTATGTGTGACGATTCTCGCCCCAGGGAATCAGGGGCAGGGTGAAGTGGAGCCTAGGCGTTATCCTGGAATTGACTTTCTTTTTGTATATAAAGGAGAAATTTTCGCCCTTCCTATTGACCGGTCAAGCTCATCTACAGTGTCTTCCGCCCGTGTGATATTTTCCACGAGTCGCCATGATCGGCCTTCTTGCCCCCCTTCTCATTGGGGCTGCTTCCGCAACCTCTCTGAGCAAGGCTTGTACAAAGGAATTCGTCAAGTCAAACCTGCCTACGTCTGACGACAAAATTCCCCTCGGGATCACCATCGATGAGAGTTCCGTCACTGCCAATACGTATCGCAACTACTCGGTAACAGATGCGACCTTCTGGGAAAATGTGAACATCGACTTCTGTGAAGTTTCTTTCGCGTACTCCCACGCCAACCAGGATGATAGAATCGTTGTCGAGTATTGGATGCCCCTGGCTGAGAACTTCCAGAACCGATTCCTCGCCACTGGAGGTGCCGCTTACCAGATCAGCAATGGATCTGGTGGTGCCGATATGTCAGGCGGTGTTGCTTACGGAGCTGTCACCGGTTTGACCGACGGTGGCCTCCCTTATTGGGGAAGTACCGACTTTGATGATGTTGTTCTGCTTGGCAATGGCACTGCGAACTGGCCGGCGATCTACAACTTCGCCTACCAGGCTATCGCCGAGATGACTGCGATTGGAAAGGTGTTCACCAAGAACTACTTTGGGCTTAGCGACAGCACCAGCAAGAGGAGCGACGACAAGGTTTACACCTACTACATGGGGTGTTCTGAAGGCGGACGTGAGGGCATGAGCCAAGTGCAGAAGGCTCCTGAGCTCTACGATGGTATCATTGCTGGCGCCCCTGCCATGCGCTATGGACAGCAACAAGTCAACCACATTGCCTCCCCCATCCAGATTCAGACTATTGGACACTACCCACCTTCATGTGTGTTTGACACCGTGATAAACGCCACAATTAACGCCTGTGACAAGCTTGATGGAAAGGTCGATGGTGTGATTTCCCGCAGTGATCTTTGCATGCTGAAATTCAACGTTTCCTCCATGATTGGCGAGTCCTACAGCTGTGCAGCAAGCTCCGAAACCAGCTTAGGCCTTGGTTATGGAAAGCGCAAGAGAGCCGATAGCTCAACAACTCCCGCACAGAGCGGTACCATCTCGGCAAAGGATATTGAGGTCATCCAAGATCTGCTGACCGGTCTGGTAAATTATTCCCCGGCATATCATTTGTTCGAGTTGAAGCTAATCCTGTATCACAGAAAGACTCAAACGGTGACAGGGTCTACCTGCCTTTCCAGCCCGGTGCCGGCTTCGGTGATACCACTACCTACGACTCGGATACCGATTCATGGACTATCGAGTCGCCGAACTCGAACGGTGAATGGGTCACCAAGTTCTTACATTGGCAGAACGTGAGCTCGCTTGTCATGACTGATGTGACCAATGACGACTTGAAGGCTTGGATGATCGAAGGCATGAACAAGTACATGGACTCGCTCCAGACCACTCTTCCCGATCTTTCCCCATTCCTGAACCGTGGAGGTCGACTCCTTCACTTCCACGGCGAGGCCGACTCCAGTATCCCCACCACTGGTTCCATTCGCTACCACGAGTCTGTTCGCAAGATCATGTACCCCGAGCTTTCCTTTGAGGAAGGTAACAAGAAGCTTAACGAGTGGTACCGCCTCTACCTCATTCCGGGAGCGGCTCACTGTGCCATCAATGACGAGCAGCCTAACGCCGGCTTCCCTCGCGACAATTTCGCCCATTTGATCAAGTGGGTCGAGGATGGCGTTACTCCGGTTACCATCAATGCCACAGTGCAGTCAGGTGACAACGAGGGTGAGGTCCAGAATGTTTGCACCTGGCCGTCCCGTCCTTACTACAAGAACGGCAAACTGGTCTGCCAGGAGAAGCAGTCTTCGGTCAACGCGATGCTGTGGGACCTGCCTGCCTACAAGCAACCTGTATACTAGGCCTCAAAGCTTATACATAGATACACGAGAGTGAAATTGGACCCATGACATGTATATAAAGTGAAGGTGCCATAATGCAACATGTATTCTAGTGCATATTTCAAAAAATGATCTACCTCTTGCACAAACTCCACTTCACAGTCCGAAATACAAGGGACACGCACCAAGCGAATAAATTTAGAGAGCTGCCTGTTACCACATTCGTGGAAAAACTGCATTTTGAGCACCGTGATCAGGTCCGGGCTGATGCGCCTGACCTGCCACCGTTGCCCAAGGACTACATGTACTGGTCGATGCTGCTACCCAAACGCCTCCTAGGCCACACGAAATCGGCTTTGACTACAGCAATGCAGCGATCCCACTTGATATTGGGCTCGACGTGATCCAAGAATGGGACCCGTCTATACGTTGTCTCGTTGAGCTTCAGGATCCCACTCAAGGTAGCATACTCCGTGTCATGACTACTTCTCCTGAGCTGCCCCGCTGGACCCCTAATGAGCACGTAAATTTACTCAGTGACAGTATTCATGTCATGTCACCAGCTGGTGGGGTCGGTGCAGCCACTGCATTGAAGGATCGGAGTTGACTCGTATCTTGGCCAGTAAAGGCCGATCTGTGGACAGTATTGGAGAGTATGAGGAGGGAATGCGAGGCTATGCAGCTGTTGACCTGTTGAGGAGTTTCCATGGGGGCAAGCTGATATTTGGACAGCCGGACTACGAAGACTGTAAAGAGCTGGTTATTGAATAGGTTTGAATATCTATTGCTAGCTATCCGTCTGGTCATCCATTTGAACCCACCTCTGTTTATGTCTGTGTAACCCGCGGTTGAGCGGGAATGGCCCGTCCCGCGCTAGTAAAACACCACTGAATCCACCTCAAATACCCCGCTTGCCTGCAAGCCGTTCACAGTCTCCTTGATCCGCTCAACCAAGGCTTGTCCGTATGCTGGGCCTAAAGGAGGCGCGGGCTTGGTGGTGTCAGGTCGCAGCCAGGGTACAGATGAAAAGGGTGTGGCCGCCTCGCGTAGTTGCCGAATGTCTTCATCCTCATATCCGGCCCCCAAAATGATGGCCCCCACTCCACGTGCGTAATTGTTGGAGCCTAGTTCAGTGTGTGACGGCACCTCGGTCTCACCCTTCAGCAGAGCCGGTATCTGATCAAGACCAGCGTTGAGGGTCATGACAAAGTGAATCACTATATATCTTATGCTCTTGGTTAGCAAAAAGATTATCGCATATCTTTTTAGAATTTCTCGAACTTCTCAGCCTACATACCTTCGAACTCGGGCTTCAGTGCCGCAATAACGCCAGCGCCAATCTTCTCTGTTCTGCCACAGAGAATAACGGGGATAGGCGGCGCCATCTTTGGTGTCAGGAATCGGTTATAAGGAGCCGGAAAAGTGTTTGGCTTGAGAGACAATTCAATGGATAGTTAGCAAGGGGCAGAAGCTGATGGACACCGGGGGAAAGGGGAGGGGAAATGGTTCTATTAATATCTGTTTCTGAGGCTTGTTACCCCACTAAGCGACCATGAAAGAAGAAGAGACCACTTACTCCCTGACTATGAGCCAACAGTCGGGAAACCTAAAATGCCAATCTAGATATTTAGACCAAAGGCCTACATAACCTCTTCGTGACATTTTCACCCGCAATATTTGGATAAAAGCTTACACCCTTCGCTACCACAAGTTCATTGAACATCGGTGGCTAGTGCGTACCCAATCCTTTTTCAGCCTCATTCAATGCGATGGCACCTGACCTGGAGATTAGCTGATAATTGAACCACGTAAACTGCGGGACAACTTACTGACCATGATTGGTGTCATTCAATAGTTTCCATTGAAGGGCCTGTGATCTCGCTTGTTTTAATTCAATCAGTCAGAATACAAGATGACGCTTCATTGGCTCCAGGAGATATAGGAGCACTAATATTCAATATGGGATCAGAACAAGCGCCGGTTCAATGGTTATCACTCCTAAAATATCTCAAACATCAGGGTAGTCTGCAGAGTAGTGTGAGCGAAGAATTGTCTTGATAAGTACTTGATAATATCATTTTAAACTTCGGATGTACTGGCTGAGTTCTCATTAAATTTACAGGAACAGGTAGTAGAAAGCCTAGACATCAGAGCGTATGAAAAAGATTGAAGAATTCAAAGGATTTACTAGAGTTAAGCCTTTCGGATCGCACTCGTCGAAAAGTAGAGATAAACTAGTATATAAACCTTGGAACTAGTGTAATGGTCTCTTATCTATGCCTCGCATTGTATATAACGGCAGCACTGGATACCCAAGGTACCAAGCGTCTACTATGAAAATTTTACGAAATGAATTGTTTCTCATTTCGTATATGAGATATAGACGGACCTTGATAGCACCCCGAGTGATCGGCATACTCTAGGGGGTATGATGTTTAAGCAATATTTAGTTAATGCCGATCTACCTGCGTGTGGATGGGGAGTTTAGGAAAGATTAATGGGTTGGAAGATTTTTTTAGTGACGTAATTCCAGACTTTCTGCACGCCTCCTGCACCCTTCTAAGCCCAGAAAGAATTACGCTGAAGATGCAACCGAGGGAAGTAGTCATTTTCACAGGCCTAGGCCATCAGATGGAGACGGTATTTGCTCCCGTGTCACTACAATGGCATTTGCCGTTTTCCCGAGGAGGGGGTGACAGTTAGGGAGGCTTTTCACATTGACAATCATAAAAGACGTTATTCATCGGCATAAATAGCACTCGAGCGCAATCACGGACCGCGTAGGTCCACCCAATTAAGTGCCACGTATACCTTGCGACTGGTCTAGTGTAGGTCCGCCAAGGCGACGATCTTCACCCCCCCCCCAAAAAGGTTGTGCAGAATTCAATGATTGATAGATGCTGGTTGTTTTCACCCTCTCTTCGTGAAGATAGATCAACCATGAACTTCCGTTTGGTGGGCTTTCCTTCAAAAAGCTTACCAAAATCAACGTTCTGACAGCGAGACGTACCCGCCCAGGGCTGACTTGGCGTGTGGGGGTGTGGAGCGATCGTTTCAGGTTGACCCCTCTTTAAGCAGGCCTGTCATGCAGAAGGTGGGAGGTAGTGTGACATTCTGCAGAAATAATGCAGCGTATTCAGCATCGTTATGCTCAAATTTGTGCTGTCGTATCCGAGTGAGGGGGAAGGCAAGATAAATATCATGCCTGGTGAAGCTGGTATTTGTTTGGATCGACTTCCGAAGCATTCTAAAGGTGAACAAGATTCGACATGCCTTTCATACCGACAGAGGTGTCGTCGGGAGGCTTGGCGTCCTATATTGCTGAGACTTCAGTCTCGCGTCTCGCTCTGAATAGCTTCATCTTGGCACTGGTACTGGTATGGAGACGTTCTTCAAATACAAATCAAACTCGGCCCTCACTTCTAACGTTTACCAGACACCGACCTACTTCATCGGACTAATTATCTACAATGTCTTCTTCCATCCTCTGGCCAAATACCCCGGCCCAAAGTCCATGGCCGCTACCCGTTTCCCGTATATGGGTTTCATTCTAGCCGGAAGAACTGCCCAGGCAATCAAATCCCTCCACGAACAATACGGCGAAGTCGTCCGTATTGCCCCAGACGAACTGTCCTTTATCGACGGTGATGCATGGAAAGCTATTTATGGAACCCGACCCGGCCACGGCCAGAAGCAAAAGGATTTCCGATATTACCCACCTACCGCTGGCGGTGCTCCGAGCATTATCGTCTCCAACGACGCTGACCACTCTCGCATGCGAAGACTACTATCCCACGCCTTCTCCGATAGCTCGCTTCGAGCACAAGAGCCCATCATCAAATCATATGTGGATCTATTGATGCAACGCCTCCGTCAAAAGAGCGAAAATGGCAGTAAGGCACTGGACATGGTCGCTTGGTACAACTTCACAACATTCGATATCATCGGTGATCTCGCATTTGGAGAGCCGTTCGACTGTCTCAAGAACTCAAATTATCACCAGTGGGTAGAAGTTGTGCTCTCGAATGTCCGTTTTGCCGCATACACCAACGTTGCCCGACGTTTCCCGGGGTGGGGAGTCATCAGCAAGCTCATCACTCCTAAGAAAGTATTAAATCAGCGAAACATGCATAATCAACTTACAAAGGAAAAGGTTGAGGGCCGTTTGAAGAAGTCTAACGAGAGACCCGATTTCTTTGGGAACATTCTCAAGCACAATGATACCGCGAAGGGTTTTAGTTTCCCAGAGATGGTCACCAACGGTAGCACTCTTATTGTTGCTGGCTCTGAGACTACTGCGACTTTGCTTTCCGGTGCCACCTATTTGCTTCTCAAGAACCCACGGGTCATGCGGAAACTTCAAGAAGAAGTTTGGGGTACTTTCCAATCCGATGATCAGATCACGTTGGAGAATTGTAACAAGCTGGAATATATTCACGCTGTTCTTACTGAGGCTCTAAGGATGTATCCTCCTGTTGCGGGTGGTCTGCCTCGAATAGTCGATGCGCAGGGTGATATGATCAACGGACACTGGGTTCCAGGTGGTGTAAGTGGGAGGCTAATAGCACTCTTTTGGCATGATACTACTGTGCGAGCCATTTCACTGACCTTTCGCTTTGGATAGACCATCGTCTCGGTCACTCAAATGGCCGCTTACCATTCCGCTTACAACTACACGCACCCTGAACAATTCATTCCCGAGCGATTCTTGGATGATCCTCGATTTGCGAATGATAGCAAGACCGCTTTGCAGCCTTTCAGCTTTGGACCCAGGAACTGTATTGGGCGAAAGTAAGTGCACAAACTGAACCAAGATTCATCAAGTCGTATATATTCCATACTGACTGACTGTGTCTAGCTTGGCATATGTTGAAATGAGGATAATTCTTGCTCGAATGGTTTTCAACTTCGATATGGAGTTAGATCAGCCTTCTGATGAGTGGACGGATCAGCAGTGCTTCATCCTGTGGAGTAAAAAGCCTTTGATGATTAAGCTTACTCCGAGAACTTAGGCTCAGTAAGCGACAAATTGACAGTGAACAAGTGAATTCGGAGACTGTTATCACGGGATAGGTGGGACTCTTGCATCGCGATGTACTCATGGAGATTTGATCAATGTTTGAATATTGTATACGCGAGTTCATACGAGTCAAATGTGCTATTTCTTTGATACCCTATTCATACTGCCGTGTTTGGTATTCAAATATATGGAGTGAATATGACTTCGAAGTATAAACCTTCAGTCACACGTATTTTCAAGCTGAGACGTGGCATCTATATGTCCCGCATATCTCTACTGTATTTGTAAGAGTTCAAGGTGCACAGTCAGGGCCCAGACTCCAGAAACCCCGAAAACGCCTTGCCCCACGGGAGATCAGCAACAACCCCGCAGTGACTCACGAGTCAAACCAGTGGAGCAACGTGCAGATTATGTGGCGAAAGAATAATCGGATATCGTATTAAGTCTAGCGGGCTAGTTCAAAGAGCCCCATCTTGAAACCGTGTTCTTCTACCCAGAGAGGAAATTTAATTTTACAGTGGCGGAAGAATTCAAGGGTTTCATAATTCATCGTATACATTGATCTTCACTCATAACTGCAGATCCACTGAACAAAAAAAAGTCCAATAAAATCACGTATAGCTATCATCGAAAGTCATATCTCAAGACAAAAGAAAATCTTTGATCGGAGTAGGAGCTCCAGATCCCTCCAAGCAAGTCCCTCCACATACATCACATAAGTGAGTCACCGTATCAACAACCAGTTAAACACGCAGGAAGATTCTGGGCATGCATAAATCAGGCAACTCTGCCTCCCTCTGATTGGCTACCCACCACACGATCGGTAGTAAAAGAGGGGGCCAATTCGCCAATGATGGACTAGACCGCATAACGAACTATAGAACCCTTTGCACGAGTCACGTCAACGGAAAACAGATCTTTCCAATCTGGGGTTCCGACTCCAGTCTCGAATTCAAGGACTGAATTGAACAGATTTCAGTGGGGGTGGGCGCTCCAGGCAAGCCACTTCCCCCTCTGTTGCAAATGAGTTTGGGGCCAGGTGTTTCAACACCGTGGCGACAAATGACTAGTTTTCAGGCTAGTCTGGGTAATCTATACCCGTAATTGAATTGGAGTAACGCTTTGGTTTCAAAGAGTGTAAACCGTAAAAACCGATAGATAGTTGTAATCAAAATGGGGTTTCCTTTTTTTGTGGTTTTTGTTCTTCTGGTTTGGCGTATTCAGCGGTGGTAACGGTGACCGCGGGAGTCGTAGCGTCGCTCTTCACGATCCAGGTGATCAGGAACATAAAGCGAGCCACGGTTGGATGGGCTGCGACTGGAAGTGTTCGACGATCGAGAAGACTGGCGAGAAGAACGAGGGTAGACAATGACATGACGCTTGCTGAGGGAAGGCGAGCGCTCAATGATCTGAAGGGGAGGAGATTGAGACTCCGGAGTGTGAGACCGAGGCAGAGATTGCTCGATGATGGGCCGTCTGCTGGGGCTAGTAGAGCTGGGAGGACGGACGGCAGGAGCACGACCCCGACGAGGAGATTGGATACGCATTCCCTTCTCGATGGAGTCGAGGAGGCTGCGGGTTGCACTCGAGTCTCGGGGTAGCTTGACTCGTCGGGGCTTGCCGTTTTCTCTGTCCACTGCTGCGAACTGCTTTCCGCCCTCACTGTATAGGTATTTGCTCACGTCGAGGGCGAGGAGATAGCCACGCTCGCAGTGATAGTTCTCGTGGGTTTCGATGGCAAGGGCACAGGGGGTGCAGCGGGAAATGTGGCTCTCAAAATCATCCAAGACGAGCTTCTCGTCATCGTGCAGATCACGCACGACGGTAGGCTCGATCATGACTGAGGATGGCATTGGTGAGGAACGGCGTACACTTTGACGCCGCAAGGGTGAGCGAGAAGGTCTTTCCGTGGTGGAAAAGGTGTTCGGGTCGACCACGTAGGTAGTTGAGCGTTTGGGAGACACGATGACTGATTTTCTGGGGTCACGCGTAGAAACGGTTTAATGACCGTGTTAGATAAAATGGGAAGTGTGACCAAGTTTTCGATGTAGCAGATGATCTGAGTTTAAGACTCTGAATATGTGGATATGTGACAATGTAATTGTAGGCTTGGATGAGAAGAAATAAGTATATATGCAGGGTGGGGGGAAGGAAGTTATATACTTTTGGACTGATTCACAAGGCGGACTGGAGCCCACTGGAGCCTGGGATCGTAGGCTAGTAAGGTGCAGTACAGTGACTCCCTCAGTACCCGCTGGCCCCACTTAGTGATTAGAAAACCAATGTACTTGTACTATCTTTGTACAGGAGCGCTAGCGCATGTGGCTTAGTCGCAAGTGAAGGGCGGTGGATCAAGAAGCCCACAGTCGCTGATTGGTCGAGACTTGAAAGCAGTCAAGGTGCAAGTGAACTTCGAAAAGCACGCGGGGAGTGAATGTGGCCATTTGGTTACTGAATGTAGTCTCCGACTCCAGACCCCCTTTCCCATTCTTCCACTTTCACAAACCCCAAACTTCCATTTTTTTGGTTTTCTATTTTAATTTGGTTTTTTTTTTTTTATCCCGGATCGTCAGTTTGGTGTCTACTAGATCAAGAAGGGTTTCCCTATTTGGTGGCTTGAGCTTCTCGTGTTCCTGCGCCCGCGTCTCGTGCATCGAGTCACTTGCAAAAGCCCCCGAGTCAACCAGGATTGCGCGATCGGAAAATAGCAATTTCGTCAACTTGCATTGATATCCATCCATTGTTGACGTCGTCTTTATCCTGAGGCTCCAACTGGGGCTCATCGTCGCCATTATTTGCTCTGCTACCGCTGCCCCTAATGCAGCGTCTACTGATACAACCCTCGAACACCAACAACAAACCAAGCCCATTGACAAGTTTCATGTTGTTCCCATTTTAGATGGATTCCTTTTTTGGTAATTTCCATTTACGGTGATAAAAATTGGACTGGGGCTTCAAAGACGATCATTATTATTAGCCCTTCTCTCTAAGAATAGGCCGGGGTCGGAAGGGGGGGGAATCGTGTTTTGGACCCCAAAGATTGCGAACACTAACGATCCCCCTCGTCCTTGAGCCACACCAACGAGGCTGATGAGACAGATACGAGCCATGAAAACTCAGCCCCAGCCACAGGATTCTACCAACACTTTCTCATGATTCGTCACACCAGCCACCCACGTCGGGGCTCGTATTGTTATGCATGCTGACACCTTGTCCTTGTTCCTGAACAACACAGCCACCTATGCGTGCAAGCCGCCAGGGCTGCATGGGAATAATGACGAGCATGGCTGCACGCCATTACGAGCGAATATTGACAAACGAAATAATTTCCTGACCCTTCTGGCCATCCGTGATCCTGGTTGCCTGGAGGCATCCGCCAAAGTATATCTCTAGGTTGGCACCTGCCTTCACCCGGGTCAATCTGTCCAGACCACATCCATGCGCCAAGGCCAGTTCTCGCTACACAACTGGACAATGGCTGCCGATCATCCAAACCGATACGAACGTCTTGCGTTATCAAGCCAGGTTCCTGTCACCCCGTTTCCAGGTGCAACTCCGTCAGGTCCATGGACAGGGGGCATGAATTTCTCATTGCCCGATCTGAATCAATATTAGGCATCCCTCTTCAACAAGCCCAGCCGGGCTAGCTCAATCGGTAGAGCGTGAGACTCTTAATCTCAAGGTTGCGGGTTCGACCCCCGCGTTCGGTTCTCATCAGAGTCAATCTGAGTTATCTTTTTGCCTTTTCCTATTCAATTGTCTTCATACCTTCATGAAGCCATAATAGACACCGGTCTCCAACAAGCAAGCCGGGCTAGCTCAATCGGTAGAGCGTGAGACTCTTAATCTCAAGGTTGCGGGTTCGACCCCCGCGTTCGGTTTCTCTTCAGGATTAACCTGGCAATACCTTTTTGCCTCTGTTGCTAATTTTTTTTTCATGAGGATCGCAGATTCTGAGTGGCGGAGAGCATATCGCGGGTTCCACATGTGGGGGCCGGCCCGTAGTTGAGAACTCCTCGACGAACCAGTGACACGAAACGTTGGAAGACAGGAAACTAGCCAAGACAACGTCAGAAGACGAGAGAAAATTCACTGCGGTCAAATAATTTCCAGAGTCTCTTGAAAATCGTTTTAGCACCGTAAGCAGACCTCGACTTGTGGCTGACATACTAGGTCCAAGCGCAAGGCTGAATACCTTATTGCCGATCAGATCGGAGGTGAAGGTTCTGATCCTCAGCTGTGTTGTGCATCTGTCACGACAGGCATCAGTCTGGTGCCTTTCTGTCACCCGAGTCAATAGTCAACGTTGAGGTTGGCTTGGCGGTTGTCGGACAATGAATCGAGACCACGCGCATGCTACATCAAAGAATACCTGGCACGCGACCCCGTGACCCCACCTTGACATTGGCTGCTCCATGACGGGGTCATGGATTGCCAATTATGTTGGTCAGATTTTTGATCTAGGACTTAAGCTATGCTGACTAGACGTAAGATGGGCCCGTGAGTCTTGATTATTCCATGACGTGTGCGAGAAGTAGGTATAGGACTGTGTAGGCACGTGACGGATGAAGTCGGGTGAAACTGGTACTGTAGTGTGTATGTATGGTGTCGGACTTTGACTGAAGTGTGATATCGCTACTTTCAAGAAACTTGGAACCAAGACCTGTGCTTAATATGAAGAGGTTGAAAATACGTGAAGTATCCCATAATATATATATTTAAACTGTCAAGTGAGTATACATTACATCCGACAGTGCAAAAGAAGAGGAACCAGTTCTTGGGAAAATCTGTATTTACGTAGACAACGATCCTATTTTCTAGATTGAAGAAGTCTATATTAAGTTGGGAGGAAATGAAGGATTACATTAAAGGTGAAAGCATCGTCTTCGACGGATACCACTTAGAGCAGCATGGGCGGTACTGAACTTTTGCTTGGCTATAATCGTGGGGTCCAACCCCATAGAAATTTCTCGTCCAATCAACTTACCCGTGAGTGGACCCGACTGCTTTATTGTAAAGCAGCGATCGATTAGCACAAAATGCCAAGACGTACAGTAGACTAGGTACTTTTTCATGCATCGGAAAGTGGGGTATCAATTCCTCGAAAATATCAGATTTGCGAAACCAGCGTGAATCTATATGATTTACTGTATGGACGTTTCGGAGATACAGACCTCAATGCACTAGTCGGCCTGATATCTTCCTCTGTTTAAGATGATTGGCGGGAGTGGACTTTAGTCCGCCCATTGCGCGTTATGAACAAATTGGGGCGCTTATGAAGAGAACATCGAGCATACGTACAGTACATGTCAGATCTCAACGCAGTACTGAAACCCATGTTCTACAACCGCTCGGCAAATACTTAATTAGCCTCCACCCCCTTTCTCCCCCTCTTTCTACCAAAGAACAATCATTAAAGTTAGCCTACCATGAACATGAAACTCACCACCACCGGTATATATAGATCTCCAAATCGATCCAAGACCCACCCTGGCACCGTTTCATCTAGCGCTAATATCCAGACAGACAATGTCGGCAAAGTCGACGACCACTTAAAGAAGCTGCTGGACAATTACCGACCGGACCTGAAACCCTACGAAGATATTTACCGCCAAATCCATAAAAACCCTGAACTGTCAGGCCAAGAAGAACAAACTGCTAAAATAGCATTCGACCATCTCCATACGCTCGGCTTCGAAGTCCACCCCAATGTTGGCGGCCACGGCGTCGCTGCCGTCCTCCACAATGGTCCAGGCCCTAAGATCCTCCTACGGGCGGATATGGACGCTCTTCCATTGGAGGAAAAGACAGGTCTTCCCTACGCGAGTACCCGCACGGTAAAGGATGCACAGGGAAACCGGTTCCCAGTTATGCATGCTTGCGGGCACGACACTCACGTCGCCAGCTTGATGGCCGCATCCACTCTCCTACATGCCGCGCGCGACCACTGGAGCGGAACAATTGTCTGCATTTTCCAGCCTGCGGAGGAGGCTCTAGGTGGGGCGCGCGCGATGCTAGATGATGGGTTGTATGAGAAGGTCCCGAAGCCGGATCTCGTGCTTGCGCAGCATGTCACGCGAATGCGGGCTGGGACTGTCAATCTCCGCGCGGGACGGTTACTCACCGCAGCCGATGCTTTTGAAGTGAGAATCTTCGGGCGGGGAGGACATGGGTCTGCGCCGCAGACGACAATCGATCCCATTGTTATCGGGGCGTCGGTTGTGATGAAGTTGCAGACTATTGTGTCGAGGGAGGTGACGCCGGGTGAATTGGCGGTTGTTACTTGTGGTAGTATTAATGCTGGGAATTCGTCGAATGTTATTCCCGATCATCTGGATCTGCAGTTTAGTGTGAGGACATTTGATAAGGAGGTGAGGAAGCGGGTTCATGCTGCTATTCATCGAATTGTTGAGGCTGAGTGCCTCGCTGGGGGTGCGGTTGAGAAACCCATCGTGAAGCTTACATCGTCTTGTCCGGCGACGATCAATGATAAGGAGTCTGTTGATGCTCTTCGGGAGACATTTCATTCATATTTCCAGGACCAGCTTGTTGACATGGAGCGCCCGAGTGCTAGTGAGGACTTCACGCTTTTGGCGACGGAGGCTGGGGCTCCTTATGTGATGTGGATGTTTGGAGGGATTGATGAGAAAACATGGGACGATGCTGTTGAGAAGGGGGCTGTCAATGAGTTGCCTATGAACCACTCGCCTTTCTTTGCGCCAAAGATTGAGCCGACTTTGCGGACGGGTGTGGATGCTTTTGCTTTGGGTGCCTTGACATTTTTACAGCGAAAGTAGTTTCTTTCATAAGGAATATATGGATATAAATTAAACATTGATGGAGATTTTTTGGTAAAAGAGCGCCGATTATGAATTTATAAGAGCTCCAGGCATTGGGGATCCATCGCCCCCGCATATTTAGTATGTGGGTCGCTCGAGACGAGGGACTGCCCCCGAGACGGTTCTTGTGTTGATCCCCCGCACACCATATCTACATTCATTCCCCCTCAAATCACTCACCCTATATACTTTTCTCTATTGAAACCAACATTTTCCCGATTTATCCATAATCTCAGAATGGCCGCGTTACCAGCTTGGGGTTTGCTTGCAGGCAAGACAGCCGCTATTACCGGCGGCACCACAGGAATTGGACGAGCGATTGTGTTGGCATACATTACCCAAGGATGCAACGTTGCTGTCAACCATCTAGGACTATCAAAGGACGAAAGCCATCGACACAGCCTCCTGGAAGAAGCCAAGGCAATTGAGCGGAAGGGCATCAACACAGGGAGGATCCTCGAGATTTCTGGTGATGTGACAAGCCCACAGACCAGTGAAGACCTTATCAAGGCCGCGGTATCTCAATGGGGTAAGCTGGATATCTTCGTTGCCAATGCAGGAGTTTTCAAGCAAGCCGAGTTTCTCAAGTATGACCAATGCAGAACGTTTTCTTTCATGAGAGTGCTGCTGACACCCATAGAATCCAGCCCTCACTACTAGACCACAGTGTCGATGTCAACATCAAAGGCACGTTTTACTCATGCCAGGCCGCTGCTCGCCAAATGGTAAAGCAGGGACATGGCGGTTCGATCATTGGCATTTCCTCCGTCAGCGCTCTCCTAGGTGGTGGACTTCAAACGCATTATACTCCTACCAAAGCTGCGGTCCTATCAATGATGCAGTCCATGGCCATTTCGCTGGGCAAGGACCAGATTAGATGCAATGCGTTGATGCCGGGGACAATCGCTACTCAGCTAGCCGATCATGATATGAAAAACCCGACCAAGAAGGCTGCACTCGAGGCGCGAATCCCGCTTGGTCGCATCGGGGATCCGAACGATATGGCAGGTCCGGCTGTATTTTTGGCTTGTGAGGAAATGAGCAGATATGTCAATGCAACAGGGGTCCTGGCAGATGGTGGAATGTTTAGTAATTTACAATGATCGGGGGAGGAGCGCTATTTAGTGAAAGGTCCTGTGCTTAGAAGCCCTACCAGGAAAAGAACAGTCACCTTGAACGATTGGTTAATTCCCAAACAGTTGATATGAGTGGTAGCCAGATCTTCCAAGGTTCCGGCTCAAGCTAAAGCGTAGTATATGCCTTTCAAACGAAAGCGGGAGATGCAAGAATGTAAGAGGCCAGCTGAATATTTGTTTAGCGAAGAGTATTATGAAAATTTTGCTCCAGGACGTCCGGACATAAACAGTAAACCAATGGACATTATACATTTCAAATCTTTTAGAATAGTATGGACCATACAGATATTTCATGCTTTCCCTGCTGAGCCAGAAATTTCCATCCATTTGATCGTCAGATCCGCCACCTTCTGAATACCTTCCTCAATAAGCTGAGTATGCGGCATTTTCGCCACATTCGCCCTGAGATGGTCATAATAATCATCCAAGACTAGTTTGTTAACGTTTATTTTGGTAACGCCAGCAGCAACACATTGCTTCATCAGGTCGGGAGCAAACCCATTGGTACCATGAAGAGCAAGCTGAACTCGACCATTTGCCTGAACACGAATATTCTCGAACCTGGCCACATCAGGCAAGTTAATAAATGACTCCGGAAGTGAAAAGCACTGCTTCAGGATACTCACCTTTTCAAGTCAAGCTGAGGTCCCTCGGGCCCATATTCACCATGAACATTACCAAATGCAGGCGCGAGCACATCCACGCCTGTACCAACAAACTCATTCACCTCCTCGGCAGTTGTCATACACGCCTCAAGCCCCGCCGTATCCATGACCCCATCTTCTCCACCCTCGATACGACCAGGCTCCGCTTCAGTCACCTTGTGACGTGCGTTGCAGTATTGCACCAGCTCGCGTGTTTTCGCCAAGTTGTCCTCTTTATCATAATGCGACATGTCAACCATTATACTGTCGAAGGGAAGATCTGCAGCTTTCTTGATTATTTCTTCGGACTGCGCGTGATCGAGGTGGATGCTGATAGGAACGGTTGCCCGTTTCGCGGCGTCTGCAGCGGTGCGTACTAGCAAGCCGTCCGTTGCTTGGATAGCCCACGGGAAGAATTGAATGATGAGTGGTGAGCGGGCTCTCTCGGCAGCGCGGACTAAGCCCAGGACTTGCTCCATGTTATAGGCTATTGCGGCGATGACGCCGTAATGGCCTGCTGCCGCATTGCGCAGGATTGAAAGGTGTTTATTTGTGTCTTTCCAAGACATGTTTGGTGAATTTGGAGTTAGTGTCTCAAGAACAATGAAGATAAGAGGAAAGGGTATTATTTTTATTTTAACAGGAGATTTGAGAAATTGCAATGGGCCTAAAGTATACTGACTGTGTAGTGGTGCCCTGGAACATTGGGTGGATAACATTCTGCCTCGAGACGAGGATTTGAAGTGGCCCCACCATCGTCATCGCCATCGGCCTTTCTCCGAGAGGAAGCTTGCGCCCATATACCTCTTCGCGAACCCTAATTAGAAAGGCTAGTTCTACAGCACCGAACATGGCTTAACATGGATCCGAATCCAATGAAGAGCTGACTGGTCCCACTACAACATGCTTCCAACTTTCGATCGATGCCAGATTAACGATCAGAGGAAAAGTGTTGGTCAAAATATAAAATCGTTCATCATAATATACTACATAAACCATTTCGAAACTGAAGATGGTCGAGGACAATCCCATAGCTGTTGTAGCTCCAGCCCTAGCGGGCTAGCTGGCCAACCGCTGCGCTGCCGACAGGAAACCAAAAGCGCCAATATGGCTTCACGGGCATCTTTGTCTTGTGTGAACAAGCCAGCTGAAGTTTGGTTAGCTCTACACCAATCAATCTTGGCAGTTAATAACCACATACCGATGAACAAAGCCTGTGATGACATCACGCTAGATGCACTATCCTTGAGTGTCATGGCAATGCCACAAATATCCTCAATATATCGTTTGATCATACTCTGTCGTGTCGTATACTGCTCCAATCCTCCAATACTCGGTTCATGGGCTAGTAATAAGATATGCGACACGCTAAAGAACTGAACTGCTACAGCTGTATGATTTCTTAGTCTATAACTCCGAGGTTGGTCTAAAAGATGAGACTCAAACGTACCAAAAGCAGGTGGACTGATCCATATTGGTTTAAAGCAAGATGAGGTCTCCCGTGGCCCCAAAGGCAAAGGCGAGAACTCAATTGTTAGGTGCTGTTGCCAGTCATCTAACATTCCGCGAAGTCTATTCGCTTCGTCCATACGACTTTGTATAGTGGTTTCAGTAGTAGCGTCAGCACAGAAGCTGATAACCTTTGCAGCGTGATATATCGCCCGATTGGCGAGTTCGTGTGGTAGTAGCACAGGAAGCGGTTTTTGAGGGACCCAGAAGGTAAGTGTCTTTCGTTGCTCGCGAAAGGCAGCCCAAATATCCTGACATAGCCATGCCCACCAGACCGCAGAGTGAAGTCCACCTGATTCCCCATGGATGGTTTGAGAGCGTTGAATTAGAAAAACCCCTTCAAGGTGCCTCTCCCAGCCGTTGGTTGAGTTGTCAAGCATCTCGTAAGCGGAGATGATCAGGGTGGTAGCGAGAAGTTCCAGGCTTGTCTTGTAGGTAGGATATTGCATGGCCCTATGCACGTAGTGTAGAGTCTGATAATAGTATTGCACGGTAGCATCCTCTTTTTCGGGAATGTTTTGGGTATCTTGGTGGGGGTTCAAGGCCAGATGTCGTAGCGCAAGTGCCAGTATAGCATTCAAAAGCCCGGCATTGTGAATCTAGATCATATTACGTAAGTCTTGATTCAATTAAACAATATACCATTGAAATTTTTTTGCATACCGCTAAGTGAGCAACAAAAGTAGAAAACTGATTTGTTGGATCAAAAAGGTCGATCTAAGAGAACATGTTAGATCATCATTCTCAACACCTACCCCCATGGGCTAGTGTTTGACTCACCCAGGAGCTGACATGTTGTACGAAATGCACAAATAGTACTTGCTCATTGGCCAGTAGCTCAATTGGATCTCGCGAATGCCAGATCTCTCCTTCTGCGAGGGCGGCCCTTTCAAATGTACCAGGATCAATAGGGTCATAAATTCCATTGCTGGCAGGAGGGCTGTCTAGGACTTGGGTTGCGCGCTGAAGTGAGCTAGGATCGTTAGTGCCATTGCTAGATTTTTCAAGAAGCAGGCCTTCAGTCTCCCAAGAATTGGGAATAATTGATTGTTGAGGACTGTCCTTGGCGACATCACTGGTCAGCAGCCCAAACCACCGCACAGCTGCAACAGCCGCATTGGTTGGAGAAAGCTGATTATTTTGAAAGATGATTGGACTAGAGATTCCAAGGACGTCACTTCCTGGATCCTGGTCATTCACTCCGCCTGGGTGAGGGTTATCGTTCAGGTCTGGGCTAGTCCAGCCTGCAGGCGGTATTTCATGCGGCTCAAACGGGGCTAAATCTGGTATAACTGCACTCGAGATTTCACGACTAGTCTGAGGTGATCCATTTTGTTGGATAATAGAGGCGGGAGTCTCGTCATTCGCACTTTCGGGGGTCCAAATTGCCTTCGGACCATCAGCTGGGTTGGCATATTCACAGATCTTGTCCTTGTTCACACAAGGGCCGCATATAGGCTTTCCCTCATCGCACTTGAGGTGTCGCCTCCTACATGTTATGCTGTGCTCAGATTAGGCAAGCCCAACCACTTTTGAGCATGCAGCAAGAGTCGCTCACCATCCGTTTGTTGTGCGCAGGCCACGGCCTCGGGACTTCCGTATACGTATCCGTCGAGACGAGGATTTTGGAGCCATTATTGACATCCCTTGCGTCCAAGTAGTGTAGGGACTATCATAGTCAAGAACCGGATCCATTCTGGTTGTTTGCACCAAGGCAGCTGGTCTCCGTCTCGGGGACCTGGGAAGTGGAGACATGATGCTATTCCCCGCCTTCCCCGCGTCTGGATCCACGCGTTGGCTTTTATTCGCCCATTCTTTATGTGTGTGTCTTTTTGTGGGTTTTAATGAATCAAAATTTATTGTTCAAATGTTCAAAATCAAGTTGTTTCATTGGCATTGCGTGCCTAAATTGCAAAGTCGCGTCCTTCTCTTGTTAAATGAATGTGTCTGTGGTATGCTACCCACCTATGGAGGTCCCCAAACTTCACCTAGCGGCGCTTCTCAAAATTGATCCAGCATTCATGTTCCTGTCATGATATTTAATAGATGTTTGAGCGACTGGTGTTGACATTGTTGACCTACCTCCATTTTGGGCAGAGTCTCATCGTAGAAAACTTCGAAGCGACTCGTAATTCCCGGGCTGACCCCTTTCTGCTTCTCGTACTCACTGGTTGTGTAATCTCGATAGATAGCCGCCAGTAAGGTTGTCATCTCAGCCATGGCAAGACTAGATGAACTTAAGATATCATTCTTTTGGAGGGGGATATGAGAGAATACATACTGCAATCCAATGCACATCCGACCTCCGCTTGAAAAAGCCCAGAACCACTTCTTCATTTCAGTGAGATCACCACACTCTCCAAGCCAGCGTTCCGGTTTGAACATCAACGGATCTGGGAATACCTCTTCATTCCGATGAAGCGTATAAGGCGACATACTGACAACCGTCCTGGCCGGGATTGTATATCCATCGATCATGGTGTCAACGGGAAGGGAACGTGGCTCCGAAGCTGGCAATGGCGCATAGAGTCGAAGGGTTTCTTTGATGATGGCCCCAAGGTATGGTAGTTTATCTGCAGCCTCAACAGTGGGAATGCCATCGTCATTACACTCCGTCTCCGGTATGCTAGTAACCTCTTCGATCAGCCTCTGCTGATACGCCCCGTTCTGACCTCGGGACAAGGCCCAAATAGCGAACATCAAAGTGTCGCTTGTTGTATCAATACCGGCTAAGCAGTGGTCGGCCATCTCAGAAGCCATTTCAGGGCTACCCAGGCAACGTGTTTCTCCCGCGTTCGTACTCTCCCACAACTTTTGTATGAGAGACAGGGCTGGGCCGGGAGGCTTCCTGAAAAGAACAGAAATATCAAATCTGTTGGTCGACATGAGAGCATGGGCTCTAATACCAGTATAAGTGGTAGGACTTTTCATAGGAAACAATCCCAAGCTTTGAATTAGCTTTTCAGTAAAGCCACTTCTGCCGTAGAGCCATTTCGTGTAGGCACGCAAGTGCACCACAAACCAGCTTAGCTTCCGTCTGCTCGGATCAATAATATCATCTAGGAGCTCTCTGTGCTTCTTGTTCCCAGTAAGAGCATTGGTTCCACTGTATTCAAGTTTATCTCCGTATAGGAAACCAGTGATGGTGTCAAGACTGAACCAATGCAAACTCTGGAATATCTCCTCGGATACTCCTTTCTCACGGTCCAAGAGATCCAAGTAGCTCTTCACGTTTTTCTCAATCAGTGGCTTCGCTATTGCCTGTGGTGACAATATGACGCTTTTCGAGTAGGCATGAGCCAAGAGCTTCTTTCTTTCGGCGTGCTTGTTGACTTCAGCAAAGGTGAACAGATTTTGACAACCAAAAACATCAAACATTCTGTAGAAGTCCGTTCGCTCAAATCCTGAGCCAGCGCCGTAGATAGTCTTCAGAGCGGAAAGAGAGGAAAATGACACCTCGTTTGGGCCAACACGAACAGCAGTGCCATAGCTTTGGTGCAAAGCGTGAATAGTCTGCGTTCTGACACCCTTGAAGTCTTCGTACGCAAGCCGCCACTTGGTTGTAGCAAATGACTTGGATCCTGGAATCTTACGCAACGGTGTTGCGTAAAGCTTGTAGATAATCTGGCAGAGGATTGTAATGAGGACCAGCACACCTGCCACAGAAGGCGCATTGAAGGCCGAAGTTTCGACATCTATCCTAAGTCAGTCAGAAATTCACTTGTGTTCGTAAATGCTGTCCGGTACTCACGATTGAAAGAAGGCAAGGCCATATTGTCTCTGAGCGAAGAATATCAATCTTGAAAAGTGTGTTATAGAAGCCAGTTGTTTATTGAAAAGTAAGAAGATCCGGGATGGATGATCGGGTTTTTATAGCCTGGGAACCTGGGGACCTACTGACTTTCGATCAGACCTGCCCGTGCGGGGGAAACTGTTACAGCGCATTTCATATCACATCACATCAAATCACAATGCAAGAATAGCTCTTGGTTCGGGAAAGATGATGGTAGTTCGCAAAACGGCCTCTCCATGGCCCTTTGTACCATTCCCTTATCGTCCTAGCGCTATCAAGATGCGACAAATAGTGGTTCACAAAATAGCCCCGCAATTGTTGGCTCCTGGTGCCTACCCTTTTCGGCCTTTGACCATTCCTTTTCTATCTTAGCGCTATCATGAGGCGATGAATCGTGGCGCCAAAAACTAAATTGACTCGTGGTGCCATTCCTGTTTGGTCCAAGAGCATTCTCTTGATGCGACAAATAGTAGCTCGCGAATTAGCTCCGCAACAGTTGGCTCCTGGTACATTCCTCTTTCGTTTAGAAGTGCTACATCGATTCTTGATGCTATTCCTTCTCAGTTCTAGCGCTGTCATGATGCGACATATGTTACGTAGTAGCTCGTACGAAAATCCCGCAATAATGAATCCCTCTTCGCTTCAAAAACACTTTTTTGATGCGACAAAAAAGTAGCCTAGCCTTGTGATAGGCCCTTGATACCATCACTTATCGGCGATGACGCTAAGTCGATATGGTCGGGTTGTCCGAATCCAAATGAGCTTGGCGAGAATGATCTAACACTCAAACCCTCATAGTAAGACCTTATCCGAATATCATATATATGCCAGTTGTAAGACCTCTTGTGTGAGAGACAGTCAACTATTTACGGAATATTCCCCTTTCCCTTTTTTCTTATCACGTCAAAGCATAGCACACTGCTCAAAAATGGCCCCCACAGCATCTCCAGCCCCCGCTTTGCAGTCCATTATTCCAGTCACCAGAAAAGGCGATGTCGACGCCATGGCTTCCATGGCCCACAGAGGCAGAGCCTTGCCCGGAATACCCAATTTCGACTCACATGCCGAAAAGCGTCAATGGCAGTTGGAGCACATGGCGTGCGCGTTTCGTGTTTTTGCCCGTGAGGGCTACGCGGAGGGAATATCGGGGCATATCAGCGTGCGAGACCCTGAATTCGAAGATCAATTCTGGATAAATCCTCTCGGTGTCCACTTCGGCATGTTGAAGGCGAGCGACATGATTTGCGTCAACTTAGATGGCGATGTTGTTGGTGGCAATCTGGATGGCTCAATCAATGCTGCTGGCTTCCAAATTCATAGTTCGGTGCACCGATCGCGGAAGGACGTCCATGCCATATGTCATACTCATTCTATCCATGGTCGAGCATGGTCTGCATTAGCGAAACCTCTTGAAATGATCAACCAAGATGTCTGTTATTTTTACAAGGCTCACTCCGTGTACTCTGACTATGGTGGGATTGCCAATGAGGCTTCTGAAGGACAACGTATTGCTCAAAGTCTGGGAGACGGCAAAGCTGTTATCCTGATGAATCATGGGTTGTTGACTGTGGGTGAGACGGTTGATGAGGCGGCGTACCTTTTCTGCTTGATGGAGAGAAGCTGCAAAGTGCAGTTACTTGCCGACCAGACGGGACTTGAGAAGCAAATTGTGAGCGATGAAGAAGCTGCTTATAATTTTAAGATGGCAAGCACACCGGTAAGAGTGGCCCTGCTGCCCGAAGTGGGAGCCTTTTACTAACGGATTGTAGGAGTGTCTTTATACCGAATTCCAACCACATTACAAGTATGAAGAGCACCTGTCTAATGGGAGCTTCAAGGACTAGTCAATATTTAGTGTAGGGGAAGTTATTGTCCCACCAATAGACGTGATTTTTTTCCCTGTAGTCATCACCTTCCAAAAATTCATTTTCTTTTCAACTTCCATGCTCGCTGTAACTGTCGTCTTCAGAAATATTGTTTAATTGCAGTAGTTTTCCAACTACTTCCAATACTTCCATTTTAGGTACATAGTTTTTGTCGTTATTTGTTCCCTTGACCTGACCCGGAATTTTGGTACCCTAAGGAGGATAATCATAGTAGAACGGTCGGAAGCTACCCAAGCGCATCGTGGTTGTACCCCTGCGTACCTTTTTTCGGGTGGGGAAAATCTACAAGATGGCTATTTGTCGGTCCAGCCGATCTCCAAGATTTCAAGATAAGACGTTGGCTGCTTTAAACGCAAGATAGCGGATGGCCCGATGTGATGATAAACATCTTGAATTTGTATGGCCGATTCAATCTATTCCGAACATCCCTTTCACCATCTATATTTGTATGCAGGGTTGTTGTTTGTTTTAACATTCTTGGCGATGGCGAAGGTGTTGAGAGGGGAATCTAGGTTAACAAATTGATAAGAGCGTCTTGGCATGTGGCTTTAGCATTTGCTTGCTGAACAAAGAGACGCGCAGGAGCAAGAATATATTATTTAAATATGAGTAAAGATCTTCCCTTATTGACTCGGAACGGAAAAATACCATTTTTGACAACAAAGTTGGAACATGCCGGTCTCCAAGTATCCTGAAAAGGACCCAATATCAACGACTGAAAGCGACCAGTCAACCGGAGACAGCGAAGATGCTACCGGCACCATTTCCAACATAACTGCAGGCTCGCAGGCTTTGCATCGCAAGCTTCGAGGTAGAGAGGTCCAGCTTTTTGCCATTGGTGGTGCGATAGGTACCTGTAAGTTGGAGCTCTCCACAATTTCTTATCGAAGATATTGACCAGACCTGCAGCACTCTATGTCCAGATGGGGCAGGCTCTACCTGAAGGAGGACCGGCTGGTCTCTTCATTGCCTTCCTCATATGGGGTATTGTCATGTGGGCCGTGAATGAATGCTTCGCTGAGATGGTGACTTATCTGCCTATTGCATCTCCCTTCGTCCGCTTTGGCAGCGAGTGGGTTGATGACGCGTTGGGTTTCGCGATGGCGTGGAACTTCTTTCTCAATGAAGCATTTCTCGTACCCTTCGAACTTGTCGCCATGAACATAATGATTACCTTCTGGACAGACAAGGTACCGGTCGAGGCTATCATAGTTGTGATGATTGTCCTTTACGCACTCCTCAACATGGTCAGTGTGCGATTTTTCGGTATCGCGGAATTTTATTTGTCAATATTTAAAGTTCTGCTTATGATCGGCCTGTTTTTCTTTACCTTTGTTACTATGCTTGGGGGAAATCCGTTGCATGACCGTTATGGATTCCGATACTGGGATGACCCTGGCGCATTTGTGGAACATCTTGCTTCTGGGGGAACGGGGAGGTTTCTTGGCATTTTATCATGTCTCTACCAGGCCAGCTTCTCGTGAGTATCTTCATCCCTTCAGTCAGAGATATTACTAACGACGACAGAATCTGTGGCCCGGAGTATATTTCTATCGTGGCTGCCGAGGCTGAGAACCCTCGAAAGGTTTTACCACCAGCATTCCGATCATTTGTCTGGCGTATGCTTGTCTTTTTTGTTGGTTCAGCTCTATGCATGGGGATTGTCATTCCATACAACGATCCAACGCTCTCGGCCATCCTCGGCGGGGACGTGTCTGGGTCAGGCACAGGTGCCGCATCGTGAGTTCCACTCAAAACGATGACCAACTCGAGTGGCTATTCATTCTAATTATCTATAAGACCATATGTCATTGCGATGGAGCGTCTCAAAATTTCTGGCCTTCCTCACCTGGTCAACGCTCTCATCATGACATCCATTTTCAGTGCCGGAAATGGTCTTCTTTTTACATCGACCCGCACACTATACGGAATGTCCCTCGCAGGCCATGCACCTCGTTTCTTCTCAAAATGTACCAAAGGAGGCGTACCCATACTTGCTCTGGCTTTCACGCTTTGCTTCTGCCTTCTTGCATTCCTGCAGGTCAACAGTTCCTCTGCAGAGGTCATGACCTATCTAGTTGACCTAGTCACATGTTGCCAACTAATGAACTATGGCTTCACCGCGCTAACATATCGACACTTTTTCTCGGCTTTATCAAAACAAGGCATATCTCGAGATACTCTTCCATACAAGGGAAGATTCCAGCCTTATACATCCTATTTGGCCATGGGTGGTACATCATTCATGCTCTTGGCAGGAGGATATGATCTCTTTTTGAAAGGCGGCTGGTCCGTGATGTGGTTCTTTCTGGACTATGGTATGATCGGGTTCTTCATCGTCGCATTTGTCGGTTGGAAGTTGGTTTTCAGAACAAAGTATGTGCGACCTGGGTCCGCCGATCTAAGTCTAGGTGGGCTCAAGGAGGAGATTGATAGCTACGAAACTATCCATGGCACTGATCGACCGACGAATTCGGGAGTGCTGCACAAATTATTCGGTTGATTTGCTGCACCAATATTGAGTTGAATAGGATTCTAATTCTATTCTCGAATAAATGCTATCGCCAAAAGCTCGATCCGGAGCTGAACATATCATCTCCAGGATGCGACTATTCTATAATTTGTTCTCTAGGGAGCCCAAGGTTGGCTAAAACATTCATCGGGCCAACCTCTTTCCATGCATTTAGCTGTTTCTCATTCTCCAGATAAACGGAGCCGACCATTGCCGCCGAGTTGGCAGTAATCCCATGAAACAGCTTTTCTTTCCTGGGTATTACCATCATCCATCGTTTGGTCAACACAAAGTTATGAGGACACGGGTCACTTTCTGGCAAATGAAGTGATTCTCGCGCCTGTTGCAACAGCCGCAAATAGATCTCTAGCACTTGATCGATGTCTTTGACAAATCCATCTGGCAAATCTCCAAATTTTTGCAGGAAATAAACAAACCCGGGTGGGCCTTGTTCCGGCACCGAATCATAATCCGGGAAGAACTTGAAACCCTCCCCGTATCCATCATGAGCCCCGGGGGCAGGAACCACTTGTAAATGCTTATGTGCCCGACTAGACCCAGACAAGACACCACAATTAAAGAAAAGATAATGCTCCTCCTTCATTTCGCAGATCATCCCCCATCCCGCATCCAAGTCCTCGCGATCAAGCGACTCGTGTTGTCTCCGATACGAGTCCACAGTCAGCAAAAGAAGCATAGGACGGAAGACCGGAAATTTGTTGATCACAAGATAATGGGTTCCATTAACAATGGTGATACAGACATCAGGGTGATCTCTGGCTAGATCGCTGCCGGGGCCAAAGGTTCCCGCATGAGGGTCCGACGCGTCCGAGTTCAAAAGTTGGAACTTGTCATCAGCCTGGGGTTTATTTTTCAAAGTCTGGACTATGTGAAAGCAGAACTAAGATTGATTAGTAGGTGGAATGGGTCAGAGTCATGTGGTCTAGACTCACGATCATGCCTTTGTCGGCAACAAGAACCGGTTTGCTGGGTTGATAAGCAATGATCCCGGCAGATACCAGTCGGTCGAACTTGGCGCATATCTCCGCATGACTGAGAAGACCAATTGGCATGGTGAGTATGACTGGTCGTTGCCCGGGTGAAGGAATACGAAGTTCGTTCCAGATGATCTGGATGGTCTAGTCCGGTTCTAAAGAGGGATCTACATAACTAAGGCAGGAAGAACGCGGTCAACAATAAGCGACGATCACGCGACCGAGCCCCGCGTAAGGTTAAGGTTGCTTTAACCGTGGAATTAGGTCCCACTTGACAGCCATTGAAATGCACGTTAAGTGCATTCTAAGTGCATGTTTATTCAAAGTTTTGTGGTAACTCATCCCGGGCGAAATAGCAACTTATTTATTTTCGTGGCTCTCAAAGGCCACTGATCCTGAGGCTAGAGGAAGGTACCCACCAATGCCCGTACCTGACCTGACTGACGAATATAAACGCTCATGGCAATCACACGCATGGGAGAAATCTTTCAATTGGCTGAATTAAAGCAGCCAATAGCCGTGTGGCTGGGAATTTGGACAATTAGTGCTTACAAGATTTGCCTATCAGCCCTGCTTTTAGTCTAGTTATTGCCGACGCACAAATCAAACTTTCCCACATCTCGTGTTGTCGCGCCAAAGTGACCGCCACTCTTTGGGATGCGGGTTTTTGCCTTAAATGCGACAGCAACCGAGTCTCCATTAGCCATATGGCCACAGAAACTGGCAATGTGAGGCTTTATTAGTGAATATAGATACTGCAGGGGACAACTACGCCAAATAACATGCTCAATTTCCTCCCTGACATACCCGTTCAATACTAAGTGTTGTGAGAAACAATATTTGTGGTTTAGCACAAATACTGAAATCAATTCAACCACAAGCTGGAACCTAGCGAATACATTGCCGACCTCGGAACAGTGGAACATCGAATCTCTTTCTCGAGATTGAGAAAAGATTTTCAATATCATGTCTCAAGACCCTCTGAGCCAAGCGGAAACGGGAGATCTGATCAAGTTTTCACGACTCGAGGCTTCTCTTGTGAATGCTACCGTTGAACCGCGCCCGAATTCAAAGTCACAGAACGATGTTGACCGACATGCCCAGAAATCTGACCTCGGCGTCAATGAACTGGATTTTGATTTTGAACTTGACACTAACCACTACCCACTGGGGAATCTTCGTTCTCTCCAACAAGTTTTTGACGCGGTGCAGTACAATCACCATCTAAGGAATGGGGACAACTTCTCCTCTGAAACTTGTATAAAATGTCTCACAGTTGATAAACAAGGCGGAGGTATGAACAGGTGCCTCATAGGTTTACTGGAATAAATTTTTGATGATAATAGAGTGGCAAACATTGGACCATAATGGCATGAACAATCTTCTGCAGGTATGTTCGTTTCTAGAGGCTATACCTAGAGTCCGCTCTAACAACCTCCAGCATTATGACCCCTCAGCTGGACGCAAATTGCTTGTCTTGTGAGCTATCCTCTCTAACACTTGGAGACAGTTCTGACTGGCCTAGTTTCGTGCCTCTGGTACCTGCCCAAGCCGAAGGGACTTCATTTGGGTCACGGGCTTTGATAACTCGGGAGAATGCGGATAATCTCATGAAGACCTTGAACATCAACCCGGCCTTCCTGCTCAATCTGATTGGCCGGCCCGATTACTGGGCACCTCAAAAGCACATGGAGGCAGATAACAATGGGAGATTGGTTGCCTGCGGTCAGACAACTAGACACCGATCGAAGAAAAATACTGATTATGGATTTAGATTTGTTCTGTCAACATCCTCGCTGGAACTTGCACGTCCAGGGATCTCCCACCTCCGTTTACATGCGGCACGATATTAAACGTGACTTGACGACATACATCATCTCACACAAAGAACTCGATACCTCCATCAAGACACTCCAGTCTCTTCTAAGTATTGCACTAGATACCGCCTCGAATACCCAGAAGGCTGCCGTATTGATGGACGATCCCTTCGACATACATGTCATTCTATCCAATCTCTCCTTTGAAGCTTCAAAATATCACGTCAAGCGATTCCAGCGATTCATGTGGACACAAATCAACAAAGTTGATGACCACCTTGCCGGCCTCGAGACTAGTGATCGTGAAAAACTGGGAGATTTAACCAAACAACTCCAGATCATCTCCAAGAATGCAGACTCGCATATTGCAAATGCAGATGTAGCCATAATCACAGCGACAGCTATCCGAGATGTCCACTATCGTCTCCTCACTTCACTTCCGCAGTCCAATCCTTTTATACTGCAGCGAGTTGAGGATTCGATATCCTATATTATCTCGTCAATGGAGAAGCAGAAGATCTGGTTTTTGAACTACAAGCAACGCAAAGACAGCACGATGTCTCTGGTCTACAACCTCGTGACACAGCAGGATGCGGCGAACAATATTCAGATATCGCATAGCATGAAGCAAGACTCTACGTCTATGAATGCGATCGCCGCTCTGACTATGATTTTTCTACCTGGTACCTTTGCTGGTACCCTTGTCGGTGCTGGTGTATTCGGAGGAGCGATAGGAGAAAAGGTGTGGCTTATTTGGGCTGCTATCACCATTCCTCTGACGTTACTGGTAATGTTATGCTGGTGGCTATATCAGAAGATGAAACATCCCATGGTCTTAGGAATGTCAATCTTACGTGACAAAGAAAAGTCCAAATCGCAAGTGGACATGAGACCTAGGCGGTTTAGCACATTTTCCTTTCGGAGTACGAGGACGCAAAAGGAGATGTAATAGCATGAAATATATTCCTCCGAAGGTTCCTATACAGTAATCGGATATGACTGGAATCACTTGAAGCCATTACAGAACCCATCCTTCATCTGTCATCTTATTCCTGGTCCACTCTTCCAACATCTCTGCAAGCTTGTCATCCTTTGCAGCAGCGCTCTGCCACCAAGGCTCCCCAAACCGACGGAAGATTTCGAGATACGCGCCACTCTGCTCTGCCTTCATATCTATACTTGCCACACAGAACAAACTAGTCCACGATCCTTTATCGGCAGGCAACATGAATCCAAGCATGCGTAGCACCGAGAAAACGCCCAACATACCGGATCCTGACTCCCCCACCGACGTGGCGAGGTTCGTCTCAACCAAACCAGGATGTACGGACGAAACCCAGATGTCGCCCTCGACTTTCTGAGCACTGAGAGAACCTGGACCATATCTCTTATGCAGGGTCTTAGTGTACAGAATATTAGCAAGCTTGCTCTGTCCGTACCGCGACCACGGGCTGCTATTCTTCAGCGATAAGTCCTTGAAATTGATGCCACCTTTGGGTGCACCCAAATGACCCGATGAGGTGAGATTGACAATGCGCACGCTTCCGGGAGGAAGCGTCTTTGAGGTCCGCAGCATTAGAGGAATCAGCTGCTCTGTGAAAGCCCAGTGCGCGAGGTAGTTGGTTTGCCACTGGGCTTCGTGGCCATTTTTGGTTATTTCAAAGGGCGTTGCCATGATTCCTGCGTTGTTGACCAGACCGTGCAGGGCCGTTTCGAGGGTGAGGAAGTGCTTGGCTGCTTTGATGACGCTGGCAAGGTCCATGAGGTCCATTTGTAGGAGATCGATGTTGGCTGAAGGGTATATTCTCTTGATGTTGGCAATGGCTGCTGTGCCCTTCTCGAAAGATCGAGCGCCTATGTATACGTGGGCGCCATGCTCGGCTAGGTGGGCTACGGTATAGTAGCCTCTATTAGGTAAGGTCAACAGATTACTTCAAGGGCAGAGGGCATAGGGGAGATTTACATGCCAGAATTACCACCTGTGACTATGAAGACTTTGCCATCGAGATCTGGGAGGGTTTCGGGATGAAATGTCATGTCAAAAGCGAGTATTTAAGTCAATGTGTGAAGCTGTGATGTTAAGAAACAGATGGTTCAATGCCTCAGGCTGGTCTCGGAGTTGATGGCACAAAAAGATAGGTTGCAACTAGGATGATGCTAGGATATTTATATTGCTTTCTTCAAATATCTTCCGCGATTTCTGCATCCTGAATGTTATCAGAGTATCAGCTTTCGTGAAGCTGCATGATCCTTGGGCCAACTACGCCACATTCAACTTTGGCATACTGAATAGGTGAGCCAATGGGAGCATTTCGTGGGAGTTGATCCTGGTTTTCGTTGTGAGCAGGTTGCATGACGCTAGACCTACTAGAGTTAGACACTGTAGCAGTGACCAATAACAGTATGCTACCCTTCTCAACCCCGCTCTGTCTGCGCCTCTGCTGCGAGATACTCGAGTGTGAGACTTGTATTTGTGAGCAGACTGCATAGAGCATTTTTGTCGTCCCAAAATAATTTACATCATTGAACAGAAATCTCATAATCCGCTATCATGATTAGTGCGTATCAGCCAACCAATGCAACGACAACACGCATTCAACTCGCTTCGATGCCACAATTGGCCGAGGTTTGCACCAAGCCGCATTCAGTCATCAAGACGACGGGATTTGCTCACTGTATATAGGCGACAACCAAGCAAGATGACTGGACTGGAACCAAAGATGCCGCAGCACGCAGACGGGCACAGACTAGACTCAGCACAAGGGCATACCGTAAGTGAGGTCTTATTTTCTACATATTCTAAGTCAGGAGTGAGAACCTCCAACATATTGAAACTAAAAGCTTGATAGGAAAACGCAAAGCCCTAGCAAGCAAGGCCGCAGCGCCCAATTCCACCGCTAGGGCAATGACTAAATCAGAAGCGCTAGTAGATTGCTGGGATATCGATCACCAATCAGTCTGCACAGTCCCGGCATCCCGTATCAAACAACTGTACAATTCAAGAGATCCCTTGCTACCGAAAAATCCTAGAAAGGAGAAGCTTGAGATCCTATTCCCTCTTTGTCCAGACCACCTCATCACACTCCTCCAGTACAACGCCCTCCGCGCCCTAGCCGTCAACCGCTCTCTCATCTCGGGCATCCTCGTCACGCCACTCGACTGCGATAAGGAAATTATCCACGTCGTCCCTTATCCTACCAAGCCCGGACTAGTCCCTTCAGCGCTTTTGCCCACCACCCTTCAACAAACGGTGCCACACGGCGACTGGATCGACCTCTTCCCGAGTCCCGAGGGACGAGATCGCTTGATACGGGCCATCGGGGCCTTCGATGAGGACGAGCTGTGGGCTGACTGTATTGGCGGACTATACGAGGGATTTCCAGACGATGAGATCAAGCGACGCGGCATCATTGCATGGTCGCCACCCTGGGATATTACAGGATGGGAGATGTCGGAAGGATTTCTGAAGAAGTGGGGTTGGATATTTCAAGGTTTGCCAGGAGCGTTAGAGGCGACGAATCGATGGCGGATACAGAGATGCGAGGAGCCGCTTATTCGTGAAGACTGCACAGCACATGCAATTATGTGATATTTCTGTTCTCTAGCTGCTGCTTCGCTACCACGAGGGGTAGGTAGCATCACAGAAGATCTGATATTATATACTATGTCTGGTCAATATATCATCAACAATGTCTTCTGCATCATCGCTCTCTGATAAGGCCTCAACCTCTTCGCCCACTTCTGGTTCTTCTTCGGCCTGTTGACCCACTTCTTGCTCCTCTTCTTCAATATTCCCACTAATTTCTTCCCTCTCTTCACCCACCGCCGTCCGATTGGAAGGATTGGAACTTTCAATTTTGCCTGCCTGAGCTTTGTTGTTTGATTTCTGTTCCGTATCCCCCTGCTCTTGCTTTCGGTCTTGCTTTCGTTGCCTAAAAAAGGGTATACTCTGTCTGATCCACGACATGAATCCACTGTTCTGTTGTGGCAGGGACTTTTTGCGGCTTCGTCGTTTCGAAGTCTTTTTGCGAACATAGATGATTCTATCTTTCTTTGGGTCGTTTACCTTCGCCTTGGGGTCAATAGCCTCGGCCTTTGGCGTGACTTTAGTTACTTGAGTCGTCACTTGAGTCTTATTATCCTCTCGCGGCCGTCGTGTATGACGCAACCGTCGGGTATGAGCAAATAGCTCTTCTTGAAAATCCTCAGTGATCCAAGTCTTGATTATGAGGTAGTGGGGATCACTCTTTTGAGCAGCAGGGATTAGTGTTGAAACAGCGATGTGACAGCACGCAAAGAACTTATACTTACCTGGTCCCAGTCCCACGGTAAGCCAAATGAAATTAGTGTTTCTGGAGAAAGGTGCTTCTTATGAACCTGATTTTCAATTTGTTAGTGGTCACTGAAACATTGTAGAATCTCATGTCTTCATACTTTAATCCAAGTTGTCCGTGCACCTTTCTGTGACTCATCTTTTGCTCCCTCTTCTATTTCTGACTTCTTTGTCTCCTCTTTCAATTGCGGGGCTGGTTGAGGCACCTTGCTCATGATTATTGTTAGGGTCCTGGCCCTGGAAGTCTCAATACCTTGAACAAGAGTACGGTAATCGCCGAATTGGATCCACTCGAGTATTCCTTCATCCGGAATGGTCCCGTCACTGCTGTTTCTCGTGGCATCTAGTGCTTCAAATTCATTGTTCTGCAGAGCAGCCAGCTGGTCCAGAACCGTCTTATTTGAAGCCCTCTTCCACTCTTGGAGCTGCGATTCGATCGTCAGATTCTGGAGATTGATAATGCGAGCATCGTAGGATATGTGAAGTTGTCGGTCTGTAATAGATACTCTTGGGGAGACAAGATAGATCTTGAAAACATGCAAGGGCGGTTGGTCAAATATCTCGGACGCAGATCGTGTTGGTTGTCTCGAGAGTGGTATTCTGGAAGCGACAAGGCTTAGTATATCTCTGATATATCGTTCCGCCAAAAGCGATCTTACCCTATGCTAGAACACTCTTTTCGGGTGGAATTTGATCCACCGTTCCTTGGGTAGACTCAGTACCTTATGTTAGCATGCTTATAGAAGCACATACCTAGGTTGTTCGTTGTGAATTTGATTCTCTATGTTGGAATCTGAATCCCTGCCCCACTAGTGTTAATTTTGCTAAGCGAATCCATGGCAGAGGATATGCACATACTTTCCCGCATGATCTGCCGTACCATTCAATTCAGTATGCACAGATGGCAGAATTCTCTTGGAGGCCCTCAAATATTGAGACAATGGTGGTCGCTCTTCTTCCAATGATTCTCTAACGGATTCAACATTGGAGGCTTCCGTATCTTCCTTTCCAGGACTGCCTATCTGGGATTCCTGGGCTGCAACAATAGACTGAACCAGCAACTCCTGCTCCTCTCTAGAGAAGGCAACAATATCCGTGCTAGGCTGGCTTTCACCATTTCTGATCATGTTGGCAGGAGACCTCAAAAGATTACACGGGGAAGAGTAGAAATTACTCACGACTCCAACATACTCCTCGAATAGACCAGCATAGCGACCTGAAGCATCAAGATCAATTTCCCCTTGATATTCCTAAGCTCAAAATGCATGGTGACGATCTCCGGGAAGAGAACCGGCAATTCAAATGTCTCCGCGCTCTTGACCTTATCCGACGTTTCGGAGTTTTCATGCAGCTGCTGGCTGGCTTTGTGCAAGGACTGGTTTAGCAACTCGAAGATCGTTTCTCCTTGTCTTGCTAGGCCAATGACTTTTTCTAGCCCAGGTGCAATAAATATGCTTTTTTTTGAAATTGTCGTATCGATATCGTGTACCCATGCAATATTCTTATTGGTATTGCTGTAGCCATTATCGTCTGATACCCCTTTGTACTCTATATTCTGCTTCACCAATTCGCCCAGTTGCTTCAGGATGTTGGCAATTAACGATACATCTTCGGCGACGATGCCAATTTGCTCTGGCGCTATCTTGACCTGTCCCGCAAAAGTCATGAGCTTCAAGGAACATTGCAAACCGGCTGTTGCGATTCCGAGGATGACGGAAGCAGCGCCAACGGCTTCCATTATTCACAGATGAATTGAACGCTCAACTCAGAACTCTTGGAAAGCAGAAAGGGGTCGAAGCCTGAGTATGCAGGTGCGGCTGAAGAGCGGGGCAACAACTGCCGAGGTAAGGAGATATTAAGGACTTCAGGATCTACAGGGACTCCGGCCCCCACACAGTACAAGCTTCTGGAAACGCTGATTCTGCTGCACGAAGAGCGCATATTTACGGCTTACCAACTGAGCAGCTTGGGTGGAAGATTGACACATTTGTTCCTGAGATGGAAATTATCCGACAGCCAGGGGATATGCGACTTGGAAATAATGGGAGTAATCGGGGCACAGGTTGCTCATTTGACTAAAGGGCTTTCAAGGAACCGAGAGTAAGCAAAATATCAATGCATTTAGCTCGATAATCATATGTGATGTATAAAGTTAGTGTTTCCTGGTTCGGTATACGGGTAACCATCGGATCGGAAACTCTGAAAACCGGACAAGTCCATCGGAACTGGATGACATCATAAGCAGCTAAACGTTTAAATCAGATATATATACCCCGCCGCTTTACGGTTAATCCGTGCTATCAGGATCAATTGGAAAGGGTCTCAACGATCTTATCATCAACGTTGCAACACACAGACCGCGTGGGATTTATTACTTGCCCCGCATCTACCCAGTTACGCATCACGCAACCTAGAAATCCCACCGAGCACATCATGTCCACCGTCAGCAAATTCAGCAAGCTACCTCGCTGGATTAATCGACCATTGCAATGTCCATACGAGGTGAGTAAACTCTCGCCGTGAATTTTCTTGACACGACACGAAGTTGAATGGTTCTCCAGGGTGCCACAGTGCTTCAGACCTCGCGTTTCAACAAAGGAACCTCCTATCCTAGTGAGGAAAGAGATGCATTTAAGCTACATGGGCTACTGCCACCTAATGTCCAAACTCTCGATGAGCAGGTGCAGCGAGCATACCAACAATATAGTAGCCGAGGCGATGACCTGGCCAAGAACACTTTTATGGCTAGCATGAAAGCACAGAATGAAGTGCTGTACTTCAGGGTATGCACTCTACACCGAGACTTTAATCATCGCGGAGCTTGGCTTCAAGTGCGGAATCTAACATTTGCCATTAGCTGCTACAAACCCATCTCAAGGAGATGTTTAGTATTATCTATACCCCGACTGAGGGTGACGCAATTGAGAACTATTCGCGACTGTTCAGGAAGCCCGAGGGATGCTTTCTGAATATTCGGGATCAACACTCCATTGAAAGCCACTTATCACAGTTCGGAAATGAGGAGGATATCGATTACATTGTCGTCAGTGACGGAGAGGAGGTACGTTCATATTTACTTTCATATTTACTTCTGCATAGAGAATACCCAGTGCTAAAGATAGCAGATTCTGGGAATCGGAGACCAGGGTGTCGGTGGTATCCTTATCTCTGTGGCCAAACTTGTGATCACTACTCTCTGTGCTGGTATTCACCCGGCCCGGCAACTTCCAGTGGTCCTCGACTGTGGAACAAACGTAAGAATTAACAATGAGATGAGAGCATCGTCGCCGCATGTGCTGATTCAAGTCCTAGAACGAAGGATTGCTGAAAGACGAGTTGTACCTGGGACTTCGTCAACATCGAGCTCGAGGCAAAGAATACGACGAGTTTGTGGATCGCTTCGTTCAGAGTGCTCGTAAGCGTTTCCCAAGAGCCTACATTCACTTGTAAGTGCATCGTATCCACTGATTCTTTTCTGTTGCTAGATGCTAAACGAAGATAGTGAAGATTTTGGGCTTTCCAATGCTAAGCGAATCCTGGACAAATATCAATCCCAGATTCCTTGCTTCAATGATGATATTCAAGGTACTGGATGCGTGACACTCGCTGCCATGATGGCGGCTTTACATGTCAGCCAAGTCCCGATGGAGGACGTCCGCGTGGTCATTTTTGGCTCAGGTACAGCTGGTACAGGAATCGCAGATCAGATTGCCGATACTATTGCGACTGAGACTCACAGGCCAAAAGATGAGGCTTCAAAGCAGATCTGGTATGTCAAAAATCTCAAATGAAGCTTGATAGGACTAACGCGAATCTTTTCAGGTGTATCGACAAACCAGGCCTTCTCTTTAAGTCCATGGCCGACAAATTGACCCCAGCCCAAACACCATTTGCCCGAGAGGATAGCGAGTGGCCAGAAGGCAAACAGAATGACCTACTATCAGTCATCCAAAACGTCAAGCCCCATGTACTGATTGGCACGTCCACTAAACCTGGAGCATTCACGGAAGAATTTATCCGAGAAATGGCCAAACACGTGGAAAGACCAATCGTGTTTCCATTGAGCAACCCGACTCGCCTTCACGAAGCTCAGCCAAAGGATCTCTACGAATGGACAGACGGTCGAGCACTAGTTGCAACAGGCAGTCCTTTCCCACCTGTAGAGTTTGGTGGTGCAAAATATGACATTGCGGAATGCAACAATTCCACTTGCTTCCCTGGAATTGGACTTGGTGCAGTCCTCTCACGCAGCCGACTTGTTTCGAAGAAGATGCTTGTTGCAGCGGTGGAGGCACTTAAGGCATGCTCTCCGGCACTAGAGGATCCGAACAAGCCCCTCTTACCTGACGTGGAAGATGTTCGAGAGATCAGTGTGGACATTGCGGCTGCTGTGATTAAATGTTCTGTTGACGAAGGTCTTGCGCAGGAAGAGGGGATTCCATCTGAGGACACTGAGCTTAGGGAATGGATCCGGGCGCAGATGTGGGAGGCTGTGTATCGACCTCTCGTAAAGCCGTAGCTTGATCATGTCTACTCCGTGGATTTGTTATGCTATACATTACCTTTCCATTGAACATAACCAATTGAAGCCTTGAAATCAACCGAATAATCTGTAATCGGAGTAGAACCTAAGAGCAATAAAGCCGCAGTCAAACTAGAAAGATTATACCAATCTTCAAACAAGAAAATGCTCGTATCAAGCCTCGAACAACGGGCTACATGGAGGCCGGATGGAATTTTGTTCCTTAGTAGAGCCCTTGAGGAAGAAAAATATAACTTGTTTCTTTTAGTTGTTTGAGTTGGGTTGGTCTCCTTCCTACTCTTCTTCATGCCCGTCTTTTTACAGTTCATAATGATCTCGACTTACGTCTTTGGTGAATCAAGTACAAAAGTGAGTAGATTTGTTCCAATGTGTTATATTCTAAGTAAGTGAAATAGAAGCATTGACAGCCGAATCCAAAATGTGGTCATAAAACAATAGATAGAATGCAATTTCTCGATACATGGTCATCACGGAACCCATAGCCGCATGAAACCACCAACTTCTTGACGACAAGTAACACAGCTACCAAAGTTATTCATTGCTAGGCTGACTCGACAGTCCTCGCAGATACAAAGACAGCGACATGGCCAGGTAATGATAGACCGAGGGCTTGTCTGACAGACTACACAAGGTGGTCCGTTCGGGCCCAAGCCCATTGCGCCCTCCTCCCAACTGTGGGTGTCGGCGGTAGGAGCAGTTTCAGAGCGCCGAGAGATGATCAACCTTTCAAGCATCTCAGTTTCTTCCTCGGGGGTTGGTTTGCGCTTTTCAGCCGTCGACTTGGAGCCGACATGATGTAAACGGGAAGAAAGCAGCACCCGAGATCTATCGCGTTCTACCTGCTTCTGATACTGGCTGCGAGTCATAATGCGATTTCCTTGTCCAGGAGTGAGATGGGCTGCAAGGATACGGGCTTCTTCTCTGCTTTCACGATCACGGGGATCAAGAAGACGAGCGAATGTATCCAAATCCATATGCGAATCTTGTAAGGGTGAAGTCTCGCGAGAGAAACCAGGATTCGGATTGGATTGAGTGGGGGTCCGGCGACCATCCGACGGATAGTCTTCCCATTCAGACTCCGATGCATTGGTGGAAAACGAGATGACACTTGTCAGGTCATCCTCAAACACCGGGGGTCTGTAATCGGGGGTGTGGTCTTGGTTGCCCCAGGATCCACCAGCCTTCCACCACCCATACATCTTATCGTCCAGTCGACTCTCATCGAGAAGTTCCCACTGCTGTCTTCCAGAGCTCTCCTGCTTTCTCATTTCTAATTCGACGTCAAAATCATGATTCTCAGGAAGTTGAAGCACTCCTTCATCGGTAAGGATCCAAAAGTCTAATGATTCCGCGGAAGAGGATTTCGCAGACTTTCGATTCTTCCGTGATCCAGCCAATCGTTTCAACCATTGTGGCCGAGCACGGATACCGAACCTGTCAAGCACTCGGCTGAAGCCACAGGCAATCCAACGCGCGATTAGCCAGAAGATAGCACGGAAGAACGATATACCATGCCAAAGTCGGACAGAAGACCGAACAGCACCCACACCTCCTAATTCAGCTTGAGACTGTGTCGTTCGTGAGCCATTTTTAGGCTTCTCGATCTTCTTCTCTCGACCATATCCGCTTTCCCAGGTTGAAGCATCGTCTGGCAGCTCGAAACTAGCGAACCTCGCAGGGTCAAAGGGCGTCGTTCCCACGTTATGGCTTTCCCAGTTCCCACGTGAAGCGTTACGTTTTCGGGAGGCTTCGATCTCGGCAAGTCGGTCCTGTTCAAGCCAAGTCATCTGTCTCGCGATCACTGCCTTGCCTTCATTCAAGAACACTGCTTCGCTCGCTGCCGTTAAAGCCACATATCCAACACGTAGCAGAGTGGTATAGAAGTCTTCATGGCGATTGAAACGAATGTTGCGAATCTGGCTGGCCCCCTGCATATTTTCGTTCGCCACCATGAATTTCTCTCGAAGGGAGAGAGTATGGTTTTCCTCCGGTGACAACGAAAAAGCGGTGATGGTCAGGGCCAATCCATAGATTGCCACACATATGATGACCCCGAATAGAACAAGTAGATGAGGAATAAACCCAACAATGCAGACAGTTGGGAATTTGAGCACACCTGTGTCGAGACTTACAGGAGGGCCCGCCTCCAACCCCCAGCACATGGCGGCCATGAAGCAAGCCCCCCAGAATGCGGTATTTGCAAGACGGTATCGACTTTGCTTGCCAAAGACTTCAAGGACATGCGAAGTCAAACTGTTGCAGCATGATATCAACACAATAAGTAACAGTTCCGGAGTGACATTCATGCGCTCCAGCACTTGCGCTCTAGTCAGAAGCTGAAGAGGCGAGGTCGCGCTATCTCCAGTTCCACCCTGGGTAAGAGGATTCTGTTTCGCAAGGCCAAACATACCAAGCCCAATGGATTTGCTAATCATAGATTCGGCTTCGGCAAAGGCCAGGGAGTGCTCGAAGATCGACATGCCTGTCTCAGTCATGACAGGACGTCCTTGTAACGCGCAAGAAAGTGTTTCCACAAAATGGCTGAGGCATAAGATAATGAAAACTGGCCATAGAAGCGCGAAAGACCCGTATGGAATGGCGGGAGCGTTGGCCGTTCGTGCCATCCTTACAGCGCTGCAAGCTTGTTCGTCGGATTCCCAGGGTAGGAGACTTGAAGCAAACCAATGCAGAGAGCCTCCACTACTCGCGTAGTCAAATATCAACGGTTTGCCTGGCCTGCCATATCGCATTGCCGCAAAGTCTGGAGATGTTTGGCACCGGATTCCGCGTGTCAATGTCAAAATTTGTGAGAGGAAAAGGACGATGGGAACAATGCGCAGGGCAAGGCGTCTCTGCCAGCCCAGTTGCAGATGGCGCCGCGTGGATGCGTATATCGTGATACGATTCAGGATCAAGGCCTGTAGCAGTTATTAGTGGAAGCCATGTAAAGCTGTAGAGAAAGGTCGCGGTTACCTCCACCAAGCAGGCGAATGACCAGATGCTTGTTAGATACCCAAAAAAGCCACCGACCTTCCGCATCGTTGACGTGAGCTCTGCAAGGTACCAGTTTTCCACTTGTTCTACCACTTCGGGGGCACCGGCCGCGATCTCAGCGGCAGCGTTCATAGCCTCGTGTGCGATATCCTGTCCAGCCACTGGTGCAGCAGTTGGCCACAGATTCAAATGTATATCCTCAATCCCAGCCATTCGGGCGATATGTCGTGGAACCGTACTGAAAGCGAATGTTTCGGCATGATGCAGAGCGCGGAGAGGAAGAGAGAGTAGTTCGCGTGGTGAAGGGAGAAGGGTATGTCCGGTAGTCTGGGAAATGGTTGAGTTAATCGCCTGCGCCACGGAAGCAGGCGAAGTGCTCGGCATCGATGCTGGGCCTAAAACACCAGACATGGTGGGCTGATGTCAAGGGGTTCCCTATCAGTAATCACTATCAACAAGATCCGGGGAAGTCGGAACGCTATGGGGAAAACCCCACGCGACGCTCGATATCAACAGGTTGAATGTGCGATAGATTCAGAACTATGGGGAAAATCAGAGGCCACATTCAAGATCATAGCGAGCATAGCTCCTGCTGACTGTAGACCGATCAAGAGGGGAAGAAGTATTGGGGTCGCTACTTCCTTCAAGCCGGGCACCTCCTCCGGATGAGTCAGCAGATGGGGACAAGCCATGAAATTCATGTACAGGTTTTTTGAGCCTCGGCTGTCAATGAAAAGGTAAAGAGGACGAATGGAGGCTTCATACGCTTAAATATCTGACTTGGATTCCGGAGATACGTCTAAGAATTAGTATGATTTCTTCTGAGATTTGGTCGGCCCAGATCATACTTCATGTCAATCAATAATATCAAACTCTACATTCACTAGCACTAAACAATGTATCCCGCAAATCCCAAAGCCACATATATAACAAAGCCCAAGCCCATATTCAAAGAACTAAAGGCAAAAAATGGTGGGAGTAGTTGATCTGCCATCCATTTTAGACAATTCGGCCACGGTGCGTAGCAGGCTCGAATGTTTTGATGCTTGGATGGCTAAGTGGTTGCCACATAATGCATCGCGAGGTTTGTGAAAAGAAAAAAAAGTAATCATGCAAGTTACTATGTATATTCGACCATTAACAGTAAATGCTGTAGCGAAAAACGCCAGGTTCAATGTGTCCCAGACAGCCCATAACTCCTTGGAAGCTCATCACGGAGATATTTTTCGCTTTTCTCGTTGCGTCATAATTCATTGTAAATGTAAGGAATTCGATCACTGCCAAACGCCTTCCATCAATTCCGGCGCCATAGTAAGGAGGAGTAGACAATTATAACATACACCTCAATGCGCGGACACTCAAGTGTCCAGGTAATCGGCTGCCATCAGGAGCTCTAGGCACAGCTCAGCAGGAACATCCATATCAGCCACATTGGCCTGATCCTTGTGCTTCTCGTTGTAAAGGAAATATTCGCAGACTTTCTCAAGGACGACCCCGCTGCACAAAATGGTTATTAACACGGACAAGATCTGGCGGGTTGGGGTCGCAACCGCGAACAAACCTCAGATTCTCAAGTACACAACGACCGGTGATAGCTTCTGAAAATTTGCCTATAACACAGAGGAAGATTAGCAGATATTTAGGCGTCATGAACATAGATTGACATACTCGAAGGGTCCAGCATGCGCCGGATTGTACCCGAAACGCAAGCAGAACTGCGGGGCAGAATGAATTCAAAGCCATCGCACGAGACTAAAGTCACGTACTCGGATTGAGTAGAGGATTCCATGGTGGTGAGGCGCGTCTCGCGTAGATGACGGAGGTGAGTGGCAGCTTGAGAAGATACATTTGTCGCAGGGTCCGTGCTCTGCGCTAAGGATAAGAGATAACCGATAAGACGATAACGATGTGCGCGTCTGGTTCCATCTAAGGTTGTTCGTGATTCTATGGAAACACAAGTCAAGATGAACCGCACCGCATTTTTGAATCGTCTTAGAAGCCCAGCGAAACTCTCATGTTACACAGGCTATTACAATAATATCAGGCCTAATATCCTGATCACAGCAGGGGCAAAACTCAGCTCCCGGTCTCTATCCTCAGCTCAGTCTAACAATGATACCCCAGTTACCTTTCAGCCTGCAAGCCGACTCTCTGGCCGAACGTGTATGATAACAGGTGGAACATCAGGTATTGGCTTTGCCATTGCAGACCGATTCTTGCAAGAAGGAGTGTCGTCAATCATTCTCGTCGGCAGGTCTCGGGAGCGTCTAGAAGCAGCAGCCACGAATCTCCGCTCTCCGGATAAAGTACGACTCCTCGTCGGAGATGTAGCAGAAGCCGGGACATGGATGCGTGAGCTTGAAAAAGAAATGGTGAGCATCAGATTAAGAATACTTCGTTCTCGTTCAAATGAAAGCTAAACAACAGTACAGACCAATGTGGATATCCTTGTCAACGCCGCAGGAATCTCTGTTACAAATATCCTCCCCCGATCCGAGCTAGAGGATATCTCCAAGATCCTGCGCACAAATCTCGAAGGCGCCATACTGACTTCACGAGCATTGATGCGTGCCGCAATTCGCAGCCGCGTGCGCAACCGAAATGCCGCAGAGGGAGAGAAAAAGCCTTCTTCTAAATGTATCATCAACATCTCCTCATTGTTAGCCCTCAAGGCAGGAACGGGCGCTGTGCCTTATGCTGCATCAAAGGCTGGCCTTTTGGGATTGACCCGGTCGCTGGCTGTTGAGGCATCGGCTTCGTTGAAGGATGTTGTGATCCGGTCCAATGCTATTCTCCCAGGGTACATTGAGACTCCTATGATCGCAGGTACGTCTACAGACTTTTTCCCCTATCCATGATACACATTGCTGATTTACCTGTCTAGACTTCACACCCGGTGAAGTCGGGAGACTGAACGATATCATACCTCTTCATCGATTCGGGAAACCGAGTGAAGTGGCCGATGCGGCTGTCTTCCTAGCGCAAAACGAATATGCCAATAATTGTGTGCTCAACCTTGATGGCGGGTTAAGTGCAGTCTGATCAGCTTTCTTCACGCGAATCAACATCCTGATGTTGTTAGGGCGTGCATTATACCCGTGGACTACTTCGGGCAAGATATTCTACCCAGGTGCAAGCGAGCTTTGCCCTGGGTGACCATCTGCCACCCCACGTCTGTGTACAATAAAACTTCTTTGTAACAATGCTATTTCTAGAATTCGTATGACGTAGACAACCAGCTAAATGTTTCTATGCTCCGATATATAGTGTGCCTTTAAGCTGGTATAGAGATGACCGTTATAAAATCATTAAATCCTTTCTCAATCAAGCATGACTTACTCTGATGCGATATAATACAGGAGGGGTGACAATATGGGTAATAAAGTCCAAAACTATTAAAAACAAAATCAATCAAACAGTGTGCCATGAACTTCTATTTCTTTTTCAGGAAACAGGCTGCGCCTTTGTGTGAAGCTGAAGGGCTTACTTCTTAGTCGTCGATCAAGATAGCACCTTCGTCTTCTATAATGATGGGCTCGCTGTTGTTCCCATTGGACGTTGACTCGCCGGCGACCTTTTTGGCGAGGTGTCCATTCGTCAAGTCATCATCTTCGGCTTCCCGCTTTCGCTTTCCAGTTGAAGAGGCACCGTTTGTCGTCAGTGCATCTTCGGAAGCAGGCTGTATTGCTGACTTTGGTTTACGTGGGATGTTTACGATCTCTTTCAGCACGGCAGGCTTGACTTCTTCAGTGGCCGGCTCCGTTCTATATCACAGTCACTTAGCTTCAAGCCTTCAAACATTTTCGCACGGCGTGTAGCTCACCTTTCATTGATAAAAAGCTCCAAGTTCACGCGAGGATCTTGGTCCTGATCATCTTCATCGACGACAGTGATCCACGAGTCCTTTCTGATTCCAAGCTCCGAGAGTTTCTTGGGGAGATTGTCTTCAAGATCAGGATCGTATATGACACCAGACTCTTTGAGAATGGAGAGCTCCTCGCCGTAGCCTAGCTCTGATCGAAGTACTCCCTCGACAATGTCGTTAAGAGTTACTTGTTCAGGATCGACAAGGACCTGCGCATGCACCGCTGAACAAACGCCGCAATCCGGTCTTGGGGGATTCAAAGAATCAGAGTTGATGGCGCGCGCGCCAGATCTCTCGAGGAAAACCTAAAGGAAAAAACACCACAGTCAACAACGGAGCGAAGGCGTCAGTGAGGGGCTGGGAATAATACCATTTTTGAATTTGCGAGGTCACCTTGGAGCACTTTGAAAGCCTGGAGCACACAAAGTCCGGCCGTCATGGCATTTGTTGTGGCAATAGCGGGTATAATGTTGCCAGCCATTTCTGTGACACTTGTTAGAAGCTTGAATGGGCTACCTCATTGGTTCGAACTCACGCTTAGTATCAAATTTAGATTTAGGTTCAATATCGAAAATCGCGGCGCGCAAGATAGCCGTTGCGGTCACGAAATCCAACGTGTCAGTATCATCTTTGTCAAACTCTATGATTGGAGCAGGGCCTTCGGATGATGCAGTTTTCTGGAGCTCTTTAAGGCGCTTGCTCAAGCGGTCCAGGCTGTCTCGGATTAGTCAAAGAAGAACGCACTATTTAGAAGTAAAGCTCACCTGTCCTTGAACACGAAAAAGGCTTCTGGCTCTGTCCACTCCCTCTGATCGATGTCGACGATTGTAGGTTCCACGGACTTGGACTGCTCCTGAAGCTGGTCCCAGTCAAGGATCTCTGGAGCTTTGCGCTCTTTCCACATGCCCTCCATTCCACGCAGCTCTTCAATGTCTATTCTGAATACCTTGTCAAAAACCTTGTGTGGGAACTCTTCCGAGCCCATTGAATCGCGAATTTCTTGGAGCTGCTGCGCTTGTTGCTTCAGTTTTGCGATTTCATCGGCTATTTATCGATTAGCATCGGCTATGAAAAGCTCTCATGGACAGGTCAGTCTGGACTGACCATTGTCTGCGGTTGTTTCATTGTCAAAGCCCTCTGGGTTGTCTTCACTATCTCCAAACAACTCACTATATGCAGGGTCAAAAAAACTGAATGTCCACAAGTCTTTCAGGCTATCTTACGGCAATAGATAGCTTTTACCCCACACGATGCAGTGGATTGGCTGAGTCGGCGAACTGCGGATTGTGCAGATTGGATGCGCTTTAGGGGTCTCTTTGGGGTTGCAATCATAGCACTCAGTCGCTCCCTACTTAAGTCAGCAATGCTCTTTCTCGAAGCTACATTGTCTGCCTCTGGTTGTTATTAGTTACCTTCTCAATGACCTGCACCTGGCCGTTAAAGCCTGTGGTACCACTCTCGATCAAGGGAACAGCTGCAGCAAGACACATATGATTCACATGGCGTCGCGCAGCGAGGTTGTCAAGCGCATTGAAGACTAGGTTGAATGATTGAAACCACTCCACGTTGAACCGCTTGTCCATGACGTTGGCATGGTAGGCCTCTAGCTTGGCCTTCGGCTGAAACTTATGCGCAACCTCCTTCGCAACCTAAATGAGCAACCAGTTTTGTCAGAACCTTATCCGATGTAAATGCGCACATCGTGCATGTTGTGCGCAGCGGGAGCTGTTCAAGGAAAGGGCATCGGAGGGGAATCGAAGGGACCGACGCACCAGAGCCTTTGGTTTCTTGATGTGTTCATGTCGGAAAAGGAATTGGCGGTTGAGGTTACTCAGGTCGATGGTGTCAAGGTCGATAATATGGATTTCGCCGAAGCCCGTCAAGACGAGGTTTTTGAGGAGCTCGCATCCAATGCCGCCGGCGCCAACCAGCAACACGCGCGACTAGTAAAAGAAAATGGCATCAGTATCTGATCGCTTTCAATCATTTTGACTTCACTCTTTCCAAGAAATTTCATTGCCCAAAGATCCCTTACCTCTTGAATAGTGCGCGTGAGGTCAACACCGAGCGAACGCTTGATCGAGCTTTCTGGCATCTCGGGCGCAGAGTTGAGTATGAGGTTCTCTCTGGATGATTTCAAGAGTAGTCGCGGATCAAATGGAACATATCGATCACGCGAGAACAAAGGAAAATGAGGAGGAGAGGGTGGATGAGGAGAACAGAAAGTAGGGCGCGTGGGATCCGGAACCAGAGGCCGAGACGAGGTCTTGACTGTCGATGATGGCAGAGCTTCGCCCGCCAACTCCGCAGCCACCCCAAATCCTTTATCCTTATCTATGGCACTTATTTCCATTTTTTTTGCTATGTTTCGTTCTTCTGAACATATCATCTTGTTTTTATTATAGAATTCTCTTCTACAATTGTTTTCTCTTTGTCCAATTGCCTTCGCATTCCATGCAGCCTGTTTGCGGCTGTGTACAAGACCTTGCATCCCCGCTTGTTCTATTTGCCTGGGATTTCCAATTGGATGAAAGAATGATGGTTGCTAGGTTTGGTTATGTTTGATGTCTTTGTCCAGCCTGAATTCGAATCAAACACGAGGCTGGTCTGGGTTGAATGGTAGTTCTCATAGTCTATTGGGCGGAATTGGCTAGTGCCATGGTTATATATTCCTCTCTGCATTACAGGTTAATGATTCCATACGATCTCAGGATTGGACCTCGGCAGCAGTCCAGGCTAATTTACCAGGCAACATAAACAATCTTGGAAGGCATCAATAAAACCCCGCCAGGCTTTAAACGAGAAAATGCGTACAACCATAAATTAAGAGCTTATCTTCATCCTCAGCCTCAATCGTGCCCCTGCTTACATAATATGTGTTTCTATCCAAAAATTGATGGATTTTCTCCGTGGCGAAAAGATAGAACCTTCCCATCTCTCGGTTTTCCATATTCAGAGTGATTGGGATCCATATTTCGCATATTTAACTCTCTCCATCGCAGCATTTGGCCAAGTTTTCCTGCGTGGGTGGATAAATTGGTCCCCAGTTGACCCTTCCTATTGTGCATCTGGTCCCTGTCGCACCCCAGGAGTTATAGGGGATACCCCAACAATAACATCCGGATAACCCATCCGTCTCACATAATCATTGAAAAATCACCGCAAAATCCTCAAAATGCCTTCGCTGGAACCAATTCAGCCCAGAACCCAGCCTATCGATTCAGGCTCCGAGGACGAAGCGGACCCTGAACTGGTGGAGCTGCTTCGCCAACATTACGGGCTGAGCGGTAAGCCGAACAAAGGTGCCCCGCCAGAGACGAAAGTGCTGGAGAATGCTCAGTATGTCTTTGATAATGCCATTGATGTGGCCCTCAGCTTGACCCACACCAAAGATGCAGCTGAGACGATATGGCGTATGATGCAGAAGAAAGCATACTCTACGCAGACTTGGTCAGAGCATGAGCTGCACCCACAGGCTAAGGATGAGAGTACTGTAGATTTCATCTTCACAATGGATCTGTTGAATTTCAGTTTTTGGTCTGAGCACAAGGATGAGGAACGCTTTGCGATCGAGTATCGTGGGCAGAAGTGGACTGGATATTGGAGCTTGGTTGCTGCACTTCAAAGAGCGCTTGATGAAGGTATGAGATCCGGAAATATTTTTCATTTCTATTCTGAGAAGCAAGGCTGACTGTTCAACCCACAGGTATTCCTATCACCACTCCCGACTTCTGGGTGAACGAGTCAGAATGTACAGAGGAAGTTCTCCGACATGTCTTCCGGTCTGCAACGGATGAGGAGATTCCTCTCTTTCAAGAGCGAGTGCAGTGCTTGCGCGAGGCTGGTGATGTCCTGTGTAACGTATGTTCTCTTGTTCTTTTTTCAACCTTTTACAATATCTAACGTAGATAATTATCAGGAATTTGGAGGCAGCTTTGCAAACTGCATTGATAGCGCCAACTTCTCCGCCGCAGGCCTTGTGAACTTGATCACGGAGAGTTTCGACTGTTTCCGCGATGAGACAGTCTTCCACGGCAAACGGGTGCGCCTGTACAAGCGAGCCCAGATTTTGGTCGCGGACCTTTGGGCCTGCTTCAATGGCGAGGATTTCGGAGAGTTTAACGACATTGACAAGATCACCATGTTTGCAGGTACAGTTATTATCTCAAAACATCCCAGTCAATTGTTAACAATGTTGTACAGACTACCGTATCCCGCAGATGCTGCACCAACTTGGATGTCTCCGCTACTCCCCCCATTGGAAAACCATATTCGTAGCCTGAAGCCATTGACGCCAGGCTCGACATGGGAAGTTGAGCTTCGTGGAACCAGTATCTGGTGTGTGGAGCTGATCAAGCGTGAGATTGAGAAGCGGCATCCGGAGGTCAAGGCCGCTGGCAAGTCTGACAAGACCGATGACATTGAGAATGAGACCCCCGAAACGATAACTGAAATCGATGAGAAGCCACACAGAACCTACGGAATCAATGCGATCCTCATTGACTTCTTCCTGTACGATACGATGAAGAATCTGGAGGCAGAGCACAACGAGGGTATTCCTCACCATCGGACACGGAGCATTTGGTATTAAGGCTTGTTTTAGCATGGCGTCAATGGTATCGTTGGGGCAGCATTTCTGGATTGTCATTCGTGCTTCCTGGGTCGATTGAATATGGCTCTGGTAGTCCCGGGTTTGGGTCAAAAGCAAGCAGATAGATTCGGTTGGTTTTACTGGCATGTTTGGCGAATGCACATACTTACAGTGGCGTTGCATGAATTTGAAACCCCCTCCCTTCATTACATAATATTCTGCCATGTTTCCTGCCAGCCAGAACCTCACATTCTCCAGTAGCTAAATGGGCCCAGTGCAAATTGAATGTTCATGAGAACATTCCTAATAGCGTATCACATGTGATTTGTATACAAGAATCGTGTTGTGACCGGTGCTCTAGTTTTGGTCAGCACACTGCGTATTGATAGGCGGTAAGCTATATATAGTAGGCGGTCTGAAAGGCTGGTTTCAAATTCATGCAACGCCACTGTAGACCATCCATTGATAGTGAATCAAGGTATAGAATGCATAATTATTACTCATTTCATCATGAAGGGTATCAATCTAGTCCTACTTGCTCCATATTACAAACGGACAAAGCTCAGACAGCCGCAAGTTCCGCCTTACTCGGTCCACTCTCAATACGGCCGAGCATCTCGGCTTTCCAGTCGAGAAAGTCTTCGCGGCGGTCCTCACTGAGCCAGTCGACGCGATCCTGCATCATAGTTCCAAGGCCCGGTAAAAGACCACCGTGAGTGGCATTATTGGACCGAGATCCTTTCTTAGACCCGCCAGTCTCATCGTTGCGCTTAGGTAGTTTGACACCTCTGAAAGCCGCATCCTCTTCGTCAAGATTGCGAAACGAATTACCTTCCTCGTCCTCGCCGTCCAACTCTCCTGCAAGTGGAATGTTCTCAAACCACTCCTGATCATTTGCCCAGCCTTGCTCCATGATCAAACCGATCCAATGATCGACATCATCGCGGTGACGCCTGTCATTAGGAAGACCGAGACTAGTCAGGGCTGTCTGACGCATCTCAGTGAAAGTTTTCTTATCCATTTTCTGGCCTTCGCTTGCTATTTCACCATCTGCTGATGCAGCCGGGTTTCGTCGACGAGCCAAGACAAGAAAGTATACAGCAACGACCATGGCGTATACAAGCTCCTTGAAATCATCATCGTTGTTTGCATTAGTAATCGACACAATTGGCTCTAGGAAATCTAGAGTCTCTTCATCAATCCCCTCTTCATTACTGGACATGCTGGACGTCAAGTAGAGGATAGACGAGACACCAGCAAAAATGTGAGGTGGAAGAGTTCTCGAGATTGGAGGCCGGGACCAGGTGGTCGTGCGTGGTGCTGGAGTCGAGAGTGTCTTGCATACTGTGCGGATCGCTGTCATCGCCCATGCTGGGGCATCCGGGATGACAGTAGAGGCGGAAAGGCCATTGGGGCGACCTATGGGCTTTCGTACGGACTTGGATGGTGTGCCAAGCTTAGCGACACTGACACTCCTCTTTAAGGGTGTGGATTTAGACGGTGTATTTTGAAGGCCTCGCGGAGTGGGAGCAACCTTTGAAGGGGTTCGCCCGCCAACTGTAGCTTTGGTAGGAGTGCCTTGAGTAGAGTCGGAACGTGATTGTGTGCCCACAACAGACCCGCTTGCTGATCGCTTGATGCCGACGGTGCTAGAGGAAAGTGATCGATCTAGGAATGAATAGAGCTTTTTGTAGACGCGCGGAGGGCAGGGCGGGTGGCCGAGCAAAGGAGGGAGTTTCAGCGCTCGCGTGAGCCTGCCAGTTGATAGATGTCAGTTAGCTGAAAACGATTGGCATAACTCATCAGAGCAGCAAGTCTTATCAAACACATACCTCCTGCAGGCGATCTCTGCGCAGGCATACGGACGGGCGATTTCTTCTTCGGGCTTCAGGCTGCTGGAGAAGCTCCGAGATTGGGCAACAAGACTAGTAGCCAGGCTCACAAGATCTTGGGGCAAATCACTGGCATGAGTTGGGACCAAGTTTCCCAAAGCTTGCTCTACTGGGCGGTTGTTCATAGTTGGCGATTTGCTTCAGGCCAGGGCGGGCGAGGTTGAGGAAGAAGCAACGATGTTCGATCGCAAGACCGAAATTTTGATATAGAGGAACCGGATCTCCTAAAATGAGTTCTGGACCCTGCAGAAGATTGGAGACAATGTATTTCCAGTTAGCAATTGGGGAGGTTGAAGCTGTAAACATTATCGGCGGAGATCGAGCCTTGGCCGCATTCCCATATGCATGACTAAGCGCTATGTTGAAGCCGCGCTCATCGCCCGCATCAGCTTGACTTTGATTCCTTGTTGTCACTGCGCATATTCGATAAGACGGAAATTCCACCTAAAAATGTCTGTCACGGTAAGAACCAAAAGCCACTACCTGATCTCAAGGTTAAGTGCTAATATTCTGCTATTTCAGCTCCATACCACCCAGGGCGACCTCAAGGTCGAGCTCTTCTGTGAAGCAGTCCCTGAAACCACAGAGAATTTCCTCGCCCTTTGTGCATGCGGGGCCTACAATGATACCCCATTTCACCGCCTTATTCCAGGCTTCATGATACAAGGTGGTGACATCTCCCTTGGACCAGTGGCCAAGCCCTCAGCTTCCACAAAACCGGCGCTACCATTCGAGATCCCCAAAGGCGGCACATCTATCTACCATCCCTCTGCGATGAATCAAGAAATTCACCTTCCATCAATCCGTCACAATGCCCGGGGTATCCTCTCTATGGCGTCTCGCCCTGTCAAGGATAGAACAGCACCCGGCTCTCAGAACGCGACTGGTGAGACTATAAACGGAAGTCAATTCTTTATTACTTTTGCGCCTGCGCCGCATCTCGACGGCGCCAGTACAGCTTTTGGTAAAGTTTTGAATTTGAGCCCACAGGACGAGGGTGGTGATGTTCTTACAAAGCTGGAGAAGGCGAATGCGAAGGTCGATAAGAAGGGCAAAGTTTCACAGCCGAAGGAAGGCGACGAATTTGACGCGCTGCGAATTGAACGTGTCACTATCCATGCCAACCCCTTTGCAAAGTGAATGCTCGACCATGTGCATAATTGGAATAAGTTTGATGAAATGGCCTGACTTGATACCGATGGCATCGATCAGCGCGGCTGCATTTTGCGAGTTGCAACTTCCAGCACCTTTCAAGAGGATGAAACAACCTGCTGGAACTAGTGCAGGTTCCTGGGGATGCCCGCAAACCATTGATACCCGACATCCACGGCCCTGTCGGCTTCATATGTGGCACGACATTGAAATATGCCTAATCCGATGTTTCAGCCAATGGCCAACAAAGGGATCCCCGAGTGTGTGAATTGGTTCTATACGTGTTCATCATGCAATGCACTCGAGTTGCAGTCCGCTGGCAGGATGCTTTGGCTGGATTAAAGGGAAGAGACAACAACTTTACTCGATTGCGCTGGCAAGAGGATTGCGTGTACATACGATGAAAAACCAACCTCCAAAACCACCAATGAAGAATGAAGACTTCAGTTTAGATTGACTGACTCTTTTATCTATTAAATTTGAATGTCTCGTAAAAGGCCAAGCAGTTTTTCATTGTTTTCTGGCCATTTGAAATTCCTAGAATCCAAGAGCCTACCAATTATTGAAAGCCTCGTACTGTACGTTGTATGCTATTGGCAACAAGGATGAACTAATCGAATGATAGAATAGGCACAAAAACTTTTCTTTTCTCAACAACCCCATCACCACCGGATATCTAAGAATGAAGAATGTACATATCGCAGACGCCATAATATAAACCAAGAACCAGACAAAGCGTCTCATATCATGAAAGTGGACATAACAAATCGTAGCTGGACAACTAGTATGAGAATCAGTTGCCCATGGAAGCCTCAAGCAAGTTATCCATGGCAGCGGTTGCCTTCTCTTGATCCTCGGGCTTGTCCTCATCCTTCTTTTCCTCATCCTTCTTTTCCTCATCCTCCTCGTAGCCCTCGGTCTTCATGTGAGTGAGACCAAGGTCATCCTCTTCCTCAGCAGTCCGCTCATACTCCTCAATAGTGATCTGCGGGTCCACAGCAGGGGAGCACAAATCTTGGACATAACTGTTGGCCATAGGATCCTCAAGAGTGATGCTGAACTTCTTCTCTCCGGCAATAGCTGCGTCCAGGTTGGCGAAGAAACGTTCCCACTTGCCCTTTTCTGTGTTCTCCATGCTGTCACCACCGGAGGCGCCCTCAGCATCAAAGATGTGACCGAAAAGCTGGTCCTTAATTTCGGTCAAAAGACCCTCAACACTAGTGAAACGTCCACCAAGTGTGCCAGGCTGGACCTCGATTTCGAGATCCTCGCTCTTCAAGGCACATGTGTTGGACTTCAGAATATCACGGGAAAGATCGACCTCATTCTCAATGCGCAAAGTAATCCGCTTGCCCAGTGCGGGGACTTCACCACCGGTACGCACATCGGAACTCTTGTAGCCACAACTAGGGCAGCTAGTTCCAAAGACGTAGACCTCCTTGAAGTGGGGGATGTTGACGCGCTTAATGCGGGTGGATGCACCTGGGCTGGTGCATCCAGGGCATTCGGTGGGAAGATCATAGACCTCGCCATCAACAATATCCAGGTCTTCAGGGTTACCCATATCATTGGGGCCCTTGGTCTCCTCCTCTGCGGCGGGGTTGGGGTCCGAGGAAATTCCGAGCTCCTCGTTCTGCTCATGGGTGCGGGGGTATTCCTGGCGACGGTATTTGGTGCCACGATCGGTGGTATTGGGCGCGATCCAAGAGTTACCAGTGAGATCATCCAAAGAGACGGTAAACGGGAAGCCTTTGCGCTCCAAAATGTCCTTCAGCTTTTCGATGATGGGCTCGAGGGCGGCGTAGAGTTCTGGTGCCTGGTCCTTGCGCAGATCCTGCTCACCACTCAGCGATTCGTGAATGCGCTGAATAACACCCTCGACGTTGGTCAACTGGCTTTCTCCCTTGGGCATCTCGATACCGAGCGATTCGACCTTGAAGATGGAGACATCACTGCGAATGACCTGGCGCTGGAGGTCATCCTCGTTCTCGACGTTGAGGGTGTACTTGCAGCCCTGTTCCTGGATCTGACCAGCACTTTCAGACATATAGTCAGCACCGAATATATTCAAGGCTTCCACCGGTACCAAATACATACGACTTGACAGAGTTGTCTTTGAAATGACAGTGCTCACACTCAAATGACTCAAGGATAATATCACGGAAGTAAGGCACGCGCAATAGCAAAAGTCTGGTCACACCCTGCAAGTACAGAAATTATTAGTATTAGTACTTGATAAATGTTTTTAGACTGGATAAAGCATGCAAAGCGTAACATACATTGTCATGGCAGTTCATACACAGACTCTCCACCTGCATAACACCAGTGTCGTCATTTCTGTCGACGACCTCATTGAGGTCCTGGAATTGCGACTCGGGCGCGCTGATTTCGTCGTTAATCATCGTGGATGTAGGGCGCGAACTCAAAGAAAGGGAGTTCACTGAGTAATTTGTGGGACAGAAGGAACGAGATAATCGCGATGCGGCAAGACAAAAAAAAAAAAAAAAACTCCGCTGCCCGTCCCGCTGCGGAATCTTCCTTAACGTTCTGCCATGGCGGGGCACTGATTAGTTATGCAGCGAGGGGCAACATGCAGCTGACTAATATTGTACATTTATCCACTCCATACTTTGTTTACCTCTGGAAAGTTGATAAAGCCTATATCAATACCCTATACAACAATGAGCCGCTTACTGAGAAGTCTCAATAAGTGCGAGACAAAAATAATAATGGGTCAAGATCGAAAGCGTGTATTGTATTGCGCCAGCTTAATTCCAATATCCTGACAATATACTGGACTTCCTGGCTTAGCCCACTCCATGCTGCCGCCAAATATATATTACGACAATTCTAGCCATTCGAATCTCTTTGAAGGGGGTTAGACTTGACCGTCAGTTGACCATCACTATCAATAATATTAAAAAGTAACTCAATCAACCTGAACTTCAGAGAGTTTAGCTTACATAATCAAATAGACAGGGATCATCGCGCTGACTAAGCTACTTCGACGCCAAGACTAGAGCTTTTGGTCTCGCCCATAGCACACCAGAGCTCATTCTGATATCGACTTTTAAGACCAACATTTGAATGATGACAAATATTTTGAGCTAAAACTGAACTGTCACACAATGGGCGAGCCCGTGGAAGTTCGGGACGCATTCAATGAAGCCAGTGACTTCCTAAGTCCAGTACTCAATCGAGGCATGGAAATCCACATTCGTCGTGTTATTGGATATACAGCTAACTGTGATCAAGCGGAGATTGAGAAGACCCAAGGGAAATCATTGTTGGAAAATCTTAGCCAGAATGACGATTCCTCGTCCAGTGGTGATGAGATCAGGGCCACCGTTATCGACAAGGCACTGCAAATCCTAAGCCGGATACACACTGCCTTTATTACGCCTGATCTAGAGCAATCCCAGCATTTAGCCACGGAAGGTGAAGATGTAGCTCTTCAAGATGCAAAGCGTCGCCGAATGCTGCATGCACTGTTGGATCTGATTTCACTCGAAGGAATCTACCCGTCACTCTCATCTGGTGTTGGAATTCCTCTACAGCAGCGGGTGATTTCCGTCCTGCCAGCTGGTGTTATTGCAAAGCAGGCACAGATTCCCCCAAGCAGCACACCTCACAATGTATCTCTTCTCCGCCATGTTATGGACGTCCTTCTCACCATTCTCATGGATACGAGATCAAGCATCCAGCCCGTCATTCGAGGTCGCATTCTAAGTGATATAATCAGTGGTACAGCTGATCTTGCTTTCAATCCGAACTGCAGCAGTCATGAGGATGGAACAAATATTCAGGCGCAATTTGCCACATTAATGAATGAGTATGCCATTCCGCGTCATAAGCCACTCGGATGCAAATACTAACTAAAACACAGAACCCCCAGTGCTGTGTTGCTACCTACCTTGTCTGCATTTCTGCAGACAGATACTGCCGCCTGGTTTAAGTCGACAATTTCAAGTCAAATATCCCAGGTTCCGCTTCGTCCTGGGGGTGTGCTGCAAACAATCATGTTCATCGCCTCACAATTTGCCCCATCACTTGGGCAGGAGGCCCAAAGTGAGCCATCAAACGGTCCTCATTTCACGGTTCAAGCCATAATGCAGATTTCGAAGCTCCTTTCATCTGTTCCACAAGGGGTGGACTCGGCAGTATACTTCACAGCCATTGCCCCTCAACTTTTGACACTACTTGATGGCGATGACCCCGACCTCGAGAAGACTGTCTCTTATACCATTGGAAATGGAATCCTGGGGAAGCGGGTCTTTGGAGCCCCTGGAACCATTGGCCACTCAATATTTGTTGAGCCACTTTTCCGTGTGCTTACTGCGGAACCGAATGAATCAACAATGCAATGGATGATGCCATTGGAGTCACCGGAGCCTAAGCAGAGCAGGACTCTAAACGTCATTGTTGAAGACAAATTGATTGACCGGGCACTCGACAGACTAAGAAAGCTTGCCATTCAACACCCAAATCCAGGGTTGGTAAAGAGAATCGTGTATCCGATTCTCCTACCACTTTGGGGCTTAGTCTGCTATGCCCAAGAGCATGAACTGAAAGTCTTTCATGATAAGGTCATGGAACTACTCCAAACATACTTTAGCATATCAGTGGGCATGCCGCCGCTTAAGAAGCTTGTTGATAACCTACTGTGGGATGGTGGGTCGACTTGGACATACAGTTCCACCTCTCAAGGTGGGATCAAACTGATAAAACGAAACAACCAGATTGACCCGCAGTCGAATTTGATCAAACTGATTGATTCACTTCAAACCCGGACAGAACTTTTCGCTCGCTTGCTAGGCTCAGATCCACGCAGCGAAGAGTTGACCGGTGATATATTTCTTTACGCGAGCCAGACATGGCTAGTACACTCTAACACAGAGGAAGTCCAGAAGATTGGAGACTCAGAAAATATCTTCCAGAAGCTTATCAGCGCCAAAGTTGCAGAGAAGCTATTGGATACCTTCAAGGACACATTGTCTCGCCGGCCTCTTCGTGTGCTAGAACTTATCAAGCAAGTGATTGAAGGAGAACTACATAAATCGGGTTCCATTTCTTCGAAACAGAGAGAACAAAAGTCTGGAAACCCCTCATTATCTTCACTCGCCAATATTGTGTCCCCAGAAAGTACAAGTGAAGAAGCCTCAGACGACACATCTGAGTCCTTATCTACCGCATTCAGCTTGCTGTCCACCGTACTGGCATCGGCAGAGTTCTCCATGTCAGAAGACATTAAGTCACTCCTGGAGTCAATCAAGGAACGCCTGGACGAATTGATTCCGCTTCTTCCTAACAGTCTCTCCAAGCCGGCAACAACCTCATCAATGCTACTGGAGATCCAGCTCACCACCCCAGAATTGGCCGACACCAAGGCTCCACCACCACACCTCGCCGATCTCGAAACACACCGGCAAGCACTTTCAAACCTCAACTCGGACCTGCCACCAGTGCAAGCTGAAGGATTTTCTCTACTATCTAAACTCATCATGAAATCCTCCCCCGTCCTCGACATTCCATCAACCCTCACCCTCCTCCTATCGATAATAACAGACATCTCCGAATCAACCGCTAACGAAGAGTTCATATACCTCAACGCCATCAAACTAATTGGCACATTCGCTTCCCGACATCCACGCACCGTAGTAAAAACACTGGTAGACAGCTATGCAGACAAAAACGAACAGCGAACACTTGACCAGCGCCTTAAACTCGGCGAGTCCCTGCTCCGAACAGTCCAAGACTTGGGCACAGCCTTAACAGGCGAGACCGCCAAAGTCCTAGGAGATGGCATGGTTAGCGTCGCAGGACGCCGGGGCAACAAGCCCCAAGCTCAACAAAACCGCAAGAAGCAAGAAGAAAAAGAGCGCCGACAAAGAGAAAGGGAGGAAAGAAAACAGAAAGAACCCATTATGCCTGAAGGATGGAAGCTTTCAGTCGGACCTACAGCCGGACCGACCACTTTGAAAGAGCTGGACCCAGACTCCGATGACGACGAGTCCCCAGAGCAATCAGCCCACGCCGCCAATATCGTCGCGGCATGGGCAGCTGGTGCACCAAGCGACTCCGAACCAGAAGATCTCCGCATCCGCGCATCAGCAGTGTCTATCCTTGCCTCAGCAATTCAAAGCAATGTTCTCGGACTGGGAGCCGCAATTGTTGGATCAGCCGTGGACCTTGCAATGGCTACACTGACACTGGAACCGGCGCCAGAAAGCGCAATCCTGCGGCGTGCGAGTGCGGTCCTCATTCTTGACATTTTGAAAGCGCTGGACACCGCGCGCGAAGACCGCAAAGGCGCGGATGTTGGTTTCGGATTCTCATTTATGGACGATGGATATGCGCACGCGGAGACACAGGGTCGGGGTCCATCTACTATTGGTAATATTCCATCTATGCTGCGCACGCTTGGGTTTGTTGAGAGTCGAGAAGAGGATGTTATTGTGCGGGGGCACTTGCGTGCATTGATCGAGAGCTTGGAGGCGTGGCTAGAGAAGTCTTTGATGTGGGGGATTGGTTCTGGGAATATGCCAGAGATCAAGATGGAATTGGACGATCGGATTGCTGGTTTGGATGTTGATCCCATGGCTGGACGGGGTGGGTCTTCGAGGCCAAGGATTGAAGAGATTGAGTAGATTAATTTGAATTAACTGAGAGCTATGTGAACCTCTTTCCATTGACTTTGTGCTCGTCTTTGTCATGAGATTTGGTTTTAATATGACTGGAAAGCGAAATTTAGGAGAATGGATATGCCTACGATATTGAGAAACGTTTCAAGCAAGAGCAAAATTGTAGTCTTTCTCTAGCTCCCTTGTCTGTTCATCTTCTCAACATACATTGTATGATGTCGCCGGGAAGCCCAATCGCCATCGGCAGACTCGGGACCAAACTGACGACATCACAACAGAGACGCACTCCCACGCCCTCCTTTCCTCGTCACTGATAAGTCACCCCACCCCCCGCCACATAGCTCAGACTTCGCCCTGCCTCCTCAGCCAAACCTCTGACCACCACGGCGCGGACCACCACGCCCCTGGCGACGACCCCGAGCACCCCGGCGCTGGCTCGGGTCGAAGTTCGAACGGGAGTTGGGGCGGGGCCCGCGGGCCATGCGAGCCGCCAACTCCTCGTCCGAAAGGGCAAACTTGTTCTCGATGCCCACGAGCTCGCAGAACTCCGCCGTCTGCGGGTTGGGGTACTCAGGTGGGGTATCGAGGGTGGTGACCGGCACAGATGGGTCGAACACCGGAGCGACGCGGACAAAGTTGTATGGGACATCCAACTTGTCTTGCGCCACGACGTTCTTCTCAACCCACGCTTCTGCCTCCATGATTGACTGGAGATACTCGGCCTCGCCACGATTGGCGGGGGTCTCTGCTTTGAACTCCCCGATTCGGAGGTCCTGGGCAAAGGCACGGGTAATCGCCAGCCATTCTTGGTCGTACTGGAGGCGGAAGGGGCGCTGGAAACCGGTGTTCGGTTGATCAGAAATAGGTTTCACCTCAAGCAGCTCGAGGTAGGGACCATGGCCACCTGGCTTATCAAGAGCTAGGAATTTGGTGACCCGGTTTTTGATGGCCTCTGGGTGGCTCATCTTCGGGGGCTCTGGCCGTCGAACTGGCTGAGTGAGGCTGGCTGGTAGCTTGCTGCGGATCGCCTCCGAGATTGAATCGACAGGTGCTGCCTGGAGGCTGGTAGGCAGCTTACTGCGGACGTTCTCAGGAATCGAATCATCCATAATGGCCTTCGATTCGCAGATACCGTCCATGGCTGCGGGCGCGGGCGCGGCTCGCTTTGCAGGAGGCGAGCTGGACGGCGAGCCAGATTCAGAAGAGCTGGAGTCCAGGGCGATCTCATCGTCATTCTGGACCTGGGGTTCCGCAGGCTTGTGGATGGTCTTTTCGCGATTGTCCCCCTTGACCTCCCTCCAAGTAACTTGAAAGTTGGATGGCGTGGTAGGGGCGCGCGAGGGGTCGTTGAATTCGGCTCGTATCCTTTCATTTTCCGCACGTTCCTTGGGCGAGACGTTTGCCCCAAAGGTCTGCCATGCTTCAAGACGAGATTGCTCACTGCCTGCAGCGTTGTCGAAAACTTTCTCTGGGCTGGTCCGCTCACCCGGGCTGGACTTGGCCTTGACTGGAGTTACGGGTGCAGCAACACTAGCGTAGCGCCATTCGAGGGGCTCGTCACATGAAGGCTCGGCCTTCTGAATTGCAGTACCATCGTGACCCATGGTAAGAGCAAATCGCGCGTGGAGATGAGCTGAGAACCAGTAGGCTGGGCGAAGTCGATCTAGGACATCGCGGGCAGCCTTGCTGCCGAGGCGGCCGTGAATGGAATCCTCGCGCAGGTGTTTCTTCTTTCGGAAAAGAGCCTCGGAGTCTCCAGACTTCTCGATAGAACGCGGCCAGTCATGAGACAAACCGATGTCGACCTGTGTACGCACTTGGAGCAGTTTGCGAACATCAATTTCGCGGGTATGATAGATACTCTGAACATCCTCGTCGTTGTAAGGCAAGCGTTCATAATGAGACTTGGCATAGTCGTAGCCCTTCCAGATGCCCGACATTCCAGAAATGCGGAGGGGACCGAGGCGCAGAACATTCGCAGCGCCGAGATAGTAGATATTGGGCGCAACCCAGCCGCCGTAGTAAAGCTCAAACAAGTAGTTGCCAGCCTCGTGGTTACCGCCACAGAAAATGGTCAAGACAGGCGCAACGCGCTCTCCCGAATAGTACTCATGAAAGTCTCCCATTGACTTGTACTTTGGAGGAACTGAGATGCAAGTGGCATCATTGCTGTTCCGCAGGGACTGAAATTCCATCAGTATGGCTGCATGAGGAAAATAAGATGGAATCTAACCTGGAAGTCACCGCCAATTATGACACAGTCAACAGAATCCCAAGAGCGCTTGCCCATTTCAACTGAGAGATTGTGATAAATCTCATTGAGTGCGCCGTGGCCCTGTATAAGAGTCAGTATTGAAGCCTTACGACAGCCAATAAGGGCATGGCCGAATAGTAGAGGGGGACTTACGCAGCCAACAGTGGCGATACGGAGGGGAGAAGACATGATGAGAATGAGTTCAGAGGATAGGTGAAGAGATTGGAGAGGGGTAGGATGATAGGGATGATTATAGCAGAGCTTGAAATACTGATGGCTTAGCAGCAGAGCAGAGACAGGTCACAGCAGTATTGAGTTCAAGTAAAACCTGAGTGCATGATGAGAAGAGGAATTGGGGAAGACAGTATGGGAGAGGAGAAAAGAACAGGAAGAAGAAAATGGGGGGTCCTCTATAGATGGACCTGAGGGAGTTGAGAGTGAATGTACGTGAAAGCACTTGGAAGATTAGACTTAATCGGGAAAGGGACCGACACTTCTAATTCGTCGAATTTTTTTCATTCACTTCGACCTCCACCTTCAAGGGATTTTGTTTGCTTCCAATTCCAGTATCTATTCCCAGTATTTCGCTTGAACATGGCACCTGTGGAAGTTCCCCAGTTACACTTTCTAAGTGAAGCAGCCCAGTGGTTGGCCACACGTAGCCCATCCACGTCGGCGCATCTCTTAGGGGTTCATACCCGGATGCTTCATGAGGAGTTGAAACCACTCAACACCCACCAAAAAAAGCATCATTGTGCCTGTGGTAGCTTGAGACAATCCCCAAAGTCTACTAAAACCATACGAGTGCAAAAAAAGGGAAAGAAGAAAGTCAATGCTGTTGGAAGTGCGACGGTGTACAAGTGTTTGCGTTGTAGGCAACGGACAGTACTTTCACGTCAAAAGTCACTATTCAAACCTTCTAGACCTTCTGCTCGCTCTTCAGTTCCTGTCACTGCTACAGCTTCCCCAATTCCATCAACATCAACTCCAGCAGAAACTTCAGCATCCGAGTCATCAACACCGGCTGATCCACCTAAAACAGCCGAGAACGTCAACAGCAAAAAGCGAGCTAAAACTCGCAAGCAAGGGGGTCTCCAAGCGCTACTGGCCGCTAAACAAAAAAGTCAACCTTCTCTTGATCTATTCGACTTTCTACAGTGAACGGGGCTCTTGACCTCGAAGCTCGGAACGGCCCCACTTAATTCCGGGTTAGCGCGGGGTGGAAACAAGCTCCAACAATGTCGACCAAGTTCCCTTCTGTGATCGACAGATTGGCTTTTTGGCGAAAGCGTCTAAACAAGATGTCTGTGTACTCCCATGATGACGACGATCATGATCCTCAGGCCGACGAGCTCCGGGAGACCGCCCTTGTCACCCTGGAGGCTCTGATCAGCTCCTGCAACCAGCAGATGCAGCCTTACCTCATGAACACCACCCGAGCCGCCCTGCGATCCCTAAAATACGACCCCAATGTCGCCGAGATGGAAGATGACGAGGAGATGGGTGGCACACAAGATGACGGAAGTGAGGACGACGCTACCGAGGAGCCAGACCTGGATGACGACGAGTTTGGGGACTTTGAGGAGGAAGGTGGATACAGTGATGTGGATGACATGAGCTGGAAGGTCCGTCGATGCGCGGCTAAGCTTCTGTACAGCCTTATTTCGACTTTTGGTCGTAACAATGGCCTAGAGGATGCCACTCTGTACCAGCAGGTCGCGCCAGCCTTGATCACCCGTATCAGCAAAGAGCGAGAGGAGAGCGTGAAGTTGGAAGTGGTCTCCACCCTGACGGCACTGGTGCGCAAAACAAGTGAAGGTACCATAATCCTTACTTCCGGTGGCTACTTGGAAGCTGTGGGAGGATCGAAGAACTCCCGCAAGAGAAGACGCCAGGACAGTGATGCGAGCATGGTAGACTTTGAGCCTGGAGTGGGAGGCTCCTCGGCAATTGACTCTCCCGTTGTTCCTTCGTCGCCAAAATCGGGACCCCAGGCGGACCTGGCCCGTTCAGTTCCTCTCATTGTTCAAAGCCTCGTGAAGTCGTGGAAGCCAGCCTCAATGCCCTTGCGACAGGCAGCCATTGTCCTCTTGAAAAGCCTCTCCTTGGTCCGTTATGGAGGATTGGCCGATCATCTCCAGCAGATTGAGGATTTGATCGCGGATGCATTGAAGACATCATCGCTTGTAGGCAGCTCGGCTGCCCACTCAGGTGCGGCTGTCAGCGCAGGTACTCTGCAGATTGAAACCCTCGGCCTGGTCTCTGCCATTGCAGAAACCCATCTGTCAGACTCTCTTCTTCCGTTCCTCATCGCCTTAGTGCCGGGTGTTGTGGGAGCTGTCAACGAGCGTAACTACAAAGTCAGCAGTGAGGCATTGGGTGCTGTGGAACAAATTGTGAAGGCTCTGACCCCGCCCCGCGTGTCAGAAAATAGCCCGGACGTTGCCATGCAGCTGGAGAAGCTTTATGACGTTGTTCTCGCTCGGATCACCGACACCAGCGCTGATCTGGAGGTTCGCCAGCGAGCGATTCATGTATTCGGTGTCATCCTGGCACGTACATCTGGCGAGCGCGGCACCGAGTATCTTTCTACCGATCGCCGATCAAAGGGCCTTGACATCCTAGTCGACCGTGTGAAAAATGAAACGACCCGCCTGGCTGCTGTTCGTGCCATTGACGATGTGGTTGTTCTAGCCAGTTGTCAAGCCGACGTCAGCAGTGACTGGGTTAACACCGTCACCATTGAGCTGGGGTCGAATCTGCGGAAGGCAGATCGTGCATTGCGCAGCTCTTGCCTTGAAGCTCTTCGAAGCACTGCTATGAACAGCAACACTCGTTCTCATATCAGCCCCGACACAATGGCTAGCCTGGAGACGGCTTTGCTGCCGCTCTTGTCGGCACCTGACTTCCATCTTCTCACTCCTACTCTAATCATCATTGCCAAGCTGGTCCCTGGCAATTCAAAGACCCTCGTGAACGACTCTCTCATTCAGTCTATTTGCTCGATTGTCAAGCAGCCACTCGTGGGCACCGTCTTGAAGGCTCTGCTTCTTCTGGTGAAAGTCATCGGCGACGAAGGTGTCGGTGCTCAATTGATGCAGAGTTTGCTCCAGAATGTCGGCATCACTGGCGATGCGTCTGTTGTTGGAAGAGCCATCGGCACTCTACTCGTGCACGGCGGACCGAATTTAGGAGTCACAATGGATGACTTCTCTACCGAATTGAGCACTGCTACAGATGATAGCCGTAAATGTCTTGCGCTCGCCATTCTGGGCGAAATTGCCCTGCGAATGGGTGTTGAGTGTTCATTGACTCCAGATATCTTCATTGCTCACTTCGAATCTCCATCTGACCACGTTCGCTTGGCTGCTGCTACAGCCCTCGGAAACGCATCGGCCGGAAGTGTTAAGGCTTACCTGCCGATCATTCTGAATGGTCTGGTCAAAGCCAACACCCAGAGCTACCTGCTCTTACATTCCGTGCGCGAATTACTTCAGCACGCTGATGTGCGCCCTGAGCTGGCTCCGACCGCCCTCAAGCTGTGGCAGGCATTGCTACAGGTCTCCCAGGAGGAAGACAACCGTGCCGTGGGTGCAGAGTGTATTGGAAGGCTTGCTCTGATTGATCCTGTGGCCTACATTCCTCACTTCCAGGTAAGCCATGGCCTCTTCAACATGTGAATAATTGTACACTGACCAGTTTTCGCAGGAACATCTCAATAACTCTGATCCCATTGTGCGTGGGGTAGTCATTTCAGCCTTCCGTTACACCCTGGCTGATGCGAGCGATGCTTTCAATGTTGTCCTGCGACCATTGATAGTGCCTCTATTGAACAGCATGCTGGCTGATCAGGATCTCAGCAACCATCGACTGGCATTGACTACATTGAACTCTGCCATTCATAACAAGATGAACCTTCTCCTGCCACATCTGGGAGAATTGCTTCCTGCGGTTTTCGGTGACGCTCACATCAAGCCGGAGCTGATTCGTGAGGTACAAATGGGTCCTTTCAAACATAAAGTGGATGACGGACTCGACTTGCGCAAGGTTAGTATAATGCATTCTGCTTCCCGGTAGCTCAACTGACCATTTATTACAGAGTGCTTACGAAACCCTTTATGCTTCACTGGATACATCATTTGCTCGCTTCCACCTCTCCGAACTCTTTGATCGTGTTCTGGCCGGAATTGAAGATGAGCAAGACATCCGCGCTGTCAGCAATCTGATGACCTCCAAGCTCATCATCTCTGTCCCCGAGGAAACCGAGCGCCGCCTGGATGCCCTGGCCGAGCGGTACACGGCTATCTTGTCATTCAAGCCCAAGGACAACGCCGTCAAACAAGAGCTGGAGAAGGCCCAGGAGGCGTCCCTGGGTATCCTCAAGATCACCAAGGAGCTTAGTAAAGCATTTCCAGCTGCTGAAGCCTCTAATGATCTACACAAGTGGAAGGGGTACATGGAATGGGTTCGGAAAAACTTTGCTTCGCAGTTCCAGAGTCTTGAAACGGATTTGTAAACCCCATAGCCCCTTGAATATTTGTATGGCGAAGACTGCATAGCTATGAACTGAATGAATGAAAATTCTTACCATCTTATTACGATTCATATCATGTCACCGAGTTCTAATATTGGTCTTTTTATCCTGTGCTCTTGCACGAGCTCTTGGTATCGCCTCCAATCTGTCCACTTCACAGTTTATAAAAAAGGGTTCCTTCACAATAAGCTAAGAATTAGAATTATCTTTTTTAACCAACCTTTCATTTCTCCAGCTTCTCCTACAGTTCTCCGTCTATCTTTTTACAGCTCCTTCTGTACTACACTTCTCAACCACCTCTCCTGCCCACGACTCCTCCTTTCCAACCCACTTCTCATCAGGTCCCGTTCTCTGAACTCTCTTTCTCATCTTGTTTTTCTTAGTTATTCTTATCACCACCTCGCCCTCTCGAGGATTCTCATTCAGTGTTTTCAAAGCGGAGATGACTAGCTCCAAGCGGAATGCTGGCGATATTAATGAGTAGGGAAATGAATCAGCTCTTCCCCCTCCTGGGAACTCTCTGACAATGAAGGCCACTTGGCCTTTTAAATCCACTTCCCAAGCCTGGATCTGTTTAGTGTTCTGCCATTATACCGTGGACCGCTCGTCAAGGGCCAGTTTAAAATTTCCGGAAAAACAATACGAAGTCCTGAAAGGTTTGCTTTGCAAGAACTCCACATATTTTGCTGCCATGTTTGATAGTGAAATCGAAGAGGCAAATTCTAATTCAGCGATGATCCAGAAAATTAAGGGAGTCGTCTCAGAGAGAAGCCTCCGCGCCGTTCTAGAATGATTACACCTCAAAATATTTACGCCGCAAAAGCACCGTTTCTTAGCAGAGTTGGTTGGTGTCTGGCTGTGAAAAAATTACTCCAGAAGAAATTCAAGAGAAGAATCCTGATGAGCATTCTAGAATTCGTCCGATTTGCCGCCATGATCCACTTGACCGGCATTGAAATAAGATGTTTATCCCAATCAAGCGTCATCTATACGACTACGCTGATCTTGGAGAGGACTATTGCAATCTAGCTCTTCATGAAAACCTCGAATCAGCCTGCCCCTTGCCGGCACTCCACCCTGTTCGCTGCATCATGGCTCGTGGTTTGGCGCCGACGTTCCTGAAGAATTTTCCTTTCAAATACGAGAGTGTGCTCGTAAAGTACTCCCACTTTGCTTTAGATCTATTGCATGAGGTCCACTATGCTTCAGGTGCATGGAGCGCATATGCCTAAAGTGGGGCTGATTACTAGCTATCTAGCGTGTCATAAAGATTTTCAGTCCTTACCTATAAGTGTAGCCAGTCATACATGATCCATTTCGCCTCATGAAGGTCTCGGGTAAAGAAGCCTGATCCAGGCCCAGACGTATATTTTCGAGACTGCCCACGTGACATGTGGAGACCGTCGCGAAGGATTCCCCTAATGAAAGCTTGGCACTTCCCTAATTACATGCACATAGCACTAGTGACAAGAATCTTGGTTATTGAGATAAAAAACTCCGTGAAAACCCTGAGAACGGTACCAAGGTTGTCTTTTTCCCTATAGGGGTCGGCAACATGCGAAGTCCGTCTATGTGGCTCCACTGAATGTGGAGACTCCGAAGAGTAAGCCATAAGCTGAAATCTGGTTTTAGACCCTGAAGCCACCAAATTAGGGCCGGCGGCTTCGGATGGGGCGCCTGACTGCACCCAAAGGACAATAAGGGGAAGAGAAGAAGTAAACCAACTCAACACAGCCCCGGGGCTATGATGACATGGGAAAGTAAATACGACAAACAGGGCAGAGTGGCACGAGATGAGTCTGTTCCTGAGACCCTGCGACAAACCTTGGAATACGAACAAGATTTGGTGTGCTGTGATTGGCCGAGCACCCCACGCGACTCAATGCAGAATCGGGGGGTTTCAAACCGAGGCACTAGTAAAGTTTGCCAATAGTCATTCTATTTGTGATGTATTGGACCCTTTACAAAAATTACTCATTTTTGCTTGTTGCCTGGGGCCATTCTCACCATGTAAACCTGAAAACTCTCCTTTTAATCCCTCATCCCCCTCATACATGCACGGTCTTTACTTGTGAAATTGACTTCCACTGTCTACATGACTGTACTTCCCTTTACCCTGTTACAATGAAACTCCACGCCCGCCAGAGCTGCCAGAATCTGGTCCGCGTTCTTTTATCCCCCAGTCTTTGGTTTGACGTCTTCTGGCCAAAGACTCGCCAGTATTGGTTCTCGCTTTTGTTTATTGGCGTATTAAGTGCCAAAGTTCTTCACATTTACTCCCATCTCAACTCCCTTACCGTCGCTCGTTTCGTGCTCTGGGGCCCTACATTCTTTTTACAAGATATTATCTGCATCCTCATTGCATATTGGATTTGTCAGGATTTTCCTAGAAAATGGGTTCGTGGTGTGCTAGCTTTGGTGGGGATTTTACTGAGGTGCGCATAGCCGGTCTTTTCAGTCTCATCGGCTTTATCGGGCTAACAATCATCTTCACTCTAGTTTAGTGATCTCCGTACTGGCCGCTGCAAACATATCCTTCTATACTAAAACTGGCGCTGAGATTCACTGGCGACAAGCGCATTCCTTCCACCGTGATGCCGCTTCGGTCAAGACACTTTTGACTGGGCTGACGGGTATCTTCATTGGCGAGATTCTGTTCGGTTTTATTGCATGGGCATCTACTCCGTTCCTATACAACCTCACGAGCAAAGGTGTTTCGATTTTGAAAGTGGCTCTCTCTCCGCTTTTCAGATGCTGGAAACGAGATCTCCAAGACAATTACGAGCAGTTGGATGTTGAAGACTGGGAAAAGGATGAGAACAATGATCCCGAGTCACAAGCAATATTAGGGTCGCACAAGTCCAAAGGAAATATCCAAACCAAGCCATCTCTTCTGCCTCGGGTGCTTCTCGTCTCGGCTGCTGTTTATATATTTGTTCTTCGCGTCTTTCGCCCATCCGACGATGCCTATGGCTTTCTTTCACAGACAGTGATTATCACTCCATTCGAAAAGTCACCAGGTGCAGATTCGACTTCGGTGGTTATTCCAGATTTACCGGGCGACTACAGCTGGCTGTATAACCACACCGCACTGGATGAAGCTCCAAAGTTCGATTGGCTCCCCCTCGAGGAAGTAGCCGGTTTCCGAGACTGGTACAAAGGCGCCAATGGCACCCAGCGGCAACACTACGACCCGGCCCTGGACCCTTTACACATTTCCAATCTTGATCGTGACATTATAGAGTCATTGCGGGACACTCTCAGTGGTGGAAATATTAGCATCAAACATGTCCTCCTGATCAAATTGGAAAGCACCCGTGCGGACGTTTTCCCTGTGCGCAAAGAATCCTATCTCGGCGACCTGATTCGAGACGCGCATTTCGACAAAAAAATACCCGATGAGGTTGTCAAGCGATTAGCCAACCTAACGCCTAATGCAGAGAGATTCACGGGAGTTCAGTCCGGTTTCGACAATAATAACAAAGAATTTCAACCATATGGTGGTATTTTTGCGACCAATGCTTATACAGGCGATACCTTCACTCTCAAAAGCATTCTCGCTAGTGTCTGCGGTATTGCGCCCTTGGTTGTCGACTTCAATCGTGAATACCTGCACCATATCTACGAGCCTTGCATGCCACATATCTTGAATGCCCTGAACATGATGCCAAATGTCACGAAGGATGTGCAACAAGATGACTACAAGACTTGGCCCTGGCACTCGTTATTCATGCAAAGCATCACCGATAACTATGACAATCAGAACTATCTTCTTCCAGCACTGGGATTCGATGAGAAAATCACCGACGAAACAATTACCGAGGACTCGAAGAAGAAGAAGGGACCACGTCCACAAAAGTTCAATTTCTGGGGATACCCAGAACATGAACTTCGTGGTTACCTTTCGCAGGCTGTCCTGGATGCGGAAACAAAGCAAGAGCGGCTTTTCATCACTCACCTAACAGGTCAAACACACTATCCTTGGGATATGCCTGTGGGTGAAAAGTATGAGAAATTTATGCCAACCAGCATTTTCAACCACAATGACAGAATCGCCCGCTACTTAAACACCCTCGGTGTTGCAGACAGGTGGCTCGGAGAAATCCTTGAAGTTCTGGAAGAGACCGGTGTAATTGATGAGACCTTGATAGTCATGGTCGGTGACCAGTAAGTATCCCTCAAGCCAGACTTCCGATAGAGCATCTTGAACTAACTCCAGCAGTGGTCTATCAATTATTGAAGATGGTGGAGCCACACCATACGACAACCCTCATGTATCCAACTTCCATGTTCCCCTTGTCTTCTCGCACCCACAGCTACCACCAATCAACGTCAACGGCCGTGTCACATCCATGCAAATTCTCCCCACCATTCTCGATCTTCTAGTCGAATCTGGCTCTGTTGATGAAGCTGCAACACATGCCATCAAAGACCTCCTCCCTCTTTACGAAGGCCAGTCTATTATCCGAGATCTCGTTCCAGAGAAGGATGGGCGACAAGACTGGCAATTTGCCGTGATGAACACCGGCGGAACCTGGCTTGCTTTACGATCTGCATCGAAGCCATACCGTTTAGTTATTCCTTTGGTCCAGGATGTGGAGTGGAGATTCACGGACGTCGATATTGATCCGCATGAGCTCCATACTCTGCAGTCATTTTCTTTGATTCCTTTGCTGGAAGATGTCGCGAGGATTCATAGTGATGAGGCTGTGGAGTGGATCAAGGAAGCCGCACATGTCACACAGTGGTGGGTTTCTGAAAACTGGCGTCGGTATGAATACGTGCCGGAAAACTAAGATATTGAAAAAGATTCATATCTATGGCTACCATTTGATACAACATCTTGTGGAGTTTTGCATTGTTCGGAGTTAAGCACATTGGGCATTTCGTCAATGGCTAGGTACGGATGCCCAAAAGTGTACAATTGTTTTCATTCCTTATCATAGCGTCTTGCATAGGTATATAGTTACTTTCCTGTCCCTTCATCGATAAATACCGCGTAAGCTGGTACTACATCCATGGATTTTGCATGTGCAAAGTATTCAAAAGCCACTGCATTCACATTCCAAGGTTCATAAAACATATATAATGAAAATAACCCTACTGCTTGAAACAAACGACCTCCGCACTGGGAATAGAGATAAAAGCATCAACGTCCTCACCCCAAGCCTTCCAACACTTCGAAATCCTCTCCAAATCCTCAACAGTAGCTAAACCTCCCTCAAGCGCCGTAGTAGCAAAAGAAGACTTCAAAGCCCTCTCCTGCCAAGTCTCACTCCACCAAGCAACCTCACTCTTCTGTCCATAAGCCCAAGAAGAAACACTATGCTTCATCTCCACAAACCCAGCCTGTCTAGCCCAAGAATGCAAAAATCGTCCGGCATTAGGCTCACCACCATTCTTTCTCGCAACCCGATCATAAAGATTCTGCCAATCCCTCAACCCCTCAATCTCAGGGAACCACATGAAAACAGAATAATCCGCGTCTCTAGCAGCGACAATGCCACCTTTCTTTGCGACACGCTTCATCTCTTTAAGCATACCAATGGGGTCCGCAACATGCTGCAGAACCTGGTGGCAGAATACGACATCGAAGCTTTCGTCTGGGTAGGTCAGGCCGTTGCCGTCACCGACCACGAAATCAATGTTCTTTATGCCGCGTGAGTCGGCGAGGGCTTGTGTACCTGGGAGGACGTCGCCTACACGCTCGAGGCCTGTTACGTGTCCCTGCGGGACGTATTCTGCTAGGTCGACTGTGATTGTGCCAGGCCCACAGCCAATGTCGAGGATCTTCATATCTGGCTTCAAATGTGGGAGCAGGAAGCTGGCGGAATTGAGGGCTGTCCGTGTGCTGTGAGAGCGGAGGACTGAGGCGTGGTGGCCGTGCGTGTAGACGGCTGCTTCTGTTTTGGATGCCATTTTGGTTGATTCAAATGTGTGATCTTGGTAGATTGTAAAATTGTTCCCAAGTTTAAAGAGTTTTTCGCTTCTCTGTTGAATGTGTAATGATTATGGAGTGCGTATTGCTGGTTTATATGTGTTCTTCGAGCTGCTGGCGGGTTGTAGTTGATGACCGATATCGGCGGCCGATTCAGTACGTCAGATGTGTCAGCTAACTGCCATATGATTCATATTAGATAGGAGTGCTTTTATTGGCCAAGTGGACTGTGGAGAGGCTCCGAAGTTGCTTAACCATCGTTATGAATTATTCGGTATCTATATTCAATGTTTACAAAGTACGAGAGGCTGCTCGGGCTGTATGTGTGTACGCTTAAGGCGGATCAGGGCGGGGCGACTCCTATTTTCAATTAAGATATTCTGAGAATCTCAATGATGAATGCGCATTATGAAGGAAGGGTTCAAATGCAACTTGTTACAAGTTGGAATGCAAGCCAGAATATGAATGCAATACTTCGTCCGTGGGCGCGGTATACTTCAATGCCCGACATCGGGGTCCACACCTCAAGCTCCCGGTCCCACTTCTATCATTTCTCATGAGCCCCAAGAGTAGTTTCTTAACTCCGAGCCCATCAAGAGAAGCGATCTCGGGGAGCTATGATCTATTTGACTTTTCACTGATGTCCACGCTATGAAATAATGTTCACGTGTATGATATCCACCAAGGTAGATCACTATATCATGGGGTTATTTGCTGTGTACCATGCCAGAATTACTGAAACCCTTGGGAAACAACTATCATTCTACCAGATTGAGGGTAATCCACCCTCTGCAAGGCGAGATAACCTTTCCCGACTAAATTGGAAACATTCTGGCAGCCCAGTTCGGCTCCAATCATGTCCTAAAACAAGTTTCGCAATACCAGGAGCGCTGGTGAATATGCGTGCCATTCCTAAGAAATACTTGCATTAGCCTTAGCATCACGCAGTGAATAGTATGCCCTTACCATGGCCATTAAACCCAGCACAGATATACTGTCCAGGAAGTGATTCAATAGCACCAACAAATGGAACAGAATCGGGCGTCATGGCAATAATCCCAGTCCACGAATGATCAAGCCCTTCACCATGCGCAGTATGCTGCGATGCATAATCAGGGAATATCTTCTTGAAGCTATTCAGCGCGTCTTCGGCAATCTCTTGATTGTAATGTCTATCATCAGTGCTGAAGCGACTAGCCAATGTTTCAGGGCTCAAAGTAGGATTCGATCTTGAGACGCCTAGAATGAGCGTGCCATCTCCTTTGCGTTGAATCAAAGAATAAAAATGGTAGAGACTATAACGGAGTGAAAATGTCTTCTGGAGAACGTTCTCAGCTCCAAATGCCGAGTTTGGAATCAGAGAATGTGCTTGAGCACGGTTCGGTTGCACATATGCTTCTAATTGAGGGATCAGAAGGGCTGCATGGGCATTAGTGCAGTGGATGATCTTTTCAGTAATGATAGTGCCGCGAGGAGTATGCACATCCCATAGCTTCGGCTCGGATTCGTTTTGCTTTATCGCGGTGCCGGGACAAAATGTGAATAGCTGTACGCCCCTTTCGATCGCTGATTGCAAAAGGAATTGCACCAGTTTAGCTGGGTGACTAGATCCTGCAGGCCACTCATAAGCCGCAATTGCTCCGTGAACCCTGGTCTTTTCTCTGGCTTCCTCGCCTTCGTAGTACTTGATATGGGACGTCTCGCCACCAGCCTGCTTATAAGCCTCGAGACTTTCGGCCTCATATTTGGCAAATTCAGGAGTCATGCAGACATCAAAGGTAGACGTCAAGTTGAAATCACATTGCACATTGTGTTTTCTCACGAACTCGTCCACTTTTTCTAAGACAAGTCGCTCATTGGCGATAATTTTCAATGCCTGTTCCGGTCCATGAACCTTTGAGTAGGCATTGAATCCACGAAACGCATCTACCAGTGCATTAGTTCTCGTCCTTTCTACTTTTTGTTGGAGAATATACCTGGGCGGACATGGCCGGCATTCCTAGAGGTTGCGCCGCTGGCAGCTTCTCGCGCTTCCAAGATGATTACATCTTCGCCCTTGACACCTGCTTCTAGCAGCTCAAAGGTTGTGAGAGCGCCAGAAAGACCCGACCCGATAACCACGTATTTCACTCGTGGAGGGACTTGGCTGTTTTGATTCGCGAACAAATGCGGGAAGGCCCGAGTTGTCCGTTGCCAATAACTCAAGCAAGGGGTCTGCTGGGGCAGACTATTGCTAGAGCTTTCGTCTTCCATTGCTGCAAAAACGATGATCAATGAGCGGGATATTATAAATTTGCTATGGAAAAGAAAGTATTGGTGACTCAGTGAGGGTACAAGATAGCCGTGCGGGGAAGACCTCTCTTATCGCCGACCCCAAAACGTATCAGTACTAAGTGATCAACACTTGGCATATGGTACCGTGCCATATCGACTGCACTTAGTCTGATGTGAGCTTTGATATCTTGGACCGGTATCGCTCCCGATATCCGAAGATACGCCGCGGAATGCGACTGCACGAGCTCTTATCACACGCACCGCTTCCCCTCAGATCGGCAGGGATCATGTCCGTTGTGGCGCTTGAGAAACTCTCTTATCTTGACTCCTCTCTGCAGTACTTAACAACACACATCAGGCTGTGCGGAGGAGCTTGAAGTTTGTATTCATCCTCTCCTTAAAATAAACATGGGAAACTGGAGGATCTTTCGTCACGTCCCGTCAGAAAACCCGGAAGGGAGTAATGAGCGCTCTCCTAGTGAGAAGGCCCTCGTGAGACGCCTTGATACTTTTCTGTTGACGTTTGGGTGTCTATCTCAAGGTACAGAAAATATTGTTTACGAAACGTCAACAAAGAGCTGATAGTATCCAGTTATTAAATATCTCGACCAGCAAAACATTAACAATGCCTATGTATCGGGTATGATGGAAGATCTGCATCTCTATGGTGACGAGCTAAATTTGTGAGATACATTCAGTTCCACTTCATGACTTCGAAACTGATTATTGTTAGATTCACGACATATTTCAATGCGGCGTATTGCGTTATGCTCATCCCATCTCAGATTATATTGACCTACGTCCGACCAAGCTTCTGGCTACCTGGGCTAGAAATATTATGGGGTTTGTTCACCGGTCTTATCGCCATGGCCACTAGCGCCAAGCAGGTATATGTACTTCGAGTTTTCCTCGGTCTTTGCGAGAGCAGTGCCTGGCCTGGCATGATGACCTTACTCAGTACGTCACTATTCACTTTCATTCTACTTCACATATTACGATAAGAAGCTAACAAAACCATAGTGTATTGGTACACGCCAACAGAACTAGCTAAGCGCATGGGCTTCTACCACTCCTGCCAAGCAGTCGGACAAATGATGTCAGGCGCATTGCAAGCCGCAATTTCAGACACACTAGACGGCCACGGTGGGCTGGCTGGCTGGCGCTGGCTATTTGTAATAAATTCAATCATAACAGTCATATGGGGCTTCGCCGGGTTCTTTATGATCCCAGACCTTCCCAACAAGCCAAACCCCCGAGCGTTCTGGTTCAAAAAGGTCCACGCCGAGCTATCAATGGAGCGATTAGCTCGACACGGCCGTGCTGAACCCAAGAAAATGAGCTGGGCGGGTGCCAAGCGTGCCTTCTCGGGATGGGTCATTTACTTCATTGCCGTTCTCTACATCGCGACAGTCCTGGGAACATATGGATATGTGTATTTCTCACTCTTCCTGAAATCGCTCAAGAACCCTGATGGCAGTGCAAGGTGGACTGTCACTGAAGTGAATGCCATCCCGATTGGCGGATCGGCTATCAATGTGGTTTTTGTATGGATCTGGGCTCTGCTGTCAGATTTACTGCGAACGCGTTGGATTTTGATTGTTGTGCAAGGTGTCATTGGAATCATTCCGTGCATTATCATGAGTATTTGGACTTCACATCCTGATGCTGTTCCTCTTTCTGGTGCTTATGCATCCTATTTCATTTCCTACATTTGTCTCGGGACGGCACCGCTCATCTTTGCCTGGCTTTCGGATCTTATTCCGCAGGACCCTGAGGCCCGTACATTGATCGTCGGAGTCTCCGTTGCAGGATATTATGCCATATCGGCCTGGTCTCAGGTATTGGTTTGGCCTGCCTCTCAAGCACCATATTACAAGTATGGGTGGCAGTCAGCTCTCGCACTGCTGGTCCTTGTGATTGTGATGACATGTGTACTCCGCGTCATTGATGTTAGATACCTTTTACCAAAGCGCGCGGCCTTCTTCGATACTCTGGAGGGTCACGTGGTTGTTCAAGATAGCGTTCCAGGACCGTCCACTGGTGATCGTGAACAAGGGCAATCGTCAGATGCCGATCGAAAGACAGCAAAGGCCACAGCTTTGGCTGAATCTTAGTTCAAATACTCCTATATTATAATAAGAAAGCATTAAGATACTTCGTGATGATATATAACCTTAGTAGAAGTAAAATATCTTCCATTCAAATGAGAAAGCGCTATCGCAATAACCCCAAAGCTTCTAACTCCAGAAATGCGAACATGCAAATGCTGGACACCCAATACCATGACCGGATCCAACTCAGGTGAGTCCAATATGCAAACAAAACTCCATGCACGCTATTCGACAAATAATCAAACAAAACTCACACCTTTACACAAACAATATGCATCACAATAATTTCACGCCTTGTCAGTAATCGCCTTTCTTCGAAGAACGCCTAGTTCCTCGAGCCTATTCCACGCTTGACCCATATCCGATGAGTCGTCACCAAGTACTGGACGGAGGTCCAGCCCGTCCAATGTTTGAAGGGAGCCGCTGGTCCCGGCATAAAGTAGAAGTTCCAGAACGCGCCGGCGCAATCGAGTTGCACGGTCTAGATGATGGAGGTATTTTTCATCTGCTTGGGGATCCGCCGGGGGAAGGGTCAGAGGATCGTTGATCTCGCTCTCGCGATCAGACTTGGCGCTGTCGTCCCAGGTGACAGGCTGGGTGACTTGGTCGTTGGGATCAACATCAGCCAAAGCATCAGCAAGATCTTGTCGGTTTTCTTGCAGAGGCGCGACTGCCTTTTCTTGATCCTTCACTTTCTTGCGCTCGGAATTGGTTCCATTGCCAGTCACAGCTGGAGGGTAAAATCCGACTGTCAGAGGATTGCCACGAATATCAAGCTTTCGAAGGGAGCAGAGATTGCCCCGTCCTGTTCTTCCCAGCCGGCTGAGAATCTGACAGATGCGCCGCATTCTCGAAAGGCGGTTCCCAACCATGGTCAACCTCGCAAGGCAGTGCATACCCACCAAGGGCTCCACTTCGGTCAATGAGTTGAAGTTCATATTCAGTACTTTGAGGTTCGGGAAGCTGGAAGCAAATGCGCTGGGGAGAGCAGGCAAGGTGCACGCAGCGATGTCGAGTAGTTGCAGTCGAAGTAGAGGAGATGAAGGGGAGAGGCATCGAGAGGCAAGCTTATTTGATGACAAAAACACTTTACGGATGTCCTTTGCGGATCCCAGGTCGAGGTCCAAAGTAATACGACTCCCACCATCTCCCATTTGGGTCTGTTCACGGATAGAGAGAACTTCCAGGTTATGGCAGTGGTCCAGCCCAGTAACGGTCGACAAGCCATTATGATCAGCATACAAGAGGCTCAAAGAAGAGAAGTTCTTCAGATCCAAGGCACTCAGACGATTGCCTGACAGTTTCAGCGCTCGCAGGCTGATCAAAGATGTTGACGCTTCAAACTGGGTAATTTGATTGGTGCTAAGATCAAGGGTGGCCAGTGATGGGAGCCACTCGGTGTTGCGGACAGACGTCAAGCAATTATGACTCAAATCAAGATCGCGAAGTCGAGTCCTGCTAGTGTTAGTAACCACCTTTAGAGAATGCAGTGGGGGAAAACTCACAGTTCTGTGCCTTCGAAGTCCACGGTCGTCAACGAATTATTGCTCAGTTTCAGGCTTAGCAGGCCATTCAAGTCAAGAATGCCGTCAATGTTCCGAATCTGGTTGTCGTTCGCTTTCAATTCTCGAAGGTGTATCAGACCGGAGAAACCAGCCAGGGTCTCAATGTCGTTTCCAGAAATGTCCAGGTATTGCAGATTAGTCAGATGGCCCCATGGTGTGAGATCAGAGAGCGAGTTTCGGGGAATTTTGAGAGTTCGCAGGCTTGTTGGAACACCACTCAACTGCCCAATATCGTTGTCGGAGACATCGAGGTCCTCAAGGCGAGGGCAGAAATCGCTCAGCTTGTGCAAGGTAATCAGCCCCTTTTGACGCAGTACCAAACGACGTACATCTTCCCAGTATGGCTCATATGGCTCAACATCGGTGATATGTTTAATCAACTGCTCTGTGGCAAGGGCAAATGTGCCATGGACTTGTCTCAGCGATGTCGGGTGAGTACGGTTTGCCACGTAACTCATTTCCAGGTTCATGGGGTGATCCGGTTGATTGACAGAGAATTCAGCCAGCGGACTCATGTGGAAGCTGTAACTTGTCTCATGGTCACCTGAGTGAATTGGAACCAGGGAGTTTCCAATAGCATCACCACCCGGTGTCTGTTGAACATCCAGTGTATTATTCCTATGAACAAGGCTGAGATCTTCCGCTCCTTCTTCATTTCGTTCCTCAATCCTCGAGACAGGACGCCGAATGAAAGGCTGGCCTGCCAAAGAAGTTTCGCGACGTGGAGGCGGAAGAGCAGAGCGCTGGTTCTCATTCTGTTCCCCTTCGTCAACGTATGCCGACTGTCGTGATGCAGCATCCAGATTGGAAGCCTCATCATTGTCCGTGTATGCGACATGAGAAACGACAGGCGATGAAAAAGAAATTGTTGGCACCCGAGTCTGCTTATTTGGCGCCTGGGGATTCATGTCGTCAGGCTTATGGAGATTGTTGTCACCAGAGCCATGTCTCGCCTCGATTTCATCTGTACCCCATGACGTGGCTCGCGTCCCAGAATTTGGGACACTTGATGTAAAGCGGGTAACTCTAGATTGATCAGAGCTTGCGTTCACTGACGGGTCACCGTCTCTTGTGTGTGGTCTAATATCGCCCTTCTTTGGTGAGGCACCTCCAGCACGAGAACGGGAGTCCTGATCAGTTTGGTTCGCTGATAAACGCTTGGACGGAGAATCAAGGCCATGAATTCGCATCATTTCTTGCAATTCATCCACGCTCAAGTCAGGAATATCCTGGAAAGGATCGTTATTCTCGTTATCATCATCGTGAGACACTTGGCGAGCTGGCTTTTCTGCAGCATTCTTGATCCATAGATTTTTGGACTTGTCGTAGGTAAAACCGTTGACTTGTTCTGGGATGAGATGGGCGACCAAGTCGGATGATAACACGCCTTTGGCTTGGGAATTTTGTGAGGAGCCTGTGTGTACAGAACGGACACTGAAGCCAGACATCTGTGTGTTGATTGTCATCAGGTCTTGGGCGATGGTGTCCGCTACATCATCATAATTGCTGCTTGTTTTGCGTTTCCTTGCACCGGAAACCACTCTTCGTGAGCCATCGGGCCTGAGCTCTCCGTTGAATGACATGACTGATCCAGTGGTCCCGAAATCACCATCATCTTTTTCTTGATATTGTTTCAGGTAGTTGAGGACTTGAGCATTCAACTCCTTTGGCTCTCGGATTTTGCGGAAATCCGTGTTCGTACCATCACGGCTTGGGGGACGAGAAAATGCTTCTCGGGTAGACTCATCATCGTAGCTGGCATCCTCGTCTTCACTATCCCCATCGGATTCCTGGACACTCGTCAATCCCGGTACTGGGCGACCCTTAGCTCGGATCAGATCCATGATCTTCGTCGCCTCGTTCAAGTAGTCCTGGGTCGTGATAGACCCCTTGCGCGATGTATCACTTGCCCCGGTAATCTTGACTAGCGGGATGTCACCTTCGATGGAGAAGGAATCTGAGTAATCAAGATTATCAAAAGATTCTGAGTATTCCCTGCTCGGTAACACCTTCGATTCATGCATAGACCGAATCTGACTAGGAGTCGGTGTCCTGGGCCGTTGCATGGACTGGGAGAGGCCAGGGGGCGCCAGGTAATCCCCATTTTCGAGCTGCACGCCATGTTGCATCAAGCTCCTTTGCAGCAAGGACATGCTCTCGCCAAATTTTGCTGGGTCACCATTGGAATGGACACGGTCCGGTTCGGCGCTGTCATCGCGTAAAATGGTTCGTCGGCGCTTTGGAATTGGATCCATGGCCGCTGCTTTGGGAACCCTCTTGGTTTCAGATGGTGCAACATTTTCCTTATTAGCACGTGAAGAAGTTGCATCACGTAAATGGTCAAAGTAGCTTTGGCGAGTCCAGGCGGATGGTTTCCGCGTAAAGCTGGAGCTTGCCGATCTGGCATATTGCAAAGAACCGATTTGCGAGCCTCGTTGAAGGTATGGCTGACGATTTGACGATATCCTCCGGGAAGAAGGGCGTGAGGAGGGGCGGGAATCAAACCCTGGTACATCACCATAAGTGAAATTTGGCTCGTACGGGCTAGTGTCTGAGAAATCAAATTTATCTAGTTCGCCGTCCCCGAATCGAGACAGACGAGGGTTGATAATGTTTCTAGATGAACCTCGCTCATTCCGTCGTGGAGAGATCTCACTCAATGGCTCATGTCGAACATTGAGTAAGCTTCGGTTTTCTCCCTTTCTTCGTGCCTCTTCTGATGGTGATGGCGGCTCGTCTCCCTCGGACCCCGAACCATCCCCGAACGTTTCCTCGAATTGACTCATCCGCCGAAGAAGTCTGTTATTTGTGAAAGTATCATGCTCGCCAAACAGCTTCAGCGGGCTTCCTGACGAAGGCATTGTTTCTTGTTTTGAAGTGTTATCATCCGATGTTGACGGTCGGACATGAGAGGAGGAGGGGCGAGGTAATGTAGGTGAACCGTTTGAAGAGCGATTGAAGAGGGGAGAACTGCGAGTTTTGGCATTGGCGAGAGTCGCGGGAGACAAGTGATGGGAGGGAAAGGGCGAGGGAGAGATTTGGTGGAAAGGACGGTGAACTTTGCGGCGACTGAAGTCCAAGGTTCCCATTGACAAGTCCTGAGGCAAGGAGTGACTGGTTACATCCAATAAACTGTCCTCGTTCGGCGAACCCTCCGGTCGTGGTTCACTATGGTTATAAAATAGGAAACTGTCACTAGCTGGTGAATCCGGGCGACTATTGTCAATAGACAAGCTCTCAAGCTTGCTAGTGACTTGTTTCAGTGCCGATTTAATCACCTCTGTTGTGGCAGCGCCTTCTAGTGTATTGTTTCGCGTGAATGTGATCGGAGTGATACCCTCATTACGAAGGTCCTCTAGTCCACTAGCAGTCCGAGTTTCAGTGTATCCATGTGACAGGCCTGACTGATCTGCATAATTGCTCCCTGGTCGCTCGTCGGCCCAATGTGCCCGATGGTTCACCGTCCCAAATGGTGATTCTATGCCAGTACCCGAGTAGTCATCTTCACCGACGCGTTCTGTATAATCCACCTCCCCCTGTGCCTGTCTCGAAGAGCTTTCTCGGTGGGACGTATTGTCGGTGAAGTCCCACAGCTGGTCGTCCTGTCGGGTAAACGGGATGGGATCTGGATGACCAGCTCCAGATCCTGGCGTCGGGGGCTTGAATACACTCTCGAGGCCAATCGGCGCAAACAGGTCGCGTTGATCTCCCACCGGGATCTCCCCACGTACCAGTCGTTTTCGCCATTCGGGTGTAGCTCCCCCTCCTCGCCCTTCTTGGGTTTGATCTGGACCGTGTCGGCAGCCTCGTAGTCGGACTGTTTGGAGACGTTGGATACCGACCGTAGCGGGGAGCGCGTATCCATGGTTGGCGCTTGCTTGCCAGCCGCACCCGGGGTTGGCTTCGCGCGGGCCTTGGACGTAGACTTTGGAGTGACTTTGGGGCTCCTGGGCGTCCTTGTTCTAGTCTTGGGGGGAATGGGCGATCGCAATTTTGTAGGTGTTTTGGGTGTTCGCGGGGTCTTCGGTGTGGGAGGTTCTTTCCTATGGAAATGACATGGTCGGGTAACCTTTTTCTTGTCGTCGGCAGGGGATTGTTCCACAGATCGGCGGGCAGGTACCGGAATGCGACTTGGGGAATTCTGCACACTATTGCGCTGCGAGGATAATAGGTTCTGTGATGGTTTCGATGGAGCGGGAGTGGTAGGAGTGGCAGGCACCGATGGCCAGTCGTCTGACAGGCTGTCTAGCCATGGTTGGTTGCTCATTGTTATGATTTGACGCAGGGCGCGTTCCGGCGGTTCGCGCTCCGATATAGACAGGAAAAGAACCAGGAATCATTTCCCCTCAGACATTGAACGCAAATCAACAACAAAAACAACTTTCAGCTCCGAGACGAACGGTTTGGGGTTTGCGGGTTGTTGGTCCAAGCAGTCAGCTCCACTCAAGCTCCTTGTTTATTTAGCGACACATGATACGCGCCACCCATTTATGTTTGTGATCCTTGTCTTCGAGTACACCCCCTTATTGATATCTAAACAAAACATTACTCTAAATTCAACCAGTCCCCCCACTACTAGCCAATGGTCCGATCGAGGATCCAAGCAGAAGTGGTCTGATTGGCCCAAGTCTTGTTGCAGCCCAATGTGTTGTTTTGGTCCCACTTGGAGCCCCAATTTCCTTGACCGATATTTCCATTGAGATCTCTGGATCTATATAAAAGGGTCCATTAGGTATAGTTCCAAGGTTACCTAGGGCTACGGCTGTAAAAAAAAAATCAAGATCGCATTGTGCATGCTCAGGTGATTGGGCTTCAGGACTGGGAGAATATATTTTAGAACAACAAACACGTAAAAGTCCCCGAGGTTGACAGCAATTGAACCTTGTGCTTAACTAGCTTGGAAGGTACGAGTCTCCTCTCAGCATCCTTTGCTTGCTGACTTCAAGGTCCAATAGTACAGTATACCCTTAAGCTGCCAGTTGAATCTTCTGTCAACAAACACAGCTCGCTTCCCAATGCGCTGGACAAGCGGCCGGAGTGGAGCTGAGGCGATCTGCGCTAACCACATTTCTGTTTCAGAATTTTCAACGTCATAGGTTTAGCTGTGAAATCTATAGTGAGTAGGAATTATAGGCCTCCAAGTTGGTATAAGTTTACGCTTAAGTTGAGGGAATCGAGGCTCTTCTGACAGATCAAATCACGCAATTCGACAGTTACGCCCAGTATGCTGTACCCTAACACAGCCTCGATTGTATCGCCATGCTCGACTACAGAGGTAAATGTTCGATACTAAATGAGTATTATAGAGATTTATATCATGCGTAGGCTCGCACAGCTGCCCAGGTGCCGGGGCATCATGGCCAGAATGTGAATGCTTGCCGTCGTGATACATGAGCAGCCAGACTACTCTCTCACTACTTCTGCCAAGACAAATCATCATCTGGAAAAGGCCAACGGCCACGCTCGCCTTACTTATAAAGAGTGTCGAGCTCAAGAAGAACATTGTAAACAGATGCCAATTCTGCTGGCAATGGCCTCTGGAAGGTATCGAAAGCGTCGTGGCATGCAGATAAACAGCAGAGCGATAACGCGAAACAAAATTCGTGCATATGATCCCGCTTTCCACCCAAGCGATCCTCAATATCCATTGCAGGGATGATACAAATTCAATCGATCCTTGTTCAACATACGCCGAAGAGGAGAATAGAAATGAAAACCACGAAGAATGTCCTCACATGCAATTTCAGCCACCGTGTCTATCTATCAATTCTAGCATGACTTCATCCTCGTATAGGTCGACCCAGCGTGGGTTCACATTGGTTTCATTGATTCGAGCAATACTTGAAAGGTGTCCTTAAGTACGTTCGCTTTTCAAATTGATGCTTCTGAAATTCCACCATTGGTCGCTCGACCCCAAAGTCCCGAGGGCATAGAAGCCTTGCATGTTACTGTACTTCTGGCGCATGCCTTGCTGGATGACTGTTTAATCAGTCAGGCTCCCAGGCATGATGAAGACCATAAAGTCGGTGAATATCCACCGATCATTCTAGGAATTAATACACCCGCTAAAGGTTATAACGGGAGCCAGAGTCTTCTTCGGCTTTCCCGAATGGCAGGAAGTCCATTTTGATTGTTTTTAGCATTGAAAAGATGCTTTATCTCGATATTTGTGAGCGGCGTTGATCCTGAAAATCTGCAGAGCATACGTATCCAAACATAAGTCATTGCACTGGGCAATTGTGGTAAGCGAAAAGGCGCTATTTATATGGTTACACAGCTGGCGGCCAAAGCGCTAACGTCCTTATACGTTGATACAACCTCTCCTGGTCGCCCCACTGCCTTGGATCACATCTAGTAATATGCCGATCTCGAAGGCCACTTAACTCCGCAGGTACTTCACCTTCATATTGACGATTAGACTCCACTGGATTCATCAATGTATATTGTATGGATCGCAAATATGCATTGGATTGACTCGACTCGTGAGTGCAGCAAGAATCAGTTTCACCATGAGCTATTTTATATATTTCCATCTCAGGGTAGTGGATATGCGTGGTTCGCATTTTTTCCTTACTTGATTCGAAGTTGCATCGTGGGGTTTGTATCCATGCATGTCGGTTCTGCATATCGTAGTACAATAGACACCAATGACAGCTGGAGTCATATTGAGAAACCCGTTTCGGGGTAAGCTAAAGTGGCCCTTGCCTATAATTCGACTGAGTCTGGATTGTCCACAACTAGTATTACCCCATTTCCTTTGGTTGATGGGCCGCAGACCTTTTTGCATGGTGTAAGTAGTGTCAATCCATGCTGTAATGAGACACGTTGAAGAGTCGGTGTACCAGCCCATCACTCATCTCCTCTTTTTATCATCCCAATATATGGGCCCCCATAAGCATAAATACTCATCAATACCCAGAAAAATCAATCCATTGGCAAGGCAGTCTGATAGCAAAGGGCGACTACATCCGAGATCCCATCATCTACCCGATTTATCAGCATGGCAGACCCTGTTCATTTTGCTGACCCTTTCTGGGAAGATCCTTCTGGAAGATCCGCCCCAAAAAAGTCCTTTGAATATGGACATATCTCATTTGCAGCACATTCTTCCAGGCCGATCCATGCCAATACCGCGGATTTAGTGATTGTGGGCCAGGGAACCATCGCTGTGAAGTCAAAGACCACCGAGGCGATCGAAATCACGGTGTCAGGCAACTCTTCCGATCCGAAGTTGATCCTGAAGATTACTCAGAACAATGCCGTGTTCTACAAAAAGAGCGGCTATGAAGAAATACTCGCTAGTAAGACCAAGAAAAATGAAGGTAGTTTATACATACAGGAGGTAGCACCTGATGATGGGACAGTCTACTGGCTTTCTATTGACAGGAGCAACTGGGTATTGCGCTATGGAAAATACTATACCTGGAATGCCTTGACATTGCTAGAAGTTGAACTGTGCGCAAATTCGGGAAAATGGCTGGAAAAGTTGAAATATGTGCAAGTCGAGGATGGCAGCGAGGTATGTGCCTCCCGAATCTACGTTACTTTACAACTCTAATCAAAGAGAAGGCCCCCAACTTCACAATCAAAGCCCTCCCTGTCACCTTGGATCTTCCACCTATTGTCGTGGGGAATGAAGCCGTTTCGCTGCGACAGTTAGACCTGGCGGCAGTTACTATCTCGGCGAATCTCCCGGAGGCGTGTCGGAAATTGTATCACAATATCGCCGGGCCAAGAATTGCGCTTGAGGCAGAATTCAAAGAACTTGCCGACACAATCCACAAGAGCGTCATGACAGAAGGACGATTCGCCTACAAGTTATTGAGAGAAAAATGCAAAACTCTTAAGGATTTGCCGAATACATATCTCCGTATTACTATCGGATCTGCCCAGGTGATTTCATTGCGTATCTGTTCTTTTCATCCTGCTTGAAGCTAACGAAGATAATACTAGGGAAACTCACCGGGCATCCCGTACGTCATGGAGATTTGGCCCCCTGGTCATAAATCTCCCATCCACGACCACGGCAATGCGTGTGCGGTTATCCGTGTTCTGTCCGGCTCAATCCGGTGCACTTGGTATGACACTCTTGTTACAGGAAGGAAACCGTACTCGCTTGGTCAGCCGTTGGAGCTCAAAAAAGATATGGTCACCTGGCTTGGAGATAATCAGTATCAGATCCACGAACTCGAAAACACCACGGATAAAACTTGTGTCACTCTGCAGTGCTACGCTTTCTCAAAAGATGACAAAGTCCACAAGGAACATTTTGACTTTCTTGAAAACGGCCAAAAACTGGGATTTACCCCGGGCAGCGATTACACCTTTGCAAAATTTTGTGAGGAAATGGAGAAAGAGTGTCCCCAAAAATCACCAGGTTTGTTACCATAAATTCGCTCGGATTATCTGCACTCCACACCTCTAAGCAGTGTTCTCTCACTTTCAACGCTTCTTCCTACTGCTACCACTTTCGGTTATCACTATTTTCGGTTCTACTTTCGTTGCTCTACTATATGTTCTCTTTGAAGGAAGTCCTCTCGTGGAAAAATAAAAAAGTACTGTTGATAATACCTCGCTCGTCTTTGTAGTAAGCTTAACGACATGCATGGATTCGAACGTCCAAAGAGCTAGTCCTATTCAAGGAGCTTTGGAAAAACATATCGACTTTCTGCCACCGTAGTAGTCATATTAAGCTTTCGAATTCCAGAATTCAGTCTCTATCATCCGTATTCACATTTGGCTTCTTTAGGCACCGGGCCTCCTTAACACGCCTAGTAGCATACCTAAGGTTTTTTATCTGCGTATTCAATCTGAACAATTCAACCCATACACCAACCATCTTCTGAAAAGATACTCATACTCTCTTTTAGATTTTGAATTTACACAGTCACTACACAGCCTTAAAATGGATCTACAGATTCAAAAGCACCTTGACGAGGAGGGGTGGTACTTAAGCCAACTGGGCGACTTTGTCAAGCTTCCAGTCGAAATCCGATGGATGATCTGGGAGGATCTTTTTCAAAATATCCATAGCATTACCCGGACTACGAAGTCTCACAACGGAAGACTTCTCGGCATCCTGGGATGCAGCCGAATTTTATACCACGAGATCACTCACCTGCTATACAAAGGCATACAGCATGGAATCCAGATCTGTGATGATGAACCAATGTGGCTCGTTGCCCTGTCTTCCAAATATGTATACGCCACATGGGCCGTCGGCACCGTGGAAGCTATGTCCAGACACATTCGAAATTTCCCCCATGAAAGGGTCGAAGAGAAGAGCATCAGTATCAAAGTCGCAGGCCCGGACATCAGTGAAGGGGATTATATGGGATATCTTCGTGGTATTGGCCAACTTTTGTACCGGGCCGTAAACCTGTTTGATATTTTGACACGCGTCGGACCCCCTCGAGATGTGATGCAGCATGTGCATATTGATGTCACAGGAGAATGGTGGCATTTGAGATGCAAAAGTTGTACCGACTACCGCCAAGCTCGGATTGAGGACATTGTCAATCCATTTACTTCATTCCGGAGCTACGATATCATTGGACCTGAGCATATAAAGTCTTACCTCGAGCCACGGCTTCCACTTCCCAAATTTAGCTTTTCGGACTTTCCTTATCCTTGGAATACTTTGGGTGAAACGGATCCAGAACGTTCATGATTATCATCTGTCCTTAAATTCGGGACAAGTGGACTGCTTTTTTGACATTATCAATATCATTTGCTGAATTACAAAGCTGCAGAGTTGGACTTTTACTGCATGAGTTGGCTTTTATATGGTTGCGAAGTTTGATCGTGAGTTAGCTCCAGGGCGCCAGTCGGAAATATGATGAATTGCCAATGAATGAACAAAAAATTATTGACCTCAATTTTAAACTCCTTTTATACTTAATGCGTAATGGTTGATACAGTATGAAACATGAAAGGGCAAAGTCCACGGGTATGTCCACCGTCAATCACTCATTATACCAAAAGCCTCTCGAAAGAGTACTTGCCAACCTCCTTGCGACGCATGTAACTGATCTCACGGTTACTGCGAGCCTTGCTTTCACCCGTTGACTTCTTGACCTTAGTCCGAGACACATCGGTGGAGACAGGTTTCATCGACAGCGGCAGCATCTTTCCACTGGCATCACCATCATAACCATCCTCACTCTCACCGGGACGAGCAAAGATTAACAGGTCAGCGCCGTTGACCTTCTCATGACGGACAAGATGAGATGGGCCAGGAGTAGGCTCCTTCTCGACCTTCGCAACGGCAGTTCCACCAGTAGATTTCGGGGTGGTGACTTGGTCGGCAAATCGCAGGTACTCGCGGAGGATACCCTTCAAGTAGGTTGCTTCCTCCACACCACCCAAGGTAGCTGAAATCTCAGATCGCATATCGGAAATGAGTTCCATCTCGCGGGTGGCTGCGGCAATAGTCGAGTCGGTCTCATCATCAAGGTCGTTCACAGAGGTGAGAGCGGAAATCCAGCCGGAGGGACCGACGGCATCAACGGAGGAAGTGAGCATGTCACTGATGGTTTGGAGGGAAAGGGAAGGGGTGATCTGATCAATGGTGATGGGGGTAGGAGGGTTCTCGGAGAACCGAGACATGTAGCCGCCGGTGGCGAGAGAAAGGCGAAGGTGATGAATCATGGAGATAAGTTCTTGGCGCGACAGGTTGGAGCGGAGAGCCTTTGTGACAGATGAAAGAGGGTGGGCATGGATCTTTTGAATGCTGGTGTTCAGCCCCTTGAAGACTGCTTTGACGGTGGCCGTCTCGTCTCCCAAGTGGCGTGTAAGCTCCTGGGTAGGTGTAGCAATATCGCCATTGGTGATGGCTCGGGTAGTCTCCTCCAGTGCACCAGAACGCTGACGCGCCTCGATCAAGAAGTACTTCAATGCGTAAGCCAATTCATCAGCGGAGAGGGCAGAAGGGCCACTAAGGACGTGGTTGACATTCTTCAGGGATGAATCGGAGTCGATAAATGCCTGGATAAAAGATCCAGTGGCTAGCGGCTGGAGGATGCGCGGCTTCAAGGTGCGCCGAAGTGCGATTTCGACATTATCGGAAGAAAGTTGACCCAGGGAAATCAACCAGGCGCAAGTGATGCGAGGCCAAAGCACAATGCGCAACTGAGATGATGGAGACGACACAACGTCACCTCCAGTCAGAGAGTTCTCAACTGTAAAGATCTTGGACAGTAGGAAGAGGGTTGATTCGGGGTTGACGTATTGTCCTCGTGGAGGTAGGGTGGAGCCAAAGTAGGACTGCACAGCTTTATCGAAGAGACTGGTGTTTTTGGATGTGGTCGCTTCATTCACGGATTTTGTCAACTGATTCCATTTCTCCACCTGTTCGGGGGAAGTAAGGTGGAGCGAAGTCATATTCTCAGATCGGTGCTTCTTGGATGCCAGATCCCACTGTGCAGAAGATGCGCCAATGCCGCGTCCAATAGCATCAATGAGAAGGCCATCGCGGGATCGCTTGAGGGAAGGCCCGGAGTTGCTGTGAAGGGAAGTTAAGTCAAAACCGATAAGAGTGTTTCCCTTGACGGCTACTGCAATTCCCAGCTTCGCAAAATAACTGATGAAGGCGATGGGTGCACTTGAACCTGTTCCAGACAAGACTTCACCAGCAGCAATGCTCCGCTGAACGGATTGGTATTGAGTATCGTAAAGTGCGACCAAGGAATCACTGGCGCCAATGACACATTGGGGAGAGACACGCATCACGGAAGAGAAATTCTCGTCATCAAGAATAAACTGTGATGTCACCGATGGAGCATATTGGGATAGGTCTGTGTTGATGAATCCCTTGTCAAAAGAAAGGTGTAGGCCCGCTGATCCCGCATGGAAGTTCCACTGTAGGCTATGGCTGTTGACTTTGTCGATTCCGCTTGGGCCGGGTACCTGAATTGTTTGGAGGTGGCGGAGGCGTTGGCTTTCTTCCTGAGATCCTGACTTGGCCGGCACCGAGAACATCTGAACATTCACATCCTGCAGCGCAAATCGTTCGGCATTCTTGGGGTGCGAAACAACGAGCAAGATGGACGGCTCGTTTGTTCCATCTACCGCTTCGTCGCCCAGAGCGAGTGCAGCCAAGTCCTGGCGTCTCTTGAACAAAGACTTGCGCGCATCTTCCAGATCGATCAAGAAACAAGTGTTGACGACGTGGGTGGAAGAGACCTTGGCGATTTCACTGTGTTGGATACTCCAACGCTGGGTTTTCAGATCGGCTGACAATCTGCGTACACGGCCATCTTCATGGACTGCAAGGACATCGAAAGGATCGAGTTCACTCTCATCATCTGCACTAAGAGGAATAATTCCCACAAAAGTTGTCGGGCTGCGTGAATCCGTGATGGTGGCTGTTGACGAAGAAATTGCCGGTGCGCTTGATCCGTTGCTGATTTCTTCCACGAAGCACTTAATCTGATGCTCTGGCTTTATCGCAGCAGCATATGTCTGCCTTTTCACCACCGACTTTTTCGAGATCTTCCGACGAACGGAGCATGGGCGACAAGAGAACGTCGACTGCGGCGGAACAGCGTACGAGGTCACGAGCTTGGGGGTTTGCACCTGGAGAAGAAAACAAATTAGTCCATGCATACTAAGACCGTACCAACAGTAGAGAGCCATACATTATAAATATTGATGGCTTCACCGTCGACCGCAACAGCAACCTCATAACGCTTGCGCTTTTTAGCATCAGCGAGGCTGTAGACGTCGCCAATGCGAGTCTTGCCGGAGGAGGCGTGGAGGGGGCGGGGCAATTGTGCCAACACAGACGGAGACTGCAGGTCCATGGCAAAAAGGAGCCTCGAAATTGTACAAATGACTTAATTTCCTGTCCCTTCAGGTCCTGTTCAGTGAGAGCATCGGTCTGTCCCAACGAGGAAATCTGAAAAATTTTCGGGTTAACTACGGACCGGACCCACATACTAGCCTAGATTGGGCCTAGTGCGAAAGTCATATAATCAAGCTGACATAATCACCTGCGACGCGCCTTTCGCGTCGGGCGTGTTAAAGTGTCTTGATAACCTCCGATAACAAGCACCGAGGTTTGATGTCCCTATTGCTGGCCTTGGAGGGCTGGGTCTCGTTTCCTTTCGCTTCATCTATATTAACTCATTCTCCCTCTTGACCTTCCCCTTCTCCTCCAATGAGCAATTGAGCGTCTCACATGGATACAGCAGTATCCAATCCACCGTTAGCCATGGGACAGGGCGAGCGGCAGGGAATCCACCCGTTTTTCCAGCAGGGTATGTTCTGTTCAGCAGCTTCATCTGATGGTCAGCTTATACGATGGTAGAGTTTACAGCTTCAGAGAAACGTGGCGTGCCTAATGCCTCTAGCATCCCAACTGAAACGATTCCCAGTCCCCTCGCCTTCGCCTCAGTTCCAAGTCAGCAACCTGAAGCGCAAAGCCAGAAAAAGCCAACCTCATCTGTTAACCCGCCAGAAACTTTGAAGGAACAATCGGTTAGGATTCCCTCTAGTCCCGAGGAAGACCCCAACGCCAGTCGGAGAAAGCGACGAAGGACCGACAAGACCAAAAATGCAGAACACGATGGCTCTCTCCAGGCTGGTTTATCGGGATGGCTAGGGAAGGAGATGCCTGCGCCGTCACTGATGCCAGTTCCTACCCCAGACCATGGTGCGATTGGCCCGCCGGTCCCGCTCGTCTCACATGATGCCAAGTTGGCCAATAATCAAGTCCTCAGTCAAGGGACACCTTCAAACGATCCGGTAGCAACTACCCATACTGCTGATCCAAATCGAAAAACCCTCAAGCTGAACTCCAATGGAAGGCTGTTGAGCTCGCCTCCTAAAAGCCCCCCGGGAACTGTTGACCAAAACCGGAAAGCTCCCAAGCGTGGTAAACAAAGGAAAGCTCAAAGCAAAGTGGTTGCCATCAAATACCGCTTGAACCAAGAAAGGAATATTGGGCAGTTGATCAATGATATCCTTTGCGGGAAACATACATTTAGGCCCTTGGCATCTCTGCCCAAGCCTGTTGTCCGCCCGCAAACCAATAGCAACAAGCCAACCCATCCGTTTTTTTCGAAAAAACCATCTCAGAAGGCCGACGCCGAAATTATACAACCCACTCCGACTGCGGATCCCCGGGCAACCCATTTATCCAGCTTCCTATCATCACGCGAGCCCAGGGGCTATTCAGCCTCATCCTCACCATTTAGTCGTCCAAAGACCAAGTTCCCTGAACTTGTCCACCCATTATGGCCTCCACGGGACCTTATCCACGTTAAATATGCCGAATCTCCGTCAAAACCCTCTGCCGTTGCGTCTATCACCTCTCAAGATGATCATAAGAAAGCCAAACTACCAACAATTGGAATCCATGATCAGGAAAATGCTCTCCTTGTGAGTACTGCATTGGCACGAACAGCTGCTCAGAAGAGCCAGGGCGATAGCCACAATCGCCGTCCGACTTTGAGGCTACCAGGTCGACATAATGCAAGTGGAAGAGTTCTGCAAAAAGCAATTGACAGCCAAATGTCCTGGTCTTTGCCCAATAAACGTCCCACCGCAGTTTCCCCCTCTATTTCCAACCTTCGGACAAACCTGCTGAGTTCATTCTCCGCCTTTGACTCAGGGAAATACGAATCTCATCTTTGGTCACAAAAGTATGCACCAAAATCAGCTGAAGAAGTGCTGCAAGCTGGGCGCGAGCCACAAGTGCTACGGGACTGGCTTCAGAATCTCAAGATCACGGCAGTTGATACCGGAAAGTCTCCGCACGGAAGCAAGAACAGGAAGACAAAACGCGAAAAGAAACAAAAAAAGCGCCAAAAGGCAGAAAAGCTTGATGGATTTATTGTCTCCAGTGAAGAGGAGGCGTCGGAAATGGATAATCTCTCTGGCTCGGATGATGAGCTTGCTGGTGACGTGACGGTCTCCGCTCCTCGTACAGTTGTGCGATCTGGAGACGTGGGTCTTTGCTCTCAACATGGCCCTGATAAGGCACAACTCGCCAACGCCATCCTTTTGAGTGGCCCGTCCGGCTCTGGCAAAACCGCCTCAGTGTATGCGGTTGCCAAAGAGCTGGACTTCGAAGTATTTGAGATTAATCCTGGAAACCGTCGAAGTGCCAGAGACATGCTTGAAAAAGTTGGTGACATGACACAAAATCATCTCGTTCACCTCCTGAATGAATCCGACGAATCCTCTGCGAAGGCACGAATGTCTGCCCCAGATGAGCCCAAGCAAAACAAGTTGATGGGCTTCTTCAAAGGTCAACCTTCGAAAGCTGCACAAAAGGTTGACAAGGGGGCAACTCCTAGTGAGCCCGAAAATGACCCCAAGCGTCCTCGGGAGCAGAAACAGTCCTTGATCCTCCTGGAGGAAGCGGATATTCTTTTTGATGAAGACAAGCAATTTTGGACCGGAGTTTTCACCCTCATCAGCCAGTCTCGACGCCCAATTGTCATCACCTGTAACACTGAAAGCCTTGTCCCCACCCAGGAAATGTCATTGCACGCCATTTTACGCTATCAGCGACCGCCTCCCGATCTTGTTCTTGATTACTTGCTCCTTGTTGCTGCCAACGAGGGACATGTGCTGAAGAGAAATGCTGTAAGCAAGCTCTATAATGGATCTGGCCATGATATACGACGGTCTCTCATGGACCTCAATTTCTGGTGTCAGGTAGGCGTCGGCAGTGATAAGGCAGGACTTGACTGGATACTGCCATCCTGGCCACCGCAGAACAACGTCGATCAAGATGGTGAACGTCTTCGTGTGCTTAGCCTCAATACTTACGAACCTTACATGGGTTGGTTCAATCGAGACCTCTTCCTCACTGAATCTCCCCTAGAAAAAGAGGCCGAGGCCCTGCGGAATACATCTCATTGGTGGCGGCTCGGCCTTCAAGATATAGAAGATGCAAGCGGATGTAGCCATGCAGAGCTCTTGTCTTCTGATCGATTCGCCTCAAAGTCTAAGCTGGAGAAACTCGAGTTGCTCAGCCAAGAATCGGACTACTTGGAGATGAGAAGCTCCCTTGATATTCTTTGCTCGGGATGTCCCTTCAACATGTTCAAAGTAAGTTCTATTAAGATACCATGTGTATATCAGCGTCAGCTAACCGGGTTGCAGGATATTCTTGACGCGAGCGCCCCTCCGATGCTTGAGTCTCACCGATCGAATTATGTCGACGCTCATCCTCTCCTTCAAGCCGATCTGCTGCCCGAATATAACGCACTAAGCGAGGAAATCAGCATAGCATCGGCTGTGTTGATCTCCCGCGCTTTCCGTCCCACTGATGACGATACCGAGTCGGTCTGCACAACTCGAATTTCTAACGGCTGGGCACAATTGGCTGCGAAGCGCCAGGTATTCCCAACTACCAAGCCTGGATTCCAGAAGGTTTTTGATCCCATCATGAAGGCCCGACACAGCACATCAACAGGTCGTCTTGCGCCTTCGTTCGAGAATGGCCTTGCCACAATCACCGAAGATCTTGCGCCATATGTACGTGCAATCATGGTATTCGACGGCCGTCTAAAAATATATCGTGATAATTTACACGCCGCCTGGGCACAGGAACAGGGACGCGGAGAAGCTCGCGCGAGGACCACTCGTGCTAGTCGAGCCGCACTCGAAGGAAGTGACAAGGCTTTCACACGAAAGGAGAGATGGTTTCCCGACGAAACCAATTATTACCTAGTACAATGTACTGGCAAACCCGAGTGGCAGCACGCATTGTTTCAGGAGGGTCATTTCCATGTCCAACCTACAGTGGAGGTTGCTATTGATGGGGCTCAGGAGTGCCCGGTCGAGGTATAGCTTTTCAATCCATAGCGACGTGATCTAACGATCCAGAATACGACAAATTTATACGAAATTAACACAAACATAAATGAATTTTTGAATTTTCAAATTATCAATAGAGTGGGACGGTTAAAAATTAGTATATCACGATTTAAAAAGCTCTATTGAAGATCTGGCTTGCTCTTATCTAACCGTGTCAACAATTCGCTCTTCGGAACCTCAACATCCCATTTGCTGCGCGGCCTCTCAAAAGTAGACACAACACGACCATAGGAAACACCACCAAGCTGAGCAACAGGTCGCAATTTATCCAAATCAATATGGCTATAATCCTCATCAGTCGTGCCCTCCTTAACCCAAAATCTCGTGGCCTTGATCAAAACCGTAGCAGCGATACTCATTCCAGGTCGCTGATGATCAGCAAACTCCTTGATATCAACAACCTTACCCTCCACAGAAAACACCGACTCAGCAACCCGTGAAGGCTTCACAGTCGTGGAAGGGGCCTCATGCAAACCCGACACATCCCATTCCGAAACACCATAAGGCGCATCGATAGAGCTAGCGTTTACAGCTTCGATCATATTCTCCGACACGGTATTTATAACACACTCGCCTGTTTCTTTCAGATTTCGATATGTATCCTTGACACGTCCAGGTCGAGATGAGAAACCAACAATAAACATCGGTGGATCATGGTCAATGACCTGAAAATAGCTGAATGGCGAGAGATTCTTTTGACCTTTTTCGTTCACGGTGCTGATAAAGCCGACTGGCCGAGGCGCGATCCCTGATACGAGGAGACGGTAATTGTTGATCATTGGGCGAGTTGGGGAATATGGATCAATCTCATGGTGCTTTTGAACGAGGCTTGCACCGTTATCTGGGACCCCATCGCCGTATTTCCAGTTAGGATAAGGTGACTTTGTGACTTCGATAGGTTTTTCGTGGTCAAAGTTTGGACGTTTGGATTCAATTTCTTCAAAGTTTCCAACGTCCTGGATGATCTTGTATTCTTTTTGTGCAGCAGCAGTAGCAGACGAGCTCTTTCGAATGCATGATAATTGTTGAGTTGGAGCTGGAGCGTTATATGTTGGTTTAGATGATCTAATTCGGGATTAGCATGGGCTGAAATATTTATGATTTGAACACTTACTGTCTGAGTACAAGACGTGCGGCTCCTCGCGAGCAATACATTCTGGTACTATTCAATGTGATAATGCTGACAACGGTTCAAATGTAGACAATTCTATAAACTTCAATCGTGGCTTTACCCGTGGACATAGAGCACCGGGCCGTGTGCCCCGCAATACCGGCACTGGCCCGGTCACGGTTGATTTCTAAGCGTCGATTGTCGGTCATTTGCTCCGACAGTCAGGATTCTAATTAGACGCGTAAAGCACTGAGTACATATGACCAATAATTTTGATGTACAGTCTGTTTGATTCCAGCCTTGTATCCACGTGACACATTTCCTCGTTAATCATAAAATCAAATAGAAGGAAGCCCATATGAGCTCAATTCACACACGCGCCAACTGATTGCATAATACGTTCCATATCCAATTGATCAGCAAGATCAAGGAGCTCTGCTGGTGGGAGGCTGACAGAAGGGTTAAGGCCCAGCAGGTCCCACTCAAACTCTTCACCAACATCCACCTGATCAATAGCATATGCCTCTTCTTGCTCCTCCGATGGAGCGTTAAAGTGCACCGGTGGCAATGGGCTATTCTGAGGCTTTGGAGTCAAGGGCGCAAGAATTTGCTCCAGCTGGCTTAGTTCTCGTCTTCGTAGCGGTGCGGCAAGGTTACCTTTTGCAATGAGCTTATCTAGGACGCACTCGAGGTTGTCACACCATGTGCTATTTGGGATGAGCGAAGGCGCGATGGCACGGATGAGGTAGAGAACGAATGCTGATGAAGAAGCGTCCTCGATTTGGAATGGTAAAAATGCGTCTGCAGTCACGTCAGCATTAAATCCCCATGATTACGATATCTTGATGACATACCCATCAAGTCATCGTCGGCTAGGGTTTGGAGAGTTTGGAGAATAGTTTGGGCGGAATTTGCACAACACTGAAGAAGGGAAGAAACCGGTGGAGCAAGGTTGATTGTCTGTGATGTTTGCATGTCGGTGCGGTCGATATGCATATGCAAAGCACACATAACCAATGGCCTTGTCGTAAGGACAATGCACTTCTTCGAGTTAGAACCAGACCTGACGCGTTGAATATGTTGGACTTACATGGTGGTGAGCCAACATTAGTCGGATTGCCATCTTTGACGCTCGACTGATGAGACCGTGGAAATGCGTATTCAGAAAGGCAGTAATGTCGTGCGAGAGCTCTGCCATGCTGTGCAGAATCGATTGTGTATTTCGAATGAGGGATCCATTAAGCTCATCACCGGGGTTGTAAATGGCTTTGAGTAGTGTCAATTACCAAAGTGGCAGATCGCGAGAGGTTTATGTACTTACTCGTCAATATTTGAGCGATCAACCTGGAAAGTCGAACGTGTAATGTAAGATTAATGTCTTCCACCGAGCTTTCAACCTCTGCAGGGAGCATGACTGTGATATCCTCGTCTCGTATGGAGCTTGGTGCGCCTATTAATGCGGCAAATTCTCGGTCAAGCATATATACTACCCAAAATATTGTCCGGCATCGTCTAGAAAGCTCAGGTCCACCGAACTCTTCAGGAACATGCCTATGAATGCCCTCGATTATACACCCACGCAATGCGTGTCCAATCTGTAGTAGTCAGTAATTGACCCGTGGATTAACAGAGTCTCACTCACATGCTGAAATGCTGCCCGCCTCATATCAATGGACTGGAGATACACTGCACCTAGACTCATGGCCTGGATGCACGTCAATGTATCTTTATGCATACCAGATAAATCTGGTAGAAGAGCCATAGCTCTCGCAGCATATTGGTGTCCTGGGGGCGGACCAGAGGGGCTCTTGGGAGTGAGGAATGCCTTTCCGAATGCAAGAACTAGAAGATATTGCGCATACCAGTACCTTGACTCCACAGCCTTTGCAACCGGATCTTTGTAAAATTCATGTAGGTCTTGAAGATACAAATCTTCATCAATGATAAATGACAGGAACCCGAAATAGAATTTGACAGTATTGAAGAGGAAAAGCGCATAATCTAGAGGCGGCAGATTTGAAACATCAGGAAGTTCCTCGAGTGACGTTGGGCGCCATTGCAGCTTAAATGCCATACCATCCAGGTGCCATGGATCTGGAGGAGGATTTGATTCGGGGACACGCCTCCCAATAAGAGCTAGGACACGGCGACAGAATGACCATGATGATGTCGGGCCCATATACCCTGAGGAACGATGAGTAAAGCCACATTTAAGTTTCAATTAATCACTTACAGAATCGGCCATCTGGTGTTCTTGCGAATTGCGGATTCTTATCCACCAGAGGATTTCTGGAAAAGCGCCGTTGTCCATCTTGTTCTGTGTCGGGATCACTCTCATCATTTCTTTGTGGAGGCAAAACCTCTGTTGCTCGAACACTCGAGTCAATTCCTTCATCTTTCTCCAATCAGCAAGCCTCTATGAGAATTATAGTCACAACATACCATAGCTGATGTCGCCCCATCGCTGATCTTCTAACAGCAGGTTCTGATTAGAAGCTGACAGGCCAACGTCATTCCTGGCCCCACCAGAACTCCCGACTGATTGAGAATGACGTATACTCGTATTGTTGTTTGATATTTGCTCTTCTAATTGCCTCAAGTATCTAAATGAATGGGTTAGTATCAGAACCACGGTTGCATGAATGGGAATCATACCTCTCCGATACCGAAATTCGCACATCCTCCTCAGGAAAATGACAGCGTAATTTCTTGCGCGAACATCTGGTACAGGGTTCTGATCCCGAGCACTTCACTTTCATTCCCCGACATCGTACACATCTAGAAGTAGTTAGCAAGGACCCGCTTGCTGCATGTAACACACTCACGCTTTCTGACACTTCTTTGTCTTGACTCTACTAGGTGAGGGAGGCATACCGGATTCCAGGACCGATCGTAGATTGTATCAAAAAGATGACTATGGCTTCCGGGGAATGCCTCCGATATCAAGTATATGTCGTCTTGCGGGGTAGTGAAAGGCCAGTGTCGGGATTGCCACCCGACGTTCGCTTATCATGAACCACCTCCACACAAAGATAAGAGTTGTGGGGCAATTGGGGAGATATGTGAGTTCATTGGACAACTTTAAACCAGTTTCCTCATGTGGCATTACTACTATCTCGATCGTGCGTTCCCTATCTTTGTGATTTACTTGTATTGGTTTCAAATGATTGTGCAAGCTTGCAAAGCTTAGTAAATCAAACCCCGCAAGGAGGGAAGATGAACAGAAGGATTCATAATTTGAGCGTAACAGATCATTTATTCATTTGCATCATGTGAAGACTCTAACCAAACATTCTTCGCCATAATTCCCGTCGTAGTGCATCTACCATATGCTGCGTACGCTCAACTGCGCCCTTATTCTCAATCGCCCGACGATGCAGGTACTGCATACATTCCGCCACTGAGCCCCAGGCCATACACTTGAAAGCCTTGGGTACAGATATATTCGCAACGGAAGACTCCTTCAAAGCGCGCTCGTAGTTCTGCACTAACTCGCAACTCAATTCGTCTGCCATTCCTTGAATCTGACCACATTCCAGCAATATCGTCGGTTTTTGTGCAAGAAGTAGGTCTTGATGAGTAGCAATTGCCTTTGCAGCACTGGCAGCATTGTGCGTTGCGAGAAAGAGTGCGGCCTTGGGGAACTTCAAGTCATTAACTTCTTCCGGCATCCTTTGGCACAGCATCATGTCCGCAATCAAATCGTAGGAATCATCCGTCTCTTCTTTAGTATTGTGAATGAGGGAGCGGGTCTCATGCTCGATATAGGCTCCTCGGACCAATTTAATTCCCAAGGTCCACCCTTCTTGTGCAGCGAGGGTAATGTGGTGGTCTAGGTTGGCCTTAGATGCCTTGAGGTATCCCTGAATGGTGTTGTAGACCAAGGGAGAATCCGAGTTATTGTGTCTGCGCATAATATCAATGGCCCAGATATCCAATCCATTCTGCAGAACTTGCTGCTCAGCATCCAGCCAAAGACGTGAACCTTGTTCTTTCGTCGCGATGCATATTTCATCCATGGCTTTGACCATCACGTCCGGCATAGGCTTTTTGGCTGCCATGGCGTCGAGGGAGATCGGACCAGCACCTGTGAGTCTGGATCATGGCGTTAGAGGCTTGCATTAAAACATTATATAATTATAATATACTTACTTAACAGCGAGGAAGTCTCCGGCTCCAACCATCCGGAGAGTCTCAAGTGTGCCATTCTTCCATTCTTCCACAGTCTCATAGCACCTATCGCTGTAGTCCGTGGTGCCAGAGTCACTGGAAGCCAACTTCTCATTCGGAGCGAGAACAATCTCCCTTGAATAACCCAAAATCACGCCCTGGTATCCAATATCTTTGATTTGTGCTACGGTCTTTGAGACCTCTTTGCGGTTCGTTCCAGCACAAAAATGATTGTAGACAGTCCACCGGAGAAGTTTGTTAAGAACTGGGTTTCGATCGGCGTTTAAAAGGGCGGAGTTGGAGTTGCTGAGAACGTTCAATAGAGCCAATGCAGGTTTCAGGAATATTTTAGATGTCATAAGAGAGGTCAAAACTAGAGAGCGCAACAATAGCTTCGTCGGCAGTCTTGCCATAGAGGGTAGCTCGATGGGAGGCTGGACTGATGGTGAAATAGCAGCATCATGGAAACGTTGCTTCGTCGAACGGTGCCGCCGGCAAATTACGCCTTGTACGGAGGTGACGCGGGGTATCAATGTACGTGGAAAGGAGGTAGGTCGAGAGATCATCTTGGCTGGAGAGTATGGGATGTCTAGTTATGAACTTCAGGAACGGCCTGAAAGCAAGTACGCCTCGACTGGTTTTATGGAAGTTTGCTGGCAATCCTTGTCTATATACCCAAATTTCGAAATGATACTGCTACTTCTCTTGAAAGCCTATCTATTCGCTAGAGTCTACCGATGACTTGTTCAGTGGTCACCCGACTATAGTCGGGGATGTCCTCCGATGGTGGGAGGGGTTGTCGGGTCACACCTTCATGCGGGACAAACCTATCAACGAGGGGTTTCTGTTATCAGTAATAATAGAGTTGGAGTAACCGGTTTGCTCGTCCATTTTGATCAAGGCGGTTCGTACCAGGGGAACCGCTAGGACTGCTGTATCCTTGGCAGATCCCTGCTCTTCCGTGATATGTGCAATACCCATCTTGGAGATCCCAAGGCCGCACATGAAGACTTTTGTGGCTAGTTATTTCCTGGCTAACATGAGTGTCTGGTATCAGTCGCTGGCTTGTAACTGCAGATTGCACACTGCAAAGTCTATTGAATTGAATATCCGTTGCCTACACATCTCTCTCGCATGCCCCTGCCATGGTGATGTCCATCACTCTCATACATACCACGTCGATGTGGGCCCTTTTTTCTCTCTCTCCTTGAGTCTTACAATATGTAAATTCATGAAGCATATAACATATCGAACAAGTCTATCATTGGTTGGAAGTTTTCTATCCAAATCCATCTGGCTAAACAATATCATATATACATATTCAAATTTCGATGCTGTATCAGACTTCATTGGAAGGATATTCCACCTTCTCGAGAGGGACAAATTCCTCCTTTATTGTCTGCGCGCTCACAAATCTCTGCAAGTGCGCCATCGTTCCAGTTTTATCGTTGGTTCCCGAGTCACGGCTACCACCAAATGGCTGTTGCGCCACCGTAGCTCCAGTGCACTTGGTGTTGATATACAACATACCAGCAGCGTGCTTCAAGGCCTTCTGCCCCTGGCGGCTCGCATAAGGATCCTTGGCGAAAATGCTTCCAGTAAGGGCATAACGAGATGTGGTATCCACCAGCTTGAGAGTTTTCTCCCACTCGGCATCGGGATACACGTAGGCGCACAAGATTGGTCCAAACAGTTCTTTTGACATAATCTCGTGGTGCGGGTTGGATGTCCGGTACACAGTGGGGTGTACATAGTAACCCTCATCCTTAGAAGCCTTGCCGCCAACAATGAGCTCAAGCTCTGAGTCTGTCTTTGCGTCCTCGATGACCTTCTGGAGCTTATCAAAGGACCTCTCGTGGATGACTGGGTTGATGAAGTTACTGTAATCTTCCACGTTGCCAATCTTCAAAGCCTCGGTCTGCTCAGCCAAGACCTTCTTGAACTCGGGCCAAACAGATTCCGCTACGTATACACGGGAGTTGGCAGAGCATTTTTGACCTTGGTACTCGAAGGCAGCCCGGATGGTGTTTAGTGCAGCGCTTCTCACATCTGCCGTGGGGTGAACAATGCCCCAATTTTTGCCGCCAGTCTCACCAACAACACGAGGATAGGAGTTGTAGATCCCCTCGCCGATGCCATCACCAATCTTCTTCTGAATACCCTTGAAGGTAGCGGTTGATCCGATGAAAGTCAAGGCACTGAACTCGGGTCTTTTCAAAATGACATTAGTGACCTCCTCAGCGTCACCGGGAAGGAACTGAATCACATCCTTTGGCAGTCCAGCTTCGAGCAGAATCTTATGGAGCAGCCAGCTAGCGTGCAGAGCTGAATCAGAGGGCTTCCAGATAACGACATTCCCAAGCAGCGCTGCTGGTCCGGTGAGGGTAGCTCCGAGCGCAGTGAAGTTGAAAGGCGCTATAGCATATGTAAAGCCTTCCAATGGTCGATACTCCATCTTGTTCCAGACTCCTTCTGTTTGGATTTTTGGCTGTTGAGAGAACAGCGCCCATGCCTCGTGGATGTAGTGGCGGAAGAAATCTGCTGTCTCGGCTGCCGCATCGATCTCCGCTTGCCAGATGTTCTTGCCTTGTCCAAGCATTGTTGCGGCCACTATCTCGGCGCGATATTTCCTAGTAACGAGTTCGGAGGCTCGTAGGAAGATTGCGGCGCGGTCTTCGAAGGGCATGGCTTCCCATGCGGGCTTGGCTTTGAGGGCGGCGTCGATGGCAGCGTCAACTTGTTCTCCGCTCGCCGAGGCATAATGGGCGATGATTTCGCTGTGTTTGGAGGGGTTGGATTGGGATCGTGATTGTTTTGTTTGGATCTTTTTTCCTTATTTGTCAGTCTCATCCGGAGATTATCTCTTGAAAATGGATCAATCGTACCTCTGCCCCATTGATCTGGATTGGGATTGTAACAGGGAATTCACTCTTCAGTTTAAGAATGGCTTTGGTGAGCTCAGCTCTCTCGGGGGAGTTCTTTGCATAATCAAGCTATCCACTGACATTTAGCAAAAGTCTTCTTGACCGTGTCTGTTGGAGCTTGAGCTTACCGGCTTCTCATTCACAAACTTGGGTGGATGCAGCATGGTCAAGTGGCGACGAGGAACTCCATTGCAGCGAAGTGAAAGCCGGTTTAGACCAGCGACACGAGAAATCGTAAAAGGCCGCATTTTGTCGTCTAGAAGTAATTTAAAATGTTCCGAACATTATCAAGCAATCCAGCTAACTTCCTCTCCCCAAGCTTTAAATATAATTGCGAGCTTGAGCTGGACCGAGCATCGGGGACATACTCCGACATTGCATACCTCAATGCACGAAGCCCCTCCGTTATCAACACTTGCCCTGTTTAAGTGGGGAAGATCAAGAATGGATAGAGTTGCAGATCAGATATAGATGTCGGGATGCTCCCCCGACGTCTGATAAGCGTTCCCCACATTTCATCTGTGCATATCCAGTTTCCTGTCATTTTTCAAGGATCAAGCAAAGGTAGCACTAGAGTATCCGTGACTAAAAAGGACTAGCTTTAATCTGCTGGGGTCATCACTTCCCAGAGAAGGCGTTCCCGATAGTAATGCAATTAGTGATGGGCGAGCTTGGACTAGGTGATTCGGGACTGCTCACACTCCCACTTTGGCCTTACAAAGATCTCTTAACGATTTTTGCAAATTTAGATTAACACATATATATGGACGGGGGATGCGTTTAGGAAAGTTCCTATGATATATGATCATGCATCCAGGTATTTTCCCGGAGCAACCTTGCCCTCAGCCACGTGACCTCGAATGGCTTCCAAGGTTAGTATCATTGTAAAAGTGTTAGAACTCGAGTATGTGCTAGATAACTCTTGTCAACCTACATCTGTGTGTGCTAATCATCTGTCTATGGCTTCCAAGGTTAGAATGATGGGCTTGCGTATCATTTTTAGGGAATGATGTCAGTGACATATATATTCCGCTCACTTGGAATTCCAAGACTCAACCTTGATATCTGAAAGGTAAAATTCATGCAGCAGATTGATTCTCAGGACGATCATTGGTCTTTTGTCACAAGAGTCGTAATAGTGAGTCTCCCATGTTTGTTTATCAAAAACCTGAACCTTGGGTATTTGAAGCCAACTTGCCAGGTGGACTTGGCTAAGAAATCCAGTCTGCAGATATAAGTGACAAACAGAGCTTGGAGAACATCAATGTGATGGTATAGGATCGAAGGTATATAATAAATGGGCGAATTATATATCCTTTCGCGAGTTAGTCACTTAAGGTCAATCCATACAGTTTGTTACAAGGTTGAGATGGATTAATGTGGTGGCCTTGGTGCGCAGGTTGCGAGGCGAGGTTCCACGCAGATGGGGCTAACCGTTATCTCCCCCCCAGGAAACATCGCCTCCCCATTACACACCTCCTCCGATCAATCGAGGAAGGGCGGGCCTTTCTTCTATTGTTTGGTTCTCCTTGTCAATCGCGGCAAACAACTACAAGCATCCTTGGAAGACGAAACCATCCTACCGCTGCAATTCGTACAACCCAGCCACCTCGAACCGAGCTAGCTCCGCCTGACCGTATCGGCAATTCGTCATTGTCGCTAGCAACCTCCACACCTCCCATCTGAACCCCCGCGCAAACATCCCACCCTACGGAGCCCCTGATGTCCTTATTCGGTACATCGCCGGAGGAGCCCTCGGCGGCGGCCTCCACCCAGAGGTCCAAGTCGTCGCTTTTCGCAGACGACTCGACTCGCGGTTCCCCGTCGCTATTTGCAGATGACGACGGTGACGATAGCTCATCGCCCTGGAACCAGACCAACACCGCCAAACGGGGTGCCCGCCGCGACCTCGTTCGAACTTTGCTACCCGCGACGGATGTTCCCGAAAGCTATATTGACGCATACGACCTGATATTGAACAGTGGGGACAGGGTCGGCTCCGGTGTCGGGCTGACCTCTGTTCGCGAGATTCTGTCCAGCAGTGGACTAAGCGCATCGGATCAAGGCAAAATTCTCAATCTTGTTGTCTCTGCGGACCATGAGAGCTCGGGTGGGCTGGGTCGCGCCGAGTTCAATGTCTTGCTTGCGCTTGTGGGTCTTGGGCAGGAAGGAGAGGAATTATCATTCGATACGGTCGATGATCATCGCAAGAGTGAGTGATCATATTGCATATGTGATTCTTCTCGTTGCGCCAAAATTCTAACGAAATCTACTCATAGAGCTTCCTCAGCCGAGAAGTGGTTTTCTAGACCGGCTTCGAAACCACGACTCCGAAGCTGCCGCTGAACCCGAACGACCGCAGACTCCTCCACCTCAGCACACCCCACTACAAGAACCCAATTCAGCACGGTCTCGGCAGTCTCGACGGGAATCATTGGGTGGATTAGAAGCCGACCCTTGGGGAAGCCCAGATCTTCATCGGGGTCATGATCATGGATCGGCCGCAGTGGAGCAGCGGGCCTACAATGGGTACGGAAGCATGCGCTCTACCACCAATGCTTGGTCGAACAAAGTTGTGGAAGATACAGTTCCGAGCGAAGCGATCCGGGAACATACCAATGGCCGGACCGACACAGAACCCCCTAGCAGCTCTGGGTCTGGCTGGGGTGGTCCTGTTAGGAGACCTTCTGAAGAGGCTCCATTGGGTGCTGCTCCCCACCCGACTCTGAGTAGCTTTGCTCCCCCTGGAGATGATCCCAGCGACCTCACGCCTCGGCGCCGGCCGGTTGGCGTTACTCGGACGACGAACCCCCAGATCGAGGAGACGGTCACCATTAACCTTTTGCCCGAGAAGGAGGGCATGTTCATGTTCCAGCATCGAAATTATGAGGTCAAATCCGCGCGAAGGGGTAGTACCGTTGTTCGTCGATACAGTGATTTTGTTTGGCTTTTGGATTGCCTTCAAAAACGATTCCCCTTCCGGCAACTGCCTCTTCTCCCGCCAAAGCGAGTCTCAGGTACGTCTTACGCTGATTGAGGCGCTCCAAATTGCTTGCTCACCTTTATCAAGTGAATGGTACTCACCTTTCAGCGGATTCGAATTCTTTCTTGGAGAAGCGACGCCGTGGACTTATCAGATTTACCAATTCCCTCGTTCGCCATCCTGTGCTTGGGCAGGAACAGCTGGTGGTGATGTTCTTGACCGTACCTACCGTGAGTATATATCAAACTGGCTTTGGCGGAGACGTAGCTAATCCTAGTGTAGGAACTCTCTGTCTGGCGCAAACAGGCCACCATCTCGGTTCAAGATGAATTCGCCGATCGCGTTCTTCCTCCTGATCTCGAAGATTCATTGCCCTCCGACCTCAGTGACACGCTCGACACGGTCCGCAGTGGAGTACAACGGTCGGCCGAAATCTATATTAACTTATGCACATTGCTCGAAAGACTTGCGAAGCGGAACGATGGATTGGCTGCGGACCATTTGCGATTCTCCTTGGCTTTGCAATCCCTGACCGAGGTCACCAAGGATACCTACTCGGTCGATACAAATGATGTTCCATCCCTCAACTTGGGCATTACCGCGACCGCGCGGCATCTGTCAACCAGTCAAAGCTTGCTGGAGGATGAGGCAAGGGCATGGAGTGCGGGCGTACTGGAGGATCTGAAACGGCAGCGGGACTGCTTGGTGAGCGTCCGCGACATGTTCGATCGACGGGATCGTTATGCCCGTAACAATATTCCGCAGCTGGAGCGGCGCATTGAGACCAATGAACGTAAACTGCAAGACCTTCGGGCACGACCGTCGGGCACCGTGAAGCCCGGTGAGACGGAGAAGGTGGAAGATTCTATCTTCAAGGTCCGTGATTACCCCCCACTATTCCATTCTGGCCTATTGTTCCGTATTTCAATGTGACTCACCCGATAATTGTGCAGGACAAGGAAAGCATCGTGCAGCAGCATGCACGCGGAGTATTCATCAAGGAGTGTCTCCGAGATGAGCTACTCCATTTCCAACAAAGTCAGTACCATATCAGTCGACTACACCAGGACTGGAGTCAAGAACGGGTCAAGTATGCCGAGCTGCAGGCGGACAACTGGCGACGATTGAGCGATGAAGTGGAAGGAATGCCGACGGGAGAGTAAAGTAAGCTTTCGGAGGCATTCGGTACATAGAACCTTTGTTGAATAGGCGCGGGTTCCGCCAGCCGAATCTTCGTATGATTATTTGCTTTTTTGTCTCCATCTCTCCACCTTTTCCCCCGCAAATGTTCATCTCGGCCCGATGTGCCAATACGCTGTGGAGGGTTTGCAATTCGGCTGAGACAGTGTACGTGTCGTTGGTGGCTAATCGGGTTTTCTGTGTTGCATACTAATCCCCCACCCAATCCCCCTGTTTCGTGAAACTATATTTGTTTTTAAATTGGCCTGTATGCAAGTCTCTCGGTAGTTGTAAAGAGTTCGTATGTTTTACTTCAATTTCAATAGGAACTCGGCATTTACCTCAAGCCCGATGACGTCCGTATACGGGACCGCGATTCCAGAAGCTCCACATCGAATTGGTAAGTGGAGACGGAATGGGGAAATCAACCCAATCATGCTATCGTTCTAGAGTGCCAGGGCTTGGCAAGTCGCAGGGCTGGTCTTTTCTGATCTTGGCCGCAAGCGTCCCGTATATTACAGACCGGGCGCATATGGATCGACAGGGTTTCCGCTTCATGCTGTTTTGCTATATAATTCGATTCCTGCGTCCGGCAATTTGATTATTTGGGATCCCGGTGATTGAGATAGATATCCACAATCCCATTTTACTTCCCATTCTCCTTCAATTCCTAAAACTCAAACAAAATTCCTGGATGTTCCTGTTTGCCAAGCGTGGGGCGTGCACTCAAGTCTCGGCTGACGAATCCCGCTCTCGTCCAAGGAAACCGAACTTCTAGGCAAATCTCATCTTTCCTTTTCCTCTCGGCCAAGAGTCTTACCAAGACTTGTCGCGCCCGATTATAACCCTTGGTTCTTGGTCTTGGTATTCTCGTATTCTTTTCTCTTTCTCTTTCTTCCCTTCTCCTTCTCTGCGGAAAACGGGCTTATCTATCAATCGATCAACCGATCTGCCCAGCCACTTCCATTCTGCCCACCTCTCCGCTCCTCGCGCACGGCTACGCTCGGACTTCCACTCGGATTTGCAAAGAGCTTGAGTAACATATCCGAAGATTAAACCCAACCGGAGATTTCTACCCAGTCGACGCGCGCGCAAGACCGTTTTTCAGCCCTACAGGGCCTATAACGCCACGGCCCACTCTCCACCCCCAGAACCTTTCACCAAGGCATGAGGAGCTACATGAACCAGCGACGGTCGAGGCGGAAATTTATTCGGTAATTGAGTTCTCGTGGTCCGAGAGAAGCTCTGAAAAGGAGGAAAAACAACCAGGACCAGAAAGAAATCGAAAAGCAAAAACCCGAATACTTCTACACCGATATTGTTCCTGAAGTTGTGACACTCGGTTCTACAACATGGCGTGGGACCATCTGGATATTGATAAGCCGCATCTGGCGTACATGATCCTGGGTGGTTTCACAAGCCTGTTTATGCTGTGCTCCCTCTTCGTGAAGGAGAAGCTCTACATTGGCGAAGCTACTGTCGCCACGCTTTGCGGTATTATTTTCGGACCGCATGCTGCCAATTTATTTGACCCCTCATCATGGGGAAATGTCGACAAAATCACACTTGAGTGCTCGCGCATCGTTCTGGTTGTGCAATGTTTTGCCGTCGGAGTCGAGTTGCCCAAAGCGTACATGGAACGCCACTGGAGATCCGTAGTCTTACTACTTCTCCCTGTCATGACCTGGGGCTGGCTGATCACAAGTCTGTTTATTTGGTGGATGATTCCTCCGCTGAATTGGCTCGAGAGTCTGGTATGCGCCGCGTGCGTCACGGCCACTGATCCGGTCTTGGCGTCTTCTGTCGTGGGTAAGGGCAAGTTCGCCAAGCGAGTCCCTAAACATTTGCGTGATATCTTGTCCGCCGAGTCAGGCTGTAACGATGGCATGGCTTTCCCGTTCATCTATCTATCTTTTTACATCTGGAAATATCGACCCGATGCCAATACCGTGTCGCTCAATTGGTTCTGTATCACCATTCTCTATGAGTGCATCTTTGGTGCCATTTTCGGGTTCGTTGTCGGTTATCTCGCTCGCCACTCCATCAAGTTCGCTGAACGCAAGGGCTTGATTGATCGAGAGAGTTTCCTCGTGTTCTATTTCGTCCTGGCAGTGTTCTGCGCAGGCTCTGGCAGTCTGCTGGGTATGGACGACCTACTAATCGGATTTTCCTGCGGCGTCGGATTCAGTAATGATGGTTGGTTCACGGAGAAAACCGAGGAGGCACATGTCTCCAACGTTATCGATCTGTTGCTCAATTTAGCCTACTTTGTCTACTTTGGAGCCATTATTCCATGGGAGGACTACAACGTTCCCGATCTCGGTATTGTTCCGTGGCGTTTGGTGGTTATTGCACTCCTGGTGATTTTCTTCCGTCGCATACCCATCATGTTGCTGATGAAACCATTCATCCCCGACGTAAAAACCTGGCGTGAGGCCCTTTTCGCAGGGCATTTCGGCCCGATTGGTGTCGGTGCTATTTTTGCTGCAATTCTGGCCCGAGCTGAGTTGGAGCACGATAATACGCAGCCCTTGGATCAGAAACAGCTTCCTCAACCTGGGGCGGATAACTATTACGTAGTTCAGCTCATCTGGCCCATCACAACATTCATGGTTATATCCTCCATTTTGGTACATGGCTCGTCGATTGCTGTTTTCACTCTCGGCAAGCGTATTAACACCTTGACGGTTACGCTCTCCTACACCCAAGCCAACGAGGAAGGTCCTTCGTGGATGAATCGGTTGCCCCGTGTTTCTTCACTCGCCAAGGGCTCCATGTCTTTCCGGAAAACTGATGACTCCGAGGAGGAGGAGAAACTGCCAGAGTACCCCCCTGGAACATTGCCACCCATTGGTATGCCAGGAAACTTCCTTCGCCGGGTGCGTGAAGACGACCCCGATGCCCAGACTAGCGACGCTGCACGAAAGCCTGTCCGTCGGCGCCGCAAGAAGCACCGTAAGCATGATGACGTCGGTGGTCCAATCAGCGAGTCCGCCATCATGCCCCAAAGACGACCTGAACCAGACGCTTCTGAGGCGGAGCAGGAAATGGAAGAGCGAGATGCTGTGGAACGTGGTGCTTCTCCGCCCAATGCTGAGCGGGAACGGTTCGGCCGTGAGCCAGAGCTTGAAGTTTTCCAAGAGGGTCACCATATGGTCATTGAAGACGAAGAAGGCAATGTGCTCAAGACCGAGGATACCAGCAAGCTCACCCCGGAACAACAGGCAGAGCTCATCGAGGAACAACGCCGACGACTTGAGAATGACAGGTCCGGCGAATTTGCCCACTCTCAGAGCAGGCCTCACGAGAAAGATGAAGGCGAGGAGATCAAGCACGCCGTTGATGACAAGATCGGTCACCCAGGTGAAAAGGCCCGCAGCAAGTGGACTTCCTGGACCGGCCGTGGGAAAACCCGGGTTAAGGACAAAGATGAAACCAAGCCTACTGCTGAAGCTCCAGCGAAGCCTAAGCACCGATCTGCCCACGCCTACCAGTTTGGTAACACTATTATTGTTGAGGATGAGGATGGCGAGGTAATCAAGAAGTACACCATTCCTTCTGGAGACAAACCTGCCAAGCCGAAGCCGAATCCTGATGCGCAACCTGGACCTTCAAACCCGGCTCCAATTCGTCGCGGTCTCACCCGCATGGGTACTTGGCTCGGCAGGGAAGAAGAAGGAGAGGCATCCGGCCAGAAGAAACAGAAGCCTGCTCCTAGAACTGAAACTGATGACTGGACTACCGATGATGGTCTGCGATTCACTCTTGCACAGAGCTCGGATGTCGACTCCAATGGTATCGGCCACAAGGGTCGTCGTATGAACAAGCACGAGTTCTTCCAGCAAATTAAGGGCTTGGACGCCAAGGCTCGCCGAGATGTGGTTCAACAAACGGATGCACCTTCCCCCGTCAAAGAAGTAGCCAGAGAGGAAGCCAAGAAGGAGGAAAAGACAGAACGTCGTCTGTCTGCGGTCGCCGCAGCTGTTGCCACTGACACAATCCCCGAGACCGAGGAAGAACTCGAGTCCGAGTCTGTCACCGACAGTCAACTCAGCAGCGAGGAGGAATCCGACACTGAACGACCAAACGTGGCTGCTTCCATGGCTAAATGGACCCGCGGTACCTCCGCTCAAGAACGTCGCAGCAACCTCAGCCCTGCACCCCCTCGTGCCCGTGTCCGCCGTGACTCCGATGATGACGGCACTGAGCGTATTCCTCCATCTGCACTGCGTCAAGCTGCTGGTCTGACTGCCCCACCTCGCGAGAGGGAAGATGACACAGGCGAGACCCCAGCTGAGCGCCGCCGTCGTCTCGCTGCCCTCGGCCACAGTGGCGATACCGACTCCGATTCAGATGATGATGATGATGATGATGTTGTTGAAGAAGACTCCGACAGTGAAGACGACGGTGAACCACGTCTGATCCCACCAATAGGCAAGGTCCAGTTTGCCAATGATCCCCGACCATCCGAGCCATCCAGCGTTAGTGGTGAACAATCCTCCAGCTCTGGCTCCGGATCCACGTCTCGACCCACCCCAGGCCACCGTCCACGCGTATCCTGGGGAGGTGAAAAGGGTCGCTAGGCACCCTTTATTGATTTGCATGATTTTCCTACTCACCTGTAAATGATCTGTGATGCTTACAGATGTCTCAACTTTCATCCAGTACATTGAACATCAAGTTTTGAACATATATCTTGCCCTTGCTACTATTCCTGTATCCTTTTCTCATTGCTGTGCATAGTACCAGCCCTTCGGGGCATATTTGTCCGATGAACCTGATGTGCTGGCTTGTGACCATGAACCTGAACATGATGCCTGAAGGTTTATTTTTTATGGTTGATATTGCTAGAAGAGGTTCATAAAGATTTGCATACATTGACTTGTCAACAGTTCTCTTGTTCCAATAAAGGCTAACCTTGAGCTACCAGTCGACACTGACAAGGCGTAAAATAGTGCAACGAGTGTAGCTAGTTATAGTTTCGTATATGTAAACGCCTTTTTTTGGTACGGTGCCAAGCAAAGCATTTAGCAAAGCTCATTTCCGGAATACTCCAAACAGCACTTCCACTCACTATCTTCGTTAATCCGGGCAAATTGTCACTCAAAATATTCGCGGTGACACCATAAACAGTCGCTTCACTTCCTTCTTTCGATATCATTATTTTCACGGGTAAGCTTACCTGTTCTTCCATTGTGTTCCCTATTGAGAACAATCTTCATAATTTAGTGCTGATAGCTAAATTCTCCATGAAGCGTAATCCTGTGAGACTATGTACCAGTGACTCTCTGTAGACTTACGCGCTTAACTTAATCTGGTGTGGCTGCATAGATGCGCTCCCAAATAGGTTTAGTCTGATGTGTATTAGCACTTCACCATCATCCATCTTATTTCATCTACTCTTCGCTGCCAATATTTCATTTGAGCGATGAAGCCATTGAATTAATTCTAAAAGATTTGCCTTTCTATCCTTATTTGTCTGAGTTTAGGTTTGCGCAGAGTAAGACTGAATTCATCATAAGACTGATTTAGTGTTATCGGGAGGAATAGCTTCAGAGCTTGTTATCTTGTTGTCTAATTTCGTTATTGATAGTGTAGTATCTCGTTGACCATTAATCATAGAGTTCTAGTTTGTCTCCGCAACATTGTAAACCAGCTTCTCGCCGCTAACCTTGTCGTTCTTGAGAAGGTCCAGTCCCTCAAGAACTCCCCGCAGACCACCAGGGTTAACCTTAGGAGTATGCACCTTGATCTTACCCGAAGCCAAGAGTGGCTCGGCAATCTTCCACCATCCAATAGCGAACTCCTTGTTCTCAGGCTGAGCAGGCCAGAAGCGGCCAAACTTGTCGAAAGCTTCGCCAACCGCGGTATATCCTAGAGTCATATGGTTGTTCACATTCTCCCGCTTGACACCAACGGCAAGCAAAGCAGTGTAATCACCACCAGTGGTAGACATGGCAGCATCACAGTACTCCGCACTGCTCTCAAGCGAGATGGTATCGAGCACAAGCTTGAGCTTGTCATCGCTGGCGGCACGGATAGCGGCCGCGGTCTTGGGGTCCTTGTAGTCGAAGGCCTCGTCGGCACCGAGGCTCTTGACGAGATCGAAGTTCCGGGGGGAGCAGGTTGTGAAGACCTTGTAGCCGGACAGCTTGGCAAACTGAATAGCCAGGGCTCCGGTGGCGGTAGATCCGCCGTAGATGAGGAGGGGCTCGGGAGTCTTAAGGGGCTCGGTGGGGAGGGCGAGCTTCAAGGTCTGGTAAAGCGATTGGCCGACGGTTGTGATGCCGACACCGAGGGTGGCAGCTTGCTGGAAGCTCAGGTTGTCGGGGATGGGCATCTGGAGATCGCCCTTTGCGACAATGTATTCGGCGAAAGCACCGTCTTCAAATTGGTTGACATTTCCACCGTGAACGAAACCGCAGATACGGTCGCCCTTCTTAAATGGCTTCTTGACGTCCTTGCCGACCTCCACGACCACGCCAGCGTAGTCGCAGCCGATCAAGGCGCCTGGTGGGGATACATATTCAACGTGCTTCCAATCAGTAGGGTTCAAGGCGACGGCCTCGGTTTTGATGAGAATGTACTCGTCACGGAGAGTCGGCAATGCGCGGTCGGTCACAACGTCCGCCACCTTGGGAGCTGTGACGACGACGGCTTTCTGGGTGGTCATTGTGGCTGTTTGAGTTATGTATGGAAGGGGAGAAAGACAGAAGTGGTTATAGTGATGAAGGTTGGACCAGGGGGTGGTGGATTTATATAGTCGTGAGATAGGTTTGAAAAACTCAATTCAATTCAATGGAAAACGACGGAAAGTTAACAACGATTGTCTTCATCATTGCGCCGATATACAACTGACGCTAAACCAAAAGAAGCGTGCAGCCTAGCCGTATCTGGTCTGATCGCCGCATGAAGAGCCAATGATGTTGGATTTTCGAGCTATGATATATGGAGCCTCTTGAGAAACAAGCTTAATAATGTAGTCATAACTTGCCGAGGTTGAAGAAGCTTATAAATCATCCTTTCCTTTCAAGCGCAACTGTGGAGACTTCATTCTCGAAAAATCCATGGGTCACGTGGGAATATAAAGTTCGTACGTCATCGCTCCTGGAATACTTCTTGACAAATGGGGGAAGAGTTCGACACACTAAGAACAGAACATCAAATTATATTTGAAAGAATTTCAATCAAGCGAAGCTGTGCTTCTTCACGGTCACATCCCACTCGGCCTTGACTTCTTTATAGAATGCGTCGTCAGTAAGAAGATCCCACGCAGTCAGAGCCAGCATGGTTCCCTGCTTCAGTGCAAGGTAGTATGCCTCTTCCGTACCCGTGGCCGCAGTGAAGGTCTGGTGATGGACAGAAGTTTCGGCAGAACAAGGGATAGCGTAGTATGCATGAATACCCGGACATTCATATGTGACATTGCCTATGCAGAGTTAGTAATGATTCAATAGTTATCTATGAGACAATCTTTTCTTACCAAAGTCTGTGGAGCCAGGCTCAATTCTGTGAATGAATGGAATGGTCTTCTGGCCTTCGATGCTATTTGTGATCTCTGCGTAGCGGTTGCAAAGGCTCTCAGTAACGAGGGTATCGGTGTACATGTTACCCCTGGGAAAAGATATTAGTTGCGTAACAAAAGCAAAGGGGCTTCATGAACGTACTCAGTGACAGTCACAGTGCATCCAGTAGCGGTGGCAGCAGCCTCGAAGCAAGCAAGAACACGCTTTGAAAGAGCCTGGAGCTTACCCCGGGTAGGGCTGCGAGCAATCCAAACACACTTAGTGTAGTGTCCAATAGTGTTGGGCACAGTGGGTCCTTCAAGGACGACACCGTGAATTCTCTCCTCGGGGAGAGTCTGCTGTCTCAAAAGAGCAATATTGTTATAAGCGGCGACAGCGGCATCAAATGCATTGATACCAAGGTGAGGGCATGCAGACGCGTGAGTTGCTCTTCCATGGAACTCAACGACCCACCGGAGCATGGCCAAAGAAGAGGCACCTCCAAATGAGGTGACACCATCTTCAACAGCATTTGGCGCAATCTGCTGAGGAGGCACAGGGTGTCTATGATTTGTTAGTGTATTGATATTCCAGGATAGGGTTGGATACTGACGCCATGACAGCGGCATCAACCCCCTTGAGAGCGCCGGCATTGCAGAGGACGGCCTTGCCACCCTGATTCTCCTCGGCGGGACAGCCAAGGAGCTGAACACGACCCTGGATACCGTTCTGCTTGATAGCGGCTGTAACACCGAGGAAGGCAGCGATACTTGTAGCGGCAATCAGGTGGTGGCCACATCCGTGGCCAATTCCAGGAAGAGCATCGTATTCCGCGTTGATGCTGACAAGTCGGCCACCCTGACCATACAGAACTTCAAAGGCAGTCTCGACGCCATATGCTTTGCGAGTGACCTGGAATCCTTGGTCTTCGAGGTACTTGCAAATTGTGTCGTGGGCAATGTACTCCTCGAACGCGATTTCAGGGTTGTCATAAATCTTTGCTGACATTAGCATACAGAAGTAAGTGATTTGATAGATGGTACACACATGCTTAATGACCTTTCGTAAATCAGTAGAAGCGATTCCAACCGAAGCCTCGACAATCTCTTGGATGGCCTTCAGTCTGTCTATACCCGTTTGAGGGCTCACGCTGGAGGATTCGGCAATGGAGCCCATACTTGTGTGATTGTTGATAGATCTTTTGATGTTGTTAGATGCTTTGCAAGTTTATCTGCGAGTTGCTGGGAACGAAAGAAGACATGTTGGATGGGAAAGGCAACATTCTTATAGACATGATGTTTTCCTATGACACCAACCACTCAGTCATAGATTCAAGAAGTCTATGGTCTGCCTTTTCCAGATGTCACTCATGGTATAGATTAGCGCAGGCTAATTGCAACTTCGCCAAAAGTTATAGATCTTCGGCTAGAAGCAACCAATGAAGAAGGAGCTTATTGTCAAGGCTCACTTATCAGGTGGCGTTATCGTCCCTTATCTACGACTTCGGCTATATAATCAAACTAACCAACCCGCATCCATTCTGCATTGCGCTTCTATTCGCTTTTTTTAGTCAAATTACCTCTTTCTTGTACATGCAATTAAAGTGTTGGCCAATCAATTGCCGACGTGTGGTTCGGTAACGGTGCTCATACCCATCCCCTACAAACAGCCGAACTCGCTAGCCCCATGTCTGGTCTGAACGGGCCGCGCAGTAGAAGTGGTAGGTGGGCTAATGTTCAGCTATCGCGCTATCGAGCATGTTTTGACAGTTTTCTCGCTTATCAGGATGCTGGACATGCCGAGCTCGCAAGGTCAAATGCGATGAAGGTCGACCCAAGTGCGAGAAGTGCATCAAGCGAAACAGAGAATGCGATTATGAGCCCCGGAAAAGAGCCCCCCGGGGAAGCGGCCAAGGACCCCGCAGTCTCCACCTAGAGATGAATTCCAAACCCAAGGCGATCGCGATCGCTCCGGCAGCAACGAGCGTTTCGCCAGCATCTACGCTTGTTGATTTAGAATCGGACTTGCCTTACGGAATCAAGGCTGCGGATTGGCCAGTTGCTCTCACAAGTACAGATCGCCGAGCACTTGATCATTATGCTGCTTACGTTGTTCCTCGGATGATTCTAAAAACGGCTAGATGGTCATCATACTCATATGTATTGTTGATGTGCGCAAAACATCCGCTCTTAGCACATCTTGTTACTGCATTCTCTGTGCGAGATATGGCCAAGGAGAATGAAAATGAGCTGCTTACGATAGCGATGGAACATTACCAGAAGGCGCTGTCACTTTTTATCGAGCATCTCTCCGCCCCACAAGTGACCGGATGGATTACATTTCCGGCTCTATGGTTTTTTATTATTTACGAGCAAACATATGGCGATGACCCCAATGTACTACAAACGCATCTTCGTGGGGTGCGGGATGTTATTATTACTCACGGAGCCGCAATTTTGCCGGGATCCTTGCATGATGAAGCTAATGCGGGTCAAGAAGCTCCACCGAAATATTGGGTTCCACCGCAGATGATCGACCGAATGGCATTGTGGACTATCCACCATGACGCTAAGGCATCTACATTCGGCCTGGGGGCTAGTATAGTGACCCTATTGGATGAGCACTATCCCGGCGCTGTAGCGAAGATCAGCAAAAGTTCTATCAACGCGCTGCAGGATGCATGGGGCTCGGATTATCCGGTCCAGGAGGAGATTTGGGACATGCAGATTGAAATTCTGTATAGCTTTGCGCATGATGCGACGATGTTACGATATGAATTGTCCGACATTGAGAAAGAAAACGTTCCCATAGACCCTGGCAAATTACTTTCATTCAGCCGGAAATTAAAGGAGTTACAAGAGGTATGTATCTCCAACTGATCTCTCTAGAAAATAACTGACGTACCACAGAGAGCATCTAGTTTATGTTCCACAGCCCTGTCACGCAGAATTGAAAGAAGTGATTTGCTCTCGAACACATGTGTAACGGCAGCGGATATTCTTGGCCTGGTCATCCGGCATGATAGACTACTATATGAAGACCGGTTATCATCAGTCGTTTCCCAAGTCCTGCAGATTTGTCACAGTATCTATGAGTACGAGGGGGATGGTTATCTGTGGCGAGCCGCGTGGCCAATGTTTGTGGCTGCATTTGAAACAAAAGACCCGATACACCAGGCCTGGATTCTAGAAAGATTCGCCGCTCTTCAAGCTGGTGGCCAAAATATGCGACGAGCCCATGATTTGTTAAAGGCTGTGTTCATGGAAATGAGGATTAGTACGCAGCCCAGGAATTATTTAGCCTGGATACGAGATGAACGATTTCCAGGGTTTGTGATATGATATAAGTGGATTACTATGATGATACAAATAGATTACATTCAAGCTAATCAAATCTCTGACTTCATCTTGCTAATCTCGAGCACAGGCAAATAGGCTTGCCAAGCTATCCTAAGAAGAGAATGGGCTGTACTAGTGGACTTTTGGCTTTTAGGCTCTGGTACTTCATGCTATTGCCGAGTCCGTATAGCCGAATTTGGAGAATTTCGGCTTTATCAACCAATCGACCAACTCAGTCGATACTGTTCACCCAAGCATAAAACCATCATCATCTTTGCCACACATTCGCATAAATTTAAGAATGCAATACTGAGGCTAGACCATCCCAACGCTTTGGCCACTCTATTTCCTATGCAGCCACAGATAACAGCTGCCAAATCTCTGGGATAGTTTCCCGCTATCTTGATCCTCTTAAGCCCATAGTTCTCTTGATAAGATGGGAAACTATTAGAAGATAGGGAAACGTAATGGAACTAGCTAATTGGGCACTGAAGTGAACCTTTAAGTTGAAGCATATATTATAAAGCAATGTACCAGAAGTATGACTACAATCAATATCAATACTACAAAGCAATAGCCTTTAATTTTGGAATTGACTCCAGATTGTGATACTGCATTGAACTATCCTCCACCATGGACATAGAGTCCAAGAAAACCGATCTCAAGGCCCCATGCGTCAATGTAGATGAGGATACCGGCACGATTGAAAGTGTACAGATCGAAATGCGCAGAGTGCTAAGGAAGATTGATACCAGGTACTTAAGACACCATCATCGAAACCATTCCCAAAGCCTAACATGAAACAGATTTCTACCACTTCTCGCCTTTTGCTACTTTTTGCAATTCCTCGACAAGACCTCTTTGGGATATACGGCTCTTCTGGGTATTCGTGCTGATACTGTATGCATCTCTTCCACATATCATAGATGCATGACATCTCGGTCACGGCTTACATATGACAGGGTATGGTTGGAGATGAATATTCCTGGATAAACTCCATTTTTTACTTTGGATACTTTCTTTGGTCTTTCCCGACATCCTGGTTAATTGTCCGCGTTTCCTTGGGGAAGTACCTTTCATTCGTGGTGTAAGCTATCTCAATGTCATGCATACGCAATACTAGATACTTACATACTGCATAGCTTTGTTTGGGGTGCTGTGCTTGCATGCCATGCGGCATGTCATAATTATGCCGGCTTCATGGTTGCCCGGTTCATCCTCGGTATAATGGAGTCATCCGTCGCACCGGGCTTCAGTTTCCTTACAGGGAAGTTCTATAGGCGAGAAGAACAACCCCTAAGGTGAGTCTCGCTGTGTTCATCTTCTCTTGCATTCAACTTACCTCTTATAACAGACACGGTATCTGGTACTTGGTATGTGTTTATTATACCATTGATTGGAAGGTGACTTACGATTTTGAAACAGGGCAACAGTTTCGCCGGCCTTTTCGGTGGTGTTCTAGCGTTTGGAATTGGACACATCCAAGCTAGACTGTACTCATGGCAATACCTTTTTATCATCCTCGGCTCGGCAACATCTGCCTGCGGAATCGCTTTGTTCTGGCTCCTTCCAGATGGACCTGATAGCGCCTGGTTCCTTTCACCAATGGAGCGTGTCACTGCTGTTGAACGTACTAATGACGTGCATCAGAAGTCTGGCTCGAATGAATTCCAGATGTATCAGGTTTGGGAAGCGCTGAAAGACCCTCAATCTTGGCTTCTTTCTTTGAATATGCTTGGTTGTATGCTCGTTAATTCTGGACTGAGTGCAGTAAGCATATATTGTTGAGCCCACGAGGTTGAAGCTGAGATTAACTTGAATGTCAGTTCACGGGTATCATCATCGCTGGCTTTGGTTACTCTGGCCTCCAGGCGTTGCTGTATCAGATGCCTGCTTCTGCGGTGCAAATCGGGTTGGTCATTATCACCTCGCTTTGCGGTAGCTACATTCCAAATTGCCGGTGTATTATGCTCGCCATTATGTCCTTGATCAGGTACGTCCTACACTTTGCGTAGCGTGCAGTATTTGCTAATGGAGTTCAGCATTGTCGGGGTCCTCTTAGTATATCTCCTTGATGACGAACACATCCAGGCTAAATTATTTGGCACATCAATAATGGGAGCTTTCGCCTCCGGTTTGCCAATCAGCATGTCGATGGTCTCGTCTAATGTCTCCGGGAGTGCCAAGAAGACCACTGTCAGCGCTATGTTGTTCCTTTCTTATTGTATTGGCAACATTATCAGTCCACAGGTCTTCTTGACGAGGGAGGAGCCCAAGTATCCGGTAAGCAAGGTTATCATCTCTGCTGATGGATTCATTCGCTGATTCGAAGACAAACTAGACTGGTATCAAGGTTTGTCTTACCGGTCTCTCTCTGGGGTTTGTTAGTGCAGTTGCTCTTCGTTTCTACTTACAGCACCGCAATTCGCTTGCGAAGACCAATGCTGTTAGCTATGAGTCAGAAGGCAGGGAAGTCATTGATCAAGATCAGGAGAAGACCGACAAGGAAATTCCGGGCTTTATTTATTTGCTTTAGACCTCGGGATAACCTTCGCAATATAGCTTATGGTCTTTATGATACTCGATGTAGTATTTGTTTATTTATACAGTTTACATGACAAGGCCCGGGAATGAATGGAGTGAAAACCAATATTTATGTTAAATTGTATCTCATGAATCCTTTTTTACATGATATCATCCAATGTAGGGCCATAGCCTATCCAAATAAAAAGAATAATTATCTTCTCGGCTCCAAATTAAATCCAGCTTACTCGGAAGTTTCAGCGGTGTGCTCGGCATGGGCAGCAGCAGTCTTCTCGCTCATGGCCAATTTGTCGCCCAGGACCTCAACATCACCACGCTCGGCAGCGGCAGTGCGCTTGCTGTCGTGGCTAGTCTTCCAGGCAGGGGTACCAATGTAGGGAATACCGTTGGGATCCTCGAAGATCTGCTCCGTCTCCTCAAGAGTCTTGCCAGCAGTCTCTGGGAACATGAAGAAAACGTGGACCCACATAACAGTGAGGAAGACACCGAAGATGATGTAAGTCTGCCAGCGGATATTGGCGAAAGCAGAGGGAACGAAAAGACCCAGTGCGGTGTTGAAAGCCCAGTTGGCGGATGTAGCGAGAGCGACGGCCTTTCCGCGGACGCGAAGAGGGTACAGCTCGGGAGGGTATACCCAGGAAACGGGACCCCAAGTGGGAGCGTACGAGGCAACGAAGAGGTAGGTACAAGCGATGAGGGCCTTGGCAGGAGCACCGCTCAGGCGCATCGACTCTTCGGGAGTTCCACCGATACCACCGGGGACGACGACACCATAGGCAGCCATCAAACCGGCGTTGGCATACATCCAGGTCATCATGAAGGCAGCACCGATTAGGAGAGTAGGTCGACGACCCCAACGGTCAACCCAAATCAGGGCGGGAACGGTGGTCACGACGTTGATGATGTACTGGATGGAAGAGGCGAGGAGGGTAGCGTTGCCAGAGTAGCCCGCCATAGTGAAGACGTAAGTGATGTAGTACATCATGACGTTCATACCAGTCAGCTGGGACCAGATCTGCATAAAGACACCAATAACCGTGCGGTTGAGCATCTTGGGCTTGAAGAGTTCCAGGTATGAGACGTCGGCGTTGTGGCGCTCGAACTCGCACATCTCGCCAATCTCTTGCATCTCAGCCATGACGAAGGGGCTGTTCGGGTCACCCTTACCGTGGACCAGGGTGAGGACTTGTTTGCATTCTTCCCAACGGTCTTTGCGTGCGAGCCAGCGGGGGGACTCGGGGAGGGTGATCATGCCAAAGAAGAGGAGGATAGCGGGAAGCATCTGGATACCCCAGGGAACACGGAAGACGGCGGTACTGTAGGTAGTGGCGGTCTTGCCACCAATGTAGGAGCAACCGAAGGAGATGCTATAAGGTTAAAGATGATTAGCATGACGAATTCGCATACTCTATGCTTTCTGGGGATTTGACATACTAGTACATGATCAGAATACCCCAGGTGATAGCCCACTGCTGGGATCCGACCAAGCGACCACGCTTTGAGGGAGGAGCAAGCTCAGAGATGTAGACAGGAACCTGAGCTGATTCAATGCCGACGGCGAGACCGTTGATAACACGGCCACCAATGAGCATACCCATGTTTTGAGAAGCGCAGATAATAGCAGAGCCAATAACCCTAGACAACGGAATGTTAGTCATAGCTAATATCGAGGGTCAAAGACGGGATTAACGTACCAGACAACACATCCAACCATAATAGAATAACGACGTCCAAGGCGATCCGAGATAAAACCGGAAATCAAAGCACCAAGCCACGAACCAGCGGGCATAGAAGCAGTGACACCACCCTGAGACAGAGAGCTCAACCCACTACAGTGATCGTCATCGGTGAAAGGAGGACCCAATGGTCCGTGGTTGAAATAACACTTGTAGGCAGGCGTCTCTATAATGGCAGACATCGACGAGATGTCAAAACCAAATAGACCACCGCCAATGACGGCGATGGCCGCAATGTAGTAGATGTTCCCCGCAAGAGGCATGATGGGCAGTCTGGTAGACTTAGATCCCAGATCTAGTTATTATAGGGTAAAAGGAAACACAAGAAAAAACCAGCCGATCAAACCAAGTCCGGCTGTGGGAGGAAAGGGGCATTTAAATAGATCGGGGAGTATTGCATATGACAGAGAATTCTTGTTATTTTTTTTTTACACTTTTTTTTCATTACCTTTTCGACCGGTGGCTTCGACATGGGGCCGAAACCATAGACAGCTCCACTAGGAGATTGGCCTGGAGACTTCATTTCGGATAAAGTCTGGGGAGAATTCGACAACACTGTAACGTTTCCGGCGAGATGTGCCAAGACCCTGTTCGCGTGCCCTGCGGGGGTAATTGTATGTGATTGGTTGTATATGGTAATATGGATCCACATGCCAGGTTCTCATTGGCCGGAATGGGCCGATCTCACAAATGGATCCGGGGAATCGGCCACGAGGGATGCCTTTTCTAGACCGAAAAAAGGATGGTCATTCAATGATTCAAGCCGTGTTCGGTCGGCTTATTGTGTCGGCTTCCTCCCGGGATGACGCTCTGTACGGGACGAATAAATAGGTATGTATTAGACACGACCATCCCTAGTGTCAATAATTAGGTATAATAAGGTAGAGGGTCTCTACCCGAAGACCCTACAGGAGAAATTTTGTTCCTTGTTCCAACATCAGGCCGCAGACCCATAGGTACCAAGATGAACGAAATGCAACAAAAAACAAGGCATTGATGTAAGCCTGTTCCAGGACTTGACCTGTTCAGTAGAAAACACGAATCGCGTACAGGAATTAAATTGGCGCATAGTCCAAATTAACCGGTTCTCCACTTAATCTCTAAACAAATTTTTCTATTGGGGTCTGGAGAGGCAGTCCGGGGCCCCAATGGACGGGCATTTACCCAGAAAGGGACGGCTTCGCACGGCATCCCACGGCACTGAGTGGTCGGCGCACGCCGAGAAGTGGAACTCGGAGGGGTCTTCGGGTTCTCTACGGGCCCTCTCCGGTTCAGCCTGTTTGTTTCCCGTGGACGGCTGCCCGAAATGAACAGTAAAAAATCAGAAAAAAATATTTTTCGAAGTTTTGTCCCATCAATGTTGGGCTGGTCGGTTACAGCGCAGGTTTCGGTCTGTGTGGGTCCCAAAAGAAACCTCTTACGATCCAAAGATGGTAAATGAAGTGTCGGGTTGTTCCATATTGACTCCGCGTTCTTCCATGCGGAGGTAAGTCGGGGTTGACCACGGCCACTTTCGTTCACCGGGAGTCCATTCCCCAGACATCTCCTCCGCAATTCACTGTTTACGCGGGGAATCATTCATGAGAGATTAGAGAGAAAAATCAAGTTTCGCTTAACATCATCACGCAGATCCCACTTTCTTCAATTGGAGAGTCTCAACAGGCCGTGTGTTAGCACGGCCCGCCCGATTCCCGATACATGGTCAGCTCCGTTAATTGCCCGAGATTATTACTGGAGGAAGAATTGCGGCCCTGCTCCGGATAAATCCATGATGTAATTTATTATGGCGCAAATAAGCACCTCTTGCGGTTGAGGCTTTTTTTCCCTTGCGCCTTAAACTCTGTACCTTCTGGATGCGACGCCGTGGCTGTTGAAATGGGCCGCGCTAGGGTCCAATTCCCGCGCCTCCTCGTCATGGTGCACGGATCCACTTGAAAGAGAGTTTTGCGCTCAGGAGTACACGCCTGGAATGGAACCATGGATTCGCTAATTAGCAAATGCACGGCCTTTGTCGGCAGTTCAGCAAGTGTTGGGGGGAACGACGAGGGATCGGCAAAAGCTTGCCCAAGTGTCGCCAATTACCATCCCCACGGGGTTTCCGAAGGCCTATGGACGATGTAACCATAATAATTCTTCTTTGGGATTATCGTACCATCTTTATCTCTACTTGAAAGGTCCAATCAACCAATCAATGTGTGTTTTATACTTCGAAATGAGCTTGACATCTACCCAATGTCCCACAAGCCTGGCCCAGTTGCAAATCGCTCCGCGTCTCAGTCTCTGAGAATGGTGTGCGGGTGGAAATGCCACTTTGACACATGAAAATTTCAATGATCAATGTGTTAAGCACAGCTGAACCAGAACCTCAAGCCGTCTGATAGCTGAATTATACATTATTGAACCAAATTTTACTTCCCATTTCTCATGAACTGAGCTAAACAGCACCTGCTCCAAGAAGTACGTCTCCCTTTATACCAGCACATCCATGCTCAAACCGCTGCGGTCTGAGAAACTCCACAGTTGAGTTCCCATAGGCCAGTCCAACCAACGTTTTTCCTATTCAAAGTTAACACCCATCTTGAAACGGGGTTGACCCATCATGTTTTAAACTCACCATGCGGATTGTATCTCGGCCAACCAAGCTTCTCCAGTCCATGCTTCGGATCACTAGCAAATGCCACCCAAGCGGAGGCCATGTACCTAGAAAACTCTTTTCCAGCCTCGCTATTCGGAATCCCACTGACTGTTTCTGCGTTGCCGAATAGCACTGGCAGATCAGATCCATGATAAGTTCCGCTTCCGGGGTAAAGACGCAGGTTGTCCCAGTCACCAAAGTATCGAGCTTGCCATGCTGGAACACCATGAGCTGTCCTGTATCTCACGGTTTCACCGCTGGGGCACGTAAATGCTGCGAGATTGAAGTCGTTCCAGGATTTATCGTTCACTGTGATGTTGCTTGCGTATGCGACGAGGCGGTAGAAGCCCGCTTCGTTGTCGTTGCATGTTACCAGATATGGCTGTAAACTTAGCATTCCGGTAGCTCAAATATATATCTAGGCATGGATATTATATAGATGTAATGGATCAACAAATGGCTTACCAGACGTGCGAATTTTCCCGCAGCTGATCGGTTTTTGTAATCACTAAAAACAGTTACCTCATCTGCGACTGGATGGAAAGCCGGCTCAGGAACTGTCGCCGAGGGTATTTGGGGATAGCTGGTGGAGGTGTCGAATATATCCTGCCATGGTTTCTGGCGCATACACTGTAGAACCCAGTCCTGGTTCTCAGAGCGACCTCCACATCCCAGAGATGTAGATACATTATAGAAAGCGTTTGCTGACTGTTCGATTGTACTGGGTATGTAACTCAGCGCAGTTCCAGAGTGAGATATTAGTCCACTGATCAGGGGGTCATGCGCCCAGGCATAGGAGTATAAGTCAACAGAGGTACCACCGGCTGACGATCCGAATATTGTGATGTGGCTTGGATCTCCGCCGAATCCTTTTATATTACGGTGGACCCATTCGATCGCCATGCGTTGGTCGAGAAGACCCACGTTCTGGGGAAGGTTTGGGGCGCCTGAGAAGCCAAATATATTCAATCGGTAACTTTAAGGGTTGTGAAAGCCGAATTATTAGTTGTAGATGTTCGTATTCAAGTATATGTTGGAGGCATTTTGAGCCAACTCACTTGATTGTCACCAATAGGACTTCATGTTTGGATGCTAAAGCCTGTCCGTCATAATAAGAACTTTCAGCGCCTGTAATAACGAATCCTTGGAGTCAACTGGTGTTAGCATATTACTTATATATGTCAGCTGTGAATTGCACTTACGTCCACCATGAATCCACAGTAGAACTGGTTTTAGTTTGGAAGAACCAGGTTTTGTCCATATGTTGAGGTACAAGCAGTCCTCACTTTGCGGACCGGGCTGTTGCAAGAATGCGCTTATAATTCTGGACGCTTGAGAAGTCGATCCAGGGTACCATGGAAGTGTGTCGTTTTGACAGGGACAGTTACTATTGTTTCATTAGATAGCTTATTAGCAATGGGATGTGATACATATACGGGCTCTGTTATAGCGTTATGAATTATCAGTGACCCCAACTTCAAGGGCAAAGAGAAGTAGTGAGATGAAAACACACGTAGGTATCTGCTATGACAGTCTCTTTTGATTCCGATGATGCGGGTGCGGCGAATCGTAGTTGGCCCGTTGGGGGTGATGCATATGGAATGCCCAGGTACTCAGAGACACCAGGAAATTGGGGACCAGCATGGCCAACTATCAGTCCGCTGCTAGTTTTCACAGAAGCAACGGGCAATGATCGGGCTGAAGCAAAACATTGTTGGCACCAAACGAGAGAACACGTGCATATAACAAGAATAGACTGGGTAAGCATATTAGGGCCTGCCATAGCGAGGGTTGCTCAATTGAAATACAGATCGTGGGAAACTAGTGGTCAAGTGTGATATTATAGCACTCAAATCAGATTCATGTGACTCAAACATGTGTTACTGATCGAACATGTAGTGCTGACTGAGTCTGCATGAACTCCTTAATCCCGGTCAGTCTTAAAAGATTATGCTGATCCCAAGGTCAGCAACATGACTTATGAGGGCTTTTCAAAGAGACTGATCCATTGAACTGTAAAACCATAAGCACACGTGCTATGCTTCGTGCATTCTCAGTCATCTTCACTAGGCCCTGGTCTACATTGACTGTTTCCAAGGTCGTACATGATTTCCAACATTAATTATTTGCCTATGTTCCTGGGCTAAGCCTCCCAGTTCGAAGTTGTCATCATGATCATCATCATTTCACCAGCTCCCATTGTGCAATGTATGCCCATGCCATTCCCACACGGCCGCGTTGGGATTCATACTCTTCAGCCGTTATCCCACGGCAATTCGTGCGCTCACCAAACTTCGTCAACACAGCAAGTAATACCTTCTGGCCAGGTGCACCGAGCATCCGAGGATCTACATCCACGTACCAGAACTCGCCGCCGCCGCCTGGACCAGAGCCAGGCATATGTCGGAAGACGAGCTGATCGTCTTTCCGTCCATCAACGCCCTTGATCATGAGTAGGAATAGAGCAGGCTTGAGACGCGAGTGCCGCGCCAGTGTCCAGTGTTCACAGATTAGTCCGAATTGGAAACGAAGCGGGCTTTGTGCGCTGTATACTGAGATCTCCCCACCCTCTGGCTGTAGAGTCCTGCGGCCGATGCTATGTTTATCGGCATCGCTGTAGGTTTTGATGGGCTTCAAGCCGGTTGGCATGTCAGGGTTGATTACAATGTATTCTTCATAACTGACGAAGCGACCATCTTCACGGTAGAGGTAGCCTGTGTTTTCGGGGTAGTGCTTCAGACCAAACTCCTCGTTTGACATGGAGAAATAGGCAGGATTGTATTTTGGCTCGTAAGGCATGCCTTTGCCATTCACGCAGCCGGAGCCCCAGCATGGATCGACCAGCTTCCAGCGTCCGCCGTCAATTTTCACGGCGTTCCAGGCATGGGTTGTTTTGAAAGGTGGTGGGCGTGCGCCTGGCGCTAGGGGGACGTAACCGAATCCTTTATCAGCACCACCAATTACAACGGCTTCCAATCCAGCTTTCGTGGCCAGCACAGCATATAACCCTGCATAACCCTCGCAGACAGCCAATCCAGTGGCTAGGGTATTTTGGGGAGTGGATGGCTTCACGTTATTATTGAAGAATGCGACGGTATCATAGTGAATGTTATGATGCATCCAGGAGAATATGGCTCTAGCCTTGTCGGTCAGGGATGGGAATGGAGCAGTCAGCTCATTCGCTAACCAGCCCAGATCTTGTGTCGGGAGGGAAGCGCGTGGATACTGGGCTCCCCGGGCGTCTGGACCGGAAAAGTCTCGACATACCAAGCACTCCGTCGTAGAACTAAGAGGCTGTGCGGCGCCCGGGGAGGAGCCATGGAATTTTGGCTTGGTAGCTTGAAGCTTTGAGAGATCTGGACGAGATCCGTGGGGAATAGGGGGGAGGCACACCGTTCGGTGAAGTGTTACTTGCTGGTGTGCTATTCGGTCTCACAGGGAGATTTGGAGTCTTCAACCCACCGAACCCGGACTGTCGAATATTGTCCAGAGTTGTAGCATTTGCAGGCGGGGGTAACCTCCGAGCCGGCAAGCTCGGGCGGTCTTCTTGTTCGGGTTCGTTTGTTTCATTAGGCCCATATGTAGGTGCGTCTAGTCCAGATGGCCGTCGCACAGGAAGAGGCGGCGGCGCGGGTGATTTCTCAGATCTGATTGAGGAGCGTGTCGGCAAAACAGGACGTGATGGTCTGGCAGGTGGCGAGGGTGAAGCGCCTTTGCCTCGCAATGAGGATAGCTTTGAGGTTAACCCGTTGGTTAAGCCGTTGAGCCTGGAGTCAGACTTGGGTTCTGAGCGCGAGGGCGGTTGCACGTCGATCGGATCTTCTCTGATACGTCTGGGAGGCAACACAGGTAGCTCTGTCTCTCCCCAGGCAGGGGCTTTGATGCGACCGCTGCCAGTGGTACCAGTGGTGCTAGTCGAATTGACAGACGTTGTCGATGCGCCACGTCCCAGACTATTCACGGTCGTCGCAGTTGTAGAGTGAGAGGCATCGGAGGTGACTGATTCGATCGATGGTCTCCGTGGTTGATCTTCTGTCGGTCTGCGAGGCGGCAATGCGGGACGTCTCTCCGCGAATTCAGAGCGCGCTGGAGGGGGAGGAGGCGGACGGTCCTTTCGTGTTGGCAGCGCAGGGGGAACTTTCGGTTTAGGCTTCAGTTCCGGTCGTGGCGATGGTGTGGGCGGAGGCCGCACCGCCGGTCGTTGTGTCCGAACATCTGAGGGCTTATTTCTATACGAGTCGCCGTCCAAAGTGGACTCGCTCTCATCGTATGATGGTGGTGGTCTTGGAGGTTGGCCGCGATCGGCAGCCGGGCGGAATAACGGTGGCTCAGGGCCCGATGGGTGAGCGGCTTGGGATTGCTTTAAAGCAGCAATCCGCTCTTGAATCGAGCCAAGCTGTGGTTCTTCAGTCATGATGCTCGTGACTTGATCAGGATAGGCTGAGTGAAGGACACAGCAACAATCTTCGTCCTTGGAAATGACTGTAATGACAGTTTCAAGCGCCAGTGGCTTGGCGCGAGACTAACACTCAGCCTTGTTCGGGTGGGTTGGTGGAGACTCTTAAACCCCAAATCAATCACAGTCACAGCAGTATGTGACAGTAAAGGTAGAAAGTCAAAACAGGCGGCTCAACCTGAATTTGGCCCCAAATGAGGGGCAGGTGTGCCTCCGCATGAGCCATGGGTCCCGAATCTATATTTGGACCACATCCATGGATCTAAATATGTACCTGTGTGGCAAAACAAAATATTGTTGAAAGGTAGTATGGTTACAAGTCAATATTATTTTCGAATTTTGTATTTCCATGTTGCCTGTCATTTGGACTCCCAAACGCCTGGAGCGGCTGAAAGGCGCCCCTCTAGGGAAAAGATATGAAAACAGAGAAGAGAAGACTAAGTATGTCCATGGATGGATGGGGGGTATATCCCCAATGAACACAGAGAAAGGAAAAGAAAAAAAAAATGCAAAGAAACTGTGGGGATAAGTTAGGCTAACTTTCAGACTGCAGATTTGGTGGTAATTCACCTATCATTCATCATGCAAGCAGGGCCACACAGACAAGAGAAACGTGGAATACATGATTGGAAGAATGGAAAAAGAAAAGAGAATTCACAGAATGGAAGACCTCAAGGGCCAGGAGTCAGCATCGTTCGTCAAGAGCATCACTTCATCCCAATGTACATAATCATGAGACCGACTAGAGACTGGGGCCTTAGACAGACTTGTAGAGTAGCAGGGGCTCGCCAACATTCTCAATCTCAGGGATGGTACATTTAAGATCGAATGCCTTGGCCAGGACAATTTTGAAGATCTGCAAGGGTTAGTGACGGGACACAGGATCGAAAGGAAGAGGGACAGACCTTTTGAACATTGATGCTGTGACTGGTGCTGCTGAAGATCAGGCTGGCCTTCATCGCCTTAGCAAAGCGCTTCGCTTGCAAAGAGATCTCTTCTTGGTCTTCCCGGGGGAAGTTGACAAAGTGGTCGTATTTGGTTCCAACTAAGAAGGGAATTGCTGTCTTGTTGAAGCCTCGGCCCTGGCGGTACCACTCCTTGATGGAGTTGAGAGTGCTCTTGCGGGTGAGATCAAACATGAAAAGAATAGCCACAGCATCGTTGCAGACAAGCGGAAGCATGTTCACAAACTCACGCTGACCACCAAGATCCCAAATGCTAAAAGTGATCTCAGTGTTACGAATTGAAATAGTCTTCTCCATGAAATTGACACCTGCAGGAGATTATCTGGTCAGCAAAAAGACTTAGACCGAGTTCAGTCTCTTAACACTCACCCAGTGTCTGAATGTAGTCCTCATCCCAGCTACCCTCGACGTACTTGACCATCAGACTAGTCTTTCCGATCTGAGCATCTCCAACCATTCCAACCTTGATGACAACGCTATTCTTCGCCGCCTGCGACGACTGTCCCCTTTGGGCGACCTCCGATGGCTGTGGCTGTGACATGCCATGTCGTTCCGGGCCACTTGAAAAACCAGAGCCGGGACGCGATGCGGGGTGAAGCTGAGGCTGCTGAGTCAGGGAAGGTGATGAATTGAAGCGAGAAGTTGGGTCGGCATCTTGAGGATGGTATTCAGGAGCAGAGTTGTGGAATTCGGTGGATCGAGAGTGATAGTGGGCTTTTGAGTCGCTAGCGTAACCATGATCGACTCGGACGTGACCAGCAGCTTGTTCGACCGGTGCAGCGACCGCATCATCAGAAGGCTGTTCAACGTTGACACTGACTGGGGCGGGCTGCTCCTCTGTCTGCTCTACAGGCTGTTCCTGTTCGGACGGAACTGGCAGCGACTGGGGAACTTCTGGCGCCTGGGGCTCGACAGGAGGCTGCTGCGGCTCCGCGACAGCAGGAACTTCTGAGACAGGCTGCTGTAGCGGATCCATTCTGGTGCTCGGGGAGGGTATGTCAGGAGGAGAGAGTTTATCTTCCTTGCGTTGAGTACCTGTTCGTAACACGTCCTTTAGCACCTGCGGGGAAAGGAGAGACCCATGTGATATATCACCAACCACGACCAATTACTTGGTCTTAATGGTAGTACAACCCAATGGGACAGTATTTTCAGTATGCAAGGTGTCTTTGAAATGCTAACCTTTGCCTCCGACCGAGGAAGATCTGACAAATCGCCAGGGTCTGAGATTCGGGGGAGTGGGCGCGAACCAATCGAGGGCGGTGTAAACAGAGACTCAGCTCGCACTGATTTGTGGAGATGATGGGAAGAAAAAGGGGGAGACGGAAAGAAAGAAGGATTGAAGACAGGGATGAAATGTTCAATGCAGGAACACGAGGCAGTTCGCGCCCGGAGATTAATTATCTCTGTGTAGACTGGCGATTCAGCTCAGCAACTTCACATAATGCGGGAAACATGGATCTGCGCTAGTCCACGATAGGATTAGCGTGGGCACCGGCTGTCGCCCAAAATTTATTGAAAAACTTCTTATCGCCGGACGAACTTCCCCTCCATTCCAACCCAACCTTATTTCAAATCTCTTTGACACTTTCACCATGTCTAAGAGAGCCGCAGATCCCTCTGGGGAGCAGGATGCTGCCCTCAAGGCGGGCGATCGCCCAATGCTTGACGCTACTCCCGACGAAGTGGGGGAGTTTGAGGACGAATATGAGGATGAGTTCGAGAGCGAAGACGAGATCTTGGAGGCTGGTGTTGATGGTCGCCCAGACGCAGAGCGTGAGGAGGAAGAGCGTGGTAGGTGCTACTATTCTCAATGTCTAATTGCTGGCATTGCAGTAGTGATTGGAAAATTAATGATTTGGATTGTACAGAGGGCATGGACGTCGACAAGCAGACTTTCATTCCTGGACGGACAAAATTGGCACCCGGAGAGACTCTTTCGCCTGATCCTTCTACCTACGATATGCTTCACACCCTCACCACACCCTGGCCTTGCCTGTCCTTCGACATTGTGCGCGACTCGCTTGGCGACAATCGCAAGACGTTCCCTGGAACCGTTTATGCCGTCGCCGGTACACAGGCGGAGGGATCCAAATCGAAAGACAATGAATTGATGGTTTTGAAGATGAGCTCATTGAGCAAGATGGAGCGTGACGGTGAGGACTCGGAGAGTGACGAAGACTCCGACGATGATATGGGTGAACCCATCCTTGAGCACAAGTCCATTCCCCTGGGCTCAACGACAAACCGCATTCGCGCGCACCAAACCCCGTCCCAATCGGCCGATTACTCCAAGCCCCCACAGACCCTGACGGCTACTATGCTGGAGAACTCGCAGGTTCTCATCCACGACGTCACTGCCCACCTTACCAGCTTCGATGTGCCCGGCACCATCCTTCCCCCTCCGCCTCCAAGCCTCTTTCCACACTCCGCATGCACAAGGCTGAGGGTTACGCTCTGGACTGGTCCCCGCTCCATCCCCTTGGTAAGCTCCTGACTGGTGACAATGACGGTTTGATCTATGCGACTACCCGTACCGAGGGTGGTGGCTGGGTGACCGACACCCGCCCATTCCTCGGTCACACCTCTTCCGTTGAAGAGCTCCAGTGGTCGCCGAACGAGAAGAATGTCTTCGCGTCTGCCAGCAGTGACGGTAGTGTGAAGGTTTGGGATGTGCGATCCAAGTCCCGCAAGCCTGCCGTGGACGTTCACATCTCCAACACCGATGTCAACGTTATGAGCTGGTCCAACCAGACCTTCCACCTCCTTGCGACTGGTGCCGATGACGGCCAGTGGGCCGTTTGGGATCTGCGTCACTGGAAGCCGGATGCTGCCTCTCCTTCTTCCCAGATCCGCGCATCGCCTGTCGCGTCTTTCGATTTCCACAAGGAGCCCATTACCAGTATCGAATGGCACCCGTCTGATGACAGTGTGGTTGCTGTGGGTTCTGCAGACAACACTGTCACTTTGTGGGATTTGGCTGTTGAGTTGGACGACGAGGAGAGCCGCGAGGCTGGCCTTGCCGACATTCCCCCGCAGCTTCTTTTCGTTCATTATATGGATTCCGTCAAGGAAGTGCACTGGCAGGCTCAGATGCCGGGTACCCTGATGGCCACTGGTGGCAGCGGATTCAGGTATGTTGATATATACATCATTTTGATACTTGCAAAGCTAACCTTTTGTTTCTTTACAGTGTATTCAAGACCATCAGTGTCTAGATGAGCGACCAAGTCTACTTGTAATTACCTAAAAGTCATGTGTGATGTCCTGCTCATATACCATTCGAGCACCGTGGAGCCCTGCTCGTTAACGATTTGGAGTTGTAGCCTGTCATATAGAAGTGATAGAGCAATGAATAAAATTATTCCCTTTCTAACATAGAATCAAACAGTGGAAGGTCTACTTATGGATCGTCTACATCCATGTTCAATTCAGATCACCTGGTGATGTCACTGCTCACTTGTTTGATCAAGTACTAGGTATAATCTGCTTGTAGTCAATACCTTCTACCCCCGGGGCTCCAAGCTTTAGACCACAAGTATATCCCACCAATCCCACAGCGGAATTCCACACTACTAATTCCGCACCCCGGAACCAACAAAATCCAAAGCAAAAATAAATAGTAACGTGGAGGGGGGAGGGGCAACCCGCTGCAATGCAAAACATGTCCTAGTGCGTGCGAGTTACAGCTATACTCACCCGCTGAGCTCTGAGTAGTCCGGCACGAGGTACTCCGGTGCATCTCGCGCCATAATTACACCAGGTACCGTACTTCATGTATTGGTACTCGCCCGTGGTAATATGTAAAGAAGCCCTGGAAGATGTGGTTGTGCATAAGTACCCTGTACAAGGCTTTAGCGTAACTATCGAAGAGCCGGGTGGTATTCTTGTGTGGGTTAGCTCGGAGCTGTACATTTGAGCATGTAGTGGGTACGGAGCCGGTTGTTAGGGCCAGTGCGCTATTATTTCGGCGCCTGGATGGGCCCGAGTCGGGTGCGACATGCAGGCTAGGCCAGTCGGTTCTATGATCATGTACTTGGCGGGTTTAGTGGCGGGTGAGGGGCGGTTTGGGCCAGTAGCGGTGCTGCTAGCTTGCATATACTTTGGGAGGCTGTGGACTGTTGGATGATCGAGGGTCGATCGATTTGGCTTTGGATTTCGTCGTTTATTGTCTTTCTATTTTGTGGCGAACAGAAGCTACATATAGTTGTCTACAGTATGCTGTGCTGTATCTAGCGGGCGCATTTGGCTATTTTTAGACCTACGTAGTAGGGACAAAATATGTGGAATAAGTGAAAGGTACATAGGATGATTGCCCACTACTGTAGATCCTACGCAGAAAGGGATGATGTGAATGCAAAATGTCGCTTGGGGGCGGATGTAAGTATGGCCGAGGTATGACATGCATGGATTCGGGAGACTTTGTTTGCGAGTCGGATGCTCGTCGCTTCCGGTGGTATTGAGGAACATACTGTAAGATTACTATGGGTGTTTCGTCTGTGGCGTTGAAGGTCAGACAGATTCCAGCGCGGTTGTACTTGTGTTGCATGAAGAGGGAGCAGTTTGAGACGGTTTCCTCGGTTACTTTAGTTGAATTTTACACAGTGGACACTTGATCGGATTCAGGTACCATCTGTGATCATTTTGCTAGTAACCGTGAATAAAACACTAAACCTCAACGTGGACACTAATCATGCATTTCTTTTATTGCTAATCTGCAGTTTCCACACTTCAGAGGTACATAGTCTGAGCTCACTGCTTGTATACTTACCCACTTGCGGAAACCGGCAAAACATTAACTGGAAATACCTCGGAAACAATACGAAATACAACTAATGCACGACGAAGCAGACCAGTCAATCACATCAGATCTAGCCGCTCTCACCATCCGACGCCTGCACGTTCCGTATGGTGATCATGCACTACAACCAAGTAGAGTTCGACGTGCTGCAGATGGCCAGGCTAAGGCACTCATTCCAGCATCGGCATTTCTCCGTTGGAAACCACCGAAATGCTATCAGGCGCAATGGCTAGGATAAACAACTAGCCGCGTAAAGGAATAGCGCCAGAGCTACTAGTCCTAGCAACTTCCATAGTCGTGCTCTTATCGGGCAATGTCGCGATCTTCCGTTCCCTATCAGTCACCGGTCAATCCCCAGCCTTGACGCTTGAAGTCTACGATCCACTTAGTTTGACTTAGTCGTATTTTGGTCCTTTGGCCAATTTAACAGTCATTTTGTTATCGTGGTCAATCAAGATATGCATTCTTCAAGTGAATTTTTGTTTTCTTGGGCTTGTCTTAGCGCTCGCTCTGACCACTTTCAGATGCCGATCCCGCTCGATCGCCCCCAACTGCGCATATTGTTGTCTACACATGGTACTTTCAGTTGCCACTGCAATTTGTATGATCGTCTCTATGCATTGAGACTGCGGTAGGTCTGAGCATCCGCGATCATTGATGTACTGGTTGATGTCATGCTAGATCACCCGATCCTACTATTGGACTTTCTGATCGCCAGCGCAGGGATGCAGATGCACCAGTGAGCTTTCAGCTTAATCAGCGCCTGTTTTCAACCTGGATTACCGACCCAGAGAGCTACTTGAGCTAGTAGTTAGGGTCGTTAGTGCATGCGTAGTGGACAGTGCGCAATGGTGACATCCCTCGTCGCTTCTGTAAATAGAAAAAATGTACTATGGACAGCTACGACGTAGGAAAGTTTCGATGTCAAGTTCCACGGGCGTGGCTGTTGACACCAGCTTATCAAGCATCGGGCGTATCCGCACTTGCAAGAAATCCCGCGCGCATCATCTAAACCAATTGGGGACCTCAGGCGACCGCCGCTTGTAGTTTCCTTCGCATCGCTTCTTAGGCTAAAGTGGAGCGCCATTGGCCATGGCTTGCTAGACTTTGTACCTGTCGCAAATCTCACAGAGTTTCAAGTTGAATGGGACGCCAGCAGAATTAGTTTGATTCAATCCGCCGTCGGGCAATCACCGGCACTTTATTGCCGGGCTTGACGATGTAGTTTGGCAGCCCCTGGTGTCCTTGGAAAAATGATTTTGCAAGGTGACGGAATTTTAGACTGGTGCCATATTCCCACGGCACACATATTACGTAGGTGTTTGCAATATTCTGTTGATATGAACAGCCCACACACTACTATAGGAAAAGGGTTACAGTACATGCCGGAAGGTAAGCGGCAAATCGCATGTCGCGTATCTGATCGACCCGAGCTGCACATCAAAGAATGGCCCGGGCTTTGCCTGACAGGATCAGTGGAATCCTTGTCGAATCCACCCTGTCTCCATTGGCGGGACAGCGGACCTTCGCCCGTCGACGTTATCATCACAAGTGGATCAAAACTCACAAAATGACGCATAAGGCCAGCGAATAGAGCCCCAGGGGTATTTCATCCATACCCGAGCGCCAGGGGCGAAGCAAAGATCATTTCTTCTGCATTTTCCTGCGGGCCCAAGCGAAACGCCACGACCCTCTGAGGGTACTGCTATTTGCAGGTCCACCACAGCGCTAGGACTGCAGACCTAGTACAGAACAAAACGTCTGGTGAGCCCTTCTGCAAGATCAATTTGGTCCGACCAATCGCCTACAAGGCGCTCTGTGGACTTCTTCAGAGTCTCGGTGTTTGAAAACAGGGCGGCATCTACTCCATAAGGGTCGCAAATTGCACAAATCAGGACGAAGTTACAAAACGCCAAAACGGCGTGAAGTCCGATCAGCCCATAAATGGGGACTAGTGGATCCTCCTTTGGACTTGATGCCATCGTGCACAAGTGCGAGCACAGGCCATGGGGCGATCAGCCCGTTGCAGGACAGGGATGCGTGCATTGGAGCATCGGAGAATTTCTGAGGCATTAGTAAGGTCACACATGTTTGTGGATATGATCAGTGTTGCTTTTGATTTGCCTTGTTTGGAATGTGAGGAGATCTTTTCATTCGCCCATCTCTACGCAATTATGGGCTTTTGTTGGCGTACCGCGTACAGTTGCCAGCGATCACCCGCAAAGCGCGGTTACGCAATAACATTGGATTCGGCTCAATATCTTTCTCTAGCAGTACAATGACGCAGGTAGGTTTTCCTGGGAATCCATTGAGACAGGGGTCGCGAATGAATTTTATTGGTCAGGTTGGCTGTGGCGCTTTGGTGGTAAATGCAAAGAGTATAGTGCGCTCGGCCTCATAAAAGATTGAGATTGGCTAGTAATTGACTTCGGCTCTTGGACCTGCATTGTTATGACAACGGGTGTTTTTGTGAAGCAGCAAAAAAAGAAAAATATATTAATCATTTCATTTGGGCTATCTCATTGAGGTTGGAGGGTACACTGAATACACGCAATTCTATGGAGGTAAACCCATTGAGCGCATTTCCATGTCATATCATAATTCTCTGCTACAGTTAAGGTAACACGGGATAGGAAGGCATCTCGATTGTGCAGATTAAATTGCTCATGTGGCATAAATTCGGCCTGGTGTTGCCGGATTTTGGAGGTTAAGCCCGGAGAGTTCAGACATTACCACATCCCGTGACGCAGTTGGAGTCGTTTCATTTGTCACTAGACCTTGACTCACCTCGGGTCACCTGCAGCTCTCTCAGGCCGCTAGTAATCTAGTCTACGTTAGTGTGCATGCTCGGGTCTGGGGATTCTGCAAACGAGACGTCCGTGCGACTGGATGCTCCTATTGAGAGTCGTTTTTCTATAGGTGTTTGTTTCTTGAAAGCCAAAGAATCCACAATTGTACTGGGGGATCCCCAGTCTCCGCCAACATCCGAAAAGTTCGGGTCATCCCCAGACAGAATTAATAATGGAAAAGAAATAATATGGGTCAAAAGGAAGCCCTAGAAAGAAACGGGCGAATAGTGGGATCGTCGGGCACGGTAACCCCAGATCCAGCCGCATTTCACGACGAATGGGTCGCGCCAATTGAGTCCGGGGTGCTTCCTCGTTCCGTGCGACCAAAACTCAAACCGGCGTGGCTGCAACGTGCCAAGTCAGAAGGCCTCACGAGGATTCTAGAAAGAAACTTTAAGGGATGCCTTTTGCCTACCTGTGCCACGAAGTACGGAGTACGGAAGCTTCAAATCTAGCCCTTTAGCCTACATTCTTCCACAAAAACACACTGTAGAGTGGCAAAAGTTGCCAAAAACAGCCCGACCACTCACATAGCCAAGTTTCGCTCTTCCAGACATTCCCCTTTCATGGCACCAATGGTCACCCCCTTGAAATCCATAAGCTGATCATGGCAAATCCCCCACACGAACCCTTTTTTCACTTTGGCTAAGTCCTTCCCCCACAAAAATGGCGCATGGCCCTCCCTTAAATTGGGGCCTTTGAGCGGATCCTTCCGCCGACCTCGATTGGTCGCCATTGACCTCAGCCCCCAGCCTTGAGTGGGCCTTGATGGGTACCTGGCCACATCATAGACCGCAGCCGGGGCTTTTGGCTGTCGCAGGTTTTCCCACCTTTCCCAACCTCGCTGTTTTGGACCGTTTCATTGCCGATCGCCGTCACGAGGACCCGGGATTGTAATCGTCCTTGTGTCGGGGGGATTTCCGAGTGGCAGGGGTTGTAACGTGCTTCATACGTGGTCCAAGGGTTGGCTTTCACGGGATGTGAGGTCACATTTGGGGACTTAATATTGGTTTGACCATTCAGAGCTACCGTGGAAACCTACTGCGCAATCAGGAGAAAGGTGTGCTGATAGATACGTAGGCGTGGAAGGATGACTTGACCATACATATTACCGAGGAGACCCCGAGCCACGTCGAGGAGCCTAGACTGTCACTCCAAAACCAAGTGTCTTATTCTTGACTAATCACTAATCAATATACCCTACTCTAGATCAAGATATGATTATTACATTTGAGAATTATAGTCATAGTCGTCTAGGCTTCCATTTGGAGTCAGTCTCTTTGTTCCTTATCGCTGTTTCAGCTATTCCCGTCCTCGGCTCAAACCCCGGAGTAACCAGGGAAGCCAAAATACTAGCGCCGCGTTGACTGGTTACGCCACTAGACCCAAGAAAGCAACTGCGTGGCGGCCAGTCTATTGGAGCCAATAACGCTCATCGATAACATGAGCCAGGAACTGGTGGGCATTCGGTGAGCAGGCCGTGCGTGGTCGTAAGATTCGGGGCTACGCCGCATTCAGTATCACCCTGGGTAATCGCAGTCCGGTTATTGGCGCTTCTCGGCCGTGTTGGAGAGTGGATCATTGATACTGTATTGGAGTCTCGAGTACATACTTTAATACTTTGTGAAGGGTAATCGAATCATCAAAAGTGATCCTGTTGGCTGACTTGTGTTGACTTGGACTCTTGAGGAAGGTTAGAAATCCGTGCGTGGAACGTGGGGGGAGCTGTACCTGCACCTACGGGCCCGTTTATTGCGAGACCGGGGCGCGTACCTCCATGTAATTTAATCTAGTGCTTCGTAACGGTGTAATTTAATTTAATTACAGAATACATAGTGGGTTTAGTGTATTTGGTGTATACGAAGCTTCCCAAGCCGCCACTTACTGCCACGAACCACCGGACCACGGGTATGTAACTACCCAAGACCCAGGTACCTTTTGGCGTAATCGTTGCTCGGATTCATCTTCTATCACATCAACTTTCAACCTTCTAACTTCTTCATCTCTTCACACTCACCTGTCCTTTTCTTTGTGATCTTGGGCTTATCTGCCATTGTCCGCTATCTCGGTTATCTCCGGATCTTTCCACTCGCATGCTGTAGCTGCGACAGAGAGACTTTGAGCTTCGTGACTTTGTGACAGGAGGCGAATCATCTTTCTAGTCAATGGATGCTCGGGAAGCTTGAGATTTCTCTTCAACTTCCTGTTGGACCCTGTAAGTTTTGATTGGGGGTACTGCGACCGTGCTGCGCAACCCGTCTATCATGGTTAACGCCGGTTGCCTTGCTGATGTTGCCTCCCCCAGAACATCCTCGGCTTTCCTTATCCACCGGCTGCAGGTCCTCTGAACCTGTTTATTCCTTCCTCCCCATTGTTTCCATTCAAACGTTCGGACAAATTCGACGTAATCGACTTCCCCGATCGATAGAAACGTGCTGTACAGCTGCTGTCCCTTTCTGGTGGGTCTTATCCGCTCCAGCATGGTCCCATGAATAGCCGCTCCCGTTACCCTGGGTCCTTGATCGTGATGACTTGGGCTCGACGCACTCCAATCCTGGAGAGAAAAAGGAACATGCTGACCCGATGTCATCCGACCGAATTAGTCGTTGATGCGACAATAGTGTAAATTTATCTCGACCGCTTCAATCTCTTTTGTCACTCCGGGAGTGACTTGACATTTGAGAGACCCTTCATTCCAGGCTGCGCCTGACTTCCCCTCCCCGCATTCCCCAATCCACATCCTCAGTGACCACAGGCGATTCTGGTCTTTTTGAGGCAATTTCTTGAAATTTCCTAGGATGCTACTTGATGCTATGGTTGGCCATAACCGAACCCATAGCCAAAACGTGGTGGATTTAGCCAGTATCAACGAAACCCCCGGAGATATGCCTGGTAAGTACACTTTCTGGTACCAATTAGCTCATTCAACTGCGAATTCTGAACTCGCAATATCGGTAGCTCCGTCCAAGGAGAAGAAACAGGGCGAGGCCAATGGCCAAGCCGCCAATGGAAATATCCCACCCCCAAAGACAGACAAGCCTCGGCCCCATGTCTGCACCACCTGCGGTCGCTCCTTTGCGCGACTGGAGCATCTGAAGCGCCATGAACGTTCGCACACAAAGGAAAAGCCCTTCGAGTGCCCCGATTGCGCCCGGTGCTTTGCTCGCCGTGACCTGTTGCTTCGCCATCAACAAAAGCTGCATATGACGACAACGCCATCTTCTCGTCCGAGGAATGGCCGTCGTGAAAGCACTGGTGCAGCAGCCCCGGGCGGTGCTAATCGGGTTCGTAAGAACTCCATCGCTAACAATTCCTCCACATCTTCCATGCGTCCCAGAGCGAACACAATCAGTCACATTGATGGTGCCGGATTGGGAATCGCTAACTCGGGCAACCCATCTTCTGCCCCAACCCCCTCAGGGCATGCGTATCACCCCAGCCTGGGTTCGCTCCCATCAAACATGGATTATCGCGGTTTCAGCTCCGGTCATACCCACCAGAACGGTCTGGCTAAGATTGAGACTTCAGGATTGCCCATTGACATGTCAGGTGGAATGCGAACAGCGCCTGTGTATGGGAGCTTTGATTTCGGCATTGACGGTATGCTGATGGGCCATGGAAGCACAATCAATCCCGCGCAATTACACTTCGCAGGTTCTCCCCAGGGTTTTGGTGACTCCCCTTCTTCCCCATTCGGCCATCATCCCCATGGCATGCACCCCGCCACGGACCCCATGATGGACGAGGAAATGAATTTTGACTGGATGAACGGCTTCGACACGGCCGTGGCTTTAGGGAATGGAAACGACTCGGTAATCGACGAGTCATCGCCGTCGGCCATGAGCACAGGTAGTCAGAGCGGCATCAGCGAGGCCATGCTAGATGGCCCAAACCGCATTCCGATGTCTAATGGCTGGCACAACCCATTCCCTATGCACAACTCGGCCTCCGCCAACCAGTTTGCGACAATCGACTTCTCGCCGACCACATTGAACGACTTGGGGATCCAGCCGGAGACAGTATCGCCCAAGGCATTGATGGCCCAGAACCCGTTTGGAGAGACATATGCTACCCCTCCATCCATGACTTCGGTCGGCCAGCCCATCGTGGGGGGACATTCGCAGAGTATGTTATCATCCTCTATGGCAACAAGCGGAGAATCTCCTAATCCTCTCAACGTTCCTTTCCCGAATAGTGCCCTACGAAATCAACATTCCCCACTCTCAACGGATACATTTACAGACTCCACACGACAGGCTCTATTAGCGAGCATGTCGCAACCCACTGGCTTCAATCACCGCAAGTATTCTCAACCCGCAAGTGGACTCCTAAACAGCCGAGAACTATTCGCCCGCTCGACTGGCTTCAACAGCTCCGGTCAACTGCCTAGTACCTCCGATTTGCAACGATATATCTCGGCCTATCTAAACTACTTTCACCCGCACTTGCCCTTTCTTCACACCCCGACCCTCAACTTTCAGGCCCCTGAATATACCAATAATCTGCGCACGCCAAGCGGACACCTCAATCTCAGTTCGACTGGTGTTTCAGGTGGAGGAGGCTGTTTGATCCTCTCAATGGCTGCCATCGGGGCATTATATGAACATGACCCAGCGGCCTCTAAGGAACTATTCGAGGCCGCAAAGAAGATGATTCAACTGTACCTAGAAGAGCGCAGAAAGGCCGATATGTCTGCAGCTCTGAATCGTTCAAACATTAGTCGCGACAACTCGGTTCACACGACACCGCTCTGGCTGGTACAAGCGATGCTGTTGAATGTGATATATGGCCACACATGTGGGGACAAGACATCAGCAGACATCGCTAGCACACACTGCGCAGCACTGGTCAGCTTGGCTCGTGCAGCTGAATTGACACACCACTTGGACCCGAAAAATCTACCACAGGACCATCTCACGGCTGGAATCAATGGTTCGAATGATTCTGAAAATTGGATGTCTTCATCGTTCAGCCAACCAAAGGAAAGACGAGACTGGCTGAACTGGAAGGTGGTCGAAGAACGAAAGCGCACTCTTTACGCGATTTTCACCCTTTCCAGTTTCCTAGTGTCGGCATATAATCACGCGCCAGCTTTGACAAATTCCGAGATTCGACTTGACCTACCCTGTGAAGAAGACCTTTGGGCTGCCGAATCTCCCCAGGCGTGGAAAAAGATGGGAGGCCAGACTGCCTCAAAGAAAAGTGTCTCGTTTTCAGCTGCTCTGACCTCCCTTCTCACAGCCAGCCAACGACAGCAACAAAACCAGTCCCAGAATCTCTTTTTCAGTGGTGGCAGCACAGATGATCCAATAAATGCCGAAAATCGTCCTAGCACATTCGGCTGTCTCGCTCTTATATATTCACTTCACAATTATATATGGGAAACTCGACAACGGCACATGGGTCGACAATGGACTGCACAGGAGACCGAGGCCATGCAATCACACATCGAACCCGCACTACGAGCGTGGCAGGCAGCCTGGGCAAGTAACCCGGTGCACAGCCTCGAACGCCCGAATCCTTTTGGTGCTGGGCCTTTGTCGGCTGATAGTATCCCGTTACTTGACTTGGCGTATGTCCGACTATTTGTTAATCTGGGTCGAACAAAAGAGGCATTCTGGCAACGAGATTGGAACGGCATGGCAGATGAACTAGCACGTGGTGGCGAGGTTTTCCAACAAATCGACACAGCTATGGGCGACGTGCCCCTAGATCCATCTCTTACTGGGTCACTCGATGACCGAAGGGAATCGATCAATGATCTAGGGGTTGCAGATCTCGCAATCTCAAAAACGCCTACTCAAGAACAGCCAATGCAGTCCTTATCGAGTGTGTACAACATCGGCCAGTCCAAGCGTGAAAAGAACCTACGCAAAGCAGCTTTCTACGCCGCTGACTCTATTTCCATGTCGGATCGACTGGGCAACACATTTGCCGAGTTTACATCAAGGGAACTCCCCATCCAGTGCGCGATGTGTGTCTTTGACTGCTCACAGGTGCTGGCTGAGTGGATCACTACAGTTCAAGAACGGGTCGGGCCCTACCTCGGTATCCTGGGTCAAGATGATCTCGACCTAACCCAGGTGCCTGGTGTCATGTTGCTTGAGGACGAAGATTGCAAGCTAGTGGACAAAATCAAGGAGATTCTTAATAATGTGGAGACCAAGATGCAGCGCCAGGTACAGAACAACAACTCTATGTCTGCGCTGAGTGTTATGCAACGTCTGCCAAGTGTGGTGGAAGGAGGATACGGATGTAAAATATTGATTGCCACGGCAAGCCTATTGGACCGGGCTGCCGTCTGGCCAGGTAAGATACACCACTACCTATTCCTCGAACCATATGATACTAATATTTCACGTTCAGTGACGAAACTGATGGTCCGCTCTCTCGAGGCACAGGCCATGCGAATGAAAGAGCGAGCTGAGAACTCCGTTATGATGACCACCTAATGACTTTTTTATTTCTTATGAATGATTTCCATTCAATTCCCCGTTTTCGTCAGTTTTGTTTTATGCAACTTCACTTTTTCTACGTTTATCTTGCCCGGCCTGCCTCGATGGCCTGCTGCTTCGAATCGATATCGATACCCCGATCGAATCTATCATAGACGAATGCCATGCTATGTGACTTTATGTTATATTGATGTTTGATATTTGATATTATCCTGAGGCTTCGCGGCGTGTATGCTTTAGGTTGTGTTGCGTGAATGTATCCAATTCTGATGACCCTGAATTTTTCAAATCAAGTCCCTTGATATCTGTGGGCGATTGCTGTTGCGGTGGCATTTTGTTGATCATTCTTCATCTCTTTCCTCTTTCTTTGTCCACTGTTTGATTACGTGGATTATTTCATGTGAATATGGTATGGTATTATCGGATTTACATCTTCATTCACTGCCAAATATTATGTAGATGAATTTCGTGGTCTTGATGGTGGGTTACACCAAGCAGACTGTCCTTGGGATAGACGTATGATAGCAAGCTTTATCTTTCAGCCCTTCGCTTGTTCCCTTCCGCATATGATATCGATTCAGATCAGTACCAACAAGCCACTCAAGCTAGAGGGTCTACCTATTAGCAACACCATTTTCATGCACATACTCGTATGCATGCAGCATTGAACGCAATGTCCACTGAAAGCTTTCCATTAACCCGATTTTTCCTTATAAGCTGGATGTGAAAGGAAAGACTAGCGGGCATACCCACTTCATCTCCGATGTCTGGCTCGATGCACCCAGGTGTAGTCTCACTGATTCCGGCGACTGTCTATAAGCTCTATCCTGCGCTATCAAAGTGTAAGAATCATTTACTAAGCCGCACCATTATGATTATTATAACTTTTTCTACATCCAATAAACTTAATGTTTTCTGTTGTCTTCCAACCCGGATTTCCGGATTTCCTGAATAATGGAGAATAAATCTTCTTTCATAGGTCCCAGGTTCGTGGAAGGGGAACCTATTTCACCGCTCCTCTGACTGCATTGAGAATCTCACCTAGCATTGGAAGGCCTCATTGAATGCGGTCTTGCGTCAGTTCTGACTATTAGAGGTCAATTCAGAGAGCGAAAGGCTGCGTTAATATAATAGCCAACTTGACCTAACAATTTGGCTTGTTCCGAAATCGTACCCAAAAGAAGCTGTAGCCCGCGATGGTGGATTGAAACCGAGCAATGTGCAAAGGTTGACATGGGGCGGGAATCTCACTCTAGTGCCCTTGTCTCGTCAGATGAGACTATGAGGTCGTGATGTCTCAGGCAGGTGGAAGGGCTTCGGCCATGTTGCCCGAGGGTTCACTGCAGCACTGCCTCGAATGTAGGAAGGTATTCGATCGCACTATTCTAGAAGAGCCACTATGTGTGTGACTTGTGACTTTACTGCCAAGACAGTGATTCAAAAATACGAGAAATTGGGCGGCCGTGCAGAACCATGAGTTACTGGTTCACCATGCTAAGGTTCGTAATCTCGTATTCACGTACAGAAGTTTGACTGATACTTCCAAGGTTCTCCCTAGTATGCTTACAGTGCATACTAAAAGACGGGTAGCATTTATAGCACATTGACAATGATACTAGTATATAGAATAGGGGCCGCTAATGATTCTCTATTGTATGTTTTACCTGGCGCTCGTTGCTTATATGACCCATGTCTTCGTCCTTCAACCTGACTTTGTAATGTGTATTTATATCAGAGTTTACTTGTTGCTAAGGCTTCAATGGGCTGACATAGAGTGTCTCACCTTGAATCGAGATGGACGAAGGCAAATCTCACATTAGAATGTCATTCTCGATTCGCTTTCAATCGGGGTTCCGGATTACGATGCCGGCTTGGGATGTCTTGATCAATACTATAGGATGCGTTTCAGTTGCTTTTCCCCCCACTCCAGATGATGGCAACGCCAATATGTACATGTGACTAATATGATCTACGATTTGAGAAATGTGCATGTCGTTCGTCCGCATTCTAGTCAACTTAACCGGTGTAGACGATTAGTGATTGGATATTGTCGCCCTGAGAGCTGCAGCTGTACGGGTCAGCATCTAGGCGTACCATTTAGTGCAGCTCTATGCCATAGCCCTGCGATGACAGTGGCCCCATTTACCCAACATTGCGGGCTGAGCAGGTACGGTGAGAAGATATTGGGGCCCTAACTTCCGTATCCGGGGGTTCAAGAATAGATCGACCTCATGACTAGACCTGCTTCCTAGACCGCCGAGCAGTCAACTAGGAATATAAAAGGAAGCTATTGCCTTGCCCAGTCTACTATCCAGTCACAGAAACACATCCCAACTCGAGTCTACAAATATCAAAGCTCCAATCTTCTTCAATACCATCAAATATTCATTCATCTCCTACATCAAGCAAAATGCAGTCTATCATTGCTCTTTGCTCCCTCCTTGCTATTGCCGTTTCTGCCGGCCCCATCGATGCTCGCTCGTATCCCCAAGTTACCTTCGCCTTGTCAAACGACCAGTCGGGTGCCAATGCCGGTGCTACATTCTCGGCCGACGGAACCGACAAGCATTTTAGCAGCATTTTTGCTGGCACTTCAGTTGATGCCAGTGGACAAGTAGTAGCTTCCTCCGGCCAATTGACTGCATTCCCCCAGTCGATCAACTGCGTGCTCAAGAACAACTGGGCTTATGTCACGACATTGACTGCTGAAAACACCTACATTGATCTTGACGGGAACCCCAGTGCTTCTATTCCGGTCAACGTGAATGGTGGCACCATCAATTGCCATGCCTAAATCTTCAAAGGCACATTGGTCCTGATTGCGTGGACCAAGTTTTCGGTGAACTCTGATCATTCTTGAAATTGTATCTACACGCTAGCTAAAGCCATAAATGGAAATCGTATTGCTATATTTGAAGGACCTGTGGGTGTAGCACGTAAACATTGAATGTTCTATATTCTGGAATGATGGAATGGTTAAATATAAAGTCCTAGATAGTGAAGCCGCAGCGTATATTCAAGTAAGCTGTTGCTATTCACGACGCATTGAGTAATATATCAAGAATACTGGTATTAGAGGTGATGAAATCTCGAGTCTGGTTATAAATCATCCTTTTGGCATTCGTGAGCTCACAATTGTGAGTCTTGATGGCTGCTTTTCTAGCCACAGATGGCTATCAAGGCGTTTCATGAAGCAACAGCGGGGTGAGGCCTGAGTGGTAATTTGGGTGTGGACTGAACATAGACTGAGTGCTCGGTAGCTGCTTTTAATCAATTTCTAGTGATAAGCGAATGAGCTGAGAGCATTACTCCACGGGTCACAGGTGGAAGTGGTAACAAAGGTTGGTTGATATCGTCGATTTAGATCTGGCCGATCTATTACATAATCCCCCTCCGTTGCTGGGGCACTTCACGCGTTAAGTGCTATTCGCGTTAGGCGCCTAATTCACCGACAGGAACCCAGAAGACCATAGAAATGACGACAACCCCTCAAACGGGTCTGTGTCTGGATGCTTCGTCACAGCTTCCGACCGCAGCCCTCAAATACCAACGCCGCGCAACGGCGCTCTAATTCTCGATGCCAAACCAGCTACGACCCGTCTCCCCGGTCGCTCTCGAAACATGCTCCCCTCCACCTGCCGACTTAGACCAGGATCCGTATGAGCTACTAGGCTCCGATGATGAACTTGACGATTTGGCCCGTGCTGCGAAGCGCCAGCGTATCGAGAGGCTAGCAGAGGCGTATCTTCGGGGTCGGCCTTTGTTTATCGCCTCCGCGGCGCTGCGTGGGCCGTTCGATGAGGGGTGGAAGAATCCGTGGAAGAAGAAGAGGAAGGTCCTTACGAAGTCCGACACAAAGCTGAGCGTTACAGACTCTGGGGTGCGGAATAGAACCCCTGGGACGATTGTTCAAGACACCGATATACGGAACAAGAGATATAAAAAGGATGTGGCGGTTCCCTCTCGTCCTACTGTTTCGGCGTCTCCATTCGTCCCCGCTTCGCCCTCGACAAGTTCTGTTGGCAACCGAGCTTCTCTTCCTCCCAAATCAGGACAGAAGAGGCCGTCCGGTACTGCTTGCGCGGAGGAGAGTAGCCGAGCTTCTCCCCGGTTACCCAAGAGACCGAAAGAACAGCCCCGTTTGGAAGACGATGCCACATTTGCTGGGCCTGGATCAACAGCTTGGCTGAAGAAGGACAGACGTCGAATGAACTTCAAATCGTTCGAACCGCCTAGTTCTCCAACGCCGAAGAGTGATCATAGCGGGTGGGAGATTGGGCCTCGTGCCCGTGAACCGCGCTCTGTGGCTCCGGTATCGTCTCATACATCTTCAAACTTAGCTACGCCCCCAAAAGCCACGCTTTCTGAGCGGCTGCGTCAAATAACAGCAGCCAAATCTTCTCCACCAGGTAATCGATCGCCAGCGCAAGCTCCGAACCTGAGCCCTACCATTGCTATTCCCTCGCCGACTAGAACGATTTCTCCGGGTGGTGAGAAACGCAACTCATTTCGTGTCGTATCTTCGACTTCGCAGCTTTCGCGCTTCGAGTATAGGCTACGTGTACCTGTCCCGGGAACGCGGTCTGAGTCCAAGTCACCGGCTGCAGAAAAGATTGCTGCAAAGCCATCTATCCTAGCCGATGAGGACCATAATAACGTTACACTGGAGCCTATAGAGGCAGTAGAGCCTGTTCTTCAAGCAGAGTCGAAGACGACTGGCCCTGGGCCGAGTGAGCCTGAGAGAGCTAGCCGGGAAATAGGCCGAGCGGTACAATTATCGAAGAGCCTGCGATTCGCCAATGATACAGAGGGGACGACCTTTACGAGTACATATTTTCCAACTGCAACAGAACAAAATACCTACGACGAGCTTCCTTCTGCGCAGCAAGTGCCGCTTCCACCAGGCTTGTCAGACCGCGTGCCATCTCTTCACTCGACAATCTTGCCTAAGGAGAACTCAAAAATCCACGAACAAACCAGTCCAGATACGCAATTATCTACACAAGCTGCTCTGCTGCATGCACAGAAATCTTTCCAGGATGACTTGGAGAGCCCCGCTCAATACGGCATCACAACAGCCCAGCAGCGCGCAATGGCCAACTTTGGTGACGAGTCCCTCCTGGCACAAGAAACTCCTCTCTTTAGGCCCGATACAACGGAAAGAGCATTACCTCACAGTTTCAGAGTGCCTGAGAGCAGACAATCCGAGAAGAGCAAGATGCAGGCCATGAGCACACAGTGCATGATCGATGCCGCTACTCCCTTTACTTTCAGCACAGAGAAAAGACCAAGAGCGTTTCGCTCGATCTCAACGCGCAAGACCAGTCCTATTAAGTCACGACCCATCCATACAGCCGAAGCTCCTTCTCCCATCGTTTCATCTCCAATCTCGGTTTTTGACCCAGATTCGTACATAGCTCAGCCTCAAGTTGGAAGCTCGCATCCTCCATCTCCACGTTCCCCACCACCTGATCATACATTTGTCCATCCATCCACTACCGAAGGCACTTCACTCCCCTTTGTTCTGAGTGGATCTACACCTACCAATGCGCAGGATGGGCAAGGAGGGCTCCGAACCGCGGATAGTTTCAATCTCAGTCAGGCCATCGCTGATGCTGGCAGCTGGCTACAGCAAAGCTTTACCTGAAGGATGCCTTGATCTCGATCAATATGGACAATCAACCACATCCGGTGCCCATTTCTAGCCTTTCAGTTTGATACACTTGATACACATGAGATAGAACTTGGGAGTTTGCTATAGATTCTTGGCTATGAGCGTGCCCTTCTCCTGATTCTTGTTCATTCTTGGCTCTTGATTCCCCTTTTTTTCAATTTGAACTTGTACAGCGTGCTTCGACCTCCAGCTTTTAATATAGGCCATTACGATTCATGAATGAAATTTTCTTACCTAGTCCAATGCATCAATGATCTAGTATCCTGTGGTCGACTAAAAATTCATAGTCTGCGTATCCCGGCTTTGTGATCACGTGGGCCGATGGGATTAGGACGTTTCCATACCCATATATAACAACTAGCAGGCTGTCCCTGACCCACGTTACCATCAATGATCAATACTTTGGACTTCGCACTTACATTGATCTTTCATGTATGCTGGTCTCATTGGTTTGTTCTTGAACATTACCATAGAGCCCTTGAATCTGTTGTTGATGAAGCGTCATCATGGTTTATTGTTGCGTAGGCATCAGACGAGTAGATTTATTCTCAAAAATAGAACTCAAAATGCTGTTGGCCTTCAACGAGCCTTTTTCGTATTTACCAAATATCCTTTTCTTCATGATCTTAGACCAGTCAAGTTGTTCTCTTGTTTACTGAACACTATAGATCCGCAGGAACCAAATGGTCCGTGCACCCGCAGCGGGGATAGCTCCAGGCCGCCTCCAACTTAGCTCCGTCACCAATCGCCGGCCAGCAGCCCAAATGGCACTGACATCAGTATGCTGACTCCCACGCACCCCTGTGTGACTTATGTCTGACTATATACCCAGTGGAAAGCGTTCAACTTCATCGACGTCTCCCCGGTGAGACTACCAGAGGAGAGCTCCGCGCTCTTCGGTGTACGTTTCTCCAACTTTCTTCTCCCCGTTGCCTTTCCTGTCCACTGACTCTAAGCCATAGAGTGACCTATCAAGCCTCTGCACTGGCTCCGCGAACCTATTTCTCGGTACAGCCGATGGATTCGTCCACATCCTCTCCTCATCCTTCCGCATTGTGCGCTCGTTCAAGGCGCACGATGCGGGCTCGATCAACCATATGAAGCAGATCAATGGAACCTCGCTTCTCGTGACTGTGGCAGAGGACTTGTCAAATGAGCCCGTTCTCAAGGTCTGGGCGCTGGATACCGAGAAGAAGGATGGTGGACCACGGTGTTTATCGACAGTCTCCGTGCAAAACGCTAGACGACAGTTTCCGGTGCGCGAGATCCCTGCTGAACCTCACTTACCGCAAAAAATCGAGGATGTGAGGGCGAATTTCAGACCCACTAACAGAAAATAGATATCCGCATTCGCAGCTGTAGATGATCTGTCACAGGTAGCTGTCGGCTTCGCGAACGGTTCAGTTACCATTATCCGTGGCGATCTGATCCACGATCGAGGTGCGCGCCAACGTATTGTCTTCGAGTCGGAAGAGCCGATCACAGGGCTGGAAATGCAAGATAATCAGGTGACTGCGCTGTACATCTCCACTACAAGCCGTATCTTGACATTGGTTATCGCGGGCCGAGGACAAGGCCAGCCAGCTCGTGTTTTAGAGGATACAGGATGTGGGCTGGGGTGCATGACTCTGAATCGGGAGACTGGAGATATCCTGATTGCCCGGGACGATGCCGTTTACACTTATGGGCCCCGTGGTCGTGGGCCTAGCTATGCGTTTGAGGGCCAGAAGACGTCCATTCGTTCGTTCCACGATTATGTGGCGCTGGTTTGCCCGCCTAAAGCTGGGTCTAACAAACCAGGCAAATATAGCGTTAATCCAGCTGATGAGATCTTTGGAACGACGACGTTCACGTTACTGGACACGGATCTGAAGTTCATTGCGCACAATGAGACACTTGTGTCGCCAATGAAGCAAATCTTCATGGAATGGGGTGACTTGTATCTTCTGACTACTGACGGCAAGGTAGGGTTGGGAATCCTCTATATTTGATGGCATTGTCTGACAGTTTTAGTTGTTTCGATATCGCGAGAAGAGCCTCCAGCAGAGACTGGAGATTCTCTACGAGCGCAATCTCTACATTCTGGCCATCAATCTTGCACAAAAAATCGGCATCGATACATTACAGCAGAACGCCATTTATCGCAAGTACGGCGATTTCTTGTATCAGCGCGGGGATTATGATACTGCCATGCAACAATATCTTCGGGCCATTGACAACACCGAACCGTCTCAGGTTATTCGCAAGGTTAGTCCGATGTTTCTTCTGAGCACGTATTTGCCCTGCTGACCGAGATCATAGTACTTGGACACTCAGCGGATTCACAATTTGATCGAGTATCTTGAAGAGTTACACGACCATGGCCGGGCCACTGTAGACCACACAACGCTTCTTTTGAACTGCTATGCCAAGTTAAAGGACACAAGCAAACTAGACTCTTTCATCAAGGCTCCTGGCGAGCTGAAGTTTGATCTGGAGACTGCTATTGCCATGTGTCGTCAAGGAGGATATTACGAGCAGGCAGCGTACCTTGCGACAAAACATGGCGAGAATGATATGGTAGTCGATATTCTAATTGAGGACTCCAAGAAGTACGCCGAGGCGGTCGAGTATATATGGCGGTTAGAGCCTGAAGTGGTACGTCTGTGTCCCCAATTGACAATGCAGGTAGCTAATTTTTTCAGGCATATGATAATCTCATGAAATACGCCCGTGTCTTATTGACCCATTGTCCCGAGCAAACAACAGAGTTCTTCAAGACTTACTACGCCGGTCAATACCGGCCTCGAACACAAGTGGAAATGCCCGCAGAGCCCCAAGCTCAGCCATCAAGCACTCTTCAAAGTCTAGCTGGCATCTTGCCACTGCGCTACATGACTGGTGGATCTGGAGTGCAAGCTTCAGCTACTGTGTCGGAGACTGTCACCAAAGAAGAACCAATCAAGGAACCCGTGCCTGAATACGAAATCCCGAAGCCACGAACTGCTTTTTCTGCTTTCGTTGATCATCCTAAAGAATTCATTGATTTCCTGGAAACACTCGGACAGCAGTCCGGACTGACCAAAGAGGCCAAAATTGATCTTTTCACAACTTTGTTCGAGATGTATCTGGATACTGCCAAGAGGGTGAAAGACACAACCACGAAGCAAGAATGGGAGACCAAGGCCAAAAAGTTGATTGAAGGCAAAGATGTGAGTAACGCTGACTATCAAGTATCTGGTACACTGTTTCTAACCCTCGCAGATTCCAATCTCAACATCCAACGTTTTACTTCTGTCTGATCTATCTAACTTCCGCGAGGGGTCTACGCTCGTGCGTGAGCAAGAAGGGTTGCGTCTAGACATTTTCCGGTCGTTTACTTCGGCCAAGGACACCCAGGGTGCCATTCAAGCCTTGCGGCGATATGGCCCCGACGAGCCTCAGCTCTACGTCGATGCCTTGACATATTTCGCTTCAAGTCCCCAGACCCTCGATGAGGCGGGCGACGAGCTAGATGTTGTTCTCCGCCGCATTGATGAAGATGGCCTGTTGTCTCCATTACAGGTGATCCAAGCACTCAGCAATAACGCTGTTGTTACCATGGGCCGAGTAAAGAAGTATCTGAGTGACAATATTGAACGAGAACGCAAGGACATCTCTACGGTAAGGAACCTCTCACGACTTCTACCTATCTTACCATTTTACCCTTTCCTGTTTCACGAAACTAACTTGACTGTAATAGAATCGCCGCCTCATCTCAAGCTACAAATCTGAAACAGCTGCCAAACAACAAGAACTCGAATCACTCTCAACACAACCAGTCGTCTTCCAATCTCGTCGCTGCCAATCCTGTGGCGGTACCCTCGATCTTCCCACAGTGCATTTCCTCTGTAAGCACTCTTTCCACGAACGCTGTCTTAACCGCGTCGAGGATGACGTGCAGTGTCCTGTCTGTGCACCAGGCAACGCTACGCTGCGAGCCATTCGTCAGCGACAGGTTGACACTGCCGATCAGCATGACCTGTTTAAGGCGGAGTTACAGCGCTCGAAGGACGGGTTCGGGGTTGTCAGTGAGTTTTTTGGGAGAGGTGTGATGAGATCGCAGAGTACGATGGATGCATGATTTTCATGTTTGATTACTCAAGGGCGCTCCGGTCATTTGTACAGGGCTTGTTTTTGTGTTTGTTTGTTGGATACCTCAGCTTCGATTTCGTTTCATGATATTCATACCATTGCTGTATGTGCTGGAATATGTACTTTGTAGTGTGTGACTATGCCAGCCACTTAGGAATTTCAACGACACCTCCAACAATACATTTAGAAGAAAAGATCTACCCGTGCCACATTTAAACGGTTGGCGTCATTTTAAATTCCAGTCTTAGTATAATTGACCTACAACGAAGTTACATCATTGGGAAACAACACTCACATCCATGACCTTTTTTAGTCGAGATAGAAATGAAAAATGAACCCAGATCGGGTATGGAACAGCAAACATTCCTCAACCCATTGCTGTCTTTGGTTCCTTCTACTGACAAATCATCCCCACCAAACCAGACCTCGGGAGTCAGCAATGCGTCCCTTTTTACTCAGGCTAAGGGCCATTGATAAAATTGGCCAGTCAATCAAAGGATCATTTGCGCTGTGCCTATGGGCGCATCGTTTCAACACGCATTCTGACTCAATTTTAAACATATTGGCTAACTCACCATCACTTCCCCAATCGATAACCTTACATCCCACCCGTTGAGCGTCCTGACATCGTGGCGGGAACTGGTTAGAAGGGTTTTTGATCGTGCTTGATAAACCTTGGTATGACCGGACCTATTGTGATAGTCAAGATCTCAAAAGTTTTTGACTCGTTCAGACGTCTGTATTCATAAGGTTCTAGCTAGCCTACAGGCATTTGTATATATCATAAGTGATGTGATTCCGTCTCCCAGCGAATATCTACTTAGGAAACCTAGGCACCTCTCTCTCTTCCACTTTCACTTTCTCTTTAAATTCATCATTCACCATCAATACTGGAAAGCATATCCAGCCCCATGACTGTCTACCAACCTTGGAGTCTTTCAATTTTCGAGCTGACAGTTTTTCAACCATTCATGTCTCACCTCAGACCTCACTTCCACTGATATCATCATCACTGGCACAAACAACAGCTTACTATCAACGACCTTGGAAGCCTCCTTCCCTCACCCCACCTCTCATCTCATTACCACTGCTACCATCATCACTGCACGAGAAAAAACCCACATCAACGAACCTTACCAATGTCGACGCCAATCAAAAAAGAGACTGTGGACTGGGAGCCGCTCGCCATGGACCCTATCCTGGAAGAGCAGTTTAAAGCGCTCATCAAGAAATTATCAAAGGTGAAGGTGAAGCACCTAACACATATTGATGGTTTCGATGCCTGGTTGATTGCCATTACTGGTGCTCTTGAAACCTTGGGACTGAAAACCTATCTGGACGAGGAAGCCCGACGTCATTGTTCGTGTATCCAGCAATGGGTTACCGTCTCAAAACAGATCGCTTCTTGGATGGAGCATCATGTGGACAACACCCTCATCAGACTCTTGAAGACACGAGGCGATGCTCTTACCCTTGCGGACACGTTTATCAACAGAGCAAAGAAGTTATTCGGAACGGGGCATATTGCAAACCAGTTGAGACTGAAAAAATTTCTGGCCATCAACCCAGCAGATTTTTCCTCAATGTCACAGTTCGTTACGACCTATGAAGAAAAGTTCATGTCACTAAGATCCCATGATATTGAGATGGCCCCCTATACAGCGCTACTGGCAATGCTTTTGCACATCGAACAGGCTAGCAAGCAGGTGCACGACAAAATGCATCTTATGCTGCAGACGGAGACTGATTTTGCAAAATCTGAGATGGAGAAGAGACGAAATCGCCCCGTTACCACAGCCGATCTGGTTACTCTTGAAGTGTTTCAAGACTTTGCCAGCCGTACGGCTACTTTACTCAAGCTCGATGAAGGCTATTAACTCGACTTCATCTATCCGCCTTTCGCTAGCTGAGTACCATGGTCTCCGATTTCCCCTTCACCTTATTTTGAGGTAGCAGCAACTATTACAGTGACGCCGAGGAAGCTTAAAACATCTCTTTGATTATATGACTCATACCATATTCTTTGCCACGAAAAATCCCACATCCTGTAGCAGCTGCTAATACGGAGCACATCTGGTAATAAAGAGCATGATTTTCTAACTATGAAACTCGGCTGTAAATAATTCAGACCTGAGATGATGTCTATTTTTCCACGAATTTAGTAATAGTACTTGGACAGGTATCGGGCCGCAAAGTTGAGCATGGTACGGCGTAGAGACTGTCTATTGGCAATTCCAGTGTTGCAGATCGCTTCGGTTTCGGGAGGCCGGCTGGAGCCGATCTCGGGTAAGGGTTCGTCTCGAGGGTCAAATGCCGGCCCCGAAATGATGCATACAATGACATCGGGGCAACTTCGGGACCCTGCTGTAGCCAAGGGTGTGAGAGGCTACCATCTTCCCTTTTGCCCGTTCGGGAAGGCGCGTTCATGTAGCTTCGTCTTCTCAATTCGCGCAAGCCTTTTCTTATCCGAGATCCCTTGAAGACCCTATGGATAATGTCCGAAAATCTTCAACGGGTAGAATGATGCTAATAAGGATCATCACCAGAAATACCTCTTATGGGCTTGAAGCTGAGTGATATTCCTGAACTAAGCCTTCTTGGAATCAACAAACCATGGCCAGTGAAGCGGGGCGTGACTAACAACCCCATGGACGATATTGTTCGGACAAGGCCCGACCAAAACACCCCACCTTATTCGGCTTTCGAACCCCAGGGCTCAATTGCCGTCCTGTCGTCAGTATGCAACTTTGCATATTGTCTTCATACTCCCCGGCTTTTGCCTTACCCCGAGTGGGTAAGTTGGTGATATGATGTCACATGTAACATTGTCTCTCCCCACGCTTGTGGGGTTTGTCATGTCTAGTTTGGAAAATCTGAAAAAAAATACCTCATGCCCTGGCTGATCGGCTAAGTATATAAAGGGGATACTTCCTCCAGATTCTGACTCTACGCAAACGAAGTCAGTTAACTTTATCCCGCTGACAACCACCATCATGAAGCTGTGGTTTCTTGCGCTCTGGGTTACCTTGGTTAAGGCCTGGGTGGTCAATGAAGGTACAACATGTACTTTGTATCCTGAATCATTGGTCCACAAGGGGCAAGCTGTGGATGATTCTCCATCCATCCAGCAAGCCTTTGATATGTGTGGCACGAACGGAACAGTCATTTTCTCCAAAAATGTCTTCAACGTGAACACCGTCCTGAACACAACCAATCTGCTGAATTGTGATGTTCATCTCCGTGGTGAACTTCGCTTCTCTACCAACCTCCCATACTGGAGAACCCACTCTATCAGTGTTGTTCTGCAGGATCAAGTCACTGCTTGGCTGTTTGGAGGTACAAACGTGAACTTCTATGGCGAGGGCGGCTTCTACAACGGCCAGGGTCAAGCTTGGTACAACGCCAACAGAAATGAGTCCAACCAGCCAGGACGACCCATGAGTATCACATTCTACAACTCGACCAACCTACTTGTTGATGGATTGAGAATCATTCAACCTCAGTTCTGGGCCACATTTGTCTGGGAAAGCAAAAATGTTTCCGTTACCAACTTGTTCGTCAATGCGACCAGCAACAGCAAATGGGGCACAATGAACACCGATGGCTACGATTCTTGGAAGAGTGACTCTCTGCTCGTGGAGAATGCCACGATCATCAATGGTGACGACTGTATCGCCGCCAAAGGAAATACCACCAATCTGCTCGCCAGGAACATTTATTGCGAAGGCGGCACTGGAATCACCATTGGATCTATCGGCCAATACCCAGAAACGCCCGACTACAACCTGAACACTACATTCGAAAACGTGATTATCAAAAACTCCATGGACGGCGCCTACATCAAGACCTGGCAAGGAACTCGGATCTACACGCCCAGCAATGGCGACTGGGGTGGCGGTGGAACCGGCCTCGTCAAGAACGTCACCTTCCGCAACTTCGAGATGATCAACGTGGGACTTCCTATTCAGATGTCGCAATGTGTTTACTCGGCCGATTCTAATAAGGGCTGCAACACATCGACTTTGCAAATTGAGGATGTAAAGTGGCAAAACATCCATGGTACTTCGCGGTTTAACATTGCTTCGTCCATTTACTGTTCTGACGAGCGCCCCTGCCCCAACATCACCTTTGATAATGTGAACATCACGAGCGTGAACGCTAGTCTGGGTCTGCCTTACTATAACACCGATATCAAGCACGAGTTGTTCCAGTGCACAAACCTTCTTGGGCAGAAGAATTCTGGAATTCCCTGTAACCAGGCCGCTCCGAGTAACTTCAGTCAGTGGATTTATGGGAACGTTGACAGCTCGGGTCTTGCGACACTGACTTGAGCATGTTGGGAGCATCAATTCATGTGATTACGATATACCCACTTGGTTTGAATAGATTTTTTGATCTCATATATATGTGCAATTCAGGAAGAATGATCATAGTCAAAGTCCTTCAGCAGAAGTAGGTCAAGCAATGATGGAATGGCAGTGAAGTACCTAAGACACGGGATTAGGTGGACCGCTCCTTCCGTTTTGGTGTCAGCCAATCGGATCTCAAGTAGACCTTCGCCCGGGAGCTTCCAAAGGGCTCAATGGCATAGCTTAGATGCCAGAGTCAAAGTGCTCATGATTTGGAAAATGAACATTTGAAAGTTTGGTGTTACCTTTCTCGCATAGCGCCTTGCCAAGCTATCGTGTCCCGAGGTTTCCAGGAAACACATCCCAAAGCAAACAATACGGATTCAAGCAGATATAAAGAGCTCGCCTCTGTCGTCATCGGGAGTATAAGTGTGCATTCGTCACCAATTGCACTAATATATTGAATCACTAGTCCGCCCCGCAAACCAAATTGAGTTTTCTCGGTCCGAATTGTGATGTCGCATTGCAGCCGAATTTTCAATCATATATTAACAGAGAAATTGCTATGTGCCTGACGTCGATGCAACACAAGATAGGTCTGCAGTAACATGATCATGGAAGTCCCGGATATGGAGCCAAAGTGGAGTCAAAAGGGGAAGAAAAATGTGTACACAACGAATACCAAGAAAAAAATAGGGGCCAAGGCTACTCGGAGTTCGGAGGAACTCCAGTTCAATTTCTATGATTCTTCATTAATGTGATTCCCTAATCAATTGTGGATATTCAAGTGGTTCTTGGTCCGATCTCGTTCTCGTTTCTCTTTCCGTTTTCCGTTGCGTTCCAAGCACGTGAGATACGATCATCAAATCGGTCGCATCCAACTTTCTTCCTTCCGACATTCACACCTTGGAACAATAATCCTTACCACAATGGTTCGCCCTCGTGGTAGGTCCAACCTGGGCGTGGACATCCGTGGCGACACCAGTGCGCCCGCGATGTCCACCATGAACGACGTGAGCCCGATCGAGCCTACTTCTCCCGACATGGGCAAGGTACGCATTTCAATGTACCCTCCGAATAATCTCTCAACCATACAATGGAAGACAGCACGTTAACATGCAATTCCGGCGCATCCAGCATTTCGAAAATCACTCCGAGAAGTCCGCAGTCAAGTCCCATACAAAGCGTCGTCGCAATCGCTCGCTGCTCCATCGTTTCGCCGACACCTGCCTCAAATACACCTGGCTGTTGCCGCTGATCATCCTGGTCTTCCTGCTTTCACTCTACGCCATAAATCCGACCGCGACCAATCCAATGCACAGCGCAATCTTCCTTTCCTACCCGCAGCCACCCAAGGTCCCGGGAGGTCCGATTATGTACGGAAAGGGTAAGAAGGATATCGCCTTCGTGGCATTCTATACGATCGTGCTCTCGTTCACGCGCGAGTTTATCATGCAGCAGCTGATTCGCCCACTCGCCGTTTTCTGTGGTATTCGCGGTAAGGGCAAGACGGCTCGGTTCATGGAGCAGGTCTACACGGCGATCTACTTTGGTGTTTTCGGTCCATTCGGCCTGTACGTCATGAAGCGGTCGGATATCTGGTACTTCAACACCACTGCGATGTTCGAGAACTTCCCTCACCGCGAGCACGAGGCGCTGTTCAAGGCTTACTACCTTCTCGAGGCAAGTTACTGGGCACAGCAGGCTATTGTGCTCATGCTGCAGCTTGAGAAGCCTCGCAAGGATTTCAAGGAGCTGGTCGGACACCACATCATCACATTAGCGTTGATTGCTCTGAGCTACCGCTTCCATTTCACATACATTGGTCTGGCCGTGTACATCACTCATGACGTTTCGGACTTTTTCTTGGCGGTATGTACACGCAAACACAGAATAATTGGAAAAATATGCTGACTCATCTGGAACAGACATCGAAGACGCTGAATTATCTTGATGCATACATTACAATTCCGTACTTTGGCGTTTTCGTTGGCATGTGGATCTACCTTCGCCACGTGCTGAACCTCAAGATTCTCTGGGCTATTCTGACTGAGTTCCGTACCGTGGGTCCTTTCGAGCTCAACTGGGAGACTCAGCAGTACAAATGCTGGATCAGTCAGTACATTACTTTCGCGCTGCTTGCCAGTCTCCAGGCCGTGAACCTGTTCTGGCTATACTTGATCCTGCGCATTCTGGCCAACTACATCTTCAACAGCGTCACCAAGGATGAGCGCAGTGACGATGAGACTGAAGAGGAAGCGGAGGTTGAGGTTGAGACCAAAGCTACTCTCGCTACCGGTATCGAATCTGCCAAGCAGGAGAACCAGGCTCCTCAGGTCCTCGTGAACGGCGAACCCGCCCCTGAGCAGCGCGGTCCCCGGACACGCAGCAGAAAAGCGTGAGAGTTAAAACATTGAACATGAGGTCGTCTCATTTACGTTGGAGAGACTTTCTCTCCGCTTGTCACGTTTATTTGCCTTGTCACCGGGTTTATTGGGCAATCAGAAAGTCCTTGTCTATAATTATGCATGTGTGAGGAATTGGATGACTCAGACATGGTGTTTGTGATTCGAGTGAGCCACCTTTAATAGGCCGCTTCGAACATCCGTGGTTGCATTGGGATGTGGGTTGGGTGCTATTGTGTGCGTTATGGATCTTTCTATTCGATTCGTGCACAGTCCGTTTTTCCTTCTTGTTCTTATCATACACTTTTACACTTGTACGTTTTTGTGTCCTGACTGATGCCATTGAACGAATATATCAATGATCTTCACGTGATGCTGGAAGGACTGAACCGAGTAAGCGATCCACAGCTTAGGCATTTTGGCCACCTGCAAAAGCCTCTGGGGCATATAAAAGCACTTGAGATTCTGGAGTACATAAACAAAAATCGAAACAGAGCCATTGGCTACAGAATGTATCTGAATTGTGGATTCTATTTTCGTCAGCGAATCTTGGAATATGGAAGCTAATGAGCAGGTGAGAAGAGATAAGAGTTGGCTTACCGTTTTATCCGTCAAGTCATCCTGATATGCATTTTCATATCCCTCAGATGTTCCTGAATCATCTCGACGCCGATTCTCCCATACGCAAATAAACCTGTAAATGAGAACAATCACACCGGCAGCAAACGACGTCACAACAACAGTAATAAAGCCCGGAACATATCGAGGCGCATCCTTCGTTTTGTACACAAGAGGACCAGTGAAGTTTCCTAGACAAATTAGCACTGCTAAGAGAGCATATTATCAAGAAAGTGCTCACCAAGGCAGTACCCAACATAAAGGCCCGATGAAGCAATTGAGCGCTTAGTGTACCCAGCAATATTCGCAATTTGTAGACCCATAAGCACGGCATAACCACCACCGATAGCCGGAAGAATATAACATGCGAACAGCAAACCACCCGTTGCTTCGATAGGCAGCGACACGAGCAAAATAGCAGCGATAGTCGTAATCATTTGCGCAGTAAACACAATCCAAGACCTAACACCCTTATCCGAGAACCTGTATGCCAGATAAGAGCCAATAAGCATATAAGAACCACCCAAGAACCCAGCCGGAATGACCAATAGCAAAGAATTCAAGGTGCTAAATCCAAAAGAGTCGATAATAATAGGTGTGAAAGTTGAGATAGGGCCATTGGCAATCATGCTCAAGAAGGCAATTAGGAAAATCAGCCAGAATTTGAGATCCTTGATTAGTTCAAGTACTTGTCCCTTTTTGAAATGTGTGTTTCGTACGCCGGAGTTATTGACTCGAAGGCGTGCGACGGCAATATATCTTTGTCTCTCACTGAAACCGCGAGCGCTGATTGGATCGGAGGGTAGGAGGAATACGAGGATTATCCCCCATATTATGGTTACTGCGCCGGCGACGAAGTACATGTATTTCCATGGGGTGAGGGAGCCGGTTATGTGGCCCAGACCGTAGTTGATTAATGGGGAGACGATGGAGACGTAGCCTGTGCAGCTGTACCAGATTCTGTGGGTTGTTAGAATAGTTTTTGCCGAGATGATAAGGTGGAACTGACCCCATGCGCATGGCTTGTTCATTCTTTTTGTACCAGCCTCCCTATTTGAAAGAATATTTAGTCGGCGTTCATTTCTGGGAGTCCCTATGGGGAACATACCACGATGAGCATGAACATTGGACTAATACCACTTTCCAACACACCGAGGAAGAATCTTTGTGCATAAAGTGCCCTGTAATTGAAGCAAACAGGAGTCAAGATCAGGCATGTTCCCCAAAGCGTGATTATTATCGACGCGACGCGCTCAATAGGGAATCGTTGGGCTAGTGTCACTGCAGGATAGGTCCCGATGATGAAACCCAGGTATAAAATGGCAGCTGCAAAGGAGTAGCGATTGCCAATGCTCAATTCCAGGTCTGATTCAATACCGAAGAGAGCCTTAAGAAGTTAGAATGGTCTGATCAATAAATCAAAGGGAGGGGACGAACAGCCTGAGAATACATGGCCTTGTCATAGTACTGTAGACCATAGGTGACGCAAAGAATTGGCATCAACCTCCAATCAACTTTCCGGAGTAATTTTCTCTCTTCTTCTTCAGTCCAAGTCTCATCCCCTGTATAATTTGCTAGGACTTTGATTGCCTCGTCATTGTGCACTGTGTCCAGGGTTGGGCTTTTTTCGGCCTCTGGCAAGTTAAGGCTTGAGCTTTGGGTCTCGATGTAGTCTTCATGAGGCTTCTCATGATCTGACATGATTGGGGAAATGTTTCAGGACTCAATATGATAAGTCTGTCCTAGGGCAAGAAAAGCAGGAGCCGGAAGGGAGTCTCACTTTATGGTCTTATGGGGGCATTTTAAACTAAAACTAGAGAAAATAGGAGGACCCTAGGTCTCAGCCATTTTGTTCAATGGGGTACGTATGCCGAGACGACAGCTTACCCCGGGGACTTTACCCCGGAATTCCTACAGTTACTATCGGCGAGTGGGGAACAATATGGGTCAAGAATAGCTCTACATTTTTTATACCAAGATCGAATATTATCATCAGAATTGGGAAATGACATGATCGGCAACACCAGAACAGTAACCGAATGATAGAGCCGAAGGTCAAATTGCTAGCCGGTATTTCATGTACTGATAGCCAAACAGCGGGGAATCCGGGGAAGTGAGATCGCTATCTTAATTTACCTACAGTAGTTAGCTTCTCCGCATCTTTGACTTTATCCGATGGAAGCAAGAAAGATATCTCAGCACATCATCTTATTAAAATCAAGTGGACGATAATGGCTGAGCTACCGGATTTCTCAGTACCAGCTGGGCAGACCATCACGGTCAAGCTCATCAACACCGTCAATTTCGGACCTGCACAACTAAATAGATTCATGGCACCCCCTGTTCCGGGCATGGAGACTCATCCAAGCAATCCATCATTCTCATTTCTGCTTGAGCATTCCTCAGGTCAAAAGCTCGTTTTCGATTTAGGAATCCGAAAGGACTATAAGAATTACGCACCCAAGATTGCCCAATACATTCTCACGACAAAATACACAATTGAAGTCACTAAAAATGTAATTGATATTTTGGAAGAAAGCGGGATTAAAGGTGAAGAGGTACAGGCAGTGATCTGGAGGTACAAAAATCAAATCCCTTTTTCATTCGAGTACTAATCATTATCTTAAGCCATTGGCATTGGGATCACATCGGTGATCCGTCAACATTTCCAACTTCTACAGATCTAGTAGTTGGACCTGGGTTCAAAGAAGCAATGTTACCCGGCGCACCTACAGACCCCGACTCTCCCCTTAGCGAGACAGACTTCCAGTAAGAGCCTCTCACCAACATTCAAACAAATCACTAATGTACAACCAGGGGTCGAAATCTACGGGAAATCACATTTGAAGGACCGCAATCTCTCAAGATCGGCCAATTCAATGCATTCGATTACTTCGGGGACGGATCATTCTATCTACTGGATAGCCCCGGCCACGCCATCGGCCATCTATGCGGTCTAGCAAGAACGACCTCCAACCCTGACACCTTCGTTCTGCTCGGTGGTGACGTCTGTCACTATGGAGGCATTTTCCGACCATCGAAGTATCTACCAGTACCCGATTCCATTCACCCACACCCCTGTCATCCACACGGTAATGTCCCTTTCTGTCTTGGCGGGGCATTTGAGGAGCTACAACAATCGCGGGGCCGGAGTATTGCCGAGCCCCTCTTTACCCCGACTTTTGGGCATGATATTCCACAAATAATCGAGACGATCGGGAAATTACAGGAGGCTGACTGTATGAATAATGTTTTTGTTATTATTGCGCATGATGCTACGGTGCGGGATGGCGTAGATCATTTTCCATTGAGTCTCAATCGATGGAAGGAAAAGGGATGGGGGAAGGATCTTAAATGGGCATTTTTGAGGGATGCCGAGGCTTATTGGAAGTCTAAAGGCGTGATGTGATAATAATCTATTTCGTGGCAGTTAATGCATATCTTTCAATTGATAGAAGTTGTATTGAAATGTACGCTGCATATCGTAGAGTAAGCCGGCATACGCCGAAGGGAGCCGAGCCCACAGCCCACATCACTAATCTAAGTCATTAAGACTCGGCTTTATTGATACTTTCAAACATGCTCAGCTGGACATGCCTCAAGTGTTTCGATACAAAGTAAATAGGTAAAATACAGGAACCGAAGAGGTCACACTGGGGCAGTCTCGGTTTCATACTAGTGTGGGGTACAGCTTTTCGACCCCGCTGATCTATGTGTATCCCCGGAGTTAAATCAGTATGTATCTCGCCCCAAGATGCATAAGCTTGCATATACAGCTCTACACATAAGTACTGTACATCTCACAGAGATTATAAGTGTAACGACATATTACTATCTTTGAACCCCGCTTTCCTGTGGCTATCAACCGCAATCATGGGCAGCGCCGAGAAACCCAGTTTCAGTGAAATGAACAAAGACCTCGATTACGATGTCCTGATCATCGGGGCAGGCCTTTCTGGAATATACTCATTATACCGAATGCACCAACTAGGTCTACGAGCGAAAGTCCTCGAGGCCGGTGGTGATGTCGGTGGCACATGGTACTGGAATCGGTATCCAGGCGCACGATTCGACTCCGAAAGCTATTCATACAATTTCTCGTTCTCACAAGAGCTTCTTGATGAATGGAACTGGTCTGAACACTTTGCGTCACAGCCTGAAACACTACGATACTGCGAGTTTGTCTGCGACAAATTTAATCTTCGTCGGGATATGCAATTCAACACTCGAGTTACATCGGCACATTTTCAAGACGGAGCCAATGCGTGGCGACTTACTGATGAAAGCGGTCGACAATATACATCCCGATTCCTGGTGACTTGCATCGGTATCTTGAACAACTACACTTTACCGAACATCCCCGGCGTCTCGGATTTCAAGGGAGAAGCGTTTCACACGGCACGCTGGCCTCGAGAACAGGTCAACTTTGAGAATAAACGTGTCGCTATCATTGGTACTGGTGCGACGGGTATACAAGCAACCCAGGAAATTGTCAAGAGAGTCGGCCATCTGACTATCTTTCAGCGAACCCCAAACTGGAGTCTACCATTGCGCAACACAAAAATCACGCCTGACGAAATGGAGGAAATCCGATCGAATTATCCCGATATCTTTGACAAGTGTTCTCAGACTTCCTCTTGCTTCATGCACGTATCAGATACGAGAAGCACACATTCACTCACCCCCAAGGACCGTGAGAAATTCTGGAACGATCTCTACGAGCAGCGTGGTTTCGCGAAATGGCTCGGCAACTTCGGTGACATCAACACCGACAAGGAAGCAAACGCACTTTTCAGTGAGTTCGTCGCAAATAAAATCCGGCAACGTGTTACAGACCCCGTTACGGCCGAGACGCTTATACCCAAGTGCCACGGCTTCGGGACGAAGCGCGTTCCGCTGGAATCGGGCTATTTCGAGGCATACAATAGACCGAATGTCAGACTGGTTGATGTCAAGAAGGATCCTATTGAATGCGTGACGGAAACTGGAATCCGAACTCGGGATAAGAATTTTGAATTCGATATGATCATCTATGCGACGGGTTTCGATGCCGTAACGGGATCGTTCACAGCTATTGATTTCAAAGGTGTGGATGGAATTCAACTCTCGAAGCAGTGGGCGGAAGGTCCACGGACGCATTTGGGTTTGTTTGTTGAGGGTTTCCCAAATATGATGATGGTCATGGGACCGCATCAGATGTTTGGGAACATTCCTCGCAGTATCGAGTATGCTGTTGGGTGGGTGTCTCGGTTTATTGAATTTTGTCGGGATAATGGTATTACCTTGGCTGCGACTTCGCATCAAAATGTGCATGATTGGACTGAACATGTGCACACTTGTGCTGATGGGCTTCTGGCTAATGAGGTGGACTCGTGGATGACGGGCGTGAATAAAAATCTGGCTCATAAGCAGAAGAGGATTATTGCACGGTACCAAGGCCCGGCTCCGGGATATAGGAAACTAGCGGAGGATGTAGCTGCGAGGAAGTATGCTGATTTGACTCTGATGTGAATGTTGCAGTAGTATAAGTTGATATTGTATCATTGATTGTACATTGTTGATCTATGCAAATAAATTCATCTCCGTAAGGGTATCACAGGGTTCAAACAAGTATTGAAACTGAAGCATAGCATCCCCAAACACATCATCGTCAAAGAACAGTTCTTCCGTATGAGGCACGAGTAGTCGACTTGCAATCCCACTTGTTTGTGATGTTGCAAAAGGAAAATAAACGGTCCAGTCAATACCATCAGTCATTTCCATATATCCTGACCCATCACCCATTCCCAGCTCAGGACCAGGAGCACGCTGGGATTCCAAATCAGGACCGACGGCATTCTGCCGTAAACGCTCAAAACCAGAATAGAATACAGCAGCAGTAGGCCACATCTGACGCAACTGGTCAACAGCTAAAGTAAGAATATCCAAATCTTCATTCGCACTCTTGGCCAGACTCTCAATGCGTAGCGCTTGTAATAATGCGATAAAGGCAGTACCACAGTACCAACCTGTAATGGCCATGAGAAACCTAGTACCACCACGAGCAAGTATATCCCTCATCAACCGTGCCATGCAAGTTGCCGCTAAAATAGCAGGTGGATAGGCTTGTGGGAGAGGCTGCGATGAGGTGGATCGTTTCATATGAATGATTATTATAACAGCAAGATATGGCAGGTGAAGCTGGTATACATCTCGATCAAATGAAGTTGTGTGATCTGAGCTGATAGGCAGTTGAAGATGCGGTGGTAATGATTGTACCCAATTAATGAGTTCCCGAGCAAGTTGGACTGGAAACGCACCAGGAGATTCGCCGGTGCGTACAAGGTATTTGGCGACTTTTCCAATAATGCCACACAGTCGGACCCAATAAATGAAGATCTCCGCTTTACATTTGTCCTGTATATTCGGAAAGTCTTCTAATGTTGGCTCCGAAAGTGTGCAGTCTTCGGGGTCGATAACACAAGGTTTGCTTTGGCATAATGCGGTCAGACGTTCGCGAGCAAAAGCCGTCCACCAGATTCTACGTCGTAAACTCAGGTCAATCTGTTCGCGAAGTGGATGATCAGGTGCAGGCTCGCGATGTACTCCTAGCTGCTGACAGTGCCGGATCACTACCGATGTCCACCACCAGGAAGAATGTCGGTGAAGGATTGTTGGCGGACGTGGGCTCCACCAGTAAAACAAGGAAATTGCTTTCAAGGATGTCATCACATCTGCCTCTTTATCGTTGTAGAACAGAGATGTTGCTCGGTCATAGTAAATTGCTGGTCCGTCGTGGGGAATCATGGGTGGCTTGACGTGGCTGCCGGCTGCCGCAAGGGCGTTCACAAGAAGTGGAGACCGTGCCAACTCCTCAGAGAGGCTATCTCTATCTAACACGGGACACCAAGGATAGCAGTATTCAAAATACGTTTCGGAGAAGGTCTGCTGTAGGGCTGAGTCTGGCAGGTTCGGGACGTCGGGGAGTCTTTCAGCAATGAGTCGTTCTTGATCACGGGCATTGGTCTGAAGCTCCGGTAGAAATACGTGACCAACAGGGTAGCTGTCATTATGCTCGCAGTGGTCCTCTGATCGTTCGGTTCGTTGGGTTGCAGGTGAATCATTGGCAGCAGTAAATAAGACTCGATTTTGTGACTCCCCAGTCGCGCCTATGGAGCCGCTCACAGACCCCCATCCGTCAATTGCCCCATTTGATAACTGCTGCTGGGACTCTGTGGATCCAGATGAGTGCTGAAGATCGAGCTGTGTAAAATCGAGAGGCTGGTCGTCATGGTTGCTGTGATTATTCGTGATGTTATCTGGAAGCGCTGGCACCGTTTCGAGGCCTAGGTTCGCTCTGGAACGGGTATTGCGACGGGAGGTATTGGCTTCGTCGCTGATATTGCTGTCAGGTGGAGTGAGTGGGCGTGGTGCGGCGCCAGATGGACGACCGCGCCGTGATGGTCTTGTTCTGAACAGACATCATGAGTATATGTCAGTTTCCCTTGGCTTATTGATCCAGGTGTCTCCTACCGGCAGTCTTTCCCGGAAGACGCGCATTTGGTACAATTGTTGTACCCTTGACCCCCTCGCGTTTGAAGATCGCATCGAATCTGCAGACGTCATTATCCGACCACGGTGCCGAATCATGATGCGGTCGGTACCTTTTTGCTGTGACATGCAATGCAGGCCAGCTCTGCTCGTTTTCTCTTCGGTTGCTGGCCAGTGAACTGGAGCCACAGCGGTGGTGACATGTTTACAGATTCAGGGGAAAGGTGAGTTTAAAATTGCCAAAGCAGAATAAATTGAGATTACAAGCAACACCGAGCAGTACGCTGATCTAGCTAGCAGACATCACATTCACAGCAATAATGCGGGGAAGCTGGGGATCCCCGCAAAAGACCTTTTAGGTTTAGGCTATATAACATTGACCATAGCACATCGGAGTTGTTTCCGAGACTCGAAAATCGACAAGTGACCACAGCCCCCATGCCCTTAAAAGGATCTCATATATTAAATCAAACCTCGCTATGCTGCATACTTAATGGAACCGCTCATTTACAAGGAATACTCTTAAGTTTCGGGATCGGGCTTGTGAAAGTAACCTCGGCCCCGGACTTTGGCTTATTTTGCTTGTTTGAATTACCGGGTGTAAGAAACCGGTATGGATGTCTTTCTATGACCGGTATCTACTTTATGTACTGCTAAACGACAATATCGGCTTCTTTGATGATTCGGTTGGTAATAACGTAGTCATGAGATCGGCTACAGACTGCCGTGTATCTAACGGTTGAGAGTGCAAAGCTACCGATTGTCCGGAGTGCATCAGGCTTCCTAGTAACCTTTCGATCAACAACGGTGGATCCGTGTCGCCGCTATAAAGACTCATATTGCGAATATCAAAGCTCTCGTGAGTTTAGTTTTACCATATTGCTTCTCTAGTAGCATCATGACAATCGCAATTCCAACACCGATCAATGGCGAGGTGCCGAGTGTACCTAAGCTAAACGGCGTGAATGGTACTCATGGTTTAAATGGAACAAATGGCGCAAATGGCACAAATGGAACCAAGACATCAACTAAGCCAGCTGTTAACGGAGACCATGGAATCGATTTACCAAATCAATACTCGATTCCGCTGAACAACGAACATGCATACAAGCCTAGAAAAATGCGTGTCGTCACAATCGGAGCCGGTTTCTCGGGTCTCTTGATGGCGCACAAAATTCAACATCGATTTCCTGAGTTGCAGGACTTTGTGGACCATACCATCTACGAAGCTCGAAGTGATGTCGGTGGCACCTGGTTAATTAACACCTATCCGGGTGTGCAGTGTGATGTTCCGTCTCACATCTATGCTTTTCCATTTGACCCGAATCCTGACTGGAGCCGGTTCTACTCCAGCGGAGAGGAGATCCAAAATTACATTAAGAGCACTGTCAAAAAGTGGAACTTGGATCGAGACCTCCAGCTGAATACAAAAGTCGCTGGAGCGTACTGGGAGGAAGATGCCGGACGGTGGAGATTGGTTATCGAACACAACGGCGAGCAACGTGAGGAGTACTGTGATATCCTCGTCTCGGCTCAAGGTGTTTTAGTGTACGTTCCTCCTCAATCATTCATCTGAGTTGTGTTCTAACCAAGCAAACAGTCATCACTCTTGGCCTGACATTCCAGGCTTGCACGATTTTAGGGGTCATGTCACTCACTCTGCTCATTGGGATCACGATTATGACTACTCCAATAAGCGCATCGCTGTTATTGGAAATGGTTCATCTGGGATTCAAATCACTCCACAAATGGCCAAGCTCCCGGGTACGGAAGTCATCAATTTCATGCGCAGTCCTGCTTGGGTCTATTACCGCGTACCGCCTTCCAAGCATCTCGGACGAGACGTCGAAGATGCAAATCCCGCATATGCAGAGGAAGAGATACAACAATTCAATGACCCTGAGTCCCACAAGGATTACCGAAAGGGGATCATCTCTCGAACGAACAAGGCCTTCCGCTTGGTAAGTCACGATACTTTTGAACCATCGCGATTAGTCTGACCATTCTGCAGTTCATCAAGGGCGAGAACAATGAGGCTGCAGTAAAGTTTGGGGCGCAGCAGATGGCCGAAAAGCTAAACTATGACCCCGAGCTCTGCGAGAAGTTGATCCCGAAATGGGAGGTAGGCTGTCGTCGTGTCACCCCAGGACCAGGTTATTTGGAAGCCTTCAGTCGGCCAAACTGCAATCTCAGCAATAGCCCCATCACAAAGATCACAGAGAATGCGGTACACACAGAAGATGGCAAGGTCTTCGAGTGTGATGTTGGTAGGTTTGATTGGATTCAAATATTATTGGCTATTTTACTAAACATGTTCAGTCATTTGCGCCACTGGTTTTGACGTCTCTCATCGTCCTCATTATCCTATAGTTGGCCAAAATGGGGTCAGCCTTGCAGATAAATGGGCCGAGGAACCAGAGTCCTACCTCTCTGTCTCAACATCAGGATTCCCTAACTACTTCATCATGATGGGTCCCAACTGTCTCGGCGGTCACGGCTCCTTGGTGGAGTCCCTCAATTGGACAGGCGATTACTTCGTGAAATGGATCAAGAAGATCGCTACAGAGGATATCAAATATGTTGTGCCGAAGCGGTCTGCTGAGGAAGCTTTTGTCAGATATGGCGATGAGGTTCACAAAACCCTTGTTTGGACGGGTGGTTGCAAGAGCTGGTACAAGCGAAACCGAGTCGATGGCCGTGTTACGGCATTGTTCGGTGGCAGTGCAATTCTCTTCCATCGCTTGATCAGTGAGCTTCGGCCTGAGGACTTTGAGATTGAATACAACAGTCGCAATCCGTTCCGGTTTATGGGTACTGGGTTCACTGAGTTTGAGATGACAGAAGGGAATGATCTGTCTTATTACGTTGAGGTCGCAGATGAACCTTTATCCTATGCATAGATAGTCTTACATACATCATTTTGGTCTATTTCAGTTTCTTGCAAGCTTGAGTTGAGTAATTTGGTATACCACTATGCAGATTGCGAATATGAATCCATTTTAGTAAAGCCCCTTGAAGACCCCGAAGTGACAGAAGTATCCGTATATTTGTTCATCCGCTGAAGAAGGTGTTTAGCAACCAATTTTACTCGGATCATTGATTTGTGTAATTCTTGTCTGCCTATTCGATGATCTTCTTCTTTGATCTAAAAGAAAGGCTATAAATTACCGACACAAATGCGGGGAAGCCGGGCATCGGTTGACCTTTCTGGGGATAGACGGGCCACGGAATTGTCCCCCAGATGTTCCACTTTCATTTAGATGGCCTTCTTATTTCCAAGCAGTACACATTCAGTTCATATCAATTTCTTCAGATTGACCTCTCCGCCTATGCAATATGGAATTTATGCCGCCTCCGTCCACGATGTATGCTTGGAGAAAGCACAAAGGAAATACCCAACCAGTACGACAAGAAGTAGAAGTATAATTCAAAAATATGCTTACCATCTCATCTAGGTTTGGGAGCAATTACCAGTTCCAGAGACACCTTCTGATGGACTTTTGATCAAATTACTGGCCTCAGGCGGTATGTGCAGGCTTGTCATTCTGGGGACAAGGGCTCAGAAACATGCCACAAGCCTTTTTCCTAACAATTCGCGTAGTATGTCACAGTGATCAACCTTTGCTAGAGATTGAGGACCGCCCAAACTTCAACGAGAAGTATATTCTCGTGCGTCTCAAATAATCGTTTGGTATCTTCAATCATTTTGCTAATGAGATATAACCAGGGCCATGAAGGGTGCGGTGAAATCATTCAGATTGGAGAAAAGGTCAAGGATCCCCGATTTCAACTGGTGAGCTCAGCTTTTTTCCCAAGGTTGAAGACTGAAAATTTGATATTGACGAGGCCATAGGGTAATCGAGTTGCTCTTCTAGCGGTTCCAGGCTGTGGGCAAGATACCTGTACAGAATGTTCGCGTGATCTAGCCCAGCTATGCTCTCATGGTACACACCATGGCATTGGACAGGATGGGTTTTTTGCAGAATACGTAGCAGTGAATGTCCGCGCGGCAATCCCTCTTCCAGATGGTAGGTGTGGTCTAGGCTCATATAAAAATCTCGGCTTATCAAATCACAGGAATTCCTCCGGGAGTGGCAGCAGTTGCAACTGATGCAGTTACTACAGCTTACCATGGAATTGTCCGCCGAGCTGAGGTCAAGAAGCATGAGATAGCTTTTCTTTTCGGTCTCGGAGGCCTCGGTTTCAACGCTTTGCAGGTCGTGCGGTCCATCGGTGCCCGAGTCATTGTGTCTGATTTGCGGCAGGAGAAACTAGATGCCGCGTTGGAGCTAGGTATCCCAGCAACAGATATTGTCCCACTTGGGAAGTCAGTGCAGGATTTCATCCAGGAAAATGACCTGCAAGGAAAGATAGATACTGTTTTGGAGTTCGTGGGAAAGCATCAAACGTTCCAAGATGCACAACATATTGGTAATTATTTCAACCATGATCCTCCCCCGAGAGCATTTGAATGAGATTCCTAATATTTTCTTTGTTTTTAGTTCGCCCTGGTGGCAAAATACTTTGTGTGGGGACACTGGATCGCAAGAATGAGCTTGACATGAAGATTGGAATTCGGAAGCGACTCAGCATCATTTTCACCTATGGAGGTCAATATCAAGATATTGTGGAGGTACTGGACCTCATCGCAAGAAAGGTAATTCAGCCTCAAGTAGAGATGGGTAGATTGCAAGATTTTCCTGAGGTCTTGAAAGACCTAGGAGATGGCAAGATTAAAGACCGAGTGGCTTTGGTTTTTGACACATGTACTTAAGCACCTGTTCAGGAGAGTCTAATTGTCACAAGTTATATTTTGTTCAATTTCATCTATTATCATGCGTTGACACTGGCACTCTTGGTCATTCCAATCCCAACTGCTGCCGTTGTCCCAGCATCAACAGGAAGAATCACTCCTGTCATCCATCGAGCATGAGGACCTGCAAGGAACACCACTGCTCCAGCACAATCCCACCCATTTCCTTCTGTGCCCAACAGGCTACGCTTCCGTCGAGCCTCTCGAGCCTCCTCACTCATACCATTCCCATACATCATGGGCGTGTAAAGCATCTGAGAGAAGTCAGTGCAAGAGCCCCACGTCACAAAGCAACTAACTTACACCTGGACAGACACAATTGACCCTTATGCCCTCTGTAGCATGATGCGCAGCCATCGCACGTGTCAGGTTCACCACTGCTCCCTTCGCGGTGGGATATAACAGATGCGGCGTGCCACCTTTCAGTCCAGCAACACTGCCCATATTCACAATACTTCCTTTGGTTTCACCCTCATTCTGTGTCATCTTTGGTATAGCATACTTGCTCATTTTGACCATACTTCCCACATTGATCTCCATGCTCTTAGCCCACTCTCCCATGTCCACATCGACAGCCGTTCCCGCCGCGCCACCGATCCCGACATTATTGACCAGGATATCAAGGCGACCAAACCTCTCAACTGCGAGTCTCACTGCTGCTTCACAATCCTTTTCACATGTGACATCTGCCCGGAAACAAATCGCGCGTCCACGGCTAGGTTGGGAGGTAATCATCTCGACGGTTCTGTTCGCCCATTCCACGTTTAGATCGACGCAGACCACATCACAGCCATCGTTGGCTAACAGGATCGATATTGCGCGGCCATTGCCTATTCCTTCTCCCAGGCAGCCTGCACCTGTCACGATGGCTACTTTGCCTTTCAAGGAGCGGGAAGGAGGTTCGGTCGGTATATTGGCATCCATGATTGATCCCATGGTTGATTGGCACTTTTATTTTAGACCAATTTGGAGATTGAAGAGCCCATTTTACATTGTTGTCTACATATTAGCACTCGGTCTATTGACGTTGGTACCGGACAGAACACCGGCTTCCCCATTTTGGCTGGTTCTGCGGGGTTCGGTTCCCCTCCAAGCCGAACCGAGGTCTGCTGGCCGGTACCTGAATCGATGTATAGCTATAGAAGAACGGACACGGACACAAACTTTGCCCGATTTGTCAGAGAGCGCAAATTTAGGAAACACAATAAACTGTAGGACTTCGGGCAAATAAATGGCCGACGGGGCTTACATTCCGCTGAAGATCGGCGAGGCGGCGACGCTCTCTTTTTAAGATGAAGATCCCCCGCACGTTCTTCATCCTGCATTTCCGCTTAATATACACGACGCTTTAAAGTTCTAACATAGTAAATACTCACATAATGGCTGATTTCACTGAATATGGCGTGCCTAGCGCAGAATGGCTCGCACTCGAGCCGACTTTGCCCAAAATGCCTCAGCTCACGCCGAAGGAATTGAAGGACTTCTTGAACAAGAATCGCGAGGATATCGCAGCTCAGGCTATGATTGACCAAGGTCAGTGACTAAATATTATTTCAGCATTGCACAAAAATCTACTTAAGCTAACGTTTTCTGGGCTCAGGCCTCAGCTCCAAGGTCCAAATCCACGATCACAAAGTGCCCACTCGTGACGGAGCAACTCTAGAAGCACGCACCTACCGTCCCGCAGGCATTCCACTCTCACAACCACTTCCACTGTACATTCACATCCATGGAGGAGGCTACGTCTTCGGAACCCTCGCCTCCGAAGATGCGATCTGCTCCCGAATCGTAGCTTCCCGACAAGAAAAAGGCACACCAGTTGCCGTGTTCAACATAAACTATCGCCATACCCCAGAATACCAATACCCGACAGCTTGGGACGATGTGGAGGACGCTTTTGTCTGGGTTCATGAGCATATCACCGAGCTGGGCGGTCTTGGTGACCAGGTCGTTGTGGGCGGTATTTCTGCCGGTGGTCAATTGACGGCGTCCCTTGCTCTTGCTCAACTTCGAGGTGACAATAAGCGCTTGGCAGCTTGCCCAAAGATTCGGGGTCAGGTCCTCATGATTCCGTGCCTTGTTGCTACGTCATACTATGGAACGCGGAAGGAGATGCTTCGCAGTCCTGAATTGTCGAGCCTTGTGCAATGTGCTGATGCGCCTATTCTGCCGATGAGCCGGCTCGATTTCTTCTTGAAAATGCTGGGGTTGCCTCTTCCGGAAGACGCAAGTCGTGATCTCCGGATGAATCCTGGAAATGCGACTGCGGAGGAAGTTAAGAATCTGCCTCCCACGACTTTTGGAATTGCTGGGAGAGATCCTTTGCGGGATGAGGCACTCTTTTATTCCAAGCTTCTAAATGACAACGGGTAGGTGATATCAAGTTGTCACAGTTTCGTTTTGGGTTTTGTTGCTAACTCAAGATATTTTCAGCGTCCCTACGGATGTCACTGTTCTCCGCGGTGTCCCTCATGGATTCCGGCGGTACGGGAATGACTTGGAAAGGGCGAGCAAAAAGTGGGACGAAGTCATGAGTGACGGAATAACGTGGGCCTTGAGTAATCCCAAGGCTGGTCCTTGGGAGATTAAGACCGATTGAGCTAATGAGCTGGTGAATGACCCCGCTAGGATTCCCCAGGCTCCATACAGCCTTTATATGTATGATAGGAAGAGAAAGGGACTATATGAGTTGTTCGGTGACACTTGGGGAAATTTTGTAAACTTCCATGTACAAGGACAATCCTGAATTGTACACTTTCAACTCGAAATTTCTGACACTTTTTAAAGAATGATATGACACTACCTATCATCAATTCCTCCTGGTGAGAGGCACAGGCACAACATGGAGATATAAATAGCACCAGCTGTGCGCCATGCCTTTTCGAGTATCTACCATGCTGAGTAGGATCAACAGCTCTTCCCGCGCCGTGGCATAGAGGGTACCAGTATCGACGTTCACAACAATAAAACACTACGGTTTCGAGCATAATTGGCGCCATTGCATTTTCAACCCAAATATCTGCTTCAGATCTTTCACTCCTTCTGGATAAGGTCGAGTAACGTCAAGAAGGGTCTGAGAGCCTGGGGCGCCACAGGCGATAGCTCTCGATCGTTGCGGATACAGACATTCAAAGCGATGCACAAACTGGGCACCACTACTTAATCCGAAGATAAAGAATTGCTCTATGAAGACGTCTATATCTTGCGCCAACTTGATCGACCATAAAAGTAAAACCTGATCACAGCGCAAATTATGTTTGATGACTTCATACCCTCCACAGTTGTAGGGATCATTTCGTCCAAGTCTTAATAGTGGGGCAAGAACAATGCATGAGTTCTGTTTCGCGAATTCGGAAAATTGTTTGCGTAGCTCTGGTGCATTGCGCGAGCCTTAATGAATGAGGACCATAAGGCTCAGACCTTCGAGTTTGTAGTAATTCTGTGGCACGTATATGTAGTAAAAAAAACCTGTTGTTCGCTGCACAAGACCATGCTGGGGTATTTCCGAGATACCCTAATTCAAGAGCTATGTGAGGGGTCAAGACGGTCCACCGTGCCAAAGTTTTCGACTTCCATTGTGACTAAAGGAAAAGTGGGAAGAAGAGCGAGGGCCAATAGGCAGGATTGGAATATCAGGTTTTCCCAGAGTGACCGGTACGAGGTAGACGGAGGCATTTATGGACATTAAAATCCCGCACATGGTGGCCGGGGTGTACAGGTTTTGTTGAGCTCGGTGATAGGACCTATCTATAGGAACATCAGTTCTTGCCTCGCTCGGAACCTCTGGAGCTGCATATGGGGGAATACAGCTGGAGAACGTGGTCACTAGAACTCTGGGAGCCAGTGGAACCGTGTGATTCAAAGGTGAAACTTTACATTGCGCAATTGACTGTTCCAGCTCAAGCTCCAAGGTTGTCAAGCTAGAGTCTTCCGGAAGGTTTGAAACAATTGAAAACATGCTGTTAGGATTATTTTATTTATGAACATCACAACAAAATTATCATATATGTATAGTGCCGTTCGCTTGTGAAATTTTTGCGCGCTCTACAGAATCTATATATATCTCCGGTACTCTATCAACACAAAACATGGCCTCGAATGGAATCACAGCGTTGGCCGATGATGATCAGTCGGCTCAGGCTGGTGTCAACGAAAAGATGAAACCTCCCTCGGAGCAACCCGTAACTCCAATGCTGACAGAAGAGCAACGTGTGCTGGACCGAAAGATCTTACGAAAGATCGATCTCCTGATTCTACCCATATGTGCCATGAATCATTTCTTCTCATCCATGGATCGTTCCGATATTGGAAATGCCAGACTAGCAGGGTTCAAAAAGGACAACCACCTCTCTGCCACTCAGTTCTCGACTGTGGTATCAATGTTCCATGTCGGCTCCATAATCAGCCAGCCTGTTAGCGGCCTTCTGATCCGATTCGTCGAGGCATATATCCTACTTGGATTTGCGAACATTACGTGGGGAATTTGCACTATCATGCTACTCTTTTCCACAAGTGTGGTCCTACCAAGCCTACTCCGGGTTCTTATTGGAGCAGCCGAAGGCTTGACTCAGATAAATACCGTATATTTAACAATGTGGTACACGAAAGAGGAAATCGCCACGAGAACAGGGCTCTGGATCTCCTTCGGTGCCCTAGCCGGTGCTTTCAATGGACTGATTGCCTGGGGGGTCCAGCATAATGTTCACTCAAACACCTTAAGGTCCTGGCAGGTGCTTTTTCTACTTGAGGGGACGTTTCCCATCTTATTCGGGCCAGTCATATTATACTTCTATCCGTCATCTCCAACTAAAGTGAAAAAGTACTTCTCGGAAGAAGAGAAGGGAATTTGTATCGCCCGCACACAACGAGCCGGAAATACCGTCGACAGAGCAAGCAATATTAGAGAAGCAATAACTATATTTCGTAAGCCAGAAACTTACGGTATGCTGATTGCACATTTCTGCGTCCTGTGGGCAGCATCTGGGTTCGCTAATTTTCTTCCAACAATCATCGACGGTCTCGGGTTCAGCGCAGTGGAGAGCCAACTCCTTACGATCCCTGTGTGCATCGTCAGTTTTTTATCCGTGAACTTTTTCTGCTACTATAGCGACCGGCTTCAATTGCGTGGCCCTCTAATATTGGGTCTAGCGGTTGTCTCGGCCATTGGATTCACGATGCTGGCAGCGCTATCCAGCAAGGGTCCACGAGTATTTGCCCTCTACATTATCAGTTTCAGTGTTTACTCATTGATTCCACTTACTCTCACATTTCTTTGTGTGAACACCGTCGGGCTTTCTAGACGTGCTCTAGTCATTTCGATACAGAATGCCTTTGGTCAATTTGGGGGCCTGGCTGTGAGCTATACGTACATGCATAAGCCGCGGTATCTCGAGGGAACCTTGACAACTATAGGTTTTTTGTGTGTTCTGATTACTACAATAGGTGCTTTGGATCTTTACTTCATCGCTCGGAACCGGGCTAAAGCTGCAGATGTTGGGTCAGAACTGTGGGAGAAGAATCGCACCAAGTCGTTTGATGAGTTGGGAACAGATCACCCAGAGTTTACATATACTGTTTAAATAGCCCGGGTCACTACAGTATGAGGTCTTAAATTTCAGAAAGCACCATTTAGGCCTTCTTTGCCCCTTCTGCAGTCATTCCTTTGTTCCATCCAGGTACCCATTGGTCCTCAATAACCCTCAGCTGAATCTCCTGGTTGCGCTTCAAAAATCCTTCCTCCACATGGTCATCCTGGTCCACATCTTTGAACCCTTCCTTCGCAACAGACCGCGGTGTAATCATGAGCGAGTGGCCTAATCCCATCATCAGCGTTTGTCAATGTCAGCATGGTCTTTCCGTCAAACTTACCATTTATCGTTCGATCCGTCGCAAGTTTCATCATGCACATCGCAACATCTTCCTGGGGAGCAAACTCGACGCCTTTAGAGATAAGCTGGGCCTCATAGGCAGCTGAGCGAATGGCGCTTTTGATATAACTGTGTGTGTGTTAGTATTTTCTTACAGGAACATACGTTGCATCATGCCTACCATGGCGCCACATAGTTAATTCTGATTCCCTGTTCATGAGAATTTCGACGGGCTGTTCTCATCAGTCCTCGAAGTCCATATTTGCTGCTGGTGTATTGCCAGTTTGCCTAGAAACGTTAGATTTGCTTAATATAATTCACAAAAGCTTACTGGAGAGTCGATCCACGCAACTAAGCTTCCGGTAATAATGAAGCATCGATCTCGGTCCTCGGTATCAGGTTGTTTGCGGAAGTAGTGAACTGCCAATTTCCACGTATACATTGTGCCAATCAGGTTTACATTGACAATATTGAGTTTTGGCTTGACTGGTGCGTCGTTCGGGTCTATTTGTGTCAGCTTTTTGTTCTTCCCACTAAGTCTCATTGATTTCATACCATCTAGTGGCCAAAGATCATCCCCAGAGGCGCGGCTGATACCAGCATTCGCGATGACAATATCACAGCTTTTATATGGCGAGTTCTTAATTGCCACTTCGAACATCGCGACTTGCTCTTCCCAAGAAGTAATGTTGCACTTGATGAACTGGGCGTTCCTGTGGATCCAGCTGTGTTTAGTTCATTATTTTATAGCTTGAAGATCGGTAGGACGAACGGGCTTAGTTCAGCAGCCAAATTATTGCCTCGTGCTTCATCTAGATCTGCGATTGTGATAAATGCCCTGAAATAGAATAAGCTTGTGCTTGTATCTCATTGCGAGTCGAATTGCCATACCCCTCTGCGGCAAATGCGCGTGCTGTTTCTTCACCCATGCCATTTGCGCCTGTAATACGATCAGCACCGGGTCAAATGCATGCTCTTTTGACAGTGGGAATACTTACCTCCTGTGATAATGACACTCTTCCCCTTCAGAACTTTGCGGTCCGGTGGGATGCTACAATCCACCGGGCCGGTATATTCATAGCGAGGAAGTTGCGGCATTATGATATCAAGCTGCGGTAAAATAGGTATATTGCTGCAATGAACCAACTTTGGAAGCACACATAGTTTGGCTTATTTTTATACATGCGAGATCGGTGCATTTATGCCCCCACGTTTCCTCCTCTAGGCATTTCCCCGCAGTGCTCTAGTCGGCTATCCCCATAGAGTAAACCGCTGTGGGTAATGCCAGTTCCGACTCGGATGTGAGGAGTCCGAAAGCTAAGGAGGCAGACTGAAAGGATTGGATTAGCTTAATTGATTAGCTCGTCGTCACATGGTCCATGTCTTCCTGTTGCGGCTGGCATGCAGACACGTAGATTTTAGTCTTTGCGGCTCTTGACTCGAAGCTTCTTGGTCTACAGGTACGACAGATTTCACGAAAAGCGCTTGCCTAGTATTTTCGATGCTCGATTATTACATGAAAATATCTGGTTATTCTCGCCCTTTCATACATATTGTGTCTAGCGTATACTGTACACACGGAGCATACGGGTCCAAACTAGCACAAGACATTGGATGCAAATTTGCATATTAAAAAAATCTCAATTTGTATCATGTTCTTAGGGGACTTAACGTCCCCAGCGCAATGCAATTGTCTATTCAGTTTGATGCGAGAGCACCCCTCATGCACAAATGCCCAAAGATCGTAGATGGGCACATGTCGAATCCGATGCCGTAGCCATTCCCGAAAACCAGGTCAATACTCCGCAAGAAAAAAAGGAAAATAACGTGAATCACCGCCATGCAGGTTCGTATCTCAAACTCCCAGGAGCTGAAAACGGGTCATTTCTTATCCCCGTTCGTCTCATCCTCCAGGTCAACCATATCCCGCAATATGTCTTTTAACCCGCGAACTCCTTCGGCCACCACGTCATCCGGAATACGCACATTCACTTCTTCGATGTACTTCAGTGGATCATATGGGCCATCTGCGTTCTTGTCGTCGGAGCCGCCTTTCTTTGTCCCATTTGCCTTTCCCTCTTTGGCGGCTCCGTTGGTCGATGACTCGCCGTTCTCTGTGTGCTTTGCACCCAGGGCTGGGTGGCTTCTGCCTTCCGCGGAGGCGATTACTGCTGCCATAACATCATCGAAGGTCTCGCAGCGGCCGGCGCGGAGGAGTTCGGTGGCGAGGCTGGTAATCCGCTCGGTCCAGCCCACGCGATGCAGGGAGCCAAGAAGAGATTCTTGTAGGTCTTCGAGGGCAGATGTGGCGGAAAGTTTTGTAAGGAGGTCAGACTCGAGCGCATCGGGGGTGGAGGACGGCATAGTGTCTAGAGCTGTTGGTGGGGTTCAGACCCACCGGTGAGCGCTCAATTTGTTCTGTCGTGTGCTTGCGATGGTTTCAATTCTTAGATGATGAGAAAAGGCCTCGGATGTACCTCAAGTCACTTCACACAAGTTCTCCCAAGTAGTCCCAGGGTAACGACTGTGTGTATTTTGTATGCGCCTGGGGCTTTTCCGGCTCGCGACTCGGGTGTTTGGAGGGGAGGTCAATGGGAAGAAAAGGGGATCCTGCCCCTGGTAGAATGGACTTTTGTTCGAAAAGGCAGATTATGATTACTCGCAGGGCTGGAAGGGAGTTTGTTCCAGTGCAGGAAAAAGTGGATATGGTGAATGACGAAGGTTCCGCGGTCCGGCCTGTCTATGCGGCGATCGGAGTTAGCGCTGTGGCAAGTAGGCCCTTGCGGCAGGGTTTATAGGCAGGTATTTGGCCATCGCTGGTTAGCAATAGACAGTGACTGACCTCAGTGGAGTGATTGGAGCTCGCTGGTGAGAGCTAGGTGTCAGGCGCAAAACGGTTGCGGATGCGGAGGTGTAGTTGATGCGATCCGGGAGGAGAAGGAGAGGATAGGGTCGGTCAAAAGGAAACCGGGTCAGAAATATGCGCCCATTGCACACACAGGGATGGATATGGCATTCACATACAACCCAAGCCAGTGAATGTCAATTGGTGACGTGCAATGAACCAGGAAGAATCAAACCATCCCCGATCGGAATCTCCAGCACAGGCCAATCGGCATAGGGCACGGGCGGTGAATGTGGTGACTTCAATACATCTATCGTCATCACTATCAAGACTACACTGTCTTGTTTCTATTTTCATATGGGCTTTTTGAGGCTTTTCCAATAATATGGCTTAGTTCTCTACGATTCTCTTTTCCTATGTGTCATGGTGATTCGCCCATTTCTATATAATCCGGTATGTAGGAGCAACCAGAAAAACCTTAACGTGCATAGCATCCAAGTTTATAGTCTTGATATCTACCAAAGTTGATACACAGGCATTTGTCTTTGGGTAGTAATACTTAATCTTTCAGAGATTTAGAAGCGTACCTTGGAAGGCTCATATAAGATTTGGCATTTGAAACACGGGGCTTGACCACACTCAAATATCAGCTAACTATAGTATAGTGTACACAGTTCGCAATGCTTGTTTTATGTGGCATAAGTCCTATTTCTTTTATTCTTGCATTATATAGCAATCCAAGCTTCTGACCATGAACATCTCCCCAAAGCGTGTATAGGTCGGGAATATGTGGGGAAGGGGTAGCTCTTGTTCTTCATTCACTGCTGCTGATCACGATCTAAGACATGACGGGTCCCACCCGGAGAAGGTTCCTTGACGGGGATTTTACACATGAAACTCAATCCCACTATTTACTTGAACCTCATTTCTTTTCCTTCAATATATTATCACCCTACCTGTGGATATATACCGGTAAAAGGGGTCAAGCAAGGCCGAGTCCAGACCCAGTCACGTGCACCGCCAATTGATTGTCCCGCGACGCTGCATCTTCAGTCCTAAATCCCTAGACTCGATTCAATATTTTCCCCTACACGGTCGCCCATCGGACTCCCCACTTGGAAACTCGACCATTTACTAGCCGAAATTCATTGGTCTTTGGTCTTTCTTTGGGGCTACCAACTTCCCTTCGCGCCGGACAGCTTTCCCCGCTCTGGCTCCCGCGCCTACCCTTGAACTCGTCAACAGGCGCCTACTCATCGCAAAAGTCCATCGCACCAGACCGAACGTGTGTTGTCTGGCACCAACATTCCATTCCATCCATCTACCAGGCTATCGGGATTTTGATGTGCGCCTGACACGTTGAAACCTCCCCTCTCGCCTTCGACGATCTAGCCGCCCTCCCATGAGCTTGGTCCTTTGTCGCATATCTCCTCCCCAAGCCACGCCCTCTTCCACTTAGCCGGCTCGGACATCTCCTGCTCTGGCTGCACTATAGGCACTCATACATACTGATTTGGCTTGGAAACCGTGCCCCCTGAATACTCCGTGCCACCATGTCTCTCCACACCTCCTACCACGACGCAGACTCCGATGCGGATGACGAATATGAGCGCAGCGTATTTACATCCCCGCACCTTCAAACTGATTCCGAGGCCTCCCCTATTGACTCCGATATCCCTTCCTCCGAACATACACCGACCAAATTCGGCTATCCTAGCGATGTCCCGCGCACTCCCCGGGCGATTATCTCCGACTGGACAGCAGATGAATGTTCGGATTTCCTGACATCTCTAGGATTGTTGCAGTATTGTGGAACTTTTCGAGGTAAGTTGGATTCATCTGAGTGATGACAAGACTGGTGCTGATAGATTTCGCCAGAAAATGGAATCGTGGGGGAGGCACTCGTCGCATTGAGGCACGATGAATTGAAAGAAATGGGAATTAACAGTGTGGGACATCGATTGACCATTCTAAAGAGCGTCTACGAAATCAAAATCAGACAGAATGTTCCTCTTGATGTTGACCACTACATCCCATTGTGTAAGACCCGTCCGCCATGATAGCTATATACCTACTGACCTAGTCAAAACAGCCGCGGATCAGAGCATGAACGAAAACGCGACACAGGATGATATTGCTCGTTTAATTCAGTCTATCCAGATTCGAGACCAGAAGATTTATTCAGTCGAGGGAGAGTTGCGTCGGCTCGCGGACGAATACCGACGGCTACGAGAAGAGATTCTACCCATGATCAAGATGGCCAAAGACCGATCGCAACCATTACCACCTCCTTCAACAATGGAATCCTCCAGGGACAACCACCATGATAGCGCAACTCTTGTTTCACCCTCGCAAATCACCCTCACAGATAATCACTCTTCATCGAAACTAGCCCGCGCCTTCTCCAAGCGCGCCTATGGCGGTGCCACTCCTAAAAACAACTCACCAACATACATTCCGCCTTCCATTTATGAAGGTAGGCACCATCATGACGGGAACCTGGACCCATCCTCAGCGGCCTTGGCTGCCTCTTCCCACTTGACCGCTTCAATGAACAGTGGTTTACAGCATTCCCCAGGCGTCCCTTCACCAACCTCCCCGAATGCGCATACCACCCAACACCAAACTCTCAACTCTCGATCCTACTCCCAACCTAGTTCCGCTTCCAGTCGCATGATGCATGACCATCCCGAGGATACTCCAAGAGCGTCATCTCGACTAGACCGAGTCACGCCCAGTCAGCTGCCTACCGCTCGTACGGAAACCCCATCCTCTGCCTCTCGAGTTGATCCTCGATCTGGTGCTGGTGCTGGTGCCGGTCCTGCCAGTGTCGAAATATTCAAATCATTCCGTGTCTCTTGGGACGATCCTTGCTATAAGGTTCTCCCTGCCGCATTGAGGAAGTACAATATTCATCATGACCCGAAGGATTACGCGCTTTACATCGTCTACGGTGACCAAGAACGGTGCTTAGGCTTGGATGAGAAACCACTCTTACTTTTTAAACAACTAGAGAGAGAGGGCCGGAAACCGATGTTCATGTTGCGAAAAATTCACCCTGACAATCCTTACACTGCGGCTCCCGGTTCGGCTCCTAACAGTGCCGGGTTTGAAGGTGGGAGACCAGGACAAATAAATTTACCGGGAGGTGTTCTGTAATTCAGTCCCGATACTTCGATGCATGCATTCGTGTCTACTGCTCAAGCTTGAGATACCCGGTGCCTTTTGACAAATTTTGCATGGAATATTTGTTCGTCGCATATTTCTATTCTTTCATTCTTACAGTCTTGTTCTGGACTGTTGGCTCTGTGCTTTTCAGTGTCCCAAGGATATTTGAGACTTCTCCCATGCATCTGTTGGTGGAAGAGTTTGGCGCTCATTGTCTTCCGTTGGGCGGTCTTACCAGAGCTTCTTTTGCATTTACGATCCTGCATCGTGCATTAGCCTTTTTTATTCCCTAGATATATTTTTCCCTGGGCGCCAAGTCTTGCATGTCAATAGCACTCTATTCGATCTGTGGGTACATCCGTTGTATTACATTCATCAGCAACCTTGGGGTCCTTATAACTCTTTACTAAATAAGTGACAGTCGAGTCCAAAAAGCTTTGCTGATATGAGTGAAATCATTGGACATAAGTACTTGAGCTTTTGCGATCCCCAATCACTACCTTAAATGCTATATGGTAGTCAAAATTGAGGGGACGGTCAACCAAAGGTCAATCACTAGTCTCGCGCCACGAATCCTGTAAATTTTTGAGAATCTTGAGTTTGAAATTTACTCATCTTCCAATCTAGCCAACTTCCGGTATTGCCATTTTCCAATCCCAAACTCATTTCAACCAGCGCACTTAGCGGGTTCAATCAATATCAAACCGTAGCTGCAGTCTATAACTCTGAAACCAAGTGACAACGCGCCCAATATGCCGAGTACCTGGTACAAAGGAATTCAACAAAAAATATACAACAAGCTTACCCATCCTTGTACCCAAAAGCTGGTGATACTGGGGTGTGTCCCTTTCGAAGGATTTCCGTGGGGCCTCCTGAATATTGTCAAGCTTCTTGTACCTTTCCTCATTGTAGATGAACTCGCGCACAAACCTCAAGGTCTCCTCGTTAACAACGTTATTCATGAAAACAAAATTCAGCGTCTTAAGCTCGTATTCATGCTGGTAAACAGCTTTAGTCAGTTGAGAAGAATATGGGAGGCCAGAGTTCTCAGTTCGTACAACCGATTCAATGATTACCACACCTGGTCCGTTGACTCCCTCCCACTGGCCGTAGACATCAAACCGCTCAATAGTGAATCTAGAGTATACGCAGCTTAAGGAGAATCCGACCTCGGAGACTCGTAACTGGTAGTTGTGTGGGAGGTCGATTCGCTCGATGTTTTCGCTCCAACCTTCGTCGTGCAGGTTTTGGAGTGTTAGACCCGAGAATTTGATAGGACAATCGGGGTCAGGGCACCTGAGCCATGCTGCACACTGCTCACCACATTGCTGGAATGTATTGAAGGCTGACATGATAAGTATAATAGGATATTGGTTTTGTTTTTGGATAGGTAGATACTCACTATTTAAGTGAATTGCTTGCGAGTCTTAAGTACTCAATTATATCCGAATGTAAGTAGTGAATGGAACTGTTCTCATTCAGTTGAATATAGTCAATCCGATTTACGTAGCTTCAATGTTATGATGGATATAAAAAGAGATTGTTTCATGTAATAAGATACAAAGACACTGAGGCCTCGAAGCCGCAGCTCCTAGAATAGACGAACAACTTGCGAGTTTGTTGACTATAAATATCAGTAATATTCTATCGAGTGATCTTGCTCGGTGGATATCATAAAAGAGACAAGAACAATGGCCAATGTTTGATGTAGTTCTGTATACTTCGCTTATCATCACGTGGCGACGTGTTTATCCAAACGCGTTCGATAAGCCCACTTTTCCCACTTCTCGAATCGCATTGCTCGAAATGGGTTGGGATAAGGTCATTCAGGATTCCGATGAGGAGGAGCCTCTCATTGAGGATGATTTCCCAGCTTCCCCTGACCCTCTCCAAGACCCGGAACCCCCAACAGACCAACATCACGATCATCTCGCGCAACAAGAAACATACCCGGATGAGCATACAATCACAGAAGGCTTCCCAGGACCTCAATTGAATGTCAACTTCGATCAATTCTTACAGTCGCAAGGAACACATACAGGTTCTACTGCATCCCAGCAACAGCGTGAAGAAAGATGGATTCCCTCGACCAATGAAGGCGGGGGTGGATCAATTAGTGCGTCGCGGTCAAATGACGGTTGTCTCCCGGTGTACAACCACTTGGCAGTGATCACATGCTGACTGCCCTATAGGTGCAATGATGACAGAAATTGGAATCGCGCAAGAACGATTGTTTGACGATGCTTCTAGCGGTGCCCAGCGTGTCCCTGCCACCGTGACCTTTTACCCCAGCGAAATCTCCCAGCCAGGATCATTCCCGACTATGCAGTCATATCAGTATCAGCAGATGAACCCAGTGGCTCATGGGCAATTCGGATATGGTGAGGTATCTAATAATGCGCCGTATGAGGCGACGCAGCTTCTTGTGCCGGGCGTTGCGCCCGCCTATGACTATAGTACGCCGGCTGCCTCGACCCATGTTGATTCACCATCAGACGGTTTCACGGGTTCCACATCGATCCAAACCGGTGAAAATCTAGCTGATCTCCCTTTGAGAAAGAATTTACAGCCTTCGCAACCAATGCAATCCATGGCTTGTTCCCCGCATGATACTGAACCTCTTTCATCCGTCGCATCACCAGGTTTGAGCAAGGGCAAACAGGAGAATCCGAGGTCTGGTCTCGTGTCTCCGCAACATTCTCCGGCGAGCACGTATGATGAGCTTGCTCTACCCGCTGTTTACGTGGAAGTCCCCTCGGCCGTAAAGCGTGCTCGTCAAACAAAAAAGCCTCTCCCGGAAGATGATGACGATGACGAACTCGCCATTGTTGGGGGCCATCAGCCTAGCTCAAGTAAGCTGACCGCGAAATCTTTGCCAGAGGATTCTCCGCAGGCTGCTTCTGTAGAATCTCCCAGCAAATACGTGCCGGAAAATTCCATTGCAACTGAGAATGGCGGAACTGGGGCCGAAAACACACCAGTCGTGGATGAGGCTGGCTCTGCCGACAAGACCAACATACCACCTACATTGCCCGAGAATTCTGGCAAGTCATCTACCAAAGAGCCCAAGAAGAAAAAATCTAAACGGACGAAAGCGGCCTCTGCCATTTCCAAAGCTCGAGTGTCAGATGCTGATGACGATGTTGTTTGGGTCGACTCGCGGCCTCTGGCAATTGGGGAGATAGAAGGAAAGAACAATCCAGATACGGAGTCAACCACTGCTGACTCCAATCACCTTGGAACACCACAACCAGATCTAACCGCTTCTACTGAGGAGAGCTCCACTACGACAAAATCCGGTGGTAAACCTGCCCCCAAGAAACGCGGGCGCAAGCGGAAGCAGCCTTTAGAGCAGCCTCTAGAGACTGCCCCAACGCAAGTCACAGAAGAGCAGGTTGCCCCATCAAACAGTAAAATCGTGGTCCTGAAAGTCAACACGAACCCAGCTGGAAGTTCATCCGATCCAAAACATTTAACAAAGGCCGTTGGAGCAGAGAACTCAATGCCACCACCCCAAGCAGATCCTCCTGTGCCTCAAGCCAATGATCGGAGCGAGGCACCTCCACAAACCCCTTCAAAACCAGATCAAAATCCGAGTACACCTGTCGCTGGTAGCACAAATACTCGGAAAGGACCAGCCAAGCACAGCCCCATTTCATCGACTAGCAAGGTACCATACCGTGTTGGTCTGAGCAAGCGGGCTCGGATCGCACCATTGCTCAAAATTGTGCGCAAATGAGTTTTTTTTTGCTTCATTCTCGTTCATGCTTAGGTTTTCCTTGATTCTGGTCGGTGTCCGTCCCTTGAGTCTGGAGTTATTGTTCCTGGTACTGGTTTTATTTTTTCCTGCGCTTCTTTATTATACCCCTGCTCTACATTGCTTATTGAATTTTTGTTATGAACCATTCGTGATTCGAAGGCTAATCTTTCCAATTATAAGTCATGGTTATCATTACTTCAAGTAATATATACTGGATAATATCTTTTCATCTCTCCGGTAGTCCATCCATCTGCCACATGTGCAACTAACAAAGACCTCAGTGGACATCAACTCAATCGGTCCGTGGGTATAGTAAGGAGTAGAGGGTCTACCAAAGTCTACATTAGCAACTGATCCCGTCCTCGAAAAGCCATGCATTCCAAATATTTCATGTGCATCCGAGTATCACACTAAATACCTTTTATCGCTCATAATTCATTATTCACTCAGTCATCCCTTGTGCACGAGTGCACAATTTCATATCGCGCCTACCCCTCCATTTCGAAGCAGGTGATTCCTTAACAATAGCCGCGGAGACTGATACCGACATTGTGAATACCCTAGCCATCTCTTCGAGTCGGAGCACCGTGCTCGTGACGGCATTGGTCATGGCCAGGACAATCATTGCTGGAGGGAGGAGTACGTCGAAAAGCTTCATTGTTACTTTTTATTTCGGATTGGCGTGATCGGAAGAGCCTTAAAAGGTCTTGATTCTGTAGGGAGTTCTGTAGGGGAGCAGCAAGATGGGAAGAGATTTCAGGATTTTTCGTGACTAGGAGACAACCTACAGCTTATGTATCTCGGCTTGTTCTATTTTTTGGGGGTCTGGTGACATGCTCTATTGCTCTATATTATTTCCCTTTTGGGTATCTACTGTTCATGTATCGGTTTGTTCAATTATGGCCCCCATCTCACATTGGCATCATCTGCGGGGTGGACTTGCATCTACCGTTCTAAAGCCAGTAGAACGAGCTTACACATTTGCATGATATAAATTGTTTTGAATCAGTATTATTGAGCAGAATTTGGATGTTTGTTTTCTTCCAGGCTACTTGGAATGATAGACACTATTTTCATGAATGAAGTAGAAATGTGAGTATCGTCTTTGGCCCGGCTTACTCCCCGAACAGGAAATCCCTAATTTGGAAATTCGGATGAACTCTAACATCGCGTCTGACATAAAAGTCGGCATGGAAAGAAACTTTTGTTTAAGGATGCAGTTGCTTTGAAACAGGATTGTATACAGTAAAGCCACCCTTATTTCTCGACTATCTCACGGGATCATTCTGGGAAACACAATTCGCCATGCAACCACCGGCAATCGAAAACAAGGAGTGGCAGAAGACTGAAAGCATCATGCGTAGCTATAAATATAATGTCGAGAATTTCAACTTCGACGCCAAAACAATAATCAAAATCGAAGGGTACTTTTGATCAAAGACGCTGATCCATCACATCCAAATCGCCACAATCAATGCCAGGAACAAAGATGTCACGGCCGCAGTACCGAGGTTTCGAAACTCGGAGTCTCCCTCTGATTTATTCCCTTTCTTCGGAACAGTTGAGTCCCACGCATCGCCATTGTGGGGTACTTCCACGGCGCAGTAGCCAGCACCCTTTTGACAACCTTGCCCGCAATGACTGGAGCTGTTTCCGCAGAGATTCCACTGACCGCAACACAGTCCGAAGCTAGAGCCCGAACAAGTGTAGTTCTTGCCACAAGTACCGTCAACTGATACTTGTTGGTGGGAAATCTTGGTATTTTTCTGTATGTGCCCGGTCCAGCGGCTATCTTTGCGGTACCACATCTCTCGTGGGTCTCGAAGGCATTCACCGACGGTGACAGGGCGGTATCCGAGGCGTGACATTGTTTGCAGCATGTGTTCTGTGAGGTTGTGAACAGTCTGTTCGTGGGCATCGTGGGCAATGATCAACCAAGAATGTGAGGCAGGATTTCCAGAAGCCAAAGCCTTGTCAAACATGTCCTTCGATTTCTGAATCAAGCCCGGATTGTCATTTTTGTAGTCGTCCGTGTCCACATCATACAACACGATATGGTATCCCATGCGACCCAGATCTTCACGACATCCAGATCCCTCTTCACAACTGGAAAACGGTGGGCGCATATAGGTGGGGAAACTTCCCATGATGTTCCGAAGAGCAGCTTCATTCTTGACCATCTGATCAATACGTTGAGTGGGTGTAATCTTGCTGAGATCCTCGTGAGACCAGGTATGACTGGCAATTTGATGACCACCGAGCACCATACGTTCAATCAAGGAAGCCCAAGGCAAGTCAGGATCATCGATTGCACCCTTGCCGTTGTTGATGCCAGTGACGAAAAATGTTGCCGGTGCCTCATACCTGTCGAGTAGCTCAAGAAGATCACCGGTATATCGAGAGGGACCATCATCAAACGTCAAAGCCACCGTTCCTGGGACTGAGCAAGATCGGATTTGTTGCGGACCATATGGAACAACTCCGACTTTGGGCCGCATGATGTCCTTCGTGGGAGGACCTTTCGGTGTTTTGTGGGCATCGCATTGGCCATAGTCGATCTTGCAGTCTGGAGAACGACAGTGTGCCTTTGTAGTGCCGCAGAAACCTTGGGTTAACTCGTGTGAGAATCATTGCAATCATTTCAAGGATGTCCTCTCTGGCTTACCTGCGCTGGAGCAGCAGGTACCACTGGGGCATCTTCCATGTTTTTCACCGCAGCGGTAGTCAAGGGGGCTAGCGAGCTTTTGCTCACGACGCTCCAAAGGGTGCTTGGGTGCATCTGCCGGCGTGGCAGGCTCGAATAGGCCCTCGGTTTCTGTAGGGTTGTTTTGAACATGCCAGGGTAAAAAGTGCTGACGATGCCCGATGATCGGTGCCGGCTCAACATTTGGATCAGGAGTGATTGGCGCATATCGCGCGCCAAGAGAGCTCAACGCGATTCCAGCGAAAATGCCAAAGAGAAGCAATGAGTGTGTAAAGTGCATTTTGGAATATGACAGTACAATGAACAAGTATGATGTATAGTAAGCTGGCTATGCAGACAACAGTCTTGGGGGAGAGAAGTTTACATGGCAAGGAATGAAATGGGAAACGGTACGAGAATATGGGGATTGGAAGGTACGCTCGAGTTAGCATGGTTATGGAAGGAGCAAAGTGGTTTGTTGATTCTAACTTCGGCAAGCCGCATCACTGAGGAAGGTACGAAAGGCAGTCAGCGAGCTCCGGAGTCGCTGTGATTTGCAAGACAGCTTACAGTCAACCCGAAATGACTTGAATGATATTCATGTCATTAGAACGAAAAATTAACATGGGTATCGTTAAATTTTGGTCATGCTAGACATCCATTATGCTATGGAGTGGATACTCCAGGATGATATTCGTTTCTGATTCATACAAGACCCTTCCCAGTCGCTTCCAAAGTAGTAATTCCATTCCTCAAGCCTGGGAACTTTTTGGACCAGCTGCCATGCTCATCGGGGAAAGGTTCTCGCAGAGGATGCGAGCGATAGCGGTAGTCACTCAGTTTACAATACCGTCCTCTCCCGCTGCGGCAAAGACGAAAGGTGCCAGGCTATTCAAGTGGGGGCCGAACTTCGCAGGGGCACTGCGAGCGATTGTGCCGATGGCGGCAATTAAATGGCGGCGGTGCACGGTAGAGATCTTAGATGATGATAAGGCTTCTATCAGGCGGGCAACAAAGGAGTTGAGCTGGTTGTCGGAGAAGTAGAGGACCAGCGCCGAGATGGCCGTCAGCGCACGCTTGGTGACAACGGTTCCAGCCGTGTCATTGTGGATGATGGCCATAACTGGCTCTTGGAGGGTAGCCAGCTCAGACTCCTGGAGGAGCGGACCGAAGCATGTCACAACCTTAATAAGCACATCGATTGCCTCACTGCTGAAGCCCTTGGACGGATCTTTCTCCAACATACCCCGCACTACCGAGCCTCGTCTACCTGATGCTGACTGAGTCGGTCCTGTTAGTCGAGGGATCAGGATCTTTGAGACGGCGGAGTATGCGGTAACGACGTTCTGCGGGGCGGGCTGGCCGGCTTGGGGCCGAGGGAGAGTATCGACAATCGTACGCAGGGCGGTGTTGGGGACGGAAGTATCGATGGTTTGGGAAGCGGTCATGTCGGTCAACTTCTCGAGGAGGATTGTGAGTATTTCAAATGGCAATCGGATAGCCAGCGGGCCAAGACTGTGGTAGGGCTGGAGGTTAGTTATCTGTACAGCCTGGGATGATACACGCGGGGGGCAAACCATTTCAGCGCTTGATTTTGGACATCGCCGTGCTGGTCATCCAACGCTTTCAATAAGCCTTCAGCAAGGCCTTGTGCAGAGCGATGGTCACTTGAGATAAATGTTGATTGGGGATTGCTCAGGATCCCATAGAGGTCGTTCAAGGACATATACCGCAAATCGGCGTCGGGGTCATCTAGCTTGCCCAGCAGACCGATTATGTTCTGCTGAGTTACTTGCCGGTCTGCCATAATTGTGTTGGGCCTCCACGAAATGGTTATGTATGTGGTAGAATTGGGAAAAGAGCTCAGAGGTAGCTTTCAAGAGAAGAGGGCCGAGTTCGTGATAGTGATATCAACGTGGGGTTGTCGCCTGAGGCAGGAGCTTCACTTTAGGTCTGTTAATGCCTGAGGCCTGATTCATGCCACAGGCAATCACATGACAAGCCTATCTAGAACCAAACGTCTTAAGTGTCAATTTCATTTTGATTGTGTTTATCATCCTTCTTAGATCGCAGTAAGTTGATGTATCAGTCAAGCGCTCTTCAGGTCCATTAGGCAAGTGAGTTTTGATAAAGACATGTGCATGTCGCCGGGGCCTTGAATCTCCAAGTCAAGCGCCATCGTTTTCACTAACTTGAATGAATCGAACGAGTGGTGACCATAAAATATCAAAGTAGGACTCCAATATATATTTCAATTGATTCTACAGCAACTCTATACGTACATTCATGGTCGTACTTGTATTGAACTTAGCAAAGGATATCATCACCAAGATCTAATCTGATAGGCGGGACCCCTCTCTCCACCGGCCACTGGAGCTTTAACCAGAACAACAAATACATTCCTCAGTATTCAGATTTCTACTCGGAACCAATTGGCTCAACCAATTGGCTCAACTGAAGGGACACAAAAATAGATATTATAAGCTCCCGAGCAATAGTTTAATCCAAAGCTAGAAATTACAGGGGTAATGCCAACTAAAGTACGCCATTACATCACTGTCGCATCGCGCACAGACCAGCGAAAGCGGCTGGGAACCTGGTCTTACGACCCCGGAAACTGGGCCTTAGCTCGTTATTCCAGGGTGAGAGGGGAGACGCACCTAGCTGCAGGCTACGTCTGTGGGTACTTGTCCCTCGAAGATTTCCTCTCTCTCCTTCCTCACCCTATCACGCCTGTCTGATTCTCCATCCATTTATCACCATTCGTACCTGGTTATTCAATCCATACCTACAATCATGGCTGGAATCTTTGCACGTCGCTCAGCATTGCGGGCTGTCACCACCGCCCAGGGTTTCCGCGCAGCTCCCAGGGCAAGCCGTTCAGCCCAGCTGTTAGGACGGAGATTGTATTCCAGTGGGAAGAATGACAAGGGCTATGAGGACCATGCTAGTAGTGATTTGCCATGGTATGCATTTCCCTAAAAGCGAATTGGCTTGAGACGTCTTTGTTTTTGGAAGTAAACGCAGATTCATTTACTGACCTCTTTCTGGTAATGCAGGTTCCTAGGCTCTGTCGGAATTAGCGGTCCAATGATCTACTGGCTGCTGCAAGCGGGTCCGGAGAAGAAGCCTCATGATGATTCCCACGGCCATGGCCACGGTGATGAGCACAAGGACGAGTCCGATGAGAAGGAGGCTGCTGCGGATGTAGAGGATAAGGAAGAGCCTGCTAAGAAGGGAAGTAGTGAGGAGAAGTCCGCGGATGAGGCTGAGCAACCGTCCAAGGAGGATAGCAAGTCGACAGAATCTACCGATGGAAAGGAGGAAGATAAGGAGGGAAAGAAGGAGGAAAAGAAGGAGGAAAAGAAGGAGGAAAAGAAGGATGACGAGAAGCCGGAGCAAAAGGAGTCTGCTGAGAAGAAGCCAGAGGACAGCAAACAGGACGAGCCCAAGGAGGAAAAGAAGAAGGATTCCAAGAAGGAAGAATCCTCTGAAGAACCCAAGAAGGAGGAATCGTCACAAGAACCTAAGAAGGAGGAATCGTCTGAAGACTCAAAGAATGATAAGGTTGGTGATCCTCTCGATATATTGAAGTTACTCAACAGCAACTGACAATTCAATCTTCAGTCCGACGCTGCCAAGCCATCTGACAGTCAAGAATCATCTTCGAAGCAGGACTCGTCCAAGACGGAAGCCAACAAGCAGCCTGAGAGCGACGAGAACAAGGGTGGAAAAGATGAGGCCGATAAGGGGTCTTCTAAAAAAGAAAACTAAATTCTTGAGCTCCTACAGATGTCACCCAAGAAGCGTAGATTTGCGCTAGATCTTGTTGATATATATGTAGATCATGAAATGAACATTTTACCTTACCATTGGTGCAAGCGTTAAAACCTGAGGCATCGTTGCAAGGGAACGTCAATACATCTTCAGATGCTTTGATAATGTAAAAAAATTAACATCATCATACCCAATGGCTCACAATATGAATAAGGTAGGAGGAAGATGGAGACATTATTCAAAAAGCAAAAAGAAATCTCTCCCTCGGGGAATCGAACCCCGGTCTCCCGCGCTTATCGGTGTTAATGACAAGCGGAAATCATGACCACTAGACCAAGGAAGATGAAATAGTCGAGTTTCCGCTCGACCACTTGGTACTGGTTGATGTGTGTATTCGCAATTTAGCCAATATAATCCCAACCTTTTTCCTTCCCGAACATGCGAAACTCAACCAATTTAGTATGTCCAAAACTCGTAGAAACTTCCGAGAACTATTATACGTTATATGACTTTTCAAATATCGATTAGGGTTTAAAATAATTTAATCGTATCTCAAAAATAGCTACTGCTGGACCAATCTTAGAATTTGATTACATAGTGCCGGCGCAATCACCAACCCGTCAATTGAATCCTACGCACTTCGAGCCCACTCGAGTCGTGTCATTAATTATCTAATCTGAACAATATAGAAGTACATTACTCCATCTCATGTATAGGCTTCACCTTTGCGCCTCCATGTCCACCTGGTCCACTTTCCAATTCCTGAGCTTCGTATGCCACCACATGGTCTTGAGCAGGCAGTTCCGTTGTTTTCCTGTCCGTCATCGGTATAGCCCCCGGAAGCTCAGATCGATCCCTGCCGGACATTTCCGCAACATCCGAATGATCTTGATGATCTTGGTTCAAAGCATTATACTTTCGCCTCCGCCAGAGAAACCAGAAAAGGCCTAATGCAATGAGCGCTGCAACGCCAACACCCACCCCGACACCGACACCGATCGCCGTTGAATTTGAGGAGCTATGGCTGGAGGAGGTAGAGGTGGATGATGAAGTTGTAGCAGCCGTTGGACTAGTTTGCGCGGTCGCAGTCAATAACCCACTAACAGAAGCCGTCTTCGATGCTGAGACCGCGTCGGATTTATCTCGGATATAGAAATCCGGGCTCCAGGCCCTCCATCCATTATTATTATCTCCACGAAGGGCCGAGCCATCAAACAAGCCGATCTGATACTCCGGGCTACTGGTATTGAAGTCGGAAGGTATGGCCCAGCTATATTGCTCCAGAGTGCAGTTTGCGGTGGTATTTGAGACGATTTGGTACAGGGTGCTGGTGGTGGAGAAGGTCGCATCCACTGCAAGAGTCTATATTAGTGATCCATCGTGGAGTACTTGGGGAACGGGGATGGATGCACGAACCGACGATCTGGTCCACTAAACCTCCTCCTGGTCGGCCCAAAGTAATATTCAAGGGGAGTTCTCCATCTTCGATGGACCCCCACTGCAGATTCAAGGATTCGCCCGGGTAAAATTCGTTGTTTTCGGTGTTGGTGAAGCCGTAGAATGTCCCCTCTACACAATTTGTGTATCCGTTTGTTGACATGATGGTCGCATAGGGGCACGGGGGACCTTGCCGTACACGTCTGGGGTCACTGGGGCATGGGGCTAAAGAAACAGGGAAACATATGGATTATGTACCCTATATACGGGATACTTTGCCGCTAACTTATTTTCGTGTCCCGCCATAATCTACATTAATATTTCACGATACCGAAGGATCTAGGCTGTCAGCCCATGTGCTATGACCCACTTGGGTACACAGCTTGTACACGGTGAAATGTGCCTTCATTCGAAGTGATGGTGGTGGAAACTCAATTTCAAACATATTTCCATTAATAATTTGAGATTGAAATGCAGGGGGCGAAGCTATGCTAATAATATCGGTACTTGTCCAGTGTTTTCGCTGGCTGTCTACCAAGTTCAAGTTCTGGAGACTTTGTTCCTTACTAGCGCTTATGCCTAACCACGCTTATGATACAAGCGCTTACGGTATTATCTTGAAACCAGCACATCAAAGACTGTCAGCCCCAAATCATACTGTATAATCGTGAATCAGGGATCAGGGTCTCGGGAAAAAAAAAACCACCACACGTGTCAGCCACACTTGGACTTCTCATATGGCTTTACATATGCAGTACCGTGGACCTATCATTACCCTACTCATGCTCACTTATCTAAAAAATGGGATCATTCGATGTTTCTAGGTGCCTCTGCACAACTGAATGAGTTTTCCACAGCCCTGGATATCAGCACAATAGGGGCCTTCAAATGTTAAGATATATATTTGCTCCAACCTTGGACCTGGGACCTCGCTAGCTTCTCGACTGCCCAGGTGAGAATTGTTTTTTTTCTCCCATCCACAGGTTTCCATTCAAATACCAAATGTTTCTAAACCACTTGCAAATTCGCAGGTGGATGGCTATGGCTAGATTACGACTTCCAAGGTTTACTCATGGGGTTGCAAGGATGAGAAAGAATGAGGGCAAGACCTTGGGAACCAGGAATCACTTTAAAATATAAAAGTAAAACTATGATTCGACAAAGAGAAGCCCTGGAGTGTCATGCTCAAGAATCGCACTTTCCTGAAACAAATTATTCTTTGACAACCGAAACATGATATGCAAACCTTGGAATCTGGCCAACTCTCCAAGCACACCGTACCTACCTGGATATATACGTACCCTGTATGATATCTTTTGCTTGGAGATCGAACGGCAATGGCACCACACAGGTGGCTTACGCCCGGGGCTGTACTCGGTCCATGAGTCTGGCTCACCGGAAGCTTTCATTCTGTGTTTGGTCACAGTTGGAGACCCATGCTCCCTTTCAAGGCCTCCGTATGAGAAGCTCAATCTCTTTGTCACTCAATTCTATAGTCCTGGAGATGACTGGTTCAGTATGTATGGTTTGTCATGCATAGGTGTGGACGTATAAAAATGTCAATATTAATACTGGGCATATTATATAACATTGAAGGTAAAGTTCTCCGAGCATGCTGTAAATCAAGGCATGCGCCAATTCGGATCGAGAAAATGAGTAGAATGGAGTTCCGGTTAATATCCCGCTAAAAAAAAAAAAGACTCCAACTCGGATTGTCCAAACGCCAGATGTGTGGTACATCGTCCTTGAGAAAGAAACTGAAGATCGCCCGCTGAAAAGAAACGCCTTGAAAATGCTGATATCACATCATATATCATCACAATCATTGTATGTCACCATCACTGTCAGATGCCACCATAGGTTGTTTATCTTTCCTGTTGTTGGGCAGAGTGTCGACAGTTCTCTGCACTTCGCGTTTTGCGACTTGTTCTAAGTCAAGACGGGATTGGAGATTTAGTGACTCGACAGATCCGATACGCTCATAGAGCTTTCTGGAAATAGTTCGGTTGATCTCGGTATATTGTTCTTTGGTCACCATTTTTGCGCGGTAATGGGGTTTCAACGAATTGCCGACCATCTTCTGAATGGCGGATTTGACGGCAAGGGAAGGACCGTGCCGACTGGGTGATGTTTCGGGAGAGGATCGAGATTGGGCTAATTCGAGAGCTCGTCGAGGAATGCGTGAGCGTGGACGAGCCGCTTCGCGTCGCGGCGCGGCATCGTCCGAAGTAGGAGAGGCATCGCGGCTACCAGAGAAGGAAATCTCGGGCGAGAATGGAGGTGAAGAAGGTTCAACTGGGGAGGAGAGTTGAATGGGGGAGATGGGCCGACTGCGGGAAAAAGGTGGTGGGGTGGTGGATGCAAGTTGAGGAGAGGGGTGATTGGAAGAAACGGGAGAGATGGATGGTGAGGATGGACCAGGAGTAACATGATCGGTAGGGGCAACAGATGCAGTGGCAGAGGGACCGATAGAGGTACCATGGCTCGGTGGGGATGCATCTTCAACTTCCTTCAAGAGAGAGGACAAGAAGCTCGGTCCACCGACACTATCCCCGTTCACTCGTGCATTCGAACTTGCAGCTCTGGAGGATTCTCCATTTTGATGAGCCATGGCAGCGAGTTCCTGCGGTCGTCTCGTGCGCGGACGCTTCAATTTCCGCCGCGGTTCCGACGGCTCAGGGGATGGAGACATGGTCGGTTCCTTGCGCTTGCGGGCAGCACTTGGGTTGTTCTCAATCTCGCGAGCCCTCTCAAATGCGTTCCAAGCACGCATTTCCTCCAAGGACTCAGGCTCGGGTGTTGGTACTCTGGGAATTCTAGGTCGGGATTGCCTAGCAGGTTCTAGATCAAAGAGCGCAGCAGTGTCGCGAAAACGACTGCCTCCACCTTGTCGCTCGGCGACCTCGAATCGGCGTTGCCATGCTCGAAACTCACGCTGATTTGCTTCTTCCCGACGACGCTGTTGCAGTACCCGCTGGGCGGAGCGATCATCGTCAAATGGGAAGTCCAGATCGATATTGAGATGGTCCCAAACAGACTGCCATACCCGTGCCCAGTGCAATGAGTTGGCTTGGTTGCGGCTCTGGAGTCGTCGCTGCTGAGCTCGAGTTCGATGTGCTGCTCTCTCACTTGTACGAGCGGGGCGACTAGACCCTTCAGAAGCCGGTCCAAGCGCCCGTTGGTACTCGCATGTGGAGCAGTACCACGACCCAGCGGGAATTCCATCTAATCCTAAACAGTATGTGTGTGAGGGAGCATCGCATCCATCACAAAGGAGCAACACATCCTCGTTGTCGGCTTCCCCGCATAGTGTGCATGGTAGGGAGTCAGCGAGGTCATCTTCGATATAATCGATCAGCATGGTCGGATCCACCTCAGCGACTTGCACACGATCTTGAACGGCGTATGATGAGGTGACCTGACCTGTAAAAATTAAAGGACCAGTTAGTCAAAGGGCCTCGTGAGTAGAAGGGACTATCGAAATAAAGGACCACGTACCTCCAGGTCGGTCGCTCAGCTCGACCATGTTGAAACTGCGACGACATATTGGGCAACTGTTCGCTCGCTCTACCCATGGCTTGAGGCAGTTATTGTGCAATATATGGCCACACGGCAATAACTGGGCGATTTGACCCGGATCCTCATCGAGACCCTCCTTGACCGTTATAGCATCGTGGAGATGGGGTCTTGGCACGGGTTCGGCGGGATCACTGGCGCTTTCGCCAAGGTCTCCTAAACAGACAATGCAGGTGTCGGACATGGACAGGGATCAAGCCAGGGGATAGGAGGCTGAGAGTCGGCATGAAGAGCGTTTCGTGAAGTGTACGAAAGAAGAAGAGGAGTGTGGGGAGGAGAGAGCCCGGCCTTTTGAAGGTGGGCCGGGATTTCCAGTCTAACGCAAAACAGGGCGGCAACGTGACGGGGCGAATCATCCGCACTCGCGCACTTGCGAATGAGCGCCAGAGAAAATAAACTTGGTTCAATAAGTCATAAGGGACGGGAGTATCCTATTTAGGTCTAAGCGCTCGCTATGACTCCCTTGTACAGATTGTAGATCGGAGATGGTGGCTACGATTGTCCCTTGCTGTAGCGCCCCCAAGGTGACTCTGCCCTTGTCTATACAACTAGCCTCAATATGTCACCACCCCAATTCTCCAGGGCTACGTCGCTAACTACGCGAGTTCCACAGCTTAGGCCGCAAGATCTCTATTTTAGCGCATTAATAACGGCAGAGAAACCCTGCTAAGGTCTAAACCGAGATTCCAGTCGTTCAGGCGCCCCCTGCACGGGAGTGGGCCCCATGCGAGGAACGCTGCTAGAGGTGCCACGACTATTTCACCATACTAGACAAGGAACCGAGAATGTACAGGGCGCAAACGGTTGATATGTCCTGCACACTGTGGGCTCGCAATGGAGAGCTAAAAGTTCTGGTTGCCTGATAAGGGAGGCGCGGGGGAGCCCAGGCATCTACAACTATTGCCCAGATCACCAGAGCACCGTCATCAAGCCGCACTCGTAATATCGATGTTGAATCCAAATCTGTTCGCATGCCAGACACGGTCGCAGGACTCGATCAGAGCTTGACGGCTTGAAGATTGGGTATTGGTGAGTTGGTTGTCTATTCCGATCGGCTGTAGCCAACGAAGCCCCGAGGGGTAGAGAAATCATGGCGTTCATGACGTTACGCGGGGAATCAAGTGCAATGCAAAATCCTTAGATTCCAAAGTTTTTCATTTTTGGTATTCAGACGTGACCGTAGAGTAAGAAAAAAATCATGTCCCATTTTTTAAACCTCAGCGATCTCACGGAGACGGCGGATGGTGGAGCGGGTGGCAGCGGCAGCGGGGGTCCTGTAAGCAGATTCAACAGTCAGTATATGCTTTCGCAGGTCACGAATCCTGGTATTCCTGTCCCAATCCATCCAGGTCCAGGTCCAGATCCAGGTCGTATCGAGAAATTGCAAGTGACTTACGAGACGGTGTAAGCACCACCGGCGACGGTCTTGTTGCAGCCCTTGCACTCCCAGATACCAACAGCCTTGCGCTTCACGGTGTTCTTTCCGCAGAAGGTACAGATGTAACGGGCGTGCTGGGTGACTTCCATCTTCTTCACCTGCTTACGCAGGGAGGCACCGTATCTGTAGGGAATGAGTCAATATTCGGTTTCTTTCGTGTTGCCGGTCGCGGTTCTCAGGTGAGGTTTCATGTTCGATCGAGAGCGAGGGCGAAATCGAGGAGTGGGCGATGTTCATACCTGGTACCATATTTACCGGTGATACCGACCTCTGGAAGGGAATTAGCATTCTGGAAAAAAGGGGGGTTTCATTCGAGAGGGGTAGAGAGGTTTAGAGAGACATACTCTTGGTGCGCTTGGTCATCTTGTCTGCAGTGCGGCTGTAGGTTGAAGATGGGTTCAAAGCAGATCGAGAAGAGGCTTCTGAAGAGTGGTTGTGGGTGGGCTCGCTTAGGGCTATTGGGGCTTGGCGGGAGTGTGTGGTCACCTGACAGGGGACGTGATTTTGATTTTGATTTTAATTTTGGAGTATTATGTCATTGACGTCATGTGACTCCACAGATTTCGATTGGTTAATGGTCTTCAGTCCAATGTGGTCCCTTCGCATTCCATGATTGGTTCTTGCCTGTTTTCATCTATCGATTCCATTGCTTACGCCCACCAGAAGCATACTCATGCAGGGGTATCATATTTTTTTTGTGTGCAAAAAAAAAACTTCTAGATTTCATATCCATGTGCCCTAGATTGAAACATACGGACATTTCCTAGTCCTCCATGACTTGACGCGATCTTTGCCTCGGTCCCGTGGCAAATAACAAGACTGATCGACGTAACCAGACGGCCTCGGTCGAACAACTCTCCGTATTCTGAATGTAGTACATAATCATGCATTGTACTACAATAACATATAAAGACCACCTTGAGTAAACTGAGAGATTCTCTTCTTTGATGAATAATTCTTTCAAGTCTGTCCCGAAACATACCTTTTAAATTAGTTTCACATACCTCCCTTACTAGCGCCGAGGAGCTGTGATCCTCCGAGAGCTTGGCCCTGCGCAAGTGGAGCTCCATCCCCAAAATACAACAGATTCTCACCACAATGGCTTCCAACAGGGAGTACGACTTGGTCCTGCTAGGCCCGACCGGTTACACGGGTCGATTATGCGCTGAGTATATCGTGAAGAATCATCCCACCGATCTTAAATGGGCTGTCGCAGGCCGCTCAGTAAACAAAATTGAACCCATCGTCGAGGAACTCAAGGCGCTCAACCCCGACCGTCGTGCGCCAGGTACGCAGAAAGACAACGTGGCATCTTCAAATTGTCAATTGGGCGCATGCTAATATGGGTCTTCGCAGATGTCCTCCCAGTCCAACTGAACCCCACCGAATTGAAGGAGCTTGCCCAGAAGACCAAGCTGATTATCAATTGCATTGGTCCCTACCACCTATACTCTAGCCCGGTGGTCGAAGCTTGTGCCAATAATGGGACCCACTATCTGGACGTGTGAGTAATCCTCATGCTGTAGGTTTGCTGCTTAGACTAACCTTGGATTTCCTACAGGACTGGAGAGACACCCTGGATCAAGCTCATCATTGACAAGTACCATGAAACGGCCAAGGCCAATGGCTGTATTGTAAGCCTTTCGCTTTGCTTCTAAAGCTTTTGGTGTCTAACAAATATTAGATCATCCCCTCTGCTGGCATGGAAAGTGTCCCTGCGGATATCTTGGCGTGGGCTCTTGTCAAGCGAGTCCGCGAGGACCTTGGATCGCAGACCCGTGGAATCGAAAGCTGCATCAAGGACATCAAGTACGTCTTCGAAACCTACACCATACTGACCCACCAAAATCTGACCCTTGCTAGATCCTCCGGCGCTAGTGGCGGCACCCTTAACACCATTCTGAGCATCTTCGACTGGCTCCCAATTTCGGAGCTTCTCAAGTCTATCGGTCCCTTCTCGTTGACAGGTTCCGGTCCACTCAAGCATGTTCCCAGCGACTCGATCATCACCAAACTCTTTGGTCTGCGGTCTGTTCCCGATCTGGGTACCCTCACCACCTCCCCTAACGGCATGGCCGATATGGCCATCGTCTACCGCAGCAGCACCCTGATGCCTGAGTTCTACGGCAATCGGTTCGTTTTCCACCAGATGCTGTACGTGCGCAACGCTCTTCTCGGCGTCGCCATGCACATCGGTTTCAACCTTTTTCTGGCGCTCCTAATGTTCCCACCTGTGCGCTGGCTGTTACGCAAGTTTGTATTCGCCCCCGGTGCTGGTCCGACACCAGAGAACTCTCGCAATGACCGAGTGGAATACCATGCCGTTGCGACCGCAGACCAGGATGTTCCCAAGCCGAAGCGCGTTTTCGGTAAGTTGGCCTACGAAGGAAATATGTATGCGATGACCAGCGTGCTTGTTTCGGAGGCTGCTATGGTGATCCTTCAGCAAGAGGAGAAGGTTCGCAAGGTTTCTCGTGGTGGCATTGTTACCTCTGCCACGCTGGGCCAGGAATATGTGGATCGTCTGGACAAAACTGGAGTCCACATTGAGACCAAGGTTTGGGAATTTTAGATCTCTCATTTCGGTTTCCATGCAGGTGGCTTCAATCGCTCCTAAATACGCTCGGTTACGACACTCTTTTACGTTTGACGAATTATTCTTACATAATGCCGTTCATAGCTCCAGATAGCATGCGCAATGAACAATTTGTCCTTTGATTATACCTAAGCTCCAAAGTTAAAGCTTCTCCAAGGGTTTCCCTGTAAATGCAACATCCTTCAACCATTCAGAAATGATGGCGTTCACTTCCTCAGGTTTCTCCCACAGCGCCCAATGCGCAGTATCAACCTGCTTCAGATCTAGTCTAGGGAACTGCTTGCTCATAGCTTTCCCAAGGTGTGGCGGCAGAGCCTCATCTCGAAGAGCCTGAATGAAAAGTGTAGGGGCAGTAATTTTTCGACCAACGATACTCAACTCATCCTCGAAGTTGATCTTCCGCGTTCGGTACCAGTTCACTATATCGCATTAGTTGATGTATTGTAGCTTAAGAGAGAAAAGGCAAGACATACACGGTGCATGAATTCCATGCCTTGAGTATTCCTGTCCATAGTACTCCAGTTCCTGAACAAGAAACGAAAATGGTCAGCCTAGAGCCGTAAACAGATTTCCTCCATAAAGCTGAGAAACTCACCTCCTCACTCAATAATCGCGAATGCCTCAACCTCATCAAATGATCAAGTAGAACCCCCTTCTCGGCCTCAAAACCATTCTGCTTTTCAGGCGTCCGACCTCCAAGTAAAGCAGTCAAAAACTGTTTGATCTCCTCCTTAGACTGAACAACTTTCTCAAGCTCTCCACTTGCAAACTGAATTTGATACCCAAAGTTCGGCATGACAGTGTGCGCCATTTCTTCCAGCGGCATGTAATCTTTCTTGGGACTGGAGTATGGCACGCACACAGTGAAGAGGTGGGTGACTAGATCAGGATGCCAGAGAGCAACGCGGTAGGCTAGGAAAGCGCCCCTAATTATAACTTAGTATATGATAACGCGATAGCGATTTGAGAGGTTTGATCTTGTTACCAGTCATGTCCGCCTAAAATAATTCTCGATTCGCCGAGGTGTGTGGCTAAGGCTTTGATGTCGTCTGCAATGGCTTTGTGTCCGTATTGGGTGTAGTCATCGGGGGCTTCCTGTTTTTACACATATGAGTATTTTCTTTTTCTTGTTTTGTGATCAAATGATCCTGAGCTTATCGTCTTACTGTGCGGCCGTAGCCAAGGCAGTCTGGAGCAACGACTCTCAGCCCCATGTTCACCAGCATGGGGATTTGGTATCGCCATCCCATAGATAGGTCTGGAAACCCATGTATCTATATTAATATTAGCAAATAACGTATTATTTTTAATTGCAATATTTACTTGCCAGGAAAATGGTGGCACGGTAATTGCCGGATTGGGGTTGACTGAGGAGGTAGCCTTCAAGCCCGGTATGTTGTTAGGCATGGCCCATAATTAGGGAGGAATGTTTTTGGATTTTCTTTAATGAATTCCCAAGGGTAATTTGAAACTCACCGTATTTTCGTCCGTTGAGGGTGGCATATTCATACCTGATGCGTTCGTCGCCCTCGACACGGATCTTGTCGATTGTCATTTTGACGATTTCCTGGTCGTAATACCAAGGTGACTTGAATGAAAGAGGATTGTTTCAAGGCTAGGTTGTTTTCCGGGGCCTGGGGTTATTATTCGACCAGCGAGAGGTCTTTAATATAGAACAAAGTCGGGGTCATATGCTAATCCAAGTCAGTTCTAGTGGGTCGCTTTGACCATGACGTAGGTCAGATGAGACCAGAACGGGCTAAATAATACCTTGAAAGACGTGCATGGATAGCTTGAGCAACCTTGAAATCAAATGAATGGCAGGAATCCAAGAACAAGTAGCTTAAAGAGGGGAATTGCAATTTTGTGTTTATGTGTTACGTAGGATCCCCGGAGCCCCTCTTGACCGATCTGCAGTGAGCCTCGGCTCCTGTAATCCCACCACTGTTCAAATGTCACACGACTCGACAGGCACATTTGAACCGGGGTAATTTCAATGATTTGACTGACAACTCATTATGCAAATATGGTGATAAGAAGCCTCCATCAGAGATGATTTTCTACGGGTACCTAGACAGTGATATGGAACCGACTTAAGCTGAGGATACTGTTTTTGATATGGCTCACAAAATTCTCTGGAAAATTACATATGAAATCCCGGTCTCGGCCTCTCAAGACGGTCTAGCTACAACAAATACCCAAATATTGACATTATTAAATGGGTCCGGGAAGATCATTTGAGACAGCCCACGCTTTCAACACCAAATCTCGTTTCCCGTGTCATCGTATCGCAGGAATCTTTTTCCTGCATTTCCTTTGATCCAAAAATGTCAGCAGTGCTCTCCTCAATGTGAAACTTTGATTCTGTCTTTGGAACTGAAGTGGTACCGGTATCAACAACAGACTCGGGCTCCTCCTTTGGGGGCTGGATGTCTCCGTTCATCATCCCTGCCTCAAATTCCACATTGTCGAAAGTCTGAGCCGGGTACTTTTTCATGAATTCGGCGTACTCAGCGGCGTTCGTACGCTCAGCATATTCAATTTGATCCCGGATGGTCTCTTCATCACCATCTCGAAGTTTGGCGGGTCTCCAGAGCTGAAGAAACAGTGTGTTAGCTACGGGGCATGCGCAAGCCTTGAAAGGGTCAATCTATTGTCAAAATATACCAGAACGGGCTCCGTCACAGTCTTCAAGTACCGAGCATCCACAAGATTCTTCGCATGCCGAGCCATCATCTGGAAGTTATGCATTGTTAGCAACAATTTACGAGTCCGAATGAAAGGAAGAGGAAACAATTTACGTGTCCGAATGAAAGGAAGAGGGACTCACGGCATCTCTCTCTCGAAAAGCTTTTGCCATATCCTCAGCCATCTCGTGACGCTCAGTTCGTCTCTTCCGTTGGCGATTAGACTCCCACAAAAAGGTGTCCGCCTTCAATTTGGCTTGCTGTCGTAATTCAATCTGCTCTCGACGCCCCTCACGAGTCTTTTGCGCAATGTCGGTCTGCTTGCGCGAGAGGGCATTTGTTAGGTTGCTGAACAATCTTTGTCCGCGCTGGCGCTCCTCTCCACTCGTAGGCTTCTCAGGTCGTGTCTCTTCCGACGGAGGTGGTCCACGCCAGGAGGCGTCGCTAGGGTGAGGCTGATTTGGGAAGAAAACGTCACTTCCTTGCCTAAATTTGCGGCGTTTCACAGCTTGATCGGAAGCGGTGGGCCTGCGGCGCTCCTCTACTGGGTAGTGGTACTCAGGTGATGGATGAATATCAGCGTTTTCTTGACTAAACCGGCGGTGTTTCGCAGTGTATTCAGAAGGGGAGGAGTGACGGTACTCCTCTGCTTGGTAGTCGTATTCAGATGATGGGTGGGTTGCAGCTTTTCCTTGAATAAATCGGCGGTGTTTCGCAGTGTATTCAGAAGGGGAGGAATTGCGGTGCTCCTCTGCTGGGTACTGGTACTCAATTGATGGGTGGATATTAGCACTTCCTTGACCAAATTGGCGGTGTGACACAGCGTATTCAGAAGGGGAGGAGTTGTGGCGCCCTCTTTCTGGGTACTGGTATTCAGATAATGGGTGGGTATGGACACTTCCTTGACTGGATTGGCGGCGTTTTAGAACGTTTTCAGCCGGGGAAGAATTGTGGTACTCCTCTGTTGGGTAGTGGTATCGAGGTGATGAGCGACAATCAGCTCTCTTTGGACTAAATCGATGGCGTTTTGCAGCGTGCTCAGAAAGGAAGGAATTGCGGCGTCCTCTTGCTGGATACAGGTCTGGGTACAGTGATGGGCGGGTATGATCATGACGAGGACGACCAACTGCCGAAGCAGGTGATCTGTAGCGTTTCCTCATACATAAGCTTACCCAGGTGATAGAGAATATGTCACGTGCAGATAGGACTGGAGGAGCGCGACGGGGTGGAAAAGTTCGTTTACGTTGATATTGATGCTAGTATAGGGCACCTCAGCGGGCTCCACGCATAGCGGGGCAGGAAAGTGCAAACGCAGCTACGAGCCAATCAGACGATTCGATCTCTCTTGCATAATGTGACATAAATCTCCAATTTTGCTGAACGATATGTACTGTACGGCATCTAAAGCGTATGTTCTAAACTGAAGCGGGAATGTTGCTCGAGGGTGTATAGTATATGTGGTCCGTGCGCAGCGGAAACGCTAACTCCTTCCAGCTTCTTCTCTCCAGCTTCTTTCCTTTCTTCCCCCAGAACCCGCCACTCGTTGATTTCTAATCCAACAACATATCACCTACCTTCCACAAACCTCAACCCCTTACATTCTTTCAATCGTCCATTCACCATGTCGCGTCACCACCCCGACCTTGTTATGTGCCGCAAGCAGCCCGGCATCTCCATCGGCCGACTTTGCGACAAGTGTGACGGCAAATGCCCTGTGTGTGATTCTTACGTCCGTCCCACAACTCTCGTCCGCATCTGTGATGAATGCGCCTTCGGAAACTACCAGAACAAGTGTGTGGTCTGTGGCGGTGAGGGAATCAGTGATGCCTTCTACTGCTTTGAATGTACACGCCTTGAGAAGGACCGAGACGGGTGCCCGAAGATTATCAACCTAGGAAGTTCGAGAACCGACTTGTTCTACCAAAAGAAAAGTTTTCGGAATCATTGATCGGGGTTTGCGCCTCTCTCCGCTGCTGGCTTTGTGGAGTGGACGGGTATCCAGCACGGTCTTACAGTCTGTCTTGGTAGGGTTGAGGGCCTTTTTACTTGACATGTCTTGCCAGAGGATGAGCGACCTCGCTCAATCGAAAGCCTGCGTGGTCTAAGGGCTGCTATTTATCTACAAATTAGACTAAGAAGCTATCGTCGGAATTTCATCTACCGGCCCGGACGACGGGGACGGGCAAATCCTCGTGAGGCGCCTTGGTCTTTCGGCGGGTCAACCTCCTCCTGCAACCGCTCTGCGGTGATCTCACCTGGCGACGATGCCTCGATCTACCATTCAACTTCGTTAGTACGACTGCGGATAATCGACAGCTTTCCGGTTCATACCTTCTTCAAGATCTTGAGACCCTCGTTCTCGGCAACCGTGATTGCAGTTCTCCGCGAGCTGGCGTGCAACATGCGCTCTTTGATTGTCGATCCAGTGGGGCAGGTGTATACGAACACCACAACATCCGATCCGGGGTAGTGATAGAAGGAATAGCGGGGTGAGGTCGAGGAGATGTGGGAGGCGACCGAGCCCGCGTCGACACCGGCCTGGGCATCGACGAGTTTAATACTTTCCGTGGGCCCATCAACCGTCTGTAAAGAAACCATATATCAGCATCAAATAAAACATTATCCACCCCCTTGCATCTATACAGATCCACGTAGACTGTTGACTGTACATCCATGAGATGGTGGTGGGAATAACACTTACCAATTGCACAAGCCCACCATCCCGAAGCTCCCTCACAGCGGTCTTGGCCGCATCATCCACATCCATAGAGACTCTCATACCAGATCCAGAGCCGGCACCAAAAGTGCCGCCAATCCCAATATCCCGATGCGGCGTCCCACTTCTAGCCTCGGCCTCAGCCTTCCTCACGGCCTCAAGCCCCCGCTCTTTCTCACTCATCATATCCTCGCGCTTCACACCACCAGCCAACTCCCCACTCCGTTCAAGCCACGCATTCTTGCCAAGAATCTCGTCCTCCTCAGTAGTAAAGACAGTCAACGGGAACTTCTCGATTCCTAGCTCGCGAACCAGCGTCGAGCGAGTCGAAGCGAAGAGCATCTTCGGACGAACAGGCGCATTGTAGGGGATGTGCGTCAGCGCGACAAGGGTCGATGACGACGCTGTCGGGCGGCGGAGCAGAAGGTAGATGGGTGTCTTGGGCTGTAGGACAGTAGACAGCTGGGGAAGAGAGCTGTAAAAGTCCTCCGGGCTGGACGAGGATCCTGAGAAGGAGATGGCAGTTTGTGGGGTGAGGGTCTCGCCGGTGATAGTCACTGGCAGACAGAAGAGGGATGAGTCGGAGTTGAAGCGGGCGAAGGCATCATGGAGCTCCGTCGAGACTATGGTTTATGAGGTTAGTTTGGGGTTATTGAGGTAGTTGAAAAGCTCAATGGGTTCATAAAGAGCAGAAGATTGTTTTGCGGCATTCGACTTACCGGAGATTCCAGACTGCATGATGTCAATATGTGTCTGTCTCTTGTTGTAGGTTGGATTCGGGGGGTTGTTTATGGAGCGGGGAAGCGGTCAAGCGGTGAGTTGTCTTACATACGTATACAAGCGAATTGATGGTCACCGACTTATTTACGAGCGGCAGAAAATCAAATTACATACACATTGTTGACTACTGCTACAGTCTACGATGTGAGTTTGATTTAGAATCCAGAACCTTGTGGTATAAACCATTAAAACAAAAAGAGAAACGTATGTACAGAGAACTTTCCAACCAGCCTGTGGCTGGTGATCTCCAAGCTTAAAACAAGGAGAAATGCAACGCCCACCATGCGCAGTATGGTATCACATGCCTTCCAAAAAAACAAAAGAGAAACCCTCCGGGCTACTTCTTTACACCTTTTCCTTCTCCACTTTACTCCTCGAACTTACCTCCCACGAAAGGCCAGTTGGAGCTCTCCAGCTTGCCCTTGAGGAACTCGTACACAGTGAAGGTAACAGCCTGACCAGGAGCAACACGCATCACACGAGGGGTAATACCCTTGTAGAAAGCCTGAGCACCCTCCTGCTTGAACATATCCTTGGCAATAACCATGATACGGGTAACAGCAGACTGGCCCGGCTCAGCACGGGTCTTTTGGAGGCGGGTCTTGATGGTATCGATGGGAGCGTTGGAAAAGGGACCGACGGCACCGGAGATAAGACCGATCAGGGTGGTCTGGTAAGAGGGCAGCTGGGTGTTGGCGTATTCGGGCTGCATCTTCTGCAGCTGAGCCTTGAGCTCAGTGTACGCGGTGAAGTTGGCGGCTTGGTTGGTACCCTGGCGCAGGGCTGTGAGGGAAACACCACGGTACAGAGTGCTGAAACCCTCCTCCTTAACGACGGTGAAAAGGGCGTGAGGGGCGCTGCGGTACTTGGGGGCGTCAAGGGGGTCGGCAAGACTGTGATGTTGGGCTTGCAGGCGAATCTTGATCACCTCCATGGGGTTGACAATAGCAACAGCTTCGGTCACACCGGCGGAGAGACCAGCTAATGTATTGACCAAAATTAGCAAGTGAAATCAATGGGCAACCGCAATTGCACAAGACAATGCAATCGAAATGCACTTACCGAGGAAAGTGGCCTTGCTGGTGACATTTCCGGTCACCGGGTCGGCCAACCAGTTCTTATAGGTCTCATATGAGGTGAATCGAATGGCCATCTTGGGGATAATACCACCCAGCACGGCACCGAGACCCTTGTACAGACCCATGGCGGTCTCCTTGCGAACGATCTCGGCACCGGTGGCGGCGAAACCGCGAGCCTTGGCCTGTGATGCTCAATTAGCGACGAGTTTTTGGTATTCAAGAATGAAGGCTTAACATACACCAGGAGCGCGGGCTCTCCGTGAAAGCTGCATGCGGACCTTGATTGTGTCTAGAAAAAAACATTGTTAGCCATTGAATCTTCCATAGATCGCGGAACAATGTATAACTTACCAAGAGGGTGACACACGAGAGCCTCCATCATACCAGCACCACCTCCAGCTATTCACCAAGTTAGCATTAGGTCCAGAGTCCAGCGACAGGTGTCTAATTACCAATCAGGTTGACGGCAGGAGAGGCACCCTTCCTCTTGCCATTGCCGGCTTGTACGTTCTTGGCAGACATTTTTTTTTGGTATATTCACAGAGTCAAACAAAAACCAAATTTCTTCCACGCGAGATGTCGTGATCAAGAGAAGCTAATTGATCGGAACTTAAGGGTTTGTCCCGAATGTCGGGGGTAAAAGCGAAATGCGGAGGGAGTCGGAAGTATACAATCCCGGGGTTTGAAAGCCGACGCTGGTCCGAAGATGACGCAAAGAAAAATATTCTTCGAGGTGGACTCAATTGGAGTTTAATTGGAGTTTAAGTTAGAGGGATTTCTTTTCCTTTCTAACGAGAAATCCCGAGGATAAATGGGTTCGGTTGAGGTGGCGGCACTGAACTTTGTGGGGAAGAGATAGCTATGACGGGGCGACGGGAGCTGGACGAGCGGAAGTGGTATATAGATCTTTGCCGCCGGGAGATTGGAGCAACCAAAAATAAAAAAGAAGCAAGCAGAGGAGGAAAAAAGGAGAGATTCAAATGGTGCGAGGGTTTCTCGGCAATCTTATAAAATAATGAGGCGTCACTCCGAGCGTCGCTTCTATTCTTCAATCCCGAGGCCTTCGGGAACAAGGACGGATGACTCTACTCCCCACGGTTCTGCGGTGCGGCTGCGGTTCTGGTCACGATCCCCCGGATCCTCGAATGATCTGACTTCACATGTGTCAAGGCCTTAAGTGAGATTGTCGTCATAGTTGAAATCTTAAATAAACTCATTGCTTGTGAACGTATATTACCACTCCTAATTACTGGTTCCTTTCCCCCTTTCCTTCTGTTCTCAACACAATAGAACCAACAATCTATACAGGCCCGGGGAGGGACCTAAATTACTCCGGGAAATGAACCCCTTTACTATGGGGTGTCACGCGCAATCCCGCACTGTGTTCCGCCCCAAAGAACTGTTCTTCCCCCGGAAGAATTCGGACCAGCCAAGAGCTCCCCGCAGCCGAGGTTCATTTGATGCAGCACAGCCTAGGTCATCTAATGCGACTGATTTTGGTCAGCCGACCTTTAATACCCCTTGGGAGTCTTGGAATTTGAACTATAGTAATATTAGTCGGGCCATTTTTCCGCTCAACGTGCCGTTTCGTTGAGATAGATATACAGTAATGGTTCAGCCCACGTCATCGGCAAGTGGCGGTAGAACGTTTTACCCACTTTCGTAGTAATCCAGCGTCGGCTATTGCTGGAACAGAACAATCGCCCTACAGTCAGGTACAACCGCTCAAATAAGCGCGGAACTTCAAAAATTTGTATATGATGAATTGCATCATGTATGCATGTGCGTAGCCAGCTTCACATGTAATCCCGTGTTTATAAAATCGGTCATGTTCGTCATGGTCGGACAAGGTCCTGTGTCGGGTAACCGATTATCGGCGCTTTGAACTCCTTGTTCTGGACCGGACCACGGAAAGCTTGGCATATCAAGTCTATACCAGTTGATCGAGGCCATAGTTAGGTTTATCTGATTGCATCTGATAAAACTACACTAAAATCATAGCTGTGGGCTCTAAGGCGATGTTACATGATCGAATCGCTGCACGGCATAAGGATTCGCCGTTACCAAATCCCGATGTTGATCGGAGCAAATCCGAACGGCGCGATCGTGTCAAATTTCTTTTTCCTCAACTCCTCTCGCAGTGAAAATCAAATGAAAGTGGCTGATGCTACATAGAGGTACCCGGGTCTAATCTGGGCCTTCTATTTTGATATCCAGATATTTGGATAATGGCAGGACCGCCGGTTCAGGAGGTGGAGGCGGGCCCCCCGCCGCGGTGGCAGGTCATAATAAAGAAAATATTGATGTTTGTCTTACACCAGTGGCTTCTTATCGGAATGGGAGTCGCCTGTGCACTGGCCTACTGCTTTCCAAACGTCGCGAAGCATGGTGGAATCATTCGGTCCCAGTATAGTGTGATGTACGGGGTGATCGCCATTATTTTCCTAATCTCGGGACTGAGCATTGATCGCCGGAAACTGTTTCTACAATTTATGAACTGGAGACTACATCTCACTGTACAAGTGATTTCCTTTTTGTTTATACCTGCCGTGGTCTTGGCGGTTGTTTATGCGATTTTGGCTGGTGATCCGACCGAGAAGATCAATCGCTCTGTGCTGGCGGGGTATATCTTTGTGTCATGTATACCCACAACGATCGCCTCCAATGTGGTGATGACTCGGTCTGCTGGTGGAGATGATGCGGCGGCGCTAGTGGAGGTTCTGATCGCCAATGTTTTTGCTCCTTTTGTCACTGCCGCTTGGACGGTGGCTCTGATCCCTAAGACTTCTGAGTTCGATGCTTGGAGGTATGGTGGCGGGGATATGAGCAGCATGTACAGAAACGTCTTTCAGCAGCTGGGGTTGAGTGTGTTGTTACCGTTGTTCGTGGGGCAACTGATTCGATGGACATGGCCTGATCGTGTAGCCATGGTGTTGCAGAAGACAAAGCTGCCCAAGTTGGCTTCGGTCTGCATGTTACTGCTAATCTGGTATGTCATTTGGACTCAGACCGCAACAATATCCTCTAATAATCTTCTAGGACTACATTCTCTTCCTGTTTTGCTACAGGAGCCCTCCAGGAAATGGATTCCCAGAGCATCATCTTCGTTGTATTGTTCAACATCGCCCTGTACATCTTTCTCACAGGCATCTGTTTCATCAGCTCTCGACCACCGCAAATTTTCGCCTCGAACAGGTGGTACAAGGCTGTATTCAAGCCCCTTCCTCCCAAAGAGACCATTGCAGCTTGTTTCTGCGGTCCAGCAAAGAGTACAGCTCTTGGAATCCCGCTCTTGTACGCCATGTGGGAACCACTGGACCTTTACCTTAAGGCGCAAACATCCGTGCCTGTGCTGCTGTATACCACAGAGCAGATTTGTGTGGCTCATTTTTTTGTCCAGATTTTTCGCAAATGGCACTCGTACATAGAAAAACGAGACGGAGAGCAGATTGCATGCGGAGAGTCACCGGAAATCGACATGACGGAAACTACGGGGGACAGGGCGTTACCCATAAGAGTAGAGAACGATCTTAAATCTTAAACGGTATGATCTAGATTGATAGAGAAAGAAATTGTTGAGAACTTGAATATGAAATGCGCAATCTATTTCGATCATCACAAACGCCATTTCCAATGCCAATCCTAGCACACTCGACGGGTACGACCAAATCCCGACAAGAAAGCTCCTAATCTAGACAATATCATTCCAAGCAATATTAAAGCCAAATGATGTCAAGCTTAAGCAATATCAAACCGAAACTGAAGCGTATATCTCTCAAACCAAGTAGTAACTTTCCGAATATGCCGCGCACCTGGCCCAAAGGAATTCAACAAAAAGTAGACAACAATCTTACCCATCTGTGTACCCAAGATGGCGTAATACTGGGGTGTACCGACTTGAAAAGATTTCCGCGGGGCCTCACAGATAGAATCAACTCTTTTGTACTCGCGCTCAGTGTAGATGAAATTGCGAACAAACCCTAACGTGTCGTCATTAACAACATTCTCCATAAAAATATACCTCAGATCTGTAAGACGGCCGCCGTTCTGATAAGCAGCTTTAGTCAGTTGAGAAGAATATGGGAGGTTAGTGCGCTCGGTTCGATAAACCGTTTCAATAATCACCATGCCCGGCCCGATGATTCCATCCCACTCGCCGTAAACGTCCGATCGAACAAGGCTAGTTCTGTAGAACGGACCAGTTACGGGAATATGGACTCGGGATACTCGTGAGTGAAAGTGACGGGGGAGGCGAATTTCCTCGCTGCTGACGCTCCAACCTTGGTATTGTAGGTCCTGAAGTGTAAGTCTTGAAGTACCTATAGGGCAGTAGACATTGTTACTGAGCCAATTTGCGTACTGCACACCATTTTGCTGGTATAGGTCGAAGGATGACATTTTGGAGAATAGTATGATATCGACTTTGTTGAATTAAGTGGGTTATTTAGGGTTTTTGGGTACTTGATGATACTCAATGCTGAATGAATTGATCTCAGCCTGTGATTTATGCTATCTTTTATAGCTGATTCGATTAAGACAATTTATGATATATACCAAAGAGATTGTTTCATGCCTAAAAATATGATAAAAAGGCATCGAGGCCTCGCCACATGGGACAATGCCAGAGGTTTGAGAACAAAGAAGCGCCCGTTAGCATGATCAATTTTATATTTACTTCAACGCATTCAATGCACATTCATAGAAACAAAGGCATGAAACTTTGAAACAAAAGTGTCTAATTGTGTCACGTAGTTTGAGTCGTAGTACAATGGAATTGTCTAATGCTCAAGTAAGTTTTGATGTTTTCTACCCAATATTTAGTCTAATACTCAACCGCACGTGGATTCGGAACTATGGTGACCTTGCCTTGATTGATTATTGAACCTCACCTGCATTCTCTGTAACGCAAGTATTCTAGTGTGCATAGCTTAGTCTAGGGGTATTGCTATGTTTTTAATACTCTGCCAAGATTCCCAGTCCTTAGCCATGCATCGCTGCAATTGAGGTTTGTTACCTAAAGAAACAGGCAAAAACTCCATTGGGCTTATTCAATGAGCGACTCTCTTTGTTTCTTATGCCTTTTACTTATGAGCTACTGCCAATTTGATTTATTGCATTGAATAATCAAAGACCCGATCAAATTCAGAAGAAACCTTGGAATCACGGCGGAGTGTGAGGTGGATCCAAATCAGAGATTTTAGTGCAGATCACCAAATCTGATAGTGGGCAAGACAAGGCTTTGTGTTGGTTTGCTCCACACACTACTGAAGCCGCCCCTGAAAAACTTGCCGCTCAAGCCGTGGAAAATGCCGCTCTTCCGTCATAATAAAGCCACAACGTCCAATATTGGGTACCAACAAGCCTTTGGAATTTTGTTGCAGCCTGGAGCCCTGTAATAAAAAGCACAATGATATCTAGGTGAAACAGCGGTTTAACTTTGACTTGCAGGCGAATGCATCCCGAGCTTATCGCAATGGTCTATTGGACATTATTGGATCGTTATCTTCCCCTGTCCCTGTTCCTGTTCCTGACCCTGACCCTGAAGGGTTCGGACCCACTTTAATCAAGCACGAGTCAGGTACAATATCGAGATTAAGATCTTCTCTTCTGTTCGCCAAGCCTTTTAATTGTCTTACTGTGGGGGCTCGGCTTTCCACCGCAACCCTACCTGGTGGTTCCCAAGGTCGTATGGGCCTCTTGATTTCGATCCTGCTCCTTAAGCATTTTGATTGCACGCCCAACGATGTTCCAACTCACCAATCATTTAAGCGGAAGCATCCACAAGCCCAAACAGGGAAAGAACCGATAAGAGAATCGAACAAATCAGGAAGGCTAAGCTCATTACAATCTTTAAGACATCGGTGAAAACCGCAAAATCTTGGAAACGTGTGGAGCCTCTTCCATTCACATCCGCTGAGAATATTATAGCCGACTGCGACTCCATCTTGTTGATCTCGCCTGATATGTCCTGGCGTAGCCCGCCTCGCTCCATACAATGTCCCTAGATACTCTAGCAGCGGAGGCCATCGGAAGACCGTCTACTTGCATCGGAGCTGGTCATATCCGTATTTGGCCAAAGCCTTGTCTGTTCCAAGGCCCTTTGAGGAAAAGATGGGCCATTTTTCTGGCTATGGGTCTCAATAGATTTCTTATAGTGCCCATTAGATCCCCCCGTCGTGGTTTTTGTGTATTTTCTACTTAATCGTCGTTCTTTGCTTTCGTCATCATTAAGCTTAAATATTCGTCATTCACTCTAAATATTCACCATTCACCCTAACCCCATACATTCATTGTCTGCATAATTTATTTTTATCCCAGCCCAGAATGCGGAGCTCTCTCTTCTCTGCTTGCGGAGCCCTTCTTTTATCCGCTGGCGCTCTCGCTGACGCGACATGGTCCAATTACACCTATAAAACCGGCCCCTGGCAGCCTCCCCAGCTGGAAGTGACTAAGACCGGCGTTGTCGACCCGGGCCTGATCTTCATTCCCGTCCGTAACTCTAACACTGCCGGTACCGCGGTGACAATCTACGACAACGATGGCGAGCTCGTCTACCAGGGTCCTGAGGAGGTTACCATGGATTTCAAGGTGCAGAAGTTGTTCGGTAAGAACGTTATCACCTTCTGGTCCGGTGTGCCCCAAATCGCTGGTGGCTACGGTTACGGTACTGTCCACATCCTCGACGAAACCTACAACGAGATCTACACAATCACCCTCACTGGGGACTTCCAGACCGCCAGCGGCGAGGCCCGGGACTCCTATATTGATGTTCACGAGCACATCATCACTCCCCGCAACACCATTATCGTCTCTGCTATTAACGTCACCCAGCATGATCTCAGCTCTGCCGGTGGCCCGACTGATGGCTGGATGACCGTCAGCCAGTTCTACGAGATTGATATTCCTACCAACAAGATTGTGTACAAGTGGGATGCTCTCGAGCACCAGGAGGGCATTCCTCTCTCAGCATCTAAGCAGGCTGTCCAGTCTGGCGTCTCTCGCGAGACTCCCTGGGATTGCTACCACATGAACTCTGTTGAGGCTACCAATGAGGGCTTCCTGATTTCCATGCGCTTCTATTGGTCCGCTTACTACCTGAATCAGAACGGTACTGTCCGCTGGCAACTTTCCGTGAGTTCTTCCACAAGTCCAGTTCTTTGCATATATGACTAACACTCTTACTTCAAGGGCGCCGATGATAACGAGGGCAACTTTACCGGCGACGATATCCGTTTCTCTTGGCAACACCACGCCCGTATTTATAATGAGACCGATGAGGCTTTCATCCTGAGTGTCTTCAACAATGCCAACGGGCAAGGCCAATCCCAGAGCGAGACAACCGGCATGGCCTTCGAGGTTGATCTGACCAGCATGGCCGGTACTTTGATGTACAACGTGTCTGACCCCAACGACGCTGTCTACACCCAGACCCAGGGTAGCTTCCAGTTCCTTGGCGCCGCCGCTACGACCTCCAACCTCTTCATGGGCTACGGCTCCGTCCCCAAGGTCAAGGAGTACGATGGTGCTGGTAATGTTGTTCTGTCTGGCCAGTTCGATCCCCTGGGCCACGGCGAATCTTACCGTGCCTTCAAGGAGTCTTGGACTGCTACTCCTTTCTGGAACCCCGTCGCTGTCGCTGAGAAGTCTCTTCTCTCGACTACTGTCTACATGAGCTGGAACGGTGCCACCGAGTATGACAACTGGGCTGTCTACTCTGTTCCCTCCAATAGCTCTAACGCGACGACATTGCTTACTACTGTTGAGCGTACTGGTTTCGAGACTCAGGCCACTGTGAGCACGCTGAACACAACCTACATTAAGGTTGCCGCTCGCCAAAGTAGCACTATTCTGCGCTTCTCGGATGCTATTAGCATTTAAGTGCACCTTAGTGTTTGTGGTAGGCGTTGTCCTCGATTATTAGCATTGCTGGATATGATGTCCCATTCCAGTCGATATATTTTTATTGTAATATAGAAACAGCTAATTTTAGAACTCTCGCTAGTTCTTGTCAATTCACGACATAAAGAGAGCGTTCTCGTCTCTAGGCCTTTTTCCTCGACGGTTAGATTACCATTGGACTTGATCAGCGACTTAGATTTAAAATGATCCAGCAATTGCCAATTACTGCTATAACCATCGAGGTTCGTGTCCGCATAAATGCCGCACAGACGTCTACCCGGTTTTTCATGTGGAGTTGGTCCGACCGGCAGCGACCGACCCGCTGCCCTCACAGGTAGTAGAAGATTCCGCGTTGCGACCGGTAGATGGCGAGCAGTGGTTCGAACGACCGCATGGCCGTATCTAAGGGAGCTCCTTGAACGAGGATATGGCTAAAGAAACGACCGTTCGCATAAGGGGGACTCTAAATCATTAATCTGGTGTGCAAGTCTATCAAGCAGGTTGAAATCTCTCTTCTGCCATAGACTGGGGGATTCGAGGTTTTCCGGAGATGCACCTGGCATGAGGACTGGGCGGAGAGGGCGTTGTTGTTTAGCCGATCCTTTTCAATCACTATCCTCTACTTGACTGTGTTTAACCCAGCGGCTTTTCACTGTTTTCACCGGATTTTGCGCCCTCTGTCTTGGACCCTCGAATAAAGTTTAATTGCTGTTCACCACCTGCCATTATCTTTGTCTCCATTTCGCGTTAAACTCGCAATTACAAGGAAGTGTGATTCATTCAATCAACCAACACAGTAATAAAGACCGTTAGCTGATTGAATATTGTATCACCCATAATGGGCATCCCTCATCAACCGCATGTTGGGCCTCACAAACGATGGATGTGGCAGTAAAACCGCACCATCTGAGCTCTGCAAGACTGCAGAAACGCACGGGCGCTCCTGCCATGCTAGTTCTGCACGATCGAAGTATTACCCGGCTAGTGCCCCCACTCTGTACTAGCCCCTCCCCCCCCCCCCCCCCCTCTGTTGAAGACGGACAAGAGAGACCTCGATGCTTGTGTACTACACCTTCAAAACACCTCTTAAGTAATTAACCATACATGACGCTACAACTAAGGGCCTAAGTCTGCGCCTAAGGCACTTCATTGTATGTATGTGGCCTGCATGTAGACCGAAGATTGAATCTGCAGAAGATCTCGGGCCCTCCACACGATGCAAGTTAATGCAGATCTCCTGTTTGTTCCGTCACCCCGATCATTGTGTTTGCGGGACAGCTACCTACACAGCTGATCATATCGCCTAAAAATTACTTGTCTAAATCCTCAAGTGGCGGTGTACTAATATGGAGGGGCTGCATGGCACTAAAAGAATGCAGCTTTCAGAATCTGACATTGAGCGCAGCATGCTTTCGTTCTTAAAAATGCAAGATCTTACATCCTATGACGCCAGGGTCGCAGATAGATTGACCCACGTAAGTCGACTACCCGAGTCATTGTTCTTCTGAAGGTAGCCTTTTGCGAGTTTCGTTTCAACAGGCAAGGATATTTGCGGTTGCTTGATTACGCATCCGACCGGTCCCTTCATGCCTCCCGGCAAGGGAACGGTGTGATAAAATGAGTAATTGGATTGGCGCACGACACCTCAATGCTGCATATTCATGATTGATGACGTGAATGTTACACTAAGGTAATTAATGCAATGCACGGTGAGATGGCAACCTTGGAAGTGGATCATAGAGAAGTAAGCGGTAACTAGTACCCGAGCAAGGTACTGTAATACATGATGGGCATAAGTGTATATAGCCATTGATCCGTCTATAGCAAGATACGTGGATTCTGTGTGTAGCTTTTATAGATCAATTAAGGGCTATAAATTCGTGCTACAATAACAACATCATGGCCTTGCGGTTGGTCCAGGACTTGCTGCAACGTTGCGACCCATCTTATGGCATTGGCACTGTGACTTCTAGTGTGTGGGACACTGCCTGGGTTTCAATGCTACGTTCTAAAGATGGAAAATCATGGGCATTTCCCGAATGCTTTGAGTATCTGGTGAAATCTCAAGCTTCTAATGGAGGGTGGGGCAATCCATTCAGAGACATTGAGCAGATCTGCTGCTCCTTGGTAGCCATATTGGCAATTAAAACTCGATTGAATACCCTATGCGAATACTCTGAGGAGCAGTGGCTTGAGATTGATCTTCGTTGCAGCCGCGCAATCCAGTTCGTCAAAGATAATCTACCATCATGGAGCATCGATAATACAGATGACACCTTGCCTGTTGGTCTGGAGCTGTACCTCCCGGTTCTTCTGCTGCAACTGGAGAGATACGGTGTTAGTTTCAATGTCCCTGGAATCGAGCGTGTCAATAAAATGCGCGAAATGAAATTGCGTAAGATCCCAGCTGAAGCTTTGTACGGCGAGTCCAAACTGGCCGGGGCTTACTCGCTGGAGGGTTTCATTGGACACGTCGACTTTGATCAGATCAACCACCAGAAAGGGCTTGGCTCATTGTGTGCTTCGCCTGCTTCAACGGCAGTGTACCTGATGTATCGTTCTTCGTGGGATGATGATGCTGAGGCATATCTACGCCATATCGTCAATCTTAGCATCAATCAAGAGGGACGCGGTATTCCAGACTTTTACCCATCGACGACATTTGAAACTTCGTGGGTTGTGTCAACCTTGCTTGAGTCTGGATTCTGTCCGAACGATTTCAGCCTCGATTGCAGAGAGAAAGTCATCACAATGCTTCAAAGTGAGCTAAAAGAACAAGATGGGGTTACTGGATGGTGTAAGTCTGTCTTGCGCTCTAAGGCTACGGAATGTATCACTAATATCAATTTCAGCGAGAGGGTTACTACCAGACCCAGACGATACGGCAAAAACGTTATCTACACTATATCTTTTGGGAGCTCCGCATTCCCCGGATGCTTTATTAAGAACATACGAGGGCAAAGACCATTTCTTCACATACCCTCAGGAGCGGAACCCCAGTGTGAGTGTCAATGCTAATGTGCTCATGTGCTTGCTCCATCTGTCTCAAGGAGCGGACTATAGCATAGCAATTGAAAAGTGTGTGCGCTTCCTTTGTGGCAGGTGGTGGGACGGACAGTTGCAGGACAAATGGGTATGTGCGATCGACTTTTGCATGTTGCGGTAGCTGACGTTGGTAGAACCTGTCAATGTTCTACACTATGATGTTGATCACCCGTTCCTTTTCCCACTACCTGATCAAGCTAGATGAAGGTCATGTCAAGCCTCTACCTAATGACCTTCTACACCACCGTCTACCAGCTGTCCTGGTTCAGGCGATGAGTCGAGTTCTTCTCATGCAATGCCCAGATGGCTCCTGGGGGCCGCACCAATCCAAGGAAGAGACCGCCTACGCTGTGCTTCTCCTTCAGGATGTTTGTTCACTACCATTTACTAAGCAATTCCGAGTGGTGTGTGAAGACGCTATCAAACGTGCCCGTGATTTCCTACGTTTGCGGCCAGAGCTGCCATACAGCAATCATTTGTGGAACGCGAAGATTACCTGCTACATTCCAACCATCAGTAAAGCCTATATACTGAGCGCCTTGAATGGAATGGCCTACCATGAGTTTAGTGACACTATTGAATCACTTTTCGTGCTCCAGCCTGAGGTGGTAGCTAAGCAGGTCGCCCTTTACGCAAAACTGCCTTCTTTCGCATCGGTCCCGCGATGGATGCTCGAGGCCTCGGCAATAGAGGCCCAATTCTTTTCTCAGAAGATGCCAGACATCAACATACTAGATCAGAAGCTTGCACTTGATTCTGCTTACCACTTCAATCTTGCACTTTCCCTGTTGGCCGTCAGCAATCGTGACAAGCTCTTTCTGCATCTCGGACCTGGCTTTCTGGAGAATATTGCCGACTTTTTTTGTTATTCTCACGCACATTGATTGCCACGCTGAAAATGAGATTCAAAAGAAGGGGCATGCCGCCTTCGTGGAATACGAGAAAATCGTCCATGGAGCTTTTAGCGAAATCGCCGTCGAATACCCCCACCTCGTTGCTGATACGCGAAACGGCATTCCTCCTCCGAGTTCTTCAATTTCACAGGCACCCCTTGATGGCGTTGGTTTGAATGAAGCAATTGGTTATTGCACTTCTTGGATGTTGGAAAATCCTGTCGTGAAACGAGCAAGTCTGTACGATCGGACTAGCCTACTCGTGGAAGCCCGACATGTGTGGCTGAGCAACATGTTCCAAATGCACTACAGCCACACGTTCCACGTCACCTGCCACGCAACATCCGACAACTTCGCGGCAGTAGGCTATCGGTTTCACCGCTGGGCTCATGGAATCGGAGCTGACAGCTCATTTGCCCCTGTGCTCCTCGCTTTTATCATCTGCTTGGTGAGCACCGGCGGAGAGGATGTGTTTCCTACCGCCATCGGGAAGTACCTCGTGCAGGACTGGGCGCGACGGACAGCGGTCGAATCAAGGCTGCGAAACGACTTTCCTACGTGGGAGAAAGATCGCCAGAACAGTAACATCAACTCTCTTGACTTCCTGGAGTTCCACAACGAGAGGATAACCAGCCGCCGGGTCGATGCGGCAAAGGAACAGCTGGGCCAGGTCATCAAATTTGAACATGATATGGCTGATAGATGTTGGCAGAAACTGCGGGATGTTGCTGAACCGCGATCGGCAAAGGTTATGGCTGGTCTTTGCTTTTATCGCGCTGTGACGGAAGCCCACCTGGATCTATATGCACTGCGTGATCCTTATCAGAGTTACAAAGCTGATCCAAGTAAAGCATAATGTTGCAACGAATTGCGAAAATATATGAATGAACGCCATTCTTGAAAAATGACAGCGGGAGCATCCAGCTGTATCATTATCAAGTCAAGGCAGATAATTCACCTTGTATGGACCAGCTAGCTAGTAACGTCTTTTAGTTAGCTTCCTAATGGGGAAGTGGATCCGCACCTATACAGTGATATCGCTCAAACCCTTGCCTGGTAATCAACTTCAATGAAAGGATACTTAGATCGAACCTTTGGTATAGTTTGTAGGGTAATAAAGTTCAGCTCAGTATATGAATGATACCTAGATAATACATGAATAGACCAATCATAGTTGTAAATGTTTATGCATCAAATCCAAAGGATATCCAGACCAGCAAGACAAAGGAGATATACAGAAATAATTCATGCAGTTAAAGTCAAACATGGCGAGCTAATATCTCAGATATAGCTGACCTTCACACCCATTCCAACGGTGCCTTTCACTTTCTGCCATGCAGAGCCCGTTACCCTGCGGACTCGTTCACGGATATCCTGCCGACTAAACGCCATCAGAATACCCAGCAGGAAGAGCAATGTGCGAGCTAATGACATGGGGTTTCCAGAGATGTTCAGGATCAAATTCTTGAACAAATTGCGGATGCCCAGAGCCACTGCCCGTGCCTGGCTAGTCCGAGGCTCTGGCTTAACGGGTTTCTTAGAATTCTTAGAGCTTGATGATGATAGAGCCGTGCGTGGTGTTGCTTTTCCATTAGGCGACTTGTCTGCCGATCTGGATGCTTTACCCTTGGAACCACTGCGCGGGCTGCCTTTCTCAATGCCATAGTCCACCTCGCTGGTATTCCGCTTGTGGCCATTCGGTTGTTGTTGGTGGGCAGCAGCAGATGCCTCCTCCTCGGCTCTCTGGCGCTCTTCATCCCGTTGTCGCTCGAGCTCGGCGTCTTTGGCACGCTGCAACTCCGCAGCGCGCAATTCGCCTCGCTCTTTCTCTTCCTTCAAGCCCTCCAAAGTTTGTAGAAAAAGTTCTTTGCGTTCTTCATCTAGGACCTCGCTTAGATTGATGAACTCATGAGCGTATTCCCATTCCTCATTGCGGGGAAGGACGTGTAATGTGAATAATTCAATAATTCGTACTCGAGCCGCCAGGTCTTTCGGTGTATCTGCTCCACTAGTCGCGGAAATTCGTTGTTGCTGGAAGTCGCCGGACGCATTCTGTAGTCGGTCTGCTAGGTCTAGATTGGGTTGTCCGTAGGATGACAGGTAGGTTTCAAGTCGTTGTTGGTTGAGCGATTGCGAGGATGAGTGATTCAAGATTAATGTCGCACTTTACAGATAGCGAAGTGTTAGCGGCGATTTACAATCTCTCCGCGGAGAACAAGACGGCCACTTACAGAACGTAGACTACCTCGGCGTCCACGGAGCCCTCCCGGCCTCGGTATCCAATTTGTACCACGTCCTCCCAGATTCCGCCCTCGCGGACTTGTGTTGCCATTTGCTTCCATTCTTTCTGTCCGAATTGATTCTTGCCTTCTTCTGGGCCAAGTTCTACGATCGCGCTCAGGAGTGTAATGTAGAAGTTCCACACCTTGATCCTCCACGTGCTAGAGGCGTTCGCGATCGGCGCGACCGCAGCGGAGTGGTCGCCATTGGTTTGCGAGTCTTCAGGGGTTGGAACCGTTAGAATAGGCCGGAGATTTGCAAGAGACTCCGGCAGACGTCGTGTTAAGAACAGCTGGGAAGCTGTCTTGTAAGTACGGGAGCAGAGCTTCGTGGGGGAAGTGGCGGTGGAGGAGACTTGGGTGTGGGATGACATGCTGTCAGTCATTGCGCGAGATCATAAGTAAGAATCAATTGGAGTTGTAAGGTGAAAGAAGAGAAAGAGAGGGTCCATGGAGATTCCAAGTCGGGGACGGCAATGGCGTCGATCGGCTTTCGTTTTCCCTCGGCTCGTCGAAGTCCGGGGTCAGTCACGTGGTCTATACGACCCTACATATTAAACATGTGTTCGGACGAATTATATACTGATGGACCTGCGGATAAAGGGAAAGAGAGATAGAAGCCATTTTATTACTTAACATAAGCCTGGGAATGCGTCTATTCACTTACGTATCACGACCTCACATTGTCCTCAGTTATTATCTTCACTGAAAGATATTAGGTGCGGAACTATTATATCTTATAAATCGTCATGGAGATGTTCATTTGACAACACATCCTTAATAAGACTCTAATTTCACGATTTGAGAGTAAAGCAATTCTATTCCCTCTGCTAGTCCTGTTGAGATCCAGTCTGAAAGTGCTTCTCTTCCTTTCTTTTACTATCTCTTCGCTTTGCTCCGACTTCCGCTTTCTCCACGTCCTCTTCGTTTTTGGCAACGCAACGAACGACATGGAGGTGACTGCGGGAAATTTTGCTGCTTTGCTACCATGGATCCTCTACCAGATTTCTTGCAGCAAGTTTGTTGCTATTGACTTGGAGTTCTCCGGCATTGCGATTGCCCCAAGCTCCCAGGCCCAGAAAGACCAATCCCTCCAGGAACGATATACAGACGTCAAGGCTGCGGCCGAGAGATACCAGATTCTTCAGATCGGTCTGACAATATGTCAGGAAGATAGTGCCACTGGTCTGTACATTAGAGGATATATGCGGACAATATGTTGGTGCTTAGCTAACGAATGAATACAGGCACCTACAAGATGACGCCTTACAACATCAACCTGAGCCCATTTGTGGACCGGGCATTGGACGTTAACCGTGACTGGACCTTTATGAGCTGGTGTAAGTTGTTCCTGGGTAATTCAAGGTTTCCAAGTGTCGGATAAAGGTTGCTAATGATTCATAGCCATGGAATTCCTAATGAATCACCAATTCAGTATGGAGATTTTGTGCAAGTACGGTGTGCGGTATCTCTCTCGAGATGAGGAGGCCCAATGCTTGATCATAGCGAGCCAGAGATACAATCGCACGAGCGCAATTTCTGCAGTCGATGTGAAGGCAGCGGACAAGGAGACAATCGATTTTCTCCAAGCTGCGCGTCGAATGATCAACTGGTGGCTTGCCCAGAGTGATGTATGCTTCCCATCTTCCCATATATGCCCAATCATCTAATGTTTGCCATAGACAAAGCGCAGCGAATACCTCAACATCCCACCACACAGCAAACACAAGGTCCTCAAGGCCTTATGTCCAGTCCTCCCTGAGACCTTGAATAACATGGAGAAACGACTTGTACATCAGCTTATCACCGCTGAGTATCCAAAGCTCAAGTCGAGAAGCCGGCCCATGTTCGTCCAAATTGAGGTCGCCGATCCTGTCAAGGACAAGGACATGAATGAAGGAAAGACAAACTCCCTAAAGACGTTGATCCGCGGACACGTGGGATGCCGGTGGATTGTCGAGGCACTCATCGGAGGAGACCTGTCAGAGCTCCCTGACAAGACCTTTAGTTCATTCATAAGGCAAGTAGGAACACCGCTGTTCGCAGAGGCAGACCTTGCCAATAATTTGCGGAAGCACCTCCAAGAGAACCGGCCAGTCCTGGTCGGGCACAACTGCTTCATGGATCTGGCCTTCCTTTACAGTGGTTTCATCGGACAACTGCCGGATTCCGTGGAGGAATTCCAGACAACTATCCATAGTGTGCTTCCCAATGTTGTTGACACCAAGTACCTTGCAACTCACGATGCGGGTTCTATCAATCCATCTTCTTCCCTGGAGGAGATTAACCGCAAGTTGGTAAAAATATCGGCTCCAAAGATTGGTCTGTATCAAGTAAATCGTGTTGGTTGGAACGAATAGTCTTGCTAAATCTGATTAGAAATTGATTCTATGCACCAGAAGTATATCTTCCGAAGCAGCGCCCATGAAGCCGGTTATGACAGCATGCTAGCTGCGATCGCCTTCATGAAACTGTCAGTCCAGCTCCAAAAGGGTCCGATTCAGTACAGCAGCCCGGGAGACCTGGAAAGCATGAAGATCGGAGTTGCGCGAGAGAAACCTCAAATTCAACAAATGGAGCAACGGATGGTTGAAGATCTGATGATGCAAGAAAAAAAAGCATTGCCGGAAGACACCATTGACTTGATTGAATTCAGTGACAGTGAGAGTACGAAGCCAGTCCAACGAGCTGCTTTAACCGAGGCCAAAATAGGAGAAATTGCACAAAAGGTGCCGGGCGAGGAGTTGGTACCTCAGGTGGATAGCGAGTTCTGGCGCACTTACGGAAACAAATTGCGGGTGTTTGGCACGATCGAGCGGGTTATGCATCTTAACTGAAGGCCTCGAATGCCAGCTTATTTTTAGAGTACAGCAGGAATATATCGATCTTATCAGGATATAGGAGAGGATTGAAATGGATATTTTGCTTTGAATTTTGAGGTCTCAAATAACAAGTTAAGGCAGTGCAGGAGTGTTCGCCGCATCTATCTAACAGTACACCTTGGGATTCAAAGAAGGTACCGCTAGCGAATCAGCCGCGAAATTGGTCTAAGCACCGCTAAATGGACGACTGGCCGTGGGATCTAGACGCAGTGACGATAAGGTAATGGATGCTTGAGGAAAGAAAAGAAGAAATGCAGATTTCGCGAAATTTAACCGCTGTTCTTACGCTAGTCCCAAGTGGGTCTAGCGTAAACGTGACCGGGGGAACTTTTCTCAGTCTCAACATGATCATGAACAGGCCGATCAACTAAGGGGATACTATCATTACCATTCCCATTCACTCCCCGGTGATGGCTACAGGAACTAATGGTGCCCGGCGCATAGCGTCGCTGCTGCGTATGTTCCATTGTCCTCCCAAATCGCATCACTGGTACTGACCAATTCCAGGCCCATCAAGACTCGACTCTGGCGTGTGCCGAAGCTGTCAAGAAACAGTTGGCCGTCGCAATTACGCCACTACTGCGACCGAATCCACATCTGCATCGACCACCCCCTCCACATCCTCCGTGAACCCCGTCTACACCATCAATGCCGGCGTCGTTCTCTCCCGCCCTCCTCAGATCACTCGTGACCTTGAGCCCTTCGAGAAATCATATTACTTCTACCAGAAGCGTCTGAACGAGCGTCTGGCCCTGCCTTTCACCAAATACTTTTACTTCAAGCGCGGTACTCCGCTAGACGAGGACTGGAAGAGGAAGATTAAGGAGCGTCTTACTCCCGCACGCGACATCGGCAAGTACAACGCGTACGCCAATGATGCATGGAACGACGAACTGCTTCTTGGTGCCCAGGAGTCAGAGCCTGAGCACCTGGTTGAGAAGCTGGTGCAGGATGCCGAGTCTACCGCCAATGCGACTTCCCAGGATACCAGCAAGAAGGAGGAGATCCCGCGGCCACACTCTCGTGTGACGGAGGCTGACAAGAAGGGCGATTACAAGAGTCTCAACCGTCTTTTGTCTAGGACTTTGTACTTGCTGGTTCAGTCGAAGGAGGGATACTGGAAGTTCCCCAGCTCCCCGGTGGAAGCTGAGGAGACTATTCGCCAGGTAGGCTTATCCTCTACAGTTTCAAACTCCCCGTAATAACCTCTCTTTTTTCTAGGCTGCCGAGCGTACCCTGGCCCAGTCTGCCGGTGTCAACATGAACACATGGATGGTCGGCTTCCACCCTGCCGGTCATCACGTCTACAACAACCGCAAACCCCACATCGACGAGGCTAATGGCGTCGCTAACTACGGAGAGAAGACCTTCTTCCTCAAGTCCCGCATCATGGCTGGCCAGGCCGATCTGTCTAACAGCTTGCAGAAGTTGCAGGACTTCAAGTGGGTGTCGAAGGACGAGATCTCGCAATTCGTGACACAGAAGTACTACAGCTCCATCAAGAACATGCTGGCTGATCGGTAAAACTCTTAGCTGGAAGATATGATTTGAGCGAGGGCGTGTATTTGTTGGATATGGAAAAAGTGAAGAGACCGAAGGTGTTGGCTCAGAAACCAGCGATTTGTTTCTGGCATAAAGCGTCATTGACGCACTGCATATACTTTCCGCGCATGCCATGTATAACTAGATTTATTTCCTTTCTGTCAATCGAACTCATTTGAAAAGACCTATGTCTCTGTGTATCCAGCTTAATATATCAAAGCAAGAACCCATGAACACAAAAAAGGGGGTGAACATATGATTCTTGCTTTAGCACCCGGGGGCTAATTCTGCAAATATTCAATCAGATCCGACGGGCAACTTGAATCCATCAAGGCTATCATCCAGGGTCTAAGATGACATTAAGAGGGAATAATAACATATATGAAGAACGATGTGATAGACAATCACATCCAGTAAACATTCAGTAGCTAAAAGTAACAGGGTATATGAGAACATCATCTAAACAAACATTATCTCGCCCAATGTGGGCGAAGAATACTCCTCCCGATATCAGCAAATGGAAATTACAAAAGGAAAACCATTAACGAAAATTCACATCCTCCGATATTAGCTATTCCATCCCATACATTTTCTCGTCACAGTTTCCCGAGCAGCCTAAGACTGATGGTGCTGCACGAGCTGTGGTTGCTGCTGCTGTTGTTGGTGAGGCTGCCATGTCTGGAACATCTGGGAGTTATCATAAGGATGCTGCGCTGAAGTCGGAGGTTTATCATGATCTCCACCAAGCTTGAACCAGTTCATAAGACAAAGAAGCAAGCCAGTGAAAATTCCAACAACAAACACAAACGTGAAAACCGACTCGATGATGCTGAGATAGTCTGGACCAGAGGCCACAGTAATGGTAAGGTAGAATCGGATAGCAACGATGCCCCACATCAAGTTGTACCCGAACCAACACAGACTAGCAGCGATAAGGGAGAAGAGAGGCATCTGAAACTGAGTGGTTAGCATTCGTCCAATTGAAATGCATGCGCAGGGTGAGCTTACCCGTGAAGTGAAACGGTGAGTACCAGCCTTCACAGTCACGAAGATGGTCCAAACGAAGATCTCAAATGCCATGACGAAGTATATGATACAGCGGGCGCTGTAAAGCTTGCGCCAGCTGTCGATGATCTTGTATGCGATCGTCCCCTCGACACTTTTGTACTCGACCGCGACGTAGACGGCGAATTCGGCGAGGGATAAGACGGTAACCAGACCAAGTAGGACCCAGTGAATAATTCGTAAAGGCGCATATGGCTTGCCGGAATCGGTGAGGCGGTCCAGGAGCAGGTGGATCGTTTGGTAGAAGACCAGGAAGAGTACACAGCTGGAGACCACGGAGAAGAACTCCAGTAGCATGAAGTCGATTACATAGTACTGCTTCACGACTGCGGATGCTAGCTCCAGGATTTCATAGATTAGGCTCAGGAGTTGGGCGCTAGGGACGGTTAGCTTAGCATTGGGTAGAGTGGATAAAAACAAAACAAAAAAAAAAAGGCATATGGTTGTGAGGAACGTACCATATCCACAGCACAAGTACGGTTATAACACCCTTGAGAGGCTGGCTCGAGGGCCGGATAGTACATGCCCAGGCGAGAAAGGAACTCAATGCGAGGAAGGTGAGGCAGTCGAAGGCAAAGGTAGCGAAAAAGATTTTTTCGAAAGAGCGTGTGAACCATCTATAGTCTAAAGCGATTGTTTCATCCCAGGGATTGTCATTCTCGTAGTAGTTGTAATAAGAGGACATTATGAAAGGCAGAAAGAAGGATAGAGTGACGAGGAAATTCACCAAAAATCCTGGCGACTCTGTCTCATTATAGGGTTTTTAAGGGTCTTTGATTTAGTCACAAGCTGAGGCTCTTGAACCCTGCCGAGCCTTGTTTGGCCCCAAACACGAGGCTCGGGCGGACGTCGGCTCATCTTCATTGGTCGGGATGTTTTTAGGGCGTCAAGGATACGGGGGCTTCTTGGCATGTTGAATACCCCTTTTTGGCCCCATGAAGCCCTTTTTTTTAGGGCATTACCCCAGAATTTGGGCAGTGGATTACATTTCGGCTACACCTACAGAGTATATCAGCGAAGCGTGGAAGGACAGAAAGATAACTGAATTTGAGATTATAATGAAGTATAAATTGAAGATAAGCCTAAAGTCAAGGAGAAAAGTTGGGCAAAACAAAGTTGAGTCACCTGGTGCAGTTGCCAGCACACGGCAGGTGCCAGGAACTATAATTAGACCCGCAACTCTTCAACTTTTCTACTTTGCATGGGAACTTTGCATGGGGATCAGCACTCTTTTATGGTCGGACTAAGAGAGCACGGCAAGTCCGTCAAACTCGAAGTACCTCGATTCCCTTCTCAGCCTCGTGCAGACAGTGGAGAGTCAAACTGTGGCTGAGTCGCACCACCGCCACCAAAACCACCTGCAGCTGAGAAATGATTCCAAGCTGTCAGATCCGACCAAGGAAGATCCTAGAGCTCCTTCTCAGCTCGATCTCAATGTGTTCGTGCTAAAATCCGATCGTCGAATAGATCCGAAAGTTAATTGGGCTCGGTAAGTGGTCGCACATGTGGTTCGATCCATCTGTCCTTCAGCTGCCCCATATGCACGTCTACAACGTACTCGTCGGGTCAAAAAGTCTGGTTTTTTTTCCTTTTGATCTCCATCACGACGTGGTTGATTCATTGATTCCAATGCACGGTGACCCGCCACTTGCAAACTGGCCCACAGTGCATCGTGCTGGAAGCGAACGCGCTTTGCGAAGGCGACCCAAAGGACGCAGAGAGGGGAACATTTCCAGTCTCTTGGGACAGGAGGTTATTTCCCCGTGTGTTATAGGAGTTAGTGACTTTGGCTCCCCTGAGTCGCGTTCCAGGGGGCAAAAAGACGAATCAATATAAATAGTTTCCTGCGTCCTTTTCCCTTTCTCCAGTCTCTCGGGAACTTTTCGATTGTCTCACGTTGTTTTTTCTTTTTTTTTTTTTCTTGATTTACTCTTTTTTTCTTTTTGGTGTCGTACTCCCTGCAAACCGCATTCGGCAGCATCCGCAGAATCCGCTCTTCTCAGCATCATAATACAACAATTCCCCACTATTACGGCTTCATTTTTATCATATCACATTTTTATTTGAATCCTCGCTGCCTAGTCACTTTAGCGGATTATCAGATGAAACAAAAGCTGTGACCCAATCCCCCTGCTGTCGCAACGCTCGCTTATCCGCTCAGCACAGACATCAAAGTTCAATTGGACTTTGTGCTCCGAGCAGTCCCGTTGACTCGAAAGACACAAAATCAGAAAATATCTGCGACACATTGTCTGTCAACTTACTTCAATCCAGTCTTCACAGAAAATAGACGGAGAGGGAGACCGATACTTTCCCAGACGACTACACACTTGGTACAAAACAACGAGAGAACTATACGTCAAAATGCCTCCAGATGGCACCTCATTTACGGCCCTAAACCTCCCACCAACATTCTCTCTTCCCCAGTGCATGGAATACTTCACCTTGACAGCGGGCCCGAATACCGATCTATGGCGCAAACCACCAAACGGCGATACATCAACCGCCCCGATAGTCTTCACCTCACTCCGCCACCCATTCGTTGTAGCTGAGGTGACCGTGAGCGCAGACTGGGAAATGGAATGGGATCAAGGAGGCCTAGTGATTTTCGCCGGAGCTGCACCGCAATCTTTCTCCTCAGATGCAACCCCGGTACTAGCCGCGACTACGAACAGTGGCCGCGTTGGCATAGGCGCCACCCAACCGCCCTGCAAGTGGGTCAAAGCCGGCATGGAATTCTCCTCGGGGACCGTCAATGCTTCGTCCGTCAGTGCGACGGCAGACGGGGCAGATTGGTGTCTTTCACCGCTACTCCATTCACCGCAGGGACCTCCGCCTAGTTCGCTGCGCATTAAGTTAGAGCGGGTTGGGTATGCGCTGTGGATCTGGTATCAGGTTCCTTCAATGTCGCCGTATGCTTTATCGCCTGGTGCGGTAGGCAGTACATGGAAGAAGCTGCGGGAAGTGACGTGGTTTTTTTACGGCGTTGAGGATAAGTTCGTGCATGTCGGGGTTTATGCTAGTCGGCCGACGAGTATTGGACGTGGGCAGACTATGTGGGATGCTATGCATGGGATGACTTTGGATAATTCGTCGTCGTCTGGACCGGCTGATGGTTTAGTTGTGGAGTTTGAAGATTTGGAGATCTTCTAGTTCATACCATGGTGATTTTTTTCTTGTTTCTTTCTTCTTCCCCTTGAGCTGCTCATGTTTTTTTTCTTCATTTCGGTCTGGAGAGCTTTTGTAATCTCTTTAGCTTTGATACCTTTGGCCCTGCGTTTCAGCAAGCGAGTCTGGCATGATTGGAGTCGATTTGTTTATGTGACTGATTCAGTTCCCCACCTAATGTGTTCTTGTTGATACATCTTTATTATACACAATTATTTTGCAAATCTTTCTTTGAAAGGGCGACAAGACTGTGGATTGTCTTTTAAGCTCAAAGTAGCAAGAAAAATAGCTTGAATAATCTCGAGTATATTTTCTGGTTCTTTTCACCAGTTGGCGCCTCGCATGGGCAGAAATAACAAAAACAACATGGAATTCGGTCTAATTGTTACTGTCTATTGTCATTTGAGCAAACTGTATCCTGCGTCATTGGTCTATCGTAAATATCCGCATAGAAGAAACATGTCGATCACAAGTACAAACTTTAATGGAATTTCCTCCAGCAAAGTTTCATCCCCAATTATCTATCAGGTATCTCAGCTCCCAAATTGATGTACATTTTGTTGAGCAATGTAGCGGTAACCCGGTTCTCAAGTAAGAATCCATGGTCTCTATTCAGGCTAAATCTGCGTCCACGGCACGTGTCACTGAGTTTAAGCGCGACGCAACTGCCGCTGGCCCTACCCTGCAGACAATGCAGGTGGCTATGCTCGCTAGGATGAATCTGTCACTACCATTGTGGAGCTCCTTGTTCATGGTTCCTCAATTTTCCATGGTGGGATTCGAAACCTGGAATAGGTAGTCTGATCATCGACTCACGTCCAGTCACATGACGCGACGTGAACAGACAGCGGTCACAAATCAGGATTGCGCGATGCTACTTCCTGAAAAGAATGTGACCTTTAAACCCATATTGACCCCTTTATGCATTAAGGCTAACCTGGGATGCTCGGAAATAATTGAAATAAAACGCTCAAAGACAAGGGGCAAATCTAGCAATGGGACAAAGCCTCCACAATGATCGCGTGCATTGTTGCATCCATTCTCTTACTCAGAGTTTAATTCGAGGTTAAGGAATGCCTGGACATTGAGCATGCAGACTCGGGTTTATTTTCCTATTGGACTCAAGAGATTGCTGGAACCGCGAACGTGCCCAAGTGAAAGTTCAAGTTACCTAGGGTTAGGTGTGGGAATATATCTATATCGGGTCATGCCTTAATTGAACAACCTTGGAACACAACATGATTAGATAGTCGAGAACAATAATTCATTGAAAACAGAGACAACAATGACCCGCGAAGATTCATAGCAGCAGTAATCTGACAAGTATTCAGATAAATCAAACAATTCCCGATCCAATATCAAACCCCAAGCTGAAGATTTTCGGGATCGATCGCAAACACAGCGACGGCAATGATAAGCCACAGTGTTATCCTAGACACCATCGCCACCACTTAGCCGCTGATATTCTCGAATGTTACTAATCTGACTTTATCTTCTTCAGCCATCAACTTAAAATTAATATTTCCGGTCTTTCATGAAGTTCGATCGTTGATGTCACTAGGCTGAGTCATCCGGGCCAGGGCGGGAACATGTTTCCCGAGGTCCCGGCGCTAGTGCGAGTTTTACGTTGGGGACTGGGGAGACCTCAAGCTCAGGACAAGAGCCCCAACGCGAATAGAGAGTAGACTAAGTAGTTAAATAGATTGCATCTGGTGAATCGAATAGACAGAGAAAGCATTGACCATCAATTGGTCATGGTTGTAGAATGGCGGACTGAGTCTTGACACGTAGCACCTGGCAACCCCGGAAGCATCAAATCGGAAGAAAGGGGGTCTAGCCAGAGCTTTCAGATGATAGCTGTCCAGCTAGGAGCTGTGAGACTGTCAAAGAGCTTAAGTGGACAGAGTAGTTCGTGGTTTTTACTGCTTAATTGGAAGCTACTGGGCGCGTTGGAACAGATATGGAGGAAGGATTGCCAGAATCCAGAAATTAATGGAGACAAAGAATTTGATACGGCCGGAGGACTCAACACACAGAGTTTTGGTTTGGCTCGTTGGAAGTTGGGATGGGTGGGCCATATAGACTCTATATGTACAGAAAGAAATAGGTGTTGTAGATGACGCTGAAAAGTAGTACATGGTAATACATCACGACCAAATACCCTCCCCGGCTGACAGAAGAAAAAGGGGATGAACAAAAGCAAGGAAATTCTTTGAAGATATTTCATCGGTCATGTTTCCTTTTTTTCTTCGTTCCTCAAGCCTCTCGATCAAACGCTTAGACGTACTTGCACATCATAGCAACCATCAGGTCGAACAGACCCATGGCCTCGACGAAAGCGAAACCCAGAATGGCGTAGGAGAAGAGCTGGCCACGGAGAGCAGGGTTGCGGGAAACACTCATGAGGAGAGCGGCGAAGACGAGACCGATACCGATACCGGCACCACCGAGACCGATGGCAGCGGAACCCATACCAATGTTCTTGGAGACCTCAACCATGGCGGAGGCGACCTCAGAGGAGTACTGGCGGCGGCCGGCGTTCTGGAAGGCGGCGCGGGCGTTGGCCTGGAGGAGAGTGGGAGAGGCGACGCGCTTGGGGGCAGCGAAGGAGGTGGCGGTAGCCTTCTGGGTGAAGGTACGCTTGGTGGCAGCGTTGAGGTTGACGCGGGCAGCAGGGCGAGCGACCTTGGAGGACTGGGCCATGGCGGTAGCCAGGCGCTGGGTGAAGACACGGGAGGCCATTGTGATGATTTTGCGTTTTTTCACGGGAGGGAAAAAAGAGAGGAGTTGGGGATTGGTATATGGGGGGATGGACTCTTTTCAGGGAGAAAAAGCTGGGAAACTACGGAAGAAGGTCGGACCAGGACATAAATACTCTACGGCCAAATTTTCGCCCGTCCGCCTCCCAGTCGAGGCTAGTGCGTCTCCGTGAAAAAAAAGCCCTACTCTGTGCGGACGCCGGAGTATTACATTCGCAATTCCCCTGTATGAGGAATGCTGGGGGTGTGTTTTGAGGCTGTTTTTCAATTTCTTACCATGTATACCAGGTATTATTGACTTCTATGTCGGGTTCGCTCGGAGTTGATTGGGGTCCACTGGTAATGCAAAGTTTCCATCGGAATGGAGCTTTCAAAATTACACCTATTTCCCTCTCCCCTGCATAAAAACCTATATGGTTTCATATGTGTCAATTGAGACCTATAGACACACATGATTTTACCTATGCATAGGTTTCTGAAGGGGAAGGGAAAGGAGGTTGGGGGAGACCAGACTACAGTACAGGAGCTCAATTTTTTCTCCCTTCCCTGCAGTGGATCATCAGTATGTTCCAACTAAGTGGGTCCAGATCCACCGACCCACATTCATCAGCCTATTATAATGCACTCGGGTTCCACGAACCCAAGGTTATGATTCTGGATTGATTCCCGGCGTCGCCCAAACCGGGCCGAGTCGGATTCCAGGTCCACCAACTACAGATTCACTGGGCCAACCGGCCCACCCGCGGGACCACTTGGTCGGCTGAAAGGAGGATGCAAGTGGGCTCTTTCCCTCCCTTTCCTCGGAAACACACACACCGAGTGGTCTTTTTAGAAACACGTAATTTTGAGAAACCGGATCCGGCGCCCCGATGCCGTTTTTTATCTGTATTTTATTAATTTTCTTTTACTTTCTGCTGGATGCGGTCCATCCGGACATCATCTAGCATGAAACCTGCAGATGGGATCGAGGTGGCTTTTATATGCGTATCCCAACGATAAGGGGTGGAAAAATAAATTTCATGAAATTTAATTTAAATCAAAAAAGAAAAAAAGAAAAATTACGAGTTGTTTGTTGTTCTCGCTTCGGCCTCCACTATGGATTCCCGACCCGCCAGGACCCGATTATCACGCTCAACAGGCGCAAGCTGGCTCTTCCGGTTCGCTCCAACATGGGAACCGCCTTGATACTGGCCCCCCAGTGTTGAACTGCGGTACCTAATCTTCCTAAATATACCCTTCTAGAGCCACCGGAGTGGCTGTTATACCCCCCCTTAGCCTACACACGGGAGTTCCGGAGGCTCTGCGAAATTCCGTAGGAAAGACTGATCCGGCTGCAGCTCGGCTGATCGCAGGCGCTGAGCTTGGCGGACCCACACAAGCTTGATTCAGGGTCATTCCGGACGTATTAAATAACCCTTGCAGCTGCACCATACGAGACACGTAGGCTGAATATCGTTTTATACGCCGATATTCTAGGGACGGAGTACTGGGCTTGCGATTCTCCAGACGACTGAAGCTATATATACCTCCAAGTTGGATACATGATATTGCGGGAGGCTGATCCAGGGGCTGACTTCGGGTATTTTAGGGTACGCGGGAACGCGTAATACCGGATACGATACCTCGATTTGACTCGTCGATAGAGGCATCATGGATGACCCGCCGTGAGGTCATGGGAATGGAATTCCTTGGCAAGGACAGCTGGCATTCACTGATAACCGCTGCACATAATCTAGTAGGCCAAACTCTGTAGGGGGTGAGATGAACCAGGTTCTCTATCGAACGGGAGAAAGTATCCTCAGTTATGTCGTAGTCTATGGATGCTGAGAAGATATCATGCTCACAACCGTATCCTCCGACGCCGGAGCTTATCCATTTCATCCCCTATCCAACGAAAGTTGGTGACGACGGAATCCACTTGATGGGGGTGTGGATCTCTCAGTCGCCCCGTCTTCACAATACAGGGTAGATGTATCAGCGCTGTTTACTGGTATCAGTCGCGCTGAATTTCACAAGACACACTGGCGGCAGAACGGCACTGTGTCAGGTAATTTCAACCCAGATAAACATGCCTTCGTTGTTGGGGCATCTGTTTCTTTGGAAACGAAGCTCATTGTCTTCCAGAATGGAGCTGCCGGCCTGCCCGATTAAGACGAATCATATTAGGGTTGGTTGTCGAGGGCTTGACAGATCTCAGGTATGCTGGGAGAGACATGCAGGACTCGAATAAACCCCCTGTAGACATGGTATGGATAGGCATGCTCCAATGCACAGTAACAATACATGCCTAAGGACACCTGGGGTTTGTTTTTGGTTTGTTCAGGGCGTTGGGATCCATTCGTCTCGGGCAGCTCCCGTGCCCTACTTTGAAAGCCACAACGGGGAATTCGTCTTTCCATATAAGCAACGAGCTAGCTCCGTTGCAGTAGCCACAACTCTGGAGTTCAGCTTTCCCCAGATCTCTTCCTTTCGATCTGATCCACTCTTTTAGACTCAACGGGCATAGCGTGTTTGAAAGGCTATTTTGAGTGTGAGCCTGCCTACATTATTAAAAATTGTTCTGATGACGCCCAAAGTCCACTTACGACTGGGCAATCACTAGGCAGTACCCGTCCGACCTACCCCTCGATGTATGGTCTGCGGTTACTTGCCCCTGTCCAGCCTCGAGGCCATCATATCAGATGCATCCATAACCGAAAGGCATAATTTTGACCATTCGCACAATGAAGTGAATTTTGATATTTTTGCACTCTGCAACTGATTCCACCAGTAGCTGTCTCTTTGTCGCCCAGAAAACCCAGCTCGATTTGATAAATCTAAGCCCGTGGTTTGATCACCAGCCACAAGCATAGCTTCACATCGCTGTCAAGTCAGTGAAAACTTCATCGACATATGCTCGAGGAACAAGATATCTTCCCTTCCTAAATTAGTGTGGATCTCTTGGCATACAGCACTTTCACTGCCAACCGCGCACTTGGTATTTCGTCCTATCCACGTCAGCGATCTTGTACCCGGTGACACAATATCCGCCACTTTATTCCGGGCAGCGGCAGTAATGTCTGGCCCAAGTATTGATTCAGGGTGAAGAGCGAGACCAAGGGATCCGAGGTCATATCTGAGGATGATCAATACCAAATTCTCTGACCCGGCAGCGGAGTTGAATGGACAACGCTGGCAAGCAAGTGCACCTTGAACGACCCTTGAGGCCTACAAGACCACATCGAAGACAAAGCGTGCATTCAAAATTGATGCAACGTCTTGAAATGCTCATTGACGAGCATGGTGGTGCATCACCTATCCTGCCTGACCAGAATGTTTGTTGATTGCCAGATCACCTGCCGGTAAGCCAGTAGGCCTACTATACAGATAGACCCAGTGGCATGGATTGGTTTAGCAATGTGACTGGACCGAACTTAGTACCCTCGTCAGCACTGGTCCTTGTTGAATCTTGGCTTCATTGTAAGAAGGTATCGCTGGTAGAATTTGTCGCTTACAGACTCGCAGTGTTGTACAGATTGAAACCCCGGAAACCAATTGAAATCCAAATTGGACACAATTCGAACTCCAAACCCTGACGCGGGGAAGAGGGGCATCCCCCGCGATCGGATAATGCCAAGTATCCGACTTGCATAACCCATGTTGATCCAGTGACTCCGATCTCGCTTCGACAAAAGACCGCAAAAGTACTCTTATTACTCTCATCATCTCCAACAACCGGCAACCAAAAAAGCCACCCTCAACATGTCCAAGGTTCCTTACCCCTTCCAATTCGACACCACGGCCAACCCCGCAGGACCACCAGATGGAACCAACACAAACATCGAAATTAGCATCCCAAATGCCCGCGGACGTATCCCCTCTTTACAAGCTTCTCGCCTCAGAACAATGTTCCTAGAAGCCCGCACCGATCCAAACAAGATCATCGCGCACGCATGCACATACGACGGCCTGTCCTCGCGTCTCGTCGAAGAAGCCGGGTTCCCCATGGTCTTTCTATCGGGATACGCAGTCGCCAGTACACACGGGCTCCCAGATACGGGGTATACCGCCATGGCAGAGATGTGCGACAAAATCCAAGAAAGCTTCCGACAGGTTTCTGTGCCGATCATGGCGGACGGGGATACAGGGTATGGAAGCCCGATGAACGTGAAGCGAACGGTTGAGTGCTTCGCAGCTGCTGGTGCAGCGGGCGTGATGATCGAAGACCAGCAGTGGCCAAAACGTAGGATACTAGTCTCAACTGAATCTTCGCATGTCAATCTACCCGAAAAGCTAACCATGTCTAGGGTGCGGCCACACAAAAGGAAAGAGCGTCGTCTCTCGCGAGGAAGCATATGCCCGCATGCAAGCTGCCTGTGACGCACGGAACGAAGGCCGAGATATTTTCATTCTTGCACGCACTGATGCCCTGATGCACGGGTGGGATGAAGCAATGGCGCGCGCACAGGAATTCAAGCGTATTGGCGCGGATGCGATTTTTGTGGAAGCGCTTCCTGATAGGGCTGCGATGAAGCGTGCCGTGGAGGAATTGGATATTCCCGTTCTGGCGAATATTATTGAAGGAGGAAAGACGGAAAACCTGTCGGCTAAGGAGCTTGCGGAGCTCGGCTTCAGTGCTGTGGCTTATCCTTGGACTTTGGTCGCTGCACACCTTAAGGGTATTCGGGATGCTTTGGATAATTTGAAAAAGAGTATGACTGTTGGTGCGCCGCCTATGATTTTGTCATATGATGAGGTCTGTGAGGGGGTTGGGTTCAACAAGTACTGGGTAAGTTTGCTTTGTATGATCAGTGTCATTATCTAACGTTCTGTAGGAGCGAGAAGGGAAGTATCAGTTTAATTGAGCGATTCAAAGCAGAATGGTAGATCGTGTTAAGTTGGGATAAATCGAGTCGGTCAATCCATCCGTTGTTCTGCGTAGACTGACTAGGTCCCTGTTCACAATGGACGGGTTTGGAGTTCCAACACTGGAACGCGATTTTCTACAGTAGCTGGTTTATGATCCTGACTGGACTGGATAATGCAAAAGAATTTTAAGCTACATTATTGCATAAATCCCTGCAGTCCTGCAGAAGATAACTAGTCGATTTGATTGGATATGATGCCCATGGACCCACAATGAACCAAATCTAGATCACGCCCTGTGGATGACAGCAGGTACTCTAGAAAATTCCCTCCGATAAGGGTCCAATATATAAGACAGACATCCGCAGGCCAAGAGGCTAGTGTTGGTCATTACACCTCAACTTTGCATACTCAAAGATCAAATCTCCCACTTAATCATTATAATGGGAAGCACATCCACCACAGCCCCGGCATATGTTCTCCGAGATCACCGCCCAGGAGATATCGGATGGATCATCCACCGCCACGGAGTTTTATACGATGAAGAATACGGATGGGGCGAGAAATTTGAGGGCGTTGTCGCAAGCATCGCTGGCGATTTCCTCAAAAACTTCGACCCCAAATCAGAACGCTGCTGGATCGCTGAACGAGATGGACAATTTCTCGGATGCATCATGCTTGTGAAAGATGTAACTCCAGCCAAAAACGCAGCCAAGATTCGTCTTCTCCTGGTTGAACCGGCTGCACGCGGTCTTGGACTGGGTCGTGCACTTGTGCGGCAATGTACACAGTTTGCTAGGGAAGTGGGGTATTCTCATGTCGGATTATGGACTCAGAGTACATTGGTTTCGGCACGCCATATTTATGGAAGCGAAGGATTTGTGCATGTTGCGTCGGAAGATCATGCTTCTTTTGGGGTCGAAATGACTGGCGAGCTTTGGGAGTTGGAGTTATAGCGGGGTGGATTTGTTTTTGATTAGAACCATTCAGCATGGAAACGCCAGCATCACTACACAGAAAAAATTTGGAATTTGTGACGGTAAAATTTGCGACATTAAGGAGGAGGAGATATGGTTTCAGGAAATGGGGGCACAAGGGCATATGAGTGAATTACGGAAGTGAAAGTTAGGGCTTGAGGGGAACAATTCCCTTGAGTCTTGCAGTGAATACCTATTGCGGACCACCATTAAACTTCTACACCCGTTTGACCAATTCACTCCATCACCCATTGAGACAGATCGGGAGCCTTGACCCCTTGTGCCGTCAATAAAGAGGACACAATAGGGGACACAATTGGGGACACAATAGGATTCAGCTTGCACAAGTGAATCTTATCTTTCGGATCGACGAGACCATGGCATTATGGCGTTTACAAGTTATTGTCCACGGATGGAGGGCTCAATAGACTCAAAAATCTCATATTATTGTTCAATTTACATGATTTCAAGCGTGAATAAGCCCAACTTAGACCCGAGACCTACTTCCAAGGTTCGACTATATATTGTATTGATCAAGAAGCTTCCACCATTTACCAACCTCAACCTCGCTCTTTTTTCTTTTGTTCTTTTTCCTTCCTCGAAGAACAGCTGGTCTGTTCTAATCGAGTCTTTTCTACTCCTGTTAAACACAGCTGGTTCTGTGATATCTTATTCTTTAACGTCTGGCAAAGCACAGCTGGCTCTGTGCGGGAATCCTTCTTCATGGAAGTCGCTTCGCCAAATCTATTCAGCTTCAATCTTTCGAGCATCCCAGAGATATACCCCGTTACTGGGAGGGCTTGTGCATCCGTTTATGTCCTAAGCCCATTGACTCCCCTGGCACTAAAACATGCCGCACTACCACCACGCATTATTACTGTTCGTCAAGCAGTTCAAAATGCCCGAAAGCAGGATCGGACGAACAAAAGCAAGCTTGTGGCTCGAATCATTACAGATCACTATGTACCTCGAAGCCGAAAATCAAAGCTTCGTGAATGTATGAAAGAAGTGATTTTCCAGAAGGACTTCTGGCTCTGGATCAACAGCGACAAAATCGATGGCCAGTACACCTCTGTCAAAATTCCAGAATGCGAGCCTCCAACAGCACCTACGCATCCGAACTTCGGCCAACGATTTCCACTGACCAATTATCCTGCATCATTCTGCGCATTGTTTATGGAATTGCGGATCCTTGAGGACGCCTTAAGAGAAGTTATCGGCCTCATTGATAACGTTCGGGAATCGTTTGCTGATCTGTCCATCCCACCATCTCTTTGGGATGATCTTCAGGCCGGCCACCAGGGAATGCTCGACCTGGTCGAAGGCTATTTTGCCGGCGAAAAGAATGGCGCAATTGCCTACCCCAACATTCAAGTTCCTTCGTTTACGCTGTGGAGTCTCCTGGAGGGAATCATCACAGACCACAGGTCGCTGGTCAATAGGATCCTGGATATTGAACGATTGTGCTGCTGCCGCGACGAGGCCCTGGATACACTATTAGACCAGTTGCCACTTCGTGGAAATGCACGTCTACGTCAACATTATGAGGCCATAGCTAACAAATACCATGATCATGCTAGCGAGTGGGCCTGCAATTTGCTCAAAACTCATGTGGCTTACAAGCAGCAATTTATGAAGTTGCATGACTACTTCATGAACAATATGAGCTATGTCGCTGCAGCTGGTGCATTGTTTGAGGAGGAGGAGACGCCTATTGTACTGGATCCGATCTTTGATGGGTTTGCGATGAGTCCAACTGTCGAGCTACGGGCTTATTTGTGGAAGGAAGAGTCCTCGGACATGGACTGACGGGGTACCCGGAATTTCAAATTTATCTCAATTTTGAAACGATTATCAATAATACATAGCTTTAACTAACTAATGCTAATTATGATCACTTTATCAATTCCTCTTAATATGGGATGAAAGAGGGTTTACATGCGACGAAGCAATGGATCTTGCCGCAGGACGTGTTGCGACTTTGTCCCTGAGCTCCACTAACCAGTCCCGCAATGAAGACGTTTTATGTTTGGCAGCGATGATAGGTCTACAGTGATCGAGTTATTCATATTGGGTAGAAATCGACTGATCTTGGGCGGTCAACGCTGTTTGTACGCAACAATTTTTCTTCAAGGGCGCAAGGTGGTCAAAGTGCTACAATAGAGAATGCTGGTAGGCTAAAAGAAATAGTAAGTCATGAATTGAACCTTGAAATTGATAGAGACCCAATGGCTGCCGAGGCATGCCGCATAACAAGGTTTCTGCCTGAAAGTCAAAGCAGGTGGAGCCCTGCGCCAAGGATGTACACCTGCACGTTCAGGCGTTGATCGGCAAGGAGCAGGCCCGGTAGATCTGTGAACAATGGACGGTGAGAACTTTCCCAATCACAAGACCACATTGATCAGAGGCAAGTTCTTCGCGGGTGCTCGCGGAGTTTGTCCGGATGAATCGGGATGTGGATGGAGACAATAGAGCACGGAGTCCGAGATGGTCCGTGTTAGCTGCACGCCATTGTAAACAAAGGCTTTTCGATTTGTTATGATTTCTGAAAATGACCTCAGTTCACTTGGCCTGTTTATAAATTGATGAGATGGGGCTACAGGGAAATAAAAAGCGGGTAGCAATATGTATAGTAATGTACTATGTCATATCATGCCATGCCCTGACCCGGATATCGTCCCATGGATCATTCTTGCATAAAACCTTGGATCTACAAGTTATGACTTTTCCCCCTCGAAACCACCACTATTGAACTATATAGCCCCTCATTGGATCAAGGCAGAAGACAAAGGAAAAAATTCAACGTTGGCCACTATAACCGCAGGGTAGTGTATGCGTTGGCCGATCACCTCGTCATTATATGAGTCAAAGCAGTTGACAGGTGGGGAGGAAGAACCTCGGGGCCATGGAACCCCATTGGCCCATGTTTATCAGCAAATGGGTCCTGCACTACTAGCGCCTCCACCCAATTTTTTTTTTCTGTTCGCATGAGCTCAGGTTTTCACAGCTCCATTGCATAGAAAAAAACGAGAAGAGGGGAAAGAAAACTGCACTAGATTCCGAATGTCGTACACATTATGCCGGTCACTCACTAGTGCTCCTGAACCAATACGACCCATACTCGAAAAGGCTAAGTTAATACAAAAGGACCTCGGCGGCAGCTTCACCGCATATTGGGTCTCTAGTGGAGATCGACCAGCGGCCCAAAAAAAAAGGAGACAACTCATTGGGCAAGAACTGGGATTTTATAGACTAATGGGACTTGGTGGTGTGCCGCTTACCCAGAAACGAGTTTAGTTTGACCTGGTCACTGTGCCAACACTACATGCTCCACTGCGTATTTTAGCTGGTTAATGTTGTACAGTTGTTGGGCATCGGAAAGGTTTTTTATTATTGGCCTAAGCTTCCCCCCTCTTAGAACTTTTTCTTCCTTTCCCTCTTCTCTCTAATCAAAGATTTTTCTCGTCTCCCTACTGCTATCACCCTATCTCTCTATTCCTCATCGTGCTCTGTGAGCTGTGTTGAGGACTGTACAGCTAATTGCTTGGATCCAGCGTTATCTGCTTTTTTGCTGGTCAAATTGCGTATCCCGCCTTTGTTGATAATTTCCCCTCACCTTTCACGACCGTTACGATTTTAACGAACCTACAAACATGGCAACCGCCGCAATTCATAATGGTTAGTGCCATGGAGAAGAATTTTCCCTTGTTGCGGGCGATTGAAGCTGACAATCTTTTAGTCTCAGATGAGACCCTCAAAGACCCTGTAGTGTCTGTGGATGAGAAGTCCACCCAACCCGAATCAACCGAAGATACCGGCTCGGGAGAGAAGGCCAAGAAGAAGAAGAACAAAAAGAAGAACAAGAAGAAGAACAAGTCTATCTCCGAACCCGCCGCGGAAGAGGGGACCAACGATGCGGCCGAAACTGAGCCGGTGGTAGAGGAGACCGCGGAGGAGGCTACGCAAAACGGAACAGAGACCCCAGCTGTCGAAACCCCAGCAGAGACTGAGGCAGAGGCCCCAGCTGTGGAGGAATCGAAGCCGACAGAGTCTGCCGAGCCAGCAACAGAAGTCATCCAGCCCGTCGTCGAGAGCACACCCGCTACTAATGGGGAGTCCGTCGAGACACCTGCTGAGGCCCCCGCAACCGAATCCACCGAGCCCGAAGCTCCCAACACCGAAGAGACCGTCGCCGAAGTCATCAAGGACGAGCCTGCTGCAGAGATCGCCACAGAAGAAGCTACTGCTGCGCCCGTTGTTGAGGAATCGAAGCCCGCTGAGGCTGTATCAGAGCCAGTCGCCGAGACTCAGGAACACACTGCAGAGACTACCGGGACCACAATTGAAACCTCGGCTGTGGAAGAGACCGTTACCGAAGTCACAAAGGAGGAGCCTGTTGCAGAGATTGCCACAGAAGAATCTGCCGCTGAGCCCGTTGTGGAGGAATCACAGCCTGCTGAGGCTGCACCAGAGCCTGTGACCGAGGAGGCTTCCAAAGAGTCTACTACAGAGACTGTCGAAACCCCCACCGAAGCTCCGGTTGCCGAAACTCTTGAGGAGGCTCCTAAGGCCGAAGAGACCGCTGCGGAGGTTGCTGAGCCCGTGGCTGATGAATCGAAGCCCATTGAGTCTGCGTCGGAGGTAGTGACTGAGGAGGCCCCCAAGACTGAGGATGTCGAGACTCCTCAGGTCGAAGAGACCACCGCGGAGGCCGCCACGGAAGAATCTGTCGCTGAGCCTGTCGCTGAGCTCATCGCCGAGCCCGCTGCCGAGGAATCGAAGGCGGCCGAGACTGTTGACGAACCCGTCGCTGAGGCTGCTGTTGAAGAATCAAAGGAGGCCGAGACCGCACCGGAGGCAGTGACCGAGCAGGCTACCCAGGAGCCTGCCGTGGAGACCGTCGTAGCCACCACTGAAGCTCCGGCTGTCGAGGCTTCTGAGGAGGCCCCCAAGGCTGAGGAGATCGAGGCTCCCAAGGTCGAAGAGACAACCGTCGAGGTTCCTAAGGACGAGTCCGCCACCGAGGCCACCGAGGAGCCTGTTGCTGAGCCTGTTGCTGAGCCTGTTGCTGAGCCTGTTGCTGAGCCTGTTGCTGAGCCTGTTGCTGAGCCTGTTGCTGAGCCTGTTGCTGAGCCTGTCGCTGAGCCCGTCGCTGAGCCCGTCGTCGAGGAATCGAAGGAGGCCGAGACTATCCCCGAGGTGAAGGAGGAGGTCACTCAAGAGCCTATTGCTGAGAGCGCCCCTGAGCCTACACCCGAAACTGTCAAGGAGGAGGCTGTCACCGAGGAGACCACCCCAGAGGTTGCTAAGGAAGAGCCCGTTGCCGAAGCCCCCATCGAGGAGCCAGCCACTGAAGAGCCCGCCGCTACTGAGGAGCCCTCTGTGGAGAAATCTATTGCGGAGAAGGTCGTTGAGCCCAAGACTGTTGCTGAGGAGCCCGCTGCTGCCAGTGAAGTTTCTGAGCCAACCAAGGAGGTTTCAGAGGAGACTGTTGCTGAAGAGGCCCCCATCGAAGTAGCTCTCGTCGAAGAGACTCCCGCTGAGGTTGAGCACAAGGAAGTTGTCGAAGAGCCTGCCGAGGCAATCATCGAAGCCGCAGCTCCCGTTGAAGCTACCGCCAAGGAGGTTCAGCCTGAGGCTATCAAAGAGCTAGCCGACGAGAAGGAGGTCGAGACTGAGCCAATTGAGGAGACCGTTCAGGAGACCATTGCCGAGGCCCCAGCTGCTGAGGAAGCTCCCGTTGAGGAAGCCCCTGTCGCCGAAACCCACGCTATCGAGGAGGCCCCTGTTAAGGAGATGCCTGTCGAGGAAGCTGCTGCTGTTGAGGAGACCCTAGTAGCCGAGGCCCCCGCTGTCGAGGAGACCCCCGCTGTCGAGGAGACCCCCGCTGTCGAGGAGACCCCCGCTGTCGAGGAGACCCCCGCTGTCGAGGAGACCCCCGCTGTCGAGGAGGCCCTTGTTGTCGAGGAGCCTATTGTCGAGGAGCCCGTTGTCGAGGCCCCCACTGTTGAGGAGACCCCCGCTATCGAGGAGCCCGTCGTTGAGATCCCCGCTGCCGAGGAGACCCCCGCTGTCGAGGAGACCCCTGCTGTTGAGGAGACCCCTGCCGTCGAGGAGACCCCCGTTGTCGAGGCCTCCGCTATCGAGGAGCCTATTGTCGAGGAGCCCGTTGTCGAGGCCCCTACTGTTAAGGAAACCCCCGCTATCGAGGAGCCCGTCGTTGAGATCCCCGCTGCCGAGGAGACCCCTGCTGTCGAGGAGACCCCCGTTGTCGAGGCCCCCGCTGTTGAGGAGACCCCCGCTATCGAGGAGCCTATCGTCGAGGAGCCCGTCGTTAAGACCATCGCCGTCGAGGAGCCTGTTGTTGAGGCCTCCGTCATTGAGGAAGCTCCTGTCGAGGAGACCCCCGCTGTCGAGGAGACCCCCGTTGTCGAGGCCCCCGCTGTCGAGGAGACCCCCGTTGTCGAGGCCCCCGCTGTTGAGGAGACCCCCGTCGAGGAGGCCCCCGTTGTCGAGGAGCCTATCGTCGAGGAGCCCGTCGTTAAGACCACCGCCGTCGAGGAGCCTGTTATTGATGCCTCCGTGGTTGAGGAAGCTCCTGTCGAGGAGCCGGTTGTCGAGGCCTCCGTCGTTGAGGAAGCTCCCGTTGAGGAGGCCCCTATCGTTATCGAGACCCCCGTCGTTGAGGAGACTCGGGCTGTCGAGGAGCCCGTTGTTAAGGAGCCCGTTGTCGAGGCCCCCGCTGTCGAGGCCCCCGCTGTTGAGGCTCCCGCTGTTGAGGAGACCCCCGTTGCCGAGGAGCCTATCGTCGAGGAGCCCGTCGTTGAGACCTCCGTGGTTGAGGAAGCTTCCGTTGAGGAGACCCCTACTGTTGAGGCCCCCGCTGTTGAGGAGACCCCCGTTGCCGAGGAGCCTATCGTCGAGGAGCCCGTCGTTAAGACCATCGCCGTCGAGGAGCCTGTTGTTGAGGCCTCCGTCATTGAGGAAGCTCCTGTCGAGGAGACCCCCGTTGTCGAGGCCCCCGCTGTCGAGGAGACCCCCGTCGTTGAGACCCCCGCTATCGAGGAGCCTATCGTCGAGGAGCCCGTCGTTAAGACCATCGCCGTCGAGGAGCCTGTTATTGATGCCTCCGTGGTTGAGGAAGCTCCCGTCGAGGAGACCCCCGCTGTCGAGGAGCCAGTTGAGGAGCCCGTTGTCGAGACCACCGCTATTGAGGAGCCCGTTATCGAGGCCCCGGCTGTCGAGGAGCCCGAAACTACTAATGATGCTCCCATCACCAAGGACGAGGAGCCTGTGGTGGAAGCCTCTGAGCCCGAGGCTGAGGCCAAGATCCAGGAATTCGCCCCGCAACAATCTTCGGATCCTGATGTCTATGCTTCTTTGCTTGCTGGTCTTCGGCCCGCGAGCTCTTGGGCACCAAGCGCTGCTGCAGAGGAGCCTGTGAACAAGGAAGTTGAAGAGGCTCCCCAGGATAAGTCCGCTGAGGAAACTGGCAAAGACAATGATTTGACTGCTGAGGCCCTTGGTGCTGGAGCGGCCACCGCTGCCGCTGCTACAGGTATTGCTGTTGCTGCTGCCGTGCACCAGTCCCATGAGAAGACTGAGAACCAGGCCGAGACCAAGACTGAGAGTGAGGCACCTGCTGCAGAGGTGCAGCCTGAAGACAGTAAGCCTTTGCTCTCGGTCCCTGCGAATAACGCGTCCGTACCGTCCTTCGAAGCTGATTCGGTTCTCGCAGCACTTGTTGGCGATGGCGAAGCCCTTCTCCAGAAACTCAACCAGCCCTCCACCGACCAATTGACCTCGATCACAACCATCCAAGCACCACCCGCACAGCGCCCCGTTCAGGTCGAGCAGACGAAGGCAGTTCCTGATAGCGAGCCCGTCGCCGAGCCCAGCCAGAAGGCTGCCGCCCCTGCACCTGCCCCCGAACAACTCACTCCGCCCAACGCCACAACCGATAACGGAGATGAAGATGCTCGTCCTACGAGCCAGAGTCGGTCAGTCGCCGCTCTTTCTATCAACAATGCATCTGATAATTGGCTCAAGGCGCTCCTGCGCACGGTCTTCAAAAACGTTGGACGCATGTTCCGTCCTTGGTCATGGGGCAAGCAATAGATAGCTTGCTCAATGATTCGGACTGCTTTGAGGGAAAACACAAGACCGTGCGGGAGTGTGTCATTTGCATTCTTCCCCCTTGACGCCGTCACCCATGGATTTATTCCTAGGGTTCACACATAAGAAATACGTGGTTCGGAGTCACAATACTGACGCTGATTCACCAGGTCCCTGCTCTTGATTGCCATTGCGGTGCCTATTGTGGTCATCCTCTGGCGCTCATTCTAAACAATGATCATCCGTGGACCATACGAATCAGCTCAAGTGGAAGCACCCCGACCCGACACAAAAGAAAAAAAAAAGTTGACAGATTGTTATCTATACGCTTGATTCCCCTGTATTTGATACCTGCCGCTTGTTTATTGTTTACGATTTTCATATCCTCTCGGTTTTTGATTTCCTGTTTATTTTTTTTTGTCCCATGGATTCATGGGTTAATGAATTTCCTTTGTCATATTTCACATTTGGTGAGCTTGGCTTTTCACTCGATAGAAGGCTTTCGAGATGTGGCCTGGCTATCTCCAGGATGTATGTAATGACGCCTATGATCTTATTCCAACCACTCTATCAAAATCTGCATTCCTCATGTAGACCCAGGCTCAAGTGTTATACAGACCACGGGCACCACATAGGGAGAACCTTGATCATTCCAGCTGTACACTTTGCGTTCGGACATTGTGTTTTTCACTATATGGTCTGCTTGAAAGCCGCTACTCTTTAGAGATCGGCGTGGTTGTGTGTATGGTCATCATGCACGATATTTTTAGGCAGGACGCGTATCACGTGTGTCATCCATACCGCTTACTCTTGGACCATCCAGTCATCGCTGATCTAGATCTCATCAACTACCGTCCTCTGCCTCGACCTATTGGTATCCGGCTCACATGATATTACTGACTATGGAGAGGAGCAGCGATGGCCAACATTCCCCTGCCTATTCATCTTGCAAGAAAGGCAAACGAACATGCGACAAGCTGCTACCTTACTGCTCTCACTGTGTCAGGTATATACCCTCATTCCTGTTTCAGTCAGGCATAGTATGAACTCATTGAATACACGACTATAGTAGCGGACCAATTGTTAGAATTCAAGGAACCATGGGTTCAGCTCTTGTGAGATTTGATGTATCTCAGTAAATCTAGAGTCCGAAATTTAAGTTCTTTTCCTCTTTTTGTTTCTTGTGTTCAAATTCAGGCCTATCTTCATCATCTAAGCCAGAGTTCGACTGCTTACAGATTCAGACATCCAGGTCAGTACGATAGGCCATCGTTTATCTCATAATTTCATGAATGTAGATGAAAACAATAGTATTAGGATTGTAATTAACATGGTCCCTTTTGTCTCTTATCTTAGAGCAAATATTGAACGTGTAAGTGCCTCGAGTGATAATTGAGTACTATAAATTCCAAATAGTCGCCCTTTCTAAGTAAGACAAAAAGAGCCATCCCTCGATATTCATGTCTACCTTTGTTGTAGACCGTGTCGACACCTCAGACACCCTCACTCAGCAATCTCAATTACTAACTTTGTACAGCTCACCCCGCGAAGCAGCTTGTCCAATCCATCATTGATAGCCCCCAAACCCTTCCCCACAACATTCAGCTCCGGACTCGGCCTGATGGTTCCCTTGGCCAAGTTTTCCCCCAGCCACGTTCCAATCCAGTACCGGAACTGCTCCAATCTCTCCCTTTCTACCATTGACGGCATCACAAATATCGTCTCCACTCCATCCACGACCTCAGCATCTACCGGAACCCTAGGCGCCGACCCGATATTCGCCTTCATCATCCTTTCCCCTTCTTGATCCTCATCTAGGAACGCCTTAAGCACAGCCTGACATGTCGCCAACTTCCCGGTAGCAAGAAAACAATGTCGAATTACTAACTCGTCCTCCTGAGCCGCTGACACGATCGCATCCACTACATGTGGGTCTTTATAGTCGAACACGCGGTCTGCGCCCAGTGATCCCACATAAGTCTTATTCACATCTCCAGCCGTGGCATACACAGCCGCGAAAGACGAGCTTGGATCTTCGCGCAGCAGCCGGGCTGATTGCACGCCCATGGTACCGACGCTAGAGGAGGCTCCCCAGATGAGAAGAGCTTCTCTTTTCCCCATGTTATTCTTTCGCTTCTCTTCATCGATATCGGTACCAGAATCAGCAGAGACAGTTGGATTTGGAGCAGAGGCAATGCCATCTCCCAGCCGGGGGATACCCATCATATCCCAAGCGCTCAGTGGCGTCGCAACGGCGACTGGTAATGTTGCCGCATGGTTCCAAGACAATCCTTCGTCCAGAATAGGCACGGCATGCTGCCAGGGGACGAGGCACAGCTCCTGAAATGCGCCATAGTCTGGATCGCAGGACTTCCAGGCACAGGCGGAGTAGGCGGCGATGCGAGTGATACCTGGTCGGAAGGGTGGACTTGAATCAGCGTCGGCCGCACCGGTGGGCACGTTCTCGCCGATCTCGAGGACTAAGCCTGACATGTCGAAGCCGATGACCGTAGGGTATGTGGATATGAAGATGCCTTGGTCACGCATGATGGCATCTGCCGGATTGAGGCCTACGGATTTGACAGCGATGAGGAGCTCGCCTGGTCCTGGCTTTGGGGTAGGACGAGTTTGGAGCTCAAAGGGTTTGCCTTTGGCTGGGGAAACGGCAGCGAGGTGAGTGGCCATTTGGGCTTTTTGTGTAAGTAAGAGTTTTCGGAGATTTTGAAATATTCTGTTCGAAAGATTGAGGAAAGCCTTCTCTCTTATACAACTAAGCCATCATTTCAACCTACTTGGTCTTCAATGTATGCGACCTGTTGATTATAGTTAAAACTCAGCCAATCAGAGGCCTTTGCATCCGACGATTAGTTAGCGTGGAATCCGCGTTTCCAAAAAGAGTTTAGCGTATGGGGCATATGATGATCGATGTCCCACCTCCTGCCAAGGGAAACAAAATTGACTCTATTTCAAGGTCAGAAAATCCCTCATACGCAAGCTGCGCAACGCACTGGAGAATTTAGAAGCATGGCCTTGAATTGTCCAAGGGAAGTTCGGGCTCCGGAACGTAAGACTTCGCGCAGGTCAAGATTTGGCTGTCGAAATTGCAAGCTCAGGAAACTAAAGGTAAGTGACTCTTGACTTTCTTAGAAAGGTGCTTGGCTGAATAAATTCCCTTGGCCTCTTAGTGCGACGAAGCCAAGCCACATTGCAAGAGATGTCGGTCATTCGGGGTATTATGCAACTTCGCGTCTAATATTCCCGACCTACAGCCCGTCGCTGCTGACACAGCGAGGCCATTGGCAGTTCGACGGAAAGCGCAGCTTCAGCCCCCTGTCTGCACTGCTGTCTGGACATGCGATGAGTACACGAAATATCAACTGAATGCAAAGTGTCAAGATTTCATTACGCGGTATTTTGGAAAAAGTCTTCTTACGCCGGATGATCCTAATATGCTTCTCGTTAACCGCAAGCTCCTAAGGCTAGCCTTCACAGTAAGTGTGATTCCAATTTTAATTTTTTTTTTAGCATAAGACAGAATCGATACTCTATTTCACATAATGGGTCTGAGCTCAATTAACATATTCCTACAGTACCCTTTCTTAATGCACGCTTCTCTAGCCGTGGCACTCACATATGACCGCCATCTGAATAGCTCATTGCACAATCGTCGCAGTCTAGAAGAGTGCTATCACTGGTCTCAAAGTACAGCTCTCCTAAACAGGCGATTAAGGGAACCGATCCAAGCAAAAGATAAAGATCCAATCTGGGGCACTGCGGCTGCTCTAGCTATCTTGTCCTTCTCAACTCCCGATGCGTACACACCACAGGACTCGTGGCCATTAAAGTCCTACGGTAGCTCCGATCTGGACTGGTTACGTATGAGCAAGGGTAAAAAGGCACTGTGGAATATAGTGAACCCGCTACGACCGGACAGTCTTTTCAATGTCATGGCGGAGACCTATGCTCATATGGATTCACCTTTGCCAGAGAGTGGTATAGATGGTATTCCAAGCGCCTTGGCTGCTATTTGTCTTCTCGAAGAGTCATCTACGGCAAAGAACAATCCGTATTTCGATGCTGCCCACGCAGTGTCCCATATTTTGAACGTCCCAGAAATTGGGGTCACAACAGGTGGAAGCCAAATCTTCACTCGTACTATCCATGGTCATTTCGAAGACCTTCTTCGAAAAAGAGATCCTGTGGCGCTTCTGTTGCTGTATCTATGGTATCGCAAAGTAGGTCGAAGTATATGGTGGGTTGAACTAAGAGCTAGAGTAGAGTGCCCTTCTATTCGCTTGTACTTACAGCTATATCACAAAGAGAATGTTGGGCTACAGGCATTCCTTCCAGGAGGCGCACTCGATGATAAATGGAATTAAACAAGATTCCAATGAGCGGATTCCTTGCTTTTGAAATTGTGAAATCAAAAATTCTGTCCATAGCCACACCTATTATCGGCTATCGAAGCCTCTTTTTCCTTTTTCTTTTTCCTTCTCTTTCTTCAATTGGTAAGATAGACGAAAAGTTGAAAATTATGGTCCATCCTAGATTTTATTCCATGCCTCAGGGTGCGCTGTGGCTGCAAGTCGTTTATGTGAGCCCTACGAATTTTCATTTGCCGTTGAATAACTGTGCAAATGAAACGAGGCGCCGCTAAAATAATAAATGGGTTAAGCCAGTATTCTCAGCCCCGTTCTGTTGATACTTGAAAGGGTTGAAGTTCAAGAATACGGAAAGCTGCGATGCAAAATAGCTGTAGGCGACCGCGTGGTGGAGAACCTGGTGATCCAGCATTTCGCTTTCAATCTCGATTAAAATGCTAATATGAATCGCGCTAGTGGGTTAGACAGAAACACACGGCGTCTCCGTCTCATAAAATCTCTGTGTTTGTTAACGTTTTCTTCTAAGCGATCGAGTGGTCCAATGTAGCACCTGCGCTATTGACTGAATGAGTTTAGCGTGGTTCTTAGCTGAAAGACAAAGAGGTGGAGGCTGAGCTGACCTAAATGTTAATGTCAGCGACTTATTTGTTCCTTTGTCGCTCTATGTTCCTTTCTCTTCTTTACAGTTGATCCCCTGCCCCCTCCTTTGTAGATCCAAGATCAAGCCTTTGTTTAGATTGCTATGATGGATCTACAATCCAAAACCATTCCCACCCCGGGCAGTCATCCCAATGTGAAGTACGATGCCCGACGCGTATTTGAAGTGCTCCGATCAGGAGGAGTAGCCATCGTGCCAACTGAAGTCGGATACGGTCTCATGGCTTCATCCACCGAAGCTATCCAAAAGGCGTTCGCCGCAAAGAGGCGTCGCCCAGGCCATGCACAAGGGGTCATTGGATCCCTCAAGTTGCATCGGGAGCTGCATGTTCTCCCCGACGAGAAATTAGAGATGATTCGTGTACTGCACCAGGACCTCGATATGTCGTTTGGAATCGTCGCGCCGTTCCGATCGGAGCATCCAATTCTTCAACAGCTCACGCCTGCTACGATGGCGAACACAACTAAGAATGGCACACTGGGGATTTATGTCAGCGGAAGTTCTCTTCTGATGGAGTTGTGTCGATTGAATGACGAAGCAGGCCAGCTGATGCTGGGGTCAAGTGCCAACCTAACGGGAACAGGTCAGAAATTCCGAGTGGAGGATGTTGAGCCCGAGATCAAGGAGGCTGCTGATATAATTGTGGACTACGGATTGCAACGATATCACATATACGGAGGACGGCCCTCAACCAATATCGATTTTGAGAACATGAAGGTTTTAAGGATGGGCTCTTCGTATGAGCTATTGAGGGAGCGCGTGAAGAAGTACTGGGGAGTTGAATTGCCAGAAGATCCGATGTTTGACAGATATCAACCGAAAGATGCGGAATCGAGAAAAGAAATCGCGGGTGGTAATGAGGAAAAGGATAAGGTGACGATGAATGATGAGTTGATTGTCAATAATGAGGAGTCGAAAGGTGGATCTTTGCGACGTAAAATGACCAAGTTGCTGCGGCGTTAAACGTTGTGAAATGAAAGGTGATGATGCATGAATACAATTTTAAAAAATGGAGATGTGTTCTAGTATAAGACGGTATTCACGTTGAGTAATATTGCCATGACGCTGACCAACGTCAACGTGACAAATGCAGACGATTAAGTTGGTCCATATCGTTGATTATACAATTGAATCTGAGTAAGTTCCAAGCATAAGACTACAAGTTCTTTGGACTTTGCTCGGGAAAAAAACAAAAACAAAAATAACAGGCCCGAGCCGTGGATCGAACACGGGACCTCGCGCAGGAGTGCTTAGGAGTTGCTGCCCTAAGCGCGAATCATACCACTAGACCACCCGGGCTGTTCTTATGTCCGGCGAATAACCGATGGCTACTTGTCAAAACACCTCCTGATGCCACAGTACTGCCTTACCGCATGACGTCATCTCCATCCAGCACTATATGGTCTCTTCCCTGTAGGTGAACGAACGCCTTACGCTTATGGCTTCTGTATATGAAACTGGCATCTAATAATATTGATCCAAAGTTGACTTTGATGAAAAACAAACAGGAGGAGTGCCAGAATCCTTTATGGGTTCAAAAACAAATGACTCAAACGGTTAATGATAGCCGTTTTGGGCTGTGTACATGAGCACTGCCTTACGGGAACCTGGCTTTCAATACACCGAAGCGTGTTAATAGAACCAGATCGAAGCTTCTTAGTTATGTGAGAAGTATCCTTGTTGAATTTGCCAGCTCAATTATTGTCTACAGCTATGGCTTCTGGTCTTCTCAAGCCCCTCGCGGTATTTTGCAGCCAGTCGCAATCTCAGCATTACATCGAAAGTGTCAGGAACATTGGAAATACACGGAGAAGCCTTACTGAACAGCCTCTTCTCGACTGCAATAAAAACTCCACTCTGATTGAAACCAGCTTTGACTTGGTTTTGAAAATGTCAAATGGACTGGAAGAACAACGCCAGTTAAACCCGACTATTGTTGAGATAACGACATCCGAACCCGCTACCATATCTGCCAACCAATCTACACCGACACAAAACCCTCGACACAATCGTATCTTCGCAGATTACGGCACAGATTTCATTTGGCGAGATCCAGGTGATGTTACTCCCGAAGAAGGGGATACTGTGGTAGATCCAGAAGAGCTACTTACTTCGTCTCCACCGTCAGTCTTGGAGTACTATGATGCCTGGGTGAACACATATACCGAGAACTTCCTAAAAAGGCGCGATGAAGCCGGACACTACCATATTACGACTTTTGCCACTGGCTCTGAGGAAGTGACTTGGAATGTGGCAGGATTTTTGTTGGCGTGGCGCATTGTGATGGTACCAGAGGTTGGGAGGCTCGAGTTTACGGCTGGTTCCTCGAAGTATCTTCTTGAGAAAGGCAAGGAGACAAGCACCACTTTGCAATTTGATTTCGATGCCTTTTTGAATCCTGGCCCCGAGTCGGATGGAGTTGGGTTCTCAGTTGATGTCAGAGAGGAGCCGATGCCGAGGGCTGTTACCCCGGTCCAAAGGGCCAAGGCTCCGTGGGCCTTCTACCTTAGCTTTAACCTTATGCGTTACCAGAGTTGAATGCCTTGAGCTAGAGTCTGTCCTGAAAGAAAACTCAAGAAACCCAACATATAATCATTATACTGATCAATACAACATGGGATAAATAATTTCCCTTGTGTAAAATAGCATGGACAAGAAAGATCAGGCCAGCTGTAGGTAAAGTGTCGTTTGATATATAATTTAAATAGATCTTGGATAATAAGCATAGTTAAATTCCACGTGGCAGCGCTGGCATAGGGTAATAACGTTATTAGAAGACCTATACTTGAAATTGAAAAAGTTCGCTATCTCCCATACCTTCGTCTGCGTTTCTTATTAGCCTTTTCTTGTGCATGGAATGGGAATGCTTACCTGAAGATCTTCCTTTGCAATAACATATGCAATACCATAGCGGTCTTTTGTTTCTTCCTTGGCCCTCTTAGTGAATGGTCCACTGCGATCTGAACTACTGCCTGTTGACTCGATGGACTTCTAGGGAGATCTTGTAGGAGGGTAGAGGAGCTGGAGATTGAGCTCAGCGAGTGCCAAGGATCGAGCTGGGGAGTGAAAGCGTTGGGTGACTGGGACAAATGAGTATTGGAGAGAGGATTGTGGAGGCATGCGAAGGTCATCTATCATTTTGTCAGTATTGGTAATCTTGGTGTTGTGTGTGATCTTGCTCAGAAGGCTCTTGCAGAATCTCGAGCAGTGATTCAAGGCAACTAGGTATACCTGTGGCTTGTTCGTTGATCAGGAAAGTCTGGTGGGTCTATAAGGAAGAAATAGTTGATATAGGAAGATCCTTAGGGAGAGATATGATTAGGCTATAGGGGCCGACTTAATCTCGGTGCAAGTTTAATCCAAGTTGTCCCTAGCATGACCTTGGTAAACATGACTTTAATCGGGGCTTTTCTTCTACGATGTCCATTAATAGGTATAATCTCTATAGCTTATCCACAATAATTAGTTGATATGGTCAGAGCTTCATGAATTAGTGCTTTTTCTATACTTGAGCGCTCAACTTGATACGGTGCGGCTGTAGGGCGGCGCAAACACCCCTGTCCCAAATAGGTCTAGTCCTATTATTATACCTTCCAGTCTTAAGTGAACACTCTCACTTCCATTTCCTTCCCCCACCATCATCTTTTCCTTTCCTTTCATTCAACGCTGTACGGAAACATCCTTGCTTTCACCCTCAAAGATGGCGGAGAAGAAGAATCAGAAGTCCAATCAAGAGAAGGAGGTCGAGAACCAGGTCAACAAGATCTGGAGGCAGTTCGGGTCAGATACCCGACGTATGAAGATCGATCCTTCAAAGGCAGACTGCCTAGTTCCAATGCTCCAAACAGCATTACAGCGGCAAAAGGAGGTCCTGCACCCCTCTCGCATTGATGAATTCACATGGAAGGCGATTCGTGACTTGACGGTTTCCCAAATCGATGAGGCGTTTGGGCTTGCAGAGGAGAAACCTGGATCCGAGAAGCTACAGCCCTGGCCCCCTCGCAACATGATCCCAATGGATATACCGGCCGACTGCTGTAAGTCTTTCTCCTATTACACCTTCATAGTACAGTGGATTGTAAAGCTGATAATTGATAGTGACCTCGATACAACGAGCCAAAAAGTACATGGCATACTCATTCCCAAATGAGGCTGCTGCTAGGGTCGTAATCGACGTTGTCCTCTTTAGCATTCTTGACCAGGTCATGGATGGCCACTGCGATGTCTCGGGCACTTGGCCCCTACATATTCAGATGGAAACCGTCCTAGAGTCGAACCTGGTGACGGTCAAAGGGGAGGATCAACGGTTCCGCGGAGCCAGCGACTACACTCTTTGGTATGGCAAAGGGGATGGGCCTGAAAAGGCAATCAATCTCGTCGTGATTGAGGCAAAGGCTACGGAGCCTCGCGGTCGCTGTGAGACTGGTGATGAACAGGCCTTGGGTTACATGGGTAAATGTCTTCAAAATCGCATTCCCTTCTGATGCAAATTTTAATCCATGTTTCATCTCTAGCATGTGTTCATCAAGAGAGGCGGTTACAGCCTGGCCGAAGCGCCACTGTCTATGGCGCCGTGACGAATGGTAGAGAGTGGCGCTTCATTCGCATCAATGAAGAAGGGAAGTATAACTTCCACTCAGAGTTTACCACCAAGAGTGGCGAGCATGGCAGTGAGACTGGCTATGCCAAGATAGCCACACTCTTGGGCTTTATTATGGGCCAGGCGATGATTTTGTCGCCATACACGTCAAGGATACACTCGAAGGAAACTTCTCGAGAAGATGATGCGCCCATCCCGGATGATTATGGTCTCTGTTGATTTCGCCGCTATGATTAATCGCTTTTATGTAATCCTGTTGCGTTTATTAATCTGGATTTCGTGTTCACCATTAGAGCTGTATCAATAGTCTCGCTTCTTTCTATTGCAATAGCATGCCTTATCCAAAAACAGATCGAGATGCCCTTATACCTATAACTATAAATACAATTAAGGAAAAGCACTAGTAAGGGCAGGTAGTCTAGGCTTTTCAAATGACAAATTATTTTTCTTGACTCTTGCTATGATGATTCACACCACTCAGGTCGATTCCTCAAATCTAACTCCTTCTCATATCGCCCATCACCAACACGATCCAAATCAGTTTCTTGGCTCATAAACTACCAGGGAAAATCATTCATGAAGTGAGTGTACCTTTCATGGCGAGGCGAATATATGCTTAGATGTCAACGGATGCAAGCCCGGCCCCCTCAGAACACACAAGCACAACCTCTACGGGTAACCTAGAGCACAGCGTCGATCTCTGTGAGCCACTCACACTTGGTGGTATCAACTAATCTCCCATCCTCTATGCTCGTCATCGAAGACTGCGATATACCACACGTGAAAGGCCCACTTACGACACCAGGCACGCTGTCGTACCGCATCAGAGGCCTCCTTGCCAAAAGGGAGTCAGTACTACGAGAACACAGGTATCGATACCTTCATGATGGTCATCAGGTAGCGGCTCTACAACCTTGAGACCACCTACGCCCGGACGACCTAGGAGTAGGTATATTACGGACATAAGCAATGCGATCATTGTGCCAGAGAGTCAGGACTATACACGGAGTGTGTGCGGGTGCCTGATGAGGGGCACTATGCTAATTGCCATCACGGTCGTCAACATCTACGATGCAACTTCAACAAGACAGTTGTACCACAGCTTATAAATGCGGAGCCATTCATCAATTTGGGGGAAAAAAGAGTGACACGATATACAATAAGCTACTTTAGATGTAAATGGTGAGGGTGTTTGACTTGATTCAAGGTGTTCAATTATCGCGCTCCTATATACCGGGGTCATGCCAGGCCAGACGAGGACCAGATCTGAATCAAGGCCTACTATGGTTATTCACGTTGTTATTCGCGTTTTTATTCACGTTGTTTTTGTTTTCAATATCACGCCCAACTCATTCAGTTCAATAGTCCCTTCAGGGGTTATCCTCTTCTGTCCCTCTTGCCCTCTTCCACCTCCACTCTTCTACCATTACTTACACTCGACTTTTCCTCCCAGCCACTTACACTCAACCTTTCCTCCCAGCTGCTTGCACTCAAATCTCCTCTTATCTACGCACTGTGTTTTTCCTTTTACTTTTCTCAAGGTTCAATACTTGAACAACATGCCACAGTGAGTCACAACTTATTTCCTTGAAGAAGCCTCACAGACAAAAGTTTAGCAAACCTCCTGACAAGGGTCAGGATGACCAGGGTAGTCTGATCACCCCTCCCACGACCGACGGCAGACAGCGCGGAGCTGTCGGCGATGTTCAAACGTCTTTCGATGATTTGACTGAATCCCCTGCCATCCGTCGATCTGGTCAGTTGCCAGGACTCCAAGAATACCAAATGTCATCGGACGATGAGTCCAATGTGTCTAATGAGCTCTGGCCATCCCAGCCTCGTCCAGATGTATTCAGTGGTCGGCTTCAAGCGGATCAGACTCTGTTGGATCTTACCGATCACGATGTAGAGATTGACGCCCAGCTGCAATCGAATACCGCTCATCTGCCCGAAATCAACGTTCCACCACAAGACGAAGACATTCATGCCAATCCGCAGCCCAACCCCCCGCGGAGACCTTGGACCAGGTTAACTCATGAGATTGATAGTATGCTGAGAGGCAGTAACACAGTGCAGAATCAACAGCCTCTGCAGGCTCCTGCACAGGTTGCTTCTCAGCCAACCAAGCCTCAGCCATCTCGCGATGAGGCGCGACTCTCGGGAACCCTTGCCGCCCAACATGCCTTTGAGGCCCGACTATCTCGAACGGCTCGTGTGGAGTTAAACTTCCAGGCTGAAGTCCTTCGTAATCGCCCAGCGCCAGAGACCAATTCTGACCGTGCAACCCTGTAAGTTATCTCCGGATTTTGCGTGAAGCCAGCCGCTAATGTTTCACTAGCTACGAACCGGGACCACGGGGATTCCAGCTGGGTGAGGACAGCCAGATCCCACTCGTCAAAGCCGGGACCGCAGTGTTGCGCCCAGGCCCTTGGGCCGCACTTATCCTAAAGTCCGAGATTGCAGTCGCTATTGTTGGGGTACCTTCAAGTCTGAGCTCATCCGAGTATTGAGAAGGCTACCTGCCCAGCAAGAGATTAGTATCCGCTGGGGCAAACATGTTGTTCTTACAGGGAATATCCTATTCCAGCGAACCAGTAGCCAGTTGGCTAATGTGGAAGCGGCGACGATCCAAGTGGTTGGAGAAGTCCAATACGGCCTTTACCAGTGTCATTCCTGCCAGCGCGACGAGGGGCTCTTTGCCCACTGTGTAAAAGTGGAGGGTAACGAGGCCTGCGGCAACTGTCACTTTGGGAGGAATGGTCACCAATGCAGTTTTTCGGCCATCGTGGCACCAAACCGGCGTCGAAAGAGGATCACCTTACCTTTTGTCGAGCTCCACGACCTTGTGAAGCAATTGCAGGCTCTGTTGATTCGAGTGAAAGCGTTGAAGACCGAAGTGCGGGTCGTTCAGAGCAAAGGTGTTGAGGCCACCAGGAAGAACCCAGAGGCTGAGCTTGGGCCTGACCATCCCTGCCTGACTCAGAGAATGCAAGACTATTTCCGATTCTTGCGTCACGCGTTCCTCGGAGACCTTCATACACGCTTGAGTACAACCGATGATAACATCGAGGATATTCAAGACGTCATCCAAAAGCTCATTGAAGATATGGAGAACCTCATGAGCTGAGTTTCCAGATAATGCGGCAGTCTCGGTTTAAAATGTATCTGGGAGCGTTTCTAGAAAAGGGGTTGAAAATACTTTAAAAAAAAGGAAGGATGTTTTGAGATCTTTATTCTGTATCCCAGGGTCATTCCAGTAGCAACCAGCACCAGCTTTGGGCCAAGGCCAGCTCTAATCAAAGCAACTCTAGCTCATTCTTGACTTTAATAATATCCTCTAGACGCTCTATCTCTGCAATCTTCTCTGTAAGAAGTCCCTCGAGTATCCTTTTCTCGTTTGTAGCTTGTTTAAGGAGCTGGGTGAGCTCTGGCAAGGCGAGGGAAGATGATTGTTCTTCAACCGGCTGTGCAGAGACCATGGTAGAGCTGGGAGGGACAAGACCGGTTTCACTCTGAAAACTACAGCGTTTTTTTGCGCTGCAAAGATGGCAATTGGCACAATATTTCTCATTAGGAACACGGACACAACCGTGAAGAATTCCTTTGCCATCTTGACAGTGTCGGCATGCTTGGTCCCCCTCTTGTAGTTCCCCAGTCGCTTGAGCCAGGAGAGCCTCGGCATTGCACTTTTGCTGGGCCATCAAGTGATTGAAAGACATTCCCGTCCACGGTTGTTTTCCTTTCCCAGTTCTGCCTGGTGGTCTGATCGTCGGTTCGCGGATCAGCGGCAGGAAACTCATCGAGTTCAGCAACGTGCCCTTCCTTTGCACATGTCTTTGACTCCGTATCCAGGGCGATTCTTTCGCAAGGTCTGCCCACTTGCCGGGGGGAACACTAGTGCCCCCAATCGTTGGGGAGGATGGCAGAGTGTTGGACGTCATCCCTGCATACATGTCAGTTCAAGAATCTTCACCATTCATTGCAAATGGATCGTTGACATACTGAGAGATTAGAGGTTGGAAAGGTGAGAGCTGACAAGGTGAGTTTGACGGTTCAATGGTCCCCAAAAATGGGTTGCAGCTGGCGTAGAGATCTGGAATATGAAGAGAGGGTATCAGCAAATAATGCGAACTTTGAGGAGGGGACAGTAGACAGACTTCTGAAGATGAGAGCGGAGTTCGAGGAGAAGGTGAGAAAGAGTGGTTTCGGAAGTGCAATACCTGCTGTAGAAACAAAGGAAATTGCTTGGGGTTCTCAAGTTCGCCAATATTGGAGAATATTGAAAATCATGCTACTCCATATAGTCCTGTTAATGGAGACCAAGTGCAGGGCTTCAGAGCTGGTGGTCATGGTCTGTGACATGGACACCAATTCATCAATCATCCCATGTGGTCTAGTGGTTAGGATTGCCCGCTTTCACCGGGTCGGCCCGGGTTCAATTCCCGGCGTGGGAGCTCATTCATATCTTTTCTTTTTTGCTCTTCCTTTTTTGGTCTGCCCTGGTGATCTTTCACTTCGTTCTTCTGTTGCATCAAATGCGCTCTCTTTACAGCTGTTTGACTTTGTTCTTTTGTTTTTTTCTTCTGCTTTTTTCCATTCCCAGTACAGTTCTTTCTTGATCCAACTCTTGAGACATCGCACAGTCGCTGCGTCGCGATGCTCAGCCTGGCTTACTGTCATGGAACTATGATGTGTGATTATGTAACCCATTAGTCCGATATGGGGTAGTGGCTAACCTGTCGGCTTTTCACGCCGAAGCGCGGGGTTCGATTCCCCGTATCGGAGATTTTTGCCTCCCTGATTTGCATCTCGATCCGAGAAGCTTCATCGCTGGCCAAAAATGAAGATTTCTTACCCGCTTTTTGCTAAAGGCTCGTCATATATTGAGGAATACGTATGAATGGCTTTTTTTAGTCGGTCAAAATGGCGCATTACCCTCCAAGGTTGTCTCCCGGGAGCTCTGGAAGTGAGGTCGACATGTGAAATCCAGCACTAAATTGCCAAATGATTGGAAGCTACGTAGGATGTCTATCTAATCTTTATTCACTCGAAATTCCTCTTGGGTCCTCTTTGAAACAGGCGTGCATGGAGAATCTTGAAATTCTTAAAAACAACTTTGCCCTGGGAAATTTGATCAGCTAGATAATAGGATATATATTCCAATGACATGCCCAAAAGGCTAAGTAAGCCATCCAAAGTGCCCAGGTCCACGACCGGGGGTGTCACGATGTTACGATCTAAATTTAATATCTCAATCTATGAAACAGTACGATAAAGATTTGACTACACGGATTGATTGAAACTTGGCATAAAACAAGGTAGTGACTGACACCATCCACATCCGATAGGAAGGGCGCAAAGAGGTCAACTTTCCGCCAAAAGCGCCCGCTAAATCATGTCCCAACCAATGAATACATCAATTGTAATGTGTTCAAATGATTGAATATATACCCGATCCTTTTATAAAGAATTCAAATTTTCCAAGATTTACTACGTGAACTCGCGATCTTGGATGTTATCGAGCATGGGAGATGGATAGTCGAGCTAAACACAGGAATTTTGGAATATGGAGGTCTGGTGAATTGCTGTCACCTGAGATAAATGTACCTCAGTATTTATTGTATTTTGACCCCTTCATTCCTTTCATAATCCCTTGCGACAATCAAGGCCTGCATCCTTAGATCTAACTACTAATTGACTAATTTCCAAGTGACTTGCTGCTAGGCTTCGGCAAATGAGCCCCCATTTCGAAATTCCAGGGCCTACCCCAACCCATAAAATTTATGCTCCCATTTGGGCCCATGAGGGTAAAATTTATGCCTGATAATAGCCTGATTCTGGCCTGATTTTACATATATTTTGCCGAGACTTTTTATTGATTACAAATGCTCTAGGGCCCCCAAGGGCCCAACCCATTTTGCCGAAGCCTACTTACTGCCATAAGACGAGGTACGGCAGCCTGAGAGCCGCCCGACGTGGTCAACTCACAAAACCGATGGGATATTTCCTAGAATTCATACAGACTGAAATAAGATATTCTTTTAAATTGCAAAGGAATGAAACAAGAAGGAAAAATGGAATACGATTTTCCATCCACCAAGGACTGATTAACTAATCAGTTTTCCAAAAAGCTCCCCAGGCGCCTAAGCTTGCGACAACTTCTGGCAATTCCTAGCTATACAAATTCCCTAGCTGAAGGCATCCAAGGTTTTTTTGAACTCTCTGTCGATAATGTCCACTGAAGGTTTAATCATGAGGGAATGGTTACTGGACAATTGCCCATGCATCGAATCTTCGAATCTGCCCTTTTCATTGTACAGGTTACTGATCATGGCTTGGGCTGGGTATGCAACCCCGGAAGTCCTAAATAGAGGGGCCTAGTGCAGATATTCAGTCATTAAAGCTCGAGAATGTAATTTGCAGGCCTCCTCACCTTGTGTTGCCCAGCTCGCAAAGTGTCAAGGAGCACAGGAGCGAATTGATTGTATGCATCCATCGTCCGATCGCCATCCTCGCCATCGAATGGATCGGAGCTGTCCAGGTTCTTTCGTATATTTTCAGAAGTCATATGGGCTGTGTATATGGACTTTGCAACCAGCAGAGCGCCCGTAAAACCCCCATTGTAATTCTCAATGGCCTGTCTAGTAGCCAGGGTTTTTTTGGTCAAAACATTGATGCCATCAACAGTCTGCTGGCTGTTGGCGATCGCGGAAACGTTGCTGGCGGTGATCGCGACGAGTAATAATATGTGTTTGAGAAGCATAGTGTTCGGGAAATGGCGGTCCAAAAGATAAAATCGAGCACAACGCTGAAAAGGACAATAAGGAGATTTTCAACAACGTGAAAATCAATAGGGGTTCATAGGCGTCCACGGGTGTCTAATCCTTTTAAACACCCGTGGAAAAGGTTGCAAGTGCACATTCCGATTCTACTTTGAGTATGTATGGAATGCAACATTCTAACTTCTGGCGTATGTGTACATCATAGCGTGTCCAATTCACCGGGTGCGCGGCGCGGGACTTTCACGCCCACGGTATCATTGTACCCTGAAGATGCTGTTGTAGTCGTGTAAAAACATTGGTCCCTTGGGTTTTGAAGCAAATGGCAAGTGGTACTTGGAGACAAAGCATCATCAATCCTGAAAAGAGCGGTCAAACCTGAGAACCATTATCTTAGGGAAAGGTGCCTTAAAGAAAATTGGAACTTGTTATGATTTACTCTATTTTCAATTCCCCCTTTTTCTTCAGATACCTTGAAATAATTCACAAATTCAAGGGAATTGAAAAATGGAATTCGTAAAGGCACGGGGCAATCTCTAGATGTGCGGCTCAATCACAGAAGTATTACTTTTGGGTTGGACTCGTGCATCTGTGTTCCTATTGGTTTTCCGACGCTGAGCAGAAAAAAAATCCATGCAATCAGAATATGTAATTCTACTGCTCACCCTTGAAAAGCCAATAAATAACAGATTCACAAGGATTCGCTCTTGAGATATGCCGTGCCATTGATGCTCTCTTTTTCGAGACGCCAGAATGTTTCTTGAGCATACTTAAGTCTTGACTCTCTTTCCTAGGTTGAACTTAAAGGATATACCATTTGATCAGCATGATTTTACTAGCTACTGGTCTCAGAAGCTTTACACATAGAAGCGGTACATGAGTGTAAACCTTATAGCGCCATGTGACAATTCATAAGCACGTTCGCTTTTTCGAGACCCTAGAAAATTTTCTTGAACACTCACGACTTTCTTCACCAAGGCCAAATAAAAGGAATACTCTATTAAATCATTGAGATCTTGCTACTCACCTCGTTTGCGTGATACATCGAACTTAAAGACGTGTATTTGCCCCCTTACAGCTTCCAAAACAGATTACTCCTTACATAGCCATACACTGACTCCCCAGGAAAATTTTCTTTCTCGAGCCTACTAAAGCTTTACTGAACGCTGGCGAAATTCAAAAAGTCTATACTGTTGTTTTGGCTATCTCTTGTATGGATAATATTCACTACAAAATATCTTATCAGGCGGAAATCTTCAATACCCCGGACCAAATTCACCAACTGGAAATGTCTCTTCCTCCAGACCCACTTGCCGCAAATGAGATTCTTCACAAAGGCAATCAACTATTCGGAAGCGAGCACAGCAAGCAGTCAGAATCCCTTGAATCCAAAGTCCCAACTTTGACAATCAACCAGACTTCATTTTGCAAGGAAACCGGAACTAAAGGGCATGCATCCGATTTACCAGAGGCGGGGGCCAGATGGCACTCCAACCCTAGTGAGCCAATCGCAATTGTGGGCATGGGCCTACGACTCCCAGGGGGTGTGAATTCGCCTGATGAGTTCTGGAAATTTCTGATCGAGAAAAGAGATGGGCTCTGCGAAGTGCCCGAAACTCGGTACAAGCTGGATTCATTCTATAGCGATTCTAAGCCACACTCTGTGAAAACGAGGAAGGGCTACTTCCTTAAAGAGGATCCGGCTTTGTTTGACGCCGAATTCTTCTCCATCAATAAATTCGAGGCAGAAAGAATGGACCCGCAGCAGCGACAGCTGATGGAAGTTGTCTGGGAGTGTCTGGAGAGTGCTGGAGAGACAAATTGGCGGGGAAAGGAAATTGGATGTTTCGTTGGAGTATACGGCGAGGATTGGCTTGAATTGGCAAGCAAGGATTTCCAGAATACTGATCGATATCATGTTCTTGGAACAGGGCAGTTTGCGCTTTCAAACCGAGTCTCTTACGAATATGACTTCCAAGGCCCGAGGTAGGCTGACCATTAATTTATTCTTATTCCCTACTTACTTGAAAAGGTCACTAACCAAGGCTTGAACCCAGTATGACACTTCAAACTGGATGCTCATCATCTCTTGTCGGTCTGCATGAAGCCTGCCAGGCGATATACTCAGGCGAATGTACCTCGGCAATCGTTGGAGGAACAAACTTGATTTTCTCTCCCACTATGACTACGACCATGTCGGACAACATGGTTTTATCTCCAAGCGGGATATGTCGAACCTTTGATAGAAAGGCAGATGGTTATGGGAGAGGTGAGGCGATCAATGCGATATATATCAAGCCGCTCAAAGATGCCATAAGAGAGAAAGACCCAGTGAGGGCTGTTATTCGTGCAACATCAACCAATTGCGATGGACATACACCGAGTATCACCACACCTGGCTCGATAAGTCAAGAGCGTCTCATACGAAAGGCATACAAGAAGGCCAAACTAGACGACATAACGCAGACGGCCTTCTTTGAATGTCATGGAACCGGGACGACGGTTGGCGATACGGCCGAAACATCTGTGGTTGCAAAGGTATTTGGGGAAAAAGGAACTATTATTGGCTCTGTGAGTAGGCTCCACTTAGACTCCACTTTTATCTCCTATTGTAGTTCTGATCAGATTAGGTCAAACCTAACGTGGGCCATTCCGAGGGAGCTTCCGGAGTGACCAGTATCATCAAGGCTGCCTTGGCTCTTGAAAACAACCAAATCCCACCAAACATTTTCTTCGACACGCCGAATCCCAGCATTCCATGGGAAAAGGCCAATCTTCAAGTTCCGACCTCAACCATGGCATGGCCGAAGGACCGTAGGGAAAGAATCAGTGTCAACTGTTTTGGAATTGGTGGAGCTAATGCACATGTGGTAATGGAGTCTATGGCTGCGTACTGTGGACAAGGCCCCAATACACCAGAGCTGACACAGTCACTCGGAAATGAATCACGTCTTCTTCCCGTGTCTGCAATGTCTCAGGAATCTCTACAGCAGCGTATTCAAGACATTATTGACTATGCAAACAATTACCCGGCTCTGCTCCCTGACTTGGCTTATACCTTGGGTAAGCGACGAGAGCACATGAAGCATCGCGCCTTTGCCGTAGTGCACCCGGGTAAGCCAATTGACCAATGTGCCTTCATGACTAGTCAAGTAATGTCAGCGGACTTGGTATTCGTTTTCACTGGTCAGGGTGCTCAGTGGCCGGGGATGGGAAAGAACCTCATGGATACATTTGAAAGCTTTCGAAAAGACATTCAAGACATGGACCTTGCACTCCAGGAACTTGAAAGTCCTCCAAATTGGTCTCTGCAGGGTAAGTCTACCATTGTCGCGATTGCCGTACGGAGGAAACTTATGACAACCTAGATGAGCTCGCCAAGATGGGTGGTGAGAGCCGAGTTAGCCAAGCTGCCTATTCCCAGCCTCTTTGCACGGCCATTCAAGTTGGGATTGTGAATATACTGAAAAAAATGGGGATTCGCCCGGTATCTGTTGTTGGCCATTCCAGTGGAGAAATCGCCGCGGCATATGCAGCTGGCGCAATCACAGCCACGTCAGCAGTGATTATTGCCTATTACCGGGGTAAAGCGATACAATCTCAGGATGGGAAGGGTGCAATGGTGGCGGTAGGTCTTGGTCGCCAGGCCATTTTGCCGTATCTAGAAGAAGGTGCGGTTCTGGCCTGTGAAAACAGTCCTGATAACATCACCCTATCAGGTGACATTAAAGTCATCGGAGATATCACCGCGAAGATCAAGAAGGATTTCCCAGATATATTATGCAGACCTCTACGAGTCAATACTGCGTATCATTCCCGTAAGCTGAACCGACTTTCGACATCATGCCCTCCTCGTGTGCTCTGCTAAACTTTCATCAAATCCTTCAGATCATATGCTTGAAGTTGGCAACGGCTATCAACTGTCAATTGCAAGCCACCTCGAGTTTCGAGATAATATGCTTCCTTTATTCTCAAGTGTAACTTCGGCGAAAATCACCAATCCATGTGATCTCAACGCGACATACTGGCGCCAGAACCTTCAGGCTCCTGTTCTCTTTCTAGATGCTATAACAGCCACTTTCAAAAATACCGAAGACGCCCAAATATTCTTAGAGATCGGTCCACACTCCACACTTGCAGGCCCTTTACGACAAATCTTCAAGTCTGTTGCGCATAAGAAAGATCCAATTTACATCCCCACGATGACGCGCTATGTCGAAGATTCAAGGTCTCAGCTGCTTCACACGCTAGGCTGTATCCACATGAATGGTGGAAATATAGATTTCTCAGCCGCAAATGGCGATGGAATGGTTTTGTCAAATTTGCCTACCTACCCCTGGCTCCACAAGTCTCGACATTGGCATGAAAGTCGACTGGCAAGAGAGTGGCGGCAACAGAAGTCACCCCATCATGAAATTCTTGGCGCCCGAGTTGCTGAATCTTCAGATTTAGAGCCTTCGTGGAGAAACATACTTAGACTTGAGAACGTGCCATGGATATGGGACCATGTGCTACAGGGCAATGTCATGTTCCCTGCCGCTGGATACATTTCAATGGCTGGAGAAGCAATTCGGCAGCTCAACCCCGGAGTGGAAGATTATTCGATCAAACAATTCGTTTTGAAATCACCCCTTCTGATGGAGGATGATCAAGCGGTTGAGATTCTCACCACACTCCGGCGAGAGAAGTACAATGACATGGCTGAGTCAGAGTGGTATGTATTTACCATCACGGCGTATGATGGCAAAGCATGGACCAAACACTGTCAGGGACAGGTTAGATCCGGTTATGACTATCCACCAATTACCAGCGAGATCAAAACCAATATTCGACCCGTCAATAGTGATCAATGGTACCGGTACTTGAGTAAATACGGTGTGAGTTATGGCCCGACCTTTCGCGGGCTCACGAAAATCTTTGCCCACCCGGTTGAGTACCAAGCCAATGCAACAGTACTTGACCCGAAAGATTACGCCAGCAGATATACTATGCATCCCATAGTTATTGACCAAACATTACAACTCCTCAGCGTTGCATCGGCAAATGGAATCGCGCGTCGCATTGATAGATTTGCTATCCCCGCTGCAATCGGTCATATATACATCGGAGGTAACGCTCCGGAGATGCAAATAGAGAGCAGAATGACCCAGAACGAGACGGGAATCATCACAGGGTCTTCTTACGTGATTGCGAACGGAATACATTTGTTATCCATCAACCAAGCCACTTTCTTCACTGTGCAGGATCGACCAGTGAATAACACATCTGTTCCACTCATTTCAGAAATTAGGTGGATACCAGACATTGATTTCACGTCGCCCAGCTCATGGGTTACTCCACCAGTCATCTCTCATAAAGAAAGAGAATTTCGCCAAGATGTACTTCCGGCCAGCTTTCTATACATCCTTGAGACAGCTTCCCGGATAGCTTCGTGTACACCGAAAGAGCCGCATATGGTCAATTATAAGAACTGGATTGACACAGAGGCTTCCAAAATTTTGTCAGGGACCTACAAGAACCTTCACGGAGGCTTTGCATGCATTGAGATGAGTTCGAATGACAGAGTGGCTGCTCTTCATGACAAAGTCATGAAATATGAGAATGACGCAGTTCATTCCGGTGGTGTTTCTGCCCTGCAGACAGTTTTTGAGAACTGTGTTGAGCTTGTATCAGGAGCAAAATCATCGCTAGACATTTTGATGGAGGATGAATCGTTACGAAAGTATTATGAATGCATCAATGCAGCTCCTCTCTGGTTCGAATTTCTCCAGCTCCTTGGAAACACCAATCCATCATTGCGAATTTTGGAGGTCGGCGCTGGAACAGGCACTGCGACCAGGAATGCACTCGATGATCTCAAGTCACCAGAGGGTGTTTGTCTTTACTCGAAATATGTCTTCACCGATGTATCGGCTGCATTCACCATTGCCGCCCAAAAGGAATTTGCCGCTTATGAGAATCTCGAGTTCAAGATTCTTGACATTTCGCGAGATATTGAGGACCAGGGCTTTGAGCCTCATTCTTTTGACCTCGTGATTGCTTCAAACGTATGTGCTCTCATACAGAAAAGCGTACCCACTACTGACAGGCGTCCAGGTTTTCCACGCAACCCCATCTCTGAAGACGACCCTGCAGAATGTACATAGACTTCTGTCGCCTACAGGAAAGCTGCTATTGTTTGAAATGTGCCCTGGTAAGGTCTGGAACAATCCGTGAGCAGGCGTATATTTACTAATAGATGCATAGAGTATAAGTTGACAGATTACGTGATGGTATTATCCCTCTCTTTACTAAAAGATATTGATAAATTGCTAATTAGACTAGGGGACGCTACCTGGATGGTGGATTGGAAAGGATGACCAACGAGCTGAACGGCCATACGTATCCCCTGAGAGGTGGGACTGTGAGCTCCAGGCGGCTGGATTTACTGGATGCGAAGCATTAGCCCACGATTTTGAACAACCTTTCCAACACAACTTCACTATGATTTCTGGAATCTCCGTGGATGTCGATAGGGAGAGAAGGCAAGTATTCATTGTTCACAACGGAGATCCCAGTAGTTGGGCCTCCGAAGTTGCATCGAAAATCAGTAAGAATGGCCATGTGGTAAAATGGGTTACTCTAGAGGAAACCCCCCAGCGGATCGGAAACAAGACCTGATTTTCCTGCTGGACATGCATGAGCCATTTCTTTACAATTTGAAAGAAGAGGCTTTTATTCGATTCCAGAACTATATTGTGAATGTCGAAAACAACCGGATTCTCTGGGTTACTCATTCGTCGCAAATGCGCTGTAGCGATCCTCGATACGGCCTCACACTGGGATTTTCTCGGAACCTCAGACGCGAGCTGGGTATTGATATTTCCATTTTCGAGACTGACGCTTTCGATACCACTGCAGCGATGTCCCTGTGTCTTGTATACGACAAGATAAACAATTCACGGGGAACGAAAGGCACAAGTCCAGAGTACGAGTTCTCACACTATCTGGGCTCTGTGAATGTTGGGAGATGCCATTGGGGGCCTATGCTGGGCGATACTGAGGTGACTTCACCTGAGCTAATTGAGAAAGGCGTACGTAAGTTGGAGATCAGATCCACCGGTCTTCTTGATACTATGCAGTGGATACAATGCCCCGAGGAAAGACTTGAAAAGGACCGAATCGAGATCGACATGAAGAGGATTGGCGTCAATTTTCGGGTGACTATATTCCTTGCTTGAAGGGGGACTTGAAACTTGCTAACAGAGTAACAGGATCTCATGGTGGCCATGGGCCTTGTTGGACACAAAGACCAGATTGGATTCGAGGGGAGTGGTTTTATTCGACGTGTGGGATCGGATGTCAAAGGCTTTTCCCCAGGGGATCGAGTCATTGTGTGTTACAAAGGGGTTTTCAAAACTCGGATTACCATGGATCCGGAGCACTGCTGGATAATTCCCGATGGCATTTCACTCGCCGATGCAGCCAGTATGCCCACAGTATACGTTACTGCGATCTATTCTTTGATTGAACTGGGCAACTTGCAGAAAGATCAGGTAAGATTCCACACTCCTTCCCCGCACTAGAAGCTACCCGGTCTTAATATCAATTGACCCAATAGAGCGTGTTGATTCACTCGGCTTGTGGCGGTGTTGGCCTAGCAAGTATTCAAATATGCAAGAACATTGGCGCAGAGGTAAACCAAAAACACCCTTTAATGACTCCAAGCCGGGAATGGATAGACACTAACGATGAATAGATATTTGCCACTGTAGGTAGTGAGGAGAAGGTCCAATACCTGATGGAAAATTTTGGAATTCCTCGAAGTCACATCTTCAACTCTCGGAACAGCACATTCCTACCAGACCTTTTGCGAGAGACGGATGGACGAGGTGCTGATATTGTTCTAAACTCACTAGCGGGCGAGCTCTTACATGCTTCATGGGAATGTGTTGCCAGCAGAGGGAAAATGATCGAACTGGGAAAACGTGATTTCCTGACGAACGGCACATTGAGCATGGCTCCTTTTCTCAGGAACAGAGCTTTCTATGGCGTGGATGTATTGAGCTTGACCGAGGAAAGTCCCCAGTATGTGACCAAATTGCTCTTACATGCTACGGAATTATGCGAGCAAGGGAAGGTCAAACCTATCAGGCCACTCATGACTTTCCCTGCCAACAAGGTGATAGATGCATTCAGATACATGCAGCAGGGTGTCCACATGGGTAAGATTGTGATTGAGATTCCAGATGACATTAGCGAGCTTGAAGTTTCCAACTCTGCGCCTGCCGCTTCGTTTTCACCGCTGGTTTCATACCTGCTGGTAGGCGGACTAGGCGGTCTAGGGCGGACAATATCTACTTGGATGGTTGAAAATGGAGCGCGCTACCTGATATTTCTGTCTCGTTCGGCTGGACAGTCTGAAAACGACCAGGCATACATCAGAGAGCTAGAGGCACAAAGTTGTCATGTTCAGACTGTAGCGGGGGATGTGACCAAGCTTTCTGATGTCCAGAACGCAGTTTCAAAATGCATTAAGCCTCTGGCTGGTGTCTTCCAGCTGTCCGTGAAGCTTACTGTAAGAACAGACCCGCCAGGTCATTTTGAATACATGAACTAACAGAATTCCTACAACTCATCAGGATCGTACCTTTGAAAAGATGACATTCGAAGATTGGACCTCTGCTCTTGCCCCTAAAGTCAATGGAACTTGGAACCTACATCGCGCCGTTGAGAAGGAAAACCTGGATTTCTTCGTTGTGTTTGGCTCAATTGTCGGAGTCATTGGGAATAATGGCCAGATCAATTATGCTGCCGCGAACACGTTTCTTGATAGCTTCACCCAATACCGCCGCAATCTGGGGTTGGCGTCCTCGGCAATTGCACTGGGTCCGGTAGAAGATGTTGGAATTGTTAGCCGAAACCCGGAGCTTCTGCATGCCGTACGAGTGGTGGGATCATATCTCTTGGATGAAGGTGATGTGATCAAAGGGCTAGAAGCTGCCATCAACCGATCGGCCGTTAAGCAAACCGTCCAGAATGCATCGGTGATTGTTGGACTGACACCCTCTAAATCTTCGGCTGATTCCACCATCTGCCCTAACTGGGAGACAGAGGCTCGATACTCCATTCATCGCAATATTGAATCAACTCAAGATGTCGGTACAGAATTGAAAAGTGATAATCTCAGGGCACTTGTTGCGAAGGTCGAGGAGAACCCCGACATCCTGGATGACCCAGAGACTGAACTTACTATCTCTCGGGAGATTGGCAAGTTGATCACCCAGCACATGGCTAATGCAGAGGATATGAACGATGAGCAGATAGCCCAGGTCGCTATCGATTCACTGATGTCAATTGAGATTCGGGGCTGGATACGTCGTAATCTGGGACTGGAGATCAGCTTGGCAGAGATATCGAAAGCTGGAACTGTTGGATCACTGGCTAGTCTTGCGGTTGAGAATCTTCGAGCCAAATACCGGAAGCCTTGAGTGGAGCAAATGGAAGGGGGGTTGATTTACATACCGTCTTCTATTGCATGATCTATTTCAAAATCCCTCATAGTCGAATCACCCAAGAGGGTCAGTTTGATATACTATTTGAAGATTGAATATAAACGAACGGGTTTGAGGCAGCCCGACTTGTCATGTTTGAGGGAATTCATGATGCCACATTTATCCACTGTCGGTTTGCTTGTTCTGGGAGCAGCGTGGAACTGTGTAAAACGCAAATTCAAAACAATAGCTCTTCCAAATCCTTGAGAATTTTAGATCACTCAAACAATAGATTCATTCTATGGAATACAGCTAGTGTGCACGTCTCGAACTATACTCTGTGCCTCGTGACCTTATCATGAACACGTTTCTGAATACGATATTTGGCACAAGGCAATCCTGACTGCAATATTCGTCGTCAATGAGTAATATTTAATTGACTCAGCCTTGAGCTGGCATGAGAGTGTCCGCCCATGCATCGAAACGTCGAATTTGCTGTTGGATCCTTCTGTCCACAAAGTCGTCAAAGTCGCGACCGGCAAGGGGTAGATCAATTGGTCCATTCGTAGCCTCCAGCGCCTTAGAACGCTCACAATCAATCTTCCATTCCCGAGAAATGCGGCCAAGCAGTTCATCTGCTTGGTCGACGAAGTCCATGTTTTTCGCCAATTGTAACCTGTTGACTTTGTCGCTCAAGTCTTTTGATAAATGTCGCTGGAGTTGGCTGATGTATCCACCCACAGTAAGTGTGGCATAAAGCTGTGAGCCGGCATGCACGATTCCTGTGGAGCCGACGGAAAGATGAAGAAGACATGCATTGGAAACGACATCGACTGGGATTTCATCCATAATCATATTCTGGGGTACTCGCATCACGTCTTGAAAATTCCGGTACTTCCCCCCCTCAATTAAGAGATGGGCAAACGTGTGAATGGGAATTGCGCCATCTGGCCCATAAAGCGGATATGGAATCTGGATTGCTGGACCAATACTTGATGGTCTAATGATCAGGACCCGGAACGGCGTTTGTAGATTAAGAACAAGCTTTTCTGCCAGGTATTTAGCCTGTGCGTATGGTGACATAAAAAGCTCGGTGTATGGTGATTGGCCTGTGGCCAAAATATCCGCTAATTGTTTCTCAGGGCTTTCTTCATCTGAAGAGACATTTTCTAGCCTTTCGAACAGCGAATCTTGAGACAGGAAACTCAGTGCGGAAATGCTTGATACATGAAGGAGGGCCTTGATATTCTGAAAGGAGAGTAACATGCGCGCCAACGAAATAACTGGTAAACAGTTTATTTGAATGGTGCCCAGAAGGTCTTGGAATAAAGACAAGCTGGCAGCTGCATGGATCACCACAGTGACCTCTTGTTGTAAAGCTTCGATTTCCCTTTTTTCTAGCCCAAAAATAGGCTGGGTAATATCGCCGATAAGGCATTGGACTTTGCCTGTGTCGAAGATATCATCGATCTGCTCTGGCATAGAGGCTTCCCATTTCTCCATGGCCTTGCGTACCGAGCCACGACAGAGAACAAAGATTTTCACTGTTGGTAGCTGGACTGCAAGTTTGTATAACAAACACCCTCCAAGGCTTCCTGTTGCACCGGTCAGAAAGACCACTTGATTTTGGTACCAATCCGCAGAATCTGTGGAATTAGCCATCGCGACTGGGGAACATGGATAAAAAAGTTGCTGACGTGGAGAAGTCACAGAAAAGCTGAATCGAAGAGTGTGGTTCATATTATCGATTGTGCGTGCACATCTGCATGCAAGGGGGCGCACAGGCGAGGTATCACGGCAAGCCTTCACAGCAGAGGCTGCCACGTCTCATTTACTTTTTTTATTCTATTTTGTATTGTGAAGATCTCCTACCAGGAGCAATGTATGGGGGTTTTTTATTCAGTCTAATCAGCGCTTAACCTTGGACTCTTGATCTAATTCATACTCTAATCTCGAACCCAACGGGACACTGGCAACTAGGGGTTTTCTTCTGGCACCATGTCAGTAGATACATCACCTGGTTTCTGCTTCTCCATTTCAGCTCGAGCATCTTCTGCCCACATCTTCAGTTGTTCGGGGTTCCTGATGCACCAAATAACAACATCCCGCGCTGAATATGCACCTTCCAAGGCACCATGTCTGGATTTGCCAACTTCGATATCCATGGTCAGAAAACCCTTGACCAAGGCCTTCAGGTCCCACATGCGATTTATTGATGTGGCGGGTGAAACAGGCTGGGAAACAGCTTCGGCTGCCACGATAGCAGAGTCCACCACCTTCGTATGACATATCCCCAGAGCTTCAAGATCGAAATTGAGAGAATGTCCAACAATCACAGTATCGTCGTCAATGAACTCCCACAATATTTGACGCGCCTCTTGCCACCCTTCAAATATCTCATCATCGTCGATTGCTCTGTTCATAATCAAGCGGGTCACGCCGGTAACCTCAGATCTCCAGTCAACGACTTTCTCCACGGGTCGCACATATTTATTGATAAGGACGTCACCTGTCAGAAAATCAATCGCGCCTATGAAGGCGAGGGCTAAGCGGTCATTTGAAACTCCCACCATCTCGCAACGAAGCGCGATAGCATGCCTCTTCCTCTTCATTAATGACTCCACCCGAGCGGGCGTAGCTCGGAACTGATAGGATGGGACCGAGTATTTGGATGGGCGCATTTTGCCTCTTACAGAAAGAGGCCCGAAAATATAGCCTTCTGTTTGGAGACGACTTAATGGGTGACATCGTGCGTTCAAATATCGCAACACAAGTTCTTGCTCCAAAAGTTGTAGAGCGATGTGCTCTTTTGGAACGGTTGAAACTAATGCTGATTTTAATGTTGCTTTTCGTGATCTGCCTGACCGACGTTTTGTTGTCCATCTCCGCGGCGTGTTGTTATATCTGTTATGGCATTGATAGTGTTGAATGAGCGCGAGTGCGTCCTTGAACGCTCTTTGGCATTTTGAACAGCGAAAGAGCTGGTAATGCTGAAGAAAGTGATCTCGAAGCGAAGACTGGTGGGAAAAGGTCCTCTCACACCCGGGGCAAGAAAAACAGTCCGTACTTGATGAAGACGACTTGACCATCTTGAAGGCGAAGGATGATGACTGGAAGCAGGTTCCATCTAGGAAGAAGAATCTAAAGAGATGGACCTTATAATGAGTAGACAAACAGTAAATTGCCAAACATCGTTGCAATTGGTAACTGCAATCTCAAGGATGTTGGGCAAACAGCACAAACAACACACAGTTTGGAAGCCAATGGAAGCTAAAGTCCACCTTGAGGCCATTGAGAAAGCTGGACATAACGTGACTATTGATGGGACTCTTGAATTGGAGATATCCCATGACTCTCACCTGATCGAGGCATACTGATGGAGCTTTTCAATTGAACACCACAAAATTAGTTGAGCACCCTAACTAACCTAACCGCATTCAAAGTAGCGCAGTATTCAAGGTTCAGAGAGTAATATTATTGGGTACATACCTAAGTACCTACGTGCTCATGTTACTCTGTAGACTACGCTGGAATGTAAAGGTGAATGAAGAGTGATACCGATTAAGCCACCTTTTATCCCTTATATTATGACTCCAATGAGGCGTCATCTCCTATATTGACGTGTATTAAGCGAGGTGATGCAATGTACTTTAATACTTGAGATAGTGGTTTTTCTGGATTACAATTACTGCACCATACCGGATATAGAGATAGAGTGGTGTTCAACTAATTTTGTGGTGTTCAATTATTGCGCTCCATACTGATACAATTACTTTCCATCTACGGATGAGACCCGCATTTACCTGAGCCCTGATTGGATAGTTTGTTTTTGAGGAAGGTGATGTCGGACCCACCCTGACCGTTTAGGAACACAATCGGGTCGAAATCCTGCATCGTGTTTGGATAGTGAATTGCAAGAGAAGGTGATGATAAAAGAATATCATGTCATTGGATCCAACCTACTGATGAGCCACGCACCCCGTCTGAGGATATGATGCTATCTCTATCGGATCTAGTCTATAAAGGAACCTCTGGATCTCCCCCCGATTTCCTTTGACACACCAGCTTCTCAGGGAAATCCGCTGAACAGTATTTGCTATCTTTACACTCAAAATGTCTGATGCTCTTGACCTATCCTTGTTGAAAGGAAGTCCCCAGCAGAGGGAAGAAATCTCTGCCGCGCTGCTTCACGGTCTTAAGACTCGAGGCGGCGTCAAGCTGAAGAACCATGGTCTTCCCGACAAGCTTGTTTATGACCTGTTTGACTGGGTGAGTTATTCAAAGAAAAATCTTAAGTAGGGGTAGAAATGAGGATAACATTTTGCAGACGCGGAAGTTCTTCGCTCTTCCCTACGAGGATAAGATGATCGCAAAGCACCCTCCCAAGGCAAACCCCAACCGCGGATATTGCTACGTTGGACAGGAGTCCATTTCGACTATCAGTGGCTATGAGAAGGGCCTTCCTCAGGGCAAGTTTGTCCGTGACATTAAGGTAAATTCCCATCCAGCACGATCCTGGCTGTCATATTCTGACAATCATATAGGAAACAGTCGACTTTGGATCCCCCCGTGACGAACTCGTAGACAACATTTGGGTCCCTGAAGAAAAGCTTCCGGGCTTCCGCAAGTTCATGGAAGATTTCTACGAAACATGCTTCAAGCTCGAACTCGAGATTCTCGCTGCCCTTGCCAAGGCCCTCGGTGTCGACGAGACGCAAATGGTGACCCTACACAACAAAGCCGAAAACGAGTTCCGCATCCTCCACTACCCAGAGGTTCCCGCATCTGAACTAGCTGATGGCACAGCAACACGTATTGCAGAGCACACAGACTTTGGCAGCATCACTATGCTGTTCCAGGACTCTGTTGGCGGGTTGCAGGTTGAGGATCAACAAAACCCGGGTGTCTTCCGCGGAATCGAATCAGCAGACAAGACGGAAATCATTTTGAACATCGGTGACTCGATGCAGAGACTGACGAACGATACTTTTCGCGCTGCGTGCCACCGCGTCACATACCCGCCTTCTGTTAAGACTGGGGTGGAAGCTGTTATCCCTGAGCGGTATTCGATTGCATACTTTGCGAAGCCGAACCGCACGGCATCGCTGTTCCCTTTTAAGAAGTTTATTACGCCTTCAACGCCTTGCCGGTACGATGATATAAATGCGTGGGACTACCAAAATCTTCGGATCTCCAAACTATTCAAATAGTTTCTCTATTCAGGTCCAATCATGAAATTCTTATGAGATATAACTCCATATGATATGCATGTATCCTTGGCCGATTGGAACAAAGTTATGAAAATCAAACTTGATAACGGCTCTTACATCACATTTTGTAAAAATTGACCATAATGTAATGTTTGCTTTCTTTTCCAAGGCTTGTTTTACTAGGAAATATCTTTTTGCCGGAAACCTCCCCCTATCTCCTTAAACAGAGACATAGGCCCACATTGGAGACAGTCTTCATTCCAGCACCTCTGTCAGGCCACTCACCCATCATCTACCTTTCCGATTGTCGTGCCTATTGCTTAGCTACTTTACACATACCTAGTGACTATGAAAAGATATAAATGAAGAATATTTTCGTCAAAGGATAAATGATCACTTCATTAAGTCCGCTTATAATAGCCAATGAATCACATTCACTGTGACTAGTTACCGGAAGGTCATCTATACTTCTTCATGTTCGTCGTCCACTCATCTTCTCCGCTCCCTCGCCGGCTTCTGAGACGAAAGCCTCTAACTGATTTCACTTATGATCATTCACTGACTTTTACTGATATGGTGTTGCACCTTCGTCACCTTACTTTGGCCCCTATTTTGGGAATTTCCTTTCTGCTCCAAAGCCCTTCGATCCTTCTTTGTCTATTCTGCGCCTTCCACTTGCACACAGGAATTTCTCAATCTCACAGTTTTCACCACATTCCAAACCCCGTGAGAGAATCTGGTTTACAAGATGACTAGCCCAGACTCAACATGGATGGATATAGATGACTCTTATCCACGGGACCTCCAGTCAGGCGTTGGCCATTCTGTTGCAACAGAAACTGGACTCACCAACACAGCATCCCAGAGTCTTGAGGCCAGCATGAAGTTCTTGGAATCCGCAATGCAATCATTGATGATTCAGGCACCAGGACAGGAGCAGCAGCAAATTTGGAACCCCTCCACGGAAAGCCTCAAGAACAGCATCACTTACGCCCAGGAGTATGCCGCCTCAAACAACCCGAATCGCATCGAAGCTGACACCTGGCTCAGCGAAATCGATAAACTGGACGACGAGATGTCCGTGTTCATATATGAGATGGGTGAAGGGCTTGTCCTTTCAACAGAGGCGTCTGACCTTGTTGACCAGATGCTGCGTACGCGGCAGGAGGTTTGGAACCTGGTTGAGCAATCTTTGGATCTGGGACAGAAATTTGTGATAATACGAGAGCAGATTGAAGATAGAAAACACGGAAATGTTTATCTACCGGGACTCGCAGTCTCGTTCGAAGAGGATGAAGAGCTGAGGGGTGCGATTTGGGACTTGAAAAGTCTTGTGGAGCAGCATGTGGATACTCTAGAAACAACGCGGCAAAAGCAGGTTGAGTTATTGACTCGGGGAAGCATGCTTCAATCGCAGCTTGACGGTTTTTAGCCTAGCTAAGGTGGCTTTAGGAGCCAATCCTTTGTTCAATAGGGGGCTTTTTGTGGTCTAAAGAAGCAGTCTCAATCATTCCTGTTGTCTATCTTACCTCTCCGTCGCCAATAGACTAAGTACTATAGACGTCAAAGATTGGCAGTACGGTTATGGGCTAAATTGCCTTCTGTATTTGATTCTCCTTGTTGGGCAAAAACAGACTTTTTCTCGGATTATCCTCGAAGGATCTTTGAAATGTTATCTGTCTATTCTAGTACACCCTCTTGAGTAGCTGATCTTACAGATGTGGATTTTTATCTGACAACGCCGACCCAGCGGCTAACAAAGTTTCAACGAGCCTCAAATTAGATTGGGGTCTTCCAAGATTGCCCCAAACCTTGAGACACGTGGCTTAAAATGAAACCGCCTAGCGTCGATGTGGCGTTCGTGCTAATTATTATTCCTTGCTATTGTGTATCTTCGCAACTTCAGACCCAAGCTGCCCAAATCTGACAGAAGGATCAATTGGCTGGCCAATGAATCTCAAATTAAAGCGCTGATTGGACTTCAAGGATTGAGCTAGTAAGTTGCAACATGGATCCTTTTGATACAATTCATATACACAGATTAGCGGTCCTGTAGGTATAAGTATACAAGTACTAGTAATCCAAGCCTAGAATTCTTGTGTTTCAGGCTCTTCTAGATCTAAGCGTGCCTCCGGTTCTTGCTCTTCAACTACCGCGGCCTTTGGTGAAGACTCCACTTTCGGCTCCGGGACGTAGGGCCGTCGATTAATAGTCCTCCAAAATGTGTTTGTTTCCTGAATATACTCCGTCTCTTCGAGCCTAGGCTCCCACTCCGCTTCATGCGCTAGGGCGATCTGGAGATATGGGAAAAGTGTTTGATTGAGATGTTCACGGGGGGTACCTGGGAAATGAACCAGCAAATCTCCAGGATGCACTTGGAAACGCGAAGGTGAATCTTTGTTCTGTTTTCTCCCGTCTGGAGATCTCATATAGGCATTGAACCACCGCAGTGGACAGTAGACAACGGATCGTGCAAATATTTCGTTTTCGTTGAAGAGGTTCGTGAGGGCTGACTGATCGGGCCAGAATAGTTCGACGTTTGGATGGACGGTTGGATAAGCGATTGCAGCAGATAGTAGGTTCACGGACCATTCGTGCACGCGGACGAAGAAGACTCCGTTGTTCATTCCATTCCAGTCTTTTGAGAGTAACATGTGGACGTCTCCGAAGTGATCGGGTGGGAGGAAGACCTCGAGAGGCATATTGGGGTTCATGAGGACCGTGTCGCTGTCGTGCCAGCTATTGAGGTGACGATTAGCTATATCCATCAGGAATTGTCCATGGAACCAGAGTCTGACTTACAAAAGCCACTCTAATCTTTGGCCTTCTGGCTTCGCCAATTCCTGGAGAACCAGGGATAGAAGAATGGCATATTTGTTGAATGTACCGTCGAGAATGGGTTGACGGAGAATGAAAATCGGGTAATTGAACCGCTGACCATGCAATTCATGGGTTTCTAGCGCTTTGTCGTATACTGTGTTGTTGCCATATATCATAGTCACTTTTCCAATAGTCGGCTGTATTTGAGGAACGTTGTGCGCTTGGGGTGTGTTAGCTTCATCTCAATCTGGAGGTTATGACGAAACCGATGCACGTACTGTATATGTCAAAGAGTTTAAAAAATCCCCAAATGCCTAAAGCCGCAAGCGCCAACTGCTGCCATAATTTTGACCTCGCACGAGGGCTTTTATAGAGGAATTTTGACATGCCGAAGGGTCCTTTGTCTTCTCTCCATTCCTCTCTTACGGATATAAGGAATAGCTAAGGAGTCTAAAGAGATAGTGACGCAGAGTAAGGAGACAGGGTGCATATTTCCGCCCCCCCCCCACCAGACCAGGGAATTAAACCGGGGCCAGCACGGGGCAGGCCCGCATGGTCAAGAAATCGGAACCTTGAGGGTCATCTAGACTGTATTGAAATGGTACCAATGCGCCCTCTCGGTTGATGACGCGGTAATAGTTTGTTTGTCGATATACTTTGAGCGAACTGAAAATTAGTGGTAATGATTCGTTCGCGGGTCTGCCCAAAGAGGATTGATAGGCCGTAAAGCTGCATCCTGGCGCCGATTATGTGCCTCGTGCGGAAAAGCGGCTGAATTGGGTGCAGGGGATTGATGGAGGACTAATACTAACTAAGCAATGATTAGCATGAGGGATCCACAGTATCCACTATGTGTCTTCTGTTTTTGATTAGGTGTATTCAAAAAAAGGTCCTCAGTGGCAGGCTTTTGCGACGTTCATGTTTCTTGATTTTCGCCCCCAAATCTCGAAACTCGGGGAAATTCCGGATTGTTTTGTTGACATTTCCAATGAATTGGGATGAATTTCCATGCCCCAGACGAGGTATATAGATACGAACTGAAAGATTGATCTTACAGCATTCGGCTATTCAATGTTGATAATTTCCTGATGAGAAGCAGGTCGAACGCAATTATTTCTTGCTTGCTTGTGTGAAATTTGGGCTTATGGGAACTGTAGACCGCTTCTCCACATATCAAAGCCGTGCGAAATACTAAGTGGAGCTCCAGGATTGCACTAATTTATAGCGGCTCCATACTTTCTACTTTGGGCACGATTGTTCAATTCGACTTTAGTCTATACACATTACAGTCACAAAACCAAAGATTCAATGGTCTACTTTAACATGACGATCTGCATTTTGCATAGATCAAGTACTAGTTCTGTCGGTTCTTCGACAACAGCATGCGTATCAGGGGTCCGGCAATATCAATTGACCATGTTAGATCGTCCAGAGGTAAAGTGGCTCAGACTCCAGTACTTTCTGTGTAAAAACATCCATTTGGTCCCATAATTACCTCCGTATTTATACTAGTCTGCAAATACCTTAACAAGTTGAATTGTTTACGCGCACAGCCATCCACTTTTCTATTAGCCTCTGATAAAGGCCTGGAGGCGGCCCCCCTTTAACTACAAGCTTATGCCCCCCTCTCAAGAAGAAGTCTACCTTATATCCGACCCTTATCGTTCTTTCGCATCGGCATTTGATTGAAGCAGGTCTGGCTTCATATCTCGGGATTGGTACACTTTAGGCCTTCAACAAGCTTTGAAGCAAACCCAAGTTGTCAAAATGGTGACCTCCACAACTTCAACGGCTAGTGCGACGACCACCGCGTCTACAGACACTATAACAACAGTTCCCATGACAGGAATCTTCACTCCACCGGCATCATGTTCAAGCTCGTGGACCTATGAACCGGAAGGCGCAAATGATGTCGTGGGCGGTCTTTTAATGCAGAATTGCGTGTCTGCAGATGGCGATAACACCTCATGCTGGCCATCCGGTTTTGACAACTGGGGGAGAGCCAGCGCGTCGCAAGTTTTTAGCCCCGGCCACTGTCCCGTCGGCTATACATCCGCAGGTCTTTCTATTGCCCAGTCCGTTACTGGTGCAGTCTGCTGTCTCTCGTAAGTGCTGGAAGACTGTTGCCAAAGATGAATTTGCTAACCAACAAAATTGCTAGTGATTTTGACTATACTGTGGTGGGAAGTTACCCCGGATGTATCAGTACATTAGCATCAACAAGTTCAATGCTCGTGACGATCCGCCAAGAGACCGGCGATAGCACAGAAATCACCGGACCAGTCACCATGTGGGGTCAACCCATAAGCATTCTATGGGAGAAGAAGGATTTGAGCCTTTTCGTGTCCGCGACTACAACATCGGCTTCAAGTACGGACTCAACAACGGCCTCCGGGACTACTGCGACCTCATTAGCAACCGCTTCAGCTTCAACGGCATCCGCAACCGCGACGGCAGGCTCCGATAGCTCGTCTGGAGGATCATCTGGAGGGCTGTCGACAGGAGCTGGCATCGGAATTGGCGTGGGTGTGGGCGTGGCCGGAGTGGCTGGCCTTGCCGCGCTAGCCCTTTGGTTCTTCATGCGCAAGAAGCGCAATCAAAAGAGCCTGTCGGAGGCTCCTGGCGCCCCGAACGTTTTCTACAATCCCCAGGGTCCGAATGCTCCCTATACTCCGCCGATAAACGCTCATGTGCCGCCTTCACAGCCTTATAGGCCTACTGAGTTGGATGGATACGCGACTCGTGAGAAGCATTTCCATGAGCTGGACACTTCATGATCTTAATGAGACCCTTCCGGCTCGTATCTGTCACTTTCTACCAAGCTGGCTTTGCGATTCCTCCCGCATGGCGGGTGGGTATCATCTAGCGCCAAGGTTGACGTGTACCGACTCGAAGGATGAAGGATTCAAATCGCGTGCATTGGAGTATTGTTAATTTAGCGCTTTTTCAATTATCATAGTCTTTCCTCTATACTTATACTTAATTTACGGCTACGTTGTGATGACCATACGGGTGTTGCCCGAGGGGGTAGTAAATTGTGCAAGAGACGGAAGTGGTAAACTTCTTCTTAGTGGATTCAAAAAGAATGATCTTCTGCTGATATGTCATCACATTCAATGCATGTACATCGAAAAAAATCCAAACTCTTTTCGCTGGTTTCACTCTTCTCATTTTCATTCTTTTCTGGCCTCTTCTCTGCAGATTATACAGCTGTCGGTAGCGATGTAATCACGTGAATGGTATCGTACCACGTGACTCTCAGATCTCTTGATCGCACGAGGGGTTTTACTAGAAAATCTCACAGCCTATGGAATGTACTAGCCTCATGGTGCTGGGCCCTGGCAGCTGTCATTAGCCCGCTTAGCCTAAACGGTGGTCGAGGGGAGCGGCTGATCCACCAATCACAATCGATCGATCAAATTTCAAGGGAAAACCGGTTTCCAGATCGGGGACCCCTCAACATGAACCAACATGAACCAGCGTGGTTCATGTCCTTTGCCAAACAGCTATGGCAATAGACATTGGATCAGCACGCCCGCGTGAATCTAGATGTGACTCGGAGCAAGACAGAATCCGAGATCTAGCGAGGTGCGCGTTCGATTCTTGTCTAACCTTGCCGCCACATGCTGATCATCATTTCCAACGGTTTTAGATACTATTGCACATTCGATCAAGATCCACAACCAACCAGCAGCCCTCGTCTGTCGCCTGACTCTACACTCACAGCACTCACACAACTCGGAGTTTATCGTTTTGGATGCAACCGGTCGTTTGTTTCTATCATTGACGGCGAACAACAACATATCATCGCAGAAGCAACCGCCTCGATCTCTCTGCGCAATGCAGATGACCATCTCCCAGATGATGGTATATACCTTGGCGTTCGAACGCTGGACCTAGAATGGGGCGTATGCCCCCACGCCATACGTCTCTTCACGGGGCAAGACCCCTCACGGGTGACGGACACGGAAAATATAACCGCGAATCGAACCCGAAACATAATCCGGAACTTTACCATAGAGGATTTTTACAACACTCGACCCTACGTCCTTGATTGGCCATACTTCCGTTTCTACGCCGAGGTCCCTTTATACAGCCCCTCGGGATATGTGCTCGGCTCATACTGTGTGGTGGACAACAAAACCCGCACACATTTTGGAGAGGAAGAAGTTGCTGCTCTTCAGGATATCGCAGATGCCATCTCCCAGCACCTTGAAAATGTTCGGGTCGCTCATTACCACAATCGGGCCGAAAATTTGGTGAAAGGGTTGACTAATTTTGTCAAAGGCCATGGACAATCTAATCTCCCGGATCATCTCGATAAACTTGCAGCTCCGGAAACGCTAAATTTCCATAATTTGAGCATTACAAGTAATGCTATCGATTCAAACAACGCGAATCCATCGACTCCAAGTAAATCCTCCAGAAATAAGTCAACATTGGATCGAGCGTCTTCGGCGACCAAGGAGGAGGGAACATTTTCCTTTTTCTCGGAGACCAAAGATACAGAAGTCACACAGCCCTCGAGCCAGCCCTCATCGCTTGCTCCGGCCTCACCGCAATCAGCAGAATTGCTAGGCCCTAACGAATACTTCGTCTCCGAGACAGCGATAGATGATGTGCCCATCGCAGAACGTGTTGCTGCGGTATTTTCCCGCGCCAGTGAGCTACTCAGAAGCTCGATGGACTTGGATGGTGTAGCTTTCTTCGACGCACGTCAAACGGATTCGAAATTGTAAGATTCTTCCTTCTAGTGTGGATTAAATCTAACACTATGCAGCGACCTCGAGGATGATTTTCGAAACGAAAATTCTCTCACCTTGACAGACACTGGGACCGTGGTCAATTCACAACCTTGGTTATCTGACCACCCCGCCGAGAAAACGCTTGACAAAAAAGAGAGACTGTGTCGTCCTTTGAATTGCCTGACCACCGACCCTCTTAGTTCAGGGTCTGATCTGACTCTTTTGGAGGACTTTCTCAGTACATTGATAAAAATTTATCCAAACGGTCACATTTTCGATCTCAATATTGAACCATGTGAGTCGGAAACCCTACAATATAAGGTTTCTCGCCACCTCGCACAGAAGCTACCAGAAGCCAAGTCGGTACTCTTCATCCCATTGTGGGATTGGAACAAATCGCATTGGCTAGCAGGAACGCTTGTCTGGACACAGGAAAGCTGCCGCCCTCTGGGTGTAGAGGAGTTGCATTATTTCAAAGTTTTTGGCGACTCTATCATTTCTGAGGTGTCTCGGGTGCACTGGACGGCGACTGAGAGGTCAAAGTTTGATTTTGTATCGTCCATCAACCACGAGCTTCGTTCTCCACTGCATGGTATACTTGGAAGTGCCGAGCTACTGCGGACGATGCCCCTGCAGCCATCGCAGCATGAAATGGTTAAAATGATAGACACTTCGGGCCTGGCCTTGCTAGACACTATAGATCACCTGTGAGTTTGCGGCTCCCATGCCTTTAATTCTACCTCGGCTAACAAGATCGTAGATTGGAGTACTGCGGGATCAACGATTTAGCGACAGGGAAGAAATCGGGCGATAGCAGACTTGAAAGCAACATGGCCGCTCAAAGTTCCGACTTTGACCTCGCCATATTAGTCGAAGAAGTGGCTTCTTGTCTTTGCAATGATCCAAAATCACGATTCGTCACCATTCTCAAAGACAAATCGATCGCGGCCGGATCCGAGATCGATGCAGAGAATCAACATAATAACGGCAACAACGAGGTTTCCGTGGTCATAAGAGTTGACCAATCCGACATCTGGACTGTGCGATCAGCTGCCGGTGCCTGGAGAGGCATATTGCTAAATCTCATCAGCAACGCAATTAAATGGACCAAGGAAGGCCTCATAGAGGTAACATTGTCCAAAAAGACACCAGAACCAAAGAAAAATTATTCTCTTGTCCACCTATGTGTTAAGGATACTGGCAGTGGGATCTCACGGGACTACCTTAAGAACCAGCTGTTTTCTCCATTCGCCAAAGAAGATTCCCTTTCGCCAGGGGTTGGCCTTGGCCTCAGCATCGTGCGGAAGTTTGTTAAGTCCCTTGACGGTGAAATCGACGTTAGAAGCGAACAGGGTGCAGGCACCCAAGTGGACATCTTCATACCCTTGGATCACCATAGACAAGCCCATTGCACTGAAGCGTTGGATTTTCAATCACTTCCAGGAACGTCAGATCCACCAACCCCGGTCCGGGCATGTATGATTGGATTACATGGTCAACCGGACCTGAATGAGATACCCACTGGGATTCTGACAGTCGATGCGAAACGAAAATTATCGATTCAGAACGCCCTATTCGACGTCTTTATGACGAAATTAGGGTGGGATCTATCATCAGCGAAATCTCCCCTTCAGGATCTTGGTGATGTTGCGATCATAGAAGGAGCAGATCTTCATCACATGGTGGCGGAGGGACTGTTGCCGGTGACGGAAAGCGAGAATTTCTCCAAGTTCTTCATTGTTCTGGATGGAAAGACATCGCCCCTGACTAATGACTTACCTGCGAATTTCATCCGCGTGTCGCAACCGTATGTTAAAGATATCCCCTTTTGTGCACTGCTCAACTCACACATGACAGATTTGGACCCAAGTCTCTCCATGACGCCGCAGAAAACTTTATGAAGATCTTCAAGATGCGACTTCCATCAGCGAAAGTGGATCTTGCTCCGATCTCCCCACCTATAGTTCAGCAAGCCTCATTCCTGCAGCTACAACAAAGCTTAGAATGTGAATCAGCGACCTCTGATCTACCCGATCTGCCCAAAAACATTGTCCTCAAGCCGGAGGATCAGCCGAACGTCCTAAATGTCCTCATTGTGGACGACAATCCTATCAATCTCAAGGTGCGCGAATAGGCAGCACATCCCTACTATACCTTTGTGGCTGATTGCAACATATCAACTGACCGTTCTTGTATTAGATCATGTCTACATTCATTCGCAAAATTGGGTGCCGCTACGAGACTGCTCTAAATGGTCTAATAGCTCTCGAAAAGTATGAGAGTGCCGCCCAACCATATGACTTTGTTCTGATGGGTAAGCTTCAAATATCATCTTGAAACACCAACTAAGATCGGCCAACTAACATTAACAGATATATCAATGCCTGTAATGGATGGATTGGAGGCCACCGCAAGGATACGCGAACATGAACAGGAGAAGGGTCTCCAGTCATCGTGGATCATCGCTATCACTGCTGTTGCTTCCAATGACATACAAGAGGCTGCGTTCAAAGCGGGGGTCAATGATTATTTGATCAAACCGTTATCTCTCGATAAACTCCGCGAGCTAATTCACTCATGAAATCACTTACATGTCCAGTTGCATGTCGGATTCTACGCATGCACATACATTTCTACTCAACTCCAAGACAAAATCGGAAAATTTAACCCCTCAATATAGGCTTCTAATTCTGAAGCTTAGGTAGTCTGGATTGTATATTAACTGTCTTCTAGGGTATATGTTCTTGAAAGCGGAGAATCACTAACATGAATAGCCGACGTTTTCGGTGCGCTATGATCAAATCTACTGTAAACAGACGTGAAGCAGCTCTGTACATAGACAGCTATTATGTACGCAAATGCCAACAATTGCAAAAATATAATGGCATTAATGATTAATCTTCGTTCAAATCAAGGTACGGAAAATGTACCAAGAATCCAAGGATTTAACTCCTTCACCCAGCCCAAATTGACCAAACCCCTCATTTTATTGAAATCTAACATGAAGAGCAAAGTTCAGCGTTAATTCAAGCACTAGCCACTTTGACGTTCACTGAGTGGCTAGGCGTTCCGTTCCTCAGGACGAAGAGCATGTAGTAGCCGGGCTGCGCAACGCCCGGCTCAGCAGGAATGCTGAAAGTGTACTTGTTCGTCTCAGTCTGCGTCAATTGAACGCCGATACGTCGTTGGTCTGTATTCACAGTGTGCGTGGTGGAGCCATAGCGGATAATGGAAGCCTGAGCATCGACTGGGCCATCGGTGGTGATCTCGACGGTGCCACCAGGTTGTGTTTGGCCTCCTGTCACACTCTGAATCACGGGACGGTCTTTGAGAGATCCATCGGCGTTGAGCAGATACGCCGGTGTATAGATTTCTCCATCAAAATGATTGGCCGAACAATTTCCACACAGACCACCACCACCAGTGAAGACAGTACCATCTTGAAGCAACAGCGCGATGCTGTGATAAACTCGGACGATAGAGTTTCTCTGCTGCTCGACCCAGGTGCCCCCGCTCTCACTCTCAGAATCGGGAATAAACAGCTCTGGAGTCATCTGTGGCTGACTTTCATCAAATGGAAGTCCAACCACCTGCCCACCATGCACAAAGACAGAGCCATCAGGAAGAGGGACAGAGATGTGGAAGGTTCGCTTGTAGTTCATACCTCCACCCGCGTTTGAGAGGACGTAGGCACTTTGCGCGTCAGTGTCAAGAGTGATGATGGCAGCATTGTTGGTGGCTTCACTGTTCTCATAATTTGGAGAGCCACCAAATGTCAGGATCTGGCCCTGATCAAACATGACCGCGTTTCCACACATGGCATCTGCATCACCAATGCGGTCACCGGCAGGAGTAGTGGAGCCACTTCCTGAGGTGCCATACCAGTTCATCTGCTTGCTGGGGCCGGCCTGGAAAACGGTTCCATTGGTCCAAGCAAATAGCCAGCCGTGATTGTCTTGTCTGTACGCACGTTGATCTTGGGTTAGCATTGCCGATGCCAGTGCACCTGGAAGCTTAGACCAAGCGTTGGTGTCTCGATCAAAGACCTCTCCATTTTTGCCGCCAACACCTCCCGAGAACGATCCTCCGAGAACGAAAATGCGTCCATCAGACAAGGTGGAGGATGCCTGGTATCCACGAGCCTCATTCATCAGTCCTCCCTCGAACCAGTCACGCACGGTGGTGTTGTAGATACTGGTCTGGTCTGCATCAGCTCCTCCAGTTACGACAATCTTTGCATCTTCGTCCATCGAGATACCCGAACAAAACATGTCATGATATGTATTGCTCACGGTACGACGCGTCACCGATTGAGCGCCGCTGTTCCAGGTTGCAGTTTGTGTCTTGCCTCCTTTGCCGCCAGTAAAGATGTTGTAACCCCAGGCGGACCATGCGACGACCTCACCAGAGTTTGCGTCGACAGCACCGGAAACCGGGACCAGAGGAAAGTCGATAGTGGGGCCCCAGGCTCCCAGAGACGGATTAGGAGGAATGAAGTCGCCTTCATATATCTTGAGATCTTCGATGGCGATTCCGCTCGGAGCAGGGCCTGAGAGTCTGACATATTGGGCTTTTTGGGGTTGGAATGCAGAGATCTTCTGGCTTTGATCAGGCCACCAAGTTCCGTACGCAACCAAGTTCCAAGTGACATTATCAGCACTCAAAAAGACTTGGTGTTGTTCAATTAGCGAAGCATTCGCATCATGCCTAGGTACTACAGTCAAGCCACTGACGGCGTAATCCTGTGTCCCCAGATCGATGGTGATGCTTTGGGAGGTTTCACTGCTGTCGCTCTCCCAGTAGGTGCTGCTGTTGGCATCAAAGGCTTGATCGCAGGTGTGGCCAGCCGTGGCTGTAGTGCAGTCAGCGGTCCAGCCATCGCGATTAATCTCACGGCCTGAGGGCAAAGCCTGCGAGAGTGTCGGCACTTGGACGCCATCGATGTTCTTGGTATCCGGTGTTGTTCCCTCTCTGTAGAGCTTCTCGAGCTCTGATATCTCCCGGGCACTAACAGTCCCTAGGAGAAGCACAGTCGCACGCCAATCAAGCTTCATCTTGGAACGCAGGTGTTTTCGATGCGCCGGCAACAGACAGAAGGAGGCTCAAGGAGGTCGGGTCTGAGCTATGAAGACTCAGTCTGTTTGAAGGAATATCTCGTGTTTTTAAACCCATCATCCTCTGAAATATGCCAGCCTCAACAACACTTTGATGGCTGTACAATAAGCATTGTCTGGTTACGGGCCGAGCATAACGAATAATGCAAGGGCTATGACTGGAGCCCCTTCACCATGGAATTGGGAATGTCGATGTGCGAACCAGACCTTCGGTGCAAATCTAGGGCACAGAATGTACCTGGGGAATATCATCTCCGTGTTTATCATTGACTGATTGGACGAACACATAAAGCAGGTAACACAGAGAAAGAATGTTTTTCTTTTTTCTTTTTTTTAGCTCCCAATGTAGAATGCTTGCCTCAGGCATACAAGGAAATGATTTACAAAAGAAGAAAAATGGTATCTCAATGGATTTTGTGGCCTGAGATATTACTATTCTAAATGTCCTGGGATCACTGCTTTGTAGATAAGAGGACATCAATACCAGAAAAGGAGATATACCACCCCCTTCCCCCCCCCGAAAGTCCATCCAGAGTGCAAAGGTGTATGAGTGAAAGTTGTTAACAATGTCGGGTGGTCTATTGGTCAAGACAAGGAATGCGCTCCACCACATTGGTTAAGGTGCGCGGCCCGGCGCGAGTTTTGGTGCAACGTCCGGAAGTGGAGGAGGAATGCAATGTACGGCCGGTGGGTCATGGTAATTCAAGGTTAAATTTGCCGGGCCCTGAAGTTAATTTCCATGCACACCTAAATTACCACATTATAGGCTAAGGCTCTCGGATATAGTCGCCGAGCATATCTCAAACCCAAGTCTTATTAGCGGCCTACATATTAAACACGATTGTTCGACTTCATAGACTAATAACTTTTGATAGCAAAGACGTCCGGAAATGTCAGGAACTACCCTCACTTAAATCGGCGACTTTCTGAGACACCCCATCATTTTTTTCATTCTGGGGGTCGTCCTTCTACTTGATCTATATCCAAAACTTTTGTCCCAAATTTTCGAAAGCTTTGTTTAGTGAAATTGAAGTGCCGAAAAATGCTACGTTGCTGCGAAAGGCTAAATGGCCATGGAGGTATTCAGCCGTCTTTCTACTCCTTGATTTTGCTGATCCCCCCGGAATTGAAATACCCTCACGAGTGACGGGCGGCTATGTTTGGCCTATATGTCCGCATTCGTTAGCCAGGTTGCACAAGAAACCACTCTCACGAAGGTACTTTCCACGCCCGGCGGCAGTCATGAAGCCACAAAAGACCTATAGTGGTAAATTCGTCATGATGGCTCCAAAAGGACCAAGCACCAGCCGTAGAACAGTTTCACGACGTACTCTGGCAAGTGCACACACATGATATTGTCAAAAGCTTGTAATCAATGATGCAATGAGTTTCATGGCGTGACATCTAATTTCCGTATTGTCGAGATCTGAAGCTCTCTATACCCAGATCCCGCAGTCAGTTCTAAGGCCATTGATTGGAAAGTATCCGTGATCACCCGGCTTGATAGTTGCCCCATGCCATAATATTGCAAATTGGTCTCATGTTTGCCTCTTTTCCATTGGCCGTCGGCTGGGAGAGATAGAGTTTCGGAAGCATCTTTAGACTAGTATTAGAAGTCGACGGGGGATTGATTCATTCCGCAAGCAGAAGTAATGTAAGAGGGTAGCTGAGAGTGTAAGGGATGTGCCCCACTGTTGCATTTTTCCAGCCAACGTAACGATATACAATATTTTTACTTTGCTTGTCTCATCATGCTATGCAAGGGTACGCTGAACGCTGGTTGCAGAAGATACCCTATGAAGCAGTAAGCTATAAAGTGTCAATCAAAGGCAATGTCGAACAACTTCCATTGAATATCATTTCACTTGCTATTCAAAACCCTCATTATCATAAAATTTTCGCCAGCAAGAAAGATGAGTTCTATATCCGAATTTGATCTCGACAATATCCAGGGAGATATCTGGTCAGTTTTATCTGAAAGCCATCAAAAACATTCGTGCTGATTTGAATCTAGGCCTGGTCTGTCGAAGAAATATCAGCAGTTCTACTTCTTCAATATCGACGATGCCGAACTTTTCAAACCCATACTGCCGACTCTGGCTGATGAAGTTATTACTTCTGCTAAAGGGGCTTTGAAAAATCGTGCTGCCATCCACAAGGCTAAAGCGCCAGCATCCCGCGGATTGGACCTAGCCGGAGGTCTCATAAATCTGACGACTGACGTGGTTACTGCCGTCCACGATCTTCTTCCGGCACATGGTCATATCCCGAAGGCTAAAGGGTCGGATTTAGTTAGCATAACGGGTGTTAACATTTCCTTCACCATCAAAGGCATGACCAAGGTAAGTTGACATTTTTGCCTTGGTAGCTTCCACATATAATCTAATCACGTCATTATCTTTAGTTGAGTAACGGCATGTTCAAAGATGACCCATTCCTCAAGGGTATGTTCGCGGACATGGTGGGTGAAGGACGTGATGAAGCCGACGACTGGGTTCCTCAGTTCAAAGATGGCTCCGTTGATGGAGTAGTGCTGGTGTGTGGTACCATAGAAGAGGTGAAGGCCAAAACAGAGGAGCTAGAGCGGAAGTATTTCAACAAGAGCAACGGCGTTGTTCATCTCTTGACATTGGATGGCAACGAAAGACCCAATGAACATAAGGGACACGAGCAGTAAGCTTACAAAGGCTGGTGTCGAGGATTTTCTAGGCTAACAGATTTCAGCTTCGGGTTTTTGGATGGAATTTCACAGCCACTCATTAAGGGCCTTGATGACAAAACCGCGGATCTGCCCGGGTCTCGTAAACATCTCACTCGTCCGGGGTGAGTTGGAAATCAGCCCAATAAACCATTGAATTAGACTGCTTACATATCACAGAATCATTTTATTCGGACACGATGGTGAGATGGACAATGAAGAAGCATTAATGCATCCTCATTGGGCCAAGGATGGCAGTATTCTGGTGGTCCGCAAGATCAAACAATTCGTGCCTGAGTGGGATCGGTAGGTCAATTGCTGCTTGTGTAACATTCGACCATGTTGTCTAACTGATCTGGATTTAGTTTCGTGGTTGATGAGGCGAAAAAATTGGGCTTCACCCCAGGGCAGTTCGGGGCTCGACTTGTGGGACGCTGGCAGAGCGGTAAGCTGCAATTGCGCTGTGGCAACCCTCCTGCACGCATCGAGTACTAAAAGGCATTCTAGGAGCACCCGTCCAGACGAATCCTGACAGCGACAACCCAGCTGAGGCGAGACAGAACGATTTTGACTATCCCGTGGATGACCATACCAACTGCCCATTTGCATCTCATATGCGGAAGACCAAGCCCCGAGCTTTGGTCAGCAACTCGGATAAGTTCGACATCATGCGTCGTGGTATTCCTTATGGACCAGAGCTTAGTGATGACGAGAAGAAGAAGCAGAAGACTGAACAAGACCGTGGTCTTATGTTCCTGTGTTATCAAACCAGTCTTTCCAATGGCTTCCAGTTCATCAGAAACCGTAAGTCATCTATCACGTCCAGACGAAAGATCAGGCCACTAACCCTTAAATGTCTCAGGTTGGATCAATGCCGACAATTTCCCTTCCGGCAAGAGGAAGTTCACTGGCGGTATGGCTCCGGGACAGGATCCAGTTATTGGCCAGTCGGTCAAGGGTGCCTCCCAGGAAGAAGACAAAGTCCTGCAGATGGCCATCGTCGATGGTCAGAACAACCACAACCAGATCACTTTCATGCCGTTCATCGAGTCCAATGGCGGTGACTACTTCTTTACCCCATCTCTGAAACTTATGCGTGAGCTTGCCGAGGCTCCAGCTAATTAGCGAACTTCCTCATGGCATTCATGGATAGTAATTTGTGGTTTATTTCCCAGGTGGTGGGAGTGTTGGAGAAAAGCGAAAGCCATGGATATGGGTCTGGGGACCGTTCTAATCTCTATTAATACGGGCGGTGGTGGTACTTATTAGATCCCATTCCATGAGATAGTCTTCAAGATTGCGTTACTCGAATTAATGTTATCTCTTCTTTCGATTTATGACGTTATCATCTGTCAAAATTCGACATAGTATCCGTCGATTTGGTTTTTCTTCTTCCCTTTGTTATTCAAATCCAATGCTTCTATCAGAGCCCAGGTGATGTCCAGGCGACAAAGCTAAGTGGGTGGCTACAAGGTGTAGCAATTGCGTAGAAGGTAGTCATATAGGATATGGAAAGAAAAAAAGAGACAGGACTAAGGGGGAATCTTAGAAGCCCCGGTAGCAAGATTCTTGGATGGCATTGACTGAACACCACCCGAATGAATGCCTCGGTGCCTGGCATTAATGCCGAACAGTCTCCAGGGCACATAACCAGGCGTCACCAGGCTACCTGAGCAGAATTCTTATTTAGTGGGGTACACACTACTCATAAAAACCATTTTGTCAACATACATAGATTCGATTGAGAAGAGGCACAGTAACATATCTAGACGTGCGCTGTAACCCTGTGCTATTCTGTTTCAACGGGCGGTCATAGATACTCTAATCAAAATAGCTAGCAAACCCACTACAGTGTTTAGATCTAATATTATGTACTGTGCTTCATAAATACCATAATTATTAAAATGGGTTAACACATTAGAAGAACTGGTTCAGGCAAGCTCTGGATCATGACCCCAACTGCCACAGCCTCTTCAATTTGTCATGTTATACAATCTTTCCGAGAGCAATTGGCCTTGCTTTCCAGCCACCGGTGAAAGTAATACTTCTGCATACGCATCAAAATAGCTCCACTCCCACTAAAAGCGCATAACGCTAGTACTATTCAAATTTCGTTGTTCAGTAAGGTCTGTTGGTGATGGAACTGTATCTGGCACGGAATTAATGAAAATCTTTCCCGTTAGTTTCGCTCTTGGTCCGATCTAGGTAAAGTAGAACGTACTTTGGGTAGTTTCTAAAGTAATATTGACCAGCAATTCAACCTAAATTTAATAGAAACATGGAAAGTGGAATCGCTTTCCGAATAATGTCGCCTTCCAAGGTTGTTTCTCTCCTTTTTTCAGCGCTGTAGTTTGGAATGTGGCGGTTTTGGGCATGGAACGACATAGGACTGAGCTTTCAGAGAACAAATGGCTCGCCATCTAAGCAAAACCATTGCGACCGCTTTATCTTTACCGCAGGTCCGAAATTGAGCCTGACGAAGTGGGTTTATATAGCGTGACTTGGCGTTGTCTCACGGTATTTAATTTATCCATCCTGCAGCAACTCTCGGGGCCAAGACTCCTGACGAACATGATTATCGCTACCAAGGATAGGAGCTTGGTGCAACCTGAATCAGATTTCCGCGGCTCATGGGTCCACGTGCACTACATTACTCCCCTTATTATTTGCCCTTTTGAGTCCAAGAATAAGGAACCTAGTGCGTGGTGGGCCAAGTATGCCTTCGATTTGAATGGTTCAACCTTAGAAAGGCGAATGTCCATCAAAGGCGGCTATGCATTTACTATTAGTGCTACAGATAGTCCGCCGTCTCGCTAATTAGATAAAGATAGACCGTCATCCAAATGGAGTCCTCAGACCGTGAGGGTCCACAGTAGATTGTAGACGGACTGGCGTGCAGATCCCTGTAATGACGCGAGATGGGAGTGGGTTCTGCAGTGCATCAAGCGTAACTCAATCCGGAATTTGCAGGGTACTGGACACTTTGCATGCATAATATCCCAACTTTGACTGGGTACTCTAAAAGGATTGTCGTTCCCCCTCCCGTTTTAGGAGTGAAGAGGAAGAGGATTAACCCGGAATGTTTGGGTGACCCACAGGATCTCCCTATCACAGTCCATGACTCCAAGGGTATCAATATCTCGGACCCACCTATCCAAACTACTTTTCAGGGGACGAAATAGACCCGACAATGATTATGCAATACGACGTCGGCGAAATGGGGCTGATGGATAATGGGGTCCACATTAGTATTCTGAATAGAAAGACCACCTAATCTGATCATTGATCGTCTGGAATGTACAGTATCGTGGCTTTTCTTCTTGGATAGACTTGATTTCCCTTTTTGCATCACTTTTCCAGTTCGAATCAGTAGCTTGGTCGATGCTGGCCCGGAAGAATAGCCGATTTAACCTTCGGCAGCAAGAAAAAGCCCGGGCCGCATATTCAGGTACGGCTTCCCGAGATTCGGATCAGTCCGCATAGCCCAGTGATCTTCGCTGTGGGCCTGCTGACTTGCTATTGCTGGATGACAGACTCGTTTCTGGTGAACCATAGGGACTAGGCCGCGTCACATATTTGCTCACCGCATGCTTAGTGCCTGTATGAATTCTTGGCGCATGAAGCCTGATTCCTTCTCTGAACTATCACAACAGACCTGAGAATCATGGGAGGATCAGGACCACAAGTTCATATCCAATCGCATCATCACGATTGGCAAGCCAGTGGATAGATGTCCAATCACATCTTTGATTCGAACGATGATTGTGATTATTTTTCATCCAACTTTTAATTTCATCTTGGCTGTAATTCCCCGATGGCGACTTTCATCTTGGCATCCTGCACAGCGCTGCAGGACATCATAGACAACGGTTTTTGCCGACGGCTATTCTTTTTCCCTGTTCAATATCGGAGGAACAAAACATGGAGCTCAATCGGTGCCCTCCGAGGGATATAAAAGCCCGACGAGTCCAGCACCTATCGAGCTCAGCAGCAATCTACTTTCTTATAATCTTCCTTGAGAACACTTTTCACCATAATGCAATTGATTCGCCTACTTACATTGGCCGCCGTTAGTGGCCCTCTCATGGTTGCTGCCCACCCAGGACACCACGAGGAAGATGCCACCCCCGAGCTGAAGGCATACAAGTCCAATGTCCGTCGCTCCGCCGAGGGATGTGCTTTGCACTGGGAGAACACTGGAGCTCAGCAACGCAACATTGCTCGCCGCCAGGCAACCCTCGATATGCACCGTCGCCGCCTGAGTAAGAAGGACACCAACAAGGTGCTCAATACTTCCCACTACGAGGAAAAAATCAGCCTCAACTCTCCTTTTGAGGATATCTGGTCTGCTACCAGCATCCCTCTCAACCCTGAGGGTGAGAGTGGACCTTACTGGGTTGTTGGAGAGCGTCTTCGCTCAAACATCCTGGAGAGCCAACCCGGTATCCCCGTGATTATTGAGGAGCAGGTGAGAAATCTTTCCAATACTAGCGGTCACATTTTCATTTGCTAACCTTTCGTTAAATAGTACATCGATGTTGAGACCTGCGAGCCCATCACCGACATGTTCGCCGAGATCTGGGGCTGCAATGCTACCGGCGTCTACTCTGGCCTTGTCGCCTCGGGCAATGGTAACCCCTCCGACCTTTCCAATCACGACACCACTTTCCTTCGTGGTGTTCAGCGCACTGACGAGGATGGTGTCGTCACCTTCCTGACCCTCTTCCCTGGTCACTACGACGGCCGCACTACTCACCATCACGTCGTTGCTCACGTCAACACCACTCTCCTGCCCAACAACACGCTTGCTGGAGGCTACACCCCCCACATTGGACAGTTCTTCTACGACCAGGATCTCATTGAGAAGGTCGAGTCCACCTACCCCTACAACACCAACAAGATTCCCCAGACCTACAACAAGGTCGACCGTGTTTTCCAGCAGGAGACCGATGGATCGACCACTTCCGACCCAGTCCTGAGCTACGCCTACCTCGGTGACAATATTGAGGATGGTATCTTCGCTTGGGTCCAGGTCGCCATCAACACCTCCGCCCACCACTACCCTTACTACACCAATGTTCTCACCTCCACCGGTGGTGTCAATATCACTGGTACTGAGTGCGGTGACTACACTGAGATCGACGGTGGCAAGTGTTAGATTTGATTGCCTGAACAAGCACCGGCCTTGTTTAAACGTGTGACAAACTAACCTATATGACCATTACTATCCTCGAAATGCCGAATCCTGTGGCTTGATCTGATGAAAACATGATTCTGTCATTCCCGTGTTTATATAGAGCCAGACAATTTGGAAGCTAGATGGACGTCTTAGATTTTTTGGAGAGCAGTGAATTTATGAGGCTTGAAACTACTGTCATGTGCTTTTCAATTGTATCAAATAGCTTCGTGACATATGACGAACATGGAAGCACACCAACATTACCCGTGAACACCGATTCCATTAAGCATTAAGAGCCCTCAGTAGCGCTCTCCATATGATGAACATCGGTCTATTTCGCATCAACATTCTCCTTCCCGGCATGGAGCACAAGACTTCTCATACTACTTAATAAAGGTAGCCGCCGCAGTGGGCATCACTGTTTGTTCCCATGATGACTGATTCGGAGGTATTGTGGGGAGTGGCTGTTATAGAGTGAAATACCTTGAGAGCTTGAAGACCGCTTTGAAGAAGAAACTCGTCCAAAATGATAATTGACAAATTCTTGTAAAAGATGAATGGCAAGTAAGGTCAAGTGAGGAAGGTTAAAGTTGAGGACATCAAGTCATTGCGATGAATGAAGCTAAGAGAGGCCAGCTTTTTTGATCGCATTCGCAATTCTGTGGATGGAAACTTCCGGCACAATTGTTTTTTCTATCTGTGCAGCGATCATCTCACCTGTTCGCGCTCGTCCATTTCCTTCCTCTTCCTTATCCTCGTTCCGTCTTCCACCCCCTCGCCATCAACCTCTCCATGCGACCTTTTCATGCCAAACTCTACATTCCAAACCTCTCATTGCCTTTGTATCACACAACAACCAGGATGCAGCAGGAGAATAAACCCCCTTCTAGCAAATCGGCTAGTTGTGGAAAACAGTTGCACGCTAACGACCAGCCTGGTGTTGATTATCCTTATGAGATGAAAACGCACCCAACTAGTCCCACAATGACTCGTCTTAGTGGACTGGGTCTTGATACTAAACCTCGCATACAGCCTGGAAATGCCTTTGCCCTTTTGAAGCCAATTGGCGCTAATGGAAGCATCCTCCCTCGTAGGAGCAGTGGTGAGCCCATATATCTGCACCCTTCAACTTTTACCCCCCTCCCCCTCCTTTCCAGAAGCTCAATATCCATGGTTCATTGAATCAATTTGACTGATCAACGAATGAATTTCAGGTGTCTCGGGCTCTAACAGCCCTAATGAGAGTGACCGTCCTCCAATGCTTCGCAAAATGTCAAGTCTCGACTATGATGAAGCCCTTGCACTTCCCATGCCTAAACCTCGTCACATCAGAACGGATTCCGACAACCGTTCAAATCCGTTCCAAGATGATAACGAAAGAACAAAATCACTGAAGAAACGTTCCGCCACCGATCCAGTAGTATCTCGGATGCATGCGTCATCTGAGCCTGTCAACCTTCAGGATATCCACGAGGGCAAAAAGAAGTCCCGGTTCGAGATGATCAAGTCGAAGCTGAGTTTCAAAGACCTGCGGAAGGAGCTCGTGAAGGAAGATTTGGGTGTTCAGCCCGCTACACCACCCCATCGCGCCTTTTCTGGAAGTGCTATTCCCACCTTGGCATCGAGCAGCCAGGAATCCAACGTGAAGACCAAGGTTCATTCGGTCAAGAGAAATCCCCCCACTAAATTTGTGCAAACTTCCAACTTGACGGTCCCGAATCACTCCACGAATAAGCTTCCTCTGCCTTCCTCGGGATCATTTTCCAATTTATCTGGATCTACACCTACAATCAACAGAGAGAGAAGTTGTCGAAGCAGTGGGGCAAGCAGTACGATAGGAATTCAAGCCCCGTCCTCCACTAACTCTTTCCCCATCAAGGAGGAATTAGACCCCATAATTCCCACTGCGACCCCCCGCGATGCCTGACAGACGTCGGCCAGGTATTTCTATTCCTCGATCCATTAGTGTGACCCCAGCCAGGAAACCCTCATCACCCAACACCTTATCCGTGCCGAAACACCCCGTCACGAAGGACTCGCCTCCCAATCTCGGCGACTTGACCGAGGGAGAAGGAGAAGTGAAGTACCTTCCAAAGACATGGGTCGATGGTTCATACCGCCGAATCTCCAACGGCGACAATCAGGGCAATATCCAGACGCCTCCACCAACTGTCTATGCCAAGGGGGAATCACCCATTGTCTCCCTCTCCAACTATCTCCCGTCATTCAAAGAGCGATTGGACAAGATGGATCTCTCTCCAGAAAAGACTTCCTCTGGTGAAGGTCAGAATCGCAGTACCGCCAATCAAATCGATGACATTCTGGGCATGATAAATTCCATCCAGCGCAGAGTAGACGGCGGGGTTGCCAATATGAACAAGAAGCTCGAAGAGCTTTGCGCCTGGATCGGTGATCAACTCCAGAATCAAATCACAAGCAATGGGGACTTAAGCCGTGCCAACTCCGATCTCTTCTCGAAGCAATGTCAGATCTCCCGGGAAATGATGAAGTTCCAACTTGATATTCGCCTGGAGATTGGTACCATGGAGCGACGACTGAGCACCTTCGAGAACAAGATTATTGACGAGTTGCAGAATAAAGTCCGATCTCTCGCTAGATCATACGAGGAACTGAATAACAAGACAGAGACTATGATTGCAAGGCATTCGTTCATTGATAACCAAAGCTTTATCGAGCTACAGGTGCAGAAGAACACGGAGATTGAAAGGGAAATCGCATACCTGAAGTCCTGCGAGGGCAGTTCAATTTCAAAAGATGTTGCTGCTTTTGCACCCACGAGAATAACACCCCAGCAAAGCTTTTCTAGCAACGGTAGCAGTGAGCCCTTGATCAAACAAGTCTTGCTTGTGCCTCCAACGTCCCCGGATGTGCGCACTACGCCCAGACATATGGCTACCCCCGATCATGTCCCAGTCACTCCAAAACGTATCCAATCCGCTCCTAAGGAAGTCCATGCCACTCCTAGGGATTTCTCCACTACCCCCATCCGTCCTCGAGTTGTTTCAATGGTGGAGAGCAAGAGCAGTAGTCTGCTCCCACGCAGCGTGTCTCTCACCGGAAAGGGCATCATCAAGGGAATCAAAGACATCGCTTCCAGCACGTCCGACACGAGAGAAAACAAAGACAAGACCCATCTGAATAAAGCCAAGAGTCACGATGAATCGAAAAAATGGAACTTGTTTAGCATGCGCACCCGCCGTCGCGAAGACAGTACTTCTAACAGCAGCGGCAGCAAGTTCCACTGGTCTCGCCGCTCAAAGGACATCCCAAACAACGAAGAACAAGCCACAATCAGCTCACGCTCTTCTACGCCTCCCGTTCCGGCCATCCCTCGGAACCCACGCGCCCGCGCAAATATCCGGTCCATCGAGCGAATTCCGACTCCGTTCCCTTCTAACATGGTAGATCCTATCAACTCGGTTCACCCTGCGTTCCGAATCGAGCATCGTGGTCCCAATGGTGCATCGGCTAGTTCTTATGAAACTGCACTGGAGTCCTTCAGAGCTGTGGATACGGATGTCATGAAGCAGAGTATTCTGGATGGCTCTGTTTCTGCATTTGCTGAGGCCCCTAGTCTTGAGTCTGATGATTTGGACAGCAATTCTCCTCTGCTTGGAACTTTGACTCCTAAACTGAGGGTCCTTGATCATGTTATTGAAGATGCATCGCTTAGTGCTAATGCTCTTCGATGCAGTGGGGATGTCCAAAAAGATATCTCGTCAACTGATACCTTGCAGGAGTGGGATCATGTCTCTGTGATTGATACCAAGTCGACTTGATGGATTTCGAAGTACTAGTGTGGTCCAGTTCACACAAAAGCCTCCTTGTTACCTCGTGTTGTGTTATTGAAGGAAGATGACGAAGGATTTGTGGAGACTTGTGGTTGGTAAGACCGTTTATGAGTTGGAGTTATCAAGGATTAGTTCAGACAAGGGATTTTGAGAGATACTGATATCAAGTGGGTTATGGATAATTGCGGTTGATGATTCTGTTCCCAGAGTGGAGCTATGATGGACGTGTACGGACGAGGGAATTGAGAGATATTGGTATCGGTATCAAGTGAGATGTGGGAATTCACAGTTAACATCCGATCAAGTGTTCGAATATGCAAGATTGATACTATTAATTGTGAAACACCAAGCCCGGGAATGATAGCCACAGAAATATGAATCGCTTTTAAAATTTACATCCTCAAAATAAGAACATCATAACTGGCCTCTATAAACCTTCAAATGAATCCATCCATCATCTATTTGGCAGAAAGCAGCATCTTTTCAATATCAATGGCTGCATCGCGGACCTGAGGACAGTAGTGCTGGCGCAACAACTCGCCCTCATATACTGATCCGGCAAAGACATTTGTGCCCTCAATATCAGTGGAGTATGCGTTGAACACACCATCACCCTTACGCTCATCAGTGTGCCACAGGGGCGAGATGCGACGCCCGTGGTGTCTAGAGACCTGTTGCATAAGCGAGAGTGTGGCGAGAGCAGACTTCTCAGGGAGTTGAAGTGAGGAAGTCATGAGACGCTTGGAGAAGCTGGCCAGTCGGACCGGTGGGGGGTTGCCGTGTGCCCGAGAAAGAAGGGTCGACTGGAGGCAGCGAAGAAGCAAAACCATGGGAGTCTGGAAATTAACCTTGTTCTTCGAGCGGATTCTGGAGGACTCCTCGGGAGAGTTCGGGTCTGGGAGACGCAGGGAGGTATTGGGATTGTATTCGACTTCAGGGTTGGTGGATAGGGCGTAAAGGGAGCGGTAGAGGTGCTTGATGAAGTAGCTGAGGTCCAAGTGGAGAGTTGTTGCAGCCTTGGCGGTGTCCTGGCCATCAAGAAGAGCAAAGGCAGTGACTGTGCACAAGAGGGCCTCGCGGCGCGAGTCACGGCTAGCGGCTTCAGAGATAGCACCCTCTTTGTTTTCATCCTCTTCCTCGTCCTCCTCTTCATCCTCCCCTTGATCCTCACGTTCAGCATGTCCAATAAGATCCTTCAGGGCTTCCAACAGATCTCCGAAGAAGTCCTGGTTGATGAGACGAGCGTACTTGGCCAGACCCTCAAGAACGGGACCCATCAAGTGGGGAATCCGTTGCTTCAAGATGCGGAAGTAGTTACCAAACACGAGTTTCAAAGTCTCGGCTTGATTCTTATCACGCTCCTCATGCGAGACGAGTGCATCTGCTTGTTTCATATCTTTCTCAACCACCTTGCGCTCTTTCATGACCTTGCGCTCTTTCTTCGTACGAAATTCGCGTTTTTGCTTTGGCTTCTTTCCCCGAGTCGGTTCCTCCTGTTCTTCACGGTCGACACGTTCCGTTGATGCCTTGAACGTAAACTCACCCAGTAGACGTAGGTGGAGGAAGGTATCCAGAACACTTTCGTGGATGCGGAAGTCCCGAGCTTTCATCATCTTTGAGAGCAGACGAACAGTCTCCAGAGAGACAATGCCGTCAATATCCTTGGCGAAAACATCCTCCACAGTCTCACGGCATTTAGCCATATCGGGGTCTACCAGTCTCCGTGCGAGTCGGTTAATGATAATCTTGATCAATTCGGTCCGGAAGTTGAAATGGGGCACAGCCTGGAGTAGAGTGCAAGCACAGTTAATGGCCATGGTTTTCAGACTGGCGTCCTTCTCGCTGGTGTGACCCCGGCCAGGCTTGGCCAGCAGAGCCAATGTGTTGACGTAGTTCTTGTATCCAGACACAAGGCTCTGCTCGAAATCTCGGAGCTTGCGCACATCCTTCGACACCTTCGCAGTCTTATCTTCTTCACTGAGAGGACGAATACGGTATCCTGGAATGACATCTTTGTAGATCGCGGCCTGGGCGGCCAGTGCCAGCTTCTTCACCGTGAGAGGTGAGTCCGGGTTGTTTGCCATCTCGGCCATGGTTTTGAACAAAGCAATATTCTCTTCAGGGTCCTCGTTGATTTGGGAAGCCATCCGGGCGAGATCTTCCTTCGCTTGCATGATCTGCACCTTCACGGGAATCTTGGGTTTTTTCTCTTCCTCCTCCTCGGACTCCTCCTCGCCTGATCCATCCTCCATCTCGTCATCGTCGGTACCCAAAAAACTGTCGCTATCCTCCGCTTGCTCTTCTACTTCATCTTTGGCCTGGACAAATCCCTCAGAGGTTTTGATGGGCAAACGTGTGCGCTCGGTTTCTTTTTTGTTCGTTTTGCGCGGGCGTCGCTCGTAATCCTGCTCAACGTCCCACTCGCCGTCGTTGGTGAACAGTTCAGAGTCGCCCCCATCAGCAGGAGGACTCAATCTCCGTCTTTTTGTCGATTGACCGCGCGCCATTTTGTGATTTTGAGTTGTAGTAAATTTGCGGGAGTCGAAGAGCGCAAAAGCTTTGCGGCGACGAGAAGGCGGTGCGGACTAAAAATTTCTGCCGCATTTTTTCTAAGTTCTCCACCGGGAGATTTTATCAAAACTTATCTCCATCTTCCAACCATCGTCGCCCATCATGCGTTCTCTTACTGAGGAGGAAACTAAGACTCTTTTCACAAAGATCGCCAACTACACTGGCTCTTCTTTGTCACAGCTCGTCGCTCCCACTACCGGAGATGGCCCTAATGGAGAGGGAGAGCGCATGGTCTTCCGCATACAGAAAGACCGAGTCTTCTATATGCCTTTAAAACTCGCCAATTTGGCTGTCTCCATCCCTCGGGCTAGCTTGTTGAGTGTCGGAACAATGATTGGAAAATGTCAGTCCATCCCGCACTCCATTGCTTCGCCTACGGTGCCTCGAATCTTTGTATCTGACTTTCTTCATTCTTCTAGTCACCAAGACTGGCAAGTTCCGCCTTGCCCTGACCAGTCTCGATGTCATCGCCCCTCACGCCAGATACCGTCTCTGGATTAAGCCTAATGGCGAGAGTACGTGTCATACAAACCAATTTGTGATTGAAGTTCTCATGCTAATGCCTGTTTCACAGTGCCCTTCCTTTACGGTTCCAACGTCGTTCGCGCCCACATTGCTCGCTGGAGTGAGGATGCCCCGGAGCATTCTGGCTGTATAGTATATTCTATGGATGGTATGTTAAGAAGCTTACCACTTGCTCCTGAACTTGGCTAACTTCCCGTGTCTGTAGATACCCCTCTGGTACGTTAAATCATACAGTCACTAACGGAACACACGGCTAATAATACTCTTTTTCGCGCAAACAGGGCTTCGGAGGTATGTTTTGCTGTACTCTGTTCAGTCTGATACTCTGCTAACAACTGGAATAGTGACTGCTCGATCCACTGCTGAGATTCGCAAGCTTGATCCCACTGCCATTGCTCTCTTCCGACAAGCAGATGTTGGTAAGTTCACAGTCCATTCACTACCATTTCTGTTCTTGTTTGCTAATTTCCTTTGTAGGAGAATATTTGAGAGAGGCATGTGGCCCCTGCTTGATAGACAGGATGATCTATCTATTATATGAACTATGGCTAACTTTTAACAGGAGGATACCCTTTTCACCACCTAAAGGAACACCATTTGAACGGGAAACTGGAGTTTATGGAGTCATTAGATGTCAATACAAAAGTCATATTGCACTTCGGTGTGGGTTTCCTTTGTATCAAATAGCACGGTGGTTAGACATGGGTCCGTTATAAAAGCTTTCTGAGGACCAAGTTTGGTCCAAACACCCTCAATACAAAAGATATGACATACAGAGCACATCTCCGTTCTAAATTGTCCAGAACAAGAGGAGAAAACACTTTCGACTGAGGCTGACCTGTAGACCTTGTATAGTGGTGTTGCATGAGTTTGAAATTCCCTCCACTCCTTACATAATATTCTGCCATATTTTCTGCGAGCCAAAACCTCACATTCCTAGCTAAAGAAACTTGCAAGCTGAACATCACTGAGAACATTCCTAATAACGTACCACATATGACTTAAGAACCGTGTGGTGACCGGTGTTCTATATTGGGTCAGCGTACTGCATATTGATAGGCGGTAAGCTATACATAGTAGGCGGTCTGAAAGGCTGGTTTCAAACTCATGCAGCACCACTGTACATGGAGAAAACCTTGGAGTAGACAATTCATGGCATCTCAAGGACCCTGGGTATAGTGCACTGGTATGTAACAGGCTAGCATGAGCAGGATTCTATCTACGTATCTACTGTCATTGATAATAAATAATATTTATAACGTTCATAAAGCAGAGGGCTACGAAGATCAACTTATCTACAGCAGATAAGATAAGCATTTGCGCCTCAGGCACTAGCTGAGTAATCCCCGCCGCGGGGACATCGAGAAGCTGTTCAGGCAGCGCGGGGATTCGGAACGAAAAAAAACGACAAGTACGTGACAACGATAGATCCCTCTCACTTGCGCTTTATTGCTTTTATCTCCGGCTGTCTCCGGCCCTCCGTCCTCCCGCCCCGTCCCACTGCGCCCATCACGTTTTGAAACCTCATTATCACGATGCATCGCGGAATAAACACTACCCCTTCTGGCCCACCCTTGACCGAGGGACAGAAGGAAACTTTGAAGCAGTTCTTGGAAGTTGCAGCCACGAGATCAAGCACTGCTGTGGAGGTGTGTTTTTCGCAAGTTTTGGGTGGTTGGGTCCATTCCAAGCCCGCCGCCACGAATGCAACCTGACGAACTCCTCACTAATATACAGCTTTAGTATTTGAGGAAGACAAAATTTGACCTAGGACGAGCAATCAATATGTGAGTGCCTCTTTATTTCTATACACAGCTTATCAATTTATTGTTGCATGCATGTGCGCGCTGGTTATAGCTTTTGTCTGAAGTGCGCGCTGTCTTGGCATACAAGACCAACATGCGAGCTTCTCCTGCCAGCGCAGAGCTGGGGGAGTAAGTCTTACTTTGTGTATCTTCTTGTTGTGCAACTACTTCAACCTTGGCAGCTTTTTGCAGGTGTACTACCAATGTCGCATTGCGGAATCTCCAAGACCAGCAGGCCAACTCTCCCACCACAAAGCAGCTCAGACAACCCCAGTTCTCCAGTGAAGCTGACCATTGAATCTTGTCCAGGTACTACATGGATGAAAACAAAGGCAACAAGGCTCTGGTAGCCCCCTTGACCAAGGTTTTCGAGAGCTACCGAGGTAAATCCACCTTAATATCCGCACTGAGTTCAATCAACACAGTACTCACCCCGCCATAGATCCCGACACGGATGAGGACGACCAATTCGGAATCGATGGCGCAATGAAATACTTCCAGGATCTAGAGGTTGCACTTGACGAGATTGTCGTTCTTGGCGTTGCAGAGCTATGCCAGTGCCCAGCCATGGGCGAGTTCACCAAGGAAGGATTTTTGAATGGCTGGAAACTCGTTGGGTATGTTCACCTTTCCACATCTCCCAACCAGTTTATTCGTCCAATCACCATGCTATGTACGCAAAGACCGTCCTACTAACCAACTTCCCAGCTGCTCCACCATTTCACAAATGAGGAAGCACATCCAGACCCTTCGCAAAGAAATCCCCGAACAGCCCACCGTTTTCCGCCGTGTCTACCGATACTCCTTCCTCCTCTCCCGACTACAAGGCCAACGTGGCGTACAATTCGAAATCGCGGCCGAGCAATGGCGTCTGTTTTTCGACGAGGCATCTGGCGGTATCAAGGGAAACACAGAGACCTCACCATGGCTGGACTGGTGGCTTGAGTACATGGAGAAACGGGGTACAAAGGTCATCAGTAAGGATCTATGGGAGCAGCTTGAAGTGTTCTTGCGGAAGGCTCTTGAAGATGAGAACCTTGACTTCTGGGATGCTGATGCGGCGTGGCCTGGTCTTATTGATGAATTTGTGGATTTTGTCAAGGAGAAGAGAGGAGGTACCCTCAAAGTTGTGTAGGAGTGGTGAGTTGACTTAGTATTCCATGTTCGATTTTCTCCAGATGGTCTTGAGGTATACCCCGGTAGAAATTGAGCAGCTTTGCGTATTTTTAGTGCTCAATGTTTTGGGTTTCTCGTTATGGACCTGGGTTGAAAATCTGGGTATTGGATGGATCGTTTCTACGAGTTTTTATGACTGCTTATGAGTGATGTGAGCCATATTCTTATTTCAATGCCATCCTCATTTCAACTTCCAAGGCTATCATGTTTTATTACAGGGCTGATGGGCTCAGGTAGAGTTTGGTTGCTAAGACATGGATCGAGTGGGTCCGATCGATAGTCTGGGGTTTATAGATTTGTCATGAGTTTATATGCTCGCAAATCGCATTCTCTACGTCTTGGATTGATACCCTGATTACTGGTTTGCGTATCGTAGTTCTCTTCGTGCCAAGGTTCTCTTTATCCTTTCGCGCCAATGATTATAAAGTAATTGGGAATTCCATTCGTCGTAAGATTGAAATAACATCAGTTGAGAAAGATATTTGACGCATACCGAGATGCAGATGTTTACACAGAATCAAACACCAGAGACATAAAAAAAGACATCACACAAAAGAAAGGGGGAATAGATATCTGCAGAAAGAATCGAATGTACGCTGTACTGTACGAATCCAGCTCAATTCGGCGCGGGAGGACTCGACTCCATATTAGAAGTTTGTTCTGCAGGGAAGGGACTCAATCCTCTAAGGGTAGTCGCGCTTCTCGTAGTCACGGCGCTGGTCGCGCTGGTCGTAACGCTAGAACCATATTAGCAGGCACTCAACTAGAGTAATGGGGAGAAAGAATAGCTCACCTTGCGCAGAGCTTCCAGACGCTTCTTCTTGGTGTGGGTGTTAACATAGGTTCCAATGAAGAAACCGGTGATGTTGAAGAAGGGCACCCAGGTGTGCTCGGGGAGGAACTTCTGGGCGAAGGCCAGAGCCAGCGGGGAGGTAACCCAGCTGACCTTCATGACGGGCATGAAGCCGGCGCGAACAGTAGCGCGAACCTGGTGGAAGGTACGCGCACCAGCGATGATCGCCATCGAGCACAGGTAGACGGAGTTCTGGATGGGAGAGATCTATCGGGTAAAGCGGGAAGGGTTAGCGCTTCGTTGTCGCACGCGTCACGGTCGCAATTGACCGGAGTAGCATCGGGAATGAATCGATCACATACAATCAAGTTGCTGACCAAGATCTGGAGGATCTTGGCCTTAAGGCTGGTGCGGCCGGCGAAGATCTTCTGCAAGATTCCGATGAGGACGTGGCCGAGGGGTGCGGCGATGAACATGCCGTAGAGCGACATCTTGGGGATGCGCGAGGAGAAGTAGTGGCCATGCTTGCCGACATCGTGGGCCAGGTAGGAGGCGAGGAGTTCTTGAAGACCAGAGAGCACACCCGAGGTGAGCATCTTGGTGCGCAGCGGGTTGTGCTGGAGCTGCTTGAGGTAGGCCTGCGACACACATTCCTCGGATCAGTATGGAATGTCGGGGGAGGGGGTATCGATTGAATCCAATTGTTTCCAATTAATTCATCGGTAGGGAGAGCTTCATACCGCGAGGTAGCCGGCAGTAGTGTGTCCACCGGTCAATCGCTCACCGACGCGGTGCACCAGGTCCTCTGGCTTGCCGCCAGTGACGGTGCGGATGGTCTCTTCTTGGAATTTGACAGACATGGTGGGCTAAAGACAGACCCAAGTACGCCTAAGGTAGGTAAAATAGATATTAATTAAGGGAACATCAGAGTTGGGGGGGCGGGACGTGTTTGTTTATGAAATTGGGCGAGAGACAAGAGGGGGCTGGGCCGAGTCTAATCTCCCGAGGTTGTTCTTCCCCTTAGGACCCACGTACCTTGTATTAAATTGTACCGAAAATAGTACAGTATAAAAGTCACAGGAATATTCTAAAGGAAGATCTGGGGAAATCGAGATAAGGCGGTCTAGGGGGGGGTTCCGTATATTTAAAGCGGTCGGTTTCTTGAGTCGGCAGATGTGGACGCAACTGGGTCGAATGGGGGCTGACGGCGATATCCATCGATCCATTGGCCGACACATCGGCACTCTCCGAGCCTACTCCGGTTGCGCTGCGCAACACATTTACACATTGATATCTAGAGACTCATATGTTTGATCAACCACTGGTTTTCCTGACTTTTGTTCATGTATTTCGTCCTTGAGGAGGTACTGGTATTGCAATTTGCCGCTCGGAAATCATACTCCGGAAAACATTTGGTACCCGGCTTTATTACCGAGCTGCCGTATTGAAGGGAACATGGCATACTATGTCTGGTACACACTGCATCGAACCGAATCGCCATTCGATCACATCAAGTTCCCAACAGCAACACAGGATTCGCCACTGGCTCATGTGGATTTTGAATTGTGCGAGCTAGTTGTTGGTGTTGGTCCATTTCTGCTTGAGAAGAGTAATGCAGTGTTCCATCTTGTCGATTTCACGCTTGAATATAGATATCTCAGATGGAACTTGTTCGATGCGGCTTGATCGGCGAATAACACGAATTTCTTTTCGAAGTTTATGCCGATGTAGTGACCAAGTCGTAGTAAGGGGAACGCATGTAGATCTCGGTGCCGCTGAGCGGAATGTTCCTCTGACGCGTGCGCTTGACTTGAGGAGCGGAGTCGTCGGCGATGTCGACTTGGTCAAGTGTAACAATCGACGCCCACGCTGACGAGGCCAATGGGGTCAACTTAGCGAAAAGGCCAATGTCCTTTTTCTGGTCCACAGTGACTTGGCATGATTTTGGCAGAAATCGTATAAGATTACCTTGCTTGAAACCTGGAATTGCCTGGCGATTCTGGCGGGAATCTTTGCGCTCATTGGTATTGTTGGCTTCAAGTTCCTCGCGGAGCTAGCAGCTTCCTCAACGTGCTTGGGGGAAGGCATGTTTGTGGATTGTAAGTAGGTTGGAATTAAAAGAAGACTATCGTGAGTGAACTGGAGTGTGTTAATGTAATCGTGGTATTGTAAGTAAGTTAGAAGTAAGGACTAAGTGAGATTTTAAATATTCTATATGTGAATATTTCAAGGGAGCTGTCTGTCTAATTGAATACCACAAAATTAGTTAAGCACCCTCACTAACCGCATACAAAGTAGCGCAGTATTCAAGATTCAGAGAGTAATATTATTGAGTAGATACCTAAGTACCTACTTGCTCATATTACTCCATAGACTACGCTGGAATGTGAAGGTGAAGAGTGATACCGATTAAGCCACCTTTAATCACTTATATTATAACTCTAATGAGGCGTCATCTTGTATATTGACGTGTATTAAGCGAGGCGATGCAATATACTTTAATCATTGAGATAGCCGTTTTTCTAGATTACAATTACTACACCATACCGGATATAAAGATAGAGTGGTGTTCAACTAATTTTGTGGTGCTCAATTATCGCGCTCCCCTTTGAGAAGCCTCGGCGACGGGGCTTCATGTGGTAGACAGTCCTGTTCATCGAGGTCGTTTCGACAGTGGTGTCGTTAAGATTAGAGAGACCTGAAAAAAAAAACAATAAAATGCAAAGAAAATAAAAACAAGCACAGACAAAAGACCAGATAAAAAACCAAACCAGACCAAAAGTAGAATGAACACATCGAAGACAGAGAAAGACATCTGATGAGCTCGTTCAAGACCCATGTGGGTCCTGCCGAGTCAGGAAGTCCCAACCTTGTTCCGAGCCTCGGTTCCTTCCGTGATCGCGATTTACGTGATATTCTATTATCTTTGTTCCATAACTCCGAGCTGGTCTCTCTTCTTTTCTCTCTTTTTGAGCTTAAGCGTCCTCAACATGTCAGACCCTGAGCATACTCCCGAGAGTCCAAAAACACCAGACGCTCAGCATGTGGGGAAACCTAGCCCGACAACCGCGGGGAAATCGGCGACACGGCAGCAATTATTAGCAGCCTTAACGGCGACCGACGTGACTATTCGGCGGTTAGATTTGTGAGTTATTTCTCTACAGGGTCCTGTACCAACAGCAACAGCCATGCGAACCGGCCTTGTCGTTTTTTCGGTCGGCTAACGTTCTCTCCAGACTCCTATCTTCCGCCGACGGACAAGAGAGGGTCCTCGCGACGACAAATTACGTCGCATCAATTCTACAACACCTCTGTGCTTCGGCCCCATGGATCGCACTACAAACGCGCATGGGAATTTTGGCCCGATTAAGAGGCCGAGTCCCCTCACAACCCTCCAAAACCTTCTCCTCCTCCGCGCCGGCAAGGTGGTCAGCCCTCTCCAACCTTGCCTCGGAAACCCGCTATAACCTCCGGCTTTTCGGTCTATTACCACTCTGGGTCTGGGGCTCAGAAACATTCAGATCACCACCGGCGGACCCAATTATCCATGCCCTGACCCACCTGCAGGTCATCTCCAATGTGATCTATCAACTCCTTGAAAATATAGCCTACCTCGCAGGAAAGGGCATTGTCTCCAAAAAATGGATTGATAAATACGGTGGCATTGATCTATGGTATATATGGAGTACCCGTGGCTGGTTTGGCCACATTTTCTTTCAATTCTTCGTTCTCTGGCGTCAACATGTGCTGCGCAAAAGACGCTTGGCCGAGAAACGCGCCGCCGCCGGTAATGTCGAGACCGAGGAAATCAAAGCCGAAGAAGCGGAGGCGCTCCGCTTGGAGATCAGGTCCTGGAAGAAGAGCCTAGTCAATAACACTATCTGGGCGCCCTTGTGTATCCACTGGTGTTTCGAAAAGGGTGTTGGCATCCCCGAGAACTTGACCGGCCTGGTCAGTCTCATGGCCGGTGCTTGGGGAATATATGATTCGTGGGTCGCGACAGGCAAAGCCTGATCTGTTGATCCCCTCTTCGCATTTCTTATGTTGTAATATCTCTAGACTTGTCTGCACATACAGTTCATTTCATCGATGCGATGCAGGACATACCCCATACTTTGAATATGAATCTTCCTTTTTTGCAACATTTTTTACCAATCCGGCGTATGTACCAGTTAGTCTGTGGAAAATATCAAGCCGTGCTTAGTCTCTACAATCGCCCCCATATCAAACCTTCATTAATTCCCGATGTCCTCCGATGAGGTTCCTCTAATGGATATACGCCGATTGGATACCCAGCCCGAGGAAAAGCAAAGAAACACAACAAACTCAAAGTTGCAGACACAAACAGTAACCCTGGAAAGCAAACACAGTCACACAAATTCCGCCGCCACACCCGCTTGTCGCGACAACAATCGTATTCAGACACCGGTTCTACATAGCAATGTGGGGATGCGCCACGGGATGTGGAGTAGTTAAGCTTCAAAAAAGGAAATTTGAGGCGGTTGACGGGTGATAACAAAGCGACTTTACCAGAGTTATTCGTCTGGTATCTGTGCTCAGACGTAGGTTTGTTTTAGTCATATAAACCAATTACCTGCCCCTTTGAGCCATTAGCGAGGTTTTCATGCTTGACGGGTCCATGGTGGATGGAGTCCACTATTGCTCCACTATGAGGGCGGATTAGGAAAGGCCACGCGGTTATCAGATTCTTTTTTTTCTTGTCATTAAGAGGTTGCTGTTGTCGATATTGAAGTCCCTCGCTGCATACAATCGCTTTCCATGTTGATCAAAGGAGTCATGTTGGTTCCTCGGGTGGGAATGGGTAGATATATATAGCTTTACATATACAAGCCACCTTTCCAACTTCTTCGCTTTATCAACAGAGCTTACTAAAAACGTACTTCTATATACATCATCCACTTCTCCATACTTTCCTCAGACAAACACTCTCGCTCTATCAAATTTGAATGTTGTTGGTTCAGCTGCCCACTGTCACACCTGGGGCCACCATCCATACCGGAACACCACAAGCTCACATGAATATAAGATACTTGTATCCATGGATATAGCTTCTTATTCATAGTTGCGCGCAGATAGAATGGTGTTTGTCAAGAGCTGAGATATTGACACGAAATCAACATTCGGACTTGCTCGCGAAGTGCATTAGCCGAGGTGACTAAATTCGAAGTGCTCGTTCCCGAGGTCCACTGGTTTACACAAAGCACTTCTGCCCAGGTGGATGGAGTCGGACTTTTTGTGTACGAGGCAAAAGATATAGCGGATATAGTGGACGTCTAATACACGCACCGGGCAGACTTAATCCTTATTGAAGGATAGTGCGTGCAATTTTGCCCGATTCTAAAGAGGATCTATAATGCCATCATATAGATATAATGACCTCGGGAGGCATGAACACTTAAACCGAGGGTAATTTCAATCAGGGTTGGCATGGACAGACTAAATACATCCGTGATGTTAATTACTGGATTGCACGGGAACTCGCTAAAACAGAATGAATTCGGCTGGTGGATGGAGACATCAAAGCAGATTGGGTATACATCTCGAATGGTCATCGGTTGTAAGAAACATAAAACCGCAGAGGTATGAGTTAAAAAGATAACAAATAATCATGACAGGCAATGCAAGTCAAGAAAATAAGAAAACGAATCATACAACAAGAATGAGTGAACGATAAGGGGTATTCTTATGTAACTTGCATTGAGGAACTTGTTCATCCCCGGCGGGACGATCGTCGTGTTGGCAGAGTGGCTGTAGCCGGTTTCTCTTTCTGTGCGCGAGGGCTTTTTGCCGTGGATGCTTTGGTTCCACGCTTCGAGACAACGGGGGAGGAGTTCTCCTTTTCGCTAGCCTGTGCAGGGTCTTCTTCCTTTTCTTGTTGTTCTTGTTCCTCTACTTCGGCTTCCTCCTCCTTCTCTTCTTCTTCTTCTTCTTCTTCCTCCTCCTTCTCTTCTTCCTCTTCCTCCTCGTCTGAGTCAGGGTGATCTTCACCCTCAGCCATATCTTCGTCATCACGCTCGTCTTCTGCCACATCATTGTTATCTTGCATTTCCTGATCATCTTCATCGCTATCATTGTCTGCATAGCTGATCTGGGGCTTGGTAGTTCCTCGACTGCTACGACGGCGAGCAGAAGCAGACACACTTTCGGCACCAACTTCAGTAGACCACTCATCATCGCCCTTGCGCTTGCGTTGAGGGGTCTTATTGGACACGCCCACTGATGAAGAAGACTTGCGAGATGGCCGTGTGGTCTTCTCTTTGCGTGCTTTCTTGGCCGAGGCGGCATCATTGGCATCAAGAGAATCAGGCTTTCTCTTCTTGACGGAGCCTTGCCCACCATGAGAGGTGCTCTTTGGCTTCATTGCCACCCGTACAACACGGTCGAGTACGTCATCCAGCTCGTCTGGGAGGAAGTTCTTGTCGGCAACATCTTGAGCTTCTTGGTGACTACCCATCGTTGCGAACAAGGAACTAGGAACACCCATTTTACCAGGGTAAGTTTGCAGGATGTTAGTGCCTCCGCTTCCACCACCGAATTTATGTTGTTGAGAGTAGATTTCGGCAAACTTTCTGATAGTTGCTTGAGCCAGATCAGACAAAGTGTGAAGACGAGTGGACATCTCGTCTGACTTGGTAATGCCATCACGGAATTGCTTGACACGCTGAGCAACATGGAAAATCAGAGACATGTTCTGCTCATTGGCAACAGCAGACAGGTAAAAGACGATGTATTGGCAGAAGTCGCTGAGATCAACGAGCTTTGTCGACTCATCTAGATCTTCAGATGGATAGTCGGGGTGGTAGGCGAGCAATGATAAAAGACGTGAAAATATCAATTCCATCACCATGGTTTGCTCATTTCGTTTTCCGATGTTCTGGGCTTGCTGGGCGAAATGGGCTGCGCGAGATCGCAACCAAGTGAGCGTGCTCTCCTTCAAGTTCCTGGTCGGCTCGAATGCAAGAAGACACGGGATAATGTACCAGCGATAACCAAGGTGTGACCTTTGAACCAACTTTTTCCTAAGATAGTTGATAAACTCAATTCGCACTGGTTCAAGTTCGTCTTGAGCCATCAAAGCAATCATGTTAAAATCTGCAGGAGCCAGCAAATGGTCACATAAAGTACTTGAAGCACACAGTTTAATCAGTGACTTGGCGGCAAGAAGACGCAGCCGTGACTTTTGATGTGCAGGAGTATCTTTCTCCTTAGAAAGTTCACCCTTCCCAGCCACAAGTTTGTTCAAGGTATCATAAACGGGCACGGCATGCGCACGGAAGTCGTCATCACTGTCCGAGCCATCCTTCGCACGAAGACGATTGACGATGACTTTGAGCGCCCACTCCTTGGCGTGAGTCTCCTCGTCAATTTCCTCCGACCATGTATACTGCGAGTTTTCTTCGGGTTTGCGATTGGTCAGAAGAATCTGGTTGATTGCAATTGAGATAATCACATCGCTTTCCTCGTCTGCTTCACGCGGGGCAAGCAAATTCAGCTGGGACAGAGTTGCAAGTCGAGTAAGGAAGTGATCAGAACCGTATTTCCACTTCTTCACACATTTTTGGATGAGATCTTTCGCGTACATTTCCTTCCGGTCGGCCGTGGTCATCAGAATTGACACGGCGTGCTTAGCAGAGCGTGGCGATGTACTGTACAAAGCGTAGCTGGTCAAGGCCTGGTAGAATTTGCGCTCCTTTGGAAGTTTGTCCGGAAGCTTCTTGGCAAATCCGGCACATGCCTTGAGAATCTCTTCGGAGCTAGATTCGCCAGCAGAGGAGGCTTTGGGAGCTTGTGCCTCCAGGTCTTTACACATCTCTTGAACCTGCGCCTCCAGAACCTCAGGATTTTGTGATGAGATCTGCTTCAGCATCTCCTGGGCGGCGTTGGCCAGACCATTCTCGTCAGTCCGAGAGAGACTCATAATCGCTGGGATGTGACTGCGGTTGAAGATTAAAGAACCACTGCGATACAAAAGAGGAGTTATAGTATCAAGCAAGGTCGCGTTGTTGGCACTCTGCGCACGCCGCTGAAGTTCCTTGATAGCCTTCGTCACAGTTCGATAGTCACTAACAGCAGCCATAGCAAAGCGAATGAGCTGGTAGCTGCGTCGATCATGAGTCTTGGCAAATTTCCACAGGTCTGCAGATGCGCGTGGAACATCGGGAAACGTCTTGGACAGTGAGTCAATGACTCTTGAAAGCTGAGCCTTCGCCTGCTCTCCATCTTTATCGACCACGCCACCATTGTACTTCTCACATGCCTCCAAATACATTGTCATAGCTGATCTCATCGACAGTTGACGGGCCAGCGTGACAAAGAAAACACGTCTCGCCTTCTCATCTAGCCCTCGGAGTAGGGTTAGAATACGACGGACACGAATCTTGTCAACATCAGTTTCCTGGTCAGCATCGGAGCTCTGACTATCCTTTTGTTTCTGTGATTGACTAGAACCTCCGCGGCTAAGCTTTGACTTGACCGGTGGGTAGCTCAGCGGAAGAAGTGTCTCAAACAGAACACGGTCAATCAACACATGGATTTCTTGATCATTAGTATAGAAAGCATCAAAAATCCTTGACGGCGCATCTTTCAGGAGAGATACAACAGGTTCTGTGTTCTGCTCGATGTCTCCAGCAGCAACAGCCCACATGCGTGCCAAGATTTTCATGGCATGCTCACGCACGTGCGGTTTGCGGTCCTTGACACGCTCAGCGAGAATTGCTAAGACTGAATCTGGTGACGAACAACCACCCTTCATGCCGAGTTTATGAATGACATGTGTGTAGCCAAACTGGCCGACAGTATCCACGGCAGCAAGACGGACCTTTTCGTCAGCATCGCGGAGCATGGAGGCAAGGCTCTGCACAAGTCCTTGTTCCTCGCTTTCACTCAAACCAGAGCCGCCAGCAGAGGTCAACAGAATCCGGCCCACAACAGTCGCCCACGCTGCGCGGACCTTAGGTGTCTTATCCAGACGCCGGCTCAAGAAAGCATCATAAGCCGATGAGTGCACCTGGGAGAATGGCTTCGGTGACACTGGTGTGAGAAGAACGTTAGGCTGGGGAATCGTCTGCGCATAATCTTCGAGTGTCACAGGCGGGTAAGCCGCAGGATCCATGGGTGGTGGTGGAGGGGGTCCTGCAACACCAATGCCTGCCGCAAGATCACCGATGGTCTGCGTAGCCAGTAACCGGAGGGCAACTGACTCTGCAGACAGTTCAGCTTCAACTTGTGGGATGACATTTTGCAAAACTTCCGGACAGGCTCGCCAAAGCTCTCGAATGAGAAGATGCGCTTTGCGCAAATCATTTACATCTTCTCCTTCCTCCTCTGAATCATCCAGGTTCGGCTTGCGAGTTCCGTTTTTTGACCCGTTGGCTTGACCGGTAGGCCCAGATGCATCAATGATGACGTTGTTAAAGTACTGGCTGATATGGCTCGTCATTCGCTCTGGGCAGGCCTGACAGATTGCCTTTGCCATGTTATAAGCCGGCGGGTAGTCTTTCAACAAAAGTGTATCTTGCTTAGCATCGAGGGGTGCATCGCTGCGTTTAGCCTTGCGAGGGTTTTCCAGGGCCCGAGGGTCTACCCGAAGGAATTGTGTCAACATGGTGTCCACTACCTCGGCGGCCAAGACGGGTGTTTCATCAATCACTGTTACAAGGAGTCGGGTCATGTCAAATTCCACGTTCTTGGCCACTTCCTCGCCAGTTGACGCCTTCGATGACCCGGAGACGATGTCGAAGCATGCCGTGAAGAGGGGAACGATGAGAGAGTCAGGGTGGTCCAGATCAGTCATCAGAACAATACTCTTGACCTCGGCAAGCGAGGTCAAGACGTATATGTGTTGCGCATTGTAGGCATTGGAAGGATCGGCTAAAGCGGGGATAATCGAACTGACGATACATGTAAAAACATCCTGCATCAATCTGCGTCAGCACATCCTAAATCCTCAATTGACCTCCGAAGGGTCTAATCTCTGGCAATCGCACCTTGAGCTGGTTTCTTGTAAAAGGCGCGTCCGGCGCGCACAGTCGTAAGACATCGACTAGACAGCACGTGGCCCAGGCTCGCACCCCCTTATCCTTGTGCGCGAGCAGGTGAGCGCCGGCGAGTTCCTGCGACACTTTCCGCAGAGATTCCTTATCAATTTCCTCCTGTTCGAGCTTGCGAAGTTCTTGGGCGAGGGTCTGGAGACGTTCAAGTAGATCGGCGATGGGAATAGCCGAGCGCCCCACGCGCCACGACAACGGCTGATTGAAGGAGAGGCTGCGAAGGCCAGAATCCTCCTCGGCCTCGTCGGCAGGAGCTTGACGAGTGCGCGACGGCATGATTGCGACAACCGAGCTCACATAGGAGATGGAGGGGAGGGAGAAAGTCTACGCGGTGCAGAATGGGTGGAGGTGGAAGTTGACCGCCCAGACGCGTCGCACGGGATCGCGTCTGCCCTACAAACTTTACAATGAGTCGACTTTGTCTTCGTTGCTATTTTCCGTTTTCAACTTTTATAGGAAAACACGAGTATGCAGGTTTATTTTCATAACTAAGTTGAGCATACAAAATGTGCAATTTGATCAGTGCATGGGGCACATCGAAGGTCGGGTAAACACTCGAGCGCCATGGGCGGTGTGGGCTGATCTATAGGGCAGGTACGCCTACCATATATCCTCAACCATAGATTGTGCCCTAGTAGGAATCCTGGTAGGCAACTTTGCAGTGTCTACACTACAAACTGCATGCATCCAAGCATTGAAAAAAAAAAAAATTAATAAATAAAAAAAAAGAACTTGCGGTGAACCTCGCAACAACCTTGGAAGCATCTGAAACCTCTTCCAGGGTTGATGCTGTCCAAAGTGTTCAACGATCCATGGGTACACAAAACCAGCTATTGTGACGATTAAAAATCCTCACGATCAATATGCGGGTCGGAAAGGACTATATACCAATGACATATACAAGGTGTAATGAAGGTCCCGAGGTTCCAAGGCCATCAAACTGAGAATATGGGACTAGTCCCCACTCGGCTTTCGGCCTTTCGGGAGCACGTTGAGCGCGAAGCCGCTCAAGTGCCGACTACGCAATTATTTCGTTGCAAACGCCAATCAACCAGCCACAAGCTGGTCAATGTGACTCATAGTAAATCATGCGGGGGAAGAGCCTGATTCTCATGGTATAAGTTGTCTACACGGAACACCGGCATGGGGCTTATAATATCAACATCTGATTTAATCTATGGATCTCGGCCTCGCGCAGGGCCCGGACTTTAGTCACTGCGGACTAACCACGGACATTAGGTCGAACAGTGGAGCCTCCACACTTCGTGAAATTGCTGTTAGCGAATAGCATGGGTCCATAAGGACTTGCTTGTATATTTGCTTGTGGATTTCGGGCTTTGGTCTTCTTATTAGCGTAGCTTCGGGCTCGGTCTAAAAGTACCACGAGATTCTCAGCATGACATTTATCAAGATAAAGCCAGAGCAATGCCCACATTGAAAACTATCTTCTAATCTCCACAGTTGAATTCATTCTCAAATCTTGGAAGTTCTTGCATTTAGCTTTATCTCAAGATTGGAAGTATCGACCCTATTCCTGCGACAGGAGTACGAATACATCTACTTTGGCAATTGCCCCTTTCGACATATTTTCTAAATCTTACATTTGAGATGAGTGCCAACCATATTGACTCATCTACAACTACGCCTCGCCTCAGCAAGGATCATCACGAGCCAACCATGGAGCCCGCCATGGCCACCGATGCCCTGGACAAAGAGGCGTTTAGAGCACCGCAAGAGGACACCGATGTTGAGAGTGCACATGGCCCACAATCCCCCGAGAAACCTGCAGATAAAGACCCCAATCTGGTTGAATGGGATGGCCCAGATGACCCAGAAAACCCTCAAAACTTTTCTAGAGGACGCAAATGGTTGATCACGGTGACCATGTCGTTGATGACCGTGTGGATCACATTTGCCAGTAGTGTCTTCTCGACTGCAACCACCGTCACAGCCGAAGAGTTCAATGTTTCTACTGAAGTCATGGTCCTAGGAACCAGTCTTACTGTCTTCGGTTTCGCCCTCGGTCCTCTCTGCTGGGCCCCGATGAGCGAACTATACGGCCGCCGCATTCCACTATTCTCCGGCTACGCTATCTTCGCCATTTTCCAAATCCCCGTCGCCGTGGCCACAAACCTACAACAGATCATGATTTTCCGTTTTCTCATTGGTGTCTTCGGCTGCTCTCCACTAGCCGTGGTCGGTGGTGCCATGGCCGACATCTGGGACCCCGTTGATCGAGCTGTCGCTATCGCCATGTTCAGCGGAGCTACCTTCTTGGGCCCAACTATGGGTCCCATAATTGGCGGTTTCATCACGGACTCATATCTGGGCTGGCGCTGGACTGCGTGGATCACACTTATCCCATCGGCATTCTTTGGCCTACTCGCCCTTTTCATCGTCCCGGAGACCTACGGTCCCAAGCTCCTCCAGGACCGGGCTGCCCGTCTTCGACGCGAAACCAAGAACTGGGCACTTCACTCCTTCCTTGATGAGCACAGGCCCACTTGGGGTGATATCGCGAACAAGTACCTTCTCCGTCCATTCCAGATGCTCGTTTTGGAGCCTATCCTCCTCTTCATCACTCTCTACCTTGCCCTCATCTACGGAATTCTCTACCTTTTCTTCGAGGCTTACCCTATCTCCTTTGGCGAAGTGCGGGGCTGGAAACAGGAAGGTGTCGCCGCACTCCCTTTCATCGGAATCATGATCGGTGTCTTCTTGGGTATTTCCCTGATCATCTACACCACCAAAACTCGCTTCGCTCGCAAACTGGCCAAGCATGGTCGTGTCGTTCCTGAAGAGCGCCTAGTACCAATGATGATTGCCTCAGTCCTCTTGCCAATCGGTCTCTTCTGGTTCGGTTGGACCTCCAAGAAAGAGATTTCGTGGGTGCCACAGGTCATCGCCGGTGTCCCAATTGGATTGGGTATCCTGGTTATTTTCATGCAGGGTCTCAACTACATCATTGATGTCTATATGATGTTCGCCAACTCGGCTATTGCTGCCAATACACTCGTACGGTCTACACTTGGTGGTGCTTTCCCGCTTTTTGCGGCTCAGATGTATGACAACCTTGGCGTAGACTGGGCGTCCAGTGTCTTGGGCTTTATCACCGTCGCTATGATTCCTATTCCGATTTTGTTCTTCTTCTATGGAGCCAAGATTCGAGCTATGAGTCGATTCAGCCCGAAGTTCTAAGTTCCAGTTTCATGTTGGTCGTCGAGTTTGTTTCTCAAAATTTGGGTGATTTGGATTTGGTCAAAGCATTGCTACTTTTTATCCCCGTCGGTTGCACACACGGAGTTTGAGCCGGTTTTTTTTCTTTTTGAACTGTTATGATACAAGATCACGACTTATAGATATATACATTGATACATTAATTAATTCTTGATAAGTTACCGCTGCATCATACCTACACATCCATACTTTTCTTGTTCAATCCCTCTCTTAGGCTCAAGGCCTACTTAATTACTAGACGGAGCCGTTGTGGATAGTGTAGTACCAGGAGTCAATCCACTCGAAGGACGACCCTCTGTTGTCATGATACTTTTCGTTATGATTCTGCCCAGGTGTCTTCTAAGCCTTCCTTTCATACTGTAGGGGTATCCGGCAGTCGGACATTTTCTAACGAATTTACTACCTATTGCCAACCTTGGAAGATTGCCAAATCTTGGTGCTGATGACAGTGATAGCAGAGGTCCTACAGTTCAACCTTACTACATAGGTCCTGGACCAGAAGAAAGTAATTCAACGTAGAAATTCTCTACTTAATTGGCGATTATGACACATTGTATAGGGCAGAGACAACCTTGAAGAACGAAAATAATCGAAGAGGGAAAAAACGACCACCACAGTTCTCAGCAAGTTCCCCCACTCTAAAAAGAACCATCTAACTAACGATGAATATTCAGTGCAGAAGAACCCCAGTCGAAACCGAATGGTCAAACGCAGATGTCGTCACCCCGAGCAAAAAAATAAAAGAGGAACCATTTAGTCGTAGAGGCTATCATCATTGCCGGCTTCGCCGAACGTGTCGTTGTTCTGGACCTCCCCGGCCTCAGGGAAGCGGAAGAAGCTGCTGCCTCCAGAGTTCTTAAGGCTCTGGGCAAAAGCCTCGTAGCGGCGAATCTCAACATCGCTGACGGAGCGACGAGCAGACTTCATGGCCTCCTCGAAGTGCGCCTTTGTGAGCTCAGACACGGTATCCTCCATGTTCTCATCATCGTCCATGGTGACATCCTCGCCAGCAGCCTCGCGGGCCTTAATGCGCTCGATATCAGCGGTGATGGCCTCCTTAATGGCGAGCTTGACGGCACGCTGGGTCACGAAGCCAAGATCGGCACCGGAGAAACCGTGGGTCTTGCTGGCAATAAAGTCCAGATCGACATCTCCGGCAACAGGGGTCTTACGAAGCTGGGCCTTGAGGATGCCAGCACGGGACTCCTGGTCGGGAAGAGGAACGTAGACAAGGGTGTCAAGACGACCGGGACGGACAAGGGCAGCATCCAGTTGCTCAGGACGGTTAGTGGCACCGATAACGAAGACATTCTTCTTGGAGGTCATGCCATCCATCTCTGATACAGGCGTTAGTGGAAGTTTAGTATGATGGTGTATTGAAGGAACTTACCAGTCAGAAGCTGGTTGACAACACGGTCAGAGGCACCACCGGCATCACCGACAGAACCACCACGGGACTTGGCAATGGAGTCCAACTCGTCAAGGAACACGACGCAAGGAGCGGCAGCACGGGCCTTGTCAAAGATGTCACGGATGTTGCTTTCCGACTCACCGAACCACATGCTCAGCAACTCAGGACCCTTGATGGAGATGAAGTTGGCAGCACACTCGTTGGCGACGGCCTTGGCCAACATGGTCTTACCAGTACCCGGAGGTCCATAGAAGAGAACACCCCTTGAAGGGCTGAGACCGAATTTAGTGAACATCTCGGGGTGGTCCACAGGGTACTGCACGCTCTCGATAAGTTCGCGCTTGACCTCCTCCAGACCACCAATGTCGTCCCAACGAACGTTGGGAACCTCGACCACGGCAACCTCGCGGAGGGCGGACGGGTTGGAGACACCGAGAGAGTAGCGGAAGTTATCCATGGTGACACCGAGGGAGTCAAGAACCTCGGCATCAATAGTGTCTTCGTCAAGATCAATGAGATCCATCTTCTCACGAATCTGCTGCATGGCAGCCTCGGAACAGAGGGAGGCTAAATCGGAACCGACGTAACCGTGGGTCTCAGCGGCGAGGGACTCAAGGTCAACATCATCACCGAGCTTCATGTTCTTGGTGTGAATCTGCAGGATCTCGACTAAGATGAACCAGTGTGGTCAGTATATTAATTTCTTGGAATTCATGGGGAGATGAAGGAGGCACGTACGACGACCAGTTGGGTCAGGAATACCGATATCAACCTCACGATCGAAACGACCGAAACGACGGAGAGCAGGATCAATGGAGTTAGGGCGGTTAGTGGCAGCCATCACCACAACGTTAGAACGAGACTTCATGCCGTCCATGAGGGTCAAAAGCTGAGAGACAACGCGACGTTCAACCTCGCCGTTGGTCTTCTCACGCTTGGGGGCAATAGAGTCGATCTCATCAATGAAGATGATAGCAGGCGAGTTCTTCTCAGCCTCCTCAAAGGCCTTGCGCAGGTTGGACTCAGACTCGCCAGCCATTTTGGACATGATCTCAGGTCCGTTTATTAAGAAGAAGAATGCTCCGGTCTCGTTCGCAACCGCACGGGCCATAAGAGTCTTACCGGTACCAGGAGGTCCATACATGAGGATACCACGAGGCGCCTTGACACCCAGAGTCTGGAAAAGCTGAGGGTGGCGAAGAGGCAGCTCAACGAGCTCACGAATTTGTGCCATCTGTTTGCGACAGCCACCAATGTCGTCATAACCGACCTCACTGAGGTTACCCTCCTCATCCTCTCGTTGGATGGGCTCACCCTCGCAGTGGATAATTGTGTCCTGTGCAACGATGCCGTACTCTGGGGGGTCCACCTCAACGACCTTAAACTCGACTTGGCGCATACCTCCACGCACGGTGAAGAGGTCTCCTTGGCGCACCGGTCGGTAGGCCTCACGGAAGTAGGGGGCGAGGAAGACATCGAAAATGGATCCGGTCAGACCCTCAATGGTATCGGCGATGGGAAGGACGGCAATGCGCTTAGCCTAATGTGACGTCCAGATTAGCCACCCAAACAAAAGATAAAGATGCAGATCAAAAGACAAATTCCACTTTACACTCACATATTTGATATCAGGGCAAGGGTGAACGGTAATAACGTCGCCGTGCTTGACACGGAGGTTGTGTCGGACAACGCGGTTGATGCGGGCGCTACCATCATCGAGGTCGTCATCGGCCAGGACAATCAGCACAGTATCCTTGCGCTTCTTACCCTTGACCAGGACTGTGTCACCACGGAAGAGCTGGAGAGTCTCCATGGTGTTGTTGGATAGGGCAATAACGGAGTTGTCATCGTTGACGGCATCGGTAACGCTATTGATGAGCTGTCAGCTTCGTCCCCGCAGATCGGGCCCATGGCTCCAATCGAATCTCTTACATCAAAGAGTTGGGCTTCTTTTTCTTCTTGAGAATAGCAGTCGCGGTGTCGAGCTCCTATTTATCCTGTCAGTCTCCTGGTTACTCCGGGTTTGAGTGTGTTGGTCTCACTTCTTTCTTCTCGGCGCCCGAGGGATCCCTGGTACGGTGTTAGTCACAACGCGGCGGAAAAAGGCATACATATGCAACATACTGAAGGTTGACCCTCTTCTTGTCGTGAGTGTGATCCGGCTCTGCAGACATTTTGAAGGACCTGAGATGTGTGGCGGGTTGATGGGAAGAGGAAGCTTGGAGAAGCGGGAAAGATCAAGTGTTCACAACCAAGCTGGGCAGCAGCTTGCGAAACTGAACAAGAATAATAGACAATCGAAAAACGATGGGAAGATGGAAAAGTGCAAAGTGAACACCTGGATATCAACAAGACGACCGGGGTGAGAAGGTGAGGGATGGAGGTTGGCTCAGAGCTCCCAGGTACTCATCGAGTGACGATATGTGATGAGGTAAGCGGTGGACCATTATGTCAGCAAATCGGGGTCCGCCACCAGCGAATGTGATGGAACTTGGTCGATCTTGTAGGCCTGAATGCCTGATATACTGTTTACATAGATCAATAATCGATAGTGGCCACTAGTAGACGTAGGTATCACTATGATTTGCCTTTCTCTACGGAGTGCTCAGTACTTGGGTGATCCCTTTCATGGTGAACAAGGCAACCACATCCACGGGCGCAGAACTATACCTATTCCCGGCCCCCTTCCCCCATGAATCCACGGTTAAACCATCCAAGGATAACCCAAAAAGATGTCGGGTCTTCAACCTCAGTATGATAGGCCTAAATAATCTAAACGCAAGTTGCGTGACTTTCCAACTGCTTTAATGAGGCTCTTAGGGTTAATTCGCCCAGGTGCAGCCTCTTTGACACAGCCTAGATCCTCCGCGCTTTTGTACACCAGGCATCCGTCAGAACGAGGACGGTTGATTAATTCGCGTGTCATGTCACTTTGATTGATATAGACAGCGAATAGACTTCATCTTTAATCTGTTCTTGGTCTGGCTTCAACCTACCTAGCAACCCTCCGACCCTCTGTAAACCCCTACGCATCATTTCAACTCACCACTGCCATATCTTTTCACAATTTTTTGCTTTAACAGCTTCGCTTCCACCGAAAGGGATATACAGCTTTCTCCTCCATGTCTGGCCACCTTTCTTGAAAATGGAAATGGAGCCCTGGTACCCGACCGACTTTAAGCTAGCACTGAGCAACACAATCTCCAAAGACGATGTCACCATCTTCCACCAGCAACCAGGTAGCTCCCCGCGCTTTGTATACGGAGTCTTGATGCTTCCAACGGTTCTGAAATACTATATCAGCATCGACCAATGCTACGAGATCCACACATCCATGACCCAGGCCACATTGCCCGGCTATCAATTATATCAATTCGCCGAATCAAGTTCGCCAGTTCTCGCCCCTTCGACGAATCCAAAAGATATTGTGGAGGGGATGCTTATTTTCAATCTCGATGAGCAACAACGTAATGCCCTCTACGAATTCGAAGCAGGGTTAATGTGCCTGACCAATGTCCAGGTTGAAATTTGCCAGAAAGATACGGATCAAATGCACCACCTCCGCACTGTGGATGCTGGGGCATTCACTTGGACCAAATCCACGCAGGGAATGACCAGAATTCCTGGCTCGTCATGGAGTGTGAGAGACTTTTTGCAAAGCCCATTCTATCAGCACATGTCTCAATCACAAGGTCGATCCAGTCTTGGGGTATGTAAATGGGAAAGTCATGGAGAACCGGACTTTTTGGGTCATTAGAGCCGCGATTATTAGGCTTCATTGTACATCGTGGAGAAAGATCGGTAGCATCACGAAAATCGAAAATTTGACTCTACCAATTGATTAGATTTGACTGGCATTTTCTTGTTGATGGCCGTTTATAGAATTTCACTCCTTATAACATCATGAAACCCCTAAAATTGACTGATTGAAGAAGCAACATTGTGATGTCCGTCTTGTTTGGCGATACTCAAAGTTATTCGTTACATAGCATTGGAAATCTTCAGATCTACCCTACCAATTTCTATGAGTAGCCGAGCGATGTCTGCATCTTCGTTCTGAGCAGCGTAGAAAACAGCCGACTGTCCCTTCACGTCTTGAAGATTGATACTAAGATCCTCCCGGCCAGAATCGTCTTCAAAATCTCCTTGTTCCTATTCGCCACAGCCAATATAAACCGCGTTCGATTGCATCTGTCTTGATCCGTGGACAACGCAGAAGTACATCCACAAGTGTGATGTCCCTGTATTCTACATCGCCACGGCCCAGATGAGAGCAGGCTGTTTAGCGCGAATCGCACGTCTCACACTTTTTATCTCTGGTGACATCAATTGTAATGAGTATTCGTGCTCGGAGACGATCGAGAATGACGGGGTTCCGTGTCTCAGCTTTCACTAGGAGCTCTGCAACATGCAGAAACGTATCGAGACTCTGTAGATCTTGCCGGGTTTGATACAGTCACATAGCAGTATGAGAAGTAGGGGAAGGTATTCTGACGAGTTCATAGCCTGACGATCGAGTTTTCAAATAAGACCATCTGTCTCCCCAGGCTGCATCATGAATGACGATTCCGTAGTCCCTGCAATACCTCGTCAAATTCCAAGTACATGCTCCGTGATGAAAGGATCAAAAGAGCGCATGACATTTTCGAACACGATTGTCTGGCCATCTGCCCACCCATTAACTGCTATCTGGTATTTGGGCATTTGTTCAAGATATGCCAGGCCCATATCAAAGGAATAAGGGCATGAGCGCTGAATAATCAGGCCTAATCAACATCGGGACGGCGCATAATAAGCCGCTGAGCTTTTTAAATTAAGTACCACAAAAGTGATTGAACACCCTCGTTAACCGCATTGAAAATAGCGCAGTATTCAAGATTCGGAGAGTAATAGTATTGAGTAAATACCCAGGTACCTACTTGCTCACGTTACTCTGTAGACTACGCTGGAATTTGAAGGTGATTGAAGAGTGATATCCACTGAGCTACCTTTTCGTACTTACATCATAGCTCTAATTAAGTGTTATCTCATATATTGACCGGATTGAGCGAGGTGATGCGATATCCTTCAATACTTCAGATGATATTTTTATTACAATTACTGCGCTACTTTTAAATGCGGTTAGTGAGGGTGTTCAACTAATTCTGTGGTGTTCAACTATCGCGCTCCTAAGCCGAAGAACATGGATGTTGCCATTCTCAAAGCTATATTCGGCCTTGATCTTGCCATCAACGTCAACTTTGAGGTCTGGTCAGCCACGAAAGAACGCGAGTGAGATGTTGATGAAGTCAATCCTTTCGGCTCCTTTGGCGGCAAGGTGTGGTGGGCATCGAAGGTAGAGATGATCTAATATCGTGAATGTCGGATTATCGAGAAGAGGGTTCCGGGAGAAGATAAACTACTTCTATTACTTGAAGCCATCTGGTCCATTTCAATTAGAGAACCTCATGTAATTCGAGTACCCTTTCACCACTCCACTGCTGTGGTATCTGAATTTCGTGATTGCATTAGAATGTCCGCGATTTGGTGAAACTCATGAAGATAGTAGTCTCTAGAGAAACAATGACGTGGTCGGTCTGGTAGAGCGGTATAGGTAGATCCACAATATCTTCTTGGCCGTGCTCGACGGCGTCTTTAAGTATGTCGTCCTGATATGGGTCAAGATCAGCGCCTTGGTATCAAAATAGGAATGCTCGTTGGTTATGGAGTGCGTAATGAACTACTCTGTAGGTAGTGAACTGGACAAGTCTGGATGTGATACGCAAGATCCACCTCAACCCCACTAGGTATACATACATATTAGCCCAGGTGCCCTATGGATTTGGCTTGGCAAATCTTGGCGGACCTTATTGCTTATTGTATGCAACATGACATCAGGAGAGGAAATCGGTCTTATTTACTAAGCCCTACTATCGAATTCATATTATTACATCCATGGGTCCAGGGGAAAAGTAGAAATATACCACGTTGAAGGCATTGTGCGCCTCACAATGGATAATAAGCACTAGTTAATTCGTTCTGCCGCTGCAGACTCAAACAGAAAAAGATTCCTATACAACAAACACCCTCGCGAAAGAGACAGAAATGGTCGGTGTTCTAGGGAAGGTAGGGAGCGCGAATGGTGTCATACATAAAAAAGAGTACAGGCGTTTGAAAGAAGAGTGTTCCAGTCAGAAGATTTCACACAGGCACCGCAGTCATGACTTCGTCAATGAGGTTTTTTTGACTCAATGCCGAGGGCCAAGGGCAGGAGAAGGGGCACCAAGATTCGCAGGGCTAGCACTAGCTGATGTACGAGCACCAGGGGCCGGGCTCGCACTACCCAAATTAGGGTTAACAGGAGCATTGGCAGCCTTCGAGATACGCTCCTCCACACGTTCCTTGTGCTGCCGGTTGCGAAGGTGGACCTCAAAGTTGTCCACAGTCATGCCGGGACCAGGCGTGTACAGCTTGCCGGGGCAGTCGTGGCACCGAATTCGCGGTAGGTATTGGTATTTGATTTTTTGACCTGGTTGGAGGTTGTTGGTATTGGTCACAGGGGCCAGAGTTTCAAGATCCACGGCAGAGTAACGCATCACTCCTTCAAAAGAGTCGTTGGGATGGGCCTGTTTTAACCCTTGAAGTCCGGCCACAAGCCAACTAGGCGGTGGGGGCTGAATGCGCACACGGTCAGCCAAAGACCAAAAATCGAAGGTCAATATCTACTCACAGCGGGAACACCGGGCTGAGGAGGGTTCGGTGCGTCGACGGCTCCTGTTTGCTGCGGCCGAGGTGGGTTGTGTCCAGGGAGTCGCGCTTGCTTATCTGAAGGGGGTGCCATTTGCGTGGCATTGGGCGCAGCCCTGTTAAAGGACGCTTGGGACGCGGAGACTATTCGCTGTCCATTCCTCAAAGCCACCAGCTTGTCTCTTGACAGTTTGAGTCTCACGACCAACTTGTCTGGTTCTTCGTCGCTTTCTTCTCGGTATTGTTGCCGTCGAGCTGACGCTCGCGGCTCGTAAAGTACAGGCTCCGGGGTTTCGGAGTGTCCCAAACCAGCACGCAAAGCTGCGTGAGCTTCCCTAGCGGCCCCCCTCATGCCTCTCGTGCGGGCAGTGCCTTGGGCAAGGTTTGGCCCAACGGCTGGAGAGCCCTCGTCCGAGTCATCACTTTCAAATTCATCAGAATCGTCATCTCTTTGTCCTGTGATACCACGACGGCGACCAGATCCCGAACGCTTGATAACGTTGCTTTCTTCCATTGATGCAGCTGAGTTGGGAATGACAGAAGACACAATCAATGTGCGAATCGTACGCTGACGGTCCTTTAGGTCCGGTAGAGCAGGGCCACCACGCCGATTTATGGATCGTTTCTGGCGACGTTGTTCCCGAGATATCGAGATCTCTGTTCGCTCAAGATCTGTCTCATTCAATTCGTAGAGGTAAGGCGTGTGTTCCTTGGCCGATTGGTAAGGTCGGAAGGCGGAGGACACGGGTGTTGGTAGGAAGGAAGCGCTAAGATCGGGATCCTCGATGGGGCGACCGTCGAATGGATGTGCAACAATGTAAAGGGACTTAGTAAAGAGTTGGGATTGTTCACGAATGGAATGGGCGATGGCTGTGGTAAACTCGCCAGAGAGAGAAAGATCGTCTGTCATGCGCATGGCAAACTGCTCAGGGGAATTTTGTGCATCGTTGATATCCCACTCGAATTGATCAATGAGGGTATGCTGTCCAATAGTGATGTTCAGCTTGACCAGGATACGCATCTCATCGTTTCGGTATGCCGTGTAAGGGAGATGCGGGTCAAGAGCCTCCTCGTGCATGTAGACTTGCGGGTAGTAGTCCATCAACTGCTCTTGAATGCTTTGCGAGATTTGGCGCATGAGAGGCGCGGAAGTTTCCATAGGTAGACCCAGATCCTCCACCAGCTTTTCGGCAAACAGGTCTGGGGATATAACACGGTCATGTAAATTCCAAGTAAAAGTATCGCGAATCTTAACTTTCTCCCAGTCAATGTCTAGACGAATGGGCACCAGGTCGTCCATCTGCTCGCTCTGCACTTTCATATCTCGACGTGAGATCCGAAGCTCGCGAGTCTTGCGATTCCCAGGCCTACGTCGGTTGGCTGGGTACAAAAGCTGAGGTGGATGGTTTCGCAGGTCCGTGCGTGTATTCCCAAACCCTTCGTATCCTGCGCCAAACAATGCAGCTGGGTTTGTTTGATTGTCACGTCGAAGCTGTAAGTAAAAATCACGCTCCGCTCGTTTCTCTCGCTGCAATTCCTGGCTTGGGTTTTGCCAAGCAGTTGCAGCCGAGTAATCAAACTCGCGATTGACGAGATTCTCTATCATAATTTGTTCGACGGGCGTCTCGCGTGTCCGGACGGTCATTGTCCCTGAGATATCACTGGGCTGAATGACAGACCCGTCACGAGATCGTTTTCGACTTTGCGCGGAACCATTTGTGCCATTCGATTGGGGCGTACCATTGGGATCACTGTTGGAATCCGGAACACCAGATGCCGCTAGCATAGCCTTGGCATTCTGTTTTCCATCTTCAAATGTATTGCTCTCCTGACCATTGGCAGATGGCTGTGTTCCCGGGTTGGTGGGATCTTCTCCTCCAAGTCTCGTGTCAGACGCGCCGGAGCCATTCTGCATGCCAGATTGGGAGTCGGCGGTAGAAAACTCTGGTGGAACAGAGCCACTGGCCAATTCCGGGGACGGCATGGCGATTTGTTGGGTAGGAATAGGATACGGGCGTTGGGTGTCACTCAGTCGGTAATCTATGGGGAGTGGCACTCAACGCGACAAGGATAATTGAGAGCTAATTAAAACAGCATCATCGAATAATGTCCTAGAGGTAAAATCCACCTAGATTAGTTATCATCCTCATGTGTGGAGCAATGGGCTATCCTCATCGCGACTGCGCGGTCACCCTCGGCCTGTTCTGGCGCCGATCGATGGACGTGTCGCGACGGACGCATGTCCTGGGCGACACGCTGCCACTGACTTGAGCAGCGCGAGGAGAAAGATGAAATGGCATGGAATTGGTGAAGCCGAAAAACAGCGAAGCCCATAGGAACAGAACAACATACCAGAGCCAAAGGGGGTTGGGTGCCGATGATGGTCTCACTCTTGTCACGAGCGCTCGCACAGGCGAAGTCAGGCAGAGAGCGATCGGTATCGGAGTATAGGTCACTTTGCTCAGGGAGCTTCGCGCGGGAAGATAATCGGTACCTCCCGATTGTATCTTCTGATGCTGGAGAGGCTGTGGTGGCGGTCGCTTAAGGCGCGGGTGGGTGGGAGAAGTTCAGTTCAAAGGGGAGGATTACGAGATGTCCGCTCCCGGGCAAAAAGCAAGGACTATGCTCGACGCGCCCTTCCACGCCCACACAGAGTGCTCTATACGAGTTCAGGAGGGTATATACGGGAAAAGAGTAGATTCTACGTTCAGGGACAGTATACTTTGCCCGTTTATGGCTGGAGACGGCGCTGCGCCAGGACCAATTTGACGGCATGTGGGGGTCATGTGACCTGGACCCCAACTGAGGTCTGTATGCCTGCAGAGTTAGGCATCAACTATTGGGTCAACTCTCATACTTCCGAGGTTCAGAAGCTTATGTGTACAGTCTCATCGACGTGAAAACCAAATGAGTGTACAGGCAAACGGGGTATTTCACAACCTTTACTTGCAGGAACAAGTCTCTACTTTGATAAGATTTACGCTATTGCCTGAATTATCGTGCATGATCCACGGACGTAACATGGCGCCAGGGCGGACAACGGTAAATTGATCCTTATTGTCTTATTTGAACTCTGCATTGCTGCTTCGTCTTTGTAGTTTGAAGTGGGCATGCTCCGATTATGCAATTTGGGCTTTGCCGGTGGGTGCTCCATATTGTATCCAAGGAAAGCTCAGCAGCCTGGAGCTTTCTCAATTGATCCTTGTGGATGCGACATAAGTCTTACTTGAATTCGAAATTAATATTTTCGAGGAGAATGTTTTTGGAAGATCCTACGCATTTTGTGTTAGTCCCGGAAAGCACAACATCATGTCCAACTACCAGAAACGCTACATATACATACTATCCAACCAAGGTGAGATCGGCGACCACCGCGCAATGATCTGAATTATAGACCTCATCATCGAACCGGTTTGGTATCACCGAGTACCCATCAACTCTCCAGGCCTGGTTCCCGTCGGGCGCCAGCAGAATGAAGTCAATCCGCTTTGGTGGCTCCTTGCCATATCCAAACCCAGTGAAGGTGTTGTGATTCCCATATTGATGCATGTCGGAGATCAGCTTATAGGTATCACTCAAGCCACCCTTGTCTGTCAACTCCACGTATGCTTCCTGCTTTTCCTTGCTATTCAAGTCTCCGGATAAGAATGTCCCTGAGATCAGACCCCCGAATTGACCCTGCTGGTAATCACGAATCTTAGATAGGATGATGCGTGCAGCCTCGAGTCTAGAGCGTGATCCTTGATCGTCGAGGTGTGTGTTCAGGGCTAGGACTGTATTGCCTGTCTTGTGATGAGTGAAGAGGCCAATGGTGACAATCCGGACAGAGGCTGCGTCCCAGCTTTTCGAGGGCTTGAAGGGAGTCTCGGAGAGCCATACCGTCTCCCAGGATTGCAAGCCCCATACCGATGGCTGATAAAATATTGGCGAGTATTCGCCCGCTTGGTGGCCATCATCCCGACCGACACCAATGTATGCCCACTCTTGGGTCAAAGACACATTGGATGGGTTCAAGCCAGCACGAATGTCCTCAAGTTGGTTATGAAGAACTTCTTGCAGGCATATGAATGTTTCATTACAATGACGGGAATGGAATTTTAACTCGTTCAAAAGATTTTGTCTTCGTTCGGCCCAAGGCCGTTCCCCCTTGAATGGAGAGTTGGTTGCATAGCGGATGTTATGGGTCATGACCCGGACGGGAAGCGTAGGAGTGGATCTCATGTTGCTAATATTCGAATGCTAAAAGGCAAAAAATGATTAAAATTTGCAAAGAGGCTTTAATATCTTGGAAAGGAAGGCAGAAGCTCGGAAAAGAAAGGGGAGTTCATTTGTGTTTACATCTGCGGAGAAGCTCGGGGTATGGTTCTGGGCCCGTGGCTGGCCCCTTGTGACCTCCTCAAAGGATGTAAGTACCTAATGGAAACTGCACGCAGACTGCGCAGATACTGTTAACATGATTTCAACCACAAAGCTGCAAAAGCGGGGAAAGCAAAGCACCAATAGACCGTCATCATGACCCATGACGTCTTTGCGGCCGTAACCCTACGGCAGGCCTGACATATCAGGCTGCAACAGTGAATAACCCCACTACCGCTAAACGCTAAACGCTTCATTCGCTGCACACGACTTGTTCTCGATCCATTCCTCTCAGGCTTCCAGTGGATTTCAGATCTACCGTCAATACCCACCTGTTATTTTTTTGATTCTCTATATTACCGGCCAGGCCAACCTACTTCACAATGGTCGAGACTCAAACCCCCGAGGTTGGTAAGTAAACGACTGGTGCTTCCGAGAAAGCTCTGACGTTTGTGGGCATCGCTGTCCGACAAGCCGCAGAGCTTTGGCGGGGCTCTAGGATAACATCAACAAACTTTCAGGAAATTTCCAGAGCTAATTGGTTTAATTTCTCTTTCAGACTACACCCTCAACAACCCCGACACCTTGACCAAGTACAAGACCGCTGCCGGCATTTCACACAAAGTGCTCGAGGCCGTCACTGGTACGTTGTACTTCGCCATTAACTCACATTGCTATGTGACCTAACATCTTCCAATAGCTCTGTGTGTTGAGGGCGAGAAGATCGTCGAGATTTGCCAGAAGGGTGACCAGCTCCTCGATGAGGAAATCGCCAAGGTCTACAAGGGCAAGAAGATCGCCAAGGGTGGGTTCTAAATTTTTCTGATTTTTTCTTGATATGAATTTTCGAACGGTGAAATCTAACTGAGGAAAAAAGGTATCTCTCACCCCACTACCGTCTCTCCCAGCTCCTATGTCACTCCCTACACTCCCCTTGTGTCCGATGCCGCCGAGGCCGAGATCGCTCTGAAGGCCGGCGAGATCGTCAAGATCCAGCTCGGTGCCCAGATTGATGGATTCGGAACTATTGTCTGTGACATGCACGTCGTCGCCAAGAAGGACGCCGCCAAGGAGGTCATCACCGGCCGTGAGGCTGACCTTATTGTCGCTACTCACTACGCCAACGAGCTCCTGCTCCGCTTGATGGTTCCCGCCGGTCTGTTGGCCCAGGGTACTGACGAGGAGAAGGCTAAGGCCGCCGCCAAGAAGCCCCCTACCCAGTCTTACATGTCTGATCTCCTGGAGAAGATTGCCAAGGCTTACGACTGCAAGGTTGTTGAGAACACTACCAGCTGGATGTTCGACCGCAACGAGATTGAGGGTAACAAGAAGATCATCCTGGTCCCCGGCGAAGGTGTCCGTGGCGAGGGTGTCCCCGATGTTGGTGAGGTTTGGGGTGTTGAGGTCGGCCTCAGCTTGGGATCCGGTAAGGTCAAGAACCTCGACCACCGCACCACCCTGCACCGCCGTACCACCACCACCTACGGTCTGAAGCGTCCCAGCTCCCGCCAAACCCTCTCTGAGGTTGTCAAGAAGTTCGGTACCTTCCCCTTCAGCTTGCGCCAGCTTGACGACGAGAAGTCCGCGAAGGTCGGTGTTGTTGAGTGTGTTCGTGGCGGTGTCCTGCGCCAATACGAGCCCGCTGGTGAGACTGACGGCTCCCCCGTCTCTCGCCTGCTCTCTACCATTGGTAAGTTTCTAATTACCTAGTCCTACAAAACGAATAAAGTTTACTAATAATATTGTAGCCATCACCAAGAACGGTCTCACCAAGCTTGCCGCCCCTGCTCCCATTGACCTGGAGCTGTACAAGTCTGACAAGAAGATCGAGGATGAGGAGATCCTTAAGATCCTCGAGCAGCCCCTGGCCCGCTCTACCGGCAACAAGAAGAGCAAGAGCAAGAAGAAGAAGACCACCACCGCCGGTGAAGAGTAAATGGATTGATTATAGCTCTTTGCCTTGATCTCCATTTGCATTATTTCCGATCTAAATTTGGAATAAGACTTGATATTGGTATCTAGTCTTCAAGTCATACAAAAAAAAGATATCCAATAACAAATTTCAATCGGACCATACGATCTCGGGAGTCTTCTACGATAAAACCCCCCAGAAAATAGCTGATGACTGATGTCTGTGTGGGTGAGAAACGGGCAACAATGCCATTCATGGGTGTTGTGCCCACCCTTACCATGATAGTTGTAGACTTTCTGTCTGATATCCGCGCCATGTAATTAGCAACAGAGTCATGAAGTCGAAAAACGTTGCCATTCCATCTCCGGGGCCTTGGATCTTCCTTGATTGAATTCCTTAGACGCAACATACGTGTGGAACTGCTGCGCGCGTAACTATGTACATATGGGCCATGAGGAATGGTACCGCCGTGTGTTTACATCAGAGCATCTAAAGCCATTCCATGCTAAAACATCAAGCTGCCCATCAACTCCAACGCGATTTGGTCATAAAACCTCGACTTGCTCCACTACTCTGGTATTTGTCTAGGTAGAGAAGGTTTAGCCTCTCCATGAGCACGACAAATCTGCTTGTTCATGGATAAAGATGCACTAGGTATATTCTCTATATCTGTATCAACTCCTAGTGCCCGAATGGTATATTGCGAAGATCGCCACATATAAAAAGTGCTACGTGAAGGTTGCCAGGTAAAGGCAAAGGCAATGGACCTAGCTAACAACATCATATCAAGTGTCAGCTACGTACAACTTGGCTAAAGCCAGCATTTGGTCTTTATGATCAATCTTTCTGGAATATGGAAGGAGATGGAACGTTGTGGAGGCTGAATGGTTCTTCGCTCCATTTGAAAAACACTGTTCACAGGAGTGGTATGACCAAACTTCGCTCCAACTTCAAAATATGATAGCGTCATATTTGGGCCACTTCGCTTTACGGTAAGCTTGGAATTAGTGACTTTTGCATAATCAACTGGCTTTTTTCTTTCTACGCGTAATTATTGGTATGTCGAAAACGCTCAAGGTTTTAACACGAGAACCTTGACCGAGGGGTCATACTGTGTGCCTCCTTGGGTATCTGATCTCACATGAGTTTACTTGGAATTCTACAATAGTTGATGAATAGTTTCTTCCGTCGTATCAACTAACGGCGACCTCAGGGATCAAGGTCCACAATGTGCTTCCTTCCCTTGGCATGCCTGTAGTCACTAGGTCTTTTTTTTTTCTTTGTCTGCTCATGCGCTCGTACTCTTCCCATGAGAGTCACTTAAAGCCTACTAACTCTTCTGTGGAAACAGTAGATGTGAGGCTAAAGATACCTCTCATGACTTCCTACTGATTTTCCCTATCCCTAGAGTGCCCATACTCAGCTTAACAAGGTCGACGATTTAGTGGACACAATTATGTTTGTAGCCCAGTTGTCACAATTGAACACATGAGACATAAATCTTACAATCAAATTAACATTGAAGCTAAATGTGAGTGATCAAGTCCTCAAATGCCAAGTCATAGTTAGGGCACGGACGGGCGTGGCGCTAACCCTAGCAGGTGATTTCCGCCTACCGCGATGGGCTACTTGACTCGATCCAGTCGCCGGGCTAATTCTCAATCCGCGAAACCCGCGACGCAGCGCAAGCTATCAGTACCTAAACCGCGTCTGAAACGCGCTTATTCCGCGCACACTGGCAATGCGCCAATAACTGAACCAAAAAAGTCCTCTGAGACTGTATGGGAGGACCCCCCGGTCGCACGCGCGCGCCCGACTGAGGCCAATGCCGATTCCACCAGCACAGAAAAGAACCCCATCTATATCATGAAACCGATCGGCCAGTACCCGTCTCCCGCAGAGTATAAAAGCGTCGGCTTGAAGCCACCTCCTAAGCATGTCCGTAAGGTCACTAAGTGGGTGGGGGACACTGATGAGGAGGAGGGAGACTTCATGACCACCGACACCCCTATAACACCAACCGCGGAGGAGGCCATGCTCTCAGATGCCTCGTGCATTGATAAACAAGGCGATCGATTCACAGGGGGAGTGAATCCAGCGGCACTTAAGAGCTCCATTGAGAAGATGGTCAGAAGGGATATGGGTGTCACAGTGAATGGAGAAGTGAATGGAGACGACCCAGATAAAACAAATCTAGCGACACCGGTTTCCGAGGCCTTTGATCTCCATCTTCTACCTCCTTCGACAGCACACCCATCCCTTTCTCCGGCAGAGACCCCCGTCCAGACCCCCGCTGACGAGGTCTTGACCGACTCGATCTTAACGGTGCCCGACACTCTTCTTTCCGCACCCGACCCCGACACCCCCTTACACCAGACACAATCACCTCCAGCTACAGCTGTAGCAGACGCTGGTATGGCTTCAGAAGCTGATAAGTCTACTACTGGTCGTAACTTTATCGATGTATTAAATCACATCCCTCAGCCGGCATCCGACGTTTATGACGTTCCTCAGCTCAAAAAGATCTTAGAGAACGCTATTTCTCATTCAAAGGTCATTGGTGATGACGATGTTGCATTAAGTCTTACCTACTTCTGGTCTGAAGTCAAAAGCGACGAATTTAAGTTGGCGTTGATTCATAACATCGGCCGGGAGAATAAGGATCACCGACTTGAACTCGCACTACGCACAATACTCAGTCACTCAGTGCAAGAGGCCAATCTATGGTACAATGAGTTCAGTACAAAATGTGCTCAGGTGGAGCTTCGCCCTGAATACGAATCAGACAGCAGTTCCAGTTTGTCCTCTGCAAAGTCTGTCGCAGCAGAGCCAGGCAAGCCCTCTTTCAAAGTTTCTGACATCTACCGGGACACAAGTGGCCCCAAACTTGAAGAACTATTTGTGAATGGGAAAACAAACACAGCTCCTTACAAACGCCCAAAGAAACCAGTTCGTGTCAACGAAAACTCCTTCAAGCGCCGACACGAGTGGGAAACAGACCCAGCCATGGGTGAGAAGATGCGCAACAAGCGTGCTCGCTTTGCCAAGGAGGCCAATGTTGAGGAAATCCCTGTGAAGCCCAGCTCCATCCGCCCTGAGCTTCCCGACCCAGAGATCCAGCCGGATGAGCCGGACAAAGACGTTGACGCACCTCCTGTGCCAGACCTTTCCCCACGCTCCAAGCGTGCTGAAGAGCGAAAGGAGCGACAGAAGAAGCAGGATCAAGATAAAGGCAAAGCTCCAGCCTCAAAGAAACAGAAAAAGACCTCCACTCCAAAGTCTCCTGTTCCTGTGAACAATCGATCTCGGTCCCTTTCAAATGCTAGCACCAAACGGCCTGCTTTGAAAGATTGGCGGCAGAATTGGATGGCCCGGTTCCGACCTGACTCGAAGTTCGTGAGACCCCTATTTTTTGTGCATTTCCCTGATCACCTCGAGACTAACTTTGGCTTTCTACAGGGACAACGACGCAGAAAACATCGACAACTGCGCTTGGTGCGGTGGTGGTGGCAAGTTACTGTGCTGTGACACCTGTGAAAATGCCTTCCATTTCAAATGTGTGAAGACTGCCAACAAGAATTCCCTCAAGGATGAGTGGTTTTGCCCGAATTGCGATGCTCAGCATGAGTTCACCTTTGCGATCCTCGCAGCCGACACCCTCGAAAAATCCGATTATTGTCCCCCCACCGAGATTAAGGAGTACTTTGCTGGTGTCGGTGAAGTAGTCCAGTATGATCTTGGCGACTCAGAAGACGAAGATGCGAATGGTCCTGGTGACTCGTCCCCATGCAAGAAACAGCGCTTCTTCCAGACCGTTCCCCACATTCCACGTCTGACTAAGCCAGCGAAGCCCGGAACCTTGACACCGGCCTACAACGATCCCAGCCTGCTCAAGCTAATGGAAAACGGGCATGTGATCCTTTGCAACAAATGTGGCAAGTCCACGGACAATGTGCGCCCCATAATCAAATGTGACTACTGTCCTTGCCGTTTTCACATGGATTGTCTTGATCCTCCCCGTGCCATCCCCCCTAACCCTGTTGCCGGGTGGATGTGTCCCAACCACGTCACGCCGGAGGATCTGCTCGCCATAAAAATCGTCGATGGCAATGTTCAGGAGCGTCGTGTTCGTCGTCCCCGGAATTTACTCCTGGTAGATGCAGAGCCCAACACCAGTTATGACCGGGATTCCACGTTTGACGACGACTGGCGGGCAGATCGCCTTCGTTTCCCTCCTGGGGACATGATCATGGATTTTGTATCCGCTGTTAAGGAAGATCGCAAGAATACCAACAAAGAAGTCGCTGAGCGCCTGGCGAGGCGCATGGTCGCCGTTACTACGCTTGCAGTTAAGGACTTGGCTAGAAATGGCGGCAATGCTTCTGAGGAATGGATGCAGAACTTTGAATCTCTTTGCGAATCTGAGGCCCAGCATGTTCGAGCTGGAGATTCTCGAGACCGAGAGATCAGTGCTGCAGACGCTCTCCTCGATATGCTCCATGGTGGCCAACAACAATCTACCCCCCTTCAATCTTCCCAGCCTGAACAGCCAGCCGACGAAACACCGGCTGTCGAGGCCGAGAAGGAAACCAAGGAATCCCCCACGATCAAGCCTGCTGCCTGACTTTCTCCGCCATTTTTCCTTAGCTTTACTCATTTTCTTGTTTTTGCCCTTTTTTTCCTCATTGTTATCCGGGGCCGGGGTTTTTTCCGCTTTTTTGTCTCGTTCTTTCTTTCCAAACTCTGCATTTTTCTCGCTTTTTTTACTGATCTGCGAAATTGTCATGTGAGCATGGGACGGCGCATATTCGAAAGATTCCTTTGTACGATAGCATGGGCCCCCAAAAAAATGGATACGATACATCCATTTCATCGATTCCGTGATTTGATTTTCGACTCGATTTCGATTCCGATTTTTTTGTTCATCTTTTAAAACACAAAACACAATGGTTTTTGCAATTACAACCTTCATGATGATCAAATAAAATAGAAATTGCTAGATTCGTACTTTACATGAACATGAGAAATCCGAGAATCGGCGTACAAAAGAGCCTAGCGCCAAACCAGAGGCAAAGGGGAACATCAGAGCTAAGAAACGAAACGCAAGAACAAAACGAGATCTCATTTCACATTTTGCCACGCAACTCATTGAAGAGAAATCGTATGCAATAAGGCGGTGCAAAAATCCGGATCGAAAGGCTTTTTGCTGAAAGAAAATTTCCGAGCGCGATGGCGAACCCTTTATAGAAATTTCTTGGGCATGTTGGCGCGGCGACGCTTGTAAACCACGTATGACACGGCGAGGAGAACCTGGAATGCAATGACCAGGAAAATAAAGAAGCCCATACGAGGAGACGAAGCAGTAATGGCTGGAGGTTTAATAAGTCAGTATATGACCTCGTGCGACGGTTCTAATTTCAAACAACTGACCATTGAGGAAGTGATCCTGCAGATTCTCCCGCAAGCTGAGATGCGAAGACCGCAGAGTATCGTGGAGCTTGTTGAAGTTACTGCTGTAGTCCTTGCCCTCCAAGTCTCGCTGAATATTCTGGAGCAGCGTCTCGATGCGCTGAAGCCGGTTATCGAGGGAGTTGAACTGGTCCTTTGATACGGTGTTGCGGAGGATCTCGCCGTGGCGGGACTCGCTCTTCGTCACCAGCGCCTTGATATCCTGGGCGATGCCGTTGGTGGCTTTGCTCTGGAGCTGGATGCGGTTGCCCAAATCGAAGAATTGGGCTGAGTAGTCCTTTTCAGAACCTGCTTGGACCACCGGTGGGGTGTTCTGGCTTGCAATGGGCTGCTGCTCTTGCTGCTGCTCTTGCTGGGGGTTTCCTTGAGGTATAGTCTGGCCGGTCGCGGATTCCAGGACAAATTTGAAGATCTCGAAGGAGTCGGGGTTCTCGGGGGTGGCAGCCGTGATACCGAAGGTGTTTCCGGCTGGGAGACCGACCTACTTACAGTTAGTAACATTCATTAGACGCCTTTGGGAGATGGGCGCATGCCTTGTCGGTCGAGAAGCAGACTTTGTCGTCCACGGTGACCTCGAAGAACGAGTTGGTGTGCTTGAGCTTCACCACCGAGGGACGACCCAAGTTTCGGTATGCGTAGTCACAGTGCCCGAATGCCAGGCTATCGACGCTGCGGTGGGTCTTGTAATCTGTTGTTCCATCATTCAAGAATCCACGAATACTTCCACCCTATAAGCTGATCAGCCATTATCCAATGAGTTTGTTTGGATCAAAGCGTACCCTTCCACCATGTGTATCAATCACCAGGGCGAATCCATCAAAGGGGCCCACAGTATAGATGCTAGATGTGCCAACGCGAGCCTGACCATCCTTTGTGTACCATAACTGGAGGTTTCCGCTAGCTCGCTCGGGGCCAGTAGCTCGAAATTGAAACTCGGCGGCCCATTCAGACTGCGAAATACTGCCTCGTCTTCAGTATATTCTCCATGCTTCGATTAAGGGGGTGTCACGTACGGGTTCTGGGCCCAGGCTGACCCTCGCACGTTTCCGGGGTAGGGAGGGGTTAGGATGAGTTTGTCGGATAGCTAGACAAATGTTAGAAGTAAACACCATCATAGCTGTATAACACTCACCAAAGATGTGTCAAAGCCCTCTCCATTAATGTTCCATCCTGGAATCGAGTCTCGGCTTGGGGAAATACTAGTCGAAGCGGTTAGACAAGATGAGACCAGAAAGTAGAGAGCACATTCCATACGTTTTGCCAAAGCCAAAGCTTGCACCCTCAATAACCTGAGCTGTAGCGCCTGCAGCAAGCAATGCGATTGAAGTAAATGTCTTCATTGTGGCAGTATGAAGGACAGATGCGTATGGATTGGATGTTGGTAAAGACGAGAAGGTTCTGGCTCCAGGGACAATGCAATATAAACAACTCCTGTGTGTGGGTAGTATACCAGTCTATATCAATTATTCAGTTCTAGAGCCTTTCGGACGACTGGAGTCACAATGTTCACACGATGCCGATCTCCGGGGAAGTTCACAGAGACTAGACACGACACGAGTAGTGATCCACCCAGCCACAATAGCAATCACGCAAAGGCGAGCTTCCTTAGCAATGGCAGCAGCCGAGGGAGAAAAATCAATAAAATGATGCAGTTGGAGACTGTTAAGAATGGTGTGTCGGATGCCGACGTCTGTGAAGTCCATGCGGAATAGATTGCCCTGCGCTAGTGAGGCTGTTGATACCTGGCCTTCTCCTGATTTGTTCTCCGCATGTGCACGTGACCAGCTCCGGTGCGGAGGAGCTTCCTTTCCCTCTCGGACTTGATCTTGACATCAACATAAGCAGCCTTTAATCCCTGAAGCTGCTCATCATTGGACGCATTTCATACAATTTTCCCGGGCGTCTGACTATGCCTTCCTAGGCTTAGCTTGACTCGATATTCCGACCGTCGTTCGCCAGCATATTTACCAACTCCGAGGCTCGCCAGAATTCTCTCACCACTCACAGTCATCAACATACTATTAATCAAGCTATGAAATTGTTTAAGCATACACTTTTAGCTGCCCATCCTTGGCTCTAGTTCGACTTCTGCAGACCTCCGAATCGCCCCTCCACTACCCCGCTCTTCATTTCCTTGGAATGGCTGTCGCAATCGACTATTCACATGGACATGGAAGTTTTAATGGTGGAAAATTAGTCTATCACCTCTGGGAAAATTAATTGTCCCTGCATAGGTAGAAAAGTGCGGCCATCGAAACCGTGTTGGTTGTAAACGCCTCTCTAGCTCCATTCTGACTAGGCTTCATTCATCGTTATTATTCCCTATAGATAGCAAGCCCATGAGGAAATAATCCTCTTTTCCATGTTCTTTTCGTTCCAACCATTACTCTCAAAGATCGACCCAACATTAGTACTCTATCTGCCCGTCTAGATCCCACTTCTATAATACTGCTCCAGATGTTGAGCTTGGATTGAAACGAAGACCAACTGCTCACAAATTCAGGAATACTTTTCCGAGGTCTTCTTCAGTTCAAGGCCATATAATCTAAATGTATATCAAGTATTGAATCCAGGACATACCTTAGCACACGCTCTCGCAGAGACAATGATGTAGGGTGTTTGCATTGTTTGGCAGACCACGTGGGCCAGACCCACTTAAACCTGGAACCGCACGGAGCCTATCCCGCACTATACCCAACGGGGTTAGTCCCACTTCAGATCCATGCATGCTGCAGGATGCGGTCAAAATACAAATATGTAGAATTATTGAGAATGGTAACGAATTTCCTTTGGGGCGGTACACTTTTGAGCAATAAATATATGAACTAAGCATTCTGTTTGATTCAACTTGAAGGCCTCACCATTTCCAGGTTTTAGGATTGTGGGGTATATATGCATAGAACCTTAGGATATATATTTATCTGGCAGGGGCTTCAACCCGTTTCAAAAGATTCATCACAAGCCACACTTTTTTTTTTTTTTTTTGGTAAAAGAGAGGATTTTACCAATATACAAGATGGAATAGGAAAAAACGGATTATATGATTGGGGTGTTCCATGTAGATATGTGAAGATATCATTTCCGAATAATTGATCCGACTTTGAATGGAGGAACGTGGGTCACTAGGCAATTCCTCGACTTTGTCATCGACGCATGAACTTACCAATGAACAACTTGATTTCCTCTGAGATAAGAGAATCTATAAGATGAAAGGACCTGGACTTGACTCGCGTTGATTGGCTAGAAGACTCTGCAATATACCAAGGTAGGCAACGACGTAGTCTGTGGGGTAAATGAACATGTTAAATTAATCAAGATATTATTTTGTCATTTCGGGTCCCGAGGCCAGGAAAGTATCAGTATAGGATCATGAACACAGCTTTCCCAGCCTAAAGAATTGGAGAGCATCTGTTGATAGCCTCAGGCTTCCAGTGGGGATGTTTGCGACGCCGAACCCACATCTTCAACTTTAAGACCTCCTGTGGAAGAATGTCCATACATAATCCAAAGAAGGATTGCTTGGTCTATGAGGCTATATTGATATCCAGAAAAAGCCCCTGGAGTCTTAACGGAGCTAGAAAAAGATGTGCGAAGCTCGAGAACAATCTCTAGTCATGAAATACTGTCTTTCTGTCGTATGTTTAGAAAAGCCAGTAAAAGCCATTCAATATCTGACCTTTCTTTAATAGAGAAAACCATATTGTCAAGTCCTTATTTGGTTATCATAGATAACAGATAATCAATCTGTGGCGGTGGGCCTTCGTAGATATCGAACAAATGTGCTGCCCTGTCAAATTGGACCAGAGCTATCTGAAAGAATGAGATAGTCGTAATAATGAGAAAGAAATCGAGAAATACTATCTTCTACTTTTGGTAAGCTTAAAACAGGATGGTGGTGGGGAACCATAATATTTTGGGTGTATATGACAGTCACTGTTGCGACATGACCCTAGTTGTCGGAGAGGTGGCCCGAGGAGATCAATTGATAACCGCAGAAAACCAGGGACTAGGAAGATAAAATATAACAAATGATTATTGACAAAATTCTCTGCGCCACGACGACTCGAAAGAGGGTAAATACAAGGGTTGATGGTGGGAAGAGTGACAGGGGGAAGACAACAAGCGCGGGCAACGGGGCAGGAGGGCGAGGAGGGTCCCGAGAGAAGCAAAAGCGGTTTTTCTGCTGGGCTTTTGACTTCCCGCTGCTCCTCCTCTCCGCCAATCAGCGTCCACCGCCGATTCGCGGTTGATCTACCGCTTCCTCCTCTTTTAGGCCTTTCAACCTTTCGACTTTCTGCTTTCTCTCCTTCCCTCAATTCTCCTTCAACGCGACTTGCGCGTCCACCATCCGATCTCTACCACCACCCTTGTTCCAGCTTTGGTTACTGGAACTGCACGGCTATCCAACACGCGTTTCTCCGGTAAGTCCGCCTCGATTCTATCGTCACGCCTTCGCGGTTCACCCGCTTTGGCCCTGGTCGCCTCGACCATCTTCTCGACGAGTTCCAACCACATGAAGTAGAATTACTTCCAGTTATACACCTTCTATCACCATTCTCTTGTTATCTCTACTTGTTCCATACTTGTTCCATACTTCTTACAATAGTGGACCTTTTCCCGCATGATCGGACGCAATTCGCTAACTGACGTCGCGTGCTATTCTAGTTGGTTCATGTTCGAAGCTGTTCACAACCTTCCCCGGTAGCCCGGCGCGTGTCGGCACGACATTTAAGATATAATGGTATGCGATCATATACACTTGGCTTCCATCGTTCAGAATACTGGCGGCGGAACCATACATGACGGTGGAACAGTTGCTTAAAATTGCAAACCCAGGTACTATTTAAACGAAAGCCGGTCCAATACCTGCCACGGCCGGTCATTGAAGATGACAATTCCGAGGTACACCCGTGTCGCCCATACCCCCGGGATTGAAAGTACAATCTTGTTAATACCACATTAGGTCTGGGTTATCCCAGAGACCAGCGAGGTCTTCATGAGCTATGAGCCGTACCTCCAGCGCATGGACTTTTATAAACAACGTCGGTTCATTTGTGAAATCACCGGTCATTCGGGATTGAACTTTTTTGAAGCTTATCGAAGTGAGGTAGGTGGCTACAATGGCATTTGGGGCTTGGTGGATGAGAGACGGGGGCTCATTCTCGAGTAGATGGAAGAGTCGCGCGAGGTGAACAACAGCTTCCCCGAAGCTTTGAAGGAACCGATTTTGCGTCGAATCCAATTCGCGACAACCTCACGGGTTGACAATCTGGGTATGTCCTGTGACGCTCTACTGTATACCGCGACTAAGCTAATTCCTCCTTTTATCTAAAGTGGACGAAGTATATGAAGTAAGATGAAACGATCGACTAAAAAACGCCCATACAGATAGACTAACAGCAATTTCAGGAATTCAAGCAGGATTTTTACCCCGGAGAGCCTGTCGTCATCCTGCTACAGGATAGTACCAGACTTCACGGCACCATCAGGGACAAGGCCAACTTTGCTGAACAGCTTTTTGCTGACGGGACTATCAAGACCCCTGCGTATGCTCGGTATTTGGTAAAGATCTCAGACCGTCCCAATGAGGAAGCGCTGCTGGACCAAGATCATATCACGCGTGATCGCAAGTCGTTTACAAAGTTGATGCTGCGCGGCTTTATTAAGAACAATGTTACTCGAGAGTCATGGACCGGTGCGCCCTGGCTGGTGAAGGCGTCGATTGCAGAGGAATACAAAATCTCTACAGAGGTCCCCAAGCACTTGCAGTACGGCGCGAAGGTCGCGGAGAAGAAGGCGATGAAGAAGGCAGACCAGGATGGCTTTTTTGGATTCTTCTCGTCCCAACAATTGCCTGAATTGAAGCCAGCTGTCAAGGGCCAGAAATCGAAGTTTTCAGCAAATGATACGGCCAGATCGAGAGAAGCTCAGTATCAAGAATATCAGCGGTCGCTGAACGGGAATCCTTCGTTTCTGTCACCGAACAACCCACTCCGCCCAACCAAACCGCCGCTGGTCGGTGACAAGAAAATGCCTCCTCCTGCGGTTGTTATTAAAAATGAATCGAGACCTCTATCACCACCACCTGTCAGATACCCCATTGAGGATCTCGAACTTGCTCCCCTTCATGATAAGAACCCTCGTCCCACGTTGAAGCTGTTGATGCTAGGCGAGTCGGAGGAGGATGGAGGAGAAGACCTTCTGCCCGATGACTTGGAACCGGAATCCGTCGGATTGCTTCTCGAGACATGGGATACCCTCAATGTTTACTGTGAGGTGTTCCAGCTGGATTCATTCACGTTCGACGACTATGTTCAAGCCATGCGCTTTTCATCAGAAGAGATGGATTGTGAGTTGCTGGTCGAGTTGCACTGTGCCATTCTGAAGAAGCTTGTCAACTCAGAAGACCAAGGCGGCGCAATCCAGATCTCTCTTCCAGATTTCCCCACGGAGGATTCCGATGACTCCGAAGAGGATGATGAAGATGAAGAAGAAGAGGAAGATGAGGAGCAGCCGGAGAAGGCACCTCGCATGACTACCAGGGGAAGCCTCGCCAAGAAAGAAGCAGAGAGTTTGAAGGCACAAATTGTCGAGGAGGAGCCTGAAGAGGAGCGCATCCATCGTGCTGCTGAAATGTTCGAGAAGTACGGGTGGATTGATCGCCTGCGGAAACGCGACTTCCGCAATGGTGGATGGGAGGTTGTCATGATTGGCCTCCTGCATCAATTATCTCTTCGTCCTCGCTCTGAAAAGACCTGCAACGACATCCTAAAACACCTCGCCCCGCTCGATGAACCACCGACCCAGCGGACTGCCAAGGCACAATACCGCACTCTTGATATTAATTTGCGTGTCAAGGCTCTTCAAATGATGACCATGCTTTGTCTTGAGACCAAGGCGATTCGGAACTATCTTGAGGAATGTAGTAACCAGATGACGGAGTTCCGTAAAGAGAAGATCGAACATCAGAAGGCCCGCAAAGTATTGTAAGTACATATGCTCGTACATATGCTCTTGTGAAAGAATCTTCTCAACTAACATTTTACCAGGTTAACTGAACTTCGTCAGTTGCACCAGGAGCGAAAGGCGCTCCAGCCGGAACCTGAAAAGTCACCGTCTCCCTTACCGGAACTGGAAGGGGAGAACATGGACGATTCGAAAATGACTGGAATCGAGGGTGATTCCGAGATCCCCATGGAATCAGAGGATGAGGATACGCCTAGACCACGTGCCCTTCGTGGTGGAGTTGATCGTGCCCTTGAACGCAAGCGGAGGCAAGAGGTGGAGCGAGAACGCAAAGAGCAGCTGGCCAAACAGCCCAAGGGTACTAAGCAGTACCAGCGAGTCCTCAAGAAGATCGACGAGCTGAAAGCCAAGATCGCTAAGGCCGAGGAGGAGATCGAAACCGTGGACAATGATTTGCGTGAGGCTGACTGCCCCCGGACCCGATGCCTCGGATTGGATCGTTTCTGCAATCGGTACTGGTGGTTTGAGCGCAACGCCATGCCATTTGAAGGCATGCCGAACAGCTCGACTGCTGAGGCTCGATACGCCAATGGCCGCCTTTGGGTGCAGGGCCCTGACGAGCTGGAAAGCGACGGCTTCATCAACTTGACGGATGAACAACGCAAACAGTACCACAAGCACTTCCAGACCACTCCGGCCGAGCGCAAGAAGCACGAGGAAGGGTCTACCCATGTGTCGAATGCCCGCGAATGGGGTTACTATGATGACCCGGACTCGGTTGAGTCGCTGATCGAATGGCTGGATCCACGAGGCAACCGCGAATGCAAGCTACTAAAGGAACTTCACTTGCAGAAGGGATACATTGTTAAATACATGAAGCACCGCCAGGCCTACCTGTCCGAGAACACCGAGCGGGCTGAGTCTGAGGAAATGCCCACTAAGCGGGTCACCACGCGTACCAAGACGTACGTGGACGTCAACGAACACCGTCTTCGTTGTCTTCGTTGGAGGAATACGGCTGCCCTAACTGAGATCGGACACCTTCATGTCGACCCTGACCGACCAGCCAAGCGCAAGCGGAACACCGATGATATGCGCGAGGTTAAGGCCACTCGAGGCAAACCCCTGACTCGACGGGGTTCGCGTCGAGGATAACTCGGCTGTTTTCTTTTGGTTTGCCTTGGCCAGATCACGCGACCACGACTTTTTGCCTTTTTAAGGTGTATTATTGTTTCTTTCTTTCTCTTCTATTTCTCTATCGGGATCGGTTGATCTGTATACATTCCGTGCATTTTTGGAGATGGGGGGAGTCGAGGAGGTTTTCATTCTACAATATTTCACTTTTTGGTTCATCATTCTTAGTTCCAGATCACGAGGGGAGATACATATAGGATGCACATATAGACCAATAGCCAATCGCTTACTATTGCACCGCTCGGGACTCGTCGGGTTCTTTTTCTGCCGCACTCGGTCCGTACATTTCCCTCGGCTACTCGCGGTGCGTCATTGTCGCCTCTGCCCTTATGAGCCCCATATTCTTACCCCATTCCCAAGTTTCAATTTTGTATTATCCTTAAATTATTCCAATACTCTTGTTCATTGTATCACTTGTCAAGCAACTGTTAAATACCTGCACGACCTGAGTAGTGTAATTTGAGGATCAGCCGTTAGCCCGAGGAAACCCCAAGCTTTTCTTGCCGGGCTATCGCCGAGAGTCACGAGGGGGGAAGACCGTTTTCCCCAGACCCTCTTTTTTTGCCCCCAGCCTCGGTCTCACCACATCTCTTTCATGTCGACCGGCGCGACAGATCATGCGAATCGGGACCCCATCTTTACGCAGTCTCACTATCCCTTCAAAACTAGTGCGGAATCAAGTCCGCAGCACAACCCGCAGATGAGTGAGATCGCACATTCACAATCGGCGGGCCCCATTGCAGGTGGCACGGCCCTGAAGAAGACCCTCAATACAAGTGCAGATGGACAAAAAACTGGTAGTCCGGTCAAGACGCGGAGTTTGGACTATATCTTGCGAAGTGGTCTAGCTGGAGGACTGGCTGGTTGTGCGGTAAGTGCGCGAGAATCGTCGAGCACGCCTGCTTTAGAAATATGAAAAACAAAAGAGCAGAATACTGATTTGAGTTTCTGGAAAACACAGGCCAAAACTGTCGTTGCGCCACTCGACCGAGTCAAGATTCTTTTCCAAGCCTCAAATCCACAATTTGCCAAATATACAGGCAGCTGGGCAGGCCTGGCGGCTGCCATCCGGGACATCAAGCGCCATGAAGGCACCCGCGGCCTCTTCAAAGGCCACTCAGCCACACTCCTTCGAATTTTTCCCTACGCCGCAATTAAATTCCTTGCCTATGAGCAGATTCGTGCTATCGTGATCCCCTCCCACGATAAAGAAACCGCCTTTCGCCGCTTGATATCCGGTAGTATGGCCGGTATCACGTCCGTCTTTTTCACATACCCACTAGAACTGGTCCGAGTACGGCTCGCCTTCGAAACTAAGCAATCATCACGGTCATCATTAAGAGGTATCTGTCGCCAAATCTACAATGAACACGTTATCCCCCCCTCTACGGGCGCAGCCGCAACATCCAAAGCACCCTCTTCCACCGTCGCCGCCGCCGAAACCGTCTCTTCAGCCGTGAACTCGGCCGTACCACGTTCAGGCTTTGCGAATTTCTACCGTGGCTTCGCCCCAACCATCCTTGGCATGCTTCCCTACGCGGGCATGTCGTTCCTCACACACGACACTGTCGGTGACTGGCTTCGTGATCCGTCAGTGGCGCAATACACCACCATCCCCGACTCACAAGTCACATCTTCCAACAAGACCTCTCGACGACCTCAACTAACAGCCGCCGCGGAATTATTCTCAGGTGCCGTTGCCGGTCTTGTCTCTCAAACCTCCTCATATCCACTTGAAGTTATCCGACGACGAATGCAGGTCGGCGGTGCAGTCGGGAATGGCACCCGGTTCGGAATTATCGAAACAGGCCGCAAGATCTGGCTTGAGCGTGGATTCCGCGGTTTCTGGGTTGGCTTAACTATTGGCTATATGAAGGTTGTTCCTATGGCAGCCACCGCTTTCTTTGTTTATGAGCGGTTAAAGTGGGCACTGAGCATCTAAATGCGTGCATTGCCTTGATCCCCCGTCTCGCCGTACCCAAAACTTCTTCTTCATCTCGGGGCCTCAATATCCTCTTTCTTCTTCGTTTGCATATCTCATGTGTCTCGGTGATAGATTACCCATTTTTGCTGGTGCGATTTTTGGTATCCGCGCTTGATTCCCGTTGTTGGCGTCTGTGTATATCCTTTTTGGCTTGGGATTTTTCATTTTCATTTCTTAGCATTAGAGGAGCTAATGATGGCTCACTTGGAGATACAATACCTTAAGAGATGCACATATGATTCTGTTTCCAGAAAATATATCCGATATTTGGAAATTGGTGTAGATCTATTATTCCCTGAGTTTGCATGTAGCTGTAACAGTGCATTTCATCGCCATCCATGGGTGCTGGATACTACTGTTATTGTGAGATTTATCAATCATGTTCCACAAGTTTGTTGTCATTAGCAATTCGTTCTCCATTTTTCACCTCCCTTAATATCATTACCAGTTTCACTCATCTCTACTATTCTGGTGGTCAGAGGCCGATGGTTCGGAAGCCTTATAAGACGCCTTTGACACATTTCAGCATCTGCATCACTTAATTCCTGCCCTTAGGATTGAAATTACTATCTTTTCCCATTTCAGGAGAAACAAGGTTGTATCAATTCCCAAACTTCCATGCAACTATTCTATAGGTGATGTAAGTGATTAGCGGATGATGGGTGGTCCGTGCGTTACTCCGGGCTCCGCAAAAAAAAGTTGAAGGTCAAGAACTTTCCGCGCCACTACATACGCCCTGTACACAATGACAACACGCAAGCACAACGATTTTTTGGACGTCGCTGCTAGTGACGATGAGGTCGATCGCTACTATGATTCCGACGAGAAGGTGACGGAGAGCAAGGGTCGAGCTGTGAAGCGGAGAAAGAGAGCGGCAGATACTCAAGACTTCTTTGGCTTGCAGTCTGACGAAGATTCAGAAGGCGAGGATTCCGAGGTGGAAGAGTCACGCTTGAAGGGCAAGGCGCGCAAGCAAACCAAAGCGAAAGCATCCTCTGCATCGGATGACGATAAACACGACGACGACAATGAAGATGCCGAAGAAGGCGGAGTTGATCTTGATGACGACGAAGAAGGCGCTTACCTTGACACTGCCACACCAAAATCGAAATCCAAGGCCGTTAAGCCGCTTGATCTCAAGAAACTCGGAAAGCAAAAGAAGAAGCAAAAGCTTGGAGTGGTATATCGTGAGTTTCACAGATGATCTCCACCCGCAAACCAGGACTAATCTTCTCAATCAGTGTCCTCTCTTCCGCCATACCTGAAGCCGATGGCCCTCAAATCTATTCTCGAGAAGCGCGGTTTCCCACTCACCAAGGTTTTCCTGTCGAAGCGCCTCAACGACTCAAAGCAGAAAAAATCCAATAAGAGACAACTCTACACAGAGGGCTGGGTTGAGTTGCGGAAGAAAGATGCTAAGATTATGGCAGAGACGCTTAATGCCCAGACAATTGGTGGTCTTGGGTAAGTGAAGCCCACAGCTGGATAAGAAGCTCTACTAACATAACCCAGTTACTACCGTGATGATCTGTTCAATATGAAATACCTCTCCGGGTTCCGTTGGGATGATTTGACCGACCAAATAAACCGCGAGAGAGCAGAGAGAGAATCGAAACGTCGGGTTGAGGATGCACGGGCACACAAGGAAGAGAAGATGTTCATTGCTGGTGTCGAGGCCGGAAGAATTGCTGATGGTATGGCGAAGAAGAATGAGGAGAAGAGAAAACGCAAATTGGAGGAGGCTGGCAAGGATGCCGACGCTGTGGCTGAGAAGAAACCAATTGTGCGGAGACGATTCGTGCAAAATGATGTTGTGAAGCCCAAGCAGGATTTGAATGCCGTTGGGGATGATACCAAACGGGTGCTTGGAAAGATTTTCTGATCTTTTAAGGTTCATTTTACCGTCGGAATAAAGGAATGCATATTTAGTCTAGTGTATTGGGGTTATTGTTTGCGATATCCATATGTATTTGGTTCAATGAGAGTTGCATTGAGTGTCTGCTTTCCGTTCCTAATAGTCATGCATATGGCTCGTTTTTGCAAGCCAAGGCATATCATATGGAAGCCATCAAAGTCAAGCAGCTTCACACAAGTCCAGAGAATCATAAAGAATGATAACGTCAATTGATCGACACAGCAGCTTCTATTTTTGAACGACTCGGCCTGTTTGTCTTGTTTGCACCCATTATCGCCGCGCTCTCTCTCTCTCTCCGAAAGCAAGATTTGTGTTTCGAAGACTCAAGCATCATCGCATCAACCATGAGTGGAGCCCTATTTCGAGGGGCCGTGTGCCAATCCTGTCGCCATGAAGTGCTACGATCTTTTATTGCCGTATCAGGTCTGCCGATGCCGCGATACACCTCTCATTTGCGCTCCAGCTTGAATGCCAGAGCTTTCTCCGCTCTAGCACCAAAGCGATCTGATCGTCCCCCTATCTCGAATCCCTCAGATATCAATTTTTCGCCTCTAGAATCGTCTTCAGAATCGGCTCCAGAGACAATCACAGAAAACGAGGACAATGAGCCTGCAGAGTCACAGGTCCCTTGGTACCTGCAGGAAGAAGCGCCAACCAGAAAAGTCCGCCCATTAATCGGAGATCACATCCCAAAGATCCCAGAGAACTCCCCAGCTATGCTTCCGAACCTCATGGAGTACACATATCAGGATCTTGGCTTGGATGAGCTGAAACTTTACGATCTTCGCGGTCTTGACATTCCGGCAGCCCTGGGCGCCAATGTCATTATGATCGTTGGTACCGCTCGCAGCGTGAAACACTTGAACGTTGCTGCCGATCGCCTGTGCCGTTGGCTCCGCAGCACATATAAGCTTTCGCCGTATGCTGATGGATTGCTGGGTCGCAATGAGTTGAAGATCAAGCTCCGTCGCAAGGCCAAACGCGCTCGTGCCGCTAGTCACGCGGGTACGATGATCGACGAAAAGGATGACGGAATTACCACCGGTTGGATTTGTGTGAACATGGGTGTAGTCGACAAGGATGTTGCCAGTCCCCAGCTCAGCGAGGTTGGGTTTGAAGGATTCGGTCAGCTTGATACCGGAACAAGTGTGGTGGTTCAGATTTTCACCGAGGAAAAGCGGGCTGATGTGGATCTGGATGGTCTCTGGCAAGGGACTTTGGATCGGGCTGAGCGCAAGAGACTTCAAGACGCTTCAGACCCTGTCCCCAAAACCGATCCCTCAACCAAGAGCTCCCAGCGCGGAGGCATGGGCACCCCTGGTGGTCAACGTCGAGGTATGCATACTGGGCGGCAAGACGAGGCAACCGCCAGCCAAGCTGAGGCCCTGGAATATCCGTCTACTGCCTCCAAGCCCCCTGGATTTGGCATGAGTACTGAGTCGTTGATGCAGAAGCTACTCGGACTCCCCCACGATAATGCTCGCGGTGAGCTTGGAACTGGTCCTGAGGATTACACATCCACTCTTTTTCTGCAGCTTCTATATGCTAGCTTGCCAGCCGAAATTTCCGCCAAAGAAAAAGCTATTTTACGATTGAGACTGCACTCAATTGCGGTTTCTAGACAACACTCTGGCTACAGCAAGGACGTTCTGTTCAACGCATTCAACAAGTTCCTTTCTAATGGCAATAAAATTTCCGACGAGCTTGCATTTGATGTTGTCGCCGCCCTTTTGACCCCGCGCCTGGAACCTTCTTCCCAGACACCTGCCCAGTTCCTTCCTGAAGCCGACGTTGAGCTAGCTCTCCAGGTGCTGGAACGGCTGAGTCTGCGTGGTGTTCCCATTCTTAATATGAAAGTGTTTAATATGTTATATGAGGCGGTCAACACTCCAGCTGCGCCATTCTCATCTCCTGAGGAAGTCGAACGAACTGCAAGCGACAAGCGTCAGATGTTGACTCGTCTCTCTAAAATTCTTGCCGAGGCAGAGGTGCCTTTTGATGCGGTCGAGGCCCGCAAGCTTATGTTCACCCTGTTCCGGTGTCAAGATTACGACGGTTTCTGGCGCCTCTGGCGCCTGTTCCCTCTGAAGAACGCTACTCGTACACAGGCAGATTATGCCCAATTGTTCCAACTTCATGCGGAGCTTGGCGAGGAGCAACGGGCCCGCGACCTCCTGTCTGCATGGGTACCTATGATGCGTCGGGAAATGACTCCAATAATACTCCAGGGACCAATTGTCAATGCTATCATGCATTGTATCCTGGTGGCAGACCCGGAGATTCAATACCGAGCCGAGGACGGTTCCCCCAGCTACTTCATGGACTTGTGGGCCCAGTGCCAACGAGCACTGGCTCAGGCAGAAGAAATGATGGAAGAGCATTGAAATGTATAAATCCCAACCTTATGTATCATAATCAAATATTTACTTTGTACCAACATGACATCGTCTTGTATTCTGGATTTGGGTTGTCAAATGTAGTTCCGCTCGGACAAGTTGAGCCTCGGCTGCTGATCACTGGATCCGGCCATGAGGATTGAACCTCCGCTCTTCGTCTCTCCGCAAAACAACCCTCCAACTCTCTCATCCCCAGCCAAGGATGACCGGTGCTCCTGACAATGGAGTACCTTCCTAGTCTCCAGCAAGAGTTCGATGAACACAAACCATCGCTCTTCGGTAAGTCTCGACCCACAGGGCGACCTCGCGGGGAAAGCCACTCGAAACCCGGGGAACTGTCACACCTAGGCGGCATCGCTAACAGAAGCATCGCGCGCATCTAGAACTACTTGCTGAACAGCAACTGTCTGACTTACTACCTCCATCCATCCGATACCTACTCGCTGTCGCGACACACCGACACCCGCGGTACCTACTCCGGATCCTCAATTCATATGACGAGGTCTACGCCCTCGTCTCCCTAGTCGTCGAACGCTATTATCTCCGCACATTCGGCGGCTCCTTCACAGAAAATTTCTATTCCCTTAAACGCGAGCGCGTTCTCCGCACAAAGAATGGCGAAATCCCGCGCGCCCAGGTTGGCGCCGGTGGCCCTGTGCGCGATGCCCTCAAGTTACACTCCGCCGACGTGTGGAAGAACCTGCTTGTTATGGTCGGAATACCTTATTTGAAACGCAAGCTTGATGAAGGATACGATATTCACGCAGCACCGCAAGCGTCCCTGGTTCTAGGTGGGGGACCGCGATACAACCCCAGCGATGATCTGCCTCCGCACCCGACAGTGCGCCAGCGCATCTTCCACTACTACAAGTGGTTCCTGCGCAACATATACCCTTCCGTGAACGCGGCATATTATTTCTCGATTTTGGCTTTCAATCTCGCCTATTTGTTCGATAATACGAAATACTCATCCCCCTTCCTTTGGCTCATTGGATCGCGCATTCGCCGTCTCGGAGCCGCAGACCACCGTGCCATTGCTGAGGTGCTGGACCCGAAGCCTGCGCTCGGTGGGAGCAGCAGATCCCAGCGACCTGGATCCGGCCTTATGGGGCTTCTCAGTCCCCAGAATCTGTCACCACCACTCCTCACTTCCCTACGCTACTTCCTTCCCGCATCTATCTTTGCTCTAAAGTTCTTGGAATGGTGGCACGCAAGTGACTTCTCGCGGCAATTGGCCCGTAAAGCCACTGAGGTTCTCGACCTACCTGCGCCTGTCGTCTCGGGCTTGACTAACCCGGCCGAGCGAAGAAGGTCCGGTCAAGAAGAAAAGGAGAAGAAGCAGGCTGAAGAGAAGAAACCTGCCGGAGATCTCAAATCTGCTCTAAAACCAGCCCGTCGCCAGAAACACCCCATCTCTGCTACTTCATACCTCCCCATATTTACTGTTCCCTTACCACCAGCAGACACTTCAAGCGCGAATACTTGTCCCGTTTGCTTGAATACCCTTGTCAACCCGACAGCCTGTCAAACAGGATATGTGTTCTGCTACGTGTGTATCTTTCATTGGATCAATGGCGAACACCAACGCCAGTTGGACTTCATGAACGGGGAGGGAGCCGGTGCTGCCTGGGAAGAGGAAATCATGGGCGACGATGATGAGAAGAACTCAGATGAAGCTGAGGGAGAGAAGGGCTCTCGTAAGCGTGGCGGGAAATGGGAAAGTGGCAAAGGGAGATGCCCTGTTACTGGCAGGAGAGTCCTTGGTGGAACTGAGGGCTTGCGACGTGTGCTAATCTGATGTATATATACCTGGGTTAGAGCCATTGTTAGAGAGATATGTCATTGAATGAGAGTCAAACTGCCCAAGTCGTCTCGAATGTTATCTCGCCATTCTCATCTGTACATTCAAACTGCATTCAGTGCAGAAAGACCTTAGCGTTCCAGAGACCACCAGCCTGACGTCGTGATAAGCATCAAGCTTAATCCGACAACGTCATTAAAACCATATCCGAGGAAAACTGAATTTGTAGGACAGAAAATTATTGTACCAACGTAAGGATACTTTAATAGTATACACTTCGCCCTTGTTCAATAAGAAAGGCATTCATTATAGCCGAGTCATATCACTTTTCTGCTCACCACCAAGGTTAGACTCAGGAGTCATTAGAACGCTGAAATTCACCATATGTCCGGGCGTGACCAGCACTTGCACCTACGGACGCGATGAAGACTTTTTAAAACTATAGCCCCTCAAAGCCTCCAGGTCAATATCACCCCCTTCAGTTTCAGGCCATAATGCATCGATATCCAACGGAGGCTTCATTGGATGAGATCCTAACCGACTAGATCGAGCTGAGGGGACTGGTGGATCCGAATTTTCCTGTGAAGGCTGACTAGATTTGGGACTAAAGCCAAGAGATTTCTTCACCCGGCGAGGAAGTCCAGATTCTATAATCAGCTTTGAAAGACACGGCATGCTGAAGATGAAAAAGCCGCAGGTCATTTCGGCGCAAGCCCAGAATAGCAATGGTCCAATGAGATAGATCATATCGGACGATCTGGAGAGGGAGACTGTACGAGCTAAGCGAAGACAGGCAGCAATTGAGGCACTGCAGGATGGGTTAATTAATGCTGGAAAACGCAAATCTTGGATGCGGATAATACGGAAGTACTCACAGTATACCCGCGCTGAAGATGATGAAAACTCCAATCTTCTTTTGCCAATTAATCCGTAAACGCCAGATGATTCTTTGCGGAAGCAAGAACATTATTATGTCGGAAGCCACTTGGATGCTGGCGGATGTGAGCATCACGTCGGGGAGAGGGTAGCATGTGCTTGGAAGGTAGGATTTCCAGATTGCTTCGTGCGGTCTGCATTGTAGGTTCAACAAGATGATGCAAGCTGCCCCCCATACGCATTGTAGGCATATGATAGCCATGCAGCCCCACCAAAAGGGGTCTTGAGCGCAGTTGAAATGGACAAATATTCTACACCAGTCCAGTAAAATCGCGGTTTTGATCAGGGGAAGAACTGCTGAGTAGCAACACCCATAGATGAGATTAAGCTGTTGGTATATGTTAGCCCAACGCCAAAGTTTCTGGAAGGAGATGTTATGAAGAGTCGTGCATACATACGTAGAGCGGTCGAATGAGGTCTTCGTTGCGCAAGTTCCAGGTATGAACGAAGTATCCCGGGGAATAGATCCATGCATAGCCAACATAGGCAGTCCCGCAATAGGCGCCCTATAACATAAAATTAGCTTCACTGCGCGTGGAGGATGAACATCGAGAGAGATTCCATACGTATGCGCAAATCATCAAAACTGTAGAAGAAGCAGTTAGTCTCCGTCTGTTATAACCAAAAGAACCAAAAGGTATTGTAGACACACCCTCTTCCGCGCGCATCTTTTTCTCCAGCCACACTCGAGCAAACAAACGTAAAGACAGGCATATTGTGGCGACCACCAAACACAAGGTCGTCACTACCCATGCGATAGTATTGCTTTTCGGTGGGTTGTCAAAATTCGGTGTGACACCAGGTGGTGCTGGGAGAGCTGGCTGGGCCAGCAGTGTAGCCAGCGCTTCTGCCGACATCTTGCGCGACAAGCCCGCCACGGACAGTAAAGGATTGAATAGCTATTTTCATTTCGGAAGGCTGGAGGTCTCAGTTCAAATATTGAGCTATGACCCGATGATCGTTGGTGGCAGCAGCTAAACCATGGTTTGCCCCAGGGATCGGAAAATCGAGATCCGCCACAACAGGATTTTCTTCCAATAGAAGGGATGATATCTCATTTCCGGAAGTTAATGACGTCTGAAACTCTATGATATCCAATTTGGAGCTCTGCAGAAAAAAAAAACCCCAAAAAAGAAATAACCCGATGCAGAGCCTGTATATCATCGTCTGCAGTAATGTGCAAGAGTCAGTCAGATCGGCAGTCTTCGGACTTAATGAATACTTGAGAAATCTCCAAGTCTAAGAATACCTCTCTTTCTGCATGCAAAATGGGGATTCAGTCAATATTTTCATTGTTGAATATAGATAAATTGTATGCTGCAGAAATACAGATGACTATGCATATAACCCTAAAATGCTTCACAGCCATGCCTAGCCTGGCCAGTTTTGATCGATCGTAACAAAATAGTGGACACATGTCAACGCTAGGAGACATAAAAAACATAAGAATAAAACAAGACTGAGACCGGCTCAGGAGAAATCATAATTTCCTTCAGAAGGACTACCATACTCGAATTTTGAAAGTAACTCGGCATCATGTTGCAAGTCATGCGAAGGTGGGTTCATAAGTCCCAGTACCTCCTGTCGAAAGGGATCAGAACCGTCGTCAACCATCATCTGGTATGCATTATTGGCCGTGTGGTAGCGCATCGTATCGTCAAAATTTGTCATGCCCATATTGGGGCCTTGGGGGAAGCCACCGGCCATGGCGTTTTGTTGTTGGTAGCGCCGCAATTGTTGCTGTAGATGCATGATCTGGGGATCGAGAGGCATCGGGGTGAAGTTCGCCATGGGATGTACGGCTCCGGGAACATTAGCAGGGACGTTGCCTGGTACTGCCTGATTCATGTAGGGGTGGTGAGCTGGGGAGTCGTCCGGTGCTTCGTCCATGTCTTGAGGGACATCCACATGGTCGTCGCCATGGTCCATGCTATCGTCTACCATGTCTGACGTATCAATAGAAGGTGACTCATCCTCCTCCTTAGTTCCTGGGATAGGAGGCGTTTTGAGGGTTTCCTTGCATTGAGGACAATCACGAATCACCCGGTTGACAGTTTCCTTGATCCGTACCCAGTGGTATTTGACTGCAATGGCAGCGGTGGTTTTGTTAATGCCAGCATGTTGCCTGAGGTGGACTTCCTTGGCAATCTCATACTGTTGCTGTGGATCCGAGACAACCTCTTTGTCCTTGAGCATCAGCTTATCGGGGTCTCCCTCTTCGCCCTCAATCAGCTTATAGTGGGTGGCGGCGCTACGCAACCGACTTTTCTCGGCGCGATCTGCACCTCGAGGGTACTTGGAGTGCTTCAGATAATACCGAATCTTCTCAAATCGATCTTGTGATACAGAATCCTCGCCGTCTAAGCTGAGACCTCGACCGTAGATAATCGCATCCACAAACTCCCCGGGTTGAGACTTAAGCCTTCCTCCACCTGGGATTCTGCCAATGCGCTTGAACCCAAGTGAATCCCAAAGTCGACATGATGCAACATTGCTCTCGTAGACCAGGTTAAATACTGCATAGGTATACCCCTAGTTTAAATTTTCAGCTTCAAGTCGTAGTAAGTATAAAGGGGTTCACAAAATACTCACAAGTCGAGGAGCCCACTCCAGATAACCTTCACCCATCAACCTACCTACACCCTTGTTTCTGGCGGCATCTGTGACAATAAAAGTACCATTACAGACATGGCTACTCCAGCCGGGGTAGTTCGGACGAATGTGAAAGCCACCCAGACAAATTTTGGTCCAATTGGCACCGGCCTTGTCCATGGCATGTGTTTGTTGTACACTCTGAATATCGCCGAGCAGCATGACCACACCAAAATTGGAGAACCAATAGCGACTAAACTGGGCCAAGGGAATCGGTTCAGACATCGCATAGGTATCACCCTTTTCAATTTCCTTGTTGAATTGGTCGGAGAGATACTTTAGCAGGGGTCGGGGTAGATCATCCCCCGAGGCGAATGGCATTAAGGTTGCCACCGTGACCCGATCGCGGAGCGTGACTTGTCGCGGCGCCAGCGCCAGAGGATAGTCTAGCTCCTGACCTGTCGGAACCATCTCTGCATCTCCATGGAGTTCAGACATAATGAATAAAATATACTATAGTTGGGTCAGTGCTGATCACGGGACTGGATGCCATATTAGTCAATCAGTTCTTTTCTGACAATGCATTGAGAAAGATAGCAGAGGAAATATGATAGAAACCGAGTGCTCATGGAGAGAGCTCTGAATTGTATCTTGACTACACCAGAATCACCAAGGGGCTAGGACTGACATTCTGCTCTGCTTCTAGAAGCCTTTGGCACTTCGTGGACCGCGTGAGTATTCTCGAGTCCGGAATCGGTGCAACGCAAGTTAGAGAAGCCGTGGTCCCTGATGACTCATCGGCTGACTCATCAGGCCACAAGGTGTCAATGCTGAGGTACAGTGGTTTGTATGAGTTTACAACCAGCCTTCCAGACCGCCTACTATGTATAGCTTACCGCCCATCAATTATGCGGCGCGCTGGCCCAAAATAGAACACCGGTCAACACACGGTTCTTAAGTCATATGTGGTACGTTTTAGGAATGTTCTTAGTGATGTTCAGCTTGCAAGTTCTATATTCTCAGTTGATTTAGCTAAGAATGTGAGGTTTTGGCTCGCAGAAAACGTGGCAGATTATTATGTAAGGAGTGGAGGCGGTTTCAAACTCATGCAACACCACTATAACCCACCTGCGCTATTGTTTTCGTCAGGCAGAATTGGAAGTCAATACATACATGTAGTACGCAACTTGAACTCTGACTTTCTTCTAATCATAACAACATCCATATATATTTCATCAAAACGCTTATCATGACTTGTGCTTTGTATTTTTCTCCAACCTTGGACTGATTTCAGATATGCTGAGCTTTCTCTTCTGCTTCCCCAACGCTTTTGTACATTTCTCGTACGTATTCCACCTCACCCCAAAGCGTGTATGCGACGTGTCCAGTGCTTGATCGGAAACTGAAAGTACTTGACGCCATTCATTTGGCATATTCCATTGATATGAGGCTAATAATGCTAGAATCTTAGAGGCCCGCAGACCTTTATCAATAAAAAAAAGTCTTCTGTTGCCAAAAGCTCAACCTTCAAAGCCTTCACGGTGAAATCATTTACAAGTCTGATCTCTCATCCATAAGAGGAGACCGACAAAATGGCCAACACGGACGAAAGGCAATTTCATTCGGCAGAAGATTTATCGTCCGATCACATGCCTGTTCTCAAAGCAAACGACAAGGTGCTGCTCGTGGTCATGCTTACCGATTTCACGGAGCAGAAGGGGAAAGAACTCGTGGATTTCTTGGAGACTGAGCCCGGGCTCATCCAAGCTGGTCTCAAAGTCCAAACATGGGCTCCGTCTAAACGTCTTCTCAGTTCAATTGCTGTACAGGGTCCACATCGAGACAGTCTGGCTACTGTTCATGCTCTTGCCATGCTAGCCTACCGATCCGGGCTAGAGTTCTTATTTCGCACGAGCTTCGTTGTTGCTGATGACCTCACCAAACGTTGCTGGGATAATACCCATCGAGTCGGTGAGCGGGCCAAGCTTTCACTTCTTATGGTCAGTGTTCAGCCAGAGAATACTCATAAGACACCAGCCCCTATTTCTTTATCTCCGCCTGGTGCTCGTGTAGTCGTCTCTCGCTTCTCTGATACATCAGACAGCTCTAATGAAGAATGGTATGATGACTTCGTTGCTTGCGCTAGCTGCGACTCCTCATCTGACGATTACTTGATTCGTGATTACAAGGGTACAAACGACCCGTGGACTGTCAGACAGTACGAATACGGTTTATTGCCATTCATTTTGGAGAAGTTTCATTGGGAAGATTACGATGTTTTCTTTCAAGATGTTCTTCGTTCCGATTATCACTGCAGAATTAGGCAACAGCACCACTTGCTTAACCCCAGAGCTCAGCGGTCTTACTCTATCGCTTACCATTGCATGTATCTTCTTGATCCTGATCAAGAGATGTTCGCCACCGAACGCCCCCATTTTTCAACAAGGAAGCAATATCTGAAGGCTGCATGGTCAGCGCTTTCCTTTCGTCTCCCACCAGAGTTGGCGACTGAGATAATCTCTCTAGCTGACCTGGTTCCATCCTTCCGAGCACCTCTATGGAGACGCCGACAAAGTCAGGAACATTTACACTTATTTGTAATGTTTCCTACAACTGAGGATGAGCTCCGTGAAGCCCATTTGATTATCCATGATGCACTGCAAATACAATCACAAGAACAAGAGGATGTTCCGAAAACAGCAGAGCTCATCCCTCTTCACCGCCACGGTATGAGAACCCGCCGCGATGTGGTGGTATTCTGGGAGAATTATCGGATGCACGAACCAGATGAAAGATGCATCGATCCACTTTTGAATCTTATGCTGAGCCCCATTGAAAAGAAAGCCATCAACTTGTCCCACTTTGCCATTGTTCATTCCGGTGGTGTGAAGCCTGTAGTTGCTTTGAGAACTACACTCGACACGCTGTGCTGTGTATCCACATCTAGTCTGCATCGTCTTCTTGCTCGCGATTATGACAAGTACAATATTGATCACGTTGAAGCAGCATACAATCCAGACCAGCCATATTATTACAATCCACCAATCTGGGAGGCAGTGAGTAATTCATATACAGATCAATACCTCCTTGACTATGACTGGATCCCGGTGTTCTACCTCACTAAGCATCTGACGGATTCGGAGGATCTGGTACTCCGCAAGGAAATCTATAAAGTGGATGGACAGGACAGGTATGGTATCGGTCCCGAGGCTGCTCTGGACTACGATACCGAGCAACGAAAGGATGTCTGTTTCGTCCCCTGGGAGCACAATGAAGATGGAACTCTGGATGACATTTGGAACATCGTTCTCAAGATTTACAAATACGAAGGTTTCAGTCGCCGGTTTCAGCGCTTCTTTTGCCTCGACCGACAGTCTGTGGAGGATCAAAAGCTCATTGTCGTTGAGCCCGACTTCTATCTTGCCGGAAGAAAAGTCCAAGATGAAGGTAGATTATTACAGGGCATGGTTGCGCCTACACTAGCAGGGTTCCGTTGCAACCGTGTTCCATGTGTAGAAGCCCATGATGTCAAGATTGAACTTGATTCATGTGTTCGAACTATTGAAGATGTCCACGGCGCGCTTTCCGATGAAGGGCAGCACTTTATTCGGCCCGGCTGGCCAGGCCCTGAAGTTCTTCTTCCCACACATCCGTGGAGGCTGGCATGGCCCGAGCCTAGTCAACCCGGTACTATCCCTGTGTGGGATATATTCGGTTCTCATCTACATGCAGTCAACGACGAAAATGAAGAGAGCGGAGAAGAGTAGTAACCATGCCAGGACAATGAAAAATATTGATAAAATCTAGCTAAGAGTAAGGCCAGGAACTTCCAAACATGGTAAACTCTAAGTATGGAAGTGGGCACAGTAGAATGTATATTAGTATTCGAGAGCAGTCATGCCTCTCTAGTGACACTGGGTTATAATACTGTTGTTCCAGTAATTTTGCATTCTGTAAATGGTCTAAAGAACACCGTCTTCTTGTCAAGCGATCTGCCCCACCCTCTGCACAGGTTCGTGTTGGCCCCCCTCTGTGGAGTCCAACCCGCCACCGACATTTCGAGAATCTGCACTAGCGAATCGCCGATGCAGATTTCAATACTATGACGACGGGTCTGCGGCCCAAGGCTACCCTTCAGCTCTGGTGGGGGTTAAGCGCTTGCGATCGAAAGCTCCCGATCACCCCAGGATTTTAGCACGCCATCCCGCAAAATATTGTCACATCGATCAAGATCTTATCTGAAACAATGGCAGAGCGTCCACAGTTCTACGAAAACACATTGAAGCCGCTAGAGGTCACCCCAGCTTCACTCGCAGAATCCTTGGAGGAATTGCGTGTCGCAGTCCGCTATGGAGCTGAAGCCATCCAAGCCAACGAGGTTCCCCAAGACAAATGGTCGCCCGGTGGCATGTTCAAGCATTTCCCTGGTATGTATAATTATCGGAAATAGTATCCTAAATCTGATATCTATTGTATCTCTTTCGGTCAATGCGGGGCGGGACTAATCAGCCGCCACAGGTGTGGCCCTTGCTTTCTTACGCCTTGACTACCAGTCCCCGGCGTTGAAAGATGAAAATGGTTCGCACCCGGACTATCGCCAGCTTGCGCTCGAGAGGATTCCATCGGAGTTCCCAGGTCATGCGTTGCTGCCGTCTCGATTGTCCCCGGCAGGATCACTCTCGCCTATTGCTGGTGTGACTTTGCGCATTTTCTCGGCGTTGGCGAAGTCTAACTGGGAAAGAGATTCTAAGCCAAGTCTTTCTCAGCAAGACATCAATTGTCTTTATGATGCTGCAAGCCTTGCTCTGAAGAATGGGCCCCTTGTTCCTCATGATGGCCGCAATATGGGTGGTGATGAGATGCTGTATGGTCGGGCAGGTCTCTTGTGGGCCCTGCTGAATATTCGTGCTCATCAATTCGATGATGAAACCCAGAAATCACTCGACCCTGTCTTTGAGACAATCCCCAGATTGATCGATGTTATTGTAGACTCCGGACGTCAGGGCTCAAAAGCTTATATTGAGAAGGACGGGGCGGAGGGGGCGCACCCGCTGATGTATGCCTGGATGGAAGGGCACTATTGCTTTGGAGCGTGAGTGTGGTCTTCCCTGAATTTCCCAAATCTTCAAGTACTAACGACCTTCCTATCAGTGTTCATGGAATCAGTGAGTTGTACTGCTTAAGAGGGGTGAGATCAATTGCTAACGAAATTGCGTCCCTAGCTGGCATCCTTCCTATCATCCTTGCAGCTAAGCCCGAGGAACTCACAAAGCACATTTCTATCATTGGAGAGACCATTACGGCACTATGCAAACTTACTCTTTCAAATGACGGCCACCTCCCAATGACCCTCCCACCATTCAGCTACGGGCAGACCTCGGAGCTTGTGCAGCTCTGTCATGGGAGCCCTGGTATTCTGATTATGCTAGCAGCAGCTTTGAAGAATCCAGCTCTGACTCAAGACCACTGGTGTCCCGAATGGGACAAAACGGTCTACGAAGCCTCTCAGCGAATATGGGAGGAAGGTCTCCTCTCCAAAGGAGGCAGTCTGTGCCACGGAATCTCTGGAAATGGATGGCCCTGGCTCATGCTGCACAACACCTTTGAGTACCACTCAAAGGAACTTGAAGCTGCTAGAGCCGCTTACTTGGAGCGTGCGCAGGCCTCGGCTCCTTCGAACGAAGACCTTGGTCAGAGGCTTACGTCGGACTTCTTTTTGTCAAGAGCTTTGGCGTTCATGCTGCACTCTCGTGAGACCCGGCCTTACAACAAAGCTGCTGAGATCTCCGAGAAAGATTACCGCATGCCCGACGATCCATACTCATTGTTCGAGGGTCTGGCGGGTAATGTCTGTGCTTGGGCTGAGACCTGCGCGGTGATTCAAGCCCGATTGCGCAAAATAGAACTCAGCGAGAAAGGATCAGACTTTGAGTCTGACCTGCTTTTCAAGCAGGCACTTAAGAGTGAGCTTGGGTTCCCGCTCATTGGTGGGAATGGGGCTGGTGGTTTGATTTAGTTGATGGTCCTGTTGCAGGTTCAACTAAGACTTTCGGGTTTTTCTTCTCACTCTTAGTATATAAACGAATACTATAGAAAGATCAACATTTACCAATGTCTCGTCTTCAGATACTTGTGGACTATTTCACTTGATTCTTCACTTGCCCTCCTCACTTGCAAGGACGTATATCTATATCGCCCTAATGTTGCCCGATGACATCATAACTAAACTCACCACCTGACATCCGTTGTACGTGACCTGGATACCTTATTGACCACCAGCAGCGAAGGAAGTACTTGGAGGTCTATGGATTACTGTTGTCTTCCAAGATTCAAACCAAATATGGGTTGAGAGCAATATTAGGGATACAAAGTGAAATTAGCCCATGAGCTTCCCCACCAACACGGGCCTCAGAACCGGGCGCTTACAGCCTTACGGAACTCTCCGCATTATTAGCGGTTCATCGTGGCAGTGCAGGGCACTTCGCGAGACAACATTAATTAAATTTATCATCTTCAGAAAGAAGCTTTCGTTAACATAAAATGTGAACTAATCTCCGATCGAGTCCCATTCACAACCAAAGTGATGGATTTGATTCCACCGTCATATGAGTCGGCAACAGATCGGGATGCATGGGTCATCATCGCTCGCTATATCTCTTCGAGCGACCTTTGTGCAGCCTCACTAGTCAGTCACCGATGGCACGACCTATTTATGCCATTCCTGTGGGGTGATCCAGCGTCGCACTTTGGCACAGAAAATGATGCCGTCTACGGTAAACTTACCGCGCTTTGCTTCGATTGTGGAAATATCCAGCACTAACAATGCATACCCAGTGGCCCTGACACGGTTTCGAAGAACCCTAAAATATGCGAGGCGAGAAGTACGCGCATTAACGCATACACTTCACCTCCCACCCGCTCTATCGGAGATCTACGATGGCCCCCGACCGACATGGCTGAGGGATATTTTGGAGTACCTACCTTGTCTGCAGTCGCTGATAGTCTCCCGGCTACCCTTTTTCGATCATAACTGCATGTTTGCATTGAGAAGCTCGAAAAGTCCTCAATATAATGTCCGTCTATTGTTAGCGGACCATGAGCCAAACACGACCTCTGCAGGTCTAGCAGAAACCCTTCTTCGATTTCCCCTATTGACCTATCTGGACTTCTCATATACGACTTCTGCGCGTGATCCTGGCGTCTTATCGTCATTATCTCAACTTGAACACCTTCAAGTTCTGAAATTGCGCGGTATTGGCCTGAAAGACCCCGATGCCGAGTTCCTGGCTAACGCCATTGGGAAACGAGTTCGTGTTTTGGATTTGCGCAATAACATGCTCACCGATATGGCCGTTCGCTCCTTGCTTCAGGCCTCTTTCCTATCGCCAAATCAGCAGCCACAACAACCTCGACATCTTAGACGTACTGGAACTTCGCCAGACCCTGTCATCCAGTCCGCCCTTCGAGGCATTGGGTCAGATTTCTTGAGATCACCCTGCCTAGATGAGCAGTACCTGAAGTTTCTAGCGAGTCAAGTCACTAGGCATCCCTGGGTTGATTACTTGCCGTATGTGGGTATTACCCATCTTTATATCGCAAACAACAATATAAGCGTCGAGGGTGTGGCAGCCCTCCTGGCCTCTTCAAATCTCTATGCCCTCGATGTCGGGACAGTGAAAAGCACAGGTATCATACATAAACAGGCGCAGTCTCTCAATCATTGGAAGTGCCCTGGCGCAGAGAAGCTGGTTCCTCTTTTAGGGAAGATTGCTGGAGACAAGTTGACTTATCTCCGCGCCCATCATGCAGTACTTACTGCTGAGCCCCCGTTGAAAGATTGTGGTCCCACGTCCGAGTTTCTTCCGGAACTCGGGACCAGCGAAGTGCCTCACGAGGCCGAGTTAGACGCTTCAGAAGAAGCTCGAATCTACGAGCTTCCCGAAGAAGAAGCCCCAATCTACGAACTTGCAGATACATCTCTTGCTGAGTCTACAAGTACAGTCACGAGCACCAGCACCGCTCGAAATCAAAAGGTGGCAGCACTATATCAGGATGAACCTTCGCCGACTGTCAGACGGGGATCAGCTTTTGCTCCAGAGGTCATTCAGACTATGCCCAATGGAGACATCATAGAACCAGACTACTGCGAGAGTCCTAGTATCGCTGACTCTCTTCACACACTTCCACTGTGCAGTTCCCCCGTTTCGTCAGATGATCCCCGTGCCCAAAGAATCCAAGAACTTCTGGCAAAACGCCCACGAAACCAATCCCTTCCGCTACGCGGCGGCAAAGAAAGTCGATTCCCATACCTACACCCCTCACATATACCCCACTGCGAAACACTAGTATTGACAGACATTCCATCGCACATCCCGCCCAACTCCCCGATATTTTATACTCTCACCCGCTTCATCACAGCCTGCTCCAACGAAGCTCTTCTCGCAACCCTTCAAGCTGGTTCAGACTATTCTCTCCCACCAGGTCAAGCCCGCTACCAAGCTGAGCAGCAGCGCTCTCGCTCTCTCTTCGGTCTTCGTCGCATCATCCTCGAAGTCACCGACACTTCCACTAGACACATATCATGGAAACCTGCAAATCAACGCAACGGAACCACAATATCCAGCACAGGAGACCGCGACTCAGAGGCTCTGTGGGCCGCGGCTACAGATGACTTTAGCTTCTTCGGCGAAGAGGAATGCGGCATCCCCGATAATGATCCGGGGAAGTACTTCCCCATGGCAGCACTAAACGAGAAAGTCTCACTTTCACCCTCAGACGACAGCGCTTCCTCTCTCTCTGGCGCCGAATCACCCTCCCGTGGTGGTGATAATCCGCGGCGGGGACCTACGTTTACTGGGTCTCGTAGCACGGACGCAAGCAAAAAGCGGCAGCTTTCACAGAATGTGGATCTCGTGGCACAACTAGCCGCTTTCCGTCGTGAGAAGAAGGCAGAGTATGAGCAGCTTCTCAGGCGAGAGAGAGGACGGCGGAATACGAATGGGACTGAAGTGTCGAGTATATTCTCAACGTCTTCAGCGCAGGGATCTATGGCCCATTTTGTGGAAGGGCATTGGAAGGGAGAGGTTAAGATTGTGAGGAATCCGATGCCTAAGGTTCGTAGTGGAGTTGTCGATATGTATGGCAATTATTTTGAGAAGGGATACCTGTACCCCTAAAGGTGCAGGTCCTACATGATAGACACTAGTCGAATGTATTACGGCGATTTTTGGAGTTTTGAGAAGTTTTTTGGTATTTTCTAAGCCCGTATATAGGGCACTCCCTTCTCCCTAGGTTAAACCTGGGGTTCAAGCAACCCGAGGGAGAACTAACCCAGACAAAGCAGTAGAATTAAAAAGAGACAGAAAGCCCATAGGAATAAATTCCCATAACAGTCCCCTGGCCACTTTCAATCCAACGGCCATCATGTCAATCAATCCAACAAATCAATGCCGAATCCCTCCAAATTTTTATCAATCGTCACAGCATCGCCGGTCGGTTCATGCACGAAAATCGTGTGGTAAGAAGATCAACGCGGGAAAAAAGAGACAAAATAAAAGAATTCATTTCAGACTAGTTCCATTTTATTTTGTTCGTTGAACAGCCGTGTCATATCCCTTAGTTGGCCTTGCCAGCCTGGGGGGGAGTCAACTTCTTTCCGTCCTTGTTGTAGCGGATACGGGGAGGGGGAGCACGGTTGCGGCGGCCTTCGCGGGAACGGACACTATATTAAAGTCAGTATGGCTGTTGTTTGCAATCTGAACAGTGCAATGACTATTCGCCACGTATTGGCTGGTTGGATGGGAGTGGCGTACCGAACGATCTTGCCGTGAATAGCGCAGGACACACAGTACTGGAGCTTCAGGTACATCTTGGGGACGGCGTACTCGGCGAAGACGGAGGCATCGGAGATATCACGGATGGCAGCAGACTCAACCATGTTGCGGATGGTGAACCGCTTGATAGCCTTGTCCTTGGGAACGCAGCGGGCGCAGTTGGAGCAGCGCACCGGCTTGACGTGGCCGCGGCCATTCTTGTTGCGACCGCTAAAGAAATCAATTAGTGATTCGTCCTTAAACTCGTCTTGCATATTCGTGCTGTGCGAATATGTCCATTTCCAGAAATGTCTAATCGATTCTCCAGTGGCTCCCATTCTTCTCGTTTCCGGCAATGCGCATAGGTCGCTATTTATTTTTGAAATTCATCGGCGTAATTCATTTTGTCCTTCTTGTTGAATTTGTGCGTGGCTTTGGCATCATTGCGGAGGTTCAAGTCGAATGGGAGTCTGGGTGTGGAAATTCGAGGCGACGGGGAGGGATTCGGTCTTACTTGTTCGCCCGCTTCTTGACCATTTTGACGGATTGATCTGGTTTGGAATTAGAGGTTGTTAAATCGTAGATGGGGTAGGGGTAGCGTACGGTTGACTTGTCGAGGGTGGGTTGTCGAAGCTCGCTCACTCAGAGACTCATCGGGAATGGATAGTGGTTGTGTTGTGGGAAGCCCTAAACCCTTAAGCGAGACCCACGGACACCTTGACACCTGAATTACAGGGAGACAAAGACAACGTCACCTGACAGATCATGCGTTTTAAGGTCACGAGAAGCGCTAATCCAGGGTTAGACTAGCGTCCGGAACGAACCGTCAAAGCATGCGATTACCTAATCCCCGTGTTTACCTGCGGGACAACGAGGAGAGAACACCCCTGTCTGGATCGTCAGTCAACTACTTCTCTTTGGGACTTTGAACAAAAAAAACGCCCTTGCTGCTGTTTCTTGTACATTCTCCTAATTCTCTTGTCTCTCCTCCCCTCCCCCCTTCCTCCTTATCCCTCTTTTTTGGAAGTAATCCCTTAGGATGTCGCATACCGGTACATTTCGAGGAACGCCCAATAAGACCATCGGCAGAGGAAGGCTGCCCGACTTCGACGGTTCCAACACTTCCCACATCCCCCGGCCCCGATCCGACCGCCCTGAACCTACCTCTTCCCACCCCCCATCCAGCGACGTTGGCAGCGGTACCGGCACCATGAGCGCCGCCAGTAGCAGACAGCGACAAACTCAGTCGAAGCGTGATGAGGTTCGTGATCACCCGATCTACATTGTCCCCAAGACTCCGCCTGTTTCCCATTTTTTCGGTCTTTTCTGGGCTCGAAGAATCGAAGCTCGCCTACTCTACAAGCTTGATTTGACTCGATTTGACTCGACTTGATCTATTTATCGGGTTTACTTGACTTACTGACCGCCTTTTTGTTTATAGGCAATCCGTCTCAAGATGGAGGCCAACCTCAATAAGAAGAGGCAAAATCCTACCAAGGCTACCCGTTCTCGCAAAGCCCCACCGGGCACCGTCCTGGCCCTAAAGCCCAGCCAGGCTCTCCAGATCAAGCCTTCCCTCAGCATTTCGGAGGCGGCCCAGTTGATGGCCGCCAAGCGCGAGGACTGCGTGTTGGTCACCGACGATGATGAGCGCATTGCCGGTATCTTTACGGCTAAGGACTTGGCTTTCCGTGTGATTGGAATGGGCTTGAAGGCCCGTGAGGTCTTAGTTTCCGAGATCATGACCAAGAACCCCCTATGTGCGCGAACAGACACCAGCGCAACAGATGCGCTCGATCTCATGGTTCGGAAGGGTTTCAGACATCTGCCAGTCATGGATGAGAACCAGGATATTTCTGGTGTTTTGGATATCACAAAGTGCTTCTACGATGCGATGGAGAAATTGGAGCGCGCCTACAGCTCATCCCGGAAGCTCTACGATGCTTTGGAGGGTGTTCAAACGGAGCTTGGCTCTAGCCAGCCCCAGCAGGTGATCCAGTATGTTGAGGCTCTGCGGTCGAAGATGTCTGGCCCGACCCTTGAGTCTGTGCTTGATGGAATGCCGCCCGTGACTGTCTCAGTCCGAACCACTGTGAAGGATGCTGCAGCTTTGATGAAGGAGCACCACACCACTGCTTTGCTTGTGCAGGACCAAGGCTCAATCACCGGTATCTTCACCAGCAAGGATGTTGTTCTGCGTGTCATTGCTCCTGGCCTGGATCCAGCCACTTGCAGCGTGGTCCGTGTCATGACCCCCCATCCCGACTTTGCTCCCTCCGATATGAGCATCCAGGCTGCGCTCCGTAAGATGCATGGTGAGTTGAACTGAAATCGAGGTACCCGTTGCAGTCTGCTAATGATGATACAGATGGACACTATCTTAACCTCCCCGTCATGAACGAAGGTGGTGAGATTGTCGGCATGGTGGATGTGTTGAAGCTCACCTACGCCACCCTTGAACAGATTAACACCATGCAGACTCAGGATGATGAGGGTCCTGCATGGAACAAGTTCTGGCTTTCGATGGATCATGAGTCGGACTCCATGGTCTCAGGCAGCCAGAGCCAACAGCCACACACCCCCCACCGCTCTGTCATGAGCCCCGACCTGGCTCGGTCAGGCTACGATAACAGCGTCCTTCCCAACGATTCCGCATCACACAATGGCGCAGAAGAGCACTCAGAAGTTGCATCCCAACATCACCATCAGCCAGCTGAGGATGTTCCATTCCCCTTCAAGTTCAAGGCCCCCAGCGGTCGTGTGCACCGGGTGAACGTGTTGACCTCTGCAGGTGTCGAAGACCTTGTCAAGCAGGTTACAGCCAAACTGGGTAGTGAGATCGAGGCTGTCGGTGGGGAGGCGGTTGTTGAAGAAGGCCGCCTCAGCAACACTGGCTATGCTCTCAGCTACATGGACAACGAGGGCGATACTGTCTCGATCACCACTGACCAGGACATGTTGGATGCCATCAACCTTTCTCGTGCTATTCGTCGTGACAAGGTGGATCTCTTTGTTCATGACCCGTCTCAGCCCCCCATTCCTGCCACTCTTGATCCTCAGCCAGTTAAATCTGCCACCCCAGTCATTGAAGAGCAGGCCAGTGTTGCGGATTCTACTGCCACTGAAGAGCCCATTGTGAAGCCCCGCCAACAGCACTTCCCTTCGCAAGGACATGGACACGGTCCGGAAGACCAGCTCATTGCCGGCGTCCCCAACGACCTACTCCTTCCTGGAGCTATTGTAACTTTGGCTGCAGTCATTGCGGGTGTGTTCATCCTCAGCCGTCCCAGCGGTCGCTAGAAGCTTCATTTCTTGTTCTCCTGTTTCTCCTTTCTCTCTTAGATATTCCCTTTCTCTCGTTTTCCACATCCACAGCCTTGTTCCTATCATCCACCCACATTCTTGACCAACTAAATCTCCCCTGTCCATCTTGGCTCTTGTGAACTTCTGAGAGAGTGCATACCCTTTTCTAATTATCGGTACCTGTGTATCGCGTGTCCAAATACCGCTGTTCTATTAATGCTCAGTTATGGCCTTAGCTTAGCCTCCAATGCAAATACTTCTTTGTGTCGCGTATGGATATTTTTACAAAGGCTGGGATCAAGGACTGAAAGTTCAAGAGCTACAATAAATCCATATTGGGTAATGGTAAGGATAAAAGACAAAAATAAAATAATTCTGATATTTATGACACTGGTACCTACGATTGTCCAGGTAAGAGACGAGTCATTAATAGTCTGACATTATTACTACTGGCATCGCAAGTGTTGATCCCCAGTGGCCGCTATCGCATATCAATTCCCCTAATCATCAATCTTTTTTTCCCTTCCTCCCCGCCCCACCAAAAACAAATCTCCTCCCTTTCTGAACCACCCCTCCTTCAAACCCCCGCTTTACATCTCACCCATAGGGCTCTTGCGACCTGGGTAGATTCTGTCTGTTGGATCTTGGGAACAGACATCGCCCACCATGTCCCTCCTACCGCCCGAGGTCCACACCGCGCTGTCCCAGCTGCTGCGCTCTCTGAGCACCCCCGACAATGCTGTTAGATCACAGGCTGAAGACCAGTTGAACAATGACTGGGTTCAGAACCGACCAGATGTCCTTTTGATGGGACTTGCGGAGCAGATTGGGGGAGCCGAAGACACATTGGTTAGTGCTCACACTCTTTGACCCCTCCCTTGCAAGACTGTTCACTGCCGAGGATTCGTGATTCAAAAGCCTTTGGAGAACAACAGATCTCGTGTAATGTGTATACCGCTATAATTCAAATGCTAATATTGAGACAACTCCGAACAGACTCGTGCTTTCTCCTCCGTTCTTTTCCGACGAATCGCAACAAAAACTCGCAAGGACCCCGCTACTGGCGAGGCTAAAGAGATCTTCCTGAGCTTGCCCAGCGAACAGCGTATTGCTATCCGGGAAAAGCTGGTCACATGTCTCACAACTGAGGCCGTTACCGATGTGCGCAAGAAGATCGGTGACGCGGTGGCAGAGGCGGCTCGGCAGTACACCGACAATGGTATGCAAAATCGCATTTTCTCTGTGGAGTCGACATATGCAGTGATACTGACCGTTGTTTCCTTTGAGGTGTTCTAGGTGATCAATGGCCTGAGCTACTCGCTATTCTTTTCCAGGCCAGTCAGTCCCCCGAGGCTGGTCTTCGAGAGACTGCTTTCCGCATCTTCACAACCACCCCCGGTATCATCGAAAAGCAGCACCAGGATGCCGTCATTAGTGTCTTCTCAAAAGGATTCAAAGACGACAACATTTCCGTATGTTTTGAGAAGGTTCAATATTGGCTTTGAGGGGTTATGGTCAGCTTACGAATGTGTTCTCTAGGTGCGAATTTCAGCTATGGAAGCCTTCGCCGCGATGTTCCGCTCTATCCCCAAGAAAGCTCAACCCAAGTTCTTCTCCCTCATGGGAGATGTTCTCAACATCTTGCCTCCTCTCAAGGAGTCTAACGAAAGCGAGGAGCTGTCTTCTGCTTTCCTTGCCTTGATTGAGCTGGCTGAAATCAGCCCGAAGATGTTCAAGGGCTCTTTCACTGACCTGGTCAAGTTCAGCATCAGCGTTATCGCCGATAAGGAACTTAGTGATCAGGTGCGCCAGAACTCGCTTGAGTTGATGGCCACATTTGCCGACTACGCACCCAAGATGTGCCAGAAGGAGCCCAACTTTGCACAGGAGATGGTTACCCAATGTCTAAGTCTGATGACCGACGTTGGTGCTGATGATGATGACGCTGAGGAGTGGAATGCTTCTGAGGACGTAAGTTTGTCATGCAGCATAGTCATAACTTTAAAATGTCTTGCTAATTGCTACTTAGCTTGAACCCGAAGAGAACGATCTCAACCACATCGCTGGTGAGCAATGTATGGACCGTCTGGCCAACAAGCTCGGTGGCCAGGCCATTCTGCAGCCCGCTTTCTCTTGGATTCCTCGCATGATGTCGTCTACTGCTTGGCGCGATCGCCACGCTGCCCTTATGGCCGTCTCCGCCATCTCTGAGGGCTGCCGTGACCTTATGGTCGGTGAGCTTGACCAGGTCCTTGCCCTGGTTGTGCCCGCTCTGCAGGACCCCCACCCCCGTGTCCGCTATGCCGGCTGCAATGCGCTCGGCCAGATGAGTACCGACTTTGCCGGAACCATGCAAGAGAAGTATCACGCCATTGTTCTTAACAACATTATCCCTGTTCTCAGCTGCCCCGAGCCCCGTGTGCAGTCCCATGCAGCCGCTGCCCTGGTCAACTTCTGCGAGGAAGCCGAGCGCAGCATTTTGGAGCCATACCTTGGAGATCTTCTTAGCCGCCTTCTGGATCTTCTGCGCAGCCCCAAGCGCTACCTGCAGGAGCAGGCTCTATCTACTATTGCCACCATTGCCGACTCCGCTGAGACTGCTTTCGGTCAGTACTATGCCAACCTGATGCCTCTGCTGCTCGACGTTCTCAAGCAGGAGCAGGGTAAGGAATACCGTTTGCTTCGCGCCAAGGCCATGGAGTGCGCTACTCTGATCGCTTTGGCCGTTGGCAAGGAGAAGATGGGCCAGGATGCCTTGAACCTTGTGCAGATTCTCGGAAACATCCAGCAAAACATCACCGATGCGGATGATCCTCAGTCACAGTACCTGCTCCACTGCTGGGGCCGCATGTGCCGTGTTCTTAACCGTGATTTCGTGCCCTACCTTCCGGGTGTTATGCCGCCTCTGTTGGCCGTGGCAGCCGCCAAGGCAGACATTCAGCTGCTTGATGATGAGGATCAGATTGAACAGGTTGAGCAGGATGAGGGCTGGGAGCTGGTGCCCCTCAAGGGCAAGATTATTGGTATCAAGACTAGTGCCCTTGAGGACAAGAATACTGCTATTGAGTTGATCACTATCTACGCTCAGATCTTGGAGGAGGCGTTTGAGCCTTATGTCCTGGAGACCATGGAGAAGATTGCTGTCCCCGGACTTGCGTTCTTCTTCCACGACCCCGTTCGCGTATCGGCGGCTAAGTTGATCCCGCAACTGCTGAACTCATACAAGAAGGCACACGGACAATCTCCTGCCTTTGCTGAGATGTGGAACAAGGTGGCCGAGAAGATCATTGAGGTCTTGAGTGCCGAGCCCACTGTTGACACCCTGGCCGAAATGTACCAGTGCTTCTACGAGTCGGTTGAGGTTATTGGCCGCAACAGCTTGACCCCGCAGCACATGCAAGCATTCATCGACTCCGCCAAATCTACTCTAGAGGATTACCAGATGCGTGTGAAGCAACGTTTGGAGGAGCAGGCCGAGCTGGAGGAGGGTGACGAGGAGAACCTAGACTACGAGTACGCTATCGAGGATGACCAGAATCTGCTCAGCGATATGAACAAGGCATTCCACACCATCTTCAAAAACCAGGGCACATCCTTCCTCCCTGCCTGGCAGCAGCTGATTCAGTTCTACGATAACTTTATCACCAGCCAAGACCCCACACAGCGCCAGTGGGCTCTTTGCATCATGGACGACGTGTTGGAATTCTGCTCCGAGGAGTCGTGGACATATAAGGATCACATCATGCAGCCCCTGGCTGCCGGTCTGCAGGACCCGAATGCTGCTAACCGACAGGCAGCTGCGTATGGTGTTGGTGTTGCCGCTCAGAAGGGCGGTGTCGCCTGGAGCGACTTTGTTGCTGCCTGCATCCCCAGCCTGTTCCAGGTGACGCAGCATCCGCAAAACCGCACTGAAGAGCATGTCTTTGCCACTGAGAACGCATCTGCCAGTATTGCCAAGATCTTGCACTACAACGCCTCCAAGGTGCAGGGTGCTCAGGAAGTTGTGGCCAACTGGATTGAAACCCTGCCCATCACTTTTGACGAGGAGGCAGCTCCTTATGCTTACTCCTTCATTGCCCAGTTGATTGACCAGTAAGTCTTTTCTCCGACCTTGCCATGGCTATCCATCTTGACTAACTTTATTTCCAGGCAAAACCCGGCCGTCTTCGCCAAGGCCGACCGCGTCTTTGGTTTCATTGTTGAGGCTCTTGATGCCCAAACCCTACAGGGCCAAACCGCCACTCGTGTGGCCCAGTCCGCCAAGTCATTGGTGGCAGCCACTGGTCTGAACGCTGAGTCTATTCTGGCGGGCGTCAGCCCGGAGAACCAAGAGCGCATCCGCAAGTTCTTCCAGTAGATTCAGTTCTGTTCTCTATCCCGGTTGTCTTTTGTTATCATTCCCCTTGGCCATGTGAAACCTGATGTTAGTGAGAAATGTCGTCGTTAATCCATTTCTTTTTTCTAATCCGTATCCCCTCTAAATACGAGTGCAATAAAGTACAAAGGATAGAGCTCATGAGTCCAATGAATATTCATCTTGAATCTATGAACTTGTACAGTAATGGATATCTGCAATACGACCTACCCATAGCTGGCAGGTAGGTGGACCACTCTATGTACTATATCTAAAGAGAGGCAACCCTCTTAATCTCATTAGCAACAACCTCCTCCAACCCCATGACCTTCGGCTCTCCAATAATCCCATTAGCCCGCTTCTCATAAAGCGTACCACCCTCCGTCCAAATTCTACGCAGCGTCAAAACAGTGGCAACCGGCTTCCCCTCCTCCCACGCCTTCGCCTCCAACTCACGGAGCCGATCAAGCGATGTATAGGAAACATCCGTCCACGGCGCCCCGGTGGTCTGACGCTCAAACTCGGCCTGAATCTGCGCAGGCGTCGTAGTAAAAGAGTTAACACAAAGAGCCCGGTTGACGATCTCAGGAGACGCATTAAGCAATGTCGAAAGAACGAGGGTTCCAACACTATCATAATCAGCACACCAACACATAACCCATGGAAGATGATAGAAACTCACTCCTTCATAGTAGTCAAACTAACCCTCGCGTCACCCTTCTCACCAAGCAAAACCGCCTTACGCGCCTTAACATCCCAACCACCAGCCTCGTCAACCCCAGGCGCAAGATGGAGATACATCTCCGCGAATGGTCCAGTGACCACATAGGCATAATCGAGCTGTTCGCGGGAGATTTCCTTCTCGAGGACAGCGCGCACCTTAAGTTTCTGCTGGTGTGGCTTTTCATTTACGGATGCTGGGCCGTAGGCGATGTCTGTGCCGTATTCTGAGGGGAGGAAGAGCTTTACGGAGGGGCTTGCTGCTGCGAGGCGGATAAGAGGGATTTGTTGGGCAAGGGCCATGCGACCTAGGGCTGAGATTACGGTGTCGATTCCTGTTATAGTGTTAGTTGTGCTTGGAATTTGGGTTATGGATTAAGATGTATAGACCGGTCTTGGATGAGATGGATTAGATATGTGTATACGTACCGGTGTATGCAGCCCTAACGGCATCCTCATCTTCGACATCACCAACAATAACCTCGATGTTCTGCGCCTTCAGTTTCTCTAGGTATGCGGCTTTTGTTTCAGCTGTGCGGGGGGAAGTGAAGATAGCGACGCGGTCGAATTGGGAGCGTGCGGGGAGAATGGCATCTAAGATGAAAGAGCCAATGGTGCCGGTGGCACCGAAGATGAGGAGGTTCTTGGGCGACATTTCTAACTGTTTTCCTTTTTCGTACTTTAGTCAATGGGATGAAAAGAGGTTAGAGCGAAGAGCTTCATTCATAAAGCCTTCGGATGTGACGATGTGGGGTCGCGGGGTTGCTTATCAATCGAGTGGTTGAGGTATGAATTTATCCGATGTGGATACGTTGAACTAGGATATGTGTAGTGGCTCATTGGATGAGAACCTTGGGAATGGGATTTGCGTCAATGCGTCTGTATCTTCCGGTGGAAGAAAGGGTTCCGAATCCGTCGGATGTACGGAGTATACTTTGCAGAAAGAACATGCGGGGACGGCACAGCAATTATTAATTCGGATATCTTTCCGATAAATTGATTGTATGTACAGGTCAAATGGCTACAATACTTCGATTTCACACGGGTAAATCACCAGTGGAAGAACCCAAAGTCCCCGGAGAATAGCACAGACATGTCCAACGCTATGCAATTGTCAGACTAGAGATCCAGCCCGTGCAAAAGCCATAAAGTTGTAAATCCGAGATCTATTTCCGTCCTATCTGCAATCCATATGGATTCGATTCAACCCCTTTAAAACGAACGCTAATCGCATTTAGAGGGCACCGGCAGCGGCGAGCAGAGCGGGGAGCTCGGACTTCTTGCTCTGCAGGTCGGAGTTACCGCCGATGTGCTTCTGGCTGATGTAGATGTTGGGGACAGTGCGCTGGCCGGAGATTTCCTGGAGAGCGCTTTGGATAGCGGCGCCGTCCTCTATTTGGAAAGAGTATGTCAGTAATTGTTTATTAAATAGAGAGTATAGAATAAAGGCAATGTATGTGACGAAATGGTAGCTCGGATGACGACAGAGCGGGGTAATTGGGGTAAGGAGTTGCGATCGATGCAATGGGGGAGAGGTATCTTGGGATACTTGGGAAGTGTTCTCCGAGATAATGTACATGCGAAACCATGGAAGGAACGAAACGACATCAACATAGATACGGACGAAAAGGGGTAACTCACGCTCCTCGTCCAGCTCAAGGGTGGTGTACTTGGCACCAAGCTCGTTCAGGAGGTCCTTGCTGGCCTTGCAGTAGGGGCAGTAAGACTTGGAGAAGACAACAACGCCATTCTCGTTGATGAGGTTCTGGGCAGTGATCTTAGCGGCAGACATGACGGGTGATGGGGCGGCGGTGCCGAAGAGACGCTGAAAGATGAACGAAATGGTGGGCGAGATGAAGGAAGAAACCGGGGATGAGCGGCTTCTTTTTATAAGTATGGACTGTGAAGGTTAAAGTTGCGGAAAAGTGATTCAATCAATGGCGTCAGTGATGTCAGGTGATAGCTTTGTCAGCTGGAGCGGCCGAGATCGTCATGTTACTTAATCGGGATTTATCATGCAGAAGCTAGATCTATATAGATACACGGGCCTGAGAGTACACAATTATACATTGGTAATCCAATTTGTGCTCTAAATTAATGATCTTTGTTTACAAAGGAATTGGTCATTCGAAGATTTTAATGTCTTTTAGTCCAGAGACTTGGCTATAAGATGGTAAAAACCATGCTAGAAATGTCCACCGACAGAACAGAGCAGAATATGAAAAGATCAAAGAAACGCTTGCAACGGCTTGGGAATATGGCAAAGTGGCAATGGGAGCAAAAGAAAGGCCAAACTCAAATGAAATAAGAGGAAAGGAAGTTGAGCAGATCGGACAAAACCAGAAGAATATACTTGGGCTTCAAGAGGACCCGTGGGCTATGTATCACCCGATGGAAGAATCGCGTTTTGGGGGTCATTCCGGCCATTGCTGGTGTTGGCGGAAGCCGGGAACAATGGTCACAAGAAAAGAGTCAAGAAGGAATGAATGCACGAGGGATGTCACGCTCCGGAAGTCCGAATTAAAAGAAATTCTGGGTAGACTTCAAATGAGGCCAGTTCAGTATTGGAAAAAAAGAAATATCAACCCCACTGAACACCATCCCACCGAAGAGAGGGTAAATCAAAATAGAACAAAAAGGAAAGATCAGAAGAGAAAGGGCGTATGTGCGCGTGCAAGGAATCAAAGGTATCTCGAAAAATGATAGAGCAGGAATTTGGTTGGGAGATAAAAATGAGATGGGATATAAATGGATACGCACTTCCATCACATCACAACGCAACATCCACAACTCTTTTCCTTCTTCGGCTTCTCTTGGGCGGAGACTACCGGAGGAGTCCAGTTGGGATTGGGTGTCAGGCCAAGTGGGGGGGTGTCCTGCACCTTGGGCATCGTACTGTAGCCGGTGCTTGTATTGGGCCGCGGTGGCTCTGGAGTCCGGGCCTTGGGCGGCTCTTCGATCTGCGGTGGCTCTTCCACAGGCTTCTGCTCCTCGGCCTTTGGTGGCACAGGAGGCAAGTCGGTGGGGTAAACAGCCAGAGGTGCAAAGTCGCGGTCGTATGTATTCGGAGTCCGTCCTTCCTTCTCCCACTGTTCCTGTTGCATCTTCTTGGCAAGGGTGGGGAGCATCTGCTGGTCAGGTGGGAGACGAGGATCCGGCTTGTACATGGTTGCCAGCCATGGGGGATCACCTTCTGGCCGATTGGCAGCAGTGATAGGCCGCATTTCACCTCGGGTAGTAGGCCGCTGCGTAGTATTGCTCGACACTGCCCGCGATCTCACCGTGGAAGTCTTCCTGTTGGTAGGAGGCGCTGAGGTTTTACGGGTGGTGGATCCGGTGGCCTTGGTTGAAGTCTTCTTAGCTGGGGTGTTTTGTGTGGTATTGAAGCCATTGAAGCCACGGCTGCCCGGTCGACTTCCTGGAGAGGGAGTAGAGGGTTCCATATCAGTGGCCAATGGTTCGCTGGCTCTGCGTCCACGGCTTTCATCGTCCTCATCAGTCGCCGCACGACTGCGAGGCCCGCGAGAGTCACGGCCTGGAAAGATGGGTACAGGACTCGATGCAGCAATGGGAATTCTAGAGGAGCTCTTGCGGAGACCTGGGTGGTTGTAAAAACCGGCGGCTGCTTCATCGGCAGCGATTTCCTCTGGTCGGCGAAGATCCCAATGCTGCCGCTCCTCGGTTTGGCCGTCGCCCTCGTTATTCCGGGATGATTCCTGCATTTGCGGCCAAGGTTCAGCGTGCTCTGATTTCGGCGAGGCCACTGAGGCTGCAGCACTCTGGTGAGAATCATGGCTCCTTTCACGCCCCGCGCTCGACTTGCTCTCAGCCCTCATCCGCCGTTGAAATATTATGGCGGCCTGATGCAGCTCCTCGCTCTCGATTTTCGCCAGCTTATCACGATGGATCCAACTTTCACTATTGAAGTCGACTGCGTCACCCTCCTGACCGTCTACCGGGGCTCGAATGGGCGCTTCATGTCCAGGGGCATCCCGCGGGTTATTGACATCGCTTCCGAATCGATTTTGACTTTGTTCTCGTCGACCTCGGCCGGGCAAGAAGGGCGCATCATGGGCGTGAACAGTTCGGGAAACAGACGAGCTACGGGATCCGTTCGAATTGCGGTTTTTGCTGGATCTCGCACGGACGGAGTTTGAATCGTGGGAATTGCGTGGTCGTGTGGAATGCTGGGCGCCCTGTGCGTGTTGAAAATGGCGATCGGTCAGAAAAAGGAAACTTCCCTCGTTTCACACCCACCTAGTGCGCTACCAAGCTGATGGCAGGGAAAGGGCCGACAAAAAACTCACATCACTACCGATTGGGACCGAAAACTCCCATTGCGATGAATTATCCGGGGCCCCAGATGTCAACGCATCTGTCGAGAACGCGGTGGCCACGCCCGCCATTCCACTAAGATTTTGAGGGGAATTTTGTGGGATGAGTAAGGCCAGGCCAGCTGGAACCCGATTCTTAAGGTGAGATTAAGGTAGGAAGCAAACGAGGAAAAGTCCAGGTCCGCTTTGACAAATGTGGTTGTTTCAATCAAGCCATCCCAGTCGGTAGCCGCCTGTCACGAACCGAATTTGTGGATGGAGGTTTCTCTTTCTCTCGTAAGGGGTGGAAAGAGTCCCGCACGCCGCAGTGGGGAACCGAAAGCAGTAAATTGTAAATACACTGCAGGGGGTGGAGTTGCCAAATCCGCGCAGCCTGTTCGTCGGCAGGTTTGGTTTCCCCTCGAGCCACGGAACAAGTCTGGGACGGCGCGTGTCGGTACCGTGGGAGAGGCTGCCAATAATGCCCGGTGACAAACAGGGATGGAGATCTTGAGACTCTCAAATGGAAAGGGCTGGGCTCAACCGAAAAGTTCGGTGCTGGTTCAAAGAGACCACGAGGGGAAGAGGGGGTTGGGGGGTTGGGGGGCAAGATCGTGCGTCTGGTCCAAGCTGGGACGTGTACTCCGAGGTCTGGAGATGGAGAACAGGGAAAACAAAAAACTGGATAATGAAAAGCACGCGCGGGGGGGGGAAAGAGAGTAAGAGAACAAGAATTGGAAGAACGCGAGATCACGAAAGCCTTCAAAGGAGGAAGAGAAGAACGGTTAAACTAACGAAGTTCAATCCCAACTGGGATTAGCACGGTCACATCTGGGCTAGACTTTTTCATATAGATAGTCATGGGTTGATAGCCCGTTTACATGTATATACTTTCAGAACGCCTAATTCTATGATTTGGAAGATGTTTCAAGGGGAAAAAGGCTAATTCAATTATTGACAGCTGGAAGATTAGCCAGCATAAACTGACAGGAAATCGAGGAGGAAAATTGAGATTCCCGAGTCCAGACTATTTGATTCCATTGGACCGTGCGTTGGGGAGTTTTGCCCCTGAACCAAACGCTGATCAGGAAAAGGAACTATTGACCGTTTCTGAGAAGTTCATGTCTTTTCTGCTTAAAACGTAAACCCCCACTTTGAATTACAAGTGACACTTGGTCCCGCGCGGCCTGAGCGGATGACTCCTCTGAAACGCCTATATATGCATAACCCGGTTGACAGGTCTCATCGTTCATCTTTCCCAGGGTATATCGATAATCTATGTGTAAAGATTGGAAAATGGAAATTTTAATGAAACAGATCGGGATACATTCTCCCCTCGTATAGGCTTCGATCTTGGCAAATCGAAAGACTGATTGTAGATCAGGCTGATCTGCTTACTCCGATTTGTACTCATCGAGTCGAGTGAGGTAGGATTGGGCCTCCCTAATCAGGGCCTTGCGGGCATTGCGCACTTCAACGTTGCCATCGGGTTCAATTCCATCTGCCTTCAGCATGATTTGGGCCAGAATGGTCTCGCTTAGTTTCTTGTATTCGAAATCCCGTTTCTTGGCATCGGTGGGCACGTTGGCAAAGAACTCCTCACACATGGGGATGAGCACTTGTTGAAGGTATCCGGTCAATGCGGCAACCTGCTCTATTGCGGTGGGCAGAAGCTTGAGATTGGGTGGCAGGGGTGGGTTGGAGCTGGACACAGGAGTTGTCGACCCGGGGCGGGACGGCTCCGACAGAGGGCCCTTCTTCTTGGGCTTCTTCTTCTTGTTCTTCTTTTTGGTTTTCTCGGGTGAGCCAGCGTCTTCATCTTCTCCGTCTACGCGGGACGAGTCTGAGACCTCGCTCGGGGTGTTGGCGCCAACTTCGGAGACTACACACAACACCTCGGAGTGCTGCTTGAGTCCCTCGGCCTTGCATGACCGATTATCATCCTTGAGCAAATTTCCTTTGTAAAGCAACCTGACTTGTTGAGGGTTGTTTGCGCCGGTCTGTCGTGCAGCCTCCTCCCGAAGTGCGCCCACAGTCAGGACACCGTCGTCGATGGCATATGCGCGGAAGTGGAGAGGGTAGATGGTGCCACGGTGTCGAAGAGCGATAATGTCCGGTTCATTGTTATCCTCATTTGGATCGTATCTGGTCTGAGCATGACGCGAAGTATTGTTGGCTGGGGAGTCAACGATATAATCAGGAGTGATGTAACTGTAATCATTCTCGCTGACCTGCGGGGCAGCACGACGCCAGAGCCCGGATAGGGGGGTTTGCCCAACTCATTGCGGCAACGGTAAGGACACAGACTAATAGAGCCGCACAGATGGCGGTAGTTTGTTCGTCGGCGTCAAATGGCAGCGCCTGTGCGACCGAGCGGATGGATGTGGTCGAGTATGTCAGCCACGGGTCCAATCGGGGACGGAGGGAGTGCAGGAACACAGGGAGGTTGTCGGTGACGTGGTCCAAATAGAGAGCGGCCTTCTCGCTCAAGGTGGACTGAGCGAGGGGCGAAGGCAGGAGAGTCATCGATCTCTTGAATGGACGGACTGGACCAGGAAGTGGTGGAGTCGTGCCCCAGAGTTCAACGCTGATAGAGGCTGATAAGGCGGAGAGCCCAGGTTTTTTGCCATTGCGTACTCCCACTGTACCATAAAAATTGCCGATTTATACCACGGAAATTTGCCACTGCCTCAAGGCATACTGTCTGCTTTTTGAATATGAACGGATTTGAAATCCAGAGGTGTAGACTGGTGCCTTGTGTTTCCAATGCTGCCTAACTTATGGTCAAGGTGCTGGGCGCCTAAGGCTGCCTAGTGGTATGTAGTACCAATTCACACTCCGCGCCAATATTAATACTCAGTACTATATGATCATCCCTGTATTTCGGGATCTTCGGATTTCTAGGTGTGTAGGTTTATATGTTGAGGTATGCAATCGTTAAAATTGGTGATCATGTCTGCTTCCAGAGTTCATGGGATCGTGCAACTATTCCAGCACCCAATATATACATCCGTCTGCAGCTGCATCAATCGCATCGAACAATCATCGCAAAATACTCACATGAGTACCTACCTGCATGGATATATAGGCACCAATAAGTCGGACAACCTAGGTAAGAGGTTGATGCCTGAAAATGAAAATTGTCTACAAGATCTATGAAAGAAAAGGGATGTCACTCGCCACCCTGCCTTTCCAAATCATCATATCAATGATACCGTATTTAGCGCAATACCTTCAAATGTGTTGGAACTCGAGGACCGGATTCCAGTCAATGGTAAAATATCAAGGATTAGCATATCTGAATCAGACTATTTCATTCGTACCTCAGAGACTTCCAAGGTTGTACATCCACCTCGAAGCAGGTCATGCAAGACGAGCTCTATTACAGACACCCGGGCAACGGCTAAATCTAGACCTAAATAGATAGGATCTAGAAGCAATAAACAATGATTTCGAATACATCAAAAATAATCTCGACCCTCACCGACTTTTTAATGCAGCACTTGAGGTTGACGGCCTCATCCTTCTTTGCCGAGAATGCAAGGAGTATACCGGAGTCTCCGAAAGCGCTCTCTACAGCCACCACTATTTGAAACAGACATTTATGACACCTCAGATGGCAAGGAAATGGCTGGAGAACATGAAAAGTCCACAAAAATTTAGGATACGAAACAGACTGCCGAGCAAAATGTTGCAGCAAAAGGTAAAAAAGATGCCCTCGTCCAGGATCGAACTGGAGACCTTCGGATAGCAATCCTGTTAACAGGAGCGTCATATGAAAGTGATATGAGACCAACGTCATAACCAACTAGACCACGAAGGCAACTGATGTCGGGAGGTTGGAAAAGTGCATTCAAGATGAAGCAGGGCTGTTCGGTATTGAGTTTCGTAAGCGGTCGCCTTCAACACAGACAGGCTCTTTCAACCACTAATCACATGATGCGCTAATCCGTATATGGGTATTCACGTATCTAAGAATGCCGGGCGTTTTAAACGTGAATCGTAAGGTTCAGAACAAGCAAGGATCCAGGCAATATATCTATCTATCTCTAAATGTGCTGTTAAAGCTCCCAAAATACCAGGCCCATCGTAACATGCCCAACAAGTCTTTGTATGATAGAGTCTAGCAATATCCTCACCGTATTTCATGAAGAGAGAGCATATATACAGATTAGTTAGTAAAGTTCTACCAGTCATAAGCTCGAAGCATACAGGACTTATTAGATAAACAACATTGGTAAGAGTAGCGAGGAATCTGGTGGCTGGCTTATATTTCCGATCTTAGAATACCCGATGATATGGAAAATAAGATGGGGAGTTGTATGTCTTTTCCGATAGGAGATCAGCAATCTCTAGGGAGCTATATTCAGCGGACAATAGAGCTGGCATCCAAATACTCTAATCATCCGCTGCGGCCTCCCCTATCTGACGCACCAGCTGATCAGTCAACTGATATTTACCTTTGCCCTGAGACCGTGTGTCTGATGTCGCGACGAGACTCTTGACCTCAAATATATTCGGGTTTCTCTATGAGCGGACAAATTCGAAGGGGCTATTTATAACGTATCTTCCTCCTGGTTGGCCTTCACTCCGATCTCATCAGTCTTCGCGGGAAGAGGGGTAATTTTTGTTGCCTTCATTAAAGCGGTGATTTCGAGAGTCTTTTGAAGGCTCTTAGGTTCATCCATCGGCAGCTCAAATTTTGGTGGCGGAGTAATAAGAATATTTCGATTCCAAGTACTTAATAGAGGCATGATTTCGACAGGATCTAGTAAGGCACGGACCCAGTCGTATATCTTATATTCATTCGCGAGCTCCAACGCTAAGGATACTAGTTAAATTATAGAAAATGAACACTCTATACGATAGGAAGACTTACCAATCACGGGAGAGATCCATATATTGCCAGCGTTTTCCTCCTGACTTACATATTCCCGAGATTTCAGATACTCCCGCTCATTCTTCTCCTCCTCGGCCTTGGCCCAGGGAAATGCGGTCTTAAACATGCCCGTTGCGCTTATAAAGCCATCCTTACTTCTCCTCTACGAGCAGACAAGGGTCAACAATCAAATATAACACGTCTTCGCGCGGGCGACCGAAATAATCCTTACCATCAAAAAGTAAGTGCCTGGGTACTGACCAAAGGTATTTGGAGAGAAGATCCCAGATCCTTTCAGGTCTTCAGGGAGCGGAGCCCGGAGGAAGGCATACTCGAACACGCCTAGATTCTCGGGCTTAGTTGCACTACAGGTGCCGACTACTTCCGGCTTGATGGAAAGATTAGTCCTGCCAAGGCGGCGTTGCTCAACGAGATCCTCATCTACAATCGTGAATAGCGAAAGGTTATAGACAGACGACGACAAGGCCTTATAGGCACGATGTAGGGGAGTAGGAGAGCTCACGGGACTGCATGAAACTTACAGGCGGGAGCCGCGTCGGCGAGGATCAGTGGGTTACTCCTCTTCGGCAGGGATCGCGACATAGTGGATAGGTGCGTCGAACTTCAGACGTGTGAGATATGACGAGATTATATACCAGCGACGGCCATAGGGTGCTACGAATGAAACTACATGAAATTAAAAGTACAAAGGGCGGGGTAGCTACCGTATTAATAACATAGATAAGATACGGCTTTCGTTACCGCATAAACTACTCCAGGAAGCTTCCTATTTACAGTAGCGTTGCCTTGGCAGATTGTCCATTCAAAGACTGCTATGTTTTCAGGGTTTGTATGGATCCTTTCCAGGCTAGAAAATCTCAAGTCAACAATTATACATTTCATACTAGTAGTCTAGAATTATGGTATACATTACCTGGTCAGCTACAAAACGGAACAATTATATGCTACCCGGATCTGGATTAGCAAGCCATCATATGATTATGGTTCAAAAAAGTTTCTCTATGTGTTCGACATGGAAGGCGAAAGCGGTCGCTACCGTATCCGATCACCTTAGAGAAGCAGTATGATGCCGAGGAGTTTGGTGGGCTGATTTCATCGAACTTTTGTATTGACCTGCTCTTTTTATCACACAATTATACAGGGACATACATGAGGCAGAGGTGGCTCAACCCAGATAGAAGACCATTCCTCAATTGCCAATCAAGTGGATAATTCTCATCGCCTTAAAATCTAATTTCACAGGTCAAACATTTCGCCGGAATCGCCGCTGTGAAACGACAGAGCCTCGTAGATGTCTACCAAGGAAAACCGGCTCATTCTACATGGAAACTTTCAAATACGCGTTCTTAGTTTATTACCAATGTGTCACTTTGCCTTGGTGCACCTGTCAATATAAGTCTATCACATTCCCATTCAATCTCATATTCGTATGTCCTCTCTTCACTCTTACCTCAGTCAAGCTCCAAAAGGATACCAACATGTGAAGAATTACCATGCTCTAATGCCATCTTCTCATCTTGTCATCTTCGCCTCCCATTCCCGCCATCCTTTGCTCGCCATCCTTACTCACCTAAGCCCTTCATTTGCCATGCCAACTATCTTGACCTTTTTTAAATCTCAATTAGCTTCCAGTGTTTGTTCATTGCTTTTGCATATTCAGATACACCACCATTCGTCTGTGCTCAAATTTTCTAGTCTCAGCTTTCCAGTAAGGATTTCGAAGTTCATCTGAATCTAATACAATTCCACACCATATCGACCAGACAAGGCAATTACGAAAATGCAAACAGATAAGATGGCACGGCCACCCTATCAGAGTCCCACATGGGGACTTCCCCGTTATGATTGACACAGCTTAGATAGCCTTCGAACTTGGGCGATAAAGAGATAAACATCGGTATAGTACGAGGTGTCCCCGATCATTGTAAAACGATCTTTGTCCTCAAGGCTGGGGTTAAAGAACCCATGTGACCGGTCTCATATTTCTGAAATCGGAACAATGTATCCGCATGCATATCAACGAATGCCTCGAAGTACAAGCTTTGATGTGGAACACCATTGAACTCCGTCGCGACGAAAAAGCATCGATGCAGGCTGCCCTGCTAAAGGAAAGGTGGTTTCAGATGCTCATTGATCGATTCAAAAGAGACACAAACGCGATAATGGATCATTAATACAGCTTCGCATACTATGTGGGAGACCTCCTCGCGCGACGTGACCATGGAGAGCATGTCCAGAAAGTTATTCGGCTGGTCAACACCTTGGAAATCGATGAGACTGAGGTCAAAATCCCCCTCATCACTTTCGAGGGGCAGACGTATTTCCACGTTGATCTTTAAGCTGGATAGCTGGTACTCTTGTGAGTGCATGCAGATCTAGTAGGAGAGTGTGGACACCAAGAAAAGAAGGCAGTCACAGTTCAATTAACAAAGTCCCTAGGACAACAGGAAGTTCAAGAATTTAATATCAATCACTCATAGTATTCAAAGCTTGCATTCCTGGTAGGACGATAGACTGGACGTGAACCAAGCGAAGATTGGTAGCTAGGCGGTAGTTCGACTATTACATTATTATAGTAATTCTTGCCCGACCCTGTGTAAAGTAATATGCAGTTGCTGGTTTGAATTCCCGGTAATACGAAGTGTTCAATTGTCTACTAGATAGTAAGAATAACAGATTGAAGAATAGTATGAAAAGAAGGAAACGTGAATTTCTATTTATGCCCGCACAAATATCAGATTCTTTCCCCTGCGGCCTTAGTAGTTGGGAATGCAAACACCGGCGTTCCACTCAGTGGCACCAACACACTGCCAGCCATCGCAGCAAGGGTCACCGCCAGACTGGCATGCAACATCGTAGTCTAAAGACAAGACGGTCAGCTTATGTCACTATAGACGGAGTCTTTGTCAAGGTTAACTCACTGGCGACGCATGAGCGCTTCTCGGTGGAAGGGGAGGCAGAGGCCACGGCGGCCAGGGTAGCAATGAAGACGGCGATGAACTGCATTTTGTTGGAGATTGGTAGATCGGTAGATCGGTTGGTTGATGGAGTAGATCGAATTGGATGAGTTGCTTGAGTTGAATTTCAACTGACCGAGGAAATGTCTTGCTATTTAACCTTGAACAAACCCATGGAAGGTTACAGACGTCTAATAGCAGAAAATCTGTACTGATTTGACAACGGTTAGATCCGTGTCTTTCCAAGATCACCAATTTTGGACATCTTTTGGCCCCTTAGATCTGTGACATTCCAATATCACCAATTTGGGAGTCCCTTTCGCCTCCCGGAGTATAATATTAGCATGAAACAGATGCCACTACGTATTCATATATCCGCTTTCTTGAGCTAGGGTTTGGATGGCCCTTATTGCCATTTTGATAAATCCCTTAAATGTTGAATCCTCCATATCTTCCGAATGGAGGCACTTGGGACGTTGTCCATCGAGAGATTGGCATTGGGGGCTATACTTTCACACTAGGCCATGCCGAGACCAACAGGCCCCCGGCGGTCTTCCCGTTCAAGATATACATGCGAGTGGCCTCACCAGATATGGATAGACCAGCGGTCTGCACATGATCCAGCGCTACTGAATAGTTCCCACTGACCGGATAAAGGGTCAGTATAAGCTAGTTTCGCATGATGATAAAAAAACAAAAATAGGACACCAATTCCTATCCATCAGTACGATTTGGAAGTGAATGGTGGTGGACAAAAATGCAAAAAGAGAATGCCCTCGTCCAGGATCGAACTGGAGACCTTCGGATAGCAGTCCTGTTAACAGGAGCGTCATATGAAAGTGATATGAGACCAACGTCATAACCAACTAGACCACGAAGGCTTCTGGATGAAAGTTGGTGAAAACTTATGCCACATAATCCAAATTTCAATTCAGGTCTCGGTACTGGCCCGACCCTACGGCATCCCGATATTAGCGAAAGTCATCAAATTTGACCATGACATAATTTCAAGTTTAGTTCAGATATTTCCAAGGTTTTTAGTCTATCTCTCAGAAATTTATCCTATCTGGACTATATCACCACGACCCCGCATGGGTTCATACCGGCACTGAGCGGCGCCTCTTATGTCATAGATATCATGTCACTGTGGAATCCTCCAACCCCGCTTGAGTCTTTGTTTATCTTGCTACAATCGGATGCTGTCAAAATTGAGCTGTCACCAGATAGCCATAAAATCTCCAGTAAGCAGCCCACCTAATTGTCTCACATTACACCACCCCGCACCTGTGCAACAGGCTGTTTCAGTAGAATGGGAGCCTGTTTTGCCATTCTACCGTACCATGCATTTAAGCAAGATGATGCACAGTAGTTCAGAAACAAGGCCACTTGCCGAGAAGGCTATACGTGGCTTACGATGTACAATGCCCGTGCCCTAAGATCTGCGATATCTGACCGCAGAGTCCGGAGTACATACTATATCCATGGGAGAATGTCCAACTGCCGTGGCAATTCAAACCTTACAACTTTGTATTTGTGCTGCCTAGCGCGAACCATGCTGCAGTCGGAAACGTTCCGACCATTCTGATAGATCCTAGGCCCTAGTAAAATTCTAATTCGAATTCTAATTTCCTCTGTATCTGTATATGCGACATGGTTGTTTCAACGCTGACTATGGGCAACTGACCTGATGCAGATGCCAAGAGTCCAATATTTTTAGACGATCTGCAAGAAGCGCACCGAAATGTAAGAGTGCAGGAGGGCGCAGATGTTGGTCTAGACGGCTGTATTATTGGAGGCTGGCTTTGTTTTGGGTTTTCCTTGCATCCCGAGTCCCGACACAAAACCTTGATTGACGAGATTAATGGCCGCTTCTTGACCCACCGGCCCTTTTTTTTTTTTTTTTTTTTTTTTTTTTTTTTTTTTTTTTTTTTATGACGATCAGAGGGCAATGGGGTGGATCTTTTAGTGTAGAACAAGGCAACTAGACAGCCGTGTGGGATCGAGATTAGGCGAGGACATTTAGCCGAGGGTATAGGCGATATGGATAATCTCCTGATATATATGGTATTCTGGGTGTATGTCATGATCCTGGAGGATGAAATCTTGTTTACTTCATATACAGGTACAGAGTAGCTGCGGCTGGGAGGCCACTCCGTGCAGGGCGCGGGTCACACCATTGGAGGAAAGAGTATCCCTGCGCGATAAAGATAGAAAGGGAAAAGATCACAGCCAATAATAGTGGCGTTATATAAATTGGACTCCACTATTGAGCCGTTCCAGTTAGCAAAATGCGTGACTAAGGCCAGTCCCTGACTTTCAACCCGTGGCTCGGCCAATGAACTGACCCGCCCTGATCGGCTTCATTTCTTTTCGAGGTCCCTTTTCTTCTCCTCTTTTCCCCTGTGTCCTGGCCTTTGGGTACTTCTTTTCTTCTGCACATCGAGGAAACGTTCCATACCAGTCGAATTGCCAACCCCCGACCATCTCACAGGTGCAGCTGTATTGGTTCTACTGTCGCCAAGGACCTAGCTTTCGGCCCCCTATTTCCGATACTGTCCAGCATCCACTTCCACCCCCATAAATTCCCACAATCCCCCAGAGGACACTTTTGATTGCGACTCCGTATATTTGGCCTAGTGCGCGAAACCGGCTATTGGGTCTATAATCATCGTTTGGGACTCACCTTTTACACGTCACTGGAGAGCTGTTGCCTCGACAACTCCAGAACCCCGAGAAACCTGAGACCCGCACTCCTTGGCGTTGCTTGTTTTGCGCGTCAACCCCTCTACGATTACTTCCCCCACGCGTGCGACGAGAGAAGAAGGCACTATACACATTCAATACTATACACAATGAGACCGGCTATTTTACTTGTCGCCCTCGCGCCGGCCGTCCTCGCCGGCCCCTCACCACGCGCCCCCGACAGCCTCGACTTAGCTATTCGCGCCGTCCAATCAATACCGGACCTTGCCCCGCGGGAACCAATCCTCCCTGAAACGATGGTGGGCAAACTGAGTGCGCGACAGGTCCTCCAAGCGCGCAGCGAAGGCTCTCTAGGCCAGACCCCATGGATCGGAATGGCGATCGGGTTGACCTGCACAGCTCTAGCGGCAGTAATGCTAGGGTAAACAACATGACTTGCGCACTCCAAAGGCTACTTCTACCTTTTCCGACTTCCACTTCACCTTCACCTTCACTACTTCTCTTCGACTACCCCCTTTCCTCCAATTCTTGACACGACACGTGAATACGCGCCCCCCGAACTTTACCAACATCTTGAATGTTTAATATCGTCGACATGCCCATCGACCTAGCCCTTTGGCACTTCTTACTTTCTGGCGATTCCAGCGACATTTGCTTTTTTTATTCATTGCATCCATTGCCTGCTCGGCGTGGGAATTCCCCTTTTGATTTGAGCACTGATTGCATTCCCGCCTGTTGGGCTGTGGGAGTATAGAGCTTGTATATGATACCTCTGGGAGCCTGTGTGTATACCCGGACTGATATTTGTCTGTATTTGTGTGTACATAAATGAAATCATACATTTTACTTTTGACTTTTCTCTCTTTGTTTGCCATAGCTAGAAGCTTTTGGTGCTTTCTTTGTTTGCTCAACCTCTTTGCTTTTTTCCCTCCCCAAACCCCCCAAAATCATCCCACCTTCTACACATCCCGAACTCGAGACTGGGATTATTCTTTTGTTCTACAAGTACCCGGAAGTTGGACAATACGGACTGGTGTATGCTAGACTCTTGACTCCACTTCTAACCATCTGCACTCAGTCCAGCTTCAAACCCAGCTCAGCTTCACACAGACCTCGCTCAGTAATTCGTTTACATTATCGCCTTTGGTTTAGCTAGATCGACAATGGGCGTCACATTTCAATCTTACACGCCCGCAACCTCGCTCGGGGACGAGCTGGCCATCATCTTCGCGTTTAGCGCCGCGATGGTCGGAACAATGATCATCTATGTCTTTTTCTGGCGGAGTATGCTTCCATGCTTCCTCTTCAACTTCGGCAATCCAAGTTGGCATTCCCTTCTACCCTAATCATGTTGCCCCGGCACTATATCCTTCAACTAGAAAACTACTTGACATATTGCCCAACAATGCTAATACTAATCACAACTAGTCCGGCAAAAACGGAACCACGAAGAAGACCTCGCCCGTCGCAAAGCCTTCCAAAGCCGCTCAGCTTCTCGCGCAGAGACCTTCAACTTTGATCTACAGCTCGGCACCATGGCGCCTGTCAAAACTGGTGGAAGTGTTGCGGAGAGCTCCGATATAGGTACTGTCGTGGGATCGAGTTCGGGTGCTGCTGGGGTGCATGAGAAGATGACGGATCGGTATGCTGTTCCTGAGCATCGGGCAGAGTTGCCGGTTCATGGGATGGAGCTTGCGCGGGAAGTAAAGGTTATAGGGTTGCGAAGGTTTGTAGGATGATGATAGTATCTAATGGCTACTATGCCTAGGTGCTGGATGAATGGGGGGTGGGTAATTTGTGTTGGAGCTAGTATTGGGGTTGGATATGCAGTAATTGCTTCTTGAATGATTATATCTAGTTGGGTATATACATAGTTTACAGGGAAGCTTCAAGCTTCAACAGACCGGGTCATCAAACCCACGAGTCCATAACAAGGACCCCATAATCACCACCATGAAGCCAAGTCCTCCAGCCACACTAGTGACTCCATAGACATAAGCGTGCTCCCTCTTCGCCAATCCATTCAACTCCACAACCCACGTACTGACTGTAGTAGTCGCACCACAGAACCCATCCATAACACCCTGCAACACCTGACATCCTGTCAAAGCAGCAGGCACAACCGCCCCAAGCCCACTGACATGCTGCAAATCATAGCAAACTCCCTCGACCACCGTCCCAAACATATTAACCGCAAACGTACCAAGCGGGAACGCAGGAACCCGACTATTAAGATAAAGCGACACGTAAAATCTTAACAAACACCCCAACGGCGCAAACACAATCGCAAACACTGCACGTCCTCGCCACTCCTCTGGACCAGCATTATACCGATCCGGCGGCCAGATAGCCAAGAACACAGCACCTAGCCAGCACCCCCACCCCAGAACGACCATTACGGGGTCCAGCACGCGACGCGTCAGCGCAAAAGGGATTGTAGGGGTAGACCGGCCCAGCACAAGCGCAAGGTGCGCCCCAAAAATCAGCGCAGACAGGCACAGCGATACAGTTATCAGGAGCACGGCTAGCAGCGCCATGAAGCTATATCCGCCGTTTCGGGACGCAATACTCGCGCCTGATGGGAGTGAGGGATCTGGGAGCGCATTCGCTAATGCGAGGAAGATATCGCGTATAAACGAGGAAAAAGACGTGCAGCATCCACAGAAACCGGTTGTCAGGCCGATATACATTGGGATGGATTTCTTGGTGGCCTTGTGTTTTTTGGTGTGCTCTTGTGCGCTGTGCTCGTCTTTGGGTGGGGTTGGTGGTGAGCCCCATTCTTCGCGGAAGATGTTTGAGTCTTCGACTAGGAAGCCCATTACTAGGCTGCCGGTGACGTTTGCCCAGAGGACGCCGGTTACTACTGGCGCGCCGGTGTAGAATGTAAGGGCTTGGAGACCTAGTCGGGCGAGGGTGCCGAGGATGGAGAAGAATATGAGATAGGAGAGTGTGTATAGGTGGGTTGCGTGTTTAGAGAGGGGTTTTGCGGTGGTTGAGGGGACTGTCCCTGTGTCCAAGGGCGCGTCGGTTGGATGCCATGATTGTCTCAGAGATGAGATCGGTTCGACGGGTTGTGATGCAGTGGTTTCTGTTAATCGGAGCTCGTGTTGTTCTTGAACTTCATGTGTGAGGGGCGCAGCCCCTGACATGGCGCGATTAGGCATGCTGTTGAGAGAGGAGCGCGCTCTGAGTTAAGAAAATTAAGGTTGGTGGAGCTTGTTATTTTAGATAATCTATGAAGTCGATAAGGAGTTATCGCGACTATTCACCTCTTTCCGCAAAAAAAATACCTCAACAAGAATGTTACCCATGGGCAAGTCATTATAGATGTCCGATTTAGGGGCCTCCCTGAGGTTTACGGCACTTTAAAAAAGGGTTCACGGGCGACTTAACCCCTCCACTCTTTCGCCTAGACCGTCAGCATCCATGACATGTCACAATCTATCGCCTGGGCTTTGACCCATATTAGCTGAGATGGCACCACTGGAATACATGACAGCTGACGGCATAGATAATCGCTCAACTACTGTGTCCTTCAAACTTTGCGAAACAAGTTCTAGCTTCTTTGCTTCACCGATGATCACTGCGCACTGTAGACAAGATGGCCGACATCTTCATCGTTACGTGTGCAGTACATATTGTTTATTCAATACTAACCCCACATGTGGGATCGACGCTTTTGCTTACATCCGAAAAGTTCTGCCATCTTTCTAGCTGTTGCTTTTCAAGGATGTAATTCTTAGGGTCACTAGCAACCGGGCGCAAAACGTCGACGAATCTCGGCAATATCTGCAGTCAAGTCAACGCCTTTGCAAGAAAAGAAACAACCTTGGAAGCAATAGGTCTCTCAATAGACCCGACAATGCAAGAACTTGCCAGGTTGCCCCAGGTATAAGCGCGAGTTTAAACTTGATAATCGCCACATCTCCCAAATTGTTCTAGTCTCCGCCGGGAAAATCAACGGGGCCTTGCAGATCAATCTAGGAACAGGCAAGACCAGCACGATCTGATACTCAATTCAAAATGTACCTACCACAAGGCGAGCGATCGGCACTTGGACTCGTCATCAATCGCATTAAGTGAAATATTACCCACAGCATCTGCAATTTGCACTTTAATATGAATGGCGTCTTTGCATGAGCATCAACCAGACTGATCCTGGTTACTACTCTGCTAAGGACTTCAATCACGCAACCTTCTACAAGAGGGAAGCTAAGCAAGGCATCGGTATTGGTATAGATAGATTCTCTAGACTATTCTTGACTCCCGGCATGCAGTAAGTGATGTATCTCAGTGCGTGAAGAGCAGAAAATTAACTCGGAATGTTTTAGACACTACTACGATACTTCTACAACAACGAATGCATCGCGGTATATCACTGGTCCCACTCAAGCCAGTGCTCTGAGTCTGTCTCTGTACAGTGTGCCTGGTTACAGCGATGTCAAGCATGATATCCTTCTTGCGCTGGTGAACTGGGTAGAAAATGGATTGCACCTGAGTACAAAATCGGTACTCAAATTCACCGAAACTCTGGCTATTGAAAAGTAGCGTCCAATCTGTGCTTGCCCGACGCAGATGAAGTATAAGGGTACGGGTGATATCGACGATGCTGATAATCTTGAGTGCAAGCTACTCTATTGAGTGATATGTGAGGAATCATGTGTGTTCCTATAAGAAAGGCCCCCCGGGCCGTACCCAGTAGAAGTGTTATTGATATTCAATGCAATCAGCACATCTATAAGGAAGCACTAGGCATACTATTCAATAGAACACGCTGCTAGTCATCGACTTGGGTTACATCAACTACTGATTTGACCCAGTATGTGAAGTAGCACTACCAGAGATTTGATCGACCTCAGGTTGAATTATGGCATGCCCTTAATATGATCCTCAAGGTAATATAGGCAGAACCTGCTCCTCCAACCAAATCCCATACAGGATGCAGGGGTCGAGATGCGGTGAAGCCAAAGCCTATACGTGCGGTGATAAGTAATGCAAACCTACGTCGCACTGCAGATAAGAACCCCTCACCAGACCTACTGACTTACTCCGTAGCTTAAGATTCCAACAAAGCAAGTCCATACTTAATCCCCGCCCTAGACCTACTCCTCCGTCCATTTCCCCTCACCTCTTTATTCCATCTACCCCACATCACAATGTCCCTCCCCCCAAACATCCACGTCTCCACCCATCCCTGCCTCCAGGCAAAGCTCTCCCAGCTCCGCTCGGCAAGCACCAGCCCCCGCGAAACAAGAGCACTCATCCATGAGATCTCATCAATAATCGGCGTCGAGGCATTTGCCAAGGGACTCACTGTTGCGAAGACGGGGACGGTGGGCATGGTCGTTCCGTCATAGGGCCCACTATAGCTAATGCTCTGAGTAGGACCGTACCCCGCTCGGTGCTGAGTATGAGACACAAGGCATTGATCCGGCGGACTTGGCGCTGGTGCCGATTTTGAGGTCGGGGTTGGGCATGGTTGAGGGTTTGTTCTTTCTTTACTTGAATTCTTAGTCTCCTTTCCTTGACTATTCGGTTCTCGCGCGCTCTCTCCATTCTGAAGCATTTACCCCGCATTTTCTTATACCCAACTTATTCAACCAGACAATCAGTAACTAACTATAACAGCCTTAAATTCCCTCCTTCCAACCGCCGTCCCAATCTACCATCTAGGTCTGTTCCGTGAGAAAATCAGTCTACAACCCGTAGAATACTACAACAATCTTCCCTTCCACCGCAATGAACTGTCACCTCAAAGTCCTGCGCTCCTGGATCCGTCCGCTGCAACAATGAACAAGGCTGCCGCGACGCTGGCGGTGTTACTTGATCCTATTATTGCGACGGGTGCTACGGCTGAGGCGGCTATACATCTGTTGCGGGAGTGGGGTGTGCAGAAGATTATCATGTTGAGTGTACTTGCTTCTGAAGAGGGGATTAAGCGGGCTGCGGGCACTTGGGAGGAGGTTGAGGTTTGGGTTGGAGGTGTTGATGCGAAGGTCAACGAGAAGGGAATGATTGTGCCTGGGCTTGGGGATATTGGGGACCGGTTGTTTGTTGCTATTGGGAAGTAGATTTGATTAGATAGAGGAAGTCATTATTAGGACACTGACAGGAATTATGGGCAGTAGAATATTATCCTGGTTACTTTATTTATGAATTGTTTACTTTACTTGAACTGATTCCCCGCCAAATATTGTATTCATCGATTACGTATAGTACATGGAAATAAGGCGTCAAAAACATGTGCAGGTGAAACAAAAATGCAGACAATGCTGAGCAGAGAAAAAAGAAGCAGTGGCGGGGAAGCAAGGTGCAAATAACATCAAATACAGCAGACCAGGTTGAACCGGGACCACAAGAAGCAGATGAAAGCAGATGAGCGAAAATATCAAAAACCATAACAGCAAATCAACGTGTCAGAAACCGTAAAGTCAAAAGGTATCAAAAGATCAAAAAGCAGATGGACGGGGGCACGATTAGGGGCTAAGGAGAAAAACAAAAAAACTCCATCGAGTGCGAAGGAACACACAGGACCAGCCAGGTGTTGAAGAGGGGACCAAAGCAGATAAACACCACACCGGACTCCCTGGTGCAAAGATAGATCAGGGGGAAAGATGCAACCCAAAGTAGTAGAAAAGTCAGGAATCACACCAAAAGGCAGAATGCAGAATGACGGCGACGTGTTCCCATAGCCATAAACACCCCGCCTGCCCACCGGTGTACCCGTTCCTGAGTTTTCCCATGTCCCATAAAGCGTCCAACAAATGAGAGTAAGAAAGCCCGAAAACAACATAAAAAGATTTCAAAAGATGCAAACATCAAAAAAGGAGAGTAGAGAAAGATTAGTACGCAGTGCCAACGCTAGCAAGCGACTTAGTAGGGACTGCGTGGATCGGCTGGTCCTTGCCAACGCGCAAGGAATCTTCATAGCCGACCAGAGCCTGGGAGTGGAGCTTGAATGACTCGCCCATCAATTTGGTGATACTAGAGAAACCGTTAGTATTTAATTTCGACCAATTGAGTGGAATGAAAACTTACCCCCAAACAACCACGCCGTCCAGGATGTTACCCCATACACGGGCCACGGTGGAGCTGAGTTTGCCAAATGCGTCGATGGCATCATCATCAAACAAGTTCCGAACCTTGTTGTAAATAGCCAATTCAGCCTCAGTAGCAGGCTCTTCGTCATGTTCCAGGCGGTAGAGCCAAAGGCTGAGAATGACCATCAAATCCAGGCCACAGAGCGGGTGCTCGACACTCCAGTTAGTGGCAGAAGTCTTAGCAACCCAGTTGATGCCCTGAATGGCGGCAATCTCGATGCACTCGAAGCATTGCTGAACAACCTTGTTCATCTCCTGTCCGCGCTTGACCTTCTCACGAGCGACAGTCATAGCAGCAGCCACCTCATACGAAGAGTGGTAACGCATGGCCTCCTGGATGGACTTCAGGTCAACTTCCAGGCGGGCGCGAGTATTGCGGTAGACAGCCATCGAGTTGAAGATCAAGGGGTGGCCCTTCTGAGGAGTGCTTAGTGGGACAACGATGGTCTCAGACTCACACACATCGAGGGATCTCTCCCAGGTCTCGAGAGCCAGGCGGAGCTTGTACTCGGTAACCACGTCTTGCAAGGCCTCGAAGCTACGCTTGTGGTTCCAGACCTGCAAGAAGAGGGCGTTGATCAGAACACGGGTAGCGAATGCACTGTAGCGAGTCTGCTCGCCCTGGAACAGGAAATCGTGAGCCTCACGAACGGTGAGAGTGCTGGTGGTAGTATTACGGCGCCAGGTCTCCTCGTCGGATGGGTCCAGGTTCCAAAGGGACTCGGAGGACGGAAGCTCGAGGTTGTCGAACTCGTCGAAACTCATCGCAGGGGTGTGGTTGAAGGTGAGAGTCAACATGCCGAAGAAGATGTACACAGCGAAGTAGGTACGGCGGCACGACTCATCCTCAATCCAATCCTCCCGTGTGGTCGGAATACCTTGGCGAGCATCAATTCGCACCTTGAGCTGGTACCGATTGCCGGCGACCATGTTGGCGAGGAGACTCTTGATCGAGCAAGTCCATTCAAGACCCTTGGGGTCACCACTCCAGCTCTCGAAGACCATATTCAGCAGGGTGCTCTGCATCAACCAAAGAGGGCACTTGCGAGAATCGAAGTTATCCTTGTGTTGCAGGAACTGGTTGACCAAAACCTTGGAACCGACGTGAAGCATGAAAGCGTGCTCGCGCTCGAAGGTGTAGAGAGCGCCAATCGAGAGAACTGCGAGCAGTAGCGGTGCAGACACGGTGGTAGGGTTAAATGATTGCTGATGCAGGAAGGGCAAGTGAGGGTGGTACAGGTTAAAGTAGGTAGACAGGTACCGATTCAATGCGATCAGGCCAGGCATCTGGAAGGTCTCGGGCAGACCACCGAGGTTGTCTGCATTTTGAACACGCTCCACCACGAGGTTGCGTTCCATCTCATCCATGATTTGCGGCGCTCTGGGCAGAGTCAAAGCTTGGCTAGGACCGGGAGAGCGACGGTAATTTACGGGGCTTACGGGGCCGGTCATGGAGGGGTAGGGGGATAACGCGTTCGGGGTCGAGTTGCCAGACATGGGCATCGAGTTTGACAGGAGCACATCTCCGACAGGACCGTGACGTTCGACGAGAGTGGGCATCGAGCCGGCATCGTGAGGCGAAACGAGAGTGTCCCAGGGCATTTGCGGCAAAGTAGCGTTGCCGGAAAGGTACGGCTCGAAGGAGCCTTGGCCGGGGGACAACGATTCGGAGCGCTCGGAAACCTGACCATTCGCCGCGGCTGCAGCCTTATGTTGGAAATCTGTCATCAACATGGCTGCAGTTTCAAGGTCGACCATACCGTCACTGCTTGCCTCAATCTGCTCCAGCGTCGCTGGGTCAATTGTGATTGAGGGTTTGGCGGGGGCAGAAGTTGTGGACTTCTGAACACCACCACCACGTCGGCGGCCCTCGGCGACCAGAGGGATACCGCCGTCCTTGGCGTGTACAGTTCGATCATGGCGCAACAGAAGATCGCGACGAACGAAGGTACTCCGACATTTTAGGCACTTGAAGGGGCGTTCTTTTGTGTCTGCAAAAAGTCAGTATTGGGGGGGGATAAACAACGTGGGAAGCCCGACCGGACCGCCGGTATATGGAAACTTACGTGACCGTTCATGTCTGCTGCGATGTTCACTGCGACTGAAAGCGCGATTGCAAAATTGACATTTGTATTTCTTCTCTGGAGCTGAAGCCTTCTTAGCCGGCGAGTTGCTGGCTGTCCCGGGGGCTGATGGAGCCATGTGTGTGTATATCTGTCGGATCCTTCTCAAACAAAAATAGTCGAGTTCGGTGGTATGGTTCCCTGGGTGAGCTCGCACCGGTTCCTTAAACGTGTCGACGACAGAAGTTCGTTGGGATGTCTGATCATTCCTATGTGGGGGAATCACGGGTATGTAAAGGTGAAAGTGGGTGTCCAGCCACGGAAAACAAAAAAGGAACGCTCGAAAAGAAAGGCGGGTGAGCGTTAAGCACCGCGATAGGAGGGGTTATAATGTGTTGAAGAAAGGTGGGAGAGGGGGGGGGGGGAAGAGGGGAAGGAAAGAAAGGATGAGGAGAGAAGAGGAATTTGGAAAACGGGTTTCCTTTGGGGGGGGAAGGGAGGGGATGGAAGGGAGGGGGAACGATGGGACGTGGGCCCAAGCATCGCTTACTACGCGTGAGTCGCGCCGAGGGGCGAAAGCGGGACTGAGAGGGACTAAGGGAGGGGGAAAGTATAGTGAAAGGGACATCACTGTAAATCAGAGGGGGCTGGGAATCTCTTTCTGTTCTCCGGCCACGCACTCTTGCTTCCTATCACCACAACCACACTATAGTTGGGCTAAAAACCGATGATGTGCCCCCCCCCCTTTTTACCATACACTAAATCGACACGTCGTAATAGTCAAACACAAATCTGATTCGACCCGATCGCCAAAATTCAAAAATCAAAAAAAAAACACATGTGGCCCGCAGTCCTTTGAAACCCATCATTTCGGTCCTGCCGAACGTTTACATTTTACTTTTTTAGGTTCGATTCTTTAGATGTATAGATAGACTATATTCATCTATATCCATGGAGGGGTAGAACCTCGATGTATACTGTGGATAGTTGACAAAAGAATGATCTATACAAGATAACAAATAATTATAAATTCAAAGAAAAAAAATTCAAATTTAAAAAAAAGAAAAAGAAAAAAGAAAAAGCAATATTCAAGGGAGATCCGGAACAAAAGTGGGAATAGCGCTGTCTGCTGCGAGGGCTCTCGAGTGTGGGCCATGCAGTGGCCCCTCGCTCACCAAAAACCAGACCCATAGTATAGGATTAAGAGACTAAGATTATTATATTTTTACGAAAATGTGTGGCTGGCATGTGAGGCGATTTAGTGTCTCGATCGTGGCACATCCACAGCGATGCAATCGTCTTACTGGTTATGTGGGTTGTCTAGGGCCCTGGTAGGTGGCCCTGCAGTTACCTGTCATGATGCCCTATATATGCTGATGGCTGATGCTTTTGATATTTCTTACCATGGTTCATGCCCACGCTACCCCTCTTGTCATCCAAACCCCTCCGATCGGCACGATCATAGATTGGCTCGGTTGATCGGGTATCTGGGTATCGTTACACACTTCCGACCAAGACACGGACAAAATCAGGTGGGTTGGGAATGAGACAGGGAATGTATTTGCTCACATTGCTAGCGACTCTCAAGGTTTGACATGGAAATTAGGTAGGTAAATTCTAGCAAATAATATGATCTAATATGCCTACGGGGACCTCCCCTCAAAACTCCGGATAGCGCTAGAATAGCCTCGATCGTGTGTATCCGCGGGGCGTGGGTTAGTTGCAGCCGGTCTAGTCGATCAATCCACACCGTTCTGGTCTTTTGTTTTCCATTCAAAGGGTCAATCAAACTCAGGGAGACTATTCGGCCTAGCAGATGCGCCACACCTCTTTTCGAAGCACGATGGATCCCCCTTAATTATTGACAGATCATTGATGTTCATGTACTTTTGTCCTGGGTCTGACTGG